AAAGGCTTTTTCTTCAAATTTATTCAGATCAGAGCCGCCCCCTTCTTCGATTATTCTAACCTTGATCACCCTTCAAGCTCAATTTCTCATTTTTTTTTATTGCTTTGTAAATGTCTTTAAAGTCAAGTGGTAATGAAAAACTTGTTTTTTTTTGGATGCAAATTATGTTTGAGTTCCGAAATCAACAAAAAAAAAGTTTAATATTTTTTTTCTTTGTTTTATAAATTAGATGGCGTAAAAAATTACATGAATTCGTATGGATAACAAAGAAAGGACGTCTCCATTCATGCATAGCCCTTGTCTCTTCCATTATTCCTTTATTTCTTTTCATGGCTTCGATGGGAAGAAAAAACGAAAGAAGCTTCGCGTGTTCCGATGTCCATTAAAGCAAATTCAGAGATCGAAAAGCGTAAGACAGCTGAAATAGAATTGCCTTATTCCGTTTCGAAAGCTGAATTATAGATTCTAGAAACTTCAAAAGGGGATGTTCTTTCGAACAAAATGACGTGGGGAATTTATTTCTCAAAAAAGAGAAACGCTGTGATAAACCCACTAATAAAAAAAAACTTACTGAATAGCCCACTCCTTAGCGAAAAAGCCAAACTACTTAAGAGAACAAGAGCTCCATAAAAAATATTTTAAAAGAAATTCTCGTAACTGCTGAAGTACAACTAGTGGTTAGAAAGTATGGTAGTGTGTAAAATCATATGGGAAGAAATGAAAAAGACAATTTGAAAGTACAAACACTACAAATCGCTAGTTCTTCTTGAAGACGAAAATAAAATGCCCTTCCAAATCAAACCTCGCTATTTTTGAAACATAACCTATGTTTGAAGTTAATCAGAAGTGTCATCTTCATATTTATGGAAAATTGCTGCTTTCACATGAGGCCATGCAAACAAAACAAAAAAAAAAAGGAAATCGAGTATTTTTGTCGTGAAGCCTTCAGATAATTACATTCTTTTCCGTAGACGTCAGAAACAAGCCGAAAAAGCCAAAACAGACGGCTGCCGCGACATTTGAATCGCTTTTTCTCATCTCATTAAGTTAAAATTAAATGAATTCGCATTTGATGCTGAAAGCAACGCTCAAACGTGACCTCTTCCCTAAAATATAAAAAAAGCTTCGTCTGACTTCAGAGCCTATGACATGATATCCAATAAATTCGCAATTTTTTTCTTTTTCAAAATATTGTTAGTAAAAGTTGCAGCCGGTTACTAGCTAATCCCATGAACGTAATCATCGGCTAATCTCATATAAATCGGCGCTCGTACTTTGCCCCAAAGAAATGTCGGAAAATTTTCTTCTATTCTAATACCTATCGATCTTTACAAAAAGTCTCCTTGCATATAAAACAAGTTGCAACTGAGCGGTGACGACTAAGAATACAAATGAAGCAGGTGCGACATGGCGGAAATTTCCGTTCAAAAAAAGAAATGCTAAAAATACCCAAGGAAAAAGCAACGAAGAGGGATTATCGACGATGTGTAATTCGATATCAAAGTTGACAATTTCCAACCAAACAACTAAAAAGGAGCGAAAAATAATCTAAATATTGTGAAACTTTCCTAAAATGGAAGAAAAATCAATACCAACCGGTAAGACAAGAGTGGCGCTTCGTGGACGTGGTGGAAAAGGTGCAAGACCAGATTCGTAGGAATAGGAAGAAGTTCCGGTAGTTGGAGGCGGCGAAAAGTGGCCCAAGCGCGGTCCAACTCGTCGGCTTCTTGATGGACTTCTGCGCCTGGAAACTGTTGTTGGCTGTAGTGGAGAGCGGCTTGTTGAAGTGGAAGGCGTCGAAGCTGTCGTCGTCACTAGTGTCAAGGTCACATCTTCATCTATGCACGAGATCCGTAAGTTTGAAGTTCTCCAAGCGACGTGAATAGGACGCGCGAGTGGAGTTCCGTGGTTGCCAGAGGCGAGCGGCGAAGCCAGTGGTCCAGACGTCGGCATCATCGAAAGGAGTGGCAACGAGCATCTCCGAGTTCTTCTCGTAGTCATAGTTCCTATCCAGAAGTTGGAAGCTGTTAGAGTAGACGAATATAGAGTGGTTAATGCTTTGGATCGTGGAGATGAAAGCAGGCGGAAGCCTTGCAGCAACACAAGACGGAAAGAAGAGACTTGGGTTAATCCTTCTTAGGAACAATGGCCGAGTCTCCGAGGCGAAAGGTGAACTCCGTCGGCAGCGCCGAGAATTTGCCCTCGGCGATCCCAAGAGCTGGAGGCGTGGCCTTGACGTTTTCTCTTCACTCGACCGCTGCCACCGGAGGACCGCTTCTCCAACCAACCGTTCCGCTTCTGACTACGGCCATCTCATCACTTCGTCCATTTCTATTTGAGTTCTCTTCGAGCAACTGAATTCGACAAATTGACAACATGAAAATTCATAAAAAGTCATCGAGGACAGTCTTATTTATCGGACACGATGAAAAATGTTGAGCCTGATGATATTCTTAACGTGATAGTTTATTGAAATAAACTCTTTTGAACAAAATGAATATTCCCTTAAGAGTGATGCGAGGGTGAATGATAGCGTAAAATAAAAGTTGAGACAAAACTTTTTCTATTTGTAGTTTAATTACAGTCGCAGATTTAAATACTGCAAATTATCTTCGAGCTTTAAGTCAAAAGCAAAAAAAGTAAAAGAAGATTTTTTTTCATTGTAAAACATGTCCATAGTAATCTGCTCAATTTTTCAGACAAGCTGAAAAAAAGAGCAACAAATGTAGTTAAAAAAATATATATATATATATATATATCAAAACGACTAACGCAACAAAGCAATTTGGCGTGAGAAGAAGATAGAAACTCGATCGTTTAAAACAGAGTTAATTAGATTCGCGGAAAGGGCAAAAGTTCGCACGAAAGGTTGCAAAAGTCGAGTGGCCGCGTAGAAAAGAGAAAAACTAATGAGCGGGGCGCACTCTGCTGAAACTACAGCCGCTGAATTTTCAATAAACCAAAACGTGGAGCTCGTGATGAAAACCGCTGCATATGAACGTCCCTAACAAGGTAAACAACTTCGAGTCCCCGACGAGTCTCTTGCGCGAAATATCATAATCTACAAGGAAGCAAAATGTACGGAAGAGATTGCGTTCTATTCCGTAAATAAATAGTTTCGTAGGAACATTTGATATGGCGTGTTCAACCAAAAAAAACGCGCCCTCTCCGTTGAATGAGAATCAAGCAGAGAACTTTTTTCAAAGTTCACAAGAAAGCGTAAAAGTCATCACATAGAACTTCTGCAAAAATCGATAAGCGATCATGTCGGAGCAATTTGAAAAGATTGAATTGTGTTTTGCGGCGCGAAATGACACAGAGATCACGTGGCTGTTTGCCCAATTGTTTTTCTGTTTGTGTTTTTCAACAGGGACACACACAGAAAGTTCTTTTATGAGATAAACGTGCCGAAAATGGTTCGTGGAAAATGCCATCATAATTTTACATTTCTCGACGCGCAAAGATGGCGGAAATGTGCCCCTCTTTGCAGAGAAGATGAAATATTCATGAAAGCTCATGAGCGCGGGGATTGTGAAGCAAAAAAAAAACCACGAAATTCAAAATTAGTGTCATTCATCCCGTAACGAATAGCGACATTCCAAGGGTTTTTTTCTGTTTTGAAGAAAAAAGCAACGGAGCTCGAAAAACATAACTTTTTGAATAGCTTGCCAAACGAACAGAAAAAATTATTCAAAAAAGAAATATTAAGTTTGTCTGATGCTCACTAAAATGGGGAAATAAATTACACGATATTTATTTGAAAGTTGTTTTCCTCAATGAGTCAAACAATTACACGGTTGACCAATCGCAGACTAACTTTCTACCTCGCTTTCGAAATTGTTTTTACTTTCGTGAATTAATTCTAAAAATAGATCCCTACCCAAATCAAGAATGGAAAATATTTCAAACTTCGTTATGAATGAGCAATTTCCTTTTCAAACGGTTGTTAGAGACATAATATGCGATTTTAACCAAACTGAAGCCTTTCTGTTCATCGTATCTTCACGAAACTGTTTTCCGGGTTTTCATTAAACACAAGATGATCAGTTCTCTAAAAAGCTTGATTTCAATACAATTTTTTTAGTAAAAATTTTTCAGAGAAAAAAACAGTCGGAAAAAAATAAATGAAATCCGAGCCAAAAACAAGCTGCCAATTTTCGGCTCTGCTAAAGTTTCCGTCATGGAACCAGTTGGATTCTGGCCATTTCTCGGCAATTGCCTCGAAAAACTTCCTCTCCTTCTCCAGAAAAACAGGTAAACATGGAATCGCCGTCTTCAACTTCGTTATCAGATTGTTGAAATTCTTATCTGTCTGGGGTCAATAACGAAGAGCCTTCTTTCTATACAAAACAACGAATGATAGAGTTCCATGTATTAATTTTGATGAATTCCGAAAAGGTAAATAACCTTTACTTCTCATTTCTGCTCTATGAGTCAGCGGAGTGGGTGTTTAATGTGTAACCAGTCACTCAACGCTCGGCAAATTTCAGAACACAAAAGTGAGTATTACTCGATAGGGAGACCCTGAACTTATCTTTGCCTGAATTATCCCTTTTCAAGTCTTCCTGCAAAACAGATCGACTAAAATCTGAATTTCAAAACTGTTGGAAGCAGTGGTTAAAGAAAACTACAATATATAGAAAAAAATATTCCACGGGAATGTAAAAAACTATAGTAAACGAAAAATTATATCTTCATGAAACACCGTTTTTTCAAGTTCTGAAAGACCTCTATTTTTTTTTTTGAAGAATTCTAGCATAAAAGTGCAACAAGAAACACTTTCGAAACGTTAGGTTCGATGTTTAGTTTTCTAAACTATGGTCAAAATTTATCGTAGTTTTAAGAGACCAAAAAAACACAATGTTTAGCCTGGAGCCACCATGAGTTCAGTAGCACTTCGATATGATTTCTTCAAACATTGCCGATCATCAAAGCACAAACAAAAAGCCGTTCCGACGACTCGAGTGGTTCTCGTTCTAAAGCGCCGCCGCCAAAAGACCTTCCCATCCACAAAACAAGCGTTTCAAACTATTTCCTTTGAACCGAACTAAAGAATACCGTGCTGCGATTGGAGGCGTTGGGCGACGAAGAAAAAGTGGAGCTGGCCGAGATCTGCGGATCCGAGTGACCCAAGCACGAACGCATCCTGACCAGGTTGGTCGTCGACGACGAGAAATTGCTCTCCATCGAAGATTCGCTGCACATGCCTACAAAAAAGCAGAAATTATTATCACTAAAAATAAAAATGACTCTTATCAACTTCCTGTCCAAAAAGAAATTGTTTGTTCTTTTCTAACATAACGTATACATTTATGACGTCCTCTGTTTGAATTTTGGTTTCACACACGCACCATGAAAATCTGGAATCTTGAAAAAACAGTTCAGACGAGAAATTGGCTGAGGATAAAGCATTTTTTGTGTGGACGGCCTTTTTCTCAAAAATTTGTAAAAACTCATTTTACGCGGAGAGAAGTTGAGAACGATTTAACGTATGAAACTTTTGAAACGTTATTTCGAGAAATCCCGAAGCTTTGCAGCTTTTCTATCCGGAGCAAACGAACGCTAATTAATTCACACCAGAACGGCTCTTTTTCACAAAATAAATTAAAGCTGACTGGATTTAGAAACATATGAATCACCCTTCAAGTTCCGGTTATGTAAAAGTACGTTTTTTTTTTCGAAATTTCTCACGCTTTGCTTTTTTTAGACTAGTTATTGATCATATGTAGAAAGTGCAATTTTTCGGAATGAGTGCTTTGGATTTTTTTTCCAATAGTAATGAAAATTTTATTATTTTTTCCTCCTTATAGATAGCACAATGGTTGCTTCTAATTTGATAGAAATATTCGGATCATCTACAAGCGCAAAAAAACGAAGAAAAAGGAAAAATTTTAAATAATAGATAGATGCCAAAAAAATGGTTTTCCGTACCAGTTGCCGATATTTATTATATAAAAATACCCATTGAGTGAGGACTCCTACGTAATTTTATGACAAAGATAGTTTTCCAACGACGCCTCACTCGTCTTCTTGACAGCGGTGGCGAAGAAAGTAAGCGAGGCGGAGAGCGGCGAAGAGTTGATGGAGCGATGTCTCCAGGTGGGCATCTGACCCAACGTGCAGCCTTCTGTCACCGCCCGTTGAGGTCTTCTCCCGCCTCCGCCGAAGAAGTTGGCGGCCGTCGACGGCGTCTGCCACGACGGCGTCGGCAGTCTCAACGAGCCCCCGCTCGAAGTGTTGCTTCGCATTCCTCGTCAGGATGTTTCCAAGCAACTGATGGCCATTCGTTTCTATATGAGCGTGTGTCGGACACGCTTCTGCCGATTCCACTTTCTTATTTACTATCGTCTCATCGTTATTATTTTAGATCTGCAACTTTGTTTCAGAATGGAAGTATCATATTTGTTTCGTCACGCGAAAAAATTATAGATGAGGAAGTCAGGCGGTTAAAATATCAGAATTAAAAAAAACTGCTCTTCTTTCTTTTTAAACGCGAAAAAAATTGAAAGTTACATGCTCATGGCAGTTTCAAAGGAACCAGTAATTCTCAAAATTTCGAATGATTGTAAAAAAAAATTTCATTACAAACATGAGTTAGAGAAAATTTTTGTTATTGGCGGTCATGGAAAAAGATGGAAACTCTTGTATGTGAAAACGGAAGCTCAACTCGAGCAGAAAGAAAAAATTCTCAACGGTTAAGATGGCTAATATTAAGAAACAGAAATAGGTCCAACCAGAAAAAGTGAAAGCAACATCTAAGAGGAAGAAACGACAAGACTTACTAATCCAAAAGACCGAACGGAGAGCCCATTTGAAAAATGGAGAAGGCCTCCACTGAAGGGTTATTTCTCAGAGAAAAAAACCACACGCAATGGAAAATATATAAAATGCAAAGGAAAGCTTGGAACTAACGTTCTAAATTATTTTTAACTTTTCGAGAAGATATTTTTAACTTTTCGAGAAGAATATTTTTAACCCTTCGAGAAGAATTATTTTCTCAAGTAAAATACAAAACTTAAAGGAACTTATAAAACAAAAGTCTGTCTTTCCAATCACTCAGCGCTTGCTTTTGCCCTACTTTGGACAAATACCTGATACTCACGAAACACCCATAAAGGAAAATTAACTCGAACGCCTGCAGGCTGGTTTTCTTATAATGGAATGCTGAGTAACTACTGAAAACTCTTTTAGACCTGTCCGACATCCAAATGACCATTCAAAAATAGCATTGGAATGAAATTATATCTAAAAGCTAAATTTTGCACAGAATTTTCAAAAAAAAAAAAAGAAAAAAGGAGGACTTGCAATTACATAAAAAAGAATAAAATAGATTCAAATGTTGAGAATCGAGGCAGCGAACACAACAAACATCCGAAAGCGGGTCAAATCTTGGGGGGTTCTAGCGAATCCACGGATAAATCCAAGAATAGACTCGGCATCGACGATGGCTAACGAAGGCGAAGAGTAGAGACATCCGCACAAAGTGGAAAAGCCCAGAAAGACAAGGCGAAACGGAGAGCCTGGGATCGCCGACCACGCCAAACCCACGTAATTAGCATCGAACGAGCCGCCGCACACTCCGAAAACCCTTTTAGGTTCCTTCTGGACCTTGGATTCCCGAAATCTGTGGGTTTTTTGATTGCTTCGGTGTTTATTAAGCTTGTTCTGAATAGTGGTTCGAAGACAACTGACCGAAATTTTCTCAATTTTTTTTTTCGTGGTTGTGCATTGAAGACTCTACTCCTTCTCGCTTCTCATTCGCTACTCGTATAGATAGGGACCGCAGACGAATTTTCAAAAAATTTTTTCAGCATTGAGCTTTGTATGGTTTGATAGCTGTTTCGATTCAAAACTCAGAACCGTTTAGTTTTTCGAAAAAGATTGAGGATGAAAAAAGTTATGACGAAAAATGTGGCGCGCCGCGCACCATTTTTTTAGTACTGAAATTTTGGTATTATCCATTTTTGACATTTTTCTCGATTTTTCTTCCAGAACAAGTTTTGATACTGGTCTATTATGATGTAAGAAATCATAATAGAGCTGCTAAAAATGATGGAAATTTGCTAGTTTGCCGAAAAAGTCGGTATTTTCCAGAAAACAAAAAACTGACGCTTGCGGGCATCGAACTCGCGACCTCAAAATGAAAAAAATCGCCTTGAGCCGTTTGAATAGCACAGATTGCCTATTTCAAAAAGAAAAACTTGAAGTAATTAAGCTATTTTTTTATCAGAATATGTTCGCAAATCTTCACTCAAACTTTTCGTAGAAATTCACTTCGAAAAAACTGTTTTTTTAGTGCTTTTTGCCTCGTTTAACGATCGCTGCATTAAAACGGCCCCGTAAATTTTTTTGGCAAAGGCGAACTTTTTAATTTTATTCTTTTTAATTGAAAGATTTTTTTACTAGTAAATGTATATAATCGTTTGAAAAAAACCTTCGTTCGACCGCTTTCTGTGTGATAAACGCCGCTAATTTTATTCTCTAGTTTTCAAGAGCATTTTTTTGCGTATTAAACAACTTTTTCAAGCACATATGCTGTGGAGAAAAAAATTTCAAAGTAAGCCCATGGTCTAAATTTTGAAAAAAACAAAAAAACTGGATTATATTCGCTTATTAACGATATTTTTGAATTATGACTTTCGGCGCTCCCTAAAAATTTTTTTGGCAAAGACGAATTTTTTTATTTTATTGTTTTAAAATTACCGTTACTTGAATCAAAAATCAATATTTAAAAAAAGAAAGAGTGCGTTCGACCTGAAAAACACATGAAAAAAAGCAAAAAAACGACAAAAATTTTTTTAGTTCCATTCACGTTTTTTTGTACGACATTCCGCGTGAACGCATCAAAAAGCGTGAAATAATTTTTTTAAACGAAAGAGGAAGCTTTTTCTGTACATGTGTGCCAAAATTTTATTATCCAGTTCCCACATATTTTGCAACTACAACAAAATGAAAGTTGAAAAACCAAAAAAATGCCACTTTTTTTCTATCGCGAAAAGGGGCGTGGCTTTGCGGTCCCTACGTATAGATATTTTACCGGGATATTTGATGAAAATATATTTTCACATTTCTATAAAAATTGATGAAAGAATGAAGTTTTCATGACCTTTTATCAAGTTTTTCATTCGTTTTTGAAAAAAAAAATTATATTACTAATAATCCACATCAAAGTTCTAAGTTTTGAAAATTAGGATAACGAAACGTTAAAAACAATTACTTCGGACAAACTGCCGCTTGGGAAGCAATATTCGTCCGTTTCCTCATTCGTTTTCTCAATCACCTTCTCATCTCTGCTTGAATAAATATAGAAAACAATTGAACGTATCGTGACTGATTTCTACTCACAAGCATAATCGAAAGAAAAAATTTTTCTCACTTTTCCTACAAATAATATTGAACAAAACCTCGAAAGTCCAAAAAAAGGTTTGATAGGCTCTTTCAAGAATAAGAGAAAGAAAAGAAGATAAAGTTGGAGCTGAAGCGATTCGACTGAAAAATTCACAAAGTTCATGTCGTGCGAGTGAATGTGAGAACACGCAATTAGGTCCGATGAATAAAATGGCGCATTTTCAGCCCAAAAGCAGGGAAAAGTGAGATATTATGATTCACACATGAATAATATCCAATTATTCTCCATAAATTTGATTCTAGAAAAATTTCTGAGAGAAGGAGTTTGGTTTATAGAGTTCTAATGATGACTTTTTTTCAATACTGGCACTTCTTCTTGAAATTAATTATTTTTTTAATAAAGAATATATGAAAAATTTATAATTTAGTCATTTTCTAAATTTTTTTATTTTTTTGTTTGGAATTGGTTCGTTATTAATTTTGTCTGTCGAGATGAAATTTTATCATTCATAATGAAGTTATTATCCATGGATTCTAAATCAGCTATCAAAAAGCATTTATACCTCGACGGACACCATCCGAAAAATTCAAGAATAGAGGCCTATAAAGAAAAAAAAGGTTTTTTTCATGAACATACTGAAGTCGTTTTTCTATTACGCAATGTCAAAACAGAGATCCTAAACAAGCCGTTACATATAACGTATGAATTGAGTACAGGCTTACATCTCAAGTTAAGAAAAAAAAAGAGAAGACGAAAAACGCTGAGTTGATGGAAGACGAAAGATCAGCCGAGTACTCATTCAAACTCTGCAAAAAATTGAAGAAGAAGAAGAAAAAAACGTGTGAGATTGAGGCGGAAGACCGCTTGACACGAGAAAATACGTGTGTGCCTGCCGCCCATCACTTATACTTCTTGTTGGGATAAAGAGTCGCCCAGAACTGACAGCCATCTGTCCAGTGGCTCTGCAGGTGCACGAATAAGAACATCTCCGCACAAGGTGGTGCACCCCTGTATCTACTTTTCAAAACGGAACAGTTTCTGATGAATAGGATCAAAAAGGTCGCTTAACCGGTTTGGTCGGCAAAAGGATGAAAAAAAGAATCAACGCTAGATCTTGATTTTTTTTCAGGTAGCGTTAGAGCGCACAAGCATGAATTTATGAGGCCATTTTCTCAATCTCTTTTTGGCTTCCATTAAACTGTGATAAACCTTATCATTGCGAAAATTCTAAAACGGTTCAAAAAAGGGAGAAATATTGGTGGGAGTAAGAAATCAGGGCAACCAGAGGGCGTACCTCGCCTCTCCACTTCTTTGTTCTTCATTAGCGGCGACGGAGGGCAGACTCGCTCTCGATATTTGACTCCAAAGGGCACTTAATCGCCTCTTCTCTACTTCCCAAACCATCTAGAGCCCAAAAGCCTCAGCAGATATCAAATTTGACGATTATCAAGGAGAAACAAAGAACTAAAATTTGAGAGGCTGCTTGTTCGAAATGTCACGATCTTGACTGTATAGGAAAAACAAGAGCTTTTGCTCGAAACTGCAGAAAATTCGCGTGAAAGCTGACAGTTTGTATTAAAAATCAACTTTCATGTACTGCATTGGAGCGTTCAAAAACACGAATGTTTCACATGTTCTAAGATAGAAAAACTCCCATATAAGTACTGAAAATGAACAAACTATAAATGGCATGAGAAGAAACGGGAGTCTTGGAGAATTCTGATTGAGCCACTTCGGCAGAGGAACGCAATATTCAGATCAATAATTACAGAATGAAACCAGTTGGTTTTTTTTTTTGAAATTAGTGGGATGTTTCAAAATTTGGAACTTGAAACTTGTCCTATTTAGAAAACGTTTTCAACAAAAAGGGTTTGAAACATGGAGCTTCATAAAAGACTATTTTTTCAAGCTCAAAAATATTTATGGCATTTTCAATCAGTTATTTTAGTATAAATTTTTTTCATCAAGATATTCAAAATATGGAAAAAAAACTAGACAAGATAACAAAAATTGCTTGAAACGCTCAAAAAAAAATGAGTCGAAAAGATCGATTAAACCGGCAGCTGGAAGGCCGATCAAATGATGCGGCGAAAACTGTGGTCTCAAGTGATTTCCTGAGACTCTTGCCAATATCGCCGGCTCAGAAAAATTGCGAGAAAACGGCGGTAAACTCTTCGAGTGGCCGAGCTCAAACGACGAGAAAAAGAAAAGGTTTCTAGAAATCCCTCTGATGAGAAAAGTCGGTAGGTACAGAGAACAAGCAAATCAAACAACGGAAACACTTGGGAAAGAAAAGCCAAAAATAACTCGAGTCTGAAAAGCCTGCAAAATAGTATATCTTTCCATTCTTTCCATTCGTGGATTTTTCAAAAAGCTAATCTGGTTAACGGAGGACGTCATAAATGAGGATTCGTTTTAAATAAATAAAGTAGATAGAAAAAAGAACGGACCATGGATAATCATGGTGCGACGGCGATTCCGCTTGGCACGACGGTCGCTGGAAGAACTCGCGTCGGAATCGTTGCGATGGAGCATCCGACTGCCCAGAAGACCGCTCCCACTACCAGAGTTGCCGCGAATTATTCCTTCAAGTCAAGTTGCTTTTAATTCTATCTCCAGTCATTTTGAAGCGCTTTTAAAAAAAGAGCAAAACGAAAAGAAAAAAGGAACCGAAAGCAGCGGCCAGACGACTTCCGCTGACAGAGCGCTTCATGATGGGCGACATGGGAGTGTTGGGTCGCGACGGCTCTTTGTGCGAAGATCCGCTGCCGAAACTCGCAGCCAAACTCCGTCGGGCGGCGACGTTCAGCACGTGCTGACCACTTCCGCTTCCCCCTGGAACATCGAACATCTCCACTCAAACAACAGAAAGTACCATTCGTATATCGAAAACCATCCTTTTTATAAGTTTTTTTTTTTTCATTTCAGCACTTTATTTGGTATCGACTTAACACCAAATTTCACATCAGTCGTAATTCTGAAACCTCAAAAACAAATTTTTTGATTTTAACAAAAACCATTTTCCGTTATAATCCCTTCATACAAAAAGTTAGTGCTCTTTTTCAAATCGAAAGAAGATTTTTGAGATTCACAAGAATTTGAATATAAGAAAAGCTGTTAAATCCACTGAAATTATTTTATCTGAAACTTGCACACGTAAAAGTTCTCACCGCGCCAGTGAAGACTTCCGCTGCCCGCGTCGCTTTCTGAGTCACTTCCCTGAAAAAATATCAATCATATAGCGGCAATTATTTGGCGCTGAGTCAATTTTCAATCAGAAATCTAATACCACTTGACACAGCCCCTTCAACGTATCCTTAGTCATGATATTATTTTTAATCATTACACTATTTTTTTTCTCAGTATTCGGATTACCTTCAACTTATGCGGCAGTCAAAAATTATATTTTAAAAAAATGTAATCAGATGATGTGAATGGGGTGAAAAACTGTCAGGAGAACCATAAAATATAACAAATGTTGTTTAGACACTATGCTGAAGATATGAAAAACTGAGTTCCCATACAAAGTTCATTCTAATTTTGAACAATAAACTAATATGATAACATTTTTCTTTTCAATAATATAGCCACTTCTAGAAAGTGATTTTAGCGTTTATAATGATTGTGCAAAAAATACATAGGAATAGGAGATTTCATGACGGATGTTTCTCCCTAAATAGAACTGAAGCGATACTTTTTTTATGAAAAAAAAATATTTGAACTTCACCTCTAGATAGGCGTTGTAAAAGAATTTTTGTTCATTTACGTCACGTTCATTTTCAAACTGGAAAAAAAACGTCACTGGTTCAAAAAACCAAAAAAAAAATCTTCTAAAAGCGTAGGAGTTTCGAAAAAAAAACGTGGGTTAACAGCTCATTGAAATACAAGAAACGCGATTTCGCGAAGTGGATGAGCAAATTGTGAAACAGAGAAAAAAGAGTTAACGGACAGTTTTTCACTAGTCTTTCACGCCCAAAATATCCACTCGACACTGGCGTTACAGATCCCCGGGTCTAGTGATACTAGGCAAAGAACGGCACAAAGAACATCTTTCCAATGGATTGTAAGTTCATTGCGGTCAGTCCACAGACAGTTCATTTTGAATGGAAAAATATTCAGTGAAACTCTAAAAAAAACCATCATAAGATCATGTGAACGACTCATTTTTTTTGGCCATCTATACTCCTTGCAAAGTTTTTATTTTATTAAATATTAGTTGAAGAAGAACTTAGCGCTTTGAACACCATAGCTTCTTCGATATTTTCGAGGCAATGAGATTTAAATTTCTCATTTAAATTAATGTCACTCTTTGAAAAGTTTCGCTAGTTTCTGAAAATTGCGAAATTTCTATTGTTTTTGTAAAATATTACGGTACAACCTTCCAAAAAAAATTATTACCCGCTGGAAGATGTGTTTCAAAAACATCTATTTTTGAAAAAAGGAAGCTTTAAAATTTCTTTTGTTAAAACGTGCGCAGGTTCTAACAGCGTGCAGATCTCAGCTGTTTTTTTCAATGTATCTTCTCGTGAAGTAAGAAATATTTTAACTCACAGAAAGCAGGAAGCACATCTTCTTTCAATCAATTCAAACACGATTACGGAAGCATTTGAGATCAAAATGTATACCCAGTTTTTTTTTGGTATATTTGAAAAAGTGTGTTGGTGAAAAAAATAGTTGGCGGATGAAAAGTAAGGGTTTGACGAACATGATACTGGCGAATGGGCAGCGGTGTGGAAGCGGCCGACAGAGAACGGACCGGTCGCGAGAGCACAGGCGACAGTACGACGGGCGGCACGCAGATGCAGTCGCTCGACGATCCGTTGCTCTGAAACCCATCTTCTGTCCTCAAGTCTCCATTCTCGTTAGGAATCTTGTCTCAAAGTCTTAGATTCTAACTTCTATTCGAGATCATGTCCAGTTAAATTGATATATTAACCATGTGTAAGAGAAAGTGATGCGGCGTTTTCAATTAGCGTTCACAACGCCTTTTCTATCGACTTCAGCATGAATTCTTAGCTATTCACAAAAAAGATAAGTTTGAGAATTACAATAATATGTATTTTTGCGCTGTAGCCGACTTATTCAAATACGGCACATTTTGAACTCCACAAGTTGCACTTCCACACTGAGAGTCTCGCCGCACGGCGTTTCAAGTCGTGGGAAACCTTTTTTTCTAATAGAATAAGTTTCAACTAAAGTCTTGCTGCTATCCTATTCGGAAATATTTGTATAGATTTTTGGTTTTTTTGGAAGATTCTGCCTTATATCTTCTAGATAAAGCATCCTGAATAACTTTTACTTCTATATTTCCGTCTAAAAAAATCTTCCATCGTCCCTAAACGATTGATTTTCCCTTTAGTTTCTCACCAACGACTACACGAACTTGAGCTCTTTCCGCAGCTCTTTTAAATCGTCTCTTTTTCTTCTTTCTACAAAAATCAATCAGGCTTTTTTGTATGTTGGTGATTTTCATTCTAATCACTTCAAAAAGTAAGGAATCTGCAATTTTTGTAACTTCTAAAAAAACCTCCATAGCTTCCGATAAATGATTAACACGGAAAAAAAGAAAATAATGTAAAAGTATCGAATTTCGCCAACGCACTCGTCTCCAATCCCATTTCCGGCGAGCTGCACAAATTGGACAAAAAAAAAGTGCAGCGGCGGACTTTTGGTCCTCGTTAACGCTATACCCCAGAGCATATCAATGAATAATTGGCTCTTTTCCTCCTATCACTATGGCTTCGACAGCTTCTCCGTGCGGCTAACACGGTTGCATAAGCCCTCCGAATTCCTCCATATCTGGGACGTCATGTGTTATGCAGATTAGTGGCGGACTTCGGCTTTCGCTAATCCTCAAGAAACTAAAAAAAGAAGTTCTTCTCGCCGCCAAACCAGATAAAACTTTTACACGAGCAATTTCTACTAAAAACCTTGACAAAAAGAAAAAAGAATAATTATTAAGGACAATTCTTCAAGCTCGCCGTCACATGTCAGCCGAGCGTTCAGCTACCATCACGCGTCCGGCTCATATTTCAAGCTCTTTCCTATTATTTCCTCACGATCATCATTACAATAAAGCTTGTATGTCATTACGAGCCACTTTAAAAACTTGCAAGACTTGGCCGTGATCAAAAAATGTATCTAATATCTATAGAAATTGATGAAAACGTCGAAAATCCGATAAAAAATTGAATTTAAACTGAAACAATTAGTTATGGAAAATGGTCTTCGTATCAAACTAGGTAGACATTCTAGCGCACACCAAGCAGTTGCGCAAAAGCATTTAGTTTTTTTAATAGTATCGTAAACAGAATTGATATTAATTTTTTTAAAAACTAATTTGAATAAATTATGGCAGGTCTCTTGTCGGGATACTTGAAGATTCTAAACTTTGTCCTCAGAAAATTCTCAAAGTTTTCAGGACAGAAATCCTCACCGTTTTGTACAAAATCAAGAGAAGATTATCGATACCTGGGCACTTCTTGGCCTTCGAATCGGCTCGTTGGGCGGAGTCTCATTGTCATCGCTGTAGTACTTGACAGTGGACCACATGGGTGAGAGCAAGTTCTGATAGCTGGAGCTCATCGGAATCGTGATGGAGGACGCGTCAGAAGCGGTCGAGGCAAAGGAAGTTCGACGGTCCGGCGGCGGAGAAGAGAGAAATCGCCCGTCGATTCCAAGAATGGCGTCATCCTCGAGTGACACTCCAGGCACTTGAAGGTAGTCCATCCGATCTCGTCGTTCTGCATCAACTTCGATGTCCCCGATGGGCGTAGGACTGAGAAAGGGCGGACTAGGTGGGTCCAGCGATATCTTTATCGTCGCCAGCTGCGAGGCAAATCTGCGAAGTCTAGGACTTTTCGCAGGGACCAGGTGGTTGCCACTCGTAGACGAGCTCATTTTGGCGTAACTTCTTCAAGCAGTGGTAGTATCCATGAATCCGATTTTCACATACGATTTTTCCGACTCTTGGAAACTACTACTGCAATAAACTATCTTGAAATTAGAAAAAAAACATCGAAGAATAACGTCTCGTCAAAGAAAACAATAGGATAAATTTGCTACAAGAAAGGAAAACAAGATTTCAGTACAATGAATCTCGTTTCAGGTGACGTTAACCTGTCCGTTGAGAATAGTAATGAGGTGAAGGAAGAGCTTTTTGTGCAAAGATGCGACTGCTGAGAAATGGGCGGCGCAAATGACGAACAAGCTCGAAAGATTTCTTGCCTGATAATCCGTCAATTAGAGTGTCCTCTTTTCTCCCTTAAGCCAACGTCGCCGTCAGAGGTACCAACGTCTTACTTTAGTGAAATGAGACTTTAAAAAACCGCTCAGTAGCGACCAGAAATGGAAAAGATAGGCGGAGCCGTGAAGGCAACGGCCCACACGAGAAAGAATCGAAGGAAAAGTCAACATGGCTGCAACCACCGCAGGCAATATACCCATTCCGAAGCCTTTCCTTTCCGTGACACTTGTCCCTCTGTCAACTTAGTCCGGCCTATCTTAATGAGAAAAAAAATGCCTTACTTTGTCTTTTGAGAGTTCATCTGAAAGCAACATTTATTTTTAAGCTTTCGGATCTCCAACTTCTTTTCAATATATCGCCTAAAAATCGCTTAATGCTCAACATTTGTGCAGATTTTCTGCCAAAGCTGCCGTCTATGAACTCGAGTTTGATAAATTTTTGTTAGAAATGGAAAATTAATAAACTGAAAAGTATCCAATGACAAAGACTGACCGCTTATTTTGTAACTTTGTCCCTTTTTGGGATAGCTTCATTTCAAAAGAACATTCTCCAGTCTCGTATGTTCTAAATTATCCTACCTTTATACCTTCAACTTAGTCTTGTGTGTGAGAAATGAAATATTTTGATTTAATTTAAAAAGAAAATCATCATTGTGACGCTGAAAAAAACAATGAGTGAGGAAAAATCGCATAAAATCCCGCTTCAAAAGTTACCACGTTGACTGAAAATTTAATGACTATCAAGTTCATTACAGAAGTAGTAACAAAAATTCAATGAGCTGTTGTCAATGAAGTTCATTTTCGCTTTTTTTTTTCAAGCCTTCCTATGAACAACTTCAGAGTTTTTCAACAAGCGTCCAAAGGTTTTTGCCCCTTTTCTTTTCAACTCGAACCCTTTTCTGCTTTCTCATGAATGGGGAAAAACCACAAAATGGCTTTTCATCGAGGTTTATTGCTAATAAAGAAGGTAACACGCCCATTTCAGCAGCAATTGGGGCGAACCTTGAGCTTTCGAGAGAAAAGAGACTTTTTCCCTTTTTTTTTCTCACGTGAGGGTTTCATAAAAGGTTAGTCTTGAGTTTGCGTAAAGTTCAATCAAGCATCAAATTCGCGAGTTCGACCTTATTTCAATATTATGTCTATTTAAACTCTGTTTTTCGTTCAAAGCTTTAATTTATTTTATTTTTTTAACTGATAATTATGAGTATTTAATTAACTTCGTCTAACTCTCGTTATGAACCTTAAAAAAATTATAAAGTTTTGGAAAAAGACACTCTGGATTTCTTTCCTTTCCAAATGTAACAAACAAATTTCTTTCAAAAAAACGAAAAAAATAAACTATTTCATAATAAAAAAAGCCATGATTTTTTTTTCACAAAAATAGAAAAAAATGTTGTGATAGTGAAGTTTCAAAAACAAAAATCTTGGAAACCAGAAAAGTTTTTAAAGCGGTTTTTTTCACAACTTCTTCTCAACATAAGCTTTTAAATATAATATTCTACTTTACTTGTTTTTTTCACGAAGAAATTTCAAACAGGTATATCTTCGAATAATGTGGTAATTATAACATCGCAGTCGCTAAAAACTTTTGAATGGGACCCATCAGAACTTTGAAAAATCAAACTAAATTGCAGTCTCTGATTGGGAATTTAAGTGCATAGGAATGAAGAAAAAGAATTTTTCCGTCCAAACTCATTTTTAATACTCTCCAAAAGAGTTTTTCCCCAAATAGATGAATGAAACTAACATGAATAATCTCTCGAAGGAGATTCGGCGGTCTGTTGGATCTTGTCGAGTTGCTGCGCGTGCAAGAAGTGGAGCCGCATTGCGAGGCGTTCGGCGAACTCGACGGTCTTCAAAAACAGAACTCATTTTCCAGACAATTATTTCACAGTGTAGCCAAATAATGGTCTAATGTGAATGCTCTTTTCCAATAGTAGTGATGAAATTCCGGAGTAAAAGAAGACTTTGGCGTCAGAGACCAATATTTTTTTACTGCAAAGGGTCACTCGTATCAATAATTCCCGTTTTAAAAGTTTGCAAAAAATCTTCTCAGTGGCATTCTCTTGGCTTATTATCCTATTGTTCTTCAATACCAGTTTGTCGAGCTTTCAAAGTTCGCTCTATCGTTGTCTTTTGGCTCAGAATATCCTAAAACTTCGAAAAAGGACCTGCCAACTTGATGGAAAAGAGCAAACTTTCGAGCCTCTAAGTGGAAATTTGAAAACTTTTGAAATTAAAATTACTTTTTAAAACTATTCCTGAATCGAAAAACCTTAATTAGACTACTTAAGAGCAAGTTTAAGTCATTTACCATTTTCGGGTGATCTTATTCACCTCTTCCTTGCATACGGCCTCATATCGCCTTTTAAGCCGGTAGAAATTGATGACAGTTTGAACATGTCTCGGCATAGTTATTTAATGTTAAATTCAAAAAACTCACATTTATTTATATTCATAAAGTCGAGAATGTCAAAAAACTGAAGGAACAAGTTATTTCTTTAGAAATCTGATTTCTGCATTTGATTCATTGAAAGCCCGGTTCAACAACAGCGTTCAAGTATAAAAAATTCTTCCCCCTCTCTTGTCGGTTCATTTTCCGAGTTTGATTCCACGAAAAAGAAAGTTCCAAATTTCCAAACGTACATTAGAGGAGACGGAGGAGCACTGTCGGCCGGCGAGCGACTCAGCGGCGACGATTCGCAGCTTTCAGTCGCCGAAGTTCTGGCCAGCGGCTTCACCCGACGCCACTTACTCGGCTTGTTCGGATTCATTTCGGTTTTTTGTCCCCAAGTTTCAAAGGCTCGTCCTCACTGTTCCATTCTCACAACGCCAAATTATCGAACGTCCTGAAACGAAAAATATAACTTTCTCGAGATATTCTTTAAAAAAAAAGCTCACGAAAACGATAAAAACTGCGAAAATAATATGTTTAAAAAGGTTGCAAGGTCCTTGCCTAATATAACATGAGAGAGGCGCGAATTCTGGCGGGGTCAGAAAATACATCAATAGAAAAGATCAAGTCTACAGTCTTGTGCGATGATCTATCGGAGGAAAAAAGAAAATCAGCAATTCATAAAATTTTTGAAAAAAATAATATATTTGTGGAACAAAAACATAACCGAGAGATTTGATTTTGAAAAATATTCTGCTTTTTTTTTTCTTTCTAAGAAATCAAGAATATCATAAATAAAACTGAAAATCACTTTTTCGAAAGCGAATTTGACTTCTGGAAGGTACAAAAATTTTCGCACTCCAATTCAAAAAGAAAGAACGATTAGAAATCCACAAAGCCAAATTGCATCGCCCACATTTATCACATAGGGCGAAAGAATGAAGTGGTAGGCAATCGAATAGAGGCACAGCTGAAAAACACACTCAAGAAAAATAAAATGCGAAATAAGGCCTTTTGTGTCCAACTTGAGAGAAAGAGATTTTCCGAGTTTTGCACGGGAACTGTCAACTGAATTGGGTGGATGTCAAAGGCTCACATTCGTGAATGCTTCATCACAAATCGGTTATAATTGAGTTTGTGAAACGAGCTGAAAAAAAAACTCCCAGATAAGTCACCAGAAAAAATAAGAAGTACATTTTTGGCTAAAAAATAATGTTTTCAGGATTGGAAGCTGAACTATAAAAACTTCAAGTCCATTAGATAATACAATCTATTTCAATCAGAGTTTGAATTACAGGGGCAAAAATCAAACAGCGAGTTACAAAAGATACAAATTTTATGATATTTTTTTCGCCTAACGTCAAGTCCGTTGTTTGCGAACAGGACACAATATTCGACGACATTTTTTTGATTTTAAAAATTTTTTTATAGTGAGTTAACACGAATATGATTGTTGATTTGTCCATTGGACAAAAAAAGCATTTTCCAACACCCAAAAAATTGGTCTGAAAAATGTGTCTTTTTGTCTTATAAGTTTTTCGAAACATGCTGAATTTTTTTCGATGAACAACCATTCAATCAATCGAAATGTTTTATTTCTAAAAATTTTATAAAAATTTTTTTCATCCATTCTTTTTTTAATAATTTGTTTACCTTTCAAGCTCAATGTTACACAATCGATTGCTTTTGAGTTCCTTTTTCATATTTTTGATACACTTGAAGACTTCAATCAGGAAAGTAACTGTTTAAGCTCTTATATGACATATAATCTTTCCAAAATCTTTTTTTTTGCTGGGTTATCGAGAAGCATAAAAAATATCTAAAAGTGAGAACCCCAAATGAAATAACTCATGGCATAAAGACCGTTTGGAGTACCTCGAAACAGCCCATCAAATAATTTCAAAAAAAAACTATGAAAAAAAGGTATATGAAAAAGAAAGATGGAGTATGAGTGAAAGAAAGGGAAATCAATTTTTTTTTTGAAAAGCTTCTGTTTGCTTTCAAATGAACGATGGAAAAATAAAGAAAAGCAATCGACGAAAATAAGAGAAAACTGAGAGTTCAAAGGTTCCCAAAACTGACAATCGGACATTTGTTCATAGAGAGAAAGGAACGGAACCCTCCAGTGCTCAGTCCCGACGTGGTGTCTCTTCGTCTGCGTCTCTCCTACCTCAGAGAACCCATGTCAAATTGAAGTGGTTCCCTGTCGCCGGACGCTTTCATCATTGGCAGCTCTACTCTATTTCAATTGAACTCAGATCCAATATTCTAATTGAAACGAACACATTTCCCCGTTTCCTAGTTCTTTATCTTTCATACTAACTAGGTAGTTCTTTTATAATAAAAATTTGGCTTGGATAAAAAAAAAAATGAAAGAAAGCGTTTTCTTTTTGAGCTGGTTGGCACGCATAGAGCTGGAAAATTTCGTTTCTGTAAACTTTTTTATCCTATCGATTGCATGGAAGTTTAAAAACTCCAATTAAATGGAACATCTCATTTTAATAGCATAGGTACAAGCAAACCTGTTCGCTAGTCGGGAGTGGCAATTATAAGGAAAACATCTCGATTTCGCTATATAACATGTTTTTGTTCAAAACTGTAGTTGAAATAAACATTTTTCTCATGGAAAACAATATGCTGAGCATTATGAGCAATATTTTCGATTTCGAGTTATATTTAGAAGATTAAATGAGGCGTTCTGATTAAAATTTAAGAAGAAAGAGGCACGCCGAGGCTTGAAATGCATATGCGTTCCTATTTCCTGATTGAATTTTGAAACGAGGACGGCCCTCAATCTGAGAACGCGCTGTAGAAAAGATCTCACGCAAAATAAAAGCAGAAAATGACGGAAGAACGGAAGAAGCACAACGGTATAAATATGTAATAAAAGCGCCCTGAAACGAGGGCCGTTGAATAAGTAATCGTCCGCAAAAAAAAAAGAGAAAACGAAAAAGGAATGATACCAAGGAGAAGGCGACATCCGTCACATTCAATTAAGTCGTGGGGCGACTGGAATTAGGAAGAACAGGCGAAAAGTAGTAATCGAAAAGCTTTCAAAATGCCTCTGAAACTTCCAATGAGAAATTCCAAGCTTCTACAATGCCCAAGCCAACTTCTAGAGTCTTGACTGAGCCTTTTTCATCAAGGATTCACATCATTCCATTCTATCAGTGTGCAAAAAAAATATTGGGATTTCGTCGTAAATCGTTATCGTCCCGTTCTCTTGTGAAGCAACTCTTGCGGGTTTTACGCAACAGGGTTTCTAAGGAATATTAACGCGCAAATCACGCACAAAGCTCCCGTTTAGGCACAGACGATCACCCGAAACGTTAAAAACACCAGCAGTAGCACCCGTTACGCAAAATTATAACGAGCGGGTGCTACTGGCCAGCGTTAGAGCAGAGTGAGGGTGACTAGTGGGCGTGGCTTAGCGTAACTGTCGCGCAGCTTTAGGAAATGATTCTCCGTGTAGTTTTACGCTTTTATGTCAATTTTTTGCTGTTAGAGTCTGTAAAACTGCTGCTTTCTGAGAAAATCGTATAGTCCGCCCACCGCGACTTGACAGTTTTCGCGTGTCTGCGTCTCTCTTTTCCCTCACCGGCAAGGTCAGAGAAACATAGAAACAGCACGTGAAAATGAGAGAGACGTTGAGAGATAAGGAGGGCGCAGAGAAGTCCCGCCCTTTCAAGTCGCGAAAAACGGACTATACGTTGAACTGTTCATCTAACGACGGAGAACGAGATGACACCTCAAAAAAAATATGGGTACTCCATGAAAGACGCGTGTCGTGGTCAAAAAAAATTTGAGACAATTGCATTATTCAGAGTGATTCCAGCAATTTCAAAATTGACGCTTTATTCGTTCAAAATAAAATTGAGAAATTGAAATTACAGGAGCCATCAGAAAAATTGGTTCCTTCAATGATATAATGCGATATAGTGACTATCACATGCGAATTTAAAAATTTCGTTAAGAAATTCTCAAATGATTTCAAATTCGGAGTTGCGAGGGTCGCTATATCGTCAAATCACAATTTTCCGTTTTTTGCAAATCATTTTGAACGAATAACGCGTCCATTTTGAAATCGCCGAAAGAACCTTCAACACGACGTAATATCATTACGGCACTCGTCAAACAACCGGATCAACAGCTGACTATAGTCCATTCACCAGTTCAGCGACAGGACACTTTTCGCTTAAAGAACTGAATTACCTCGGAAGAGTTTTAAAAAAAATGTAATTTTCATGTGATCGACAAAAATCATGAAAATAGTCTGCACGACTTGCTCAAATGTGAAATAGAAAAATTTATAAGTTTTTTTTAAAATATAATTACCAATGATATCAAACGAACGGACAAGAAAAAATGAGGAAACACACTAGATAAGATAAGGAAAAAAGTCAAGCAAAAATGTCTTTGGATAGCTTTGCATATGAAAATTGAAAAAAAAAAACTGGAGCTCCGTAGAAATTTCGAAGCGTAAGTAAAGTTTAAGAGGCAAATGAGAGGTTTGCAGCGGTCGTGACACCGCTGCGACGTTTGTGTAAAGAGGAAAAGTTTTGAGCTGAGTTCATTATTTTCAAATATGAATCGGCAGAGAAAGCTTTCAACTGTTATCAAAATAGCTTTACGTATAGTCAGTCTTCTTTCTCTCGAATTAGAAGAAAGGATAAGGAAGCATAACGAAAAAAAAACTTGCATTCGGGTTCAGGACATCCACAGAATAAATCGAAAAAGCTCTACTCCTTTATTAATTTATTTATGCGATTAATAAATCGAAGAACAGTCTTTAGTGAAAAAAAAAACATAAGAAACGTATTTACATTCAGAGGAAATGTCCGCCGCGCTGGAACGGCCCTCCAGGATTTCTTTGACCGCCACGAGGAGGACCGAAAATCTCTCGGTTCAAGGGGTCGCCGAACGGATTGAGGTCTGAATAGAGCAAAAGTAATGATGAAAAATTGTTTCCTTGATCCGACAAATCAAGTGAGATCAAAAGGGCTGCTTGAAACTAAAAACTTTCCGTCCAGTACCAAAAGTGTTATCTCTTTTAAAATATTCTGCTCACCACAAACTCTTATGAGAGAGATATTGGGAGTAGATTTTTCGAAATTTCCCGCAATAATAATTACTTAAATCCTTCAAAATACTTGCCAGGTCCTGGAGCACGAGGGCGACTAAAGCCTGGAAGAAACGGCTGACGTTCGTCGGCCAGAGGGTTCCGAGGATCTCCAATCGGGTTGAGAGGATCAGGCATCGGAACATAGGGATTCACATCCGGATAAGGATTGCCAACTGGATCGAAGCCTGGACTAAAAGGCCGACGTGGCTCGAGAGGCGCATGGAACCGGTGCATCGACAGAGGGACCCACGGGATTTCCGGCCGTAACTGCGACTGTCTGGCACGATTCAACACCGCGCCACCATACATCAGTCTGAACGATCTACTGGCACCTTCACTTGTGGATGTGAGTTCCCTCGGGAATTCCCTCAAAATGAAACTTTTCTGAGGATGCTCAGACTGTGTCAAACTTAGTGATGGCCGCTTTCCAGAACTTGTTGTCGACTTTTTTCGAAATCAAAGAAGTCCTTATGGCGCGGTTAGTGTGCATGAGACGAGCGACGTCACCTGGCTTCAAGTTCTCCAAAATCTGATCGCGCATGTCGTCAAACAAGAAGATGTTGCTCAGAGAAGCTGACGCTGGAAAAATATATGTTTTTTGTTGATAATTTTTTCTAAATTTCAATTTCAAAGAAAAATTTCACATTCATCATAATAACTCAAAATCGCAAAATTTCATTATTTCAGAATAATTCTCTTCTATTTTTGAAAAACTTTTGAAAAAAAATTACATGCTGCAAATGTTTTGGCTCATTCTGCTCAATTTAAAGATAAAGTAAAAAAAGCCCAATCCCTGAGCCTAAAACATTTGTAAAATGTTGAGAACTTGCAAATTTGATTTTTCAGTAGTCCACCGATTCCCCTGCGAACGTCGTCAGCAACATTGATTGGCATAATATTGAACATATTTACAAAATTTCTGGTAGAGTCTGGAAAAACTGATTAGGACAAAACTAATATAGGAAAAACCTCTGAAAATAAAAGTATTTCCCACCGATTCGAGCCCTCCGCCCGGACGTCTTAAGATCTGAAAGTAAACCGATTTTGTTGAATCCAATTAGAAAGAAGAGGACCTGGAGAATGACTCCAACAGTCATCCTCACTCCGTGACGTTGTGGCGACAAAAAAGTCTGCTCAAAACCGCTCGACCCGTCTCCGTTCCAAGATTGCATCGAGGAGAACTTCAAAATGTAAAACTCAGGTTTCAGGAAAACAAATGTTTGAATAGCTGTCTCTGTGAAAAAATAGGAAGCAGCATACTGAATAGCCGAAGTCGTTCATAATATCGGTAACTGCACGGCAAATAGCGTTCCTGAAGTCTTCCATGTTGTCTGTGGAACTCCCAGAACTGGAGGGATCTGTTGTCGGCGGCGGATATCCTTCTGACACTATCGGCGGACGATTTCTCTTCTCTGCAACAGGAGGACCACCGCTGAAAGTTCTAATTAGAACTGAAAATCGGAAACTATGAGTAATTTTAGAAAACTCGTAATAGCTAATAAGGTCGAAAACCTGTCCAAGAAAAGCCTATCTCCGTCGACGATTCCTGCCTCCTCCAACGTTTTAGATTTGTCTTCCAAACGCTCGCTTCCGATGTGCAGAGTAAAATCACTACAACATTTTCGAAATAAATCAAAAAAAGTCGAAAGAAATCACCTTTTTGTATAAATCTCTTCCACTTTTTGATAAAGTCGACAAATCGTGTCGGTACCCGTGAGATCTGCCAGAGGGATTATTTTCCCTGTTGTTCTAACTTTTACGCTAACTCTCATTCTGAACTTTCATGAACTATACCTGAGAGACAGAACTTGAAGATAAGACATGGTTGACAACCAAATGAAAAAGAGAATCGATGAAAAATTTCTGATAAATATTTATATCAAATTAGAACGTTTGGATCAAAGCAAAACTATTGACTCTCTGGTTTCTTGGCGTAGACGCGGGTTCCGAACAACTTGCTGCCGACGCGGACACTCGTGCTTCCCTGAATAATCGCCTGTTCAAAGTCATCGGACATTCCCATGGAGAGATCAACTGAATCTTCGGCTCTCCCTAAAACAATTTTTCTAACAAATTGTATTTTTTGTGTTCTTCACCTTGCTCGGAGGACCACTGCTCACGTACTTTGAATAACATTTTGAAATCGGGATTCTCCCCTTCTTCATGGCTGTAAAACTTTGTACCTCCGACCATCAACTTAATTACCTGTGCTCAAATGAGCCGATTGTCATGAATCCATTGAATTGAAGATTTGAACAGTTTTTCATAACATATTCAGCCAACTTTGGTGCATCTGACGGAGCTATCCCTGCAAGTATCCGTACTTTTGAAAGTCAGTAAATAAACACATACCTCCTTTGTTTTCTTCTCCACTCGTGTTAACTTGAACGAGAACACGCAACTTCGTTGGGCTAGACTTCTTGGCCCACTCCTAAAGTCTAAAAAAATTTCCACTTTTACTGGTATCACAAGCCTAACCTTATCAAACATCGCTGCGTGCTTCTCGCTCTCCAAAGTTTCTACGCAGTACAGGTTTGGAACTGATGCGATTTTGGCAATCTGCTTCGAAACGTTACGAAAATTAATGAAAACAAAAAAAACAAACAAACTTTATTTGATTGAACTTGACCGATGTAGTGCCAGAGAAGTTCTGGACACGACTCTGACAGGTATTTCGCCTTTTCTTCGAGTTCTTGAACGTAGTTCTCGCCAAAATGCCTTTGCCCCTGACTGTAACATACAGCTATCAAGTCAGCTGGTTTTGTTTTACTCACAGCCACAAGTAAACATCTAGAAACAGAAAAATTGTGAAGATACTCCTTTTCATAAACCTGTTAGTTTTCGTTGATCTCACCACGCTCTCTCTGATAGTTTCGAGTATACTGATTAAACTCCTTTGCACAACCTCAGCTGTCATCAGATCCTGCATTTAAAAAAATTTCAACCATTGATGAAATTATGTGCTAAAATTATTTTTTTTGAGGTTGCAGGAACTTCGAAAAAAACTTTTTAAAAAAATGGAATCGTAAGAAATATCACAAACTAGAGAACAAAAAAATTAATAAAAATTTCGCAATAATTTGTTTTGTTTGGCTTCGATTTCAGATCGAAATCAGAAAAATTTTAAAAAAAGTCATGCATTTTAACGCCAGTGTGTAAAAAAATGTATTCTGACAACCGTTTGTTTTTTTCAATTTTTTTATTTTTAAATATTTTTTTTAAGTTTTCACGTTCAGTTCTTATTTTTTTATATGAAATTTTAACATTCATGATTTTTTTCAATAAATAAATTAAATTCAAAGTTAAATTCTTTTTTTCAATAAATAAATTCAATTCAATTCACCAGAAGCTTTCGAAATTCCACTGTGTTCATTTTTTTTAGTGTTTTATCATTAATTTTTTTCAGCTCAAAGGTTTTCGGGGTTGTCTCTTTAGTTATCTTTTTTTATGTTTATAAGTCAAATTGAGTGGTTAAGGAACATGCCTCGTGGAGTTAAAAAACGTGGAAACGCAACAAAATTCACAAATGTTCGTCATAAACGAAGGTACTTGAAGAAGAAGGAAGACAAGAAGCAGCTTTCCAGAAGTACAGTGTATGTTGATGTTGGGTTTTAATATTTTTACATTTTTATTCTAGAAAAGTTATCAAAGATTCATGGAAAACGTCAAAAACGACAAGGGAGAACATCGTGGACATGGGTTTAGCCTTCGATCCGAATGAAGTTGTACCAATCCAGCAAGCAAGGGTATTATTTTTTATTTCTGTTATTTTTTCATGATAAATCAATTTAGAGAAACATTATCGACACTGTTCCAATGGAAGGTGTTGATTTCGAGCCGCCAAAAATCAAAAAAGTGAAAAAAGGAAGACCAGTTGATATGAAACAGGTGAATAGTTTACAAACAAGTCCTTCATCTTCATTCTGTTTTTATTTTTTGATTTAAAGTTATAATTGCTTTTTTCAGGCTAACAGAGTAGTTTCAACGTTAGAAAAAGATGCCGCAACCTCCGAAGAAGCTCAGAAGGCCCAGGACCGCAAGTTCAAACTTTTCCACCGAGAAACCGAACTCTGCGTCTATATGCTGGCCAAGCATGGTGAAGACTTCGAGGTTTTATTTTGAACAGCTTTAAAATAATTATTGCACTCTTTACTGTGGGTTTTCATATAAAAACAATTTAGTCGATGTGCCGGGATCCGCGAAATCTGTGGCAATACACCCCAAAGCAGTGGGCCAAGAAGATCAGAGTGTACAAAGATTCACCATATTACAAAGTTTTGGAAACCGTTTGAACTTTATTAGTTCTTTTTTCGAATTTATCTGTTATTGTTGATTTTGTTGTTGTCCATGAGGAAGGATAAACTTTATTCAGAAGAAAGTCAATCTCAGTTATCTGAAAAAGGTTTTTTGTTTTGGTTTAGGCTCTTCACAAACCTCTTATTTGCTTTTCCATTTCTTCTCTTATTTTCATATTTTTTCTTTCATTCAGAACACTTTTCCTTACATCTTGCATTAGAATATCTTCTTTTTCATTTTCTATGTAAAATTTTCGGAGTCTTCTCTCTATTTCTCTGAAAAAGTAAAAGGGAAGAGAATATTATCATATTGAATTAACATACGCAAACGTTGGACGGTCGACAGGCTGCTTTCTCCAGCATTCGAGCGTTATTTCGTAAATATAAGAAGGCATATTGTTTTGTTTTTCAAAGCGATACCCATCTGAGGAGTGAATCGGGCGATTGTATCAGAAGAACGGAATACCGTTAAGGAAGTTGTAGACTTTGGCCGCAGGAAGGACTCCGTAGGGCTCGCCGATGCCGTAGAACTCGAAGCAGACCATACCGAACGACCAGACGTCGGTCTTTGGAGAAAGCTCGCGCTGAGTGAGAACTTCCGGCGGCAACCACTTGAAAGGGATCTTGTTGGGGTCGTCGTAGGTGGCGAATGTCTCGTCTCTCGCTGGTTTCGAAAGTCCGTAGTCCGTGATTTTGGCAACGAGCCTGTCATGTCACACTTCAGTTGAATTTAGAAAAAAATCACATACAGCTCTCATCTAAGAATTTCTAGCTTCCCTATGCATTTTTTAAAAATCGCAGAGTTATGAAAACGGAAGATTAGTATTAATTTGAGGCTCCAATAGCAAAAATAAAGAGGTTTCTTCAAACTTTTGAGGTTCAAAGTGATGCTCCCTCAAGAGCACGTTTCTGGCGGCCAGATCGGCATGAACTATCGGAGGGCTCATCGAGTGGAGATAGTCCATCCCGCGACAGATTTGCTGCATCAGATCCACCTGCTCGTTCTCCGAAATTTTCGCGCCGCATTTCTAAAACACGTATGAGCTCCAGATTTGACATTCTGTTACCTCAACAAACTTATCCAAGGAGTCATCCATCAATTCGAAAACCATTAAAACCGATTGGTTTTGCCTTAAAAGGGTGAAGCCGTAGAATGTCACCACGTTAGGATGGGAAACGGTCGGAAAGATGCATTTTCAACAATTATCAAAAGTTTCACTCACTTGCAGAATAGCAACTTCGTTGTACCAGAGTTCACGTTGCTGTTTTTCAGGTATTTGCATGCTGATCTTTTTGATGGCTACTTCAAAAGTGGAATGGGCTGTCTGAAAAGATCTATTCATGGGAAGTTCGAGCTGAAACCTTCAGGTTTCCGATGACCACAGTTCCAAAAGCGCCAGATCCGAGGGTAGACGAAGTTCCTGTCTTTAAGAACCACATGAGGGAGGTACTAGGGGGAGAAGTCTCACCACGTTCCTTGGTTCCAAGTAGAAAGGACTTTCAGAATAGATTACAGTATGTTGTTTAGGGAAGCCCGACCAAGACTTCGTCTGGGTTTCCGACTTAACACAAAAATTGTATGCTTCTTCTTCCTCACTAAACTCACCGATCCGTCCTCGCTTGGCTTACGATCTTTTGGTTTTTTGAAAGTATCATAGAAGCAGGAAGCCTCTTTGAAGATAGTGGCTGGGACTTCTGAAACGTTTTTTGGATTGACAAAAAAGGTCGGTGTGAGAAACCTGGTGTGTAGACAACTCTCTTGTGCTCCTTTTTCGTTGGATCCAGGGCCATTCGAGTAACACATTTGAACTTTTCCGATTGAAGAAATCGACTTGTCACCTATTTCATAGAGGTAGAGAAGATCGGAGATTAGAAATAGATTCAAAAGTTGAATTAAGAACCTGTTCGTAATAATTAGCGGCCCATTGTTCGGAAGCCATTGGTTGAGCAGCAAAGTCTCGTTCCACGTGGAGTACGGGCTTCGGAACCGATTCTCTCCTCACCTGAAACATCATTCCGAGGCCAAATGTCTATGTTTCGTCAACTTGTATTAGAAGGTACTTTCTATATTAGTTCCAAAGAACTTCATACCTAATAAACATAGGAGGAAAAAAAATTGTACTTACCGAACTTATTGAAACGCGCTGGTAAATGAGCCGATGAGGAAGGGCCGACTGATGGTTGGCCAGATGGAAAACCAGGTCGAAAAGGGTCCAGTAGCGGTCTCCGAATAGTTCAAAATGTCCGAAGCTGGACCTTTGGATTGTGAGGAACATCGGCAAGAGCTTCTTTGCAACAGCTTTGGCTTGCTCTTCAACTTCCTCGTCTCGCGCTTCTTCAGGTGACATCTAATAGAAATATTTCTGCGCTGGAGAAAGTTTTCTTTCACACCTGTAGCCCTTCAGGAGCTCTTCGAAGTCTTTCCTGAATATCCTCTCCCATTTGCTCGAAGTCTGGATGTTAATTGAATTCTTGAGATTTGTGATAATGACCTGTGAGCTCTGAATCGTCAGCCTCTTCCATGTTCCTGGTCACCATCATGAGAAAGTAAGGACGATGTTCTGAGGGGTCTGGATTGAGCCACGGCGGAGAGAATATCACGAACATGCCTGAATAAGAGCAATTCATACTAGAAATAGATAAAATAGTTACCAGGGCGTAGCAGGGACTGTTCTTTGAAAAACTCTTTGCAGACTTCTTGAAGGTCGCAGCTTCCTCGGAACCATGAGGGGTTTTGAAAGAGCAGAGGATGGTCTGGATGAAAAAGACTATGTGTAGAAAGCGGAGAGTCATATTATAACTTGTCAGTTTGTTTCGAAATATTGATCTCATGACCTTCAATATATATTTTCAATAGGAGTATGAAAAATTGAAGACTTTTTCAGAAAGACCATTTTTTTGCAAATTCCTTTTTTTTAACATTTCAAAAAAATAATTTTCAACAGAAGTTTCGTACTTGTCGCGAATTTCGATGAATCTCACCATGATAAAACTGTTTTGAGACAAGGAAATGCGACGGAATGAGTCCCATGTGGACGTCGATAGGCCTGCCGGAAACTCGTCTAGCCAGCGACCATTGAACTGGAAGTCGCGCGAATTTGTAGCTGTCCAAGCAGCGAACCCTGCGACCCGATAGACAGATTCCACTCTCCAGAACTCACTGGTATTCTTCAGCCACCACCAGAACCGTCTCGCCGGCAAGGACGTTGGCGTCGGCGAAAGTGTTGCCGCCGAAGTGGTCCCACAGCGCCACGCACTCCACTTCGACTGGCTCTCCAGCCAAAGCACAAGGCGCGAATTCCGCAGCCTAATAATTTCCAACTGATTCGAGGAATTTGCTATTCTCCTTCAGCATTTGTATCCCATAATATTTAATTTCTTCAAAGTTGGAAACTTCTTTAAAACCTTCTAACAAGGAAACCCATTTCACTTTGTGAACAGGAACTTCCTGAAAACTTACCAGATCTCTTCTTGTTGTATTTTAAATAGATCCTGAAAATCTCAACCCGCACAACTTTTTAGTTCTAGATAAATGAGGGCTCAAAGTCCCACGATAACCTATTTCAACGAATTTTAGGGTTTTGATTTTGAGGTTTCCTCTTTCGAAAAACTAGAATTTCGTGCAGGTTGAGGCGTCCAGGATCTTCATCTGGTACATCGAGGAGTCTTCTGACTAATTTTCAGGATGTTCGAAACCGCAAAGTAAAAAGACCTCCCTTGTAAAGAAAATTTCGTGATATTATTTTACGAAGTTCAATTCATTGGGCGAATCATTCTTTTTCATTGGGCGAATGGGAATCATTCATCGATTTCCCATACTTTTCGAGTTTTCAAGACATTCTATGAACAGTTGACCTCATGGAAAGAGTCGAAAATGGCATCGTGCGGAAATTCGCGTCCATCGACGTCGACGTCCGCCTCTTCGCAGAATCTTTCCACCTCCTTCGCCTCGTTTTCCGATAAGTAAACACCGAACTCCTTCTAGAAATTCTTATGCGTAAAACACAGACTTCACGTCGTCCGACGCACTTCTGAAAACTCGCTGAGGCTGGCGTCGTCGTCCACGTCGCCGTCAACTGCGCGCGTCGGCAACAAGAAGATCTCCCCTGCATCCACCTCGACGGCTTCCATCGAAGACATGTTTATTAGAAATGCCGCCAAACGTTGGATATCGATACTAATTACTATTAAAACTTTATCTCTTGAAACCGGAAAAAAAAACATAAAATGATAGAAGGAGACCGAGACACATAAACAAGTGAATTCATCGGGAAAGAAGCCAATAATATTTGAGCTGCGCGGAAGGTCCCTTTTAACTTTAGTCAGTCTGATTTTCCAAATTTGTGGTTTCGTTATCATTTTTATGAACGATTATGCATCAATGAAAGGTACTTTCGGAGCAACCCAATTAATGAACGGGGCACCAGCGTTTGTTGCAAAAATTGTACATAAACGAGAAAAGGCAAAGGAATGGTTCATATTACGTTGTAGCGAGAATCCCAGGCAACACCTAATTGCAAAAGCCGCTCTTCCGTGTTCGTCTCCACCTGAAACTGGAAAGCTACCGAAAATTGCTGAATCATTCTACAGTTATTTCGACAAAAAAAATTGTCAGAATAATTTTTTTTTTTTTGGAAAGCTTTCAATCGTGGCCTCGGCTCACACAGGAATTGCTGAATAAAGGAAACACTACATCTAGTTTTATTCTGATCTGAAATATTCGCTTTGAATTCTATGAGGAGGTCTGTTAAAAACAGTCCGACTTTCAAAGAATGTCGATAAATGTTTGCAGAAAAAAACAGTTGAAAAGAATTCAGGCAGATAAATATTGAATAAACCCGATTTCATCGTAATTTTAGAGGTCGTAACTTTTTCACAGCCCTCATCGATTGAGCATAAAAAACACATTACGTGATTCTGATCTATTTCACAAATTCGACGGTGAGCCGAGGTCGTGTCTGTGAATTGAGTGCTTTTTCAAGCTTGAAACATTTGAGAAAAGCAGAAAAAAAATCTTTTTGCAAAAAACTTCATCAATCTATCGAAGAACTCACAGCTCGACAATGAAGCTTACCGGTCGAGAGCGAGCCGAACGGCCTGATCATGGAAACGGTCGAAAATGTAGGAACAGAAGGCGGCGATCGAGGCGACCAGCACGATGAGAAGTCGGAACTGCAGCGAAGGCAAGTCCACACATCCCAGGAGTCGCATGAAAAACACGTTTGGCGCTATCACGATCCATAGGCACAGCTGCAAACCGAAGTATATCATAATATTCGGTCCGTGTGAGAAGTTCTCGTTGTGAGTCTAGAAACCTACCACGACGTCGAGAACGATTGCAAGGCACAAGGGTCTGTTGGAAAGAATGGAGCTGCGGTAAGGCGGTCCCTTCGAGTAGATACCTGCCAGGACAATGTACTGGAACACCGAGACGTAGAAAATCGCAGTACCCTGAAAAAGAAAAATCTGATAATTTCCTCAGTTTGAGGTGACCTGCATGCTTCGTCGATCTTCCGGACCATCGCCAGTTGGAGGATCATAAGGCACAAACCACGGTTGAAGAGCCACCAAATTGAACACAATCAACTGAAACGTTGTTTTTTCGAACTATCTAGAGAGAAAATTCAAACTCTCACTTATGGGCAAAATTAATGAATATCAAGAAAATAGAAAAATGTATGCAGAAAAGATAACAAAACAATCAATAACGCCTAACCTGAGCAATGCCACCGATGATGAGTTGACCGAAGAGGCTGACCATGCTGGAAATGGACAGAATTCGAGCTGGTGGAGGCTTGGCAGCGAGTCTCGGATAGGCCTTCGTCTTTCCGAAAAGCACGGCCAACAGTGTGATGATGCACAGATCGATGAAGAGAAACTGCGAAATTGACGGATTGAAGGGCGTCCAAATGTTCAGGAATACCTGGGTTTGTGTGAAGCTGTTGGAGATCCAGTAGAGGTAAAGGATGGAAATGAACTGGGTGAGAGAGTAGCCAGACATGTAAAGGAAAGTGCCGAATGACGTCATCAGAGCAGCTCGACCTTCGCTGATAATTGTTGGTACGCAACGAATATCAGGAACCTGAAAGCTCAACATGAAAAATACTCGTGGAGAACCGAGTAGTTCGAAAATACCTTTGAAGTGAAAGGCGCTGCGATTGAAGCTTCGGAGTCCGACAGCGATATCCCCGCATGAGCAGCCTGGAAAAAGACGATGCAAGTCGGAAACTAACAATCTGAACCTTGAGGGCAGCGCAGTCGTTGGCGCCGTCCCCACACATGGCGACGGTGTAGTCGACCAGCTGCAGCTGCTCCACGAGCATCTGTTTTTGGTCGGGAGCCATGCGGGCGAACACGTCGCACACACAAACCAGTTGCTCGACCAGTTCGGGGTATTCGTGCACAACAACGGCAAACGTCGGTCCTGCAGCAGGGAAAAAATTCAGCTCATAAAATGTGGATCAATGCATGTAGAGAGCTGTATTGAAAACCTTGAAACGCAAAAAAGGTTGAACGTTAAAACCGAACTACTTCATCGTTAAAATATTCTCCACCACAAACGATGAACCTGAAATGGCAAACTGCGTCTGAGCGCCACAAAGTCTACTCAAGTCGGAGGAATCCTCGATTTTCTTCGACTCGTTGATCTTGGCGCCGTTGATCATCGTCACGTGTCCTTCGTGAGCGGCCTTCAAAACCATCGTCAGGATTCCGATACGACGTGAAGACTCACTTGTTTGACAGAAAGCGACGTCCGGTTGCGATGGTCCTTGGCGTCGTTGCGATGCTCGATGAGGAAGGCGCGTTTCGAGGGACGGATGATGCCGCATTCCCGAGCCACGCTCAGAGCCGTCAGCAGATTGTCGCCAGTCACCATCACTGACCGGATGTTCGCTCTTTAATCAACAAGCTCATAGTTCAGTTTCAAAATTATAGCCCAATGGGCCTCTTGTTCCTGTATCCAGTAGAAACAGTGCGGTTTGAAGATCTAAGTGAACTGGAAAACAAAAAAAGTTGACGAAAAACAGGAAAATTTTTAAGCCTTCTATTTTTTCATTGCACACTTAGCAATAATTCACAAAATTTCAGTCTTTGTTCAATTTGATTTACTTCAATTCAGCAATTTTTCAAGCTAAAATTTATGGTGGTTTCAGCCGACGACTTCACTTGGGTTAATTGACGAAGGCAAAAAAGAGTTTGATTCTATTTCTGGAATGAAAACCAACTTATTAAGACGATCGATGACGTCCTCGGTCACCGGCTTCAGACGATTTTCCAGCGCTATCAGGCCAATCATCGACAGATCGCACTCTACCTGTAGAGCGCGATTTCAACTTTTTTGATTGTTTCGAAGAACTGACGGCATTTCTTGTCACTTTGTTTGCATTGATGAGGCTGACGTCGAGTGGTTTTGTTGCGACGGCGATCAGTCTGTAGCCGTGTTGCGTGTATTCGTCCACTACATCCTGCAATCCTCTCGTCGGTTTCACGAAATTAGTGTTCCTCATTCAACAATTGAATTCATCATTTCGAATCATCTCCAATATTTATCGTGAATAATCCAGGAAAGTCTTTGATGGCTTTTTTGATCCCAAACAAGCTCCTTTTTAAATAATTTTTCATAGCCATCTTCAATCTGTTTTTTTCTCTTTCTTGATGACTTTTTTAATGAAATTCAGTTCGACGAACAAAATTAAACTTATCCCGTAAAAAAGTTTTTTGAAACTACGCACATGAAAATCGTCGGGGACAGTCTCCGGTCGACAGAGAGACATGACCATTTCCGGCGATCCTTTGCAGTACACAACCTCAATTGAAAAACTCAGAAGTCCATCAATAAATTGTGGATACCATGGTGGAATGATTGGTTGGGTTGGCGACGATAACCGACATTCTTTGCAGAGTGGAGCTGAAACAGATTTTCACCCAGTTTTCCCTGGAATATTCAACCTGAAAGTGAACTGTCGGACCACAGAACATTCCGTGTGCACAGAACTTCCACGAGGCGGACAAACAAAAGTTGGCTGAATAGAAATGTTAACAATGGCTACAGTAAAGGACAACACCTGAACGTCAAAGTTTTGGGAATCGTCCTCGTCGCCTTCCTCAAGCGAAAAGCCCGTTTGCTCGAAAAGGATCATGTCAAGCGGATCTCCATGGAGCTCCCCATTGATTCTGAAAATGGTTCCTTTTTTTTTCAATTTTGACTCTCAACGAGTTTATCGGCCGTTTCAAATTAGTAAAATTAATTTTCTTTGTAGAAACTGATTTTGGGTTTCCCGACATAAATGAGTCCTATAATTGCTTATTTTGAAGTTTTCTTGTATTTCCAAGATCACCTGGTCAAGGAATGGCAGGTGGCGATGGCGCGCACCATCTCCCGACAATTCTCGCTGACACTCAGCGCCGTGACCTCGTCGCCGAAGAACAAATGCTCTTTTGAGTCGTCGACCTCTTCGTCTTCTCGTCTTTCGATCATCCGTACCGCGTGAAAGTCCAACCCGTCTTCGGTAAGAGTACCCGTTTTATCGAAGCAAACCTAAAACACCAAATTAATTGCATTTTCATGTGGCCGAGAACTGACCACGTTAATAGCACCACACGTATTTATTGTCGAAGGCGATATGCAGAAAATTTCCTTAGCTTTGAGGCGACTTTGAGCGTAGAGAATACCGACGGACATAACAGCTGCAACGGTTTTGGAAATTTCAGACTGATATGTGATCTTTTCTACATGTATTTTAAGGAATGTATAGAAATTTCCGCTATTTAAATTCTTCTATATTTGAGCGTAACACAGTTTTGAAAAAACTTCAGAAGTCTAGCAATTTTCTTCCGAAATGTAAATCACGAGATTTCAAAAAGTATTGCTGATTGACGCCAGTCAAATACGAACCAGGAAGAGCAGGAGGAACGACGATGGTGACGAGGTCGAGGGCGCGGATCAGAACTCGGAAGATAGTGCTCCCTCGGGCCACCAGCACCACAGCCGTGTAGAAAAAGCCGAAGCTGGCCACAATCGAAAGCACACCAATGAACTGAAGACATCGAATGAGATCGACTCCTCAATTATGAGGCAACCTTGAAAAGATCCGTGATGAACCGGAAATCGACTGGCTTCGGGTACATGATAGACCTGACGAGTTGACCCTTGACTGTCGAATAGGCAGTACGCAGGACCAACGCCTGGAAATATTTCTATTCCGAAGGTCTGCTCGTTCTCCGAGAACCTTGACGTGTTGGCCTTTGTAGAAGCGAGTTTGGAGGACTTGCGTGCCGCAGTACATGACGCTCTTGTTGTGTTTCGTGATGGAGAAGAACTCGTCGTGTCCGTCGTCAGTGAGCGCCACTTTCGTGATGGGAATCGACTCCCCAGTTAACATGCTCTCGTTGACAATGGCCGCGCCGTTAAGCAGGACACAGTCGCACTGCAGAACGCCCCCTTGTGCCGGAACAACCAAAATGTCTCCAGGCACCACCTGAATCCGCCCTGATACTAATAGAATCGATCAAGAAAAAAGCGAGTTTTGCAAGGCATTCGATGGGTATAGTGGATACGGTCGCGTCCCTTTCCCTTTGAAAAATGTTTCTCTAAAATTACGAAGCAGTTTTGTATGAAATATTTCCAAAAACATGAAAATTTTACAACAAAAAAAAGCAGATAAGTCAAATCGGAGCTTCTCCTCCTTAAAGTTCTTACTTTTTTCATGAAATTTTAAGTTTCAGTTCAATTAATTTCTGAGAACTTTGTGAAAGTTCTATATGGTGGTAGGATGAACAGTGGGATGACACATTATATTATATCAAAGTCAGAAATTATCCTCAGAGATTAAGAAAACTTTTTTTAATCTAACGAGCTTATAATTTTCGATGAAGAGTGGTTTCAAACAGCAAAATTGTTTTCGAATATTGAATTTTTTGAAATATAGTTCTCAATATAAGATCAGTTTTTTAAAATCACTCTGCTCGATGGAAGTTATTTGGAAATGGAAAAAAATGTTCGAAAGTTCTTCGATAAAAAGCCCCTCCACATAACAAAAAATATTTTTTTCAAGGCGTTTTTCGTGTCTTCAAGTAAGAAAAATAAGAAATGAAAGTTATCTTGTTAGGAAGAAAAATTTCCAAATCCATGAAAATTTCCGACAGACCTCCGTGCTGTCGAGCGTCTTGATGTTTCCACCGTCGCGAAGGACTTGAACGGTTTCTCGCTGTCGGACCATCGACCGGATTCTGCAGGACTTAAAAATATTCTTGCCGAGAAGTGGTGTTGTCACGGTGTTGCATCATTTTCATCATCATCATCTTCCGCCTAGAAAACCCATACACCGTTCAACTCGGACACCTCACGAAGTCACAAGAGAAGAGCCTTTTTTCACACTAAACTACAACCAATAACAGTTTCACAACATTTGTCTTTTGTTTTGAGAAGTTTCGAAAAAATAGGAACCTTTTTTCCTGCTTTCTGGTGCTGGCGATTGTCGCAATTATGGAACACAAAGTCATCGCGACGATGAGCGTCGCATACCAAACGTACTCGTCGATGTACCAGACGATGACACTGGAAAAAAAAAACAATGCATGCACCTGAGAAAGGCTCACCTGAAGATCTGGAACATGTAGAAGGGCGAGATTATCTCCTTGCAGATGATAACGAAGATGGGCGTCAGGTCAGCTGCCATCAGGTTTTCTCCAAAGTAGGTCCGTCGGAGCTCAGCCTGAACTCAATTCGTTGACCGCTGTCTCACATAACTGAAAACTTCATCCGAGCTCAGTCCACCGCGATCCACCGAATCGATCAGTTTCTGCGGCGAAATCTTAAAATAAAAGTTATTTCAGATAGTTATGGGGGTTCGGAAAGCCTTGGAGTAGCAGAGAGCCGCGGTAGACCATTCATTTTCGATCCAAGTGAACTGCTGCTTTCGATAAACGAACCAACGCAGTTCCTTCAGTTCCGTCAAAGATCCGTCTTCCGTTGCCACTACGGTCGGCTGCGAAGCGCGTGCGCTGCGGCTGCGCACTTTGCAAATCTCCGACACGTTATGAGAATCCCTAAAATGTTCCATTTCGATTTAAAAAATTGACAAAGAAGAGATGCACAAACTTCAAAGGAAAACTCACACGATAAGAACGAGATCAGCATCGTCGAACGTTGAACGGACCGCTCGAAATCGGACCAGCCATTTAGGCTTCCAGTGCATCACCAGCCGAAACAGACCACATGTTGCTAATGATAGAGCAACGAATAGAAACTGAAACTGGTTATTTTGAGCGGAAAAAAATAACGGAAACTAACGGTTCGAAAGTTGGTGGACCGGTATGCGTACAGCTGTAAAGGCGCATCGTCCGCGAAGAGGGTGTGGTGGTGACGGCGTGAGCCGCCCAGGACCATACGATTCTCAGTCTGAAAAGCCCAAGATGATCAAATTTTGAGAGTAGGAACACAAATAAAATGTTTGAGCGAAAGCTTCGACCGAAAATCAAAATAATTCACACTTTTGTACCGCAGAAAAACGTTTATCTCGTTTTTATCACACTTGAGATCCCATATATACTCTGGATCAGAGAATTTAAAGTTACAATTCTAAAAAATTGAGAGAGGAAAAGTGAACTGGAAACAGCAAAGCTTGACGATTGACGCGATTAGCAGCTGTGCTAACCTCTCTAACTAATATATAAAACACCATTTGATTACAGTATCCGCCACGAAATTCTTTTTCGTCGAAATTGAAAACCCCTACAAAAGAAAACAAAATTGGGGAAGAAACTCTTTTTTCCAGATTCGCTGTCAGCAATTTCATGTGATCCAGAATTGTAGGAATAGGATTATATAAAGAATTTCTACCTTATTGCATTTTTCTCGATATTTCTTCGATCTTCTTGAGAAATAGAAATGAAGAAGATTCATTAAAATGCATGGCCCGCGGCCAAATTCATTTCATTTAGAATGGGATAGACATGCGTTCTTCCTTTTTTGTGCTTCAATAAGCAGCGCAGCTTGACGTAACCTTTCCTCATTTGAGCACATTCCCGTTCAATTATCTCATTCTCGTGGACATATGCGTTTGTCGATTCGAAAAGTCAAATGATATGGTGGGTCAAGGCAGCTATTTTTCTCTTTTCTATGAGCGAAAATTTTTTTATAAATAAAATTTCATAAGAATCCAATGAAATGCAGCACGAATATTCAAAAAAAGAACTTTAACAAAAATAAACAGATTGGAATGAAAAACTAGGGAACAGACCCCGTTGACGCGTGATAGTTCGCGTAAATACAAACCTGCTGACAAGGATCTGTTTCCCCAACAGAGAAAAACGCCCATAGCAATAATACCAACTTTGTATTAAATAAACCAAAGATCAAATGGAGTGAAGGACTTTCGAATCCTTAGACTATTTTTTTCTAAACTTTTGATTAACCATATTTAAAAAAAGTCAAACATTGAACATATCAAAAATCTAATAACCTCTCATCTGAAGCGAACAAAAAAAAAATGTTATAGCGTTTTGGCGGTTGGAAATCAACCATAGGTCGATGAAACCCATTTTTCGTGAGAAGATTGAAACGGAAAGAGGAGTTTTTGATGGAAACTGCGCCATGAAACCGGTCTCACTGTACTTCCAAACATTCAACATTGTACCACACTCTTCTTTTAAGAGAAAGAGGAAATTGATCTCAAAAAAAAAGAATTGGGCGACCAGAAAGATGAAGTTTGGTTGAAGAAAATCTAGCTTCTTGCTAATATATACATGTTCGTGTGATCTGAGAACACCTACTGCTACTGAAGAATAGATTAAGATGATGTTCTATGAATTGAAACCCTTCTTGCTCTCTCAACTTGCGGGAGACTTTTTTCTCGCAATCCCAGATTGAGCCCAAAACTGCTAAACTCTATTTCGTCCTTTTTTGACTTCTTGGGTTACACTTCCACAGTAGTATCGAGTATGAAGTATCAGGAAAAAATAACGCACAGAACTGCTGACAAGTGTCAACTTTTCGGTGAGTACATAATTCTTTGTTCTATTTTACGATATTACTCTATTCTAGACACAAAGTACATAATCAAATAAGAAAATATGGAAAATAGTTTCAAGTTTGTCGGGACAAAAGTCTATGTCCCCCTTTTTATCGTTGGGAAAGCAACATGCCTGCAAAAAGTCGTAGCGTTTGTTGGAGTTCATGAGTTTTGGGTTAGCCGCCAGGCGAGTTAAAGAAGCAGACAATTAATTGTGCGAATGGCTCAGAACAGAGTCGCGAAAAATGCTCGAGGCAGCTCGTCTCGTGACAAAATGAAGTGATAACCGTTTTGATCATGACGAAAACAGGTAACCGACCGATAAGAACTCCCAAACCGCGTTCAGGCGCCGCCGGCAATTCTGGTTTGACTCAGTCTTATCAGGCTTTTTTCTAAAAACTTAAAAGCTTCCTAAAAGTTTTTCTTTGAGTTCGGCGTTAGAAACGCCAAGTTTCCAAGAAGCCGTTACTTCAATAATTTATAGCACAATTCGCAGCAAAACTTGAAGTGTCCCTAATAAAAATTCAATTCATATCAATTCAATTTATTCAGTCTTCAGAGTAAGATGAAGAAAATCTCTGCTGAATCATGGTATAATCGAAGAGTTAGTCGTCGGCGCGAGTTACGGTCCACAATCGTTGTCCAATAAGTCCCGGCGTGACAACTAGCGGGAAATAATGTTGGCCCGTTGGTAGCACCAGCTAATAAACTGCTTCCCTATGTAATAAAAATTAACTAACATTAATTATACGTTTGACAAAAACTTCGAAAAAATACTTTCCCTCAAGTTTTAAGCAAACTTTTCGACGAAAATCTCTCTACATATCTCAAAATGAAACCGAAGAGAGAATTTCTCAGTAGTCACTCACAACACTAAACTTCCTATCACCTGCTCCTTATAATTTTCATTAATTTTTGAAAAAGTTTGTTTTCAGTCTCTTGAAATCTTAAGCTCCAAAAAAAACTCCTAACTGTTCCCAAAAACAATCAAAGAAAGAAAAAACGAAAAAATTCGGTTTGTTTGTCTACTGAAACGATAAGAATTTATCGTCTTTCTTTGACGTATCACATGGAGAATCCATTTCAGTTTTTGGCGCAAACTTGACCATTCTGCTGATTGTTCGTCGAAGATCTTACAACGTTTTCTTTCAACACGATAAGACGATTTCAAGCAAAAAAGTAAACTTATTTTGATTATTGATAAAGCATCTTCTACTTTCCATTCAGCCACACTTTCGATAAAATTTACTCGAAGAGATGAATTATGAAATTCAAATGAAAGTGTGGCTGAATGAAAAGTAGAAGATGCCTGGTTGGGAAATTCGAGCGACGCTCGTGGGAAAACTGAACAAATAAACACAACGTTTCCCCTTTTTCCAGCCGTTTTTGCTTGGATATCTGTACTTGAAAACGATCTTAGAATTCTCGCAACGGACAGAAATAACTCAGTTTGACCAATTAGAAAAAAGCAGACTAAATGTTCCTCAGTTCAAGTGTTTCACCGGCAAAGGCTCTTTTTCTATTACGAAATATTGCATACGAGTGAAGTTATGTTGAAAAAAAAGAATACAAAGTTTTTAGCATTTCAAAACTTAAATTTTTTCAAGACTCCTTAATATATAAAACCTTTTTCAAATAAAAAACTAAACATCTTTGTTGAACTCAACTACAAAAAAAAACTTCGAAAAGAGCAAACGAGATCAATTTGCTAAGTGAGTCTTCCTTAAGTTTCTAGCCTTTCTTCTGATGCTTTGGCTATCCTCAACTGACTGAATCTTCGAAGCCTCAGAAATGTGAATGACGTTAAAGCAAAGATTGAAAAACAACGAAAACTTGATAAGAGTCTTGCATCTGATAACAAATAATCATTGAGCAGAGTAAGCGATAAAAAAGGAGTATGGAATAATCCTAAAAAGGAAATCATTTTTAACGAGGTCAGAAAAATTAAAATAAAAACAAAGAAAAACGTGACAAAAAAATCCTTTCAAAAAATCCCCGAGGGCGGACTTGCTAGCAACATCGCCAAGACTGGAAAGAATGGGAAAACAAATGAAAATAGGTGAGAAATCCTAAAAACGAGAGCCAAGTGCGTGGCGGTGTACGTATGACGCGGGGAGCGTAGCAAGCCAAAGAGAAGAGAGAAGGAAGGAAGAGAGGAGCACGACCAGCACGCCCTCCGGCCGTCGGGTGGACAGAGAGGCAGATTCTCGCACTTATTTCCGAGTGGACACTGTCCAAGTGCTCTCCCAAGTAATAATCATCCGGACTTCTCTTTGTCACTGTACTCTCTCAACTTCACCATTATCTCGACCTTTATCACTGCGACTGAAAAACGTTTTTTACTCCCAAAGTCTATTGGTATGGACCCTCAAAGCAATATTATCATCGGACAGCTAGGTTTGATAAATAAACACAAATAAATAATTACTTTTACGGTACTGGCAAAGGTCTATTTGAAATCTAAAGAATGTACACTTTTAAGGAGAAAATACTTCAAAATGTTTTCGTTAAAATTGAAATGAAATCCCGCAAAAAAAAAGACGCCTTAGTCTAACTTATCCAACCTGGAACGTTATTATATATTTTATATTCGAAGAATGGTTTGGTAAGATTCGACCAAGGTTTCATAAACGATTTATCATGATTTCAACAGGAAAAAAATAAATGAAATTATCTTAAAATGAAATTGCTCTAAAGCTCTAAAACTAATGAGAGACGTGAGAAAAATTAAATTAAGGCTGAAAACACAAACGCGTTTTTGAGCAATAGTATTCTGGAGAGAATTTTGTCCACATTGAAATTCCGGAATACCTATGAGCAGATTTCAAAGCAGTGCAAAAATAAGATAAAACAAAGCACTTCCAACTCGAAACGAGAACAAAAACCGCAATGTGCATTCTGGAAGCAGGAAAAAAACATTTCTCAGCGGAATTCTTGAGCCGAGTGAGCAAATTTTGACCAGAAGCGCAAGGGAGATCAGATAAAAAGGCTGGGAAATGAAGAAAAGTGGCTGGAGAAGAAATAAAATAGAGTCCGCCCACACCATACTCCGCAGGGCATTTCGACAAACCGATTGCGATCGCCTTTTTCCAGCCAGACAGCCCGAAACGTTTGCCGTCGGCCAATTTCTGTTCATTTTTTTTTTCACTTTAATGCTTCCGTTCAATCGAATGGGCGAAAAAGGTCGAAATAAGCGCCATTTGTCGAAAAATGTTTCAATAAAAAAACTAAAAAGAAAAAAATTACGGTAGGTGGGATCCAATTGAATTGATAAAGAGGTCAGGCGGACATCTGATTAGAAGACATCGCGACCGGAACTGAGAATTTTTTGATGAAAAGGTATCAGATAAACTTCGTAACACTCCTATTTCTAGTTCAAATACAATGAAAACAAATTGTTAACATTTTTAACCGTATTTGATTCACAAAAAAAGCCTTAAAATATAGCTGGAAAGCATCCAGATAGAAATGCGAAAAATTCACTGAAAGTATCAAAAATAAAGGTTTCTCTTCCAGTTTTTCAAACAGAAAGAGCATTGAAACAATCATTTTAAGAAGAGTTTGTGGACAAGCGACTTTTTGCAGAGGAACGTCGGAACTCGTAGGAGGTGGAACGACTCCGCCCACTTTTTTTTTCCAAAGCTCCTCCTCAGCTTCTCACACGCTTTTCGTCTCAATTATTTATGTAATATTGCAGGACCATGAGATGAGAGAAAAGAAAGACATAGAGAATACTTTATCTTCGAGGATTTTATACTGAATGAGAATTTTTTGGAACAAACAGATGGATAGACAAGCTAAAAGGTTGGAAACTAATTTATATCAAAAAGTACATTATAGTAAGAGAAACGGCACTCAACCGTTGTAAATGCAAATTTTTGATCTTGTAAGGTGGCAATAATTTTGTTGGAAATCAGGTTTTGCGAGAAAAATAACAGTACACTTCCTATAAAATAAAGTTATAACAAGAGTTGTGGGTCTGTGTGTCAATCCCTATAGCAGAAAAAAAAAACGAATAGATCTATAGGAACGAACTGAATAGGATTAAACATGAGAAAAATAAAAAGTACGGTGTTCTCGGTTTTTTTTTCCGAATATAACTCTACTTATGCATGATAATTTATGGGTAGGAGCGAAAAAAAAAACTTTCTACTACCAAAACTTCCAGAAGGAGCGATGTTCGAAGTACAATAAAAAAAACCTTCGATTGATTCCTTTTGCTAACTGTGTAAAGAAAATTAGCTAAGAAAGAGAAATTCGCGAATGGAATGCAAAAAAAAAAACGCTCTTTCACAGAGAATCTTCGCATCGAATAAATGGCATATTCAATTTGCAACGCCGCGAAACGAAACACTGGATTGGAAAGATTGAAATTGGTGGGCCATCGACAAATGTGGCATTTTGTCGCCGAAGGCCGTCTCAATGAATAGCGAAGCGCTGCGGAGCTGCTTCAGAAAAGGAAAAAGAAGTTTGAACCCTTGGAATTTCTCAACTGAAAGCAACTTTCGCACTGATCTCGTGACGCTTCATCCGGAAAATGCTTACGCATCGCGGCTTTTTTTTGTCAAAAAAGAAGCTTGAAGAAATAAGTTTTTGAAAAAGCAATTCGCTCAAGTTTATAAGTTTCTCATAACACACCAAAAACCGAGTACACTTCAAGCTTATTTGGTTGACCATTATTTACAACAAAAGGAAAGAAAAGAAATGAGTTCAAATTAATGAAAGAAAGACCAAAACACGAGGACGTAAGAAGGACAAAGCCATGCGCATTTTGAAAGGCGGCGGATGCGCGAGCATCTGAGCCACGTGCAGCCCTCTCATTACCGCGACGTCTCGCCGAGTCATAACTCTTTTTCGTAGTGTTTTGCAACGTTGTCGAGATCTGGATTTTTTTTTCCTCTTTTTTCGAGAGAGTTTTGTTTGTCGATCCAGGGACTACGCAATGCGGGTGCAAAAATACCACTACAATCGTCCTATGTGAAACGCACCAAAAGCCTTCGGATATTTTCAAATCTATTTGAGTACTTATCAGATGCTGCTGGAAATACTTTTTCTTTTAGAAATAAACAGCTTAAAAACTTTGCGTTTACCTGAACTGTATTTTGAACGAGACGTGCCTCTCCATTATCAAGCTGCGAAAGAAAAGAGAATCAGTTCGGATTGTCGGCTTCACCTTTGACCGTGCTTTGAAACCTTTTTTTTAAAGAAGAACTCGAAGAGTAAGAAAAATGCTCGGAATATAAGGAAAGGAAAGTTGAAATGAGTCTAAAAAAAAGCTGTTATCGAAATGGCAAAGTAGTATTAAAAATTTTAAAAGAAAACTCACAAATGTATATACATAAAAAAATCACATGTGTATATTTGTAAGATGTACAGGAAATTGAAGGTGGTCAAATACGGATTGTAAGAGGACACTAATTGTGAGAGGAAACGGAAGAAGTATCTCGAGGAACTTGAATTTAGTGATTGAAAAAAATAGAAAATTAAACGAAGACGAAGTGATCGATTAAATGAATATATTGCGCAGCCGTTTCGGGTCTCAAAATGTACGGCTTGAGAGGGTGACCCATCGTCAACATTTTCCCTCTTTGCTTATGTGCAAAAACAGATTTTGAGTTCTTTCTTTGCGTTACCAATTTTGCGCTCATTTTTTAAAACATATTATTGAAAGGAAAATGTGGAACGAATGAATAGGAAATTTAAAACTTGAAGATTGTAATTACAGAGAGGAAACAGTGTGTATGCTCTGTATAAATAAATCTCGGTTAAATGCAATGACAGTACGGAACATACAAATCTCTGAAGTTTTATAGAAAGAATTTGATTCAAAACTTGTAAAATTTAATTAAATATCACAAAGAGTCACGTGGATGTTATGCTACGGCGGAATTCTATAAAAAATATTTTTTGCGTGTCAAATGATAAAAAGAAAAATTTTGTTTTTGCCTAACTTTGACAATCAAAAAAAAATGTTGATTTTATCGAAGATTGGAATGAACAACACGTTAGCAATTTCGCTAGTGTATAATAAACAATAAACTTGTCGAGGTTACAAAAATATGGCGAAAAAATTGTTTCTGCTTTTTGAAAAGTTGATTTAGAATAACCTTCACACTACCGTATTGGTACGTGTACCAAGCATGGTAACCTGGAACATCTATACACGTAATTTTAAAAAAGCCGCAATTTCTGTAGGGATCCCGAAATTTTTTTTTCGCAGCTTCCTAAAAATGAATAATCGTAAAAAAAAAATTGTTGTCTCCAGGTTCGTCAAATATTGGATAAGTCAAGGACCATTTGAATTTTTGAAAATTGGGCCGGGGCGCCCATAAATTGTGCCTTGAAAATTTGATCTGCCGCGCTCGCCATATTCATTTTTTTTCAAACGTATATAAAACTACGCCTACGAAAAATTCGTGTAATTGGACTAATTTCATTGATAAAACCTTGTTTTCTCATTTTATTCGAGTTTTCTTTTTTTTTTTCTAACGAAACAATTTTCCGATGGGAAGAAGAGTAGATTGATTAAAAAATTTTAACGGAATTTCAAATTACTCAATTTTGGGCTCTTTCCAACTATTTTTCTCACTTGATGAAACTACTTTGAACGAATATTTTTTAAATCAACCATACATAGACATATAGGAAAATGGGAGAGAATCTTTCATGAATCTCTCATAAACATATAAAAGACAAAATGGTAAAAATTTCATCGTAGAGGCATCGTAGGTTCTTTCAAAACGTAAGTACTCTGTACCTTTTTTTTATTCTATCCGTTTACATCTTTTTTCGGGGCACTGTTTTTTTCTTTTGGCCTCCAGGCGTCCAAATACCGGCCCATTTACAACATTCGAAGGATGCAAAAGAGCTTTTTTATAACGTAGTAGGTTCATGAGGGGTTCATTACATATTTACTTCTCTCCGGGAACTAGGACATTCCAGCTACATGAATGAAAGCTCACGTTCCCTCAATTGTAAGTCTGCTGCCTTATTTTCCAAACTCTCCTTCTTTAAATCTAAGAAAATGAATGTTATTCTAGCTAAAAGCCTCTCCTTTCGTTATCTAAAACACTTCTAGATCTAGAAGTGTTTTAGATAACGAAAGGAGAGGCTTTATACACAATTCAAGGTTACATATTGATCGACCGTAAACTTTCATACACATCGGAAATTTCTGCGAGAAAATTTCCAAAGCGGCGACTCGAGTGCAGGCGAAATTTGAAATTTTTACTGTTACGGTAGTCCGCAAAGTTACGTGCGTGCGGTTACGACTTTAGCCATTCAGCATATTTGCTCTCTCCGTTTTTTTTTTTGAAATTTTGAAAGGGAATTCTTGAAGAACTTTCCAGCTCATTCACCATTCAGCTTTTTGCTTTTTATTCGCAATACTTTCATCTTTGATTTGAATGTTTTTTTGAAGGACCGGGATGGACGAACCAATGGAAGAGCCTACAAGTTCTGCACCACAACAAACACAAGAGCGGCTAGCGAAAATTAGAGTCAAAACATTACACGAGCGAATAATTGAAATCAATATCAACTTAGATGTAAGTCTTCTGATTTATTATTAATGAAATTTAAATTTTAAGAGACCGCTGTCGGTTTTGCGGCATATAATCAGCGAGACTTTGGGTACTGATGCAAATCGCCAGCGAATTATTTTTCAAGTATGAAACGTTTTCAGTTTAATTTGATATGGTTGTTTCAGGGTAAAGTAATGCCCGATGACACGAAGCTTCTGAAAGACTATGGTTTGACTGATGGTCAAACAGTTCACGTCGTGGATCGACCTTTGGAAATGTAGGTTATCACTTGTTTTTTTTCTATTTTGTAATCAGGTAATAGTTTTTTTTTTCGGAATTTTAGACCAGCCGACCGGCCTTACAATCAACCGGAGGGCCTCCGCAATCGGATACTTCCTCCCCAGCATCAAGCACGGAACGTCATTCCAGTGGACTTTCATGGACTTGAAGGCCTCCGAAACCTTGGAATTGGAAACCTATTGCCGAACGTCAACAATAGGACGGTCACGCAACTTCCTGAAGTACCGCTCGACGTGTAATTTTTTCAATCTCTATGGAGCCTATCGAAAACATAATCATGAAATCATCACCGAACAGTAGTGGTGAGAAACATTCAGTTTTATGTTAATTCAATGATAAAAGTAGTTTGATTCACTTTAAAAAAAAAATAAGAGACTGAGACGAGCTGTCGCAGAGAAGGCGAAAATCCGAGGAGATCATGGTAACCGAAAATCTCGAAATATTCAGGGTGTAAATCAACGAAAGAGAGAGATAATGTGCGCTTATCAATTTATTTTTAAAATTACTGAAAAAAATCAAAACTAAAATTTGGCTTAGATGTAGTGCAAAGAATATATACAAGATTTTCCTTAACTCAGCGGGAAAACGGCATGCCAGCGCGCATCTAAAAAAAAGAAACGGCAGATCTGCTCGCATGCACCAGTTTAGAGAGCACGGTAAACATGGAGAGACCAGACTCGTACTCTCCTCGCTCCACACACTGTCTGAGGGCCTGCGCGCTGGCATGCCAAATTCAACAAAAAAAAGCAGACCAGCGCGCTATAGTTTCGAAAATTGACCGTTCGACCGACCGTTCGACCAATATTTTTTCAACATGTCATAATAAATGGTCATTGGTCGAACGGTTGGAGTTTCAACATTTCAACATGTCACTTCAGAATGACATGTTGGTTTTTGACCGTTCGAAATGTCACTCTGAAATTGGTCGGTCATTTTTCGAACGTTCGAAATGTCACTTCGAAATTGGTCGGTCATTTTTCGAACGTTCGAAATGTCACTTCGAAAAATGGTCGGTCAGTTTTTGACCGTTCGAAATGTCACTCTGAAAAATGGTCGGTCATTTTTTTCGAACGTTCGAAATGTCACTTCAAAAAAATGGTCGGTCAGTTTTTTTGACCGTTCGAAATGTCACTCTCAAAATGGTCGGTCATTTTTTTGACCGTTCAAAATGTTACTCTTGAATTGGTTGGTCATTTTTCGACCGTTCGAAATGCCTATTCGAAAATTTTCTCTTACGCTGGAAGTGAGGGCTCGTGCGCGAGACACATTCCTTCTTACTGCGTTCCAGTCTTTCACGTGCAAACTTTGAGCCGTCATAATTTGACTACGAGGCAAAAGGCGAGATATTTTATTTTTGATTTGGAATCAGCATGCCTTAAAGTACACCCCTGCGAAGTTTCATCAAAAGTTCAACCGGGGGATAAAAACAGTTTCCTTGTCAGAGTAACTAGGAGCTTACTCATTATCACGAAGCACGCGGAGTTTTCTCAAAATTCCATACTTTTCGCAAACGTTGATTCAATTTATTTCATTTCAGACATTTCAAACTTTTTTCAGTCAAATTTCGATCGTTTGAAACGCCATTTCAAAATTGGTCGTTCATTTTTTTGACCGTTCAAAAATGTCACTCTTAAAATGGTCGGTCATTTTTTTCGAACGTTCGAAATGTCACTTCAAAAAAATGGTCGGTCATTTTTTTGACCGTTCGAAATGTCACTCTGAAAAATGGTCGGTCATTTTTTTGACCGTTCGAAATGTCACTCTGAAAATGGTCGGTCATTTTTTTCGAACGTTCGAAATGTCACTTCAAAAAAATGGTCGGTCATTTTTTTGACCGTTCGAAATGTCACTCTGAAAAATGGTCGGTCATTTTTGACCGTTCGAAATGTCACTCTGAAAATGGTCGGTCATTTTTTTCGAACGTTCGAAATGTCACTTCAAAAAAATGGTCGGTCATTTTTTTTGACCGTTCGAAATGTCACTCTGAAAAATGGTCGGTCATTTTTTTGACCGTTCGAAATGTCACTCTGAAAATGGTCGGTCATTTTTCGAACGTTCGAAATGTCACTTCAAAAATGGTCGGTCGGTTTCGTAAATTTCAGAAATTGGTCGGTCAAACGAACGGTCAGAAAAATGACATGTTATAACCGTTCGAAAAACTGAACGGTCATATCAGTTGAACGGTCTAATTGGTCGAACGGTCGAATTTTAGAACACTACAGCGCGCATGTAACCGCAGGCCAGCGCACGAGTCTGGTCTCTCCAATTTTACCGTGCTCTCTATACTGGTGCATGCAAGCAGGTCTGCCGTTTCCTTTTTTAGATGCGCGCGGGCATGCCGTTCTCCCCCTGAGAAAATGAAGTGAGAAACGATTTAAAGCGCAGGCGTGTACGCAGACGTGGCACGTTTTGATGGAATATTCAAACGAAGCGGAAACGAGAATTTTTCAGAGTGAGCGTTAACGGTCCGGTTATCATCTGGAGAGTGGCTATTGAGCAGAACGGATCTATACACAGAGAAAGCGAAGCTCTTTTGGTGTGTGAGATAGGTGTTATCCAAAATAAAAATAAAAAAAACAGCGCGTCGCGAGAACGGCAATCGATTCGATAACCTATCTGCCGAGGGGTCGGCGAGCTGACTTCGATGTTCACTGGACGAGTTCCGGTCTCAGAATCGATTTTCCACTCATGTATGTTCTGTTATTTTCGAAAAGTGTTTCCTTCTCGCTCCAAGTTTTCGCATTCAGAAGGTTCCCCTTTCAGGTCTGCACATATTGCTTCGCCTGCTCTGGAAAGGCTTAGTTATGTCGAAAGTCAGCTCCACCACTTGCAGCAGTTCCGCGAAATCGTGGAGGTGACTAATCAGACAACTAACTGAAAAAAGCGAAAAGGAAAAAGTCAACCATTCAAACCGGGCTATAGTGAACTGCAATTTCTTTCTTGTAGTGGTTTTTACCCTCTCATTTCTGCGATCATTTTGGTGCTATCCTTGTTTACTTCAATGATTTTAAGTTTTTTTTGTTTGTTGTTGAGATTAAAGCTTTTTGACATTGTGCTAACTTTTTGAACTATTTGTTTATAGGAGCCTGACGGTTTGATGGACCTTCTTCGGCAAATTTGTCGTTGGGAAGACCGACAGCAGGACCATGCAGATGTGACTCAGCGTCAACTGGAGTCTCGGATCCGCGGAATCGCTGCCAGACTCGAGCGACCACCCAACATGCAGAATGGCAGCTTGACGCCTTCTTTGCAACGTCTTCGCGAATCTACCGATGCGGAACGAGAAGCGCGAATGCAGTATGTGCCTCCTAGTGGACGTAACCGAGCCTGCATCATGAGGTATGTATTCAATTCTCTTTTCTTCTTCAACTTGATTTGCGTTCAGACATCCGATTGAGAAAGATCTATACGATGTCTCGCGACGTATCCGTCAGGAACAGATCCGTTTCTTCGCCTTGGAAGAGTTCCTAGAAAACCTCGTTCAGTCTCCAGCCTACCAAAGAATACAGCATTCCCGAATGATTGTCAGTTCTGAGAAGCTCCGGAAAGAATCAAAGGGAACTGTTCAGCCGGACTTCCGCTTGAACGCCTTCACCGTCTTCCGGGAACACCTCAGCCGTCGTCGTCACATGATCGGCCACATGTACCACACTTTGAGCGAGCTCGACGTGCCCAACGGCGTCGGTCCGCAGCGACTTCTGCCTCAGTACGACCTTCGTCAACTCGATGTCCCCGTCGTTCATCGGGTTTGCCATTTCTTTCGGTTCATCGCTTCTGTTTGAAATGAAGTCCATTTCCACTTCTTCCTTTTTTTTAAAATGGTTTTGTATAATTTTGCAAAGTAGCTTCGAAATCGCTCTAAATTTGAAGTCATGTTAGTCTCGGTTTTCTCAGCATCTGCTACGCGAGTTTCTGACGGGGAGTTTTTTGTCAATTGATTCTAGAAAAACCAAGAATTAATATCTTTGGGCTGATATTCGAGAAATTTTTATATTTAGTTCGTAGTATTGTGAATGAGGCAAATTCCTTGTTTTCAATTTTTGAATATCCCTGTTTCAGGGTGCCATCATATTTACTCTCCAAAGCTTGCCAAGACGGCCAGAAGTTACAACGGAGCGCATTTCAACAGTTTTCACGCCACCGCGAAGAAGTACCTGATTGTGAATTTTGCTCAGTTTTGGTGATTCTACCTTGCAGATGTAGATGTCGGCAACTTCTTGCCTGGTGAATGGCCCTACTTGACCTACTACCCAACTGGTAAGCTATTTTTCAATCAATCTCAAGATGTTGGAGTCTCTTCCTTGGTAACGACTGTCTAATTTTTTGGGGCAAGACATTTCAGGGATCATGCAAGAGCAGCACGAACTGGCCATTCCCGTCGTGAACATCACATTGAACAACCAAGAAGGTCAGCAGGAGGGAGTGCCCAACGAGATCGCGGCAGCCATCCTTCCTCTGCTCCAGCATGCAGCTCCTCTGAACGTCGGTTCGGCCCCCAGTCCCACGACTGCTCCTCCAACTCAGCCTGTAACGGTGACGCCGAGATTGATTGCCAGAGGAATCGAGAGGATTGCGCCTATTCTGTCTCGAAACACACGTGAAGTAGAACAGCCACGATTGAGACCTGCTGGTCCTGAACGCTCTTCAATGCGTGAGTTTGACTGTTTTCCATTCCAAAAACAAGAAGATCGATGGGAAAAGTTAGGATAAGTCCTCTATGAAGGTTCCGGAGACTATCAAAGTCTCAAAAGTTCCGTTTTTTTTTTTCGGGTGTTGAAGATTTTACTTAATATGTGTCGTGGAATGTCACGCGATTTTCTATGATATTTGCTCGCATCACTGTTTCCCATGCTTCGTTTTATTGTGTGGGAATGACACGTCGACTTATTCCTTTTATAAGCGTGTAGAAATTGTATTGTCCTAATATCAAATATACCGCCAACAATAAAGATGCAGACTTGCTGTTCGTGGAAAAATAAATTTAAATCTGAAAGACATTGTTTAATGAACTTCGGCTCAAGAAGTTCATATAATTACTTCTTTTTTCAACTTTCTCGAAAAATTTAGAGCTTTTTACACTTGAAAAAGGACGCGGAATTCGAAAGTGCAAATAGAGAAAAAAAGCTTGTTCGCTAATAAGCAATTTCTGAACAGAGAGTACTTGAAGTTTTGGAAGTATGAAAATAAAATTCAGCGATCCTTCAAAAGGCGTCGTTTCCAATTTTTTTCATACCGCTAAGGAACTTTCCGACTGCGGAGTTTCCAACTAATCCTTTTCTGAATCTTTTTTTTTCTCGATAAACTCTTCGTTTTGAATATACCTATATAAAATAGGTAGTTGATTCATGATTGAAACAAAAACAAAAAGGAACATAATATTAACAGATTTTTTTAATAAATCGAAAATTATAAGAGAAAAAAAGTCGTGAAGGGATTATACGGAAACGTCGCAGTCAGAAGGTTCCCTAGCGGTATAAAAAAAGCGAATAGGTCGCCGTTCGAAAATTCGTTGATTTTTTTTCTTACTACTAAAATTTTCCTTGGATCTATTTCTCGAAAAATTTTGAATTTAGGACAATCTGTTTCCTTTTTTTAACCACCAGCTATAGGTACTATTTCCGATTAGAAGGTCAGAAGGAGATTTTATATTGCAGACGACCGACCAGGGCCAGAAACGGAGTCTTTGAGCGCCTTGCCGGAGGCGATCACGGTGACGGACATCCAACGCGTGGCTCGCGTCGTCGGCTCTCGCTACAGACAGTCGGCTTTGAAGAGAGTGGCTCGTCGGGTGACGGCCGCTTTCCGGGAAGGTTATCCGACATGCGACTTCCCCATTCAATCAAGCCTTTTTCTAGAAAATCCCGCGTGGAACATTCCTCTTGAAGACACGCACCCTACCATCCTCCGTCAGCTGTTCATCTTGACATTGGAGCTTTTCACGCTGACCTCGACCACGGTTCGCGAGGCGAGCTATATGATGTCGCAACTCGTCGACAACGAAGACCTTTTGGTGCGGAGACTGACTGAGGCGATGCGGCAGGTCTTCCGAGAGGGTATTTGGCCTCCGGAGCTCGAGCCGGTCGTGCCACCACCTGAAGATAATGCCGAAGAACCCGCACAAGACCACGCAGAAGGCCCTTCGAGACCTCCGCCGACGTCTTCCGCCAACGCAACCATTTCTTTCCCTGAAAGAGAACAAGGACCCTCTGCTTCCGCTACGTTCTCTGAGGCACCTGTGAGTGCTTTTGATGGTAGAAAAGTATCTGCAAGGAAAAGTCGAAACGATCGAGTGCAACACCATTTTCAACTCTTTTTATTTTGGAGCTAAACGAACGAAACTATTTTTCAGTTCAATACATCAGAAAATGCGCAGACAGTTTATCAAATATTTCAAACTATATCGAGAGAAAAGATTTCCGGCAAATTCTTGTTGTTTCGTGTTGGTCATCGTCTCAGAACTTTTTGGGATAGAAGTGCTACCAATACGAATTCAAATTCTGTTCTTTGCGATGTTTTTGTGTATAAAGAACAGTTACTAATATTTCATAATAAACTGAATATCTGGGTTGTTTTTAGGCGCGTGAGCCGTTGCCACGACATATTATGGCTCGGCTGTTCCGAGAAACTGAGAGAAATATCCTCCCGAGCTGGTTTTCGGTGCACCGGGCCGTGCTCCCCAATGTCCTCGATGCCCATCGTGTACTCACTTCCCGTGGAAGCAACGATTTCGAAACCCGAGGTGATCTTTTTTTTCTTTTGTTGGGAAAATTATGGAGCTAAATACTAGTAATCAAATCAAACTTATCCGTTCTTACACTTTTGCGACAATCGATCTTGAACAAGTGACTAGAAGCCCAATTTTTCATCTGCTAGAGAAATTTACAAAAGTTTTGTGAATCATCATGGAATGTTCAGTATTGGATTTCCACCGAGTGGAAGTTAATTGCAAACTTTCTTATAACAGTTTTTGTAAAAATTTTGTAGAAAGATTAAAATTCTTGTTTTTTCCTTGAGCATTATGTCGCAAGCTGAAACCAGTCTGCGCTTCTCATTTTACAACAATGATACAAGATGTATTAATGGAAATAAGATTCATTCCTAACTATTACTTTTAATATATGCAAACTATTTTTGAGATTTTTTTTCTCGAAAATATATTTCTTTTTTGGCAACAACAGTATGACAAACAATTAAAACGTTTTGATCGAAGGGATAATCTTACAAGTAATTAAGATCCTGAAACTGTTCTTTAAAGTTATTTCAGAGATATTCCGCTCAAATGGCTGGTAATCACTTTGTTCTCCATGACCTTTTTACTCTCTAGTAATTAAGTAGGTTGATCCATCAGTTTTTTAGAGGCTTTAAGCACAATCGCTCGGTCCATTTCGACATCCAGAAGGGTACAAGAACTTCCAGAAAGACGCGGTGATTCGGTGACGGTCTCGGCGACGAACCAGGAACCCACTACTGAAACAACGGACCCTTTCTCTCCAGGACAGGAAAGAACCGTCGAAGGTCGGTTTTTCGGATTCCATTCCGTGCTAATTCGTAGATTTCAGCTTCCATTCGTCAAGTTCATCGACAGGTCAGCTCAGAACCTATTTCATGGGATTCGATTAGGTTTGAAGGTTTTTTCCTTCAGACGATCGCCATCGATCCCTATTTGTCGTGTCACAACAGACACTCGGAGATTGAGCGAATGCAGAATGGGGGCCTGACGGAAGAAATGAGTCGCTTCACCGAGGAATCCCGAGATCCTGCTGCTCCCTACGAGGCTCTGATTGATGTACTTTTGTTTAGCAAGAGTTGATCAAAATCCGAAAGTTCTGAGGAATTTTTCGAAGAGGCTTTACAAAATGACTACAAAGTTTAAAAAAAAAACGCTCGGAAATCCTTTAAGACCAATTTTATTTGAACTTGTGCTCTTTTTGTGGAGACTCCGTGCTCGAAGGGATTCTCGCGAAACGCAAAATTATCTCTGATTCTTCAAAATTAAGTTATCGTTTTCACCCTCTTCTGGCTATTTTTGACGCGGAATCACTTTGAACAAGGGATAAGTGTCGAATTATTCAGGCGTTTTATTCAATAAGTTTTTTTATTTCATAAATAAATATTCAAAAATAAAAAGTCATAAAAATCTTGTAAAAAAACGTTATGCAGCTTTCGTAGACGTTTGACAAGAAGGTTCAATCGTGCTTTGAAATAAAATGAATACTGAAAAAGTCGATGATGGCTGTTTTAAGGGCACCGAAATACCCGAAAGGGAGTCCGAGACGGCATCGGTTGATCCCGACTATTCATATGACGTCAGTTCTCCTATTAATAAAAAAGACACGGCAGAAAACCGTGAGATTTAGGTGCAAGTGCAGGCGAATGGAGCTCTCGTCTTCGCCGAAGGCAACGAAGGACTGGCGCAGTTTGAACGCGTTCTTCGCACCGCCATGCGCAGTCTTTTCGCCCACGTCGTCGACACCGACGCTATTCGGACCCTGAGTGAGCTGGAAAGGCGAAGGTCGCGATATCGCCTTTTTCAGACAGCGCCGCCTCTGAAGAACGTTTCATTCATCGTGATTCTCGGCCACAACGCCGACGACACTTTGCGACATCGCAACAACCTCCGACGTCCAATAATCAAGAGGTCACCATTCGACAGGGCCATGATAGTTTTTCGCGTGGTTTTCTATGGTGCAGTTGCAATTTTAAAATAAGAGGGAGGGACGATCTTTCTGTATTTGTGGTTGTTTGGCCATTTGTCCATCTGGTTCATCGCTCTTGCAAGGGAGGTCATTTTACTTTGTGGTTAAGAATTTTCTACAAATTTGCTCAAACACTCTCTGAATGTCTAGATTAAGATCCCTTATAGTCGCTTTCTGTGCAAACTTCTAGTCTTTGAGATATGATTTTTGAAAGTTTCGAAAAATGGATTTTGCCCTTAAGTTTCGACCATCAAAATTAATTATCTCAGAAACCAGAAGATGACGCGGGTTGTTACTTTGATGGATCTTCACATAAACCTTCAGAGATCGTTTGAAAAGTGTAGTAGAAAATTCCAGGTCGCAGATTAAAATGACCTCCTTGTGGGGTCTCAACTTGTGTTAAGAGCAAACTTCAAAAATTTAATATATCAAAAACTTGAAGTTTGCGCAGGTAGCGACTGTGAGGGATCTTCATATAGACATTCATAGTGTTTGAGCAAATTTGTAGAAAATTCCAAACCGCAAAGTAAAATGACTTCCCGTGTTAGAAGCTTCCTCTCGAACCGAGATATTCAAATGTTCTCATATTCAAATATTCAAAGCGTAAAATTTTTCCTTAATAATTTTGGATTCAGCAAAATTAAAAAATAAAACTGTTCACCGTAATCATTCAGATCGCAAAGTTAGAAATGGCATATTTGGTTGTATCTTAATAACTATGCGTAAGAATATCATTCAGACGCCAAATAACGCGGGTGGGACGCGACCAACCGTTTCTGCAGACATCTCACCCGGCTTCGATGGCACAGGGATCACGGAACGCTCTCGCAGCACTTCTCCAGAACCGGTTAGTTGAGAAACTTTTCTGTCTGAAGGTGGAAAATGTTCAGCTCATCGTTCCCGAGTCCACTTTCCATGATGTTGCCCGTTTCATCAGTGGCTCGAGAGATCTCGGCTTTCCTCCCAGTATGTTGTGCCACTCGGAAAAAATTATTTAGGGGCAACCTGCAAACGATTATCGATATATTCACGTGAGAAAATTCTGAACAGACAGAGGGTGATCGGAGAAATATGGTCATGGGAATGAATAATCAAAAAATTAGAAAAATTATTTGAATTCCATCAACCAAAAGGATGAGATTATTGAAATTATTTGTCAGTAGACCATTGTGTATTTAAAAAAAATATTGATATGTTTTTATCACAAATTGCCGTGCGAAGCTGTCTCACGGCCGCCTCGGTGATGCTTCTTGGTGAAAATTCTGATGTCATTGAAGAAGCTCTACTTTTTTTTGGCGAGAGAAATCAGCGTTCGGACCGATTTCAGCCTTGATCGGCGAAATCTATGAAACTCTGAGTCTTCGGGAAGACATGAGCACTGATCTTCGTCGACTTCTGAGCCGTCCGACCGCCGAGGGAAACATCGAACGCGACAGTTTGGTGGTGGAGATGCGCGAAGCGATGCGTGACCGCCTCATTCTCAACGAACTCGATGGCATAACCGTTCCTTCTTCCGACGGTCTTTTTTTTTGAGTCTCCTACATCTCAAACTTTGGTTCAGATCTGTTGGCGTCGAGTTTGCGGCTGGCCATTCCCGAAAGATACGTCGAAGACGTTTTGGAAATCGCCGGCGCTCCCCGCAGTATCTTCGTCGACGGCGAGGAGTTCCGCGTGTCTACAATCACTAGGAATGTCGAAGTCGAGACTCTTCGTGTCATTTTGGACGCTCTGTTCGCTAATTTGAGTGGGTTCCATCTCATACATCTGCAAGCCATCGATTGGAGAAAAAAACTTCTTCCGTCAAAGAAAATGTCAGGGAAAGATGACTTAACGACACTTTCATTTATTTACGTTCCTATTCCGACATAAGATTACTTTAAGAATATTTTCTACTACTCTTATATTTTAACATGTTCCAAACCAACGAAAAGATGATTCGTTTTTTCAAACTTGAAGACGATGAAGAGTACCTGAGAACGGTGTCCGACGCGTTCCGCATGTATGTCAGGAATATGGTGGGTCTCATCTTTCTGATGACCGGGAGACAGGCTGGCGAGATGGTCCCACTCATTCAAAGGCTCATCATTTCCTTCTCGGTGGGTGTCCACTGCAGCCATCCCGAACATTTTCCTTTTGAGGCTTTCATGAATGACTATCAGAGCGACACCATGTTCGATAACATGGGACAGCAGCATTTCCACGCAGCCAACTACATATCGACCTTCTTCGATCGTGAGTTTACGGTCTCCAAAGTTATGGAGGAGTGAAAACCTAGAAAGCTTTAAACATTTTTCTTACAAGAAGCGAATGAGCTCCAGAATAAAAACTTCCAAAGGGCATCTAGGTAGTTTTAAAATTTGTTAATCAGTCAGAATGCTTTTTCACTGTGCTCTTGAAGTACCGCTCTGACCTGTTCGGAAGTGCAAAAAACGAAAAACAGTGCTAATGACTTTCGAGTGGTGGTTCAGCTACGACTATCCACGAACTCAACAACTACCTGGGTCCGCAGCTGGCCATGCCGCAGCCGACTGTCCAACCTGCGGCTGAAGAGGCTCCAGCGACGCCGCCAGTGGCGACGGAGTCGCGAGGCGAAGGTTCGTCGCGAGAACGAGACGAAGGAGAAACTCGCGCCAAACGAATGAGAAGGAGCTCAGGTGCTTCGCCGGACGACGGAGAGGTATGAGGCCGGTTGTATCTTTGTCTCCGTCGCTAAGACCTTATTCGGACCAACAACGTCGATCGCAGTCTTCTTTTTCTTTTGTTCCCTGTCATTGTTACAGTACTTTATTTAACCATCTTTTGTTATCACTTCTTTCTTTGCATCCAAGACCTTCTTGTCTCTTTTGGCGAAAAATGGCTTTTCTTGTGTAAATGAACATTAAATGCATGAATGACAGTATCTATAGAGCTACCTACCTTTTTAATTTATTAGCCGTTGATTTTGAATGCGGGATAGTTTTCTAATTTTTCATCACGGTGACATATAAAGATGTATCTGTAGCTTGAAAAGCGGATGATGCACCGATTAATTTTAAGTCCGATTTTAGGCACATGTTAAAATTTAGACTCTGTGATTTTTCTTTGATTGATTTATGTAAGAGAAAACAATTGAGAGCATAATTTCAGACTCAATGAGTGTATTAAGCTATTCAGATGTTTAGAAGAAGATTTTCTTGTATTTTTTTTCCTGTTGAGTCTGTTTTAGTTTAATTTTTAGGCCTCTCCTATGTCATTAAAAAGCCATTATTTTTTTATAATCTTGGTATATTGTTGTTTTATTGGATAAATGTTCGCTTTTGAAAGCTTTGAGAAACATTTCAATCCGTTGTAAAACTGGTTTAAAATCTCTTCTTATGTTTGAAAATTATTTTGTTTGAAATGCTTTCTTTGCAGGCAAAGGAAATGGATATTAGCAAAGAGGTGCACGACCGCTTGAGTGTTTTCGATGAGGTCTGTTGGTTTGAACGGAGATTCTTAGTCACATGGTTGAAAAGTGCTTTTGGCTCATTTAAATAAGGAGACTAGCCGAGGAAATACCTGATTTGCTGCCCCCTCGTAGAGTTCCTTTGCATCTTACCGCTATACTTGTCGAAAATCAGCTCATATCCAATTATAAATCACTTGAGTGGTTTGGACATTATTGTTTTCCATTTTCAGCAAGATCGGCAAACTATTGCCGCGGACATAGAGAGGATGAGTTCGGAACCGGCTACGTACAGAAACAACAGCGACATCGTTCAGCTCGGCGTCCCTCCGGAGTTCCGCGGGGTAGTCCGAATCTGAGAATTACCTCATTGAAACCGTCTACTTTTTAGTCTCAGTCCACTTTGGACTTGAATCGCGTCGTTTCTGATGCTGTTCGTTCCACCGGCGCACATGTTTCTGTAAGATTTTTTTTACAAATTATTTTTTACTGCCTTTGATTCAAGTCAGACCCAAGTTCACATAGTAGTTTGTACAGCTTTTTGCAAAATCTGATGCCAAAAGTTTGAGATTTATGTTTTTCTCACAGCTCAAAAATAAGATTCCTTTGGAGCGAAGAAAGACCTGGTCAATCTCACGGCGGCTTGAACCGGCGATGTCAAGGGTGCTAGAAATGAGTATCAGAAACAGAACTATTGACTAGATTTGAAATTTGTGAAATGGAATAAAAAATATGTGTTCGGAATCAGAGAGTCTCTTTCTTTCTTCGCACAATTTCCTTCTTTTGTTGAATCATCTTATTTGAAGGAATCGCAGACGAGCGAGATGCTTCCGGCGGCTGAGGAAGCCGGTCAGGAAATGTTCCGCGCTTCTGTCCGTGAGCGTCTCGATTCAGATGAAGACTTCCAAGACGCCTCCGACCGTTTTCCCGATCTCAGGGACCTTTGAAGTCTCTTCGAAATGTGTTTTATATTTAAATATTCAGATTTTCGATTGTGCAAGTTAATTTTGAATTTCAGTTCAATCTGTGCCTTTAATCTAAATACCCAGCGGTTTTTCATCAACTCTTCTTAACGTCTACTTTTACATTTAGCCATTTTCAGTTTCTACTTGTTTTTATACCTGTCGCTATACGAGAAGGTTTTCTCATTCGGTTTTCAAGGACGAGTACCATTTATAAAGAAGTTATCGCTGAAGTTTTAACTTGAAGTTGTTATTTAATCCGAAATTTCTTGTTCTTGTTTTTTTCTTCCTCCTTCTTATCCAAAGGCTCTCCTCTACTGTGTAATCGCTGTTTTAGACTGCTAAAAGTAGTGTTTTCAAGAACCTTGAACGCTTTATCACTCGCTCTGGATTTTTTCACACACCTTGCCGAGTTTATGCAATCCTTTCTCCAATTGCTTATTTCCGCAGTTTTACTCGCACAATAATTTCCCTCGGAGCATTAAGTTGTTGGTTCCAAGTGTTTCAAGTTATGTCGGCTTTCCTCCTATTTCTCTAATTTATATTTTTGAAATGTTCATGTTTTATTTAGAACATTATGCGTTGGATAAATCGTGACTTTTTCAATCCTTATATTTAAATCGAATTGTTGTTGAACAGAAAATATTTTCAAATCGAAATGGAGCTATATTGTTTGACATTTTTCTGGATTCTCTTGCTAATCGTATCGAAAATTCCCTCGGGAAAATAGGCAAAGATGTACCTTCAAAAGTTATTAAGATTCAAAGCCAATAAAGCCAATTTTTTAGGCTTCAGCAGTTTATCACTATATAAAAATTTTTTTTAAATTATGTTTCTGCTTGACTGCATTTTTCACTATCAATAGTTCGAAAGTTCATCAAATTTGTGGAATGAATGAATGAATGATAAGAAACTAGAAAAAAATCATTCGAACATCTATCCGATTATTTACAGTGATGCAGACTCCTTTCCCAAGAACTGCTCAGGAAGTTTTGGCGCATGCTCGCAGTGCTGCGAAGAAGCAGGTGAAACAATTAAGAAAATTGAACTTCTCAGTCTTTTCTTAATGAAAAATAAATAATAACGGAAACTGACGAATGCCTTCAAAAAGTTCAAAGAAGCTATCGTTTCACACGAAGTGCGATCCAAGAATAAGCCCAGATCTAAATATACTCAAAAATATTTGTTTGAATTTTCAAAAAAACTTTATTGTTTCTATCTAAATATTAACGAAAGTGCAGGAACGATTCGTACAGGGCGGATTCACTTTCGAAAACTTTTCCCATCACATTTTGGACTCCCTTTGTCGTCACACAGACGCTGATTCTGAAGCGTCCTGCTCAGTGAGAACCGATTTCCTCTTTTTTCATGGAGAGAAACGTTCAGAAATGTACGTTCGAAAGGGAACTCGAACTGCCGGAATTGCCGGAGATGGTTTTCCCCAAGAATGTTCTGCGCATCACTTTTCCTAATGGAGGTTTTTCTTCACTTACACTTTTCAAGAAAGATTTGTTTTGCAGTCTCAGCGATCGAATTTAGAGCTCTGGACGCGCTCAAAATGGTCTGTCCAAACAAACTTCCAGACGTTCAGGTTATGGGGAATCCAAAAGTTTCAAAAAAAAAAAGATGACGAATGCTTCTCCATTGCTTGCTTCTTGAACTCTAGTGATTTCAGGTGGGTCCATCGCTGGTTTGGCAAGAAGCGAGGAAAGATCGTCTGCAAATGATCACCGAAAGCCATCATCCCTACGACTGGACCTTCACCACTCACTACAACGGAACTCTCATCGATTGCCATGTATGCAAAAGTCGTCAGAACAGTAAATGAAGACATTTATAGCCCAGCAGAGGGCATTTTTGGAAGTAATTGGTGCAAAACAATAAACTCTAGAATGACTTTTTTCGCCACTATTTTGAGATTCAGACAGAAGAAACGGACGAGCGAATTGACATGGAGCGGCTAAAGCAACGCGACGAGATCAAGTTCTTCGCAGAAACGACCTTATTCGAAGACGAGTTGGCGGACCACGGAACTGCTGAGGTTACTGTAGATCGGTGTTCGCTGAACCAACGGGGTTACTGTAGCTGTCAGCTAAACTGCGCGTCATGGACAAGAACTACTTCTTCCTTCTCCTCAGGTTCTACATGCGAGTCGACGGCGTTCTTGTCAGGTAAAGTTCGCCCTAACGGACAAGAACACCAGCAGTTTTCGCTCCAGGGTTTGCGACACGAGGATCGTCGGCGACAGTCACAAGGACTACGTCATTCGAGAATGGCAGCTGCGAGAAGCCAAATTCTCAGATCTGCCATTCGCGGTGAGTCGGAGGCGAACTATTGTGCTTGACTTTTCGTTGTAGAGACATGAAGATCTGAACAATGTGAATCTTGCTTGGCAGCACCTTCCTGTCGTCAAGTCCTTCAACGAAAAAATTGTTCCCAATTGAAAGTTTCACTTTTTTCATGATTTAGTCGGGTCTCAATGTTTTCATCTTTTAGAACAGGCTCGTGAATCAAACTTTTTCCATCAAACGACCTCATTCCATTCAACTCCTTCTTTGAAAAAAATAAAAACTTTTTTTGTAACTTGTAGGTGTATATAAGAAAAATATATTTTTTTCTTTTTTTCAAACTCACCAACTTGGTTAGCATGATTGGCACTAAGTGTCCGAGTGAGTGACTAGAAAGGGAATAGCCTCCCAGATCGAAAAAAATACGTTCGTAAAATATTTTCAGATTTCTGACTAAGGAAGTTTTTGAAGTGTATACCGCAGATCTGACTTCTTTACTCGGTCTTCCTAGGGGAGAATACTCGAGAACTGAAAATATTATCTGCTAAGCGCGCCGGTCGAAAGTTTGCAAAAAGGCTCAAAATTTACTTTTTATCAGTTAAAAAAAATTGCCTCGTGTTGTTTTAAAGAGGAGAGAAACTTTCACTAAAACTAAAAATCCGAATTCCAATAATTCCAGAACTCTTCCTGTATTTATAGCCTAAATCTTGGATAATGAAGATTTATCGTGCTCATTTTTTTGCGAAAAAGTTTTCGTCGCAAATGACTTACAAACGGCTTTTACGATATTCTATCTGTGGTGCTTCTTAGATATTTTTTGATTTTTGAGTTTTTTCACCATTAGAATAAATATCGCAGAAGTTCTGCGATATTGACCCCTCAGTGAGTTGTCTTCTCTATACTTTTTTCTCATTTTTCATTATCTCCGCGTTGTTGGGAATTTCTTATCAATCAAATCATTTATTTTGTTGGTTTAGTCATAGATGTATCGACTAGGCGGTGAACAAGAACTTTGAAAGCTATAACGAACAACCGCCTTTGGCGAGCTAGAAGTCCAAACGTGTAGTCGAAAGAGTTGAAAGCATGGTCTTACGGTCCTTCGCCTCGTCCTTCTGCGCGTAGTCCATCCAGTTGCGCCTTGACGAGCTCAGAATGTAGCGGATGTTGTGCTGGAGCCCGAAGACCGTGCTCTAGGTGGAAGCCTCAGAATGAGAGCTACCACTTCGAGTGAAGATTTTACACGGAATCAGGAAGAGTTTTCCGAAGTTTCTTTTTCCCGAAGTTGAACATCTCGAAAGCGTGAATTTGCCTGACTAGCGATTGAGCTGAAGGTGATTCAAAAAACGGCTCACGGCCGAGTGGCCCACACCTTGAGAGAGCGAGGGTGTGCCGCCTGGAAACATGCGTTACAACAAGCCGCCTCCTGTCGCTCGTCCTGCTCCTCTTCGATTTTCTCTCGATGCTGATCTATCGCTTTGAAACATGTGTGGATTAATGCCTCCTCACTCTTTCTTGTGGTTTCTCTTCCACCCGTATCGATTCGGATTTTTTTCCTCCTTCCTGATCATAGTACATTCACTTCTGACTTTTGCCACCATTCAAAGTAAGTCCGAAAACCATTTTCGACGTGAGTTCAGCTCGTGCCCATTTATAGCCTAAATCTTGGATAATGAAGATTTATCGTGCTCATTTTTTTGCGAAAAAGTTTTCGTCGCAAATGACATCTTTTTCATTATGTCTCATTCTTCACGACTTGAAACATTCAGATTTTTTTTGCTTCTTTTTCTTTACCATAACGTGGTTAAAGAAAAAAGAACATCACGCGAATATGAGAGAAAAGAGAGCAAAGACAACTTTTTTCACTTCTGAAATCAATATCTCCTTCTTAAAAGAACGACCTCGGACTTTGATTTTGAAATATTTGAACGTGTGTTTGGGCCGTTCAGATTTTGGAGACGTTACTAGGAACCGCTTTGTACTTCCTTTCGAAACCGACTACTAGAATAGATGCTCAAGGGAAACGACTTGTGAAAGTCGTCAAGCAAGGTTTTTCTCGTTTTCAGTAATTGTGTAGATGGAAGTTTGCAGAATGGTTAGGGAGAAATGAAGAAACACGGGCCGAAGTCGTACGGCTCTACGACGCGAGAGCCGCTGATCGACCTCCAGGAGGTCCGTCGATGGCTCGCCTCGTTCCGCGTCGAGGGCCACAACGCCGAGGCCGTCCTCAATATCGTCGTCACCGTCGGCGTATGTTTTTTTCTAATGCTTATTTTTATCCTAAGAAACTATATTCGAATAATTTCACTTATCAAACGCCTTTTGTGAATTTGTAAACAGATCTCTTTCCCCAAAGAAAATTTTTAAGCTGGTTTTGACGTTGCAAGTATAGCCGATTCACGGCCAGCTCGGGACGCTAAAGGGGCGTGTCCTGCCTGCGCTCTCCACAAGCCAGGCGCTATCTCGCGCATTATCGTGTCGGGACCCGTTTTTCGATGGCTCAAGCCAGCCGTGAATCAGCTATATTGCCACGTTCATTAAAAATAAAGCATAGTTTGTTTCGAATAAGGGAAGCGCTGAAAGAACTTTCAAGAGGCTTCACTTTTAGTGTCTTCCAAGGGGCATGAACTCTCTCAAACTGTATATTCGAATATTCCAGTTCGCCAAAAAATTTAAAACAGCGTTTCTTTCTCTTGAGTAGAAATATCAGGAAACGTTAGGAGATATTCGAAAAACACAAGCAACGTCATTACTTAATCATTTTATCTGGTGATTTTTTTTTTGCAAACCGAAAATTATAAGATATACGATTCTAGCGATAAATCTTGAAATTTCCTTCCAAATCGGAAAATCGAGGTAGTTTTTCACACAAAATCTCTATCAGTGCAATTTTTTGTTTCAGACTCGTTTTTTTCACATTCTGGGCACAACACAAAATCAGGCCTGCAACCCATAATTGAAAACCTCACCGTTCATTCTTCCAAATCTAACAATTGGAGCAGATAGCAAAAATTAGACCTTCGGGACGTTTCTGAATAATTACCATTTCAAGATTTCAAATTGTCTTTACCATAACCGTAATACACCCATTTCTTTCAGGTAATCGCGTTTGTCGCCTACCAATTTCTCTCGCTCTTACATCGGATCAACAAAAGAGTGGAACGACAACTCGAGAACATGGCGAAGAAGAAAACTGTCTGCTTGAATGGTTGGCAACTGGAAATCTCAACTTTCAGGTCGAAACCCAGGACCGCGGCTGTGGCGACGACTCCGTCTTCACAGACCTGCACGAACAAGTCTTGCGAGAGAAACATGTACGTGTTCTTATTGTAGCCTGAAAGTTTCGCATTGAAGATTCCATTTCGGCTGCCGTATCTCGACGACGAAACAACTCTGAAGAATTCGCAGTTGTTCTACGAAGAGATGAAAATGCGACGCAGCGTTCGCGCCTTCAGTAGCCGTGCCGTTCCAATGAAGGTCATCCAGAACCTTATCAAGACCGCCGGTTCGTTTGGAAACCTTTCTTGTTCTCTCAGTAGGAGAATCTCTTCTTTCTCAAGTGTGAGCCGTGTCAAACTTGGTTCTACAACTGTAATGTATAACCTGAGTAGTTCGCCATTAATGATTTCATAAAAATCATCACAGGAACTGCTCCGAGCGTCGGGAACCTGCAGCCGTGGAGGTTCTGCGTGATACTGAACGACGGACTGAAGTTGATGATCCGTGAAGTGCTCGAAGCGGCCGAGCGGGACAACTACGTCGCCAGAAAGTCAGTTATTCAGTTTTCTGTTCAATTTTACAACGAAAATGGTGGCTGATTAGATATCGCTGGACGAGTTCTTTGAAGGCTTCTGAGAGCGCATTCCTCCCTCTATTCTGTATTCAGAATCTTAGAATCGACATAATTCGACGAAAAAGATTGCAGGAAAGGAGCGGCGTGGGTGGTCGACGTCTCGCAGCTCCAAGACACCTGGCGACGGCCGTACATCACTGACGCGCCGTCGTTGCTCGTCGTCTGCCACGAGGTTTGGAGTCGTTTCTCAGAAGAATCTCAGAAGAAACATTGTTCCTCACAGGGGATCATTCGATAACACATCGGAATAACTTTTTATCACTGTAGTGTAAACCTGTGCAAACAAATTTTGGATATACGGACTCACACTTTGTCAGATGTTCTGTTCACAGTTAGAAACATTGAAAGTTAAAATCTCGCGCATCCGGCGACTATTAGCTTCTATGAACCTTCGAAAATTGAAAAGAAAAAAAAAATTATTTTTAAAAACTCCCCAGAAAAAAATCTAAAGGTCTTCGCCGAAATGAACGAGAAGAAAGAGCGACTTTACGGTTACAACCACGACAGCACTGCCATATCCGTAGGAATCCTGTTAGCCGCCATACAAGTGAGATACCGTATCTTTATATTACAGTAACTCCTTTGCTACAGAACGTCGGACTCAGCACAGTAGTGACGTCACCTTTGAACGTCGGTCCTGACATTTCGCGGCTTCTGCGACGTCCCGAATCCGAGAGCGTGAGCTTTTTGTTTTGTTTTTGCTCGAAAACTCATTTATCAGGTACTCCTACTTTTACCGCTTGGATACGCGGCCGAAGATGTCACCGTACCTGATCTCAAACGAAAACCGGTCGAATTCATCACCAAATTGTACTGAAATACTCGAATATTCCGCTTTCTAATTCACTTACAAATCGCCTTACACTGCCGAAACAAATAAAGAAATATTTACATAATCGCGAATTCATTTTCAGGATGATCAAACTACAGAGCAATAATTTACAAAATTAATAAACGACTTGTTACAGTTAGTGTCGTTTGTACTCGAGAAGGATTTGTGCAATTTTCTCGGCCGCTTCGCTTCTAAATAGAAAGATGTTCTACTTTTCGATTTGGCAATAAAAAAGGCTGACCTGGTGTCTGGATCCAGATCTCTCAAAGCACTAGTGAAGACGCCGCCGAGTTTCCTGACGGCGATATCGCTTTTCCCCCGCAGGATTTTGTTAAGAACAGCCTCGTAATCATATGAGTGGAGGTGACCCTTGAAGGAAAACTTTTGAAAAAAAAAGTACAAAAGATGTCACTTCAGAAGCGGAAGTTCTTTGTAGCGTTTCATTCCACCGCGGCAACTTGATTGATGTTTGTGTTGGTTGAACCGTTTGGAGTAGTGTTTTCTTAATTTTCCCAATTGGAAACTTCTTTTTGGTTAGAGAAGACGATCATAATGAAGAAACTCAATTCACACAAATTCTTCTCTTTTGACTGTCCCGAAGAAGTAAGATGCATTTCTTTTTCATAGACTCACCAGGTCAGCCTCATTCAGAAGATCCGCGGTCCAGCAGTCGTCATCTTCAATACAGTCCGTCCACAGCTTTTCCGGCACTGGAATCATGTCGACACCTCTGCAACAGTTCGTTCACTTTCTTGTTGAAACTTCTCAAGAACCCTGCATTTCTGTCGATAGTGAACGTTCCTGGGGTGTTGGTGATCTCATGCATACAGCTTGAAAGCGTTTCTTTCCCTTCAGCAGACACTAGAAGTTGCTCCGTTATTAGTTTCAAGCTGTTGGTTGAGGAGAGAGAGAGAAGAGAGGGGACACAGAGAAAATCATTTTGAACGCCTGGCTCGAAGCATTTTCGTAGAGTTTGAACCACAGATTCAAAATATTTACAAGGCCTACTGATATAAGATGTTTCGAAGAAAGAGTTCACGATTGTTTTGAACCAGTGGTGATAACACTAGGGATGAATATTTCGAATCTGCCGCTAATAAATCTTCGAAATTCTCTGAACGCTGCGAAACTGACACGAGGAGGTGTATTCTTGGTAAGCCTTGACTTGTTTCATCTGCCGATTCGCCCAACTCTTCGACGGTTCCCCAACTACAATCGGCTTGAACCATCAAAAAAAGAAAGGAAATCAGAAACCTTCCCCTACGAGCGTAGAAGAGCTCTCGACGCCGGGGAGGTAGATCTGCTTGAACTGAATATCATTCCAGCTCACTGAAATCCACAAATTGGTTGGAAACTTCAGCAAAAGGAGGAAAACTTACGTTCTGAATTGGTCATCGGCTTGAACAGCTTCGAATAGTCTTCCCACTTTATCATTCTGGACCCTTCGATGAAAAATCAAACTAATTATCTACGAAAAAATATGTAAAGGTTTCAACCTGAACGAGATCATGAGAAAATAAGTATTTGAATCTGATTTTATTTGGTATGAAGACTCGTAGAAGAAAAATACAAGCGCACTTTCTACAAGGCAATTATGGCAATAAACTTTACTCTATAGAATATTTACAATAATTTGAGTACATTCTCATGAATCGCCATTTTTTTCTCTTGGGTATAGGCGGCCGCATTTTCGTGGATCCGGTTCAGGTCGTACCTGAAAAATATTAAAAACTTTTGAAGTGCATTTTTTTTTTCATCGTTATCGTTGATTAGCCGCTATTTTGAGACACAAAGGTCCCACGAAAAGCAAATCAGTTTGCGAGAAAAAAGTTCTGGATCATTTTTTTTTCCTGCACAAGCGAGCGATGACTAATAGTGTTCTAAAATTCGACCGTTCGACCAATTAGACCGTTCAACTGATATGACCGTTCAGTTTTTCGAACGGTTATAACATGTCATTTTTCTGACCGTTCGTTTGACCGACCAATTTCTGAAATTTACGAAACCGACCGACCATTTTTGAAGTGACATTTCGAACGTTCGAAAAATGACCGACCATTTTCAGAGTGACATTTCGAACGGTCAAAAAATGACCGACCATTTTCAGAGTGACATTTCGAACGGTCAAAAAATGACCGACCATTTTTGAAGTGACATTTCGAACGTTCGAAAAATGACCGACCATTTTCAGAGTGACATTTCGAACGGTCAAAAAATGACCGACCATTTTCAGAGTGACATTTCGAACGGTCAAAAAATGACCGACCATTTTTGAAGTGACATTTCGAACGTTCGAAAAATGACCGACCATTTTAAGAGTGACATTTTGAACGGTCAAAAAAATGAACGACCAATTTTTGAAATGGCGTTTCAAACGATCGAAATTTGACTGAAAAAAGTTTGAAATGTCTGAAATGAAATAAATTGAATCAACGTTTGCGAAAAGTATGGAATTTTGAGAAAACTCCGCGTGCTTCGTGATAATGAGTAAGCTCCTAGTTACTCTGACAAGGAAACTGTTTTTATCCCCCGGTTGAACTTTTGATGAAACTTCGCAGGGGTGTACTTTAAGGCATGCTGATTCCAAATCAAAAAAATAAAAATATCTCGCCTTTTGCCTCGTAGTCAAATTATGACGGCTCAAAGTTTGCACGTGAAAGACTGGAACGCAGTAAGAAGGAATGTGTCTCGCGCACGAGCCCTCACTTCCAGCGTAAGAGAAAATTTTCGAATAGGCATTTCGAACGGTCGAAAAAAATGACCAACCAATTCAAGAGTAACATTTTGAACGGTCAAAAAATGACCGACCATTTTGAGAGTGACATTTCGAACGGTCAAAAACTGACCGACCATTTTTGAAGTGACATTTCGAACGTTCGAAAAATGACCGACCATTTTCAGAGTGACATTTCGAACGGTCAAAAAATGACCGACCATTTTTGAAGTGACATTTCGAACGTTCGAAAAAAATGACCGACCAATTTCGAAGTGACATTTCGAACGTTCGAAAAATGACCGACCAATTTCAGAGTGACATTTCGAACGGTCAAAAACCAACATGTCATTCTGAAGTGACATGTTGAAATGTTGAAACTCCAACCGTTCGACCAATGACCATTTATTATGACATGTTGAAAAAATATTGGTCGAACGGTCGGTCGAACGGTCAATTTTCGAAACTATAATGACTAAATATTAATTGCATCCCCCTTTTTGTTCCTAGAAAAATACTTTTAAACAGCTGTTCTGAAACAATTTTTAAACAGAAATGATAGTTTTTTTGGCTCTGTAGACTTTTATGATTTATCTAAGATCTACATCGTTGTTAAGAAATGAGAAAAATAGAAATTAAACCTTGCAAAGTAAAAAATTTCAATGAAGAAAAAATCACTAAGCTTTGGTGGATGATCAAAAGAAGTTACTTGCCGGTTAGTTTATAAGCTTCATTTTTGACCAAAATGTTTTTCCAACCAATGCCCATACCAACCTGTAGTTGACCATAAGGCCGAAACTGTTGTTGATCCCGCGATGACTCGTGTCGCCCATCCAGTTCAGCCGATAAAGCTCTGCCCCGTTGCGGATGTGGAAGTTGGCTGGAATGTCCAAATTAGGATTTATTTATTGTCGGGGATCTCACCGACAGGGTTCAGAGCAAAGCCATTCCGCTTGGCTTTGCACAAATAGTGGGCGCAGGCGTAGATCAAGAACTCCTTCAAGAGTTTCAGCTGCTCCAGATCAGTCCTTTCATTACCGAGAACCTATGTTTTGAAAACTCTATTCCGTAACAAGAAGCGTCATTGTTTAGTGTTTGAGAATCATCTGAAAATCTCTATCTGTGCAAATTTTTGGATAGAGCCGTCGAGAGAAAAAAAGAAGTTTCACAGGTTAAAGTTCCGTCAAGATCTTCCATCAGTACTTTAGAAAAAAATATCCATATTCAAGCTTTTTGAAGTTTTTTTTTATTTCAAAGCTCTCATCCACATTTATTCTATAAAAACACAATTTTGCTTTGTTACATGGTAATTTTTGGGATCGAAAAATATGAAAAGTCTCTAGAAGAGCGGAAAAATGCTTCCGCCTTTAGTCAGTTTTTATTTGGGATGGAAGAAGTTAAAAAAAAAGGAAAATCTCTTTGATAGTTGAACCATTTCCATTTCTAAAACAAACCTGCAATAAAAGTTTTTCGGCGTCCTTTTTGTCCAACTTTTTGCCGCTCATCTGCGATACGAGTTCAACAGCTCGGTCATCAACAACAGAGTCTTGAAAATGTTTCAGTAGTGATAAATGTTCACCAAATTTTATAAAATCTGGGAATTTCTTGTTATAAAAATGAAAGTATGCTGATTTAGAAACATATTTAAAATAGCATTTTCTTAGTTGTTTGCAGTTTTCGAAACTTTTTTTTTAAGTTCATGTGGTTCTCGTTTTGTTCTGACCGTATTCGGCGTTCCCATGGAGATTTCGAATGAGCCACGGCCTGAAGCCTGGTATCGGCGACAGGGTGCTGTGGACCTGAAGAACAATATTACTCGTTTCGTTGGTTACTGACTTTTATCGAAGGGACATCCGTTTGCAATTGCGACGCAACTTCTTTGATCAGCATATTTCCCAGGTCGATTCCACTCAATCCTATGAAGGTTTCCAAATATTATATACTTATAAACGAGTACCTGGCTGAGTTGAAGTTATTGAATAGTAGATTGCTGTCGTTTGATCTTCTTCTTTTCCTACTGGAACGCCGCTTTCAACTATGGTCTGAAAAAAGAAATGGGAAGAATTCTCAAAAAAGCCTAACCTGAACGTTGTCGGCGATTTCTTTCAGAAGTGCAACGTGGACCATGACGAGCGGCTGTCGCGGTAGAGCTTCGTGCAAAAAATAGAAACATCTGAAAATATCCCAAAAGAATGAAAAAAAAAGGAAAATCAGACCTTCTGAGAGGTCCCAATCGTTTTCGAAAATCGGTAAGACCTCTGACGGGATGGACAGCTTCGTACTCGGCCACCTACTGATTTTTATACTTTTTTTTTCAAAAAAAGCGAAAAACCTTTTGCAAAATGTCGCCAGGTGATTCCCAAGTGAGTCGCTCCAGTTTCAAACTACTCAAGCAGAACCAAGAAGTCAGCATTTCTTTACATGCCGCCTCCAAATGACGAAAAATGAGCAACTTTTCCTTGTTGGCTTCATTTCTCACAATGTTCTGAGAAAACCTGACTTTTTGATATGAACGATATTTGAAAAACGAACCAGTAAATTAGCACGAATCGCGCAAATTTTCATGACGCCACCTGGCAAATTCCCTACTGCTTGCAGCAATTTGACGTAGGTTGCAGTGGCTGAAGACCTCACTTCCGGATACAAAAACTCATTCTGAATACCAACAAGAATATTTCGAACGGCCGTTTTTTCAACCTTACTGTACATGGCGATAGCGTGGTTCAGCGCCGCTTTATTGACGCCGTAGTCTTTCCCAAGGTTCGCAAGAATGTCCCGGCGTTCTTCATTCGACGCATCGCTATAATTATCCACAAACCTTTGACTGAAAGTCTGAAAAAGCAAAAAAAAAAAGTAATAAAAAATTTAAATGAAAAACTCACCAACAAATGATCGCCGGTCGTCCTTGAAGTTAGGCCTTCAAGAAAAAGATAGAGAAGAAGAACATCTTATTACACTAGTATGAAAAATAACTTGAACGAAATATGATTCTAGGTGACATAGGAAGGATTTAAAAATGAAAATCAAAAAAAGTTCAAAGAGAAATAAAAAAATAATAAAAAAACATAAAGTTTAGGAATGTGTGCCCTGTCGCAAATTACTGTGCAGGCCGCCGAGCTCCGCGCAAAATCGAATAAGTTTTGCTTTTCCTTTCAGCTTTTTTGAATGTCTTTGTGTTCATTATATATAATAGAGAATGATTCACGGATGAAAGGAAGAAATTACTTTCGGGAAAATGAAATAACAAAGAAAGCATAGTCCATTTTATTTCGATGAAACTTTCTCACAACTTGAAAGATTTTTTTTTACATTATTCCCCTATCTACTTGTAAGTGCTTGATTCAATCCGATTCCCGAGAACTAATTCTATATTTTTTTTTTGGCTTTTTCAATGTTTGAAGCTTCAAATTAAGGTAATAATGAAAGCAGTATCCGCACTTGGAAACCGCTCCACGCAAATCGCTCAGCGAGCATGCTACGCGACAGCCCCAAGCTCTGAAATGTTGCGTTTCCGCTCGCCAGTTCTCCAGACCAACACGGTTCATTTACAAACAATTTTTGAAAAAACAATTATCTGTTCAGACAAAGTTGGCTCGCTATGGCGGCAGACACAACGTTGCAGTGCTTCCAGGAGACGGAATCGGCCCAGAAATGCTCGAACACGTCGAGAAAATCTTTCAGCTGGCCAAGGTACTTTTTCAGAACAAGATCATATGTTCAGCGTCCATTTATCTAATTTTTAAGGTTCCTGTGGACTTTGAGACTGTCAACTTATCTTCGAAAGAAGACGCCAGCGAAGATCTCGCTGAGGCCATCACAGCGATCAAAAGGAACGGAATAGCTTTGAAAGTATGTCTGAGATAAGAGCGAAATACTGATTTTGCGTGAACTCTCAGAAAAAAAAGAATAGCTTATAATATTTGGTTGTTAGGGAAACATCGAGACCAAGTTCGACAACCCAACATTCGTGTCTCGCAACATGGAGCTCCGCCGACAGTTGAACTTGTACGCCAATGTCCTCCACTGCGCTTCCATCCCCACCATTCCCAGCCGTCACAAGGTTCGAACATTTTTTGTTTTATTCATTGAAATCGTGTTATTTTTTGAGAACATCGATATGGTGATCATTCGTGAGAACACAGAAGGCGAGTATTCTGGAAGAGAGCACGAAGCGGTTGGATCTCCTCGCGTCGTCGAAAGCTTGAAGGTTGGATTTTTGGAGTTTATAAGTGACTTTGCATTGAAACATGCTCAGGTTGTGACTCGGGAGAAATGCGAGCAGATCACCCGTTTCGCCTTCCAATTCGCCAAGAAGTACAACCGCAAGAAGGTGACTGCCGTCCACAAGGCCAACATCCAGAAGCTCGGCGACGGTCTTTTCCTCAAGATCGCCGGCGAAATCGCCAAATCTGAATATCCCGACATCGAGTTCAACTCCATGATTGTCGATAACGCCTCCATGCAGTTGGTGAGATTTCAACTCAAATTAATTTTGTAGAAGTATCTGAGTTCCGATCTTTTATTTTCAATGATTTCCTTATCCCATTAATATTTAGCAGTGATTAAATCAGGTTAAAAAGAATGGAAGACAGCTGAAATATCATTGTTTGGAGGGTGTTGGGAATAATTTTTTTGGATTTGATTTTAAATGTTTCATTAAAAAGAAACGCTTATAATTCTCCACATTATTTATTTTTTTCTGAGAATCAAGCGATTATTGTTTACGTCTTATTCTTATATTCAACGAATGAAATGTACCGTTTTTTGCGTAAATCTCATGTTTCATGTCGCAAAACAAAAGGAGAATATTCTTTTTTTTTCTAAAGCATGTTATTCAGCTTTGAATTTTTTCTGAAGAAATCAGGCCTCTAAAAGTTGCGAAAAAGATATACGAAAATTTGCCGTTTACTCGGAGATTGGATTGGAAATAGAAATGAATTTTTTTTCTGGAGAAGGAAAAGTTTGAGATTATTTCCATAAGTAGATAAGGAATTTCTTGAGTTGATGAAAGTTTTCACAATCGTTACTTCGAAGTCCATACGATAACCAATTTTGTGTAAAATCTTAGGAAAATGAAAAATGATCGATTTCTCGCGGAGTTGAAAGATAGTAGGTGGCCAATTATTCATTTTTTTTAGTAATTTTTTTTTTTCTCTGACCGATAGTTTTTTGGGAACTTGTAGGTGGCACGACCGCAGCAGTTTGATATCATGTTGATGCCCAATCTCTACGGCAACATTATTTCGAACATCGCCTGCGGACTCGTCGGCGGCCCCGGCCTCGTCTCCGGCATGAACATCGGCGACGATTATGCCGTTTTCGAAACTGTAAAGAGAGGAAAAGAATCAGAAGCTAAGCCGTTGTTCAGGGCACCCGCAACACGGGAACGACTCTCGCCGGAAAAGATCTTGCCAATCCGACCGCATTCATTCGCGCTGCCGTCGACATGCTTAGGTTTCGCTCTTTTCAACATATGATCACACAAATTGTTTGTTTTTTTCAAGTTTTTAGTCCCCGTAAATTGCGGCGTCTTGTATCAGATTTCTGATCTTCGAGTTATTTTAAAACAGTGAAATTTTAGCACTGCTATCATGTCTGAGCCTGAAAGTTGGTATGGAGGTTTCTGAGAAAAGTTAGAACGAAAGAGGGTTGGAAAATGTTTTTCCTATAATATATTTTTCACTTATGTTATCATTACCTTTTTTCCATATTTTTCCCAAAAGATTTTTATGAGCTGGAATCGTGTTTACGAAACTCTCTCAAAGATCAAAGATTTTGCTACATTTTGTTAGACAACTTATTTGTTGACATAAAATATTTATTATATATGAGTACTCTCAATGATTTGACTGTTTTTTTTTTCGAGATCAAGGAGCAAAAATAAAAATCTTCAGATTCCTCGGATTGACGGCGCACGCAAACGTCATTTCGGACTCGCTGTTCAGAACTCTGGTCGAAAAGAGAATTCATACCAAAGATATTGGCGGAGAAGCTAAGGTCTGCGGAAAATCCGCGTACGGGGCTCATTCCAAGAGTTTGCAGGCCTCGGAACTGATCGCTTCTGTTTTGGAGTTCATCGAAAAGGAGATCCAAGAGACCAACTTCCGACCATGAACCACCTTTCAACCGCCCTGTTAAAACTTTCAAAGTATAAGGCTTTAGAATTTTGGTAGTCGTTTTCGTGTTAGTGGATTGAGTGGAACCCTCGGTGACTTTTTGAGCATAATAACCTCTTTTTTTGGTACTGATTCTTTCGTGTTCTTACTTTGTCTCCGGAAGCACTGTTTAACAGCTTCATCAAACTCGTCTGAGCTTTTTCCTGTCATTCCTTTTTTTTTTGGTTGTTTTGCTTCTACTTCTCCTATGATCTTTCCCCACTCGAAAATGTTGTGCTCGGATGAACATCGAATGATTCCATAAAAGTGGCCCAAATTTGGCGACCTTTCCTCAAATAAATGTTTAGTTTTCAAATCTTGGTTTTAAGTTTGAGAGAAAGATGCCTATTACTAAGAAGTGGAGTCAAAATTTTGAAAAACTGAGAAAGCTCGGAGATTATTTCTGAAATTCCCTCATGAGTATGGTGTTGCGTTGCAAAGAGAACAAACAAAAGAGCTCAGGTATCCGTTCAGCGGCTCCGTTTCGCTATTTTCTTGATTACTGTAGCTTGAATCTTTTTTCATGAAGTTAGATCAGGAAGGATTCTTCATGATCGTCTCCGCCATTTTGATACGAGACTTCTACAGAAAAGTCCAAGTCTTTTGGTCTCGCTATCCTTTGAATATTGAATATTATATAAAGCCGGACGAAAATGTGGCGAAAAAAATCTATGAAAAGAAAATAATTGTGCAAGTGAAAAGTAAAGATTCGTGAAGAAGGATCGATTTCAGTAGCTGTCTCATTCTGAAAGTGTTCGAGAGGCTTTTCATGTGCACAGTCTTTTTGGAGGTGTACTTTTACGAGGAAAGTGTGTGAGATGAGCCTCGAAGATGTGGCTCAAACTTCAGCCGTAGGAATTCCTAGTATATATCATTTATATAAGTAGCCTATCGCAAAATGTAAGTTCAAAATAAGCTCTTCGAGTTTTTTGTGAAAAAAGTTCTTTTCTCGTGTTTCTTCTGATAAGTACATAACAATAGACAATTTAGAAATTGAAAAACGAAGAAAGTCAGTTTTCGAACTTTTCCGTAACTTTTCAACAGGCTATTTTTAGTACTCCATGGCGCTTAGCAGACATTTTTTTATGGTTTCGATACCTAGGACTATCTACCGCAGGAGTTTGAACCATATCTGAAACTTTGCTGAAGTGTACTACAGCACCTCCTTATTTCAAAACAAGATAAAAAAATCTCAATATATATATATATATATATATATATATATATTTATATAGATTTGCGAGTTAAATAACTTCATAAGTTTGAAATAGTCTTTTTTTTCCATTTTCGTATTTTGCAAACTTTAAAAGTTCATAATCCTAGAACAAAATTTAACTAGCAAAGATCTATTGACTTTTTTCTCACTCTGTAGTCAGGAGGTCCGAAAATACATTTCAGCAATTTTCCTCAAAATTAAACTGGGGGCAAAAAAGTTTCCTATTTATCTACTCCTCCGGATTTTTTTCGTGTTTGTTCTCTAGACCATAGTAGAACCCTAAAAGATCAAAATCAGCAGCTCTTGCGAAAAAAAAAACGTTTTTGTGTCTAAATTTATTTCAACAGCAAGCTTCAGCAGCCCATAGAATCAATGTTACCGTAATCGCGTGGAGTGTTTGCGGATCAGTTGAGGGCGTGACGTCCCTCAAGAGGCCCTCGATCCGACCGTAGGAGTGCAGAAGACGCGATGAGAACCTCGTGGGTGGTTGCATCTCGGGTCCTGGCAGATCAATATCCACGACGTTCTCATTCCGGCTTCTTTCCTTTTGTACGCTTCTCCATCAACTCCTCCACATTAGAGGTTTCTTTTTTTCTTTCGAATTTATTTCCCATCGAAGAGATTCCAAGAAATTTATAAGATTCTATCCAAGGAAATGAAACAAATTTACATAAGTGAAGAGTTACTGTAGAATATGAGTCTAGGACAATAGACTAGGCACAGGAAAATAAGAGCGACAGGGAAAAAACCGGTAAAGTATAGATGAACTGTTGTTTCTGACGTGATATATTAGGGAGAACAGTGATTATGCTAACTACTGAACAATTTGATGAACATGCTCAAAATTCAGAAAAGTAGACGGATGCAATAAATTAAAAACTATAAATACACGTTTGCACATAATAAATAAATTTAAAGTTTAGAATTGAACCGTAGCCGATTTAAATAAGAAAAAAAAATCATTGCATGGAGCCACCACTGCCCTGAATACTGCAGTAACGTGCAAAAGTGAGAATCAAAGCGTCGTGGAGTCGACGTCTTCAGCCTGGAACGAGTTATTGACGAAGGAGGCGTTGAGAACGCCTGTGCTGCCGCGTTTTGTCGAAGAAGACTTTTTCTCCTCTGAAAACATCCTCTGCAATTAAGATTCTGTTCTTCAACTCACTCGAAGACTTCTTCACCACAGGAGGCACCGGCGACGAGAAGGCCACCCCGGCAGCGACGACGTTCGGATGAGAAGAGCGCATTCCGAAGGTCGACGTCTTCTTTTTCTTGCGCAAGGCCGACGACGTCTTGTCGCTGGAAGTCGAGGTGAACATCTCGGCCTCGCTGCCGTCCGTCTCCAAGTTGCTGCCAGCAGAAGACGTCGCCTCATCTGCGGCCACTTCTTTCTTCTTCGACGAGCTCGTCGAAGACTTCGTTTTCGGTTTCGGCGTCTTTGGTCCTTCGATGAACGTCGGCACAGAGGGTTTCCTCGGCTGCGGCGAGGGGACTTTGGCCGGAACAATTGTCGCCGTCGTAGTGATGGCAGCCGTCAACTATAGAAAATCATATCAAAAAAAGCTTCGAAATATTTCCTTTTCTCTTGTAATTGGGGCCGCACAGAGTATCCAAAGTTTTAAAAATCGAAGCGAATTTTTCTTTCGTTTTTTTTTTGATGGCTGGTTTTCTTGGAAAAAAAAACGTTTCTAATGAGAAATGGATGAACATTTCGAAATGTGTTTATTACAGTATATATGATCTTTCTTCGAAATCTTAGCTACCTCGAACTTTTTGATAATTTATAGCGAGAATGATTTCTCAAATGTTTCATACTGGAGATTTAATTTCAACGTTTAGCAAAGCTTTTGATCATTGCTGTTCTCATGGATCTGTCAGGTTCAAGCTCCATTTCCCTTTTAACCTTAAAAAATAAGGATTTTTGGAACATGGATGCTATTGACTATAACTTTGTTCAGGCTTTTGGTGTTTGCAGGGACTCTTGTTCGGGATTCCGTACCGGAGTGACGTTGATAAAGGCGGTTGTGGTGGAAGTGGGACCGCCCATCGCGTCGGCGCCGATTGGTCCGACGGTACGCGGCTCGACGACCGTAGGAGTGCCCACTTGAATGAGCGTTCCGACAGCTGAAAGTGTCGTCTGTTTGTCCAACAGATCATGATCCAACTACCTGGCTGCGATGAAGACTCGATCGACACGGGAGCTGTCAACGGCAAGTCTGGCTGAATATCCCTTTTAGTTGTTTTTTTTCAGAGAGCATTTTGAACTTTTATGTGGTGATATCGAGACCCAAATAATTTAACATCAATATATGATTGAAAACGGACACAGTTCGAAAATAGTTTTCTCTTTAATTCAGCTTAATCTAAACTTAATTCGACCATCTCCACTCTCACAAATGCTAGTAAAAGAATAACATTGTTATTTGAACACAAAAAACTTAAAGTTTACTGAAAAACGTTCGCGAAGCCCTTCGAAACCCAGATACATTGAATACCTTGGTAGGGAAGCGAGGAACAGCAGCCAAAGGAGTTGACTGGCGCGGCAAAGTCGCAGGAGCGAAGTTTGTCTCTTTTTCGTAGATGCTCTTCTCAAAAACCGTGTCTCGTCGCTCTCCCCAACGCCCTCCGTCCGTCGCGACATTCTCATCGCCCCATTGAGGTGTCTGAAAACTTCGAGTTCGATCTTCAGCTTTATTTATTTCATCGTCTTACAAAGGTGGGACTCGTTGCTGGTACGTGGAAAGGTGCCGCTGGAGACAAAGTCTTGGGAGTCTCCTCGGCGGCTCGGAGGAAAGGGTTCGTCTGACTGACAGTCGCGTCGACGAACAGCGGACCACGCACGTCTGATATCCTCACACAGTGGTATCCCTCCAGAAGTTCGTGCTAGAACAGAAAAAAAAATGGTTCAGAAGGCAAGAAGGAGGCAAACGTCGTCATCATCTTCCAGCCCGTCGTCCTCCAGAAGCGGCCGACTTCCGCCGCCGTCGTCACTGCCGGCCACGTCGGTGTGCTGCGAGGACTCGGCGTCTTCGTCGTGCGAAGTGTCGCCGTTCTGTTGATTGAGTTCTGACTTGGAATTGAACTGAAGACACGCACTCGGCTTGTCTCGTCGGTGCTGTCGTGATCGGTCCTGCCACGACTGTCGCTGCTCGCGTCGTCGCCCACGCCGTCGATGTTCTCGTAGCTGAACCGCCGTCGCGCCTTCATTCTTTGCTCATCGAGTTCGCTGTCTTCGTCAACCTGACGCATAGAAATGGGAACATGAAAGATAATTGAGGGAGAATTCGAGCTTCTCATCGAACTTATGAATATATCTCTCTCTGAAAACTATCAACGTATTATCTTTGAATAATGGAATTTTTTTCATGTTCTTTTTTTTGTTTGAAAACAATACCCAATCTCAATAGATTAAAAACTATTTGAAGGCCTCATCGTTGACTTTGTAAGAGATAAATAAGAAGTCTAACAGTCCGTTTTTCAACTTTTTACCCCGCCAATTATTTTAAACAATTTTTTTCAGCAATTTTTTCAGCAAAAGTGATATAGCGAGGCCGAAGGCTAGCTTCATCCAATCCAAGCTTTTCAATACACGCATTTTTTATTTCGTATTTTTGGAGCATTATTTCTTTCGAAAACTTCAATAAACTCTTTTCAACCATTGCATCAACTTTTCCACTTTGCGAGCATACCGTATTTTTGCGGCCATCTGTCTGCGTTTCCCCGTCAAGCTCGACGGTTGGCAGCCGTGCGGCGACCAATTCTGAAATATCCCACAATTTCGAATCGTCAAGAAACAAGTGAATATTAATAATAGGGACACCACCGCCGCATGCTTCGTCTTTTCAGCCCGCACAAACACGCAAAACCACCGAAAGTTTTCGAAACAAAAAGTTTATGAACCAAGGCAAGAATTATGCTGCATAAAAAAAATATCACAAAGCTTTCAAATCGCTGACTAGAATCACAGGTATATTTAAAGTGACTGGTATGAAGAAAAAAAGAACACGTCATGAAACATTTAAAAAAATCTATATTTACAAACTCGCTACTTTACACACAGAGATTTCAAAAATGGGCATGCTGAATATTAAATATTTGTACAAAAAAGCCATGCTAAATTGCACAGAGGGTCTGAAAACTGAGCAGGACGGTAAAGAATGTTTCAAAGAGCTTTCGTAAGCTAAAATTTTTTTGACTGACAAGTTAGAAAGGATCTCTAAAGGGAGTCCAGCGAGAGGTGGTTCTAGTCGGAGCAACTGGTGGAGCTTCAATTTTGACGGAAAAACTGCTCGACGCATTGCTGAGGAGAGGCGACGGAGCGTTCCGGTGAGGCAAATTGGGATTATTGGCGAGGAAGGAAGACACGCGAACGGGGCGCCGCCAAGTCGTTTGAAGTTGACTACCTGGACGGCTGGAAGCAGTCGAGGCCGCAGGAAGATCGAAAGGCGCCGCGCCGAACGGATCTCGCGAGTCTATCGAGCTCGTGTCGTCGTCGGCGTCATCAGCGGTTCCTTCAAACTCTTATTCTCTAATCTCTCTTGTTTTGAAAATATGAACTTCTGTTCCATTCTTTATTATTATTATACTGATTTACTCACCAGTTCTTCTCGGCAATTCATCGAAATATTTGCCAAAATGCTGGTCGTCCATCGCTTGATTTGGAGGGAAAGGTGCTGACAAAAAAGGATTCCACACGCCTCCGTCGCCTCCTTCTCGCCGTGGAGAACTCGGCGCCGCAGTCTGGCTGTAAGGCCTGAAATAGCCACTTTTCTGGTGATACGGAGGCGAGAATCCGCACTTGAAAGCACTGCGCATCATCTGTGACGTATCGCTGGCGTTCCGGCGATGTTGCTGCGAAGCGTTTGCCGACGTTGTTGCGACTGATGGGAGAGAAGCGTGTGTAGTTTCGGCCTGCTGCACTTCGACCGTGACTGCCAGCGAAGAAGTCGCAAGTCGCGTGGCGTCGGTCGCAGCTCGTCCACGGAGCAGCGCTTCGTCTGTGAAAGACATTATGTTGTTTTATGTTTCAAAAGCCGGAGAATAATACCAAGGTCGGTGAATCCTAGGTCGGCGGGTTTGATGAGAGGACAAGACAACGGACCACCTGAAGAGACCGCGGCACTCGACGAAAGTTGAGAAATGTCTCCAGAAGTTATCAATCGTGAATCTAAAGCGTTTGAATTATTTTCTTCACTTTGTTCGAATTCAAAAAACGAGCTAAAGTATATATCCTTCTGTACAAACTATTACCTTGAAAATTATTTTTCAAAAAATTGCAAAACTTTACTTCATTTAAACGAAGTGAACTGTACTCCTCCATAAATTGAAGCAATAAACACTTAATCACATTATTCAACTGATTATGTGAATGTACAAGAAAGGTAATCGGTTAAAGACAGAACGTAACGAAATGACACAATTGATAAGAAATCGCGACCCAACAACAATTTGTCATTGGTGATATAGGATATTCGATGAGACAAAAAGATGATCCCCACAGAAAAGCACTCTTTTTATGAAAAAGGTCCAAAATCCAAGTCTGCCTGAGAATCTAAAGAAAAAAAAACGAATGAAACCGAAGGCGCTATGGCAACAAAACCCGCCCCAGACACTTTGCCACTTAACTTATCATCGTTACATTTTAATTATAGTCCCCCAGCATGAAAATTTCCCCTTCTACGATCGGAAGATTATTTCTCAAAAAGCAAAAAAACATTTAATTTGATTGCGAAATGTGCTTAAAAATCGTTTTTTTATCTTTCAGTTACACTGGAATCAAACTTGATTTTTTTTTTCTCTTCGTATAGGAGATCCGTTTAGGAAAGAACGCGGCTATTCGTCAATCAATTTGAACTTTGTCCCAATAATTCAGACGAGCAATTTGGAAAAAAGAAAGTGAATGCAGCTTAATTATAATTTGTTTTCATGAAAAACGGGAGTTGAAATCTGAAAGAGAAATCGAAAAACATTTGAATGAGCTGTCAACTGCGTGAATCTTCGAGCGCCAAAAATTCACGGCCTCTTCTTCAGACAGAGATTAACGAAATGCATGGAGAAAAATGTGTCAGCGTGAGAATCAATTCGAACTTAAAAAAAACGGACCACGTGTAAAGAGTAAAAACAAAAAAAGGAACCAGAGAAATGAGAACTCGGGACGGAGAGAGGGGAAAAGTGCGCATTTGTAATCAATCTGACTCGCATCCGCCGCCGTTGATTCCCACCCACGTTTTTCTAATATTCCAGATGTCTTACAAATGCTAACGAGCAGAAGTGTCAGAGAGTTCCTTTCGAACATGGAATGGAGTGTGAGAGGAACGGAGAAGGCTTTCTACAAAAAGTTTGGAAAAAGAAGAATTTTTTTCAATTTTATTACAGATTTTTTTCTCAATAAGTCATCTGAACCGCATGCATTTGTCTATGTGCGAGAAAAAAAGATGGAACAACGCTAGACTTTTCAATCGTTTACTAACCAGAAAAAAAAAATTGTGAAATATTTCAAAACACTGATAGGTTCACTTCAATAATTTGTTCGCCACCACTTGAGAAACTCTCGTTTTTCTGCGCACTCTCTTCTCTCGTTTTTAGGCGCTGTTAATTTTTTCTATGACCGTTTAAATTATAAAAAGAAGCGCAAACAGCTCATCATTGAAATTTGAGAATACCAATGAAAAAAAGAAGAAAAAAAAAAAAGACAAGCATAAAAATAAATTACTTGAGATTTGAAAGACATTAAAAGAAATCTCTTCTCTAGAAAAGAGGAAGAATTGTACTCAAAAAATAATCTCCATGTACTATAAAAATAGAGCTATAAGTAAAGAATTTTAAAAAAGAAATAGCAATGATAAAACTTTGAAAAAAATTCTTTTATTGACATTACTTTGTTTACTAAAATGCGTCCAAAAATCAAAAAGAAAACAAACCAGAGAGAGAACCCAAATCCGTAGAGTCGGCTGCGATGTCAAGCGCACGAATTTGCGGCGGCACATGCGACTGAAAAAAAGAAGCTTTGATATTTCGAAAGATAAGAGAGAAAATTGGGAAAAGCCGAAATCCATTGAAAAACAATGAAAAAAAAATTTACTGAAAAGAAGGATGATTTTTAAGAACTCTCGCTTGATATAACAAAAAATTGATTTTAAAAAAAGTTGTAAACCCTTTTTTCTCACGTTCTACCTCAATTATTTTTATTGTACTCAACTACGAACAGTTTATTTCTTCTAAAACTAATCCTCCTAGAAAACTATATACCTTGGAATTCCCGGTCAGAACAGGAACGACAGGAACGCTAGCCATGGGTTTCGGCCGGAGACGCGGATTCACCGAAGTGGTGGCCGAAGTCCCAAGCGGCAGTCCCGAGCTCGGTTCCGTTGAGCACAAGTCGCCGGTCGGAGGAACTGCGGGAGTCGTGCTTGGGACACTTTTGCGACGCACGTCCCTGGGACGACCCGCGCTGAAAGCCGCAATCACCTCCTCCAACGAGGGCGCGCCCTCTCTCTGGAATGTCGGAATACTTTTTTAAAATTATTTTCCAAATATTTATAGGTTTTCTAAATATTTATAGGAATATCCTAAAGATTTGAAAAAAATTAATCTGGGAAGCAGCAGAAGTTATATTTCTGTGAAAATGAGGTTTTTAAACTTTTAAACATCGAAAAGAAACGATGAAAAAAATGGTTTAACTACTTTTTCCAAATTCTCACTTTCTTTCTTTTTTTCGCAGTTGTGAAGCTTTATGAAATCTTTTTCAATTTGCTGAAATTGATAGAAACCTTCTTAATAATGTTTCTTAGGTTTTTTTTGCTGGAAAAATAGAACAAACCGAAGTTTACTGTTATCTTCAGAGAATGAGTTCGTTATAAGAAATAATCCTCACATAAACGTCCTCCACAGGCGATCTGCTCGAACCAATCGCTTGAAAAGCCAAACTCGCGCATTCGAAAATGGACAGTCGACGCGTGATATCGGCGTCGAGAAGACAATCTGAATAATTTTGGAGCTATTAACTTTTGATCAGTATATAACGAGCTGGTTTTTTTTTTGAACTATGCAGAGCTTTTTAATCAAAACAAAACTTCTACTAATGCTCAGAAAAGCTTCTGAATTTCTACAGGATCAAAACGTACGAATGATGGACTTTATGCTGAGAGGATACTCAGGCTGTGGCGGGAAAGAAAATGTTCCGTTTTGAATGGCCATCGCGGATTCTCCGAAAGGAAGCGCGAAGTAGCACAATTTGTAGAGCATGACGCCCAGCGCCCACATGTCCGACTTGGTTCCTGAAATTAGACAAAATGACTTGCACCAAATCAAAAATAGCTTCGACTACTTTGAAATAGTTTCGAGTTAATCACAATTATATGACTATAGAAAAAAAGCGAAAGGAAAAAAATAAACTTCAAACTGTCCGAAATGAGGCATTTATCAAGAAATTTCAAACGTACGTTCAATTGTGAACCTTTTTTTTGAGTGAAAGCTTATTATTTTATTTTATTTTGAAAACAACGTGAAATTTTTTTCTTTCGAAGAACGCCATTTTAGTACTTTCAAGGGTGATCTCAGCCCTTACCAATAGATTTTCCAGCGTAAATATCGACCATTTCAGGGGCTCTGTAGCTTAAAGTCGTGTACCGCTCGATTTCATCTTGAACGAACCGCGCTGCGTGTGTTTCAGTAGAAAGAACCTGAACCTTTTTGTTTTAAAAACGGAAAGATTTCGTGTACCTTGGTCGTTGCACTTCCAAAATCACAAAGAACATAGGTCGGAGGAGCGGCGCGGTTCCTCTCGTCGATAAGAATGTTTTCGACCTGAAACGCTTTTGAAAATTCCTTTTGATTGGCGAAAAACTGTTTTATTTCAATTAAAGTTAGCAAATCCTTTTCTTCGAAAAAAATGTTGAAATAAAAAATAAATAAAAAACTTTAAAGTTGATTAACTTAGCAAAACATATGTTCATCTTAAGATTCAGAGACCAGAGATAAAAAGCCTTCAAAAGCATCTTCCTACTAATTCTGCGATCTTGTACGCTTTTTCTATTGGGATGTACATCAATAACTATGATAGGTTATTATTTTACGATTTCACCTTCAAGTCACGGTGAATGACCGGCGTTTGAGAATGATGGAGTCTGGCGACTGCTTCGTTCATATCGCAAAAGATGGAAAGAACTTCCGACGAAGAAAGTCCTTGCCCTGCCGCCAGCCGATCATTCATCAATTGTAACACGCTAGCTGAAAATCCGGAAACTGATGAAAAAAGAAGGGAGCGGACAACCTTTGTAGTAGGCCGTGAGCAACATACAGTCGTAGATCCCGTTTCTGCTTTGAGTTATCAAGTGGTCCACGTACCCAACAATGTTTTTGTGGCCGTTCAACTCGCACTAAAAAGCTAAACGGAGTTATGCTTTCAAATAAGGGATGTTGAGAGAAAAAAAGTGGTGTGAAGGAAACTGTTTTACCACAATTTTGCATTCTCGCATGCAGGCCTCAACGTGTTTTGGATCGTCGTTGATGAATTGCCGCTTCAATGCAAATTGCCGATTCTTGCGATCCGTTACCAAATAAACAATCGCGAATCCGCCTGGAATGAGTGAACCAGCATACATATCATAAAATCTCGACTAAAACTCTAAAAAAAAAGGACGATTTTATGTTTATATATACCTTCCGCAAGCTTCTTTTCGATGATAACTGTCGCATTTTGAAGCCGGATGACGGATCCGCGACAATCTTTCTCGGGGGCTTCTTTCTTTTCTTTTGTGCTTGAAGTTCCAGTCAACGGCTGAGGTTTACCCGAATCTTTTCCGAAAAACCCAAGAGGCATAACCTCTGAAAGTAAAAAATTCGAGAAGGAGGAATAATGGATAGAAATGTAATATTATTTATGAATGTGCATGAAGTTAAGACACGTTGGGATTGACGAAAAACAGAAAAAAAACTGTGAGCTCCAATTTTCAACGGAGCCTTAGTGACGTCATCACATGATGCGGCGCAAACTTTTGGGCGGAGCTAAAAGCCGTGCCGCACCTTTGCCAAATTTGACCATTACCCGCTGAGAGGCTGTATCATTTAATATACATTTATCATTAAATAAGTTCGCTCTTTTGAGTATTATAATACTATGTTAAGTATGATGGAATGAAAAATAATCAAAAAAATATATAAAAACTTTTTCTTCTTCGAGAAAGGTCTGATCCAGTGAAACTGGGCGGACATGAAAAGTGAAGAACTAGAGATATATCTATACATAGACATATCGGGGTCATGTAATAGAAGTACACCGACCTATACATCAAAATGGATCAGGATAATGTATCAATGCGTACAGTATTAATGTGTACATCGTCCTACCTCCGGTATATACTTCCGCGCGGATCTCCGGAGATATACAGAGGACGTCGAGTGATGCCACGAGTTCTGGAAATTTGAAAGATATCTTGTGGTATCGTTTGGTTTCATCCCCCCTCACTAGACTACTGGCACTGTTTTGATATACCTGCTCGACCCGTGTGTATACAGAGACTATCAAAAAACCTTTTTTTTTTTCTTGAGAAGTTTCAAAAACTTGAAATAAATTAAGATAAATCGTTTTCAATAATGATAGAAAAAATTACTTTAGAGTGTTTTTCACCAAGCTTTTTTTTCAAGGTTTTCCAAGCTCTCAGAGCACAAAATAAAGTTTATGATTCAGTTCTTTGATCTATTGAAGAACGAAAAAAAACAATAAAATTTGTACTTCAAAACTTGTTCCAACTGTAAAACGGAATAAAAGACTTTTCTCTCAAGTGCTTGTCGGTCACGAGGGCTTTTTTCTATTATTTTAGAGTCAGTATAGTATTTAGTTTTATCCTGAGCTATTTCAATCTTCCGTGCGTGATCGAAGGTGTTTGGCTTTTGGGTCTAAGCGGAAAGTTTTCAATTGAAACTCGATGTTTATTTTGTAACCCAATGTCCCTACAAGCACTCGAAATAAAGTTATTTTCAGTGCTTTCCAACTCTTACTTTCACTCAGAAAAAACCTCTCAATCTCTTCTTACAGTAGTTCGTTTCTTTAAAAACTCGATTTACAATCTCCAGATCAAAGGATATAAGTTTTTCCTTACTTTTTTCAGAGGTCGAAATTCGAAATTGGGAGCCAAAGTTCTAGAGAAAGTTTTCTTATTTTATTATTTTCTTTTTTTTTTTTGAAGTAGCTCATATGTTCCTGTGACTCGAGTACTCCCACGCAACGCCGAGATTTATATAACTCTGTCAAGTCCTTTCAACAGTTACCGACTCGGAGATTCGCGTCGAACGTCAAACAGAAGCGAAATCGAACATCTCGTGAGAAACTAACCCAGCGGTCGCTTACAAGTGAACAAAGCTCAAACAGAGCCGCTATCCTCGGCTCTCCTTTGCCTTTTCTCTTCTTGAACTCATTTTTCGTTCAAGGTTCAGAAGAAAAGAGAAATTGATTGCTTTCACCGAAAAAAAAATTTCAAACCTCTGTAAGGAACATAGCATAGTGTAAAGGCTTGTATAGACTCTCGGAATTTCTATTTGGACTCTTTCAATAATTAATACAATAATATATTGAGATTATTTTAGATAAAAAATTTCAGTTTTTTTGCAAATTTCCCCGTTTTTTTCACCTAAATTTTGCAATGATTTTTTTTTGAAAGTCAAACTTCAAACTGACAGCATGCATTTTCGCGTCGAGGTGTATGCACGACTAACATTATAAATAACGCCGCGAAAGGAGAGGTGCGTCCCTCAACAACAGTGCCCGATAGCGGTTGTATTTGCGAGACATTGGGCCCTTTTTCAACCACCTTGTCGTCAATTTCAGGTATTTTTTAAATCTTCTGTTTCGAACGAGCCGTGAATCAATTTAGGAAAAATTAAAAAATGACTTGATTTTTTCTACTAATAAAGCCGATTTTCAACTTTATTTGCTTTTCAGTTCGCCATGCCAGACAGTATGCGTTTGTTCAGCGGTATGTACAAAATTTGCCAACTTTTTTTTCAAACTTTAGAATCTTTAGCCTATTGCCTATAACGACTGACGAGAGTGTAGCTTTGTAAACATATTTATAATTTCGCAGTAACTCCAAAAATTTCGAAGACAGTTTTATTTTGCCCTTTGCTTGAGGAAAAGTTTAATTCAATTGGAAAAAAAAAATTTAAGAGCGAACTCCTTTTGAAAGCTCTGAACTTTGATTCGCACTGAGAGAACTTGTTGTACTGCAATTTCGCTCGTTTCTATTCAATTCCATTCCATAAATGCCACTTCTTTCCACCTTCAAAGGGCTGAATCTTGAACCACTCTTAACTTCTAATAGCTCGCCGATTTCCAGTAACGTTTTTTGATGTGTGTGCAGATTTTTTTTTTCGAATATTTAACAAGCCAAAAGGATTTCCTATTTTTGAAGAGCAAGGCTAAACTGACGCTTCACTTAACTTTGAAAAAAAAAGCGAAAGAGGCGTTTGTTATTTACTGGCCCGTAATTTCGGAATCCTACCAAAATGGAGAAAGGGAAAAATAGATTTTGTAGTTCTGTCGAAACGAGTTCTCTTTTTCGTATTTAAGTGTTTTCATAATTTCATGGTTGTTTAATATTTTTTTCTCGCTTTTTTTCCACCGCTGAATGTGTCTATATGAAACAGGAATTCGCGTTCAAATGATGGCTATATTTCGCCCCAATTACATTTCTCTAGACTTTTTTTAAACATTCTGTCTTTTTTTGAATTAAAAGAAATCGAAAAATTTTTTCCTGAGAAGCAGGAATTTTTGAAATAACTCTGGCGAAGAACTCAGTAAACAATTTCCCACACTTTATCTAATTTTTAAACCCCTTTTCAATCAAGAAAATTACCAATATATTGTTCATGGAACGCAGGACCAAAAACGAAAAATTCGTTTGGTAGTCTAATAAATTCTCACGCTTCCCAAATTGGACCAACGGAGCTCTTTTTTGGCCTTTCTGCAAGGTATAGGAACGCATCCCAGAATAAATACATCTTTCAGACGTTCTTCTGCGTAAATAAGCAAAAATGAATGTTTTGGGCCGAAGCTCAGCACATTTGCATATTTATTCTTTGCGCAGCTTTCTTCAAGCAGATCTTGGCGTATTGAGAAAAAAAAACCTTTATCCGCTTTTTTTTTTTGGTTTGATTAAACGACTTTTTGGAAGCAGAAAATTGGCCTTTTCTTCTTCCAAGTTGACAAATTATCGCGATAAGGCTATATTGAAACTTCGGCAGGTGTCAAATCTCATTTAACGTATGAGTTCTGAGAGCAAAAAAGTTGAACTTCGTTAGTTGGTCAAAAAACGACTTCTTCAACACGAATGCTCTCTGAAAGCGTTCATTTTTTAAACGCCTTTCTCTCACCTCGTTAAGTATGGCTCTCCATCATTTTTCTTTTTTGGTCTGCAGTTTTGGAGAAAAAAAGTTCTCGTGCTAGCTCCCACGTGAAACTACAAAGTGAGTTGTGAGGATTCCACTATTTCCTTCTCTTGCAACTCAAAAATTATTTTTTTTGAAGAAGCGGAAGGTATATCATCCTGAATGTGCTGAAATTTTATTCTCAACTTTTTTAAAATGTGTTTTGGTTGATAGGAAGATTATTGTCGGAATCAAGTCTTAAGTACCAAAGATTAGACTCTTTTCCGCTGCGAAATCACCTCCCACGTAAATGAATATCATTGATAATTTCGATAAGCTCTAATTTTGGTTGAGGTCACATGTTTTAATCGTGATCTGAGTTAGGGTGTGTCTTTTTCTCACTTCCATTTTCTGTAACAAACGTTATTGAATGAATTTTAAATGACTTGTTCTTTATTCTATTTTCTGGCTAAATTAGATCTGTAAATGGAAAATATTACTGCCGAGCTGCTTTTCGGAAATTTGGACAAAAAAAAATCATCGGTTCCTATTTGGCGGCCCTTTACAGTCTCTTTAATAAGCTTCTCCTTGCCTGCTTTTTGAAAGTTACATAAAAAAGTATCACAGCTCAATTTGAAACTGAAGTCAGCTCAGTTCTCAGGTTTTATAAGTCCAGCCTCTGCTTCTTCAAACCCCGAGGCAGAGATGTCTGATGAGACTACCGTTTTTGATTTAAAGGGATACCGTGCCAGACATTCCACACGTTTTTGCCCAAAAAAAGCGCGTGATTTCTCGCATTCCAGAAAGTTTGAAGGCTTTCTGTCTCGTGGTCAAACAGTACTACTGCAGGGTAATTTGACGAAAGAACAAACTTGAACGGTTTCCACGCGTTTTTTCTTTCGCGCGGCGACAACTCGACGATTAACAAGAAGCGGCGTTTGTTGTTTGCTCAGCCAATTTGTCGCTTTTGGCCTTTGCCTGTCCCTCGGTTATCCTCTTTAAACGCTTTTCTATTTTGACTTTTGCAACTGATTCTCGTTTTAATAAGTTTTGGCATCAATGCCGTCTTTAGTGCACATTAAGATCTTCAGCGAATTTTTGAAATTTTGTCGTGATTTTTTTAAAATTTCATTTTCAAATCCTGAACTCTCATTTCGCTGACAAAAATAAAAAAACTTTATCATTATTTTTGTTCCATCTTCTGGATTTTTCCGCACTTTCTCCTCATCTTGATAGTCAAATCAGTTCGAATTTATCAAGGTTACTGATTTATCACTTGCAATCTTGCGATAGAGAAAAAGGTCAATCGACAACAAAGAAGATTTTTTTGGAGAAAAAAAGCGAAGGTTTAGTGAAACTTTCGTTTGTTTTTGAATCTTAATTTCTTCCGTTATCCTCGCTTTTTCCTCCGAGCTTTTGTAAATTTCAATTCACGAACCCTAATCAAAAAAATTTTTTTGGTTCAAACACGTTTTTTTATTTTATCTTCGTTGCACTTTTTTTCTTTTTAATCTTCTTTATTTGTAAATTAAAATGATCTTCTATTTATCTTTTTCCAAGGGAAGGAGGATTGCTCATTTTTTTACTTAAACTTCTTATGAAGGTTTTTTTAATAAAGTCGAATAAGTCGATTCAAGAAATTTTTTTAGTAAAAGTAGCACGAAAACGTCTTCGTAAAAAATAACTGAATTGACTATAAAAGTGGAATTAAAAGCCCCACAGAAAATTAGGCGTATTCAGTCGGGAAGTCGGACTGTTTTCGAAGACTCATATTCGCCGACTTCCTAGCCGAGAATCATAAATATTTGACTGCGCAAAGTTTTCTTTTTTTTCGTCGTGGGACTGAGACTCAGTCTAGAATTTGACCTTTGTCCGGGCATCAGTTTCCACTTCGCAACCTAAATTTATGCTTGCTACTGGATTTCAAAGACAAGGAAGGTAGTATTTTTCAAGCAGAAACCTCATTTACGAGTTTTTCCAAAACACTTGTTTATCTTTTCAGACTTTATATTGAGAGTCACGACAAACTGTTTTCTAGCTTTTCTCCTACTACCTATGGTAAGTTAGAAGTTTTTAAGCACTGTAAACCAGAGATTTACAGTTTATTTCTGACGAATCCGTAGTTCAGAAATAGTTGGAAAATTACTTTGAAAAATTTACTCTCAATAGCTATTTGTAAAGTCGAAATAAAAGCCCCTCTCTCTATCGCCCTAGTTTTCCACTTAGAGAAAGGGGCAATTACAATCTTTTGGACATTTTTTGTTGAGTAACTTGAGCGCTCCAGAAGTGAACCTAATAAGAAAGATTGAAACTCAGGATTCAATTTTCTGAACTCTTTTTACTCCATAGCCTCTTCGCTAACCGAAAAGGTTCATTGAGTCCTACACTGCAGGTAAGACTCGGAGCTATTTCGAAAAGGCTCCACTTGCATAATTCGATTCCAAAGTTCATCGGACCTCCAAGGTCCACGCCGCTGTCCAATTCAATTTGCAGCCGCACAATCTCCGCTTCAACCTCCAATTTTTTCTCAGATCGAGGAAATTTGACTTCGAATTCCATTTTCCTAAAACTTCCTCGTGTTTTTTCACGACTTTGAACAAGTTTAGGGCTTGAAGAGTTTTTTCTTTCCATTTGAAACTAGTTGAACCCTATCCAATTTGTCAGGTGTGCAACGAATCGTTCAAATGGGATGTGATTGGATGGGCTTTTAAAGATAAAGGTTTCCTTTGAGAATTATTCTTTCCTCTGAACTTCCTTCTTTCTTCTTATAAAATGAAGATTTTCCTTCCAAGTAGACGTAAAATGATCTCGTTTCGATCTTGCTCGACTTTGGGTTTCATTGTGACATTTATCCGTCTGACATGTTTTTCTAGCCTCCTAGTTACTTGATTGATCATCTCGGACGAGTTTTTTTTTGTTGACACTTGAAGATCGATTTCCGATTACAATTTATTCTAAATTTTTTGGTTCTGCTCGGGAATTTATCAATTATGTATTATTATCGCATCTTTTTTTTTTTGTTTTTTTTGGTTCGAGAAGTTTTCAGTTTTCAACCAAAGCGTTAAAATATATTTCTTTTTTTTTTCAAATTTGTCTGTTCATCTGAAAGAAGTTTTTCCCTGGAGAGGGAACAGCAAACAAAAAGAATGGCGTTAGTCTTTGAGCTCACTTCTATTTTGAATTTCTTTTTTTCCAAACGAGATTTGTAGAATCCAAAAACAGATTTGGTGTAAAGATAAAAGAAGAATCGAGATTTGTTTTCCCCTTTTTTCATTTGATTTACACTTTCGATTACAGTTTTCCGATTATTAAAAGTTTTCAAGTTTTTTTCTTCTTTTAAATTAATTTCAGAGAACAAACACCCCTAAGGTATTTTCTCACACATGAAAGTGTTCCAGAGATTAAATTCACAGAAATGTGCTGGAAACGGCGCTTCTTTCTGAATTATGAATGAAATGGAAGAGAGTTTGGTCGAAGAGGCCGAAAAATTGGTTGCGACATTAAATACCTCCGCAACCTAATATGAAGTCTGCGTTCATTTGTCAAAGGGGAGGCGCTTTTTCCCAAGTTTCGGTCGTTAATTCTTGGAAAGTCTCCATTTTTGATGGCTATCATCAGATATTCTCTCTTCTTACGTATACTAGAACATCTCTCTTGCCTCCAGGGTAGGTACTTTTAGGCGTTTTTAGGAGTTAAACATTTGTTTTCTTTTCCTTCTTTTTTTCGGTTTGAAACCTGGTTTCTTTGTCTCACAAAAATTCCTTCTTTCCGAACTTTTTTTCCAGTTCTGAAGTCATTTTCGCAAATTTCTCTTAACTTGAACGAGGTTGCCCAAAAAAAAAGTTCAGGTGCTTCACCAAACTGCCGAAAGTGCACGAAAAATGGGGCTAATAAATCGTGAGATCGATGAGCTCGTGCTCCCGCCTGATCCTTCCTCATTCCACCAGTCCTCGTCTCAATTTGTCAGTTGCAGCGAGTGTACTTATGTATAATGTAGACTTTCATCCCTCCTTTCAAACTTGAAGCTAATCAGAAACGCTCGAAAAACTCTTTGGCTCAGCCTATTCTTTGAACTTCAAATTGCACAGATTCGAAATTTATTGAACCTTTTTTAGATTTACTTTACGAAAAAAAAACTATTCACTTTTGATATTTTTCGCTTGTCTCAAAGTTCATCAGAAACAAATTACGAAGTTTGAAAATTGAGAAAGTATCTCTTCTTTTTTTTGTCATGAGGTAAATTTTTGATTTTTTTTTTATATAAGTTGTATTTAATTTTTCTGCTAGGAATAAACAGTACTTAAAAAGCTTTCTAAAAATTGAATTATGACTGTTCGTTGTTAAAATTTGAAATAAGACACGGGAAAAATACGAAAGGGACCTCGCGTGTGCGTTTACATATTTAGTAGCGACATCCTGCTGCGGCTCCATTTTCGGCTTTTTTTTTCAAATTTTTTCTTCCTTACAATCATCCCCTCACTTGTCTCTGTCAACATTTTCCGATAAGCCGGAGTTAATTGTGAAAGAAGTTGTTCCACATCTATTTTTCTTATTTCGGTTACGATAGGTCTTCTAAAGTGTCGTTTTTGATGAATATCAACAAGACTTTTCATTAATACTAATTGAAAAAAAAAGCTTTTATTGGATATTCAATAGCTTTTCCTTGCAGAAATAAAGAAATAATGATATTTTATGCTTCTTTCTTCTTGATATTTTGCTTAAAATGCAATGCTAAAAATTCTTTTTTTCTTGCAAAAGCTCATTTTCGGAACGTCATCTTTCTCTCAGGTGGTGAAACTTTAGAGTAACTTGTATTCATAATATTTTTGAACAGAGAACATTTTTCTCTGATTTTGGACTTCTTATCGAGGTACAGCCGGACTTGTGTGGTAAATTTTCTGCACCCGCACGGAAAAGTCCAACTTTTTTGCTGAAACAAATTACATGACGTCGCAAATTTCTCATTAACCATGGAGGAACAAAAAACGGAAGTAATCCTTTCTGGAAAACTTTTATGTTTAGCTGCGTTTTTGCGAGAAGAAAAGTATTCAAAGCCGCAAAAGCTGTTGTAAAACTTGTGCTGAAATTCGATAGGCCAAACTTTGCTCCAAAAACTTCGTTCCTTTCCCAGATAAGCTCTTTGCGCCTGAAATTTGTTAAATTCGTCGTTCTTTTTTTACATCGCTGAAACTTTGCGGAAGCTTTTTCCTGATTTATTTGGCCACCTGATTCTCCTTTACGACTTCTTCTTTTCAGTCTCTTCTCGGTGCGGACTTCCGGCTCCTTTTGAAATATACTCATTAATGAAACATAGTGATAGATTTAGTCTGGGAAACCTTTTCGATGAATTATTCTCTTTTTTGGTCTCCCCACTAATCTTATCATGGCTTTTTTGACATAACCATACACATAAGAAAAAGTTTCATTCGTATCACATAAAAGTTTTGTATTTCTGACCAAATTCAAATCTTTTCCGTCACTGAAAAATTATCAACTGCTATGACGTCTCAATTTATTTTTTTTTCCGAAAACTGTTGACTCAGCTGCCTGACGAATATTTTTGGCTTGGTTCCTTCTTTCAGGCCCTGGCCCCGTTTCAATCCAACGTCCTATTATTTTCCTCCTCCTAAAAGAATTTTCTCATGAAAAATATCCCCTCAAAAGGCAAAATGGTTCTATGAATATCTGAAGGTCTCTCCACCGGCGAGAAATTACGGCAGAACGTGTTAATTGTTGTTGGAAGACGTGCGTCTCAATCAAAATTGTCGCCAAAATAATCTTTTACAAAGAAAAAACGACTTCCTTCTCATTTTTGGCCGAGAATTGCTGTTCACTTTTATGTTTCTTTTTGGTGATCAGTTGGAATTAATTCAAATTGAATAGAACGTTGAAGAAAAAACTTGTCATTTTCTTTTCTTTTTTTTCTGACTCGCTAAAGAGTCTTTTAATCCTCTTCTTAGCGTTGATCGATGGCGAAAATACTTATTTCGAGATGTTTGAGGCTTTTTTTATATTTCTTGCAGCTAATATGATTTTATTCCCAAAAAGTTGTGGTACTTTGGTTCGAAGCTCTCTGAATAATTTCTCAAAAGTTTCATAGAGGTTTGAATTTGCTGGTTGGAATTTCAGATATTTATTTAAAACATCGAAGATAGTTTTTTTCTAGTTTTCAGAATTTTGAGAGTCCAGAGAAAAAAACTACCTTCCTTCTCGAGCAATAAAGCTATACTAAAAACTCAATTCACGAGATATTTTTTTAAATATTTTTTTCAGCTAAATGAGTTAAATCCAGGTCCCGAGGGTTATATGTAGAAAGTTTAAGCTTAATCCGGCCATTCTTTCTGAAGCTATGAAGAACTGATATAATCCACAAGAACATCTCTGCCCTTTTCTCGGTTTTTTCTTCTTCTGCTCTCTGGTGCTCGACAAACTTTTTTTGAATTGAATGTTAGTTATTGTAGCGAAATTATCTCGAAACGATGGAGACAGCAGTGACGGTGAACGAACCGCCCGAAGTCATAGAAATATACCATCTTTCACCTTTCATGAAGGTATTTGGCTCGCAAGTTCCAACTCTCATCCAATCATTCCGGGCGCTGTGCATCTTCTTCTATAGTTCGCTCTGTGTTCTGTGTGTCTACGGCAACGCGTTGGTCATCATGGTTATTCTGTATTTCCGACGACTTCGCACTGCCACCAACATCTTTGATCCTGAACCTGGCTGTTGGTCAGTGGAACTTTAGTCTATCGACGGCTTTAGTTTTAATGAATCTTTACTCCCTCAACTTTTTGAAGACTAACCATCATGAGGTTCTGACAAGTCAGAGCAACGGTTTGACTTTAACAAAAGTAGTACTCAACGCTATCAAAGATACTGCTTCAGCGGACGTGCTCATTTCGGTGGTCTGCATCCCGTTTTCCTACTGGCAAGTGCTCATTTTCGACGACCAGCGCTGGCTCTTCGGATCCACACTCTGCTCTTTACTTGCCTTTCTCCAGGCCATGGCTGTCTTTCTGAGCGCCTGGACCCTCGTAGTCATTAGGTTAGAACTACGACGTTCTTCTTCAATGCGAAGTCTCTTCTCAGCTTCGATCGGTGGATTGCCATCATGTTTGTCTTATCGCCGAACGTACGTCTGACCAGACGTCGTGCACTGTATCTTGTCGGCATCACCTGGGCTTTCAGGTTGCCATTTCTCAATCAGTAGCGCTAACTGTGGTGATTCAGTATAATGATGGCTTTTCCATTGTTTCTAACAACGAAAACAATGGAGCTGGACGGGGTTACGAATTGCGGAGAGGACTGGACGACTTTCGGGGAAGCCGGTGAGCAGGTAAGGAGAGATTTCTGTCCAAATGTGAGAGTTGTCGGCGACTGGTTATTTTCCCTCTAAGTTTTATGTTAAAAACTATTCGCATTTTGCAAAATAAGTTGTAAAAATCTCTTCAAAAGCATATTAGGGAACGTTTTTCACCTGAAACTTTGATGAAGAGTATTTTAGGACCTCCTGTTTATAGAACGAGAAAAAATAGATCTGGTTTTCGAGCTGAGGCGCTTCAAAAGCTAAAAACGTTCCCTAGTTAGTACTTTTCAGTTTTGAAGATTTTCTTCCAAATAATATTATGTACACAGCTCATAGTGTGAAGAAAATTTTGCGATAGCTTCTTTTCAAAATCGTAAAAATCAGATGAAATTTTGAGTTTATTCATTTTCATTTTCTAAGTCCAAGTTTCTTCGAGAAATTATTTTTTTTTCGTTTGTGTCATGAAACTTTTGAGATCAACTTTTCAGAATTTTTTTTGTAACACTTCGGATTCCAAGCTCTGTCCACAAGAAAGGCTGGTTAGAATATTTGTCGAAACAGGCTTCAACATACCATAAAAAATTGCATTTATAGTACCTTATTTTTCACTCACGAGGTGTTCTCTCAGATGCGGAAGGTCTACTCATCGATGGTGCTGGTTCTGCAGTACATCGTGCCTCAAACAGTCCTGATCATCACCTACACACACATCGGCGTCAAAATGTGGAACAGTCGCGTGCCGGGCGTCCAGGCTCTTGGAAACCAGAAAGTTATCGTCGAAAGACACGAATCCGTAAAAAAGGTTCCTTCAAAGCGGTTTCCATCTGTATTGTCGGTTTCCACAGCTCGTCCCGATGGTTATACTGATATCGGCGTTGTTCGCCTTGTGCTGGCTGCCCTTGTTGCTTCTGATCAACGTCGTGCCGGAGATCTACCCCAACATCAACAGCTGGAACTACATTTTGTACATCTGGTTAGTAGGACTTCGTGACGTCATCGTAGATCGATCTGTCAATTACCAATTTATTTCAAAAGCAGATAGGAGCAGATTTTGTTCCAAGAAGTATGAGGATATCGCAGAAACTTTAGTTTTCTAGTTTCGAGACCATGTTCTTTAGAAAAAGTTAAATATCCAAACCAGAAGTTCCTATAAAGGGGAGATGAGGAAACTGAAAAGTTCAGAAAGGGAAGAAATATTTTTACGCACGATTTTCGAATAGTAGCTCTCTCACATACGTTCAGGAATCTTTGTTAGGCAAAAATTAATCTTATTAGTTGACTTCTTTTAGCAACTTATAGACTCACTACTCTAACCAGGGAATGGTCTCCGGTCGCAGTGGGATCTCTCAATGAGACCAATTTTTCCAGATGTAGTTTTTCACGCTGATCTCAAATCTGGTCTCAAAAACTGCCGAGGAGCTCTGTGAAAAAAGTTAAGGACCCTCAAAAGTCGAAAATTTCAGTGTCTCCGATTGAGCTCATTTTTGGAGGGTGTGTAGACCTTGTCCCTCTGGTCAAGAAAAACCATTGAAGTTTTCACAAAAAAATTTCGGAGCCCAGATATGATGTTTCAAAGCCCCGCCCCACACAAGAGCTTGCGAGCGCGGTGTCCTATTGCGATCCGGCGACCGTCGAAGCAACGGCAGCAAGGAGCAGTGGTAAGGCGGCGGAATGGGGATCACGAGGTCATAGGTTCGGTGCCCACTCTGTGCAAACTTTTTTTTGCAGTTTTTCCTATTTTCTATGATTTCGTTTAAGGGCTCCTATTTTGAGTTTCGAGGCGTATAAACATGAAAAATCTTCGTTTTTAGCCTATTCGAACATCTAGAATTATTTTCGTCAAAAATTTTTTTCATGGAATTTTTCGAGATTTTTCATGTATATGAGCATGGGCTGGAGTGAGAAAATTTTCAGAAAAATTTTTTTTTTTTTTCCATTTTTTTGTTCCTAAAAGATTTATAAGTTTAATTAGTCATAGATACGCCGACATATCCCACAGAAAAATTTTTTTCCTGGCTTTTTTAGACCTCACCGTTCAACTACGACTGATGGAAGTTTCGGAAAATTTTTGCGTAAGTGCTCTTTTTCGAGTTTTGAAGCGGTAAACTGTGAAAGTTCTCCGTTTAGAAACTATTCAAACACCTGGACCTTTTTTTTGTCAAAAAAATTTCTTCATATAATTTTTTTCGTTATTTTCCATGTGTATGAGTATAGGCTCGAGTGAGGAAAAATTTTTCAAAAAAATTTTTTTGGTTCTTTTTTTCTTTTTTTAAATTTTTATTCAAAGTTTTTCTAGTCCATTTATTCATTGATACACCAAAAACCACAGTAATTTTTTTCTTCCAAAAAAACTTCTTTGAGAGTTGCAGTGATTTACCTATGATCATCACCTTATGCCTGAAAAAAGTTTTTTTGCGCGATTTTCCCGAAGTAGAAAAAAATGAGAGTGCGCAAAAATTTTATTGTTGAATAAAAAAATTTCTTATCTTTCCTCGAAATCTTCTCTCGAAAAAAGTCTGACTGGACTGTGAAATTTCACAAGTTCCATTAGAACGAATTATTTGGGGGATTTTTGGTCCCAATCGTGTTATCTATCAATCAGAAGGGATTTCTTTTGAAAGTTTCAGCAAAAATTTGAAAAAAATGCGGATTTATTTTTTCTTATGAAGTCGTAGTTGAACGGTGAGGTCTAAAAAAAGCCAGGAAAAAAATTTTTTTCTGTGGGATATGTCGGCGTATCTATGACTAATTTAACTTATAAATCTTTTAGGGACAAAAAAATGGAAAAAAACAAAAAAATTTTTCTGAAAAATTTTTCTCACTCCAGCCCATGCTCATATACATGAAAAAAATCTCGAAAAAAATTCCATGAAAAAAATTTTTGACGAAAAATAATTCTAGATGTTCGAATAGGCTAAAAAAACGAAGATTTTTTTCATGTTTATACGCCTCGAAACTCAAAAATAGGAGCCCTTAAACGAAATCATAGAAAAATAGGAAAAAAACTGCAAAAAAAGTTTGCACAGAGTGGGCACCGAACCTATGACCTCGTGATCCCCATTCCGCCGCCTTACCACTGCTCCTTGCTGCCGTTGCTTCGACGGTCGCCGGATCGCAATAGGACACCGCGCTCGCAAGCTCTTGTGTGGGGCGGGGCTTTGAAACATCATATCTGGGCTCCGAAATTTTTTTGTGAAAACTTCAATGGTTTTTCCTGACCAGAGGGACAAGGTCTACACACCCTCCAAAAATGAGCTCAATCGGAGACACTGAAATTTTCGACTTTTGAGGGTCCATAACTTTTTTCACAGAGCTCTTCGGCAGTTTTTGAGACCAGATTTGAGATCAGCGTGAAAAACTACATCTGGAAAAATTGGTCTCATTGAGAGATCCCACTGCGACCGGAGACCATTCCCTGGTAAGCAAGCGATTTCAGGTGGTTTGCCCACGGATTGGCCATGCTGCACTCTATAGTCAACCCTGTCGTTTACTACCTCCGAAACGCTCGTTTTCGCGAAGGATTCTGCTTTTTCTCGGCCAAAATTCTTCCTTGTGTCACCTTCACAGAGTTCAAGCTACTCAATGAGAACAACCGCAGGTACGACCTCACTTTTAGTGTTTCGAATTCTGCGAGTGTTTTCTCTTCGCCCCTCTTTCTTTTCCCCTATCGTTTGAACTTTCCAAAATCCAGTTTTGTCATGTCCAATACCCTTTGATGGGTTCAAGAAGTCTAACTCATTTTAAAGCTTTTGTATTTTATGAAATTGTATGCCTTTTTCGGCACGACGTGATAATTCTTTTCTGCTTTGATTTATCGCCAAAAAAAAAAAAATAGATAATCTCATAAACACGATAGAGCCCGTCAAAAAGAGAGAGCACAGACAGGCCAAGCCTTTTCAAGATACGGCTAGTCGAATACAAAAACTTACATTCCCCATTATTTTTAACTTTTTTTTTGAGTTCAGTCCAATTTTTTTTTCCAAATGGTTTTGTTAGGCAATCCAAGTTCCCATATAATTTTCGAGATTCAGTCAAATTTTGACACCAACTTTTGACCTAAATACTTGGAAATAACCTCATCCGCTGTCTTTTCTCCCTCTATGTTGTCTCTTTCTAGCATCCGGACGAGGTCTCGCTGCTCCGGAACCGTCAATCCCGCAGACTCTTCCCAATCGGTAACTCTTTCCTTTTCTCAACGTCTTTTGTTCGTTTCTGTGCTGTTTTACGTTTCGAGTTCCTTTAAGCATGCTAGTTCATTTGTTGTTCCAACTTCACAAAGATAAAAGAAGTTGAGAAAACTTTTTTTTTTGAGAAATACAGACTTATAAATCATGCTATGAGAAAAATATTGTATACTGTAAAAAAAAAATCCAGGCGTCTAGATCAGTATAATAGATTTCCGTAGATGTAACTAAAAATAGATATCGTCAAGCCAAGATATTTATCTAGCGATCAATGTTCAAAAAAGTTGCACACAAAGCTCGTTTTTCCAAAAGCTTACTTTTTTTCTTCTCAAAGTAGTTTTTTTGAACCATTAGGTTGAAAAAGTTAACAAAAAGCCTCCTTTGAGTTTTTGGAAAATTGAATAGTTTATGCACTTTCTCGCTGATTTAAAAAATACCGCTGGAAAGCTCGACAGACTTTATTTGCATATTTTCAGATGCCACGCGGTGGAGATGCTGAAAATGGGGGTGCTCGAGAAAAAAGAAAGCGACCGTCGTCCTGCAGAGAAATCCGGCCTCTTATCTATCGAGCGACTGCTCTCGACTAAAACCTGAAGTCTTCTAAAGTTCATCTTCTGAAGTGGAAGCTCCTCTAGGAAGTCGTGTCGTGGGGTTCTTCAATACGTTCGTGTTCAAATGAAATGTTCCCTAAAGTTCTGAACTTGAATGTTTTAAACGTGTCTCAACTTTGAAAAAGACCAAAATCCGAACTCTGTCAGAATGTTTTTATACGTTGATTTTTACGAGATCTTCGCTAAAGCGAAACCGAGTCCCAATTTCTCTCCCAAGCCTTACCCCAAGTGCGCAAACTCCATTCATACAGGTCCATTGTTGCGTGTATATTTTTTTCCCTCTTAACCTCGTTTTTCTATTCAACTTTACGGTAAATTTCTTCAATGCGAAATAAATATCTTTTGTACCGCAATCCTTCATTCTTGCTCTAAAAAAAAAATTGAAGTCAGAAGAAAGATTCAAACGGCGCCAGGGCCGAAGTCTTCATAGCCATCTTCCATTTTGGCCGCTTTAGAAGGTGGCTGAAGTGATAAACTTCTCAGAAAACTTGCGAAAAAGACTCACAGCTGGAACAGAAGGCATTTCGGACATGGAGCCTTCGTTTTGCTGCTCCTTCTCCTTTTCTTCCGTTGGCTTCTTGCTCGCGAAGGTCTTGTCCTCAGGCACAGCCAGTTTAGCCACAGGAGCCGGCGAAATCTTCAGGTCCTTCGAGTCAGCGGACTTCTCTTTCTTGCCCTTCCCATCGGTTTTTTTCTTTCCGCTCTTCCCCTCTTCGATTGACATTCTGTTGTCTGCCGCTTTTTTGCCGGGCGATGGCTTGCCGTCAGTAGTCGTCGTCGTCGTTGGAGTCGTGCTCGTCGGAGTGGTTCCTGGAGCGGTCGAAGTCGTGTTAGCCGTCGTAACGGGTGTCTGCGATGGCGTTGTTTTGAGGGCGGTGGCGCCTGTCGGCGTCACAGTGGCGGCGGAATTCGTCGGGATGGCTGACTTCGGTGCAGCGGTGGATGGAGCAGTTGGAGCGGCCGCCGCTCCTAAAAAACCACTTTAGGATTAGGAAAGGATGAATTTTGGGAAAAACGTTCCTAATCGCATTTTCAGAGTTTTGAATAAGGTTTGAACAATGAGCTTTTTGAGGCTGTTTTCGGAAACTTTTCTGAGCCCGCTATGTACACAAGAAGTAAATACAGCCGAGCAGTTTTTCGGACTTTGAGATAATTTTACTGCTAGCTTACATTTAAAAAAAAACTATTTTTCAGACATTCCGAATCTCAGAAAACAATTTTTAGGCGACCTGCAGTTATAGCTGGATTGGGATTCGGCGTGGACGATGTCGCGGAGTTCTTCTTGGCAACGAGACCACTCGGACTTCTGGAAGCGAAATCAATTCTTCGAGAAATTAAACAGACATGGCGTGGGGATGCTTGCTCTTGTCCTTCAAATTGGCAGTTTTGAGCTTGTCTTTGGAGCCTTGAATCTTGACGTCGGTCTTGCTGAGGCTGGAAAGAGTTTTGCAGCTGCGCTTCTCCTTCAGCTCCTTCTCTTTCGGCTCTTTCTCGCGTTTCTCCTTCGACTTCAGTTCTTTCTCAGTCTTGCTGTAACCAATTCTGTCCATCTTTTTTCTTAAAAATCTCATCATACTTTTTCTCCTTGACGGCGCTTTTCCCAGCCTTCCGATCATGTTTCCTTCAATAAAAGTTTCTTTAAAACTGAAAGAAAATATATATTTCGTACTTGCTCTTGCTCTGGTGTTTTCCAGTGCCATTTTCTTTGTCCTTACTGGTTTCATTTTTTGGCGACATCATCCAATGCCTTTTTTCTAATTCACTGAAATAATATCATTAAGAAACCTGTTGCATTGATAAAACTAACGCATGCAATTTGTGAAGGAATTCTACACCGTCGCCTCTTGAAGAACGCGACTTCCTCGACAAATCGATTTGAAATGAGTAACTTTTTTCAAACTGCGTCTTTATATTCTGATTCTTATCTCTTTTGATCACGTTCACGCTTTATTTCATTCATTCTATTACTCGGCTCAAACGTTTGCACGTTCTAATTCGCGTCTTCGTTCAATTATCAGGAGTCGAAAGACGCGCTTTTCTGAAAATAAGAACCATAAGAGTTCGAACGTTGATTAAATTTCAAAGATTATCCAAAGTTCTTTCAACATTTTCGTTAAAAAATTCTTTCAATTAATTGAAAATCAACCAACAATTTGCGCGGAATTTTTCAGTACCGAAGCAACTTTGTACGCAGACACCGCAGCCCAAAAATGAAGAATGTTTTGAAAAATGAAATAAAAAGTCCAAAACTGCATTTTCATTTAATTTTTCCTTCATTCTTAAAATTCGAAGCTCATTTTTAAATAGATATCGTAAATTGGAGTTCGGTTAACATGCGCTTAAATTTTTTTTTTTTACTCGTTTTATTATCCGTTTTTTTAAAATAGGTCTATAGATACTTTCAGTATTTTTTTATTGGTTTTCTACATATTTTTCTGTCATTTTTCGAAAGTGATAAATTATCAGGTTATGTACGATGACGATGACATCCCACTTGCACCACCACCTGAAAAGAAAGGTTTGTTGCCTATATTTTTGATATTAGAAAACACTAAAAGCAATTCAGAAAAGGGTCCTGATTTTCAAATGAAGTTCTTCCAGTCACAAGTTGCACAAAAGAAAAATGCTTTGCAAGCTGCAACAGTATGTTCATTTCAGGTTTTCGAAAAGTTATTATCATTTTCAGAAGGGAAAATTCCCTATAAAACCTTCAACATCGGTTTCTCTTCCTGTTATTGACCTCAGCTCTAAAAACAAAGCTTCTCCAATTATTGGGAGCTTTCAACAGCCTCTTCTGAAGCCGATTCGAGCCTCGCCTCTTACAGAGCCTCTCAGTTTCCTTCCCAAAGCTGCGACCGATGATAGCGTGAGCTTGATACGTTTTTCTTTCGAATCTTCGTATTTCAGTTTGTGCTATTTGGTGAGATCACCGTTCAAAACGAATATCAACTTGCTTGCCCTAACGACTACGAGAAACTGTCAAAAGAGATGAAAGAGAGGAAAGCCAAGGAGAAAATGGCAAAACAAGTAGCCAAGAGGTAAATGTGCGCTATTAAAAGCTCAGCTTGAAGCTTTTACATTCAAGATTAGCCAAGGAACACAAGGAAGAAGAATCGAAGCGAGGTAGAGGTGCTGCAATCGCTCCGCCAACCGCTTTGTTGGAACCTGAACCTGTTTTTGAAGAGCCCAAGGTATTTTTTCTTGTTAGAAAACTATTCTTTCTGTAAAAAAAGAAGAATACAAATGTTTGAACTAATCTGAACGATGTTTTCTGAAATTTAAGAAAAGTTCGCTGCGAAGTGACGGCAGAAGTTTCCGTTTTTTTTTCTGGGCGTCCAGTCTAGTTCAGTTTTGTAATTCAATTCATAAAAAAGGTAATTTTTCATGGCGGTCGGAAATTTTTGAGAATTTGGCAGAACACAATTTTCATATGCTTCCGGTTTCAGTTTCCGGGTTTTTTCTTTCATTTTTTATACTCGGGACTCTGAATTCTGTAAATTTGTAGCCAGTTTCAATGCCACCGCCGAAATTCCTTCCGGCGTTTGGAAAAGCGACGAGTAAAGGACTGGGCATCGCGGCGAACATCATGAGCAAGTACGGCTACAAGGAGGGCCAAGGCTTGGGCCGATCCGAACAAGGGATCAGTACGGCCCTCAAGGTCGAACGCACCGGGAAACAAGGCGGAGTTATAGTCGCCGAACAGAAAAAAGGTAAAACTTGTTCGAAAATATGACTCTTGAGAGAAATAATCTTTTTTTTTTGAAAATGTTCATCGCTTTTGCGATTATGATTAATGTTTTTATTTTATTTTTTTAATTAAAAACGAAAATTTCAAGATTTTCATGTTTGCGATAACCTTGATAGGAGCTTTTGATTTCTCTCACAACTTGAAACAAGTCATTTTGATGTGATATAAGATCCACTCCAGTAAAAACCAAATCGCTTACAGAAGAAGGGCCAACAACCTCTATCAGTATGACAGAAGCGATGAAGAACTCGACAAAAGTTGTCTTATTAACTGTTAGTTTTTTTTATTCTTTTCGATGTAACTCATCTTTTCAGAACATGATCGGATTGGAAGAACTAGACAGCGAATTTGAGGAAGAAGTCAAGGAAGAAATGGGAAAGTATGGACAGGTGGTCGCCGTAGTTATCCACAAGGTTTTCTAAAAAAGAAACCATCTACAATTTCAAAGTATTGCTTTAAGCGAGAATCGCAGCCTCCTGAGGAACAAGTTCGCGTCTTCGTCGAGTTCACCAACGTCGCGCAGGCCATAAAGGCGTTCGTCGTGATGAACGGCCGATTTTTCGCTGGCAGAGCTGTCGTCGCTTCCTTTTATAACTTTGATTCTTACAGTTCACAAAACTATGACCTCTAACTTTTTTATTTTTTCACTTTTTCGTTATGATTGTTATTGTGGCGCTTTCAAAACGTCAGTGACCGTGAACCTGCTTTTTGTTAGATCAAAAAAAATGACGAATTTTCGAAATATAGGATTTTTCAATAAGTTTTAAAGGGATATTCACATTAAAATAGATTCATCACAAGCGTAGGGAAGTTTAAAAAATCGATCAAGATGGTACCTCTGTGCTTCATAGATTTTCCATCTCAAATTCACTAATTTTGTCTTGAGTTTAACCATAATGGCATCAATCCTGAGCATGTTTAAATCTCTCAATCCAGCGGTGAATCATTTATAACATTACCTTATGGTTACCAGAGGCTTTGAAGGAAATCTTGGACCATCCAAAGTATGCTTTTCTTCCTTTTTAGATAGTGAAAAAGTTATTCAATCTACTCCCAGTGATAATAATAACTCCAGTCTTTTTCAAATCAAGAAAAATGTTATAATCATATTCTGAAGTTCTGAGAAACTGCGACGTCATCCTACGTGTATTTCTGTAATTTATTTTCTGAATCATGAATTTTTTGAAAAATAAAATAGAAAAACTGAAAGGACCACTGTATCGCATCCGATCTTTATCAATCCAGGCTACACTATAGTCGATTCCTCGTCTCAAATGCCTTTTCTGACGCAATAATTCGATTTCTGTAAGTATTATGGCTTGTCAGACTTTACGAATAGACCAAATCGATGCCAACATTTTGGACGATGAGATCGAAAATATTGCTCAAACTTCAATCGATGACGTCATCAGCTCTTTGCCGGTCCACGCCGCACGCTACTTTGAGATGGTTTGAAGTAATAAAAGAGACCGAAAACATATTTTTTCAGGTTCGTCCGGAAATCCGACTGACAATGAATGCTTTGTTATGGTCACATCGGGTCTACAAAGGTTTTTGAAAAGGAAAATAAAAATAATTCCACAGTGAAAAATCATTTTTTTGAAACAAGAAAGAAAAAGTTCTACAAGATTACCAAAAAAATATCTTCAATTATTTTATTATATAGGATGTTCTCCGGGTCAGGAAATAATGGATATTGCGTACAAAAACTACACACAGAAGAAAATTTTCGCTCACTTCTGCTGCTCCGTCTTTTTGCCCTATATGGCTAGAAGGCTTCCCGAAATGACGTCGTCCGTCCAATGGAGCAAACTGGTCACTAAATTTGAAGCCGTTTTGGAGGTTCTTTTTTTGTTTTAAATAATTAGGTGAATTAACTTGCAACTTCCCCAAAAGCTTTTTGAAGTTTTAAAGGAGTGTTTTCCGTTTAATGTGTTCGATTGAAGAAAGTTTGCACTCTCAGTTAAACCAGAAACTCGTAGTTAAACTTGCGAATGAGAAAAAAATGCGGGTAAATGACAACCAACAGCCGAAAAACCGTTCGAACTATTTCAGGCGATCAGCATCCTCCACAGTTTGTACTTTGTTCGATTTGGCGGTCATTCGACGTTCGTCGAACAACTTCTGGGACTTCGAAATTGGAACAACAATTTCGCCTTCTATTGGTTTGTTTTCAGATAACCTTGGGTACACTTCCCAGGCTGAAACTTGATATCAGAAGTAAACGAGCCTTTCATGATCAAGTTCTCACAATTTGGTTCAATTCGAATTTGTTTTCTTGTTTTTCTCCCCGGATATCACGACGCGATTTCCTTGAACCGCTCTTACTTTTGTGTAAAGCGGATCAACACGCGTGTTCTCCCACAATTCTTTATGGAGGAACGCATGTGCCGTCTGAACTCTAAAATGTGAAAAGGTGCTGAAAAGCTTGAGAAAATTCTTCAAATTGTTATCCTTGAAAAAAATGGCTGCTGAGAGTTACGGCGGGAAACGATCTCGCCTCAAAAACTTTACAACATGCCGAAGCATTAGGAACAGACGTTTTTCGCTTTCTCTGATAAACCAAATAAATTTGAAATCATTTATTTGAAGTCACTAAAATGAGATTGGCGAAATCGATGAGCAAACATAAATATTATGTAAGGAAAAAATTGGAAGATCCGGCAGATAAGATTTAATTCATAGGTTCTGTTTTTTTGAATGAGGGAAATTTTCTAGAAACGAAGGTTTTGAAGCAAGTAAATCACAACTAAACTTGGAGACTACAAAGAAAATTGGAGGGACCATCAACTACGACACGCAGAACCGGGAGCTGATGTGGCACGCTTTTCGAGACGTCGTCCTACTGGGCATGCCGCTGGCTCGCGTCGTCAGAGAGAAGACGGTGCAAAACCGAAGACTCGCTCGCAGACTCGCCGAAGACGACGTCGGCGACGCTCACGAATGCGGTATCTGCGACAAACCGGCTGTTATTCCCATGGTTGGAACGAAGTAAGGCCCCATGACCTCTTCTATGAAGAATGAGGAGGCTAAACATTTTGAACTTGAACTCAATTTATTCGATCCTGTAGTAAGATCTGCAAATTTTTACCTAGATGAAATTCCCCTTTTGCGAGGGATGAGACTTTTTTTTCAGTAAACTTAGGTTTGCCCAAATAGAGCAGAAATAGTTTTATTGATTTTTTGAGCATCAGAGATCGGTTGAGAAAAGTTCACAGAAAAGTCAGAAATTTTGATCAAATCGTTCGCTTTTGTAAACAATGGCAAATTTTCTGATTTTATGACGCAAGCAAGTCAAGACAGGAAGTTCTGATTTGTCAGAGAGGTGGTTAATCAACTAAAGTTGAATAATCTGGAAAAAAAGATTTAGTCTAGTTTCCGAGTTTTATATTTACCGAGTTCATAATTTGAGTTTCAAACTTATCAAAAAGTTGAAAAATTCATTCACTTCTCGGAAAAGCATGCTGGATCATGGGAAACCTTCTAGTTTTTCAACTATTACAAAAATAGACTCGTCTCAAACTATTGAATCGTTCTTCTCGTATGTTCTTCTAAATCCCCTATTTTCTACTTTCGAAGCGGTCACTGAAGTATTTGAGATGCCGCCACATTTGTTGCTATACCTGCACGGCGACGCGAGACTTCAGCTGCCCAGTGTGCAGCGAAAAGACGAAGATGGTCCTTCTCCGTGGCAGAATTGTTTGAGAACAGGTTTTACGCAATTGAGCAAAGATCCTAACGCGAATAATATTAAACAGAGTGTCGAATGTACATTTCGTTGCCGGCCATTGTACCTGTAAATAAATATTGAACTTTAGTTTTCTGAAAACTTCTTTTCCAAGCTTAATTCTGTTAAGAGCTTCTTAACATTTGAATGACCAATGATTCCTTTAAAAAAATGTTTCAAAAGGTGATGTCCTTGTAAATAATGCTCTGAGGAAAACTGAGAAGTCACAGTTGGCTCAAAATGCGACCTCGTGCTGTTTTGTTTTTTCCTCATGATCGATGATACAAAATTCGTCACGGAGTTGTTGTAATTAACTATCAAGAGTCCGAGAACAAGAAAATGGTGCGGCTGTTGGGCGGATATTATGTTTTGAATTCGAAATTGCGATCATTAAGTGGAAGTTTGGAAAAAAAAAAGTTAATTTTTTTGTGTCTGTCTTATTCACTTGGTGGTGAATCTGTAGTTTTTAGCTAAGACCGTCTAACAAGAGAAATAGTTTGTGAAGAATTCTATAATTCACGAAAAAATGAGCCAAAATCGTTTTTATGTTTTGGGCAGTATTCGCAGTACTGGTAATCAATTATACGACTTGACGCCTCATTGAAACATCAAAAAAATAATGCGTTGTGCCAAGGAAAATCGCAACCCTCCGTCGGCCATAAATTGCTCTCCGCCAACTGTCCGACTTCCTGATTACAACGAGAGGAAGAGCGGTTTGTGACAACGAACACAGGTCCTACCAGCTTTCGCCAAAATTCCCCCAAAATATCGATTGTTTTCTGTTTTCGACAAGCTCTGAATGTCACGCCGATTGCTGGCTGTCGTTTTTCGAGACATTCGACAAATAACTCAACTCTTCACGTAAAATAAGTCTGGTAGGAAGTGATTTAGAGGCAGTTTATCTCATAAAAACACAGTCATGCTTCGATGAAAATATATGAAAACAAACTTATTATTTTGGCGTTTCTTTAAAAATCGGCCTTTCTCGAAATCTTCTAATCTTGGTTGGAGAATTTTTGAGAAAAAAAAACGGACCAGTGAAAAGAAAGTTATTGAAGAGTTTTGAAAAAGCTCTAATGCTCGGACTTGGCGCCACTGGCGGCCATCGCCGACGTGGCAACCATGTAGAGCATCGAGATGAGCACGGCGAGGATGATGACGTTGACGATGAGAATGAGCGTGTTCTTGTCGAACGTCTTCTCGGCCGCCTCGACGATCGACTGCTTGCGCGACGACGACATTATTTAACTTCAAAATTGAAGGCATTTTCAATATTTTGGATAAATTCGATAAAAATCAACAAGATAAAAACAACTAAAGAACGAGAAAAAAAATTTTTTTTACAAATTTTTTGATGAAGAAGTTCTTCAAAAAAGTATAAACTTCACTAAGTGACTAGCAATAAATTCGTATGGGAATGAAAAAAATCTATCTAAAAATAAATTGTTCACCTTTCATATTTCAAGTTATTATTTTTTTAATCTTTTTTTATTTTCTTAACTGCGAAAAAAAGTTTCTGATGGAAAGTCAAAGAAATCCACTTCCAGAGGAGAAAAAGTACACTTTTTCTAAATTAAACAGATATTTCATCTCTTTTTCCACAGTTCGATCTGAGAAACAAATAAACAGCTCTTGTGATTAATGATTTGATACAAAAATTCTGAATTGATTTCTACCCGATATGAAGAAAATGGCTGAAGAATGATGGCATCTAAAGACTGAATGAGATCTCAAAGGGAAGAAAGTGGGAGTAGGATAGTATTGACAGATTGAGTGGATTTTGGTACGGATCCACTTCGTTTCGCTCTTAAAGATCCACACTTCGGGGCAACTTTGATTTCAATAAATTTTATCGGTCCATTTCTTGAGGTCTTTGAGAAAATTGGCAAATCTTTGGAAAAGATCATAGAGCTTGAAAAATAGTGGCAAGAAATGACAAAAAAGGACTTCGAATTGAGCTTTTTATTACAAACAGAAGAAAAAAAGTCAAACTTTTTTTGGAAAACCAGAATCGTTAAAATAGACCTAATAGAGAGTTTTGAAAGTATAGAGCCACAAATTAGCTTATGAGTTCTATTTTTAAAAAAATGTATTCTAAAGTTTTTGGATGAAAGATAAGAAGGGAATATTTATTCTCTCGTAAGTCTTCAATATTTCCGCCTACATTAAGACTCCTAAATGTTCAGGCAAAGAAGAAAGACTTTTTTGAAACTCAGATCGAAAAAAATGGAGAAAAAAAATGATAGGGTCGAGCCGCGGGTTAACAAGTGAGGTTGGCACTGGGTAGAGAAACTGGGCGTGGCGAGGCGACGAGGAGGTGATTGAATATCACCGCCGACGGTGCAAAACGAGAGGCTCACGGAAGAAAGCTCTGCCCGCGGCTCGGCTCATGAAAAACTTCGCGTTGTGATTCTGCCGCGTTCCTCGCGGCTGTCAAAAAGGGATCCGAGAGAAGCGACGAGGAGCAAAATGTTTATTGGCCGACGCAACAAATATGCGATATCACAGGTGAACTTTTCCTAGTGACAAAATCGGCACCTCGTCTAAGAATTCTGAACAATAAGACTCGAGAGTATATAGTCCATTGCGACAGCTTGTCACGTTTTTTTTTTGCCAAAAAACCTCATAACAAACTAAATCAAGGTTAACCCCATTTCGCTGCAAGACCTTTGTCTTTTGCTGCCTTTATTGTAGTTTTGTGGAGCAAAAATGCAAAGAAAACTGTGTGTACGGTAGCTTTTTTTCTGCTACCGTTTAAAACGTGACCGTCTCGCCCAAAGTGCACCATATTCAGAGTTGGAAGTGAAATTTAAGAAAGCTGGCGATACATCAAGGAAAAAAAATCTCATAAACTTAGGGACCGCCCAGAATAAACTAGGTGTTAAAGAACTTTAAAAGCCTCCCAATCTCAAACTTATGCGCCGCATGAACACCTATTTTCCTCTTGGAAACAATCACGTATTCATATTAATTATTCCCATAAAACTTGAATATAGCTGATTCACGGTTGGTTTGAGCCATCGAAAAAATGGTCCTGACACGATAATGCACGAGACAGCGCCTGGCTCGTGGAGAGCGCAGACAGTACAAGCCCCCTTAGCGTCCCAAGCTAGCCGTGAATCAGCTATGATAGATAGTTTATTCACTGCCATTATTTAACATATAATTGAAGAATAGATGATCAAGTGAAGGAATAGGCAGAGAATTAACAATACACGGGAAAAGAGTCAACCCCAACGAGTTGACGGGTACCCGGAAATATGGCAAATTCACAGGAGACGAGAGGGGATATTTTTCATGAAAGGCTTCAAACGGAAGAGCATTTAACTTTTTTTACGCAGAGTTTCTGGGGTAACGTTAAAATCTAAATAAGAAGTTAGTTTATTCCAAAGAGGAATAGTTCTAGAAAAAAAGTCATTAGAAAAACTGACCAGTAGTCCGTAGTCGAAGTGGATTTCTCTGTAACAGGGATTGAGTGAAATACTTATTGCGATCGAGAAAATGATCAGAGCCACAGATGATTTTATGCAAGGTGATAATGTCACAAATTTCACGACGAATGAATAACGGTTTGATGTTAAATTGACTAAGGCGATCTGAGTAAGAAGTGAAACTAACATTACAACGAATGAAAACTTTCCGACTAAAAAGACGCAGTGAAGATTCAAGTTTGTGAGATTCCTCAGAGGAAATGGCGGGTGAGAAAAGCTCAGAGCAATATTCAAGGACTGGATTAACGTAGGTTTGAAACATACGGAAGTAGTTAAAAGGTGAAGAGAACTTGAAGGTATTCAGTATTTGATTAGAACGTAAAGGTGGCAAAAAGCAGCAATACGGCTGATGTGTTGTTTAAAGGAAAGCTTGTCATCGATAAATAAACCAAGGTCACGTACTATGGAGCTTTGAGGAACTTCAAGGAGGTCAACATAGTAAAGGGATAATGATCAGCTATAATGATCAGCTTTTTAATTTTCTTTTTTTTTCTACATTATCAACGGGGCACATATGTATCGGTTATTTAGAGGAATTAAAGCCTTTTTTTTCGCTGTTTCTGTTTTTATCAACTTCCTTTTTTGCTTAATTTCAACTTGCTATAGCCACACAAAAACTCTTCCATACTTATTTTTCACATTTCTTTCAATATCAGATACTCTAATAAAATGATTACTTGTGAAACTTTATAAATCGAAAAATAACTGAAACTGCGAGTTATTCCTAATTTGTTTTTATTTGAGCAATCGAACACTGTTTCTAACAACAATAATTTTAAAATTTAGTAAGAAGAGTGGATAATGGCAAAAAAAGACCGGGAAAACAAAAACGCCGTCTCTGTGACCATCAAATGAACTAACGCAACAAAAAGCAATTAACTAAAAACTAATACAATTAGAAATTGTTTTAAACTACAACTAATCAGGCTTAACGTTGACTAGGTAACAATTTATGTCGTTGAGCCAAAGCCTCAATAGCTCCTTTTGGAACATCGCCAACTTGTTCCCCGAGCAGGTAAATCCGTCGTTGGATTTCGTCTGTCAGAATCTTACGCCGATCTTCCGTCGTCAAATCTTCGCATTGTTCAACTTCCCGTTTCAGAGAAGCAAGGTCGAATGGCTCACCGATGAAAATGTCTACCTTCTAAAAATCACAACTTTGAAAAAAAAAAATTAACGGAAAAAATATTTGAAAAAAGTCAATGAAAAGTGTTTAAAAATCCTCACTTGAGCGCTCTAACGCGAAGAAGTTCAAAATGAAGAAAAAAACAACAAAAAAAGCTTTTTTTGAAGTGATACTCGTTTGAAGTTTCCTCAAACGTAGCTAGGATTCTCCAAATTTTTTTAACAGATTTTTCTTCTACAGATTCCATTTTAAGACATAAAAAAATGATTCTCGAAGTAATGTTACATCAGTAATTTATTTAAAAAAACGTTTCAAAAATCTTACGTGTCCGAAGCGAGGATAGTATGGTGGTTTCACTGGCCAGACCTTCTCCATATTTTTGCACCAGATAGGTAAAACGATGGGATCTTTTTTCACATCCATTATTAAGCGACCCACGCCCCACTTCAATCTCAAAATTTACAAATTAAAGCTGATCTGGACATTGAAATTAAAAATGCTTTCGATGCTGGATCATATTTTCCGTATCAAATACCTTAAAGGTTCAGTTTGAATATCGACAACGCGTCCTTCGGGGAAAATGTGGACCCATTGGTTTTGATCCAGTTGTTCGACGCAAAAATCCATCGCTTTTTGATACACGCCTTCGCCGCGAACGATAGGAACGCATCGGCCCAAGGAGAACATACTTAAGTTACTCTTTTTGAAAAATTATTTTGAAATACAAAAAAAAGAGGAATTCAGCGTACGTCGTGTGGAACTGTTTTGTGAAGCATATGTTGTGAGCGGCTAATGTGTACCGATTCCGATCGATGCTCCGGAGAAATTCTCTATAGGTGAGAATAGCTTAAAAGCGAACGTGTTTTTGTAATTCCAAAACTCACCCCACATAAGCGGATCGTCTATGTTGGACCGATGGTTGGAAACAGTCAGAAGTGGACGTGACTTATCTTGAAGAAGATTTAGAAAACGTTCTTTATTGTGAGCCACCAGCTTGTTTGCACCTGAAATGTCGTTGAATTTTTATCCTTAGGCATAAGTTGTGGCCAACCTCCCAAAAACATGACTTTTGACAGGGAGCTGATAAAACTCATCGTCAAGTACGACTTCATTTTGTAAAGAGCACTTGGATGCTTTGGAAAAGGCCATGCGAAGCGAAATCCCTGCCGATCGTTGGAACGATCTGCTTGTGTACCCGTCATTTCAGCTGCATTCGTCGAAGACTACCGCATAACTGAAAACTACCATTCAAACTTCGACTATGACCCATTTAATAATATGAAACGGAAAAAAAAGTTATATAAAAATTGTTATATTTTCAAAAAATGATCATGCAATTTTTCGTTGCGGTGCAAACCAATTGGCGCTCACCGTACAACGTGATTTGAAATTTATTTTTTTCTTTTCGCGCAGTATACTGCAGTAAAGAGCAAAAATTAAAAATTCATTTTATTCCAAAGTTTTTTCGAAGTTTAATTCATTGACAAAACGAAAAATGAAAAAAACTTGTCACAAAAAAACACGCATTGAGAAAAAAACAAAAAAAGCTGGGCGAAAGCTACACGTATTTCTATTCATTATCTGAATGGGCGAAAGTTAATAAATTATAGTGCAATTTCAGATTTGGAAAAAAAGTTTTCCTTGTATGAATGTAGTTTCATGTGAAAAAAAGGGTCAACTGCTTTCATTCTCGAATCCAAAAAGAGAAAGTTAAAAATAATTTTTTTCATAATTTTCAGTAGAGCATGAGCGTGGGATCAAAATTTGTGAGGTTCTTTCGACGGGAGCCAATTTTTTCTGTGAAAAGAACCATCACAAGCGGTGGCAGGTACAAGCAACACAACGAGCACAACATCAGGTAGAAAGCGTAGCCAAGGCTGAAAACTCGAATTTCAGAAATGAAAAAAAAATGAGAGAAACGACCTGCACTGTCCTAGGGTTGTGAAACCAGCGGCAATGTGCTCAGAGAGGAGCATCCCATTTTTCAAAGAAGTGTGGTACTGTGAGTAGAACAAAGCCAGAAATGCTCCCAAAGAAATCGCTGAATTCTCATTCATTTTTCTATAATTTATTCAACGAACATGAAAGAAGGCTCCAGAGGTAGATTCCATTGGGTCCGGCAATGGAAGTTTCTTCTCGAAGAGCGGTCAGCGACAAAATGCAAGTGATGATGCCGACAACCGACCAGATGAAGGACAAAGTGACAAAGAAAAGAGCAAAAATCCACATTGTCCGCGAGAAAAACGAAGTCCCATCTTGCAGCTCAGAAAACACTGTAAGCTTTGAAATCAAGAAACTCGGTTTGTCAGCTGGAAGTTTGATTCAAAATTTATAAGAATAAAATTTATAACTAAGTAAGTTCACAGTGCTCGTCTCAATTTTTCATATCGATTATCTTACATCACTAGCGAATATCGAAAAGCGGTTAAAAGCAACAAAAAAGAGCAAGAAAAGTATCTTCTTTTAAACTTTTTGAAATAAAAGAGCAATCTCAGACTTGGCAAAAAAGAAACTCAAACCGGAAAACTCGGTGCTTATTGCTCCGTGGCCCCAGTCGATGTCGCGTTCGCCTAGAGGAAAGAAAATAGTAAGATTTCCGTTAGCAGAAGTTCAATACCAAAAAAGATGCCAGTGTGGAGGTAACCTGACATTCTGTACTTCCTGCTGTCGATAACGTCAGCTTCTGCCCAGTAGTTGGACGCCAACGAAATCAAAGTGAAGCACACGCTGAGTTTCGAGGAATTATACGATGACTACGGAAAGAAGAAATTCGATCAAAAACGTTTCGTAACTGGCAGAAACCTGCAACAGAAAGCGACGAGCGAGGCGACGATGGCGAACCTGTGGCCCTTGTCCATGCCGGAAAACGGCGACTGCGCCAGGAAGTCGCCAAATCCGCGGATGTTGACAGGCGGCGCCGCCTCGGCCACGGACACTGGTCCTTTTGACACTTCCAAGCCTCTTTTTCGGTCAGTAGCAAGCTGCCGTGAGCAAAGCAAAAACCTCAAATCAATGGCAGTAAAAAAAGATCCGATTGGCCCAGATGGAAGCCTGAACAAGAACCAGATCGGTTTTAGTCTTCGATGAGAAATAATTAAGAGGTTATTCACTCCTCAGAAGAAAATTCAGAACAAAAAAAACCAGTAAGGCTGCTGATTTCGTAGAAGTTGAGACTTTACCAATCTTTCTCGAAAAATGTTATCTTTTTTAAAAGATTTCATCAAGTAACGAAAAAGAAAAAAAAAACTAAAGAATTAATTTTTGTTTCATTGTGCCCCCAAACGGGGTTCTAGTTTCTGACGTCACCGAGAAAGGCTTGATTTACTTCCCCGTCCAATAAAATACTCCGGAAATATTTGCGACCTTCATGAATGTGTCAAAATTCGTGCTCGTCGGTGTTGCTGAATACGGCGCCTGAATCACGCATAAGCCTTCCCGCCAACATGCTTATAAGCCTTTTCCGGGCTCTTCTCCAGTTGAGTTGCCTGAAAATTTCAGTTTTCTCGCCTTGAAGGCAGTTTTTGGTGAGTTTCCAACCTTTAAGTCCAACTTTATAAGTTCTGATTTTTTCTTGACGCTGGTACATCTTGCTCAGAAGTCCTTTGCGATAATTTCAAAGACTCAGTAGTTCGGCGGCGTCAAAAATAGCATTGTAAAGATAATATGGATCTCCTTATGAAATTATGCTCCTTGAAAATATAACTTTGAAATGAAATGGGTAAAAAAAAGTTTTTTTTTTTCTCTCAAACTTCAAAACTTTGGGCATAAGTTACCTTAGTAGAAAATTTTTCGTATGAACCTCCTTGTGGACATTGGAAATTCGACAAGTTCTTTCAAGCTTACATCCTTTTTCCAGCCTTGCCAAGATGTCACGAACGTACCTCAGTATTTTCTTCTTTATGGCAGTTTTGGTCGAAACTTTCGCCGACGACTTTTCGAAGACTTGTTACACGGTGAGGTCTTGAAGAATCCTCAAAAAAGCGGAAGAAAGGAACTCGCTTGAAACAGTATTTTTGACCTTGCAGTTTGTAAATACTTTGCTCTCAAAAACAAAAAACAGTTTTCTTTCAGTGCGCCTCGCCGTCGCTGAGGTCTCGATGGTCTCTGACGGGACTGTCGCCGGTGGCCGACAGCTCCTTCACCGCCTGCGACGATCCGAGTTCCAACGGCGGGAATACTCCGACTGAGCCCTGCTCTGGACCTTGTCTCACCGTATTGTTCGACGATCCAGACAGTATCAGTGAGTTTGATTTGCTCGATTTCCCTGAAAATTCAAAGTTCTAATGTTTCTCCAGGAAGAAAAATCAAGCTTAATTTTATAGGGTTTTCTTACTTTTTGTTGCTTTGATGTGATGTTAAAATTTGAACCTGAAAAAACTGCTTGTAATCGGTCCGAAAAAAGTTCTTCAAGCGTGTTCAATATTAGATGCTGAATGAATTTTTTTTTTGATTTCTCTTTTTCTTCATACTGAAATTTATCGACTAAAAAATTACCAAGCGAAGTATTTTTCATTAATTTTTTCAGCACAGCAAAACGGTATCACATCGGTTTTGGTCGTCCGAGGATGTCACTCAACACTGACTCAGGCGATACCCCGGTTTCAGAGTTTTTATTTAAAGCATATATTCAGGTTGTGGCCGACCGGAATTCGGGAGGATCTTCCTACTGCGAGGTCGACACGACACACGTCATGTCGAACCTCAAGGGCAACACGGTCAGCGTCCGCAAACTCGTCGACTTCTGCAGGTTCCTCCATTCCTCTAACCTATTTCTTACGGATCAATCTTCGCAGCACGACCAATTGCAACAGTAGAACTATTCAGACGGGCTTCAACACTCCAGCTTGTGTCCAACAAACTCAAAACAACCGTAGGCCAAAAAAACCGTGAAAAGACTCAATAGAGAAGTTTTAGTACTGAACAACGCTCCACTGAATTGCTACGACTGTCAGCCGAAGGAGGGCAAGAACTGTCAAGAGTCGAAATGTAGCAAGAAGTACTGCATGAAGCAGCAAGTCAAAGTTGATGGTGAGTCTTGTTCTCGAGATGAAGCTCAAAAATCGTATATCAGGCGGCTTCCAACTGTACAAAACGTGCTCTAACGTGAATGTACTGGGCGTGGACAACGGTTGCATGACCTACGACTTGGTGACGAATCCTGGCGGTGTCGCCGTCACTAACCATCTCACGCAGTGCTTCTGCCGCGACAAGCAGTTCTGCAACGGCAGCAGATTCGAAACCGTCTTTGCAACCGTAATAATGTTTCTTGGAGCGGCCATTTTGAGATTCCATTGATTCCATTGTATTAGAAATTTCCACATCTCAAGAGCGCGTTACTTTCAGGGTTGGTTTTCCATTATTTTATTTCGAATAAACGTGAAATTGCATATCCTAGCGATTTCTAGCTTAAGTTTAAATATGAGCGCAACTGGAAAGACAAAGGTTGGTAGAAATAGAAAAACCCGTGGTCCTAACAAAGATTACAAGATTTGAGGCACAATTTATGTCGGACGCTGGAGTAGAATTCGTTGGTGCAGAAGCCGTTTGCCACGTAGGTCATGCAGTTCTCATCCTGAAACATCAATCTGAAAGATCGACAAAAGAAAGAATCTCCAACACTGTCTTGACAAACGGCGTCGGAAGACCGGCTGCAGAATCCGCACGTCTCCGGACAGAGCCGCGTCATCAGCTCTTCGTACTGCTTCACGGAACATTGCGGACGGAATCGAGAGCAATTTACACTGGGCTGGAAAAAGAGTTCATACACCGAAAAATCATCCGAAAAAAATATTAAAAAGTATATTATAATACAATACTGCAAATATCTCAACTTGAACCGTACATTTTTGAAGCTTCAGTTCGACGTTTCACAAACTATTTGAATTTTTTTATTATCAAACTAAAGTTTCTTGCACCTGTTGAGAACGGACCGATTAATTCATACTACTAAACACTTTTTTAAAAAAAGATAATATAATTCGAAAGTCAAACGTTCAGAAGACTCAATAGTATTTGCGCTTTATTGACACTTGTCGGAAAACCCACCGCATCTTGGCAAGTCAAGACGGACTCCAACGCGTTCGTCAAGTTGTCATGTGCCTTTTTGGGGCACAAACTGCAGGTCGATGGACAGTTTTTCTCCATTGAAGCGCGGAAAAACGGCATTGTACACATGCCTTTCTGGAAAAATTCCTTGTGAAAAAATTCGACCTGAAATCATACGTCGGCTGGACCCCACCCCGGGGTGCGGCCTACCCCCCGAAAAGTGCAGAAAACCTCAGTACATTTCCAAGTTTTTTTTTCGCGCGCAAAAGGCTGTGGTTGGATCCAGCCGATGTATGCCTGAAATAGTTCTCACTTGTTTCATGTGGTCGCAATTCTTCGCGAAATCTCTACACGTTCCGGAGGTCTTTTGCTTCGTTTCGACGCCAGCTCCTCCGTTCGTCGAACATTTACCCAGGCGGTTAAGCTTGGCGATGTCAGTCGCGGAGAACTTCAAATTGTCGATGAGTTCGACGCCTGACTGAAAAACACGCAAGTACTTGAAGCATGAGGAGCTTTTCACCTTTGTTGGGATCATGGTAGCGAGGCGAATCCTGCGCGAAGTGTCAATCATCCCGAAAGCATGGCTGTCGTAGTGCATGATGGACTGATAGTCATAGGTATCCGGGAAATCGACTTGTGAGGCGGCTAGCTTGTTGAAATTGACTGAAAAGAAAGTCAAAAAGGTTCTCGGACGCTCCTCACCGAGTTGTCCCGGCTGGACGTTGTGATACTCGACACGGATGAAAGAATCGCGGTCAGGACGTTGATGCTCGTGCTCAAAACCCAGCGCGTGCATCATCTGAGGACAAAACGACTTCGACCGTCATTATCCAGCTGTACCTCATGCCAAATAATATAATCAGCGATGCAATCAACAGCAAGGGACATTGTCTGCCGTCCGCCTATTTTGCCGACGTAGGAATAACACCCATCAAGGGGAACTATGAATAAGTAGTCGTATTCGTGAGTCCGCTCCTTGAACTTGAAGCAGGAGATTTGCTCAAATCGTCTCAGAGAAGACTTCAGAACTTGAACCCTGGAACATAAATAATAGTTTTGTCTCTTGTGTCCAGTCCTTACTGTTGGGAACTGTACTGCGGTGAAATGATGAATGGAACGATGTTATCGTCCCAACGGTTGAAAGCAGACTCCTTGACAGAAACTCCGCGCACCGTCAATGCAGTGTCGTTGCCCAAATCATACCTCTGTTGTTGAATCGGAGTAAGTACTGAAAAGAAATAAATTTTTTCTGATGACCAGAACATTTTCAAAACTTACACATATCGCCGTAAATAGGTCCATCGCGAAGTCCTTCGTTGATCTCCCATGCTTGTTTACAATGGGAACTTTCCAGAAGCGAAGAATACAAAGAAAAAAGAAAAATGGGTATTCGGTTCACGTCCATCTACTGAAAATTCGGCTTCATTATTTTCAAAAATGAATATCCAATCGAATAATAGGTTTTTTTTTTTCGAATATTTCGATGGCAAACTTTGCTTTTTGAGAGTCAAAATGCTGTAATGGAATGGGCTCAAATATAAAACAAATCCTGAAGCCGGCCCAATTTTATATCTCTCCCTGATGCCTGGCAGTTGATCAAACACTGCCGCGGAAGAAAATACTAAAACGATTGTGCCCAGTGCGCGGATCTTTTTTTTGCTTTGTTCTCATTGTCCGGCAAGCCTTGATCCAAAAAATTCGTTGAACAACGAAGCTGACCATCGGATTCTTCTGATTCACAAAAGCTGACAGAGGTGTTTATAGTACAAAAAAATATTCTTGAAAATCGAAAAGTCCTTATTCGGTGTTAATAAAGGCAACTGTCAGCTTTTGTCCATTTTAACAATTTATTTATTTCAGGAGCTTATATCACCAATCGTGAACTCACTTCGTATTTTCTAAAGAGACTTTATCAACAGTGGTCTATTCTCTACATAGTTAGTACACTGGTGAATCGGGAGGTCGATACAAGTAGGTACCGGGTAGCAACTCAAGTCAATCGGCGCATTGTAATCTTTGGTCATTTGTATGCGACCGGGTACTATCCCTATGGTATCTGGATAGTACCTGTTCGGTATCTGGATTATACCGGGTAGGTACCCGAAAATCGCGATTGTTACTGGCTGCCACATCGGTCGTTTCATTTAGCACCAGTGTTTTTTTGAACCTTCCCAAGTCTTCCAGGGTCTTATTGGCTAACGCTGAAACGAAAAATAGCCACATGGGAAGCCATTCCAGATTTTCCGGTAGCAATCGCGAATATCAGGTAGCTACCCGGTAGCTACTTGCATCGACCTCCGACCCAGGTACCATAGAGATAGTACCCGGTCGCATACCAACACCTACCGATAACGATACGCCGATTGACTTTTTTAAAAGTTGCTACCCGTTAGCTTTTCGTTTCGACCTCCCGATTCAACTTTCTTCACTGACTATTGTATTCTTACAAACAAAAAAAGCCAACATTATTATTTTTTTATAAAATTACGAAAAATTTAATCAATTTATCTTCCTGAAATAAGCGAGTCGAACCCCCCGCTCTTTCGGTAACATTCGTCGTTTTGTTCGTCCGTCTGACGGAAGACTTCCTTCAATCTGATGAATGAATAAATTCTCGAAAATATGTCTGCTCGAACTTCGAATGTTTTTGTTTCAGAAATGATGGACGAACTCGGCATTATTTGAAAACAAAATCTAAATTTGGAAAAGCCAAATAAATAAATTTAAGGCAACCAATGTGATTCACTATTGACATAACGTTTGCGAAATGACCTTGTTGATTTAATTAGTGACTTTCGAATCTAACCAAAATGAGTCAGGTCGATTTTTTCTTTAAATGAGCTTGACTCCCATTCCAACTAAGGAAATATGATTAACGGTGTTGAAAGTAACCTCATTTACGGAAATTCATGTTTGAAATAAGGCAAGCCACTTTGTCCACTGCTGATTCGTTGATTTGAATCCATGGCGAAACTGAAGAAAACATTGAAAGTAAAAAAAAACTAATATTTTTCACCGAAATTCTGACATCCTTTGCACTTTTGCCCGTAGAGACGGAAATTGCCTAGCTTTGCCCCACAAATGTGCTTAACCTACAAAAAAAAAACAAACATCCTCTTTTTTCAATTCTTGCTACCGAACACGTGTCTTTGTCGACGTTCATCCAAATCATGGGCTCAATAAGAACTTTATCGCAAAAGGCCTCAAGTACATTCATTAAAGGATGAAATTTAAAAGGAACCTCTATTTTGTGAGAAACATTTTGTTCACTGAAAAGAAGTTTACGGCATGACTTGCACCTTGAATTTGAAAGATTAAGCAAGTCTAAAAAGTCTGAAATACTTGTATCGCGTGATGTCGAGCCGATTCGACACTGGGAAGCGATAAATAACGTAAATATGTTCTGAAATAATAACCAAAGGAAAAAAAAAGATAATTTTACCTGGCAATTCTAATTCCAAGCGAAACTTTTCGTAGTCTGAAGGGCAATTAGAATATCCCATTCTTTCATATAATCTAAGCTGAGACAAGAAGCCTATATTAGGTCTGAAAAAGGAAATCTTTTATGGAATGTTGTTTGGAAACTGACGATGCGGATGGTCGAATGCTTCTGACTTGCAACAGAGCTTCATCAAGCGAAAATCGCCTGGAGAACATTAGATATGACACAGCTACGGAAACACTTCTTGAAATACCAGAAATGCTAAAAAGATTGAAAGTAAGTTTCTTTCTACTCTTAAGCACATACCAATGAATCAAAACCCTATTTCCATTCTTCATGCATTCGAAGACAACCGCCATGCTTTTGAACAGAAATTGGTTGACCAAAACATCCTTTAATAGAGAAAATGCTTAAAAAGTACACCAATCAGCAATATAACCTGTTCTTGCAAGTCCAACACGGGGTAGTAAAAATAGCGAATATTTACAAGGCGGTCTTTTTCGGCTATCTCTTCAGTGGAAACTGTTAAAAACTACGTCAATCTGTTGAGAAAAAAGTAATTAATGTTATGAAAAATAAAAAAGAAACCTTTTTGCGTCGGAGAAACTCATGTCCTTCGACTCCGAGGACGCTGGTGATGGGTCCAACAAACAAATTTTTCCAATATTTCACTAGCCATCAAGCCTCAAAAAAATATACTTCAAAAAAAGATGAACATATGATTCATTTCTTCCAGCTTATGAAATGTTCGAAGTAATTTCCGCGAGCTGCAAAATTATCTTTGACTATCCGAAGTTTAGTTATTCACACCCAAAAATTTCCAAAAAATACCACAATGTTCTTTCCAATTTTATATTAGATAAACGAAAAAAATTTTCAAGATAATTTCACTAATGCGATAGTTTTTGAATTGAAGCCAAAAGCAGCGCAATCGCTTTGTCCATAGGAATGCCGCACATGTTTAGTCATTTCAAGCGACGTGTTAACTGATTTTGTGAAATTTTGAATGAAAAACTCCTTGAAGGTTTTCAATATGTTCTAGTGGTCTCTGGAATAACTTTGACATTAACGCTAATTCATTTTGAACACACGAAGAAAAATTAGAGTAAAAAAATATTTTCATAACGAAAATTCGAACTCGCGCCAAAAAATTCGTTTCAGTGGAGCAAATATTCTTACTCTCTTTTTTTCCTAAATCGTTTTTTCAATTTCCTTCATATGAATGAATTCATTTAATTGGGTTTTATAGCGTGTTCATCGGACAAAACGAAAATTGGTTCGAAACACAAAAAAAGCTTCAAAACAAAAATTATTTCTGTTTTGAAGCCACTTTGGCGCACCGATGGAAACGATTTTTCGTTTTGAAGCTTTTCCGTTTCTCCGATGAACACGCGATTAGAGTTTTTTTAAATACTTTTTTTCTGCTTGGTTCTTTGGAACTTGTAATTTGCTTGATATACGATACTGAGATCTCGAGAAAAAGAAAAATTTTTCCCAATCGTGTTTTTTTAATTTTAAAAAAACCTTGTATAATATCGTCAACCTTCCTAACAAAAAAATGTTTTTCTGGATCGTTGAATTTCTCTATCACCTTTATGTATTTATTTTTTTAAATTTATTTTTTTTACAAAAAAATTTTTGTAGCATAAATTCAAAATTTTTTTCTGAAAAAAATTTCTTTCTGATTCCGTAAAAGCTTAGTTAAAGCGTTTTCTCACATCGAAATATTTTTGCCCCGATTGTTATTTTCAAAAATTTTTTTTTAAGATTTGGCATGTCTTCTTCAGAAAATAGCAGCGGAGATGAAGCCGGATCCCCTCAGTAAGTTATCATTTTTTTTTTCAATTTCTACTTTTTTATATCAAAATCAATTTCTTATTCAATCTTATTTACAGGCAGCAAAGCAGCGGCAACGACAGTGATTCTGCGCCGTCACATCGATCAGCCTCTCCTGTTCGCCGAAAAAAAGTAGCAGGTTCTTGAAAAACGTTTGAAATAGAAAAACGTGGCGTTTAGTATCGAGCGATAACGATTCCGATGACAATGTGTCCCCGCAGAAGAAACCACGTCGCAATTTGGTAGAATCAGATGACGAAGAGGAAGATGAAGGTAGAAAAGAGCCAGTAGAAGACGAAGAACGAGATGAAGAAGAAGAAGAATCTCCGCGTAAAGTGATTTATTTATCCTATATTATCTTAAACATAGTTATTTTAAGAAACCCGACGTTTCGAATCTCTTTGGTAACGACTCTTCCGACGAAGATTCGAGCAGAGCTGGCGGCTCTCCTGAGCCAGAACAGCCAGAAACGCGAGAAGAAGACGATGGCAATGACAGTGATGCGAGCCGGAAAAGTCAGCCTTTTTCCGATTTTTTTCCATATTTTAGGGACAAATCTTTCAGTTAATTTTTTTCCAGGTGATGATAGCATTCAAGGAATCCGAATGCACAATCCAGACGAAGAACTTGAGGAGCCGAAAAAGGAAGAGGAAGTTGTCACTACAGAGGTTTTTCATCCATTTTCCCAGATTTTAATTCTTTTTCCAGCTATCGCTTCCTTATGTGCGGGCCGAGTTGGTACGATGCCACTGTTAGCCAGGGTATGATTTTTGGAACGGAAAGCGTTTTAAAGTTTTACTATCTCAGATGCCAAACTTTTTGTCCGTGGCGACTCATGCTTTCGATCCAAACAGTTATGACGAAGACGAATACGACGACGAGTTGAATGTCGACGACGAAGGCCGAAATCGTCTCAAACTGAGGGTGAGAACATTTGGGGAGAAGTGAATGTGTATTTAATCTGTCTTTGAAAATTTGCTGCTTCACGAATCTCATCGTTTCGTTCAATTTGAAAAGCTGAAAAATCGTTTCAGGTGGAAAACACAATTCGTTGGAGGATGATGGTCGATGAGGATGGAAACGAGATCAAAGAAAGCAACGCGAAGATCGTCAAGTGGAGTGACGGAACGTGAGACCCAACCACCTGTGAATCTCCAATCTCTCACTTTCCAGTATGTCCATGTACTTGGGCAACGAGATTTTCGAGGTGAATGAGATGCAGATGGCGGCCAACAGCCATTTGTTCGTCAGACACAGCGTCAATTCAGCTTTGGTTCGTGGTTTTCAATTTGAACAAAAAAAAAACGTATTCATCAAGGGTCTTCACTAATCTCTGTTCAAAATCGAAAATTTCCCTTTTCAGATGTCACAAGCAGTTTTCGACACCAAGTTGACTTTCCGTCCGCACTCTACAGACTCCTCTACACACAGAAAAGTGAATACTTTTCTTTTCTGTCGAAAAAGTTTAGGATTTACCCTGGTTTTGGATGTAGAATGATTGGAAACATGAAGAAAAGATATGGGAATGTATTCCTATTATGAAGAAGAGAATGGTAAGCTATTACTCCGCGTCTTTTCTAACAACAGAAGTTATAATTTAATAGGCGAGCTTCGAACCGCGAGTATTCCAAAAACGTTCAGAATAAAATTATTCCCATGATTCAGGTCACACTCAAAATGGCTGATCGTAGTAGAAAATCGACGCAAGTTAAAGTGATGGATGACATCACGTTGAACCCAGACGTTGCTCGCAGGGTTAGAAGTTTCTGGAAGGTTTCGAGGAGTTGCCGGTCTTTAGGAAGCCGTTCGAAGGGAGGAGGAAGCACTTCGAGCTACTATGCGCAGAGAAGCCATGCAAAGAAAGGCCTACCGTCCCAAACTCATCAATTCTGCCTATTTGGAACGCGGCGTTGATTACGGTTCGTTTTTTTTTCTCATTTTTTCGAATTCTCTCGAAAACTTAAAATAGCTTCGTGGGGCACAGCTGTAGAAGTCGGTTTCACAAGAAGATTTATTGGAGGAATCTTTCGAGGTTCAGAAGACGAGGAAGGAGGCTACGGAAGAGGACGTGGCAGAGGGAAACGCGACGCTCCGCTCATCGGCCACAGTTCCGATGAGAGCGATGACGAACGGCCAAAGTCGAAGGCCCAAAATGAAGATGATTCTGATGACGTCAGTTTTGCTCTTTTTTTGTCAACTTCAATTTCCTTCAGGATGTTCGTAAAAATACTCAGAAGAAAAAACGCATGATCGTGACGAGTGACGAGGAGGAAAATGCGGACGCAGGTGCTGAGAGCGACAAATCTTCCGACTGATTTTTTGTTAATTTGTCTTTTTTTTATTGAGATCTGCTTTGAAATAAACGTTTTTTGTCGCCACAATGTACTGATTCGAAAACCTCATTCAATGGTATTTTCAAGTACTCCACGCTTTTTCTTCTACAGGAATTACTTTCAACGTTTCTGTGGGTTTTTTAGATGCTGATCGACCGCCGAGCAGTAGGATTTCAATCTGGAAACGGTTTAAGGTTGAGCAAAACGGATGGGAAATGGTTGCCTTGGTGAAAGGAATCTCGAACATGCAGGACCAGAGGAAGGCGAGAGCGAACGTCATGGCCGTGATCGGAACGACGGAATTGAAAAGCTGTGAGTTTTCCTTGATGGTTAGCTATCCACAAAAAACCATGTGCGGAAGAGAAATGAAGTAGGTGTCGGCGAAATTGGCGCCGAAGTAGTAGATGACCACCATTATGTGCACCAGATAGGCCGTGTAGCACAGTCTTCCGATCGGCGCCCAGAAAGGAAGAGACATAAAGTCTCCGATCACACCTTGGTCAAATGATGATGAAAACGAAGAAGAATGATAGTTATGCTGTATCCTACCTTTTGTGTAGAACGTTGAGGTACAAATCCAAGCCAAACCGGCTCCCCAGACAATCCGACTGAACGAGCTGAAAACCATAATTTGATGACAATCTCGAAATCACATATTCCGAAAATTCGAACTTGGAAAGATCTCATTTCTCTTTTCACGAATTTTTATTCACAAGAAGTCGATGACAGTTTTGTCCGATCTACGAGCAGGATAGAAACCTGTAAGTGGCGCGCATTACCGGGGACCAGAACACTCCTTCTGTGTAGCTGTGAAGCCAACAGACGACGGCGACCATCGACGCCAAAGAGAACACCCAAAGAACTGCGTTCAGCACCTACAATCCAATGTAAAAGACCATATATTCTTTCCAACTGGATTTATTCTCCAACGCGGGACTTTCTGCAGCACGTAGCCGACCACCACGCCCATTATGTAAACTTGACAGCGGATCAGTGGTTGGTAATAGTTCCAGAGCGTGTAATTCCTTAAATATCTCATCGATTTTTGTGCGGTTTGCTCGCAACTTCGTGCTGGCTTCAGGGTCTTTCGGGCCAAATTGAAACTCGCTTGGTGGAAAGTGAAACTTCATAACCGTTAGGAAGTTACCCACTGAAAGCTCAGTATCTAACTGCTTTTTTGGAATATGAATTAAATGTGTTTTTTAAGCCGTACCTGTAGAAAGAACTAAACAAAGAAAAGCGACAAAGAATCCGGCGAGCCCTCCGAACAAGGCAAACGGCGCTAACAGCAGTGGAGTAAGGAGGAAGATCTGCAGATCCGTGGCGAGGTACCAAGAAACGACGTAACACTGAACATCGCTTAAATTATCGGCTATCCTCTGTTTAACGGACAATGTTGGCCGGGTCGATCAAGTTGTTGACGTAGAGGAGGTTGAGATAGAAGTTACTCCGGCACTGGTCGATGTGGATATTCGGAGTCAAAAACTTGGGCATATCGTGCAACATCGAAGTGAATACGAAGGAGTAGAACAAGATCGTGGCGTAGTACGGTGGCGACAGTCTTTGAAAGGTTTTCTGAGAAGTTAGTCCGCTTGTTGAACCTTAAAACGCGATGCAAGTAGAGCATGACCCATCCACCGGGCGACATTACCGCTTTCCTATTTTTTTTCAATGCCTTAATCAGCAATTTTCGAATAAAAAAATGAATGAAAATGGTTAACCTTAAACCATTGAAACGACAGAAGCAATCCAGAAAGGAAAAAGAAAGTGTCGACCGCGAAATAGGCGTTGCTCAGAACCAACGACGAATATTCGCGCAGGTAGTCTAGCAAATCCAGTGGATTCGCTGTGAATATTTATTTTCTGCTACTTTCATATTTCCGTTACCACAAACAATGATTGTTATGGCAGCGACATGACCTAACAATCACCCAAATCGTTGAAATTACCCGGATGCAGTGAAGGCTGTTGATTTGACCTTCCTGAAATTGAAGTAACTCTGAAGTTTTTGCAGTTCACTTTATTGTTTCTAAAATTAAAACTTTCAAATATTCTTCGACTATGTTTAGGCCAGCAGGCTCCGCAAATACTTCATTTTCGCCTTTTTCTTGGGTTTTTGAAAATCTTTTCATCTGATCGTGAGCTCGAGATGAAGCTGCAAAAAGACCTTCTGCGTTCCTTCTGTCTTGAAGATTTGCTTTGCGCTTTGAAGGAACGAAAAAGCCATGAACATTTCCCAGCTGATAGCTAAAAGACGAGACAAATATGGCTCAAACTTGAAGACTTACAAGTCTTTTTCTGCGCTGACAGATTCTGGGGCTGGTAGTAGTCGATGACTCCCGCTGTCACACAAAAGACAAAGATGAGCAAGAAGGTGTAACTAATATGTTTGTTAAAATTTCGTGGGCAGAAAAACTTACGCGACAATCATAGTCATGGGCACGACCGGCGGAACGTCTTCGTTGACGTGCTTCACGTTGCAGACCGGCGAAGAGTTCGGAGTTTGGAAGGCTGTTTTGCAACTAGTTTCCTCATTTATTCAAAAGGTGCTACCATTTCTGAAAAACTGAGTCAGGTTGTCTCTCCGGCAAGAAACTGGTAGACAGAGGTCCATTCCTATCTGCGGTATTCCGCACGACTCGTTCAGGCCAAAAGGCCGCAGACGAAGGTCAAGCTGTACCCTGAAAGAATTTCACGTTGATAAGTCTCTAGTGGAACGGACCTGTAGTAGTCGCCCTCGATGTTCCTCCCCAGCTCTTTGGAGAAGTGTTTGACTCGTTTGCACTGAGCGAAATGGCCGCTGTGCTGAAGATGTCCTCGCGCGATTCCGGGTCCGATCTTCGCCGAAGAATCCATGACTCAAATCTTTCTGGGTCTGGGTGGCTCTCTGTGATTTTCTCACTGGGGACAAGAAGTTTCCATTTCTGATCGGCAGTGAACGAAAAGTCGTGACCCCCTGCTTCGTAAGCACTTTTCAAGCCGGCAAGTCCGTAGCCAAGATAACGAAGCTCCTCGTAACAAACGATAGAGAGAGTCTCTTGAGCGCTGGAGAAATTGCTTCGGAGAAACTCTTCGAGCACAGACGGCAGTTGGTACTTTTTCTGGAAGGAAAATATTAAGAGGACTCAAAGTTCATTTGAGTTTGAAAAAAAGAGTGCTTTTTATAAGTTTTAGTTTTAAAAACTCTTTTAGTTTTATATCGAGCTCGGGAGTGTCTAGAAGGTGTGTCTTCTAATAGAATTGTCATAAAATCTGATGAGACTTCTCTGTTCTCTCGTTTTTTTCTTTTATTAAGATACATTTTAACGACGAAAGAAAACAAAACTGTAAAAAGTAACTGCCAAGGTAAAAATACATCCCTTCGAATTCAATTTTGAAAATGACTTCAAGGAGGGAACTTTTCACTCGTATCGGCACTAAAACACTTGAAAAGAGGGTTGCGAATTGCCTAACCAATTGTTGGACTTTGTCGAACAAATATTCCTGGCCAGCGAGTCCGGCATGCAGTTCAAAGACAGACTCCGGAACAAAGTGCACTGCTCCGGCTCCGGAAAGAGCTAAGAGCACGAAGAAGAGCATCTCAGCCGGCGACGCTCTAAAATGATTAGTTAATGCCGGTATCACTGTTTTCCACTTCGATCTGTCTGTCTTCAAAACAGCTCTGCGTAGAAAATCGGCTGTTTGATAAGAGTTCAATTTTTCAATTTTTGGCCAGCATAATGACTTTAAAAAGTTATCAGATTGCAAAAAACAGCCGGATTGTCTAGTTTTACAGACATTTAAAAATAATTCCGGAGTAGTAGTCGATTCGGGCGGTTTCACATTCATTTAGTATGAAAAAAAAAGATATGAGGAAAAGAACTGCGAAAATGTGGGCTTGACAAGAGCCTTTTTGGAATGTGCTCCAGTAAAACTTTTTACGGATTTCTGCAGGTTTTCGAAAATGATTCATTTCCGCTTTATGTTATAATTTTTTTGAATTAGAAGCTTGTACTGGTAAGAAAAAATATGTATATATGTTTCCAAAAAACTTCGGAATGTAGTTGGCTTCTTTCAATCGCAATCTCACCCCTTTATGGAAATTTCGAACCAAAAGTTGCAAGAACTTTATCAGAGAATCATGAAAGAACATATTATCAATTAATGTTTAAAAATTTACGCAAAATTATTTTTTGGCGACAAATTTCGAGGTCTTTCCGAACAACTTAATACTTTTTTATGCTCGAATATTCAACCGGACTTTTATCCTCTCTGAAAAATTTTTCCTATGCTTTTTCAAGGTACTTAGGCTTGCAGAAAGTGCAAAAGTTAGCAAGAAACATAAGATCGCCGAAGAAGACGCCGACCTGAATAATATAAATGCTAATTTTACTCAAAGGTAAACTTTTTTTCTTATTTTGCCGCAATCCTTGTTTGTTTTCGAGAAATTGAACTTTCAATTTATACGAAGTTTTCCCGTCAATCGAACTATAATGCAAGGCTGATCTTTTGCGGTCGACTTCAGAAGTCTTCTTTGCATATACTTTTTAACTCATCTAGCTACTGTTTTGAAACTTAAAATCGAAAATGATTTTTTTAACCGATACAAGAGAAAACGTTTAACTTCCCGAACAGGTTCTCCGCGGTCTTTGTCCACTCGAAAACTAATTTTAACAACTTGCCACCTTCACAAACAATTTTTTTTTCTTACGTTGTATATCTAGAATGTTAGCAAAGCAAATACCTTCTACTGTTTTCTTTTTTATTTTATTTTTTCCGCTCTTTTTTCTGTTACACAAAAATATTTTCAATTTTTTTTTACATCAGCTAACAACCAATAATTCTAGATTGTTTGTGTTGAACAATAGTTTTCAGTTATTTGCCGGCTGTCATAAATCGGATCAACGAAACGGAACGGCGCTTTTTTCCCGCGATTTGAGAGTTCCCAGGCAATCGCCCTTGTTTTCTTTTCTTTTTCTTTCTGTTCTCAATGGCCTCCTGTTTGCCGCAGTTCCACGGTTCCAATCAAACAGTTTCTCGAAATTGATTGCCTTCTATCAATAGGACACTCTTTGATGGATTTTCTCGTCTTTATGAGTTTCAAGCGGAACGAATGACGCTGAACGAACGTGAGATCAGAAATTTGTACTTTTTTCTACTTCAAGAGTTCTTTCATCGATATAAGATCAGTAATAAACATTTCAAGAGATTGTATAAACCATTCATCTTAGGAAACGTCGTAACCCCCTGCTTCATAAGTAATTTTCAGAACTTTGTGAAAAAATGCTTCAAAAGACTTTAATATTGTATGTAACGTTCCTGGAACTCGCTAACTGCAAAATTTCGTTTTGTCATAAACGAAAGCTTAATGGTCTTCACTGTTCTTGTGCCGAAATCAGATTTTTGAGACGTCCGTTCTTTAAAAAATTTTGCTTCGTAGTTTACCTTCAGAATCTTCGTCAACGACTTTCAGCGATCTTGTAAGAGTTTCTGTGAAATCTTGTAAAATGATCTCATTTGTTAAATTCTTTATTGACCGTGCCATGTTGTATTCTGAGAATCTTCCACAACGAGGTTTTCAAGTGCTTCGATTTGCCGTTTCTCTCCCAATTCGGATGACTTTTTAATGAACTGGTCTACTTAACAACAAATAGAAGAGTTGCGTGGGAAACTGGATTTCCACCGGCGCTCAAACACGCGGCTGTGCAAATAAAATAGCGGCCGCCTACAACTCTTTCAAAAATCCGCACTTTTTTCAGTGCTTTTAATTGTTAACGGCTTTTTGTACTACAAGGATAAACCAAAGCTGCTGGTGTGGAAGAACAAATTCATGAGATCTGGGAATAGAAAGAACTATTTCCTCTTGTAACGGATAGGCTAGGGTAACACTCCCTTATACTGTTTATAAAATAACGAAGTACGAAAAGTTGATTATTGATTATTTTTTTTTTTGCCATTCGCCTTGCATCTGAAAACTGGATAGCCCTTGTTGACTTAATTATGCACAGAGGTCGAGAAAACGAGCTCTCATCCGCTGTTTCCATAAGATGAGCAACGCTCTCGACGCAGGCGCGACTCTTGTTTGGCGATCAGCCCCGAGGGCATATCACGGTGCATGTATCATCGATTCTTTTCTTGCTCGCCTTGTTTGCCTTCGCTTCAAAGCGGCTACGGTTTCTTTTTTCCTTTGTACAGGTCCTATCAGTTGCTATCAGTTTTGACTGTGTTTCTTGCCGATCGCTGGAAACAATGTGTACATTTTCAGCTGACTTTTTTTTTCAATTTTTTGGAAAAAGCATCTTTTTTTTTGCACTTTTCATATTCTTCAAAAGGTGAATATACCCTCCAGTGGTTTTTAGTGATGCGTTTTAAAGTTTTCTGAGGAGATATAAACATTTTCACTCAACTTGGTGATAAGTTGGTGATAGTGTGAAAATTTATCAGCGCATATTCGGTATTAAATTTCTTTCCTAGTGCTTTGTTGTAAAACTTTATCAAAGATTGAGAGTTGAAGAAAAATTGTTCAAATCAAAAATGAGGTGGCTGATGATCAACTCTCTGAGCTTTTTGAAAATCTCAATTGCTTCTCGGTTTTGGAAACAGTGATAAAAGAAAGAAATGATATTTCGCTTTGCTACCACTGAAATTATTATCAATTTCAAAGGAAGGTTAACATTTCACGTAAAATTGGGTAACTTTTTTACGAATCTGAAGACAAAAAAGACCCTTTTGCAGATATTCTGTGTTAGTTTCGACTTCTCCAAACACCTCCTATTAATATGCATTGAATGTGAAATGGGATACGGCGTGAATCAATCAGAAAGAATGAGTCAGTGTTTATTCAAGGCGCCTCTTTTCACGTTTTCTGGCCTTCTCCCACTTGGGGAACAACAGTTAGGAAGTTTCTCGATTTCAATGCCGCCGTTCTATTCCATTTCAATGCAAGTGGTCCGAAGGCGTCAGTTTTCAGGCTCGCTTCTGTCTTTTTTCCTTTTTTTCTTTTTAGATACGAAAAAAGATAAATTTTTGAAAGACAAGCTTCTTCTTTTGAAAAAAATTTTTGAAAATAGCCTGGGAATTTCGAAAAACGAAGTTAAAAATCGATAAAAATTGCAATATGAACTATGAAGCTGGAAAGTACTAAGAGAATTTTATTATTTGTGCAAAGTTTTAATCTCCGCTTATGAACTTATGCATGATATTTGGACAAAAATGCAAAACATTCCAAAGGGAAAATTCTAAGGAAAATATTTAGCTTTTTCCGAAGCTTCCGTGGAACTGTAGCTTTTGTTTCTGATCATCCAGGTTTGAGGAAATTTGTCGAAAAAAATCTATTTATGGGCCGGAAAGCATAGGAAAAAGGCGAAATTGGGCGGTTTCCGATCCGTCAAATGTGATATCTTCCACATGATTTGCTCTCATCGACATGTTCTGCCTGTCCCTTTTATTTCTCTCCGATTCCGGACTTTCACACAGCTTGCTAATCAGTTATAGTAGAAGATATTTCTAGTTAAGAACTTCGCCTTGTTCTCTATTTTTTCGAGCAGCTGTTGTGGTCGGTTTTCATTGACTCATTTTAAACTCGAACTTCACTATTCTGAAATGAAGTCAATTAATTTTGTTTTTCCAAATTATCCCCCAAGATAATTTTTAGAGATCCATGTGGTCAGCTTGGTTGATAGTCATCTACACGTTGTTATGCTGCGTAGTGATATTCTTCCTTCTGATGCTCGTATATTTTTGGCGAGCAGATAGAAAAAGGGCGAAGTTCGTTAAAGGTGAGTCTATTTTTACAATCCATTTTGTATAAAACTTGATTTTCAGAAACTTATGTGGACCATAAATCGGCCGCGGACGTTTGACGCCTAGAAAAACTTACCATGTACATTTTTGACAAATTTGTTCGCAAAAATACGGTTACTTTATGTTTTTTTTAAAACTTGAATGAAGATTTCTATTTGCATCATCGAAGTTCGAGAGATCGTGTGGAAAACGAAGACGAATCTACAATGATTTAAAAAAAAACTCGCAAGATCATAAAGTTAGTAGCTGGAAAAATTTTATTTGATTTTTTTTAGTCAGCAAGTTAAAAGATTCCCAAAACTAACTTGAATACGAAACTGCCTCAACTATTAACATTCCTTATCTCCTAAATGGGTTCAAATCATCTGTGCTGTTTTTATTTTCAGGAAATCTTTAACGAAATTCGTTAAAAGTTTCTCTCACGGAGCCTTTTTCCATTTTAAATAGCATACTACTTTATATTTGAAGCTAGATTAATCTGTAGAAGCTCTTTCTTTTTTTGATTATAAAAGGGGGTACGGTACGCGGCAAAAAAAGTTTGGTGTATAAGCCCGATCCAGTGGGCAAAGGGGTGAAATTTTTACGCCCGAGATTTTTCAAAGTTCACAATATTATTTTTTTTAATGTTTTGAACGGAGTTTATTCATTTTTTTAACTTTCTGATGTATGAAATACATTGAAGCAAGCTTTGGTTTTCAAAATATTTTTTTTCCGTGAGCCATTTATTTTTTTAAAGGTGCGATTTCGACCGTATAGCTCAGAACTTTTTTTGTTGTTTTCTTCTAATTTCACTATTTCGATTTAAAATTGTAAATTGCTTTGAAACAGAAATCATAGGACCGAACAATGTAGCTTCGAAACTGTTACATAAGAAAAACCTTTTCTTTTAGAGGTATTTTTTTGTTTCGGTTGAATACGCGTTTCGCTTTCTTCTAGTTCTCAAAGATACAGCTTTTTTGAATATTCTGTTTTCAGGTGGGGAAATTTCGAAATGAAAATGAAAAGCGAAGAGAATTCTCCCGCTCTAACTTTCTGTAACGTCGTCTTCGTATCATTTGCAGCTGTAATTGCTTTACATGGCTCACTAATAGCATCGAAAATCACTTATCTGGTAAGAAAATATTTCCCCTGATATTAATTCAAATAAAATTGAGGTCAAAAAGTTGTGGAGAACGCCACATGACGAGAATGTAACAGCTTCGAAGCAAAACGTCGCAAAACTTCAACAGAAGCTTGCTACTCTCTCGCCTGAAGCTGAATTCGCGGCGTATTTCAAAACTGAACGACAATGGAAAAGTGAAAAAGAAAAGTTGGCTGAGTTAGGTTGGATGATAAGTTTTGATTTTTCGCAATACATTTTGTTGCAGAAGCTGAGCAGGCCAAAAGCCTTCCAACAAAATTGAGAAATGTCGTTGGTCTTATAGTACAAGCCGTTGGTCTGGTTCTTCTCCGCCAAATTTCCCCATTGACGGTAATTTTAAGCTGCACATTCCCCGATATTTTGCAAGCTTCCTTTTGATGGGAGTTCTAAAAATCGTCAAATTTTTTGAGGCATTCTGCATTCCTGCAAACGTTCTTTGGCCCTTGAATCAAATGTTGAGGTTTCCGTCGATTTTCGGCAACGACAGTTGTCCCGGAGGTAAATTTACTGTCTCTCATGTTTCCTTCAAAAAAGAACTTTTTTTAGAGTTCGCCGAAGTCTCAGCTTTCATGGTTGCTTATTTTGCACTCAGTTTGTTAGGGCATCTCTTTAATTATTTCTTCAGGTCAACAAAAACAAAAGTTAATTAATATGGTATTTTTATTGCTCTTTTCTTATTGTTTTCTTTTCGATGCAACTTAAACTCTGGACTATCGGGTTCTATGTGCCTCTTCATTTTGTTTAAATCTTTCGACTGGGTTCTGTTTACGATTTCTCGTCTACGTTCCACATGACACAGTTTATGAATGTAGTTTTTTCTTGAAAATCAACTTTTTTATGCTTAATGAAAGTCTACTCATTTATGTCTAATATTCTCAATGAGGGAAACTGATCCCACTCATTTCTCAAGTTCTGGTGTAGGTCGAGTCTCATTCGCGGATTGAGAGTTGAGCGGCGGCTTGAAGGCCGGATGTTGGAGTTGGGACCTCCGTTGGTGTCGTTCGAGCCCGACCGCGACAACTATGACGGCAACATCACTCGGAACTTTTTCGACGTCTCCGGCCTTCGAGTGAGAATCTTTTCTTTTGATAAGAGGAGCTGAAAAATTAAATTTTTTTTTCAATTAGCTCCTTTGGAAAATTTTTCATCAGAGAGCACCCCTCAAAAAATGGAGCTTGATCGAACTTTGCGTGAGTTTCATTCTCGATTTAATGATAAGTTTTTATCATCGATTTTTTTTTTGGTGATTTAACTGCTAAAATATTCTCAAGTTTAATGTTGGAAATCCTTTTTCACGCATCGTGAGAACCTTGAATTTTTAATTCATTGAAGTGAATCTCAGTTTTGACAGATATGTACCATGCGGAATAATGGAGCCTTGGGACTGACGGCCAAGTCTCTGACCTCTCCCAAAGTGACCAACGTTAGGTATTTTCAAGGGAAAAACAAAAACATTTTTGGTCTGGTTTTCAGAACAAAAGATCGTGGAGAAACGTCAACCGTCAAGTTTTCGCCCAATGGAATGTTCTGCGCGATGCAGAGAACTTCTAATGCGGCTGTATTATTTTTTGTTATCTCGAGAGATTTTAAATTTCTTCAGGACATCATCTTTTTGGAGAAGGTCGAAAACCAACTTTGCGTGGAAATGTCCATTTCAACAAAGTCTAAGGAACCCATATTGGCTGTTGAATGGATAACTAATAGTCAGGTACTGGAAAGAAAGATTGATTCATGAAATCACTTCTATTTCTTGAAGATTTTACTCGGCACGAATCATGGAATAGAACTCGTCGTCCTGAACGAAGACAAGAGATCTTCGAAAGTTCTCCGATCGATGAACATAAATATTGGCTGGGCCTCCTTTTATGTTGTTTTTGCGAGGCTGGTAAAAAAGAATGAATAGTTTCCAGGCACCCGTCGGCTTGTTGATCGTGGCCACTGGCTTTTCTTGTTCGAATCTTCAGCCTATAATTGTCGCCCACTCACAATTTACTCGGATGAAGGTTATTCTAATAGAAAGCTTCTGTTTTCAATGTTTATATTCCCCTTTTTGAAAATTGGTTATGTCAGAGGTCGTTTTGACCCTTGAACTGTATTATTATCCGTATTGAATAATGAATCGTTGGTTCTATCCTTTTTTACAGAATTTCGAAGTCGAGTTCGGAGCTTCGAATTCGAAGGAGAAGCTTCTCGAGAAGGACATCACCATGGCCACTATGTTTGATTTTTTTTTTCCGTTCTATTGCTTTAAAAAAAATCCAAAGCAGATCGTAAAGATTTTCACGGAATCCAAGTAGTTATTGACAATTCAGCTATGGCCGCGTCTACGTTATGGTGTTGCGGTACAGCGTGCGGAACGCCTCTACTACCGATTTGGCCCTTCACGAACTTCCTTCGGATGCAACCACGCCCACCACCTTCAAATATTCCCTCATTTTAGGTGAATACTTCTCTATTTTTTTGTCTTCAAATATTTTCTTTAGGTTTCACTGGTGGCTGTGGGATCCACGCTTGCGACAATTTGATAATAGTTCATCATCAGGTTTCTTTTTTGTTGAAAGCAAAGCCTAAGGAGAAAAAAATGTCAATTCAAAAGCATACTTTCCGAGAAAAAAAGGAAAAAATGTTATCAAAATCCTTTCAAAATCTGACCTTCGAAATTCAAACATCTCCAAGGAGTCTCATTTTTTGTTCGGAATTTCCAGTCATCGTCACTTTCCTATATTTTCGACGTCGGACTCTCGCCAAACCGTCCGAATCATTCGCCTTTAGTAACTGTCTCCTTGAGTAGGTTTCCTTCGTTCCGAAAGATCTGAACGTTGTTTTTCCAGAACCAGATCCCTCTCTACAGCCTCCGCCGGCTTTGTACACACAGTTTTGGTTCACTTTCTTGCCCAACATTATAATTGGTGAACAGTCTGTAATCGAAATCCTCATTCTGGAAAGTTAAGATTCAAATGCCGGTATGATGTATTCGTTATGTGTACGGAACGAGTATGCGAATGGAGAGATTAGTGATAAGGTAACTCCTTTCTTTCATCCATCACAGCTGATTCTGTCTCACAAATGCGCTCCTTCGCACATCTTCGAAAATCGGCGGACCTTAGTCGGACCTCGGTAACGCGAACCGCGAGACGATTCTGAGTAATCTCTGTGAATTCTTAAACGACTTTGGGTCTCTTAAGTGATTACTTGAAATGCTCAGAAACTTTCGGCCTTGTTCTGTTTGCCTTACCGAAGTCCGAGTACTCAGAAACACTGAAAAGCCTGTCCAGTGGTTCAGAAATCTACAAGAGCACCTTTTCATTACTTGAAAAGTTGCCTTGAATGAAACTTTGGTCATTTCAAAAGTTCAGGACATTCATTCAGGCCCTACTTATGGAATATTTGGCGCGGAGAAGCGGAGAAAAAGATCTTTTCCTGCGCTCCCTGCGCAGTTGTCTTTCGGCGAGAGCGTTGTCCTTGCGACAGGCTCGTAAGCTTTTCAACTTCCTTGCGGGAAATCTGGCGAGCGGCGGCTCCAACAGCACTACAGGTAATCATTTCTCATCGAAAAAGTTGCCCTATAAAACACTTTGTTCTATTTTTCTCATGAAAAAAAATTGGAGGAGAGTGCATTTCAAGAGGATCGGCCGTCTTTAAATTACTTTACAGTCAAAATTTTTATCCGTTTATAAAAAAGTTCTCGAGAACTGAAATTTTTTCACTCTTGTTGTTTTCAAGGTCTCTATTATAGAAAATAAAAATTTCAAAAGAAAATTCTGTTTCTGGCTGATCAGATTTTTTTTTCAGAGGCCTCACAAAAAGCGGCTTTTGTCGTAAAACAGAGTCCTCCTTTGCTGATTTCTCAACAGGAAATGCAGAGCTCCGTTTTCTTTCCCATGAGGGTTTTTCAACCCGTCAGAAATGTTTTTAAGCGCTACTTTATTCAGGATGATCCGAATCTCCACAGCCCCTACGTCGCCAACACCATGCTCCAGTACTTGAGAGCTCTTCGGGATAATTCGGTCGTCGTCGAAGCTTATTTCATCGAGATGGTCGTCCAGACGTTGGCCGAGGCCGGCGAAATGCGCAAACTTCACCAACTTGTCACCTACAGGGTTAGAGAGAGCTGATCTCCGGCGTAAACATTTGATTCCTTAGGTTATTGACGATACGAAGCCTCTGGCCTTCCTTCTTCTCTCCTACGAAGCTCGTTGTCCGACGCTTTTCCAGAGTGGCGTCGATATTTTGGCCAGGTTCGTACTCATTTGGTTTCAAACCACTGCTACAAGTTTTAAATTAAAGAGCCTAGAAGGAGACTTCAAAAAGTTCAACTACGACAAAATTTTTGCGTAACAATTGCGATACTATGCTTTTTGAGCCAGTTTCTTGACCGTTTAAATGTTTATACTCCGTCTTTCGCGACTTGAAACTACGGTTTTTTCTGCGCCATCCTTGTCTCTAGACGACCCTCTCATGTTGACGTGCTTTTTTATGTTTTTCTGACCTCGCCGGTCTAAGAACAAAGAGACGCAGAAAAGTCGCGGCGGACCGGCTATAATAGGGAGAGAAGAAAGATAAAATAACGAAATCACGAAGAATGGTTCATTTCAGAAACAAAGCTTCTGATGAGATTGTCGAGGTGATGCTGGAGAAAAACAACATTGTTGACGCTATTCGGTTAGTTTTGAAGGTTTTTTTAAAGAGAGAAGTTTATTTTATTCAAAAAAAGATTTAATTATTATTATTTTTAAAAGGGAAACAAACTAATGATAATTTTTTTGAGGTTTATCGACGCCCGAGGCTTGAGCGATTCGATGATTCCGAAGGTAGTGGAAGCGGCTGGAAAAAGGTGTTCGCGGCAGACGCGACACGCGATTCGCGAGCATTTGTGTGAGCGCAAATCTAAAGGTAGACCCACGAAAATGTTTTTTTTAAATTGTTGAATTAATATTTTGGTCTCTCAATTAATTTTCAGTACCCCTGAGCGACAAGTTTGAGAGTCTCTACTCGGATGAAGAAGTTGAAGCCGCGGCCGTTGAAGTCGCCCATTCGGCACTCTTCGAATTTTAGATTACTATATTTTTCAGATTTTGCCTTTTCCAACGGGTTCATCTAACATAGGGTGACTGGAAATGTGTATTAAAATTGCTATTTTGTTAATAAGGTCTTTCAATACCACGAAACTTACTCAGAGAATAAAATAATCTTCAGGTTTTACGTCTTAAGATGGCTTCACACAAACATTACATACAGTTTATATTTTATTAAAATGACCGGAATAATTTCTATGCGCAGTTGCTGTAGCCAAGGTTGCTGACGTCGATGCTGAAGTAGTGGAGATGGTCCTGAAGTATCAGAAATGATGCTTTGTCAGATAAATGAGGAACGAACGGCGATGCTGGAGTCTGGGAGCAAGTTGCCGTCGGAGCACAACGAAGACTCGTCGACGTCGTCGCAGATTCTGTAGCTCGTCGTCATCTTCTCCTTGTAGAACACCTGTCAAAGCAATTTTGAACTTCTCATGAAAAGCTGGACATTTGATTCTACTTTTTTTTCGAGATGAAATCTCAAAAATTCTGGGAAACTTTTTAGAGTTGAAAGAGCAAAAATTTATAATTTTTCTTATACGTTCATCATTCGAAAGAAAAGACACCTCAGCCTTGTGGTGAGTGAAGCCTTCCATGTTCTTGAGGGGCAAGTGCGGCACGGGATCACGGGAATGAGTCACGCGGTAGCTGTTGGGAACCTTCAAAATCATATTCTATTATTTCAAAATTGGGATCATTTTTCGATGTTCTGCACTTTTATGCCAGATCACTTTCAATATAGAAAAAGCTGACCGATTGGTCGTGAGCGGCGACGAATTTGGCATCTCCGACGCGGGGTTGTCCGTAGGTAACCATGATGACCTGTAGTATATTAATTATTTTTCATTCTTCAAACAATGTTTTGAAAATTAGTTTCTATTTTCTGATGTTATATAGAGCTTCTCTGTAATCAAGTAACGTAAAAGCGATGCGATTCAAAGATGATCATTTCGAATAAAGTATATTTCTTTCTAGTTTTTCGCTTGACGCTTCTTAACCCGACTTCTACAATACAAAAAAGGGCCTGACCCTACCAAAAATTTGGGTGCGAGTTTTTAGCTTGCACTAGTAATCAGCGTGATACCTTACACCCGGTATCATATTCTCATCCTTTATTGATTGTAACGAAAACCTTGCTCGAATCATAGAGCTTGTTGTAGGTGATGAACGAGGCGGCGAGGGTGGCCATGGCTCCTCCCAAAGAGTGACCGGTGATCTGAAACAATCTCCTTCAAGTTTCCTTTTTTTTTTGAAAGAGCTTCCTCTCGTTTGAGTTTGTTTCATTCTTAAAGGTACAATTCAAAAATTCCAACCCTCTTGAATAAAATTATTTTGTGCCTCCCTTTTTTTCCTCAACAGCTTTCTCGGACGTCTCGAGTGCATTTATGAGAGTGACGAAATGGTTTCTGATAAGAAGGTCGTTATCACTAGTTTGCTTTGTTCGCAAAAAAGAAACAGTGAGAAAAAATCAAACATCCTAATATGTGTCGAAAGCTATGGAATTTTGTATGTCGCTGAAGGAGAAGGCTATTTTACGAACTTCTTATTCGTATAATAGTTTTTAGCATTTTGGGTTAGTGACTATTTTATCAAGTCCACTGACCTTAAATCTTGAGTCGATTGTCGAGAAAATATTCCAAAATTGTTTTTCAAGTTATTTTATAGCGAAAGGCATCACTTTTCATACTAGATTCAGCTTTTAGAAGAAAAAAAAAACAGTTAAGTACGAAAAAAAAAACTATGGCCGGAAGAGTAGATTGATCAACCTTCAATCAATTGACATCGCCTCGAAATTGACATTTTCCAATTATAAGTTTGTTGAAAAAGGAAATGAAAACAGACGTAGAGGGTGTAGCCGGGGTACTTGGAGACGAGGGTGTTGAAGTCGTCCTTCATGCCGCCGTTCCAGATGTTCATGAAGCCGGTGTTGAAGTACTGCGAGACGACTCCGCCGGCGGGCCACGGCGACTGCGGAAAGCAGATTAACTCGGAAATGAAGCCAGACTCACGTGGAAGGTGAAGACGGTCTCGAGGCCTTCCATGATCAGTTGGATGTTGTTGTTGGTGCCTCTGCAAACGAAAAGTCCTGAGAAGGACATCCGGAAGCCTACCGGAAGGAGAGGATGATGGCCTTGTCGTCGACGCTGACTCCCGAAAAGCCAGAACACATGTCCTTGGGCGTGTCATCGCAATGGACGTTGATGACCCGTTGAAGCTGAACAAGGTCTTCGTTTCGTTTCCCAGCCCAATCACACCTTGGCATTGGCTCCGAATCCTTTGACGAGGCATTGTTGCGGATTCGTTCCGTAGGCGGCGCCGGCGGCGTAGAGCAACTTGTTGCGGGCCAGCGGATCCGAATAAGGAATCGAGTGGGTCGTGGACGACAGCACGTCGAACGGCATCGCCAAAGCCGCCAACGGCAACAACGCCAGCAGTAGTCCCCGCATCCTGGAAATACGACTTGATTCTCCTCAACAGGACGAAAACCAAAGAAAACTGAAAACTCCGAGCGAGACGGAAAGCTGAAGAAAAGCGATAAGCACAGTTTTCTGTGCTCTTTTAACCGACTGATAGTGCCAGCTCGCTGATAAAGAAGCTTCCCGGACTTGTAGACCTACCGCCTCTTATCAGATTTCCTCGAGAAGGGTAACCAATTCAATATTTCTGTCACTCTTTTTCCTACCAAAGAACGTGATATACTCTCGGGAGCACATGGGACGTTTTTCGACGTGATTACTCAAAATAATAGTATAAATAAGATTTTGTTTTTTTGAACAGTCCAGTGTTCAAAAATTAGACGATTGTGATAAGAAATAGTCTCTGAAAATGTTCTTCTTCCGACTTTTGACACAACTCTCAATGAGAAAAAAAATTACTTCAATTTATTATATACTTAATATACAATTTGGCCGCGCAGAGCAATAAATATCTGGAGCTATTAGACGAAAAACCGTAAAAGGATAATATAATTACTACTATCACAGGCAGTAACAAAGATTAAACTAATTATGTCACAAAACCATTAAAACATCCATTGTACACCCTAAGAACCACGAACGAACTACGTGATGACAAGTAAAGAAATAAAAAGACGAAAAAACCATTCCTAGAATGAAAACAAGAAAAACCCCAAAAAATGATGAAATCAAGACACCAGCCATCTACTAACGCTTCTGGCGTGTTCTAGGTCTTCAAAAATGACGGGTCTATGGGAAATAAAACTTATATCACAAGAAAAAAAAAACTCTCCAGCTATAGCCTAGACAGGCTCATTCGCGAAATTTGAATTGAAGCACCCAAAATTCAAAAGATAGTGAAAAGCCTCTCCCGAAACCGCAATAAGTAAGGAATAAGAACAATAAAGATCTGAAAGAAGTTCATTCGTCCTCGTCGTCAGTAACTGGTTGGCCCAAAGACTTGAGCGTCCTTCTGTATTGGGTCATTTTGTTGTGTTGCTCGGCGAGCAGGACCAGAAGGTCCTCCTGTTCGCTGCGCAGCTTCGTCACCTCCTCTTGGTCCTGCCGAGTTATTTACGATTAGAAGAAACTTTTTTTGGCTTTTTTTCCAATATAATAATAAAATCAAACGTTTGAAGATAGGAAATCTTCATTTGATATAAAAAAATAATTGGATCTCAAGTTTTCTGCGTTAATTTTTCTATTTATTTTTCAAGATAATTTGAAGGGCTGAAAATAGTCAATCACCTCAGGATTGGAGGCGTGGCCGTTGACCGCCACAGAACTCTTTGCCTCAGAAATCTCCCGTTCTTTGGTTGCCAACGCCGATTCTAGTTTAGAGACGGCTTCGCGAAGTTCCGCGTTCTGATTCGTGTATTGGACGATCTGAAACTCTTTTGATGATTGATTATCGGCCGAAAAGTACAGACCGATTGGCTCTGCTGCTCGAAGGCTTGATATCCAAAAGAGAGCTGTTGTTCCAGCTCAGCGATCTGTTGCTGAAGTTGAGCGACGCCGACTTCAGCAGCGTTTGGGATCTGGATCGAATCGGGGATATCAAGAGGAAAATGCCGAAAACCTGGGCCAGTTGGTAGGATTGCCACTGTGCTGCCCATTGCTTGTAACGTTCCGCCTCGGAATACCATTGCTGGGCGACTCTCAACCCGATTCCTTTTTTATCTCTCTTCATACTATCATTATCTTTCTGATCTATTTGTAAGCTTACAAAATAAACTCATTTGATCTGCTCAAAAAAATCAACAGAAGTCCAGAAATCGAATAGAAAAACACTTTCTCGAAAAAATTTTTATGCGTTGATGAAAACATAACTTCATGACGTGAAAAAAGCGGGATTTTTGATTTCTAAAAATAAAACGGTGAAAGGACATCAAATTAATTCTTTATTATTTTTTTCAAAACTCTCAGAAAAACTTATCAAGATCAAAGAATATTTTTCAAGGTTTTTGAGATATTTTCAAACTTTGATGTACAATTTTATCTCGTGCAAAAAAAATGCCGGACTTTCAACCGTTAAACTCCGGAATATGAATCTGCTGCTTTTTTTTATTTTAGCGAGAGCATCGGCTATGAAATTTTATGATGAGAATAAGCTTGTGAGGTTCAGAGGAACCTTTAAAATGTATTTCTACTGAATTCTCACTGAAGAGGTGGTACCTTTGAGCCTCCTGGAGCTGCAAACTGACGGATTCGCTGTGCGCCTGCACAGAACAGGACGCCTCCAACTTGGCCCGCACATCTTCTAACTCTTTTTCCAGTGAAGATTTGTCAGCCTGCAGAAATAGTTCGTAAAAATTCTCAATATGCTGATCGACCTCTTGTTGCAATCTCGTGATTTCCGTCTGCGCTCTCTTCGCTTCGTGCTTCAAAACCGAAATCTCTTCGTCCTGCCGTTTAATGAGCTCCTGCAAGTTCGGAAGTTGAAAATGTTCGAAATATGATGAAACTTTGAACGACTGGATGATGCTGTCGTTGTTGGCCGTGCCGTTGAACTCTCCAGTCGGTCGGATTTGTTTCACCAGAGAGCCTAGGTTCATCCTCAATGAATTACTTTCTGAAGACACGAACTTTCAATATTTTTGAAAAGTTTGACAAAGTGGAAATCGAGGAAAAGTTCGTTTGTCTGCTTGGCGAGCGGCTGAGGCTTCTGGGCGGCACGGACGAATTGCTCGGTTCGAGAAAGGCCTTCGAGGGCCGAGATGACCGCCTCTTTACCGACTCTCCGTTCTATCAGGGCTTCCAAAGAGCTTCTAAAAATTCTTTTTGGAAATTCCGTTTTTGTCTAGTTTATCAAAAATCTGAGCGAACATTCTTCAAGAAAGAAAAGAAAAAAAGAAAAAGATATCATGCACCTGTTCAAAGCTTCGAAAATTATACAAGACTTTTTGTCTATTTATTCCAAGGATTAAAAATTTGAGTTCATTAATTGTTTCGTTTGTTATAAAAAAAAATCTAAAAACAAACGCATTGATTTCTTTGGACTTCAGCCGTCCATGAATTTTTCTAAATTCTTGAAAAGTCGTGAAAAGGAAACCTCGCGTCTTTATCTTCCGTTGATTTCAGGCAGACGAGCAACGAAAAAGCGATGAGGCCCCGGATCGCCTGTTGTTCGCTTTCACTTCCTTCTCCACACTCGTCGGCTGAACTTTCCATGGTGAAAACCAGTTTTTCTCGTCAGTTTTCGGACCAATGTGCGTGGTGAGGTACTGCAAGTTCTCGTCTTTGGCCACAAAAGAAGTGACCGCTTGAGGGGATCCGTTCAGCCACACTCCCAGAAGCATCAAAACGCCGGCTCGCATTTGAGGTCGTCGATTTCCCATCGACGTCTGACAAGAAGAACTTTTTCCAAAAGAAAAAAACATGAAATAAAAAGAGACACTAAAACTTCGTTATCCTATTGGCTCAAAAAATTGAATGAGTGAAAAACTAGAAAATATTCCGAAAGGATATTTCAAAACGGTCACATGTTTTATTGAACCAAAAATCTAATATGATAAGAGATAAGTTGAATTGAAATACTTTTCGAATCTTCTGATTTCACAAAAACTTAGGCCTTATCAATTTTGATAAAGGAAAATCAGCTTTGAACCAACCAGAAGCTGAGAAACATGAGAAAGCAACGAAACGGAAGGCCCTTCGGAGGAAACTGTCAGCTGGACACGAAGCAGCTGCTCACTGAAAATACGCGATTTCTCGAGAAAAGTAGTTTATTTACCATAAATGTTCAACTTGATACAGACAATGCATCAGGGAGACACATCCGAACCAACATTGAACCGATTCCGAAGAGGAAATCGCCTGAAACAGATCATTTCCGATCTTCCCTATCAGCGAATGATACTTGGCAAATGAGTGCACCCGTAGAAACAGCATTTTCTGGCTGAGACGACGGCAAAAGAGTCTCGATTATCTAAACTTCGAAATAATATAGAAACAACTTGAAAAACGAACCTTCGTCTTCCCAAATTCATTATCGAAAAGATAAGAAAGGAAGCAATAAAAAACGGAGCAACGCAGTTTGAAAGGTTGCTTTTCAGCGGTCATCGAGATGAGCAAAACCAGAAGAGAAGGTCTGCAACTCGAAACTGAACTTATGATCCATCAATCACAGAAACAGAGTTCGAATGACTTTTTTTCTAATTTTGACGGCACGTGTAGCAGAGGGAACGGTGAAAATATAATTTTTGAACATTTTCAAAAACCTCGACGCCTTTCGAAAGAATTTTCCACAAATAGCTCCATTCTCAAGATTTTCTGCAGCTTTTATTTGGTGATGTTTTTCTCTAAAAAACGGAGACAATCCTCGAGAACAGAAAAAAATTGTAGGATAAGATTTAGGAGGAATTCAATTCCCAGGCTGTTCACTTTAATTAGTCTTTTTCCAGACTCCCCGAATCTTTTCTACCACTTTTGAAGTACTTCAAACCTGGTCGACTGATCGGGAGTGATCAAGGTGGTACTGGCGAAGTACTCCTGATTCGTGTAGTTGCCTCGGATCGACTCTGCGACCACAATGATAGATTCCGTCAGAATCTGAAGAAAAACGATAATTCCTATTGATTAAAAGTGGATTGCAACCTCAACAGACGCGCCAATTTCAGAAAGCAAAACTCGACAAAGCTCAGCCAATATTTCTGTGTACAAGAGTTATAAAAATACAAACGAAACGAGCAAACTTGTTTGATAAATAGCCTTTTGGGCAGCATGAGTATTGGTTCCAGCATTGTCGGGACTCACGAGAGCTCTGAAAAAATCAGAATTTCGGTACATCGTAAGAGTGAATACCTGACGATTTGAAGCAAGAAAATGACGTTGGCGGTCCTTTGCTTGGCCCACTCGCCGGTATCGACGGCTTCGTCCGTTTCTCCCTCGGCTCCGTAGAGAAAAGAGTGCAAAATAGTGCCTAGTCGTGCGATAAGACTGCAAAAATCATCCATTGACAAAAATAATCAAGGGAAAACTTTTTTTTTTTAATAGTTACTCATATTTTTCTCGATTAACCCGGCAATCAACTACGTTTTATTATGAAAAGAACGCAGAAAATGTGCTATGAAATAATTTTCAACCTTTTTTTTCAACTTTTTAAATGAACGCAGAAAGTAAAAAATAAATAAAAAATGTTCGATTTTTTCTCGTGTCTATTTATAGTTATTCCGACTACAGGAAAAATTCTTATAAAAGCAATAAAATGAAATTTATGCTCCTGCTATAAATTAACCAACTTGTTTTCGCGGAATAATTGCTGATTCATGGCGTTTTTTCTGAGCAGATTGAGAGTGACAAAAAGACAATCTTCGATGACGATGCCTGAAAAAGATGCAATGAAATCCGGATTCTGAGAGTTACTGTCGAGAGGCTCCGTGTCGACGACGTCGAACAACAAGACGAACAAGTTGTCGTAGGCCAGCAGTTGCTGGATCTGGGCATTGGAGCGACTCAATTCGCACAACATCAAAATCGCTTCGTTTCGAATAATTTCTCTGCAAAAATGCAAATTACTATGCAAGTTTTTTTTTTTTGATTTTCTCAATTGTTGCATAAAAACACTGTCGAAATCCTTAAACTTTCCAACAACTTGACAAACTTTTTAAAGCTGAATATGAACAACATGACAAAGTAACACTTTTTTTATCTGAAAATGTTCAAGTATGCGTAATAATTGATTAATTAGAGAACTAAAAGTCGTCCATAGGCCTCCGAAATAACGAACCTGTTGTCGTGGACGATGTCGACGAGCTTCGAGACGCCCATCGGCTGGCCCATAACGCTGGCTTGGACCTCAGGTCCTCGATGTCGCAACAAAGAAGTCAGCAATTGAACCGCCGTCCTCGAAAAGTAATAATTTTCAATGAAAACAAAAATTTGCACCTCCTGACGCCAAAGTCAAACTGTTCTATTGCGGCTAAGACTGAAGACACCAAGCCGGCCCGTTTCAGCATCACCTGAAGTGAAATATACACAGTTCAACGAACAAAAAATCTTAGCAAAAGACATAACTAAGTCGAAATATTTCGAACAGTAAAAAAACCTGAAAAATATTAAACCAATGAAAAAGAAGCACCTCGGCAAGCCGTTCTCCTAACTCGTCCTCTTCGACGTTCTCGTCGTCTGAACTCAGTACTGCACTGAGAGTGTCCAAAACCAAAGCCAGAATCTCGTGGTTCATTCTTTCTTTCTCCAGAATATCCACGTAGGAGTTCATGCCCATCGTTCCGACCGCAAGACGGTACTTCTGAAGCATTAATTTGACAAAGAAGGTATCAAAATAAAAAACTTTGGCAAGACTTCTCAGAGCTCTTATGGCGTCACGACGGTCTTCTGGAGCACTGCACGTCTCCACCCGTTCGACGAATCGCTCGACAAGTTCTGCACCGTTTTCTTCTTCAGGGTCGGCCGGACCGCCTCCGAAGAAATTGCGGAACAGCGCCATCTAAAAAAATTTTTTTCTAACATAAAAAAATAATGAACTCATTTTAAAAAAATCAATTGGAACTTTTTTTAATTCTCTGATTGTCTCTCTTCAAAAACTGAATCATCAATATTTTTATTTATTCAACGATGGTTTGGAGATTTACGACATGGAATAAAGAAAATGAAAAAACAGACCTCTGTTGGAGGGTGGATCAGTAAATTCTGTATCAATGGAGCGCGCTTTCTCGCTCGGTAGCGATATCGTTGTTGCTTCTGAAGATGTCAAATGTTTCAAGAGAAGTAAAGGTTGCAAAACGAAATTACAATAAAAAAAAACTTAAAAAGGACCTTATACTTGAGGAACTCTTGTGGGATGGTGCCGTGGGATCGGAAAGAAAACGTTGAACACGTGGACGACATTGACTCGTTCATTTCTTTTCACAATAGTTTTTAAAAATGAAGACAAAGAATATGATAAAAGTATAGACAGAACAGTATAGAAGTTTAAAGTCACGCGCAGACGTGAGTTTATGTGTAACACGGCGGCGCTGCCACATAATCCTTGGAGATTTTTTGTTGAAATCGATGTACTGAAGTTTTTGTGCAAGCAAAACTCAAAAAGTAAAAATAAAGAAAAAATCTTCAGATATAAAAATTCAACTTTCAAATTTTATTAAAAATTTCAAAAATAAAGAAGTTGAACAAGTGCGCTCGGCGGACATTGACGAGATTTTATTAGTTGTGGAAAATTATTTCAAAAAAAGAACGTTCGAACGTCAAAAAGTGTAAAGTCCATTTGTATTCAGTATTTGAATGGAATACCCAAAATGGAAAACGAAAATTGATTTTTAGAAAGTGTTTTGAGCATCAATCTGAAGTCCCTTTTGGGATTTGATTATGTACCTGTTAAAAAAGCTCAGAACCCATTATCTTACATTTCAACTGCACGATTTCCAATTCTCTCGAAACACCAACGGCCACGGGTGTCGGCGGGTGTCTTTCGGCGTCGCCGGATACTGTAGGGGCGGAGTCGCAGCTCGCCTCACTGTTGGAAGTCCTTGCACAGTTTCAGTCGGATGGTCCAGTCCAAAGCAAGTCTCAACTTCTCGATTGACGCTCTTCTGAGAGCCGACCGCCCTTCGTCGAGCTCATCCAAAGATCCGCTATCTTGCTTGCCGGTCTTTCTCGGCCCTCGATTCTTACAGTATTCTCAGACATCCGCTTCTCCTCTCTCATTAGCTGACGGCTCGTTGAGCCCTGGACAAGGTAATTTCTCGTAGCAGCCAGATATCACTTCAACCTCCGAATGGGACTTCTAAATGAAGTCAAATACCACATTTGATTTTAATGCTGTTTTTGAATCTTCGACCAAAAGTCTCCATGTGGTTCTAAAATAGATCTATTCAAGGTCGAGTAAATAATTGAAGATTGCTTTTCAAACTAGTAGTGATTGGTTGTGGTGTTTTGGCTACATTCGAAATTGAAGACAAGAAGAAGCACGAATGTCATGTCTGTGGGAAGACGTTCAACGCCCACTACAACCTGACGAGACACATGCCAGTCCACACAGGCGAACGTCCTTTCACCTGCAAAGTCAGTATTGTGTCCGAATTTTTTTTTTTAGTTTTCGATTTTCATTCCAGGTTTGTGGCAAGTCTTTCCGTCAAGCTTCAACATTGTGTCGACACAAAATTATCCACACAGATATCAAACCTCATAGGGTAAGACTTCTCTAGTAAGACCCAGTAACACTTACCTACCGCAAGTTTTTATCCTTTTTTTCAGAAAATTTGGAATAACGTGAACTTAATGTAATTGGAACTGAAAATCAGAGCTAAATTATAATATTTCATTGAATTAAATTTTTTTTTCCAATCTAATTTTTTTTCCAATTTAAATAATTGTAATGCGCGATTTTCCCGCATGATTTCGCGTTTGTCAATGTGTTTGAGGAAAAATTCAGCTAAACCTTTCATTCACTTGCAAAATTGTAAAAAAGCGGCACACTCACTGGTCAGATCTGCCGTTACAAGTAATGAAAAAAGAAACCGTGGAGCAGTTTTTTCCGCAAACAAAACGAAAAATGTATCCGCTTCGCCACCGCAAGCGAAACTACCAAAAAAGGCTTTCGAGTAAGTGGCAAACGCAGTATGTGTGAAATTTACACTTTTTCCGTCTACAGTAATCAGTCTCTACTATGAGACAAACGGTTGAAAGCCTTGGAAAAGTGTCACCTTGGGCCGATAATCCGATCAAACGGCACCCAACCACTTGACTCTCTTCAAAAATCCACGGCGACCTCATTTTTCATGTCAAATCTCATTATTTTTTGCCTTTTTGAGAGCCAGAATCTGTTTTCGAGAACGTTATTAAAATATTTTGGATTTCAGTGCAAAACATGTGGAAAGTCCTTCAACCGATCTTCTACTCTGAATACACATCTTCGAATTCATCAAGGCAAGACCTGAAGGTTTTCTCGGAACTTTTCCTCTTTCAGGCTACAAGCCTTTCACTTGCGACGTTTGTGGGAAAGGCTTTCATCAGAACGGCAATTTCAAGAACCACAGATTGACGCACGAAGACACCAAGCAGTACACCTGCACCATTTGCAACAAGGTGAGAGGAAAATGGATGAACTATCGCCTTTCACCGGCAAGCCTTCTGTTTTGAACCTTGAACCTAATAAATGTGAGCTATTTAATTTTTTGGGCATTCCACCAGTCGTACAACCTGGCGTTCCACATGTTCACGCACAACGAGGTGAAGCCGTTCACGTGCTCCGTTTGCGGCAAGGGCTTCTGTCGGAACTTCGACCTCAAGAAGCACCACCGAAAGCTTCACAACGATCCTTCCAGGAGCCACAAAAAGAGCTTCACTTGAGTTCATTCACGTTTTTATTTAACTACTTTAACTTTTCGAATGTGATTGATGTTTTTCACTGGTATTTTTCATCGGTTTTTGCGATTATTCGTTGATAAAGAGCTTGAGGCTTCGATTTTCGGAAGTTAAAGTGTGTAATCTTTTTGGCCATACTCGTCTGAAATTTAATAGGCCGTGAGAAAATGAAGGAAAAAGGATGGCGGTGGCCGTTTGTAAAATACCATTCACTCAAGTTTATTGGGTGTCCGCTCATTTTTTGCCATCATATCGTTCGGAGTGCGGTAGTTCAAAAAGTTTTCAATTGCTAAAAAAAATTTGCTCTTCCCGATTGAACACATTTGAAGACTTCGAATCTAATGAACTTTTTTTGAAATGACTTCCATTATACAATGAAAGGCGTCGCTCTCTGTCCACTGAGATGTCCGTTTTTTTTCCTTTCCTAAAAAAATTAGAACTTTTTATTGGATTTGTCACGCTCGTTGCGTCTTCAGAATAGGTTACGGTAGAGAAATGCGACTTGACGGCGTCGACTTTTATTGTATTCGTGAACGACGCGTGGCAAGCAAGTCGCGCTCTTTTTGGTACGTTCTCAACTTAGGAGGTCGATTTTCAACGCGATCAAAAATATTAAAATTAGCTGGTTTACTTATATTGAAAGCTCAGATTGATATTAGAAGGTTAACATTAAAAAGAAGCCAAAAAGTTCCGATTTCTCACAATTATGTTTTTGTTTCTGCGTCACTGGGAATAACGATTTTTGCATCTGAAAAAGCCTGCTCTTTTTTTTTCCACCTGGCCAGCCAGACAATGAATAGAGCTTGTTGTGGGGCTTATAGGTCTGAAGAAAAAAAAAGCTAGTTGCCATGGAGCGCGTTTTCTCGGCTGACTGGCAACCGAAAAGCATAAATAGGCTTGGAGTGAGCTTGAAGATCTCGACTTGCGCATATCCATCTCAGCAGAGCCATGGCAAAAGTGAGTTTCAAAAAAATGAATATTATTCCTCAATGGACATGGAAGAAAAGATATTTCTTGAGAAGTAACGTCTCAGAAATCTCAGATTCCAGTTTCTTATTGAAGTTCCTCTATGGCCAGAAAAAATCTTCTTCTTTTGATTTCGAGTTGATTTTTTTTTTCACAATTTTGATTTTAAAAAGAACGCCCTTCAATTTGGTAAAAAAAGACATGTAGAAGTTTTCAAGGTTTTCTTCTCGCTTCTTCAATAAATCTACGAGAATTTTGAGTCTAAACTTTCGAGTTAGAATTAAATTAATATCATCAAAAAATGAACAATGCTCAAAGGACCAAGACTTTCTTCGTTTCTTGACCTTGGTAGTGGTCCCAAGGGGAAACCTGCCCATTATCTCTTAACTATCACCAAGGCAACTCTTACAGCTCATTTGTTGCTCTGGTTGCTCGTCATGCCGTGCATCGTTAGTTTTTTCTCAACTTTCATTCTAGAAAATAAGCTGACAATTGAATTAAGGTTCGAAGAACTAGTGCTGACAAATGAAAAATTGAAAACTTGGACTTTGTTATCAAAACATGAGAAAACATTTCAGCATAGCCCCGATCATCAGAAGCATACCTACAAGCTGTATTATACAGACTCGAGGGGCCGCGCTGAGCCGATTCGCCTCATTTTTCAGTCTGTTGCTTTCAGTAAAGTTCATATTCCAATGAGGACATTTTTTCAGTTACTTTCACACGCGTTTCGATGATTTCCGCATGACGATGGAACAAGTGCCGGAGTTCAAGCCTAGTGAGAGACACGTCGGGTTTCAGATTCTCTGTGATGCTTTTAGAATCTCCCATGCATCAGTTTCCTTTTTTGGAAATCGACGGTGGGAAAACCATGCTATGCCAGACAGTCTCGGTCTGTCGATACTTGGGCAAATCCCTGGAACCAGACCTTTGTGAGGAGTTCTGGAATTATTACGGAACTCAAGATTCGTTCCAGGGTTCGGGGGAGCCACAAAGACCGACTCTGCGAAGGTTGACATGTACGCCGACGCCTTCTCCGACGTCTTTAACACCGCCATGATGGCCAAATACGCGGACGAATCGATCAGAGTGAAAATAGATCGCAAGCGAGTCGTATAACAACTATTTGGAGGAAACAATGATGAAAAACGCTGAGAAAACTCTTCATGTGCGGCTGTCCATCTTGCAGGATCACATCAAGAACAGCAAAGGCGACTATTTCGTCGGGAAGAAGGTTTTCAAAAAATAAAAGCATTATTGAGCTGCGAGGTTAGTAAAATATCAAGCCAGCGGGAAACTCAAAGTATGAGATTATTAAGAAAAGAAATGAAACAATTCGTAACACATTTTGAAACTTCGTCCTGAATATCAAGCCCTGACCAATTTGAAGGAAGAACTACTGCATTCGAAGATCAGAGAATAAACCTGGCATTCAATCTCGACAATTTGAGGTTCATTGGTGCGATCTGTACATCCTGGGGGTTCTCGGCACACTGGAGGAGTACGACGATCACCTGCTCGACGAACTTTCCGAGCTGAGACACTACTACCTGAGAATGCGGAACCTGCCGCAGATCAAGGAATACATCGACGGAAATTGGCCTGCCACTAAATATCATGATTAAACTTTCTTGGAGTTTGTCTTGAACTCAAGTTTCAAAAATTGTATCAAACTTCAGGAAACGTTTCTCTGTCAAAAAAAAAAAATCGATTTGAACATTTTTACAGATGTGATAAACCCGTTCATTGATATGATAAAGCATTTTGTCTACTAGTAGAACTCTGGGCAAATCCGCTAGGCTCGATAAATTGCTTTCCATGCGTGTGAAAACTGGGATTCATTTCTTCACAAACATTTTCGATGGCCTCGACCTCCTTGCTGATTTCTTTCAATGTCTTGTCGATATCCGTCTTGGGATTCTGGAATTAATTCGATCAATTTTCGAATATTCCCAAAAAACTGACCTGAAATTTATCACACAGTATCTCAAGGCCTCCATCTTCCAAACGCTCAAGTTGCTTCTAAATTGAAAAAAAAGAGCTCAAAACTTTTGAAACATTTAATAAACCTTGAGATTATTCTTTTCGCTTCTTTCCAAATTTGCAGCTTGAATCAAACTTTTTTTCGCCATTTGAGCTGATTTTCGAAGCGATTCAGCTTCATCTCGAATCTTTTTAACTCTATGCTGAAAATTTCAACTTCAGATCAGCCAAAAATATGATAATTTCGAAAAATGTTTATTGGGAGGAGATATTTTAAGTTAGATGATTATCTCAAGACCCAAGAAAATTTAACTGTTCACCGCTAGAAAAAAATAAGATAGACATTTTTTGACCTTCAAAATCATAAACTGACGTTTTGGAGAAATCTCATCAAACGCCTCTGCAAAACGTTTGCTTCAAAGAATGAAACGAACCAAAATGAGTTCCGGTTTGATTTCCTTTTTGACTGCGTTGACCGCATCACTCAGATTGAAACATTTTTGTTTGATATCGGCCACTTTCTGATTTATCGAACAGATTTGCGAGTCGAGGTGAGTGACTCGACCCATCTCTCCAAGGAAGTTCAGATATGCCATTTGACCTTGGAAATTCTCATCGACGATTTTTTCTTTCATTTCATGGTCTTTCTGCAACAACTCTGTCTATTTCTGGATGTCAATGGTTGAAAAAAGGAAAAGAAAATTCCGAAACCTGTGCCGTTTTTCTGGCGTCCTCGTATATTTTGACTTCCCTGTCTCCCCCTTCTCTGACCGCCGTCATTTCCGCTTGGAACTGCTGCCGTTGTTCGACCTTTCTGAACAACCTTGCTGATTTTCAAATGGCTTTTTTGCTTTAAAAAATAAGATAGATGATTCATATCTTTGAAGACCTATCTCAGAGTTTTTCAAATATATTTAGCCTAAATGATTGCACTTGAGAAAAAGTAGATTTTCCCAATTTACAAACATTTAGAATGTAAAAAATGAGCTAGCTTCACTACTTTTCCATTCTATCTTAGTTTACCCAAAAGACTTTTATTTTTTCTTTCTAAAAATACTTTAAAAGCTCACTTTTTCTGAATAGTTTCGTCGAGGTCCCTTCTCTGCTGGTTCAGCTGTTCTCTGTTGAAAATGCATCTTTCTTCGTTCTCTTTTTTCTCGGAGTTGCGAGTATTCTGCTGATTTCGCCTTTTTTCGTCGAGAAACTCAGTGTTGGCTGTTCTTTGATCCCTCAGCTCTTGTTGCAGCTTTTCATTTCGCTCATCGTTCCTAAACTAGATCACCTTACAGGCTTTTAACTCTTTCTGGATGGATAGTATCTTTGGAAACTTGATACTCAAAATGAAAAATTAAAAAAACTTCAAATAGTTTTAAAACGCTCTCTGGGATTTAAAAACGGAGGAAGGTCCAACTTTTCGTTGTGAATTTTAAGTGTCTGAAGGACTATTGAAGACATATCCATATCAAAACTATCAAAATATCAAAACGACTTTTCGTGAATAATACTTAGGAACAGAGGTGGAGGATTGGGAAGGCAGCCCTTGGCTTGGCGGCCAAGCCATTGGGCCAAGCGATAGAAATGAGTCATTGACTTACTATTGAAAAAGTCATTTCTGCTTTTGGGCGTTTATGGCTTGGCAGGCAGGGCGGCCAGTGGGCAGCCATCCTCCACCTCTGTTTAGGAATAAAAAAAAATTAAATCTTCATGTCAACTTAAATTAAATTTTACTTTCGCTTGATGTCTGACTCTCTTTCAGCAAGTTCTCTTTTGAACTTTTCTGCATCCTCCAACAGTTGTTTTTCCCCCGCTTTTGAAACTCCTGAAACAGAAATGTGATAGAAAGTTACATTAAGCTTTTCCAAACCTCCTCAAACATTATTGTAAAGTACAGCGTGTTGAAGAAAAAAACAGAAAGTTGAAGGAACTGACGAAGTGAGAAACTTATTTGGAACGATATCAATGAAGTTGAAGTAGTGAACCGATAGCTAGCATGAGCAAGCAGAAGAAAAGAAAGCAGAGACTGTTGAGGAGAGAGCGTCAGGGAGGCAGAGGGAAGAGTCATAAGGTCGGAGATCGCAACTGATTTCTCACACGATTCCAATATTTACTCCTTGATAAAATTCCTATTATTACTACAGTTCCGAAATTGAAAAAAAAATAAGCTGAAACTTTGAATACTTTCAAAGACAGCAAATACAGAAATAAAAGAGTCATCATAAAGATAAAATTTCCATTGCTACTCACTTATTTTTTCGAGAAAATGGTTAAAAACGTCTTTATTTATGACCGATAAGGAGCAATCTTTGCGCATACAAATACCCTGATGATAAGATTGAAGAAACCAAATCGAAGAGCGAACAAGTGGAGCTCTCAGAGTTTGGAGACGTGATGGACCGTCTTCTCGTAGACGACGAAAATCGCCGCGTTGACGACGAATCCGCGGATGCAGAGGGCGACGGCGCCGCGGAAGAACGCCTTCATGCCTTCGGCCCGATAGATCTCCTTCGCCAGGGCTGATGCTTTTCTGAAAAATATCGAGATCGTGATTGGAACATAAGGGTTTTCATATATGAAGCTCTCGAGCTCACATTGGGAGATGGGATTTATCGGACTGGATACGGCATTTGAGAACCTCTAAAGGACAGACGGTGATCCAAGCGAAGACACCGGCGATTCCTCCTGCCAGCAACTGCAAGAAAGTCTTTTTTTGTGATCAAAAACTGCTCTTTTATGGCGATTAAGTCTACTTTCCAACATACCGATTTTTCTCGACAGCAGATCATTTATGATAATAATCATATGTTTTCAAAGCAACATCAGAAGAAATATTTAAAAATCAATAGAAAAAATCGTCAAAAACTTTTGAAGTCTGGTACTTTGTCACAGATAGAAAAGTTATTCCTTGAGAAAAAAGAGAAAGAAATCCTCAAAACTGACGTGAGCCGCCGTTCCTTCCAGGTCATATTTTCGGAACGTCCTGAGCACCCCTTCATACACCGGGATGTAGAACATGTAGCTGATGACGTCACGAGAAAGAACAACCGAACCACCCTGGAACGAAAAGTAACAAGATGTCAAATTAGAGTTGAGTTTGGAATTGTCTCAAAACGTCTCCGAACAATCTTTGAACGTCGAGATGGAAAACTTCTCATAAACTTTTCTCGGTTAATTTTGAAATGAGATTTTCCGAATGGTTTATTCATCACAATATCAAGACTTTGATCAATATTTTTGAAAATCATATCTCCAAAAAAAATCTTCCACAGCCATCAGGAATCTACATCTGGAAGTTATTATGGGTGTTTTGGCAAATATATAGAAAATGTGAAATGTAACACTAAAATGACCTCCTTTGTGAGTTGTTTTCAAAGTCACTGATAAAAAACAGTTTCGAAAGGAACCTTGAAGAGGCCTTTGACGCCTTCATGTCGGACGGTGTCTCTGATGCATTCCCACGGTCCCGCATACAGATTCTTCGAGTGTGCCACGAAGTGAGAGACATTTTCGCGTTGAACCTCAAACTTGTCTTTTCCAGCGATTCTTATAGACAAGGCTCACCTGAAGCTTAGTTTTGACCAACTCGATGGGCACAACTGGTGCGACTTGTAGGAGTGTGCCACAAGTGGAGGCGAAGAGGATCTGTAAATAAAAATATATGAAAAGCAAAATCTGCATGGGGGATAAAAAGTGAGTCCAGAAATGCATTTCAACTTTTTTTTCCCTTTTTTATTAAAGAAATAAGCTATTGCTCTGGTTGAAATCAAAACTCTTTTATAAACTTCCTTCAGAGAATTCGGGTAGTAGTTTTGATGGCGTCAAAGGTGAAAACGACCATAAGAGATCCCTGCGTGAATTCGAATACTGACAAACCTCGAGCATGGGCAAATCTTTGCGCGCTTCGACGTTGCTTTCGTTTTTGTGAAGCTGCCGGAGAGCGATTCCGTAGCCGGCGAAAAGAAGCGAGTGAATGACGCCGGCCGACATCACCGGCATGAACATGCCCTTGTACAGGCCGAACAGCTGAACAGCTCGGTAAGCTTGAATTTCGAAGCTGAAAGGCTGACCGACTCCTGTCTCACTGTCTTTTTCATGCAGTCCAACATGCCAGTGTAGCCCTGAATCGTCTGCAGCCGAGTTTTTACTGTGTCCAGAGGATGTCCTACAAGGATGCCAGCGCCGCCGGAAAAAAGTTCTTTCATTTAATTTCATTGAAATAGAAGGGAAAAGTACCCCTGAAATTAGGAAGAAAACGCTTTGGATAAGAATGAATGAGAGAGGAACGAAAATAACTGTATTTATCAATTAAAATTTAATCTATCATACGCCAAAAATCACAACTGTCCGATTTTTCTGTACAAATTTCGTTCTATTATGAAAATTTTCTGTTTATACCGGTTGAGAACTTTTAAACAGATATAATCTAGGTGGTCAGTCTTTTCAACAAGAAACAAATGCGTTTCATTCCAACGCTCCTTATAATTTCAGGATATGGAGCCATCAGAAAACGAAGACAGAAAAGAAAAGACAATTCGAAAAATTTGAGAAGACCTGCGACCCAGCCAGCGATGAAATCTTCGTACATTTTTTCGTCTAGTAGTCAGTGAAGGGATGAAGTTGGCCAGTTTCAGATTAATGAAATGATCATCCCGATCAAACTCACGCCATCCATTAAATTTTGCTTCAGCAATATTTCAGGGAGATGTTTGATGCTCTCGTAATACACAAGAAAAAATTTCCATACGATTTACTTTTTCAAAAAAAAATTAAGATAAAATTAAAAGTTTGACAGTAATTTAGCAAAAAAAGAAGAGAAAACCCGGTACATCTCTCCTGAAAATATGATTAGAAAAGCACTCTTCAGAAATTGGATGTCAAGAAAATAATTCCAGAGTTTTCTCGTAAACGACAAAAATGGTGGCGTTGACAACAAATCCTCGGATGGACAAGGCCAGGCAATCGCGGAAAAAAGCCCCAAATCCCTCTTTTCTCCAAATCCGAGACATCAACTTCATTGCACTTCTGGAAAGTTTGTTCCATTCTCCTCCATAAGAGTCGTTGTTTTACAGTTTCTTAGTAGACTTGTCCACTTGAATTCTGTTCTTGACCACTTCCAAGGGACAAACAACGATCCAAGCGACCACACCAGCCGTGCCTCCGGCCATCAGCTGGAAACGATTTTCAATGAAAAAGAGTGTCTCTTAAATATTAATAATAATCCCTGCAGACGATTCGAGGAACTTTCTCAGAAAGGAACGAAACTTACCTGAATAAATGTCCCTTCGACGTTTTTCTTGCGACAACTTCGTAGAATGCTTTCGTAGACGGGAATATAAAACATGTATCCTATAATATCGCGCCAAAATATTATGTTTCCGCCCTGAAAGTCGGATGAAACTTTATTTTTTCCTCTCATTAGCTCGGGAAAAAATCGAAATCGACTTCGCAGATTTTTTTGTTGGAAAAAGAATAACAAAACGTCAAAAATTAGCGGCAAAACTAGAGAAGCTTGTTATCTTTTTACTGCATAGATTTCATTCTCGATCTGCATTATCGACTCTGAGTAATTCCCATTTCAACTTAAAGCTGAAAACCAATTCAAAAAATATTTCTGAAAATTTTATTTGTTTGAAAACATTTCGACGTTTTATTTTGATACTTTCTGCCTCCTGTCGCCGAACATTAAAACATATTTTAGAGCCATTTCTCTGGGCGTCCGAATGGAAAAATCGCACAAAAGAGAACGGAAGCGGCCTCTCCAATTTCATATTTGATTAAAAAAAACCGCACATGAGTCGTCAGATTCTTTTTTTTCGATGGTTGCATTCAGATCATTTTTCCCAGATTAAGTTTTCTCTTTCTATTGGAGTCAAGCGCAGCTTTTATGTTGGTGAACGGATTAGCATTCGAAAAAATCTTCTCCACTTCCTGTCTCCTGAGAATTCATTAATTCATCTTGTCTCAACTTAGGAGCTTACTAAGTTCCAAGAAAAGACTCCAATAAGAGCTGTGAAGCCATGAAGCAATTATAACCTCTTCTCATAATTTGAACTTTTCATTTTTTTCGGCTGGACTTATAACTTTTTTTCACATTTTGGATGCTTTGAAAAACTAACAATGTTCATCAAACGACAACCCTTCCCCTTCACTTAAGTTTTTTTTTCAACAGACAGGTGTGACTGAAAAATGTTCTCATTGTGATAAAAGAACAGTGATCCACCGGGAAAAATCCCATTAGCATGATGAATGGATGTGTTGAAGAGCCCAGAAATCGGCGCACTCGTGGCTCAATCATTGTTTGGCTCCTCGACGGCCTTTTCCATTCCATTATCCCCACAAGACAAACTTTTGTCCTCATTTTTTTTTCCCATCTTTGCTCAACTTCCGCGTCATTTTTTCAAAACTTAAAAGGCTAGATAATTAAATTGATTTATTTCAATGTTCAGCTTACAAAAAGGACGAACAAAATTTCAACCCTGAACTTGAAAAAAAAAACTCTAAAATTGGGAAAACTCTTTCAAAAAGCGCGAACATATCGGAAAATTAAGTATCAAGTTTGTTTGCTAAACCGTTATTTATTTGAAATAAGTTTTTTTCTAATCCAATATTGACTTTCCTATAACAGTTCTTTTTCTTTGCATAAAAGCAATGGTTAAATAAATTAAGTTATCCATAAAGCTTATTGAGAGTGGAGGCAGGAGACTTGAGCTGCATCAATTCATGAGAACCATTCCAAGGTAACCTGAGGTCTTCACACTTGTTTGGAAACAAGACAAAACGAGTCTACCGAGTTAAAAGACACGGGGAAGGAGGAGACGTGTGGGAGACAGGCCGACTCGAAATCCTCCATTCAAAGTGAACTTGCTCGGCGGCTCAAAGCTCGAAACGGGCGGAGTCCTCGACTTTTTTGGAAACGCGTCGTCTCTCCGAGTTTTCTCTCTCTAGTCGTCTTTGTTCCCGAAAACTTGTAGCTCCTCGGGTGTATGACAAACGAGCCGCAAAACTCGAGCCGTCATATGTTTCAGAAATCCTGCCGAAAACTAAGAGGAATTTCGAATAAAAATATTTCGCGAAAACTCTTTCGAAAGATATTTTTAGGGGGCGCAAAGCCCCGCCCCTTCACGCCACCGATTTGACGATTTTTTTGTTGCAAAAACGGTTTTGAGGCGTTTATACTAGCTAAAGTCCCACTTTAAAAATGAACTGTTTCTGCTAATCTATGTAATCGACAACGCTCTACAAGACTGAATATTTTAAAAACTATGTTTTTTTCAAAAATAAGCGAAAAAGTAAGATTTAACACGAAAAAAACTGACAAGTTTCACAAAAACGTCGCGTTTCAGAAAACCAAGTGAGGAACGCTTCTAAATTTTAAATATGTTATACATTTACACTTTCTTTATTTTTTTGAGTGAAAAATAAAAAAATCTACCGACGCGAAAAAATATTAAAGCTTGTAAAGTGACACCAAACTTTGAAGCTGAAATGCGAAAAAAATTTCAGCGACATGGTATACTTTTTTTATTCGATTTAAAAAAACTAACAGTGTGTCCAAAAAAATAAAAAAATTCAAAAATGAAAAATAATTATTGGGACAGCGAATCAAATTATATTTGAATTTTACCAAAACCTCCTTTTTTTCGCCTGCCTCGTTGACGCATGAGAGAATAGGATCGCGTCTATACTTTTTGATTATGTTATTAAGCGTTCAAAACTCTACCAATGAAAAAAATTATGAAAAAAATCGATCGACGCGAAAAAAATAACGGCTTTGAAAAACCTCGAAAAAAATAGCAATTTTTTTGAAATTTCGGAAGATTTCGTGCAAGTGTCCGTAGCAGTGTTTGCGTCAAACACACCGATGCGCCCTTTTTAAATGTTGCAGGAGCCGTTTTTTTCGGAGTCAAATTGCACTTTTTTTCCTGTTTTATTTCGAAATAACATTATTTTTTTCATTTTTTTCTTTTTTTCCAAATCGAATGATAATAATTTTTTTCTGAGTAGAAAAAAAGAAAAAAATAAGCTGAAAAAAATCCCTTTGACCTTTTTTTCTAGGTAGTTTTTTTGATATTTTATCAAAAAAATTCTTATGAGGATTGTACAAAAGATTCATACCAAAAACATGAGGCTCAGTTCGGACAACTTCTCAAAACAGAAAAACCGATTTAAAAAAACGGTCCAGAAACGCGCAAAAAAACATTTAAAAAGAAAGCGTGCGGCAGCGGGTAAACCGTGAGATTTTGCCTCCAGTTGTACGCCGCGCGCGCTAGTTTTTTGGCCATAACTTTTTTCTTAGTGGAGCTTTTTTCAAACACTAAACGGATTATGAAAATGGACAGTCTCCTCTATCGAACAATGTGAAAAACATATTTTTTGAATCGTTCTGAAGAAATGGCTTGCGGTCCCTAGATATTTTTACAGTTTCGGATCAGTTATGGAATTTAGTTAAGCGGCTCTTTTGTCATTTATCCGTTCCTATTTGCTTTTTTTTCAGAATGCCTCCACAGATTTGAAATTCTCTTTTTATTGACGAGAAACGGAAAATCTTTGGGTTTCATAGATTGCCAGAACCAGTTTTAGCCTTTTCTTATCACTTGGTTTTTTTTTCTGAATCATTCAGTTCATATCAGAAATCCGCCCACCTTTTCCAAAAATTGCAGTTTTCCGTTATTGCTCACCTTATCCACACATTATCTTTACGAATTAATTTTCATCTCCTCAATAGCTCAAAAATAATAAAAAAAATAAAAAGAAAGAAAAATGTCTTTTTGCTGTCACGCGATCGTAAAAGATAACAATAACAATGAAAAAGTTGACGTTTCACAGCATTTGACGTTTTCATTTGTTACATATTTCGTGCTGAAATCTCGAACCTCAAATATTTCGTAGAAATCGCAGATCATGACTGTTGCTGAATATCAGCTCTTCACAGCGAAACCTGAAGATAAGGACGAAATCCGGCGGTTTCTCATTGAGCATTTCATGGTCGAAGAGCCGATGAGCAGGGTGACTCTGAAACTTGTTTTTTTCAAATTTTCATTTGTTTAGGCAGCTGGAATGAATGAAAGTTCTTTCCAAAAATGTATCGACAAAACTTTCGAGCGATGTTCTGGCATTTCTCATTCCGTCATTGCTCGACGAGCAGGTATTCCTTTCAATTTCCACAGATCACATGTTAGATCTTTTTGATTTATTTATGTTTCATTCATTGTATTAGTCGTGCGGATTGCAAATTGGCGACTAAAAGTTTGAAAAAAAAAACATTTCAAATTTGATAAAATTTAGAAATCATCACGTAAGATTCTTTCAGGCTCTAACGAAATTGTGGCATGTGCACTGAATTCTTTGTGGAAAAGAGAAGACTCGAAAGGAGAAGACGAGAAAAAAGGAGGAGACTTCGATTTTGGAGAAAGTTCGAAGGAAATTGATGCTGTTGGTGGGTTCGAAACCACGAAAATTGGAGTCAACTTTTTACAGGCACGATTCTGAACGATTTGCACGACAAGTTCTGGGGATTAGTTCCAGGAACTATCAACTCTGTTATTCATCTGTGAGTTTTCACTTTCAAGTTTTATTTGAGGTTTCTGAAGTCGATTTAATCGCGTTCAAAATTGACTTGACTTACAACTGAACAAAAAAAAAAGAATTTTACTCTTCGAAAATGAATTCCATCGCTATCATGACCGTGTTAGGGAGTCCGAACATCTACCAAACTAAAGTGACCTCTTTAGAGAAATTCTGAGCGTTTCGAAAGACCATCGGCGGAAAGGAATCGCTTCGAAGTTGATGGCGTGGACAGAAGATCCAGATAAACTCAATGTGCGTTTTTGAATGGTTGAAACACTCTTTCCTCTCTCCAGAAGTTGCAAGCAAGCGGAATCGTGGCTGAAGCTTCCTCGCTAGCCAATCAGACGCTTCTAACAAGAAGGGGTTACAAGGTAAGGAACTCAATTCTTTGAAGAGGAAAAGTTGAAGTATTAAATCATGTTAGTAGCTTATTTGAATGATTATCCTAACCTACTGGCTAAAAATTACCTCAAATTGTAGACGCTAGCAGAAAAGTTGGTGGAAACGGTGACCGACGGAAACGGAGTGCCGCTTCTGAAATGCGATGACGGGACCGACCGAGGACTTCTCATGTTCAAATCCCTGGAAAAATGAGACATTTCTTAAAATTAAACATAAAACTGGGTCGAATGTATAACATATCCTTCTCTTACTTATCACTTATGAGCTTGATTTCTTTTTCCTAAAAAAACGTGTTCACTTCGCTATTCGAATAAACAGATTATTCATGAAAAATCTTGTTACTCTTCAATTTATTCGTTTGCAATATAAGTTTATGTACAACTTTCGAAAGATTTGAAAGGAAGGAACCAGTAATTGACATTCAACAGCAATCTCAAAGTTATAACCTGACAACCAAATGAAGGACCAAAGTAAAAAGAGATCCGCCTGCTGAATTGCATTGGTATAAGGAGGATTTGAAGATCATGGTTAGAGGTTATTTCAGAAAGGTTAGTTATTTGGTTTTCAGGGGTATGAAAGAAAAAAAAACATAAGTACTTACAGTCGCAAAAATAAAAAATGAATTTAAGGGATAGGTCTGATTAGGCTGAAGATTTTCCAGTAGGGACTAGTGGAGAGTTCACAGAATTCATTTTCGCAGAACAGGAATTATCAGGGACTTTGTCGGGCAGGTTGATGTTCTTGGTCTCCGGCAGCGACGCTTGGAAGACGAGACAGTCCATGAGGGACACCAGGGAGAGTACCGCATAAGGAATGCTCCGGTAGGGACTCTGAATGAGGAGTTTGTCATTCACAGAGACCCTTGAGATAAACACCTTTGGTTTCATTTCTTCCCTTTTTCCAAATCGCCAAAAAATGAAAAAGAATCTTGAGAAAATTAGATCAAGTTAAAAAAAGAGAAATCATGTTTCCTTTAATGATAAAAGTTTTTCGAAAAAAATTGAAAGGCTAACGATAGTCTAGCTGTCGGTCATTGATCGCCAAATTTTATCGAAGAATTCGGAGAGTCAATCATGATTCACAGAAATTCATGGGAAAGACACATATTCAGAACATCCAAGAAAATCCGAATTGCATTTTGACCTGACTATGATTTTCCGATCGTGCTATGGATAACGAACCAAGATGAAGAGCTGCGGAGCCAGAATGGTTCCAATGCGACTGGCCATCGACTGAATCGCGATCGCGGAATTCCGGACCATCGTCGGGTAGAATTCCACCGTCACGATGCTTTTCGTGATGAAAACTTGCGACGCCGTCGACATTGCAATCAGAGACGCTATCCGGACCGCCCAAGAGTACTCCGAGCTACCATCTTGAAAACTTCCAATGAAAAAATCGCCCAAACTGCTCTTACCTAGAAGAAAAACACCAAAAATGAAGAGAAGACACAAGGCAATTGTGAACTGCGCCGCAAAGTGGACCACTTTTCGACCCACCGATTTGCATCTGAATTCTTCTTCTTTTTCTGACCAACAAGGGCTTCGAACTTGTAATCGATAGCGCCGATGGAAACGTTGAAGACCCATCGAAGACTCGCCATCACTAGCGAATTGATGAAAATCGAGCCGGCGAGTTTCTCGATGTTGAATATCAGGCCGTAGGTTGTTAACGAAGTTGTGACCCTGAAAAATGACTTCACTATTTGAAGTATCTAATTTACTAAAGCCCTATAAATCAATAGGATCGATGCCTTTTATATTCTTAAAACATGCTATGATGCAAAAAATATAAACTTTTTTCTGCAAACTTTTTCCAACTATGAAAGCTTTAATACTGCAGCGAAGTTAAAACTCAAAACTAATCCTCAACTTGCTCTTCTTAACCTACCAGACTGCAATTTTTAGCACAATCCAAACTTTCTTATCCTTGAAGTTCATTTTTTTGTTCATTCATTCAACTTTTGTTCACGAGTTCTACATTCATGTCACCCGCAAAACGTAACTTATCTTCTGAAATAGTCTTTAAAGTCTTTAGAAAAAGACCTGCGAAACTGGGACTCTGCCTTTCCCTATTTGATAGGAATGAAACTTGAAACGAACTTTCCAAAGAGCATCACAAATGTGATGAATGTGAAGTACTTGGTGGAGAACAAGTCCCGCATATCATAGTTCTTCTTTTGCTTCAGCGTCTCTTCGTGAATCTGCAGAAGTTTCATCCAGATGAACCAACTTGAATCAGACCTTCTGCTCGTTGTCGAGCATCTTCTCCAACTCTTCTTTCGAACTTTCCTTGGCGCCGTCCATCTTTTGGATTTTTCTCAGCACCCGACGCGCTTCTGCAACTCGTCCACGCTGTATGAGCCATCTTGGAGATTCATTCACAAAACTGAAACAGAAAAAAAACAATATCCTTGGGAGAAGATTGATCTCACAAGTAGAGCAGAGCCGCTGGAGACGACAGCACAAGAATAGCGAGCTGGAAAGTGCGCCAGTCTTGGGTCCACCTGAGAACTCGCTATAATATGAGCAATCTTCCTCATTGGCTAACCAGGCAACAACCGAGAGAAGCATCATGTTGGGAGCCCAGCTGACGATCGTCGCCACCAGGAAACGGTGTCTTCTTGGCACGTGCTCGATTTTGTACACACCGTATGTTCTTAACTTTGAACCATAACGAATAATGAAAAGTTTGAAGTTGAAAGAGGAAATTCTACAAAACGGCCGATCTTCGGAAAACTTTTTGAAAGTGCCGTTCCAACTTAGAAAATACCTGTTCAAAAGCTATTTCAATCAAATTTGATTCAAATTTTCAATAAACTATGACTGAGCAAAAAAAGCTTGGAGCCTGAAGAGTTTTTTTATCAATTAATAAGTAGGAAAAATTAGAAGGTTTTACATTTAATTCTTTTTTTATCAAAATTGTGAACCTAACACGGGAAGTGCGAAAGGTCGAGGTATTGGAATTTAATGAAACTTGGTATATAGGTACTTCCGAACACCCTGAATCCAAAGCAGTTGAAAAAAGTGCGCCTTTTTGGTTTTAGTCGAGTTAGGGCGCCTCAAAGTTTGCACGCAAAAATTGCATTGGAAGGGAGGAGGGAATGTATTGTGGCGGCTAACTCTAGCTGCCAGCAGGCGGCGTGGTGTAGTGGCTAGAGGCCTTGCGCTGTGAAACCTATGATGCAGGTTCGGTCCCTTTTTGGTCAAATTTTTTTTGCCAATTTCTTTTATTTGAAAAATGAGGAAGTTTTGATGATGGAGTGAAAGAAAAGCTCAAAACTTTATAATTCACCACTTTATGCCCATCTGAGAAAGAATTTCGACAAAAAATTTTTTGCTCCATTTTTCCTTGCCTAACCATAAGGCTTATGGTCGACCCATTCCTGCAAAAAGTTTTCTGATGAACCAATAAAATCAAAGTTTTATGAGATTTATTCTTCTTTCCTTCCTTTATGACGTTATGTGTGTAAAAATGTGTATCAAAGTCCAGCTTCACTTTATTTTCACAATCGAGATGATATGGCGATGCTGCAGGGAAGGAAAACAACGAGGAAGTGGGTTAACTAACCGCCACCCTTGAAGAAAAAAATTGTTTGATGAATAAGAATAGAAGCATAGAACTACAATAAGTTGTTATTTATATCACAAAACTATGAACTCTCGCAAGAATAATCTCGACGCCCAAATTTCCTGCACAGAGCAGGACAAAAAAAGACTAAAAAATTTTTTTGTTGAAAGTCTTTCTCAAAACGACATAAAATAGTGAATTTTGACACTTTGAACGGTATTTTTCGTTCTATCTTCTAAAGTTCATCAATTTTTTCGAAAAACTTCATGGCAAAAAAAAATTTGACCAAAAAGGGACCGAGCCTGCATCATAGGTTTCACAGCGCAAGGCCTCTAGCCACTACACCACGCCGCCTGCTGGCAGCTAGAGTTAGCCGCCACAATACATTCCCTCCTCCCTTCCAATGCAATTTTTGCGTGCAAACTTTGAGGCGCTCTAACTCGACTAAAACCAAAAAGGCGCACTTTTTTCCAACTGCTTTGGATTCAGGGTGTTCGGAAGTACCTATATACCAAGTTTCATTAAATTCCAATACCTCGACCTTTCGCACTTCCCGTGTAAGTTAAGGCACCACAAGCCATTTTTGAAAAAAGTAATGCTTAGTCGAAACCAATATCACTGGATAGAGCAGATTGTCCAAAAATCAAATCAGTTTAGCTTTTCGAAAAATTTTGATTTTGAGCTTAGTTATGAAGCTTTTAGTGACGCTCGAGAAAACCGAAAAATCTGGCGTTTTCCGATTTTTCGGCTGCCGCCGCACCGTTTTGGCTCGTTTTCCATTCATATTCAACCGTTTTCAAATCGGTTTTCTGTTGAAAACTGATGAGAATGCCTCTCTGATTATTATTCACCCAATTTAAGGTTTTTACAAAAATAATTAGTTCGAAAAATAAGAAAAAAGGATCCTCGGCACCAACGGGAAAAACTATAATATAATAATTTCTGTTCAAATCATCAAGAAAGTACAGTCTAACGTCACACAAACAAAAAGAATAAGAAATAATTTCAATTATCATAGAAAAAAACACAAAGTTCTAAATTTTTTTAAAAATTTTTTTCGAAATTTCAGCTTCTCTTCATCTCCTAGCGGAACATAAAAAATCATTTTATAGGTCACGTTTCCGAATACTTCGAAGTTTTGCACAGCTAGAATAAATTGTTGATGCTTACCCAACTAAGCCGCCATTGAAAACTCCCAAAATTGTCCGAAACACAGTAAAAACGAGCAAATTCGTGGAAAAGGCGGTGGCAACGCTGAAGATGGCGACAAAAACGAAGGAGAACGAGAGAACCTGAAAAATATTGTTCCGCATGAAGTTGAGCCGAGTTTCGGATAAAGTTGGAAGAAAAAATGACTCGCAATCTGCCGAGACGATCGCTCAGGTTTCCGGCGATGACCGTGCCGAACAGAACGCCCAGCATTTGCATCGAAATGCTTGTTTTCACCCAGTTTCCCGCGTCGCAAACATATCCAAACTGCAAGAATCTTGTGAGAATAGTCGCCAGTTGCTTCATTATTCAATTGATGAAAAGGGTTTTAATATGAAAATTTTTAAAATATTTCAAATTATACTTCTGAGTTTTTCTCATCGCTGGAATCTAAGATATTATTCTGAGTCATTCAAACGAATATTTGCAAATCTAGTTCTCGAAAAGGAATTTTTTTATGTTTAAATATAGCTTAATTTCGAAGCGAGACAATGTGAATGTAAGCCTCAAATGTTGAAGATGACATCCAATGAATGGATTCAGTTGAAAATACAATTCAAAACCCACATCGACGTTAACAGAAACGAAGTCGGCCTTCGTTTCAACTGTACAGTTGGGAGGGTTACTGTAGTCGAAAGCGGTGGCGCAAAGATCTTCGATGAAAACTTCGGGCCCTCGACAACTCACGGCATTCGGGACGGCTCCTCAATTTCCACATTATTTCATTTGTTTGAATTCATTTCTCCAAACCTGCGTACATCATGAAGATCATGTTGCCGGCGCCGGCGAGCAGAGCGAACTCGGCGAAAATAAGAATCAGAAAACAGTAACGACCCATTCTCATGAAATCATCAAGCGTCTTCACGTCTTTTGGCTCTTCCAAGACTTCCAACAACGCCTCTTTCGGCGGCAAAGCGTCGTAATCTGCCGAGGTCGCCATACCTCAAGACTCATTGTGCAAGGAAAAAAAAATAATCGAGCGGAACAAAAATATCTGAGTAAAAAGCTTTTCTGGGTTCTTTGAAGACAATATGTAGACATTATTGTGTTATAGTGATTTAACATTGTATTACAAAAAAAAAAAAATTTAAACGCGTTTCAATAAATTAGCAAAACAAGAGAGAAAAATAGCTTTCAACATCACATTTGTTTTTCTCAAGCCAATTGAGACCAATGAGTTACACCTTTTTTGCGTGAACTCGCCAGATCTGTCCGAATGTTTACGCGTAAACATTTCGACAGACGATATGTCAGCGAGAGCTTAGGTAAACCCACACCAAAAAGAGATTCACGTCCAACCATTCGCTTCTCCAAATACCATCAAATCTTTTCGAACACACTATACACACTAGAGTTCTCAAAATGACCAATTGAAAAGAATGACATTTTTCAAAAACGAAAAATTTTCTTTTTGACATTTTAAACGAATGTCGTTTTTGAAAGATCAACCAAAAATTGATCATTTTCATTCTTTTTCATTTTGTGACTTTTTCAAATAATGACTGAAAAAAATAAATGGTCATTTTCTAAAAAAATCATATTCTGACTAGTAAATAAATGTTCGTCTTAATGATCAAATTTTTCAAAGTGAAAAGTAAATGGTCACTTTTTTGACCAAAATTTTCGAAACGAATTTCAAATTTTTACTCTTTTTGACCAAAAATTTTCAAAAGTGAAATTTAAATGTTCATTTTTTTGACCAAAAATTTCCGAAATGAACTTTAAATGTTTATTTTTTTGAACAAAATTTTTTTAAAAATGAACTTTAAATGTTTACTTTTTCTGACCAAAATTTTCAAAAAGTGAAATTTAAATGTTCAATCTTTTTAACCAAAATTTTTTTCGAAAAAAATAAGTAATTGTTAATTTTTTTAAATGCTCAGTTATGAAATTTAACCAAAAGGAAGTTTTTAACAAACGGTTCATGTGAAATTCAACTAATTGGTCGAATTCATCAAACGTTCGGAAAATGTTTGGTTGAACGTTCGTTCAAACATTTACTTTTGAGAACTCTAATACACACCTTTCGCAGTATTTTTGCGAGGAAGCGTGGAAAACTGCAACTATTTTTGTGACTTTGCGCTGCGATTTTATGCGTTTTCTCGTTCGTTTATAAAACAGCACTTGGCTGTTTATAAAGGATACAATGACATTGTATTTTTCAGAAAAAGTGTAGTAACAAGAAAAAATTCTAAAGAAAAAAATTCAGTTTGAAACAAGAGGTGAGTTACGACGAAAAAAAAGTGAGCATACGTGTGGTCGAGAGAAACACGTATATTTTAAATAATATACCTCGGAGCGTTTTTCTAGAACAGTGACTGTGGAAAAAGGAAAATTACGTCAAAGATCGCTCCGACCACTATTTGAGAACTGTTTGAGCGATTGTAACCAAGAGATTGAGAAAACTTCTGACGTAAGTGCTTGGCAAACCACAAGCTTCAAATTTTCAAAGCGCTTTTTGAAATTCAAAAGGAATTCCCTATACCTTTTGCTAAAGGCTTCTTTCTTTTCTCTACTTTTCCCACTAATTTTTCTCTTTCTGATAATCTTATTGTTTCCGTATAAAAAAACAGGAGAACTGAAGTTTTTATCAAAAACTTTAGCCCCGATGAAAACTTTTTTTCTTGTTATTTTCTTTTAAGGGAATCCTGAGATGCTATTTCATTAATCTTGACAAGAATTAGAAGTAAACATCAGATTAGAAAGGCTTCAAAGTGAATTGGACACAAAATCATAAAAAAAAGAACAGAAAACTGTCGAAAGACGGAACAACAGCTGTTCCCTGGGCAAGTCACTACAAAAAACATTTGAGAGAAGCTTTCTTCCACAGATCAATTCACGGAAAGCTATAAATCTTCCGAAATCCTTGGAATGATGTCTGAGGTTTCTCTACAAGCGCGATTGTAGCATAAAAACTTCAGAATTTCAAAACGCAAAGCTAAACATTTGAAGTGAAAGTTTTATCTCAAAAAGAGAATTGAATTATGCTCCACTGCGCAAGGACGCGTCTAAAAAATATTTACCACTAGTCTGTAAGTTCTTGGCACCAGACAACACTTATGCGATGGAAGTTATGAACCTACCACGATAAGAACATGAGAAAACGATTGGAAGAGACGAGACAAAAAAAAAATAATAAGATTTAGCAATTTAGGAAATCATTTTTTCGGAAAAAAAGATTACAAGAATATCAAAATGACTTTTCCGCGTATTTAAACTTCAAAAATTGATTTCTTAGTACTTCAAACCAAAAAAAAATTCTGCAAAAAAGAAGAAAAGCTCCTTCTACAAAGGTCAGCAAAAAAAAGTGGTGTTGAACTTTAAAAAAGGATGAATCGAGAAGGGCAAAGACTAGAGTCCCACGGCTGGCGCGTGCTTGTGATGCATTTGGATGGACCAGAGAAATAAGCGAAAAGGCTGAAATTCGAGACACGCGATGGTTGCAGAGAAAAAGAGAAGCAAAACACAAGAAGCGGAAGGACGCCAGACATGAAAAAAAAGGAGAACTTTTGTTGGTCACTGATTCATTTCATGATTTGACAAACTTTGAAAATTCTTCAAATTCTATTTACTTTTTTTTTCAAAATTTCAATACAAGAGAATCTTTCTATTCTTGAAAAAAAAATGAAAAAATTTAGACGAAAAAAAATTTTTTCTCTGAAAATGAAAAACTTTTCGTCGGAAATGATGAAAGGTTTGATTGTGTCGGCTAGATGAAAGGAAATCCCACTTTAAGATATCAAGCTTTCAATTGAAAACAATGAAATAGGAAAATTGCGGATCGAAGAAACGGATAAGAGGAAAAAGATTAGTATCAATTTTGCATTAAAAAACACTCTGAACTTCTTGATATTCATTCGAGAATTTGTGTCAATTTTTTTAAAAATTATTTCAGCATCTCGCTCAGGTTTTTCAAACTGAAGAAAAAAACCGTTTTTCTTAGTTTTCAAGACAACGAAACTAATTCCAAAACAAAAAAACAAAAAAGATTCGCAGACAACTTGAGGGCACCAATAAAAAAATTTGCTCTTTTAAAAAAGGCTTCGTTTCTCCTGTTTCTCCTATGAACACGGCTGGCACGCCGAAAGGATAAGAAAGAATCAAAAACAAAACAAAAAAGGTAATAAAATGAATAAAATTCTTCTCACTCTTAAGAAACATGCGCGCCAGCGCAAAACTGTAAAGAGGAGCATCGTAAATTTCGAAAAATTTAATTTTTCAAAAAAAATAAAAATAAAAACGCCCCAAAAGGCCTGTTTTTTAAAATGTACCTAGGTAGTTATCTGTTTCATTTCAAGTATGAACTTTTTGTTTTAACTTTCTTCCATTCGCAGTGCCATTTTTAACCGTTTAATTTTTCTATTATTAAAGTGATTAAAAATTTTCAGATCTCCTCTCAAGAATTGCCACGACTGCTATCTCGAAATATTAGGTTAGTTACCCATTACAAAAGTTGTAGCTCAAATCATCACTATTTTTCCTATCACCCAAAGAGAGTTAGTTTTTGAGCTTTCCAGTATATCTAGACAGGCTATTTGCCGGTACCCTATTGTGCTTACCAGGGAATGGTCTCCGGTCGCAGTGGGACCTCTCAATGAGACCATTTTTCCTAGATGTAGTTTTTCACGCTGATCCCAAATCTGGTCTCAAAAACTGGCGAAGAGCTCTGTGAAAAAAGTTATGGACCCTCAAAAATCGAAAATTTCAGTGTTGGTTAGCAGATAATTCTTTTTGTTATCGAATACTTATACCTACGACTACCTACCCTAGTAGTTTGAATGAAATCTGCGATTTTCACCTCACACACACACTCCTCTCGTTAATCAACCTTCTGCTCTATGCTATTTTCGACGTTCTGGGGGCTTTTACCAGGACAATTTCCATGATTCTATAATTGGCGGTGGATAGATTATACGTAAATTTTCGGCGTCGGGATCATTAGCACGCACGAAATCCAGCGAGACTTGTGAAAAACCGCGCGGGGGACACCCGATAGTCATCCGAAGAAAATGAGGCTGTTCGTTTTTCTACAAAAACTTGTCCATTTGCCGTGGCATATTGCCGCCTTTCATCCGCCCGGATGCGCAAACACTTTCCACGGATCTTCTTCGTGGTTTCATTACTTTTCTGACGTTTCTTTCCCATTGTCCTAAGTTTACTTAGCAGTAATCCTTTTTTGGCTTTCAGCACAACAGTACTGTCGAAAAAAAGGCAAAACTATAATTTATATTATAATTATTTTTTTGAAGGAGTTTTGCTTCGTATTGATGTTGAGGAGAAGTATCAGATTATTATTTTCCATTTAATTCCGATGTTAGGTTTTCATTCATTCGCAATCGTAGCAGAGCTATAATCTTGAGAAAAGGAGAAAAAAGAAAATTTTGAGGATTCTGTGTATACTCTGGCAACGAACACTGGTTGCGGATTTTACTTCAAAAAACCGATCAACATATTCTATTTTAGAGTGATTGATTCACCTTATGAAATGATATGGGTTTTGATGTTTATTGACAACTGTTTTTCCAATTTATTTTACATAGAGTTCATTCTATTTTTTTAAAAATAAGAAGCCTAAAAACATGGCTAGGGTAGATGAGTACTTATATACCATCTAAGGTTTCAAATTACTTCGATTGATTCGATTTAAAACTGTTTGAAGGACTCGAACGCCGGAAGACTCGGGGAAAACAGGCGCTGAGATCCCGTGGAGGTTGGAAAAAAAGAACTAAACAAACGTATCGAAATTGGGCGCAAACCGCGCGAGATGGCGTGTCCGAAAAGTCGCGTTCTTAAAAAAAAAAATTGAAGAAAAAGCAGCTTGTGGCATTTGGATTTTGTGGCTTTCGGCCGTTCGTGATTTCTCCGTCGACTGTAATCGGACATCGTACTGAATAAGAGGATTTGTACATTTAATCCTTGTACTAATTCCTTGAATGCCTTACCAATGAAATAGATTAAATAGATTATTCGTTCGGAGATCCTTGATTTTCTAAAGGGGTTTGTATCTAGATGTAAGCTGATAGTCAGAAAGTGTGTGAATATCTAGACTATTCATATAATTTTACTTAATTCAGAATATTCCCAATTCATTAAAAAACTTTTGTAGCAGGAGTTTTTTCTTTAAAGGCATAGGGGCAGTAAAAAACGGCGTTTCAGTTCAAAGCATTACTTTGTAGAGCTTTTCATTGCGAATCGAGGGGTAAACTTGAAAACGTACCGAACTTCCGTGTTTTGGAGAAAAAATAATTCAAAGTCGGAGAAAGGAAAGCTTGAGTTCCCGCGAAAAGGGCACTTTGCAGCAAAGTTGCTCTATGGACAACAGGCTTCGCCACTTTTCGCATTTTCGCTTTTTTCTTCGTTTCTTTCAATTTTAAATTTTTTCTGTTGTCATCAAAGTTCTTTCCGTCACAAAAGCTTTCTATTCATGTATAATTTGCAAACTTTGGTCGCAAAAATGCTTCTTTGGTGAAAAATGATGATTTTACACAGGTTTCGATTGGGATAGCATTATTTTGTATTTTCTTTATTATCGGTATGTGTTTTTTGTTTTTTTAATCGATTTTTTAGAAAAGAAACTCTTAATTTGAAGCAGATATCCGGTTATTTCTCACAAAATGCGAGTCTAATGAGACGTCCGCAACATCGCGTGCACGACTACTGTAAACATTTGTCTGCATACCGATCCAAAGCTTTTTTCAAAAATAAAGGCGGGAAAGTAAAATCGCGTTTTTCTTCTAAAGTGGTCACATATTTAATTTTTTTGAGTACACCATTCGATTCGCAAAGAAAAACTATATAAGATACTGCTTTCACCTGAAACCCCATTTTTTACTGCCCCTATGCCTTTAAAGTAGCCTCCACATCTAACGACCTTTTTTACGTCTTCGTCAAGCCTCTTAACAGTAAAGCGACAGACTGTTCGAAAAACACAAGCAAAAGCATGGTCTCATGCCTTTTTTTGTGTCAACGTCACAGTGCAAGCAACCTACACCCCTTTGAGATTGAGGACCGTTTGCGTCGATCACTTCATTCTCTGGTCTATTGCTTCTCATTCTCCTTCGGTCACCAAGGTCGTTTTCTTCTTATTGTTATCGAATTTGTTATCAATGAAAGAAAAGACTTAGCTGATCTTCTGCCTAACAAACAAAAGTTTGCAGCAGAAATAATTCCCCTTTTTTCTCGAAAATATTGGAAAAGTTATAACGGAATTTTCTCTTTTTCAACTGTTTTCAAAAAATCTATGCTTCATCAAGCCGTCTTATCAAGAGAAATGGCTTTTATCCATCAACCCTCTTTCACGAAATCCTGACACTGTGCGTATGAGAGTTTGATATCCTTCAATGGATTCGAAATCTGAAGGTCGTAATTTTTAAAGATGGTCAGATCTTGTGATATAATACTGCAAAGCAGAATTTAGAATGAATTTTTAGTTTTGTTCACCGCTTCCTTATCGCAGACCGGTCAACTTTTCTAGAGAAGGGAGACATTCAATGATTTTTTGAACTGGCAGCGGACGGGTGCTTCCGGAGCCGCCAAGACAAAAGACCCGTGGGCAACAATTGTTTCCAAACCGTCGCTGTTTTTCCATCGTTCTCCATTGCGTTCGCCACACCACAAGAAGCCGTTTTCAATGCTTCATTGTTCTTCGCATTGGTTTAGAAGCATTCGTCAAATTTGTTGTGTCCGTCTTTGGCTTCTCTTACAAACTTGCGGTGTTCAGAGGTCCGGCCCGATCACGTTGCTTTCTCTTTTTTTTTCCAATTGCTGTTATTCATTGCAGGCGATTGCGGGTAATTGGACTTTTCTTTGCTTCGATTTTGATTGTACTGTTCCTTTGTGTACTGGAAATTCAAGTGTACTATTTGAAGTTTGAGTTTTTCTTTCTCAATACTATGGACCCAAATCGGGTGGTAGTCATCAAAGGGTTTTTTGCTAATTCAAGAATTCTTTTTTTTTATTCCTGAAATCCAAATCAAAAGCGCTTATCATTCCAAAACATATATTAACTTTTATTTTAGTTTTTAAAAAGTCAAAAGTAAAACCACGCTAACGTATTTTTTTTTTCTCCTTAGTTAACTCTTATTTCACATTATTTTTAATTGAACTCTCCACTGAGTTATTTTCATCTCAAACACCAACTAATTTCGAAAAGCGTTTCTGCCAAAGAAAAGCGAATAATAGGTATAGGAACTGGTGAAGCGATTATGTCGTTTATGGGTTGGAAAGTGAAATCGCGCTCAATTACCAATTTGTTGGAAGTCGATTCGACTGCGAACGCCATTTGGCTGCTTTTGACTGTCAAATACTTCGTTATCTATGATCTATTTCAATGAGTCAGCCTTTCGTGTTCAGGTTAAATAATTTAATGTTCCATGGTTTTTTAGTAGAAACTCCCTATCCCATTAGCTTCAACATCAACTAGACGAATGCAACCTGTTCGATAATTTGCGGTCAGTGATCGCTAGACGGAAGTATACATACCCAATTTTTCAACTCATCAAAGGTCCTAGCGTCTGAGTTTAGTTTGGTTGCAACCGGTTGGGTTGAAGCTACAAAATGGTACCTTTGTGTAAGTTCCCACCGCTCAATCATTCCATAGTTACTCTGTTGAGGTGAAAAGTGTGACGGAAAAGAAATCCGCAACAATTTCGCTGAACTTTGCGTTCCAGCCATGGCGAACGACCAAATATGGTCATGGATGAGAGAACCCGTCGAAATGTTGCCATTTTCTCTTTCGCCATTGACTGAACTACTGTCGAGGAAAAATAATGGAAAATCCTTCAAATACCAGGAAAATCTTTTTATCTTCAGTTTGGAAATCGAATGATGATCAAAAAAAGCTTTTCCATTCAGATAGAGAAAAAAATGTATACGAATAGGAGCTTAAAACTATTTCTATTGCTTCGATTTCACATTTGAAAACTTGAAAGTAGTTTTTTACCAATTCTGTCAGCAAAAAGTCAAGATCATTTCATTTACTTTTCTTCATTTTTTATTTCCGTTTTTTGGCTTAAGAGATATAATGATAACGACTTTATGGTCGTTATTGGGATAAATATTTTCCCTCATATTTTTTTTGATTTGGCGCCTTTTCTCGTGTCTACTTGATGACCAAAAAAGACCCTGAACGATCGTTTCGCTCGTGAAAAATCCCTACACACTCGAGAAACTCAAGCACCAACAAAATGAATCGAAAAAAACCAAGTGGAATTGTTTGATTTTCACGGGTCGTTTTCTTTCCAAATTGTCGGTTGTTCATCCGTCTCGGGACTTTTCAATTGCCTGTGGTTTTCTCTTTTTTTTTCGCAAAGTTTTCCGGATGTCCCTCCGTCCAATTTTTGCATTTAACTTCTTTCTCTTCTTCATGAACTTCTGATCCCGTTTTTTGAAATTCCCCATTTGAAAATACTTTAATCTACCTACTGGAGTGGGGACATTTTTGAAAAAATAAAAACGCGGCTTATCCTTTTTTTAAATGAGATTCGCAGATTTTGTATGAATTTTTGAAATCATCCTTTTCCTCCTTTTTCGCAGTTTTTCAATCGTACTGAAGGTAGAAAAAGTTGGTGGAAAAAGTTTCCATCCAATTAATTTTCTTTCAACCTGGAAAAGAAAAAGCATGAACAGTTTTTAACGCGACGTTTTTCTTCGAACTTCAAAACCTTTCAAAGAAATAGGAATATTCAATTTTTTTAAATATCATCTATAGAAATTAGGAGACTAAATAGACGCCAAGAGGCTGTGTCGAAATGATCGCTATTGCGCAGAGAATGGCACCGGGCTTGGGCATTTCAAGGACGAAACACTTGAGTTAAAAGAATATCTGACCGACGGCCGTGCGCCGGAAAACAAAACAGATCTGAGAAACTCAACACGAACTAAGAGGCGCAGAGCCTGAAGGTGAGAGGTTTTGGGCCATTTGCCGCCTAGTGCAAATATTATGTGCACTTGCGGCGATTATCGTCAGACGGAGCATTTGCGCCACCTATTCTTATCCCCTTGTACCTCGGAGCCGTGCCGGAGACTTCAGTTTCCGAAAATACGAGTGGACAGCAAGAAAACAATGTCTCCAGTAGGATCCTTATCTGAATTGCGATCAAAACTTGCGATGCGCCTTTTTTCAGCCGTCTTCAAGTGAACGTTTTCCAACGCTTTTCGACCCATTTACTTTCTAAACCCAGTTCGACTGTCTCACTTCTGATTTCTCAGTGTCATCTTTTTGGTTTTTTTTTCTATTTCAGTGCCAGTCTGTGTTGATTAAAACAGTTTTTGGCCTTTTCACAAGTTAAAGAGTTTACCTTGAAAGGGAAAAAAACGGAAGGGAGAAATCATTGAAATGCGGTGAAGTGTGAGAAATTGCGTTCCCTTTTCAAAACTTTTTTTTTGCTGGATCCCGTCAACGATTCGTGGACATCACTCCTGTGCCACATTTCTTTCTTGAAGTCGGAATTCCTTCTCCATTTCGCTTATATTCACATTTTTTGCGTTTTCTCAATCAAAAAGAAGTTTTCAGGCTTGCTCAAAGGTGGCTCTCATTCGAGAAGACCTGTCATTGGTTCCAGGTAACTTTCTCCCTAAATATATGGATTAGAAAAAAAAAATATTGAAGATTACTTTCTTGGTTTCTCTCTTTTTTAACGTAGTGAGAAAGGATATTTACTGAACTTCCCAGCAATGAATCTCCTTCCCATATGGTAGCTAACCGTCGCCATGAGAAAAAAAAAGAAATAGAGCGCCAGATGGCTTATCGGCCTCAATGCCATTTCTTCATTCCGGCTGTTTTTCGGCGCAAATTTCCTTCTGCGTTTTTTTTTCCCGATTTAGGCCTACTCAAAAGCTAATTTATATAGTCTCAAAAAAATTTCTCAATTCTTGTAACCTAAAAACGGAATTTGAAGTGTAATAGGTTTATTTTGAAAGCCTGTCTCTTGGTTCCACAGTTTTTATTTTCATGTTTCGAAAACCATTTTTTTAAAGGAATTTTCGTGGAACAAAATAGCGTGACCGATTATTTTCTCCGAAAAAGCGTCATTTTGTTTTTTTGAAATGGGTGTTAGGAGAACTTTCATTTTTTTTCTCGAGCAAGAAAATCAAAAAAAAAAGTTGTTTACCAGTCGCTTTCGTTTAAGGATAACTTGAAGACCTATTTTCTGAAGTTTCTTCCAAAAACTACCCTCACTGGATTAAATTGTCCAGTTTCTGCGTTGTCCGCTTTTTTATTTTCATTTTTCCTGAAAAGTGAACCTGGACTTGTTTCTATGACGTAGTGTTAAAGACTGGACACTTCAGCGAGAAAAGTTATAGTCTTGTTATGGAAGTTTCTTTGTATTGATTTCATTTTATTTCTTGACTGATTGATGGGATTTATACGGTAAACAAAATTCATCTAATTTTATTGTTTCTTTGTTGAAGTCTCTTTGTAAAGCTATGGTGAAATAAATTAAGATACTGAATTGTTGATTTATTTCTTTTTATTATTTTATTTTGTTGGCTGCATTCACTCAGAAAGCTTCTTAGAAGGAGGCAAGTGGAAGGAAATAATTCTCAAACTGGGAGATTTTTTGGTCGTTTTCATCAAAGTTACTGTTTTCCTAACAGTTGTTAGAAGAAATAAACAGTTCATCGAAAAATGGGAAAAATTTGATCTGCTATAGGTAATACTTTGATGAAGTATCGGTTCTATGAACTCTATGAATTCTATGAACTGGAGAACTTTTCTCCTTTCCTTGTACTGTGTGCCGTAGAAGAAAAAAAGGTCTTCGAACTTTTCCTTGTCTCATAACTTTTTTAGTTTGTCAAATTGAAAACTGGTTAATGTCCTGAATGTCTTTTCGATTAAAAGCAAGTGGCTGAGATGGAATGCACGGAACACCGTGTGATACAGGTAAACGTCCAGGAACCACGGATACGTCGCTAGTTCAAAAAGCAAAGTTTAACGTGATACTATTTTTGGGCGACGAGATTTGCAAGGAATTAGATAGAAAGCTGGAAAAAATATGAAAAAGAAGAGCCAGGATTTTCGTGGTTCAATTTGTTAGCTGTAAGCCATTCGATTTTTATGTCCCTAAGGCCTCTAATAATGTAAATAGCGCTAAATCTGTAGAATTTATTTTTAAAAGTTTTTTCTCGGATTTTCGATAAACTTTCTCTTGAATATATAAACTTCGCACCTTGGAGATGCAAAGTAAACCTTGAAGCGTTTATTGAGGTTTGATGGCGACTGATTTGCCGAACATCACACTAGCAAACTGGTAGTTGAGGGTTTTTATGTCCCTAAGGCCTCTAATCGCTTTTCTGTGGTTAGATGTAATGTAAATTGATCTCCAAAAAGTCTTCAAAAAAAAAAAAGAGAACTTTTATATACGTTTTCAGTTTCAGAAATTTGCATTTCATAGGTAAAACGGAAATTTTCCTTTGAGCACCCTCAGAAGGAGCTGAAACGGTTCCACTAAAAGCTCCAAAAATGATAAGAAAATTACGTTGAACCCTTATTATAACCTCGGAGGAACCTTTTTGGATCTTTTCGAACCTTTTTAGTTGCTTTCCAGCATATTTTCGTTGAGGGATGCGAAAAAGGTGCAAACATGAAATAGAAAAGATCTGCTGGGACCCTTAAAAGATCTTTTTTAAGAATATTTTTTGAAAATTGTTTTTTAAAATAAATTCATTGGACCTAGGTTTAATTGCTAAATACATCTTTTCAATATTTTTTTGATTGAATGAAAGATGTTATCTGTCTGTGATTCGCCCTTTTTTAAGCCGTTAATTTTCATAATTGGAAACGGCTTCGCGTTACTTTGTAGAATTTTCGTCCTCATTCAATTTCATTTATGTTTTTGCTCATTCTTTAAAAAAAAACAGAGTTTCCAGATAATTCAAAAAAAAAAACGTGAGATTATGCGATTTTAAAGTGTTTTGACAAAATGTCTGTCTCGTTTGCCAATCTCCAGCCTTATCGCTGATTTGTACACAAAGCGACTGTCGTCCGTTCGCCTTGATACTTTTTACGGTCGTTTTTCGTCCCTTCCCTCATGCTTTTAAAGATTCACTGCTTCTTCGATCTTGATAGTTCACATTCGTATAGTTTTTAAATGATCCCCGAAGCGCAAAAAGGTATGAAGTCACAGTAATAGCTACTTGTGCTCGACGTTGATCCAACGACTCTTTTGTTTTTCTTTTGTTTTTCTTAATGTTGTATCCAACTTTCTTCTACAATTTTTTGCTAAGACAGTTTCGAATTCGTTGATGACCTTCACCGGCCAAGAAGTAGTCAATCGTCGTCGCCTTGGGTTTTTTCGTCGCTTTTTGCCTTCGACGCCCACAACTTCGCAACCTTCATTCAGTTCTTTCCTATAATTGGCGGGGTCCTGTTCTTGCGTTCTTTTGTTGTCGTTCTGTCCCACAATAACTATTAAGTTCAATATACTTTTCATTCTTTGAATGATCTGCGCTGTGAAGTTGAAAAAGGTTATTTTTCAACGCGTGGGTTCGTAGAAATAAGCATCTTTTTGCTCCAGTACTCAATGGTCTCTGAGATGATCCTATACGACCTCCGCCGCGCGGATCTTCCAAACACGCATGAAAAACAAGACAGAACTGATTAGTTAACCATCCAACGACGATATGGATATGATGGGTTTTCTGGGTCAAACCAATAGGACGTTCGCTACCCGATATCCATTAGTTCCCAAATCACTAATTTTTTTTCACACTGTTTGCTTTTGAGAACTAGGTTGTGACGACAGGAGACGAGAAACGGAATCAAGGTTGCCAGGTTTTTTCTCATTCGAATTGAAACCCACCATTTCTTTATTTTTTCGTTAGTTGTTGAGAGTTTCGTAAAAAGGGTGCTAAAAAGTTTATTGTTAAAAAATTTTTTCGATGGGGCGGAATTGAGTGTTTTGAATCCTAATATCAATTCTGATTTCTCCGTATTTTTTTTTTTACAATTTTCCATGACTTCGAAGAGGGAAAGACAGAAAAGCTTCCTCGCGACTGGCCATCGAATCGATTCGAACCCACAGACGATTACGATGAGAAGCCGATGATTGATAGGAGAGTGTGGGATCCGTGAAGACATCTGATGACGCTCACCCGACGCGCGACGTTCGAAACCGCCATGGAACGCCCTGCTTTCATCATATCCTTTCATATCGATTCTCAACTGATCTCGTCCCATTTCATTTTTCTTCCTCAAGAAAAGCTCCTATGTTTCTGTTCTTGGTTCTTTCGTCTTACAGTGCGAAACTCATTAAGTATCAAGATTCTTTCTCTTCGAAAACTGATGAAAATTCTTACAGCGTTTTCTGCTTGTTCGATACGGTCTTAGTTTAGAAGTTTTTTCTGGAGTTCCTCACTAGAGTCTTTAATTATAATTCAAATGCAAACGTTCGATCGGTTTTGGAGGTATTTCTCTGTCTCCTCATCCTTCTCTTTTGATGTTACTTTGCGAGTCAAAGTTGCAACCATGCGATTGCGACCTTTTTTGAAGGAGTTTCTCTTCTCGGAATTTTCCTAGATACCGATTTCGTTGAAATTTCCAAGAATAACGGTAACGCATTTCAAAAGACGGCCTGGATCATGCGGTGATAAGAGGAAAAAAAGCTCGAGAAACCGCCCTGGTCGACCGTTGGGTTTTGATCAATCGACGACGCCCTTCCTCTTCGAACTGCAAAGTGTGGATGGACTGGTCATAAACCTTTTCGGAACGGCGTCTGAAGGTCTGCCGCAAACTTCTTCCGAGAATAAATGGAAGTTAGACGCCTAGTTTTATTTTTAACTTTGTTGTAATCCTCGATTGAATCACATTATTTGTCTTCCTAACTTCCGTTTTTTTTTTTTGGAAACTCTCCACGTCGGCAAAAAGCTGGCGCCTGAGCAAATATTTCCGTTTTAGGAAGGATAGGCGTCTCCAACTTGTTGTATTGTGCCATTCCATTCGACCATTTCCACGCACGATTTTTTGAGCTCCTTAGAAAACGGGTCGACGCACGAAAAACGTGTGCTCCTGCATGTAGATGAGGTTTATCCGCAGAGCAAGTTTTTCATTTACTTTTTTAGGCTCTCCGCCATTTCTGTCGGCGGAAAACCAAACTAATCAATTGCGATAAATTTAGTTAATGTTGAAGTAAATGTTGTAAGAAAGCTTAAAATTCATTATGACGTCAGTGAAAACTTTTCATATGAGCAGCTTCAATTGTTTTCAGGTTGAAAAAAACTTGCGAATCTTTAATTATATTCTAACTTTGAAATAAATAATTTTTTTTCGCTTTTGGTCCTTATCATTCGAGTAAGAATCCCTTCGACTTTTTGAATTTTTATCTTTTTATTTCGTTTTAGTTCAGAGTCTAATCTCAGAATTTTTCTCCAGCCTTTCCTACAGTTTTTGATAAATATTTACAGTCAAACATGGGAATTTCGAAGCACCTATTTTGCTCTTTGACAATAAATGTTCCTTTGGTGATTGCACGGCGAACCGTCATCTTCAAACAAATACACAAACTTTTCATGGATCCTATCCTCTTTTTCAAACAAAAAAATAATATTTTCCCCAACTGTCCAAGAATCGAACCAAACGTAAAATAATAAACAAAAACTTTCTGAAAATGAAAATTAGCTCTGAAATACAAGTGACGTTGCTTTTTTTGTTTTTCATGTGATAGTATCTAAATTTCTTCCCTCGTGTTAATTATGACGTAGTTTTGGATGAAAGATTAATTTCTGGATGACTCACTTGATTGATTTGATTCAACATGTCTGTCTAGATGGTGAGAACCCCTGATTGATTTTTTGAAGGGTTTCCCTCTGGACTGGATCAATTTCTTTAAAATTTAATCGGATTTTTGGTCGCCTTCTTTTTACAATGTGAGGTATCAAAAAACCGAAAAATTTTCATATGTCACATATATCAATTTAGCGTCAGTTTCCAGCTTCAAAAAAAAAGAATTAGCTCTACATTATATTTTGTTTTTTAAAATTGTTTTTTGATGTTTAAAAATAAGGCTAGGTGTATTTATTCCATAGATATTCCCAGATAATCCATATTCAAAAGGCTTTTCGTTGGCTCTGATTCCTTATTTTTTGATAATGGAATTTTTCTGGAGAATTTTCCTCTTTGGGCAATGTTTTGGACTATGTCAAGCATCCCGATATCGTTGACAATATGATAATCGAACTATGGAGAAAAAAAAACACGGACGGTCACGCATTGGTGGCCAGGCAGCTAATCGAACTCGTTTTTTCTCTTTTTTCCTCTTCACAACTTTTTTTCTCCTGCGAAAAATAGGAATTCAACTTGTTTTCATATCTAGAATGTTTTCAACTTTTTTTGAACTGTGTAATTGCGGCATGATTACCGGATGAGACGTTTCTTGTCCCGCGAAATACACGTTTGCGGTCATATGGGAATTAGTTTCCTTCTAAAGTAATGTTTTTAAAGACTTTTTGTTGCAGACTGATCGTGTGAGATTTTTGATTCTTCAAAAGTTTTCAATGAAATCCGTTTTTTTCTTTCGTGTTGAACAACCAGCCACACCTTATGACCTGGTTCATGTAGAGAAAAAAAAAAATTATTTTCTGGTTATATTTACTAAATTAGCTTTTAAAACTTTCAAATTTTAAGCTAAGCCTACACCGCTGATTTGAGCATGACGTCATCCGTTTCTCTGTTTTTACTTCGGCTTCTAAAACTTCGACGTCAACATAAAAAAACATTTGTAGCCAATTCACTCTCTGCGGCAGGAACAAAAAAAACTTGAAATTTTGCAATCTACTTCGACAATCTTGGTGTTTATGCCCAGATTCTAATACAAAAATTGCGACTCGTGCACTTGTCCCATGCAAAGTTTACCGAACTTTTGAAGCGCCGCCCATTTTTGGGCAGCGTCTACAGTTCTCGTCGTGATGAGCCCTGCCTCCTCGAATTCCAGATGTCGGCAATATAAATGTATCTTTGGAGGTCGCCTTGGAACATTCTATTCTTTTCAAACTGACAATCGAAAATTTTTTCTAATTGAGATACTCGACATCCGAACTTTAAGCTGCTGATTAGGGAAATGTTAAAAAGATCTGATTTTTTTTTTGTATGACAAACCTTAGCTTGACTTTTTTTTCTCAGTTTCGATCATTCATAGAAATTATCACTTCGAAGCAGTACCTAAGAATGGAAATTTTCAAAATGAATATATCTACTAGGAAGAACGGTTAACCATTTCATTTTTTTTCGAAGAGGATGTATACCTGTTTTCAGTCACGGACACATCAAGTTCACAATTATTTTTAATAAGAAATCGTTAGCGATAATCGCATCAACTTTCAAGAAATCTTGTTGCGACATTTATCACTTTCGACCATCCGCTCGGCCTAATCCATTTGTCCCTTCCGTTTTAATCCGCTCGTTTTCTCATGTGCAACGGTTTGCCCGTAGAATTGCATGGAATTAAGGTCGGAATAACCGGCGAACAACGCGCGTTTTTCCATCCGCTTTCACCTCCATAATTGTTCGACTTCATCTGTTGTTTTTTCAATGATTCCATGAGGTCTTTTGAAACATCATCATAGGTTTCAACTGTCTTTCTTTTTCTGCTACTTCTAGCTTTTGTTTCTTATCAATCTACAAAAGAGTTTTTTTTTAGGATACTGTGAGGTAAGTATAGTTTTCGGGAAAAAAAATTTTTGGAATTTTGTTCGAGGAATCAGGCGAAAAAAATCAAGTCGAGATGTTTTTTTGTAATGCGTGACAGATCTACATTAAAAATATTCATTTTCGTTCTTTTCGCTTCGTTTTTCAATGAATATTTGAAAACGCTGTCTGAAAAGAGTAGCTGGTTGTTTATTCTTATTTTTCTTCTCACAGAGAAGAATTTAGTGCTGATTATGAGCAATTAGCCGACAAACTACCCAAATGAGACAAAAGCGACACCGCCGTTGACAACCGACGGTCCGTGTTGACATTTGTATTTTTCTACCGGCAAAAAGCCTTGAAAGCTAACATTTGGGCGGGCAACAGTCCAACCGGTCTCGTTAACTAGTCTCACTTCGCCAATCTTCTATTACATCCTTACAGTTATTTTAATTTTGTTTTTATCTCATTGCTTTCTTCTTTAGCTGTTGAAAGGATTTTGTTTGATTTCAACACTTACTGATGGGTTTTTTGTAGACATGCGAACTCCGCAGCAGCAGACGGACGCGGAAGTCCCTACGGCGATGGAACTTCTTGAGGCGAGCAAGCCGCTCTACGTCAAAACCGACGTTCTGAAGCAAGTCCGCGTTGGTGAGTCCATCAAATTTTCAGCCTTGATTGAAATTGTAGACGAAGGAGTATCTAGAAGCTCGTTAATTTTAGTTCTGAAAATTTTATCGACGGCAAGTCGCAACCGAAAAACACCAGAAAGTTGAGCTCATAAATTTTTGAATCTTCGAAAGTTGGTAACCTTTTTTTTTCGGGATTATTTTTTTGCAGTCGTGCGATAATTTTTTGCAATTGATCAGGTTATTACGATAAGTATTTGATGTATTAAGCTATAATGCCTTTTCACGTGTGAGTAGAAGATTTGCGCTGTTTAAGAGTCAGGAAAAGTGACTATGACTTGGCCAACAACTTCCAAAATATTTGAAATCGAAAACGTGTTTGAGTAGTATTACTCATAATTCTGAATGTTTGAGCCGTTGGAGTTGAAAGTTGTAATGAGGGAGCGTCCTTCTGAGGAATTTAGTGTTCGAAATGACCACTCTCCTCCAAAAATAAAGCACGAACTCGTTTTTGTTTACCTCTTGACGATATAAAACAGTTTGCTGCGTTGAAACTTCCCATTTAAATGAGTTTCAAAACACTCTTGCCCATATTGAGTCTTTCAAAAAGTGTTTGTTAGTCTGGAAAGTTGTTTTGAAAATCAGCCGACGACTTCTCTTTCCTTTTTTCTCTGCCTCTCGTCGTCTAGCCATTCTTTATAAATTGGCACACCTGTTTTCGATTGACAATTCTTTACACTGTCTAATTCGAATTCAGAATCTCATGACTTTTTTCGTCACACAAGTGAAACTTTTCAGAACCCGGCAAACCAAGAATCTTTGAAACGACCAGCCAAACCGGCGAATTTAATAGGCCAACCCGACTGGTGAGGATATTTCCCATATTGAAGCTGTATCGTTTTTCCTTTTCTGAATTATCATCACGACCATTTCAGTCCCTGCCTTCTGTATCCTCGACCAAGTCGCAGGTCCAAATTCCCTCCTCGTTCTCAGCGTTTCGTCAGGTGCACGAACCGCCGCCGCTTCCGCCCAAAAGCGACCAAATCAGACAAAGAGTACTCAGGTATCGGGATAGGATTAAATTGAAAATATATAATCTCCGTTTCCTAGGATGCGAGTATCACCGAAAGGATCTCCTCCGCCGTTGCCACCACGGAAAAGCTCCGATCAGAGCACAACAGATGAAGAGCAAGTGGTGCCGCCTGTTCCCAAGCCGAGGCTTAGTAAAATGGTACGCGTTTAACGGGATTTAAAACAAGGAAAAACTTGAACCAATTTATTTCAAACCAAGTTAATTTTCAAGAAACTTATTTTTTGGTCATTTTCCCATTCTTGTGTTGTAACATTTAAGTTAAGCGTTTTAAATTTCGTTTGCTTTTGACGCCTTTCCGAATAATTTTAAATTATTGATGACCAAACTGGGAAAAATGTTTTGGTTCTATTTCTGCAGCGTCATAAACTTTTGTCTGTGTTAAATGGGAAGGCTTGCCGGATGTTTAAAAGTCTGAAAAAAATTTCCAATTGTTTCAAAATAATTTTTAGAAATCGACGGGATCCAATGAAGAGAACCTGCAGCCACATCCGAAGCCTCGAATGATCGAAGACTGTCGTGAAGACGAAGCCGTGCGCCGCATGTTGAACGAGTACAGAGCCTCGCGAGGTTTGGATTGGACTCAATTCCTGGAGCTAAATGGAGCTTTCTGCAGGTCGTGGAGTCTCGGCGACGCCCACATCGACAGCCCAGTATCCAAATTCCGTTTCGGCGTTGAAACGGAGGGCTAACGCGAGGACAAGATCTCCGACTGTGTTGGAGGAAGTGGTGGGAAACCTTTCCTATTCATTTGTAAAATTTAATTTTCGTTGAAATCGTCAATGTCTTCCAAGCATAAGCAAAATTATAGAAGCGTTTTTCAGACCAACACGACGTCAGCGGACGTATTCCCGGTGATGGACGACTGCGAGCGAGATTATCTTCGAGAAGCTGTTGAACAGAACTCTTCCGTCGACTTCCCTTGCGACATCGATGACAGGTTTTCTGACAGTCGTTCCGCTGTATTCATTGGCCCCTTCTTCCAGTGACGTCTCCTCGCCTTCGGAGCTGAGGTTCGCCTGTAAACCGTCCTCCGCAATGGCCTCTCCCATCACAGACAGCGGCCTTCCCTGTAGTGACTGTGATGACCGCAGGTATCCAATTGACAGAGGGTCCTGACCGAATCAGTGTTCGCAGGCATCAGACATGCTCCAACAAGTCAGAAGATGACGGGTTTTTTGACGCCAGTCTTCAGAAGCGCGACGACGAGAGTGGCTCAGAACCTCTGACCTCTGTTTCGAACATCAGATTGGAGGCTATCGTTCCGGAAATCACATCCATCGGTACCACCCGGAGAGAATGAAGACACCAACAGACTCTTTTCAGAGCCGCGAGCGGCAGTCAGCGAGTTGGAACGAAATGCCCGCGTTATCCGCTGGATACACGGCTGTCCGACCAACAATCGGCCGGCGGCAGAGGCTCTATGAGAAAAACCGTCATCACTTATCTATCACCCACACATTTCACTTCATACACCGAACGGTTTGATTCTGACGAGAAACGATTGAATTTATTCGTTTTAATACGTTTTCCCCAATTTTTTGACATTTCTGCATGGAAAATAAAACGCTGTGGTAGGCATAATCGTAATTGGTAGAAACGTCGAGATTGTAAATAATAACCCTGTAGTTATAGATTCCTCCCCAATCCCTTGTTTTAATAAGCGAAACGGTTCTTATTTTTGCATTCATATGTTTTGTCATGGATTTCAATGAAAAATATTTCTTTTTGTGTGAAAGGCTAATATTTGTGTGGATTATGCACCAAATTTATCGCAAAAAAGAATATTAGCTTGGTCCCCAGTCTTCATATCCAGGAGTATCGCATCCCTGAAAAAGTTCAAGTTCACATGAAAAAGATCTTTGAATGCGTCTATGGAAAAATTGAGAGACGAAAGGAAAATGGGGATTTTTCGAAATGTGGACATTGAAGATCATCAGTATAAAACATACTTCACAGAAAACTAAATTAAAGTTTTTTATAGGTGCATAGGTGACCCATCAGGCACCTAGTTTTCAGTTTCTTTTGGCACGATTTCATCAAACTGATCAGATATTCTCAGTCATTAACGTGAACCGAAACTCACTTCGTTCTCCTCTTTCTTTTCAACTTTCCTCTCTTTCTTTTCTTCTTTTTTCTCTTCTTTCTTTTCGTTCTTTTTCTCTTTCTCATCCTTCTTTTCATCCTTTTTCTCATCTTTCTTTTCATTTTTTTTCTCTTCTTTCTTTTCGTTTCTCTTCTCTTTCTCATCTTTCTTCTTTTCCTGCTTCTCTTTTTTTGGTTCCTTATTAGCTACAGTTTGCGACTCTCTGTCGTATTTGGAGTTTTTGTCATCGGAAGCCGGTGAATCAATCTTGGCGCAGTAAACAGACGGAGGCGTCTGTATTTTACCTTTGATCCCCCTAAAAAATTTCCCATTCTTTCAAATCAAACATCCCCAGAAACTACCGTTTATCTTTTACTAAAGCATTATCAGAACTTTTCTCGCACTCATTTTTCCTGAATTAAATATATCAGTCAATCTGTTTTAAAAAAATGTTACCTGTTTTCGCGATTCGCATTCTTATTTCTTTCCTGTTTGGCCATTCGGTTTGATTTTTTTAATCAATTTACTGCAAATTACGATTGAAAATCTGAAATATAAAAAAGCTCACAAATAAAAGCCTCAAAATCTCTGGAAATTTGGAGGTTATAGCGCTTTATCTTCGGTGTGCGTGATTTGAAATGACTTTGATCATTAACAGGTAATACGCGAGTTGATTATTTTAAAAATTTATTTAAAATTCGTTTGACAATTGTTTTCGAGAAAGGATTGAACAATTTTTTTGTGAAAGTCTTTGCTTGGAAGGACCTGCTTCTTTGAAAACATTTACAAAGTTAGCTTGTAAGTTAAATACCAAAATTATCAAGCAAAAATAGATATGGCCCATTCCTCGCCAGCATGTCCCATATTTCTTTCCGCCAAAAATACCGTATAAAAATGCTACCGTAAACAAGGCGATTCGGTGCTTGAAAAAAAAATTACGGTTTAATTGAAGCACTGGATTGCCTTTTTCGTCAAACACTGGCAGAACCAAGAGATCATAATGATCGAATTTTTGTAAAACTTTTTTTAGGTTACTGTGGAATAGACTTCTGTGAACACCCAGCCGCAGCAAAGCAGCTTTTTTTCAAAAAGAGAAAAAAATAAAAACAATATTGTTGAAATATATTGTATAATAACTTATTAACACCAAACAAAATGCCTAGTTCGGCGCGAAAGAAATACGATGTCGGTGGCGGGAAACTGAAGAACTCGCAAACATGTCGCTCTGTCCTATAGGAGGCCTAGCGCGGGTCTCGCATTCTTCTCGACGCTACGTCGCATTCTGGAAATTTTCTTTGAGTACCTGATAAAAGCGAAAAAAATAAGAGGGAACCAAACTGTTGAAGAAATTAGGTGAGGTCTGTGAAAATATTTATAAAGCATAGGCGTTTCGGGTATTAAAGTTGAATAATCTTTTTAATGAAAAATCTTGAAAAATATTCTGAGCTCAATAGTTTTCAGGCTGTACTTTTTGAGATGGCTTCGCCAGAGCCTGAAACCTTCCGATCTTTTTTCGGAATAGACGCAGAAGATCAGAAAAAACTGAATGCCTTGGCCGAACAAAACCTTTGTCGCGATATTGTGGAGTCGCGATCATCCGAAGATTATCGCTACAGAAGTGAGTTAGTGAAGTTTTTAGGTCCTAATTTTTTTTTTTATTCAGTGCTCGTCATAAAATATCCACAATTTTGCTGGAAGTATCGTGCGACAAGCCTTATTTCGCCTTTCTTTTTCGGAGAAGCTTCGGATAGCCTGGTTACTGAAAAATCTCCGTTCATCACGGAGTTTTTAGGACACGAAACCAAGTTTGGGTACTTTCTTCTGGAAAACAACAATGGATCCCTCTAATTTTCCAATTTTTTATGCGAAAGTTGCCCATGCATCGACTCCTTATGAGGTTAACTTACAGGTTGTTGACCACACATTTTGTAGTTTTAAATAAGAGTCTTATTTTTAGCCACGATATTTAGAAAAGTTCCGAGAGAAGCTGTTTGAAGAGATGCAAGAATACTATTCTTCTGATCATCCGGACTCTATTTTTTTGGAGGATGAGGTTAGTTCTGATATTTTTCCGATAATGTGAACACCTTTCAGATATTGAACGGTATAAATGTTCCGTGTGCCTGTTTTTTCGATGGCATCTGGAATCGAGGTCTTTTGACTGACGTCACAAATAGGACGTTAGTGCTCAAAATTCTTTTTTCCTATTTTCTCTCAAACTTAAGTTAGCGTGTAATAATCTGTTGTTTCAATCTTTCACAACGATTGCCATTCAGTCGTTTTTTGAAGTTCCTTAACCAGTTCTCCTAAATATCTTGAGCTAGACAAAAAAAGAAGGATTTTTTAATTATTATTTCTTTGTATGATGATGAAATTTCTTTCCTAGTTAATTTGAATTTTTTTTTTCACACTTCAACTACCTAGATTATATATTTAGAAGTCTTTCGTTTTATGTGTGATTTTCGATTTCGAGAAAGCAGAAGCGGACTGCTGAGTTCGATTACAGAGCTTCCGTCACCCTCGTCGACTTCGGTACTCGGAAAGTTGTTGATCTGGAAAAAGTTCGAAAGTTGCACAGCCGGTTCGGACGTCTTCCGCCATTAGTTCTACTTTGCAGAATCAAAAGTTTGTTAAGTTTTGAGCGTGTTGTAGGATTATTAGAGGCAAATCTTGAGATCTCGAAAGGCAATGCATGGAACCGAACATTGTTGAGATGTTCCGCGAAAGCGTTGAGAAGTGCGAAGGAATCGTCCGTGTACAGCTCACCACACTCACGGAACCTTATCTGGTCAGTTTCCAACTTTAAAGTGTTTCATCGACGGAAGACCTTTTCAGGTTAACCTTTTCCATCCAAAGATTATGGATTGGAATATATGCCGTTCAATTTTTATTCGTTTGGGAATGAACCGAAATCCGTCGACCTGCGTCTTTCGAGATGTTAGTATGCAAAACAAAAGATGAAGATTGTTTTCCAATTAAGCATTTTTCCCAAAATTCCTCCTCGGAGTTTTCCGATGAAGAGTGGGAAGAGATGGAAACAACCGAAACTTCATATGTTCGTTCTTTCGGCCATTCTACGAAGGTTTCCTTGTGTTTCAGAAATCTTAATTGGAGTTTCTTTCCAGTTTTTGTACCTTGAAGATCGTGAATTCGTAGTGGGATACATTGAAAATACTAATTTGGTTTATCTTCATACCCAGGAAATGCTCGAAAGACGAGAGAACATTCAAGATATTTTGCGTGATCGCGTGAGTTTTTGTGGGTTCCGTCATAAAGTTTGGGAAGAAAAAAAAGTTGGGAAAAACTTTTGGGAAAATTCAGAGCGGTAATGAAAACAGTGTGGTTTTTTAACCTATCAATTTTTAAACCTTTTCCGCCCATTTAAGAACTTCCGTTTCGGAAGCCATTGGAAATACTTTTCACACCTTTTTGATAATGATGAAAATTTTTTTCTCGAATTAACTGTTAGATGAAAAATAAAAAAAATACTATTTCAAAATGAATGTACTTATGCGGTTTGGATTAAATTACAAGTTAAAATCAGCCGTGATATTCGTTATTTAATTCGAAGATTGTACACTAAAATCAAATTTGGAGATCCTCAAAAAATATTTTTCCATCGTGTCAAAGAGATTAGCGACTAGGACTTGATTATAAAAGGGAATATTGGTGTACAAGGATAGAACATAGAAGGAGTAGCCTGAGATTGCAGTGGAACGAGCTTCCGAAGCTGCCAGAACCTTGGATGCATTCTGAGTCGGCTTGCGCAGTCAGAATCCCTCGGCCTCCAGAACTCGGGAAAAGCTCCGACGAAGAACTTTTCGCTCGCGCAGCTTTTGACCGAGTTGAGAGGGACTCGGCAACTTTGATCCTTGTCGATTACGGCATTTTCATCACCTCTGATGCCCATTCCTTGGATTGTCGAGCTGTTCCTGACGATGAAAAAATCGCCATCGTTCCCCAGGTTTATATTTATTAAATTTTCTCTGGAAAACATTTCATTTCTTCTATTTTTAATTTTTATATGTCTATTTTTATTCTACAAAGTAAAGACATAAAAAAACTCCTCTATTTAGGATTACAATATGCGTTTTCACATCTGTGTATTCAAATATTTTCTTAGAAACTATACTTTTTTCCCCTCTAGGAAATACGCCTGCGATACCATAGTTCTTTCCACAATCAAGGTGGATCTTGTAGGTGTTGGTTGTTCGAGTTAGTCGTTGGGATTCGCCGAGGCACCACACAGCGACTGTTTTTCTACGAGAGTTGATACCCATCGGCACAGTGGTTAACGTAGAGAAGAACTCCAAAAATACCCAGGTTTTGTCTGAAAACGAATATCTGATAGAAGAGTCATTCTGCAGACTCCCATCCATGTCGTTTTAACCAAGTCAAACTCGGAGAGAAATGTTAATGAGATGTTAACAGAGAGGTCCTGATTTAGTATCAGCTTTTTTGAAAATGAAAGGTTGATTTAGGTTGGAAAAATCGAAGGTCGACGTAAATTGTCAAGAAGTTGTACCTTATGTTTCGAGAACCCATGCAAAAACAGTTAATAACTTTGTTTATCGAATGAGCTGTTCACATGCTTTGCGCCGCGGAAAGTACATAACAGAGACTTTACCGGCGAGGCCATCTTGATATAAAATGTAAATATTTTTTAGTTTTGTTTTGGTTGAACTTGTTGGCTTTTTTCTTTGTAAATATGGAGAACCGATCAATTTGCTTTAATTAATATTCTTGTGAATTTATGATTGCATTTTTCATGTCCATCTTAATAAATGACCAACGACGGCAAAAAGGAATTTTACAAAAGAGCTCAGATAGGGGCGAAATTATCATCAATCCCTGTGAGTAAGCTGAACTATAACATCATCACCGCTCTCAAGAGGGAGCGAACCTGTGCGTTCCGATTGGACAACAGACGCTCTACCTGCTGCGCCAAGCGCTTTGCAGCGGTCAATCGGAGGGCAGCGCCCATCCATACCTTCTCACACGCCGCTGCACCAATATAACACACATTTCCTTTTCGAATTTTCAGGAGTTGAAATATGATGAAACTGATATACAGTTTTGAGAAATTTCATCTTCTTAATTGTTTTTAGGGTGTATTATATCATGATTGCAATAATTCCTTGTTAAATCCAAAAAAAGCAAATACTTTTTTTGGGCTTCTTTTTATCTGTTCTTTTTGACAAAAAGTAAATTTTTTTCATTTTTTTGTTTGCTGAAAAGCGCGTATTATCAGAGGAAGATTTATTAACAAATATACCCATATGTAAGAATAAGAATTAACAAAGAGAGAAACGTTATCCGAGCGGTTTTGGCGGGGCCAAAAGTTTTTTGAATTCAGAGTTCAGGTTTGTGAGAAGATCTTCGAGCGTGGGGAGTGGTGGAAACGGAGTTCCTGTAGGCGGTTTAAATGGAGCCAAGGTTGGAAGCGTTGGAAGTGGTGGAAGAGAGAACGGAGCGATTGTAGGGACCTCAGGAACCTTTGAGACTAAACTCTGCTCTTTGTCTTTGATGGCTCTCAGAATTTCTGTTGTGTCTATCCTTTTCTCAAACTCGCTCTTCTCCCCAGTTTTCGCCGTTGTACTTGGCTCTGTAGTTGAAATCGCCTTCGTCTTAACTTCCTCGTCGTCTAGACCTTCAAGCTCTGGATGTGAAACTTTCGTCTTTTTTTCTGCCTTTTCTTCGAGCGGTTGTTTTTCTTTTTTCAGCGACTTTTCTTCAATTTTTTCGGAAGGCTTACTAGTATCTTCTAAGCCGGCTAAAGAAGATGTAGTTGTTTCATCCGCCGTGGTCGTAGAGTTCAAAGCTCCGATCGTAGATGTTGTGGTAGTTTCATTTTTTCCTACATTCGGTTCTTCAGATCCGACATCAGCAGTCGTTTCAACCGCTTCCGTCGTAGCTTCAGAAGCCTCAATAGTAGTCCGATCTGATGGTTTTGTGACGTCATCAACGTTTAGTTTGCTTGTTTCAGATTCTTCTGTCTTGTCTTCTGAAGACTCGGAAGCCTCATTTGGGATTTTTTCCAAAGCCTTTTTCTCGGCTTCTGCATTGCTAAGATTTGGAGAAGATTCAGTGCTTGTGGGGACTTCAGAAGTAGACGGAGATGTGACAGAGGCGCTCGTCGTAGTGGGCAATGTTTTCTTGATTAGTTTCGTTGTACGCTGGGACTTCTTTGGCAGCTTCTCCTCGTGTTCTGTGATCTCGTTGTTGTCCAGGTAGTCTCCATAGTAGTCTTTGAGCTCGTTCTGCAGCTCGTCGCCTGATCCCTCAGCCGCTGAAGAGCGCGACCTCTTTTTGGGTCCTTGCAACTGCTCGCGGGAACTCACACGCGAAATCAAGGCTCCTTTCTTGTCCGCTTCTTTCTCGGCCGCATGATACACTACCGAGCTGATTTTCTTGTAAAGTTCTTCTTGCTCTAAAGCTGGCATCCGGCGATTTTCAATCTAAAAAATCCATTCAAATAATATATGTAATAATATGAACGAAACCTCTTCGGTTTTTTCGCCTTTACTTTTCAGTTCTTCTATGTGCTCCATCATCTGGAACTCGCGACGGTTGGCTTCTCGTATAGCGTCGCGCATTCGCTGCAGCAAGGTTTTTCCAGACTTGTCATCGAGCAGCTTTCTGTTATTAATATTTAAGGGAAATTGAATAAATCCGCTAACTTCAGATCTCCTCTTTCTGCTCTTTCGAGGAATCGCCGAAGAACTCCCAGGAACTCCTTAACATGCTCCTCTCGTTCAGTCGTAATTTCCAGCTTTTGAAGAGCTTCTTCGTCCTCCAAAGACTCTTCTTCACTTCCGGCCAGTTTTATACTTTCTGAGCCGCTTCCCTCCGTGGCAGTAGAATTATCACAGTCTTCCAGTTTTTCATGGGGTGGCGTGATTTCGGCTTTCGGCTTAACAATCGAATCAAAATAGTAACAGAGAATGATCAACCATATCTTTGGTTTTTTCCTCGTCGAAGTCGTCTTCCAAAACACCAGCTACAACGGTGTTATCGAGCTCCTGCAGTAATTAAATTTTTATGTATTGATGTTTCTCACTAACTTCTCGAGCTTGAATCGAAGCTTCAAGTTTTTGTGACTCTGTTGTCGCCGCTTCTGGAGCATGAGTAGGCGTGATCGCTTCTGTGGAGGGTTTTTTGGCGCCCACAGTGGTCCTCGAGATGTTGGCTTGGTCTGACTTGTTTTCCGTGACAGTCAGCAAGTCCAAAGAAGTGATCATGTCCTCCATGTTTTTGATCATTTTATCGAGCTTTTTAGGGTCATCTACTTGAATGAACTCCTTCACTTCCTGAAAATATCAGCTTCCAGATGTTAGATTTAGAGGTAGTCTACCTCAACGTTGCTTTTATCGACTTGAGCACCGCTGCCTTCAGCGTCGGAGATTTCTTTGAGACGAGTGGCATGAGCTCGAGCTGGTACACGAGTTGTTTCTTTCACTTCCGCCGACGCTCCCGACCCCTCAGGAACGACCTTTTTGCTCTCAACTTCTTTTTTCCTCTCGATCTCCGCAAGGGGCTTAGGGAGCTTGCTCAGAATGGCTTCCACCTCGGCCTGTTCGGCATCATCCGACCACTTGTTTGTGTTCGACGCGATGGTTGTAGTCACGAATGTCGTGTTTCTGTCGTTTTCTTCCACCTTCAAGCTCCTTTTCATGTAAGAGCTGAACGAATTTTGTACCTCGTCTATGTAATCTTTATCTGTCTTGTTCTGTTGCGTTGTAGTGGTTGGTGCGGTTCCGATGCCGAAAAAATTGAAGAGTTGTTCAATCTTGCCCCATATGTAGTTGTTGGACTTTTGTTGCTGAACTCATAAAATAATTGTTTCTTTCTGTTTTTCTATATTTACCGTTTTGTGAGCATCGCTGTTCCTTTGACAAATGTATCTCTGAGCAGCAGAATCATCGCTGGCTTCGCAATCGACATCATCCAGACGACGTGCTTCTATATTCAGAAGACCACATCTCTCTCTTCCGTTGTTTGAATGGTCGAAAGGCTCTCCGGCAGCCCAGCTCCTTCAAATAAAAGATAAATCTTTTTCGATTTCCACCAGCTTACAGTTCCTCCTCGACTTTTGATCCATCAACCCATTGCCAATCACGGTTATGTCCTTCAGGCAAGAGTAGACCGACCTGAAAACAATAGAATAAGGTTTTTCTTCACGAAAAAACCTGGATAAGTCGTGGAGAGAAGCGAGTTGACAAAGGAGCGTAATGCGACAGAATCCAATCCTAAAATTCTCAGAATTTTCGAAGAGAAAATTATATTTTGATTAGAAAAATTTTATTTTCTTGATTTTTTGCAATGCTAAATGAAGCCATAATAGATTATTCAGAGAAGCGAACGATAACTATTAATTAGTATACTCTCGTTGGTTTTGATTCAGTCAGATTTGCGGAATTAGGTACCTTTTTATAATGCAGAGAATATTAAATTCAGTGGAAAAACATTTCAAAAATCAAAAAAATTTGCCAATTCCGATATAAAACTGGCATTAATAATTGAAAAAAAGACGAGAAAAAAACTGTTGAAACATACGAGCTGAGTTTCGTTCTTGATGACGAGGAGGTCGGCGTTCATCGAGAGACAGTGTTCCCGAGCGACCAGCCAATTCTGATGGCCTGCACGGAACTGGTAGACGTCGCCCCACGGCGCCTCAAGCCATTCCCCGGCTCTCCGCGAGCTTTCTTTTCCTTCGTGACCAACAATCTGAAATTTATCAAACATTTCGTGAAGAAAACTTTTTCAAAATAAGATCTTTCAGAAGAAAATTGCGGAAGAGTTTTATCGGTAAAACCAAAAATTGAATAACAAAACAAAACAACAAAATCTAAAACTTTTCTCTCTCGTTCACTGTAAGAGAACTCTAAAATATATTTTTTTGATTCATTTAGAACAAAAAGAAAAGAATGAAAATCGAAGAAGTTCAACTCGGAAATGACAAGTAGAATGAAGGGAACGAACCTGATCCTTGGAGAGCTTCACAACGATGTCATCCTGGCCGCTGAGCTTCAAGGCGCTGCTGCAGACAACCAACAAGCCAAAAAAGGCTATGAGGTCTGAGCGCATAGCGAGAATTCAGAATGATAGGTTCGGGGTGAGAAGAAAAATGAAGAAAAAGAATTCAGAGTCAATTTTTGAGATACGGGACTCGTTTTGTTAAGCTGCCGAAGAACGGTCGATGAAAAATTTCAGCGGTCGGGGATATTCTCTGCGCGCCAAATAAGAGGGCGGTCCTTCGAAAGAGGAGTAACCGATCCGAAAGAATGGGTCAAAGGCTCGTTTTTTCAGAGGCGCCTATCTTCTTTTCGGGAGGAACAAGCGGCCGAATGACCAATAAGCTTGGAATGTTTGGGTTCGAGGAACGCTGTTCCGTTATACCAGTTTACGACTACCGGCATCCCCCAAGGTCCAGAAAAGCATTGATTGAGGTTAATAGACGAACTTTCTCTTCACAGTCTCAACGAGTTTGCGATAAACTATTCGATTTTCAAACTACAAGCATCAACTTTCGAATAGAGGTTTTTCTATTATTGTCGATTGACTCCTTTAAAATTTCATCAGCAGTAAACGGACCTGAATAAGATTTCATGGAAAAATGAGAGAATTGAATGAAGAAGTTCCACTGAGTCTAAATCCGCCCAATTATTTTCATTTTTATTCTCTACAACTTTTTTTTTTTGGTTCTACGAGATCGACAAAGATTCTAGAGAAGTCTGTTCGCAAAAACTAAAAAGTTTTGCAGGTTGATGCAGGATCTTTATCTAGTACACAAGTGTGTCTTTTGGCCTAGTTTCAGAATCCCTTAAAACTGACTATTTTCTTCAGAACACAAAATAAAAATCATAAACCAATAGTAGTATCTAAATGGATTCATTTTATATTTTCTCCTGCTTTTCGAAAAGATAGTTTTCATTATTATCCTAATGATTGAAAAATAACGGTTTTATCAAAGCAACCCAGTTTCATTACGCTCGAGCCGTCTGCTGGATGGAAATAAATGCGCCCATGCCACGGACATATTTCAGTTCGACCTTGGTAGTCTCGCAGTTGGAAAAGTTGCGGACAAAGCGCTAATCAAAGGATTTTGGGATCGGTTCAGGTTCCGAGGAAAGGGGTCGCCGCGACCGCTTAATCACGCGTTGCAGAGAACAGCCTCGCAACACAATCTGGGTCATCACTTCATCAAAAGCCTCAGCAAAAAAAATCATTTGTGATTATTTTTTGAAGGCAAAAAAGAAAATAAAGAAAACTAAAGAAAAAGTTCCGTTTTTGCGGCTTCGGATGATCTTTTTTTGAGAAGGAACACCTCGAATCGGTGAGGTTGTTCCAATATATTCGCTAATAAATTTTTAAACTTTATCTTAAAAGTTATTTTGAGCTTTCTTTTTCTACTACTGTTTTGCCTCTTTTCTTTCAAAGGAAAGAAAGTTTTTTTTAAGGAAACCTATGATGCAGCACAAATCCAGCCTATGAAAAAAAACCGGCGGTTTCAGTGTGACGCTGGGAAAATTCCTGTTCACTGTCCTCAAAAAGAAAAATCCAACAAAGGGAAGAAAAATGGATAAACTGATTTCAGGACCCATAGTCCTGCAAAGCCAAAATAGGTTAGTTTCATTAGAAGATTTTTTTTTTAGATGTTTCAAAATTTATATGACCTTTCGCTTCAGAGATGACACGATGTCCGTTGAACCTGTACGTGAACAGTAGGATTATAAAAATGTAGGATTAAAAAAACTGTCAAGGAATTCTATGTTTTCACAGGTCTTTCTTGAAAGAAAACCGAGAGAAACAGAAGTATTGTAGAGTCAAAGAAAAAAAAAGGAAAACATCATATCAGTAATGACTTCAACTTTCTTTTTAAAGATGATGTTTGAACTCGTAAGTGTGCAGTAAGAAGTAGAAATTTCATATTTTCCAGGAGAAGTGTCATCAAAGAACAAAACAAAAATAAATGAAGCAAAAAAACAAATTTTAGAACGTTAAAAAGTCACAGAGTCGCTGGAAAAATAGTACGTGACGTGTGTGAGATGGAAGTTCGTGCTTTCTTATTATTTGACTCATCCGAAAATGACGACGGCGGTAGGACAAGCTGCGAATAAGGCCCTGTTAGGGTCGAACCGACCGATTCTGAGGCGAATCAAGGGACTTCTCTCCCGCGGCGTCGGCGAAGAGCAACCTCCTCTTTACATCTACGAGCGTTCCCGTGAGATCTTTTCACAAAATCTTTTTGCAGCTTTTCGTTCAATTAATCAGTCACTCATCTGCTTTCATTGCGGTCATTAGTAGAACCGTCTAAGTCGTAGAAAGTCATTTTTGTGTCCACATCGCCCCCACGAGCAACTGTGTAGTTTACCTGTGGAAATGTTTTTCTCCTTGTCTCTAAAAACCCTTTTTTATCTTGAGTTATCCTCATTGATGAATTCTGCCGTTTAATATCTGCTTTTATCTGTTTTGAATTTCATTTTTTCACATAGACACTGCAAAATTTTATAAGTTTAATCGCTGACTAGAAATCTTGCTTCGGTTTTCGATCTCTTAAAAAAATTTCAAACTGGTTTCGACTGCGCTATGATCCACTAACCGGTCACCAGGATATTAAATAATTTTTCTTATTTTCAAAAATCTTTTCGATTGGAACTGACGCGCCTTTTCTCGTTTTTGTTTCAAACCCTACAAAAATCAAACTAAACTTTTGGATTGCATGTGAACTATTCGCGGACCCGAAGAAGCCTGTGGCTCTCATTTTCGGATATGGAAGCTGTCCGAGGAAGATCAACGAGAAGTACACGGAAGTCTACAGAAAACATGAGTATGTTGACGATAGAGTAAATTAAGTAGAAGATTGAAACTTCCTCTCAACCTATGAATTTCGGCTTTTTGAAGAAATTGGTTGGTTTCGCGAAAAAAGAGAAAGTTTCGATGAATAAAGGCAAGTCATAGCCATGAAAATGAAGAAATAATTTGATAATATGCTTTTCATGAGGCTTTTTTTTTCATGGATCTCCGAATCGAGCTCTGCTCTGAGTTACAATACATAAATAAATTCAAACAGTTCTCGAATAATTTATTCAGTCTGCCGGGAGTGAGCATCACGAGCGAATTCTTCGACGAAACGATCCCGCCTCCGCGAGTCCTCACCAACATCGCTCCGATAATGCGCAAAATGACGGAAGAAGAGCTGCGCGACCTGCCGCCAGAGTACGCAACGCTTCACGAACGGAAGATCATCATCCACGCCAATTCGATGAATGGCGCCAAAGCTGTGGGCGCCTTCTACAACTACGCGATGAAGAACAACATCAACATCAAGGACCGCGTCTTGGGCCTCACTTTTGACAGGTTCGTCCGTAGGCCTCGCCAACCGAAGCTTGTTAAGAGATCATGGTGGAGCTTCTGAATCAGATTTTAATCATTATGTTACACCGATTCTGAATCGAAACTTGAAAATCGCTGCAAGGCCTTGGGAAAAACTGTTTCTCCCCAAATTTAGAACCATTAGAAACCAGTGTGAAAGACTAACTATCAACTATCCAGTAGTCCAACTCTGAGCTGACGTGATAGCCTGATGAGAACTCGATTTCAGTACGCCTTCTACATTACCGATGCTGTGGAACGTCTGGGGCCAGCTCCTGACCGTGAAGAAGGACATTTGCGACATTCCTCGACCTTTGCGCTACCCTTTTCTTTTCCCTCGCGGCTTCTACCATTGCACCCTTGTCAGTTCAACCATTCGGATACAAAACTCTGAGATTTTCAGCGTGAATTCTATCGCAAATTTATGCCGGAAAAATTGAAGCACCACAACTTGTTCGATTTTTTGAACGAAGTTTGCCCATTACCCAAAAACCAGCTTTTCATTTATTCTCTGGTACGCAAAAAAGTTTTGAAAATCCATGATATCTCTTTTTCAGGATGACGAGGTTGTGAGGTACGAATGCATCGAAAAATTTATCGAGTACCAAAGGAAAGTCGGCAACGACGTCGAGACACTCATGTCAGTTAGAACTCAGCCGAATCTCGAGAAAAAAAAAGTTTCCAGGTTCCCGCAGTCGCCGCACGTCCGCCATCTGGAGGCGAAGCGGAAAAAATACGAGAAGACTATGGCGAAGTTCGTCAAAAAGTGTTTGGCCGCAGCATAATTCTTCTCTTAGCCTAATAAAGATGTTTTTAATGTATGTAAATTTTCATGTCGAATGATTTTATTTGGTCAGATTTTCACATTCTGGTTACTTCAGAAGTTGAGATCCTTCCAGTACTTGTTGTGGAGCGCTTTTGTTGAACTCTCTCCTCTTTTTGGACGATATTCTGGCAGAAAATAGGAGAGACGCCTATGGAATTCATTCGAGGTCGTTGCTCTTCGGATCTCTGTGTCGTAGGTTCCTTCAATTAGATCGTGTTCTTAAAATAGCTTTCCTTCGAAGTTACCTCCCAAAATAGCCGGATAGCCTTCACACGAATTTTCTCATGAGTGACGAGAGTCGCTACAGGAATTATAGCCGTTTTAAAAACGCCAATGAGAATGGAAGTCATATTAGCCCTGGTTTCAGAAGATAAACAGTAAAAGAGCTTCAAACAGAGCCCACCAATAAAGACTTGCGAAAATGGCCAAGAAGCTGTACTGCAAAACACTGAGCAGCCATTGTAGAAGAAGCACTCCACTGAACTGCATCGTCTGAACAAAAAATAGATGATTTTTCCCAGTTTCAGGTCACCCATTTCATTTCTCTCCATGCGACATTTTCTGGCGTCTCCGAGTTGACGACAGCTGAAACAAAGCCATTTTTTCAATGCGTATGTCAGACCTTGAGCGATGTCTTCCTTTCTGACGTATTTGAAGGCGATGGCGATGTAGATGACGATGTAGAGAAGGGCGGAGTATGTGCAGACCGAGAAATGAACACACGAAAGAAGATCCAAGTGCAAATCGCAGTTTCTGGAGACAAAGGTTCAACGAAAATGAGTGAGTGGAAACAGACCGACAGTCATAAATCCGTTGCTGAATTTGTTTGGAAAACCTGATGGCGCATCCAGTGACAAAAATGGTGGCTATGAGAACTGCAGAGCAGATCCACGGGATCAACTGCCATAAAAATCGCCATTTGGTCGTCGTGGCTCTATTATAGGCCTTGAAATGTTTATCTCGAATCCGTTCGCATAGTTTATAACCTCTGGAAAAATGAAAAGAACGAATCTGTCAATTGAAAGGCAGGAAACAACAAGAATTGTCCCGAAGTCCAGTGATATTGTAGTTGTGGCTAAACGCATTACTTTTATTTATTTTCCTTCATGAACAAGAAAACCTGTCAACATGTTAAACCAATCGGGATAAGTTAAATTGATGAGTGTGATTGGGGCAAAGCTCACAAGAAGAAGAAGACATTGAGCCTTAACGCTTTTTGTTTTCGTCTCTATTTTGAAACAAAAATACCAAAGCAGCGAATAGAGCAGAGAAAAGCTGCCTCTGGAAGCTTTCGTGAGGACAGATCTGCTGAGATTTGAGAAGTCTCCAGACCAGAGAATTCAGCGCAACGGACGAAATGCAGAGAAAACAAAAAGTTACTCCGAATATCCAGCGAGAAAGTAGAGAAGCTCCTCGACTTTGGTAGTTGAGTTCATCGAAATTGGCTGATGTCATCTCAAACAGAAACCTGGAAGAACGAAATGCTAGGAAAAAGCAAAAGCTCGGAATTCTCACAAATGGAGTTGTTTTCTGTTGAGCCTCACGACTGTGGGAAAACAGAAGTAAAGGTTCCCAATAATTATCTACTTTTCGACGTTTTTTATCAGCGCTACTTGGAACTCTGCCTTGTGTATAAACAAAAAAAAAGTCATGGGAAAATAAGTTTTTTATTCAACAGAATTATAGTAATCAAGCGACCAAAAAGCTGCCTGCATGGGGTAGTGTAGAGAAAGGAGATTGCAGCGCTTAATTGAAGGATTTCTTGGCGAGTTCTTTTATTTGGTGGGAACATTGGGTTTTCGAGAATAATGAATTTCTCCGCAATTAAGTTGAACTTCTCAAATTAAATTTTAACGAAGGTTTTGGATTTTGAAAATTTGATACCGTTGTCAACAGGACTTTCTAATTTTTGACGAGTTTAGCTCTTGTTTAGGAGAACTTGGGAGAGTTTCATGATTCAGGTGGGAGTGAGGCTTTTAGTCGCTGAGACGGATACAGTCTGGGTGAACATCACCGTGCTCACGTTCGCAGCTTTGCTCAAGGTCCGCTCTTTCTCTTTCTCTTCACTGTACGGGAATATAAACCCCTGAAAAGAAGTTCACTGGAAAAAGAAAAAAGTTGTGGCTCACCTGGCGAGCCAGTCGCATGAAGTTGACCTGAGTAGCCTTGTGGAAGGCGAGCATCACCAACGGGTTGGTCATCGTGTTGGCGATCGAGCCGGCCGTCATCAACAAGCTCACCCTGCAGCTTTTTATTGTTTTCGTTAAACCAAAACGATTACCATTCCAAACGACCAAAGTAATAAGGAAGGATGAAGTTGACACCGGAAGCCATCCACTGGAACAACAGGATAATCGAAAACTGCATAGTCTACAAGAAACAACTTTCAGATTTCTTTCTATCTGGAACAGACCAGTTTGATCTGTTTCCACGTCGAGTTTTTTGATGGGTCGTTGTGGTCCATTGCTGAAATCATCGGTTTTCTAAATTCTCGAAATTGATTTACAAATATGCATTCGTCGCTGCTCGATTAGTTTGTAGAAGACAGCACAGTAGACGAGGAGGTAGAGAACCGTGATACAGGCGGGAACGGCAAAGTCCAGCAGGGTGAGCAGTTTGTAGTGCAACTCGCAGTTGCTGCAGTTTCGCAATATCGCAACAAAACGTTTCGAAATTACCTGCACTCGTAGGAGAACCGCAGCGTGTAAGGGTTGACGCGAGCGTAGCAGCCGTAGATGAGCATCGAAACGAAGAAGGCGGCTGCTGTGAACCAAGGCACAGCCAGCCACACGTAGTGCCAGTTCCCGCACAGCTTGTCGTACTTCTAAAAAGCAGATGAGAGGCTAGAGACCTTCTGAAGCTGCAGAGCTCTCCAGGCACTTACATCGTTCAGAACGAACATGAAGAATCGGTCGACCGCAATGTAGGCCATCACGAAAAGTATCACCAAATTGAAAAAGGTTATGGGCGACGCTGAAAAATGTTTAGTCCACACTTTAATACAGCTTTAATGACCGAGCAATCGATTTGTCCAATCGGAGTACTTGCACCCGAAGATAGTTATTGGGAAGTAAACGCTGAAGCAGACCGCGCAATGTCCCTTCAAACCAAAATTTGTTCGATTCTTCCAGTTTTCACTCTGACTTTGGAGGCCCAGAACAAGCTGACAATGTTGCGATAAAAGTGGAGATGGAGACAAGTGTGATGGAAGTGCTGCACTCGCCAAAGGGTCCAGTTGAGAGAAAGAGCGATCAGATTGACCAGGAAAAGGAGGCCTCCGACCAGCTGAAACCTCTACTCTCAGCTCCTTTTTGTATTTTCGGCCAGAATTCGAAATACTGACCCAACGCGTTTCTCCTTTCGGCTCATCTATCTGCTCCTGATATCCGCCTCGCAGACAGAAGGTCAGTTCTTTTTCGTTTTGAGGTACCCAAAACTGGTTCTCGATGCTTGAGAACGCAAACATTCGAGAAGCAAAGCTCAAACTCCTACCTTAAAAGTATAAAAACAAAAAGTTTTTCTTTAGGAATAATAAAAATTAAAATCGTAAATTTTTCCGAAAATGAGACAAGGACTTTTTATAAGGTCTGGATCAAGGGCGTTCCAATTTTTAATTAATTATGTTTTCTCAAAAAAACAATTTTTTTCAGCTTTTTTTCCTCGAAATCAATTAATTGAGGAAAAATTGAATCAATTTCAAAAAAACAAAAAAACAAAAACAAAAATATGAATTAATAAAGTTTTATCCTGAAATATTTCGAAAACAAAAAAACTGAAGGAGAATATCTAAGGAAGCGCGGTTGACCGCTTTCTCTGCCTGAATTCGTAGCACGGCAGTGTTTCGTCGCTTCCATCTCTTAACGTTTGGATTGGAATTCGGTTCGAAGTGAGCAACTCACCGACAGTCGCTTTTGCCGTCACAGACGAGGTTTGGCTGGATGCATGCCTTGGCGTCTTGACAGAAAAACCAACTTTGAGGACACTTTCGAGCAATCGAAACGAAGATCCTGCTGCCCGACGGCTGCATTTTGAGAACTGACAACTAATAAAACCCCTTTTTCGACGTTTTCAATTTTAAATCGAGTTAAAATTGAATTTTCGACGAGCTGATTTTGTCAATAAACTGTAGTCTGCTTTTTTTTTAACTCATTTTTTTATATTCGAAGGCACAAGAATTGCGTCTTCATATTATTACTTCAAAAACACGAAGACCTTTTTTTGAGATTTTTTAATTGAAATTGTCGCCCAATTTTTTTTTGAGTTATACATTACACAACTGGGGCTTTTTCTCAGTTCTTGAGTATAGAAATGATAGGAAATGATAGTTTATCGCTGAATTTCCTTATATTTTTCTTCTAAATGAGTTTTTTCTGTGAATCTACAATTTCGCTCTTTTTTGGCGTCAGGAGTCTTGATTCTTTTTGTATTAATTAGTTAACGAAAAAAATTAACGACAAGCATCATTTTTCAATCAGGGTTTCTTTGCTTGGTATTATTTGTCAAAAAAATAAATGTTTTTAAAGCTATCTAATTGATTATCGAACGATTTTTTAGAGAAGATGTAAAAGTAGCCTACAAGTTTGCCTAAGGATCCGCGTTTGTGACATAAGTGTGGCAACTCGTCGGAGGCGTCGCCACAGTCGACGCGGCCGTCGCACATCCACGACTTCTGGATGCACGTCAGACCGTCGGTGCACCGGCGATGTGTGCTCCATGGGCACCTTCAAGAATCAGAACAAAATCGGTTTCTGAAAATTACCAAGCGAGCGCCAAGTTGTCCCTGCTAGCGCAAGATATATCTAGAAAAAGAATCAGAACAGCAAGAGAAATTACGTGCATTTTGAACTGAAACTTCACTTCAGTCGTAATTTGATAGCATGTTGGACGGCTGTTTATAAAATGAAAATATAGACCATTTACCACTGAACTGAAGGCGGGACAAAAATCTCGGGTTCTTAAATCCCGCTAACGAAAAATTGTGAGAAGTTGCTGACGGTGAGAAAGCTGAGTTTCCATATCTCACTTACTAATTTCAAAGGTTTCTACCATCTTTGTTGAATTGAGAACCATCTTAAGTTTAATATCATAACGTTTGTCTCGAAATCTACACGAATCATACTTAGTTTCAATAAAACACAGACACATGTAAACTAGTTCAGAGAGCGAATCAGTAGCTTTCTTCGCGCAGCCCAAAAAGTTTCAAGAGATAAGAAAGTTTTTAAAAAGAGAAATCTCATATTAGATTTTTCGTTATGTGAATGGTGAATTTTATGCCCAGAATTATTTCTATTTCTGTTTTTTCAGTAACATGGTTGATTTTCTCTTGAAAAACCATAATATCGATAATTACCGTTTTCACTATTTTGTTTTTATTATCTTTTTTGTTATTCACATGCAATCCAATTTTCAGTGTAAATAAACTCATTTGGCGTTTTTCCAATGAGAAGACTGGAAATAAAAGTTGAAAAAGTCGTTTATTAGCTCTAAATGACGTGATTGGTTTAGATTTTGCCGTAGTTCTCGGTGTTGGACGCGGCAGCCTCGACGGCGATGCTTCTGGAGGGGCAGGGGCAGTAGGCGGCGTCTGGTCCTGGTTTGCCGTCTTCTCCGCCGTTTCCAGGCTGTCCATCGACTCCCGGAGTTCCGTCGTTTCCTGGAGCGCCACCGGCACCAGGTATTCCGTCTTCTCCCTTCTTTCCAGGTCGTCCGTCTTTTCCTGGGGCTCCAGGGGGTCCTTTGCGACCAGAGTTTCCAGGATGTCCGGGTTTTCCAGCAAGGTAGACAACTCCTTCCTTTCCAGGCGGTCCACGAGGTCCAGTATGTCCTTTAGGACCTGGTCGTCCACTTCCTCCAGCTGGTCCCTTTAATGAACAAATGCTTAATAATAAAGTATAAAACTAGCTTACTTCTTCTCCGTCAGGTCCTGGAGCCCCGTTGGGACCATCACGTCCAGGCTCGCCGTCAAGTCCTGGATCTCCTGGACATCCTTCCGCTCCTGGCTCGCCAGGGGGTCCAGCTGGACAAGAGATGCAGGCCGAGGCAACCTGTTCTCCCAAAATAGAGTTGATTCCAGGTCTTCCGTCCGGTCCTGGCGCTCCTGGCGTACCATCGTGACCTGGCTCTCCATCGGGTCCTGGAGGTCCAGGTGGTCCGTCTGGACAACCTTGGCTGCGATTTCCGCAGTTGCACTGAGCGTCACGCTTATTGCGTCCTAGAAACAGTCCGGTGGTCAGAAACGGATTTGAAGATTTGGTTGGAGCTAACCCATGAGCAGCGAACGAACGGCGTCCAGACTGGTAGGCGTGTTGCGCTTGAGAAGCTCGGCCCAGGCGTCGTCGGCGACCGTCTTCAAAAATTCTCACTAACTTCAAAAAGGATTCTAACTCATTCGAATTTATTTGAGACTTCAGTTTGTTCTGCATAAATTATTTACTTTTTAATTTGCCCATCATTAAGAAATTTGCCATGCTTGAAAAGCTTTGAAGAAATGCATATTCTCCTAGTTATCCATAAAAAACATGACACGTTTTAAAAAGAACCTTCTACTTTATCTTTCCGAATTATTTTGACCTAAAGACTTTAAGCGTTCAGGCCCTGCAAATAAATCAACAAAAATAATTTCTCCGATTTCACGCAATGCACAGCTTTTTGCTCTGGAGTTTGCCCACGAAACAGAAAATTTGAAATTTAAGGATCTTCACTAAATAGTTTTTTCTTGGCTTTTCCAAAGAGTTCTGAAGGAAACCTTCATGATTTTGCTCTCTTCCATGACGTCGCGGTAGAGGCCGTTGATGTCGGCGACGATGAGGCACATCGCCGCCAGACTCGCCAAAGTCAGCGCCGACGCTCCCACACACGCTACCGTGCCCCACGTGCCCATTATCTTGAATCTCGACTAGATTAATCAACTAACCAGGAAAGTGATTCCATCAAAAAGGAGAGTTAGCTAAAAAAAAATACGAGAAAGAATGGCGGTGGGAAGAAGCGAAAGACGAATGGAATGGGCTGTAAGAAGAGTCGTTTAAATACCAACCTGGATGGAACTGTTTTTTCAAGAGTTTCGGTTCTCCACGACCTCTGCCAAAGTTTCTCATTCGTCCACACTTTCTTCTCGATCACTTATCAGCGCTCTCCAGCGTCCGCACGCTATTTCCGGATCGTTTTACACAGTAACAGGACTTTCAGTTCCCGAAAAGGCGCAGAAAAAAAGGCGGTGGAAAATTTCCATCGCCAAACCCGTCGGCAGACGGCCGCCGCAATTCTTCTTCCTGGAACCAGTGGTGTTGCGTAGAAAATAGAGAAAGTAGAGAAAAGATCTCAATAAAAAATAACTTTTATTAACTCGATTTATTTCGGATTTTCCTCGAGAGATTACAACTTTTTTTCTCAAGGAAAGATCGAACTTTTCTCCTTCTAATAAGTTTCGAATCAAAGAATTTTCAGAGTTTAATGAAAAATTGAAATTTTTTCTTCTCGAAACTAATTTCCTCGTGCAAGGCGAGCTTTCGAGCGACGTTTATGGTAATTGCATGCAACTCGATACGCTTTGTAAATCGACGTCAAAGTTTGGGCTTTTCGAATTTCGTGCTTCCAGAATTTTTTTTTCTAATTTTGTTCCTTTCAATTTTCAAAACCACACAAGAAAAAATACTAGAAAAAACAGCCTTGCAGAATGACAAAATAGGCGTAATATTCAGGAGGAGAGCATTTTCCATGCCTCAAAACAAGAGCTTTGGTCAAAAAGTGACATAAAACAGAGAAAAATGGGGGCGGAACATTGTTTTTTTTGTTTGACTCCTGGCTAGTATTACTTTTCGACTTTTTCAGCCTTCTCATTGAAATTAATTGCTCCTTCGGACTTGTCCATTTCTTCGCGAACAACATTCAAAAAAGAGCAGAGTCTCAGCTAATTATATTTCTCACTTTCATGGAATTTTTTCATAACAATTGTAATTTCGAATGATTTTTTTAATTTTTGAATAAGAAGCTCGAATCGGAGAAGTTAGAGAGAAGTACTTTAATTGAAACTCTCAACTTCCAAAGAGAAGAAAGAATTGATTTGAGTTCCTTGGTCATTGCAAGAACAAAAGCGATGCATTTCTTATTCATCGGCAAGTTTTGAACCAGGAACTTTTTCTCTTGACCTGTCCTTTTAATTTTCAGAGTGAAAAAATCTCGGAAAAGATGCGTAATATGCATTTTCTATGGGATTATTTTTTTGAAGTAAAAATTTCTCAGCTTGATTAAAAAAATTAGATTTTAATTTTATGACCGTCAAGATTTTTTTCAAGTTTCAATAAACTTTTTTCAAACACGTTTTAAAATAAATTCGAACTCAAATAATTTGTTCCGAGTTTCGAACTGGTAAAAAAAGAAAAAAAAGAAGGAAAATGAGTTGATTGAAGGATCAAACGATACAAATAGAAGGCGATTGCGGAGTAAAAAGTTCTGTGTAGATTTACATGCATTTCGAGGCATTTTATGTAAATTCCTAGTCGGTCCCAACACTGTTTCAACTTTCCCGTAGAACTTTTTGTCTTTTGTCTTTCAGGTCGATTTTTTCAAAGAATTTGTATTTCAACTTTTTTCTTATTCGCCGTCATTATTTGATTCATTTTTTCCAGGCTGGAGAGATTGGAAAATCCGCCGTTTATGGCATGTCTCAAAAACGAACAATTGCTTTTCGTTAAGGACCATCTGACCAGGTGCGACTAATTCCCCCGGCGGCTTCTGTTTTCTCAGAGAATCTGTTTGAAGCTTTCGCTTCGTGTTTATACTCGGAAAATCCTGTTTTTTGCAGTTTCCTATGGCGCTACGTGTTCCCGCTGCAGTTCCTCTTGGGAATCCTCGGCAACTCGCTCAACCTGTGGGTTCTGGCTAGCGATGAGATGCCTAATGTAGCCAGCGACTTGGTATATCTTTTCACACGATTAAAAAAATTGGAAAGTGATCTTAGGCTAGATGTTCAGATAGAAAATTGAATAAAACAACTCCTTTTTTCGTTTTTCGTGGAACGTTTCAAAAAATACTTCTTTTCTCTCTCATAGAAACGCCTAAGAAGGGCAATCTTGAGGATTTTTGTAGGTTCCCTTCAAGGGACCACCTCACCTCTTATGAGGGCACTAAAATTTGCATAACTGAATGGGGTTTTAGTTGGTGACCACTCTAAGAAAGCATGCTTGTGTTCCCTATTCGCTTTTTTATACTCATTTTTTAATTTCGATCTTTTTTCGATCGAAAATTAAAAAAAAAAATCAAAAAATCACTTTAGGAATCATCTTAATCTTAGCCCTCTAGAGAACACTCTCGGGCCTTTCTAAGTTCCCCGACAAGTTGGGTCTTTGAGAACCTGCGTTGCAGTTGGCAGCGGTGTCTTTCTGCGACTTGGCCTTTCTTCTGGTGATGTTGCCGCACTCGTTGTCGTCCTACGACGTTATCGCCTATTCCTACGATTTCCGCTACTTCTACCTCAACTCCAAACAGCACATGTCGGCAATCGCCAACTGGATGAGCGCCGCCGCAATTTGGTTCCTTTCCAATTTCTTCTTCATTCAGTTTCCGTGTTTTGAGGTTGATTCTGGCGGTTTCGATCGAACGTCTTCTGATTGTTCGGTCTCCACTGCGTGCCAAGCTCTACTGGCAACGCGGTCGAATGGTCGTCGTCCTAAGCTCCATCTTCGTAGCCACGGGTCGGTTCATCTTATTCAAAACAAAACTCTCATTATCTCTTGCTTGTTCTTCAACTTTTCTGAAAATTTCTAGATTAATAATTGCCCTTTTTTTAGGATAATGAAAGTCAATCTTTCTTAGTTTTTATTTATTCCGCCAGCTTCTTAAAATTCTCTCTTTCTGATTTTTACGGTTATTCGTTTGAAAATACAGTTTGAAGGCTTGTTGACGGTATACCACCATTTCGAGTGGGACTGCGTTATCGAAGAGTTCTGCAACGGCACGCAGATGATCGACTTCTGTTGGTACTCCGGCATGCGGCATCAGAAGACTTATCGAAAAATGGATTATGTCAGTTTGGATACTAATATTTCCGATCAAAAACAAATTTTAGATCGACCCGAGCGAAGTTAAGAAAATTTACATGCAGTTTTCCACCTTCTTAAACGCAATTTTAGTGAGTTTTAGAGATTTGATTCTTTTTTAACCCTATCAGGTTGTTTTCGCTCCGATTGTTCTGGTGATAGTGCTGAATGTGATGATGATCCGACAGCTGCACGTGAGCTGGAAGTGTCCGCAGCTCGAGGCGGTCCGAGGGACCCTTTCCAAGCACCAAATGGTTTCTTTCACTCCGGGTTTGCCTGAAAGATCAACTCAGCGCCAACGACAACGGGTCACGATAACTGTGATCGCCATCGGCATCTGCTTCTCTCTGAGTCAAGGACCTTCCGCCTTCATGGTCCTTTACGAGCTCTTTGCTGGCTACGACAACGTCGGCTCCACATTTTATGCAATCTTCAGGTAACATCTTGAATACGAAAAAATGAATACCAATTTTATTCTCTTTGTTAATCTAGCAAGACTGCATTAGTCTGGTGATGTGATGTTGCAGGGAGGAAATAAAACCACTAGGTGAATTAACTAACACCACGTGTAAAGAAAAAAATATTGATAATTGTGATTTTAAAGTTTATTATCTAATGATTTTCCAGCATAACAAATAGCTTGGTGGTCACTGGCAAAACTATAAACTTCATTTTATTTTGCCTTTCTTCTGAGCATTTCCGTCGTAAATGCTTCGTCTTGTTGTACCGAAAGTTTCCAAAGGTTCGAGCAAGATGTCAAAAATTAATTTTTTTTGAGATTTCAGCTATCACAGAGCAGTATCGGCAAGCGACTCATCGACCATCAAAGAAGCAACTCGACAGACGTGCGAGCATCGGTGAGAACGCTGAGGTCGCGTCGCGACTCTGCCGCCAGGGAAAGCTGTCTCCTGACGTCGCAGCCGATGACGACGTCCTTGTCAGCGCCGAGCACACCCGTTGAATGCTCCCCGATAACGCCGCACCAGAAGCTGGAGCTGGAGCATCTGCGACGTCATCATTCCTCGCCGCCTCAACATACTTGCCAGTCGCTCAGCCTCAACAACGGCTGCGACTTCCGAAACGAACGCCGACCGATGAGTCCTTATAGGGGTCGGTTGGACTCTGTCCAGTCTGACGACTAATACGGTTTGCATTTATGGGTAGCCGATTTCAGGTAATTGTTTACCTGTCCTTGTCGAACCACGAGGTGTCCCAGTTCTCATCGGCTAACACTTTATCTGAGTTTTAAACAATACTTTCAACTTGTCCATTCCACTTTCACTGTCGCATTGAAATACGGGCCGATCGCTCAATTATTCACACCAACGAAACAATTTTCGGTTGTACATAACTAACGAAACACGTGTGTACCTCGAGTGATACATTATTTGAGACTTTATTTTCCATTTCACTTGACGTGTAAATAGATATTTGATAGTAATAAAAGCATATTTCAAAAGTTGAACCCGTCAAGATGAATGAGATTGCAGTGAATGGGGATAATCTTACAAGCAGAGAATCGTTGCTCAGGTTACCCATATATTTAACAAGACTGATGTAAGAGATCAAATGAGTGACGTCAAAAAACCGATAGCTCACGGAAAACGGATCGAAATTGTACAAATAACAATAAAAGGACAGTATGAATGTTTTCAGAGGGGTAGATCCGAAGACACTAATCTAAGCAGCCGGGAAACTTCTACTTACTTAACATTTTAATAGGTTATTTTAGATTCCAATTTTCAAATAGTACCAAAAAACTGCGATCTCTCAACCTTCCAATGACTCTCAAAGCAAAGTTCACTCTGGATTCGATTACGTGATTGCATCAGGCCTGAGCCAACAAGAGACACAAAAGGTCACAAACTTCAGACGCTAGATGCCTGCGAAGACGTCGATCGATTGGTGCTTGCCGGCGGCGTCGGAAACTCCTCGGGATGCGTGATGGAGGTCTTCGTCGTCGTCAGCGGCAGCATCGCCGTAGTCTCTGCGTGTTTCCGTGGCGTGTCTGCGGCGATTGCGTTGCCGCCGTGGATCTGTCGCAACGACATGCACTCGCTGGACGTCGAGACGCGTCTTGCGCTGAAGTTTCGCGAACACGGCGAATACATGATCGACGTCTTCTGCGTCACTATCGACTTCGATTGCGACCTCGAAATGTGATGCCTGCAAAATTGGACGTTAGACTTTGATTTCAGATGAGTGGCAACTCTCGTGCTGGAATGTTAGAGGAACTAAATTGCAAATTGAATTTTTGTGCGCTGGCGATTCCTCGTAGTTTATTTGGAAAAAAATTAGATAATTCGAAACAAAACATTTCGAACGGTTTTTTTATGACAACAAGGTTTTGAAACTTGAAACTTCGAAATTTGAAACCTCCATATTAATTAATAAATTTTTTCTTGTTATGCTTCAAAAAAATAACGAATATTCGAAAAAGATGAACTTTTAGAAACTGAAATTGCCCTATATGTCCTGCAAAATGTACAAAAAAATGCTTTATAACCGGAAAGATTAAAAAAAGATGTTTTCCTTCAAAAATATAGTCAATGTTTCCCGACTTGAAAGGCGAGGGAGGCGGGGCAAGGGGCGGGACGCGTAGCGTGCGTTCGCGGTCCTTGCACGTGTTCAATTCAACCGCCATCGACTCTTTGAAAAGCCCGTTTTCTGCTCTTTTCATACCTTTTTCAATTATTTATTGATTATATCCATGTTTGCATCAAAAAAATAGTAGAAAAACATTGAAGCGGATGCCGAGCTTTTTTTGAATAGTCGGCGGCAATTGAATTGAACTAGTGCCAAGAACCGCAAACGCACACGCTACGCGTCCCGCCCCTTTGCTCCGCCTCCCTCGCCTTTCAAGTCGGGAAACATTGACTATACTGAAGATAGAAAATATTTTCAGATGTTTTTTTTATTCAGCCGATTAGAATCAGGTCTTGCAAAAAAAAATTCTCAAAAATTCTCAAAAAACTTGAAAAGAATAATTTAAAAGTTACTCTCAACGTTTCCGTAAAATTAAAAAGTTTTTTTGTTCGGAACAGATTTATTTCACTGAAGACTCGGCAGCGTAAAACCAAAGAACGAGTGAAAGAGAAAGAATTGTTAGCGTGCGTGAAACAGAAATGTCGTGCACACGAGGTGAAAAGAAAAAGACACTCGGGAACTTGAAAGCTTTTCTACAGCAAGCCTGATACCAACCGGTCAAGGAACAGACATGACGGACCCCAAGAGTAGAAAAAGAACAGGATCGGAGGAGTAAAAGTGAAACCAAAAAAATAAACGAGAATAAACCTACACGTTTATTGTGCACAGTTCTTTTCTGAAAAACGAAAAAAATTAAACTAGAGAATGGCTTTCACTTGGAGACCATGATTGCACTGAAGAAAATAACGCTGATAAATGGAATTAGGAAAAATTGAGAGGAAATTTATACCGACGAAAGTTGAATTGTGAAAAACGTTACTGGCTCTACGTTTCAGCAAACTGTCATCAACTTTTTGTCGTTTTCCAGTTTTTTTTGTTTATTCTGAATAGTTTTTTTGTTTCTCAAAAGTCAGCTTCAAAAATTTTTACGTTCTTTTTTTCCAATAATAGCTTATTCTGCCGTTTCTCAACATTTAGATTGATGAAATAAAGAATCAAATAACGGATGGTCAGATAAATAACAATATAAGACAAATAACGAAATTAGCTCTCAAAATAATTCCAGCTCCATTTATTTTGGCGAGTTTCTTGTGTGCAACTCTGAAGCAGTATGCAGAAAAGAAATGAACGGTTAACCAAAAAATCGGAAATTTTTTTTTCAAATTTCATAAAATATCCAGGTAATGTACAAAAAGAACCTTTTCGACATCTCGAAGGCAATTTTGAGCCATTTATCAACACAGAGTGAACCGTTTACCACTTTCCTGCATACGGCCCCTGGTATGGAAGACTAGGCGTGTTAGTCTGTGCGCAAGCCGGTCTAAGGGAGCGCATTACCAGATTCCGAAAATGTTGTAATAACTCAAAAAAAAGAAGAGAAGGGTGCAGCCCATCGCACAGTGGAATAATGTTTTTTTTTTCTAGGAAAACTTGAAAACGACATCGAAACGTCTACCGTACCTGCCTCCTTTCCGACCGACATAGAAGAAGATTGTGAACCAGAAGCGGCAGGTGTGCCAGAGTCGTCTCCGGAAAGTCTCTGAGGTCAGGCAGAACAAGACGACGTTCAGCATTTTTCCCGTCAGAACGAGCTCATTCGCTACTACGGACAGGTAGATTGAGTACCTAAACTTGTTTTTTTTTTCAATTTGTATTTTTAACACACTCGTTCAGAGGCAGAAGGTTCTGATGGATGAAAACCACAGCAGACGGTCCTTGAGTTAACGTGAAGCAAGTCACAATCGCCAGCACCTGAAACATACATTTGTAATGAATTTTTTTGCCCGAAACTATTCTTGTTCTAACAAAGGAAAAACAATTTTTTTTTCGAAATGTGGTTTGAAACTTTCCCTTTTCAAAAAAGTGTGTTTTCGTTAGCTTTTTATTATTATTTTTTTTCTGAACGATTAAAAATGATCCTTTACTCATTATCTTTGAATCAATTAAAATTGAAAGATTCTAAAAAACATTTAAAACTAACCGTATGAGTCATTTTCTTCTCCTGTTCTTGCATGTTGGAGGGTGTAGCACTGCGCATGAGAAGATCCTTCAGAAACAGATCTCAATTCGCTTTTCCCTGGTACAAACCTGAGAGTGGCGCTTTTTCACCAGTCGTATCAGGCTGATATTGAGGATGGCCACAGCGAAAATGGGAAGAAGCACCGCAAGCAGAGCGTTGGCGAAAACCGAGACGTGGAGGTACTGCTTGACGAAATCCGAAGTCGGATTGCGACGTTTTCCGATGAGTTCCTCCGTGTTCGGATAACATCGGCCGAGAACCTGCGTTCCGTGGCACGCTATGAAGGAAAGACACGTGTGCGAGATGTGGTGGTAACTGAAAAAACTCCTGCTCTAGAAAGATATTTTGGAAATCACCTTGTGAGGACGAGCGTTGAGAGTAGGATTCCAACAGATACTATCACTATTTGTCGAGTCTGAAATTTATGCTCAAAGTTCTGCTTGGAAGGTCACGTTGCTCACATTATAGACGTCGAGCGAGCGGAATGGAAACTTGATGATTAACAATCTTTCAACAGAAACGGCCAGAACAAACCTGAAAATAAAGTAAAATAAGGTCGAGTTACTAAACTTGCCGGTGAATCAGCAAGAAAAGTGAGAAAAACAAAGATTTTAAGCAATTATTTATAAGTTCTATGGTCGAAAGTTCGCATGACGGCTGAAGTTATGAAACGAACTGAAAATTCCGAAACAGTTATTGAGTAAAATCTCAACCCTAATTTATTGCTTTTAGTGAAAACGAGCTTTTCAAAATGGAAATTTTTCTGAAACTCCTTTTTTATGTTCTTTTCCTTTCGGATTCTCCTGTCTAACCAGATAGCAGCGGCGGAGAACCAGTTAGTGAGAGCTCCGAAGTGGGGTTTGCTGTGGAAGTGGAAGAGACGGAAAGTCGGCGAGTCCGAGACGTAGTCGATGGAGGCGACGTAGTGCGGCAGCATCATCACGAACACCATCATGTCGCACAGCGCCAGGGAGGCCAGCAAATGGTTCGCTCTAAAACGGAAACCTTTTTCGAGAGCTCTTCCAGTAGACGACCAAAATGTAAGCAGTTTCCTGCTCTTTCACCTGTTTTTGATGTGGCCGCTGAGCAACACCGTCATCGTGAGTAGATTCCCGACCACCGTTATCACAAATTGGACGGGGAAGATGAACTGAAACTTACTGATGTTGGAGCAGGGATAGGTAAAACCCAAAGATCTTTCACTGCTTAACAAAACTTCCCGTTGGCGACTGTAAAGAAGTCTTTGGAAACAATATTATTTCATTTTCGATTAGACATTTTGGGGTCAGTCGCCACAAGTTGAAAATGTGGCTTCTTATCTGGTTTTCCCTGGTGAGCAATCTCGAGAGTCTCGAGAGCAAGTCTCCATTCCATGATCACGGCGGTGAATGAAAAGAGAGCGCAGAGAAGTCAGATTGTTTCAAATCTAGGCCAATGAGATATATTTAATCTATTTGGCTATCAACTGTAAAAAGTCGATAAAAATGCGCAACTTTGAATAAATCTTCTGAATTTGAGGAAATCGAAGTTCTCAACAAGAAACATGCTGATTCAAATCTTACTTCTACATGTCTTCCTATTGATCCCTGAATAATGAAAAATTGAGCTTGAAACCAGTTAGCACAAACTCATACGTATACCAATCAATTTATCCGTCTTTTTTTGAAAAAAAAAACTCAACATAGAAAACTCTTGCGGACTTTTTCATGTGCAAAAAATGCACCTGAACATTCCCACGAGCCCGATACATCTCGGAAGGCCGGCAATAGATGCGCGCATCCATCTCTTTCTGGTAACTTTCGCCTCGGACCTACGCCTCGAGAGATATCTTTTTCGTTCCGTGTTCGTCGGAGAGCGGACGGAGCATCTCTGATTCACCTGTGACCTTCCGCTCCAACAACTTCGGAGGGAGCACCATATTCGATTCCGACGAGGTCTTCCCTACATTGTCCGAAAGGCTAATCCCCTGCTGTGGAAACAGCCTTGCAAGAAATACTTTGAAGGAAATGCGTGCCAACGAGTTGGCTGTCAGGCCGTCAATCTACGCTCGGTTTATATTGCGTCCTTTGGTTATCCCAATTACAGAGCTCCCTCAACAAGAGCCAAAAGGCTATTTTGTGAGAAATCGAAGGATCAAAGGAGGGAAGAAACTCACGTTGTTGATTTTCTTCTCGATGTCGGGCATCAGAAGGAGCAATCCCTCTTCGAAGCATTTCCCATTCAACGTCAACTGTGTAGAGTTCGTTCCCATATTTCTGTAGATTCAAAAATTATTCAAAACAACAAGAATTAATTATGCGTTTTCAACGAATAGATTACTTTAGCGTTCAAGTTTTTTTTCTGAATTTCGTTTCGATGCGTAAACCTCCTGATGGAAAATTATATTTTTCGAGGATGAGAAAAAAATGGAAAAAATGGTTTTTAAATGAAAAAAAAGAATAACGCCAAGACCGTGAGAAACAACAAAAACCACCGGAAGAGATTCTTCGGTTGGGGTCCGAGAAGCCCATAAAAGAAATCGCAGCTTATAATGAAATTCTCGGAATATAAAGCGAGTATCCGTCTTGGAATAAGACAATGGAATCAGAATGAGAAAAGAAGGCGACAAACGAAGAATCTAAAATCGAGGAGAACCTTTTCTGAACTCGCAGACCAAATCAAAAGAAATTGCAGCGGATCGATTCATTATTTTAAATTATTACTCAGGATTCTTTACACCGTTTATATTTCCTTTGCATCTGTTTCAAAAAAATATTTACTTTTTCTGAGCATCCTTGATTTTTTTCTCTGAAGCTTGTTATCTTAAATCTATATTGCCCCACAGGGTAGTGAACACAGAGTCCACACGAGCCAGACAGTTTCAAATCGTGCTGAATGCTGTTCATCAACTGTTCATTGCACGATGGAATCTTCTCACTATCTTCAATCTTAAATTATAAATTTTTGCAGAAAGCTTGGAAGAATTGTTTTGAAAACCTTCTCTATCTTGTTTTCAGAATGGCCGTCTTGCAACCCAACAGCGAAATTTAGTGAACAACGTTCAGAAAACAGACTTTCACGAACATAACATGCGAGTCCAAAAAAGGAGAATGAAGGAGGATTACTTGAAACTCTTCCAGCCGAGGCCAGAGGGTGAACAAGAAAAATTAGATCCAAAATTGCAGACTCGAATAATAAAGTTCATCCCTTTCCATACAACTTCTCGAGCAACTTTTGAGGCAACTTTCGGGCCTAACTTGCTTTACTTAGTCAAAAACTGCAATTTTGGAGCTTTCAGAAAGATGCGATTGCGAGAAAAATGCAGACGAGAGTTGCTTTCGAAGTCGTAAATTTTGAAGGACTCGGAACGGTGCCAGCTAGAATCCTTTTAATAAATGATTTTATCCAACTTTCTCGATTTTACCCCTCTATTCTAAATTTTGGTTAGCTATTTCTCCTTCTCCACTAACCATTTCACGTTTTTTTTTTTGGCGAAAATAGTTTAAAAAAACTTTTGTTGAGTCAATGAAAAATTTCGATACAGAGTTGAAAGGTTCAGTTTCTCATTTCAGAAATAAAAACTAGCGTCATGAACTTGAAAGAAAGATTAGGGCAACATATAAAGTATTGCAGGAAAAACCATGAAAAGAATGATATGAACCAATAATTAGACTAAAAGTGCGTCAAATTTACACTGTTAAAAATATATTAAAAAAACTAATGGAGCAAAAATAAGCAATAAATCAAAAAAAAAAAGCTCTTTGTATACCAAGACGGCATAATAAATGATGATGAACCGAATAAGAAGAAAAAATTATAATTATATATAATTCTCGCTAAACCTATGTTTCCTTAAATTTCATCCCATGTTCTATGTACCCCAGTGAGATAAATATTCAAAGATTCGATTTTTTGAATATTTCGATGAGAAGTTGGATTCTGCCTTACCCAAACAGGAACAAAAAGTTCAAGTTTGACTTCTGGAAACTCGAAAAAAAAAGTCTTCTGAGCAGGAGCAAAAAAAGAAGTTGTGCACCAGGAAGATCATAGCCTGAGGGCAACGGCGCCGCCTAACGGATTAGACTCCGCCCACTGGCTCGCTCTGGCCGATCGCCAAGTACTCGTAGGAAACATTTCGCTGTCGGAACGGTCTCAGGAGATGAATTTGGACGTGCCAGTTGCTTTTTGGGCGATTGGCAGTTCATTCAGGTGTCCCTCGGGAGAATTCTCGCAGAAAAAAAAACACGTCTTTTCTCAAAGATCTTGGATATGGCTAGTATTGAAAGACGTGTATTCGTGAAACTCTCTTTGTCTTGAAAAGTTGGAATTTGAAAAAAGTACAATAGTCTTTCCGAAAAAATCTACAACGATAAGAAACAGTTTCCTTTAAGTGAAAAGAGGAATGCATGCAATTTTAAGAAGTTCGAACAATTAGTTCAGTGGCTGAAAAAAATTGAAGCTAAAAAGAAAATGCATTCAAAAACTGTTCGCGGTAATTATTTTGTTTTCATTCATTCTCGGCTTTCTCCCAAAAATCGTGACTGGCAAGTCACTTGCACTGCTAACTCATGAGAGCTTTTGGAGACTCACTCACATCTGAATGTTTATAGGTGGACATGTCGCGCGAGTGCGTATGGATACAACTCAATCAGAAAGCCGACGACAACAAATGTTCGGTCTGAGCCTTCCAGATGATTCTTTATTTTGTGAAAAAAGAATATTTTTTCATAGCAGCTCCAGGTCACTTCTCGGATGCACCGTGGGAGCTTCTGACCCGAAGATGGTAGTGCCAATTTCCGGTTCACTGCAACGCTCTGCCGAATACTCCAGACTACTTTATTTACAAACACAATGCTCCGATTTCTGATTGAGGAATCTTGAGGGAATCAGGACTCAACGTCACGAAATTGTACTAATGCAAGGTATTCCTCAAGGCAAAAAACAAGGGTTTGACCTAAAAACAAGAGATTAGAAGTTGAACTGAAGGCATGAGACCAGAGAATTCGAAGTTGAAGTAAGTATCCTCTCTTAAGAGCTTTTCATTCGAAAATTTACAAAACACCCTTTTTTTTCGATTGAAAAAATTTTTCCATTTTTTTCAACTTTATCCAAATTGCACTGAAAATTTCTTGCTGCCTTCCCTTCTAACTATTTCTCAACTCATATAGTTAGAAAAGGGAGAAAAAAACTTGAAAATGGAACATTTAAAAATGGTTAACGAAAAGAAAAGGAACACCCTTTTTCCTTCATCTTGCCGACTGAGGATCTCCTGGAAACAAGAGGAAAACAAATTGCTTTGGTTCACAACGAAAAATGGTTACTACCACTGAAAAGAAGTTGAAGATTCATTTTCCCCTTTTTTTATTTTGAAAAGTGCGGCGGAATCAGCTTGACCCACTAGGAAAGCAACAAAGCGCACGCTTGAAAACAAAATGTCTGAACAGACGAAAAATTGGGTTTCTCGAAAACAACAAGTTAATTCAAATGCAAACTCTGGAAAACCGCTGTTTTTCAACGAATTGAATTCGGTTCCGACTGTTCCACGCACTTGGATTTGCGAAAGAAGCGTATCATTTGCTTACAATAAATCAAAGGCAAAACAGTTCCTAAACTTGAAAAATCGTTCATTTCACGAAGTTCTATCATCCACGGAAGTCTCGATGCCATTCCTGTGTGTTTTAAAAATCAGGATTGTGATTTTTGATACTTTGGGATGAAAACAATAAATGGCTAATGTGAGGGTGGAAGCAACACGACGCAACGTGATGGCCGGACATTCGAATTCAAGACCGAAATTATCCAAATCTGGCTGGTAAATGCGTCTGGCTTGACCCTGGCCTCGAAGGTGAAAAAGATGTTCTCTGAGAAATATTCTCGGCGATCTGACCACACATCTCAAACATCAAACTCCTGCTAACAAAACTCTGGCGACGAAAGAGAAACAAAAAATTTTGGTGAAATCTTATCCTGGGCAATAAAAAATCTTATACTTCTCGGAAAGGTTTTTTTTATCAAATGCATATTTAGCGCCTCTGATTAGTTACAGCTTCAATCAGTTTTACTTCGAAGAAAAAGTACAAGATAACCTGGAATTGAACATCTCAATAAGTTTGATGAGAAAAATAGTGATACAACGAAAGCTACAGAGTGTAGATCTACTCTCGAGAGCCAATTTAGGTGAAAAGGTTCGCAAATATACTCAGCCTAAAAAAAGAGAACTTTTCTGAAGTCGATCCCTTGAATAAGAAAATATTGCGAAAAATCTTGACAAAAAACAGAGAATCCTTTCAAAAAGCTGAAGTTTTTATCCAAGATCAGTCGACGCAGTGTAAATAAGACGTTATGGAAACCAGCAATTATTCCGTCAAGATATATAATTTAATATCGGATTACAAGAAGAGTGCAAGAGCAACTGATTACAGGCTGTGGAAAAGAAATGTGGAAAGAACTTCGGAATAGCAGGTTCTGCCACCGTCAAACGGCAGGTTCGAATTTACAGAGAAAATAACAACCAAATAATTTATGATGATTTTGAATTCGCTGCCTTGCCATTTTAAATCGGTTTTTTACGCTTCTTCGCAGCTCGCAAATTTTTTTTTCGTTCGAGAGAAAAGATTATATTCAAGTCGGGCTGTGAGATTAAATATTGAAGTTATTAATTTATGACTGCAAGCATTTTTCACTGTTAGAAAACATTCTATGAGTGATTAAATACCTGCGAAAGACCTGTGAATACAAGGTTAAGAGCGTGAAAACGTTATGTCAAATATATATTGTTAATCGAAAACAAGAAAAGGATTTTCTAGTAAGAGAAAATTCATTGTTTTTCGGTTCTTCTGCCTTGAAATGTTGCGAGTCGAGAAAAATACGATCAAAATTCTCATTTCCCATTCTTCAAACAAGTTGACGAAAAAAAGTGAGGGCCACTAATTGGCCCTCGGCTCTTTTTCACAAGATGTTTACGCAGCTCAGATTTGGCATATTTAAGTGAAAATAAAGTGTCATCTTTTCATTATATTTTTCTTCTAATATTATTCTCAAAAAGTTATCTTACAACAAATATCGTTGAATGAATACAAGGAAGGATAACTCGTCGGAAACGATCTCAAGAGAGGAAAGAAAGAAAAATGTTGAAAATAGATCCGAAGAATACGGAGCTGAACTTGTTAATTTAAAAAAGAGAGCCTTTGAGGTTCTGAAAAAAGACGAGAACAGTTTTATATTTAATGCAGTACTCATTTAGAGTTTAAAAACCGAGAACAGTTGTTTCAAGTCTCTTACTTTCGAAAATGAGGATAAAATGAGAACAGCTTCACAGAATTGTCAACTGATTGCTGATACTCCGGCAGGTCTTTTTTGAGCTAGCTTAACTAAGTAAAAAAAAGCCAAAAATCTCAGAATTTCTAGGTCCCAATTACCCTCGCATTTCCAGGGACGATCAGTGGCCTTTGGGTTTTTTCCCCTAAGACATTTCTAGACGCAGATCAAAAAAAGCGTGTCAGAATAACTGCGTAGGCTCAGAAAGCTTCCAAGAAACAATTCAGTCTTCAGGGAACGGCTTTCAAAAAAAAAAAGATTTTGAAAAAATAAAAGAGCTTTTCACCTATGAATGGTAACCCGCTGATTTCAGTCCTCAGAGTTTGATTAGGCTTTTCCCAGAGCTGTTCTCAAGTCGGGGGGCCCTCGGTCGACCGCGGTCACCCCGAGAACAGCTCTGGCTTTTCCTATCTTCTGAACAGTTTTAATCAAGAGATAAAATCGACAAAGTTCAAACAAGAAACAATAAAATTGTCCGAATCCCGGTCCGGGGAGAAAAGATCTGAATTCAGTAAGGCTTTTTTGAGAACTGTGGAGGGAAAAAGGAAGCGGAACGGACGCTGTAGGAAGAAGAGAGAGCCACGGCTAAAAGCCTTACTAAAAGCTCCCGTGGAACACGCATCGTTGCCCCATTCGGCTTTTCCGGCCGACCCAATCTTTTGATGTGAAACAATATGCAGACGCCTCTTTTTTCTTCGAAAGTCTTTAATATCAGTCCTCGCAGAACCGGGTGAAACTTTTGGCTAGCTAAAAAGTAAATTGGAAAGTCGGATGGAATTGAGCTACGTGCGAAACCAGGAAAACCATAAAAAAGAACGAGAGAAGAATGTTTTAATAGTCAAACGAGCAGGAACGGCCTGCAATCCATTAGGAACGGCTTTCAACGGCAGTTTGTCTCAAGGTCAAAAAAAGGTTGGAATTTGTTGTAATTAAAGTACAGAAGGCAAAGATAGGCCGATCAAGATAAATGCAAGAAAATTTTTCTGAGAGTTAGGGAGAATATAGTCTGTGTGCCACGACTTGAAATATCCGAATTCAAAGAGCTAAATTAAGAAAATTATGAATAAATCCGTGCCATAAAAGTGCAAAAGATCGCCAAGAAAACAAGAAAATCTCACCGTTTGATCGTAAATAAGAGCTTGAAAGGAAGAAAAAACGTGAGAGAGTAGGAAAAAGGACAATCTGAGATGAAAATGTGTTTTGGCGAAATCATAATTAAGCTTATTATCGCGGGAGTATTTGTGTGGCGAGGGCTCTCGAAATAAATACTTTTGAAAAAATAGTTCGTGGGCTTTTTGTTTTTGAGGATACTGGATAAGAACCCTCATTACGTTCTCGCGTCACGAGCCGATGAGAATTGAACTAATAATAAAGAAAAAAACTAGAAAAGCTGCGAAACAAAGGCCTTGACGATTTTCAGGAAGCGACACCTTTTGGTAATTGTTCGTGTCAGAAGACAAGGTCAGTTTCTGGATCTTCTGGAATTTCGTTTGAGCGCGAAAAGATTTTTGAGCTTTGACTTTCGCATTTTTCATTTGTTTTGAGCTCAGATATTCAAACCAACATCTCTCTCCGAAGTTAAACGCTAATAAACTCAGCCGAATCATATTGGTCCGTCTTGCCAAACGATCTATGATTTAATTTGAAATGAAAATGATATTTCATTGAAAAGAAGAAAAGTTTGAAGAAAAAGCATAAATCAAGAGTTTAAGAATATATGTGATTATGAGTTTTCATAGAAACAACTAAACTTTGCCGAAAAATATGAAAAATCCAGTTGAAATAATTAGAATATTTTCAATCAAATGTTTTTATTTCTCACACACAAGTACTAAATTTCACGAAATAGATGTAGGGAGAATTTGGGATTTTCGGAATTTTCTCATAAAACGTTAGTCTAACTTGCGGAGTCAAGCTTTTGATATCTATTTTCAAAAAAATTCCAAGCGACTAAACAAAATGGTATTTTCTGGCTTGCATTTCTACATCCGCCTCGTATTCAGTAAGAAAAAACTAATTTTCATTTTAATCTCATCATATTTTACTTCTCCTTGAAAAGAAAAAAATTCAGATAGTTATAATTAAATCAAAAAAAAAACTGATGGCGTCTCTTGCTTTTTTTCAAGATTTCAATATTACTTTGAGGCAAGGTAAACTGTGGATACTAACCAGAAAAAAAAAATTCGAAACATAAAGAAGACATCAAAAATTCAGAAATACCTGAGTAATGGAGGCGCGAAGAACATAAAGCGAATAAATGCGCCACGCATGGCCGCGCCCACTTTTCCAAAATATTTCTAAGTGGTTGCCGAGACCAGAGGGTCTAGCCAGACAAATTCATACCAAAATTTCTCTTTGAAATACCAGCTTCTCAATGGATTTAGAGACGAGAGGAATACAATCCTAATTTCGAGGGAAAATTGAAAAGCGAGACGCGAGAAGCTCTCCAGTTCCAAAAGTTGAGAAACATTCGAAATAATTCGATTTTCTGAAAGTTCTCGATTTTGCGCACGCTTAAAATGATTTAAAAAAAACAAACTTTTTCGAAAAAAAAAAAGAATAGAAAGGGGGAATGCGTCTAGGGAAGGAATGCTCACGCGGCGAACAACTTTCGGCGCAAAACTTCTAAGGATTCCTTGAAAATCTACTTCTATACATAATATCTTCATTCCAATTTGTTAGAAATACCAGACTTCAGTATTGATTTCCACACATAATCGCTTCGGAGTACCAAATATCTAGAAAGAATATTCGACAAACGGAGAAAAAACGAAGCTTGGTGAGTGGTTGTCTTTTGTTTTTGGTTAATCGTACGTTAACGGACTGACAATAGCCGTACTTTATGAATTATGCGTCTGCATGAGAAGATTTTGAAAGTTGCAGACTTATTTCTCCTTACATGTCACTAGAAATTCTCTCGGCTAGAAACTCGCACAAAAGTTCGTTATGGCAAAAGGACAAGATAATTTTAAAAATCAAACTCGTAGACGTGATCAAAATTAGAGAAAAAACTTTTTGAGGTCTGCAGTTGACAAGTGTTGACTTCAGAAGCCTTCACTTTTCAATAAACGCGTTTTTTTCGAAGCCAGTTTGTCGTCGTCGGATTTTCATACTAAAAAAACGAGAAACCAGGGTAACTTAGATCCAATACAAACAAACGACCTCAGAAGTTCTGAGAAGAAGAAAAAACACAATATAATAGGTTTATTTAGAGAGCTGCAGAGAGTACATTCTTTTATTATGTGCAAACGTTTCTCAGGGCTAACAAGCCCTGGACCTGAATAAAACATTGAACATTTGTCCCAAAAAAAAGTGGAAAAAAAATTATAAACAAGTTGTAACTTCCGTATAAAAATACATTCATTGAGATACAAATTTGGTGAGGAAGAGAAAAAAATAAAGAAAATAAAAATAAGGGAAAGTTAATAATTGAAAAAATGACTCAAAAAACATGGGAAAAAAAAATTTATATTCATTAATATTAAAAAAAAAATAAAGCATTCTCACTGAAAAAAAAAACAGAAAATAAAAAAAAATTTAGGATTTATGAAGGATGGACAATCATCTTTACAATTACGTTCTGGAGATGCTTTTATGGTACAGCTCTAGAAAGCTCTTTTAAGGCTTTTTTGGCCGCTGAACACCATTTTTCATAAGCTTTTACGTGCATAGGTTAAAATTTGCGTTTCTCATATTTTTTTTTTGATGGCCCTTGGTCTGATAAAGTTTACCAAAACACACTCGATGATAGTGATCCTTTTGGATGAAGAAACTATTACGAATGAAAAATTATGTCAAATCACTTAGCCGTAATTTCCCGTAGCTCTAGTCCTGTTTTTGTTTTCTGGCCAACTCTCCTCGTAATTCAAGAAGCAGAAAATGTTTTGATGGAATGGTCAGATGAAAGAGAATATTTGGCGGCCGAGCCACCGAATATCACAAAATCGCCGCAACTGTCGTCGGTTACACCGTGCGCGACTCTCGCGCACCTTGCCGCCAGTCGTCTGCCGCGTCCGATCTGACCTCCTCTTCCAGTCTTTTCCCCAGGAAAAGTTTCGAAAAGTTCTATTAATATGTCTGGACAGCAGCCGCAGCCATACTCCGTACGCGACATCATGGACCGGTTAGTTAGTCGATTTCTGCGATTACAAGCTTTTGGTAATGAAATGGTTCTAGAAGTTTTTTTCTCAATCGCTTATTTGCTTGTCTTATACCTAACGTCGAAGTCTGTTTTGTTTAAAAACTGTTTATTGCATCTTCAATGTAAGAATACATGTGCAATCGACTTTCATTGATTTAACTGTGTTTAAACGGCGGCAGGAGCTGTGGCTTAGGCAGAGAAGTTGTGATTTCCGCTCGTAGAACATCAGGTACAAGAGAGGTCGTAGGAAGAGTTACGGTGTCGGCTTTCCAAAGGCCGATGGCAGAGATTGAGCCTTTTCGCTGCATGCAGTTCCCAATTTTATCTACCCCGGAGGGATGAAAGGCTTGGTCGACCTCGGGGGGACTCGAACCTACGACCTTGCGGGCGTTAGAAATGAGTTTTACCAGCTGAGCTATGCCGGCACCGTAAAAGCCAAGCCTATATAATATACGTTTTCAAAACAAACTGGAATCTGTTCTTTGGTTTAAGCTATGAATCGGAAGAGGACGAGTTTTTACGGGAGCTGGAGGACATGCGACAGTCATTGCGAAACTCAGAGACTGAAGACGAAATACCACAAGATCCCGCTCCGATATTAAGTGATTTAGATTTTACTTTTTTCCAAATTTTTATTTTCCTGTAACATCAATTACTGTAAAAAATAGTTTTCAGCTGTTCTGTGCAGTCTGGTAGACGAGATCGGCTCTTTGCGAACCGAGAACAGAAGACTCAAAACACGGTTGATACCTGCTCCGAGAGCCAAGGTGAGCAATGAAGCAACTGGAGTCAAGGGAGTTAACTACAGAATGTGGTGCAACGGATGTCGGCGATGCTCGAGAACCGCGGCTCGGGATTTTTCCCACGTCTTCGCCGGTCGAACCAACACGTTCCCACCGCCGCACAGGAGATCCGAACAGGCGCTCGTGACAGGCTTTCAACACCTCCTCGCAAGGTTTTAACAACAATATCTTGTTCAGCTTCAGTTTCAAAGAGATAACAACAAAAAAAAAGTTGGAAAAAATTGAAGAAGAAATTCGGTAATTTTTTAAAAGATTGCAGAAAAAATTGATTATGTGAAGTCCGAGTCCCCTTAAAGCGCATTAATAGTAATGTGAAGACACAACTTTTATTGCTTTCATTTTTTGAGCTTCTATAAAACCATTCAGACGAACTGTATGACAACCTCTTCTCTGTCGACAGATGCTTCGTCTTCACGAGGACCACCTCTGGTCCAGCCGGAACTGAGCGACAGCGAATTCGACGACAACATGTTCAACGACCTTGAAGTGATCAAAACCTCCTAAATTAAAAGGATAAGATTCCGATTGAGGAATCGACAGAAGAGCATCGCAGCCGCGACACGACTCGTCGATGTGATTCTGGAAGTAGGAGAATTGACAACTCTCTGTCCAACTGCACGTCTCCGTCGTCAGCCTCGTCGTCGCGAGACCCGTCCGAAGCTATGAGTTCGTTCTCCCTTCTAGTTGAAACTTCTGAAGTTTCACCGCGGAAAATAATCTCTCTTAATCAAATCCATTTGCGATTTCAGCTGCAAGCCGTTCTTCTTTCCTGGATTTGTTTGGGTTCCGTCGTCGAACCAACCGCTCGGCCCAATCCTTGTTGGGACCGCCCACCATCAATTACAGTTCAGCCAAGTCTGGAGCTGTCAAACCGATTCTCAAAAAGAGGAAACGCCGTTCATCCGGAAACGATTCAGAGTCAAGTGGCCTCTACGTCAACTTAGGTAAGTTTAGGGAAGGGATCCGTATTTTTAAGAAGAAAAAAGTTTATAATATGATTGGTTTGATTTCTATATTCTTTCTTTCGGAACTTTTTAGTATGTCCAAAACAATTGGCAATGAAAACGCTTGATGTTGCGCAGCTAAGGGCATTTTCCTTTTGAAACATTGTCACATACATTTTTTTAAAAAAAGGACTTTTCAAGTTTGTTCCTGATGAGAAAAAAATAAGAAGGACCACCTTATTTTCTATGTTTTGAATCGAAATGAGAACTCTTTCAGACAGTGAGAAGCACCGCTCCCGACTGCCTACGAAGGTGAGAAATGGAAGCAATTTCGATGGAGAGTTCGTATTTTGCAGCCACCTAGACCTGCGTCTTACTATCCTCGAGAAGAGAGCGAAGACTCTGACTATGCGAAGAGTCGTCAACGTAAAGCGACGTCGTTCCTCAACGTCCATTCCACCTACGACAACGCTTCAGGTAATATAAAAAAGCTCTTTTTTTGAGAAAATTTCTTTGAGAAGTGTCGTTCCGCGTTGATCGAGAGACCCGCCTTCTTCACGAAAAAGATAATCTCATGGCTGAACTCGAAGAACTCAAGGTCTTCGCGAGACGTTTCTTTCTGAAAACATGATGATATTCAGATGAGAAATCAGCGACTGGTGGATCAACTACGTGAGAAAAGTCAGCAACAGAGCAAATTGCAGTATCAACTGCATAAAGTCGAAATGCAGGTTTTCAAAAAAAAAAGGACAATTTTTTTCGAAATTCGTTTTCAGGTCGACAATTTGAACCGTCGCTGTGCTTTGTCTGAAGCGCTCGACCGTCTGACGATGGACGAGAGAGTGGAGAAAGTGGCCACCAACGGCATCAAGAAGGTCAGTCACATGTTCCATGGAACGAAAAAATTTCCGATCATTTCCAGATTGAGGAACGCTTGCGACACTTTGAAAATCAAATGCAAGCCGCAAAACTGGAATCAGCGAGCGCGCATCAAATGGTAAGAAGTGTTATCTTTGAGTTTCCCCGTATTTAAATGGAAAATAGTTTGTAAAGCGGATTTGAGACTGTGGATTGGTGAGATCTTCATTTTGTATAAATAAAACCCAAATTTGGAAATGGAAAATCTATTCGTCGACTACTGGCTTTTTCTGGGCCGAGTGTTAGAATTATTTATTTATTTTTGCTTTTTCAACTCAATATTAAGAGTTCAAGTTTTGGAGAAGCTTTCAACTTTCCACATTATCGGTTTTGAAATGAAAATTCGATAGATTTCATGATCATCTCTTCATATTAAATTATAATACTGCAATTTTTCTGCGTTCCGAGTGAAATTTATTTGTTAAACTAGTATTTCAAATGAATATAAGAGTCCTGGAAAGTTTTCAAGCAGAAAGAATGGTAAATAATAATTTTTTGATGTTGGGAGAGAAACTCTATTTTTTCAGGCTCTGGGTTCAACGGTTCATGAACGTAGCGCCCACCAGGCTTGTCTAGAACAAATGGAAAAACTTCAGAGAGAACACCTCAGACTACTGCATAATCGTTACTCAGGTTCACCGCAACTTCCTAACGAAAACAGAGAATTTCTCAGACACAAGCATGGACGAGGTGAGCTTGAAGCGAAGACTGGACAACATGCCGACCTACGAAGCGCTCTACGCCTTCACCCATTCGATTGTGCGGAGACTCACCGAGGCTCGTTGGGCTCTGATAGAGAAGACGGCCGAAAGTTCGAGAATCCAGGTTTTGATATGGAACACTCAAGGAAAAACTTACTTTTCAAGATGGACCTCGTTGCAAATCAGTCTACGTTGCTGGTGAATCATGCCCAGGTTCATTGGAGGCTTATTCATATAAAAATAATACTTCAGACGGAACGGTTGCGGATTTCTTTGGCTTCAAGAGGTAGAAGAACACGAAGACCTGCATCTTATCATGGAAACGATTTCAGTGATAGAAAAGTAGACTCCATCATAATATCCAGTCATTTATTTCGTTTTCAGGTTCGAGATGATGTGAACTTTTATCTTCCGCTGAAGTTGCAAGGCTCTCGAGTTGAAAACCTGCGCAGATCTATCAAAAAAATCAACAAGGACGACTTGGACAGGAACATCGAAGGCGAATTTCTCAAGCTGTTCAGTTATTCTCGAGGCCTGTGTCTGATATAGCCTTTTCAACGGAAATCGGTTCTAGAGGCGTTGGTTGATAAACAAGAGAGACAATTCCGGCCCAACAGCAGGATTGAGTACATGATCCGCGAAATGAACGTCAACGGCGGTCGCACAAGAAAGAACACGCCGATAATCCGAGAAAGAGCTAGAGAACCTCCGACGAGACGACCCATCAGGTTTTGGAACGAGTCCCAGAAAGTAGCCAAAGGAGATTTGCAGTTTGGTGGAGGTTGACGACCAACAGCGGCGATCGAGGCGTTCGGACGAGAATCGACGCAGCATCAAGTATTACAAGAACAACAGCATCGACTACCAAAGGTTATAACAAGTTGTATTTGACTAATCATTCAGATGTTGAACTTTTCGAAAAGAAAAGAAAATTGACAGATTCATTCGGACAAAAACGATTCTCTTATTCTAAGGACAGGAGAAACTCCGGAAATCATTGACATAGACTTCAATTCTTTTTTGATTAATATTTTTAAAATCACAAATTTTACAAATTTCTGCTTCTTGTAAAATATCTTTCTAATTGAAAGAAACCAATCGCGAATAGGAAAATTTGAGCTCTAATTTCTCAAAACGTTGTGAAAAATCTCATGATCTGCATCTCGTACTTCGAAGAATATTCCAGCCGACTTCCAAAAGTCTGAATTCATAGTCAAAACGACCGTGCGGACTTATAGAGCCGATGATCACTACCAACCTGAAGTCGCCTCGATGCAAGACGTCTCAGCTGGAATCAGTCCCCACGGAACTCCTGTCCTCATGCGACGACACCATCCGCCAGTTGAAACAAGGATGCCAAGTTTGCTTCTATTCATAATGAAAACGTATTCGTCTCAGCCTACGACATGGTGCCCGAGGCGACGGTGGTGAGGGTTGAACGGGTTCGGAAGCTGGAGCGAGGCTTCAGCACAGACAGCAAGACGACGGATTCTCTGCAGGACCGGGACGAGCCGCGGAAGGTCGACGGCGAACGGAGAGTCGTCCGTCTGCAGCGTTCCCAACCAGTCAGTCGCATAAAACAGCCGACGTCCACGGTCGTCATGAGAATGGTTATTTCAATCAGCGACGACAAGACATTGAATTGAATCTTTTCAGCGAACGATAGAATCGCATCGCGAGTCATTGCGCGAACCCGCGGTATACTGTACGTCGAAAACCTTGGAAGCGCCTTCTGAATCGAAACTTCCAACGCCGACGTCGCGGTCCGAGAAGAAGACTTGGCTTGACCGGCTAAAGGGCATCACTCGGACTTAGCATGCATTTCTCTTAATTTTTTTAGAATCATATGTGAAAAAAATATCGACACGAAGAAACAGGTTTTTTTTCGAGAAAACTGAAAAAAACCTCGAAATAAAAAAATTTCTCATAAACTAAACGGCATCTAAAAAAATTTTTTTTCAACGGGGTTATTCAAGTTCTATTGAAGCGCGCTATTACAAAAAAAAATATTGATCAACTTGCAACGAAAGCGGAATTATTCTTCACAAAAAAGCAGGAGAAATGTTCTGGTATTTTGCTAAACTTCAAAGACAGAATGTCATTTTCGGTTGAGAGACAAAGAGCGCATTTTACGACAACTGATGACGCAGAGAAAGTCCTTCTGCGGGAACATGTGGCCGGCTACACTAGACCAACGCAATTTCGTGCCGTCAGAAGTCTTATCAGAATGTTCTTTGTCCCTGTGGAAAAGTAAATCGAGAGGTTCTTGCAAATAGCGTTCTTGTTGGTCAGCAGTGTACCTATAGCTGTAAATAAATAGGGGAGCGAAAACACTAGTTGAAATAAAGTTCCCCTGATATAAATATCAAATTTCAAGCAGTCCTTTTTTATAAGTCAAAGAGTGGAGTACCATTCAGTTACTAACATATTTTAGAATAAAACTTTAAAATCTGATTGTAATACACATTCCAAAAACAAAGTACGGCTCCTTTAACGGTTAAAAGTTGGGAATTCAAATTCAAAAGAAAAAAATGAGCGTACGCTCTACAACTTCTCGCTGCTACTATGAACAACTGAAAAGAAAAATGTTTAAAAAAAGTGAGAAAAAAATTACAAAAACTGTCAAAAAAATGCTTTTCTAGGAAACTTTTTTTAAATTCAATTTCTTGTCGGTCAAAAAGAATAAATATTGAAACTTTTTTTGAAACTTTTTTTAAATTCCATTTCTTGTCGGTCAAAAGAATAAATATTGAAACTTTTTTTGAAACTTTTTTTAAATTCCATTTCTTGTCGGTTAAAAAAATAAATATTGAAACTTTTTTTAAATTCCATTTCTTGTCGGTTAAAAATAAATATTGAAACTTTTTTTAAATTCCATTTCTTGTCGGTCAAAAAAATAAATATCGAATACAAGGAAGTTATTTTTGAAGAACTATATGAGAAAATCAAAAATCCTTTCGAGTTATCTGATTGGCTACACTAGATGGACGCAGTTTCTTGGCATCACGTGCCTTATCGAAAAGATCTTTGTCCTCATAAAAAAAAGCAATCGGAAGTTTCTTGAAAATATTGTTCTGTCCGGTCTCAAGTGTACCTTGGCCATTCTTGATAGGAGACAACGGTTTTTGAGCTCGAATCAGCTACACTGCAAACCAAATAGAGAGTGTTCATTTCAAAAGATTCAAAGACGTTCTTTCTGAGAAGAAATACAGAAAAATTTAGAGTCATTTAAAAATATCGCGTGGAAAAATTCCCGAAAAAGACGGATTTTTTTCGTTAGCGGCAGAATATACGATAAAACAAAAAAGGATCATTCGAATGATTTCAAGTTAAAAATATCTTTATTATTATTTTTTTTTTCCGATCATAATTTTCTCTGAAAATTGTTTATAAATATTTTCCGGTTTTTTTTTCATATTCTCAACTTTCAGCATCGAAAACTTCCCGAATACCTAGATTTTTATATGCATTTTATGAAAAAAACAATGGTTACACATTTGAAAAATCTATAGAAATAACAGAATCCTTTTGACTTTCATCATGTGAACGACCAAAAAAAAACAGCAAAAACAGATGTCATCCGCAGGATTCGAACCTGCGCCCTCCGAAGAGGACTGCGACCTGAACGCAGCGCCTTAGACCACTCGGCCAGAATGACTCGAGAGATGCAAGTGTGGCGGGCGTAGGAGACCCTGCGCTGTTGTTACTCTGCACGCTGAGAGGGACCGATGAATCTCGCACGTGATGAATTTTCCACAGAAGCTCGTCTCCATGGACTGTTGTCTATGTCTATTTACTTGAGAATAAGCAAAACGATCAAACTTTGAACTTTTTTGCTGATTCTCTAAGGGCGTATGGTGTGATCGGAACAAGGACGGCGTGTAGCTGATTGTCGGCTGTTCTTTCTCCTGTCCCGCCCACTTTCTTGAGGCAAAACTCTAATCAACAGTTCTGGGACTCTTGGCCACTATTTAAGGCCCCCCAAAGATGAAAGAGATATCAGCTTTTCGATAACCATCACTTCGGAGCCCAGATTTTCCTTTGCTTTCATTAGTTTGAAATTTTTCAGATTGTGAATTTTTTTCAATTAGAAATTTCCCACTCGAGGCTTCATTTTACCTTTGTCATCTCTCTGAGCGAGTTTTTTTGAATTTAAAATTTTCAGTATCTGATATTCTTTAAAAATAGGTTCTCGATCACCGGTACGGTATTTATACCAAAGTTCTATTTATTATTGCTATCAAAGTTCAAGATTTCTTTTTTTGGAATCAGAAAAGAAGTGCGTATTTTTCGTAATATCAACAAAAAAAACTTCAAAAAGGAAAGCTTCCGTATCTTAGAAAAAAATTTAACTTTTTTTATTTCCAAAGTTTTTTTCAAATTCGTCTGAAATTTTTTTCAATTTTTCGACTTTTTAACTCGGATAGATTTACTTTTTCGATCAAAACTTGATTAAGATTATTTCAAGTAAAAAAAGCTCGAAACAGAGCCAGACTTGCTGTTCAGATCTCACGCCACCCAGCCGGTGGCGCGGTCATCTGCTTCCTTTCTCTTTTCTCTATCAGTTGTTGATTGAACTTTTTTTTCTTTTTTCGATCATACAGTGTATCATTTCGAGTTTGTTTATTTTGTGCTCGAGAAAATATTTTCATTGTCTTCCAATTTATAGTGAAACTTGGGATGTTTTTTTTCATGTGAATTCTTTCTTCCGATACATTCAGTTCATCTTTTTTAAATTTGAATTCAGGTAAAAAAAAACATGACGGTCATCACCCGAACGATAACCAACACCAAGAAGGCTGAGAAAGTCATTGATGAGCAGTATTTGGCTGCGGATCTCGATGAGATCACCAAACTCCAAGAGGAGGATCGCAAGGTCCTTTCTTAGTTCTCCATGGAAAATACTGAAGTCGTGATTTCAGAAACCATTGAAGACTGTTATTGTCTGGAGGAACGTTCTCATCTTCCTGGCCCTTCATTTGGGAGCTCTTCTCGGAGTCTACCAGACCATTTTCGAGGCTAAATGGGCGACCCTCGCATGGAGTGAGTTTATTGAACTCTCTCTCTCTCTGTGTATCAATTTCCGCACTAATTTACAAGAGATTCGTCTCGTCTATAAACTTATAAGTCTGAATATTACCGCTGTGAGGATATAAACTCAATTTTTTTTTCATAATTTAAAATTTTGAAACCTCTTTCGAATTAAAAATTTTCCTTTACATGCTTTTTTTGGAGTCTTTGATTAAACGTGAACACTTATCACGACTTTTCGGCCGCTTATCAGTGGTCCAAACTTACTCGAGAAACGTGAGAATGAGCAAGAGACGCGTCGTAGCAGCACGGAATGGTGGTGTGACCGAAGTTCCCGATAAATTTCTTCTCCATCAATCATCTCAGGCCATTTTTACTCGTGCCACTGATGAGTGCAAAAATACTGGAGAAAGAGAAAAATAACTGACCAAAGAAAAAAAAACCTTTTTCAGTGTTTTTCTTGCACGTTTTCGGAGGTTTCGGAATCACCGCAGGCGCTCATCGTCTGTGGGCTCACAGGTGTGTGGCTTTGTCATTTTCTCGCCTGAAAAATCAGAAAAAGTTCTGAAAGTTTTTAAAATCGAGTTTTCAGATCTTACAAAGCCCGCTTGCCGATGAGAATCTTTTTGATGCTTTTGAACAATATTGCTCTGCAGGTTTGTCAACTTTTCTTTTTTTCGATTGTGAGAAAAGGTCATTCGAAATGAAATGGCGTGATCTTTTCTGCACAAGGATTTTTTACACTCACGCGTGCCTAGCATTTTTTGTTTTTCTTTAAGTTTCAAAGAATGATCATTGCACTTCGTTGAGGAAGCAGGTTTTCGAAAAACAAGATAAATAAATACGGAGCCCTTATTCAAAAAAAAAAATTAAAACTTTGGTCAACGATACCTTTTTGTTTCTTTGAATAAATGTCTGGCTAAAACTCATAACTTTAATTTCTGAAGCTTCCCCACAAAACTTTTTTTTTAATGACGTCGATTCAATCTTAGAATGACATCATCGAATGGGCTCGTGACCACCGCTGCCACCACAAATGGACCGACACGACTGCCGATCCTCACAACACGGAGCGCGGTTTCTTCTTCGCTCACATGGGCTGGTTGATGGTCAAGAAGCATCCGATGGTGAGTCTTTGCTACTTTTCGGCGATACCAACGAGATCCTTCTTCAGGTTCGTGAACAAGGAGCCAAGCTCGACTTATCGGACTTGTACGCCGACCCCGTCCTGCAATTCCAGAGAAAGTGAGTTCTGGATCTTACTGCCTCTGCAACGACGAAGACGTTCAGGAACTACCTGCCGCTGGTCATCTTGTCGTGTTTCGTGGTTTCCGGCTGTCGTTCCCACTTACTTCTGGGGCGAGTCTGCCTTTGTCGCTTTCTACACGGCCGGCCTTTTCCGCTACTGTTTCACTCTTCACGCCACGTGGTGCATCAACAGTGCGGCCCACTGGTGAGATGAGCCTCGAGAAATCTTTTTTCATAGTTTCACTGTTCAGGTTTGGTTTCAAGCCTTATGACCAGGCCATCTCTCCCGTCGAGAATGTCTGGACTACGGTCACCGCAGTTGGAGAAGGCGGCCACAACTTCCACCACACTTTCCCTCAGGTAAATATGCCCTCTTATCATTTCGTTTTCTATTGTGATCTCAAAATATTTATTTCTTTTCGCACTTGCTCATTTTCATCAGAAACGCATCAATCAACTAAATTTAAAACCTTCTTGTTATTTTGCTCAAGTTGAATCGACTTTTTTTTTTACGGAGCTGACATAAGTATTCCGGTTTTATCAGTATCCTTTAAAAAAAACGATGTTGGTTTAAAATATCCTCATTTCAGGACTACCGTACCTCGGAGTACTCGTGGCGCCTCAACTGGACCAGAATCCTGATCGACGCCGGCGCGGCCCTCGGTCTCGTTTACGATCGAAAGTCTGCCTCTGAAGAGATGATCCGCAGGCAGTGTGCCAATCAAGGAGACGCCGAGAAGAGAGAGATCATCCTCAACGCCTACGCTCGTTGAAACTTCCCTGCTTCTTCTTCTTTCTTTTTCCAATACTGGTGAAAAAACAAACCTGTAGGCTCCGGTTGACATTCGCCAGAAGGTTATCTCCAACTCGGGTTCCTTTGTCGTCGTTTCCTTTTGTTCTTCAAAATGTCTTACACTTCGGAAGGTTGTATATTTGCTCTTAATAAAGTTTCAATACAAGCAACTTCAGCAGTGCACTTTATTGAAATCCGCACGAGGCTCAATGGAACAGCGAACTGGAAAAATATTCGATTTCCATTGAAATCAAAGAAAAAAAGGTGGAAATCGTAGGCTAAGACGAATAAACTGCTACTTCTGCTCGTATCTTGCACGTGGTCAAAATTTTCTTTCTGAAAAGGAGAAATGAAGAGAATACGATATGTCGGGAAACTCCAGAATCGCCCCCACCCGGTTACAGCCCCCATGTCCGAACAAGCTTCTCCAAGGCGAATTCGGACTGGGACGGCCAATGGAACGGCCAACTTCGGGGTACCTTTTTTTTGCTCAGTACTTCGCTTTTTCTGCTATTCCATTTGCACGCGCCTAGTGATCCTAATTAGGTGAAATAGGGTTGGAAAATACAGTTCGCGACAAAACTATAAGACCCCCTTGCTTTTTCAAGTTTTTGGAAAAGGTTGATGTCCTAGAAAAAAGCTATGTGAATAGATTTTGCGTCTTTGAAAACCTACGCATAATAACTTTAGTCTCTGTCGGCTGCTATAGAAGAAAATGAGAAAAGAAAAACGAAAAATCAGGCGCGACAAAACTATAAGACGCCCTTACTTTTTTGATTAAAATCAAACTTTTACCCAGAATCTTTCACTGTTCCAATAAATTTTTTTGTTCAAAAACAATTTTAAGTATTTTTTTCAGCTACGGTTAAACTTCTTTTCAATTTCAAGAAATCTAAAGTTTCTTTAAATTTTTGAACAAAACTTTCTGCGACTTTTGATTTTTTGGAAACTTTGGACTTTCTGGCTGTTTTTCAGAGAGCAGCCAAAACTTTCTATTTTATTATTAAACGTTAGACATTTGAGAATAATTATATAAGAAAAAATCCGATAGAAAAGTTTAAAGGACTCAAAAAAATGACTTTTTGATGATCAAAAACGTCATTCTATCGGGTTGAAATTGCAATCTCGAGTATTACTTCATGATACAAATGCAAAAGAAGCTCCAAACAAGCTGTAAACGTTTTTAAAAATGCGTCAAACAAATCTTTGATGCGAAAAACCAAGAAAAAATGTTAATTCACATCAACCTCTACCCATTTTGATTGACCTCATCAATGGAATAAAATTAACCAACCCAAAAAGCGGTTTTTAAAAACTTTATATCATTTCAAAAAACTCGAATTATTTTGGAATGTGAAAATGTTGCTCTATTAGAAGCAATTGAGAGCGGAAATTTAAAAAAAATTAAAACAAAAACAAGTTATTTTCTGAAAAAGACCATCAAAATGAACAAAAGGAATTTTCAAAAACAGTTGTTACCAAACAAAATAGTGTGCCTTGAGACTTCAAATTGTATAAGATGAGAAGCTGAAGTTTCCTAAGTACATGCCAAGACAAATTCTTCTTTGTTGAGTATCATCTCACGGAGTAATACTCGAGATTGCAATTTCAACCCGATAGAATGACGGTTTTGATCATGAAAAGTCTTTCTCATTTTCTTCTATAGCAGCCGACAGAGACCAAAGTTAGTATGCGTAGGTTTTCAAAGACGCAAAATCTATTCACATCAATAGCTTTTTTCTAGGACATCAGCCATTTCCAAAAACTTGAAAAAGCAAGGGGGTCTTATAGTTTTGTCGCGCACTGTACTACATTCCAGTAACAAGCAAATGAGTTTTTTTTCTTAAATTTGTTGCAAAGATTGTATATTGCATTTCTAAAAAGAAAACTTTCAAAAAAAGTTGATAATGTAGGATGCTGTCAAATATGTTGAACGGTTGGCAGTGTGGGGTGGGGGCAATATGGATTAATCCCCGATGAGTTCTCTAACCATACTGGAGCGACGTTGTCCTTAGAAGTCTTGGCTGGAACTTGCTTGTTGAGCATGAGAGTCTTGCTCTTGTCCGGGTCGTGAATCGTGCTCGGAGCCATCTGGAATCAACACGATCTACACAGCTCCTGACCTCAGGTCACCTCTAGCTCGTCGACATTCGAACCGATTTCAAACTCCTCGTTGCCTTTTGGATCGTACCACACTTTCGTAAGAGTCACAGGTTCTTCTTTCTGCGACGTTTCCCCGAGCTGAAATTTTTTCGTGATCCATAGAAGGTCAATCAATCGCTTACTTGAAAGTCGTGGACCTCCAGTGGGATTTTGATGGCTCCCTTATTAGGAAAATTAGAGACGTCTGCGTCCGCCGTTTCTTGTAACTTAACAAGAAAAAAATTTTTAGAATATATTTTTTTCTTCAAATATATTTTGATTGGTGGTTTCTGAGGTTGTTTGGAGACTGAAATTTTCTGATACCTGAACTTCCTACTTTTCACAGGAAAAAGTCGAACTGAAAACATTTTTGAAATAAGGGATTTGCGTTCATTGAACATGTTTTGCCACTTGAAACCAGCAAAGTTCAGAAAGCTAATTTTTGGGTAATCTTATTTCAATATTTGGAAAAATTTTGCACGAAAGTTTGCACGAAAACTTTATACCTTTTTAAAGGTCTAGACAAACACTTCACACAGTTACTATAGACTTTCTAGTATAGCGTTCAACACAGATTCATACCTGAAACCGATAACAATTCCTCCAAATCTGATACCTCCAGAAATAGAATCTTACAACAGTAGCGACTATGAAAAATATATTAGACCTTCAGAAAGTGCTTGAGCAAATTTTGAAAAACTCGAAAATTCAATTCAGAATGAACTTTTTTTTGTTAGAGGACGAAGTTTGCTATTCCTATTCCAGGAGAAAAAAAACCTAAAAACTCAATCGAATACCGTTTTTGATTAGGAACGTATAGTGTCAAAATTAAAGAGATCAATACAAAATATTGGAAATGTGTTGAATTTGACCTAGGCATGTCTGAAAGAGAGGAAAGTTTGATATAGTCTGTGTACCAAGACTTTTTTCACCGAACGACATTCCGCTGTTCCGCTGCTTCGCGAAGCGTCTTTGCGAGCCTCGGTCTCGCTTTGAACTGGTTCTCATTTCTGATAGATGGACTGTTCCAATAGGAACACGTGTTGGTCGAGTTTTTTAATAATATAAAAAAGTTAAAGGCGCGCAAAGGCACGCAGCGGAACAGCGGAATGTCGTTTGGTGAAATTCCAAGTCGTGGTACACAGACTATAACATTTGTCTAATACTGTAATAAGGTTGGTGCCATTCAGGTAAAAGGCTAGTTGCGGATTTACCTTACGATCGATAATGAAGTTCCTGTGATGCTTGCGGAAACTCGACGTACCGGAGCTTGCCATCGCCATTGTAATTTTAGAGTTTTCCAACTTGGATTCGTCTTTTGCTTCTATGTTGGACGTTATTTCTGAGCCATTTTGAGACCCAGATTGTCGCATATTGTTCTTTGGTGAATTTTCAACGTCTGTAGTATGAAAAAATGTTATAAAATGATAAAAACTCTAGGAGGCTAGGCTGTTAAAATAGGGAAAAACGAGAATGAAGCTCACAATTTTTGCGCATTAGATACCCTCTGAAAAGCAAGCCCAAAACCAGCAGAAGTAGAATAATCGGGATCAAACCCAAAAAATAAATGTAGATTCCCTTCTTCTGGCTAAAAACGCGAGGTGAGTTTAAATATTGCCGAATTTTCTCACGGATGATTTTCCATCTCTGTCCGGTACTTGAGAATAGCGTCACACAACTGCGGACAGTTTGGTTTGGGGTTTTTGCTCTGCCAAAAAAAAATTATTTTTCGTCAAACAATTCCATAATCAACTTTCCTCCATGATTAGAACTTCCTAGGTAGGGAAAAAATCCATCAAATTTCGTGTTATAACATTTTTTTTTTCAATGCATTAATTTCTGCTGTTCAATCAGATTTTTTTTTTCATTTTTTACAAAAAATTTCTTGCATTGAAAGCTGTCCGGTTCGGTAAAAATATAGAAATTTGGTCAAAAAATCATGTCGTCGTGATGTTTGCTGATTTTTCGAAACTTCCTTTTAGCGGTTTAAGTTTGAAAATGTGATAATAGAACTCCATACTGACGTTCATATTTCAACCTTTTTTTGAAACTTTCTATATGGATTTAAAATAAAATCATGAGCCATAGGAAGGTTTTACACGCACAATGGCGCTTATTTTCTTTTTGAAAATTGAATAAATTAAGTTAAACCATGCAAGTAACGACGTCAGCTGCTCCTGACGACCCATCTACTGTCGAGGACGTCACTGTCGTTTTTATTACAGGAGCCGATGAGCTCGGACGAATGGGAGCTGCTGGAGTAGTGCGCTGATTTTTAGTGGTATTCGAAAATTTGGGAGATGTGAGCGTGGCTATTGGCAAGATCAGTTCTGTCGTAGCCGGCGTAGTGGTGAGCAGTGTCGTCGTCTTCATGGTCGTGGACGGCGAAGTGGTGGTCGTGGTTATCGTCGTGGTCGGAGTCGTCGTGGTCGGAGTCGTCGTGGTCGGAGTCGTCGTGGTCGTGGTCGGTGTCGTGGTGGTGGTGGTGGTGGTTGTAGTCGTGGTGGTGGTGGTGGTGGTTGTAGTCGTGGTAGTGGTCGGTGTCGTCGTGGTCCTCTTTGTTGTTGTAGTTGACGAGGGTGTCGTGGTCGGCTTTTTTGACATAGTGACCTTCGGAGTAGACGTTTCGGCTGGAGGAAAAATAATGAATTTTTGACGAGCTGAAGACGGATTTGTAATGGGCCGTGAATAGGGACCGCAGGCAAAATTTTCAAAACTATTGAAAAAATTATTGATACTATTTGATGGAGGAGACTGTCAATATTCATAATCCTCTTAGTTTTCAAGAAAAGGTTCGAAAAGAAAAGAATTATGCCAAAAAAGTTGCGCGCGCGGCGTTCAACTGTAGGCTCAATCAACTGGAGGCCCAATCTCTGGGTTCACCTGCATCTCTGGGTTCACACGCTTTCTTTCAATTCATTTTGCGCATTTCTGAAGTATGTTAAGCCATGTCGATTACATATAACTGCACAATAATTTACTTTTTTTTCGTTTTTTTAGAGCCCAAAATGCGAAACAAAAGACGCTATTTGCAACAAAAAAGGGCGCGAGGGTAAGTGGGCGTGGCTCTGCGGTCCCTAGCCATGAAACTGAGTCTACATACGGACCTCGACCTGCAAAAGTTGTGGTTTTTCGAGAAAAACGCAATGTAGTGATAATTGTAGGCTGCGGTTTTTTGGCTTTAACCAAATTACCTTCACTCTTATCACTCTTCTCTGTAGCGTCTGAAAAATTAGTGAAAAGTTTCGGTAGAGATTTGAAAGAAGAATATCGCAAAATGCTGTAAGTTAGACGGCAAAATTTCCGATAAGAATTCTTCTTCACTTCATTCATTTAACTCAATTATCAACAAAAAGAAAACCGGTTTTTTTTTTTCTCCTTATTTTAAAACTTGTTACTGTGTAGAACGAACTAACCACGAGTTCAAAAAAAAACAACTTCTATAGAGAAGAAAATCTTTTTCTACATAAATCAGCATAATTTTTCAGAGCTCGCCCAAGAGAATTACTTAGAAATATCATTTGATGAATTCGAAAAATCCAACGGAAAAGGTTTTTCGAGTAGAGGGCAAATTCCTCAAACGATTGTCGCAGCCATTTTCAGGTTTTCCATTGCTTTTGATTGAAAATTATAATAGAAAAAGGTCTGAAAGGGATTCTAAATTCCGAACTTTTCTTTTTTTATTTTTAGACTTCAGTTGATAGAATCAAAAATAATTCAAATTTATCCACCATACCATTAGACGAATCTTGGTCATATTGATCTTGATCGACATTTTTTTCGAGAAGTGTTTGTTGGAAAAGCACAAGGCAACAGAAAATAGTGAGATAAAACGCTGGAATCCGACGAATAATAACATTATGATCAAATTGGTCTTACTCCGCATAGTGAGGCGTCGCTTTAGGAATGACTTTTGTGAAGCTGCACCTTACGCTTTTTTTTTCACATCCACCGACGTGAAAATTGCAAAAAGTGGAAGTTTGATAACGAGGGAATCGTTTTTTTTAAAGTCAGAATTGGTTTTCGATAAGAAATATGTCGATCTTGAAACCCAACTGCAACTAGATTCAATTTGGTGATTTGTCGTCCAATTTTTCTGAGGTGGGGCTTCGAATATTTTCGTGCCGTGAACAAGTCAGGGGGCGGCCGAAGCTTAGAGACAATGGAGCGTTTCCAAATTGGGTCATTGGGTCACTATTTGGATCATTGTTCTATCGTTTTCACCACTCTCTTTTGCCGCTTTCGTTTTTAGATTTCCTTTCAAGCCGTACTTGATTTCACTTTCAAATATTTCTTTTTTTTTCCTTTTTAAAAGTCATATAATGCCGATTTTCAAAACTGAATATGAAAAATATTCTCTGACTTAAGTATGCGGATAGTGTGTATTGGAGCTGCTCCCACGGCTCTTGGCGCTGCATATCGGCTTCACGAGCTTCAAAAATGAAGGTGTCGAGGAGGCCAAAAAAACGTCGAAATGGTCCTTCTGGAGCAGGTTTGTCTTGAACTGCAATCAGATATTTCGCAAAACTTTTCCATCAAATATTATTTTCGTGCCTTGAAAAAATTAATTTTTTTCTATTCCAAGAATATGCTTTACGACAAAAAAACCACATTCAAAAGACGAAAAACCATAACTTTTTATTTCCTTTTTAAAAAAATTTATTTTGCCTGAGTAAAAAAACTAGAAATAAAAAAATAGTTTGCAAAACAGAAATTCGCTTGCAAAAAGATGCTTTATCGCGTTTTCCTCCATGTAAGAAATATATTTTCCAAAAAATAAGCGTTTGCACTAGTGGAATGCACATGAAAGCTTCAGCATTGCCAGATCTCCATGAACTCTATCAACTTCAACTAAAATCTAAACATTATTTATAAGTTGGCTTAAAACATACTTTGAGTTAACGCTCAAGAAAAAAAAAGCTGAATCTGATTCATAAATTCGCTAGAAAGTTTTTTTGAATGGCTGTCAATCAAACCTTCACAGCCATTCGCGCAAACAGTTCTTTAAAAAATATTTTCTCTTGCGAAAAAGGAGTTTTCGCCTTTTGAACTCAAATTTTGCGCAAAACGTGAATTTTCAAGGAGTCGTTTCCTGGAGGACTATCCTGCACGGTGAAGGACGCAAAAGGCTTCCTTTGGGACATGGGGGGCCATATCACCTTCAATCACAACTATCCGTACTACGAGAAGGCGACCAAGTGGGCCGTCGACGAATGGAACGATCTCGCCAGAAACTGCATGGTCGACATGAACTACCTCTACGGCAAGCCTGGAATCCATCTGGTTTCTCCTTTTCCGTTACTTTTCATCTGTCAATCTAGGTGCCGTACCCAGCACAGTTCGCTGTGCCTCTTTTTCCTGAGAAAGTCAAGAACTCGTGCCTCAAAGACTTGAAAGAGCGCTACGAAAAGGTTTTTATATCTATCAAACTGATCAGCGAGAATTTTCAGGCGCCAGAGGGAAATCCGGAAAACTTTGAAGACTGGGTCCTGCAACACTTCGGACCGACTATACTGGAAAAGTTCTTCAAGCCATATACAAAAAAAGTGAGTCTTATATTAAAGTTCAAAACAGTGATTCTGAAACAGGTCTGGACTGTTGAACCTCTGAAAATGTCGCCTAACTGGGTAGGCACTCGCGTGGCTAAGCTGCCTCAGGAAAAACTCGAAGAGCTTTGTGCCATGGATCAAGAAGAACTTGCGGTTTGTTGAAAAAAAAGAGTGCATTGATAAAAAAGTGTCCAGAATGCCGATTTCGGCTGGGGACCCAACTCTTTCTTCACGTTTCCAAAGTACGGAGGAACTGGAAATGTTTGGTCATCGATGGCTAAAAAGTTGCCGAATCAGTGGTTCCATTACAACTCTAAGGTATTTTTTGGAAGAAAGTTTTATTTCGAAAAAAAACTGAGTAATATATGTAAGATGTAACTAATTAGGCAATATAAGTGTTGAGTTAACTACAGATTAGATTTTTAACGAACTGGAAGCGTTTGGTATAACAATTGTAATATTTTGCGGTAAAAATCTGAATGAAAGTTCTTTAATTGTATAGAATTTCTAAAACACATTGCAGAGAGTTAAGTTTTTTCGCTAAAAATTTTGAGCTTGGTATCTATCAAAAAAAAGCGTTCAGGTCTTGGCAGTCAATCACCGACAAAAAACGGTCGAATATTTGGATGGGGAGGAGACAAAAAGCCTTCAATACGACGTTCTGCTGAACACCTCTCCTATTGATCAGTTGGTCAAAAACACGCAGATTACCGCACCTCTGGACATTGTTCACAACAAAGTGAATTCGAGTAGAAGAATCTGTGAACTCTGATACTTTAAGGTGTTCATTGTCGGCGTTGGGCTCAAGAAACCGATGACGCCGTTCTTGGAAAAGTTCACCTGGCTGTACTTTCCCGACAAGAACGTCCCATTCTTCCGCGTCACCATTCTTAGTCGTTATGGAGAAGTTTAAAAATTGTTTCCAGTTCATTTCCAAAATGTTCTGCTCTCCAGGTGACTCCCGACAGCGAAAAGTACTGGTCGGTGATGTGCGAATGTGCCAGGCCAATCGATGATCCGGTACTTAACTCAACTTTGAAGCCATGAAATTGGAAGAGTTCAGATCACGGAAGAAGAAATGGTTCAAGAAACTTTGAATGGCTTGGTTCTGAAAGATATGATTACGAGGGAAGCCATCGAATCGGTCTTCTCTATAACTTTACCTTATGGATACCCTATCCCGACTCCAAATGTAACATCTCTTTCCCTTTAGAGAAAATTTCATGTAAAATGCAGCGAGATCGGGAGTTGGCGCGAGCTCACGCCGAACTGGAAAAGGCGTCGATATACTCAAGAGGACGCTTTGGTGGCTGGAAGTACGAGGCGTCCAATCAAGACCACTGCTTCATTCAAGGTAGGCAGTCATTTGCGAAGTTCTCCAAAAAACTGGAGTTCAGGCAAGGAGTTCATCGACAGGATGGTGCTCGGCGAGCCCGAGAAGCTTTACAAAACGGGTATCAGCGTCATGCCTCGTGGTTAAAATTATTTAAAAACGATCTTAATTTTTTTGATTCGAGTGTATTCCTGAATTCCTGTTCTACTATGGTGCTGTTAAATTATAGTCCATTCACACGATTAATGTGTCATTATTTTTTTGACTCGTAAATGAAAAAAATTTTAAAAAATGAGCCATGATTAAAAATGGCAGATAGGCCAAACATTTAGAGTTCCATTAAATTCTTATATTTCTTTTTTTGAAACTTCTGTATAGTAGATAATCGTAGCTTTCTTCTTCTTTTTCATCTTTTTCACTATATCTTCTTCTATTCGCTGTATCAAACTGAGATAAATTTTTTTAATAATCATATAAATCTCATTACTTCATTTTCTTGAAAAAGTGTACAAGCTAAAAAAATTTCGAAACTCTGAGCAACGAAAGTGTGCTCGGTCGACTAATTTTCCTTAAATCTGATCCTTATGGAAAAAAAATGTGTAGTATGAAATGAACTCACAATGTTCCGGACGATCCCAATTGTGGTCAAGAGGACGACAGGAAGGAGGTCGACGACCTTCTCAGTGTTGCCGAAAACCGCATAAACGTCAACCTCCAAACGGCCAATCTGCCATTCACTTGCGCGTCAACCTCACTCTTTGAACTTTCCCATGCCGGTAGAAAAGCTTCTGCCCTGAATAGATCTCCTTGAGGACAAATAATTATAAAAGTTTAACTTAAACGATGCATTTTTTTTCAGCATTCTGATAGAGAAACTCCAGATTTGGGCAATTTCCTTTTAAGTACAAAAGTGACTTCCCAAAGTTTTTTTTTCCGAGTATAGCAACCACCTTCGTCAATTCCATAAAAAAACTTTGAAAAAAATATTTTCTACGAAAAAAATAAATGAACTTTTGGATGTAATGAATTTGAAAAATTTTAGGAAGACAAACCATGAAGCTTTTTTCTTGGACTTCGCCGAAAATTAAATTCGGAAGGAGTTTATGAAACTTTAAAAAGCTTGTGAAATCTCAAGCGTTTTTTTTGCTTTGAGAACATTTTGAAACGGTTCTTTCCTTTTCAAATGGCTATCCAGTTTGACTGAAGAGTCATAGGAATCATAATAGGAAGGGCTAAAGCTCAGCGCAAAGCCTTTTCGGTCGAAGAACCGGCGTGGGAACAAGATTGCGACAAGCTTCTCACCAAGCGGCTCAAAAGTGGCTATTAACGTGTCCGTCGCGCTCTTTTTCCGTTCAAGAACTTCACTCCGTTTAAGATCTACGACCAAAACGTCTCTTCATTCGCCGGTTTTATTGCTGGATTGAAAAAAATAATCTAGTTAAAGTAACCATTCGATTACCGCAAAACCTTGTAGAAAAAGTGCATATCCACGTATTTACAGTATTTTCTCAAAGTAAATAGATTGCAGATCCATCCTTACCTTACAGCCCTATCATTGTCCATAACTTTTAAACTTTTTTTTTCTTATCAAAGTTAAACCTTATCGTCGACTTTGGCTTTCTTGCTTTTTCTCTTTACTCCTCATTTCCACTTCGTTGTTATAAATTGTTTTTTTTTCTCCTGTTTTGTTTCCAGACCCTCACTACACAATTCCTATGGTTCATTCAATTTTTTATGTAAACGAATCCGCCATTACTCTGGTTCTTTCTTACAACAAAGGTCTTCCTGAGCTTGAGCAGTTTTTCCAATCCGTACAACACCTGGGAAATTACGCTTCAAAAGAAAAAAATTACACCGTTTCTTGATAAATTTAAATCTTTATTTTATAAAACAAGAAAATTATTTAAGTTATAGTTCAACTACTGCCATTAAATGAAACTTTCAGGATTTTTTCCACTAATCAGCAAGTGATTGAGCGTTTTTTCATTAATTAGAGCAGGTAATAATTTTACTCTCTATCGATTTGGATTGAATCCAAAAACAACAGAAAAGGAGAACTTTTAGAAGTAATTAATATCTCGACCTACAATACCCTGCAAATAACTACTGAGATTCCAAGTAGTTGATCCTGAATATGAGCAAAAGAATATTTCAAAAAGGCGAAGTTTTCTTTAACTAACTGCTTCATTTGTTCCAAGAGATCTGTTGATAGAGTTTATGATGCTCAAATAGGATTTAAAATTCTTCGGGGTGCTTTAGTTTGGAGCCACAAGCCCTGGGAACGCGTCAGATAGAAGAAGAAGAAGCTCAACTTGGAAGGATAAGCGAGACTGAGAAGGTCAGCGATCCTCGTGACCTCAACCAGCGTCGGCTGCCGCGAAACAATACAGACCTGCACTTGGGCGTGCGAACGGCCGCGAGGTGCGAGATTTCCTTACAAGTAGCCCTCGCCGATGCCCATTTTCCTGACGCCAATCCTTCTTCTCCGGCCGTCCTTCGAATCCGTAAATACCTGAGAAGGCAGCCGTCACCGACCTTTTATCCACTTGAGATCCGCCTCCTATTCAGCTCGTCTACTCGCTGATCTTCGCACTCACGTGACCTTTACTATCGTTTAGTTTATTCCACACAGTCGCTAGTTTCATTTTTCCCGTTTCAGTACTTTCTTCCTATTCAATCACCGATTCTTTCATTTTTTCTTTCTTTTTTCTTTAAATCAAAAGGAACCTTCTAATTTATACCTTTTCCATTTACCTGAAGAGGCAAAAAAAAAAAAACACTTTTGGAAGGATGAGGACTTAAATTTTGGTGCATCATTTTCACACGAAGTATTAATTACTCTGATGGAACGTTTCGGAAAATTAAAAGCGTCGCTATCTACTCATATCACTTACTAGTTGCGCGGGCAATTTTCCTTGCCCTACTGATTTGAACTTTAATTGCATGGACGTTCTTCATCCAAACAATTCTCGTCAATGAGTGCTTATTTCTGAGATCGCCTGAACCAAGAAGCCCATTTGTGGAGATTGATCGTGTCGACTGCACTTTGTCAGCCACCGGCAAATCGCTAATTCGTCAGCTACTGCGTAATAACGACTTCTCGCGTCCAACTGGTTGCGTGGGACCCCGGCAAGCGGAAAAAATTCCTTGCCGTCGCTCAGTCAACATATCTGGGCTTGGCATCACTTATGCTATGTAGATTATGTCAGGAGCGGCGGTTGGCCCCGATTTTTCGGTATTTTTCAACCTTCAACTCGTCCTCGCCGCCCGCTTTTTTATGCAGCCAAACCTCTTTTCACGCGTTTGCCGGTTCAGATAAGACAGATGGGGTTTCTCTGCTCGATTATATATATCCACCATACTGTACCAACCATTATCATGCTTCTTTGTCAGTTTACACACTAAATCTTAAGGCTCTATCAAACATCGAATTCTTGAACGGCTAAAGAGCAAAAAAATAGACCTGCATTCTTTCTCTAGAAATTCTTTTTCCTTTGTATAATAATTTTTTTCTACTTTTTTTCTTTTTATGTTTCGACTGAAACTTGACTACTTTTTTTCATCTATATTCTAATTTTTATTTTATTTGCTTGCGATAATATATTTAAATGTTCTTTTTTCAAAAACGTATTCACCTTTAAAAAACTTATTCACCTTAAACTGTCGAAATTTTCCTTCGAAATTGTCCTATTTTTTATTATCAGCTTTATTTGGGTTAGAATTTTCGTAAGGTAAACTTTCGGAACGTATACGATCATATTTAGAATCCAGAAAATTAACCGTCAAGTGGGTCGTAAGAGGAAAAAGAAGAGATGGATGACGAGGCAGCATACCATCCGTATATTCCCAGGCCGCCCCTTTATTACAACGGCTACCCTCATAATTACAGGTAAGCTTTCATTAAATCCATTCGTCATTTTTTTGTATTTTTACTAGGACTTAATATCATTCCTCTCACTTTATGTGTTGACTTTTCCGTGAGAACATCAAGCGGACTTAAAAAAGCAAGAGCAAAGCAAAGTTGGCTGCAATTAGACTTCGGGCGACAGCACGCAAGTTTGAAAAAGAAAATGTTGACCGCCTGTATCGGGTTCGCCTTTAATTGCACCGTGGTCAGTTCCGTGTGAGGCAAAAATGACTTCAAAAGAACGTTTTTAAACTAACACAGATTTTTTCGGACCTAATAAATTTGAATTAAGCGCAAAAAAAAGTTGACAGAAACAGTCTAAATCTTTGGAAGATCGAATTCTAGAACTTTGTGCAATTTGAGGAAAAAGGTTTCTGTGACGATCAGATCAAAATATTTAACTCGGTAAGCTCTTAATTTTTCCCTATATTTTTTTTAATATGATATAAAATCTCACAAAGATTATCCATTATGGTGGGAAGACCGTTTTGATAATTTTATCGTACAAGTGACCTTGCCTATTTCGGACCTTCAACCTGGTCGGAGTAACCTTGTCATAATCGAATTAGTTTATTTGCTTTGATTCAAACCCCATTAATGTGCGAATCTCATAAATTTTTAAGTACTATGGGAGAAAAGTCGTTAATAATCGTGTTGTCAAAAAAAGTTATCAAGTTTTAACAGCTTTCGTGCCGAAAGATGAGTTTCTAATGGCTTCTCATGTGTAGAAAGAATAGCTCTTTTTGTTTGAAATCAAAGGGAACGTCAAAGTTAGGCCTACCGTGACCAAAATCACGCCCCATCGAAAAACGATGAAATTCTATCGAGAGATTCACATGGATCCCTGGCGCCAGACAATAGTGGCTTGAATATTTGGGTTTTTAGTGGTCAAGGACAAACTTTGAAAAATATTCCACCTTCCAATTTTAATTTCAAAAACATTTCTTTGTAAACTCAATCAAGGAACTTTGAATGACATTAAAAAAAAATTTATGAGATTATTTTCAAAAATTTTGTGTTGATTCCGTTTTCTTTTTTTTTGGCTAATTTAATGCAAATTTTCAAAAAAATTTTTTTTTCTGTAGCTGCAAAATATACATTTGTAAATAAAAAAAGCTAACCATCTTTTTTTCACTGAGCTTTTTAAAAGACTGTTTCGGAAGCCCAGTACACAAAGTGATCGATTATGGGATGAAAACTGTTGACATTAAATTGTTGTAATAAAAAAAATTGCCGGCTTTATTCAGAAGCTTGTACTCCTTTCTATTTTAAACTTCAAACAGATGTCAAAACTAATGGAAATTTTGAAAACCTGTCTAGAAGCCCCTTCGTCCTAAGTCGGCCGTATCTCGCAGAAGAGGACTATGCCGCCGACTACTACCGCGAAGTCTTCGCCAAAACCACGGGAACTCTCGCGATGCGCGACTACGAACGTCGTTGGCGCATCTTCGACACTTCTTCGTACTACATCAAAGTGCTCGCCTACGCTCAGGTTCCCTTTCTTTCTGAATTCTATGATGGAAAAAAAGAGAAAGTCAAAATAAAGAAATAGACAGCGTAAAAATAAAATTTTTTTTCTGATTTCTAAGGATAGAAAAATTTTCAAAATTTTCAATTCTCTTCATCTGAAAGTGACGAAAAAAATGCAAACTGGTGAAACCCTGTTTAAGTTTCGCCATAAGTCCCTGGAAACTACAAAATGGAACTTTATAAAGATACGTAGAAATTTCCCTGGAGCCGGACACCGTGCTTAATTAAGTTCCGCGAAATTCAAAATTATCTCTGATTACATAAAGTTTGTTCATCATGTTCAATCTATGACGGCTATTTTGAATTTCGCGGAATCCCTTTGAAATTGGCATAACCAATTTAAGTTAACTTTTCAACGTTAAACAGTTTGAAAAAAATTAAAAAGCTGATGCCGTGTTCAAAGTAATTTCCGCGAAATGCAAAATGATCTCTGACTCTCCAAAATTAAGTGATCTTTTCCTTTCTCTAACGGGTATTCGGCGGAAATTACTTTGAACACGGCATGAAAAATTTTCTGAAAAGTCGATGTTGTTATTCGAGCAACTTTACTGCAAAATGAATTTTGAGCGCGAACCCAAACTTTTGAACGCGAGCTCTCTCGGAAATCGGTAACGCGAAACGAACGTGCTCCGGACGTTTCTGGGCATTTTCAGTGACCACTTTAGTAGCGTCAGCACTCTTAAGTGATCCCTAGAACTGTATAAAAACGTCCGGAGCACGTCCGTTTGCGTTAGAAATGTCCGAACTGGAATGATTAATCATGATTTTAAGAAATTAATTAAGAAATTAAAACACATAATTAGAAGGTTTTTTTTATTTCGAGTTTTCTTTGAAATATTTGAGGACTTACGACTCCAGGGAGTCCCAGCTATTTTTTTTTCAATATGGTTTTTTGAGGTTTTCGATGAATAAACTCTATTTTCATGAATTTCTCGAAAGAATAACGTCTCTCTGTCTCTTGCTCAGATCTGGGCAAAGGGGACATAAAAGTCAGTAAACACGGTCACGTCAATTGAACAAGGATGTCAAGGATAACACGCGACGCAACTAACGTGATTGACAAAAAAAACGCCGTAAACCGTCCATCATTTCATATTGATAAAAAGAATCTGGAAAATCGCGCTCTAGTTTCTTTTAACATGAACTACCCTAAAAGCAAACACATTGCAAGCAAATCTTTTTATTCTTCTTTTTTTTTGTCAGAAATTAAATGTGCCTCAAGGGGTGTACAAGTTCCACCAACTGTGCTTATACGGGTTCAATAAGGGGAACCCGCTGAGACCCATGTTAGCACGGCTTGGCCATCCTAATCAGCATGAGAGGACTATACAGGCTATACTCTCCCGGAGAACTGGAAAGAAAATTACTTTTAGAAAACTCGAATTGGAGGTTTTTCAATGAGATTTATCACTGGTCCTGAGAAGCTTCTACAGCCAAAATGAGTGACTATATCGCAAGCGATACAGCCGATATTTTTTGCTGCGACCTCGTCAAACTCTGGCAGCCATATCGCTCTCTCATGTAAATTTGAAATAATTTTATTGTTTTGTTTTCGACTTTTATGCTTTAATGAATGAAATCAGAGGAAAAAAGTTATTAAAGGGAATTTTTCCAGACAGCGGTATAGCGCAAGGCGTTTGCGAGGTCGCAGCGAGAGGCGAGCGATATCGCCGTTGCTCGGCGAGCGATATCGCTCGTTGCTTCCCACGGTATAGCGTTACTCTCGCTGCGACATAGACGTCACATAGTCCACAATATTGGGCGTATGTGAGATTTAAAAAAAAAGAATTGAAAGAATGGAAAGGGAACATATTTAGATATTCATCGCGGGCGTTCTTCTAGTGTCGGATGTCTCTCGCTTAGTCCTACTTTGGAACTACATCCAGTTCAGTGGAGCCAAAATAGAAATGGTGCAATATCAACTAATTTAATCAAAAATATGAATTCGCTTATTCAGATGGCACAAGCGGTTTTCCCGCTTTTTGCGTTAGTCGTTGGATTTTTAACGTTGACAACGGTTTTGAACCCATCAGCCACGTTGACCAAAACTGTCTCCGTCATTTTAGTGGCAACAATCATCCCGAACTTTGTCATGCCTAAGAGTTCGGCGATGGTTTCAGGTATGTAACATTTTTTTGTGTCATTGTAGAAAAAAGTTTATATTGTGAAGTTTGAAAATGAATTGACTAACACGAACCGAGAAGAAAAAGAAAAAAAGAAAAAAAAAATCGGTTTCTGAAAATGATGATCATCATCATCATCATCCTTTATTCAATACGAATAATAATACAGTTCAAGGGCCGAAAAAGACCTCTAACAGAACCAATTTTCAAAAAAAGGGAAATTTAAACATTGAAAAACAGCAACAAACCGTTTAAAAAGTTAGAAGATATTTTAAGAAAGTCAGCGAGAAAGATGGGGGTTGTTTTCTAAATAGATTTTTGAATCGCATAGAATCATTACATAGATCAAATACAACATCGGGAAGGGAGTTCCAAACATTAATTATTCTGATACTAAAAAACGAGGCAACGATGTTACTATTATGTCTTATATTTGAACGTAAATAATATCAGAGACACTTTGAGGATTAGTTGATTCCCTGTGGATCCACTAACATCAGATCTTTTGATAAAAACATTAAAACCATTGGTAGACATAAAAGACTACTTTTTTAAACTGTTTCTAGCAGCGGCAAAGGCAGTGGAACTGGCGCGAGCGACTGAGCAGACGGCTTTGTGGAAGGACGCATCCACGGACGTCGACATGATTCGTTCCGAGACCCACCACCGTATAGCCAGGCTTCTTTCCTTGGCGCCTTCTTCTCGTTGGCCACTCGGCGTGTCGGTCAGATATTTTCCAATTAAAAGAAAATGCTAATTTTTCTTCAGGACATCACATCGCTGCCGCAAGACTTCGTGCTCATGATCGAATACATGTTGATAGGTTATTCCATTTTCTCTGCTTCTCTTATAGTTTTCTACATTCTATCTTTGGTATGCCTCTTCCGGTTGTTATCCGTACAATAGTTGATTTTAAACCCTAGTCCATATTTCCCGGTGCTTGTTCTGAAGTTTTTTTTTTGGCTTACCTCAGCATAGAACAATTTATCCGCTTACGATTCGTCTCAATATATGTGCCTTCTCGAATTCGCTTGATTCTGTTTGAGCTGTTTTCCATGCCATCAAACGATAAAACTGCCTTTTTTTCATGAAACGTACAGTTATGAACAACTTGATTATTACTACAAAAGGATTCGATTTACTTGGGAAGTCCACCGACGACGCCGCCTTCGATTCCGCACTCGTTGACGCCACGGATGATTCGGAAGTAGCCTGAATGACAGTTCCAATCATGAAATGGACACTTCTGGTAGTACCTTTCTCTCCCCAGTCGGTGTTCCAGGAGTTGGCGCAGAGCCAGTATGGAGTTCCGTTGTCGACTCCCCATCCGATCATCTTGACGGCGTGTCCTCCGAGCTGGTCTCCGGCCGTGTGCTACGAAGGTTTTTTTTTCGAATTGAAAGAATAGGAACAATGTTTTTGGATCTCAAAACCTTTAACAATATTTTCCTGAACTTACAACGTAGACGCCACCGGTGTAAGCCTCGAAGTCGGCGTAAACAGTGAAGGCGACTTCGACGGGTCCATTGGTCAGGATTTCTTTCTGGATCTCAGCAACCTTTCTCGACACGGCATAAGCGCTCTTTCCTGTAAAATAAATCACATTAATATGTCCGCTACGGTACATCATTAACTCACTATCTCATGATCAGCATCAATTCTTATCAGTTATTCAAAACTACAGTTTCTGATTTTTTGCTGCCTTACTTCTATGTTATCTTTTTCAGCATAAAAAGGGCTTGATTCATGGAATGGTATGGTAGCGAATGGACGTCAATGGCGGAGATAAGAAACGGAAAGCTTCAATTGTTGCAAAAAAAAAAACGACACGTGATTTGTACGATCAGGGCTCAATGAGCTCAAAGGCTGATAATTCAGAAACTGTCTGTTATCACGTTTCCAAAAAGGTCTCTTGGGTATTTCCCAAATCTGTTTGCAATACTTTCTCTATTTATCTACTTGAGGAGTTTTCAAAAACTGCAAGTCTTTGAAATAATCTGATCGCGTTTAATAGTTTTTGAATAGAGAACAAAAAGTTTCAGAGATAAAGTTTCTTGTTTTGTGTAGATTTCAATGACGCTCAATGAATACGATTGTTCGTCACACTTTCCTAATCGTATTCTCAATATAAAAAAGATAAACAGAATTTTAATAAAGCTTAGAAGAAGTTCGTTTCTTCGTTTCTTTCAAATACTTTGAGAAAGAAAGAATGTTTGAATTCAAAAAGTTCCTCTTAATGAGTACGATTGTTCAGAACATGGAAGTACTACTGACCGAAGTGCTTGTCCTGGTCGTAGGTGAGGGAGTAGCCGGCCTGGCACTTGTGTTCGCATTTGTTGGTGGGATAGATATTGCTGGGGCACGGCTGGTAGTGAGTGGCGTTGTTGTGATGCTCGCAAGGCGCGTATGGGTAAGGCTTGCAGCCGCTCTTCTCGGTGAAGTTACCGCCCGTGACATAGCCCTGCTTGACCCAATGGCGCCAGGCTTCGATCGGATAACCTCCTTGACAACTGAAAGGCGGTTATCCTACTACCTTATTTTCTCTTAACTAACGCCAAAAAACGGAAATCTGAAGAACTGACCCGTTTCCGCAGATCATTCCGCAGCAAGAAAGAATGTCGTCGGCCGAGATGGAAAGCTGGGTGGCGCCGTTGGAAGCGATGCAGATTCGGTCTGAGATGGCTTCTGCGGCGGAGACGGCCCAGCAGGAGCCGCACGAGGACTGATCGCGAATCTTCTGGATAGAAGGACAGTTGGGCCATTGGGTTCGCGAGTCGAAAGATTCTGGAATCGTGGAGTCGTCGATTTCCGGATGCGTCATTTCGTTCATCTGGATTGATGGTTTTTTAAGTAGAAAGCCGCCGTTGACTCACGCGGTCGAGGTCCGAAACTTGGGTGTTCTTAACTCCCATGAGCTGCTTCTTGATGAGGTCGGGGTAGTGTGCGAAGTGGTCGGAGAGCTTGACCGTGAACAAGCTCTGCTTGCTGTTGACGTAGTTGATCAGCTCGAGGCCTTCTAGCTTTTGCGCCTCGACCGGAATTGCGTCAGCTGCAAATAAATCCGTTCAAAAGATATTTGACATTTTTCCTGACCATGTTTCATTTGAACAGTGTACGCGTTCACGGCAACAAGGCCGGCCAAGGCCAACACGACGGCAGACTTCTGAAAAAATTCGGAATTTTCAAACGATTGAAGTCTGAAAAACGCACCATGAGAAATGGGTGGACTGCGGTGGAAGCAGAACATTCATCTCTTTGATAGCTGCCTTTTTATACATTTCGAGGTTTCTTATCAGTTGAATGTGATTATAGTGTCCGTTAGCTGCCTTTTTGTGACAGAAGCTTCTTATCTTTTTTTTCAAACCAATTCAAGAAATGTGCTTCTTGGCCATCAACAAGTCCGAGAAAATATTATCTGTGAAGTTTGGTTCTGAAAAAAATCAGCAGATCTTCTTCGTCGGAAAAAAGGAACTTTTTCAAGGATATGATTATCAAGTTGAACATCTAAATTAAAACGAAAAGCATATGGAAAGTTAAAAGAACTGATTTTAGACAAAGGTGAATCTGGAGGTCGATGCAAGTAGCTACCGCTCGTGAGGTAGCTAGCGGGTAGCTACTCATTAGCTAGTTTCATGGTACCAGAAAGCATGCGCTCATCAGATGTCATACCCGGTAGCATCGCGATACCTCTCCGGTAGTATCCAGGTACCATAGAGATGGTACCCGATCGCATACAAATGACTACCGCTTACGATACGCCGATTGACTTGAGTTGCTGCCCGGAACCTACTTGTATCGACCTCCCGATTCACCAGTGTTCAAAAAAAGTCTGAAGATATATATTTTTCAAACTACGTAAAAGGAACTGGATAACAACTTTTGCTTGCTGAAGAAACGTCAAACGAAGTATTAATAAAGTAAAAAGCCAAAAATATGCTTTTTTTCAATTAACTCTTTCCGTAAATCTTGAGAGATCTTTAGAGGGTGGGTCTTGTAATCCAAAAACGGGTCCTGAACAGATCAAAACTACAGTAGTCGTACGATTTACGGCACCCGCCCCTGGTATTTTTTTTTCTGTATCTTCTTTCGCTGACAAGAACGCCGTGATATCTGGTGGTTTGTGGGCGTGGCTATCGCAACTGTCGCGCAGTTTTTGGAGACATTTCTCCGCGTAGATTTACGCTCACTTGAACATTTTTATGACTGTTAAACTCTGTAAAACTTTTAAAAGTATATCGTGAGTGTTAAAATCGAAAGTTCGGCTGTATCGTCGTATCTATTTTTCGTGATATTATAAAAAAATTTTTCTTTATTTTCAGCTTTTATTCGACTTCAAGTCAATGAGATTTCAACGTTATGAAATAGGTATTTTTTTGCTCTGCCTGGTCCCTACTAAGCGGTTTTGTTCTTAGACTCGGTAGTACCTGGAGCCCACAGGCGACGACGAAATACCATGGCGAACGAGGCGGCGCAGTGTTGACTCTAAAACTAACTCATGTTCCCGAAACTCTCGCTGAGCAAATAACTGCCAGCCGATGCTATTTCGACGGCGCGACCTCAGGCAAAACTCAAAAGTTGTTGGCGAAACCGCGGAAAAGTTCCTCCGCCTTTGCCGCCACTTCTGCTCCGCCGCCACTCGACTCGACCGCCCGCCGACTTCTCCAACTCGAACGGTTCGTCTTTTTTTCATTGATATTTTTGATATCGCATAGTTGTACTTTTTTGAAAAAATTGAACACTGGGCTATATTCAAATAAAAATGTTAAAGTTCCAGAAATTTCGAAGTATCAGGCATGTTGACCTCTTAAGAATAACTACACACCGACGAAAATAACCTGGAAATTTTGACAAAAAAGTAGTGTGTAGAAGTAAAGATGTCACGAATCAGAATCAATTTTGCGATGGGACTGAAAGATGCCATAAGCCTTTTGCCTTAGAAGCAAAGTTTGAAAAAACTCCGTGTAGGTCTGAAGGACAATGCTTATAATTTCCCCGATTTATCCTTTAAAAAGTCAAGTCAACTTTCTGAGAAACCGTCCAACCTTTTCGTATTCTCGCATATCGTGCTCTTTTCTTTGTTTGAATCGGGAATTAGCTGATTTACACAAGTGTTATTTGATACATTTTCTTGTTTCCCGAGTATTTACCCAATCCCATCACTTTTTCCTCTCAGCTCATGCCGCTGACGTTGTTTGTGGCATTGTTTCGCTCAGAGAAACCTTTTGGGTATCATATTCTTGTTTGAAAGTACGGTAACGGAAGTGAGAAACCAGAAAAAAAACTTCAAGACAAGGAAAGCGAAAAGGAAAGTCTAATCGAAATTCCCGTGTTTATTTAAAGAAAAGGGAATTTTTGATGGGTCTATTTCAAAAAAAGCGCCGATCTTTTAACGACATCATTCATGATAAACGCTGAGTAAAGTCTCCCGGAGTGGAAACTGTGAAACCTATTTTTTTTAGAAAATAATTTTTCGAAATGAGATTGGTAACCGCTTAATTGGCATTGAAAACTCTTCTTACCTCATAATTTTACCTTTTCTTCCAAAAACCACAGAAAGCTTTTTTGAGTAAGCTGTGGAAAAGTTTTTGTACTCTCAAGGACAGTGTTCTGAAAAAATTCAATTCAATCACAAAAACGATTTTTTGCAAAAAAAGAATGAAACAGGGTTTGTGTTTTTAATCTGAGCGTCTCTCCGAGAATTTAAAAATTTTCATTTGATTTTTGGGATCCGATTTCATCATTTTTTTTAAGCGTGTTCAATTGCCAGCAAACGTTCTTTACGTGAACATAAAAATAACCCTAATTTTTTGTAGATATGTATAAAATAAGAGTTTTTTTGACCTAGGATGATAAAAAAAGCAGAAGAGGAATGTTTTACAGATAACTTTTTAGAAAAAAAGAATTTAGCGCTATTTTATGATGGCTTAGATCACTGTTCGCTTTTCAATATACAGGTTGTAAATTGTTTTTTTTTTTCCTACTAATTTCTCATTCTTTCTGGTTTTTTTTTTTTGAAGTAGGTATTCAATTTTTGTGATAAGTTGGAGGGGAATTTATATAAGTTTGCAAAAAGTTTTTACATGTCACCATCATTTATGACTCTCAGTTTTTTTTTTCTCGAATAGGATTAAAATGTAACTCTGTTTAAGAAAGTATGAAGCGTTAGGTATTTCATTACGAATCGACACTTGAAGACAAGATCGATCAGTACGGGTATTTGCCGTAGTGCGGTTCACTGCAGACGCAAAATAACTGCAGAAGCTAATAATAGCAGGCCCGGAAAACCGGTAGACGCGGCTATTTGTTGTCTCAACTCTGAAACTCCCACGCTAGGCGACATGCGTTGTTAGCTGCAATCAGTGCTTTCCATCGAATTTTTCATTTCCTCTCCGTTTCGAAGACAACATTACATCCCTCAATTATCGAATAATTATTGCTCGCCGGCTGCAGGTGCAGCTTTACTATGAAGTTTCTATTTCAGGCGTGTTATTTGCGTAAGCATGACGACTTCAGACTAATTTTACTTTTCTCTGCTTATTTTTATCGAAAAAGTAGTACCTATCGTTAAAGTCTCTTGTTCAGAGACGAAAAAGCCTTTTCATGTTTCTGAGCCGGACTCTGTCTTGACTCTGACTAGATATCCTTGTGTATAGATTCAATTTAGTAACTTTTCTGACATTGACCGACGAGCGGCATAATATACACCTATTTGATTGCGGTATTAGTTGCATCCAGCCCAGCACAAAAATAATTTGAACTCAAACTGCCTAACTTGGCCCTTATCACTCATTGTTGAGGAATATTCAAAACAGGTTGTTTTCGCACGTCGCGCTTTTCCCGCACCTTATTACTTTTTCACTTTTGGTTTCACTGGAACTACCTCGAAACTTTGCTCTTTTTGCGTTCTCCACGCATAGTCTTGTTGCATTTTTTGGTTAAAACATTGCAGGAGATAAGGTAATTTGATAAGAGAATTCTTCATAATCCCCTATTTGCGATAAATAACTTTCGAACATACCGTTCTACAGGTTTCTGAGAGTTCCGCTTGGTTTTTTTTTGCTCGAAAGATCTTATTTTCCGAGTTTTTTTTTTCGAGCTTGAGCTGTTCAGGACAAAGATTCAAAATGAATTTGAAGAAGACTTATCGAGGTTGCCTATCGTGTTTCTTTTGACGTCTTATTTTTGCCTTCAGGTTTTTGTCAGTATTTTTGTTTTTTGCTCAAAAATACAGTTCTAGAAGTACCAGCGCCCTAAAAATTGATCCTCTCATGCGGCGGTGACGTAGAAATTTATTCCGACCATTTTGAAAACGTTTCCATTGGTACAAAATAGTGTCAACCATCTTTCTCTGTTTCTAAGTGATCCTAAATGCAAGGACTATTTGATGTGGCCATCTACCGTATTTATACTAAAACTTCACCTCCGAATTGGACATCCGAAGGTTTCATTTCTTATTTTTCACAAACGGAAAATTTTCGCTATACATTATCATGTATCTCTCAAGCGAAAAAAGCTCTGCGAAAGAAGTTGCTAAGAGAATTTGAAGAAGCGTAAAAAAGAAGATTCGTATAGTCTGTTTTTCTTGAGCCTGAATATTCATTATGTTGGTCATCGTTTCCGTTTTTTTTTCTTTTAAAAGTTTTGAAGGCTGTGGCAATAAATTCTTCCAGAAAAGGATTCCAAGAAATGAATAAAGGTGTGCAGATGACGTTGAGAGTTTTCGTAAATATTTTCAAAAGCTTTGGTGTCTCGAAACAAGCGTCTTTTTGTTCTGTTTCAGAGTGAGCGTTCAAATAAAAAATTTTTTTGCAAATTTCTTTTCTTTAAATCCAAGAAGCTCCGTTTTTCTACCATTTTTCAACACTATAGAATTTCGATCGAAACTATAATTAAATAAGTGTTCAAAAAAACAGTTCATGAAGTTTGAATTGTTGAAACTTTTGATGAGGTTTTTAAGCCTCTGCAGCACAGAATCATAACTTTTTTTCACTTTCTTCATAAATGAGTTGATGAGAGCTTCAACTATGTTCAATCTGTAGTTTTCAGCTGACCAAAAAAGGAAACTTTACTGATTCTGTTTTTGACCGGTCATTGGATGCTCCAAAAAGTTTGCTCCAAAGTAAACTTCTAGCTTTTGTCAGTATGAACTCTCAAAAACTAACATTTCTCGTAACCTCTCGTAGTCAAGTGTGTGTGTAAATAGACACCAATGGCGTCCGGAAAAGGACTGCGAAAATTTGTCCGTCTTTTGTTCTTTCAGCCTTCACGTGTACCCGATGGCAAACAAAAATATCCTCTTTTTATCCTATTTTCGGCTCGAAAAAATAATCAAATTTATTTTCATCTCTTCCATTTGATCTTTTTCTATTTACGAATACTGGACGTGGCATTTATGAAGATTCTGATCTTAACACGAGAGACCTTTCCTGGTTAGCTTTATGGCTTGTTCTTTATCACTTTCTCGTTCAATCGCAGCTGTTTCATATTTTTCAAAAATTAAAGTCTTAAAAAAAAGAATGTTCATAAAGATTTTATTAACTCTCATATGAATTTTCTGGTCTTTTATATCTACTTCTTCAACAAACCAACAAAATAAAGGAAGTAACGTTAAAAAATAGAAAATATCCAAATTCCTTCGGAGTTTCAAGCTTACAAAAAGGTGCCCTGTATTTTTCCGAATGCCTGCTAAAAGACACCTTCGTTTATAAGATAGAGATTCGGAGAGTTCAAATTGCAAAACTTTCTATTTTCGAGGAGAAAAGGCTCAAATCCTTGGCCCATTCAACAAGTGCAAGATTGTTTTCTTGGTCTCTGAGGGGTTTTTTTTTAAACGAATTTTTTCAGTTGGAAAACTCTTGAATATTCAACTAAAAAATCAAAGAATGTTTTTGCCATCTCTGAAAACTCGGACGTGAATTCACTAATTTGAGATCAGTTGAAATCTGATTTCAAAATAGGTTTAAACATATTAATTAAGCGTACTCTATCGCTCGAGGATTTTCATTCAGATTTTTTTTCTGCAAGTTACAAGAAAGTTCCTCAGAACTGAAACTAAATTGGAAAATCGTAGTTTCGACTGGACTCGAACCCACGCTCCATCAGAACTTCTTTGATCCTCTACTAAAATCTCACGGCAAACATGACTACAAGGCACATCTGGATGACAAAACATGTAACTTTAGTTCGAAACTGCCAAATGTTTGCCGATGTCCACGAGTTTTGCGTCGCTCGGAGTCAATTGGCGCGGACGCTTCAGTGAACCTTCTTTTTCAATGAAAAAAGGCCTCAAGTGTCGAAAAAAAAATGTATTCGATCTTTTGTTCCCACACAACATGCTCTTGAAGTTCTCCTTGAGCGAGTCTGAGAAATTTATAATTTTCGCTTCAGCTTGAAACTTTGTTTTAGTTTGAGAAAAAAGCTTCAGAATAAAATTCACATTTAAACTTTTTTTGAACAGTTTTTCTTAATGTTTTATAAATTTTTTTGTGACTTTTCAGAAGTTTCCACTTGTTCAGAAAGCTTTTTGGAAACTAGCCAAAAAAACTCAAAAAAATTAATTGCTTGTGTTGGGCAGGGAAACCCGAGCCGCCGTTGTCCTTTGGCGTTTCTTTTTGAGAAGCCTCCGCTCATTGGGACCAGAAAGAATTCTTTTTTTATTCTTTAAATATTTTAAACTCATTTATTTTGTCTCCAATCCTATCCTCTTGGAATAATAAATCATTTTTTTGGAATTGATTCAACTTCAGTTGTTTGAACAGCCTGGAGGTGTCATAGGCCTTTTCTGACTCACACCTCGTAAAAGTTCTTTTTGAAACGAAATATTTTAAGCTATATTCTTTCTGTCTAATAATCATCTTTTTCAATATTAAGGACACATTTTCTTGCTCCTATTTTTTCCGTAATCGAAAACTTTGAACACATGATTTGTTTAGAGCTTTTTTTCTCATCAGTGAAACTGACTTTCTTACAAGTTCTCTGGTTATTCACTTTTCTGTGAAAATTTCACCTATTTTTATGGCCTTGGCTCCCAAAGTAGAGAGCAAGGTTCTTTAACCTCATAGTGACTAGTTTTGAAAGATCTCAAAATATTTTCATTGCCGTCTTTTAGATTGAAGTTTACAGAAATGCCTATGGAAAACTACTCGGAGACGTCGTCGCACTCGGGCGGCATCCCGAACGGCGCCCTCACCGTTCTGATCATCGCCGCCGTCGCCATCGTCTCCGTCGTGATCACCTTGTTCTGCATGCTCGTCAACAGTCGCAGGTTGCGTCGGAGTCAGCATCGCATTCAGGTCAGAAATCCGTTCAAGAGTCAGACTAACTAGTGAAAGAAACACTTCGAAACGGCAATATTTGGATAAAGCAATAAAACAACTTTGGGACCTGCGATTTTTCTTTCATTAACTTGAAACTTGTCTTTCAGCTTTATTAATTGAATTGAATCTTTTTAGCTTCACATTTTTACATAGTTTCCGTTAAAAATGCATGATGACTTTACAAGTTTGAAAATCGTGGAAATAGCCCTATCATAAATAAACAATTCTGGAAACTCTTGTGACCTTATCTCTGGTTGTCTTTTTTGTAAAATTTGAAAAGTGACTTTGGAGTTATAACTTCAACAGTGTGAACCTATTTGACCGTTGAAATGGAATGAAAAAGCTTTTCACAATGTGGTTTCCAAAACCGATGAGCATATCTCCTATCATAGCCAATATTCGTGAAAGACTTGGACAGGCTGATATTTTCTGTTTCAGAGGATAAACACCCTCGGCGCGGTCTCGGTGGGAACGCCGGCGAATCCTGGCCAGCCACGTCTTCCGATGTACATCACGCCGCCGAGCGCGTTCGATCCGAAGCTCGACGCGCCGCCGAGTTACGAAGAAGCCGTCAGGTCGATGCCACACACTCCGGTGTCGCCGAATCCTGCCACCAGCATGATGGTCAGTCAGTCTCTTCTCTGCCGAAGCTCACCCTATTTGCCGACAGTCGCTCGATCGTTTTCCTCGCTAGTTTGCCTAAGAACTTCTCGAGAGTTCTCAACTTGAGCGTTTCGCAACAACAGATCCTGTTGACATACGCGGAGTTGTTTGTGAATGACAAGAAGTAAAAAAAAAGTCTTTTTGAAAATGTTTTGATTTCTGTATGCCGAGGTAGTTACTCTAGTTTTTGACGTACAAATGACGTTACGTGTGGCGTGTCTTGTTCGAACTGCGTTCAGAGAGATGAAACCTGTTGTCGGACTTTATGGAGAAGCTCAAAAACATAACGAAACAAAAATCTTAAAAGAAGGCGGCAATTTGGCAACGTGTTTAAATAATCATTCAAGTATTTCTTTCAAGTTCTCGTTCAATTTTCTCAATTTTTATTCAAATAATAGGTAACTTTTCCTAAACAGAGCCTGAAGAGGGTTTTTTTAACATGTAAAAAGAAATAAGGTTTGTCCTCCAAGTCATCGTTTCAGACGACAACGGTAGATGAGACGACGCCCCGATCACCAGCCAACGAATCGACGAATCCGGCGCAAATCGAAGTGCGAGTGGAGGTGGCAGACGTGCCGAGCGGAGCGGCGGCTGTCCGCAGCCTCGCCTGAAAACCTACTCCGTCAGCCAGAATTGCCGCCAATTCCAGACACCTCCCCTGGAACTTCCGTTTTGCGTGTACCTGGTTGCAGAACAATCTCCTCAATCGCCATCAGTGTGTATATGTGTGACCTTCTAGGCATTTTCTCCTTATTTCACCTCTAGTCTTCCATGATTTCCTCACTTTGTTAAACTTGTCAGAACGAATCGAGTCGCTTCGTTTTTCTTTCACTCTCTGGGAGCTTTGTTTCGCAACCATCGTCTTCGATGGCATTTTCCAAAAGCGGGTCCGATGTTTCGTCTTTTCTCTCATGTGTTCGTTTGGCGCTGCCCAGCAATAAAATTTTTATTTTTGAATCGATTGGAACCGAATAGAGGAAACGAAGGAAGAAAGTTGAACCGTATTGAACCGTAGTATACAAAAGAGTAGAAGTCAGAAGTTGATGCGAGCTCCAGTGTGGTCGATCAGAGCTCCCGATTGATCTTCTGAGACTTTGTCCACCACTCGCAACACTTCTCGGGCGATTTGAACGCTGTGAAGCTGAAGAAACTCCGAAAGTTACCGAAAAAATGAATTCACAAAAGAAAAGTTTTTTAAATGTCTGTTTATCTTTTTCCAGGGAGAATAGAAGAAGATTAAGCTGATTGTTCAGATTTTAATCCAAAAATTTCAAGAAATAGTCTGTCTGAGAGAATAAATAAATGAAGAAAACGGAACCAACAGTTCTGATGGTGAGTCCGAAGCCTGCAGCAATCGACACGACTGTCATGCGGGGATTTTCCGTAGAGAAAATTCGAATCAACTGGTGCAAGGCTGCCTATTTTCTTCTCCCCATGCTGTTTCCAACCACATTGGTCACCTGACTGCAAGCGAAGGAAACGTCCTTCGTCTGAATTGGAAGTCTGAGGGAAGCTGACAGGCTGCAGATCGAGGCCACGGTCACGACTTCGTTTTCTTTCAACGCAGCTTTCAGCAAAGGAAGCGTTTCCTCAACAAATGAAGCTCTTCAGTTGGACCGGAGCAGCCACAAACTTTCAATAGAACTGAAACGGAGGAGACGTTGACGTCGAAATTCCGCTGCCAGGTGTCCCTTTTCGCCTTCTCTACGGTGTCCTCGCCGTTCTGAATGAATACCAATAGATTCTACTAAATATCTTGAATTACGGCTTGATTTGATGACGTGTTGAGAATCAAGCAGTTGATCTTCCCACAATTGATCAGTTTCACGGCGTTCTTCAAATCACAATTTGGTCTGTGGCTGAAGATGACAAAACCTGAATGCTCCAGTCGCGAGTGACGTCACACTCCACTATCCTCAGTTTCTTTCCTGGATCTTCGATTGCTCGCAGCTCCTGAAATAGGTTTAGGAAAGCTCACGGAGTATCTTAACAAAAAATCGAATAAATAAATTCGAATCAAATATTTTAAAAAGTGTGGACGACTTGAGCAAAAAAAAAACTACGCGTGTTCAAAAAAAAAAATACTTTCACAAAAAATCTTCGAAATAGCCCTCCATCGTCCGCTTTCCCGATATTTCCAATTCGAAGTCACCTGGGCGAGGTCGAGGTTGCGACAGGCGACGTAGAGACGAGAGACGCGATGACTTCCGACGATCGTGCGGCACATCTCCAGGCCGAGGTCGTCGCAGCCGCCGACGAGCACCACCACGCCGTGCACCCTCATCCTTCTTCAGGTCTACCCTCACTGCGAATCATGATAATTTATGGCTCAAGGAGAGCAAAGACGAAAAAATTGAAATATTTCAGCAGTTATGCTATGTTTTTTTTAGAATTCGGGGCTGAAAATGTGAAAAATTCTGTTTGTTTGATGATTTTTTTTAATCCAAAAACCCTCTATCTACTGAGAATCGTTCCATCAATGAATTTTCAAAAACTATGTTTTTTTTTCCTTCAAAAGCAGTCTAGACGAGATACACCATCAAGGTCCTGAGGCGAAAATCTGTTTCAAGTTCACATCTAGATCACGAAAAATATCTGTGACTTCAAGACAAAAGCATGGATTTTTGAGAAAACCAACGACAGATCGAGCAATCTGTTTGTGGAGAGATCACAACAAAAACAGCTGGAGGCACGGACAAAAGTCGAGGTATCGAACCAAAAAAGAAAAATCGTTATCAAAAATGGTTCCGTGACCGCAGGGCTCATCGATTTTGTTTGCTTTACGCGCAACATTTGACGCCTTGACTTGGGGCCTTCTTATTTTGCATCTCAAATATATTTTACGATCCTTTCTAATGGCTCCCCCGTCCGACCTATTTCTTGGAATCCTCTCAACGTAGGACCTCAAAACAAAACAGACTGAACATTTTATCTAAACCTCTCATGATTTGAACTATTTCAAAAATTCAAAACCATCATCTTAAATAACTCTTATAACAACAAGAAATATTGCAATAGAAATCGAAAACAAATATTATCGAAGGGCACCGCACAATCATGAAAAAAAATGTCAAAAAAACGGAAGGACCTAGTTATCGACCCCTAAAACACTAAGAACGAAAAAAAAATCAACAAAAAAGTGGAATTGACCGGAAGCTCTAAAAATCTAACCCTAAAATATATAATTAAAAGAGAACCGAAAAATAAAGTTTTATATGGCGATTACTCGGCTCAAAAAAAATTCGGAGAAAGGGATGGAAAGGAGTGAAAAGTGAACGAAGTGCGTTGAGCGAGTGTCCAATAGTTCGAAAGGAATCGAGTGGCGAAAATTGTGTCGAGTAGATAGTCAGCTATCTGGAAGAAGGAGAAGTTTCCAGAGAGTTCCTTCTTCTGATCACACACATTTACTTGATGTTGAGGCTCTTTTTGACGGCCTTGACGACGTGGTCGCTGTTGGGAAGGGCGGCCTGTTCCAAGGACTGAGCGTAAGGCATCGGCACGTCGACACCCGTCACTCTGCAGATTCAGCCTTTCAGTCAAGTATTAACAAATCCACAATTTTTATAACTTGACCTAGCGACCAAAAAGCGTTTTCTATGGTAAAATTTTGAAATCACAAGGTTGAAATACTTTATGTTATGTTGGATGAAAATCCTAAAAACCGCAAAATTTTCAAAACCCCGAAAAGGATTTTCATAATTGCATTTTCTTGAGCACTACAAGACATGTTTTGTTATCTTACTTTTTTATTCTAAAGTTTTAACATAACTGAACATGAAAAAATACATAAAAAAAGGTAGAATTAAGATGAAAATTTTGAAAAAATGATCAAACACTTCGATCTTAAAATTAAATCGTTTACAAATGTTTTAGAGAACGTAAGAGAAAAATACTTTTCACTTCTTTTGGAATATTGCACTAATCACGTACATCTTCAAATTCAAAAGAAAAAAAAAACGATGACAAGCTATCAATCATCCAGATGCACGATAAAAAAGTTTATTATGGTCTTTTTGAAATTTTCACCTGAGAAGAGGGGCGTCGAGTTGGTCGAAGACGTCGCTCTCCATCACTTGGGCGGCGATTTCGGAGCCGATTCCGCAGAAAGGCCAGCCAGTCTCGACGGTCACCAATCGGTGCGTCTTGTGCACTGATTTGCGGATCGATTCGAAATCGAAGGGACGCAGCGACCGGAGGTTGATCACCTGCAAACACATAGCAATTCTTCTGATCCACCGGCTTTCTCTTTAAAATTAACCTATTAAAAATGGTTACTCTGCTTGAAAAACAGGAAAAACAATCAGAAATGTTTGCGGTCCATTTACAAAGCACACTAGACGGATTCAACTAACTCAACTAGACCAGTTTCTTCGGTGTTCAAAATTGGAAAAAAAAGAAGTATAGTGAAACGAAAGACTAAAAAAAATGAATAATAATACTAATAATGATAAAGTAAGTATACGGAACCAATTGTTCATTTATGAAGATTTTTTTCCAACTCCCTCTAAGACAAAAAGGAGAATAAACATATCAAAACAATCTAGCTACTCTTTTTCGCAAAACTTTTGAAAAAAAAAACCTCAGCCGAAACTCCGGCCGATTCCAACTTTTTGGCGGCGTCCAAAGCGAGTTCAACGCCTTTCGAGAAAGAAACAATCGTGACGTTGTCTCCTTCTCTGAAAACTTCGATTTCAATTTAATGAGAGTTTGGAACACCTTTCGATCTTGGCCTTGCCGATGGGAATGAGGAAATCTTCTCCGAGGGCTTCGTCGGAGACGGGGAACGACTGGCCGTAGAGGATTTCGTTCTCCAAGAAGACAACTGGAAAATCAGTATTCCACTAGTTTGAGGAACAAGTAAGAATGAAAAGTAAAAGGGAAAAACATGCCGGTACAGGTGTATAAGATAATATTTCTACCCTCACTGATGAAATTTTATCAAGATTATATTCACCTGGATTGTCATCACGGATTGCCGACTTCATCAAACCCTTGGCGTCTTCAGCACTGTAGGGCGAAAGAACCTGAGAAGTTACCAATTGTATAAAAATTCAGGAACCTTGAGTCCTGGGCAATGAGCGAACCACGCGGAGAAGTCCTGCGAATGCTGAGCAGCGACTCCGGCGGCGGCGCCATTCGGTCCGCGGAAGACGATTGGCACGTTCACCTGTAGTATCTTGTTTTCTTTTTCCCGTTTTTATCAAAACTAACGCGTCCAGCAGACATGTAGTAGGTCTTGGCGGCAGAGTTGATGATCTGGTCGATGGCCTGCATGGAGAAGTTCCAGGTCATGAACTCGCAAATCGGCCTCAGTCCAGCCATCGCAGATCCGACAGCAATACCTTCAAACGATCTCACATTTTCCTATAGCTTCATTTGAAATATTACCGGCAAATCCCATTTCAGTGATCGGAGTGTCGATGATACGTTTGTCTCCGTATTTCTTCCAAAGTCCTTTTGATACCTATAAAGATCTCTATTTACTTTACAAAATATCTTATAAAGAATACTTTATAAGCTCCATCGTATTGAGCGACTTCCTCTCCTAAAAGATAAACGCGTTCATCTCTTTTGATTTCCTCGTCCATAGCTTGATTAATCGCATCACGGACCGTCATGTCTGCAGAAAGATTAGTTCCAAAACAGTTATTTTGTTAAACTGAGGAAAAGAAAATAATGAAAAAAGCCTTACTCGAAGCACAGCGGGTAGAAGCCACACGTGGAGTCCCAACAAGACGGGAAGCAGCTAATCCACATTTCCGAAGAGCCATTTCCAATCACGGATATTACCTTTAAAAAAACTCATTTTTCCCCGTTTCGGACTAGAGACTAGAGAGAATTCGAGCGTATTCAATTATTCGAAAAGCTGCTGATTTTAGAAAAAATAACAGAATACATACAAAAACGGCGATAAGTTAGACAAAACCCGAGCAAAATGACTTGAAAACTTGGTGAGCTCACGCCCATTCATTAACTCGCATAAATTTTCAGTAGTCTCTATTCATTCTTTTCTTCATTGTTAAGTAATCTGCTGAAAATAGAAAAAATTAATAGAAAGTAACATAAAACAACAAAAAAAGACAAAAGACAGGCGCTTCGCGTGAAATCTGTGCAAGTATGCGGAGGGTGTCCCTGGCGGAGTGCACACAAACGCGCCACCGTAGGCCATTATTCGAGGTTTCCTTGACGACGGTGTAAGCCTGTTTTGGGCTTTAATGGCGGGCTTTGCTTTCTCTTGTTTTTCAAGTTGTAAAAAATTAGTTATTTTCTGACTGTTATAAAAAGCCAAAAATGTCCTACCGAGAACTCCGAAGTAAGGAATTCGTGAGTACCCATCTGTGATACTTTCTTTCAGATCTATGTGAGATGGCACGAACATTGAAATATCCGCGATTGCTTTCTATCGAAAACTTCAGGAATCCAAACTTCAAGTTGGTTGCAGAGTTGTTACAATGGATTGTCAAAAAGTAGTTTAACACTTCACAATTCCAATAAAAATGAGTTCTTCTTGGAGGTTTGATCCTTCTTCAAACCTAAACGCCCAGAACATCGAAACAGAGCAAGACCGTGTGATGTTCATCAAACAAGCTGTTCTTTTGCTGCTTCAGAACTCTCGTCTCAAACTGAACCCCAAAAAACTCTACCAAGTACGTTATTTTCGAGATATTTCCCTTTTGACTGAAGAGCCTTTTTAGGCAGACGGATACGCGGTACAAGAGCTGATTCCTGCGCTTAAAATTCTCTACGATGCTTCAAAAGGAACCGAGGACTTAGAAAGCGTCGCTCAGTGGAACAGTATCAAGCAGAAAATCTCCAGCAAGGTATTCAGAAAGGAAGGAGATTCATACAAATTCTAAAATGAAAACTATTTTGAACAGCAAGAAGGCAGTCCCCTTAATTTTGTAGATGCAAGAAGTTCGGATAACTCGGCAACTCTCGGCGCAACTTCCTGAAACGGGAGCTGCCCTCAACGATCTGCTCACGAAACAGATTTATTTCGCGGTTAATTTTCTTGGTTACTATCTTATTTCAAGCAACATTTGCAGAAACAACGCGATAGAGCCGCCTCCAGGGCAATCGCTCTACCGGAAGCTGAAAAAACTGTACAGCAAGCCATCTCCGCCATCACGGCCGAGTCGGACGAAATCTCAGTGGGAATAATAGATTTTCTTGAACAAAAAGGACTTTTAGAGTCGACTGAACAACGTCGCTAGCGATGAGGCCGAATTGGACGAGAAAATCGAGAGGAAGAAGCGAGAATATGAACAAATGCAGAAAAGACTCGCCAAACTTCAAGTGAGTCTGTTGAAAAACTTTTTTCCTCATTTCTCTGTTTCAGTCTTTCCGTCCTCAGTACATGGACGAGTATGAAAAGTACGAGGAGCGGCTCAAACAACTTTACACGGTTAGATCAACCTCGTTTATAGATATCCCTTTCGAGAAAATCTAATGCACTTTGTATTAGGTTGGCATGAAAGAAATGCGGCTCCTTTTTGTTGGCTTCTAATTCATCCAAGAAGCAATATTATTTGGAACGGTATTTTTCGTCGAAAAGGGCTTGTCCTTGTGCGTCATTGGATATATAGTTTGCTGACGTTCATTCCGCCTTTCTATAAGAAAAATAGCTTTGAAAAGCGTCCTTCCAAAAACTGTATTCGCGGACCTAGTTTTCGCGTTATTTCAAAAAGTACAAATCAACTTCAGAGCTTGGCCCCTTTCAATATTATGATCTCCATTGATGCTTTTTTCTGATAGTTAACATTTTGAATTGCTTTAGCGCTATTCACTAGGCGAAAAGACCTTTGAAAGCAAAAAACACGAAAAAATCGACGATAAAGGCGATTTTGAAAGAAAAAAAAAACAGTTTTTTTACGCAACGGAGTGCAAAAAATGAGAAATGAGAAATGGCTTCACAATATCGCTTTTTTTTTTTTTTGCGAAAATGTGTTAGCCCAAAATCAGAAAAATTGTTGTGCGAATTTCTGCTTTTCCGCTACAATGCTCAGACATGGCTCTTTGCATTTATCATCTGTCCGAATCATTGGATCGCTAAATAGCCAAAAAAAAAAATCGAAAAACTCTGATGAAGTCCAAAATTTGGGCGTGCAACTTCTATGACCCTTAGGCGGCCCAGTTTGTCAGAGAGAGCATTCATTCTCTGCGTGAGCATTGCTGACAAGGTACTAATACAGATAGAAATTACATTTCGAATTGATTTGTGATAACCTTGTTTTTATGATAAAATTAAATGACATCAAAAACACGCATTTCTTTCCTGCCACCCTAATAGAACAAAAAAGATGACGAATTGAGACTTCCAGAGGACTTATCTTTCTATTTAGTAACAAAAATTAAGGTTTATGTCACCAACTACCGCAACCTGTCGTACTTGAAAAAGGTTCACGACGACTTGCAAACTGCCGATCGACAGAAGCAGGATGAAAACGAGAGAGCGATGAGGATAGCCGTCGAGAAAATGAGGATTGAACAGGAAAAGAACAGCACGTGAGTCGAACCGGCTGAACTGTCTGCGCTCTCCTTCTTACTCTCTACGTTGATTTTTTCTAGGGCTCAAACGGTGAGAGAAAAGAGCACAAAAAGCCAAAAATTTACAACTTGTGGTAAATGAACATAGTTAGTAGAGAATTTTTTTTGACCCTCTATGTCTTTTCTGGTTCAATATAACCCTGAACTCAAAACCAAAAATACTTAAATTTTATATCCAGATATAGTTTAAGATTTTCTGAAAAAAAAGAATTCCAGACTGGAAATGGACGACGAGACGGAGGCGCCGTTGGTCGAACGAAAAGGTAACGTCAACCTTGAGATGGAGCATCACTGTATCGGGTTCTAGAGCGAAAAGTCTTCGGCAACATGATGGACGCTGGGATGTCCGACGAGGAAGTCGACGAAGACGAAGACAACGTTCAAGGCGGCGACAGAAGCGACGACGACGGCCATGTGGTAAATGGAAATCTCAATTTATTTGGCAACTTTAAATTTTAATTTTGTACACATACACAAATAACAGTTGTCTTCCACGTTCAACGAGGATCTTGCGAATTCGAAAATGTTTTCATTAACAAAGAAATTACAACATTTTTAACTAATCTTGAATACTCTCAATGTTTCACTCAAATTTTAGTTCACAAAGATTTTTCTCTTTTTTTCCAGGCTTTGGACAACGGAGACGACGAAAAGATGGACTTGAGCAGTGGAGACGACTTTTGAATGATGCTGTTTTTGCGTCCTGCTATACCGAGGGTTTCTTTCAGTGCGGTGAAAAACAATTTCAATGTAAATAAATCGAAAATATTTCATTCATCAGAAAAATGAATTCATGAAAGGTTACCCGTTGAAGGTATCAACGATATGAAGGGTACGTGAAGACCTCGCTTTTTTGGTTCGTTTCAATACTCGTAGCTTGTTTTTGAACTCGAGCAAAAGTTTAAAAAATGATTATCCAACGGAAAAAGTTGAGCGACTGTGGTCCATTCTTAAAGGAATCGGCGGTTTTTTCTGCTTTCTGAAAGGTATTCTTGAAAGGAGAACTTCTTTCCAATAGAAACTCAGAAATGTTGTTGGCTTACCTTGAAGATTTGGCAAGGTCTCCTCTGATCATTTGCATGTAAATTGGAACGATTGGGAACTGAAGCAGGTAGAGAATGTAAACTCCGGCGTCGATCTGGGAATCGCACTCAGTTTCCAAGAAAACGAAATTCCAACAACAACCTTCAAGAACAAACGGCGGGTATTGTATTCGGCACTGTCTCGAAGATGGTAAAATTCGTCGATTAACTGAAATGAGTTTTTAAGTGTTTTTTATCGGTTTTTAGATCGTGGATCGGAGGTCCAGGATATCAATGAACTTAGAATTGATTTTGTAAGTCCTCCGAAATGAATTACCTGGAGAGAATAGTTGGGTAGGTTGAGAAGGAGGGTGACAGTGGCGGTCCAAAGACAGCGACGGATGGCGTTACTCCGCCGCTTCTCGGCACACTGACGATGGGTCTTGGAGACGATCTTCATGGTGGTGGCGTCGGTCGGAATCTCGTGGCAGAGTTCGTCGGCCGAGATGAGGGTGAACTGCGGCTGGCAGGAGGAGCGGAGCACCAGCAGAACCGAGATGTCGGTGAACGCCGTCAGTCCCAGAGGCAGGAAGAACGTCAGCACGCACTCGGCCAGCACCAGCGTCTTCAGACTAGTCGATCTGAAGATTGGTCAGTTGCGACTTTGTTTTTTGCAATCCAAAAGAACTTTTTGATCGGGTAACAAGAGAGGTCATTTTACGTTGCGATTGGTAATTTCCTGAAAATTGGCCAAAATACTTCTTCAAGAACTAAACTAAGGTCCTGAAGAAAGCCTCAACCTGCACGACTTCCCAATTTCGAGTAATAAAAGCCCCAATATGGATTTTCCAAATTTACGGAATATGAAGTTTTCCTTAGATTTTAAAATGTCCTTTCTGAAAAACTATAAAACTGTACATGTTGAGACTTCCAGATTCCTCTTCTGGTACTTCAAGGAGTATTCTGACCAGGAAACCCCCAACCGAGAAGCAAAATGACATTCCTTGTGAGAGAAGATGAAATGAAACATCGTTTGTTGCCCTGGCGCACTGCCTGTTAGTTTTGATGGAGCATCAGCTGTCAATAGTTCAATGCACACAGCGGCTATTTTTTCAAAAAAATTTCAGATTAATCTTGAAATATCTTCATAAATTTATGTGTAGTTTTTTTTTTGCTCAAAACAACTTCCCTCGAAAAACAAAGCTAAGAAAAATCTAATGAAAGAGAGGAAACCTAATTTTCAGAGCAGAAATGCGTTCTTTCCGGTGCAAAATTTATCAAGATTTTTATCTTCTAAAAGTAGTTTTTTTTTCTAAATAACGGAGCAGAAAGGATGGGAGCTTCAAATCATAAAAAAAAGATTGAAATTTCAGCCTGCGGTCTCTAATTTCGAAGCCTCAAAACATCTCCAGAGTTCAAATTATGTGTAGTTTGCTTCTCGTTGCAGGTTTTGTCAAGAAAGATGTAGAAGAACAGAAATCTCCAAAACATGTTTTCAGCTGGTCAACTAAAAACTCAGTGTCATGAAGACCGGCTTGAAGATTTTCTTAGTCGATCAAGTCTATGAACCGATGATTACTGAAGTTTTTCACTGCAAATTATTACAGAAAAACATTTTACTGTAAAAAGGAGAATGTAGAAGAAATCTCATTAAGATACAGACTATTTTTGGATTGATTATGCAAATAGTACACGACGAGAAAAGGGATAATAACTACTCAGAAAATGCCTATTCATATCTCATTTTGAGAACAGAAATGCCTAAATGTTATTGTCGAAAAAGATGTTTTTCACTCTTTTATTGCTCCTTTTCAATAGCCTCCATATGATAATAAGCTAGAAAAATCTCAAAAAGGGCGAAAACTTGTGAATTATCAAAGGTTTTTCGAATAATTGAAGAAATAAAAAAAGGGTCAATAGTAAAGTATAGCTTTTTTCTGGTGTTCACGGTCATTCCTAACCCCGTCCCTCGTAGCGATGTTTTCGATGAACATTTGCATCAAAAACGTACCCAGCCAAATGCGGATCTTCCGCGCAGTACGTTCCATTGGTCTCATCCGACCCGAAATGAAGCTCCGTTATCAAAATCGGCGTCCAAAGTTGAGAGATTACCGAAAATGTTGAGATCCTGAAAAATAGTCCTTTTATTCCTGAAAACTTTTTAATCACTTGAAAAAGGTTTTTCTCGGACTTCGTGAGGAAGAAAAAGGTTATTTCTACACGGAAGTTTGCAATTTCTCAGAAAAGCTTCTTCACTCTCCCAATTTTGAAACCTTAACTCCCGTTCCTTGTCATACGTTTCAAATTTAATGGAAAAAAAGCGATTTGACGCAATCCAGATTATATGGATCACTGAAACAAAATTATTTGGAAGCCTCTGGTTTAAATCGTGCATTTACAAAAAACAACCTTAATTAAAGCGTTCAGGACTTCAATTACCACGCTCAGTTTTCTAGGAAAAATAACAATACTGCGAAATTGGAATAGCGATCAAAATATGGTTCTATTTTTCAAGTAAACATTTTTGACATAATTATAATGAATATTCTTCTTCTTCTTCTTCTTACGCCTTTGTACCGCTTGAGCGGCGTCGGCGCCCCAAGTCGATTAGCCGAGGTCCTATCCTGATGATAATCAGTGGACTGGCTCCAGTGACATATCCGTCCTTGTGTGTGACGGCTGGGGATTTTGAAGTCGTGGTTTCCCACTACCAACATTTCTTAAACCCCTTGGTTGGGGCGGGGCGGGGATCGAACTTGTGACCCGGTGGACCGTAGACAGGCACACAACCTGTTGCGCTACGGCGCGCCAATTATAATGAATATTCAAGGAAACATACACCAAAATCGTGATCCAAGTGTTTTTGGGATACCGGCGTCTGGACCTCATTGGAAAGAAGACGTGGAGAAACCTCTGAATTTTCACCATGAACAAGAAAATAATCAAATGACTAAACATTTGAGTATCCAAAACTTCCGACTGTTCTTATATATATCTCTGAGTGATTCTTATGAAAATCATAAAGAAATTTTCAGTTTTCAGACATTGTAACTAAATAAAGAAGAATGCGTAAATCGCGAAAATAACAGTTCGATTTCTAGCCAAAGATCAAAAAGTTGGAGAGTCGAAGAAAGGTATCTTAAGCTTTTCGCTATAAATTATTTGAAGAAGTCAGGTTTTTGCTCTTCAAAACAGGCATCCAGTTCATCTCGGTATTTTTGAAAACTATACATATAATGCCCATCTTCAGACTTTGATTTCTCTTCCTTGATCAAACCTGGAGGTACATTGCGACCCAACTCCAATGGATGAAACAGGAAGAAGCGTTGACGAGGAAGGCGCTGAGTTTGCAGACGATCGCTCCTGGAAACACCCCTGAAATCAGCTTTCTCTTCACGAAACTCTCAACAAGACCCGATTCCCAGAAAATTCTATCTCAAAGATCATCCTTTTTTTCTTAACCTAGACTCTTTTTTCGCAAATTCGTAATGAGTGAGATTTTTTGAGAGCCGCGTAAAGATAAAACTTTGAAAGAACTGTAACACTTTCAGGAAGGTATAAAAGCCACGAAAAAGAATCTCCTGTCTTTCCAATTAAAGAATATTCAGAATCACTAAAGTGTCTACTGAGCCCCTCTTCATCGATCCTTCGAAAAAAGGAACACTCCAGTTTTTCCTTGCAAAATTTGGTGTCCGAGATCCGTTTCGAATTTCCGAAAATTGGCTCTGAGGTTTGGTGCCTCAGAAGCAAGAGTTTTGATCAAACTATGAAAACTTCATTTTCAAATAAAAAGTAATTTGACAGCTGCAGGAAAACACTTTGGAGAGCGAAAGTTGATATTTTAGAGTGAAAATTTTAAAAAATTAACCGATACAATTAAAAGGTACAGAATCAATTGAAATATGACCTAATAAAGGAAAAAGAGAAACAGCGATTAACATATTGGTGTTTTTCAAACTTTTATTTATTCTCAAAATATCATTGATTTATTTTTCCGCGTTCTTCCTTTGATTTGTTTTCATTCAGAACAAGACACAAATGACATTGAGAAAAAGACTGACCTGAGAAAACGTGAGTGTTCTCCATGATGACGTTGGCAAGGACCGTGGCGAGAAGGACAAAGTTGCCGTAGATGATGGAGACGAGGTAGGGGTAGTACTGGGTCTTGCGGTGAGTCTGCATAGTGGCCCAACTGCCGATGAGCAACGGAAGTGTCAGAGCCGAGACCAGGAGGACGGCGTAGAAGAGGAACGTCGAACTGAGCAGCCAGTCGTGGAGCAGAAGTTGGTCTTCGAGTCCCAAGTCCTGGCTCGAGGCGGCGCCTACCGGCAGCGCCATCGCTCGGGCTGCTTCAAACGTCGACATTGGATCGAAATGGAGTCAAGAGAGAACGAGGATGGACGCTGATGTCAGGCTCCAAGTGGTTTCGGAGGGTGTCTATCAGAATGTGGGCGGAGAGCTACGTGAAAGCTTTCGAGAATCGCTTGCTATCCTTTGAGAGCAGAATGAGTATGGGCGGGGCTGCTGCGTTTCACGTTTGTACTCAGAAGGACGAGTGGAAGTTTAAACTGACTACACTTTGAAAAGAAATTCAGCTAATTGTTTGAAAATTAAAAATTTCATAAAAGCTGTAGAACTTTTCAAAGAAGCTTTCTCAGCTTTAAGGGGTGTAAAAAATAATTTCTCCTAACTTCTGCTATCGTATAACTATTTTCTATCTCCCTCTCAAAGAGATACTTTCCTCGAACAAGAACTTTCATAACTAAGTCAGTTCGGTTTCGACTCAGGAATTCATGGTAGGATTTTATGCGTTTATATAAATAATAAATCTTCTGCTCGACGTTGGCCGAAACTTTTTTGACTCATCTGCAAAATTCTGTTTCAAGTTGATGAAGAATTTCTGGTGAGGTTTGACCTCATAACTTTTTTTTTTTGATTTTAGACTGGTTTCTTCGAAATGCGCAAAAAAGAAGTTATAATTGAATTGAACATGTCTGCGCTCTTTTAGCCTGAGATTTCTTATTCTCAAGTTTTATTCAAAAAGGTAAGAATTCGATAGCTCAAATTTTTTTTTTTGATCACCACCATATTTTCGTGAGGCTTTCTGAAGAGATTGGGCTTTGAAATCTCTCACTGATAACAGATGATACCTTTGAAAAGGATGAGAAGCTTTGAATATAAATCAAAAAAAGAAGGTTTATGTAGGTTACGATTATCAAAAACTTCGATCTTCAAAGTACGTCTCAGAAAAATTTCAAATTTTATGAGAAACTGGAGACAAAAAAACTTTAGTTAGTCAATTATATAGAAATCCATTTCACTTCATCTACGAAAAAGAAGCAACTTATTTATTTTAACGACTCATTTTCTTCGGATCGAACGACGCACATCTTTGGTGAAACGACATTTTCGGAACCCCAAAAGAAGCTGCAAAGAGGAAAAAAAGGCTACAAACACATCCAAATTGCCGGCGGCACGTGTAGATTGGGGCGACGGAAGAAAAAGTTTCGACTTGCGTCAAAATTGGGCACAGACATCAACTTCATCTTTAGTTGAAAGAAACTTTTCGAGTTATAAAAGTCAATAAAAATTTGCAGCTGAAAGGGAAAAAATGAGATAAAATGGCAAGGCGTAATTAGTGGCTAGAGTTGAAACGAATTGATAGATTAGTCTGAGAAGCGTCTCTTTTGCACCCTTCAGTGGGCATAAGTCTTCAAAGTAGGTCACTTTCGCGCGAAAAAAAACTTTTTTTTCACGCTTTTTTCAGAAAGTTGAAAGCCAAAAGTTATGCTTGATGTTCACTGTGGAAGCTTGAAATAAAAACTCTGGCATTTTTGAAAAATGGAGGAAAGTTTTTCAAAAACAGGGAATTTCATTTGTGAATGTGGTGTTTCTATTTTTGGGAAAATCTCAAAAACCTATGTAGATTCATAGTTTCTATTTGTGAATTTAAAAAAAGTGAAGTTTCAAAGTCCACGTTTAGCACAGGAATTGTTCTCCCAACATGATAGCGCGCAACTTCGAAACTTCCTATCTTCAAAAATAGAAGTTTCAGCAGACGATTATGAACTTTTACTTGATCAGCAACAGCTTCTGAGCAAACTTATAGAAAGTCCGAAATGCCTTTCCCTTGTTCTATCCTTCAAAAAAATTAACTAAAGACACAGGAAAAGTACGAGCGAACTAAAAAAAAAAGCTGAAACACGGAAATTTTTTGAAAGAAGCAAGCTTTTGAAGGCTTCCAGAACAAAGCTTCAGAGAAAATCTTGAAAACCCTTCATTGTTTTTGGATTCATCCATGAGCTTTTGATGGTTTTCGTTCCTTTAAAATAGATTTTTCGACGTCTTTTTAAATAAGATTGCATAACTTTTTGCGTCATTTTTTGTACTTTGATCGTAGTCGAGCGGAACTTTTAAAGGAAAAACTTCCGAGGTGAAGTTTTACGTTAAAGCTGCTGTCACTCATCTATTTACTATTAAATAAAGGAAAGCTAATCCAGGGAAAGTCCGACTAGGAAATTTGGCTAATTTCGACTTGTTTCCTTCTTCAAAAGCTTTTCCAGTTTCAGAGCATAATACTTGCTGTTGGCTTCAAATTTAAAATCTCAACGCAGAAGTACTCTACAAAATGAGAGGTTTTTTTGAAACCTATCGGAGGAACGGGAAAATTAGCTCCAAAAAAAAGATGGGAACGTCAGACTCTGCTTTTTTAAGGCTTTTTCTAGATTAACTCTAATTTAGTCGCCGGAAAAAAGTTGAAAAAAACTCAAAGAGGAAGAAGAGAAGAAATTCTTTGTTTCTGAGTCTCTACCCTCTCTAATTCATCTTCGTTTTGTATTTCTATCCTGGGTACTTCGCGTTTATTTTAATCACAAGAACGAATACATTTCCGTTAACATCCCTTTCGTTATGAACAACTTTTTGAGGACGAAGGCAATCAGGACGAGTAAAAATCGCCGAGAGTCTTTCTAAAAATATACGGGCATGCAAAAGTTTCATTTTTCGGACTCACCGCCAAATTAGCCAAAGAACTAAAGGTCGCGGATTTGTTCATGCAAAGAAGTTTCAACAGAAAAAGTTATGAAGATGGCATCATATTTCGAATAAAGTGAGAGAATGTCAAGAAATAGCCTTTGTGAGCTGATTTCTCTCGAATTACCAAGAAAAAAAACCTTTTCAATATTCTGGAAATTTTCCTTGATTTTCATGCGAAAACATAAGAAACATTTTTTTGTACAACTTTCTGTGTTATCTTTTCGAGATCCTGAAACCAGGCTACATACAAAAATACAAGTTCAGAGTATTCTGCGTAAAAGGAACATTCCGGATTATTTTTGAATTCGCTTTCCTTCTCAGTTAATTTTTCAGTTATGCAAGGCAGAAAACAAAAAAGACATGGGATTGTGGCGAAAAATATCGGTAGCCCCTGTCAAAACAACCAAACTCGGAACTTTTTTGCTTCCAGGAATATCGAACTACTTTTCTAGCCAATCATTGATTGTTTGGAAAAAAAAATAAACGATTAGCTCGTATTTTTCCAACTTTGTTAGAGAAAAAAACACTAAAGCGTCACCAGGTGGTTCTTCCTAAATGTTCAAACAGCAGAAAAAATACGCTCTTGACAAATGGGGCTAACTAGGAGCTTTTTTGAATCATACTTTAGTGCAACAACGTAAGAAAATATTCGGCATTCTCAAGAAAATTCGCAGTTCAGAACTTCGTGGGTAGTGGTTTTTCTTCAAATGTGAGAAAAATGCAGAGGAAATTTGAATAATTAAATAAAGTGCATCAATATAATTACTTCTCGGGTAAAATTCACTTTGAAGGAATAAAAAATGAATCCAATGCAAACGCAATTCGTTGAAAAGTGGAAAAGGTGAAAGTTGCGAAAAACTTTTTTCGCCCTTGGTTTTTCACCTGCATGTATCAAGAAAATATCAACTGTCAAGAGATACTCAACCTTGCAGGTAGTGACGTTGTTCCCATTATGTCTGAATACCCATAATCGGAAACGAAAGAGAACGCCAAGGAAGACATAATAAATCTTTTGCAACTCTCTCCTTTTCTTGGAAAAAGAGTAGTTCCTCTCAAAAACATTTGTTCGGAGTCTTCGAGGAAGTATTAAAAGACATTTAAAGGCTTTTGAGAAGTATTTTCTGTAAAGAAGGACTTGGACAAAAACTTTCATAAAGATCTCGATTGAAAGAGCAATTTTAATTTGATTTTAAATATTTAAGAACTTCCACTCTTCCGAACAACCCTATCAAGAAATTTCAGAAAAGTTTTTCTCAAAGCACAAAAAAATATTTTAAAAAAAGAGAAGAATAATGCAATTTTTCTGTTATTCTGTATAAAGTCTAATCGCAGCGCCTAAAACATCAACAAGTCAACGAAAAAGAGGTATCGTATAACCGAACAGGAGTATGAGAAGTGCGAAAGGATTGACGAAGAAGATTTGAATATTTTCCGTCGTTAAATAAAAAAACAACGGAAGCTGCAAAAACAGTACTTTTATATAGACTTTAGGGAAAACTCTTTCTGCACCCAAGTACTTTTTGGGGTCAGTGTCTGGTTCCAAACAAACGTAAGACTAGTCTATTGAGACTTTAGTACCAACCCTCCAAAAACTGATTTTAAACAGCTAGAAAAGTCGCCGAATCGAAGAATTGGATAAGATGAAAAAGCAGGAAATGGAAGAAAACAATTTTTGTCTCCCAAGGACCAGAGTCTTTCAGAAAAAAAAAAGTAGAACTCCCTGAATTACATAGAAAAATGGCTTTTTCGTTCAGAGAGGAAGCAACCTTACTTTATACATGCACAGACGAATCGAGAGGGTACCATAACGTGTCCACAAAGGTACCTCTCAAAATGGATCGTGAAGGCCCCATAATGTGTCCATCGTGGTACCTCCAGCATACCTTTAAGCTATATCTGAGCCATCTCGGAGTTAATTTAGAGTCTCCCTCAAGTCTATCTCATTTTGCTTGAAATCCTCAGAGGTATAATCGAGGTACCATCGTGAGACTTCAGAGCCTGCGATATACCTCAGAGGGTCGCGCGATACCCTTTCTAGAATCGCCTATGTGGGAGTAACGAACAAAATACAGGAATAGGTATTATTACTGTATATTTGTCAAAAAAAGGAAAAAAGTAGTATCCTTCTATATTTGAGCTTTAGCTAAAATTTGGCGAAGACCGTATCTAAATGAAAAATAATACAAACTTTCTCAAATAAGTTCAACTTGTTGTAGATTCAAATTATAAGAAAACTAAAGGACGAACGCATTTTGAATTATCAAATAAATTCCAGTAATGAGTCTTCCTCAAAGGGCGTGTTTACCAAACCGAATCCCAGAAAACTCCTAGTACAAGAAGAACCTTTTCAAATTGTCTAGCGAAGTATTTATCTCAAACTTTCGTGCATATATATTGAAAGATTCTCGAAAGACACTCTAAGTTTTACATTTGAGGTCAATTAGGTTTTTCACAGCCTCTCCGCAGTTTTAAGTTGACCGGTGGAAGCGAAATGAAAATCTGATTTTTATATACACAAGTGGAAGCAAAAAACTAGAATAATTGGATCCTTCGAATCCAGCTGCAAATGATTCCCAAATGACAACTCTGAAGAAACATAAGCTTTGCTCTCCTTATATTACTGAGAACTAGGAACATTGCAAAGACCTAAAATCATTAAATCAAACACAACTTCAGAATAAGAGTTATATATTACAATTAAACTCCTACGAATCTTAGTTGAGATCTTATTTTTGGAAAGGATCTTTCGAGAAGTGTGAAGAGAGTAAATTGGGCCTTCACATTAATTCATTTCCAATGTTTTGCAGCGGAGATGTTATTAGCAGAAAGCTCCTCTGTGTTTGTATAATGACTGTTTTCCCTTTGAAATTCGGAAAAGTCGTGGTAATTGACGTTGTGATGGGATTCCTTGTGTGCGTAGAGTCTCATTTCCAGACTAACGAGAGTACTACTCAAAGTATCTCAGTCGCATAAGAACGCATATTTTCAGTCCACTACTGAAGAGCGATCAAAAATATGACTCGTTCTCCAAAAATAATTTTGAGGCCCCAAGGCGTCGCCCAGGCGACCGTAGACTTTTTACACGCAATGGACGGCTTCCGGGCCTCTCATTCCTTGCTACTTCTCGTACTTTCTAGATTATCGATATAAAAGTTAGAAAAAACTTCTTCTAATACATTTGATGCTCCTACACGATGAACGTCTGCCGCCAATAGATTGTGATACACTGGTAAACAATTTCAATTTTGACTCGTCCAGATTAATTTTTTTTTTTCCAAACTACTTTTGAAATCGCTTAAAACAATTTCAGGTAGGTTGGATTCTTCAACAAGCTGCCGAAGAACCTGTTTCCGTTGGAAACTTTTACATAATCGATGTTAACGACCACAGTGAATACGAAAAATGTCACGTTGTTGGAGGTTGATTTCATAATAAACTTTTTCTCTCCTCGTTCATAAATCCCCTCCTCAAGTTTCTGATGGAGTCAGAAATGAATGGAGATAATCAATTCGACATTCAGCCTACTTCTACGACAGACTTCTGCTGTCGAGGTTGGTCTTCGAGACGCCCGTTCTGAAGCAAGCAAGTACCACCAGAACGACCTTGGTCATTTATGGAAGAGAATCTGAACGCGTTTCCAACGTTCTTTTTCAAAGAGGATGGAGGACTATATACTTGACAGGAAGTAACCATTCATTTCATCTGATTTACGATTAATGTTTGCCATAATAAAAATTGAAATTCCAAGAAAAAAAAAGTCTAGTATGTAGAGTTGTTAGTACATAGATCGCCAAATAATTTTTCAAAATCAGTTTTAAAAATAATTTCTCATTATGCCTTTCAATTATAATGACTTGAAATTGAAAACGTTGAACCGCAAATGAAACTACAGATTGTATGAGTTATTCTTAGAACCGAAAATACTCAAAAACTGAAGATATTCCGAAAGACTTCTCTCGATACTTTCTATTAAGAAATTACCATCTTTTTCCGACCCCTTCTTTCTCACACTGATGTTACAAGCTTTCGAAACTTATCTTACTTGCAGACATTGACCTATTCAAAGAAAAATACCCAGCTTTGGTAGACAAGAATTTCGATATCGATCAACTACGGGAACAACATGACAGAAAAAGGTAAAAACTGTTAAATCCAAAAAAAATCTTGTCTTTCTAAGGAACAACGTCTACGGAGGCCGTCTGTGGAGAAGCGCCTCGGCGAGCCGCGTCAGTACTGCGGAGAGAAAAAACAGCCGCGAAAAATCTGCAAGACCGAAACCCAAACGTGTACTTTCTGCGAGTGTCAGTACTAAACAGCTGGATCGACCTCCGTGGAAACCTTGGCACAGCTAGTCAGGAATTCCTTGACTCTCGAAATCTTATAACCACTGCCGTACTGAATCTTTACCAAAAACGTACATTTTTTGTTTTTGTTTTTTTCGTATACTTTTTTTCGATGGGGCTCTCAACGTCTTTCTTCTTGATTTTCCTCTCAAAACTATAAACAATTTATTTTAACGGCCTAAATTTCCAAGAATATTTTAAAGAAAGCGAGCAGAGAAATGAAAACCTCGATGAACATTGATTTCTTCTAAAGGTTGCGGTATTAACAGGAAACGTTGTTAAGTTACAAACTCAGATAAGAACGTCGAAATCGCGGAGTTCTTCTTCGGATGGAAGGGACGCTTCGACGCGGGATCTGCAAACTGCTTTTAACCCAAAAAGACGCGAAAATGTCTACTGCTCGCGAAAAAAATGAGATAAAAGTCGGAAACAAACCGCGGAATGAGGTCTGGGCTGATCAATGGAAGACCGGCTTTCTCACGACGGGCGATTTCCAAATGAGCTTCACGAAGAGCCCATTCGCGGCCCATCGGCCTGAAAATAGTCTTCTATGAACATTACCCTCTATTGGTCCTTTTAAAGAAGGAGAAACGATTATGGAAACTGCCTTCAATGTATCATTTACGATTAAAAATACATAGATAACCACGGAATACTCGATTTCAGTTTTAGTCACCGATGTAATTTTCAACGATTAAGAAATCGTTTGAAGAGATACTAACCAGTCCGGTCGAGCGAACATAATCCAGCAAGTGAACCACGTCGTCAAAACAGTGAACAGAAGGAAAGCGACCTGAAATTCTCGTATTAGCAAAGCTATTCCAAAATGATGAAAACTATCAAACCTGATGGAATCGGAGCCAATCTTTGTATTCATCATGGGCGACTTGCGAAAACCAAATCCATTCACGGCGCTGAAGAAAAAAAAAACGATAAAAACTTGATTTCGCATGAGCCTTCATGTCAAAAGTTCTCATAACACTTAAGAATCACCAACCATTTTTGCTCCTTGTTCCTTGGCGAGAGGTCTCCGCCAGCCATCTCCGAAAAGCCAATCAAGTCGTCCACCGTTGAGCTTCGGCCACGGGTTCTCATAAGCATACGAATCAGAACCTGGTCTGTAATACTTCCTTTTGAAGACAAATAAATGATTAAAAAGAAAAAAAATTCTATTTCGAGTCCTCTTCCCTCCATCACCACAAGTTCCGACACATATGTTCCCAAATTCTCCCTACATCTATTTCGTGAAATTTAGTACTTGTGTGTGAGAAATAAAACATTTTGATTTGAATTTGATTTGATATACCTGTAGCTGTCAGGTTTACGTTCTATTTTCGCATCAGAAGCGTGATGACCTGAGGCAAATCGTCTAAAACCCAAAGTGCGCATAGGCACTGCCTGCAGTCTGGCGACTTGCAGTAGCATACCTGAAAAAAAAATGATAAGACAGAAAAAAGGATAAGACAAACTCTCTGAAAATTGGGCGATTTTGAGAAAAAAATGTGAATTTTTTTTTTTTGAAAGAAACCTTGAAAAAAATCTGTAAAATTCAAGCTTCAAACTTTTACTACCAGAATCGAAGTTAAAAATGAAGAAATTAGTTTGAAAAAGGAATAAAAATAAAAATGGAAAAACGGGCGAGAAAAATTTTAACGGTAGCGGTAGAGCGCGGTTGCCTACTTTTTTTCAATTTCGCTCCAATGTGAAACGGCTCTTGATTTTTACGAGAGCCACCTGCGGAAAAAAATTGTTTTTTAATATTACTTAATCGTAATTTACATCAATGGATGATTTATCGTGGACCGCTGGTTTGACTAAGGAACAAGCGGGGCGCTACAGTCGTCAAGTTTTGGTTCAAGATTTCGGTGTGAATGGTAGTCATTGTTTCTTTATTTGTTTTTTTCTTTACCAGTTTTTCAGGGCAGAAAAACGCATCAACCTCAAAAGTCCTTATTATTGGAGCTGGCGGTCTTGGCTGTCCCACTGCAACGTATCTTGCTGGAGCTGGTATCGGCACGATAGGGATAGTAGACTATGACACGGTAAAATCGTTCGTTGAAAGTAATCATTACCGGTAAACGTTCAGGTTTCTTTGGATAATTTGCACCGACAGGTTGCTCATCGAGAACAAGCAGTAGGAACTTCTAAAGTCGAATCACTGAAGATAATGTTAAACTCGTAGGTTTTGAGCTGCCCATTTAATAAAATTATTAATATTTAGGTTGAACAGTTCAATCAAAATAATTACTCACGAAGCCACTCTTAACAGTAAATGCGCCATGGAAATTGTCAAGCTGTATGATATCGTGTGTGACTGTTCAGATAACGCGGCGACAAGGTTTTTTTCGGTTTTACATCGACTGAATCAAACATTATGCTTTAGGTATCTCATAAATGACGTGTGTGTTTTATTGGACAAGCCACTGGTGAGTGGAAGCGCTCTTCGTTGGGACGGACAACTGACCGTCTACCATTACGGAAAGGTTCGAGGATAACCAATTCGAAAGGTATTGAAAAGACGGGTTTTGAAGGAAGGACCCTGCTACCGATGCTTGTTTCCATCTCCGCCTGATCCGTCTACCGTTACAAATTGCAGCGAAGGCGGAGTTCTGGGTCCGGTTGTCGGAGTGATTGGGAGCATGCAGGCACTCGAAGTGCTAAAAATGGTTGCCGGACTGCCATGTGAGATTTTCGACCGTATATCGGGAAATGTATAGAAGTCTCACAGAAAGGTTAAAAGCAGAGACTGTGAGAAAAAAAACAGACCAACTTTTTTGAAGGTTGAAAAAAAGGAAATTAAGTTTACCGAAGGATTCTTGTAATAGACTTTTTAAGACTATAAGTTCTATGAGGAAGTGAATTCCTGAAAAGAAAGACAATTATCTCACATTTTGATATAAATTTTTTCGGAAACTTTCGAATCGTTAGATCATTTGAAACAATGTTCTGAACAGGTTCGTTTGCGGGGAAGCTTTTCCTTTACGATGGTCGGTCGGGGTCTACCAGGACGATCGTCTTACGGAAAAGAAGCCCAAGATGTGCCGTTTGTGGTGATGAGCCTTCTATAACTGCTCCTATCGACTACGAATTGTTCTGCGGGGCCGGCGCTCATGACAAGGTACCTTCAGAGGTCGGATGCAACAGAGCTCCGCCTTTGCAGAACAACAAATCTCAGAAACGACATCCTGGTTAAAGAAAAACTTCTTTCTGTTACAGATAGAGCGCATTTGGCTGTTGGAGCAGAATGAACGCGTTTCTGTTGAAGAATACCGGGATATTCGAAGAATAGCCAGGCCGCTTTTGATAGACACGAGGCCTCCGATCGAGTTTGAAATCGCGCATTTACCCGAGGCGACAAGTTTGCTTTTTAATAATATTCAAAATTTTCGATTTCTTTTTGAAGATATAACACTCAATGACCTCAGCAAACTTGATTCTGCTCAAATAACGGAAAAGTTAAAGTTGAATGCGACTGAGAATGACCAGAAAAAAGGTTGATCTGTTCGAAAAATATTTTTAAAAAGTTATTTTTCAGACCTTTTTGTAATTTGTCATCGAGGGAACGATTCCCAGAGAGCTGTGAAAATAATAAAGGAAAAGGGTAATTTCGAATTTCTTTCCGTAAGAGATGTTTCTGGCGGCTATGATGAATGGGCGACAAAAGTAAACCCGAATTTCCCGGTTTATTAGTTTCTTTTCGGATAGTATTGTTGACTTTTTTGTTGGTTGTTAAGTGAAGATCAAATTTTTTATCCCGGAAGAGCAGAAAAAGGTGATGCTTAAGGCACTAGAACTGATGGCATGAGTTTGATATATACAAAGACAAAAAAATAACAAAACAACAATGAAAAATGAATCAAAAAATGAAATCTAACGGATTTTCTGCTCTGTGCGTCATTTTTGTCACCGTTTTCGAAGGTTACTCATGTTAAAAACTGGAAAGAAGTTATGCAATGGTAGTCGGGTCGCTGGAATCTCGAGGGACGACCTCCTTCCAGATGAACCAGCAGTTGAGGGCGAAACACAAGACGCAGACCCAGTCAGCCAACTGCAAAGGAGGACTTTGCCCCAAAAGGCGGCAAAGGGAACAGACCACAGAAATGGCGAGTTTGCCGTTGTTGACATCTCTGGAAACGAAAGTCGCATTTTGAGCTGCCCATTGCTCCTGCTTGAAGAGTCCGGTCAGATGCTCGTCTCTGAAAATTCTCCGAATGAACTGCGACTTCACGTTGACTCTCACGCAGTGGCGGATCCGATCGTGTTGGCTCCGGCCCACCAGATAGACGAGCAGAAGAAGAAAAGTACGAAAAAGAGGGCCGTCAATCCGAGATCCTGCAAATACCGGATCAAAACATTTTTGTGACTCCGAATTTATTGGTTTTGGGAAAAGCTCTGAATTGGCTGAAATGAAGTTCGAAATAACGTCACTTTGAAAAGTGTTGAAAGATTGAGACAGTATTCTCCAAATGAATGAGAAAAATGTTGAAAAAGAATACTGATCTCTTGGCATAACTGACCCCCAAAGGGAAATCTTTTGTCGGACTGGTAGTGCTGCCAGAGAATGACGTAGGCGAAAGTGATTATGAGAACGTAGATCAAAGCAGCGACGTTGACAAAGTAAAAGAATCCTGCGCTCCTGAAAACTTCCTTCGTCTTCGGGGAAAAAAACTTCTGAGAGAACCCTCCGGCGCTGTCATCGGAAGGCCACAAAGTCAGCCTCGAGTTGTCATCAAGACATGAATGAAATTGTGCCTTTGACAGTCTGAATTGCAGAATTCGATTTACGCCGTAGATTTTGAATCAACGTGAATGTTGCCGACTTCTGGATCAGCAATCTTGTATTGTTTTGGGGGAGCTTTGGAGGACAATTGTAGGAAACGTCGACGCCCCAACTGTTCACTGCGGCGATCGCGATCACAATGAAAATCTTGAAAAGAGGATTTTCAGTTTCTCTTGATTTTCGCTTCGTCAACTATTTAAATTTTATAAACCCACAAATTCGACGATTCTAATGAACCCCAACGGATATTTGAAAGCCGAGATGTTCAAGTTTGGAGCCATATCAGTCCTGCAAATGTCGCTCTGTTGAAAACTTCAGGAAATTTCGTTGAAAGCAGTTGAAGAAGGAATTAAGAAAAAAACAATCCAGTTCAAAAATTGAAGTTTTTTCTCATCCTTAATTTGATTTACCGTGAGAGGCCTTTCCAAAAATGAGAGAATCAAAATCGTGTGAATGAAGCAAAAAAAAAAACTGATGCTGGGGACACAAGCGCTTTGATTGAATTGGAAATGGGAAAAAAAACGAAAGACACAATAGGATCGATCAGTTGCGGACAGCTTTTTTCTAACTGAAAAACGTCGAATTTCTCGAACAGCTAGAAAACAACGGATTTATTGCCTGCATTAACAGCGGGAGAATTTTGGCTGTGAAAAGTTTTAGTGTTTTTTTGTCCCCCACAAAACATATATCGTGTTAAACGTTTAATTGTTCAAATATCCTCAAAAAAATATATATATATATTTCGCTAACACGAGCAATGACGAAACAAAAACATAAGTTGTAGGTATGTTGTCAGTTGCAGAGAAGGGAGTACAGTGCGATAACAAGTTGACGCACACTCAGAGAATCGATATCGGCCGCATGTTTGTGGCTTTGCCGAGAGTAGTTTGCACGTTTTGCCGCACTTTCCCAGTCGTTTTCACTCGTTTTTATTTTGTTTGATCTCCGAATTCGTAGTGTGGGACGATTGTGCTTTCAAGCTCCAAACTTTCCTTCTAATTTTTTGAGTTCATTCAAAATTTTTCGACGAAGTTTCAGAATAAGATAATATCTTATTTCGTGTTCAAAGTGATTCCGCAAAATCGAAAATTTCCGACCGTGAAAGAAAAAGATAACAAAATTTTGGAAGTCAGAGATAACTTTGAATTTCGCTCAAAGTACCTTGAACACGGCATTACGCTTGATTAACGTTTTGATTTCAAAATTACGAAATTCAAGAATCTGAAAACAGGGTAATATTGAAGATTTCCCAATTACGTGAAATCTACGAAAATTGAACGGAAAACAATATAGTTTGAAAAAGCGCTGTGAACGTAAAGAAATTTTCTCCGAATTGACAGAAAGGAGCTAAATGAATCTCCAAATTTTCCAACTACACAAATTTTTGAGTTTTAAAATCTTGAGCTCAACTATTGACAGTCGAAAGCTCTCTATTCAGTAAATTGAAAAAGTACTATTATGGATTTTTTTAGAAATAACAAACTAACAGTTAGAAATTACCGCCCTTATGCCTTTTGCCAAAAATTCTTAGACAAAAATTCAGACTATGCAAGAAACACAACCTAAAGTTTTTGCGATGTTAAACAATTCCTAAAACTTTATTAACTAATTAATTAACCCATCAAAACAATTTCCTCGCGGAAAAAATAACATTTATAAATTTCTTAATCTGGAAAAACAAGAGCAAATAAATCGACTTTAAATGATTGAAAAAAAATATTTATCGTTCACCAATTGCGTTGATTTAAATCGAAACTACTACGTCACTGAATGTGCAGCTTGATCACTTTAAGAGGATCCGATGACAATAGTCGTGTCCTTGAAGGCGTAAGCTGGTACGTGTAAGTTGAGCGGAGCAGGACCCTGTAAAAAAAACAACAATTTTCGAAAAAACGTCAGGTACAGGTACAAGAGAGGTCTCTTGTACCTGTACCTGGAAATTTTTTCTAGAGCAGTTCAGTAGATTTTGATTTTTTTTTTCTTGTCAACTCTTCAGCGAGATATTTCTGCTTGAACACATACATTTCACAAAAAAAAAGAAAAAAATCTCACTTTTCTAATGCGTCCAGAACCGTCGTAGTGAGACCCGTGGCACGGGCAATAATAACCACCAAAGTCACCAGCGTTAGCTGAATGAATAAGTAACACGCAAATTGAGTCAAATGATGACACCTTGAAAGCTCAAGTACTGGGCAAAGTCTAAAAGATTTTTCGTATTCATTAATATACGACGAAAATGTACAGAGTTAAAGTTTTAAAGAGCTTTTTACTTGAAAAATACTTTTCACCAACTCAAAAATGCTGTAGAAAATTTAAAAACAAAAGAAAAAAGATACCGATTGGGACACAACCCAGATGAGTACAGACACCGATGACAACGGACCACTCGTCTTTCTGAACGCGTTCGTCGTCGTGTTGCGGATCACGGAGCTCAGACACGACAACGGCCTTTTCTCTGCAAGAATTCTCATTACTAATCAAACCAAAATAGGGAAAAAAGAGAGTCACTCAAGCTGAGAAAAACTGGAAAAAATGCCTTTCTCAAAAGCTTTTTTTGCATTTTGAACATTCAGAGTGCCGTTGAAACTTTACGACTTCTCACTGATTCAGAAAAAAAAGCTTTTATATGACGAAAATTGGTCTGGAACGAGAAAATAGAAAATTTTCCACCCGAAACTAGCACTTTATAAGCGAACACAATCAAGTAGAAAATTCATTTTTCATTGACCAATCACCTGATCAAAGAGAACCACGTATTTAAAATTCATATGGTGAGCGAAAAAATGGACATGCTTAACGATTCTGTCGGTCGTGCATTTTTTTTTTCGTCAAATTTATTGATGATGATAAAATTTAAGTCGTGAAAAAAAAAGAATGGATTTTTTTAAAAAAATGGTAATAATACGAAGAGAAAAGGATAAAATAAGGTTTGAAAAAGTCACAAAACTCCTAAACAAGCCTCAAAATATTCCAAAACTAAGAAAAAATGAGTAAGAAAAAAAACAGAGCTCAAAAGTGAAAAACTTTGTTCGATTTACTGAAAAAAAAACCTGGCGATTTCGTTCTTGGTGCGGTGCTTGACGAAAACAGGCTTTCCACGCCATTCGAACGTTTTTGTCTGTCCTTCAGGAACATCGTTCATACTGATCTCGATCGAGGCCAACGCACGCTGATCAGCAGCCATAGCCTCAAATGATCAGAAATAAGTTCTTGAAAAGTGCTCAAAAACATCCAAAATTTTTCAAACAACATCATTTCTTGTCATTCGCTGAAACCTCATGATATTTATGAAATGGTTATCTCAAATATGCGTGTATATATATATATATAGGAGTCATCGCATGATAACAGAAAATGGAGGAAATCGTCAAAATTGCAAAACAAAAGGAAGTTTTGGGCAAAGTATTCATAGATCGACCGGAAAAACTTTTCAAATTCATGCCGTAAATAAAATTAAAAATACGACGAAAAATACCTTGTAGCTGACAAGCGTCTGAACAACTTCCTTTCCGGCCCAAAGAGCGAGAGCGCCTCCAGCTGAAAAAAATTGAAATCGATTTGTATATTAAACTATGCGGTATACCTCCGTAATAAACAGTGTTGGCCAAAGATCGCCGCTGATCCTCAGTTTCTCTGGCGGGCTGTTGGGTATTTTTGGCCGAATCCCGTCGATAGTTCGACATGTCGGGGAAAGTGACATCGGTGTGAGCGAATCGCCGAGAAGTCACTGAAAAGTACATCGTAACAGAAAAAAAAACCTTTTTTTAGATTATTACAAAAAACAGACTGAAGCGTTACTTCAAAGTATGTATCACCATAATATCACTTTACAGGTCTTCTCAGCTTTTTTGTTTCGACAAAAAATTTCAACAAGAAAATAAATGGAAAAAAGGGAAATTTTTGGAGTGGAGCGAAAATATTACAAATATCTTCCTCCGTCGCTAAAAACGTTATGTATTATAAATGACAATACGTTCAGGCAACAAAAAAAAGATCAAAAAACGCATTAACGAAAGTTAACACAAAAACTTCGAGGTTCAAAAAGCGAATCCTCCATATGAATCATGATATTCATCAAAAAAAGAAAAAAATAGGAAAAAATGCGAAAATCTCGATGTGCTCTACCAGAACGGCGCACCGTGCCAGCATCAATAATAGGCAAAGTAAAAACTAAGGAGGCGATTTGAGAGAACTCGAATAAACGAACCATTGATTCCCTTAACGGCCATACCGGCAGTGAAAACTCCGCCACTTGTGTTGCGGCTCACAAGTGCCTGGCGAGCCTCAGAGTTGGTCAGGTCAGCTGGGACATCTTGGATGGGAGCCGCCTAATGAGTCACATACAATTTAAAAAAAACAACGTCAAAGCTGAACTCACAACTGCAACAGCGGGGTTGACAGCAACAAAGTTAGTATGTGCTTGAGCTCCGCTGATCTAAAAAAAATTAGATTGCCAATGTTTTTGATATATTGCGTTGATTTCGTGTATCAGTATAGAACAAAAACTCACCACTTTGACAGCGAAACCACCCGAACGAGCAAGAGTCGCCATGACCCGAGCGAGACCTTCTGAAAAATTATTTGAATTTCCATAATTAAACAAGAAAAACTTCTAACTAAATTCTCTTCGAATCGTTAATATGCGATTGGAGAGCTTTTTAACATCGGCAAAAAAATATTTTTGCGATTCGACAATTTCCGTTTTAATTATAATTATAAGATTAAACAATTTTAAAAAAATCGGGTAGAAAAAAACGACGTCACTAATTTATAAATTTACTCAATCCTATTAAATCGATTTTTCTGTACATTATTTAGAGCAAAAAAAATGATAATTGATTACAAAAATTGATTGGCGAATTAAAAAACATTTTAAAAGTTCACGGGCGGGTAGAAAAGAAAATTTTAGGCCGCGCCGCAGCCGCGTCGCGCTTCGCCATGGCGCAAGTTTATAGAGAAATGTCTCATCTTTGTAAAATCAGCTGTTCAGCGGAAAAGCCCTGAATTTTCCTGCTTTCTTTTCCTTTCGGCGGCAAGTTAGGCTGCTGTAATACTCATCTACGACAGTGCAATCGCATGGGTTTGCTGCGATTTTTCGCTCGACATGTGTTCGCAGCACCGCGTCTCTTCTCACGGCGATTTTTCCCAGCAGCTGCGCTGCGAGTCCGTGCAGCTTGCAGAATCTTTAATACCGTTGATCGACGGCTCAAATTTGTTGTTTTTATTTGTTGGGCGATATCTGCTGGCTCTGGAACAACTTGAATAGCAAAGATGGTTGGTTTCCATTTCAAAAGTGGATGATTTGAATACATCTCACATGTTTCTTATAACGCGTCAGTGTAAATTTTATTGGGAAAAGTATTGGTTGCAGATGGGTGGCAAACGTGGCCGTGGAGGGCAAGGTGGAGGAAACCAAGAACGTGTACGAACTCATCTTTTCTTCGCTTCTCAGCCCGAACGAACTCACCAGAAGCGGAAGCGTCGAACTCATAGTGAGTTAATTTCTAATCAGTTTCATGAAACCATTAGCTACTTTTATTTTCAAAAAATATGGTCGTCGCTTTTAAATATTTATATAGAAAGATCAGAGAAAATTTAGACAAACTGCACGCGACATCTCATAAAAAAGACGAAATGGTTCAAGCAGGATCGAGCGAAGTGGACCCATTACAATGGACAGGTTAACCCGAAAAACTAATTTTAAATGTTTCCATCGTTTCTAGGTAATCAACGCGTTCTTCATTTCGGTCCAATGGCTCAGCGCGATCCTTATTTTTATTATTATCCAAAAGGTTGGGACATTCTATATCCAGCTCAATTCGGCTTTTTCCCGTATCGCACATCGTGAGTTTTTTCATTGATTTTTTTCCGGGTGAACACATAATGAGTTCTTCGCAGGAAGTTCCGTGGCTCAGCTTCTGTAATTTGTTGTACGGCGTTTGGGGTATTTCTTCTCATCGGCGGCTCTTTGATGTGCTTTCTTGGCTTTTTTGTTCTTTATGATCTGCCTTTTTGGAGTTGGCCTGAAGAAAATCGCATTCGACCTCCTCCAATTCAGGTAATTATTCCTTTTTTGTTACCAATTTTTACTAGGCCAGATTTTAGATTGCCGGTCCGATTTTGCTATTGATAGGTGCTTTATTACTGCTATGCTCGTTTCATTCACACGATTTGTACCACCAAAGTACGCTTTTTAAAAGTTATATTTGCATTTTTTTGAAGTTCAGCTTTTCGACTTTTCTCTACACCACACGCGGAAGCATGAAGGCCCTTCTAGAATAACTACAATAACCACTCATTACATCGTCAGTTTTCGTTCATTTTGTCCTCTCACGATTCGAATTTCAGCCCCTTCCACCAATTTTCGATAAAAACCCATATCAACCCCTTCCGCCGCCCGCATATCCCGTCTTGGAGAACAAATATGCTCAGTCGAACATCGTCAAGCCACACGACGAAAAGAAGCTCTATCCTCCTGTGTAAGTGTTTTGAGAGCAATTCGAGAAATTGTTTTTGTTCAGCATTCCTGGATGTTCCACAATGTCGCTCCATCGCAAGTCCCCTAACAACATTTTCGTGGCAAGTCCTTACAATACTCTCCGAGCCACCAGTCTCTCCAAGTGAGTATTCTCGTTATTTCACTCCAATTTTGGATTTGAAGGTACCAAGCAGGTATCCTCGACAATTCCGTCCTGGAAAATCGCTTCGGGTCTAGGCAAACGTCAGTTATCAGTAGACAATCGGAAGTTTCCAGTCAGAAAAGGTTCATCGTTTTTTAAATATTCTCTGTAACTCTGTTAAGATCGAAAAGTATGGGACCTCTCCATCGGACAGGCTCGAATCGCAGTTCCAACAGGTCCCGAAGACGTGAAAATAGTCAATTTTGAACATTTTACGAATCTAGAAATTGTTCAAATTTTTTTTGCACAGAAGCCGTATGCATTAAATAGGAAAACCGTTTTCTTTGTTTTCCTGAAGTAGGAGAATCTTTTAAAAAGAGTATTTTGTACATCAAAAACTCCTCTTCCGTATCGGACCTCTTCTTGAATTTTGACTAAAGCGAAAATATCAAGTAAGATCAATTTAGAGCGTTTGAGGCTTTTGTTGTTGAGGAAAAGAGGAAAACCGTGATCCTCTTTCAAGCATACGGTATCGGGAATTATTGCACAGAACAGGATTTGATTGTGTTTTTAAGGATCAAATGTGTACATTGTCCTAATCAAAATAAAGTTTTATAGAGTCTTATCTCAATTTTTGTGTGATTCACCGTTATCTACGGCGCATGTTTCTGGCTTCGCAGTATATTTTTTCCTTGAAAATAATGATTTTTTTAAAAGATCAAATGATAGTTTGAGAGGCCACAACTGCCGATAAAATGGTTGAAGAGCAGGACAACGAAGAGTTTGGCGTGAGTTTCCTTGTTTCCATACCTCATTCTTGCAGCCTTTTCTGCGCTTTTTCTCCTTGCGGCAATCACAAGAGAATCTATGAAAAATCAAGACAAGCCAAAATGTTTGATGTTTTATTAGAATAAAGAGTTTTCTTATTTTTTCAGTATTATGATCAGAACAATTATCATCTAGGAGTACTCGCCGGCGGCCGAGCCAGCGTATTCCGACGGAAGCGAATCGGAATCAGAAGACGTGTCTCCGTCGGCCGTTCTGATCTCGCCTCCGGGACGTCGTCAACACGCCTACGACGACACCTTCTACTACGAGGGCGAGTTCAGCCAGGAGAGCAGTGGCCAACAAGAATATCCACCGCCCAACAAAAGAGCCCATCGTGAAGAAGAATCTAGCTCGGTTTGTCTTTTTTTTTTTAACTTTTCTTGAGCAAGATCTTTTTTTTTATCTTTTTCGAAGTCGTACTTTAGTAGATTATAGAAGAATATTTTCATTATTATAACTAGGGCAGGTTTTAGCGGGCTTAAGTTATTCTCACAGCTAGTTCAAGTTTGTCTCAGATGAAAATGTACCTAGATCAGTTCTTGTTGAAAAATAAAATCTACCCAGGATATCTTAAAAATCTCATCAACGTATATTCAGTTGTATCTGTGTATGAACTTCACAAGAAAAATTCAAAAAAATTATTAAAGAAAAAAATTTTTGGGATCCCAGGTATCAATTAGAATCCTAGACGTTGAATCATACTTTATCAAATTCTGAAGAAACAATTAATTTTCAGTCGGCGACTCAGGAACCAAGAGTTCTTTCGGAGCCTCGAGGTCCTACTGGCCGTCGATTTTACTTCATAAGCGTCAGGACGATCGAGTTCGCCATTCCGGAAGGCTACGACATCGAAGAAGGATCCATTGAGTATCTGGGAGGCGGCGCCTACGGCAACTGCATGTTGGTCGAGAAATCGTCAATTTGAACTCTCATTTCCTTTCAGTAGAACAAATGCGAAATGCCGCGATGGGAAAGTTCGAGGGGTGGCTATCAAGAAATTCCGCGATCCATTTGTCAATCCCACTCAGGTATATAATGCCTTTGTGACCTTTTATAGTTAATTGTCGTGGTTTGAAGTCGCGAAGAATCTGCCGAGAGATAAAATTGCTGCAATTGATGCGCCACGACAACATCATCTGTGCGATGGACCTCTACACTCCGGACAATTCTGAAGAAGAGTTCAGAGATATGTGAGCCATATTTTCAACGAAAACTTGGAAATTTTCAATTTTCAGCTATGTTGTTACGGAGTTTGCGGGCCGAAGCATCTATCGTATTCTTCGCACCCAAAATTTGAGCCGAGAAAAGGTTTTTAATTTTTTTTTAACGGAGCTCAACGTAATGTTAAGATTCTGAATAACGACCACGTCAAGTTCATCGTTTATCAGCTGCTCCGTGCTTTGAAATACATTCATTCCGCAAATGTAGGCTTTTTTTCTAACTTTGCTCCCCTCAAAGCCGTTTTGAAGATAATCCATCGCGATTTGAAACCTGGAAATTTGGCTCTCACCGACGATTCTGACTTGACTGTGCTTGACTTTGGATTGGCTCGATCGTTGGAAAATCATGTTCGTATCCCTTTTTCACCGGAAAATTTCTGTTTTTCTTTCGCAGGAATCAAGTCTCACTCAGTACGTGATGACTCGCTGGTACCGTAGTCCTGAGGTTATTTATTGGAACATCGACACTTACACTAGCAAAGGTAGCTGGAAAAAGGTTTTCACTGATGATTTCTTCTCGTTTCAGCGGATATGTGGTCGGTTGGATGCATCGCAGCGGAGTTGCTGACCGGCGAACCTTTGTTTCCGGGCGATGACGGTAGTTGATCGAGAAAAATCATATTCAAATTGAGAAAGTTCAGCGAGTATGCAGTACGCGAGAATCACCTTGCTGTGCGGAAGTCCGGACAAAGAACTTCTGGACAAGGTAAGCGGTTTTCGAAAAATCAAAGATTATATTAGGCGAGCTTTTGAAAATTTAAGCCAGTTCAGCAGCAGTTCATGTGAAAAGTTTCAGATCGAGAGGAACAATTCGAGAGCAACTCGACGAGTTGTTGAATCTTTCAAGGCCTACAAACGGCAGTCCTTCGCGAGATACTTCGAACCCTACACGCCGGCGCCTGGATTCGTCGAGTTCCTGGAAAAAATTCTCGTGTTAGACCCGGAAAGAAGGTTTTTCTTATTAAAAAAATGTTTTCTTATTAAAACTTTTTCTTATTAAAACAAAATGATCGGAACTGAATTTTATCGTTTCTTGAAAAATTGCTCTGTTAACGATTCGCATTCTTTAATAGTTTCTGTACTATCCAACAAGTAACCGTGTTATTTAAGATGTGAGCTTCATGAAAAAATATTTGTTCTTCAAATAAAGCCTTCAATTATTTTCCCTTTTCCTGATTGGTCATCAGGAAAACTGTCAGTCCAATAATTATACTGCAGAATGACGGTGGAGGAAGCTATCCAGCACCCTTACCTCAGAGAATATTACCTTCCCGAAGACGAGCCCGTGGCCTCGCAGGCCTTCGATTTGGATGATTCTGAGGCCAGATCGTGCTCCCAATGGAAAAGTTGGCGCTCCGTATGATTTCTTCGTTGATCAAGATTGTTGCAGCGATCGTCTGGAAAGAGATCGTCAACTTCAAGCGCGAACAGCACTCGCCTCTCCTGTCGGGCGAGTCCCCATCTGCCTAATATCAAACAATTTCAAGCTATTAATGTTATTCGCCACTAACCCTGAGTATTTCCAACTCTTTCTCTTTCAGTCCTTCTTCGCCCGATCACAAATCATTAGCATATTTTTGTACATATATTTTTGTTGCTTATAGTAAGCTCGGTGTAGTGAATTCGTGTAACATTTTCCTGTAGCTTCTGTTCTCGGTTTGTGATTTTGTTCCTACCGGTTATGAACATGAGATTTTCCCGAAATACGGAATCTTCAACTCGCAAACCATCTTATTCAATATTTGTTGACTCTTCGATTGACTTTGATTATTTTTTTATCGTCGACATTTCATTTCGTTTTCTTCCTGTACTTTTTTTTCTATTTTGATAAAGTTTAGAAGCAAACTTCTATTATTTGAAAGCAGAGGTTTCACTCCAGCTCCAGAGATATCTCCGAAGTTAAAAGTTTTTTTAAGCAAAAAACCGAGAAATAATTCTCGAAAAATTTGGGGTTTTTCACAATTATTTGGACTTTTTCTGAAATAATAATAATTTCATGATGTTAAGGCTTCTCATTGGCCTTAATCCTCGACAAAAATGCCCTCGACTTTTATTTGATCAGGCCGAGGTTCATTTCTATCATCTTTCTCAGAGAAAAAACTAGATCTCAGGGGTAAAAGATGCCGATTTCGGCCAAGTTTCCCGATGAAGAAAGGACGAGACACGCTTCTGCAAACAATTCCAACGTCTTCTTCGCTCATTTCGGTCCGGCTCCCGTCGAAGTAACGCCAGAGAACTTTCATCAGGTTCCTTATCAAAATCCGACTTTTTTTCAATTTCGAGCTCCAGGTGGAACTCAACAAGACACTCTGGGTCATTCCGAACTGCTATGGAAAGCTTTTGCCGTTGGGAGAAGGTGCATATGGAGTGGTTTGGTGAGAATTCGGTCCGGAAATCGTTGATAACTTCTGACGATACAGCACTGCGGAGTACGCTCTCAACACTGAAAGAGTGGCCATCAAAAAGTTCTTCCGGCCCTTCCAGAGCACGATCCACGCCAAAAGAACATACAGGCTCGTTGTGTTCTTGGAGATGATCCTACTTGCTGGCCTTGCAGGGAACTGAAGCTCTTGAGAACGCTGAGTCATGACAACGTTCTGGAGATGATCGACGTCTTCACTCCCGACCAGTCTGCCCTCTCTCTCAACCATGTGTACGCCCTCCCAAATTATATTTTTTGAACTGGAGCTCGACTTCCAGGTATTTCGTGTCTGTGCTCATGGGATCCGACCTCCAGAACATTTTGAAAATTCAACGGCTCACGGACGAGCAGATTCAACTCCTCATTTATCAAGTTCTCCGGGGGCTCAAGGTTTGCGATGTTTCAATATTTTAAAGCTGTTATACTATCTAGGAAATAATGGTTTTCACTCAATTCTTTTAAAGCATACATTTAGTTATGAAACTTTCTTATCTTTTTCCAAATGACTTCTGAGTTCCATTCAAGCTGGGATTTTTGGAATTTTTTGACATATTTTGCAAAGATTCCCAGAGCTCCTCAAAATCTTCGTTTTATCTCTTGATTTATCGTAGCCAAATCTTCTTGGATCCCACTCTAAATAATCACGGAGCGAATTCGATGAAAAGAGTGACGTCATCGGGTCGCCTTCTCCCTCGATAATCCTCCTTTTTCTCTTCTCTTGCCGTCCGCAGTGAACTTCCTCATTGCCTTTTTTGCGGTTTTTTGCTCTTTTCGATGTTTTTTTCATTCATGTTCTCAACGGTTCACTGTTGACCGGCAAAATTTATCAGAGATTTTGATTCGTTTTCAACTATTTCGAAAAATGTTAGAATAAGAAAAAAGTTTTCTAAGAGTTTCATTTTTTTTTTGTATCTTTTGAGTATTGCGGTAAAATTAAATTCATGGCATTTTTAGTTTTTTTTTTCGAATTAATTTCTTCGCAATTTCTCCAAGACGTTATTCTTGGAGACCGCGAATAATTGCTTTGGCGTCGCAAAACAAAAAGAAGATGGAGAAGTTTCCTTTTTTTCCGAGCATAACAAATTAATATTGTCCACAACATTCGAACGAAACATTTTAATCATTATTTTTCAATGTCTTCCATTTTCTCTCATTTTTTCTTTTGAATTTCTCAGATGTTTTTTTCCCCGATCTAAAAATCCTAGATTCTAATTTTTTTGTTTTATAACCTTTATTTTTTTCGAAAAAAAGTAGTGGGATGAGGAAGCTCTTATTTTTTTATTGTAATCACTGAACTTTTTTTAATTTTTTTGGTTTCTTCTTTTTTTAAAATTCTTTCAGTTGGATCAAAAGCAAATTAACAAAACGACATAAAAAAAGTTAATTTATGAACTTTTTTTCTGAGTTAGCACATTTTTTTCAATTTCTTCGTTTATTGAAGTTGATTTATCATTTAAATCTTAATTTATGAACTTCTTTTTTGTAAATTATCATGAAGTTAATTTGAAATGTCCATTTTTGGCCTGCCAACATATTTTTCGAGGCTTCTTTTTCCGGTTGTGGACTTGCCGCAGAAGGTGGCCACTCTTACGTATGATCTCTGGTCATTGAAACTTCTTGTTTTCTTTCCGAACTCCCTTGTCGTCTGCAGCGATTTCCGTCCTCTGCGCCTGAAAGTACGGCTTAGATTTTCTCATGTTAAGCTCCGTCCGTTTTAAAAAAAAAATTTCTGTTGTATATCGATTTTATTAAATATAATAGAACTGTAGACTCCTTCTGTTGGCTACTTAAAACTGTTTTTCGAATCAAACGGGCAACAAGCAAAACGCGTGTTTTTAAAAAACCCTAGCAATGAAGTTTTAACAGAACATCTCTCTTGGATACTTTCAGAAATGTGAACCTTCTGAAATTTTGAGGTTAGGAGTTTGAGAAAATTATATCTTACTCATCATTGAAAAATTTACTATATATCGGAAAATACGAATTTCATAATTATTTAATAAAATAATATTGTATAGAAGGCGTTTATGTTTGTGATACATCTCTACTCTTAACTTTTTTCTTAGTTTTTTATTTGCTCATGTATTTTTCTATAGAGAAACTGTTCAAGATGAGCTTCTTGTGAGATTTGCAGCTTCACTTAGATTTCCTTCGAAAAGTCCGAAACGTCTCTGGAATCAAGTAATATAACTGAAGCGACCTCTGTTCTGTTGGTCTTGCGTTTTCTCCATCCGACGTCCTCTCTTAATCTCGCGTTTCTTTGCTTTTCTTTCCGTCTCTCCACTCTCCGATTTTCTTTCTCTCTCTTCAATGCCGTCGATGTTCAACGACCAAACTTTTTGGTCTATTTCTGATGTTATACGACAACATTGGCAAACTTTCCTTTTTAACCAAATTCAAATATTGTTGTCCGCCCATGAAAAGCTGTTCTTTGTTCATTTATTTTTCCCACTCTCAATTCATCTCTTTTCCATTTTTCCCAAGCTTTTGATCTCTTTAATTTTCATCATTTTTTTACGGTTTTGGATATATTTCTCAGAAAAAGCTTTATTATTACAGTATATTCACTCGGCTGGGATCATTCATCGTGATTTGAAACCTTCAAATATTGCCGTCAACGAAAAATGCGAAGTCAAGGTTGGTTAGAAAGTTTTTGAATTTTAATTTCAAATCATTTGTATTAATTACGTTAACGTAGTCGTTTAATTGAATTATTCATGAAAAAGGTCTTAAAGTGGTCGAAGATGATAGAAATGGAACTTTTTTAGCTTATAAAAAACTTTGTATTATTTTGATTTTCTGTTTATTGTTTCTGAAAAAGCGGACGTTAAGCAGAATTTTTTTTTGATAGAAGTATTAAATTTCAAAAGTTCTTTCGTTCTTTACAAAGGCGATAGGAATAAAGTTTTTTATTTCATAATAATTATCGCTATTTCACAATTTTCTCCTAAAGTCCGGCTTTTTTTTTTGAATGCGAACTGGCTCTTTATTACACTCTTTCATAATCCTTACTGAAGACGGATTTAATTTGCTGCCATTTTTCAACTAAACTTCCATCTCGGTTTCCAGGACATAATTCTGTTCAGATCCTGGATTTTGGCTTGGCTCGGCAAGCAGACGTCGAAATGACTGGATACGTGGCCACTCGATGGTACCGTGCTCCGGAAATCATGCTCAACTGGATGCACTACACTCAGACCGGTACTTTCTCGTTTAAATATCCTCACCATCTTATAAGTTCTCTCTAATTAAAAAAATGCATTTTATATACTTTTTGCCTACCTTGTATCCAAATTTTGAGAGACTTCAAGAATAATGTATAATCAACAGATTCTTCTTTTGGCTGCATTGGAATTTAGTTTGTTAATGTATTTAAAGAAGGATCAAAAGTGATGAAAGAGTGTTTTGCAGTGGATGTTTGGTCGGTGGGCTGTATTCTGGGCGAGTTGGTGAGCGGTCGAGCCATGTTCCCTGGAGATGACCGTACGCTTCTCCCAAGATTTCCTTGAAGTTTACCTGAGTTCTCTTTTCAGACATTGATCAATTGACGCGAATCATGACTTCTTGTGGTACCCCAAACGAAGATTTTTGTGCCAAAATACAGTCAGAAGAGGCCAGAAATTACATAAGGTTGATCTCCCACAGAAACTCACTTCAACTCAACTGATTGCTCAGAAATCGGCCTTTTTCGCCTCCGCGTTGATTTCCGCGAACGTTTCCCATCGGCTTCCGATAAAGCTGTCAATTTGTTGGACAAGATGCTTGTTTTGGATCCGGATAAGAGGTTTCAAAACTCCCAGATTTTTTTTTTGAAAATATTACTCGATCCAGATTATTTCACGCTGTATGTATTTTCAATTATAAAGGGCGAATTACAAAAAATAAAAGATTTCATATTTTAAAAAATTAATGAATTTCTGTGCTTTAACTTGTCCAATTCTTTGAACTTATTTTTTTCTTTTTCAAAAATTTCCGGAATTTTTTTAAAGTCTGCACTTTTAATTTGTGTTCTGCATGAAAAAGTTTCTACAGCGATATGCGCTTTTTCTTTCCTGGACGCGAATTTTTTTATTGTAGCTTGAAAGTGATTTTTTTTCTCTATGATTTTTTTCCTGACTAGATCTATTGAGAAAACTTATCGAAAGCCCTTGAAAAGAGTTTCATTAAATTTTCACTTCCTACAATTTATTGTGGTTTTTTTGGCTTTACGCTGAATTTATTAAAAATTCCTTTTTCTGTATGATTGTTAACTTTTTCAAAAAAGTTTCATTCTCCATCATTTTTTTTCTTCAGAATATCCGTGGATGAGGCATTACGTCATGACTATCTCAGAGAATACTACGCGCCTCACGATGAACCCGTCGCCGACAAACCGGTTCGATCCTTTCAAATTCTGAGACCTCAATTCGCCCTTTCTGGCAACTTTTCGAAAAATCTTTCTAGTTGATCTATTGACGATGTATGTAGAAGTTTGCTCAGTGGTCTGCGAATGTTTTTATTTCGCGGTCATTCCGATCTTTCATCTTTTCCCCGTTCAGGTTGGTGTCGACGCCGCCGAAGAGGCCGCCGTCACGATCGACGATTGGAGACGTTCGTTTTTTTTTCTTCATACTTTTGAATCGATTAGTGTTTAAGCTGTTATCAGAGCATGATGGAATTTTTCTTGGATTAATGGGAAATCTCTGAGGAAAAAAGCTTTTAAAGATTATTGAAAAAAAAAACATCAAAAAAAACATTCTTGAATAAAATAAGCGGATATGGGCGGTTGTAGCAAAAAAGATTTTAGCCAAAACTTTCAACTCTGTTGCTTTCTTCTGTCATTTCGAATGTTTATCCGATTTTTTATTTTAAAAGTAGCGCCGTTTGCACAGCAAAACACTAAGGTCTTTCATTTGCTTGGACGTACATCAAAAAGTACTCGGGCAAAACGGAAAAGCTCCTCAAAATTTAGATTGATTGTTCAATAGAGCAACAATGTGATGGGCGGAAACAGTTTTATGTTGCAAAATAGTAAAAAGAAAAAGAGCTTTTTGTGGTTATGAGACGCATTTCGCATCAAAAGTAGTATTATTTTAGTGTCCCGTTTGTTCGATAGATTTCTTTCTGTTTACAATATTCGCCTGTTTCAGATCTCATATGGCAGGAGATCCAGCTGTTCCAGGCTTCTGGTCGTCGTCTCAGCTACAATTCTTCCAACGAAAACCGAAGTCTTTCTGACAGTTCCAACGGCTTCATGATGGGCGACGAGAGCACGACTCCAATGGAAGAATCCTCTTCTTTCTGATTCTCTATTCATTTCAACTTTCCAACTTATATATCATGACTTCTGTTTCGATGCTTTCTCCGAAAGCCGAAGTGTTTAAAAGATTTCTGAATGACTTTGATTTTTCCCTGCGTCTCAGGCTTGTATGTATATAATTTCAAAAGTCCCATGTTTTTAGGAGGATTAGCTGATGATTTCGAAAATCATGACCCTGAGTTCAGAGTTTCTTTCACTAGAGAGATACAAACATATTTTTCGCGAAAAGTTTTAAGGTTATCAGAAGATCTCACCTCGCGATTCGCAGCCACGATCTCTTTAGCCACGATCCACGTCCAGCCGTTTTGATCATACTCATTCCACTCGCCTATAAGTTCATCATAAGCACTTGTGATTGTTGTTTTCGGTGTTTTGGTTAGCTCAGCTTTATGTATCTTTCAAATTTCTACTTTTAACGATCTTGAAACACCCTATTAAGCTTCTTGCCCGCCTTTTCCCACTGTTTCCTTTCTTGTGCAGCATATTGTCTGTACAGACTTTCACTCGGAGTTTCAACTTGCCAGAAAGTTATTACGCAGAAGCTTCCGAAAATGACTCGACGATCTTCATCGAACATAATCTTTTCTGTTGATTTTACATGCATCGTGCTCATTTTTTTCATATAATTACTTTTTACAAGCTTTTAAATTGTTAAATCTAATAAATTTTTTTACTTCTTTCAATGTTATATATATTTTTTCAAACGGTTATGTTGAAATGACCGCTGAATATTTCAATGTTTGTGATATCTTTGTTTGTTTGTCAAGCGTTTTTTTTTCAAGGTATTGATTTTTTTTTTCACGTTGTTTCCACGCTTCGTCTTTCATGATAACGCATCGATCTAGATTAGGCCTCAAATTTCCGCTGGCTTCCTTTTTCATACTTTTTTCCATTAATATTCAGCTTTTATCATTTTTAGAGTCCAGAACTTTCGGATCGCGCAGCAATGCTTCACGAATCATTGCGTGAGGGATACTATGTAGTGGAATTGAACAGAAGTGTCTGGATGGTCCCCAACTACTACCAGAACCTCACGCCTATCGGAACTGGAGCCTACGGAACTGTTTGGTAGGTTTCTTCCAGATATTACAACTTTTTTTAGTACTTCAACTCCCTGTGAACTTGTGGAAAGTGAAATTCGCTAGTTATTTTTATTGAAACTTTCTTCATTTCTGCATGGTCTTTCGCTTTCAGCGCCGCCGAATGTACAAGGACTGGCCAACGCGTCGCCATCAAAAAGTTCAATCGTCCATTTCAATCCATTATCCATGCTCGCCGCACTTATCGGTTGGTCTTCTTAGTGTTTGATTCTTTTTTTGAATTTCTAGTGATATCCAAACATTTTTGTTTTACCCTTTTTACTTTTCGAGCTATTTATTTAAATTTAAAAAGACTTAATTTTATCAATTTTTCGATTTCAAAAATTTTCTAAAGTTTTCGTTATATTTAATTTTTAACTAGATAAGTCATTATCATTGAAACGTCGAAATGGTTGAAATTTATACCGAAATTGTCACTTTTCGATTTCCTTCGATTTACTTCTTAATAGAGCTCTTTTCTTGCAGCGAACTTCGTCTTCTGCGATGCATGCGACACGAGAACATCATCGACATGCTCGACGTCTTCACTCCGAACGACACTCCCAAGGAAATTGAGGACGTGTTCGTTTTACCTCATCTTCCAAGAACTGAATCTTCCAATAAATTGTTTCCATTTCTCACTCTATCTTTTCAGTTACTTCGTCTCGATGTTGATGGGGGCTGATTTGTCGAACATCTTGAAGATTCAGCGGCTCAACGACGATCACATCCAATTCTTAGTTTATCAGATCCTGCGTGGCCTCAAGGTTCATTCAAATGCGTTTTTCTTGATTCTAGCGACATTTTTCAGTACATCCACTCGGCCGATATCATCCATCGCGACTTGAAACCGTCAAATATTGCTGTCAATGAGGATTGCGAACTGAAAGGTATTTTGCGATTAAATGTTTTTTTCTAGCAAAATTTTATGGAAGGTCGTGACGTTTTCAATATCTTGTACTTGGATCAGACTCAACGGAAGGGATTTTCATTAAAAAAATAATATTGAATTTTTCTGAATTCCAAATTTGGAGCTCAACCCCTTAACGTTTAGGGCTTTATATTTTCAATTTATAAAATAGTAGAACCTGCGGCCAAAAAAATTTTCTGTGGAAAATTCCGTTCTTTCTAGAAGTTATGTTAGCTGAAAAAATGAAAAATTTGTATGTCATACATCTGAGAGAAGGAAAATAAAGTTTTTCAGATTCTGGACTTTGGCCTGGCGAGGCAGACGGACTCTGAGATGACTGGATACGTGGCCACTCGATGGTACCGTGCTCCGGAAATCATGCTCAACTGGATGCACTACACTCAGACCGGTTGGCTCTCCGTATCTCTTTCAATAACGAGAAACCATTTTCAGTCGACATCTGGTCAGTTGGATGCATTTTAGCCGAGCTGATCACTGGAAAGACGCTTTTCCCCGGCTCTGACCGTTAGTCTTTTTCAGGAAAATTGGAAAAATGTCATCGTTCTCAGATATTGACCAGTTGACGAGGATAATGTCAGTGGTCGGAACCCCAGACGAAGAATTCCTCTCGAAAATATCTTCAGAAGAGGCGCGGAATTACATCAGGTATACTGTGAAGCTTTTAATCAGGCGCTATAATTTATTTCCCCGGATGAATTTTCCATTTTTCCTTTGAATTGTGCAACAAATAATTAATTTTTTTGACGATTTCATCATGAACATGAGCTTTCATGATGGACAACTCATTTATAAAAACGAAAAAAATGAAAAATATACTTCAAGTTTTATAAAGGTGAAAGGTGACGATGCATTTTTTGTTCACGTTACGTTTTTATGCATTATCAAGTTTTTTTTTTCCCTAGGTTTTCTTATTCATTTTTCAAGCCTGAACTTTTGTGTTTTCTAAGTATGATCCTCACTCGTCTCAAGTGATTGAAAAATAAAATGCTGCAGGAATTTGCCGAAAATGCCCCGGAGAGACTTCAAAAAACTGTTCTCACAAGCTTCACCTGCCGCCATCGATCTGCTGGAGAAGATGCTGAATCTGGATCCGGACTACAGGTCGTTCTGGACTATCGGACTCTTCGAAGAAGCTTTTTTCAGGCCCTCAGCACAACAGGCGATGGAGCACGAGTATCTGGCCGCGTATCACGACGAGAGCGACGAGCCCATCGCCGAGAACATCGACCTGCACGAGGAGGTCGAGTCGAACAGCATCGACGAGTGGAAGAAGATCATTTTTGACGAAATCGAAGACTTCCAGGTCTAGAAGCTCTCTCTTTTCCTTCTCATTCTTGTGTTTCAGAAGAACCACGTTTTCGACGAAATGGAAGGAGAAGGTTTTGAAAATGAGGATTCGTCTTCTATGGAGAATTGATTTTAGGAAATAATTAGAATTTTCTCGTTTTTTTTTCAGTTCTACCCACCCTACTCTGCATCTCCCTGGCTAGTTACCCTCATTTTACGGCCATTTCAAATTTTATTAGACGAAATATAATATAAGACTTTGTACATCATATAAATAATTTTCTTGGTTTATGGTCCTCCTCTTTTCTTCAACGCCGTGTTATCTACCTATTTGCCTTTTCTTAAACAAGTCTCATCGGCGCAGGGAATCAAAAGCTGTTCCCATGCACCTCCTTTTTGTCAGTACTGTTCTCAGTATCCTTTATCTTAACGCTTAACATTCACTTGACTAACGTCTTATTAGCTTTTATTGCCTTGATTCTATTGTTATATGCCGCCGTTGTTCATTTTTTTGTTGTATAGTGGTTTTTTTCTCAAAACTTATTAGTGTTCATTGATGACCGAATCAAAGCTTCATCCACAAGTACTATAAATTTTTATTTCACACACTTGAGTTGACCTTTGGAAGATATGTTATTCGAATTCACAGCCGCAGGAGGTCTACTACGTATAGTTCTTTCGCACAAATATTGACCTATCACTCGGTTCTTTGAGCCACTTTAATCGGCAAAGACGTGGAAATCTTTCGCTTCTCTGCTTTTTCCTTATCACGCGTTCTTCTTGAAGTTGCCCAGAGCCTCAAAAACTTGTAGGCTAGACCTGATAAAGGTCATTTTATCTTGTTTGTGGCGGGTTTCTCACTTTGAAGTCCTTAAATTTAAAGACTTTAGGGCCCAAAAGTTCTTTTTTTATTGGAGGTCGATGGTATATATTCAAAAATCTTAATTCCACGTGAACATACAATTTTCTCTTAGTGTGAATACAGATTTTCTTCCTAGTTATTTTGTGCCTTGCATTCTTTATTTCTGAAATATATAGCTCAGAAAGATTTTGTTGACCTTCGGCGGACCAAAACCAACTACAAGTTCTCGTAGTTTCCCCTTACTTTTTTCTTGGCAGAGAGGTAACCAGTTTCCGTTCGCCGCGTCATTGTCATCTTTTCTCTTATTTTACGTTTTATTTAATTTTCAATTTCACGGCTGAACAAACGCTATTTATAAATCAGCAAAATTTCATGTTTTATCGCCTTTTCTTTCACTTTCACAAGCAATGTATATTATCATACAGAGAAAAAACAGTCCAAACAAGTTTTGGTGTTTTTTGAGTGCACACAGTACTAAAACGGTTATCAGCGACACGTATCCATATCAAATCAATTGAGCATAGCTTTTGGGGGTACAGTGTCTTCGACGAGAAATTCGATAGAGTATTGACATATTTTGGATGAATCGTCGCCTATGTGTCACTTTTTATATTGAATGTTGTGACAAAAGCTTAAAAGTATAATCGGAGAGTGTGAACATTGTACACATATTTGTTTCAATTTTCATAAATTGTTATTCAATGTGTTCTTTTAGATAAGATTTTCATGTTTACGTTCGTCATTCTGTTCTTGTTTTGTGAGCACTGTTCTTGTGCTTCTGTTTTTATAGACTTAGAAAAGGTTTTCAAAAAATTCAAAGTGTGTTTTAACTATGACCTTTAAATTTCGCCCCTCTCCAGAGTCCCTTGTTTCAAAAAGAGGTTAAATCAGCTGAGCCAAAAAAGGTCTCTGCGGGTGCCCCCGTTTTAAACCCATATGAGCAAAGCAGGTAGAACTTTTGACTTTTTACCGCATTTGAGGCACCGTTTGTGGGGTCTCAGATTTTCGAAATGAGAGCCCATCAAAGTTGAGACCGGCGCCAGCTTCTAGTTTTTGAGATAATTAATTTTGAAATCCGAAAAGTTGTTCTTAAAATTTAAATTTTGAGAAAACGTTTCAAAAACTAAAAGTTTGCGGAGGTATCTACTATAGGGGATCTTCATCTTGACGTTCAGAGAATTTGAGAATTTTGAGCGAATTTATTGAAATGTCCAAACCGCAAAGTAAAATGACCTCCCTTGTTACATTATCCCAGCTTTTCCCCGAATGACACATATACAAGCTCCGCCCATTCTTGATGAAACACCCACGATTAATGATTCAACCAAGAAATAGAAATGATGTGATTATTATTGAGCATGATTAAAAAAGTACTGATAAGCAAAACTTGATATGAGTATATAACAGCGCTCCGAAAAAAAGTTTTACCTTTCAAAGTTTGTTTTTTCTCTCTTATTGTATTCATTACATTAGAATAGGAATGTATCGATTTTCAGTATCTGAGAAAAATTTCTTTCAAATGGAAATTATCGTGGATAGATAAAAGGTGGTTGATAACGTTTGCTCCGATTCTTCTTTTAATTTTTCTGGTCTTTTATTTCCAAAAGGCGAAAAGCGCGCTTCAAGGTGAAATTTGATCGAACCGGCCGCTTATTCTTTTTTGAGTCAGAGGGGGCGGAGTCGAAGAAATTTTCGTTCCATTTTTCATTTCTCTGAAGGTTTTCCTAGCCTTTCTCCGTGTGGAGATAGGCTCTCTCTTATTTTCTTCCTATTTTTTATTATAATATTGCAGATCACAAAATGATTTTTCTGTTCACTATATTAGCGCTTGTGGCAGCAGCCGTTTACTGTAACGTCGTTTGGGGCAGGAGGAAGCTGGTGAGCTTTTTTTGGATTCAGATTCTGATGACTTGGAAAAACAACCAACAAACTAAGTTGGTGTAGAAGAAAAAGCCAGGGCTGAGTTTTTTTTTTCAGGCCGATAGGCTGTTAGGGTTTTCAGAGGAGGATGTGCTAGACATTTTTGAGTAAAGGGACTTTTCTTCCAGCGTCGGATGGAGTTGGAAGCGATCGTTGCACGCAAACGAGCAGATCGCGAAGCGAGCATCGCGGCCGCGAAAAGCAGCGCCGCGAAAGTTGATGTCGAGGTCCGCGACCGAATCGCCGTCATGGAATTCGCCGAACTTCGAGGTCATCTTTCTTCGAATTTTTTAAAATTCTCGACGTTCTATTGGTTTCATCTGTTTGATATCAGTCTGGGTTCGCCTGAACTGTTTGTACTTCGACTTTGCTCATGATTCACGCGATAGTTTTCTCTTCGGCTCGGTGATACGAAGTCGTCAGACTCTTTCGTCTGAAAGCCTCTCTTTTCATCTGGTTTGTGTAAATAGAATCAAAAAGCAATAGAAAAGAGTTGAATAATCATCATGACATTGGATGATAACATAAAATATAAAGCTCATCTTCAGATGGTCTCCAAAAAGGAGAGATCTCCTGTCTGGACGCCGTGCGGACTTTCTACCACAAAGCAATTCTTGCCAATGAGAGAACCAACAGCGTTTGCATGTTCATTAAGGTTTCAAAAGAAACTCATTTGCAAATGAAAGTTTTGTTGAAGGAAGCCGAGGAATGGGCCAGGGAGTGGGACGAAAAGGCCAAGGAACCTGGATTCGTGAAGCCAGCCCTCTTCGGAGTTCCCTTCTCTCTGAAAGAATGCGTTCCAGTAATTTTCCGACAGTTCTTACGAAACCTTTCTCTCACTTTTCCAGATCGAAGGCTACGATCAGACCCGCGGTTTCGTTCAAGATACCTACAAACCGACAAAAGAGGACAGTGTTATGGTGGCTCATATCAAGAAAATTGGTGAGTTCTTCTTTTGAAAGTTCTGCGATCAGACTCGCAGTTTCGTTCGTTCGGAAGTTCCTCAAAAAATGATTATCAGGTGGAATCCCGTACGTTCAAACAAACGTGCCGCAATCTCTTCTCAGTTACAACTGTGCCAATCCAGTTTTCGGTACGAATCCAATGAAAGCACTTGGAATTAGTTTTCTGAATATTCAGGAGTCACCAATCATCCCAAGGACAAGAACCGCACGAGTGGAGGCTCTTCTGGGGGTGAATCGGCCATCCTTGCCGCCGATGGATCAGTTTTGGGTTGGTTTCTAAAGATCTTTATAATCCACTGTTTTGCTTCTCAGGTATTGGTGGCGACGTAGGTGGCTCCATTCGTATACCTTGTCATTTCACTGGGACTGCTGGTATCAAGGTAGACTCTCAAGTCCTTTTCCAATCTGAAATATAAATTAAGCCGTCGCATCTGCGATTCTCGCACCGCGGAGTCTGCGGGTCGGTGCCTGGCCGACCTTTGATCAACTCGAACGACGGCCCGATGGCCAGGGATATTGAGACGAACGTCGCCTTTCTGCGCGAGGTTCCTTCTGAATCCGAATCATCGTAACTCACGCTTCCGTTTCAGGTCTGGAAGGACGACTGGATTTCGCAGCAGGATCCCTACGTGCCGCCCGTTCTCTGGAACGAAGATCTCTACAAGGAGGGCCGCAAATACCGAATCGGGTACTACGTTGACGACGGCTGGTTCACGCCGACTCCTGCACTTCAGGTCTGTTATAATGACTCTTTTTTTGAGTCATAGGAAGGGAACAAGTGTTGGAGAGAATATTTTCAGCGATCAGTGCTTGAAGCGAAAGAGCATCTGGAGCGCGCCGGACACACTTTGGTGCCTTTCCAGCCGCCGCGAGTTCCAGAAGTCATGAGACTTTTCGTCCGGGCCGTCTGCGTCGACGCCGGCCAGTACTTGCTCAACAAAATGCTCAACGTGGGTTTCTGAAATTGACTAACGTGAAAATGTTTAAAAAAAGGATGGTGAATGAACCTTGATATAATTTTTCTGCCGCGAGAAAAAATTATAAAACTTTGAAAGCCTCTAATTTCGGGTTTAGGACATCGTGGAACCGACTCTCTACGCTCAAGTCGCCATGTGGATGATTCCTGTGCGTCTTCAGCGGGTTCTGGCCTACGTCGGATCAGTCTTCTTCCCGCGACTCGGCAACCTGATGAAAGCCCTCGCCAAGGACACTTCAGGTTTTTCGCTCGGCCGGAAGCCATATCTGATTTGTTTCCAGAGCTTCGCGAATGCTATGCCGCTATCGAGGCCTACCGCAGCGAGTTCACAGTTCTGATGCTCGACAAGAAAATCGACGCCCTGCTCTGTCCATCGCAGGTTTTCCTTGCTCTCATCATCACAACCATGTTTCCTTTTGAGGTTATGCCAGCCCCGCCCCACGACATTCCATCTAAACTCTTTGCTTCCATCAGCTACACTGGAATCTTTAATTTGCTCGATTTCGGAGCAGGTTTTTTCAATATCCGTGAATTTTTTTATTATGTATTTCGTTCAGGCGTCGTGAATGCTACTTATGTGACAAAAGACGACGAGGAAAAGCTTGAGGCCTATCCGGAAACGGACGTTTGGTACAAACTCGCTAAAAAGGCTACAAAGGTCAGTTTGGCCAAGATATACGATTCAGAGCGTCTAAGAAAAAAAAAATGTAAATTTGTTATTTCCAGGGAACCGTCGGATTTCCAGTGGGAGTTCAAGTTGCGGCGCCGCCTTTCCGCGAAGAAATCGTCCTTCGAGTACTTCGCGACATAGAGAAGGCAGTCATTGGTCATTAGACTCTTCTATTTTTCAATTTCTGTGATTTTTAGACTCTATTGTTTTGCTAGGATTTTTTTTCCCGGTGCGATTAGCATCGCTTTATGCATATTCTCACATGCTGGTATCTATTAGTCTCGCTTGATGGCTTCTGAAATAATCATCCACTTTTGCTTCAGTTATCTTTTTTCAGTTACACGGTTGCGTGTCAATATTCTATGTACTATGATGTTTCGTCTTGCGAGTGATTTTTCACCGATAAAATCCGACTTTATGATAGTTTCAATGCAGTGGAGCGCGTTTGCAGAGAAAAGCTCTCTCGTCGAGGTGTCCCACGTTGTTCCATCGCATGTACTCCGTGTTGTGCTTGTTTTGGTGAGGATCGGCCACCAGCTGAACTTCGAAAATGAGCCAGAAGTATTATGGAGAGTAGAACTTACCACGGTCCACCAGTCAGTCTGCATGACGTTCGGTTCGCCGTCGGCCCAGTTGACGAAGTCGACGGCGGTTCCGTCAGTCCATCCCCATTTTTGGTTCTCGAAAGTGAAGCCAATCCATACCTTAGGATCAAAGAAACATTATGAATCAAAAGAGGACTCACTTGGTCGTTCCAATGGTCATCTTTCACTTCCATTCCAGCTTTGGAAAGTTCTAAAAGTCATATTTTCTCTTCTTTTCATGGGAACACTTGCCAACGAGGAAATCGTTCTCATCCATGGAATGGATCGAAGCGAGTTCTCCGCCGTCGGCTTGGCAAGTACTGCGGGCATCGTTGAAGTTGCCAGACCGGACCGTGTTCTGAAGAGAACGTTTGGGCTTTAGGTTTTGCTGGTACCTTGTAACAGAAGTCGGTTCCGCTGTAGTAGGTGTAGCCAGAAGGACAGTGGCTGGGAACTGAAAACTGATGGATTCAAAGTTCTTCGCTCTGACGAATACTGATTGGAGGTGGGCAGGTGGCTCCGACGTTGGTAGGGAAAGAGCAGACGAAGGAGAAGTTGCTGGAGCAAGTCGCCGTGAGCCATTTCGAACTCGAAACCTGCACGCTTGTGCAAGATGTATCACCCTGAGAGGTCGGCTGGCCTGAATGTTTTATTTCAGTTTTCTATAGCTAGGTTTTCTATCAATTTCATGTTTTTTCATTACTGGTCTAAAAAAATCGACTTTGCGGGCTTTTCGGCCAATACATCATATGCCATTACCAAAACGAAAAAAATTTCCCAGAAGAATCATTCGGAAAAATGTTCTCAATTTTTTTAAATAATTGCTTGGCGAAGGATTTCCTGAGAAAAAAAAACCATTGTATTCTGATAAAAGTACAGATGTCTACTGTGGAATAAATTCGAGAACTGACCGACTCTCCAGTTTTGATAGGACCAGGCGGAGCCGTCGTTCCAGGCCCAATTCAGAGGATTGGTGACGTCAGCCGCCGTCGCTTTGGCTCCGATCCAAAAATTGTCCGAGCCATCGAAATATTCCAGCGCACGACCTTCAGTTCACATTTCATTTCCATTGTAAGTATGTTCTTGCACAGACTTGCAATGAAGTTATTGTCAACGGCGTTTTTGACCGAGGTCAAATGTCCGAAAGAAGCCGCGCAGATCGACTCGGCCATCGCAAAGGAGACTTTCGGGCGGTAGAACTGAAGGCATCTGAAAACGAAAAAATGAGTTGAATTGGAGATTGCTCCCACCGGTTGGAAGCGCTGTCGAAAACGGCTCCCGGATTACATTGAGCGGAAGTTTCAGACACAAAAAGAACTCCCAAACACACAAAAAGCCACATGTTGCTCTTCTCTCAATGGAAGGCTCTATCAGTTTCGACTTATCGATGAATCAAAAAGTACTTGGCGTCCTGGGAAAATTACTGATAGCCGTCTATGTCTTATCAGCTTCTGTCTTGCTTGATTTCTTGTTTCCAGAAATGAAAAGCTTTTTTCTCGAATTTTTAGAACTTTATCTGTAGAAATAAAGTTGAACTTCCTTTATAAACATTAACAAACTGCTAGTTTAATTGTTAATAAATCAGCATTTCTAGTTGACAAGAAAGAAGTTCTAAATAAATTCGTGTCAAATTGTAGTTGCGATGAGACGGAAGATGTAAAAACCATTCATTAGGGATGTTTTTCTTCTTTTTCTCATAAAATGTGCAACTTTTTAAACTTAGCCAGAAATTTCATTCACGAAAGAAAAAAATTCACAAAATCATGTTGTCATTGGAAAGGATAGATAGCCTTTTGTTAGGTGATGGGGAGAAAGTTTTCATTAAAAAGGCGATTTCGGATCTACTGCCGAAAATGAAGAAAAAAGGGATTGCCAGCGAATAAAGGAAGACATCGTCTCCGAGAAAAACTCGCGCAAAGCGCTGCGCGGCGTTTTCGAGGATTCCGTGGAGAAGACCTTTCTCCGACGCCAGAACACACCACGTCGCCATCAGCTTCAGCTGCTCATTTCAGTTTTTTTGCACATTGGAAGAAAAAAACGAACCACAGAAATGAACAACAGTGGGACATTTTGTATAACGACAGTCCAGGCGTCGCTTTTTTCGGAATTCTCGCCGTTTGAGCTTTTCGAGTGGAAGATCACAAAAAAGTATATTAAGATTGATAGTAATGGAAGTGAAAACTTTAACAAAAAAATTGCCTGAAATTGGAAAGATTATGTTCGTTTCTGTATCACTCAACCTTCAAAATAATTGATATCTTCGCGTTTCTGGCCAAACAAATTTCTTCGTTCTTCAAAAAAACTTCGTATTTGTAGCCTTCAGGGCAACTTCGCCCTATCAAAACTATTTCTGTAATGGATATAACCCAAAACATCCAGATCCAAGTTTTCAAGGCTCTCCTGGAGTTTTCGAAATTTTACTTTTCTAGTTCATTTTTTTTTCAAAAACCCTGTGACAAATTGCCGTTTCTTGACGAAGAAGAAGAACACAAGCTTTTGAACTGAAGTCAGAAAAAGAAGATAAGTTATAATGTTCGAATTAAAGACCAACGCAACCACCTGAAACGTCATTCATCGAAAGAGAAGCTTCTAGAAACTTCAATTATTATTCTATAAATTAAGTCTTACATGAGAGCAATTCACAAGATAGAGAAAAGCAATGGGAAGAATAGCGGACATTGACGAATCTTCGGAGAAGAAGTCCATCATCGGTTTGTAAGCTGCGGCAAAGAACACGACGCCGTAGAAGAAGACGTGTGCCGCGAAGAGTAATATGTAAAAGTTGAAGAATATTGGGTGCATCGATTTCTAAAAGCCTTTTCGAAGAGTTTTCGGGAGAAAAAACCTTCTTCTCGTCTTCCTTCGATTTGTGAAACACTATAGAGAAGACGATGAAAAACAGTGATGAAATAAAAATATAGCCAAATGAAAATAATGAAAAGGATGAAAGATCCATACACCTTCGAGCTTGTTTGGGAAATGAAGAGAAGCTGTTTCTGTTAAAGTGGCAGTTCAATTTTCTCTGTAATTACAGGCTTCTTCAACATTTTCGCGCATAGGCATAAATCATCTGTCCCTCTTAAGAGGCTCTTTTTTTCCAATGAACTCCGATTTTTCTCAATTTTCGAAACTTAATCACGAAAAGTGACTGAAAATCAGGAAAGGTTTAAATCTTTCCTATGTAATCCCGGTGTTTCATAGCTTCTTTGCAAAATTTTTCATTATGACTTATAATAACAAAATTTGTTGGTCTATTTTGATGTTCATCACAACTATTTCCACAGTTCTTGATACATTCCGAAGTAAACGTCTTTCTCGTTCTTTTCTACGTGCCGAACTGCGGTCAGCCGTCTTTTCCGCATCTGAGCGCCTCGTCGCAGAATTTGATGCACGATCAGAGGCGATAGAAATGTATAGAGAGGGATCAACTGAAAAAGGATGATATTGGAGTGATTTGGAGCCTTTGAACTCACATAAGCAGCCGCTACAAATCCTCGGAAGCCGGTCTCAGAGGAGAACATGGACTTCAGCTTGAAGAGATATGCTCCGACCGAGTGAAAGGAGACGAAGAAAATCATGTGGAAGATATGAAGCGGCAGGATCAGCTTGAAGGCTGCCACGTTCTCTGTCAACTGACTTTTCCGCTGAAGGTTGCTGTAGTTTTGCCTGCAATTAGTAGAATGGAATTTCAATATCCAGCTAATTTACGAAAGGATAAATGAGTGAACCAACGCTTTGAGCTGTCGGAGGTTGACAAAGAAGAGCCCGAGCATGTAGATGAAAGCAATGAGCTCGAGGATTCCGAGAGTAGCCGTCACCATGGAAAGGTCCATCAGAACTTCGTTCGGGGCTCCAGAACAGTAGATGTTCGGGACGCCGAGTGGCCATTTATGGAGCGCCGCCACCACGAAAAGGATCCCCAGACACGTCTATATTCTTCTTTTGAAAAAGCATTCAAAGCTCAAATCCACCATCACACTAATGATGAAATAGCCGCTGGTGGATGTGTAGTCGGCATAATTGTTCTTGAAAACCGTGGCCAGCGACCTTTCAATGCTCATCCCGCAGTGCAACAACGAGCTCATTCTGAAAACGTTCTATCACAAAAACTGAAACTACAATTCCATTTTTTGAAATGCCTGAGAATGCCAAAGAAAAACTCGCAAGAAGCAAAACATGAGAGGGAGACGGAAAGCGAAGCAAACTGTAGATGATAATAAGGCGTCGCAGGGTTGGTTGAGTCGCCATATTAGAAATTGGGTCGCCTAGAGAATAAATTTGAGTTTAGTAGTTCAAATCCGTTAAGATTTCCCATATTGAAGAGGTAATATCACGAAAGAATTCAGGTTCGAGGTAGAAAATCCATTGGCTTGATGTCATCAGGTCAGCCAAATTCAAAAAAGTTTTCGATTCGACTTACCGCTATAATAATGAGTAGGACGGAGTGGAGGGAGTTGATCACAACCAGGCTTCGGACGAAAAGCGAAAAAACCACTTCATTCCATTTTTCTGACTTATTTTAATCAACTCACCCTGAAGTTAGGATGGAAGTAAGTGGTTTTTTCGGAAAACAGAAGTAGGCGATAATTAGAAAAGAAGGAAAGAAGGCATAAAATTGTTTGGAGAATCATAGCCGAATTCAAAAGCGGGTCGTTGACCATTTCAGCAGCAAAGTTGCAATCCATTCCGATGCGGAAGGAACCTTTTTTTTTTCAAATCGCAAAAAAAAACGTTTCTCAAGACAGAAAGCTGAAATTGAGAAGATATTTATCCGCACCCACAATTATCTGCACGCAAGACGTACCCATCTTTTTTTGAATACACATTTCAATAGCCCCTTTCTAGGAAGACTTTATTTTAGGGTCAGGGCGGATATTTTCGGTTAGTTATTTTTCACTTTAAAGTTTTTTGATTTCTCGGGGCTGTGGCAAGTAAATAAGAAGAAAATGTATCGATTTTTTAACAGAGCTCAACTCGAAAAATACTAAAAAAAAAGGTTTTTTTTTACTCTTCATTGTTCAAAGAACTAAGGAGAGGTTCAAATAGAAAAAGTTTTTCGATTAGAAATTCTGAGCAGATGCAATATTTCAGAACTCAACCAAACTTTTAATTTCCAAAGGATCAAACAAAACGAGCTTTTACTAACTTTTCCTTTTTTTTTCTCTGTGCTCAGAAGTTTACTCTATGAAAAAATGTTGGTAGTTTCTTTGGCTTGTGGGAGCCGAAAAATTGAGTGAAACCTGGCGACCGAGCCAGTTATCGGCTCAATTAGAGAGGGAGACAAATAGCGCCATGTAAAGAGTGTTTTTTGAGTACAGAGATGACCGAACTGTCTTCTTCCAAACCTCCGCGAAAAAGTTATACTTTTTCGTGCATGTGAATAGAAGACTTTCCAGTTGAAAAGTTCATTGTTTTTCATTCAAGGACCACATTGTGAGTTGAGGCCTCTGCACAGAGCATCGTTGATAGAAGAGACCAAAGAGTCCAGCTGATCGTAGCCGGAGAAAAATGCGAAACCATTTGCGTAGGCAAGCTGGGAGATCTGCTGCTGCTCCAGCGAGTTGCCCATCCCGACAATTATGATTTTCGTGTCTTCCGCAGTTCTTGTGAGGTGCGAGAACTCCATAGCCTTGTAGAAATCTTGCTCCGAGCTGTATATCGGACATGGGAAATGTCTGGCTGAAAGATCGACTTACTTGGCATTTGAGGCGACAAAGACAATGGCGACTTGTTCTATTCCATCGCGTCGATCAAAGTCCTTTTTCCACATTTTATCCAACAAGTCGTGCGTATATCGGAATAGACTGAACATTTTTTGCTAATAGAAAAAGAAGAAACACGTAAAAAAAAACCATTCAAGATCAGTCTTGTTATTCTGAGTTACATCAGGGACTTTATTGGTGAGCGAAAGGACGGTCTGCGAAAGATTCGAGTTGGTCGGCATGTCCTCGAATCCAAAGATTGTGCTGTAGTTGATTCCGGTCTCAAAATTACATGAGCTTTTAGAAAGAAATTTCAAATTGCATTCAAACTCTGTTTAACATTGAAAAATAGGAAGACATTTTGCAGTAAACATATTGAAAAGCCCACTAAAAATCTACCCCTAAAGTTTGAGTCAAAAACCATTTTCAAAAAGTACCAGTAAAGCGATCATAGCCCGAACTTTGTCAGCTCCGATTTGCCAAGTCGGAGTCAGCTTGTTGGCTATGAATTGTAATTGCTAAAACTGATTTAAACTGTAACGTTTCTCTTGTCACAATCGAGAGCCTTCTGAAAGTTGCTCTGCGTTCCCACCGCAGCCATCCCATTGATAACCAGAAGGACGTCGCGATTGCAAGGAGTTGCAGCTGAAACCAAAGGAATGATATCAATATGTGAACAACTGAGCCGTACACAACGTCGAGTTGTAGGTGAACGAAAAGCCGGACTTCTGAATAACTTCGTTGCTTTGGAAGGTCACGACAGCGTTTCGAGTCATAGTCAAGTAAGTACCGATTGGCGACGTTAAGTTGGACTTCGGCCCGCCGAATCTGATATTATTTCTGACATTAATTCAACTAATTGGAAACACACTGGGCCAGAATTTTGTTATTGACAGACGGGCCGTCGTAGATCGTTACGTAGTCGCAACACGTTTCCAGGTCGTATTGAGAAAATTTGAAACTGAAAAAAGATGCGTTTAGTTAGAAAACATTATGATCGGCTAAAAGATTTTTGTAGAATAAAGCTTTTAAAGCTCCAAGTGTAGCAAGTTTCATGATAAGTGATAGACTACAAAAGATATGGAGAGTCCTCTTGATTTCAAAAAGTTGATATAATTGAGTCTTCGAATTTTCAAAAAGAATATAATCGTCCATGAGCGGCAAAAAAGATGATTCCGCTTGAAAGTTTTTTTTTTGTAAGAGAAAATACATTATTATTTTCGGAGGAAGGAGTTTGATATGTGTTTCTACTCTGGAAAAAAAGTTGAAGCATTGCGCTCTTTTTATAAAAAAACAATTTTTTTACCTGAGTACTTTCCCAGGTTCGGCAGTGATGTAATAATAGCATTTGGTGCTGGGAGGGTACATATTCGGATAGTTAGGCGATGAAATGACACCGTTGTAGTAGAAATCATTGTTCAGTGGACAAGCGTACGTCGCCTCCGATGGCTCCACTCTTAGACGACGCTGAATATCCTATTTTTTTTTTTTATTTTACTTTGTAAAAAGTTGATAGTAAAAAAAAATAAAATGAGTAATGAAGTTTTAAAAGGCGAGGATTCTAGGAAGTCTTTTTTTTCATTTGAAAAAAAGAAAATTAAATTTATTTTCAGCAAGTGATTCTTAGACTTGCTCAGAAACGTCCGCAGCACGTCCGGGTTTCGCTGTCGAGGTCCGAGTAAATTTTAAAGGTTCATTACGCAAATTCGCACCTTTTTTTTAAAGCTTCTCTTGAAAAAATCAAACTTTCGAGTTCTTACATAGTAATCTTTAGCGAGCGATGATTATTTCAACTTTCGATGAGATCGAATATTCATAATGAAAAAATTGAGCTCTTCTGTCAGCTATTCAATAACTTTTGAAGGAACTTTATTATTAGTTTATTTTTTCAATCATCTTTGTTTCAGTTCGAAAAATCCACAGTTAACTAACCTGAGCTCTTTCTCTGACGCCATGTGTGGCGATGTCGACAGTTTGTAGCAGAATAATCAACAAGAAAGGGAGCATCTTCTAGACAATTGAACCATTTTTGTGCTGATAAGCACTAATGTATTATCAGGAATTCTTATGCATTTCATCAATCTTTGAAATTGAAAAGTTTATTGATAAGAAATTCATTGAGTGAAAGCGGCCTTGGATCGCGGAGGACACTTGCAATAGTTGGCATCCTCTCCAGGAGTTCCAGCTCCGCCAGGACTGCCGTCGAATCCGGAAGGTCCTGCGGGTCCTTCCTCGCCGCGGGAGCCTGGTGGTCCTTGTGCTCCAGGAACGCCCTGAAATGTATTAATGTCCTGGTCCAGTGGAAAAAAAGTTAGTGACACTTCAACTTTTTTGAGTCTGCTGTCCCAGACCTGCGACTGCAGGACCCAATACTGGACGCACTATTATTTTCCAAAAAAAAAAAATGAAATAACCTGGATTCCGTCGTTTCCAGCCTGACCCATGAAGCCTGGCTGACCAGGTGGTCCAGTTTCTCCAGGAGCACCCGGGGCGCCTTTGATTCCACGTTCTCCGTCACGACCTTTGTCTCCTTGAGCTCCAGGTTTCCCATGAGCTCCCGCTTCTCCAGGATGTCCGGGATTTCCAGGATGGCCAGGATGACCGTCTGGACCGCTAAGCCCAGCCTTGCCCTCAGCGCCCTTCTCGCCAGCCGGTCCTGGTGGTCCTGGCTGACCTGGCTGTCCAGGAGGTCCAGGTGGACAGGAACGGCATTGCTGAACTCTCCATATAGATTTCCTACATGGCATGGATCTACCTGCTGAGCATCCATGTTGATCGAAGGATAGTTTCCTGGAAGACCGGATGAGCCGGGCTCTCCTTTCTTTCCGTTGGTTCCATCGACTCCTGGCTTGCCTGGAGGTCCTTTCGGTCCGGGAGGACATTGGTTATTTGCACTACACACTGAAAAAGCTCCCTGTACTATTTTCAGACAGGGCAACTAACCGCATTCGCCTGGCCGAGTGGTTTGCCGCTTTTTGCGAGCAAACGGAACCAAGGATGAGCCAATCTTTTCTCCGCGCATGTTGGACCAAACCTAAAGTTTTTCATTAAGTTTGCAGAAAAATTAAAAACGTAAATATTTGATTATACGTGTTTTTTTATTTATTTTGAAAAGTAGTTACACCTTCCAATGTCATTTGATCTATTTTTCAGAACTCTTCAGTTGGAATGCTTGCCTCATTGTGGAGATCGCGGAACTCGAGCATGTCGTCGGAGAGTTCGCCGGTGATGTCTCCGATCTTGGCCCATAGTGCTGGAACGAAGGTGCCGACGACGATCAGCGAGCCGATCGAGAAGGAAATCGCCGCGTAGGCAGCCACACGCGCTGACATCACGCAGAAGCTGTCCGTCGCCGTCTTTTTCTCCTTTTATAGTCAGCCATCATCTGCCCCTCAGCCACCTCGGTGACACGCCTCGACTTGTGTTTTCTCTCTCAGTCATTTATACATTCGGGACAAAAATTGACAAAAGGTTTCGAACATTGAAAATTTCCAAAATAATAGTTAAGAGAAGGAAGAAAGTCTTGAAATGAAGCAAAAAAAGGAAGAATCATTGTGAGATCTTTTTGCGACTTCCAAAAAAACAGTTTAAATTGAAATTTTTTAGGAAAGTGTTTTCTCACCGTAACTGTTCTCCAACAACCAACTTTCCTAAAGTTAACAAAGAAAATTACAAGAATACTGTGGAAAGGAAAGTCAAAATCCTGTTTTTCTGAAACCGTGTGTTAAAAAGATCTCAAAACTTTGCGAAAATTACCTCCACTCGGTATATTTATATTCAAAACTTCACCATTGTGTTTGAAGGCGCAGAAATATCACTGAAAATGGTTTTTTCCTCTGTTAATTTTTTCTGTGGTCTGTCAGAAAATTCTGAAAAGGATTTCCAATCAGACCATTTGGTAACATTGAAACCAAACTTACAAATTAAGCTGAAGATACAAAAATTCAAATAACTTATAGCTATTTTTTTATTTATTTTATTTTTTTCAATTCTCCAGGTAAGATTCGAAGAGCAAAAACAAACTCGAAACTTTTTCGTTGTTTCTGAAGCCATTCGAGTAATGTAATTCGAACCTTCAAAGGTGTTATTACTTTGTTACAAACGCTTCTCGAAACAAAGGATCGAGAAGGCTTCTCATTGGCTGTCTGAAACGCAGCGAATCGCCTTCCTCGCTTCCTGCGCAGGCGGCCGTGGAGGTGGAACGGAAACCGATTCTAGCAGATAACGATAACACGTCGCTTCAAAATATTCGACATCAACTCGTTTCGTTTTCTGTCCAAAAGCTATCTGTATTTTTTCTGAAGGTTGAAAGGCCAAAATAACCATTTGATATCGAGATATGCGGACTTCATCTGAAGGGAACAACAGAATACGCCGATAGAAGCAGGAAAAGAATACATTTTTCAATAAGAGGAGTTCTGAGAACGTTATCCGCACACAAACCAACAGTTGTTTTTTGAGAAGGCTGTTAGGAAAGCAATAAAATGCGTTCAAGATGTTGACGAACTGGAAAGCCAAGCTTGTAGCTACAAGAAAGGAAACTTTACTTTGTGGTTAGGATACTCTGAAAAATTGGCCAGAACGCTCTTTGATATACCAGATGAAGATTCTGAAAGCCTCAGTCTTCCCAAATTTGAAGTTTTCGACAACGGACACCTCAAGACCAAAGAAAACTTTCGGAAAAAGGCTATTTTTGGGCTTTGAGCCCTTTATTTTCAAAAACTAAAAAGTATTGCAGATTGAGACTTTCATGATATTTCCGTGGCAACTTAAGGAGTTTTCTGGCTCATTTCCAAGTAATCTTCAACTGCAAAGTAAAATGACCTTCCTTGTAAAAAAAAAAAAAAGAAGGGATTTTTACGATGTTTCGTTCTTTTCCTTTCGTTTTTCGTTCGACCACACAAAGCTTGAGAGCCTTATTGATTTGAAAAAGAAGGAAGTTAAAGCACTAACCATTGAAATATTCGAAAAAAAAATTTACCGCGTTGAAGAAATATTTTCGAGCTTCCGCAACTCAAGTTGAGCTAGTGAAAACTCTCTGAGCTTCATCAAAGCTTATGAATGCTCCAAACATCAGGCCAGTTCTGCTGTCAAAAAAATATGAACAAACTTTGAGGTTCGAAGAAGCCTCACAGGTGTGAAAGAAAAAAGGAGCCGGCCCTCGTTTGGCTTCTTCTATGTTCTCAAAGAAGACAATAGTGCTCGAGCCACAGAAGCGAAATTAATCGGATTTGCCGAAACTTCTCTTTGTCGCGGTGGATGGCTGGGTCTGGAATAAAGGCAGAGTTTCTCGCTTTACCCATTTTCCGGTCTCTGATATTCTGTTTTTTTCTAGAATAAATTCATTTCTAGTGATCAAGGTTTTATATTTTCAGAAAGTAAAATCAGTTAACAGCAAAAAACTTTGTAAGCGAAAATCGGGCAATTGATTGCCGCACTTCCTCCGTTCATAGAGCAGGACTTTCATTAACTTTCCTTCCCTCTGCCAAACCTCGAAAATCCGTCATTCCTCATTCTTTGCACGTTATGGAGCTCAATCTCAAAAAGGTACTTTTTTAACGATTCGAAAACCAAAATGGTCCCCCTGATCATATTCCCTTTTATAAAAAGCAGCTTGTTTCCATTTCGAAAAAGTCGATCATATTGTTGGCAAATGAAGTTCAACAGAATGAAAACGGAGAAACAACTTAATTGAATGCCGGACTAATTGGAATACCAACCGCAGCTCTTAATTCTTCTGTTTTCCTATCCCACCCATTTTATTGCACTATTTAGTGCTTGATTCTCTTCAATTTAGTTTAGTTTTACTCAGAAGTTTGCTTTTCGAGAAATTGTTGTTCGGTTGGAAAATGCCGGTTGAAGCCGAAATAAATGCTATTTTTTCTTCGAATTGGAAAATAGTTCCAATTTGCTGAATCGCGCTGACAGATCGCTTTTAATTTCAAAGCTCATTTTGCAGGTTGCCGGGAAAATCGAGAAGAAATCTTCGGTTCCTGCTGTTCTTATGGTTCGTTTTGGCATAACTATTGTTGGACGGAAAGTTGTTTTGCCTCAGAACGCCAACCTCATAAATGATGGATAAATGAATGGTTAACTAATTTTTTGGGTTGTCCGGAAGAAATAATAAGACGCACAGTTGCTCTCTTCGCGCATGCGCAAAATGGACCGCAATACATTTTTTTTTTTGAGTTTTATTTGGAGTTTTCAATTTTTTTTTTCATTCCTCCTTTCTCTTCGAAAAAGAATAAAATAAAATCTATCCTTATTTTGCGAGAGCCTTCGAAATCTTTTTTGAATCTTCCTTGGATGTTTACTAGTTTTTCCGTGTTCTTCGCGTTGGAAATAAGCATTATTACTATTATGAGAGCTCTGAGTTACTCTTCATTCTCCAGAAACGAGAAGCTTTATCCGAAAAAAAAAACAATATTTAGAGACGAGACGACATGTTGTAGCAGAAAGCTCTCAAGCCTTATTGAATGCATTGCACCTTATTTTCATATGTTGGTCTATGATATGTTCTCTGCATTTCTTCTGCTCTCCAATCACAATTCAACAAAGTTTCCGTGATATCTACCCAACAAAGTTCAGGAGTTCATTCTTTTTTCTTGTTCAGTGACCGATTTTGGGAACTTTGCTCACAACTTACTGATGTTTCAACGCTTTTCAGCGAAATCAACTCGAGGATCTCTGTGATTTCCCCGTTGTCATGTGAGCCTCATGTTAATTGTTTTCCCCACTTTTGTCCCGGGATTCTGACTAAGTGCAGCAGCATAAATGAGGATTTCAACTGCACAAACAATAGGAACTATGATGAGTTCTTCCGGCAACTTATAAATTGAGTTTTAGAAAAGCTTTTTTGAGGAAAACAGAACGGAAATCTCCTTCTTTCTAAATAAATGAGAAGTTTTCAAAACACTGAAGCTTTATTCAATCGATATGTTTCTCGATTAACTTTTTCGCTTTTTCGAGTTTTCATCAAGTTCGAAGTCCTCGTTTATTAAAGTCTGAAAAAAGAACTGATAAAAAGGAAAAAGTTGAAAATATTTTTTTCTTCGGAGACGTGACTAGGAGGAAGTCGGCCCTTGGAGAAGTACCTCGGAAAATGAAACGACTCATCGTGATACCCGGGGCCTTCGGAATGCATTGGTCGCCAGTCGACATGCCAAAGGAAATGGCTTGTCAAGAGCAGCCACCGCCAGTCCGACCTCCTTTCCGACCTCGTCCACTTCTTTCAACTCCTAATTGCGAAATTCAACTTGCACTTTCGAAACTTCCTTATTTACCTGAGAACTAGGCCAAAAAAGCGAGAATATCTATATTAACAGTTGCCGGAAGTTTTACCTCAGTTCGCCTCCTTTAGATATTTGAAACTTTCTTCTTTATGAACTAGAACTCTTTGAGTTGGCAATGTGTTAAATGAATGAAAACGCACGAGTTGAATATTGGAGGGAGTGTGTAAACGTGAATTGGTTTTCTCGAAGCAATATTTAGCCGCGAGACAAAAAAGGAGAAAAAGTAGTATGCTAGAAAAGCGTGCCGGATCTCTAGTATTTTCCTGGACTTTTTGCTTTCAAACCCATTTTTCTAAATAGTCCTTTTTTCTGTAAAACTCCGGAAAAACTCAGAGCCTTCACGGGTTTTCACAAATCTTTCGTGGTATTTTTGTGGAAAAATGTAAAAAGTAACTGAACTCAGACTATTTTTATTACTTTCTCAATTTCTTTGATTGAAATTTCAACGCTTATCAAGGATGTTAAATTGTGGTAATTCTTCTTTTTCCCATTGGAAGAGCTCTTCTTTTTTTCTTTTTGGAAGTCGAAAGATTCTGAGCAGAAAAAAATTCCTGTTTGATAGCCTCGAGGCAGGCGTGCTCAATTAAAGTTGACTTAACGAGGGTGGGACCGGAAAAAGCAAGAAGGAGCCTTCTTCGATTTTCGACTTGTTGCTGGACTTTCTGGGATTTCCACCTTGCTATCGGTCGCTTCATCTTGTGAATATCTTTTTTTTTCGCTTCAGTCAAAAAACCCGCAATTTAGCAAATGCTTTTTTTCGTTCATATCGCACAAAACGAATTTATTTGTTTATTTATTTGGGAGTCCTCATAAATAAGGTCGTGTCAACAAATTTGAATTGGCGCCGTCGACCGACGGTACCGTGGGGACTTCGGAGGCCGATTTGTCCGATTTGGCAGCCGCCGTCTTTTTTTTTTTGGCTGCGCCTCCCCTATATTCATATTTGCACCGCAGGCCAAACATTTTTAATACTTCCGAGGCCATTGTTGCCTTCCTTTGCCATTTTCGGCGCTGCTGTTCATAAGCATGTAGAAAAAAAGTAATCGCTATCTTGTATGGTTTCTGAAATCTGAAAGAGATCCGAGTTTGTAGGTTTTTCTTGATGTAGAGGAAGCCTTGCGTCTGAAGTCAATGTGCCCTCTTATGAAGTGCAAAATGTGAGATAATCTCAGAGTTGTGACAACTCCGTGCCTCTCGACGCTCCTTTTTTTTTACTAGAAAACTGGAAGCTTTCAGAATTTTTTCTTCCTTTCTTTCATGACACGCGTTCATCCGCTTAATTTATGTACATAAATTAACACGAGCCCAATTAAAGTCTAGGTTTAAGCAAACTTTCTTATTCAACTTCAAACAAATCGCCTCTGGCGTTCTTTTTTTGCGAGCTGTCAAATTCTGTTGCACCACTTTGAAATGTCGACATTTGTTTGAGATATTTCATAAGTTCGACTCTTTTCTTCCGAAGTTACTATTTTGAACATTTTTATCAGTAACATATCAAATAAGCCCTAAAAGTACTTATTCAACTCTAATCCTTGCTCATCAGCTCTGCAGAAAATTACTTCTTTGAGTATATTTTGAAAGGAGTAAAAGTTCAGCGGGCAAGTTTGTAAGAATAAGTTGAGCGAAATCCACAAAAAGAAGAGAAAGTCGCCTGAAAAAAAGTGATTTTGGACGACTCCGGCTTTGATTAGGCCTGCCTATGTCCCCTGAGGTCGCAAATTTGTCATCATGCGACTATTCACACATCCAGTTCCAGCTATTACTTTTTTCTGAAAAGTTTTGAATATGAATTGATTCAAAACTACTTAACTACTGAAAATCACAGTTTTTTTTCAAAAACACTAAGAATTACGATGACAGGCTGTTATAAGCTTTCCAAATTTGAGACATCTTTCTTTTTTTATTTTTCGAAATCATTTTTTTCTACAACTATCTATGAAGCCCATTTCAAGTTTGAAGGGATATAAAGAAACCGCTTCCATCCATCTTCACCATCCTCAAAAAGTTCTTTTTGAATAAAAATATAATTCTTTTAAAGGACGATTCAGAGAACTTGAACAAAATCTTTGGCAAGGCTAAATATTATTTTTCAATTTCTGAGTAGCGTTCCGAAAAACGGGCGTATGGAAAATAGCCTTTCATTTTTGGATGTGTGTGGAACCTTTTTGGACGCAAACAACCGCGAAATATCAAAAATGGCCATTCGAATTTGGGGAACGTCTAGACTCCCGTCGGTGCTCTTTTTTCAAGAGATAATGAGAAAAATCGAAATTTCATACTGTTATGCATTTTCCTATTTTTCAACACCAAGATTTGACCCTCTTCTTAGAACTTGTTTCTTTAATAAGAATTTCACATTTCAACGCATTATTTTTTGAATAAAAAAGAGTAAAGTTACACCTTTTACAAGTACGACATGTATAAATACAATCTTCTAAAGATCCATTCAGAATACGATGCTGAATATCTTGCTGTCCATGGCCAAAGAAGGCTCTTCTGAGGGCGGCGGCGGCCAGTTTGCCCGTTAGTTTCAATTATTTGTTCGTTCCTAAGTCCAAAACTGAGAATTACTCATCGCCACTCAACTCGAATTACAGGGACAAGCAGAGACACTCTCATCAATACAGCATACAAACTACATCGAACACGATGTCGCATTCTAGAACCTTACAGGTTTGTCTTTTTTCGAAATTCAAACATCTGAAATGTAAAAGTGAGCCTGGCAGCTTCCCACTTGGATTATTAGCTAAGTATTCGAGAAAAGCTCACGTCTCTTGAATTTCTAGCTGTTTAGGAGACTGAAGAACGGACTGAAAGAGCTGCAAGACGATTATTTGAAGTCGAAAGAGGCTAACGCCTTGATGCGATACGTTAAATTGGGCCAGAGCGTCAGAGAAGTAAGCTCTTTTTTGGAAATTTTCTTTCATCGATTTCATCATAATCGACAGCCAAGATTTTCGTTGACGATGTCAAATCTGTATCGAGAATTGACCTGTGTGGCCCCAACAAGTCCCCTATCGAAAACAGAGAATATTGCTTCGTTCAGATCACATTGCTCGAGAAACAATACTGGAAGTTGTTAAACATTCCACCGCAGGACGGATCTGAAGAAGTGATACCTTACGTTGAAAGGTCTGTACAAAACTTCGTTTATTCCTTTCAAAAGCGAGTAACCCAAAAAAACTCCTGTCGATTCTGAGGAGAAAACTCCGACAGTTTGGATCACTCGATTGAAGTTTACAGGATAGCGAATCTCCTGGAAGAGACGCCGATAAGTCTGCCGCCGACACGAGGAATCGGCGCTTTGTTGCAGTCCACGATGGGAAAGCCCAGCGAGTCCAACTTCGACCAAACTCTCTATGACTCCATCAAAAGTTTGCCCCTTTTCTAGATGTCAAGGATTCCAAAATGTTAGAGTTTCAAGACGAAAATGGTCTCAATACTCAAAGAAATCATCATTTTCGATTAGGACGATGACTTGCCCTGATAAACGACCAGAACTTATCGATAAGCAACAAGAAATAATCATTTGCAGGTCGAAAAAACGACGAACTGGCGAAGGATTGTGAAATGCTTTACGGACAAGTTTATAGGCTTATTCGCAAATATCAAGGACTGAAGAGATTGATAAAGGTACCCTTCCACCAACAGTTCGATTTCTAAACCTACAATTATCCGAAAAACATTTCAAAAGTGAGTAACTACTCAACGTTTAGGAGCTGCACGACAGATACGAATCGACGCGACATTTCCCCATCGTGCCACGTTACGCCATGCTCAAGAAGATGATCAAGTCGACGCTGAGAGCGCCGGAATTCGCCGAGATCTGCCACGAGCAGACCGAGTGAATAAACCGTCCAATCATATAACTATTTATCGGGCAAAATGCAGTAATAACATCACAGACGACAGTAATAATATCCTATAACACTGTTCAGCGAGACGAAAGAAATCACACTGTTGAAGTGAAAATATTTGTTAGAGTTATAGTTAGACGTGACAGAATCAATGAGAGCCCTGCTTCTTGGCCAGGTTCTCGGCGAGTTTGTCGAGGAACTCGAAAGTGTTCAGGTAGTCGGATCGTTCCACACTGAACTTCTTCCATCAATTTGGCCAGAAAGAGATATGAGAAAGGGACAAAAAAGCAAGCGTTTGTCGGCTCCAAAAAGCCTACGAAACAAAACCCAAGAAGACGCACCTGTTAGTTCCCTTGATGCAGATGGCGAGGTCCTTGGTCAAGAAGCCAGCTTCCATGGTTTCGATGCAGACCTGTAAAAGATCGAGCATGAGAATCAAGAACTTGAACGAATACTCAGAACTAGTAAATATACTCACAAGCACCGAAAATTGAAGAAAAAAAGTAGGAAACTTTCTCTTAGACTTCTTGAGAGCCTGTAGTCGTTATAAAATCTTCTCACCTCTTCCAAGTTCTGAGCGAAAGTCGCGAGGGCTTGGTTGTTGTCGAGGGTGGCGCGATGAGACAAGCCACGGCTCCAGGCGAAGATCGAGGCTTAACCCAAACATCCACGAGCTCATTCAGAGAAAAGACGGACCGATGGGATTGGTGGAGGTCTCCTTGCCCTGTTGGTGCATTCGGTAGTGACGAGTGACGGTTCCGTGGGCGGCTTCGGCCTCCACCGTCTTCCCATCGGGACAGACCAAAACCGACGTCATCAGACCGAGAGATCCATAGCCTCAAATCATACAGAAATTATTTGTGGTCGAGCAAAAAATTTCATCTTTTTTTTCAAATAAACTCTGACGTAAACTCGTTGTTGTACTCAGTGAATATTTTGAAAGTTGCAAGCAGCACGGCTAGTTATTTTTAATGAAGACTAACAGCATAAGCTGCGGTTTTTCGGATCCTTGATACATCAAGGCGAGTCCTGACCAATTACAGAAATTTCAAGCGTAAGGATCTTTCTCGTAAGAGCAGAAGGAAATGGAATTTTAAAAAAAGTCTTGAAAAAATTTGGATTGGACTCCTTCTAATATAATTGTTTCGCTTTTTCAAATTGGAAGAAAAAAAGATGTTCTAATTATTCTTTAAAGTTATATTTAAAGAGATATTTTTGAATGTCACTTTATACGAAGCTGGCATAGTCACCCTTGAATTGATATTGTCAACGTCAATGATCTCCGTAAATATCAACAATCTTCTCTTTTTTTTTCACAAACTTTTTTTTGTCGTTAATAACGTTTGCAACAATGTGAGTGCAAGTTTTGTCCGCCAACATTTAAATTTCTTTTTTTTATTATTATTTTTTTGCCTGCGTCGCCTTTTTTTGAGTCTTCGAAACGCGGAGTTTTTTAAATTACATGTTTGCGTCTTTGAATTCGAAAGATAAAATATGAAAAATGAAACTACTTGAAAATTGTTTCGAAACCATTATCTCGTGTTCGTCTAGCCTCTCTGTTTTCTCACCCTGAGCGACAGAGTCGGACTGAACGTCTCCGTCGTAATTCTTGCAGGCCCAGACGAAGCCGCCGTCGCTCTTCATGGCCTGGGCGACCATGTCGTCGATCAAACGGTGCTCGTACCAGATTCCGGCGGCCTTGAAGTCGGCCTCGTAGTCCTGTAACTCGTCGATAGCAGTTTTTGAGGCCGATAACAACCTTGTAGATTTCGGCGAAGATGTCCTTGAATCGTCCGTCGTACTTCTTCAAGATCGTGTTCTTCGTCGACAAGTACAACGGGTACTTGCGGCCGAGAGCGTATTTGAAGGAAGCGTGGGCAAAATCGCTTAAAAAATTATTGATAAAAGCTATTTTCAGTTTTCAAATTATAGATTATTGCGTTTCCCCTGGAACTTCGTGTCAAAAATACGGGACTCCTTTTCTTTTCAAACTGAATAATCAATTTATCATATTGCAGTTGGAGATTATCAAAAAATGTTCTCAATCCATTCGAAAAAATGCTCACCGGATGGATTCGTCAGTGTTGTACATAGAGAGTGAAACACCGGGTCCTTTAAAGTCATAAACCTGCAAGAAAATAAGATATTCTCATAAAAAAAAACAATTTGAAAAACCGTCTCGTTGATGGTGGTCTTGCCGTCTTCCGAGACGAAACGGATCTCCAGCTTTCCGGCCGACGGGACGACAAAGTCGGTGGCCTTGTACTGAAAACGAGCAAACTGGTTATGAAAGAAGAACGACGGAACCTGATCAGCGTGCGCGTGGCGACCAATGATGATTGGCTTGGTCCAGGTGTTGACGAGTCTCGGCACGTTCTTCACGATGATGGGCTCTCGGAAGACGGTTCCTCCGAGAATGTTTCTGATCGTGCCGTTCGGCGACTTCCACATCTTCTTCAGCTTGAACTCTTCGACGCGAGCCTCGTCGGGAGTGATGGTCGCGCATTTCACAGCGACGTTGTACTTAAGTGTCGCCTCAGCCGCCTCGACAGTAACTGAATCAAAACTACTAAAAGCTACAAGAGATGCGAATCTTTCTCATTTTTTTTTTCGTTATTTTTCACGAATCAAGATTGAAAACCGAGCTTCCTTTTATCGTGCCAAATAATTCACTAGAAAACCCTTTTAGGATCCTGTCTTCAAATTTTCAAAAAAGCTAAACAACAATGAAATCGTTAGCCACAGAAGATATTTAGAGAATTTTCACACACCTTTATCGTCGGTGGCATCGCGATGTTCGATACCCAAGTCAAAGAAATGGAGCTTCAGGTCGACGTAAGGAAAGATCAGTTTTTCCTTGATCAAGTCCCAGATGATTCTGAACAATCATCGATATAAGTTTTCTTCTTTTTTGCTATGATAAAGTCCTATACTGGGTTTTTCAACAAAATTTTCTGCTTAATATCTTCCCGTCATTCTTGAAACAATGGATTCAATCATTCTCTGCATTCTTATCAGTTACCCCGAAACACGCCACGTTTTTCTCGTGAGTGCGCCAAAGAGAGGTTATCAGGGTTTCCGATCGAAAAATCACAGACAATGGGAAAAAGAAAACCACAGTTGCATCAAAAAGAAAGATAAATTGAAACTGACACTCTTTTAGCGCTATTTTAAGATTGAGAAAGTTTGATTTTAGCAAGTTTCCATTGCCTGAATTATTATTAAATTGCAGAATTTCCATTTCCTATTGAGAATTCTCAACAGAAACTCTTGAAAACGAAATACCTGGTCATCTCGTCTCCCTGCATCTCGACGACATCTCCTCCCTGAATTTTTGGAGCCATTCTGAGCAGATTGCCGATCTGAAAAACAGTCTTTTCAAATCAAAAACTAAAGGATTTTTTTGAGTCAATAACGCAAATTTTTTGAAACAATTCACGGAAAATACTTCTTGAATTGAAAGAAGAAACGCGAAAAGGATAGGAGGCAAAAATGTTTGATACTGACGCAGGGAAAGAATTTTTGTGCCGTAGCGAGAAACTAAATTCATCGAAGAGACGCAGTAAAACAGAGAGGTCGGGGCCAAAAAATTACTGGATCGATTTCGTGTTTAAACAATGTAATACTTTCATAGGAAAGAAAACTAACTTGTTGGCGACAAAATTTTGTCAAGAACATTGTACGGCGATTGAAAGAATTTGTAGAAGTTGTTGGATGGGTTCGAAATGAAGACAATTCTTTGGTCACAAACGCGGCGGCATTTCAAAAAAAAAATATTTTGTACAAGCGCGCTCCAAGACGTACACGTTTGTTGCCTGGCTTTAAAGCCACAAAATATTCGAACGTAACTCGTACATACTCTGACATAGGGCTTCTAAAGATCGCCACAACTCTCTCTTCGACATACACTATTTCGCCGTTATCTAGCTGCTAGAAAACGACGAAATAGTCTAGGTCAAGAGTTGGATCTTCAGGCGCCCTATGTCAGAGGACTTTAAAATTGGTTTATATGAAAAATTGAGAAGCTTAATTCATCTCTTGCAAAATCAAATGCTATTTCAATCTATTGTGCATGTCTGGAGATTTAATGCTTTTAAAATCTTTTCAGCAAGGAAAGATGATTGCGAATAAAATAAGTTAAAATGTCATGTCGGACCACGGCGTTGTAGAGAAAGAAATGGTTTGATGACATGGTTCATTGACCTTTCGAGTACGCTGAAGGTCAGACAACTCCGATAAAAGCAGCCTTGAAGAAGATCAACGAAAGCAAACGCAAAGGGATAGATCACGAGAATTTCTTCTCCCGCGGCGGCACACCGTCGACAATGGCACAACGAGATAAGATAATGTCTTACAGGACCGCCTCTTTACTGAGAAATAGAGGCGGAGGCGTTTCCGAGAAAATATTGTAGTTTGGGTCCCCTTTCAATCTGAAAATTTCCCTTCGAACCAGTTTTGAACTTTCACGGATCAGACTTCGATTGTTTAGCTATGCGAAAATTTGAATTCCGAATCTCTTGTTTTCGACTTGCGCGCTTATCGTCGAGAGCAAAAAACGTACGAAGTCAGACGAGAAACAACAACAAGAAGCTGTACTTTGCGTCAAATCTTGCCGAAATTCAGGAAAACAGGGCAGTTGGGCGGTCACATGAATGGCATGCCGCCAAAACACTCACCTTTGCACGGTGGTATAAAAGAAGTAGCTGCGATGGGGGCAGCAGAATCCTAGAATCCTTCTACATCTCCTCTCTCCTCCTATGAACTCCACCATCGAGCACAACACCCAGTGGGACTGGCCCTTGCAGCCAGGCGACGGCGTTGTTACCGTGAGTTTTTTCTATTCTTCTATTTATACATGGGAAAATTCGGTTGGTCATCAACCAAATCCGCTATTTATCCGAGCCTAAGGGAGAATACAAAAGTTCAATTTATTTAAATGTTAATTTTCTTTAATTTTTTTTTCTCAGAAATATAGAATTTTCAAACTTTGGGTCTCTCTGATCCATATAAAGATTTTCAAGCTCTACCCCTAGTTTTTTTTTTGAACCACGAATCCTTGCATGGCTTTAAAGTGAGCCGACAAAAATAAAACGAAATATCAGCACGATAATAAAATAGGTTTTCTTTTCCATGTTTTATGGATAGAATCTTGTTTTATCATCCTTAAAAAAGGTTTTCGACGACGACTACCACTTCGAAGTGGGGCTTGAGGCGCACTGCTTTACTCCCAAAGAGATAGAAGTGAAAGCGATCGGCGAAGTCCTGGAGATCCATCTGGAACACAAGGCGCGCGAGGATCAGCTCGGAAACGTCAGCCGAAGCATCACGAGGCCATTTTCGTCTCTCTTCTCAAGAACTCGGGGTCTTTCAGATGCTACAAGTTGCCGAAGAATGTGGACATGAAATCAATCAAGAGCAACCTCGACAACCAAGGCGTTCTCCACATTCGAGGAAAGAAAACCCATTAGAATTATGTGAAGTAAGACTTGACGACGCAACTTTTTTTTTAAATTGTCGCTGTGCAAAAATAAAAGCTTTCTCGAAAAACCCGAAAGTTTTTTTTCTGAAAAGTAAGCATTTTCGACCTTTTTTATTTCTGAAATTTGTTTTATCACCAGAGAAACAGAAGTTGATTGTAAATCACGACGACTCGCAGAAATTTGTGTCGGAAGAATGATGATTTCTCAGAAGTCTGTAGAGAAACTATACCATTCCAGAGAGGGCTTCAAAATAACCAGAAAAACAATTTCTCGATGATTTGGTCACGATTAATGGGTGTAAAGCTCTAAAATTTTATTGGGCAAAAGTGCGATACAGAAAGAAATGTACATTTAATAGTTTCAAATTTACCGGTCTTTCTAGATGTTTCTAAATACATATAAGTAACGAGCGGCCAACTAAAAAAGAGGAGTATCAAAAAGAAAAAGAAGAGAAATTAGTGGGAAAAATTTTAAAGTTTGTTTTCAGGAGCCACCCACTTGTAGGTTCCGGTGAACACAAAACCGTGTTTTTTCATTAGTTCGTCTGCTTCGGCAGGTCCACGGCTGTAAAATTTTCTTGTTCTGAGGTTTATATTCTTATTAATTTTCAGTTTGTTTTTAAGCTTCAAAGGGTCACTGGCTCCATTTCAGAAGCCGACCCAAAAAAAAAAAATTTCCTGGCTCCCACATGAATAAAGTGTCCATATGCCTCGAAATTGGGTAGTAGTTATTTTTGTTTATAGAATAAGACTTTTGTCAATCTAGAATGTTCCACTGTAGCTCATTATTGGTATACTCCAGCAATCGATTTATTTATTCAAAACCTAGTAGTTAATGCCGTGTTCAAAGTCCCTCCGTGAAATCGAAAATGGTCGTCAGAGAAGGAAAAGATAACTAAATTCTGGAGAGTCAGATATAATTTTGCATTTCGTGGAAATTACTTTGAACACGACATAAAGGTCAGATAATGGGCAAAATAAACCGACACAAACCTGCCAAATTTGTACTCGATCGGCTTGATTTTCTTCTGTTCGAGCTCGTCAAGTACAGGCGTCAAGATGCGCCAAGCGTGCTCCAACTCATCGGTGCGGACGAAATTGATCTGCGAGCCCATGAAGACCTCGAGGATGAGCCTTTCGTAAGCGTCCGGCAGCCGAGTTCCCTGAGAAAACCTCCAAAATGTCTCATGCACCTCGAGAAAACCTTGTATCTGGAGTTGTAGGTCAGGTCGAGTTCGGTCTCTTCGACGCCGAAGCCCATTCCTGGCTTCTTAGTCATCAACTTCATGTAAACGGCTTCGTCGGGGTTGACACGCATCACCAGTTCCGTTCTTCAAGATGCATTTTGAGAAAAACGAGTGTATATAATTTATTTTCAAGTTTAATTCTTTTGAAGTTCTGTAGGGTCTTCACCCTACTCAACAGGGTGAAGACCCTCCAGAACTGAAAGTTGAAAATTAGAAAAAAAAAAAAAAACAATAAATGACTTGGCATACGTTTTCAATCTATGATTTTTTTAAATCTAACAATTACCTTGGATGTCAGCGACTTTTTCAAGTCCCAAGTTTATTTTACCCGCGTTTTTCAACACTTATAACTGTACCAGCCCAGCGATAGGAGAACCTTCGACCACGCCCCCGCGTGGCGAAGGTTCCTCAGTTGGTGGGTTGCTGGTTCCGCGTGTCCCCTCTATCCACCAACTGAGGAACCTTCGCCCACGCGGGGGCGTGGTCGAAGGTTCTCCTATCGCTGGGCTGGTACATAACATTGTTTTATTTCAGAAATAGATTTTGTATTCACGTTTTGAAATTTTTGACACTTTCTGGAATTCAAAAAATGTTCTTCTTTCGAGAGAACATTCTGATAAAACCTTCACGAGCGATGAAAGTTCTAATTTCGACTTATCTCCAACCGACCTTTTCAGTTCTCCCGCAGGGTAGATGTCCCCACTGACCTCCTTGAACTGGATACGAACTTCAGCCTTTTTTTCGTTCAAACCTGAAATCAGTGAATTCTGCGTGTTCCGAAGACAAAGAAACCTTTCCCACAGCGCATGAAGAACGGAACTCCTTCCCAGCGCTCGTTGTGGACGTGGAAGACGGCGAGGGCGTAAGTCGGCGTTACCGAGTCCTTGGGGACGTCTTCGTCGTCCTTGTAGCCGTGCTTCGCCTCCGGATCTGTACATCAAAACCATTCAGAGCAGAAGAAGAACGGAAAACGATTGAAATCGGGGTTGGCGATGTACTGGCCGACGACGACGTCCTTCAACTCCACAGGCTTTATCGCCTTCAGCACTTTCACCTAAAGTTTCGATAGAAGTTTGAAATTAAATAATAACAAGTAATTTATTTATTTTGTTTTATTTTATTTTCTCTGTTTTTTCGAAAAACTATAAAAAAAGTTTTCAAAAGTAAAAATCATATAAAATTCTTGATTTATTGAATTAATAATTTTTTTGTAAAATTTTCTTTCCGTAGGGAATTCAGTCTTGTCCAGCTTCTCGTAGGTTCAAAAATCACGTTCTTCAAACTAAAAAAAAGAGTATTTCACCATGAACTAGACGGCTCCTTCATTTTAAAACCATTCTCTCTCGAAAAACTATTTTTAACCTTTTCATCTCGAATGTTCTCAGTGTCCAGACTTGCAGGTTTTTCCATGGCAACCAGCGTGAGAATCTGCATCAGATGGTTCTGCATAACGTCTCTGGAATTCGCCCTTGTTTTCAATCTCATCTTCTCGGCCGAGCCTGATGATTCCGGCCGTGTCGAAGTAGCCGGCGCGGCCGCCCGTTCCAAAGTCTTCTTTGAAGGAAATCATTACCGAGGCGATGTGGTCGCGATTCCAAGACGGCGCCATAATGCGATTTCCGAATCTTCACAAAATTGAACGAATTGAGAGGAAAAGAGACCGATCGAACCTTAGAACCATCAAGTTTTGAACCATTTCTTTCCCCAAGTAATGGTCGATTCGATACATCTGGTCCTGGAGCAACCATCGTAAAACTTGCTGATAAAAAATAAAAACGAACTTCTTTGAAAAGCTTGGAAAGATGCTTGGACAAGTGATCTGAAGACTTCAAATCGTGGCCGAAAGGCTTCTCGATAATTACACGAGTCCATGAGTCTCTGCAACCGAAATAAGTTCCTGAAGGCCTGATTATTCGACTTACCCATTATCCATGCAGTTATTTCTGAGCTCAGTGGTCACATTTTCAAAAACATTCGGGGGAAGGGCGAGATAGTAGAGACGGTTGACTGGCTCTATAAATTCGATTTTGAACAACAATTCATATTCTGAAGTTACAACTCTATGAAACAATTTTGATGAACAAAAGTCTTTTTGCTACTTGGTTTGATGGAAAATACTTAGGAAATAGGCTCGCGAAAATCATGAAAAGTTAAACTCAAAAACACGAAAGTTTGAAAAAAGAAAAACTTACGGTTGTTACTGGTGGCCTGGTACTCGTCGATGAAAGCCTTGAGTTTCTTGAAACCTTCGTCATCGTCGTATTTTCCCTGTTTACTTTCCAATAAATGAATTAGAAGCCATGACTGGCAGACCTGGATATAGCTGCACTTTTTGATAAAGTCCTCAAATGCGTCCTTTTCGTTGTCTCTCACCTAAAAAGGGATAAAAATCTAAAAGATATCATTAATTGTTAAAAATTCATATTCTTATTATTTCCACACTTTTCGAACATTCAGTTTTTCGCAAAGTTTTTTCGCAAGACCGCTGCTTTTTTTCAGTGTTCTGAGAATAAATTTCTGCTCCATCAATTTTTTTTTCAGCGGTTAGTCGTTTGCTACAAAGTACTGCGGAGAGAATGCTTTTCTACTTTTCAAACTTTTACTTTATTGAATAAACTGAACTTCGACTCAAAGAGACATATTCGAACCTTGCAGTTCTTCTCGAAGCCAGAACGGAGTTTGTCGACAGTCAAGTCAGAACGGGCGTATCCAACAAAAGCGACGTTGTTGGGAAGGAGGTTGTCGCGGAAAAGCCACCAAAGAGTCGGATAGATCTTTTTCTTGGCCAGATCTCCCTGTTTTTCGTTGGATTTTCTCGGTTGCCGAGGCTAGGCTCACCGAAGCGCCGAAGACGACGAAGACGTACGGAGGGTCGAAGTTGAGGTGCTGCTTCATCGAATCGCGCAGAAACTCGACCATGTCTTTGGTGAGCGGAGTCGATGCCGAGTTCGACCTGTTCCTGTCGGCGCCGGACGCGTTTGCTTCAACCCCTCAATTAGTACATGTTTTTGAGTTCCTACAAAACACTCTGGACTGGCCTAATTTTTCAATTTTGCTAATTTCTTTCTTCTTCAATCAGAATATTCATTCCTAATGTGAATCTTCATTTTGGAAGCTCAAGTAAACATAAGAATCACAACTATCCCATTTAGAAAGCAAAGATTCATTCCTCACCTCCCATTTTCTGCGATCTTTTGTATAGGGTGTGGAAGTTCTGAAAAAAATGTTTGAATGAGTACGACTTCCACTTGTAAAAAAAAAAAACGAAAACCGCAAAAAAAGGACTCGGATGTTACCGTTGTGAACGAATTCCTGTTTGCCCAACCGAAAAACAAATTGTCAGCGTTTTTTTTTTTGTGGGGAGGAAAACTTGTTCACTCAACTCGGGAGTAAGTCAAAAGATGAAAAAAGTGCGCAAATTGGAGATTTCCTCGGCATGGCAGAAAGGTGAAAAATAAAATCGAATACGCGCCCGCAAAGCGCAAACAACTGCGTCGGTGATGACAATTCAAGTGTGAGTGGAAAAAATTGGACCAGACAATGAAAAAACGAGGCGAAAATGATTGCCTATTATTATAATGATTAGGAACGCACAGTATTGGAGTTTTTATCGATGTTCATAAGCGAGCCGAGTGGCGAGCGAAATGACCCTTTCAAAATGGCGTGTTTCGTGAAAAATCGTAAACCGTCTTACATAGCCAACAGAGCTTCTCAAAACATGTGAATCTTTCGAGTTTCTTTTTTCACGAAGTCAAAAAATGTACTTTCAGTGTTTAAAAGAAAAAAAGGAACAAGAGCGTAGAGACAAACAAAGCGGACATTCGATAAACAACATGTTTACGTCTAGGAGTGCTTCAGTGCTATTTCTCGCAAGAAGTTCGATAATTCATACTATTATTTTAAACATTGTGGGAAGAGAGCTTTTGTGAAAAGAAACTTATAGTATCACTCAAAAGTCTAATCACAAAGAAAAATGTTGGTTCTTGCTTGATATCAAATTCTTTTTTCTTATTAAGATAAGAATTCTGAATGACGTTTATTAAATTTAAAAAAAAAAATCAAAATTAATTTCTGTCATCGGCCAGAATCTTCCTCACTACCATCCTACATTTAGAACAACTTTAACTTCACAATATCTCATCAAATATCATAGAGAAGCTTCAACATTGTAAAAGAGGCTGTAAGATATCTGTTTCGAACTGAAATCCGATCTTTGAACGCCGACGACTTTCGAAAAATTTAAAAATTTATTTCAAGCGGATCGGAGAAAAACAACAGAAAAGACAATATAAAGCAGGCACAAAAAAATCAGAAACTCAAAAATTAAAAAGAGAAAGAACTTCAGGAAATCAGTCATTCTTCTCGTTCTGACTCCAGATTGATTCGATCGCCAAACTTCCCATACAAAACTTTCTTGAGACTGTCCATTTCTTCTTGTATTTTGGAATTTTTCTCCTGAAAAAAAAGTTGTTTTCAACTCCTAATTTCAGCTAAATTTTGACCTTCATTCCCGTTAAAGATTCCTCAGCAACGCTTTTATTCTTTTCCAAGCGTTCGGTGATGGAATCCTGAAAATTTGTAGGTAAACACGGAAATTTTTTTAGAAAGACGGACACTGTCAAAGTGGATGAAACATTGTCCGATTCTGAGAGGAACAGACGCCGCGTCGTCCGTGTCCAGAAGCAACAGTTCGTCCGATGCCTCGTTGATGTTCTCGATTTGATTTTCAGCTTCTTTGATGTCGAGCTTAAAATCAAACATAACATTCCTGAAACAGTTCTGCCATTCTCCCTTTAAACTTCGAGAAGATGAAACGACTTTTAATTTTTTTTTTTGGCTAAGTAATGAATATGAAAAATAATACTGTTTTTCCAAAAAATGAATACATCAATCAATCAATCAAAATGTTTTATTTCTCACACACAAGTACTAAATTTCACGAAATAGATGTAGGGAGAGTTTGGGAACATATGTGTCGGAACTTCTGGTGATGGAGGGAAGAGGACTCGCGGTCGTGTTAACCCCCCACTTGAGTAAATTGGAACAACCATGAAGTTATTTTTTTAGATTTCGATTATGTAGCTTTCATATTTTTGTTGGATCAAAAGTATTTAGTTCTGTAATGTTGTTTTCAAACCATTTCTCAAGTTTAGATCTGAACTTATTTTTCTTTTTCTGAACTTATTTTTTTTCTTTTTTTTTTCGAAAACCAAAAAAATTAAAAATTAAATTGATTTTTTGTGAGATGCTTTGATAATCATGCGTTCTCATTGGTTTTCCGGATTCTCAACGTGACATCGTCACACTAACTTTAAAAATATTCAAATATGCCTATTTCTGTTGATAGGCACATGATATGAGAGATCTTTTTCATGTTTACCGTCTATAAAAAAAGCTACGAAAAGAAATCTCGCAAACTTTTCTGTAACCTTGGCTTCCACACGCCTGATGATCAGAACTATTTTTAATGTTGCGAAGAAGCTAAGAAATAGGAACTGAAAGATTAAAAAAACGTAGCTCTCAAAAAAATGAACCTGCCAATAAACGTTTTCTATTTGCCGATTTTATTAAATTTCAAAAATTATTATGTCGCACCTTCAGTTGCAAGTGTTGTTGGTAAAGCCGGGCAAACTTGTTTATGAGCTTTTGATCCGCAGCGGTTACGGTTGGCGGGGCGGCTGGCGTAGACATTTCTGTAAGAAATAAATTCAAAAACAATTTTCATTTGAGACAGGCGTTAAAGTGAACTGAAAAAACTTTAGAAAAAATAAACTAACATGATGGAAACTAAAAAAAACCTTTGAAAGCACATGAAAAATCGAAAATGATTCGAAATAAAATGAAACAAAAAAAAAATAAAAAAAATTCTGTGCATGCAATTTTACGGGTGGTGTGGCGCACTAGAAACACCTATCTTTGCTATCGTACTGGTACAACTCAGCGCGCGAGAGATAAGCTGATCAGCTAATCTTCGAACTATAAAATATCTATAGATTTTTGAATAATTGTGTTAGTGTGTTTTTTTCATTTTTACAAATTTTTTTAAAGCAGTTTTTTTTGTATCAGTTAAACCTTTTCTGGCTTGAAAAATGCCAGAACAAATTTTGTGAAATTCTGGAGCTTTTAGGTGTTCTTTACTATATAGTTTTTTTAGAATCCGTCATTAGAGCTTCATAATTTTTCTAGCTCAATGGCCACTGCTCTGGAAGAACTTCCAACTCTCTTCCATAAATGTATAAATAATTTTTGCTATCAATATATGCTTCCAGATTGCAGATGGTGTTGCGAAGAACGTTTTGGGGAAATTGATTCTTTGGAATGGCGATATCACTCGTATCAAGGTCGACGCGATCGTCAACGCGGCCAACAGTCGCCTTGCTGGAGGTTCTGTTTTTTTTTTTTTGAATTTCCGTTTCAAGAGATTGAAAAAAAGATGTGACTTAAGAAAAATTTGAAAAGGAAAAAGCTCCATTAAATTTTTTTTTCATAATAGCAAGTTAATCTAGACCGACGTCCCTGAGAAGGAAAAGTGAATGACCACCTCGGAAAGTTTTCTCGAACTCTCAACCAATCCTTATAGAAAAGTCACGTGATTCAAGAACGAAATAGAAAACTTTGATAGCTCGTCATAATTAATTGCGCTTCGTATATTGAAAAATACAGAAGGAAAATGCTGAAAACAGCTTCTCATCAAGAAAAAAAAAGAAAATAGTATGTTTTACACTAATTATTCAAGGAGGCGGCGTTGATGGAGCCATTCACAGAGCCGCGGGACATGCGACTTTGCAAGAAGAATGTCGTAAATACTCTGGATGCAAAGTTGGAAAGGCTGTAATCACATCAGGATGCGGGATAAACCATATAAAAAGTTTCCACAGCAGTCGATCAATACTGAAATAATAGTCTTTCAGATATTATTCACACTGTTGGCCCTCAGGTTTATGGAAAACTCAGTGAAAAACACCGAGACGATCTTATATCATGCTACAGATCCTCACTGGAACTGGCTGTTGAAAATAAACTCAGTTCAATAGTGAGTTTTTCTTTCCTTCTTACAGGTTGTTTTCGGCTCTTTAACGCGCTCTCCAATTCCCCTCGTATATTTTCAGGCTTTTTGTTGCATTTCCACGGGAGTTTATGGATATCCTCACAATGCTGCTGCTGAAGCTGTTACCGATTTCTTGACGAATTGGCTGGAAAATGACCAAAACAAAGACCAGGTTTTTGTTTCTATTCTTATATTTCATTTTTATGTATAGGATTATGAAGATAAATCTACATTCAAGTTTTTATAGAATATTTTTTCAGATTTTTCCATCAAAAGTTTCCAACCGGGTCTCGATTTTTTTTAAATATTCAATTTATGATTTATAGATCAGCCACGTGGTGTTGGTGACTTTCATGCCGGTCGACCAGCAGTGCTACGAGAAATATTTCGACGAGTTCGCTGCCAAATTCAAAACAGCTTGATAAAATTGAGTTTATTTGCTTTCGTCCGGTGAAAATACGCGTGATATCTGAATAATACTGTACAGTTTCGAACGCCTTTGTTTTCGATATTTTTGAGAATATTTTTTTTATACGTGTCTTATTCGATTACTCTTGTCTTCTTTTTACGTTGATTTTTTTTCATAAACTTTTATTTATTTATGGTAAATATCTATGTCTTCGTTTAATGTCACGCGGTCAAGCGTCAATGAAATATCTGCCGGTCCACATGGAAAATCTCCCCGAGAAGGGCAAACCGAAGCCAGTCGTGGATGTCTGACACTGTTTGTCCGCGCGGCTTCCAGTCCACCCAACCAAAAAGGCCTTCCTTTCTTTCAAACTTTCCGTTTCTATTTCTCTGTACATATTTTTCTAGTCAACTAACAGCAACATTTTCTCTTTTAACAGAACTGGGCAAATGCTGCGAGCAGCGGTGCTACTTGCACTGTGGAGCTGTGCTTCCGTACAGGCGGTCGGCTTCGCTCCAGAACTATACTGCGGCCTGGAGAACTGCTACGACGGTACCTTTTCTTCCAATGACTGAACCGAATTGTGTTTGCAGTTCTTGGAATCGATCGAGAGCTCTTCGATAGGTCCAACTTGTCCAAGTCCTACCGCGCGCTCGCCAAGAAAAACCATCCAGATCGATTCAAAAACTTGGTAAGTTAACTTTTTTTGGTCAAGACTAAGTCGACTGATTAACTCGCGATAACTTTTTTTTCAGGACTTGAAAGCTGAAGCGGAAGCGCGTTTCCGTGTCATCGCGACTGCTTATGAAACTTTGAAAGATGAGGAATCCAAAATTAGCTACGATTACTACTTGGACCACCCTGAAGAAAGGTCTTTCAATATAAAGCAAAAATAGATTGACGGTTCTACAGGTTCTACAACTACTATCAATACTACCGGCTTCGAGTAGCGCCCAAAGTCGATGTACGCATCGTTATTCTCGGCACTCTCATAGTCATTTCTCTGTTTCAAGTTAGTTTGCTCTACTAAAACCATCTTTTGCCTTTTTTTTCAGTACCTAAGTGCGAGACACAAGTATTCTGAAGCCATATTCTACGCATCAACAGTAGGAAAGTTTCGCAACAACGCAATTACGATGGCAGTTGAAAAAGGGGTTTTTCGACACTTTGCAGAATATTTTTTCAACGACCTTAATCTCAGCTGCTCGAATTGGACAATAAGGGAAAACTGAAGAAAGTGAAAGGAAGAGACAACGAAGCAGTGATCAAGCAAGTGATCACGGACAATTTGGATGTGACGTCAGTGAAGTGTTTTCCTGAATTCCTCCTAATTATAAGAATGCAGTGGAGGTTACAAAAAGGCGTCCGTTTATGACACACTTCTTTGGCATTGTATAATTTTCCCCTACACTCTGTTCAACTACATCGTCTGGTACGCCACGTGGGTTTGGCGTTTCGATATTCGTAAGGAAGAATACGACGAAGACGCCAAACTTCATCTCATTCGTAAAAACTTGAAGCTAAGTGAGAACGAGTTCAAGGTCGGAAAAGTCAAATATTTGATCTAAATTTGATTTATCTATTCAGCGCTATACGGACGATGTCCTTGACGAAATGTTTGAGCGAGAAATTTGGATCGCAGATAATTTCAATACGTGGAAAGCGGAGAAAGAAGCAGAAATGCAAGAAAAATTGGCGCAAAGTGGCAGGTTAACTTTTTAAGTTCCTTTTTTGAATCGCCGCTTTCTACAGGTTTTTTCTTTGTTGCAGTTATAATAATTTATTGACATATTCGACCCTATAACTATACTTTAGCCATACACTAATTATGAAAAATGCATTTTCGTTTTCAATAAAGAAATTTTTCATTTTCAATAAAGAAATTTTTTTCAGATATAAACGCTACAAACGCTACATGAAGAATGCAGGAACGATTTCTTTCGTCGACGAAGATTAACTTATTAATTTATACTTATAAAAAGTGATATAGATCATAATGATGCTTCGGGTTGGATGCGTTTTGAAGTAAACTTTCGAATGTTTATTTGTTATATTTAAACAAGGAAAAATAACAGTGACAAAAAATTACTTATCTTAAAACGGTGTTTAACGAAAACCTCGGTCGTTGAGTATCAACATTGCTCGGCGCTCTTCCTGTAAACGTTTGAAATTGCGAGATTTTTGATTTTTAGGCCGTACCATTGAAATTTGATGATCATCAGGATGAATAATTCTTGTTCTCGAGCCCAACTTACTTGCAACATTTGCGACGGGTGCTATTGTATTCTGAATGCTATGAATGAGAAAATGAGCAAGAGGGACAAACGAACAGTATTTGTTGGTTCGGCATAAGGAATGTTAGATACCAAATTAGGCTTTATTTCTTCTTCGTAATCTCCATTGCCCAACTCCCCTTTGGGTGCTGAAAGAATCAGGTTTAACAGAACTGGACCCTAAAAAAAAACCTCTGCCACCATACTCTTCTCGAGGTGGTGTCTTTGCAACAGGGGGCTGGTGGAATCCATTATCAAACCGAGAAGTCCGTGGCTCCTCTGGCGCAATGGCTGCCATCCGTGGCGGAGGCAACACGCCGCCCATCGGACTGAAATATTAACTTTTCAAAAAAGATATCAACTATTGATCAGTTAACGTTTTAGAGAACTTTCAAAGAGATTAAACATTGAAAGCTCTTGAAAGTTCAAGCCGAAAAACTAAGTTTTATTTGAACTACATCTTCATTTTATCCGAATTAAAAGAAGACAAACCGAGGCGGAAAAGCTGCGGCATGGTTTCCAGAGAATCCAGGTGGTTGTGGCGGGAATCCTGGAGGTCGAACTGGAGGAGGACGAAATCCGGCCATTCCTGGTGGGAGCATCGGCGGCATTCCAGGAGGCAGGGCCGGCGGCATTCCCGGAGGCAGAACGCGTGGCATGGGCGGCATCCCGTGGGGCATCGGGGGCATGTAAGGTGGAAGACCTGTGAGTAAAATCTCGTTCTCATTTCCAGTTAAATAGTCTTCTCTTTCCCCTGCTTTTATATCAAACTTGATTATCAAAAAGCCCTAGGGAACTCAAAAATAAAAGTTGGAAATCAGTTCATGTAAATTATTTTCGAAAACGGGTTCACAATATTGAGATAATTCGTTTTTTCGAATTTTTTGAATGTATTTGGCGCAAAAATGGCGTAAAATTGAAGAAAATGAATTAATTTAATTTTTGTTTCAAAAAACAAAACAGAAAGAAAAACTTACCAGCCGGCGGCCTCCCAGGCATAGGTGGCATAAATGCTGACGGCATAGGCGGGAATGGGACTCCTGCTGGAAGAGGTGGCGGCGGCAAAGGAACCATGTCATCTCGTAATTTCTTCTCTGGTGGCTCGTCTTCTGCTGCATCTGTAAAAAATAGGAAATTAAAAAATGCTTACTGTTTTAAAAAATAAATCTTTAAAAAATACATGAAAAATTTTAACCTCCCCGGTATGAACCAGCCGGAACGCCGTGCATTCCATAGATTTCAACGTGGATATTATCTCTTCCTTGTGCTGCGCCGGGAATCTTGTCTATTGTTTCTTTGTGCACCTTAAACGGAAATTAGTGGAGCAAAATTCAAAAAAGTTGGACTCAAAAAAAAAAAACTGAGCTCACCTGCATGCAATGGATTGAAAGCCCGGGTCCACTGAACAGTTTCTTGTGGCATATATGACATTTGAAATGTTTGGCCTTCTGATGTTGAATTAAAACTTTTTCATCGTCGAACTCACGATTACAATACCTGAAATGCATGAACCTTATTTTAAAAAAAATTTTTCACATACCAGCACCACGGCTTATCGACCTTCTTCTTCTTTCTTCCCATTTCCTGTGATAACATAAATTTGAAAAAATCTTACATCGAGAAAAAAGAATCCGAAAACCAGACTGGGGACGAAAAGGAAAAAAGGGGCTGAATTAATATAAAAATTGCCAAAATAAATTCAAATTACGTCCGGATTATCAAAAAAATCTGACAACTTAATTAATTTTTTTCCTACATAGTTTTTGAAAAAAACATACTTTATATATATATGCAAAGTTTCAGCTGATTATAATAAGCTTTTTTTCCATTATTGTTGTTTTTTTGAATTTGCTATACAAATACTTCCCTATTTATTTATTGATAACGACTAGTGCTTATTTGATAAAATAGAGAAAAGGAGAATAAAACTTTTGAAACATGGGAAAGTCCTATAACAAGAGCCTTTCAGTTATTTTCGAGCCACTTCAAAACTCCAAAATTTGAAAAACCTTAAGTAGTATACCTTACTCTGAGGGAGAATAAATCAAAACCAAAACAAGACATCAACATAGAAATAAGCGTGGCTAAAATGAACTTACACTTTTTCTCAATTGAAAAGCATTCGTAACTTTGAGCTTAACCTTTTTCCCCTTCTCTATTTAAATATTTTGCTGGTGAACAATGTAAAAATTAGAAATAAATTTCAAAATGCCAATTTTGACGCCATGCCACACGTAATAGTGGGCGGTCGTATAAATGCAAAAAGACGTCACGGTTTTATATTATGGGGCGTGTCTTCTTGCAAGGAAATTTTTTTCCAAAAAAATTTTTATTTCATTAACAGCATTTGGAAAGCTTTTTTTCTGATTAAAATTCTGAAAACTTGCGCGGAAAAAAAGTTTTTTTATGAAAAATTTCGAAGTATCAAAAAAAGCTATTTCATTTATTCATAAGTTTTAATTTTGTAAACTGGATATAAAGAAGTTGAAACCTTCTTATATGTCCCTGATCGAAAAGCAATAAAGATTTTATTAGATATTCTGCCATGCGGAAATCCTTTGACGTCACGATTCTCCTAATATTATGCTTTCTGTGTCGAGAAGCACGAAATATCGAAAAAAGCTCCTGAGAGAACGGCCAAGGTTTGCGGCAGACCTTTTTTCCAGTCGACAGCATTTCCATAAATGAAGAACGACACGAGGTGGTCGTTTTGACAGAGCACACGACGTCAACGACATGGGCGGAGCGGACTTCTGCAATTGTTGCCTCGACCTTGGCCAATTGGCCCTACCAAATTGCTCTCGAGATTTCACACTAGTATGTCTTTATTTTTTAGCTTCTTCGTTTTTACTAGTCTCATTGGAGAAAGCGACGCACGTGTTCAATAATTTATACGATGGGTTGCCGTCCTTCGACACCTGAAGTTGGACCCGAGCCCAGTTCCACAGAGGTCCCCAGCGATCCAAAAGCAACAAGTTATCGACCTTCCATCGTCAGTCTCCAGATCCCCAACGAATATGGAGATGACATCAGTTCAGATGCGATGAGGTACTCCTTCCCGTTTCGAAAGGAGATATATTCACGTCGGAAAAAACAAACAAACAGTTTCAGCGACCATTCGTTGGAGCAAGAAGGCCAAGAGCACAGTGACTACCTCTACGGTACGGACGTGACCCTACAGTGGCTGCTCCAGCGGATCGGGGACAAGCTAAACAAGTCGATAGTCGATGAACCTCAATGGATAACGGAGAGACTGAACCGTCCAAGCTGGGAATGTTGGTCACCTACGGCATTTGAAGTACATCAACATATTTTCAGCCGAATACGCCACGTCGTCGGTCGTTCGCGTTACATTTGGCTGGGAAGATGACGACCTTCCCAAGAGCGTCGTGCTCAAAACTCCGGTGGCAAAGGACTTACGAGACGACGAAGAGGGAAAGTATCATTACATCATGTTTAAGAGGTTTTTGAGCTTTTTCTTATTGAATAAATTCTCAAGGTTTACTAGAGTCTAGCTGTATTGAATGAAGAAAAAAAAAACTGGCGTTGCTCTATAGAAATTTATTGAGCCTGCAAAGGCAGAAAAAACTACTCTTCCTGGATTCAAAGGTCGAGAAAAAAAAGTCAAAGAATTTTTTCTCGGCTTTATAATGAATGGAGCACATGGCGAAAACTTATGGAAGATTTGGAACCTTTATGCAGCCTATTTCGCTTACAGCTGTTTTCAGAGAGTGCAACGTCTATGAATGGACGCAAAAGTTTCCAAAACTAGCTTCGCCGAACATTTTGCACATCAAAAAGCATTCGAAGGAGGGCAGCGGCGTGGTAGTCATGGAAGACGTCGGCGAAAAAGGAGTCGAGCAAGATCCTGTGAAAGGACTTCCTGTTCGTTACATTTCAGACCCATTAAAAATAAGTACCGAGAAAAAAGTCGCTGACGGTACGTTGACGACTCCGCAGAAGTGCTGCTTGCAGCTGCGGCGTTCTTTCTTTTTCCTTAGCGCTTTTTTGCATTTTTCTTGACGCGTTCTCGTTTTTGGAAATCATCTAATTTTTTTCGAATGCGTGAGAAATACGAGAGAAATGCGACCTCGAGCTGGACTAGTCATTTATCATTTTTCGGCTAATAATTTTTTTCCAAACTATTGTTAAATTTTAAAGTTTTTATTCATTGTTCTCAAATTACAGCTAGATGCTATGAGAGACGTCCTGAAGCACATGGCCTATCTTCACGCGACCTCCTTGAAGCACACCTCCTGGAGCACTCTCGTGAGGCTCCACCTACTTCTCACAAATTTTCAATTTTTCCTCAGGTCGCCGACTTGCCTCCTTCTTACTACGCGCATCTGATTGGCAACTTCGAGGCGGCGATGAATTTCTTCGAGCGGCACGACGTCGATCATTCGCGATTCGTAGTAGGACCCGAACAGAGTTTCGTGTAGTGCGTCTTTTGCAGCACACGGCCAAGTACTTCTCCGCCGAATACCTCCACACGACGGCCACAGAAAGCGCCGAGCAACTCGGAGTTCCGCGAGTTCTGGTCCACGGCGAGCCCTACGCCAGCAACGTGTTCGTCCGCCAGGAAGGGAAGGATCAACGTGTCAGTGCCATCATCGACTGGACGGGTCTGATTTTTTTGTAAGAAAAAAATTTAATAGTTTTCCAAAAAATTATATATTTGAATACGTTTCAAGTTAGCCTATCTGTAGCCTTTTTAAGGTTATTTATAAAACTCATTTGTCAGTGCGATTATCCGATTCGAAAAAAGGATTGAAGGAGGAATAAAAGTTGTTGAAACTTCATTATTTCGTATACTGGAAGTCATCAGACAATTTGAATAGTTAAATATTTATTTCACTAATTCGCACTTGAATGATGATAAAAATCAATTGATACGTATATAGGAACTGCCTTGAGATAATTCAATTTACAATGAAAATGTTGATTTTTCAGAATGCCATTCTGGTTGTTTTGCGGAGGATCTGAGCAAGGCCATCTGCTGGAACTTATCACCACGGGTACTGAACCCAAAAACTGACATCAGTATTTGACATTTCCAGGACAGAGTCGACCACACGAGTTCTTTGATTGAAGGCTATCACTACCATCTCGCTAGGTACTGCGGAGCCGAATGTCCCTTCACAGTCGACGTCATCAGGACTGCCTACGACTTGTTTTTGCCCTTTTCCATGGTTTCCATGGTTGGAAAGGCAAGTCTTTCTTTTTTTCTTTCTTCTTTGTTCAAAACAGTTACGATTCTTTCAAACTGCTCTCGTAGATTTCTCTTTTAGCATTGAAAAAAAAAAACATTAAAAGGGGCACACATTATGTACATTCAATTCATAAGTGACTTTCGAAATTTTACGGTTTCTTGATTCCGTTTGCAGCGAGCTAAAGATATTTCGATATAGTTGATTAACTGGTGGCTTGAACCACCGACGGGTCCTGACACGGTAAGAAGAGAGACAGTGGCTGGTTCGTGGAGAGCGCTGACGCATCTGGTTAGCATCCCTAGCTAGCCGGGATTCGGCTAAATGTGTTTTCATAATTTAATCTGAAAGTTGTCCTAGTTTACTGCCAGATTATAAAAAAACACGAATTCATTGCAAATCATGAATCCGATTTGAATCATGAAGTTTCAGGTGATGAGTGCGAAAAACGAAGCGGAAAACGAGCCGCTCGTCGAAAGGGCCAAGGCTCTCATCCAGACCGTATATGCGACAGCTCGTCTAGCACAGGATTGAACCTTTTGAGCGTAACCCGTCTATTCAATCTCTTTTTGTCAGTAGCGGTTTTTAAATACTCTCACTTATCTTTTGATCGAAAATATAAAGTCTTCAGAACAATATATCAATTTATAAATAGCGTAAAAAAAGTTTTTAAAAAAAGTTGAAATTATTCAAATATACAATAATATCATACCATTTGAGTACAAAATTATCTCGCGGTTTTTTAAAATCTTGTTTTGCTGACTTCGACAGTCGCTGTCAGAGTTGAAAAAAGATTACATACTTCTTTGTCGGCACTCTCTATGACTAATTGTGAGTCATAAATAGAAGATTGGCTGATGAATAATTATTTTAACTAGTTCCACTTCCTAAATAATTAAAATTGAAGGGTTTTCTTCGTTTATTATCCACAAACCTAATAATTGAACATACCGCTTTCATATAGTCGAGAGCTTATTTAATCTCATTAACTTTGACCTTTTTCAAAATAGAGTTTTTATTTATGCTGAGTAATCATCTGAAAAAATTCCGATGGGGTTGCAAAGTTCCTTCGAAACGCACAGTGCATGACAGACTCACGTTTTGGAAATCTGAACTCGCGCGCCACAAAACCTCAGTACTAACAAAAGCTCGCGGCACAAACAAAAAAACAAACAGACAGGTTGAATCTCTGTCATTGTGTCCGTGTTGGCTTGTGGCGGAGCATCTTTTGAAGCCGCCGAGAGGTGCACTTGACCCTCAACTTTCTTTTTGCCTTCTGTTTTTCTCCTTTTTTTTGCCAAAGATTTGCGTTTTCAGTAAGTGAATTTGAAGAAGCGAGTAAGTTTGCAAAATTTTTTCCAAATTTTCCGAGCTATTGGATTAGGTTTACCGTATCTTTCAGAATTTTTGGCCGAGAAATTGTGATCTCGGTTGTTGAAAATCAGAATCAAGATTTTTCACAGAATTTATTACATGTCGGGCCTTTGAAAGGGTGAAGGTAGAGTGTTTTTTCTGCTTTCGATGTATAATATATATCATGTCTTCAGGTTCGGACTAGCTCGAAAACATGAAAGACTTTTCCCACTTTCAGAGAGCTCGAACTAGCGAGTTTTTCAACTCTAGCTTTTCACTAAAATAAATTCCGTTCTCGGCCACGGGAGATTGGAGATTGAGCCATGAGCGAACAAGAGCAGAGCAAATCGAGAAAAAATAAGAACACATGGCTAAGAAGTATTGTTTTAATGAGGTGAGAGGGGTCAATTTGGTCGAGGGCTGCAAGCTTCTCTCCTCATTCATTAAGCCCTCAGCCGCTAATGGAATCGCACAGGATCAACGCGCATTTCGTCATCCGATCTGCATCTTCGAGCCTCCGTCAGTACTACTTGAAGTCGAGTCCTTGACTCTAGTGCTACCTTTGAGGTTTTTGCGGTTTTGAGATTTGAAGTTGAGTCGGTTTTGACGAAAAAGCTACCAACTCATGTAAAGGGAGAAATGACATCCGAACGCCTTTCATGAGTAAATCAAACCCGATGCTCCAAGGAGTTGAATTACAAAATGTCGTCGTTGACCACTGGTGAGCAAGCCTATGTTTGGCTACCAAATAAATATGTACCAGGCCGTAGACCAGCATGGACGCTTCCGAGTTGGATAGAGCTTCATTGGTTGGTTCTTCGCTTTGGATAAGATCTTATTCGAAAAAATGAACAAAAATTAATGCAAAATTCTTTTCCCGATCTTAATTTGAAGAATTTCTGTAGTTTCAAGTAATTTTTTCGAGAAATTGAAGAACTTAGGGATCTATATTATAGACTATATATTTCAGTAAAACCTCTTAACTTTTTTTTTCCTTTTTTGACTTACACGAACATTTTTTGTGAAGTGGACGTTTTATACAAGAACTGAGTCGACAGTAATATAAAAGCACCTTTTACATTCCAACTCACTTCCCTAATGTTATTTTTGAGATTTCATTTTGAAGCCGATAAAGTTTCCACAGTGAAGGAATTCACTTCTTTGCTCAACGCCGATAACTTTCGCCCTCTTGCTTATCTTCCAGTCAGATCATTCCAATAAAAAGGTTCTAAGATGCCACAGCCGAACGGCTGTCGTCGCACCACCCAGAAAGTTAAAGTGCAAGCCAATTTCCTCAGATGTTGTCCATTATTTCAAACCGCCGCTCGTCGGGCACAAGTATCGGATGTCTCCAAGAGAAAGACAAACAATTAACGATTGACTGACCAAAACCGCGTCGCCTAAACACTAACACATGAATTTCTGTGAGCTTCAAGGGCCGGACGTGTAGGCGGCGCCGTGTGTGCTCAGCTCCCACACCACCTGCAGTGCTTCCACTTCTGTACGGCGGCAGTTCTCGCCGTCTGCAGTCTCTCGTCTCTCATATCTCTACTCTCCTCTTACTCCTCCTGACAAGTCCTTTTTTGTCAGAACCTTTTTTGAACATTTGTTGTTTTTTCCGCTCGAATGAACTCCAAAATAATCGAATCTTCCAACAGAAGGACTCCGTTTTTTCGATATTCGTTTTTCAAACGTGTAAAAGAATCTCTTCTAACTGATTTTTCTCATTTCCTTTTTGAAACGTACTTTATAGACTCCCAAAACATTGATGAGAGGATGAATAGGTCAAGAATTCTCTGCAAGTTCGATTTTTTTTTTTGAGATTTAGATAAAGATCTAGAAAACTTTCACCTGCACAATTTTCCATTTTTTCATAAACAGATTCCCTGAACTTAAACTTCCTAGTAGAATTTCCATCAAAATTTTCCGAGGTTTCGCTATTCGTGAACTTGAAAAATGTGCACGGTCAGACTTCCCGTGTTTCAGGTTCATCAAATAGCATTTTGAAATGGTCTTCAAAAACTACACACAATCTCATAGAACGACCTCCCCTATCTGGTGATCTTTTTTATAAATTAATTCCCATATCTCCACATTATAAGTTTTCTAATTTTTGAAGAATTTGTAAAGTTCTCAGAGGCTTTGAAAAAAAAAGAATATGCAAATTTTACTCGGAGCCTAAATTTTCTGATTCCGATCCAGCCAGATCGCAACACTCGCACGGCCCTAATTTTTGGATTAATCGCCACGTTGGTGGGCAATTTTCGCGCATTTTAGGTCTTTTTTACGTCCTTCGACACCACTTGATTGCATAATTGCACAACACCCTCGCTTTCGGCTCCGTATCATCTCAGCTTTCTATGAAAATTGGTCGAAACTTTGCTACAGAAATCTTGCACTTCCACGAGATCTCCTCGAAAGCCATGAAGAACATTTTCTCTGGTTTTTCGGACCTATCAATTCGCTAAGCCTTCTTGTTACCAGATCCATTGGACACGGCCATTTGGTGTACCGGAAAGGAACCGAAAAAGGCTTGCGACCTGTCACATAACCATGCGCCATTTGCGCAGATTTGAACTGGCGCGTCCACGCCGAGCCGTTTTTTATTCGTCCTTTCTCTGTGCGTCTTGATGGCCACAACCTGCCTCATTTCGCGCCCCCTTTATTTCTCCATTTATCCTTCGGTTTTTTTCCTTGCTCCCCCAATTCAAATGCATATTTCTCTCTACACATATTTTTCTCTTCTACATACTTCTAGTTTTCTTTGTGTGTTTTTAATTTTGTTTTTCATGTTTTCCTGCTCGAAAAAGCAGTATCTCTGACGGTTCATGTAACCGAATTGAAAAACTTTCAAAGGTTTAAAATTTGAAATTACTTTCAAAATGATCGAAATACGGAATTTCATTGAAATTTTCGCGTGTGGTCTGTCATTCACGATTTATATCCAACATAATTTATCACCCGTTCATTTCGTCATTGTTTTTTCCCCTAACCAATTTTTTGCAAACATTGAAAAAAGTTTTTTTCTATAGAAAAGTTCGAAAAATTTTAATTGGCTAAATTTCAAATTTGTCAATGGATTCTTTGCGGTTTTTGTTTATAAAAGGACTAAAGTTTACTTGATATTTTAGACGTTTGAGAAGTCTGCATTCCTTAAGTTTGTGGGAAAATAAATAGATGTTGGACTTAATCCTGGTTGAAAGCAATGCGTGATTCATCTGTTTTATTTTGAAACTTCTTTCGCAATATCTGTTCCTTTGGACGACGGACGTTCAAAACTACTAACTGATTATTAGAGACGAACAAGAGCTTCGGATGGCAGAAATGACCGATGGGTGGGCGGAGTCTTTGGTGGCAGCGTTCCAACATATCTGGACGTAGGATCGAAATTTGTGAATGCCCTTTCCAATACACTTCCTTCCCTGTTTTCTTCTGAAATCCCTTCAATTCCTGCTTTCTGACCTTCAACTAGCCGTCTCCATTATTATTGCCACTTCTCTTTGTCAACCTCGTTCTCAAGTTTTTGATTGTTGCGAGTGAAGTTTAAAAATTTTGAAGCTATCTTTGGGGCAAAATTTCGCTTTATTCAATTTTATTTTCTCTTTTGCACGAATGAAACTTTTTCATACAAGAGCATGTTACGTAAAAATAAAATTAGTTTTGTAATTTAGTGTTATTGTCAAGTTTTAAAAATTATGCGACTGAAATTTTTTTGAATCCATTTTGGGTCTGTATTATCTCAATGATTACTGTTTTAGAGAATCTCACATTTTTTTTTTACCAACTTTGCAATCTCAAAATTCCCAAACTTAATTTCTGCTGCTAAATTTACTAAAATTTCCATACTGTTTGAAATAGCAGTTGCGGCAACGTTTTAAGGGATAAATGGGAGCCTCCGTTTGATAAGACTCAATTTTTACTCTGAAAAGTAGCTTTCATGCAGAGTTCTATTGAAATGGCTGTGAATTGTTTGAGTTGAACAAGTGAGGAGAATTTGGGAGGACCTGCGTAATGGGATAACTCAGTTGACGGAAAAGAGCCGAAAGTAGCAAGGTAATTGAATCGACAGCACCTCAGAGGGTTCTGATTAATGCGAGAGACGGCCTGCTTGCTAATGTTTGATTTGGCCGCCATGAATTGCGGTTTCGGAGGACCGAGAAGACGTCGCGCCAGCTTCTTTCGCTCTTTTTCGGCTACTCGTGTCGCCTCCCGAGGGTCGAGCACGTTTTGATTTCGTCTTGTCGCACCACTCTCTTCTTCTAGTTTGTTGTTTTTTTTTCTCTGTTCTTCACAACTTTTTTGGTCTTTTTTGATTCGTTCGTTGATGTTCCTTAATGCAGGGATGCGTGTTCTGTCCGCTGTTCAAAAATTCTCTTCTGTCAAATCAATCTTTCTTCTTTGAAAATGCCTTTTTTATAGTTGTGTTATAGAAACGCATTTCGGCTTTTAGCTTCTTTTTGTCTGCCTCGTTTCAAAAGACAAATTAGTTTAGCTTGGCTATCCATATTTTTCAACGTAATTTTTCTTTGGGAATTAGTATGAGAAGGAGGTGCTAGGAAAAGTAATTGGAAGCCTCTAAATGTTTTTTCTTTTTCATTTTTTCTTCCGAATTTTTTCCAAGTGTCATACCTCAGCTTCCTCACAAACAAACTACAATACAAGCAAGCGAATGTTTTGATTCCCGTGTTGCTTTTCATTATGAATAACAAAAACAATGTGGAAAAAATTTTGTAAAAAAAATAAATCGAAAAGGCCAAAAATCTCTGCTTTGAAACTTTAAAAAAAAAAATAACTTTCTAATTTCTCGGCTTGGTTTTCTGGTATGGTCGACTATATAGGAATACATTTATTATGTAAATGAATAGTTTGTCCAAGAGGCCCAATTTCCCGACCGACGACGAACTTCCGTCCAGAGCCATCTGTCGCCGACGGCACACGATCCGATAACGCCTCTTTTCTTCCTTTTGTGCTCTAACGCACATTCATCAAATCTGTGGCCGTTTGTCATATCTGTCTCGCTTCATGATCAGAACGCGTTTCGCCTTTCTTTTCTCTCGTCCTTTCATTTTTCATCTTACGTCCCAATCCATCAAGTCACCTCACTTACTTTACTTGAAACTTTGGCGGTTGCTCCGGAGTTTTATTTTTTTTTTCTTCTAAAAAAATTCTTCGTTTTTCTTCCAATTCAATCCGATGCGTTTTCACTTTCGTTTTGATTGCTTTGAAAAAAAGTATAATCGTTGTTTGATGGGAACGCACAACGCACTATTATCAAAAACCCAGCGAAAAATGTAAAATTTTATGTTTCTGCTCAATTTGAAGTCATCCTTTTTGGTGTTTGTTGAATTTGATCGATATGCATCAAGGTCTACGAAAATCTCTAAAAGGGTTTGCAGACATAAGTTTTGAATTGAACTGAATTTTGATTGTAGTAGGTATGAGTTGAAAATAGATATTTGATTCGCTGAAATTACGAGTATGGCATCCGGTTTTTCAATGGCTCTTCGGTCATTTTTCTTTAGAAAAATAGGTCTTTTATTATACCGAGAAAATTTCTATGATCAGTTCTTGAAGCTATTCTTTACAACTGATCGGCTAACTGCCAGAGAAAAGTCGAGTGGCCCTGACGACATGCCGTTTTGGCGTCTTCGAGTGGCCAGTGGCCCTGCCGGACACAAAGGATGTGCAAAAAGAGACGACCAGCCTCGCATCTGTTGAATTCTCGGCTGCGGTCATCCCTCCGTTCTGATTTTCTCCTTTTGCTTGTACCTTCTTGTCGACTTTGGCATTTTTGAAAGATCTAGTATGAAAACTTCTTTTCGAAGAACTTCATCCAGAATAAATTCCCACTTTACCTTCTAACAATTTTCACAAATTTTCTCTCTAGCTTCAGTTCAAACTTCGAAATAAACCCCAAATTTCATTGGGAAATCTTGTTATATTTTTTACAGTCATCTTGGATCTCAATTTATTTTTGGTTATATTGATTTTTTTTTAAAATTTATACTCATACAGAGTGGGTTTTTAGAGTTCAAACGGATTGGCGAATGAATTATTATGAGGTTTAGAAATTCTCCGAGGTCATGAAATATTTCTTATGATTTACTTGTACAATGGGTCAAGAAGCAGTTCCTCAAAAAGTGTATCTACACTGTAGATATATTGAGAATTTTTGTCTTTTTTTTCGGGAAAAAATGAAAGAAAAGAAGAAGAAAGTCCTCCACTGTTTCTCGTCGTTTTGTTCTTGTCTCAGCGGTTTTCTGCCCTTTCCCATCCGATGCGTCATTCATACCACCACTTTTCCGCTGCGCACTGTTTGTTCGGTTTCGTTTTCGAATCCCGTCGCTTGTGAACACTGTTGTTTTAACATTGGCTGGCTTTTTTGAGCTTTTTCCTCGCTTCCTCACCTGAGAACTATTTCAAATTCTAAGCATGGAACTATTGAAATAATCAATAAATATTCTGCAAGTTAGATCAGGGATGAAAACATCACTTTGAAAAGATTAGATTTATATATCCTTTTTTGAAATTTTTTCTTGATAGCTTGATAGAAACAAAAGGTAGACCTTCATTTTGGCTGATGTGAAAGGCGAAAAGTTTCATGTTTGTTGTAAATCTAAAAGTTTCCAGTTTATTTTTTTTTTACGATGGTTCGTAATTTTTGTTTGTCAACCCTCTCTTCTTTTGTTTGCTTATCACTTCGTGTTTTTCTTTGGAATGTAATGATCTTTTTTCATTTTCTGAACTTTTATTTTTTTTTTTTGCTCTTGCTTCTTAGCATCTGCCTTTAGTAAGGTGTGAGCGGAAAATTCCCGCTTCTTGGATTTTTTGAAACTTCAGTTCAAAATTTGAACCAAGTAGTGAATAGTTCAAAAAATAAAACGATGAAATCTATGATTCAACGTATTTGTTTTGAAAACGAGCTCTTTTGAAAGAAATAAATTATAGAAAGTTCAAAAAAGTTCAACTGGGTGGGAGAAATCTCGAAATTTCGAGTTTGAAGCTAACAAATGATGACACTTAAACCAATTTTTCGAAACGGATTGGGATCGAAGGTAATACTAATCTCGCAATCCAGTTGAGTAAAACGTGCCCATCTGCTGAAAAAAAGAAACCTAAAAAAGGTTCTCGAGCACCTGGCAAGCGATCCCCTTTTATATTTTCGAAACTAGCAGCACTGGTACATCGATCGATGGCTTGAAAAGAAACAAAAGGTTTTTTTTGGTCGACAGGACCACAAACAAAGACAAACCAAGGGTCCGGCAATAGAAAAAAAAATCTGTCCACAACTAACCATCCAGTTCTATAAAACGCGGGTTTTTCAGTTTTTCTGTAGAGATGCTCCAGCATTTTTTCATTTGCTCTTTGAAAATTGAAGATAAGTCAGTCTCAACTGATATTATGAAATTGCGAATAACACGTTTTACAATACTTCCAGATCTTTTTAAGAATTTTGTTAGACTTCCGTTTCTATTTAATTTTTTTGAGTGCCTTTTGTTCATTGATTCGTTGAATCATCCAAACGCCCACAGAGAATAGAAATCTTGGCGCATTTTTGTTCGTTTCAACGTTTCTCAAGAATTTCTTATCTTGCCGATCTTCTGTGAATTCCCTTTGCGTCGTTTCTTGGAAAATAAAAACCTCAATCATTTCTCCAGATGAATTCTTTGTGTTATATTTATATATAGATAGGGATCGCTACCGATTTTCCGAAAATGAAAGCACAGTTAAACAATTGAATGGAACCTATAGATTGAAACAGTGAGATTCAATTAAAAAAAAGTTTGGAAAATTCACCCGTTAAATGTGAAAAAAGAGCGAGAAAAAAAGGGACCCCTGCAAGTGGGCGGACCTTCGCGGTCCCTATTAATACATAGACTTGAATTTAATTTTTTTAAAGTTTTAAAACTCTTAAATCGGTCAAATATTGTTTTTTTGGTTTTTCAGCTCATTTAGTCTCTATTTACAAGAAAAAGCTTATTGTAGAGAAGACAGAAAAATATTTTTTTAATAATTAGTGCAATCATAAAATAACTTTTTTTCAATTCAATGTGATTCTTTATCATTAACTTCTGAGAGGCTTCTTTTTTTTATACTGAAAGTCTTTCGAGTAAAGTCACTACGGGAAAAGTTTTGAGATCTTCATTCAAATTTTTTTGGCAAGACCTTATTTAGACAGCGTGACGTGCCACGATACGATGGGTTTGGCGCCTCGGGCGTATATTTAATTTCCGACGTCTTCTTAGCAAATTGAATCCAGCGAGCAACCCGTGGGAAAAAGTTTGCTCCAAAAAAGGCCAGTGTTGTGATTTTGAATGCACTTTTCCAATTGTTCAATTTTCGTTGACCTTTGAACTCGAAAACAGATTTCCTTTTCAATCAATCATCAAATCAAATCATTTATTTCTATGTTTTAATCTGATGTAATCGACTAGGCGGTGAAAAAGAACTTTAAAAACCATAACGAACAACCGCCTTTGGCGAACAAGAAGTCCTAGCGAGTAGTCGAAAGAGTTGAAAGCATGGTTAGGGTCCGCAAGCCATTTCTTCAAAACGATCCAAAAAATATGTTTTTTACACTGTTCGATAGAGGAGACTGTCCATTTTCATAATCCGTTTAGTTTTAGAAAAAAGCTCCACTAAGAAAAAAGTTATGGCCAAAAAACTAGCGCGCGCGGCGTTCAACTGGAGGCAAAATCTCACGGTTTACCCGCTGCCGCACGCTTTCTTTTTAAATGTTTTTGCGCGTTTCTGGACCGTTTTTAAATCGGTTTTCTGTTCTGAGAGGTTGTCCGAACTGAGCTTCATGTTTTGGTATGAATCTTTTGTACAATCCTCATAAGAATTTTTGATAAAATATCAAAAAACTACTTAGAAAAAAGGTCAGAAGGAATTTTCAGCTTATTTTTCTTTTTTCTAATCAGAAAAATTATTATCATTTGGTTTGGAAAAAAGAAAAAATGAAAAATAATGTTATTTCGAAATAAAACAGGAAAATGTGCAATTTGACTCCAAAAAACGGCTCCTGCAACATTTAAAAGTGCGCATCGGTGTGTTTGACGCAAACACAGCTACGAACGCTTGCACGAATTCTTCCAAAATTTCAAAAAAAATTGCCATTTTTTCGAGGTTTTCAAAGCCGTTATTTTTTTCGCGTCGTTTGATTTTTTTCATAATTTTTCCATTGATAGAGTTTTGAACGCTTAATAACATAATCAAAAGTATAGACGCGATCCTATTCTCTCATTCGTCAACGAGGCAGGCGAAAAAAGGAGGTTTTGGTAAAATCCAAATATAATTTGATTCGCTGTCCCAATAATTATTTTCATTCTGAATTTTTATTTTTAAACACATTGTGAGTTTTTAAATCAAATAAAAAGTATACCATGTCGCTGAAATTTTTTTCGCATTTCAGCTTCAAAGTTTGGTGTCACTTTACAAGCTTCGATTTTTTTTTCGCGTCGTTAGATTTTTTTAAATTTTTACTCAAAAAATAAAGAAAGTGTTAATGTATAACATACTCAAAATTCGAAAGCGTTCCTCACTTGGTTTTTCAGAAACGCGACGATTTTGTGAAACTTGTCAGTTTTTTTCGTGTTAAATCTTACTTTTTTTCGTTTATTTTTGAAAATTACATAGTTTAAAAAAATTTTTTTCAGTCTTGTAGAGCGTTGTCGATTACATAGATCAACAGAAACAGTTCATTTTTAAAGTGGGGCTTTAGCTAGTATAAACGCCTCAAAACCGTTTCTGCAACAAAAAAATCGTCATTTTGGTGGCGTGAAGGGGCGGGGCTTTGCGCCCCCTAAGCATGGTCTTACGGTTCTTCGCCTCGTCCTTCTGCGCGTAGTCCATACAGTTGCGTCTTGACGAGCTCAGTATGTAGTAGATCTTGTGCTCGAGCCCGGGGACCGTGCTCTGGGTGGAAGCCTCGGAATGAGAGCGAACACTTCGACTGAAGACTTCACTTGAAAAATCTTTTCCTGAATTTGACCTGAAAGTTCTGAGCTAAATGCAAATGTCACTGATTTCGAATCCAGCTTCACTAGATTTATTTCGAAGTCTTCGTCGTTTTCTTTCTTCCAGTTTTTTTTTCAAGGAAGTCTCAAATCACTTTCTGCTTGTTTTTCTCAGACTTCTGATGCGACACCAAACTTCTTCTTTTCAGTTCCCATTTTTCAAGTTTGTCACTAGCTTCAACCAAAGTCGTCTATAACCCTGTGGCTCCAGTACTGGAGGAAAACTATTGAGATAGTCTTTCAGATTCCCCCTTTCCTATTTTTTGACGTCTTAATGCAAAAATGCTCGTTTGTGTTATATTGATTACGTTTATTACCTGGTTAGTGCACATTACGAAACAGAGCTGATCCGCGACACAAAGAAGATAAATTTTGAATGATAGAAGTTCGAAGTTATTCAATTGGTCAGAGAATGGATGAGAAGCTTTTTTTTTTGTTTTTCAAGTTCGTGAACGCTGAACTCAATTTCTAGTTTATGGATGTTCACCTCGGATGGATATTCTGAACGTTAGTATTAGCACTTGGCCTCATTTGGACCTGAGAAAAAGGGTACGAGAGTGATGGATATGAGAAATGGAACGACAAGCAAATTATTGAGAGTAAATGGGAAAGACCTCCGAAATTTCGCGGCCCTCCTCTTCTGGCTGCTCTTTTATGAATGATATCTTGGAGGATGCGCGGTCTTCTTTCTTTTTTTCGCCCAAACGCCTCTTCTTGTCATTAATTTGTCTAAATCTGCAGTTGAATTCTTCAAATCGCGATTTTCGGATTTTAACTCCGGAAGCTTTGGCCAGAGTTTGTTGCTGTGGCTATTCGGGTGCTATCTTTTTACTATTTGGCATGATGGGAGCAAGCATCATTTTCTGCCTCGTGCAAGCGTGAAGCCGTCATTTTGGAATATCGCAGTGACAGGTTAAACGGCGCAGACTTGCCAAAAATGGACACCCACGGCCGCGTATCACTCTTTCTTTCTCCCGAATACCTTCGATTCGATGCCTTCTCACGTAAATCTCGATCCGATTCGCTCCTTAATCCGCGCTTCCTGAGACCGTTTTATCCGTTTCGTTCCCACTGAGATGGCGTCCTGTGGATGTTGATTTTCTTTTATTTTCCAAGCGACTTTCTGAAATCCGATTTCTCTAAAGCTGTTTTCTTTTTGCCCATTCTCGTTTGAAGTAAAAAAAAGCATCGGCTAGGAGAACGGAAACGCAGTTTTTTGAAGGACGATTCTGTTCATTTTGCGAGCAAAAAAAATATATAAGCCCTATCTTTCTATCTTTTTTATAAACCTCGACTCGGAAAAATGGATGCCTTTAAATTGAAAAATTTGGCTATGAAATTTTAAAAAAACAATCTTTCGTGTGTGCCCCGCGCGTTTTTTTCGAGAGACCTCCTTGAAAAACCCCAGTGGAGCACATTTACAAGACAAACGTTTAATTTTAAATCGGAAACTATTTTTTTCATTTGATTTTTTTCGTTTTCTTCTTTCTTTTTCTTTAATTAATTGGCTCTAGCGTGAGATCAAATCTTACTTGAATGGAGAGAACGTTGAAGGAAAATACCGCCCTTAAGATAACATGTGTTTAACAACCTCTAACGCGTCAAACTTCTGGCGAATCCATTTGACCTGCCTGTCGACTGTGAATCGTTGATCTTTTTCTTGTACTGTGAATGTTGATTCAGTTTGATAAAGTCTTTTTTCCGTCATTTTATGACGTTTTGTAAAAGATTCTTTTCTGGTTGCATTTTTTTACGTTAATCCTCCCATTATGTTGCAATTAAATTTAGAGCCCTCGAAAAAACTCTAGAAGCGTCTTTAATTTTTTTTTTCCCAATACCAGTTTCCAAGAGTTTCTCGTGTTTTTTCTTGTTTGTGAGAACATTTCTGGATGCTTTTTGTTTCAGATACACAGTGGACATCAATGGGCGCCGCTTGCCTTTATGGCACCCTCTTCTCGTTATGTGCACTTGTGTGCTCAGGTAATTCAGACTTTTAAGTTTTCGATCAAATACTTCATCACTTGTTGAGAAAAAAAAATGTAGAAGCATACTGTTAGATTGTAAATTTTAAGCGATGAATATAGCTTTTCCAATTTATTTTATATTTCAGTCAGTAGTTTTCGCATCGTAAAAAAAAATTTTGTGACCGTTGCAGAATCGAAAGAACTTTTTAGTGAAAAAAATACTAATTAGCTGTTTTTTTTCGCGCAGAATTGCTACAGATGTATTTGATTAAATGAGTTCAGGATAGTTATCCATTTAATCAGCCAAATCCAGTACTTCAAAAATTTTTCCTAGTTTTTTGAAAGAATCATATTTTTAAAAAAAAGTTTTTGATAATCTTTCTTCTTTCCAGGTTCCGCACATACCGCTTTGATTGACTTGAATGAATAACTTTGCAGGCGCCACGATCGATTGGTCTGCGATCGAAACCCCACCTAGATTTGTCCACGAGCCGAATCCAGAAGTAGTCTTCTACAAAATAGAAAAGTCGGTCGATGAGCCGGCGATAAAAACTCCCGAAAACCTTCTCGAACAAACGATTCGATGCAAAGCGAACGGCAGCCCCAGACCAAGGTCTGATTTTTCAACCTTTTTCTTACTGATATAAATATTTTTATTTTCTGTCGTTAGGACCATGTTTATCTATGTTCATTTGTTCTGAAGTTCAAGTTTTTAGTTTTGACATGAATTTAAAGCGAGATTTTTACAAAATCCAAATAAAACTTATTGCTGAAAAAGACCTCGAAGATCTTATACCAGTTCCTGATTGAGCTGGAATTGAGTGAGCCAAATATTCAGACTTTGAAAAGTTGAAAATTTTTCAAATTCATTTTGATTTGCAGTTATCGTTGGAAAAAGGATGGCAAGGTCTTCGAACCCGAAATGTTTCCAGAAAAAGTTGTGCAAAAGCCTGGAGAAGGTAATAAATGATATCTTATTAATTCTGTAGTCTTTGGTTAATTTTTTTCTCACCATGATCTCAATTTGTTTCTACATTGAAGTATAGCTTTCACATGTACGTGATTTAGAAATTTTGCAGAAAAAAAAGAACAAAAATCTGTTCACAGAATGCTGGGCATTGCAAATTTCAGCCTTCTAATGCATTCGAGTTTGCCCTAGAAAGTTTTCCGACATATTCTAAGTCCATAACAAAAAAATGCGTATTTTTGCACTACTCTGTTCACTGATGCCGATGTTTTTTTGGAAATTATCTTCCGTTTTTTGACATTTTCAAAAGGGGAAGATTCAAAAACGTGCTCCATTTGAGATTGCCTCGTACAACCGCTTCACGTTGACTTATCTTGACCTTAAAGCCGCATTCATTGAGAATAAGATTTTGCTCAGATTGTTGCTTCTGAGAACGTCTTGAGTACCTCAGAGAATGCCTGAGATACGCTTCAGAAAGTTCCCATGCATGACGCTATAAAAACTTGCGCCCACTTTGTGGGTTTTTGTTTGAGTTTTCATAAAGTTAAGAACGGAGTGATCCGGGTTTCATGGAAAATTTTCAGTAAATGATTTGGAATATTTGAGGGAGCCTGGTCTTCTCCCGGCTCGACGAAAGCGACGCTGGATTCTATCAGTGCGAGGCGAGCAACAGCAACGGAACCGCCGTCGACCGGCCTACGAGGATCCAGGAAACCTGTTGGTTCTTTTTCCGATTGAAATTAGCAGTCCATTTGTTATAATTTTAATTTCATGAAAATCTACCAGAAATGAAGATATGTTGAGACATAAAGTTGAGAATAGTTATTTCTGGCGTTCTGAAAACTTGAAAAATGCATGTAAAAAAATGCTGCTGAAAAAAATTTGCATTGAGATTTTTTTCGAAATAAGTTATCGAATAATTTTGAAATCACATAAAAGAAAGCTTTTTTTGGAATCGGATAAATACTTTTCGATCTTGTTGAATCTTGCAATGAACTTTCCGTCTTCAAAAAACTTTTCTTTGCGAAGAAGCTATTAAGTTCGAAAAATTCACCATTATTTGAGTTATATCATATTTTAGATGACTTTTTCTGATAACTCTAAATCAGAAGAGAATCACTTCCAGCTTCAAGGCCGAGTCTTTGATCAATTTATCGATTAAAAAAATATTTTGATTTCGATATTGTGGAGGAATTAAGCAAAGGCTTGTTAGAATGAATCTTCAGTTTCACGTTGATTTGAAAGTTATTCAGTCTCCCACTAGGTATCCGGTTCACAAAATTCATTGTTTTCTGAAAAAATTACTCATTTCATCACTTGTTTTCGTAACTGAATAGTTATTGTAGACCTACTTTTTAAAGAGCAAGTGCATTTTGTTGAAAAAAGGAAAAATGCATTTATAAGCGACCTTCTCATGTCAAGTCGGTTGATTTAGCTGAGGAAGCTGATTTCTCAGAAGTAAGTCTTTTATTCGAAGTCGAAACTGATTTCCTCGGTTGTTTCTTCCTTTTCGGTTGTTTTATTTCTGAAAAAAATACTAGCGTAATCAAAAATGGTATTCTTCAATTATCGAAAGAACCCAGATGAATGAACTAAACACCTCGGTCCGTATTGTTACAGTTATTCTCGGTTGTTTTTAATTGTACTTATTGGATTATGGAGGGATAGTAATGTTTCTCTTTTCATTCCACTGAACAAAACGAGTAATCCGGATATATATTTTTGTTATTTTTTCAACTCACTGTTGATTTTCAGCTGTAGTTTCTCGGCGAAAATCCGGTCGTTTCCGTTTTTTGACAAGTGCGTGAACCATAGGCCAATGTAAATTGATGCGAGTCCAACGAATGTGATGATGATGATGAATAATAGCTCTCCGAACTGAAAACGGCGTTGAAATTCATGAGAAACCAGGGTACCGTTAGAGGATCTACTGAATACATTTTTCTTACGTTGATTGAATAGAAATGAAGACGTCATATGTTTTTTCACGTCTTCGCGTTTATTGATATTTAATTGTTCAGAGAACGACAGTTTCCACTTCAAAGTATCAAGCAAGGTTTCTTTCATTATCTAGACAAAGAACATTTTTTATTCTTTCTCACATAATTTTCATTAAAAGGGCATACATTCGGGAAGAAAAGCAGAAAAAGTTCCTTTTAAAAACAATTCGATTTAGAAAGAAAGTATAAATGTAATTAATGGGCTCTGTTGAATATTTTCATAGAAGTATCAGGAAAAATTGGTTCGAAAAAATATTTAAAAAAAAAATCCTAAATACTTGCTGGACTGTTGAACATGCAAAAAGGATAAAAAAATTTAAGAACGTTAACCTGATTGTATTCAAATTTAGGAAAAATATCATGGATTTATCTTCTTCAAGGAAACCGGTATTAGGAATAGATCGTTCAAAGCCATGATAGTATAGTATGAAAGTAGGAGAACGAATTTTTTTAAGATTTTTCTGAAGAAATATTCTACCAAATCAGCTGGACTCCCGAAAAATTTCTCGTTAACTGATTGCAAAAAATTTTTGATTTACCAACTTTGTTTGGTTCTCTTTCCTTATTTTAAAACTTCATCATTAACTCTGATACTTGAAAGAATTGTTATTAGATTTCCTATCAAATAAAGTTTCTGGCAGGGATTCGACATTTCGCATCAGCCGAGCCTGAGGTGGTGATGGTCGAGGTCGGAGATCCATACTCCAGAAATTGCTCTCCTCCAGCAAGTAATCCCAGTGCTAGGTTATCGAAGGCTTTTTTCGAGGTCGATATCATCTTTTTTCCAGAGTTTATTGGATTTTGATGGGAAAAGAGCCCGGTCATTTCGAAACGATCAGCAGCAGCCACATTTCCAGCAACGAGGCGGTAATTTATTTCTGAACTCTCATTTAAAAATATGCGCGAGCTCTGATTTTATTCTGCCGAATCCAAGTTTTTCTCGATTCCGCCCCAAGTTTCATTATCGCAATGTACACATCTCAGTAACCGAGGGCAAATAAGGTAACTCCGAGGGCAAAAAGAATAATGACTCGTTTTTACACGCATATGGCCTTCATAGACCGCCTCTATTGTGTTCCTGCGTGGGTCTCGAGGTTCGCAATTGAGGTTTCGGCGCGTGAATAACACGAAAACTTCTCTCCACCCGTTCTCGGCAGCTAATTGACGCTGTCAGTACCCAGAGGTGGCTTGATTCAACGTCTTAGTAATGCCTTTTCTCGGTCAAAGTGAGTCAGTTTCGCGAGAACGGAAAACAGAAACATTCTAGGAATTTTCCATCAGAGTTTTGAGGAAAACCTCATTAATTATTTTTCACCTTAGCTTAGGAATATATGAATATATATATACAAAATTATTTATTCGAAAAAAATTAAATCGATAAAAAAAGCCTTCTTAACAATTCGAGATATAAAGAAAAAAAGGAATTTTTTTCAATCGCTTCAATTTAGTTCGATAGTGAAAAAAACTTTATTTTTTTTCTTTCTTTCAAATTTTTGCCCTTCAGAATTTTTTTATTTTCAAATATAAAAAAATATAAAAATAAAAAAATAAAAATCATCTCAATAGAAAAAGTATTTTTTTAGTTTAGCAATAATCAAAGTTTTCAAAAAATTGATTTAATTTGAAGCCTTTTTTTGGACGCTCAGTTGGTTTTTGTTTGTAAACAATACCCAAGTTTTGGCCGAAAAAAAGGAGAATTCTAGTCAAAAGATAAACTGGGCGGAGTCGGAGGAGAGACGTGTGAAAATAGAGAGAGCGAGGACGAAAAGACAAAGCCGAGAGAGTGGGACGGCGGCTGGCGAGAGCGTCTGCCTGCCTTCTACCACCGCAAAACGTCCAGCAGCAGGCTCTGCTCCGTTTCTCCTCCTCGATTGCATAAATTTTGGCCCCAAACTGAAAAAATTCGGAAGCTCACTGACATCAATGACCTCAACAAACAGTTGATATTCGGGTATTTCTGCGCGCGACTGGATTAATTGCCATCTGAAAATGCTGCTGGCGGGACTGCTGCTGCTTCTGCAGCTGACCTTTCTAGTGAGTTTTTGACGGTTGTTGCCTTGTAGGGCACCCTCTTTTTCCACTATGTCAACGAGACGGATTTGAAGTCGGACCGCTACTATACGTGCACCGCCGAGAACATCGAGCTCAAGGACTACAAGTTCGGTAACCAGTTCAGCCTGCAGATCACCAACAACAAGCGCCGTAGTCGTAAGTTTTCTTCTCTTTTCATTTTGATGTTCTTTTCGGCCATATGGTACAGACTTTTTCATCGAGTTTCATTATATATTTGTTTTTTTAGAACATTGAGGGGATGATTAAATTGTGAAAGACTGTTTAAAACGATGTGGGAAGGGCAACGATAGCGGTAACAGTAAACATAGATTCCAAATAAAATGAGACAATCAATTATTCAGAGGGTTTTCCGAGGAGTTATTCTGAAACTTTCAAAAGTTCAGAAGCAAGTTGACTGTTCAAATTCTGAAATTTCCGTGATTTTTTTTTCGATATTTTAATGCTTAAATATGAAATTTATTTTACACTTCAAAAAAAAATTATTAAGTGCTTTCTTACTGTTTAGTGACACTCTCTGTAGCATTTTTTGAAAAAGGAGCTCTTCGAAAATATAAAAAAAAAGTTTTCTGGCTAGTTTTCTTCAAATTTCTCTCCGTAGAAAAACTGAATTTGTTGTTACTTTTTTCTTATCTCCGTCTTTAAGTTGTTTTGAGCTTTCTCCTGTTCTTCAATCGTTAAAAGGGCTTGTTTTTCCTTGAGAACGTGCATTCTTTCCCCCGCTTCCGTGTGTTTTCCAAACGACAGTTCCATTGAATGGTAGAGAGAGAAGGACTATTTCGATGTTGCGCGGTGGCCCTTTGGCCTCTGCAATTTCACCTGGGCGACTTGTTACGGGTTGCGTAGCGATCGATGAAAAACCTCAACAACCGTTGGCGACGGCGCTTCGAGTCGAAGAAACAGGAAAAATAAGGAAAATTCTGAAAAAGTTATCTTTTTGTTGGTTACTCATAGCTGATGTTATCGATATGTGCTCGAGAGGATCTTCTTTTCTTCTGTCCTAGTTGTTCTCTGTTTGAGTTTTTTGTTTCCTCTGCCTCCTCCGCCAGTCGAAAAGTCAGGTAAAAGCTTCGTTCAAGAGCAGCTGTGACGGGTGTTGTGAGGTTATTACTCATTTTGAAATGAGCGTTGAAAAATATCTTTCAGAAAGTAGTTATTGAGTTTTTTTTAAATTTCTTTTTTTAATCAAATAGGCAGTGAAGAATTTATTTTCATATTATACCGTTAGTCGTATTCGGCAAACTAGAAGTGCTGTATTTGTTTTTTTTTAATCCCTCGGTAGAAGCTTAAAAAAGCTTGAGATGGGGTGAAGAATCGAGAGTAAAATTTTCGGTGGACATGGAAAACCATCGTTCAGTTGTTGTTCGTTTGAACCATCCGACTGTACTTTATTTCCTTTCAAGGTTCCTTTCTCCGCTTTCGGCTTGTTTTGGCTGTTTTGATCGTCTGCCAACGTCTTTTTGGACTGGCCAGCGAACGTGTGGAGGATTATTGACGACGTCTGGCCAGACCAGGCCAGCCGGCTATTCCAGCGGCTTTTCTCTGATAGATGTGTTGGTATCCATCTACACCCAGGTGCAGTAATATCTCACGTCTGTGCTGTTTCTTTTTGTTTTTCGCTGTCGGTAAGCCGAGATGCAGCATCGTAAATATCAACAAGCTGCTCACTTTTTGTTCTGGCTTTTTTTAAAAACTGAATCATGGATTTCCAATCAATCACTCATTCCAACTGAGACGTGTGGCACTTTATGTCACAAAAAAACCGATAATGTGAAAGTTTAGAGAATAATATCTAAGCTGAGAAAAAGGATATTTTCAATTTCTTGTAGAAATCCACAAATGCTATATTTCCATGGAAAAAAACATCTTAAAAACTAAATATTTGTCTGAAAAATAAATTCAAAAATTCGAATAAAAAAATCTTAAATAATAGTTTTTGAAAAATTCTCAGTTATTTTCTACGATTTCTCACACCAGCCCAACCAATTGAAGCAAACGACCACTCCTTCAGGATTTGACAAAAAAGGTCTTGGCGGGAATTCCCAACTCATTCAAGTATTAGTCGGTTTTCTTCTTCTCTCAACTATTCTCACAAAGGACCAGAAGAGCAATCGAAAAAAGTTTGTTGGAGTTGGTGGCGATTTGTGGACGGATTTCTAAGGGCAGCGCCATGGAGAACCGGGGAGATAGAGATAAATAGATGAGACGATGGACCGAAGAGACGGCGGAGAGAGCCGAGACTCGAGTGAGCACAAACGAAGGCTCTGCGAGAGGCTCCATGGCCGCGGAAGCAAGCACAAAATGGCAGATGTCGCCTGGGGCGTCCATTGGAAGTGTTTCGAACACGACACTCGCGTCCGTTCTGCCGTCTTTAAAATATAACTTGTCACGGAAAGCCGCGTGTCTTGGGAAAAGCCGCGTCCTTAGATTGGCCTATCATGGAAGGCGGCTCTTCTGGGTCACAGAGACAAACGATTAGAGAGACATCTTCCAGTCTTTCTTTTCTTCAGATCACGTTCGGAAGTCGAGAAGATCTAAACATTTTTATTGCCTGTGTTGCGACTTTTTTTTTTCTCTGATTCATGAAACACTTCAATGCAAACATCGACGAAGAACAATTTGATTAGCTTTTGCGCAAAACGCTTTGCAAAGAGGAAACACTTAAACAAACACTCTGAGTTACCACAGAAAGTATTGTCGAATTATATTCGGTCGACCTGATCTCTTTCCTTTCCACGAAAAAGTACATTTGAGGCTTTTTGTCACAGTATATGTGCGCCAGAAGGGGGAAGAAGCAAAAAATGAAGTGTAGAGGAATTTCAAGCAGGAAAAAAAATTCGATCGAAAAAGCCCTTTTTTGATAGTGTACCAGGTTTTCAATAAAGTTATCTATGGCCAGCCAGAAAAAACTTTGAAAATGAACTGAATAAATGTTGGATGGAAATTTTTTAAGGTGTACATGAGTGTTGAAAAATACTCCGTTGAACGAAACAGAATTTGCAGATGTAATATAAATATTCGCAAGAAAAAAGTTAAAAGAGAAATAGAGTATACAATTCAATTCTTTTTCATTACAGTGACGCAGATGCCACCTACGGAGCAGTACGTCAACCAGAGCTCTCCGATCGCTCTTCAGGGCAACCAGCACAAGCTCCACTGCTTCTTTTCCGGATAGTCCGTTTTTCTACCATTTCCAGTTTTTTTTCTTTTTTACTTGATTTCAAATTCCAAACGCTTTTAGTTGAGATTCTTCTCCAGAATTTCTGGTACGAATAATTTATGCGGTTCTCAAACTCTATTTTTTTAACAATCGATATGAAGTCGCTGTACTAAAAAGGTCATTTGATCTTTCTGAAGACAAAATAAGTAGGAAGGGACGGTCATAAGACATTTCTGGTTTTTTTTTTCACATTTTTACCAAATTTTTCAACTTTCAGCAAATTTCTTTTTCTTCTGCAAATTTCTGCTGAGTTCTCCATCTATCGGTTAAAAAGTATGACGTAGGAGGGGTCATGAAGGATGGATGAATGATTAAATATATCAATTGACCCATTATCTCAAAAAATGATAAGTTATATGCAAAACAATAGCTGGATTTGTAGGTAGCTTTTGTATTTGCTAGTTGTTTTCCGCACAATCTTAGCTCTGAGATTTGGAGATTCATGATTTCTTATTTGGTCGGCTCCCAACAAGGAAGAGGTAAATGTCGTCCGCGCGGAACGGCTGGTGCCAGGTTCCGAGCCAGAGCTCATGCTTCTTGGTGTCTCCTCGTCGGATTCTCTTTTCCGCCGAATGTCATGCCGTGCCCCTTCATCCCCTGAAACAACAACTCCCATCAAGTGTGGGAACACGTCTCGCCTTTTCCCATCCAAAGCGTTCTGCTGGCCATTTCCAGGAAAAGCTATACGCCATGACGAGAAAATCGGGAGAACAGAAGCCGGAAATGAAATGAAGCATTAATTGGATCATCTAAGTTCCCTTAAAATGAGCTCGAAACAAAAGGAGATGGCTCTGAAACTTTGAAAACACTTTTTGGATCTTTTTCTATATTGAAAGAGGCTGGTGTGCTTGCTTGAGAAGCTTGTTTTGAGAAAAACATGGCTTCAGCTACATTCGAATGAAAAGAAACATGAATAGAAGAAGTTTTAACACTTGTCGGACCCAAAGCATATTTCAATGGAAAGAAAGCCTGACGTTTTCTGGTTTTATGAAATGTTTCGAGTTGTGGTGCGCGACCTCACGTAGTTGTTGTGGAAATGCGCAGGCAACTCCTTGGAGACCTGCTCTTCTTCTAAAGCTTTTCTTCTTCTTCTCCTTCCTCACTCATCAGGCATCCACGACCCCAATATACGAAGCCTTGCGCTTTCGGGTCGGAAATAAAAACTGCGGTGGCTCGTTTGCCTTCTTATAACGACTCTGGAACAGCCAGTCGATTGGCTGCCAAGTCTTTCTCTGGTGCAACTTCTTTCGAAAGTTCTTCCAGTCAAAAAGCTCTTGGGTGGATCTAAATACTTTGCGAACGGCAAAAATCGAAAGGAGAACATATGTGGTCCAACAAACTTCGGATCCTAAGTGTGTCAGCGAACGCCTATTTTCTTTTATAAGCTGTCGCGCTACTTCGACCCGATAATTGTGATTCGATTTTGCCTCTTGGGAGCGTTGAGAACGCGTCAAATTGTTTTAGTTCTTTTGCTTTGGCAGAGAAAGCGGAAGTCATGAATAAGACAAGATTTATAGCTTGGAATTTGAATTCAGTTTCTTAAAATCATCTAGAAAGATGAAGTTCAATATTTTTCACAGAACCTTATCGATTTTTTGTTTGTTGCTGGAGCTCTCAAATTGAGGGAAATACACTCTTAAAGGTAGACGTAACTCTTTGGATCTGAGATTTCATGATACTGGGATTGATTCGCTTGCTTATTTATTGGCGAGTGTGTGTGGGTGACAGGTTGTCCGTAAATGGCGCGCCCGCCTTTCTCTCGTCACTGACCAAAATAGTAATTATCGCATTATTAACGGCGACTACCTGGGCCTTTCTAGCGCTCTTCGCGAGCCTTAATGATCTTGATGAAGCTGTGGTGGAGTATTGAGGAACATTCACGTGATTGAGACCTTTCATGGGACATCAATGCAATGGAAATTAACTTCTTGTTTATCAAAGGGAAAATAAATGACGCTGATAAGAATCGGATAAGTATTTTTGTTCAGAAAAAGCTTTAAGGACGTAAAACCATTGATTTATGTTCTGAATAAGTCGGACAGAGAAGATGTAAAAAATAATTTTAACAATATTTTTTGGATCAGAAGGCAGTATGCATCTAATTTGCATTTCCTCTGTAAGAATTATAAAAAAATAATGTTTCACGCGAAGATTATTTTCTTCAAAATTATGTTTTTAAAAAGTTTTTGCGGGGCTGCCTATATTTTTTGCTTTCAAAAGTTTGTTCTCAAAATTTTTTTTTGCTCTAGGTTTGAAAAAGATGATTGAATAATTCAGACGTATTTATTTAAACTCAACTTCGTTAGCCTGAGAAATAAGTGTCACTGTAATCGACATTAGTTATAAAAATATGCCTCTTTCTCAGAAATAGTTTTACTTGGCCAACCAAAATTGTTTCCCCTCCCCAATTTTTAAAAAAGATTATCGGTTTTTTAGTACAAGGAAGTCCATTATCTTACTTTCTGAATCATGTATTTTTTTTTTCAGTCCAGCCCCGAAGCCCCGCTGGTACCACAACGGACACGAGATCAGCGAAGACGAGGGCGACGGCTACCGATTCGAGTCCTACGGAAAGACTCTCGTCTTCAACGTGACCCAGGAGAAGTCCGGCAAGTACGACTGTCGGTTCGCCACTCAGAATGACATCGACCGCACTTTCAACGTCATTGTCGAAGGTATCATTCTTCTTTTCTTTTTTTCTGAACTGAGACCATAGAAAATCGAAAAGAATAATCGGAGGTATCTTTTTCTAGCGATAAATTTTTTTGGATTTTTTGTTTTTGATTTTTTTCTCAATTGTTGACTGTTCGTTAAAAAGCTATTGGTGAAAAAAAAAATCCTTTTATTACCTTTTTTTCCGATCCTCGTAAAGATGTCATTTAATTTTTTTTAGGTTTCATCAAAGTCAGATCTGATTGCTGTTGATCGAAGTTTTTTTGATAATTGTAAAAGAAAAAAATCCTAGTTTGAAATTTTCTATCTTTTCTTTCTAATCATCCATAAAACTTCGCTTTTTTTACTTTATTTTTTTATTATTTTCTTTAGCTAAAAAAATGAGTCATTGTAATTTCTTGAGAAGATTTTTTTGTTTTTTTGTTTTTTAAACTTTTTTTCACTTCAATGACTCAAAGTTAGAAATCGAAACTTTTGAGAAGCGAAAAATAACTTTTTTGCAATTGCCAAAGGACTGCCGCTGATTCTTGAAGGATTTTTCGTTTATTCTCATCCTGATGTCTCGTTTGAAAGTTAAAAAGCCATACCTGTGTGTTTTTCAGCTGCTCCTTACTGGCCGGACGGTCCTCCTCCCAACACCAACACGAGCGAGGGCGAGACGGTCACTTTCGACTGCACGACCAGCGGAAAACCGGAGCCAACCGTCACTTTCTACAAAAATGGCGTTGGTTAGTGTTCTTATTTCAATTTCTGAAACAAATTTTCTGTCTTGTTTTTTTGCAAACCATCTTTTGGTCTCGGTATTGTTAAATTACGAGGTTTTTTCTCAGAAATGAAGAAAACGGACCGCGATGGGAAATACATCATCGAGGACAAAAGGCTGACGATCTACGACGTGAAGAAGGGCATTCACGGCAGAGGCGACAACGCCGTCTACCAGTGCAAGGCGGAAAACAAGCACGGCTACGTCTGGACCAACTTCTACTTGAACCTTCTGGGTATTCCGAAGTGCGACGTCCTCTATGACGTCATATGAGTTGCAGCGTTCAAGCCGCAGCTCCTGGCAGAGCCCGGAGAGGTGGAGGCGGTCGCCGGACGACCCGTCACCCTCGAGTGCAAGTTCTTCGCCAGTCCCAACGCCAACATCTCCTGGGACTCGCCTCGTCTCGGAGGCGTTCCTCACTCTCAGGTGCCCGCCAACCCTCATGGCGTCGGAAAACTTCTCATCGACAGTTCGTTTTTTTTTTTTTTTTCTGGGTACATGTTAAGGAACCGGAATGGCCAACGAAAAATTAATAAAAAAGGCACATTTGTTAACAATTAATCGAATACGACCCTTACATCAATGATAACTTTTTTTATACCAGAAGAGAAAACTGATAGGAGTCAGCTTCTACGACGTCTTTTTTTGGTCCGATTTGGAACACTAAAAAAATTCATTCTCTCCTTTTCTAATTTTTTCTTCAGCCAATCTTTCGGGGACAGAAAATTCCTTAACATATCAAAATTTATTAAGTATTTTCTTTGATAAGTCAGAAAAGAGTTTGTCTAACGAAAATTTTTTGGTCTCGAACTTGAAGAGTTGCAGACGTGACAAACAACGTCGAGGGCGAGTATTCCTGTATCGGAAGGAACAAATATGGCGAGGCTCGTGGAACCGTCAAACTTCTCGTAAGAAGTCAGTTTGGCTCTCATCTAAAAACCTATCTGACTCCTTATTTTTATCTTGATTCATTCGAATTCAGACGCGACCAAACTGGAGCCTTTTGCGAGGTCTGAGGAAGTTCGGATGGCTGGAGAAACGATCCGTCTTCCTTGCAGTGCCAGTGTCGATGAAAGGTTGGTATCCTCACGCAAATTCCGTCAGAATAAGTTCTTTCACCACCTTTATTACAACTTTATGCCATTTTACAAACTTTAACTTTTTATAAAATCAAACAGACGAGTTTAATGCAATCGTTCAGAGAACATAAGCAACGTGTTTTTTTTTTTGCCTTTTCATACTCCTTTCCATAAGACATCCACTATCTATTTCTGTTTTTCTGACTATGGAACGTTTTCAAGCCCCCAGTTGAATTTTTCACCGAAAAATTTTTTTCTGAAGTTTAAGACCCCCTGATTTCAGAAAAAGAAAAAACGCCTTGCAGTAGCCCTGGTTTTCGATTTATGAAACTTCAAAATTACCAAAATACGCAGATTATGACAGAAAGGGCTGTTTTAAAACTTTGAAGCGTCGTAACTTCAATACCCAGATCTATTGCGAGACATTTGTTTCAATGTTCTGGAACAAGGAGGTACTAAAGTGAACTCCAGCTGAGTTTCATCAAAATATCAACCGGGGGCAAGAAAAAAACGTTCCCAATGGTTCATAATGAACCTTTTCAAAGACTAGTTATCTAGGAGTGTCTTGCAATGTATTCATTTTCACAGACTCGAAGCCAAGTACGAATGGCAAGTGGATGGAAAGCCGCTACCCGAAGTTCACCTGTCTTCCGGCCACTACAAGGTTCCCGCAACACCCAGAACTTGTTACCATTGGAACGAGATTTCAGGTGGACAGCGACCATTCTTTGGTTGTGAGCAATCCCACGCACTACGACACCGCCAAGTACAAGTGCGTCGCCAGCACGAAGCTCGACAAGCTCGAGAAGGAGATCAAGATCCAGATAAACGGTCATTTCTCATTTCGCGAAAAATAATATTTTTTTCAAAAAAAGATTTTTGGGTGGAATAAAAAAATCAAAAGCTAAAGTGCTAAAAAATTTTGCAGTTGATGGAAGAAATGTCTCTAAAAAGTTTTTTTTTAAAATCTGAAACTATGTTATTTTTAGATATTTTTAGGTAATTTATCATCCAAATTTTCTTTTTTTCGTTAGTCTGAAATAGTCTGGAGAAAAATGTTTTTCATTTCAAGAGGAAACAAATGACCAGAAAAAAATAAATAAAGGGTCAATCGAAAATAACGGAAAAACAGTCATGATGATGCCGTGGATCAGAAAAAAAGAAACCCTCTTGTTTTTCTAATACTACTATTGCAGACGTCCCTGTGCCGGTCAACTCGGCCTACGTGAGCAAATGTGACCCGGCCTCGCAATCCGCCGAAATCACCTTTGAACACCTTGAACCGGCAGACGCCGTCTCGCCGGTCAACGAGTTCTGGGTTCAGTACCAGATGGACAGCGAGACGGAGGGCTCTCAGTGGAGGACGCATCCCGTCCCCGTTTCGGCGCGGCCCATCGACGTCATCGAGGATCAACTTCGCATAGTTCGTGGTAAAGCCACGGTCGCTCTGCAACCTTTCGGACAGGTGAGGCTTTTTTGTGTATTTCGAAGTTCGCGAATGTTATTATCTTCAATTGTACTTATATTTTCTCTTTTCTTGCGAACTTATTTTACATGAGTGGCCTTTGGCGTCGAAGACTTGCATTCAGAAAGCAAAGATGTTTTCTGAAAATGAATGAAAGCATCATTCGACGTGATTATATTGCAGTATGTCTTCCGAGTTTTGGCTCGCAACAACGTCGGCGACTCTGCGGCCACTCGCGTCAAGGACCAATGCAATACTCCGGCCAAGAAGCCTGACCGTAACCCAGGCGGCGCTTTCGCACGTGGAACGAGTCCTGAAAACCTGATCGTTCAATGGAAACCGATGCCCCGAGAAGAATGGAACGGCGCCGACTTCCACTACATTGTCAAGTAGAGGAACTCTGCTCAATCAGCCCACTGAATCAGAATCTTTCCAGGTACCGTCCGAAAGAAGGAGATTCTGGAGTGGGAGAATGGCGAGAAACTCCAGTTGCGGATCCTTTCGCTGACCGCGTCACTGTCACTCTCGACGACGACAAGGACGTCAAGCCTTTCCAGCCCTATGAAGTGCAGGTAAATACTTTCTGAGATCGAAGAAGAGCAACTAATAACCGAAATTTCTAGGTCCTGGCGGTCAATAACGAAGGAAAGGCGAATGTCGTGCCAGAGACGGTAGAAGGAAGAACCGGCGAAGGCGTTCCCAGCAGCATTCCTTCTGGACTCCGCGTCATCGAGAAGGTACCAAGAAAATATTTCCAGTTGACTGAGCCAAATATATTATTCCAAATTTTAACTGAGTGATCGAAACTCAACCTGTTTTGTTTCCAGAGCGGCACGACCGTCACTTTGGCCTGGGATCCGATCGAACCGAGCACGGCGAACGGAAATTTCACGGGATACAAAGTCACCTACTGGGTCGAGGATTCCGATGCGGAAGAAGAGGCCGAAGAAGAAGAAGAAGAATCGGAAAGACGTCGGATGCTGCGACTCCGACGAAGGAGGTCTTCTGCCCCGGTGAGAATTCGATCCCGACTCATAATCAACCGGAGATAATTACGCTCCTTTCCATTACTCTAATTGATAATCGTTTCTATAGAGAAAAAAAACCGGGATTTTGCAGGCGATGCGTAAGAGAGACGCAAGCGGACGACGCAAGACGGTCGTTTTCGGTCCAAACGCGAGTCAAGGAACTCTGACCGACCTCAAGCCCGACACCATCAACTACGCCTTCATTCAGGCAACCAACATTGTCTTTCCAACCTCTATTTATTATCTTTAGGTTGCTAACGGAGCTCATGAAGGCGCTCCTAGTACGACGATCGATTTCCGAACGGATGAAGGAGGTGATTTTTAACTTTTATCGGCATTTTTTCGAATTTTTTCGAAAATAGAAAAGAAGCATTTTTTGAATTGAAAAATATTCTGTCGTCTTTTTTTTCTGGGATTTTTCGAAGTCTTTGTATATCTGAAAATCAAGCTACAAAAATTGAGCCTTCATGAGGTGAGCTTCTGGAAAAACGGCACTTTTCCTATGAGGATTTATTTTTTTCCAATGAGAGTATTAAAACATAATTTTTTTAGAATTCGTGCTATTTACTCATTTTTGTGGAAATTTAGAAAAAAACTGCAAAAAAATAAACGCGTTGTTTTAATTTTTCCGAAAAACGCTGCTGAGTTTTTTGGCTCACTTTTCTCTAGGTCTCATAACTCGACTGATTATTTTGCATCAAAAAGTGAATTTATAACTTGACAGATGTATTTTCGATTTCCTTTTATCTGATTTTATCTAGCCGGGATAAATTGGAAAACATTGAAAAAAACAAAAAGACATAAAACAGAAAAGAAGAACCCAAAGAGTCAAAAAATTTGTTTCTTTTGTGTAAGCATCCTCCTAAATTAGAAAGTCAATTTATTTCTCAAACTTGTAGAGGTTCCTCACAATTTGTTTGTTTCGATCCAAAACTGCGAATTTGCAGTCCCTTCGCCGGTGCGAATGTTGCGAGCCTATCCGATGAACTCCAAGAACTCCGACGACAAGGCGGTCGTGGTGCTCGTCTGGAAGAGGCCGCGTCAAACCAACGGAAAACTCTTGAGATACGAAGTTCGTCCTCCTCAACCCTTTCCATGGCTCTAATCTCAAGTCCAAATCTCCGTTCGCTGGGAATTCCTTTGCGTGGGAATTCTCGGGGCTAGAATTTTCTGCTGCAGATATCTCTAATTATGAGAAAAGTCTCAGTGCAGCGAGAATATTGCAGGTCGAGTACTGCCGCACGCAAAACAGAAAGGTCGTCGAGCACGAGTGTCCGCGGCTCAAAATCGGAGCCGAAGCCAAAGAAGTGAGTTTTGTGGATAGGAAACGCGTTATTCAGAAAATATTTGATTTGAAAAGTTTGGGAAATTTGCAACCTTCAAGTTGAATATTTATAGTCAAGTCGCTTATTACTAATTTTTCTCACTTTTTTTCAATCAAATGCTTTTTCTCCCAAACACGCCCTTAGGTGGGACACTGTTAGAACGATGACATTTCGTGGGAGAAATGACAGTTCAAACGATTGTCAATGTTCAAAAAGTTCAGCTATGTGGAGAAAATATTTTTTTTGAGTTGAATAACTTTTCGGGGTGATTCATCGATTTTTTGGGAACTTCTGAAATTTTGGCAAAAGTAACAGGTCCTGGGTTCGAAAATTCTAATATAAAAGTTCCATTAATTTCTCAATTTTATTTTTTTCTAATTCTTGAATGTCCACTCTAGAGGTTGCAAGACTGCGAAATAGAACCTTTTGGCTTACACATTTTGAAAAAGAAAGGGCTAACGAAGGCAATTAAGGTGCGACTGACTGGATTGGACTTCGAGACGCCGTACCGATTCGTGATCCGAGGGCAGACGCAGGCCGGCGAGGGCGACCCCAACAGTAGCGACGCGACAACGCTCCCGGAGCACGTTGCCGCAGGCGCGTCTTTTTCTCATTTCGTTCCTGAAAATTACCTTTTCATTCATTCCGGGACATTTTCGGGACAAAACTGAGAAGAAAAGAAACTAAAGTGGGTAGTATGCGTTCGTGCTGTGATAGGCGGCCTGCCGCAGGTCATAAATAAAAGAAGAAAAAGAGCGGGACAATTTGCCTGTGGTTGATTGCCGTCCGTCAGCCTGGATATTTATGTTTGGCGAGAGAAAATGCCCTTTTGAAGCACGAAATTGCAATAGAATGAGTTGTGCGGCAACTCGGCAGAGGACGGCGGTGAAGAAGGAGCGCGAGTGGGCGGAGCTTTCTCTTCAGGCAGAACCGGCGACGGCAGAGGCTCAGCTGGCCATCCTAATTCAAGCTCCTGTCCATCCTCGGCAGTTTCTTTTCAGTTGTTTCCTGCTGAACCTCTGGCCGACGCCTGAGCCCCTCCCTCTACTTTTCACGCCTCTAGGCAACGCGAGCAAAAAAAAGCTCACTGAAGCGTGCGGTAGTACACTGGCGCGGTTCGAGAAGCTCTGAAATATTGATATGCTTCTGCATCACGTGATTTCTATACTTTCTACTGACCTACTTGGAACCTTTTGCAACGGGTCAGTTTCCATTTTCGACCGTCCAAGTCAGTTTTTAGTCGAAATGATCAATTTAGTTCATTCATAGTTTGAAAGCGTCATCAGTCTTCTCCGACGCTTTCGAGGCTACTTTTGAAAACGAGGCGCTTCAAAATCATAATTTAGAAAGATCCTTGAGCCGATTCCACGGTAAAAAGACGACTTTTCTAATTTTGAGAATGAAGAGGCTTAGCGTGTTCCAAAAAAATGACAGAAAAAAATTTATTTTTGAAATTTTTTTGAAAAAAATACAATTTTAGCTCTTTTTCTTTTTAATTTTCCCGAAAACATTCGCCGAAAAAAAAGGCTGGAATAATGCTTCCAGCATCGTTACTCTTTCTTTTTTCTTCTCTTGCGATTTTCTCAATATCTTTCTTTTTTATTCAAATTTTCTGAGCATTTTTCAGTCATTTTTCTTTCAGATTCAAACTCATTATTTTATATTCACGGGCTTTTTTCGATATACCTCTTTTTCTACATTTTCTCCGGTCTAATTTGCATAGAAAATTTGTTTTGAATCACCGTTGCCCAGGTGCCAACAAATCAGTCTAAGCCAACCAATTAGTCTCTCTATTCGTTTCTCAAATTCGCTTCGCTTCCAATTACGAGATTGGATTTCGCAGTCGATAATCCTTTGAAGACTGGAAGTTGTGTTTGCTCAGAAGAGTACGACTTACTGAACGAAATGTTTCTTGATGAGAATCGAGACGGCCCCATCTCATTTCTAATTCCACTTCAAGAAGCCACGTTCGAATTCCGGACGCAAGCTTACTTGGAACCTAATTCCATTTATTTTACTTTCGATTTCCAAACCAAAGACTATAAATGTTGACAAGGCTGAAATGAAAGTCCTGTCATCAAATTAATTTTATTTTTCTAAACTGAAAAACTGAGAATTAAGATCTCCGCTCACAAATTGAATGATTTGTACTAAATGAAGTTCGGAGCGATGTTTTTGGTGCAAAAGCTTTGTATATGTTAAAACGTGTCCAGGAGCGGATTAGTTGGAAATTGACGAAGAAGCTCTTCCTTCGCCTCTTCATCGATTCCAGCCGTTTTTTGTGGAAGCTGCCATTACTTTGCTACTGGGAAGAAGAATTCTCGTGGTGAATGAGTTGGAAGAGAAATCACCCTTTCTGTTTCGAGGCCAAAAAAATTCCGAAAAAAGCTCATCGTGCAGAGACTGCAAAATAGAGAACACTATCCTGAAAACATTTTGCAGCTCCAAAATTATATTTTTCATGATTGAACTATTAATATTTTTTATTTGGATAATATAATAATAGCCATTTTTCGCATTTTTTCTTTTCACGATCGATTATTTTGAAATATTGGAAATAGATTTCATTGTTTTGCGGAATGGTTGAACATAGGGAAACCAAAGTGTATAGTAAAGAGAGGTGTATTATTGGATAATTCAGTGCTACATGCATGGGCAGGTGTGTCGGCCCGTGAAACGTAATCCTTTTTTTTTCGTTCTCTCGGCGTCCTTGCAAAATACTTCAGCAACAATACATTTTGTGGTGGCTTTTGAAAAGCAATGCACTCTAGCATCATTCCATACAATAAAGACAAAAGATAAACCGACCGTACATGGTGTTTTGTGGGAAAAAAAAAACAGCCGAGTTACTTTATGAAACCCCATTTGAGCCCTTTTTTGAGAAATTTAGGAGATTTCCCGGGTATGATCAAATTGAAAATTATGCTGAATCAGAGTTTCGATACGCAATTATCATGTTTTGAAGAACTTTCAAAACAGAGAAAACTTATGACATAAATAAATGACAGTTTTTTCAGTTGATCCCGGAGTGCCGAGCCTCGTCGAAAATGCAATCGGCGACGACTTCTTCAACGTCTCCTTCCGACCTGCCGAGTTTGACGCCGAGAAACGCGGTCCTGTCGGAAACACGTTCGCCGTCGAGTACAAACCAGATGGCGAGGCCGAGTGGAAGTCCGTTCCGCAGAACGGTGAGTCTGGAAGTGAAGAGTTCAGGATTTTGGTGCTTTTTATGAGGGAAAACGCAATTTCGGAAGATGATTGCAGCAAGGATATTAGCGCCCGAAAAAATCTGATTCAAAGTTTATCTTCAATCGTAGACGTGTGAAAAGTAAACTATCAAAAATACTATTCAAAAAAAAAATAGTTGAGAGTTTTTAAAACCAAAATGTTTTTATTTGGTATAACGAACTATGTTCCAATATCTTGTGTTGTCCTTCCGACCAAAAAAAAGTTTTCTGATACTGGTATTTGTATTTGGATCTGTTTCAAATTTTTATAGGCTTCTGATAGGGAGATTCCTGAACTATTTCGTTTAGCGAGATTTTTAGAAATAAAAAGATTTTAAAAGACCTGGACTGAAAATTTGCATCCATTACGTAAGTAGTTGGTTCCTATGTTAGAAGTAATTGACAGACTTGAAGGTTTGGATTGATGATGATGAAAAATGATTCAATGCCTATTTCAGAAGACAACGCGCTGATGGTCCACGTGGGCGAGCTGCAGCCAGGAACGAGGTACGACGTCCGCGTGGCGGCTCTCCAGCAGCAGCCAGATGGAACGGAAACTCGTGCCTATTCCCCGGTCAACCACATCACGACGACTGGCCGATCGCCACGCTCCGCCCGTTTCTGGCTCCTTCTTCTGCTGCTCCTCATCCTGCTGCTGCTGCTCATCATCTGCTGCATCATCTGCGTGGCAATGCGCCAACGCGGAGAGAACTATCCCGTGTCGGAGAAGGAGCGGGAGCAGGGTCGCGAGCCCATCCTCGGCAAATCTCATTTTGGCGAATACAAAAAGTGTGTCTCGGTCTGAAAAACAAACGACAAATGATGGGTTTCAGTGACGACGAGGAGAAACGGTCGCTGACTGGAAGCAAAGCCGATTCGGAGACTGACAGCATGGCTCAGTACGGCGACACGGATCCTGGCGTTTTCACCGAGGACGGATCTTTCATCGGTTCGTTTTTGACTGTGGACTAGAAATTGTGGACTAGAAATGAGAACCTATCTTCCAAAATTACCTTTCATATTAAGTTAACTTAATTTCGGACTAGAAGTTCAAAATGCTAGGAAACTGAGCGTCCGCTCACGAAAACAAGAAAGAATGATCTTTTGAGAATCTTCATCCAGTAGATTCAAACGTCTTTTGTCTAATTTTCAGAATTACTTGTTATAGATGAAATAATCTCCGATTCAGCATCAATCATCAATGAAATCCTTTTTTTAGGTCAATATGTGCCACAAAAGAATCTGATGCCGGCAGAGCGACCTGAGAAGGGCTCTACATCGACCTTTGTCTGAAAAATATACTTCCTTCATTTTTCTAATGTCTCTCATCTTTTTTTTATCATATGCACAATTTTACATTTTTTGTCACTCAGTTTTTGGTACTTTTGAATCCCCGGTTGCTTTGAGGCACGAAGTTGTGACCTCTTTCTACTTTCGCACTTCAAAAGCACAGAAAGCACAAAATATTGGCGGGTACATCACAATGTGGCTCTTGGGTTATTTCTTCCTTTTTTAGGCCCTAATTTTGTTCGTTTTCCATATGAAAGACTTCAATTATGCCTTGATGGGTTCCTTTTTATGATCTTGATTATTTTTGTGCTGATAGGTCCCGTAAACTTCTTCTGTTTCTGTTTTTTTTTCCTTCTGCGGATACTGTCAGACCTGTTTTATTTTTATTTTTCAATTTTATAAATGGCCGTCGACCAGACGCGTCCTTTCTTCCTGCCTAACCCCTCTGTCCTTCTCCATGAGACGAACTCAGTTAATACTCTCACGAGCCGCTGCCTGTTTGAATTGTTATGTTTTGTAAGGTTCCGAAAAAATTGCTTCTGAATTACATTGGTTCGATCGCGAGTTTTTCGTGAATATCCAACTTGACTATAACTTTTTCTATTCGAGTTTTGCCTTTTTGCCTTACCTAGAAGTTTTTTTTTCGTTTCAAAATTTTTTGCCTTTTCGACTCAATTTATGCACTGAAATGAGATCAATTCTTAAAATTATAAGAATCGCTCAAAATAGGCTCTTGAATTTCCCGAGCGTCGTTTACGTTCCTTTTTCATTCTTATTCACCTTTCTATACGTGGAGAAAATCGCTTCCGTCTTTCTGTTAATTTTTTATCTACATTTTTGTCGCTTTTGTTGTGCAAGCGCATAATAATATCCTCGCCAGATTTCGCTGACCATGCGCCACCGAAAAATAAATAGTTTAAGAAATGTGGGCGACTGTAAAAAAAAATAATTTATAGTACAAAACATTTGATTTTTGGTGGCAAGATGAAGGCTACACGGGTGAATGATTGCCATTTAGAGTCTCGCGTTCCTCGCGCTCTTCGACTTCTTTCTGCTTCTCGATTATGTGGTTGATCCGCGGCTTGCGGTTGGGATTCACCAATCGCTTGGCAATGAATCGTAATACCTGAAACAAATGCTTGGAAAAACATTTCTGAATTTTTAATTTCTTCAACTTTGACGCGTGAATTTTTCAATAATGAATAAGAAAACTTGAAAACCCCCTCTCGAAGATGGAGGGTTTTGATATATATCGATCATCTTGGATTCCCAAAATATGACAGAGATCTTGAACAAATATTCAGGAAATTCCAAAGGAGGATTTCTGGACGAACTTGTTTGCGGCTGAGGTCGCACTTTCGCTCAATGTCCCTGAGCTCTTCTTCGGTGGGATAGTGGCCATTGTTGATGACTTCTTTGATGTATTCTCGCTGCCATCCTTTCATCCTCGTCTGCAGACCTTGTTCCTGAAATCAATTCCATTAAAACACAAACAAACGATCATTCCTAGCTCATCTTACAAAGAGCTCTTTCAATTTAAAACTTTGGATAATTCCTGAAATTAGTCCGGATCTCTTAGATGTCCTGACTGAGGACTTGAAAATCTGAAGTCAGACCTAGTTTTTGAAAGCAAAAATTTGAATTTTTTTGTCCATGAAAGCGACATTTAGGACTTTGGTTTTGGAAAACTAGGAGCCTATGCAGGTCTCTTTCAAAATCCTCATTTGGTGTATTCCATCAAAGATTTTTCAGCCAATTTTTACATATTTCTACAGTTAGCAGTATAATTACCGTTGTTCCAGGAATCAAACCCTCAAAAAAAGAAAAAACAAATTAGACTAAACTAGCCATTAATAACTGATTATAAAAAAATAATAAAAATTCACAAATTGAGGTATAAAATGTAATTTTTGGTCCTCTTTTGGACCTTTTCTCCCAAAAATTATTTTCAAAATTTGGTTCAAGTCTAGAAAGTGGGTTTTTAAAGGACTTCTCATTTCTTTCACTTATTTTTCTCCTGACTTTTTTCGAAGCCTGAGTGGGAAAGCAGAACTGACACTTCTGTAGGGATGGTGTTTGTTGTCGTCGTTGTGGCTGTTCTGAAAAGAGACTTCGGGAGTCCAGTCGCCGCCCAATCCGAAACCATGCTGAAAAAAACTTCGATTTACATAGGACATATCACCTCTTTTCGAGCCCATATATTGAAAAAAACAAATTAATTTTTTTGATTGCATTATTTAAAAAAAAAGAGATTTGAAACTAACTTTAGAAAAGTAGAAAAAAATTCGTGCTCTCGCGACGCCAAATAGTATTTTTTTATAAATGACTGTTAATTCAAAAAAATAATTGTTGAAATTTTAATGTCATTTTTCCTCTTCCGATTCCGACCGAACATAAAATTTCATGTGAAAGTTACTAGGAAGAAAAAATTGAAACTTTTTTTACAATAATTTTTAGAGAAAAATCGTACTAAACTAAACTAAAATTTTTCAACTTGCTTCTCAGGAAGCTTCTTTTTCATAACCCCATATGACTATTTCCGAGCATTCAAAAGGAAAAACATACAACCTTGCTAAATAAGTTGCTGATGAGCTCATTGGGGACAGTCGTACCTAATAAATCCGCGGTCTGCAAAAGAAAAAAGTTTAGAAATGAAATGTGTACGGACATTTACAATGTTTTCTTCTGATTCCGTCGGATCGACGCACTCTAGGGGCTCCTCCTTGGTCGGCGCGACGAGGACCGTCGGCGGGTGGATGGACGGCGTTGCTGGCTGCGACGGCGTCCGCGACGACAATATTCGCGGCGGCGTCACGGCCTGAAGAGGGAATCCGGAACGACTGATGGCCGTCGACGGACGTCGCGTCTCTGCGGAGATCGGACCCACGCTCACGCCGGCCTCCTCTTCGGGCGACTGCTGAAGTTTCCGTTTATTTCGGAACGGACAACGTATCGTTTTTGACCGATAGCATGCAGAAGAAGCTTCAATAAAGATTTTCATTTTTAAAACGGAAAAATTCTTTTAAACATTTCTTCCGGAAAAATTTTATGTAGAATCCGAAAATAAATTACACCGAAATGTTTTGATTTTTTTTTAAAGCCAGAGGGGAAAAAAGAAAAACAAAATAAGCTTTGAATTGGAATTTTTTTCCCTCTAAAGTTACTTCATCCATTTCAAAAAGATCTGTGACTTCTCAGCAAAATAGCAATCGCACACTAGTTTGCATAGAACTGTTTCAAAAACTCGAAAAAAAGCATTTTCTCTAAAGCTGTATAAAAATTTAGATGTGTCGCTACACTTTTCTTGTGTTAAATTTTGTTCGCAAATAAAAAAATGGCAAGAATAATTACTAAATTTTTTTGAATTCGAAAAATTTCTCGATTCAAAAACCTTTAACGTACTTCAGGTTTTTCTAAAAAAAGTACGAAACACATTCCCAAACGAGAAAGTTGAAAATTTCAGATCAAAAAAATAAGCACATTATTAATAATCTCTTATCAACGAGATAAGAAAGGAATCTATTTTTAACCAAATGAAAAGTTGAAAAAAATTAAACGAGGAAAAGCCGAGAGCCACAAAAAAACTGACCAGGTGAGTTTTTTTTTTTTTTCAGATAACAGAGTTAGAAATTTTCTTGAATTGTTATAAACTTTTCCCGGATTCAGGTTAATTTTTATGCTATTTTTCACTTCAAGCTTCGGATGTGGCGTTTTAGTTTTAAAAAAAAAATGAAAAATGAAAAGTAGAAAAAAACCTTCTCGTCGTTTCGAAGGCTGGAAGAAGGGGTCGAGTCGCTGAACTCGTTGGGGTCAGATCTGAGCGTCACCTGACTGAGATTGCTGACAAAGGAGACGTCCGAGTAGCCCCTGCCAGCCTGAAACATACTTTTCCCCCTTTACTTTCTGGGATTTTCTGGAAATTCTCCTGAAAATCTAATGAGCTAGAAATAGCTCCTAGGAGTCTCAGCTTGCAAAATTTCTTATTTTTCGAGTTTCTCATTTCATTGATCAAATTTAGAGTTCAGAAAATTAGTTCTCTGGAAATAAAACCATTTTTTGCAATTTGCAGGTGTTTCACAATTTTTGTTTTAACGAATAAAAATTAATTCATTAATTTTGACTTATCCTTGACCTTTTTTTTTATTCGCATGAAAATAACTATAAAGACTAGCTTCCAGACGAAGATAAAAGATTTCATATTAAAGAAAGTTTTGTAGATATAAATTTTTTTGAAATATCAATGACGAAGTTTGAAGTCGGTAGGTTGGAAAGAAAAAGAAAAAAATTATAGCGGTGATCGCTTCGGAATTCGTACATTTTTATGAAAAATATTATTTCAAAGGTTTTCCACAACTCTTTAAGCTTAACGGTTGCCGCCGTTTCTTTAGCTTTTCAGTTCATTCCTAGTTTGATGATTTTCTCGAGAAAAAGACACATTTTCATGTGCATCATTTTCAAATTCGAAGATATAGTGAATTGTGGAAGGAAAAACAAGAAAAAAGGGTATGCCTTGGCACGGTAAGCAAGGCAGTGTATGAAGAAAAAAGAAAGCGTTCTGTAATCCCCAAACTTTTGTGACAAGCTCGCGCGAACCATAATAAATTTGAAACATCGATCGATATCCACTCGGCAAGCATTATACTCATAGCTCGAACATTGAATCCACTTTCACAAGGTAATTTCGTGCCAACCCTATTTGTTTTTGCGCTTTCTTGTGAGTAGAGCCAACAAAAGGTCCCTTGGAAAGTGATCAGAGACTTGTCACAAACGTTCCGTCGGCCATTCCACCCATGTGTTTATCCGCACAGAACAGAGACAGATGGGAAGCGCCTTTTTTTCTTTCTGCCACGGCCACCCATCATCGTGTTGTATATACAATCACACGATGATTTCCGTGCGGGTGGCCATGGAGGTTCAAACTCGTCTGACGCGTCTGTTTTCTCCTATCGTCGCTGCTGATCTAGTGGCTGGGTCCTAGGTCAATAAACTCACAATGCGGGTTCAGTTTTCGGATTAGAGGAGCAGCAAAAACATCTCGGGAAACTTACGATGAGCGAAAAGAAGTCGACGACGTTCGATTCAGGAAGACGTACGATCGCATATTTCAGCCTCGTTCTGTCGTCCATCAGTTGTCAAACTCCTCTCAAAATAACCGACAATGTGGAAAAAGTTTGCTTCAAATTATAGGATAGACGATCATAATGGGCGAGTGAAGCGAGTAGATGAGAAGGTTTCGAAAAAAAGCTGAAGGGCAAAAGTAGGCTTCTGCAGAGCAGACAACTTATACTCAGAAACGAGAAATGGAGTCGAAAAGAAAAATCTGAAATTACAGGGAGAAAAAAAAAGGAAACTCTAAAAACTTTCCAACTAAAAACTTTCCAACAAGTTAGGTGTGGAAAAAAAACATTGCGAGGTTCTTGATTCGGAAAAATTTAAAAAGATGTAGATTCACTGAAAAACAGCTTCACGCCGCTGAACTCCGACTCTTTTCGGCCCTTGGTTCGTTAAAATATCTTCCTGGAAGTCAAAAGCCTTTAGAAATGAAATCCGCAGATTGGTTCAGGACTAACCCTAATGTCTATTTGTCTTTAAACTAAAGCTGAAAACCGCAAATAAAAAAAGTTAAAAAAAAATCTTGTTTTGAAAAATTGAAAAAAAAAGTGAAAATCGTAAAATAAAAACTCTGGGAAACGCTGAATCAAAAAGCGCTTTCAGATTCAATCGATGGAAAACAGGGACAAGCGAAATTGAAAGCTCAGATAGAGTGAATATTGAGAGAACGAGAGAGCGGACGTGATGAGCCACACACTATTAAAATGTTTTAATTCGGAAAATGCAATCACACATCAGAAAATCAACATAATCAGACCAATCAGTGTTTCCCACAAACTGAGATTTAATAACGTTGAAATGAGAGAGGAGTACTGGACGTTGAATTAAAAATTATTTGGAACGAGTTTTTCCTTGAAATTGTTCATTTAATTTATTAACACGTATAATTAGGTCAAAACAGCGCATGAAATGATAAAAAATAAAGATAACCTTTTCAACGAATTAGTTTTCGAAATTAAACTTTGAACAAAAGGAGGAGAGATTGAAGATCAAAATCAAATAATAATATGAAAATGTCTCGAATATTTTTTCCCTACATTCCCTACAGCTGAAAAAAATTGCGATCCTCAAATGTTCGTTCTACTGTATTTATCATTGTTAAAAATAAGATCGGAACAGAAAGATTGAAAAATTTGAGTTGCAGGAAAAAAGCTCCGGCAAATCTGGAATTGAAGGAAATTTCTCCATTATCGTAAAACGTGAAAAAAAAAAACAGAAAAAAAAGGAGAATTAGGGAGAATTTTCAAAGTAATCCGCGATACGGAGATCAGCACTGAAAATCAGCTAAGTCAGAAGAAACTCGAAAACTACAGTCCTCAGATAAAGCCTTTCCCACAGAAAACTTAGGATACCCAGTAATCTGACATCACTGAAGTGATTGCAAACTTTAGGCTATGAAAAAACCTCAAACTTCCAGAGAGATTAAAAGATTGAAAAGAATCACAATCTTTTGGATGCTTCGAAACTCTCGAAAAGCAGAATATGGCTTGGAAAGCTTTAGGAAGAGACCATATAACGTATATAATAAGGAGAATAATCGATGCAACATAGGGAAAAACGCAAGGGAATAGAGCGAGGCACCCTAGACGAGTAGTGCAACGGCGAGGCCGCCACACACTCTCCCAACACAAGAGGCACTGGTGCAATATAGAAGAGAAAAGAGATGTATGGTGGTTGGTTTTGGGAGAGGCCGAGGGTCTCTCCCGCCGTAAAGTAAACCTCCTAAACGTTCCTAAGCGGACGTAGGCCCAATCGATTCAGCCTAAGCCTCCAGCCGCCTTCTCCGTTTTCGCCCATGTCGAGTGTCTCTCCTCTCCAGCAGACCCACTCCACTCAAAACCTTCAATCTAAACCTCCGCCAACATTACTATACCATGGTCAAAGGCCTTTGTTGTGATTTCTGTAAGTCCTAAGGCATAATCGCTTAATTGTGCGGTCCCGCGTCCGCAGGAACCTCAGTTAGAGGGTGCTCACTTTTGGAGAAACCTTAATGAGAATCCGTAAGCGCTGACTCTATTTGGAACTTTTCGGGTTGAAAAAATCAAACTATTTATTATCTTTTGTTTTTGTTGATAAAAAACCGAAGTTGGATTCAAAAAATCAGGGCACGAGAACTTAATTTTCAAAAATAGATAAATATAGACCGATCGAAAAATCTGAAAAACAAAGGTAAACATTTTCCAACTGATTCAAGTCGTGGCTTCAACACTCCGGTGAAAAAATAAAAAATAAACTCTACATAAGGGACGTAAACTTTCGTTTTTTCAATAAACCGTGTGTCGATGAAGCTCAGATGAACTGGATCAAACTACAATCCTGAGGAGTTCCAGGAAAAAGTTTTCCAGATAACTTCTTTAATTATAAATTTCGAGACGTGAGAACTAGTTGCTAAAAGGTCTCAAAAAAGGATGGAGTTTTAGAAGGCGTTTAAGAAGACTCGAGAGCTTGGAAAAAGATTAAAAATTCGAAAGCAGCTTTGCAGTTTTAACGCCAGAAGGGAACATCTGCGGAAGAGGAGTTTGCTCTCGAAATATCCACTCAAGTCTTCATCAAGAAATCAATAGGGACTTCAAAATCAGGACTATTACTCGGCTTGGACGAAAAAAAAAGCTGAAGGCGTCGGAAGAGACGGCGTTTGAATGGGAAGAAAGCGCGCGTAAGGAAACCCATAAGGCAATAAATGGACGGCGAGTGTTGTAGACTAATCACCGCGGGTATTTCTCCACGGAGCACACAATGAACCTAAATGCTCACTACCACTACTACTACCATGGTAATCCCCGTTTTGCTCAATGGCTTAAGCCCTTTCCGCTCTTTTTTTACACCCAAATCTTAATCCTTTACCGTAGTAGATATGAATGCACCGGGATTTAATCGAGTTTTTCATTCAGTCCTTCTTCAATTTTCTTCTCACTCAGAATATCGCAAGCGGCCACTCAAGAGTTTTTCCTTTCTAATGGTTCTCCAAAAGGTCAACTTTTTGTAGAAGTCGGTGGTTGCAAGGAAGAAGTACCTTTTCACTTGAGAAAAAGAATGAAATCAAAAAAATTTTGAAAAATAAATGTTTCCGATAAAGTTTTAGAAAAACAGAGAATATGAGGAGTAATGCAGTGGAGTAGAGGGCTTCTTTTTAAGTAGTACTCGGATAAGGCTCAAATGAAGGCGTGGCGGATTTGTGTGGAAATTCCTCATTTGTCAGTTGCCGATTCTATTCCGCAACCGAAATCACTTCGAATAGAGTGGGAGTGGGAGTCAAAGGAGCTTAAGGCAAATCTTATTTTTTGGCTAACAGCATCTAGAACGTGGAGGCCCCAGACATTTCTAACTTCATCGCGCAAAACCGAAAGAAGAATAGATCTAGGAGATTTTTCGAAATTTGAAAAAGTGGGAAAAAGTATTCAATGAAATTCAAAGTGAAATTGCAACACTTCAGTGAGCGATCAGAAGGCGCTTGCTTAAGGGATTTGTTAATTTGAATTTCTCAAAATGAGTGAAAGTTTTGTTTTTCGTTTTTGAACTTCTATCTAAAAAGCTGTTTTAGCAATAAAATCGAAAGGAAAAATCTTCAAAAACAAGAAGTCTCTCATTTTGCACAATAATTTAGTTTTCAAAAAAGGCTACTTCAACAAAAACAGGACATCATTTTCAGAACATTATCCTGGTACTCTGACGAACAAAACTAAATTTTTTGTCAACCATTTTGGCAAACTACTAGAAATTTCGGAGCCGAATAATTTCTCAAAATATTATTTTTGATACGGCAAAGTATTTACAGAAAATAATTAACACGTCTCAAAAAGCGAGAAAACAGACGCTATTCCTACCGCAATTAAACACTCTTATCAACTCCTTAACTGATTTAATTCCAATAAAACTGATAACGAGGCCCGTCGCGAAACACCGACAAAACCGCGTAAAAAAGAGCAACAATTACAAAAAAGGCGAATTTGTGCGGTTAAATGACAATCGTACGCTTTCCTACTGTATCCTACTTAATCCGTTTCATTCTTTTTACGCTACGAATTCTTTCTATTTGTTGGTTAATCTCGCAGCTTACGAGGTCCTATTGTTATCAGATAAACCTTAAGAAAACGAGGATTTAGGCGAAAAAGAGGTGTCGAATCCTACGATTGGCTTTTATTCTTCATAAAAACGGCTAAAGTTGTTGCTGGGGTGTTGAAAAGAAACAGAAGTCCTTTGCGAACTGAAATAAATTGGAAATCAGCCTTGACACTTCAAATAATTTAGTTTATTATCGTTCAAATGCCCCACCGAAGCTTGAGATTCTTTTTTTGCCTAGACTTATTGACAAAAGAAAAAACCTCCAATTTTTTTCGAAACCAAGTCGGAACCGAAAAACCTCTTCAGAGAAGATTGATAAGGGCCTTAACGTAAGGATTACTGCGCAAAACAACGTTTAGTGATGTTTAAGAAATTCCTATTGATGTGCAGTACAACGATAACTCATCTGGATCGATTGGCATCCACTAGACAACTGTCCCCCTACTCACAAGCGCAAGAAGAGTTTATTCAAAGTGCTAAAGTCCAGAACAAAAACAAAGTAACAAATGCGACGTGTTATAAATCAAGTTGTTGAATAGAGGTTTCAAAAAATAATATATTAAGAATAGAGGTTTTATCCTTCCCGAGAGGTTGCTTAAACAAAGTTTAAAAGTAGAATTTACCCTAAAATGCAGAGCAAAACGAGATTAATTTGAAAGTGAATTTCGAATCTGAAGAACTGAAGTGGTTTCCAAAAAGTGTGAGGTCTGTGCTCGAAAGGACAAAAAAAATAGCAAAGGCAACAAAAAATATGAGAAAAAAAAAACAAAAGAAGGGGCAGGAGTAATAATGAAGAAGGGAACTGGATTCCTGCCGTAAACGGTTTTAGGGGAAACGAAGTACTTGCAAATTGATAACGATGTTAAGAGCTGACGGTGATAGGCCGCCGCACACTTCACTTTCGCTGCTCCTGCTCGTTGGCCGCCAGCAAATCTTTCATCTCCGTCGGGTCGCTTCTGAAACGTCAGTCTCACTTTGAACCGGACCACAAAAACAATAGACGGCTACAATGGTTCAATGGAAGAGAACATCAAAACCAACGTTTTTTCCTCGCGTTTTTTGCCGGCATTTTCGAGGCTGCAGTTCTTGGTTTCCTCGAGGAAGAAGTAGGCGACGACAATGTTGGCAAGTCCAAGACTGATCGAGATCATGTGCACTCCCGGTTCGTACACCGTTTTCAAGCCGCTCTGAAGCAACTTCCAACTTTAGGAAATGAAGAAATTTTTTTCTAAAATCTCAGTTTTGACAGATAAAAAATCAAAAAGCAAAAATTTTTTTGAATAATCTAAAGATAAAGTTTTTTTAAGGCAAATATAAAAAAACTTCGTTGAAAAATAATAAACTAAATTTCATTTTTTTAAATTCTTGATTCAAAACTTTTTTTCACTCAGCTTTTCTCGGCCTCACTTTTTTTTATTCCTTTTTTTCAAATTGAAACTTCAAACCCCCCCCCTCTATGAAAAGCTGGAGTACGAGTTAACTTTGAAAAGTTACGTTAGGAGATCTGAGAGAACTAAAAGAAGTTCACAAGCAGAAAATAGAAGATTTCTCAGCTTTTCTTTCAACTAGGACTGACAAGCATGGAAGCGCCGATGTTGGCGATACGGCCGATGATGGAACAAGAGGCGGTGGACGTCGCGCGGACGTCGGTCGGCATCAGCTCCGAGGCGCACAGATAGCACGGCTCCCAGACGATGGAGGTGAACACGAAGGCCGCCAAGTACGTCGCCGTATAGTACCATTCGCCCTAAGAATTACTTTCTTTTATTTTTTAATACAAGTTAATTTCATGAACAAATCTGGAAAGTTTAGAAAAGGGATAGATGTTTTTTTGAGAAGACCTTAGGGTTCTCATATTTCTACAACTTTTTGAAAAACAATAGTCCGGCGTTTTTTTTCAAGCAAACTTTTTTTTCTTTTCCTATTCAAAGTGAAGGTTTTTGATACCCTCTTCTACATTTTTTAAGAGCATTTTTACGAATGAAAACTTCAAACGGTTGAGAAAAATCTAGGTTAAGTCAAAGGAAAACAAATTTAACTATACGAAGAATTTTGAAACGAAACTCGATAAAATGTCCTCCGCAAAAAAAACCTCAAAAACATATAGTTATCAGAAAGATGATCTCTCTATAAAAACTTCAAGAAAATTTTTCTCATTGTTTTTTGAAATAAAAAAAGATAAATCTCTCGAAACCTTCTCTTCCAGAAAGAGGAAAGCGACCACGAAGAAGAAGAAGAACACGGCGAGCAACTGAGAAGCGAGAAGGACGAAACGACGACCCATCCAAGGCAAATAGCCGTCGGCGAATCCCATCACCTGAAAGAAAAGTGGAATATGAAAATCGGAAAACGTTATCGATTCGGAGTGATTCAGGCAGACTAACCACACGAACGGCCGAAAGGAGGATTCCAGAAAGAAATTGGCCGACCCAGAAGTTTTTGGTCATGTCGCCTCCACACAGATCCGTCAGGTAGGCAGTCATTCCCGTTACGAACCACCTCAAAATTTTGAAATCACCTAGCTAGCCAGAATTCGAAAAATTAGTTTGATGACTTTTCAAATCCAAGAAGAAATTTTTAGAAACTTGATTATTGTACTTCACAAGATCTGAACCGCTAAACGCGTTGATCCATTTCCTCTGCAAAAAATTTGCAAGTCGTGGCGAAAAAAGTATGTGTTGTTTTGCAAACTTACATGACCCAAAGAACGAGGATATTCCGTCGCAAGATGGGATTTTTAAAGACAGAAACAATGTTCTCCGTCTTTTCAGGTTCAGCATTTTCTGATTTCACCGGAGGCGGCACTGAAATGAGTTTTATTAGAGAAGCGAGAAGAAAAAAAGTTTCTTTGCCTTTTAAAGTAAAATCGAATGAGAAACCTTCAATAAAACATGCGTTTCATCCCTTTTTCAGATAAAAAATTATTTCTAACTAAAAACAGGCGTTTTGCGCATGTTTAAATCATTTTTTTCTTTAGGAAAAAGTTGTCATTCTATCGCAGTCGCTTTAATGACTAAAAATGATCTTATCACAATTCTTATTGATCTCTAATGAACAGCAGTTTTTATAAGAAAAAACTAAAGTAGTTCTTCATTCATGAAAGAAACTGGAAATGATGGATTCGATGAGAGACGACTTACTGGGCTCAAAGGTGAGTCCGGAAAGAGCAGCGAGTTTTTTTCCGACTTTCTTCAGCTTCTTCATAGCGACCCTAAATAATTAGATTTTTTGAACGAAGTCTGTTTCAAAACTACTTTTTTTTGTTTTTTTAAATCTCATCTCACTTTTCTCTGTTTGCTAATAGATCCTTTAAAAAGACGATTTCATCATGATAACAAAACTTGAATTTAAAAAGTTTTCAAAGGAAAATGTAAGTGAGATCTTTGCATTTTTCTAAAAGAAAAACCTTTTTTCGGAGCCAAATGTGAGATTCAGGAAGGACGAAGACAACGATGGCGAGAGTGAGGCAGGAGATGACCGCCGAGACGTAGGACGACATGCGCCATTCCAAAGTCAGAAGACAGACCAACGTCAGCATCGTGCGAGCATTCGCCTGCACCGCAAAACGAGTTCCAGCAACGGAAACACAAGAACCGACCCAGTTACTGAAGGTTCGCAGCTTGAAACGCTGGTGAGGTGAGACCAACTCCGAGAAATACGCCCATCCGACGATCATGGTGCCTGAACCAGAGATAAAAGAAGGTCTGGTAGAATATCTGACCAGCGATTCCGATTCCAGTGACGGCGCGAAGGAAGTAGAAGGCAGCGATGCTGTTGAAAGAAGCTGCGAGAAAATCATTCAAGGGAAAACGAAACAAGGCTACCGGAGAGAGCGAGGGCAGGGATTCCGACGAGCATCGAGAAGATGAAAGTCTTGCGACGGCCCATTCGGTCGGCCACGTATCCCAGAATGATGTTCCCGATCAACACTCCCACGTACTGAGCGAACGCCGGACGGAAGCTGAACTGACAGCATTGAGAAGTTTTTCAATATCTGATTAATCGACCGCAGATACTTTTTTTTTCAAGTATTCAAAAATCTCTCTCTCTCAATTAGACATATAGAAATTCAGTCGCACTTTCGTTGATAAAAAAAAAAGATGAAAACGAGCCTAAATATTAATATCATTTCGATACAATACTTAACAACTTGAAAAGTTTTTATCTAGGATTGAACCTTTGAATTTCGTTGCAAATCTGGAACTCTACGTTCAGAAAATTACTAAATTTTTTCTGATATTGAAAGGTTATAGAGATTTCAGTTAAACTTCTCTGGGTTCAATTCTCCCGCCTCCTTTTTTCTTCCTTCATGTTTTTGTCCTGCCACAAAAGACAAAATTAGGCGCACACGTTTTGCGCTTTTCGGGTTTAGGCTGAGTTGGAAAAAAAGGGTTTCGTTAACTTTTTCTCTATTCTCGCTTTACAATCCTACTTTAATCATAATTTTCAAATAAGTTTCCGGGCGAAATTCGAAAAAGTTCCGTAAAAAACTCTCATTTATTGAAATAACTACTGCTTCAGGCAAATTATGCCGTGTTTAAAGTTATTTAGCGAAATCCAAAAATATCCGTCCGCAAAAAAAGAAAAAAAGGTAACTGAGTTTCGGAAAGTCAGAGATGATATTGCATTTCGCGGAATTTACTTGGAACACGGCATTACATCAGATAAATAGATGAAACAAATAATTTCTTGTGTTTTATTCTCAATTTTTTAAGTCTTTCTTCTGACTATTGTTTTTTTTTCCACTTTACAGCAACTCACTCTTTCCAACCAGGACGGCAATAAATATTAAACTCCATTGCGGCTGACTGATAGTAGGATTGAGAGTACTTCGCGACGCAATCCGTCTAAAAGTGAGTTTTGATTAAAAAAATTAAAAATAATTTTTCGAAAATTCAGAGATTTTTGCATTCAGTTGACGAACCATGTTCTGTCCAATGAGACCAGCACAAAGGTCCTCGCAATCGGGGCATTCCATGCACTTGCTTTTAGGAACAACATAACAGCGCTCGCCTGTAAACAACTGCCTTAATGACGAACGTGCGAGGAAAAATATCATTTTCTGTGGTAAAACATCTTTCAAAAAGCACAAACCGACGCAGGTCGTTTTAGGCGTGTAGTTGAGGAAAATGGGGAAAAGTTGTTGGATTGAGAAGAAGTGGCACATTTGATACGTGAATAGTACCAACATGTCCACGCGGTAGACGCCTAAAAATTTCCATTAAGATTCTCACTCCAGGAAAAAAAAACTATACCTGGTTTTAGGAGCTGCATGGCGAACTATGCGAAAAACCTCTTCCCTTCCTAAATAACTTATAATTGAATAAAAAGAAAATTTTAAATAAAAAACGTCGTATGAATAGCTATAAATGACAAGTGAAATAATTAAAAGGAAAGAAAAACTGAGTGATTTTTTATTTGTAGGTCAGTTTCCAAACAGACGCAGAAAAGAAATGCGAAAATGGTGTCAACAACATTGATATCTGCAAAAATATCGAACAGCAAGGTAGGGGAGCGAAGGAAAAGAAGGAAAAAAAAGCGAAGGGGCGGTCTGAGCCCCGATGATGCAAGTTGAGAGTTTGCTGCAAACCGGCGTTTTGAACCTTTGGCCAAATTTTTTCACGCGGAAATGAAAGAAAGAGATCACTGCACCCGAGTGTTGAACGCAAACAGGTGAACTAAAAATCAGAAACCTCTCTACTTTTTTTTTAAATAAGAAAACATTCTTAAAATTGATGCATGAAGATATCCAATGCAGCATAGCTTAGTTTTTAAAAAAACAGTGAAATTAAAAAAATGTATTCCTAGAAAAAAACCAAGGCACCTATAGGTGGGTACCTAGGTACCCAAAAAAACATTGAAATACCAAAAAAACGTGTTAAGAATTTTTTTACTTAAGAATATTTTTCATAAGGCCGAAATCAAGTTCGTGCATTTGAGAAACAGTTATTAACAAATAATGAAACATATTTTCCAGAAATAAAAGGGTGTATATAGTCTGAAAATGAAAAACCTAGAAAAGAAAAGTGAAAACATTCGTTTTCAAAAATAGAGTGTGCATGGAGTGTGCTCCATAGAGATTTTTTTCCCGCCCTTTCCATATTCAAACTCGGACCTTCGTAACGCGGACCAGGCGCGAATCAGATGTTTCGGGTATTACTAGTGACTACTTGAAAGTGCAGACGTCACTAAAGTAGTCACTAGGAATGTCCCGAGACGTACAATTCGCGTTCGTTACTAAGGTCCGAGAAATAGAAATTTGTATTTCTGCCGGTATTTCCAATACTTTTTTCGCGAAAACCACAGCAAACCACTTTTGAACGTAAAAATAAAATTGAATCTTTTCTTTGAATCTTGAAAACGAATAAAAGGGTAAAGTGATGCATTAGCGCGGAAACTTTGAAACGTGGCCTGCGATAAAATTGAGGAATGATCTCTACATGAGATTGAAACGATATAAAGCTTTATAAAGCACTCAAGATTACAAATAGATTTTACTTATCTTTACTTCAAAAACTCTTATCTGTGAAAAAGATTTATAGCTATATTGATAGCTATAATAAAATATGTTTTTTTTATAACTTAAAAAAATGAATTTATTTTTCAAAAGATTTTTGATGAGGAAGAATCGAATAAGAAAATGGTAAAAGGACGAAATGACGTAGGTTGACAAGAAAAGCTGGCATATGCGTGACGTTCGGTTGAATCCCGCCGTTTGCCGTAGCCGTCTGGCTGGCTCCGCGGCTTCCTCTTATCCCTCGTCAATTGATCGTTGCTCTTCTCGGCCGTCTTTTTTTGCGCACTCTCTATTCACCAAAAAAAATCTCCAAATAAATACACCACAAACAAAAGAAACGAAACGGACCCACAAACATTTTTGAACTTACGGTTTTGAAAACGGAAAAAAATTTGAGAAAATAACTATAACTCACAAAACTTGGTTCATAATTTCCGTGGTACCAAGGTCACTTCGGCAATTTTGAACCAAAAATGAAGCGTTTTCAAGGACTCTACTCGCAACAACCCTTCACGCATAGTTGGAAACCTCAAATTTCAGCTGAGGCGACAGCCGCTTGTCCGTAGGACTTGCCGAGCGACCGATGGGGTTTCTTTTCTTCTTTCAAACTATAGATTTGGAGTGAATAACATCAAGCACAGTTTACGTTGTGCCTGCGTCGAAAGTTCGAAAATCCTTGTAGCCCCTTTCAATTTGATAAAAAACTTTAAAAAATTTTGAAAATTCTTTGAACGAAAATAACCGCGTATGATGCCCAGAAGTTAACTTTGTTGATGCAGATAGGTCAAATCGGTCAGGGCTTTACAAAAAAATATAAATAAAAGTTTCCAAAAAACTAGAAGTTTAGTAACCATGAATAAAAAATGTGAGAAGCTGACGTTATTGTTTGTTAAATGTTTATTTGATGAGTGGAATGCAAAAAGAAGAGATCTAGTGGGATTTGTACCAACTGTTGCGGAGGCCGCCGACGTCGTCGAACCAGGCGATGTAGCCACAAGAAGCCTTGCCGCGCAGACTCCACATCCGCAGCTCGTCACAGTTTTCCCCTTCTTGATATAATAATAATAATTGTTTGAAACGTTTCTCTCTTCTCTCACCTATCATTGTGAAGTTGTGCGCTTTGAACGTGGGACTGTTCACTGAGCAATCGAGGCGTCCGCAGCGCCCGACGGTGGAGTCGTACCTGGGGGAAAGGGGTTCTGGAATGAGGTGAAGCCTGGAGGAACCTGCAGTAGAAGTTGAATGCGTCTTCTGAGCCCATCCATCTGCCGGACCACGTGCAGTCCACAGGATCGCTCCTTCAAAATATTCAAACACATGGAAAAGCGACCAAGTTTCTGGTTGATCCTCAAAAAAGGATCATAATTCGAATGAAATGCACGATAAAATTGAAAATGAACGAATGGTGCTGTCTTTCCCTTTCACAGGTGTATATTCCCAATTTTTATAAATTTTTTTTTCTAAAATATTTTCCAAGTTTATTCCCAAAGAATGAGCAAAACTTAAAAAAAGTTTCAGATTTCGGAGAAAGAGTTAAAATGAAGAAAACTCAAAAATCACTTGCAGCAGAACTTCTTGGTCAGTTGATAGCCAAACAGCTTGAGACAGGGTTCTCCGAAACTGGCGTCCGGAGGACAGGACGCCCCATTGAGGCATCTGGAACAGAGGATGTTTCAGAAAAGAGAGACTGAACGACCTGCCGCTGTGCTGACGGATGAGGTCGTAGTCCGAGGGACACGTCTCCAGACACAGAGGCGCGTCTCCGAACCAACGACAGCCCCCTGTCTTCGCCTGAGGAACCACTGTTGGCAGCAGCCTGAAAGCTTTGATCCTTTATGAATCTTCACACCGAAAAAACTGAACTGCTCCCTTTAGCTTTGACAGGTATCGAAATTTCATATTTCATAATCTACGCAAAGTTTTCTTCCTCTGTTAAAGTGGAAGGCTTGAATTTCAGACTTTTTTTTGGAAGCGAAACCTACGAGTGGGTCAAAAGTCGATCCGAAATAAATACTTTGATTGGAAGCTGAAGACCGAACTATCGGTCTTTGCCCCTAAAAAAGTGACACTCGCACGAACAAACAATCGAATCACGATCAAAAGTATTAGAGATACACCGCTTTCCTGTTTCACAGCTGTTCTGAATTTGATATCGCCCATTGGATGAAACGAAAAAACTCTACATCGACAAAAAAAAGTTGTAATGACAGGAACAATCGAAAGTCATGAATTTCAGCACGAGAGAAAAAAAAATTTGTATTGTCAAACTGTATTTGAAGATCTCTCATAGGGAAATGTAAGAAATCTTGCGTTCAACTTCTGAGAAAATCGGACTTCAATGCCAAACTTTTGTCAATTGCTGAACTGATAACATTGTTTAGGTATTTTGAAATTCAACTTTTAATGTGAAATATTTTTGAAAAACAATTCATTTTCAGCATTTTTTTCTGCCTATGAACATTTACACTACAAAGAACTTAAGACTAGCGACTTTCGAAAAAAATTATCTAAAACGAAGATTGTCTCATCATCAGTAAACTTTTTCGTTGATATTTCTTTTTGTTTGAAAAGAAAGTCAACCAAATCACTGTTTTTTTGTTGTTTTTTTTTCTTATTCTAGAAATGAAATTCAATCAATCTTTCTACAGGAAACTTGGAATAAATCTCTTTAAAGAAAAACAGTAAACTAAAAATTGACAAAAGAATACCCGATGAGGTCGGCGATGGCTTCTGGAGCGATGGTTTGTTCCGTGGAAACGGCAGCCGAGGAGCTTCGCGGCCACAGAAGCAGCAGAAGCCAAGGCATCCTGCAGTCGTTTTCCGCGAAACTGCTTGGACGTGCGTGTACCGAAGGAATCGACGGCTTTTCGGAAAGACGAGACCAAGGCCCCGCAGTCCTTCGTAAACATCGGCGCTTTTCCTACCCGCTACTTTTTTTTGCACTTTGCTAACCCATTTACATACTTTTTTATCGCACAAAAACATTTTCAGCGAAATTTAGCGAGGAAAATGACGTCCACGCCGACATCTGTTGTTTCCAGCGTGGAAAGTAAAGCTTGATGGAGAATCAAACACAGAAGATTTGCCAAGTGAAAAAAGTTTGATGAACAGGCCGTATAAAGCAATCTATGTTTCGTTGAAAAGTATCACATTTGTAATAATGGAATCTCGGAAAGCTGAGCTGAAAAAAACAGACGCCAATATGGCCTCAAAACGAATCGATAATTTTAACAAGCAATCAGGCTTCTCAAATCATATACAGTAAGTTATAGGACAACCAAAAATTATGGGAATATTTGATAGGAATAGAAAAGCTACGTCGTAACTAAAAATTCAAAAGTTATGTGCGTCGGATGAGTTTTTCCTTAATTGGAAAAAAGAAAAGCAAAACTTCATTTGAAATATTGAAAAAACGACAAAAACTCACCCAACTTCTAGAAAAAAGAGCACAAGATGAAATTCATGGCGCTTAAAACATAACAAAGAATTATGGAACTGTCGCGGAAGCGCGATTTGACGAAGAATGAACTGTGGAAAGTCGTGGATAAGGCGACGTACTCGCAATTTGAGCAACCCGTGAGAACCGTCGAAATCGAGAGAAGTCATGCAAATTGATTCACATCCAAAATTCAGGAAACAGGTAAAAACTCTTATGCACCGGCAAATTCTAAAACGAAAGATGATGGGCGGGGGACTCGAAAGCACAGAAATCAAATCGACTACATTTGGGCTATGTTTAACTATCTTGCAGAAAAAAAATCATTTGCTTTTCGGAAAATTAGCCAAGTGGTCGAAATGAACAATGGATTATGTGACATGATACGACTATATAACACAACGAATTAAAAATTAATTATAAACACAACGAGTAAAACTTCAGCGAGGGATTCAAAAAAAAAAAAAGATGAAAAGGAGAAATGAAGAAACTTTTACAAAGGTCGTGGCGGCGCCGACTGATTGTCGCGGCTGCGGACTGGCGAAGTGAGATTCTTCGATTTTAACGTCATTGACGACAGAGATGGCGGCAGCTCCCTGTTTCGAATGCCATTCACCTAAAAATGGCAAATCTGAGATAAAAAAGAGAATAATAATAATATTTATTTCGTTTTTTGGGAAGTATAAGAAACCTCGTTAAGCGGACTAGGCGAAGGCAAAACGGTCTCGGTCTGCAGCTCACCAACACGATGAGTCCTAATTTTCCTCCGCAATTCTTCCACCTCCAATCTCTGCTGCTCGAGCAATTCGTGCTGTTGAGCACGGTGTCTGAAAATCTCAGTTTTTGAGAGAAGACAATTTTTTTAAAAGTCCAATAAAACTTCTTTCTTGCTTTTCGCAGACAGTTTTCAGACTTGAAGGAACTTTAAAAGACAGTCTTACAGGTAAAAAAGAAGATGGAATTAGATGAGTTTTGAAATTTCAAAACCTTGAACTTTTCAAAAAATGAAAAACTTGACCGTTTGGAGTTCGATCATAATATCAACATAATTCTTAAAAATGATATAATTTCACTCCCTTTGGCTAGAACACATTTTAGAAGCACTCGATGAAAATATAAGAATTCGTAGCATGTGAACCAAATAGAAATCTTCGACTTCTATCTTGTCACTGATTCATGAAGGAAAAAAACTAGTTGAATTCATGGTCTGACTCACCTTTTCAGTAGTTCAAACACCTCGGGATCCTCATCTTCCATGTCCATCTGGTCCTGAACAAATCCAAATAGAGAAAAAAAAACCTTTACGACTTTTAAAAAGCCAGACAACAACAACAAAATACTCTACTTCATCACAAACTAAGAAGCGACTAAATGAGAAGGGGAAGGAGGTGAATGACTCGAGGAAAGCTGAGCCACGGTTAGATGGGCCAGCCAACCTGAGACTGAAGGAGCACCTTGAAATCAAATTCGCATTCCGACGGGAGGGGACTGACGGCTGGAGGCGTTCCGATGCTGAACGAGGCGACTGTGACGGCCTCGTCTCGGGACGGCGGCGCGTTGGCTCCGCCCCGAAGACACGTCCCGAGGGTCGACGACAACGCCGTCTCGAGATTCTCAAAGGTGGCCAGGTTGCTGGCCGTCGACTTGCGCGTCAGCCTCGACACCAGCTCTGGACCCGTCCGCGATGACGTCATCGAGTGCGCATCGCTCTCCGCGACGTCTTCTTCGGCCAGCGACGGCGACGACATCACTTGCGGCGGCATCTAATACAAATCCATTGTGTTTGGGGCCGTTAGCTTTTCTAGACTTTGCAGTATCGCTGGTTTTGGCTATGAAGGCACAATACAACGTAGATCGTACAATCACATGCTCATATGCCGTGTTCAAGGATCACAACAAAAAGTTGAAGCGGTGAAGCGGTAAAACGAAGGCGTATGCATGAAAGAGAGGAACGGTTTTTCAAATGGGGGAAAGAAACTGAAATCCACGCGAAATTCGTGATAGAGAATATTTTTTTGTATGAGAATGAATATGATAGCCTCAAAAAAACATCATATAAAAATTTGAAACACTCTCCAAGGATTTTTTTTATGGGGCTATTTGAAATTCACTGCTAATGGAGGTTATATGAAAGCTTTCAAAATGAGAAAATTTCTTTTTCAACTATTTTCCTTACTTTGAAAAACCGTTCATTCCATTTCACACATTCTGCCTCCAACTTAGATGAAAAACAATTTACCGAGAGCCCTTCCACAGGCTTTTGTTCTTGCACGACTAGATCCACAGGAAGTGGCGTAGGCTCTCTGACATCCTTGTTGATAACCTTGAAACGAGAGTTTCGAGTATCAGTTTCTGATAATCTAACCTTTTCGAGAGCCTTGGCAAGCCCGGGAAGAGTGTCGATGGGTATAGGCTCCTCGATTCCTTTGCTGTCCTCATTCAAACTCGAAACTGTGTTGACTTGAGCTTCTCTGGCTTGTTGCAAAGCTTCCAGTTTCTCATGGAGCCCTCAAAACACATTTTTGTACTATCTGAAAAATTTCGGACAAATAAAACCTGCTAAAGAGCCTTCAACAAAGCTCAAATGGGGAGTTTGAGAGTTGCTCGACTGTTGTCTAGAACTGACAGCCTGAACAAAAAGAAAGGTACAAGGAGACTGAGTTTGGCGAAACCGCAACGACAGGATGAGGAACGACGGCAGCAGGGGCTGTGTGAGGCGCTGTTGAAGAAGAGCCGAGAATAGATGCCGCAGAAACCGCCGGAAGAGAAGCCGCCTCTACAGATGCCGTCGAAACACCGCTCACCTTAATTTTTGCTTAATAAACTCATAAAAAAACATTGATAATACATCGAATAATACTGCTGCAAAAAAAATTACTAATATAATCCGGTCGCAAAAATAAACCAAAATAAGACTAGTACCGGTCCATAGAAAAGTGTTATCTCAAAGAACAAAGAAATTTTCAAAAATTCTGAGTATGATAATGGTTATCCTAGTCTCATTTATTAATACCATTTTTTTAATGAAACCCTTTTTTTAAGTTCAAAACTGGTAAATTCAAAATAAAATTCAAAATAGGCACATTTTTTGGGGTAACTCGAATTTCATAAAGATTGAAAAAAACCAGAAGAAAAAAAGGGATGAAAAAACTATAACTGGGTGTTATGACATACAAAAAAATGCTTCAAACTTCGACGCACTTTTCTCAGTTCAGACTCCAGTTGTATTAGAGGATCCTCAGTCGAAATCGTATACTCTGATGGAGCAGCATGCGTTGTCGTTGGAATGGAATTTATCATCTGATAATGAAAAGTTGGGGACTTGCATCGATTCAAGTTGGAGAACCTGAGAATGAGGAATCGAGCCGGATTTGCTGTTGAGGACGGTGGAAGAGGATTCCATGGGAGTCGAGGTGGTGGCCGTGTCGTTCTCGGGAAGAGGAGTCGTGATAGAAGACGCGATGCCCGACTCGGCTTGAGACAACGCCACCGGTTGCACCTGAGATCGTCGTTTTTTCCCGTTTTATTCACTCTTTTTTTGAATTTTGGAGATTAAAATTTTTTTCACGCATTTGGTGAGGATTTTTTTTTACAATGTTTTCGAGGGGTGTTTACAAAACGGTCCAGTTAATAAAAAAGGCTATGAACTTGAACAACGTATACTTCTGAAAATACTGACTTTTCCCTAAGAAGAACAACGAATATAACAAAAATAAAATTCTAAAAATCGAAGATTGTTAACTCTTTTTCTCAGTTAACGCCCTCCTCATTTGAACGAAAAAACTGAAATTGGAGAACAAAGTTTTTGAAGGGAGTTTCTAAAAAAGATGAATGACGTAACTGATGAGCTTCGTGTTATATAAAGAGACGAGATACCTTGAAACGACGGCCAACACTCGCCGTGCTGTTCACCGACGACGTATTGGAGTGCGTGGTGGCGGAGGGAGAACTGCAGCTCGAGAGAGAGTTGGCGACAGGCGACGGCGTCGTCAGATGGTTCGCTGGATGAGCCGGATCGGCCAGGGGCGCCGGCGGCAGCGTCGGCGCCACATTCGTCGCTAGGACCTCCGACGATGGGGTGACCTGCAGAAAAAAGAATTTTTTTGAAGGATTAGTCAACATGGAAGTCCGGAAACGAACCTGAAATCGCGAAGGTTTGGCTGCGGGAGCCGTCGGAGGCGGAACAACCGGCGTCGAAGGAGCTGCAGGAGTCGCCGACTCTACTTTCACGGTTATCGGAGGCACGGATGGAGGCAAAGATGGAGGCGGTTTCTGAAAGTATCTGGTAAAGTCGCTGGTAAATTTTATCGCATGATCTCAGGGTTCGCTCTAATCTATATTCTCCGTTTCAACTCCGGTTTTTTCTTTGACAGGTGTGGTGAAAAGGTAAAAGAAAAAACTCACAAAATAGCTTAATTATTCAGTTTATAGAGCTAATTTTTCAAAAAGAGCCTCTTAACGGGTTTTTTTGACCGTGAATAACAAGAGAAAAATGGGGAAAAAATATAAAAAACTGAAGAATAATTATCGATTAAAATGTTTACCAGATCGTTGGATGGCTTTGGAGAAGTCGTACGCACCGTTGTCTGTTTTATTGGCGACGCGAAAGGGCTCTGGAAATTATACATTGTGTAAAAGCTATAGTTGCGTCAGAAAAAAGGAAGTTTGGGATCAAAAACTCGTTTTTTCTTATCCTTTCTGACGCATTTTTGATTCAATGGAGTACAACAGCCTGAAATAGAAACCAACATTGCGCTGAGAATCACTGGTGGAGACGTGCAGAGGAACGTCGGACGGAAGAGGAGTTTGAGGCGAAGAAGAAGGAAACGAGACGACCATCGTCGGGTTCGGCACGTCCACCAGTGTCGTCAATCTCATCGAAATTATTTCGGCTGGACTTTTTGCCTTCACGACCTGCAAACCTCAGACTTTTTAGTTGAATTAAGTTCCCTTTGATAAATCACTCATGATCACCTTTAACTTTAATGCTTTTTTATTTTTTCTTCTCAAGGTTTCTTTATCGACTCACCTTAATAACAAAGTCCAGTTGGTCTTCGACGATGCCAGTGTGTGAAGAAGCGAGGCATCCCTCCGCCAACTGAAATGTATTCGTTAAAAAACCCTTTTCTGGAAAAAAAAAACATACCAGTTTATCGGAAATGATGGAAGGTTTGTCGGAATCTGGGGCAAATTGGAATGTCACCGTTTTGTGAGCAGTGTCGAGTTTGCAAGAAACCAACTGAAAATTGATTCTATTGGAAAAATAGAAAAATATAAAAAGAGCAAGACGACGGACCATAGGTGGGTTGGAGATGTCGACGTTGAGAACCTCGAGGACTATTCGTTTTTTGGCCTTCTTTTTTTCATCCGTTATCGAATTCGAAGAATGCGGTCCATTTGTTGGCGTGACGCTCAGACCACCGCCCGTTTCAGTGGACAGACTCCGCGGAACACAGTCAGCGAACGACGTCGGCGAGGTTATGTCCAACGGCTTTTCAGGAGCCGGAGGCGGCGTCGGCACAGCAACATTCGCAGCAACACTCGCAGGAGCAGCCGCAGCAGATGTCGCAGGAACGGTTTCAGCAAGACTAGCAGTCGCTGTCGCAACTGGAGAGCTAGTCTTTTGGGACACAGGGGTCTCCTCAACTTTTTCGTGTACGACAGGTGCGACCTGAACACCGGAGTCAGAACTTGGAGCTGAGGCCAAAGAGACCGGAGCCACAGGTGTCGGTTCATTCACAGTGACAGAGATCGAAGGCGGCTGTTCGACGATCGTGGTGGTGGTACTTGAGGCCGGAGAGACTGTAGTCAGGTCAGGAGCGGTCGAGACCGAGGGAACGGTGGGCGGAGTTTGCAAGGTTACTGTTGAAGTGGTCGCTGGAGTAGTCAGAGAAGCAGTCGAGGCGGCATTCTGAAATAATGAAGCTTGGAAATTGTCTCAAGGATTTCACTAGTGCTTCAATCCTAAGTACTCTGACTGGCCTGCTTCGCTCCAGGAGACGTTTTCAGACAATCCAATCTTCATATTTCCTTTCCCACTTGTTCAAGAAACTCATGTAACATTTTAAAAAACTTTGAACCTACTATATTCAAAAATGCTGCAACGGAGAAAACGTTGAAATTCGAACCTAGATGATGAAAAAAAGATAATGAAATCGAAAAATTATGCGAGAGTCTCTAGATAAATTTTTTTGAATAAATCAAGTTTTTCAACTCGCTTTTTGAAAGAGCCACCCTTTCAAAAATGAATTATTTCTGGATTTGAGACCTCCCTACCTCGAGATTGACCTTCTCCAGTCTGACTTTCTCCTTGAGTTCGGCGCGGGCCTTCAGTTCTTCTTTAATTTCCTGCTCCTCTCGCAATCGGTCTTCCTCTTCCTTCTGCCGCTTGATTTCCAACTGCCGGAACTCTCGGTCTCTCTTGAACGCCTCCACCTTGTCTTTGATGAGTTTCGTGATCATCTTCGTGTCCTCATCGGGAATGTGTTGCTGTTCAATCATCTGCTGGACCACCTGCAAACAAGAATGAATAAAAGTCAAGAAAAACCTTTTTTTGTTTGAGTTGATTTCGTTCAATAGTTTGATGAAATTTCGAAATTCCAGAGATTCAAACCACATAATCATTGAAAAAAATGTATTCGATTCTGACTTTTTAGAAATAAGTTGGGTATTTCTTTTCATACAACCTTCATTCTTTAGTCTAAAGAACTTGAACAGCGCTATTCTAATGTTACTAGAAGAAAAAAAGAAGAGAACCTCCTCGGCGGTGTCGTTCTCAATGTCGAAGGCGAATTGCAATCCTTCGTTCTCTTTGAACCGATATTGCTTTCTTTTTTTCTCGTCATAAACCCGTAGTTGCATTTGAATCTGAAAGAAGATCGGGTAGAAGGAAAAAGAATAAAGACTGAAGACCTCGACGTTCATGTCAGACAAATCGACGTCTCGATTCTTGATTTCCACCCGAATGCCAACCAACTCCTCAGGAGTGAAAAAATCGTCGGCCAGTAACTGTTTGACAGTACTGCGCTCGTCCCGTCGCAATCTCAACAATGCAAAAATCATTCCAGCCTTTAATCTCAAGAGTTACCGTATACACCTATCAATAATCTCTTTGATTTCCGGGTATTGCTGTGGAATTCTATTGAAACATTCTGGTTTGACACCCTGGAAAAAAAACAGAATATTCTCAATTTCAGATGTATTTCTGACCGTTGTCACTTTTCGATAAATTTGAGCAGGGAACTGGCATTCCGAGTAGGGATATTCCCCAGTTACCATCTCTAGAAGACACATCCCGAAGGCGTAGACGTCCACAGACTCGTCGTACTGTTCCTCGTACATTTCTGGAGCCATGAACTCCGGAGTTCCTGAAAAAAAGAGAAATTTTTTTCAAGCTCTTAATATTAATTTTTAATGGTCCACATCACTAGTAAAAGGTTGAAAAGTTAGCTTTGAAGAAATATGACTTTTTTTAACATTGGACAATTTTTCGTGTATTTCTCCGTCTTTTTCATATTAATCCCTGTCACTCCATATGATTCTCTTTTTTCCGTTTCCGTTTTCAGAAACATGTGGAAAAATAATGGGAAAGTTTGGTCAAAAAAACGGTGAAATGAAAGAGTCTCCTACGTCTTTTTTTTCCAAACGAAGCGAGCTAGTGGCAAAAATAATTTCACACTGCTAACTTTTTCTCGTTTTTGTTCTAATCTAAACAAAATAGTTTTCAAATTTTTTATAACTTTTTCCATGCCTGAAAACGTTTTTTGCTTTCTTTCTTTTTTATTGTTCCCGTCAAGAGCAAGCTATAGACAAAAAATGGTCAGAGCATCATTTTTGTTTTCTAAAGTTTCCGGAGTGTTGCCAAACATAAAAAAACTCTAACCGATGACACTTTTGGCGAAAGACTTGTTTTTGAGAGTGGCGAGGCCGAGGTCGCCGATTTTGACGCTGCCGGTGGTTCCCGTGATAAAGATGTTGTCGCATTTGAGGTCCCGATGAATCACCGGGGGATTCCGGGAATGCAGGAACGACAGCCCTTTCAGGATCTGTCGACACCACGATTTGAGCACCTTGATGTTGATCCTTTTGAATCGCTTCAGGTACATCTTCAGCGTTCCCGACGTCATCAGTTCCGTTACTAGCACAATGTACCTCAAATTCCAACATTTTCCACGGAATTTTTCGATAAAGATATGTCCACTTTTCGCGCTGGTATTTTCATTGTTATAACTGCCTTATAAGTTTAAAAAAAAGTTTGAAAAAAGGTCTGCGAAAAAAATCAGGACCCTCTACGAATTTTTTAAAGGGTACAAAACATTATATTAAACTCCAGCCCCATATATTACTACCTCAGTGGAAATCCGAAAGCAGGAAAACTAACTTTCTTTTGCCGGAAATATCTGCACTTTCCCAGTAATCGTAGAATCTGACAATGTTGGGATGTTGTAGGTCTTTCAACATTTCGGCCTCTTCTCTGAAACGTTGTCGCTCGGCCTGAAACAAGAAATACAAAGTTTCTCAAGATATTCTCGAAGATACCTTGTTTAGTTTGCTCTCCTGAAGCTCGCACCAAGCGACCGCCACTCCTGTTTCGGTGTCCAGTCCACGGAAAACAGTCTTGAAAGATCCTCGACCAAGTTCTTCATCGAACTTCAGAAACCGCCCATCTTAAAAGACTCATCTTTTTTTCTTTTATTTTTCAAAACAAACTTTTGCTTTTATCGATGGGTTTTTCCTGTGCGTCATAGTCGTCTTCGATGTCAATTCGACGAGCCGCTTTCTCTTCCTAAACGCCAGATTTTTTTTTGGGTTTTCAAAACTCACAGACGGTCATAAGAAAATAAAAAGAATATCGAAAAGACTATAGAACACAAAAATTCCATGGATATGTAGTTTTGCATTGGAAATAAGACTCAACAGACCTCTTCGCGCTTCTCCTGCTCCTTGCGCGCCTTCTCCTCGTCGCTGATCTTCTCGACGTCGTTGGCCTGTTCGTTGCCGCCGGCGAGCCGTTCGCGTTCTTTCTCCCGCTCGGCCGCCGCCAAGTCTCCTGGCTGCGGCGTCGGTTTGCTCGTCAGTCTGTGACGCGACCCAATATCCAGCGACACGGAAAGTCATACCGGCTGCGATCGAAGATGCTCGCCGCCGGCGGATGGACTGCCGCAGTCGAGAGAGTCGGACCGCTTATCAGCTTCCATTTGGCGAGGGCGTCGCTGGCGTTCTCCGGCTCGGAAGAGTTGTCTGAAGTTTGGCTCGGCGTCTCGTCATCCACACGACGAGTTCTGATACTCCACTGCAAAAATTCAGAATGAAAGTGGTATCTTAAACGGAATTTCAGCCTTTTGGAACTATAATGAGTCAGTATTTCATGAAAAAAGAGGATTTCATTACATTTTTATAAAGTGATAGAGTAGGATAAGTAAGAGCCTTATTTTGAAGATATATGTTTCACCGTTAAAATTTGAGAGAAAATAGCAAATGGAATGAGAAAAACGTACTCTGTTCTTGTTGGTGGGCCTGCTTTGCCGCCAATCCCGCTGGACAGCCTCGAGGCGAGACCGTTCTTCCCCGGAAAGCCAGTGTTGTCCTAGTCTAAATCTCCAAATTGGAAGAAAAAATACGAGACAAATAGATTTAGACTTTATTCCCTTAAATGATAGAAGTAACGTGGAGCAACCCAACTAGCCTTTTTCTGTCAGAGCGAGGCTGAAAAGCCCGAGCTGCGAGGAGCAACTCGCTGGTCACTGGGAAATCCAGTTCTGTCGTCTGATCTTACCAGAAACCACAATATTTCAACGAAACGAATAAAAATAGTTCTGATATACAAAAATAAAACAGTCGAGTCTCGCTCAGTTATTCCCAACCAGTCAAATTCGGAATGCAAATGGGGATTAACGGAACTGTACGCCGAATAATCACTGGCACATGATTCTCTCCTGCCAAAGAGTCCTCTGCTGTTATTTCACCTCGTCTATTTTTTCCTCCCAAACTCCAAAAAACACCCGAAAAACAAAAGTCCACCATTGAATACGTCTACAGGTTCCTTATTTGGTCAGAAGTGAGTTTTTTTTTTACTGAGCCTTTAATGATCGGCGAAAATTTCTCTTGAAACATTTTCCTGCTTTAAAATTTTTTTTTACTTCACTTTCGTTCAAATTTTAAGAATTTCTCAATATAGATACGTTGATTCGACTTGATCGGTCGCTTATAAATCAAGTGAATTGAATTTTTTGCTTATTCTTCTTCTTTGAAAAATTTGGAATCACTAGCAAGTTTTCAATCTATTTCCCTTTCATCATTCAAAAAAGATAATTCAATAATAAAAAAAAAGAAAAAAATTAAGAAATAAGTGTAAGAATGAGTGCTCACCCATGGAGAGAATCTGCAGGTGGATGAAGTTCGTCGACTTTTTTGATGGCTCGCCGAGCGGCGCGTTTTTTCTCGATACTTGCGGCAGTGCCGTTCATCGGCGGCACTGGGGGTCGCCCTCCACTCGACAACGTCTGGAAATCCTTTGATATTGCGAGAATACTCGAGCCGATAGTATTCAAAAGGTACCTCGGGCATACAGATACAATTCTGGAGACGGCCACTCAAAACGAGCTTCACTGCCGATACTGCGTCGACGGTACAATTTTTGTTATATGATGAGTGTCGATATTAACATCGTAATATAACACCTTTTGAAGAAATGAAGAATAACGTACACGTGTGAGGAATTCTGAATTAAATATTCTTCAAATAAGAACACGAGATAAAAATTATTCTTCCGAATAGTTGAGCGGAGTAATAAACTTCTGTCGGAAAAACAACTGAAGGAAGAAGATTTTCTTTTTTTGGATTCTTCGAATCGGCAAAAATTCAGAAAGTTAAAGACTTCGTGAATTCTTTATGTTTCCTATTTTGAAACAAAAACAAAAAAACTCCTTGATGAAAATTCCCACTTGATGAAAAATCTTCCTTTTTAAATAATTAATTTCTAAATATCATTGAAAAGATGATGGTTAGTGTAACTTTTTGACGTTCTTGAAATATGCAACAGTATTGAGAATCAGGGAACAATGCTCAAAAGAAAAAAATTTTAAAAAAATTCCGAAAAACCCAATGAAAACACATTTTAACTACGCTTCTCCATCGAACGCGCCTTCAAAACTAGGAAAAAAAAAGCTTTTAGCAAGGAATCTTTTTTAAATTCCTGATTACAAACCGCAATAAGTGCTTTTTGAGTGTAAGTTGTGACCATTGTTTGCCGAAATTCACAATTCTCATTTCATCTTATCGACAAATTTTGAAAACGAATAGCAAAAGCTGAACCAGATTGTTGGGCTCGAGCAAATTAACATAAAACGAGAGCTTCTCGGAGGAACTGGGAAAGGCGCAGTGGTTCTCGAGGAAGGCGGCCTCTCTGCGTCTCTGCCCGACCATCTCCGCGTTGGAAGCCATCTCTCGTCTTTCGAGCTCTGCCACAAGGCCTTTTCTCTGTCGCACCCTCTGATCAATCCACCTGCGTTAAACAGCGCCGCGTCCGAACGACTATGACGCGAGCGCATGCTGCAGTGCAACATTCAGTGCGTTTTACCAAAGTACGACAGTATGAAAATTGCAAAATCTATACGACATAAGACAAAAAAAAGAAATTTTTTAATTGAGAAAATAAAAAGATTGTCGTCAATCATTACGTCAGATACGCAAGCATCATATTTGACGCTATAAAGTTAAAAAGAGGATTTTTTTAGATACTGAAGTCATATGAATAATTATACTTTACACAATATTTATTAAATAAAAATTTTTGAGTTTGTCCTGTGAATTTCTCCGCATCGAATGCTCAAAGACAAATAACAGTTTAGGTGAAAAAAACATTATAAAAAAACTAATCTAGGATAAATCTTTCAAGCTCCATTTTTTTCAAAAATTTTTCGCAGAAAAATACTTTTTTTAAAAGATTTTGTATATATCAAAAAAATGAAGCTTTTTCTTCCATATTCCTGGACAAAGTTTCAATGAACAGAAAAATATGGGAAAAATAAAGGCTATAAGAAACCAAGGAAAGAAGATATTAAACGATTGAAAAAAATGGTTTTTTTGCAAGTTTCGAAGTAGTAGTTTTTTTCTTACAAACGAACGAGTAATGACACTCAAACGGAAAAGGCTTGAAATTTTTTTTTTTTTTGTCAATCTCGCGAAAAATGAATAAACTATTCGGACTCTGTTTTAGGAGCAAAAATTTCGCTTCGAAATAATATATATTTATAGAACTGTCTATAAAAATCCCACTAGCAAAAAAATAATTGAAAAACCACGATAAGTTTGAGCCTATTTTCATAAAAAAACATTGAAACCGTTCAAAAAAATGGTCTCGTGGGCTTTGACGACTTTTTAAAAAAAGTTTTTGAGAAATATTTTTCTGAATTTCATGATTTTATTTTGTGACAAGTCATAGATTCCATTCGCCACGAAGCGAAAAAGTATAGTATCTTCATTCAATCATATTTAATTTCATATTGAAAAAAATTAAAAATAAATTGTTCATGTACAGAATTTTCGCTAAATCTTGAAACAATGAGATTTTTTTCACTGCTCTCTCTTCACAGAGACACTATTTTTCTTACGTTTTGTTTCGAGGTTTCTATGAGCTTGCCGATTAGAGAAAAGAGACGCCGACGAGTCAGACTCTCCAATTCGTGGCGAATCCTGTTAGCCAGTCCAAACTTCAAAGAAAAAGCGTCTTCACTACGAATATCAAAGAGGTATGTCTGACTGTTTTTGATCAAGCCTTCCAAAAGTTTCGTATCTTTCAATGAGGATCAGCATTTGAGCCTGAATTCTGTGGGACGTGATGATCCACGGATATCCCGCGGATTATCGGAAAGCGATCAGGTCGCACCGTCAACAAGTGGAGAAATGCTCGAAGCACTGCCGCCTGGCCAACTTGCTCAGCGGCGGCGCAAATGTCCGCGCAGGTGAGACTGGAATATTTTTTGGGAATGGTTCTCGAGTGGGAGTTGCGCAGAAAATGCTTGAAATAACGAACACGTGGAGAGAACCCAAGGAGAAGCGTCAAGTGACATCGCTCTCACATGATTTGAGGTGCCTCGGATCGTTCACATGTTCTGTGTGTATCTGTTTGAGTATACTACACGTGCGGGTCAGTCACACTCTCTCGCAGTCACGTTTTCCAACACTTTCTCGCCGTTTCGCACGCGTTCGAGTCTTTTTTTTAAATGTGAAATGAAGTTGGTTTCAAGCCATTTTTTATTCCGCATTTTTTGCAGTCGCATCTGGCAATTGGCGATGGACTGCGAAAGATTGAGCGAAAGAGAGAGAGAGAGCTCTACAGAAAAAGATTTTTTCTGACAACAAAAAATATTGATTGAAAAACATTTAGTCATTATTAATTATTCAGAAATTAGGACTTGTATTCAGATCAAGATGGGGCAGTTGAAGAGAGATTGCTGTTTGGAAAAAATAGAAATCGGTTCAAAAACTACAAAAAAAAATAACCAAAGCTCTTTCGTTTTCCAATACAACCTTTTCAAGGTTTTAAGCCCTAATTTTTTATTTTTATTTCAAAAAAGTTAATAATCGCGGTAAACGAGCAGGATAAAATTCTAATGAAACAAAAAAAAAGGCGGCAAGTTTCTCAAGTTTGGAATTTCCGGTGAGGCTTCTTTGATCTCCTGCTTCGGAGTCATTCCTTAATCTAAATAATTCGCAGATTTTAATTTCTTTTCGAAAGTTATCTCTTTCATCACAAGATGAAACGTTTCTTGCAACATTTCCGGAGAAAAAAGTTGCAAAACTCTAGTGACAGAAAAATTACAACGAGGCTCCTGGAAAAAAGTTTTATGACTCACTTGTCATTTTTGATTTCCTTCCCGAAATTCCGAACTGTTTAAAAATCAGAGGTGATCTCAAATTCGAAATCTAATGTGTATCAAAATTTCATCCGCCGGACAGATCCTTACTTATCATAATTATTTATTGACAGATCAGCGTGAACTCTAAAGAGTTCACTTCGATCTAGAGTTCGAGAGAATACTTTATACAGTTATACATCATTAGAGTCTTGGAGAAATAGACAAGAAGATCTCGTGCAATGGTAGATTGACCAGTGAATTTTTTCAAAGGTTTCCTTGCAAATAAAATAACTTTTTGTTTCGTTTTAACTTCGATGAACTCTAGTTCTCAGAAGATAATTCTCAATCAAGCGAGAGCGTGACGTCATAATGATTCTCTTCTCTCTCTCAACTTCTGGCCTCCGAACACTCCTGAGGGTAATTGGATGATTGTTTATGAGAGCAAGTGATATCCGCCGCATTATCACTATTCTTCGGATGCCAAAGCCGCTGCTTTTCAATACGTGCTTAAACAGCCTCGAGCCCCGGATAAGCAGTATCGATTCGGCCTCTCGCCTCCTTCCAGAGATCTTCGAACCTTCTGTTTCGTTTTCATTCATTGTTCATGTCGAGCTCAGTGTTCTGGCATTTTTCGCTTTTTTCGGGCTATGTGGTGCGGTTAAACTAAAGCTCCCCGTTAAGTTTTGTTCTGGAATCGGATGAACGGAAAGAATATTCTGCCCGCCTTTTTCCTGATCTTATCGGTCAACTCAAGAAATTTAGGAAGATTCGTTAGGAACAAATTTAGTTGCAAAAGACATTTGACAATTTTGAAGACAGAACAAATCTATAATTTCTCTATTTTCATGAAATTCTTCATAAGATCGCCGCTGATCAACGTTTTTTCACAGCCTTTTTTTCCGTTTGTGGCCGTGGCAAAAATGATCAAAAGTTTACCCGCCGCTGTGGACCTATTTTCTTTCTATCAAATTCTTTGAATCTATACATTTTTTTTTTCTGTTATCTTTTAAACTATCAGCTGTTTTTATTTTGATGTTCTTTCCGTCTCGCAAAAAATTTTTTCAATTATTAAAGTTTTTTATTAAACCAGTACTGGAAAAGAAGACCATGTTTAGTTTTTCGAAACTCAGAAATGCGGGGATCGACGCAGCGACGAGACGTTTGCACCGATCAGACTCCCTACGACTTTGAGAATGAGTACGACACTTGGCGGCTCAAAAAACCCAGACTGAAGTCTCAGCGACTCTCATGAAAAGCCAACAACTTCATCTAGATACGACGTGAGCGTCGATCCTCGCGGCCACGTCTTCTGGATTTGGTCGGCGACTGTCTCCGCGGCCTGCTTCTACAACATGATCCTCTTCTCGCTGTTCGTGTTCGATGACGTGCGCGACTCTTTCGCCCACACCTGGATGTACGTCAACCTGGTCGCCGACGCCGTCTTTCTCTGCGATCTCGCTATCCAATCTCATCTCGGTACGCCTAACTATACGGATGTTATCTGTTCTTTTACTGATAGGTTGATAGACTGGGTTTACTTTGAAAAGAGGCAGGAATCTATATCCTCTACGCGTCTCGATCAAAAGGCTGATCTCTAAATCTAGGAACCCTATGGAAGCATTTAAAAATAGGTTGGCTCAAATTGGTTCATGTTTTAAGTGTGCATCAAATCGCATAAAACGCAAAAAGCATAAAAAAGGTTATCAATTGTCTCACATGTACATTCAAGCTGTTTTGACAAAAGTTAAGAGTGATTTGGCGCAGAAATAAAACTAAAAGAGATCATTACTGAACGGCAGTCTTATGGTAAATTTTCTCAGCGTTCTACGAGCAAGGCGTTTTGGTAACGGATTCAGTTGAAACGCGTCAGAATTACCTGCACAGGTAAATTATGTGAGACCTGCATAATAAACCTCGTTTATAGTTCAAATTTCTTTGTCGATCTGATTTCTATTCTGCCCCTCGACCTGCTTGGCGCCGTGAATGCCAACCCAAGGATCTTCAGGTTCATTCCGATTCAGGCAGAAATATCGGACTTTGGCAGATGCAACCGCTTCCTCAAGGTCTACCGGATAAATCAGTTGATCGACTTGTCCTTCGCACGGATGCAGCAAGTCAGCATTTCCCTGTCCCGCGTCGTCGTCGTCTGTTTCCTTCTTTTCCACTGGAACGCTTGCGTCTTCTTCATCATCAGTGTTAACAGTGACGCTTCACGTTGGAGAGGTTCGATCATTTTCACAACATATTCATCATTCGCTCTGAAAGAATAATCATAAAGTCAAATTTTTTTTCTTCGAAGACATTGTTAAAAATTTGAATCGATAAAAAGAAATCCTCAATAACGAGCATGATAAAAAGCAAGGTTTAAAAAGCAAATTTTGAGTTGGCAAAAGTTTGTTCTTTTATGATTAATTTGTTAAGTCCCTTCAAATTGTTGATCTTTCAGGTTTTAACGCGACGTTCGATGACGATGTGATGCTTCCTTGGCCATACATAAAGGAGAAAATCACGGATGTCTATCTGATGGCTTGCTCTAATAAGGTTATTTTCCGAGACAATCCAAACAAAACCAAAGAAAAACTTCAGGAAGGCTGCCAAAACGAAGCGTTTTATTTTGACGAAGAGCGCGAAGCTCATCTGCTAGAACTGCATCATCACTGGTTTAGTAGGAACAGGTTGAAATTGAGAAAGTTCAGTCTCAATGAGCCAAATCAGGACAAAACACATTCCTTTTTCCAACTTTGTCAAGGAGTACACTGTATCGATGTACTGGTCGGCAATGACGATGACGACTCTTGGAGAGCAGGTTCGTCGTTCCCCAGTTTTTCCCAGCTGAGATCTTCAGCCGTCTCCCGACACGAGCATCCAGAATCTCTTCGAAGTCCTCAACACCATCGTCGGTCTTCTGTTGTTCGCCGGCATCATGGGAAGTGTGGGAGACCTAGTCGCCAACGCCAACAAGGTCAAGGCAGGCTGGCAGACGTTGATGGACGTCTTGAAGCAGTTCATGGCCTATCGGTGAGTCTTTTTCCTTTTCAAATGAAAAAGAAACGATTGTCAGGGATCTGAACAGTGAACTGCAAGGCCGAGTTCTAAAGTATTGTGCCTACGAGATGGCCGAAGAAACTATTCTGACGGAAGCAGAAGTTCGAGAACTGCTTCCGACCAAACTCTACACGCAGTTGAACGCCTCGCTCATCGACAAGAGCTTGCTCAAGTCTCCGATTTTTCGGGTGAAACCAAAATTCATACACTGATGAAAGCTTTCATTTCACTATATCAAGTCGTATCTGATAAAAGTATGATATCGCATAGAAAATCGAGCTTAGCTGAAAACTCTCCATGCAAATTCGAATACCGGCTTTTTTGAATTTTGATTTTTCAATGGTTAGATCTTCCCTTTTTTGGCATTAAAGATAAGTTTTCTCGAAACCTCACAAGAAAGGTCATTTTTGGGAGGACCTTAATTTGGCTCTTCAAGTGATACTCTGACACATTTTTTAAAATGGCCTTTCTTGCCAAAGCTCTCCTATCTAAACATGTAGCCTGTTCTTTTCGTTGAACTTTTTAAAGTAAATCGGATAATAACCAAGGTTTATTTCCCGGTCTGACTACCGGAGGTTCGAGCACTAATATTTTCAATGATTTGAGGTCTCCGAGCGGAGTTTTGTTCGTGAGATCAGTGAGCACCTTGTTCCGCGTTATTTCAGCCCAGGCGAAGTTATCGTTGAGAGCGGGCAACTCAACACGGTAATATTTTACAAAGCTCCGTAAAACATGTAGTCAGTTCTTTATATCAAACTCTACACAGTAAGAGCGATTTGAAATGAAATTTCAAATGACTTTTCCGAATAATTGAGTTGATGAGCTCCAGGAAATGCTGGTAGTGGTGAGCGGAAGCGTGGCGACGTGCGTGGCTCAGGAATTCGTCGACTACGGCGAAGGAGCCATCATCGGAGACGTGAACATGGTCTGGTTCGCCGACCATTTGCACGAAAACCGCCGTCAAAGCCCCGTCATATCCACTTCTTTTTCTCAGGTTTTCATCTTTCGAAACAAAAAGGCGCCTCAACCCTCCTGTATTTCTTAAATACCAAAAATGTTAAGGTCCAAGTGCTCCACCGAGACGATTTTGTGAGGATCTTAGAAGATCACGGCAGCTTCAAGCAAAGGATTTATCGTGTTGGTTAGTTGCTCTTCAAAGGAAAAGAAAACTTTTCTGGCAGCACACCAATTGCAAAGACAACACCAAGAACTTCCCAGTGACGTCATTCTTCCAATTGAAGTTGAGCCACTGGAAAAATCTCTGAAAAACGTTCAGAACTTTGTTTTGAAATTCGAAGTTGAGCTGAGAAAAATGGAAACAAGATTTTGGGTTAGTTCTCCTCTTTTTTCTTAATACTTTCAAAAAAAAAGTTGAGAATGTTTTTGATTACAGAAGTCATCGGCGAAAATGAAAAAGCGTCTCTTCGATCTGGAGCTGGAAGTGTGCGAGAGGCTTGAACAAGCCCGTAACGAAATCATTAGGTGCGGATCCTGACATTTATGCAAAAAAACCGGTAGATGAATAAATTATGAAAGTAAAACAGTTGAACCACGTATTCAGAAGCTAACAAGAACAAAAAATAAGAAGAAAGGCCACTAAAATAGGGAATACTGCCAGTATGGCCATTGACGTCTTTTGAACCACTCCGGCCTTTTTTCCGGCTCGTTTTCGCAGTTGTATCGGTATACAGTCAGCTTATAGTAAGGTCTGAAGACTATTTTTACAAGGAAAGATGGAAATCGACAAACCCATGACGATCCTTAGCTTCCTCTATGTTTGTGATGACGTCAAAGTAAAGTACGTCTTCTTCGTCGTTTGTTTTTTCGTCGCCTTCGTAGAACTCGCCTGCCCTCACAATTATCTTAATTTTTTGATCGGTTCTGTATTATTCCAAATCCACCCACGTCAGAATGTTTCAAATTGCCATAAACTGGAAGATCTTCGAACCAGCAGCAAGTCAGGACAAGTCTGAAAACGGCCTGATCAAAAAAAGGTCCGAAGTTCAACCTGCCATCGATAGTTTTTTCGAGTCCTCCAACCCACGTGTCATTCTCTGAACAGGTTTTCGATTCAGGTCTTTCTGGACATTCCTGAATCAACGGATGAAAAATTGAATCGATGGTTATAGTTACAGAATAATGCTTTTCGAAACAATTGGGCCGAGAGCATAGCAACCTGACGACGCCGCTCTTGTGAACCTGAATAAATCACTTACAGCGGACTTGAGATAAAATTGATCAATTTAGTTCAAATAGAGGACCTCTTGCCAACAATCTCGAGAAAGAAATTAAAGATCGTACTTCAAATTTTTAGATGTGCCCTAGTGGCACATAATTTTTAAAATAAAAGGTTGACATTCAGATAAACTAGACTCATAAGGAAGTTGTAAATGATATACCAACAACCGAAGAAATTCCTGATTTGAAATTTGTAATCAAATGTTCATTCTTGCATTGAGGGCGAGTGAGTACCTCGAATCCATAAGGAATCTTGTCGGGTCCACAAAAGTCAGCGGCGACGGCGAGGAGAAGCGGCAGAAGCAGAAGGGCCGATGGCATCTGGCGACGCGGCGCATCGAATCAATTTCCAGGGGCGTCGCCTGTTCAAACAAGTCTTCCGCTCGTTCTCACGACTGTTAACCGGAGAGTTCAGCACTGGACTGACCTAATTCAAAATTGACCGAGGTGAAAACTGCAGGTGTAGACCTGAAATTGAAGCCCCAACTTTTTCTCTACAAAAATGAAGTTTTTAAAATATCTTTCGAGCAAAAAGAGAAAGGATAACTCAGTGAAAAAAAAATTCGCAAAGAGCTTTCTTATTTTCAACCTATATACTATGTTCCCAACGCCTTGAAAAAATTGATCTCTCTGCGCCCTCTTTTCTCTCATCAGCAAAGCTTTTGGCCTGTGTTCTTAATTTTACCGAAACCTTTGAACTCAGTCAAATGGCTGAAAGTGAAATAAAAAAAGCGATGAGTTGTTGCAATTTTCCGTGCAGATGTAATATATTACCTGAAATTCACATTGGGTCTTCATTTTTTCTCAGCGAGGCATACTCCATTCTTCACGACTTGAAACAATTTAGTTTCATTTCTCTTCTTTTGTCGACTTTCTCGTGCTATTTTCATTTTTCATGGCTAATCCGCTGAGGGAAAAGGAGATGCAGACAAGTCAGACAGCTTCAAGCCGCGGCGAGCCGCGTTTACGCAAGAGCGATAGAAAACGCTATAAAAATTTTTTATTCCCTCCACGATTTTTTTTTTCATTTCAGCATCACGTACATACATTTCAAGATCAGTTTTAGTGTCACATTTATCAATTTCAAAGTTTTCAATATCCTTTTAAAAAGGCAGTAAAATGAATTTTTTCGTCGTAAAAATTTTTCGTGTCTTTTTTTTCAAAAGATCGAGAACAGAAATTGTTTTCCAAAATATTTGTTCATTAATCTAAAAAAAAACACAAAAATGCGGAAAAATAAAGAAGTAAGAACGTGATGACTGGCATTTCGAAAGTTGACCCTCCCGACTGCAGGATGGTCAACACCGGAGATGGTCCGTATTTACCCCTTTTCCAGCCCAAAATCAAAGTTCAGAAAGAAGTATCCAGAGCTCTGCAGATAGAAACGCCTCGCTTGAATCAACTAATGCGGCAACAAAATCTAATTTGAATATCGATAAATTCCTCGAAAGGTCGAATGAATGAAATATTTTGTCAAAATGGATTAATTTAAGGCTCGTTAACATTGGAAAACCCGGCACTGGATTCACGACAACAATAGCAGAACACGTGAGGATCAATACTTTCGATTTGAAAGGAAAAACATAAAACTCAGAGGAATTTTATTTTTTCAATTTTTTTTATACCTTCGTTCGTTCAATTGAATCTTCTCAAATCCATAGAAAGTTACAATTTATTGAATAGACAGTCTAAAAAGAGAAAAAAGAGTGGCTCCCGTTTGAACTCGAGTTCCCCGCCATGGCGAGCCAAAAATCGCGTCGCACACGCAACGCTGCACGCTTGCCAATCACGTCTTTCAATTCGGGAACGATTGACAATACTTTGCGACTGCAATCTTTGTTCTTCGATCTCGAAATAGTCTACACTAGCTTCAAAAAGTGACTGTGAAGTGGTTTCTGAAAGCTCAGACGGGAACGCGGCCGCTTGTTGAAATCGGAGAGATGTGAAATTTTGGCAGGAGATCACGGAACTGCTCGTGGAGATGAAGCATCTGTTCCATCGACAGCCGATGATGCTGGAGATCAAGGCGCCGTTGACCATCTGCGGCGACATCCACGGCCAGTTCGGCGACCTCATGAGAATCTTCAACTCGGTCGGTTTCCCGCCGACAGTGAACTTCCTCTTTCTCGGCGACTACATCGACCGCGGCTTGTGGAGCTTAGAAACAATCCTCTTGCTCTTTTGCATCAAGGTATGTTTCTTAGGAAGCTCTTTTTGTAGTAAATATTCATGAAAAGTGAGAGGTTCGGCAAAACCTGGCCGGAAATTTTCATTTTTGAGGTTTATAAGAAAGAAGAAGTACACTGGAGAAAAATAACCGAAAGCTGTTCAACTGAAAGTTCTCTATAAGGAAACTTAACGACCGTTATTTCCATTTTCAATTCCATCATCTATATCTAATAACTTCGCTGAGTTTTTCCATGTGCTTGAACTTTTTTTATAACACCAAAAAAATTATAATTACAAAACTAGTTGAAGAACTTTTCTGCAGTACAAATACCCCGAGAACTTCCACATGCTGCGCGGGAACCACGAGACGAGGCTGGTCAGCCGCATCTACGGCTTCTACGAAGACATCACGAAGCGGTGGGGCAAGCCCATCCTGTGGGAGTCCTTCAACGACGTCTTCGACATGATGCCGCTTTCGGCGCTCGTCTCCGGAAGGATTCTCTGCATGCACGGCGGTCTCTCCGCGGAACTCCTAGCCAGTCCGACGCTCGACGTCCTCAATAAGCCGACCAGGCCTCAACACGTCAGTTGCGGAGTCTGAGCCCCTTGTCAAGGCTTTCAGGATCCGCCGAATCCGTCGCTGGCTCTCGATTTACTCTGGTCCGACCCACATATTCGGACCAAGGGATTTAAGAGCAATATTCGGTATTTCTTTTCGCTGTAAATTGAGGTTTTGTCGTTTCCAGAGGCTGCAGTTGTACGTTTGGCCCCGACGTTGTGAGTCAAGTGTGCGAGAAGTTTAAGATCGACCTCATAGTTCGAGCTCACCAGGCAAGGATAACTGATTCCTTTTCTTCCATCAGTGCTGAGTATGAATGATGGAGTTGAGGTGGTACAAGACGGATACGAATTCTTCGCCAATCGCAAGCTTGTGACGCTCTTCTCTGCTCCTCACTACTGCGGCCAGTTCGACAACGCCGCCGCCGTCATGAACATCACCAACGAGCTCTGTTGCTCGTTCAAGGTCGGTGTCCCCTCGTCGCGCTTTTCCCGTTTTCATTTTTAGATCCTCCGTCCGATATTTCCTGGACGTGTCGTCGTCGCCAAGCCTACCGACGTCACGTGTTACAAGCAACTTTGATGATTCACTCCTACAACCTAGTCAAAAGAATATTTATTTATTTATACAGAAATGCTTCTCTCTTTCGTCGTCGCAGCAACTCTTATCGCAACACGTGTATTACTACTACATGTATATTTAAAATAACTAGAGTGGAACAATGGGGAAGACAAAGAAGAAAATTAAGAAGAAAAGGATAGAAGGTTTATGTATAGATAGACACGCAAATACAGCGGCGAGTACACCGAATGAACTGGCGAGACAGAGAGAGAGGACGGCGAGGACACGTATAGTGCGCGCGAATGCACAAAAAACCACATATTTTAATAAGGCCGACGAAGGGCTGAGTCAGTAGTCAGTAGGACAAAACGACCATATTTAATAATCCGTAACAGGGACACGAGAAGAAACAATGATGCTAGTTGAGGGAAATCTATGTGTTTTAGAGAGTGTGAGTGAGTTCTGACAAGCGATTCTGTACCAGTATTAGGCTTCATCGGCGGAGCTGCCGGCGTCGCAAACCATTCTGCGCGATCGGCTGCTTCTCCGCGTGATGTTATTGTTAGTAGTTGAGTCCGGAGCCTGCAAACGCCGACTAGTTTCAGGATTTCCAAGGGTGAAACTCACGTCGTTTTTCGAGTCAAGCATTGTGAAGTCGAGAACGGGCGGCGGCATTCTGATGAGAGGACGCACCTTCCGAACTGGAGGACACGACATCGCTCTGCAAAAAAAAGGAGTAGGGAGAAGCTGTAAAAAGCAACGGACACCTGAATTATGAGGAACATGAAATCCGTCCAAATTTTAATATATCAATAGAAAACACTTTAGGAAAGGGTATTTTTCGAAGCCAATGCTTTACCTATTAAACGGTTGCGGTTGAACCTACTTTTTAGAAAAATAAACTAGAGCTAAAATAAGCAAAATCATAACGACTTTCGTTTTGCAAGAGCTCACTTGTAAGCGACGATGTTGTCGTTGTCGTCGGATTCGGCCTCGCGTTCCCTAAATTCGATTCGTCGCAGCTTTTCTTGCCGCAAGCGCATCTTCAGTAGAGCGTCGTTCTCGTCGAAGTCGATTCTGACGTCTCCTTGTCTAAAAATATTTCTTTTTCTTTCCCGTTTATCTTGAAAATCAAAAAAAACTTACGCGTCGTGAATCCTTCTCGGAGGACTGTGCTCTTCATTCGACTCCAGGTATGAGCTGATTCCGTCATCTGCGATGAGGTACCTCAAAAAGAAAGAAATCATTAAGACTAAGAGAGGCTCAGATTACCCTGGAAGAAGGCTCTTGGGCTCCTCAAAGAGTCTTCTCTGCGAGTGATCGTCCTGATGCTCATTGACCGAGTAATGCTCTGAAAAACATTTTTGAACATTTTAAAAGCTTCTAGAGAATTTGAGGTGTACAAACAAAACCGACAACAACTTGTTTGGAAAACAGAGGATAAGATCTACAGCACGTGGTGTCATTAAAAAACCTGTTGAGACACGATAAAATCAAAAATTCTATGTGAGGTACGCGAAAAATGGAAAAAATCTAAACAAAAAACAAAAAATCACCGTCATCGCTGTAGTCATAGGACATGCGAGAAGTCGGACGAGAAGAATCTTTGGCCGAGTCTGGAGTATGGATCGGAGTGTGGTCGAGGCGCTGAAAAACCTCAAAGTAAGACTGATAAAAAGCTGAAAATGGAAAAAAGTGCAGAAATTGTCAAGAAAGTCTGGGGCGGCAAGGCCGTCCGAGAAGAAAAAATACGTTAATCATGCGAAAAAGAATTTTTCTTTTCACTGTACGGTAGCAGACTTGCACAAGCATGGAATGTTTTGAGCAGGATGAGAGAATGGAATAAACATTTGAGAAGTTAGTGAGAAAATTGTGAATTTGAAAAACAACTTTAATGTAAGACTAGTCTCGAGCTTTTATTCTGAATTTTGGAAACCGTGCGTCAAACGTCAAATCAGATACGAACTCGAGATCCTGTGAAATCGAATTAATACCCTAAAGTAAATCTTGAAAAAAATATTCATCTTAAAGGCGTTTGGAAACCTCGAGTAAAACTTTCGAAATTAACAATCCTCAATGACTTTTGAAAAGTGAGAATATTTTTCGAAACTCATCAATTCAAAAAAATGGACGAAACTTAAATTTCAAAGATCACACGAGCAGATCGTTATATAACCAAAAACGAAAATTCCTTTCCTTGAAAACAGTTCAAAGTTGAAGATAGATTTGGCGCCGACTCAGCTCCAGCCGCCCCAAAAATGCCGTGACAGACTACTCAAACAACAAAGAAGGGGAAACGTACAGCGAAGTCGGGGGATCCGTAAATGGCATCGCGTCTACTCTTGAGATTCTCATAGAACCTTACAAAAGGCATAGCTAGCATGGAAAGAAAGGCTAAAAGCCACGCGGCAGCAGATTTCGTGTAACTCGACTGCAAAACGGCACAAAAGTCACACTGACAAGACGAGTCTGAGAAACTCACGTCGGAGAGAGAAAGGAGAGTGACGTTCCTGGCGGCGACGTGCTGCTGCACCACCTTGTTCTCCAGAAAGATCTTTTGTGGTCGGACGCGCCGACGGCTCTCCGCGCAGCATCCACTCAATCAGGTAGCGGATGTCCTTGTCGATTCCTCAAAAACCAAGTTCAGTCTAAGCCGAGGCTTTTTGAACGAAAATCGGCCAAGAAAAACACTGCACAGAGAACAGGGTACAAACTTTTTCGATAAAAAAAATTTCGAGCCGAAGAAAACATTAATTTTTCGAGTCAATTTTCGATAGGGGCAAACCTTCGAAGAAACGCTCAGGAATCTGTCCGTTGCGAATCTGATGCCAGCTGTCGCCACACGACGGAAGATCCATGTCCGTTGCTGCCTGAAGTCCAAAATTGGAGATGAAAGGTGAGCCGAAAAGACCTCAAGCATGGTGACTCCGAGACTGAAGATATCGCTGGCCTTGCTGGGCCGTCCGTTTAGCACTTCTGGTGCTAAATACTTGCTGTCGCCCTCTTCTGCGTTCTTCAGTTCGTCCTGCAATGATCCCTATAGCAATCTAGCCTCGAGGAAATATCGCACCTTTTGCAGGTTAATTACGAGACCGAAGTCGCCCAATTTGCAGACAAAGTTCTTGGTGAGAAAAATATTATCCGGCTTGATATCGTCATGAATCAGGTCGTTTGAATGCAGAAAATCCACTGCCTGAAAAGAGATTTGCATTCAAAATTTAAAGAACGAAGTCTACCAATAATAAATCAACGAAAATCTTCCAAATTGTTTTATCGGAAATCTTGTGATTCTGCATACAATAGCTGAGAAGACTGCGTTCACACAGCTCCGTTTGGATGTAGAGCCGCCCTCTGCAAAAGTAAGAAATTTTATAATATCGAACTTTTAAAAATAAAGTCTCAAAATCGAAACTTTTTTTCGAATCACCAACTTTTCTTCCCAAGATTTGACAAACTCGACGATGTTGGTGTGCTTGGGCAGCCGCATGTGGTTCTCGACTTCCCGCAGCTTTTTCGCTCGGTCTGTCGTGTTTCGAAATACTTCGATTGATACCTTCACAGCATAATTCCGATGGTCCTCTAAAGACCTCACGCAAAACACCTGAAAAATGACTTCCAGTAAAAACTATAACTCGATTTTTTGAATGAAAAAAAAAACTTACATCGCCAAAAGAGCCTTCTCCGATCTTTCTGATAATCTCAAAATTCTGCTGGAAGTAAGTTTTCCGAATCATAGGATTGTAGTGTGGGCTGGACAAACTCTTCGTTCCTGAAAGAAAAAAACTAAGTAAATATATATTTTTTTTTCCAATGGAAGAAAAATTATTTTCAAATTACCAGTGAGAGTGATTTCCATGGGTCGGAACTCCTGCGATCGCCCATAAACACTTCGCATCGGAGGAACTGTCTTCACTACTCTTGGGGCGGTGCGGCGTTGCATTGGCGTCCGCATCTACAAAAGTGAGTTTGAATAGATTTTTTCCTTTTTTTCAGAATCAAAAAGTTGTAAAAGAACAAACCTTTTCTCGCTTAGTAGACAATGGGCTCTCAAATACTTCACGAAATTTCGGAGAACTTAGTGAAATAAAAGAAGGCTCCGCGCTTTGAGAAAGGAGATCCTCCTTCATTATTAGGTTCTGAACTAGTTCTGATTAACTTTCGAAGAGAAATGATGGTCAAAAGTACAAACGTTTCCACGGAAACAAAAATTAAATAACAAATAACAAATTTAATTATTTCTTTGAACAGAACTCTTGAATTAGAGAATAAGTTTCTACTGAAATACAGGAAAATTGAAGTTTTATCTTCCTCAAAAAACATTTTTTCAAATTTGGGTTGATGAATCTACAGAGCTTTTTAAGTCAACGCGAGATAAATCTTTTTCTTTTTTTTGAGGAGTTATATCTTTTGAAAAATGTTACACATTATTATTCAGAGAAGAACGAGAAAGACTAAAAGAAAAACTGCAAGCTGAACGTCATATTCCTTAAGTTTTCAAGTTACTAGACAATAATCAATTACCCGACAAGCAGAGAAACTAAGCGAAAAGGGAGAAATAACAACTGAGAATAATGAAAGTGGGAAGAACAACAGAAATTTGAATGTTCCCGCGCAACTTAGCACCTGTGCGATGGCGCGCAGTTTCGAAAACATCTCTGGCGTGCAGCCAAAGTGAGGAAAAGACGCCCCCTCTTGCGTGCCTGACGTCACGTATTTGTCAACAACTAGAGTCTGAAGGACGAAACAATAAAGATACCTAAGAAGAAAATAAGTAGACGAAATTCATATCTATATACTTGATATTCTTAGTTGATTTTTTTCCTAAATCTGGGAATTTGGATATCAAAAAAATATTACACAAAAAAATTTTTCTTTTTAGTTATAAAGTATATTTTTTTCCATGACATAATACTTGCATGGATCCAATTATTTCAGGTTTTGTTCACTTTAAATGTGGAGCTTCTCTCTGTATATAATTAAAAAAATGAGGCTTTTTCTTAAAAAAACAGGGAATTTTATTACGAACTTTATCTCCGGTAGAAGAAGCATTGGACAAAAACCAAGAAAAACAAACTTAGAAATAAAATGTTTAAAAAAAGTAAAAACAGGGTGAAGTGTTTTTTTCGGAACATTTCTGTAGTCGTTTGAAAAAAATTGTATTTGTAGTTGTTTGAAAAAAATAAAAATAGTCCGTTTTTTTCGAAGTTTTCATAAATTTTAAACTGAAACAGAGGATTTGCGAACCCAAATTTTTTCTCTTTACAGTTTTCATGTTTTAACCTTTTTCTTTTTTTAGAGTTGCACTTTTTGAGAGATAAAAGCAAAAACCCTCGAAGAGCACGGAAATCTTCTAATTTGGGAAGTACTGGTCAAATAAATTATTTTCATAGTTAGAAGCTAACCGGTAGCGCTCCCATCAATTCTTATATTTTTCGGTTGCAAAATTCTCCGAGAACTTTTTCCGAGCCTCAGTGAGACGATCCCAACGGACCTGGACTTGGTGAGACGGCAGCTCAAAAGGTCTCGAGTGTCGTCGACTTCGAACAATTGGTGGAATTAGGAAGGGATAAGGACGGAAAAAGGAAACCTCGCCACAATTAGCGTCTCATCCGAACAGACACGGTAGGAGAAGCCCCGCCCCACGGCGTTGCCCTGGACGCAGCACTTTTTCCTGGAGTCCAGCTCTCGTCGTTTCAACCGATCCTACGACTTTCGACCACCGATTCCTCCCCAATCCAAGTTTTTTTGAAGACTAGTCAATTGAGATGACATCAATAAGATCATTTTTGATGAGAATTTTTTTCACGTTTCGAGTCGAAAATATGAGAGTTTAGTATAAACTGGCTAGTGAGACGTTTTAACATAGTAATGAAGTTTTAAAAAAGTCAAAAATAGAAAAAAAAAATAGAAAAACTTCTCTCACCCTTCAGTAAAACTTATACTTGTGGAAAGAAATATCAGAAGATTTATTCAGATAGTAATTGCTAATTGAAATCGTAAAAATCTTAAACAGTGACATGTCTTTTCATAACTTCTCTGGCCCGGTTGTCTTTTCAAATGTCTTTTCATAACTTCTCCGGTACTTTCTGAAGCAGCTTGAGAGTTTCGCAAATTGTTAACAAGCATGCGTCTCATTTACAAAATCTTAAAACCGTCTGGCTTGTCTGTACCGTACTCGCTCTCTCTTGCTTCTGTCACTATCTTCAAATCGTTCCGGCGAGGGAGAAGAGAGCCCAGGCTAGTCAGACTGTTTCTTGTTGTTGAGATATTTTCTTTCAAAAGAAAAAAAACGGCAAAAAGGGAATTATGGACTTATTAGAAACCGGTTTGAATAATAGAAAACCAAGAATAGAAAACATTGAACTACTCCTTCTTTCAAGTATCCTCTTTCATCTTTCAATTCAATTATTTCTATACAGTTTCACTTTTTGAACCTTATATCCATCACAAAAACGAGAAAGTTCTCAAATTCGAAAAAAGGAAACGTCTACGTCTTCCGGGGACAATGACACAAGCTGTTTGCAGTCACTGGAGGGCTTCTGTCGATTTTGTGACATTTTGCCCGTTTTGTCACGACGTCATGCCATGAGGTTCTTCAGTTCTTCATTTTGCCTTCTTGTTTTCAACTTTAACGTTTTGCGAGCCCGCAGCCTAGGCCAGAAAAAAAGAAAGCAGAGCGCGCCTTTCCTAGAAGCAAGTTAGCTAATCAAAGCTTAGTCAAACAAATTAGCAATAAATTAGGGAAGAATGAGCGTAAATCAATGTGATTCACTCGTAATCTCTTCATATTTTTCATATCTCTGCTTGATGTCCCCTCTTCCTAGCAACCATCCTTATCAAGATCCTGCAACTTCCCAATGGGCCTTTTTTATGCTTTTAACTGTTTTCAAGACATGCTTCTCTTCCGCGTTTTCTGAAGTTCTGATTTGGGGTCTGACAAAATCAAAAGAGATATTTTTTGAGAAAAAAGCTTATCTCGCGGTCTCAGAACCAGACGAAATTGAAAAACTGGAAATGCATATATGTCGATGGGCTTTTTTAATGGAAGGATTTCGGTCGAACGCATCTCATTTCTGCCTTTTCTGCTAATTTCCGGCGCGTTGCCCCATAAATAGTCGGATGATCTGGATTTCTAGAGCCTCTGACGTCCATCCAAATGACAAATAGTCGATTATGAACGATTCTTATCTGGCTCGCATTTTTCTACTTCATAAAACCAAAAAATTCTTAAAGTTAAAATTTTCTGCTTTTTATGGCCTCTTTTGCAGATGATAAAAGTTTGATTCGAATCCCGTTTCTCCATTTTGAGTTTTTGACTTTTTTGCGTTGGTATTCGCGGTCCAAATTGCTTCCAGGAACTTGCGAAGTTCCGCCTTCTGCTCCTATCAGCCTCCATTATTTATAACTCCTTAAGTTTTTGAAAAGGTCATTTGACATTTAGCTTGTGTCGAAATCACACTTTGTGAAAAAAATTCCCCTCGAAACCATAGATTCATTTTTTTTATCGTTCCAACTGCCGATTATAATTATTTGAGTTCCTCATCATGTTTTCTTCTTCGAAAATCGGACTTGAATAGTTTCTGTGAAAGAAAGTTGGAATTTGAGGCCGATCCCAGCTCGCGTTGTATGTATGGGTTGCACGCCGTCGACCGCACGCGTCACTCAGACGGACGTGCTCGTCGACCGCTTCGCGCCGCCGCCACCCATTCCAGTTGCGATCGGCGCCGGCGTCCGTCAGCACCATCACCCTCTCTCCATCGTCTTCATATTCGGTCAGTCTCCTGAAATTAGACGAGAAAATTGATTCATGCACAATTGTTTCTAGACGGGTTAGCAGACTTGATATTTGAAAGAAAAGTAATCTAAAGGCGATACGAAGTGAAAATTTGTTGGGAAAACTTTCAATTGTTGTGGTCAGCTTCAAATCGCTGGAAAATATGAGAAAAGTACCAAATCGAAAAACCTGTGGAGATCTTCCCAAGAGTAAGCGGAAAGGATTAGGCTCTTTGGATTTTTGCTTTTCGCACACTGAAATAGTAGGACGGGCAATCAGTGGATTATGACGTGGTTTGAAAGAAATCCGGCTCTCGGAACGACAAATGTCTCTCATGAGTGAGGGAGGTTCCATTGACCCTTTTTGAGCGTCCATAAAGAACCACTTTTTCGGTTAAAAAGTCTTTGTAGGAGGACCGGGCTCCCAAAAAGGCCTCGTGATAGAAGAACTGACGGCTCGATTCGACTTCATTTCTATTTCTGTGGAAGACATTGTTTTCAACTACTTGCCGAGCAAGGTCTCCAATGCTGTCGAGTCGATTGGCGAGATTCAGGACATGTTGCGAGTAAGTCTAGCTTCATACCGGCTGAGAAAACATAACTGAAAAACACAAGCGTTTTGAAATTAAAAATATTTTCTTTGATGAAAAATAAATTCTTCGAAAAACAAAAAAAGTTTTTTTAGACGTTCAGTTTTTTTCGTTTTGAGTTTTTTTCAAATTTTAATACTATATCTTATAAAAAGATAAATCTAGTCTGAATAGTTAATTAACCTCACTAAAAAAATTCTTTTCGAAAGTTATATAAGTTCTTTTCAGCGCGACAGTGGGATATTGACAATGGACTGGATCATGTCGATGATCAGCGCCAAGATTTCAACGTCGATGAACCAACGATTCGTGATAGGTAACTTTTTCAAGATTATCAATTCTCACTGAGTTTTAAGACATTGTGCCGACCCTGGCCACAATTCTGCGCTCAGAGAGTTACAGGACAAAAACGCACGACCGCAGCATGGAAAATTTCGAAAGAAGGGTTTTTTCTTTCATCCAAAACATGGAGAAAACAAATTTTTTTCAGCATCCCATAATGTTCGCTTTGGAGTTGGCGGTCAGCGACGAAGTCGCCTTGTTGAGTGCCAAAAACGAAGGTTTGATTTCAAGTTTTTCATTCTTTTCTTCCCGGAAGTCAATCTCATCAGCGATTTTTCCGAAATCTAATCAACGCTTACATAGAACTTATTAGGCTGATGATTAGTAAAAGAAATATTTTTGAACTTTAAAGTTTTAGTAGTTCTGTGAACAGAGAATAGGAATATGAGAAAAAAATCTTTTAAAATCGGAATTTCACTTTCTATTCATTCCTTCTACATATCTATTCATAGCCGGACGAGGTAGGAAATTAAAAAAAGAAAACGGAAAGACACTCCGCAGTTTTTCGTCATTGTTTGGAACACGAAAGTTTTATTATTAGCTATATTTTTTTGCTTTGAATGAAATTTTGATTGTTGAAAAATTTCTTTTGTGATGTTTGGTGTGATTATCAAAGCGGAGTGATCGATGATAGAAAAAAATAAGAAAAAACTGAAAATAGTCAATTTTGTATTTAAGGAAAGGAGAACGAAAGTGGTAAAGTGAGCACGGAGATGAGCCAAATCATGAAGGGAATCGACGAAATCGACAAAGGCCGTCTTGAGGTTTTTTCTAGATAATTTTTGTAGACTCTTTTCTACTTTTAACAGAACACGTTTTTTTAAAATATATATTAGGGTTTATCACAGGTTTCAAAGTTAACACGTTCTTCTGATTTTGCACACTTTTTCGCTAAAAGTCTTGAAACTAATATCTAAAAATTGATTGATCGTTTTGCGTCTTACTTTAATGAATAAAATTTTTAAGAGCGTACTTATTGAGCAAGAGAAACTTCCATCCACAAGCTGTTAATGATTTTAAAAAAAATTAACAGTTAATTGGTAGAAGAAATTTTTGAGTTAATCGAAAATTGTGAAAGACTAGAATGTTGCAACCAGACTTGTGCGAGGGGTCACACTATCGGCCCACTTTTCCACGAGAAAAAAAGTGAAGTTTTTTGCTCATTTTTCACATAGATAAAGCTATTAGAAACTAGGATCCCACAAGAAAAAATAATTTTTCGGTAAAAATCTTGTATATGAAATTTAAGATTTTTTTCGAGGCCCGGCTTGGCCTAAGCCCGCCCAAGCTTTTTCTCAAAAATGTAAGCCCAAACCAAAACCCTGGACGTCCTAACGAATTAGTGAGAAGTTTAGGTCGCAGTGTTCTAATGGAAAACCAAAGAGCAGTCCTCGGAAAACATTAGTGCGTTTTCTAAGTTCATTAGGTCCAGAAAATGTCCATAAATAGCTGGAGGCAGCCATTTCCGGTCACCGGGAAGTGCTGGAAGCGTCCAATGGGGCATCCTTGCCTTCCCATAATCCGGAAGTGCTGACGCAGGCGAAACCTCAGCGGCGCCATTTTGAGCTGTTTGATTGGAGCCGTTTCGTTCCTTTCGAAACCTTGAAACTGGAAGAGGTGACAAGTCCGAAACTGTTCAAATGTTTCCCAATACCAGCAAATTGTAAAGACCTGAAATCACAGCTTCTTTTTGCGATGCAAAGGATTTTTTTGATTTTTTTTACAGCAGTAAGCGATAGCAAAAAATTGAGAAATATACACGAATTTTCTATTTTTACTTCATAAACCACAACTTCTACTACTTGAAATTTTTTAAGTCGAGTTTTTCCGATAGTTGCTTCCAGTTATTGTTTTTGATTCATTAGAAGAAATACTGACCTTTTTTTTCAAAAGTTTTTTTATTGCAAAACTCCCCCTGGAACCTACAGGCATAAAAGTGTTGAATTTCCGTCTTAGATTTCGGAATGAGCTCTGAAAAATTGAAATAACTTGTTTGATGAAAAAATAGTTTCAGAGACGCCTGGACCAGTACCACCAATGCTCGGAGTCGTTTCTCAAGTACTTCGCGAGGACGAAACGCGTCGTGAAACTGACGCTGTTCGGTCCCGTGTCGAACCTCGTGACGACGGTCAGAGACATCTTGGTAGACTTCGGCTTCACCACCGTCCGCAATAATCAACAGATCCTCGTTTTCTCGTCTGGTCAGTTGTTTTTTGTCCTGTTGATTTCATTTATAAACAAGGAATTTTCGTCGATTAAAACCGATTCGTTCGAAATCCATAAGCGTCTTGCAGAACATGATCAAGACCTTGATCTGGAGTACTACAAGCTGCGAAAAGTGCAAATGAGAGAAATCTCAAAGTCCTCCAGTGACTCTCTGGTGAGTCTTCAAAACTGAAATTTAAGACAATTGAAGAGTATTACCGAAAACATAACAACGTAACTCGGACATTCGATCCACAGAAAAGAAGGGAATCAATTTACTGTTTGAGAAAAGAACATTTTGTAGCAAGCTTTTTGGAAACTGTCGATTCTTTTCAGGCGACGCAGGTTGCCACCCTTCAACGTTACGTCACAAGTCATGCTCAGGGGACTAATTTGCTCATTATAATGGACAACGTCAAAGACGGCGAGATCTCCGTCAGTTCAACTGTTCTCATATTGAAGTGCCTACTTGGTGATTACAGAAGAGCAGAGGTATTAACTTCATGGAGAGGAAGCGGGAGGCCTACCTCGACGAGTTCATCACCGACAAGAAGCACGAGAAACAGCCAAAGTCGAGGTTTCACTTTTCACTTTTCACAGAGAAACTCTATACACTCATCATTTCTAGAAGTAGGGTATCGGTAAATTGCATCTCATCGACCAGTCAAGTATTTCTGTTCATCGAGCCGTTTCCCACCGATCTTGCGCAAAAGATCAGCCAGCACTATAACAAATTAGTGAGTGTCTTTTCGGAAATTATTGGAAAGCGCTGAATTTCAGCGAGATTCGCCGGCTGCGACTCGCGACAGCTGACGAGACGGCGCCGTGCCAGCAATCGAAGTGGACGAAAGCGAATGCGGACAGAGCGACTCCAAGGAGTCCAAAGGCGACTTGTCTTCGGCGGCGTCGTCGGCTCGCGGCGAAGACGGCCGTCGTCACTCTCCTCTGCAAGCCAACGGCCGGCCCATCTCCTTCCGGCCCAAGCACAAGTCCAGATCCCACACACTCGCTGTTGCTGGCTCGGCGCACATTTAGCCACAAATTTTTCAACGGTTCATCACAATTAGACTTATTCTGCCTCATAGTTGAACGGGTCCAAAAGAAGAAAACGCAACTCTTGAAAATCATAGAGAATTGTTTTACACATCAATTTTCACGGAAAAAGAAATCCTTATAGTTATTTTCCTACCGCCACATACTTATTTGATTCTTCTGATTCAAGTGCCTTTCTTTTCAATAATTTTATGTTCCAGAAGTCACGAATTGCCTTATTAAAACTTTAACATAAAGATCATTCAATGAACAGACACAAGGAATATTGTTAGATATAAATAATTTAATTTTAACACTCTTGTTCTTAAAATCATGTGGAAACTCTACACCCTCAGGAAAACCAAATCAAGTCTTCCGTGGAAAACACCGCACCAAGAAGAAAAATTCCTAAAATACAGAATGATTAGAAGAGAGGCTTTTACAGCAAGCGATAAATAAAATTAATGAAATACGTATGAAAATTAATCCGCGTATCAGTAATTAAATGTGGCAATAAGATTTTTTTCATCTTCACACAAGAATCACCTTATGTTAACAGTGACCAGTAGAAAGGACAATTATCACATGAATAAGTTAAATTAAAAATATTGTATCGAATCAATAAAAAAGAAAATAAAACGAAACGAAACGAAACCGAACTCAATGAGGGAGCGATGAAAAAAAAAAGAAGACAACCAACACCCTACTCGTAATGGACGGGCACAGGACATGAAAAGCCTGAGAAGCGAAAACCATGAAAAACTATATTTTATTGAGAAAACTCCACAGCCCGTCCAATACAGAGTCAACCTAAGTTAGTGCTTTTTGCATTGGTTATCGACCGATCCGCCCGCTCTCTCGACGACATTGAAGTGTTAAATTGATTTGACAATGACGCAAAATGTTCACAAAAGGGAACACGAAGAGGCACTTTAATTGGCAGAACGATCGACCACTAGTCAATCTTCATCGTCCAGATTCAAGTCGTCGAGGTTGATGTCGTTGCCGCCATCTGCGTCTCCGAACTCTTCATCATCCGACCACCGTATCTGGTTAGCGTCGGCGACCACCTGGAAGTTGAAATCGAGTAAAAAAATTTTTTCGCGGTTGTGAAGATTCCACAATAATTTTGACAGTGAACTGAATAAAATCTCATTAAACTGACTTCGAAATATAGACTGTTTATATGGATGGGCGGTTGTTCCTGATACAGCTCGAAAAAGTCAAAAATGACGACAAAACACTTTATGTCAAACGATGAAAACCTCTGACGAGGAGAACATGTTCAGTATTTAATTTAAAAGTCTGCTAAAATGCTTTTTCACCAATAAAAATAAGGTCCACAAAGTCGCTATCTGCGCGAAATTCCATTTCTATAATTATGAGGTTCCGACTAATCGAACTTTAATTCCAAATAATTGGGGGGTTCAAAAGAAAACTTATAAAAATTCGTGTTTCATACCTCAGGTTGAGATTGAGGAGCAGCATGTACAAGATCAGGACCGCTCCTCGTCGGAACAATATCAGGTCGACTCGTGTCAGACACCACGTCGGGAGCGTTCGACCCCATTGCCAGCCCATCATCTTCGTCGTCCCGCTGCAACTGATCAATATAGTTGAATGCTAAATCATGAGTTTTCCAGATTTGAAACATAATTTTAAAAACTACAAAGAACAGAAAAGAATAAAAAAATTACCTCAAATCTTGAAAAAAATAGATAGTTCGTTGATATAATCAAATTTTTCTCATCTGACCACAAAAAAATAATATTGAAACAAGAATCATGGAAAAAGAAGCCTGAAATTGACAAAAATTCAACAAAAAGCAAAAAGGTTTTTTTGTTGTTAATTTATATACAATAAAAAAATAAAACTCAAGAATTGGTTTATAAACATTGAGAATGCATATAAAAAAATCTGAAGATTGGGAGAGATCAATATAGAAATTGTAATGGGACAGTCACGGATGGTGCGCGTTACATGAACGAAAATTTCGGTTTCAAAAAGATGTTTGATTCATGATTTAAGCCGGTCGTTTTCAAATTTTCAAACTAACTAGGGGACTTTTTTTTACGAGTTATGAGTTATCTATTGCGAGAAATTTTTCTTCTGCAATCAGGAGTACACTTTAGGGAAGTTTCATCAAAAGTTCAACCGGCGGATGAAAAACGTCCCCTAGCGAGTAAAAAAAAATATAGCTGTAAAAAAAAGGAGAGAAGCAAAAGAAAAGAAAAACTAACAGAGGCGTCAACTTCGTTCTCTTGGACATCTTCTTCGTCGTCTTGGAATCGATCCTCCACCGGAGATTCGTTTCTCCTTGGAGAAGCGCTAGCCGCAGGAGAAGCAGCGACTGCGACCGAAGCGACGGACAAGCTGGCCGGAGGTTCCGATCTTAGAGAGACGCCGTTGGGAAGGCCGTGCGGGTCAGAGATGAGAAGATCGTCATGTTTGGGCAGGAGCTCGCGGCTTTCGGCCATTGGAAGACCTTCTCGCTTCTTCTTCACGCACAGACTCGGCATATCCAGGGAACAAATTCTCATATTTCACTGGGTCGGCGAGAGATTCACCCAATTTCTGAAATTAATTCATACATTTAGACAAAAAAACTACGAATACCCTGGTTGATTTTTCGTGAACTCGAGTTAGTTTTTGTTTCCACAGATCAACGACACGCGGGACCTGAGACGGAAGATGCGTTCTAGCAAAGAAAGCAGCTTCCGGCAAGCGATCCGTGCTAAAATTTTCCGTTTACAGTTGAAAAACGACATGAAAACCTTATCAGAGTCTCCAGGCAAGCGTCCAAATCGCCCAACAGCAAGTTGCTGATCAAAGCGATGTTTTTGAAGTCAGAAGCGTCCGCCTCAGAAGCAAGCTGAAAATAGAAATGAAAGGTTGTTAAAACTGATATGGGAAACTTTTTGGAGCAATGGAGCAGAGCCGGTACTCGTGGCAAGGAGGAAAAGGCCGCCGAAATCGCGAGCGCGACCATAACACTCGCTGGCCAACGCCAAATCCGATTTGACGGTCGCTGCCTGAGAAACAAAAATGAATGGATCAATATAATATAAACTGATGAAACATTGCTTAATTGTTTCCATTTCTCTTCAGAATCGCTTTGCAAAGCCAGCTCGTGGGCTGTTTTCAAATCACCCAATCCGAGCGCCAAATCGAACCTGAAAAAAAGTGTGTACAAGTAAAATAAAGTCAGACAGTTGAACAATGCACTGAGTGTGTGGCATTCAGCTAACGTAAAATAACCATGAGAAAAAACGAGCATGAGGCGAATTATTTTTTTACGCAAAGAAAAAAAAAAATTAAAAAATAAGAATTTTTGGCTATTCCCAACGTTTCTCCTCAATGAAAGCATGTATTGCGAAAATACAAACGAACTTGTGATCAGTGTCCTGAGAGACGGCGAGGGCTTGCTTCTTGAATCCCTGCTTCTCGAGGAAATGTGCGACTCGTGTCCTTTGCTCCTTGGGAATCGTGGTCAACACTTTGTCGGCAGTGTCGAAGTCGCGCCTCATCACCGCCGTCTGGTACTCAAGTACCGACAGAAGCAATTTGTAGGAAACAACGTTGAGATCTTTGTCCACTGCGTACACTCGCGACTCTTTTGCCATATATCCCAGCTAAAAACCGGAACACTCTAGATTAAATTGGCCAAACTTTGCTATATTGATATTAATATTAAAATATTGGACGTCTGCGATTTCCTATGAGTTCACAGACTTTAATGGCGGTAAATAATTTTTGCAAAAACAAAAAAAAACCTATTATTTAGGTAGCCAAAGGTCGTAAAACGGTCAAGGCTATAAATCTGAACACAAGGCTTCCAATCTCCCAAAAACCTTTGAATGAGATGAAAACATATGAAAATATACGTATCTAGTTTATGAATTTTTTTCTTAGCTAAATATTAGGTGTTAAATAATACTAATAATCCAAATTTTTTTATTTCCGTCCCTTGAAATTATGGAACGTAAATGGGCCTACGTACAAAAAAATTTTAAAAAAATAGAATAAAAATTTTTTTCTGATCAATGTTTAACAAACCAAGTACAGCGGGCGGTCGACGTGGGCAATAGTCACTATCTCACCGCCAACGTAATAGTTTATGCGGTTAAGCGAAGTGGTGAATATGAAGCAGTCTCCGATCCAAAAGGCCGTTCGAATACTCTCCGACTGTTCTCCTACAATAAAATATATCAAAACATGAAAAAAAAAAGAAGAAAACTCGCTGGTTGCTAATAGAGCAATATAAAACGGAGCACCAAACCAAGAAAAAAACTAACCAATAACTTCGAAAGCGTCTTCTACGCCATCTTCTGTGACATCTTCAGGTGAAGCGTTAGAAAACGCATCTGCATTGTACTTCAGAATGTAAAAAGAGTCATCTCCACAAATGGCGACCTGAAAAAAACATTCTTCAGAGGAAAAAAACGGCTCAGTACCATTTCGCCGTTGTCGCTCCAAAAAACGTGCTTCGAAGCAATTTCGATGCGTCTCACAAGTTGAGCTGATTCCCAATCGTAAAAAACAAGTGAATTGGCCGTTCTAAAAATTTAAATTCGGATCTTAAAAAAATTTATTTCTAAAACTTCAAATCGAAAAAAAAAACTCAAAACCTCAGAGAAAGAAGAGGACCTCCGTCAATCCCATCTATTACAGAATCGGAACGAACTTGCTTGTAATCCTAGATAAAAACAAATGAATGAAAGTCAGCTTTAAAAAAAAACTTTGAAGTTCTTCTTTATTTTGACGTTGGTGCCGGATTCACGCACCGCAAAGACATTCGGATCAGAAGCCCAAACGAACTCCAATGCCTTAAACAGAACAATGAGCTTTATTTTATAGGAAAAATGGAAAACCTGTCCGAAATCCTTATTACGGAGGGCCATCGCCGTGTAGACGATGTATTCGCCATCTCCACAGGCAACGACGAATCTTCCATTGGAAGAATGGGCCAAAGTTTGAGGATAGATTTCAGAAGAGCCGAGATCTTTCACCGAAAGTGGCAACCGCTCACCATCTGAAAGAAAAAATTCATTCCGAGAGAAAGGACCGATAAATGCCTTGAATAGCTTCGGCTGATTCGGCATCCAACGTCTTCAAGTTGGCTTGTTGGATTTCAGAATGACGAGCCCAAAGGATTTTTCCTGACGAATCCATACTGACCTGAAGAGAAAGAGAAACTGAATTAAGGTCTAAAATGTACCGCAGGCTCTTCACGGCCAAGTTTCAAAGTGACTGATCCTTCGTCGTAGCCGATAGCTACAGTGTTGGAGCCGCGCTGGGCCTGGATGCACCAAACTCTTTCCAAGCCGTAGTTCAAAGTAGTTTCCAGTCTTGAAAAACATTCGAAATGGAAAAGCATAGAGATTTGACGAAAATTTAAAAATTGAACTATTTGTAAAACTTGAATAAACCTGTAAGTGTTGGCGTGCCAGAGACGGACCGTGGAATCTTCACTACCAGTGATGATGAGTGGCAATTCGGGATGGAAACAAACAGACGAAACATTTTGAGCATGGCCATCAAGTGTTTGAACACAGGTTTTGTTCTAAAATTGAAAATTGGAAAAAAAAGATAATAAAATGTAGTAACCTGGTAGTCCCAAATCTTCACAAGATGATCATCGGCGCCTGAAATGAGGTAAGGCTTTTCTCCTCCATGATAGTAGTCGACACAGTTAACCTGTAAAAATTGTCCAACCATCGAAAATTTTTTTTCATATTCGATTAAAACATACTCCTTTCTCGTGTCCTTCAAGAGTGAAGTTGGCATGCTGGCTGCCAAACTGCCAGACCTGGAAAAATTTTCATAGTGACAGTTAAAACACATTCAACTAACCTTGACAGTTTTATCCAAAGCGGCAGTTGCGAACGTGTTATTATCTTTTGGATTTATCGCGATTTGCATCACGTAGTGGGTGTGACCTGAAAGTTACTCCTTCGGACCATCCTAAAAAAGACCCAACCTTCGAAAGACTGCTTCATTGCCCATTTATTGTCCCAATCCCATAACTTGACAAGCATATCGTCACTCGAAGTAATCAAAAACGGTTGTGTCGGATGGACCACGATAGAACTAGATAAAACATTATTATCCATCAGTTAGAAGTAACTACCGAAGATAGTCAGAATGAGCCTCAAACTGATGGACACGTTCGAGAGTGTTATAATTGAAAACACGAATATGCATGTCATCTGATCCGGTGATGATCCAACTTTTGCGAGGAACAAACTTTGCTGCACGAACTGGCAAATCACATACCTAGAAAGATGTATTTCATAATTTCGAACTATGTTTCAGAATATCAAAATAAAAACCTCGAATGATTTTACAAGTTGTTGAGTCTCGTAATTCCAGATGTGAACGTTTCCATTGTACAATGCAGCTAAAAGCCATGGCTCGGATGGATGCAAATCCACGCATTTAACGCGATCCGAGCGGGCGAGTAACTTCCTTTTCACGTCAAGTCGCAAAGGCATTCTGCGAAGAAAGCTGAAACAGTTGAGATTTAAAATATAAGAAAAAAATTTTTGAGTTCTAAATAAAAAAACGGGTTTTTTTGTGTTTTAAACCATTATTTTGAGAATTGATTGAGAAAAATGGATATAATTATTGTATTTAAACCTATTGAAGTTCTGATATTAAACATTACAAGAATAATAAATAAAAATAGTAGAGAACGGCTGGACCACCCCTTCGCCAACTCAGAAATGAACGAATCGTGGTGAAGTGCTTTCGAGCCTGCCTCTGCGCCTTTAATAGGCGGCAGTGAGTGACCAGGAATCCGAAACGTGGAGTTGATTTCAACTCAACCCTCGTCAGAAAGATGCGTTGTTATGAAATTTTGAACACGTCTAAATGATCTTGTCGACTTTTATCATTTCATGTTTAATTTTAAAGACCATATGGTTATTTTTAATCCTTCAAATAAAAATAAGTTTTTTTCGTGGTTAGAGATTTCGATTTGGGTTTTTTTATAAAAAAATGACGGGTTGTCAAATTAAAAATGAAATATTTAATGATATGACAATAAAAATTGAAAAACAAGAAATATTTATAGAATATTGAGGAAATTTTATTTTTAATTTCGAAAGAAACTCACAATTAAAGAGCTCCTTTCGTAAATGAAGACAAAAAGACACTTTGAACTATTTTCACGCTTATAGTTTGATTATTCATTAAATAGTAAATTTATTTATTTTCTTCAGAGGAATGGGCGATTATCAATTGATTTGGGCTCAACGACAACTTTTCCCTCGAACTTGAATTTCAAGGAACCAAGCCCATTTGTCAAACTCAGCGGAAAAGAAACACCAGTTTTGAGTGGCTTCTGTTCCTTGATGGTCAATTGAGCTGTGCGAGTGAAAGTCTTCTTCTCGGGCCAATTACCGATGGCGAAAATGGACGCCAAGGCGAAGCAGGTCACTCCTGACTACTCGGACGTCTACTTTCCCTCCGGCCCATGACCACATGAACCATTTCCTCCGATTGTTCTTCCTGCTCTTCTATTACTTGACGACCATTCTGGGTGAGTAATACTAAGGAAAAGTAGCTTTTTTTGTGGAACCTTCTTAAAGAAAAACTGTTTTCCATAATCTATATATGGATGTTTGATGTAGCGACACCATGTACGGGTTCAAACCAGACAACATACCTCCGGTCCGAGGCGACGAGACTGATGGAATTCTCAACCAAAGTTCTCAAAGACGTGACTCTCAACGCATGTGCCAGTGCTTGTACGAATAATCAAGAAGTTCGCTCGGTTTCATAAGATTATATATTTAAACTTCAAAGGTTTAAGATCGAAGGATGTTCATCTTTTTGACTACGATGCAAAAAAATCTTGAATGTTCTCTGCACTCGGAAGATGGGCAGCCTTTCGGAGCTTCTGTCCTCACTAAATCTGAAAAACCTATTGCATTTTTTCAACAAATATGTCTTCATAGTATGTTTAGAGTCTAAATTAAACTTCAGTCGCTTTTTTTGAAGAAGAAGCTGTATGTTCTGCGCCATACGCCTTTGAAAGGTACCCACAAAGCGTTCTGGTCGGCCATGCGATGAAGGTAAAAACGAAAAAAAATATTTTTTAAATACATGTATGTCTAAACAAGTCGTATTTCGCAACTCAGGTCACCTCTGTGGATGGACTTTCCGAATGTCTCAGCTTGTGTTTGAAGTCGGAAGACTTTCTCTGCAAGTCCGCTATGTATTACTACGAGACCGGAGAGTGTATTCTGAATCGCGAGTCGAAGTATGTTTACGGACATCTCTTCAAGCCAGGCATCCAGGACACTTTGGTCGACTACTTCGAGAACAACTGCGCTGACGGCAAGTTCACAGCTTTTACGTTATCCATTCACTGCTTCAGTTAGTTGCTCGGATCGGCAGACACTACATTGGGTGAGAACGGAAGAGTACGCGATAGACGACGCCAAGGACGTCGTCATCGAGAGTTCTGACGCTCAACAGTGCAACTCCCTCTGCGTCGTCAGTCGATCTTCCTTTTCGCCTCAAAAAACATTCGCAGGAGAACAAAATCGGCGACGAACGGTTTCCTTGCAAGGCCTTCGCCTTCAGTCACGTCAAACAGGAGTGCCATCTGACCGCCGAGTCGTCCTACGTTGGCCATCGTTTGTTCAGTCGCGTTTTCTAAAGATTCTTACTAGTGTTGCAGGTCCCAAGAAGAATTTCGGCTTGGCTCCGCTTACAAATGGCGAATATTTTGAGAAATATTGTCTTGATAGTGAGTTATTACTCTAATGTCTTGCGTTTTAATCTTTTTTGCTTTTCCAATGTGTATATGATTCGAAAAATCATAACTTCTTTCATTCTCAATTCAGCGCTATGTACATACGTTCTAAATATCTTTGGAAAATGAATTAAAAATCGGCTCTGTAAATCAATCAAAGATATATCAGAGGGTGTATATTTTTTTTGCAGATTGCAATTCATTTCAAAAATTTAATTCAGCAAATTTGCAATGCCTCGAGGCAAGCTTCGAACAAGTTCCGAATCGAAAGATGGTTTCGAGTTATCGGGTAAAAACTCATTATAATCGGAAAATATTATTTTTCTTCAAGACTTTGACTGCTCTTTCGCCTCACCAGTGCTTGACAGAGTGCATGAAAGAAGGACCCAGATGTGCCAGCCTGACTTATTTTTTCCTCGAAGTGAGTCCTTACACAGGAAATTCGTTATTGGAGTCACATTTCAGGATGAATGTCAACTATCAGACACTTCCCAATTTTCGAGACCTGACCAATTTGTCACAACGGACTTCACCGATTATTTTGATAAAATTTGCGACCCAGCGGACCCGAAAATCTCTTCGGAACCTTCAAGCGAAGATGTGGAAAAGACAGTTGAAACGAACAAACCCAACCCTGAGAAGTGAGATATAATTTTTTCCTGGAAATATATGTTTTTGTTTAGAAAAGTGGTCCAAGGAGCTACGAACTTCGAAGTCCCGACCACTATTCAAACTCCTGAAGGTCAAGAAGAAGAAAAGGAAAAAGACGAAATCGCGGCCAAAGAAGTTCACAGCGAAGTCGCGCACGACATCACAGCGCAAGTGGAAGGTTCAGTCGCATAATATCATTCGAACGACTTCGGAACATTGTTCAGGGACTGTGGTGGACGACGCCGAAGATTTCGAGCGAGAAGCGAACAGTGTAGAGCAATCAGAAGTTCCGGTCAAAGCTAGTCAGTTCAATATAAAATTTAGAGATTCTAAATTCAGTTTTCCGATGAACCAATCTCAAACCAGAGCCTTCCAGCAAAAAAAAAAATTCTTTTCAGGACTCTCCACGGAATGTCGGATGTCTGGAATAACGGTCGCAATATCTTTCGGAGCAGCTACGACTGGTTCCATTTACATCAAGGTTAGCAATCGAAAAGAGGATTTTTCAAAATCTTGTTTTCAAATGTATCAATGATTATATCAAAGACCGTTTCGTTTGAAGGACCACTTCTCCTCTTGTCGACAAGATTTTACGAACACTACCTATGCGGAATTGAATATTCCTTTGCCAAACAGCGACGAGTCAAATCCTCGTTGTCCTGGCTCAGAAAAGGTTTTTCCAGTTAGAAACTGTATGAGGAAGATATTCTTGAAGGAACCTTCGAAATGGTCGTTTATGATTGTTGTGCAGAGAAATGAGATGAAAGCGCCGCTGGTGACGACGAAAGACAAGGTTTTCGAGGTCTCTTGCGACTATTCGAAAATATTGGACAGTTCGACGTATCGGTATGTTTGATCTTCTCTCACAAATTGAGCAATGTTTATCTGAAGAAAAACTGAAGATGAACTGAAGTCGGAGAAAATTGGGATGCAGATTCTGCGAAACGGCGTGGCAGTCACCACAGTTCCGTTGGGTGCTGAAGTCACTCTGAAATGGACCGGTCTGTAATATATTCTCCACATTTTCTATTTTTTCTTCTTTCAGTTCTGAAAAGAACAGAGTCTCTTGGGTTTTTCATCAACGAATGTATTGCCGAGCGAGTTGGCGGCGTCTCTCCGGAGCCCGAGCCTTTGAAGATCATCTACCAAGGGTAACTGGATCCGAAAAAGTTGGAATGGAGGATGTTCAGATGCCCTGAAGAGAAAGTTCGGAATCGGCTTCTGAAAGACCCGGTGATCGAGGAGCCGGACGGCTTCTCGACCAAGATGAAGGTCTTTCGCTTCGACGGCTCTCGTCGAGTCAGAATCAAGTGTTCCATCGACGTTTGTGTGCAACGCTGTCCTCCGGTATGCATTTTTATTGATTTTATTTGGTTGAAAAAGAAACTTCAGAGAGATTAACGTCGTTGATGAAAATAATGCGAAAGCATCTATTTAGAATGTGTTTCGCTGTTTTCCGCCAACAAAAACGCGGCGGATTTCCTTGTTATCACAGGAAAAGATGAGTGCGTCGACGATGGTGGCGGCGTTGCTGCCTTCCAGAGTCGACGAGTTGAGGTCCAAAGTGACAGCGTCGAAATACTTTCCCACTTGGAAATCTCCGACTTTGGCTGCGAGTCCCAAAGATCGAGCTCCGCCTTCCGTAGCTGCTGACAGCAACTTTTCTGCCGAAAGAGCTGCAACGCTTCTTGAGTTCCCTCTCATCTTAAACTCAACAAATTCGCTTCGAAAAGACGGAGAAATTACTTGTTGAGAAAAGCAGGCCCAGCGCATCTCTTCCAGCATGCAAATGCGGTTGTTGCAGTCTGAGCCGAAGCTGATCGGCAAATCCTCGTTTATTTGCGGAATTCCATCTCCGAGGTATCCTGGGTAGTTGCGAAACAATTTTCGCAGTTCAAGACTCACCTTCAGTGCAGGGACAAATACTGACGTTGGCGCCAAGACTTGCCAAAGCTCGCATGTTGGCAGCAGAAGTGTAGGTGGCATGGACGCCCGTGAAATGTTCGCCGAGGTTTAGAGTCGTAAGTAGAATGTCACTCGGGCCCTAAAGAGCTGATTTTCCCATTTAAGAATCAATTAGACTCACTTGAGTTTTTCCAAGGAACTTCTGACAGTCTGCGATTTCCTTTGGCTGCTCCTCGAGGTGAATATGGAAAGGCAAATTCTCTGCCACTGCGTAGTTATACAGTTTCTTTATATTTTGGAAAGTCACTGCTCTCGCCGAATGAGCTGAATTTCTTTTTTCTTTGAGAAATGAAGTTAGGTTTCACCTGCTACTCCAAAAGACACGCGTGGGTGTTTGTTCTCGCGGCGGAGTTCCTGTATTTTTTGAATGAATGCATCGTATGAGGATACGAAGCGCTCCTGCACAGGATGTAGCGGTGGAGCATCAAATCCAGCTTGTTCGTAAAGTGTCTGAAGATCTATGAAGACATTATGAGATTCTCCTCCGACCTCTAACAGAACTAAACGGATTCCAGTGTCTACAGCTGCTCGAACAACTTCTCCATCTAAGTCGAATCTGAGAATGTTTATTAAAAAATCCATAAGGGGCGTCACCTGTTGTTCGCATGGTGCACGTAGTGGAACTCGCCGACAGAAGTTATTCCGGCGGCGAGCATCTCTCTGAATGTCGTCGCGCAGTAACGGTAGATGACGTCCTTGTCGACGTCGGCGACGAGGCCGTACATGTTGTCGCGCCACTTCCAGAAGGTATCGGCTGCACTCCGTCCGATCTCGCTTCGACCACGGAGATGCCGATGAAAGGCGTGCGAGTGAGAGTTGACGAAGCCAGGAAGAAGAACCTAAAGTAAGGTCGTGATGACTGGCTGGTTGGAGCTGACCTCGTTTTCTAGCCTGAGAACTTCACCGGACGGGATTCCGCCAACATTTGTGATCACTCCTTTCTCGTCAATTTCTATAGCCACTTCTTCTCCAATTTTTCCGCCTATCCATGCGTACTTAGCTACAATCGCCTTTCCACGTAGATCCATTATCTGCACGAGATTAAACAATTATTATGATGAGAAGGCTGCATGTAAGAAACAATTGAAAAAAAAAGAGAAAAACAGAATAAAACATAAAGTTTGAAAAAAAAAATAAAACATAATAAACGGTAGGGAAGTTTCAGGTGATCTGTGACGACCTTCCGACGGGCAAAGTTGACAGTTTTGGTAGAAAGAAGCGACATTCAGTAGAGGGTCTACTGCGACAACTCTCTTCTAACGTTCGTTTTACGGGTTCTTTTACGATTTTTGGTCCCGCCATTGCGCAGTTCGCGGCCATCTCATAGGCAAATAGGTTTTAGATGCCCACGCGGCCATAATTTTGTAAAGTTGATTTTTTTTCTCACAAAGAGAAGTGGTAAAGCTTTTTCCATATGCATGAAATATTTCCAAGGTCTGATAAATTCTCAAACAAATGCAAGGAGGTCAAAGGTGTTAGAGAACTAGCCGATCAAAGAAAAAACTAGAAAAATTATGAGCTGGAAGAAAAGGTTTTTTTGAGAATTTTCATTTCATTAATGGTCTGTACAGTACCAGGAAAAATACCAATTTTTCATCGCAAAAAAGACTGAGATTCGCTTGTTCTTTTCTTTTCCGCCTTTTTCTTTGTTTAATATGTTTGGGCTAGATTATTGCATGAATCTTTTTCGTTTCGATTTCAGCAGCCAACAAGACGTTCATCAAATTTTTAAACAAATTTTTAAACATTTTTAAACAAACTTAAGTATATTTTCAATTTTCAAAAAACGGCATGCGAAAAGTTAGAAAAAACGGATAAAATGAAAAATAGGAACGGGATATACATAAATAAGAGAAGATTTCCAGAGTGAAGCAGGAAAAAGACGACGACGGAACGTGGTAACCGGCACTTTGACCATCACGGACGTCGAGAAGAAGGAGCGGCCGCGGCCTGGTGAGTCTCAGTGACAAATGTCGGGACATGAGTAGCCGTCGACAGCTTTTCTCCCATCACTCTTCCCATATTTCAGCGCCTTGGCGCCCTTTGAAAAGCAGTGTTGAGTCCCCGTGGGCATTTATGCTGAAAAGGCTTCAAGGCCGACATTCGTTAAGAATATTTTTTGAAATAAAAAAGAGTAGCGTTGGAAGTCGACTCGATTTTTCAGAATTCTCCAAATCTTCCAACGACTTGTGTGTGCAGCGGAACCACGCCGAAGTCTTGGCGGCTCTCGTCGTCGCAGTTTTCGTCGTTCAGTTCGCAGTCCTTCTGGTTTGTCTTCGACGTTGCTCCAGAAGCTACTCCGACGTTCAGTCGATATCCTCTGGTGAGCAAAAAAGTGCTTCTTTTTTTCGAAACTGTTTGTTCGTAGGAAGTGATACGTCGACGTTTTCGTTTTCTCCGGCGTCTTCACGAACAAACATTCACTGCTCCACATCTCACGGTCTTTCTCTTCACAGTGGTAAGACATTTTCCTCATAGAACTGAATTTCTGAATTTTTTCGATAAGATAGGTTCCAGTTTCAGATAAATACTCGTGGTATCGTCGTAGCGCCTGAAATATCCGGGAGAGCAAATGTTTGCTCATTGAATATTCTTATTTACTACTTGAATGCGTAATTTATTATTATTAAAAATTAACTTTGATGGTTATTGTTCAAAATAAAATGAATCGTTGTTTGTTAAAGAATCCGAGACAGGGAAATTTTTGAAAGAAACGGCTTCAGTGGTAACAAATGCGGCTTTCTTCAAGTTTCTTGGTTGAGCGAAATAGTACGATAATTACCATACACAAGAGACCACGCCGACCAGCTTTTAAGTATATTGTTTCGCATCCAAAAAAAAACCAGCTATTTATTGAGTTTTTTAACGCAGTGCAGTAAATTTTAATAATTATTGGTTTGAAACCAGAAAATTTTTCGCTGCGATCTGCTTTTTCTTTCAAGAAAATTGCCATAGCAAGTGTGAATTTTTACGGGAATTAAAGTTGATACCTGTTCAAAAAAAATAATTAAAAAATGGCCACGTTTTCGAAAATACATTGATTTGAAACAATTTATTTTTGTATTTGATACAATTGTATCTACACATGCACCCACTTAGATGCGTTATTAAAGCAAAACAACGAACAAAAAAGGGCGAAAATGCGAGAAATTGGGAGTAATCAGGCAGAACTTGTAGATGACTCTGTGGAGGTCCCGGTCGGCCGGCATACTCGGTCCACCGGTTGATGTCCTTCCGGACACGATTTCGCTGCAAGTTTTCGTTTGTGACCGAAATTTATGTTGGAAATAGGGAAGATTCGGTAAATTTCAGGAGAATGCAATCTGTTAAATGAGATTGTTGTAACTCGATAGCCGTTAAATTAAGTATTATCTATTTTTCGCCTAATACAACTAGCTTAGAGTGACCATGTTGGAAAAAAATGGCTCACCACACGCTGTAGTAAGTGTTCCTTCAACTTCCTTCTCAACTTTAACCATGTAAGACGGACACTCTACTGAAATGTCTCCATTATTCTCCGAGTCTGGTCGGAATCGCGCACCTTCGACTTCCTCCTTGGTGATCTGCCTGTCGCGATTGGCGTCGACGGAGCAGCATTGGAAGCGTTTAGTGACCAGATGAGGCAGGCAGAGGTAGCCGTGGGGACATCCGCGCGCCAAAGGATCGCACTGGACTGGCTCCTGCGTCGACGGGTACAGCAACGCCATTCCGCGTTCGCAACCTCCGCCTGTCAACCTTCTCTCGTTTGATCGTCTTGAAGTATGTCAACCTGGTATTCTGGAGGAGCTCGTCTTCTTGTGCTGCTTCGAACAGCAATAGTAATCTTTTCGTAGCACAGAAAACTTGCACTGGTAGCCGTACGGACAGGAACTAGAAGCGCAAGACTTCGCTCGTCCGTTGACTAGATATGGAGCCATTCCCGTCGGACAGTGTTGAGCTGAATGATCAACGACAATCGAAAAATGGTGTATGTTAAACAAACCTATTCGATGATTTTTGGGTTTCATTTTCATGTTTTTTTCATAATTTTCTTCTTTACACTGCTTCTGTTTCGAGTTAACAACAGAAAACTCAAAAAAAACCTGGTCTATATGCATTATTGGATGAAAATGAAAATACTCAAACCGACACTTTTTTTTCGGATTCAAACCATCAGAATGTGGGCGTCAAAAAACTTGAAAATAAAGAAAAGACGTTTTAGGATTTCCCTTTATCAAGGAGTGTTTTGGCCGAATTTCCAAAAAAAAAACCTGTCAAAGTGTCTCGTCAAAAATGGAGAATAGACTCACTTGTCTTGGTGGGTCTGACCTTCTTCGACTTCTCTTCAGGGCCTCGCCCACAGCAAACGGTCTGTTCAGCCTGAAAGAAACTTTTAGATACATTGAAAGATGTATCAGCTCGTACGACGTCGCTGGACTCGCAGGAGAATCCGTTGGGGCAGTCGTCGTCGTCTTCGAGGGAGCACGTCAGAAGCTTCGAAGAGCCTTTCTCGTAGAGAGGCTTCTCGTTCTTGTCTGAGCAGATATTCGAAGATGTCGTGGATGGACGTGACTTGATCGAAGAAGAAGTCGTCGTTGTCGAATTGCTCGACTTTTCTTGAAAAAAAACTTTAAGTGGAACAAAGGAAGCGAAGTGAACCTGAAGTCTTGACGCAAGTGTTGCCTTCTGCGGCTTCTCCCTTTCCGCAATCGCAAACTCCTTCGAGGCACTTGGAGTTGGAAGAACACTGAAGTTAAAACATCTGATAGGATTCATGATTCAAAAGTGACTTGTAATGAGTTCTTGCACTGCTCGCCGATAACCGCGCGTTTCTCACATCTTCCTTCTATCCTGATCTGAAAAACAGACTTGAAAATTGGAATTTTGATGACTCCAGTAACCTGGTTTTTGGAGCAGTCTTTGTCGACGCACTCGCCTTTGAGGTCAACTCGATGGGGAGGACATCTGAAATATCAGATTGAAATGAGAAGTATTGCTCGGAGGACTCAGGACTCACGTGCAGACGTGTTCGAGGCAGCTGCTGCCCCCGACGCATTCGTCGTCTCTTTGGCAGCCGCCGCCCGGCTTGACGCGGACGCGACAAACTCCGTTGATCATCAACTCGTTCTCCGCACAATCTGAACCGCGCATAGAAAAGCTCATTAAACAAGCTCAGGAAATCTACGCCTCTTTCTTATCAAAAATAATTTTAAAGAAATAAAAAATATTCTTTAATTTTTACTTACTACCTTCCTTACGCTGTCGCGCCCACAGTTTTTTCTAATTTTTATTTCTTGGTTCAATCACTCAAATTTGAGATGAAAGCTTTTTGAACGATCTCGTATTTTGCGTGAAAGGAAAAAAGGGAGGATCTACTACTATACACTCTCTTCATGAAGTTTTCACATAAATTCTGATCTTTCTTGCGAATAACTATTATTATTATTAACCATTCTCTTCCTTGCTGCAGCAGATGTTCTTTTTCGAGTTCGTACTCTTGACGCACTCGTAGCCGTCGGCGCACATGTCAGGACCAGGAAGACATTCCTGAGCGTTGCCGTCGACGGCGATGTAGGCCGCGCGATGGCCAGGACACCCTGAGAGACCGTAGAGAAGAATTAGAGTCGATGGACGGACCTCCGCTCTGGCCGCAGCACTGGAACTGTCCTTTCTTGGAAGAGAACTGGCAGAAAAAGCCGACTGGACAGCTCTTCTCCTCGCCGGCAGTACAGACTCTCGTCATGTTGTTCCGACGGTCAATCAGAGCAAACTGCTTGGTTGGACATCCGTCATCTCAACAGCCAAAATGAGAGTCCTTCTGATTTGAATCCTACCCAGAGCCATCGGCTTAACATTTCGAATCGGTCGAGTTCCACAGCATTGGTACTTCTGGTTTTTGAGCGACCATTGGCATGTGTATTCAATGGGACAGGAGTTGGCTAGAAATTAAGCTCATCGAAAAATGAAGAATTTTAATCCTAGAAAACCTTCCGAATCGAAGGGGTCGCAACTCTTGACTTCGCCACTTTCTTCAACGAAAGCAAATTGAGAAGGAGGACAGCCGTCTGAAAATTCCCAAGTTGATTTCTGAAGAGCTTCGAGGGAAACCATTGACGCCTTCCTTTTCTTGGCCTGCACAGCAGAAGAAGTTGGAGGTTTCTGGCTGCTGTTGACACGTGAAGCCCTGAAAAGTCTGAACAATCGTCTTTCCCCTGAAAAACCTGCGGACAAAAAGCGAAACTGTCACTGCTACAAGTCGTCGGCATCTGGCTTTTCTCGTCGACGTGGAACTGCACCTCACCGGGACAGATGGCTGAAGAGCCAACTTCTTCGAGTTGCGACAGGAAAAACTCACGATGCTGACTGCAACAGTAGCCTTGGAAGGCGCCAGGGACGTCTGACATGCACGAGTAGGAGTTGGGGCAGGAGTTGAGCAATGGCGAGATGTGGCATTGAAGCGGAAGCTGCGTCGTGGAATAGCGGAATAGCGACCGGCCAGCCGGACACATAACTGCAACCCGAGGTGAACTGCTTGAGCTTCTCGCTCGCGAAACTCACTTCCGTTGATGTTGCCACAGCAGTAGTACTTATGGTTGGTTTGGGAGAAGCGGCAAAGGTAGCCACCGGGACATTTTCCATCTGAATTCAGAACGCAAAGTTATTAGAGCTCATTTTCTTCATCGAAAGTTTCTATTTGAAAAATAGATTTATTTATTTTCAAGGCTCGCCAGCACATGTAGCTCTCAATAAAAGTTAATAAATCTTTCCGTTAGTTTGAATTCCTTCAAATATCTTCAAAGAAGAGTACCTGCAGCCATGGCGCACTGTCGCGGAGTGTTAGTTCTCGGATCCATGAACGCCTTCTCGCCGGTCGGACAAACTCCTGAATTCGTTCCCAGATGCTTTCCGAGAATCTCGACAGACCCATGCTTTCGGAGCCGCAGCACATGTGTTCCTGAGTGAGGGCGTTCAAAGTACAGTCGTAGTTCAGGGGACAGTTGTTTTGTAAGGCCGTGTTGCAGATGAATGGCCTGTTCGTATTCGGATCCTGAACCTCATCTTCTCGTCAAACCGTGCATTTTTCACAGAACCTTGTAAATAGTGTCGCCCAAAGCGCATCCTGCACTCATACAAAAATCTTCGCATTCTCCCAAAGAATTGAAAGAATTTATCGATGTGTCGCAGCCGTTCGAAGTGTAAGATGAGCAGAGTTGTAACGCCATGTTGAAATAGTACCTTTGAAAAAAATTATTATTTTCCTTCTTTCAAGAGATTTATTATATAAGAAACTCTTAACGATCTCTTGATGATTATTTCAAAAGTATTCATCATAACCACTGAACAGCAAAACTCGGAAATAAACTAATCTGATCAACTACAAAAAATGCCAGAATTTTAAAATATGAAAAAGCCAGCTTTGCAAAACTTTTTTTTCTTTAAACTTTAAAAAAACTACAAATTTGAAAAAGAACTTTTTTGAATTTTATCGTTTTTGCCTCTTTACCTTCTTCAAAAGTTGATAATAATTAGCCCAGGTAAATTGATAAATTGTTTTCATTTTATTTTCGGTTAAAAACTTGCTTATTTCAAAAATATTGGCTCAGCACGATCAGTTCTCCGCACGGTTTCCTCAGTCGGGTAAACGGCGATGTTTTTTTTTTGTATCATCACAGCCTGACGCCAGAGGCCAGACACTCTGACAGGGTTTTTCGCGCACCCGACCCGCGCTGGCTTGCGCGCGGCTACATCTCATAGCGCATCAAGAGGCCGTTTTCCGACAAACTAACAGCGTAAACCCAAATCAATGGAACTTTTTGATACTTACTTGATTTGTCCACTACCGCTGCTACATTTCGGCAACATTCCCATTTGTGGCGGCTTCGAGCAGATAGAAACTGAAAAAATAAGAAATATGCTTTTTGAAAAAAAAAGAAAAACGATTAAAGTTATGAAATCTTCATCTTTTAGCAAAGATTCCGATGAGAAGATTGGGAAAAACCTTTGGAGGGACAGCAACGTCGCTGAGTGACGCCGTTGGCATCGACCATGCTGCAGTCGTAGCCCGTCGGACAGGGGTCAGCCGCAGAACAAGAACGAACCTTCGAGTTGGATCTCAGCGGGGAGCCGCCGTTGGGACACACTGAAGAGATTCTGAGGTGGTTTGTGGCGAAGAAAACGGACTGACAGGCGATTTCGCAGTAGTTCTGACACTTCTCGATCGAAGGGAAGTTGTTGGAGTTGCCGTCGCATCCGAGGAATAGGAACGACTGACATTCCTGTAAAAACATGAATTTCTGAAAAATCTTTCGAAAGGAAACAGAAATGTGTAACGATCGGGTTTTTTTTTGCACAAAAAAGCTTAAAAACGTTCATTTTTCATTTTGAACTTTCTATACCTCTTATGCCTTCAAATCAATTTCAAAACGCGTGAATATTGGTGGTATTTTTTGAACGTCGCCTTTTTTGGATGGCGAAAGAAAACCTTGGCCTGGTTGTTGTAGAAGTATCGATAGGAGGATCCAGAGCCGCAAGCGACGCCCTTGTTGACTTGCAGGGAGCAGGTGTAGGCCTTGCTGGGACAGCAGCCGTGGACGAGACCGTCGAAGACGCACTCGTAGTTGGCCGGGCAGGCGGTCCCTCCGATGCCCTCGCCGCACTGCATGAACTTGCCGGAGAAGTCGACGTAGGCTCGGCCTTGCGAACACTTCGGCTCAGCTGCAAACAGAGTTCATGCTCCAAAGGACAGCAACGAACTATCTTCTCATGAATCTCACGAACCGTTGATGTTTCTGCAATAGCTTTGACATTCGTTGAGAGAATTGAATCGGTTGTTGTTTCCCTGACAGCCGGTGTACAAGAAGGACTCACAGGTGCGCGTTTCTGCGTTGTACCTAAAAAAAACTCATGAATTTATAGGTAATCGAACGTTCTCTTACCAGAATTGACGGACGGACTGCTTGCAATCTCCGACTCGAAGCGGCTCAGTGCACAGCGTCTCTGAAATATCAAAATCAAGAAAGAAAGTTGCAGATTTTCTTCAAAAAGGAAAGAATTTCAGAAAAGCTCTTTCCTCGATCAAATGGAGTACTCTGGTCAGCCAGAAAAGGTTCCTAAATTATGCAAAACTGCTTTTTTCTCCAAAAGTCGCAGTCGAAGACTTAATACCTAATTCTTATAGTTTCTGATGGTTTTCTTTTTCTTTGAAATATCCATTCTCAAGAATAACGATTTATGTAGAATGAGACAGACAGAGTCCTCACACATTATCCAAACTGGCTAGTTTCCCGAAAAATTCCAGCTGAAAAGTACAGAATTCTTCCTGATGAAGTTTGTCTCACTGTGATTATTCTCTCCAAAGTTTTTGCGAAGAAACTAACGAGCTGTAGGGCAGCATACGGTGTGTTCAGTGGCGCAAGTGTGCGTCGAAGGACAGTCCGTGTCGCGTTGACATCTCTGTGGCGCGCCGTTTCCGTTCGTCAGGGGATTCCCATGCGGGACATTGCACTGAAGCCCCATTTTGCTTGTAAAATCAGGGAAAAGTTGTACATCTGGCACAAAATATCTGACAGTCGGCCTGACTGTGGAAATTGTTGAAATTTCCGAGGAAACCGTTGTAAGTGAAGGGATGGCACTGTCCGTCGGTCGGATTGTAGTAATATCTGTCAAAAGCACGTTTCTTCTTGTTGCCAGTCGCCAAGCGAACCTGGTGCTGATACCGAGGGCGTAGTTGGCGGCTTCTCCAGTGAGTTGATCGAATCGATGTCCTGGATCGTACGGCGCCGGCCGCAGTGGATCTTTTGATCGAGCTCCGGCTTCGCTACATATCGATTCTGGAAAGCAATGTTCCAATCTTGAATAATGAACTACTAGCAATCTTACACCGTAGCTTTTTTTATTTAAAAAAATATGTTAAAAAAGAATGAGATCTATAATGAGTACTCGTTTCATCAAGTTACAAAAAAACTCCTGAAACTACAGAAAACAAAATGATTTCAAAAGATAAAACGAAAAACTTGGCAGCCATGATGTTCCTCTTGTATGCGGAAAGTTTTGGAAACAAAAACATAATTTGAAGAAAAATATGCGTTTTTAAATTAGAAAATCTGGTCTTGGTTTCTAGTTGAACTGGCACGAGTGATTCCTTTGAGCACCGATAAGCGTACTTGCGATAAAATCAGATTATTTGATAGAATTCGCTTTGAGAAACTGACTTCGACTAGGACAGCAAACGCTCTGGCTGGCGACTTCGGTGCAGACGAAAGGATCTGGACAGGGATTGGCGGTGGTGCAGCCGGTCTGAGCGCTCTGGCCGAGGTGCGACTTGGCGGCCAGATAGGAAGGATTTCCCCGAGGACAAGCTGGAAAAAGAAATATTTGAGGTCCATTCTTTTAAGCGACTCACTGTCTTTGCAGTAGCTCTCGCAGTGGTCGAGAGTTTCAAAGTTGTTGGGCGAGACTTCGCTGCTCGTCGGATCGAACAGGAACTGTTGGCAGGAGCCGATGACGGCGTTGAAGTACCACCGAGGAACAGACCCAAGCGCTTCGGATTCGCCTCGCTTCGGCTGCATGCATGTGAAGGCTGGAATCGTTCCAATTAACTCCAGTCATTGTGAGAAAAAACCTCGATTCATACAACATACACCGACAGGGTGCTGGGACGTGTCGACGCCTTGTTCCTTCCAGAATTTGCTGTTGTCGATGCAGTCGTAAATGTCCGAAACGTCGATTGGAGAAGGCTCATCTCCGTACTGAATCAAAACTACAATGGATGCTCCGAGAGAAAGCTCAAAAAAGAAAATCAAAATCAAAGGAACTTTCTGAAAAAATGTCCTCATGTAGCCCGAAAACATCCGGAAACGGGTTTTATAAGTTTTAAGCAGGGGTTTAAGTTATAGCTATAGCTTTCTAATGACGTCATGAAGTCTTATTTTCTGATTCCAGTAGGCCTTGAGCAGCAATTTGCGAGATTCTGATAATTTATGTGAAAATTTCTCGCTTCATTCTCATGGATTCAGCAAAAACTCACAGATCCTCGGACGGCGCATTTGTGGTCGTAGGCCTTGTTGAGAAGCGTTTCTTCGTTGTTCGGCAGGGTGGAACTGTGTGGATTGCAAGGAGCAATGCTCACACTGTTCTTGCCTGCAGAGATCCATTCAGATTCATTCAGAGACTCGAGGGATACCGGCGGCGGCTGGAAGAACTGTCAGGGCAGCTGGAGAATCCGGCGGCGGCAGCGAAGGCAAAGGACACGCCGGCTCGGTCGAAGTCGACCAGACACACAACGTTCCGTCTCTGAACCGTTGACGATACATCACCCAGAGCTAATTCATCAAATCCGACTTCATAGCTGTTCAGAATTCTCTTTCCTTCAACCTTCATGATTTTCCTATTTGAAATCGTGAGCGAATTTACGCGGACGGTCATACGCGTGAAGTGCTTAGGTAAAGATTGATTCGCAAGCGCAACATTGAGAGGACCAATTCAAAGGTTGAGACGGTGGCCGAGATTCAATTTTTGTTTGTAGATGACCGCCGAGTTGAGAGCGTCTGGGCTATGAGAACAGTAGTTACGTTTTTTTTTTTCCTTCTTCACACTACGAAATAATTTCGGGTGTTTTCGTTTCTGATAAATCAGGGATTTATGATTTACAGCATACATCGGGGAAAATGGTGAAAAATAACAGAAATTCGAGCGTTCAAATAGTTCAACCCACCTGGAACACTAAACTGCGCTTTTAAGTACCTTGAAAAAAATGGACCAGAGTGCGAAAAATCATTCGGCCTTGTAAGCTTGATGCAGTGAATCAAAAATACAAACTTGGTTTTGATGGCGACCATGTCGTCAGAAGGACACAGACATTGTCCGTTCTTGCAGAAGGAGTCCGGCCAAACGGCGGAGCACTGGACGTCGTAGAAGCAGCCCGAGTCGGATGGAGAGATTTCTGAACGAATCTTTGAGAAGAGCAGTTCTGAAGAGATTCCGACTCTCATAACAGTAGGCGTCGACGGCGATGTAGGTGGAGAGACAGCGGCATTGTCCGATTGCGCAGAACATTCCTCCCAGGCAGTCCGTATTGAAAGAACAGACGTCTCCGACCCTACCGGATCCTGAGAACTTCATGATAGAGAACGAAGAATTGCTGCAACCGACCAGATGTTCCCTGCGCGTGGAAGATCATGGTGGCTGGGTCGATGCACTGCTTCAGAGAGGCGCTGAAATGAGCACGGCCGTTCTCGGAGCAGACTTCCTGCTTCCAGACGCCGCTTTCCGAAGAGCAGACCAGGTAGGACGACGGCTCAACGTCTATCTTCCTTAAAAAATCAAAAATTTTCTGAATTCAGGGAAGGCTAAACTTTGTCCGTGGATTGCAAAACATAAACTGCATTTTGTTGCCATTTTTCGCCTTGACACGGAGCGGCCAAAGCGGCGCCGATCGTGCAGGAAGCGCAGTCGTCGTCGATCGAACATTCAGGCAAAGGAGGTGCCGCTGAAGTCGGTAAAACGGATGAAAAGCATATGGTCATGGTCAGCGGGGATTTGCTTTGAGAGGAAAAATACGATTTATCCAAATTTACCGAAATCTCAGCAGTTTAGGGAAAAAAACCTAGCGAATTCGATATTTTTTACTTTCACTGAGAATTCCTGTAGCAGCAGAAATACATACCGACGCCCCGTGGAGGACGTTTTGCGAATTAATAGACTCACAAACCAGAGTAGATTCACTGAAGGACTTGAGAAAGAAGCTTTTCTTTACTTCAATAATACTTCCATTAACGTTTTTGTACAATAAAAGCCATGATTTAGCTTTTTTGTAGCAGTTTTGAACCGATTTCGTGTAATCCAGAGCCAAATTGCATTGTGGGGGCTGCAGCTTGAAATTATATTAAATAAATTACCGGCACCAGGGAATTTCCTAATTTTCTTGATATTTTTTTAAACTGAATCAAAAATTTCTTTATACGAGGTTTCCTGGAGGAAAAAGGTAAGTCAAGTTTGTTTCTGAAACATAAATTAAAACGAAATGATGATATAGCGAATCGCTCTGGAAGTAAAATCTTCTGCGAAACTTCAGATAGACCGATGGAATCGCAAGATGGATTCCCTATCTTAAAACTCGTTCCACACTGGCCAAGGCCTTCAAAAAAGGCTCAGTTGGATAATTCAACTGATTAGAAAGATAAAGGGAACGAACCTTTTAGGGCGGCGATGAGCGTGGCCGCAAGGAGCAGACGCATGGCGACAGACTGAGTGACCGCCGAGTGATAAGAGCTTCGCGCGATATCCCCGATCAACAGCCACTCGAGGGGCCACGATGCATCTCGATTGCGCACGTATGATGTCCGCGAGGCGCTTTGTTTGGAGCCTTCGAACTTCTTTTTGCTGTTTGACGTGTCCGCCGCTACCAAAACTCCTCGCGACACCCATCACCGCCTTTTTCCCCCGGCTTTCCCGCTTCGCACTTGCGGTCATCGTGTGGGAGCCTCTGGAAGCCAAAGTCCAACAGATCGGCTATTTGAGATCCTCAACAGATTTTATCCTGATCGCCCATAGAATCTTCTGATGTTATCATCACAGTTTAATCACACTTCGTGCTTAAGAATTGGTGAAAGAGGAACAGACACCTCCTTGAAAAAATAAAAATTTCGAGATTTTTCAGTCACTTCGTCTATTCAGAAGCCTCAAAGTGACTTTTTGACAAAGTCTTAGGGATCCATTATTCGTCTGTTAAGCTGATTTTGCGAGAAATGTGAGGCGTTTTCTTTCGAAGAATCACAAGAAATGTCCATTGAGACCTTAAAAAAACTTTGATCACTTTCATTTGAAAGTTTCTTTAACGCTCTAGCAATTTTCAAAAAAAAAAAAAGTAAAATGACTTGCTGGGAACTTCAAGTTTTTCGAAAAAAAGTGATGAAAAAAAGTCTCTTTCGCTTCTTTTTTTATTCATTTTGTATTCCATAAACGTTAACATATCACTAAAAAGTTATTTTAAGTTTTAAAAGACTGTTGTCCCTTCCATATTCGAGGATTGAGGCATTGAGGTTCTTCCGGTTATTTTCTCGAACTTGAAAAAAAATTTTTGATTAACTTGTTCTACAACTTACTTCTTCTAAATCTTTAAAAACTTATTCTACCTCCAGACTTTCTAAATCAGAAACCTCATGATATATTTTTTTCAGAATAACAAACTGGATTGCTTGAATGAACAATGTTCTCGAAATTTCTTTGAAAATTTCCAAAGTTTCAAAAAAGAAAATTGTGCTCGACTTTTGGTCTGAGCTAAAGCACAGACCTGAATTCGGAATTAGGGAAACACTGCCAAGTACTTGCATTAACTACTCTCCTTTTCTCCGGATCGATGATGAAAAAAGAGTCGAAAATCATTTATTCAAAGATCATCGCCGACCGGGTACGAAATACCAAACCAATATAAAATCTAGCTTTGTTTCAAACAACTAGCAGAGAAATCGAATACAGAACGGAAAAAGAAATGAACAAGGAAATTGATTGCAAAAAATGGGACGGACACCGGAGTGGTCGACTCATAAAGCGGATGATGGAAAAGGGTGCGAAAAGAGACAAGATGCCGAGTTAGGGAAGTACGAGTGTGGAGAAAAAATAAAATCGAGAAAAAAAAGATTCCTACCATAAGGCAGAACAAATTTTGGAAGAAGAGCACTCGAGCTAGAGTTGAAGGGCTACAAAAACCGTTTAGGGACTACGCGAGAGAGAAATTTAGGCCTTGAATCCTTCGAGAGCCGACTTCGGCACGTCGAAAACCTTGCTCATCATCTCCTTCTGCTCCTGCAAGTGGGTGTACTTGTTTCCGGTGGCGGGCGACGAAGAAGGGAGGCGGCCTCCGTAACGGACCACCCGGTCGTCCACCGACAACAGCGAGTTGAACCGCGGCTGCACGAAAGTCCACGCTCCCATGTTCTTGTGCTCCTGCAAGCTCTCCTATTGAAAAAGGAAAGAGGTTCAAAAAGTCACATTATCAAACTTGCTGAAAAATTGGCCAAAAAAACTCTTGTTAGATTCTTGATTTTTTTTTTTACAAAAATAGAAAAAAAGGCCATAAAAAAATTTTTTTCCTACAAAAAAAGTTAGAGAATTTCTTTTTTTAGATTATTTGAGACAAGAGAGTTTTTAAAGAATTACAAGATTATTAGGAATTTATGCTAAGAAAAAAAAATTAAGGAAAAACAGGATTTCGGCTTCAGAATAAAGGTTAGACAAATTTATCAGGAAAAAAATTCTTCCTTTTTTGAAGGACTCGAAATTTTAGAAATTTCAACGTCCAAAACAAGGGCTTTCGAGTAAGAAACAAAAGAAAAACCGACCTCTTGTGCCCAAACAAGCTCGGCGCCTTTGTATTTCCGACATTCCTCCTGGATCAAATCGTACGGGAACGGCGAGATCTGCTCGACGCGGACGATGGCGACGTCGTCTTCCTTCTTGATGTGCTTCCTCGCAGAGACCAAGTCGTAGTAGACCTTTCCTAGAAATACGGAAACATTTCAATGTGTGCCTTTTGATAACCGACCAGTGCAGAAAACGAGTCGCTGGACCTGCTGAGGATTAGAAGCCGGAGGTCCGGTCTCTGGGATGACTCTCTTGAAGCTGGAGCCGGGAGCAAAGTCCTCGAGGGGAGAACGAGCCAAAGGATGTCGGAGTAGCGATTTGGGAGACATGACGACGGCTGGCTTGCGGAACGGCATAGTCACCTCAAATCAAATGATGATAACCATTTTAAGTTCCGACTTTAGTTTTTCCTACGCCTAAAGATACAATTCTTTGGAACCTTTCATTCTTGTTTTTCGAATCGAACACGCCAAATAAAATTTCAAAGGAAACTAATTCAAAAGGCCGGAGCTTGATTAGGGCTGAGTCTATATTTCTTATTCGTGGAACTAACTATAATCGATCTAATAAACAATTTAATTAACTCTCATTCACTTCCAAAACTAACCTGCCGACGGAGGAGATGGAAAATATTGGCAGGTGTGGTGCAGTTGGCAACGATCCAGTTGGTATCATGCAGCTGCTGAGCTTCGAAAGTTCCTTCGAACGCAACTCTCTGCAAAATAATTCCGTCAAGGCTATTCATAAGAGAGGCTAACGTCGAGGTCGATGACGTCATCCTCATTGCACATCTGCAAGAAACGCTCAGGTCGCGCCGAGGAGTGTTCGGGTCCCATTCCTTCGTAGCCGTGAGGCAGGAGCATGACCAGGCCCGATTGTCGGATCCACTTGGACTGGCCGGAGGAGATGAACTGGTCGATGATACATTGAGAGGTGTTGGCGAAGTCACCGAACTGAGCCTCCCAGATAACCAACGAGTTGGGGTCGACCATCGAGTAACCTGCAATTCTCGATAAGTACGTCTATGATCCGAATGAAGTTCGAACCGAGCTCGAATCCGAGAACGGCGTACTCAGAGAGCGAAGAGTTGCACACGGTGTACTCGGCTTGTCCTTCGGAAAGATCGTTCAAAGGATTGTAGGTCTGAAGGGAAACGAAATATAGGGGCGGATGCATCAGCTGCACCTTTTGATCGATCTTCTGGTCGTGCAGAACGTGATGGCGGTGGGAGAAAGTTCCTCGTTCGACGTCCTGGCCACTCAAGCGTACGTGGATGCCTTCCTTCAGCAGCGATCCGAAAGCCAGAGCTTCGCCACAAGCCCAGTCAAGCTGAACCCATTCGTAAAAATGTTCTTGCCAGTAGTTTGTTCGAAGCAATTCACAGGTAAGGTGAGGACGGCGCAACAACATCATGAACTTGCGCCTATATTAGCGTGCGCAAATGAAAATTTTCAGTTTGAAAAAATTAATTAATTCTCAATAGTTTTAATTCGCAACGAAACCTAAAAATTTCGGAAAAATATCTATGAAAATTACCCGCTCCAAGCGATTCATTCATGTCTTTCTGATTTTCGGGTGATAACTTGTAGAAGTCTTCTGATATTTTTGCTTTAATTAATCATAAATTTAGTTTTTCAAGTCAATTTCAATCGATATTAATATTCAAAAAAATGACATAAAAAAAGGCGAAAAAAAGTGCATCAGAACTTTCCGAGTTTACTTCTTGAATTTTCTTTACAAAAAAATTATTGAGATCGTGCGATAGTGAAAAAGCAGAACGTAGGCTTTTTGACAGCGATTTGTCGTTTTGAATTGTTAAACTTTATTTCCATTGTTTTTCCGATTATAAATTCGCTTGACTCAATTTCCGTCAGAAATATCGTAATGTGAAAACATTAGAATTTCAAATAAACTCGATTAAAAAAAACTCTAAAAATACTGAAATTGAATAAAATTAAATAAAAAAAGGGACCTAAAAGAACCCTCCGGTCTTTTCGACAATTTGTAACTCTCGCTTATTTTTACTGATGTTAATTTTTTTTTTGAAAGTTAAACCATTGTAAACAGATTAAAAAAAGCGTATCCAATAAATTGCTGCTCTCAAAAAATAGCAGTAAAAAAAGATACCGAGTTGTCTTTCAACATTTGCGTGCGTCCCTTGAGAGTCCGTTCCAAACCACGATGGAGGTTGAATCCGCTGGGGACGGTGCTGAACTTCTGGATAATTTGCGCCGTGTTCTCCTCCTCGATTCCGGTGCTGATCAGCTGGAACAAATAAGATGAAGTTGTATCGCAACTTCCTGAAAACCTTGAGAGGATCGCGCTTCTTGAAGAAATCGTCCCAAGGCGAATCGAGCCAGTCGCGATTGCGGACGTAGGTCACCTCAAAAGTTGGAGAGTTGCAAATTTCAGAAGAGGAAAAAAAAACTTTTTGCGCATTCTCGTAAGCATCTTCAAGAATCGCGCCGTACTTGGTCAGTTCTTCCTGGAATCAAAATGCGTGAAAATCGATAGAAGTAATCTGCGGACCTTTACGTATTGCTCATTGGCGACGCCTTCGTTCAGGATTTTCTCCTGGTATTTTTCGAGGGCCGTCGGCGTCTGCTTGATGCGTTGGTACATGAGAGGCTGGGTGAACATTGGCTCGTCCAGTTCGTTGTGACCGTGTCTGCAATTCGGCCAGTCACAAAAATAATATTTCCCAATATCACTGAATGATACTACTCAAAAATTATTCTCGAGAAATACCGCCCTCACACATGTGGACTTCCATTTTTTTTTCGATTTTTCTGTCAGAACAATGTGAAATAATTTTTCCTAAAAGTAGAGTGAAATTAAACAGGATAGACTAAATATTAAAGAAAAAAACCAACCGCCGGTAGCTGACCAAATCGATGATGACGTCCTTTTTGAAGGTCTTGCGCCAGTCGGCGGCGACGTTGCAAACGTGCATCACGGCCTCTGGATCATCTACGTTGACGTGGAATATGGGACAGCCGACGACGCGACCGACGTCCGTGCAGTAGGGCGAGGACCTGTAGTCCGATGACGTTGGACGTCTTCAGAAGACGTGACGAACCTGCTGCTGCGAGGGTCGGTGGTGAAGCCGATCTGGTTGTTGACGACGATGTGGATCGCGCCGTGGGTCGTGTAGCTGGGAAGGTCGTCGAGGTTGAACGTCTCCATGACCACTCCTTGGCCGGCAAACGCCGCATCTCCGTGCAGCAGAATCGCCATCGTTCTGTCGCATTTCGCGTCTCCGGCGTAGAATGCTTCAGCTCGTACCTCAAAGAAAGAACTTTTACAAAAATTCGCAGTTTTCATCGAAAGAAATTCAGGTTCTCATCAATATTGTTTTAATTTTCAGTTTTCCATATAATCGGACCATGAAAGGATTATTTTAATGAAGCGCATTTTAAATTTGACTAAAATACGAGGGAAACAAAGGAACCTTGCCCATGACGACGGGGTCGACGGCTTCCAAATGCGACGGATTGGCGACGACGGCGATTTTGATGTTTCGCTGCGACTGACGGTTCAGTCGCTCTATGCAGACTCCCAAGTGGTATTTCACATCTCCGGATCCTGAAAACAAAATATAAAGCCCTAAAAGAAGAAAATAACTTGACCTCAAAAAAACACTTTTTGCCGGAAAAAGCTTTAAAAAAAGGATAATATAGTTTAGAACATTTTTTTTTGTTTCATCATTTATTGTAAACCTTGCAGTTTTTTAAATCACTTATGGAGGAAAGATTTTCAGGGACAAATCTTCCGGAAGCGATTCGGTTATGTTATTGTGATAACTACAATGTATAGCTTATAAAATTGTCAGAAATTTAAAAAAAAAATGAAATAAAAATACGATAAACGAAAGTTTGCTCTAGTCCCGTTTAATGAGTTTAGAATAGATATTCATGATTGAAAATAAAAGAATTCTAGGCGAATTTTTTGCGTATAGACCTTCGTCGGCAGGTTCGAGAGTCGAGAACTGGGAAAGAATCGTGGCGAGAGGCTGACGACAGACGTTGGCCAGAACGTTCAGACGCCCGCGATGAGGCATTCCGATGACGAAGGAATCGACTCCGAGGGACGAGGAAGAGTCGATAACCTCACAGTTCAAGTTGTTTTATTCAACAATTATGGTATGCAAGATTCGCATATCGGCGCAAAAATTTCCAGTTAATCCGCTTCAAACTCATTTACGCAACACAATTTTTGCTTTTTCCCCACTGTGGTTGCAAATGATAATCAACACTTTAAAAGGAAATGGTTGGAAAAAATTGATAAGAAAACTTAACAGTGAGTTTTGAAGCGCTTCATATCATAATGATCTTTTTTTACCCATATTGGTAATCGATTCCGCATGATGATGAGTTCGAAACGTTTTATCTTTTTGAATTATTTCAACGTCTACCTGCTTGATGGCTGGAATGAGCACTTCGCAGCCTTCCAGACCGAATCTTTTTTCGCTGGGCCATTTTTTCGCCAAGAACTCTTCGAACTTCGTCGACCGAATAAGGCGTTTGAAGAGAACCTACAGAAAGACACGTTTATCAGCTATTCTGAAGAGAAAAGACCTTCTTCTGGTCGTGAGATAGTTCCGTGACGCGCGGCGCTTCGAAACGTCGACGGATCCAGTCCTGCTGTTCCAAGTTGTTCAGGTGCATGTATTCGACACCCGTTGTGTTACAATAAATTTCCTGAAACGAACTTTTTCCTGCAAGAAATGGGAAAATTACGGAACCTTCAGTCTTTGCAATATTTCCCTAAGTGTAAGCGTTCTTTTCTCGCCACTGATGAAAGTGGTCGGCGGAAGAATAAATTCTCTGGAAAAAGGTTAAATGATTTTTTCTGTAATGTGTACACGTTAAAAATAAAAAAATAACTTGTCGAGTTTGATACCAAAAAAATTTTTTTAAGGAAAAAGATTCATTCAGTAAAAAAAGGATTATAAAATACTCGGTTTTTTTCACCAATACTTTTCTCAATTTTAACTGTACTTAATTAAAAAAAGTCAGTATTTGAAAAATCTTTCGGATAAATCTCGATACGCGTATATAATATAATTAGTTCAATCGTATTAAAAAAATATTTTTTTGGATGGTATTTTTGAATGTCCGCAACAACAAAAAAACCAATATTATTTGAAATGATGGAAAAACAAGGAACCTATCGAGGTCGCGCTCTCCAAGGCCATAGAAAGAAAGTTCGAGCTCCGGCGGAATAGTGTCGTCCAAATCGGCGCTGTTGATGCCCAGAGGGTCGAGGTCCGCGATGTTGTGGCCTCTCGTCTTCAAGTTCCTTTTTTTTATGAACAAACTTTTGAAAAAAACAAGTTGCCCATTTTAATCTCTCTACTTCACATAGTAAGTATACGATTAAAAATTTGATAATCAAAGTTTTGTTCTTAAACTTTTTGTTTCTTAAGTATTTTCCCTACATTTTTCCTTTATTCGTCGATCCAGTATTTGGGTGTGAGAATAATAAAACATTCATATAAAAATTTTGATTTTAGCTATAACTGGATTCACAAACGTATGCCGCACGGTTTGAAAGCAGAAGAATACAAAGAATTATTCTTCAAAAAGAGAAATTTCAAGGAACCGAAGTTACCTGATAACTCCTGATCAAGAGCTGAATTTTCAAGTGGTCCGAAATGGATTGAACCGACGCGTTCGTATCCACACCAGAGGAAACCGAACTGAAACATGAAATACATTATTGAAAAACACCAAATGTAACTTTTTCTTTTGTTTTCGATACTCATAAAAATTAAAAAGTCCCAAAAAAAAAAATTGAGGCTCGAATTCTTCCGAACCAAAGGTGTGAAAAATATAGCAACTACTGATATAGGGTCTAAACTAACCCTTCAATGGTCGTAATGAGCTTTTTCCTTAATAAGAGCCTTTTATAAGTTTTAAACCGTAATATGTGCGAGAAGATTGCCTGGAAAAACTTGAAAAACTAAGCCATTATCCTGATCTAGATAATTTCTTCTCACTTTTCAATCCACAACGTATGGTAAGAAATCCAAGGATCTATTAGTCACAAAAACAGCTTTTTTCCGAAACAACTGACGTGGCGACGGACGGCAGCGCGGTCATGGCGTGACCTGCATGGGAGAGGGCCGGCGGAGCCTGGAAGGCCTGACCAGGACCGGCTCCGGCCTCGACGTTCCGGAAGTACGCGTCCCAAGAGACGTGCACTGAAGCCGGGTCTTGCTGCCAAGCCTCGTACATCTGCAACTTCCATGCTTCTTCAAGAACTTCGGAATTTCGGGATAAATCTCCTGCTCGAAAATAATTCTTAAATGATGGCGTTGTCTGCTAATACTAAAAAAAAAACAGAGTCTTCGCTAATTTTACCAGATCGAGAGAAAATTCGAAAAATAAGTAAACATTCTCGGAATCAGCATGGAAAAAATATCCAAACGCACAAAAAATTAAAAATTGATTCATAACATAAATATTTGAATAGTCATAAATGACCTTTGAAAAAGTGTACAATATTTACACTATGCAAAGATTCAGATTCTCTACGTTCCCTGATTTTGGATAATAAAACACTATTTATCTAAATTTTTTGCATCTCGATCATGATTTTGAAAGCTTTAAGAAATTAAGTCATTTACCTGTTCAATGTAAATGGACGAGGATCCATTGAGGAACGGCTCATGCTTCACAGACGCGGCGACCGATTGCCGTCGGACCTTCAAAAAGGAATCCTATCTAGCGGTTCGAAAAATCTTGAAACACGAGTGAAAAACCTTTGTACGGATGAAAAAATTTCAATAATCATAATTGGAGGCGAAATTTCCAATTAAACGAAATTGTTCGTTTCATAAATGACTTTTTACAGGGAAAAGGTTGTAACCTGGGCGACAGGCGCAGTAGTGGTGGTGTTGCCGTTTGACGCTCTACGGAGAGCAGCGACCCTGCTTGGGGACGCCAGACGGCACAAAATGCCAGCCCGATGCATACTCAAGTTTCTGTAATTCACGAAATGAACTAAATTCCACAACGCATTCAAACGTGTTTACGAAGAAAAATAGTTTTCTCTGTACAGAAGGCAGAAGCGATACAAAACCAAAGATCAGCGCGGTGTTTTCTTTTTTCTTGTCCTTGCCGAACACGAAAAAAGGCCACAAGAAAATAATAAACACCACTTTAAAACTATTTGCTTCCTTATAAGTGAACCGAAAAATCTATTTACAACTTTTACATGAACTTTTCGATTCCCGAAAACATGATGAAGAGGCATTGACATTTTGAACGAAGGAGTAACGCGATAAAAACGAAACTCTATTTTTAACCTTTTTATTAGATATTTCAACGCGTGTCATGCGCGAACATTATAAAAAAAAAACAAGATTCTTGCTATACATTTTTCTACAATTTGCCTCATTTATGAAAAAAAAATTTTGAATTCTTTCCACCTTTTCATCAATATTGATCTGAAAAAAACGCAAAAGATACCGGAATGAAACTTTGCGAAAGTTATTACAATCGGAAGAGAGACAGAAATTTCTAGAAATAGTAAAAACAAAAAAAGTATGGAAAAATGAAGTTTGTTTAACAAAAAAATTTTTCATTCGAAATTATTTTTTTATTCAGGCTCTTTAAGTAATGATAGAAAAGATAAACTATGAACTCGTCATTAAAAAAAGTCAACTCAAATTCTCACGAAAAAACAAAAAATTACAAAAAAAAAAGAAATAAAATTCCCAAAATTAAAATTTCAACATAAATGCGCTAAGTAGCCCCTTAAGAGACCCCTTCCGAGCGCAAGTGTTAGTTTCATAACCGTGAAGAAATCGTGTGTCTGAAAAAAAGATTTTTTTCTTCTTATAAGAAGTTTTAAGTTTTTCGAATCAAACGCACTCAGAAGTTTTTTGGAGATTATTTTTTATCAAACTCGAGAAAATATCGTTTGACAATCATTATGAGGATTAAAAATTTAGTGCAAATTTTTGGCTCCCTAACTTTTTCTTAGTGACCCATTATCAAAGACTTTTGTTTTTCAAAATTACCTATGAAACTTGATAAAGATTTCTAAAAAAATGCGAATTGAAGAAAAAAAGCATCGGAAAAGTCTCTGTCTCTCTGAGTCTCCGCTTGCCGACAGACGGCTGCCTCGGGCGGCTCCGATTCCTCTGACGTCATCCTCGGCGGGTTTGTTCAAGGAAAACCATTCTCTAACTCTCGTCGGAGTTGTTAGAGGTGAGCGAGTGGGAAACTCCACTCGAAAACACGCAGGAACGCTTTTCTCAAAGCACTAGTTCCTGCTTCACTCATTTGAAATTTAAAAAAATACGAGACAAAACAGTTTTTGATGGAAACAAAAAATGAAAAAGCCATCCGCTTCGAAAAACGAAGTAAAGAGGTTGAGAAAATTTACATATGTTCAAAAAGCCTTGTGTGACTCTTGGACTCGCTGAGAAAACTCTTTTTCATCAAAAACAAAAGCCAAAAACGAAGTATATAACTTTTCATGGGAGTAAAAATACTTGATGAAATGGGAGTAAAAATATTTGATGAAATTCCGAAATTAACTGCCTCTGACCAACCTCAATCTTCTGATTCCTGTAAATGAGTCAAATTAATGATTATCAAACACCTTAAATCGGCTTAATATGAACACCATCACTCATTACAACTTTTTTCGTACACACAGAATATAAATACTCCGACGGTCTTCGTAAGTGTATTCGACTCTGCCCATGCTTTCCGAAGAAGAGTCCATATTTCTACTAACACTCCAAATTTATGGCTTTAGAAAGTGAAAAAGTTTTTTAAATGCAAAGGATGTTGAAGTAGTACCGAACTGGTTATATAATCCCGGAATCCTAACCTTCTAATTCGCACAGGCGGAACAAAAGGCCTTATCACCTGGGTCCACGCCTTGTCATCCCATAATAATTGGCGCCACACAAACTTCAAATTTCTCTTTTTTTCAATGGTTCTTCGGTCCATTTACCTCGTTCCTTTGGCATACGGAGCTTGTGCTTTGGGAGCTACGGGAACCAAGTGAGTTGATCGACGCGAAAATTTGTTTTCTCTGGAGAAGGCGGTGTACACATCGCTCATAAAACTCTAATCTGTCAATAAACGTTCCCGATTAAGTTTCTCATAACAAAAGAAAACTTTCATGCTCGTTTTGATTCATTTCTATTTCAAAACAATTTATTTAAAAAAAGTCTTAGAAATTCTTATTGTTTTGTCGACGGATACTACGACTGATAAGGACGTGTGCTGATAAAATTAAGATCTTTGAAAAGACAGGATTCCAAGTTTTGAGCCCTTCTAAGAGGTCAGCTTTTCTGGAAAGGAAGCTTCCGCACGAAGCTTCTGATTTTCCAGGGATTTCGCTAAAGATACAGTAACATTGGAGACAGAATATACTCACTCTTATTTCTAATAGTTGCGAAAATTTCAGATATTTTTTCGTTTCTCTTATCAGAAGGTACCCGCAGTTTCTACCTTTTTTAAGGTATTTCCAAACAAAAAAGAATAATAATTTGAACTTTCCAGCCACACTCAAGTTTCCTTGTTAGGCGAGTGTCTGTTTTGCCATCTGGTGAGCTTCTCAGCCTTTCTGCGTGAGCCTCAGACTTCTTTTCCTTCTGAGAACCTCTTTCAGTGCTTCTGACATGCTACATCCGACATCGCCAGGCCGTCGAGTACTACTGCCACCGACTCGAGTGGGAAAGTTCCGCATGGCGCCGCGCATCTTTCGTTCTTGCCGGTGTGGGCTCAATTTCCGCGTTCTTCATCACCATCATCGCCCATTGCGAGGTTTTCGTCGCGACGATCTTTCCACTAGAGCTTTTCGGCTTTCAGGATGAGAAGTTGGCAACGATCCACGACGTCGCAGACTCTTTGGCTTTCTTCTGTGGTTTCGTCTACGCCTGGGGACAAACAATACTGAGGTGCGATGAGAGTTTATTTCGTACCTGGTAGATTCAAAAATTAAAGAAGCATACACACTTTTTTTGTAAAGCTGTTGTCGAGAGCGCCATCCTGAAAAAAAGTTTTTTTTTGTGGCTAGAACTGCGTGAGCTGCTCTGAATTTTTTTAGCGTAGCGGAAAAAAACTGCAAACTCAGTTGAACCTTCGAGAAAAATTTCAACGAACTAATTTTTTTCGAAAAGTTTGATTGTTTTGAACTACATGCAAGCACAACGATATGAAGCTTTTGACTTGCCTCTGAAGGCTAAATAAACTCAAAAACATACGCCCGAGAAGGCTCAAGCTCTGTTTTTTTTTTAGCAGCTTTGTCATCCCCAGAATGTGCTCCCTGCGCGTCTGCGTAGCTCGTTTTCTCATAGTTCTCAGCGAAACTGTAGCCTACGGATTCTGTAAGCCGTTCTCCTTTTCGACCCAGAGTATTGCCTTCAGACAGATTCGCGAAAAACGACGCCGAGCTGTCGTCTTCCTGGGTGGTGGAGGCAAGTCTGTGGACGGTTTCTGTCTGTTTCCATCTCTTCGTCGTTTCTTTTTTCATCGAGCTTCGCTTCGCTTATGCTCACGCTCCTCGGGTCGTCTTTGTTCTCTCAGGTAGAGAATCTCTTTACGTTTGAATCCTTTAACTGTTCTGATCTTCAGATGAAGTCGAAGAACTCGTATATTCCAGAACAGGTTCAATCGATTGACAAATTCTTTATTTTCAATAACTTATCTCAAATATATAAATGTTTAACAACTCTATCAAAGCATCTAGTTATCACAAAACATGTAAGTAGCAGAGGAGATTGACGGAAATAACACCGGTTCGGGAATTTTTCAATTAAAACTCTCAGAATATTATTCGTGGCAGGACCGTGTCATGGTAGACAGAAAGACTCAAAGAGAAATAAAATTATTGATCCATAAAACGCAGGAAAATTTACTAAAAAGTGAGCAAACAAAAAGATAAATATAAAGAATTTTAAATTGATAGAAAAAATTCGGAATGTGTTTTTGGTAGCGAAAAACCAAATAAAAGAATGGTAAATAAAATCTACTGTTCTACTCATTTAAAGTGAGAAAAAGACTCAAATACAGTAGGAATTCAACAAAATGAACACGGATAGGAACACGATATCGCTTAGAAAAGGGACGGCGCAAAAATAAATAAGCTACTGCCAAAAGTTCCTCAGCCATTTCGTGTTTCTCCCATTACGATGGTTTAGACTTTTAGAGGTACTTTTTATGAAACATTGTGAGAAAACCTCACGACGTAGCGAGCAATTGAGAGCTTCTTCATTGGTCGTCGTCGTTGAAGACGTCGGCCTTCTGCGCCTGTTCGCTGTTTTTGACGACGCAGTGCTGACACGTGAAGGGACAGTAACTCTTCATGACGAAAAAGAAGGAAGCGCGTTTGCAGTACTGCGCAAAGTGGGGACAGTCGACAAAGTGATCGACGCATTCTGAACGGTTAGACGTCGTCAAGGAACTGAAGAAAGGGAGAAAACTTTCTGTAGATGACGTCGTCGAGACTGAAGCCGTTGAAGCCGTTGACGTCGTTATTCGGGTGCCTTTTTCTTTTTTCTTCGGTTTGCATTGATAGAGCTTGTTGATCTATAAATAAAACTGTGTAAGGAATTTTTCGATTTCTCGATGACACATTAGACTCACAGAAAGTGGTTCAGAACTTTTTCAAAATTTATTCTCTCGTTTTCATAACTCCAAAAAGACTTATCGGACTTGAGATAGAGCTTGTGTGTTCAAAATATATTTTCTTTCTAGCCCGAGTCAGTTTAGTCTAGTAGTTGGTTGAGAGAACAATTAAATGAAATATACCATCAATTCAAAAAAAGAAGAACCTTGACAATGTCGAGTGGAGAGAGGTCCGTGGCGGATCCGATGACCTGCGTGAAGCCGTCCTCGACTGTTTCTATGGTATTCTTGCCGTTCCGAGAGAACGCCGTGCTGTCGTAGTGCATGATGGATCGGTAGTCGTATCGTTCACCTTGCAAATCCTAAAAACGTCGCTTTGAGGACTATAAAACTTCTGCCTAACAAATAAACAAATAAATGTCTTTTCTCACAATGAAGCTATAGAAAAATAGAAAAATAGAAAATGATTTTTTTTTACCTTCCCGGATTAATTTACGATCGAACTTGGGGTCAGCTTTGAAAAAAAGAACTAACTTGTCCTCGTTTAACTCAAAAGTCTCTTCGCGACTAAATATTATTCCCTAATGAGACAACTGTTCTATAAAATTTCAGAAAATGAGCCATCGCTTTGAATAAATTTGTTCGATTGTGGCTAAAAAAAAAAGTAATTTTCAAATGAAATCGAACCTGCAGAACAGCCGAAATCTTGTCGAACTGCGACTTCATCCCTGGCAAAATATTGTCCCACTTGATTGTGATGTGGTCGTCTCTGTCTTTAAACTCAACATATAGTAGAATCAAAAAAAGAAAAAAGCAAAACCGGCGCGAGAATGTTCGTGCCAGAAACCGACAGAGTGCATCAGTTCGTGGACGATAATTTCGTGGAAAAGACACCCGCGGCCGAGGGAAATCTCTTGCTTTCCTCCGGTTCTGCCCACTTGTGAGTAGCATCTGAACAGTTTCAAGACTTCTTCTCGCCATATAATCAACTACCGACCCGTATCCCTTGACAATGTTGAGGTAATCGGTCTCATCGTTGCGTTTCTCGAAACGAATGCAGGTATTCTTACGGTAGCTGTTGAACGCCTTCTCCATGATTTTCACCTCAGCTGCGGCTGAAAACTCGCGTTGCATACTTTGTTGGTGCGAAGAGACAAATCTTGTTGTGGTAAGAGAGAAAGACTCACTCACAGAATGCGGGGTCCATTTCGTACGGGATGACGCCTCCGCTCCACGTCAACTGCTTGTTCTTCAGAGCGTTGAACAGCACAAAGCCCTGCTGAACTTTTCCGAAACGGTTCCAAGTCTCCATTTTACAATGTTGAAAAAAAAAGTTCTCACTAGACAAAATCAAACTATGACTTGTTACTCCTTCAACTTTTCTGTGGTTTCCGTTTCTCGACGCCTTTCATACGTAACCGCAGAAAATGTAGGAAAGGTAGCAGGGACAAAGCGGAGTAAAAAAAAACCATATAATTCAACTCTACGTTATTTATAACACAAAAAGAAGTTACGTTCCTCTTCTTTTACTAACTTTAAAGATCATATTTTGGAAAAGAAAGATTCCCGCCAATGATATACTTTTTCATTGCATATGCGATAAGGCGAGAAGAAGCTCGACCATTTAGGCCGAAGTCCCTCCGGAGAACGTCGCGGCTAAAAATACCGACGGCTCTAAATGTCCAAAGCGGCGGTGGTTGTCGAGAAAAAGCAAACAGCCTCTCCGCACCCGAATTATGCGCTGTTTCGCCGTTCAGCTCTGCCACCAACGGCACAAAAAAGGAAATAGCGCCATTTTTGAGCTAGAAAAGCTTTCAGAACGAAATTTGAAAAAAAATTGAAAAAAAATTACAACAAAAAGAAAAACTTTTGAAAATCCAATACTATTTAAACTTTGAAAAATTTTTAACCTCATATTTAAACAAATGACTGACCGGTTCGCGCAAAAAGCTTGGGATCTATGCCGTCGATGTCTCCCTGGAATTTCCCTGAAATGGTAAATTTTGAAAAATAATCTTTAAATTTGAAACTTTAAAATAAATAGAACCTTCTTCAAAAATTTCGAAAACACTCCAAAATTTTGTACGAAAAACAATGTGATTTAGAGTTGTCGTCATAAAATTCTAAACATCGCGGAGAAAAAGTCGTCTTAACTTTCAGACTTTTCTTGGAAAAACAAATTTTTGAACTTTATTCTTGAAAGAAGACAATTTTCCTTTTTCAACCCAACATTTAGATATTGAAATTTTTTCTGAAGCTGGACGAAGAAAATCAATAAGCCTACAATTGTTTTTGACAGTTTGAAGATCGTTTTTAATTTATACTCTTTGAATACTGAGCGTAGCTAGAAAATGACAATGAACTTTGCACAATGACAGAAAAAAAAATAGAAGTGTACCTGAGTTCTGCCATTCGTGGTGAGGCTTAATACGCAAATGCTCAGGAATGAAGGCGGCGATAGAGCCGAACAGGTTGCTCGGTTGGGCGACGGCGAGTCGGGCCAAGAGTTGGACCAGGAGTTGGGTCAGCAGAAGACTGTGAGGGCCGCGCGTGCCGTGAGGCGACGACCGCATGACTGACGGCTGTGGCGAGTCTCCTCCGGCTGTCTCTCGCCTGACCGGAATCCTGAGCAAAGCGGTTGGACCTCTGTGTGCGCTGTTCTGTGTTGTGTTGGTGCTGAGCGACGCCTTGGAGGCCGCTGGGCGGAGCCTTCTTGGATGGCCGAACGGCTTTTTTTGCCTTTCGTTCAGGTACACGGAAAACGAGAAGCTCTTGCGGCGAGAACAAAATGTGAGAACGGGTTCGTTTACAAATACCTTTTGAGGTCTGGACGTTTGAACGGAAGCTCTCATTCATCGTTCGGAAAACCGATGTCAGAATGAAACGACTTTTACAGAAACCAAAGTTATAATTGGATATGTTCCAAAGTTGTTCCGCGAAATCCAAGATAGCCGTCAGAGAAGAAAAAGATATCTACATTTTGCACAGTCAGTGACAGTTTTGCATTTCGCGGAAATCACTTTGAATACGGCATTATTTTATTCATTCGAGGTAAAACTAAACATTTCTGCACGAAACAGGTTTCCACCCAGGTAAATTTTAGCAGCAGTTATTATGAGAAGGTATACGTTTCTAAAACCATTCAAAGCTTCTCTTTCACGATTCACTTCAATATATGACACACATTCCCTTCATACCCACACCTCAGTTATTTTTCCATTTTTTCATCTCCAAAAAACTTATTCCGATAAATCCCTTTCAGAACTCTTTGAAAAAAAAACCCCCAAACATATAAAAAAAGGTATTAAAAGAAAACATACAGCAAATGTCAAGAAAAAGCGAACTATTTTTTTTAGGGGCGATTCACGAGAATCCTCCTGTCATACTATCCCTCGGAGATGGACAGTTCTGAAATTAACACCCAGTGACAGTTCGGACTCGCCGACCACTCTGCTCCAACAAAGCCGCGGTCCCTCTGCAAGGCTCCGAAAAAAGCCGATGGATTGATTACCTGGCGCTGCGAGGGACACGGAAAAGCTTGAAGATCAAGGTTTGCTCTCAAAAACAACCTGACGGACGCTTGTCCAGAACCACTCGAAACGTTTTGCGCAGCTTTTTTTCGGAATCATTAGTCATTCATCTCAGAGCCATTAACCAGAAGATTTATGACAAAGTGAAAGTCTTCAGTAAAGAAACAATGGAAACGCGATACAAGTGAGAACTTGGCGAGCCAACTTCCACAAAATATAACTATCGGAAGGTGTTCATAACAAAGTCGAAAACTTTACATGATTGTACCCATCTTCTGTAGTTCAGCAAGCACTTCACTAACTGACCTGCAAAGAAAAACTGATCAAATTGACTATTGAAATTTTTTTTCAACTGAATCATACTTAATTTAAAGACCGCTCAACTATAAAAAAAAAACACATATGAGTGTTTTTACTTTATTGTCGAGAAGAACATACCGGCAGTTACTTTCCTGTTTTTTAGATGTTTTTGTACACGTAGAAATCGCGGTGCTTCAGGGTCTTTTCCAAAGGAACAAAAAATGAGATTGCGTCTGGCCTTCGTGGCGGCAACCAATTGAATCATGGCTGAAGAATTAAGAGTTACAAAAATCGAGTCCCAAGGAGGTTACGATAAGAAATTTTATTTTAAAAACATGTCTTTATGAGATAACCAGCTTTCTTTTTAAAAAATACTAGTTAAAAAAAACGTCCATAATTGGTAAACTTTGAAAAAAGTTAAGCACTGGACTCGACAAACGAAGAGTCGGTAAACGATTTTTTTAATTTTCCGGTTTTTAGAAATTTCTGAGGTTTTTTGAAAAATTTCCGATTTGGTATGCAATTAAAGATGATTGATACAGTTTTCATTCTTTGACTAGAATTTTAAAAAAATTGAAAAAAAAAAACGTTCATCGCCGTGTTAATCACAGCTGGCTTTTATCTATATACTTTCAAAAGTAACTTTATTGAACCTTTGAGTTGTGGGTCTCCTTGAAAGGCGCCGCAGCCCCACCAGCCAGTCACAATTGGCGGATCTTCGAAAGTGTTGCTGGAGCCTTTGAATCCCACGTAGGCCTCAAAGCGAACACTTATTCTCACATTTTCTATTTGTTATTTCCCAATCTTCAAATTTGAGAAGCGAAATTTCAGATGTATATGTAGAAAAGCCTGATAAAATGAGAAAAGACTAAAAAAAAGATTTTTTCTAGTGGCCTCTATTAAATTCACTTCAATGGGTCTTACCTAGTTGGACATGGTTTTAGAAAAATTAGACCCATTGGTGTGTGAAACTGCATTGGATTATAGATGTTTCAAACGTTCAAAAGTTTCACTATCCGATGTCACCTTGTTCAGTTCACGCAAAATCATGGCGCTCTCGTATTGTCTCAGTTTGTTAGTGTAAAACGGCTGCGCATCGATAGCCACTATTTCACAGCGGATACGCCTGAAAACAGTCGGATTTTTCTTTCAATTTGGTTCGGTTCCAAAAAATGACACGGAAACTTTCTACTCACTAAGAAACCCTATGGGTCGAAATGAGTTCTCAAGAACAAAATTGGGCAACAGATTACTGTCAAAAAAATGAAGAGAAGACGTAAAAGTTGCCACTGCTCATTCAAACAGATTTTTCAAAATACTTCGTGTTTTTGTAGACTGGTTTTTTTGAGACAGTTCATTTTCAAAAAAAAAATTCAGTGAATTGAACCTAATAAAAATCTATTCTCCTTTGTTGCGCTCCCTTATGAGAAAGAGATATCTCTGAGGTTTTTTTTCGAGCACATCCTAGTTCGATATATCGACATTTACTCACGATTTTAATAATTTTCTTACCCGAAACGATCACGTGGTTCCATTGGACCTTCAAAAGGCTCCCATTTCAAGGAATTCGCTGAAAAAAAGGACTACAAAATCAAATTCCACACGAAGCCTACAGTATCCAGAGTAAGAGCTGAACTGTTGCGCCCCAACGATAAAAATGGCTTCTTCGTCTCGCAACTTTTCGCAGATCAATATCGACACAATCGCTTCCGGAGAGATTAGAAATCGGATCTCTTCCTTGAAATTAACCAATGAATCATTCTTTCACGATTGGTCGAAAAACTATTGTCAAAAGTGGACAAGCTAGGGTTTTTAACATAACTTTGAAAATATTTGAAGAACGGGAAAATTTGCGACGAGAAGTTATGAATATGTTCTAATCAGGAAAATTACCATAATAGTTTCAACGAGAGAGAATAACCTGGACAGCTCCGGAAGCCAAAACTCCGCCACCAATATTCTTGTTGGCGAAATCGACTTGGCTGCTCAGAGGAGCTTTTTCAATGAGCAAATCTTGAGTTACCCACAAATCCTTTTCTCCAATCTGAAATTAATCCATTTCTTGACCAAGAAGAACAACAGAAGGAATGACTTATAAACGATCCTAAAAAAGACGAACCCTCTCTTCACATTGATCCCAATCATTGCTTCGGTTGAAAAAGCGACGTCGAAATGAAACGACGCCTTCTGGCATCCTACGCCTAACACAGTCGAAATAGTGCATTATAAACCTCAGTTTTTCGAGCATCAGCTCCGATTTCACGTTGAAAATGAACCTAAAGTTTTCCAATTGAGAAAAAAAAACTTCTCTGAAGAGTATTCTAAAAACTAACTGCGAAAAAGAGAAATGGGATCCAAAGGTGCCAAGGAAAGCGTGAGCCAAGATGCATGCGCACTGTTCCTGGCTGAACGTCACTGAGAAGTTGCAGCTCCTTTTGAGAACGCACAGAGGCTGAAGGAGTTCGGAGTCAGTATAAATACATTTTTTTACGAGTTAGATAACGATTTTTGAGTCTGAAACTATGCGCTACAAGCAGGTAAGAAGAATAGACTTAATTCAAAAACTGTGTGGCAATGAAAGTTTATGTTTCTGAGATGCTTGGAACGCAAAAAATAGGGATTGAACACTCAAAAAGCTCAAAGCTAAAAGTTTTGCAGGCAAACATTTACTGGATTATCAGAAATCGTTCCGGCGATTACAAACTAAATTATCTCGGAGTTTCATTAAGGACAAAAATAAACAAATTTCGATGAACCTTCGGGAGAAGAAGTCTTGCCCGAAGAGCCAACTTAACGATGAAACGGACCGTTTCGTAGTAAATATTCTGTTTTTCTAGAGGCAATAGATTGAAAAATTTTTCAATGTTTGTGCTTTCTGACGGCTCAACACACCTCTTTCCCACACATTCCATTATCAAAATCTGAAAACAGATGAGATTTATGACAATAAACTATAGAAATGAACTTCAACTTGCGCCGGACTCTTTGTTTCACACCGAAGAAACTGTTCTAGAATTCCCTTGAGAATTGGCCACCGAGAAGGCAATCGTTCTTCACTTTCCTGCAGAATATCTCAGTTGCCAGAAATAAGAATGAGAAAACAGACCGGCCATTTTCGGGGATTCTCCGTCTCAATCCAAGGTGTTGTGATTGTAAGTCTTTGGCCTGTGTTTTCGCGGCCTTAACCGAGCTAAGAAGAGTAAAAAAAAGGATAAAGATAACTGAAAAACGGGGGTCTAGAACGACCAGTGACAATTTCAAAAAGATTGACTTCTTTTTAGGCAGTAAGTTAAAGAGTTCAATATACCCTAGCATTTTTAATTAGAAAAAGGTTCAATTAAAAATATTATTTTTTTAAATGGTTCTGCTGCAGTATAGCACATTCCGCGCCAGCTTGTCCTGTTTCTGCAAAGAGGACCGTATACCAGATTCGACCAAGTTTGACCGAATTTGCTCCAAGATTTTTTTTTGCAGTTTTTCAGAGCAGAAGTGCGAAAATTTTTTTATTGACAGTAGACTTTTTCTGCGGTTCTTTCGAAATGTCCCTGTTTCCTCCGAGCACACTATAATCGACCCCCTAACCGATCTGAGCGCTTTTAGAAGTCTAATTTTTCGCATGTCTTCTCTCTGCCCGCCCTCGTAACGCAGTGCACAAAAAAAAACCAAAAATAGTTTTTATAAAACTTGAAACAAAGAAAAACAAACAAACTTGGCTCAACTCCAGGAATTTCGTGGTAGGTTTCGTAATAAGTTCTGACGAACGTTGGCTGAAAGCCTAAACAAAGAAATGGTACTCAATTGAACTAAAATTGAACTCACAGTGCGAAGGATGAACAGACTTTCTCAACTCGTCCACAATAAACGCTGCCAAATGGAGATCGTTGGGTGATTTGCTCCGTTGAACCTCTTCAGCGACCTGCCAATCAAACAGATGGGGCCCGTGATGCAACCATTAGAAAACTTGGTTGCTCGAAGTTTCTGCGGACGTGGATCCCTCGTTCTGTGGGGGAGACTCTCCTTCTATAGATTCCCTCTGGTTCAAATCGTTCGCGACATCGCAGAGTTGCGGTTTATCTTCTTCAAAGTCGTCTTCCAGGAACTCCTCCGAGCAAATTTTTTCTGAGGGATTGTTATCGGTTTCTCTGAACATAAATGATTCTTTCATCATCCAAATTACATAAAATACTGACTGTTTGAAAATCTTATAAAAACTCACTGTTCAACGCTTTCCCCGCCCAACTCTGACGAGAAATCCGAAGAGTCTTCTTCCGATACGGCCACACAATCTTGTTCCTGAGCGTCGTCCTGGCCAGGGTCGGCTGCATCTGGTCCTTCTATCACTTCTACGGATGGTCCACTTTCCACCGAATCACACGTTTCTTCATCTGGCGCTTTTGAGACATCTTCTTCGAACCCATCCTTATTCTCTCGATTAGTCGTTTTCTCCACGTCTATTCCTTGGAAATGAATAGGACTGTCTTGATCAGGATCGTCCTCGTCTTGTTCAGCCCTCGATGTTGCGGTTTCGCCAAATTTTTCAGTTCCAGAAAGTTTTTCCATTTTTGAACAGCGACTGTCGTTCAATTCGGTTTCATCTTGCTTCCTTGAAGTTTCCAAAACTACCAATAGGTCTTCGTCCACCAAAAAAGAAGATCCAGGCTCCTGTTCTTCCGATTCACCTTTAGATTCAGAAGAAGAATTGTCGGCTTTGTCTCGCTTGGCGTGACCTATCTATAAAAAAAATTATCCGAGTGGAGTAACTTCTGAAAACCTCGTTTTCTGTCCTTCTTTTCGGCATTCTTTGATCTACGGGCTCTCTTCTAAGATGGTTTAAAAAACCTTAAATTAATGCCTAATTGAGCTTAAAAGTGATGTGCGATAAACCATTCAAACGCGGGATGTCTTCTTTCATCAAATCCTTTATAGAGTAGTGAGCAGGGCCAACTCCAAAATCGGGAAATTTCTTTGAGTTTTCAGGGATCTTTTCCGAAAAAGTGTCGCTCATTTTCTACAAAACTAAATGATTATAACTTTCTTTCTGCTGAAAATAAATACATAAATGAATTAAAATTTCGGTTAAATAATCTGTGAAAAAATCTTATCAGCATTGATACATTTTCCTGAAAACTTATGGTTAATAATAATTAGGCATATTCAATTTTTCAAAAATTTAGGAGAGGAAATTTAAAATACTGATTTTAGATCCACTGAAAAATTGTCCCCTTAAGCATCAAAAGCTAGAAGAAAACTAGCAGCATTATGTCATAACTAACATGCCCGGGAGGGTGGAATTTCAACGTAAATGAATGAACTAAAAAAAAAAAGAAGAAGTGTGTAACCGGAAAATAAGAACGGATATTAGATGAATGAAAAAAAAAAACTACCGATGAAGCGTTGAATTCCTCTCTAAAGCAGCGAAAATCAAAAAGTAAATCCAAAATCTTATGCCGTGTTCAATTTGAATCCGCGAAATGCAAAATACCCGTTAGAGAAAGGAAAAGATCACTAGATTTTGGAGAGTCAGGGATCATTTTGCATTTCGCGGAATCAAATTGAACATGGCATTATACAAAAAAAAAGAAACGAAAATTTTGAAACTGCGGGCAAAAATTTTTTCTTCTATATTCTCGAAGGAGCATGTTTGCCTGTTCTTTTTTTCTCTTCTGTTTATTTTGGGATTCGCGTTGTACCTTGCAATATCCTGTGTCAGTGTTGAGATACCCCGTTGGGATGAATGAAATCAAAATAAAAAACTCTGAGATGAATAAAATTGAAAAATCCCAGTTTTGGAACACTTTATATATCTTTCTACTTTTCTAGTCTTCAGTTCTGCAAAGATTTGAAGTTTTGATTTACGAATCACACATTATTCTTGTGCTAGTATCATAGTTTTAAAATTTTTATCAAGTTTTAGAAAAATCTTTTTTAAAGTCATTAGTTTGGTAGTTTTTGATAGTGCAATTTGAGCGATTGAAGTGTCCGTGTCTCCTGTTGAAAAACAAAATACTTGGAGGAATCGTTTTTCACTCGGCGGACGCAACCAGGGGAACCCATTCAACCAGAAGCTACACGACCAAAACTAGAGGACGCGAGACTCGAAACAGAATTACGAGGCTCAGTGATCCCTCGAGGGTGTGTGAGTCTGGTGGAGCGGTCGCAGCTGTCGCGATCGATGGCCCATAGGCAACCTTTGCCGCTTTTTGACCAGTTAGCTTTCTCGCGTAACCTTTTGCGGCGTTCAGGTCCGCCACTGATTTCGTCAAAGTGCAAATCAGCTGAAAAAGGCACAGTGTCTCAGAAGCTCTTTTTCATTATGAAACTTGTCCTCTGCTCTTGCTTTTTCGTACATTCATCTTTTTTTGCTTCGACGGTTATAATTCGAATTCTGAGAACCTCATCTATGCCAGAATGCGTTAAAGACCATGCTAATTTATAGCTGAAGCTTGATTTCAGTATGCGTAAGTTGTTTGAGACGAGGCTTTCACGATTTTTCCACGAATGAAATGGGAATTTCGCTCTTAAAAGTTTTTGCTGATTTTTCTGTTTGTGAGTATCCCACAATTGCACAAAGGAAAACCCGAGAGACTACAAGTAAATTCACTTTCGAGACTTCGCCAAAACAAAAGAAATTGCTGGATGCCACAAGAGCTTCATTTTTTAAAATTTTAAACTTCTATGAGTGATGATTTTTCGACAAGTTTGATTAAAGTCGAAACCATCTGAGCTCTAATCAAAAAAACCGCGTAACTTGTTCATAATTAGCTTTCAAAGTACAACTGGTTGTTTGAAATTTGGCTTACCAATTTCTGCAACGAAGCTGGCGTCCGCCTATTCCGTTTAAGTCTAATTGGATTCTTCTTTCCCTTTTATTGCTCTCAAATGATTGAGAGTGCCATTCCTTCAGTGTTCATATCGGCTTGAATTGTTATATATTTTCCATTAGATATGATAAATTTTCGAAGTTGAAAAACTTGAAAATCACTGATTTTGTTTATAAGAAGCCTATATGCGCATTCTGTATGTCTGCGACTTTTTTTTTAGAGAATCTATGATGTTTAAAAAAAGCTTGTTATAAAATATTAAGCAAAAAAGGAACACGTAACTGCCGAAAAACACTTAAATATTATTTGCTTTTCCTTTTGAGTTTTAGCGTTTAGAATCTAAACGTTTGTGATGAAATGTAGCGGTTTTCGATTATAACGAAGAGAAGAAATAGGGATTATTAGATATTTGTTGGGGATCAAGCGAGTCGGACTGATATGTTTCCCCGAAATGGCCGGAAGAAGAGAATGTTGTGTCTGTTGACACACGGGTTAAATCTACGGCGGTTCCCATTTTACTTCTTTCCGTCTACGATTCTTATCACTGGCCTCTATCAACGCTCAGTACTTTGTCGGGAGGCGAATCGACAACCAACTTCGTAATTATTGGCTTCCTTGTAGTTTTCCTTCAGGAGCAACGTCTGTGATAATATATTTTCCATCGAAGATTGTATCAATCGCAAGAAAAATGGTCGCGATGAATCTCCCACTGTTTGCTTTCTTTTCTTTTTTATTGCAGGAAAGTTAAACAAAAAAGACATTCGAGAAAATGAAAAAAAAAACGTTTTAAATGCTACTTTCCTTTGTTTGTTTTTTTGCTCGCGTCGGCTGCCCTTTTCGAAGTTTTTCTCTCGAACCCACTGGAAAGTACGAAAACAAGAGTTGTCTGACACAACTGGGTTTCCCTCAAATTTTGATATATCGATTGAGAGTTTTATTTCGTTATTTTCTCGAATATCTTTTGTTCCACTCTCATGTTATGATCCGTCAAAAAAGGATAGAGAAATGTTTTATTTTTCTGCCACGAAATTTTGGAAAAGGAGAAAATCTCCTCGTTCATCAGTTTAATCGCAAGAACAATCTTGATTCTCGTTTCTTTTTTTTTTGTTTTTCCCTTCAAAAGGTCACTTGCGATTCCTTCGTTGGAAAGTTTTAACTCCCTTTCTTTTTGTTAATTCTAACATGGTTGATAACTATATCCACTACTTCAAATGACTCAGTCCTAAATCTTGGAAAGATATTTGATAGTGGAAAATATGTTTGTGTTGGGAATAAGCCTTAAGGATGTTTGTTATGTGTAAACTTTCCCATCAAAAATACCAGATCAAAAAAAAAGAGAATGTGGAAAACAGAATTAAATTTGACAGCATTTTTCTTCAGATATTTCGATGAGCCTGAATTTGTCACTGCCATGGGATATTTTACTCGAAAGTTCAGTATCCCCTTAAATGTGGTTGAGAAACTTCTCAGATCTTGGAAATCGAAGTTTATAAACCTTGCTTTAATCCGAGAAACGACGTCTCAAAGTTTAAAAAATTGAAAACTGTCTCGAATAGACGCTTTTGAGGCGTCAGCTTTCAAAAATTTAGATTGTTTCAAGTCTGGATTTTCAGGATTTTCGAAGTCCCTTGAAAAACCTCAGGAAGGTGAAAGTCCAAGAAAAATGACCTCTTTTCTCCTTTGTATTCCCACCTTCCGGCTGTGCCTCAATTATCTCATACGACGGAGACCAGAGAAACGCTCTTCTCTCCTACATCGTTCGGTTTCTTGTATTCAGGAATGTGGTTCCAGAAGGAGCCTGACCGTGGATGAGCGAGCGCCTCGCCGCCATCTTGGTGCTGCTCTTCGTCGTCGGCGCGTCTGCACAGGATGTCGCCGACAATTCTACTCAAATTCTCATTGTAGGTCTTTTTTGTCATCGTAACCCTTTTCATCAAAACTCAAGCATGAGTTTAAAATTTTTTCGACTTTCTGAGCCACCTAAACGGCTAAAAACCAGTTATTTCAGCAAGCGGTAGCTCCGACACCCTGGAACCAACGCGACGACGACTTCCAAGACGCCGAGTATCTTCGGAATGCGCGTAGAACTTCCGGCAGACGATCCATTCGGCTACGAGTCTGTCGTAGTCGTTATCGCCGTATTTTGAGCTTCGAGTTGCAGCAAACACGGCGTTTGCATTGTGACACCCGACGAAAAGTTCAAGGTGGTCATCTACGGCAACCACCTCGACAAAATCGGACAGCTCATCTTCACCTACACCAACAACTGCAGCGAAGGCACCCGTCTCGTCGACGCCACCAATGATTTCGTCGTCCACTTCAATCACAAGGTTTTCGATCTAAATCTTGGCCTCTACTAGCATTTTTTCAGGCCACCTTCCATTTGATTCTGCCTTTGCTTCCAGAGAAAGTTCATGCCTACAAGATGTGTGTGAAACCAAAAGCTATCGCCGGAGTTCCGCCGATGTCCGAAATTTATCCTGTGGGTTTTTTTTTCCAGATTCACTCAACAGGGAGTTCATTATAGAGCGAATTTAGTCTTGTTCCATGAGTTCGCCCAAAAAATGTGACGATTGAGAGAACAGTCCCTTGTATTCTCTATCATGTAAATTTTCAGCTGTGAATTGAGAAAGAAAGGAAATTAATTGATAGTCTGATTTTTGCATGTAAACCGAGAATTGCAGCTGGATGACGTCTCCACATGGTTGACAACGGAGCGACCCCCAAAGGAGTACTTTTTGCCGCTTCCTCTACAGGTCTCAAATATCTTTCTCTCTATTATTGTCATGGACTGAGACTCCAGATCATGTGCATCGTCTTCTTGTTGCTGCTCTCCGCCCTGTTCTCAGGTCTCACCCTCGGGCTGATGTCTTTGACTCCTCAGGAGCTCGAACTCGTCATCAAATCTGGCTCAAGGAAAGAACGCAGGTGCGCTGAGAAGATTCTTCCTATTCGGCGGAAAGGTATGATCTTTTTTTGTGTTTTCTAAAAAAGCAAATGAACAGGAAATCTTCTGTTATGTGCACTTTTGCTGGGAAACGTCATTGTCAACTCGGCTATTTCTATTCTGATGGGAGAGCTGACGACTGGAATCTACGCCCTCATTGGCTCAACTCTTGGCATCGTCATATTTGGAGAGATTTTACCACAAAGTATCTGCGTCAAGTGAGATTCCTTCTGTCCTTATCAATTAGAGCCTTCTTCTGTTCCGCTGTAATATTCTTTTCAACGAATTTTTTTCAGAAAAGGCCTCGAAGTTGGCGCTCACACGATCGCCATCACTCAGATGTTCATTTTTCTCACATTTATCATCGCGTATCCCGTTTCAAAGCTTCTCGACTGTCTTCTTGGCGACGAATATGTTGGAAGCAAAAAAAGTTTCAATGACAAAAATGGAAAGTTTGCAGCAAGCCTACGATAGAAAACGGTTGATGGAGCTGATCAAAATGTCGATAAAAGACGACAACGGAGTGTCGAATGAGCTGAAAATTGCCGTTGGAGCTATGGAAATCGCCGACAAAGTCGTCTCAGACGTCATGACTAGAATCAATGTCGGTAATCCTAATATATGGGTGTCTTATAGTTAGTTTAAAAAAGGTCACTTCACTTAGGAATGTAGAGAAAATTAAGATATCGCTTTAAAGATTTTATTTTTCTATCTCTCAAAACCTCTCAAACAAGTTTTAGAGAGAAAAAGGTTACGTATTTTCTTAATTCATGCTTATTTTTTTGGGATTTTCAGGACGTGTTCATGCTGCCCGACACAACGATTCTGAACGCACGGACGGTGATGCAGATCGTGAAGATGGGGTACACGCGGATCCCCGTCTACACTGCCGGCGACAAGAACAACGTCACCGACTTGCTTTTCGTCAAAGTGAGCTGAAAAAAGAGAAACTGACCGAGTTTCTGGCAGGACCTGGCGCTGCTCGATCCAGACGACAACTTCACTGTGAAGACGGTCTGTGGCTACCACAAACATCCCGTCAAATTCGTGATGAACGACACGCCACTGCCTTGCCTACTCGAGGCGTTCAAGAAAGGCGACGGACATCTGGCCATGGTCAAGAGACTCGTCAACAGCAGCGAGCACGACCCTGCCTACGAACTCGTCGGCGTCGTCACTCTTGAAGACATCGTCGAAGAAATTCTCCAGGTTTCTTCCACCTTATGAACACAATTTACCCCTCATAAGGTTTCGCCAAAACGACCTTTGAGTTTAACCATTTCACAAAACAAAAAAAGACTTTTTAGATTGGATCTACACATAACTCCGAGGTTAAATTTATTTTTTTTAGAATTACTGTTTCTTAGTTTTTGCTTTCGGTTACCGGTTAACTCCCAGCTTTTTTTTTAGTTAGATAATAATTCAGAGGATCATCGAAATTTTCTCATCTTTTTATTGCAGGCTGAAATCAACGACGAATTTGACATCGTCACTGACAATGTGAGCAAAGCGAAAATCAAGAAAGAACAGGTGAGCTGTCCAAAAAGATATGTTCAAAAAAACATCAATTTTTTTGGTAAAAAAATTAGAAGAGTAAAAAAATGGAAGAACTATGTATGAGATTAAATTAAGAACAACTAGAATACCATAATGTTTCTCCAGAACCGCGACCTCACAAAATACTTCCCCGACCACGAAGCGCCACAAGTCAGCATTTCCATGCAGGTTCTTTACAAAAATGAGAATCCGGAAAAGTTTCGATTTTCAGATCCAAATGGTAGCGCTACAGTGGCTGGTGGCCAATGAACCGGCTTTCTCGTCCGTCTACATCGACAGAAACGTCCTCGAGCGTCTAATCCGGAACAGCGCGAAAAGAGTAACGTCTTAATTCTTGGCTGGATCTACATAAAGAGGCTCAGGTCGATGTTTCGGCTCTGATGGCTATGGGCGACGACGCGGTCAACATTCCGAGGTTGGCGCGGCTCTACACCAAAGATGAGCCGAGCGACCGCTATATTCTCATTTTAGAAGGCCGCGTTCAAGTCACCATCGGACAGGTTGATTGCAGAAGCAATTTAAATAAGAAAAGAGGGTTGTGCAGGGCGGGATGAACTTCGAAGCTGGTCCTTGGCACCATTTCGGCAGCGAAGTTATGAAAAAACTGGTGGAAGGCGCGTCAACCTTAAGTCGAAGTACATCCATAGTCGGTAAGTTGACCGCGTGCAAATACAGATCAGTTCAAAAACAATCAGACTCAGGACCATGTCTAAAAAGGTCCTATAGGAAAATCTTCTAAACTTCTTTAGCTGTCTGTTTCTGAAATGAATATTAAATCGGATCCAGGCACGTCAGACCTGTCGGCGCGACGGCCAGATCTCATGTTCAAGCCGGACTACGGGGCGATAATCAAGGACGAATGCACCTACCTAGAGATTTCCGTCGCCGCCTACATAAATGCCTATAAGTCGACGTTGATGCAGCGAGAAAAAGGGTAATCTATTTCCCACAAGAACTTTTCAAACCGAATTTCAGGAAAGAAGAATCGCCTTATAACTCAAGACCATCCAGTCCGTACTCCAGAAGCGATTTGTCTCTAGCCACTACTGAGGTTGCCGTTTTTAGTTACCAAAAAAGGAAACGAAAAGTTTCAGCCTGTCCCCATTACGGATCCGACAGCGATGCTCGTTCCAGAAAACGCTCGAAGACTCTCAATGAGTTCAGTGGAAGCCGTCCAATTGCTTGCGCAGGCAATCCAAAACAGTCCGCCTTTGGCGGAAGAGGTCTCATTTCACCCTCAGATCAATGTTGAGCGAGAATATTCAGGAAGAAATGTCGCTTTTGGCAAACAACACGGCCAAGGGCGAGCTTTAGAAGTTTTACGGGTGTAATCAAAAAATTCAAGGATATTTCTGTCATCTATTCCGTCATCAACTAATCTACTGATGCCGCTAACCAGGAGAAGAATCATACAACATTGCCTAAATCCGTCATGTGATCTCTTTCAGTAGCGAGCTCGTCCAGTGCCTTCAAGCAAACTTTAATCGAGAACAATTATGTTGTGAAAAATTTAATTCAACTCGCAAAATGAATATTCAAAAACAACGGGGTCTTGGAAGCAACCGTATAGGATTAATCGAAATGTAAACTTAAATTAGTTTTGGTACTTTTCAAACAAGCTGTTAGTGCTGAAACTCGTGGGTATTTGTGGCAAAATAAGATGGAAAAAAAACTAAGCTGGGATGGATTTGAGATATTGCGCTAAATCCTGTGGAATGCAGCTGGACACAGCCCCGTTGTTCAATGGGCCGCGCTCGAGGACAGCTTGTGCGAAATACGCTGCAATGATCGATTCTTTGGACGAAAAAGAGAAAAAAAATTTAAGATTTTTAAAAGGATTTGTCAAATTATTGGACGAGACTTCCTCTCGACTCCAGTAGCTTGTTCGCGTTCGGATTTGGAATTTTTACTATATTAAAAGCAAGAACTTTCCAAGTAAAGCATGAGTTAATGTAGAAAAATCTAGGTATTTTCCATATTCTTAACTAATATTTTTATAAAACTATAGTTTTTTTATATCTATTCAAATTCGGTTCCGCGATGATCCCTTTTCAGGTTTATTCAGAAGCTCTTTTTATCATGCATTTTTTCTTACTCCATCATATTTCCTAATTTCAAAAAAGTTCGAAATTTCTTTGTGGCTCAAAAGTAGCAGCCCAGAGAAAAGTCTCAAAATTTACCTCGGAAATTGGTAATTTGCGGAGCTACAGGTTCTGGCCTTGGAGCATAACTCAACCGGCAGTAAGGATTGACGAACTCGCCCTCGGAGTTGTACATGGCCGCCTGCAAAAAGTCTTGAAGCGCGTTGGAGATTACTGTAGAACCTGTTCTTCTTCTGGCGACAGAACGGTCCTTTCGCCGGCCGTCGAGCCTTCGAAAAGAGCGGCCACCAACTTGGCTAGTTTTCCATAGCTAGCTCTGCAAAACAAGTGAGATATACTGGAACTGATGATTGGTGAAACGAACGTGACGTATTGGGTGGCCTCGCTCATGATGTTGGCAGCGCCGATGGCGATGATCCGTTTATCTTGGAAAGTGAACATTTTCTCGCAGTTCTCCAACTCCACCAAGACAACCTTCTCCATTATCATGTTGAACATGCCGGGCTGGATCGACTCAACGGACTGAAAGAGGCAAAAAAAATGGACTGACAAATCAGAACAAAAAATACCCTGATGAGCTCCTCGGAACTGAGGGTTATAGAGAAGCGAAACAAGAAAACGACAAATTGTTTCATAAACTTAGGGGTTTTCGAGTTTTGCACACGCCGGAACATCGTATTGAACAAAAAGGCCATAGGATTCTCGACTCCAACGCATTTCTGCAGAAAAGAACTGAATCAAGAGAACGGAAATGTTCAGCTACATTGATATGAGGGAGCAAGGCATTTGCCAGTTGGAATCCGTGTTGGTCGAGGGCCTTGGAGGAAACAAGCCGCGAGTAATGTTGGAAGACGATTTGCGACTGCTGACTCAAGACAAAGTCGCTCGCCGCGTTCAAAAACACCTAAAAATTGGGTAATTTTTCAGGAAAGATTTTATTATTACTACCTCTAATACAGTAATCGCGGCCGGAACGTTGGTTGACCGAGCCCACAACTTTTCAGAGAGCAACAACGGTAAGAACTGGTGATAGCTGTTGATCGATTCTCCGCGAGAAACGCACGAAGACAGCAGAACGCCTGCAAAATACGTTTAAATTTCAATTATGCGTTAAACGCACTTATGCAGAAAATAACTGAACATCTTTTGACATCAAAAAGATTTTTAGAAACTTTCGAAATACTCAATTTTTCGAAAAATCACAGGTAGATATATAATTATGTGGAGCAGTGTATATATTAAAGCAAAAAGACTAAATTGTGGAAATATTGGAAAACTTCATAGATGTCCTAGCAACCCAATACCACGAAGAAAATACTTTTTTTCCTTCCAAAAATAAGCGAAAGTGAATACCTGTAATTTGAAGAGCATAAGGAATGAGGTCCTCCACGTCTTGTGCGAAAACAACTTCGATGAGGGGCAGAAGCTGGGAATCGATGTTCGATCCGGCGCTTCTCGTCTGGATTATTTGTTGAAAACTGTGAAGATAAGAGGAGATAGACCTTGACGATGAGAACACAAAGAGTTTCGAAAAGGAAATGGGTGTGGACCGCGTCGACAGCTTGTTTCGTAGCCAGAGCCACGAGCTGAACCAATTTGTCGGCCAACGCGCTCGCGTGTCTCATCGTCTCATCCTAAGAACAAAAGTTTTCTAAATGAACGGAGATATAGCATCATACATCAGCCAAGGTGATGACACGAAGCAAAGCTTTGATCAGATAGGAGCAGAAGCCTGGAGCCGCGGCTTTGTCGTAGGCGCCGACCAAGTTACCCAGTAATGAACGAACTGGCACAACTTCAGTCGTGAATAGCTGCAAAGGCCTTTTTTTGACAAAACCATGATAAACTTTTTCATCAAAGTTAAATCATTTAATTTTGGGAAAGAAAAAAAAAGATTCTTCCAGGCAAAAAAACTCGTGTTTCTCTAGTAACATACCGTTTTTTTATAAAAAAATAGTTTCGGCTTTTTACTATAATCCAATAAGTTGAGAAAAAAATTTCGAATACGACTGAAATCAAAAAAATAGCTGGAAATGAAAAAAAGATTTTCAGAACTATTTTTTTCACGTTTTTCCTCTTTAACATTCATATAAATGACCGACCAGTCATCAGTGACCAGTTGGACGGTCATTTCATTTCAAGCCACTTCGGACTTTCGAAGTGAACGATGTTTTGTCAATTATTATTAAACTTTCCACAATGACCATTCGGTTGAAATTCATTTAGTGACCCGTTGCAAACGCGATCGTTCGTTCATCGATCATACTCATACACTTCTAAATTCGACATTTCGTTTAGCAATCATGGAAGTAACCTATCACTAAAAGTCATCGTACAAACGGTCATTATGGAGAGCTATATTTCTTTCAACTTGATTTTACAAGATATTTCATTAGTAATTGGCAAGTAGATCAAGTCACAATTTTTTCCCCGAAGCCTCTGTCCTATATGATTTCTCTGGAACTGTAATGAGAAGCTGACCGGTCGCTTGGTCTCCGTGTTCTGCATGACCAGAAGGCGCTCGACGGCGTAAGCCGAATAGTCGCGGACAATTTGGAAGTTGGACTGCAGCAGAGCGTCGGCGGCGTTGATCACTTCCACGAGGGTCGAGGGGGGCAGCATGTTCCGGAACGTGACGCAAAACCTTTACAAAAACAAGTATGAAAGAAGGTAAAAGGCGAAAGAGAATTTCGGATCCAAAAAATAAGCAAGAGGTTTTAAAAAAAAATCAGAACAAAAGAAAAAGTAGCATGATTGCACGTTTTTCCATTTTCAAAACTTTAATAATCGATATCCTTATCTTCGCCTTTTTTTTGTATCGACTCTCTGCTTAATTTACTTGCAAAGAAGAAACCCTCACGAGACAAAGAAATTACATGAATTACTTCTAAAACCTTTCCGTGCGTTGTGAGAACTATGAAAAGTATTCTTATGAGTTTTAAGAAAATTGAATTGAAAACAATAAGGTAAATAAAAAAACATGATCTATTTCTTAACTTTGTGAACCAAAAAATTTCGTGAAGAAATTTTTTCGAATTTTTTTGTTTTTGAGAAAAAAAAAATGAAAACTATTGAAAGATCGCCACACACAAGAAAAAAAAAACACCAACCGCAAGGCATCTGCTTGCAAAATTGGCGTATTATTGGCCGAAGAAGAGAGGTGATTTCGAACTTGACTGTTGTAAAAGTCGACGACGTTGATCTGAAATCGGCAGACTTGATTTACGATGAGAAAAGGAGAGCCTACTAAAGCGGTCACTTCCGTTGCTCCGCTACGAGCCGTCTCAGATTTGGCGGCCATCGCCGTCACCAACGAGTACACCACGTCAATCTTCCTCCAGTTTCCATCCACTATCAAAGTTTGCACGATCTTCAAGTTGCACAGCAAAATTATGAATGGGAAAAAAAACTGCAATCATGTTTTATTCAACTTCTATACTTTGTTGAAAGTGTTCACCATGCGTTGCTGTCAAAATGAGTTTAAGCTCATGCACATACTCCATGAAAATTTTTCCCTAGACTCTTTTTTCTTCTCCAAACACCATCAAATTATTTTTTCCAGTTTCTCGTAGTGGTGAATCAACTAAGTAAAAGAATTCTCAAAAAAATTCATTTCATTCATCATGTATGCTTTTCTTTGAGTTCGTTCCTGAAAGACTGAAAGATGATTAAAGATATAAAGCACCTGAGATAAGGAAGGCATAATCTGAGCTTCGTATCGACGGCAAAGGGCTCGGATCAGATCAATTGCGCCCCGTCGTCTAGTTCCAATATCCGTCCCTGAATAATTCAAAATAGGTGGAAAGAAACAAGAAAAATACCCTCAAGATCCCGTTTGATATATTCCAACGGCTCATCTTCGAACTGTTCAATGTCTTCCTCGCGGAGATGCAGATTTTTCACGCACACATTTTCTGGAAGAATAGAACTCTGAAAAGAAAGAGAAAGGAACCTGCGATGGCCTGAACGACTCCTTGGCCCTCGAAATGCGCCGCGTGATAGTTCCTTTGGCAGATGATCGAAAGGAATTCCATGGCCGCACAAACCATCTCGTCGTATCTGCAGGACAATAAATGTCGGGGAAAGGGCTGGAAACCTAACCGAGTGTCCTGTCCGGTCCTTTCGATGAGAGCCCAAACGGCGCCGATTATTCCCGGAATGAACGGCGCAATCTCCTCTTCGTACCGCTGCGCGTACAGAGTGAACACTTCGCAAATCTCCGTCTGGAAAATAACTGGAGCTTCCTGCGAAGAGGCGAGTTACCTTGAGTTTTATGAGATCATCGGAAGATCCTTCATTGAGTTCGATCCCCATCAAAGCCAACAAGCTCTCCATCCACGGTTTCAAATTATCCTATGACCAATTTCACTTAAAACATAGAAAAAGAGTCTCACTTCGAAATATTCTGGAATATCCTGAGAACAGAGAGAATGATAGACCGCGCAGATGCAATAAAGGACTTCAATCCATCGTGAACGACTTCTGGCGTCCATCTGATCTCTCGTCTCCAAAAAGCCCATCATTTTACCCAAAATCGAAGTTAAAGGCTCTTGAACCTAAATAAGTAACTATATCGCGCCAAAAGGAGAGAATTTACGTTGATCAAGCAATGTTTGAGTTCAGTCCAAAGCTCCGTTGACTTGGATTCGTAACGAAACTTGCGGAAAATTTGCTTCATTGTAGAAAGAGAGCACATTATGTGGTCGAGGTTTTCAGACTCTAGCGGCTTCGCCAAATACGTTATTAACTCTGGCCATTTAGCGGGGAAATCTGCCTGAAACAATTTTTTCAATTCTCAGAACTCTTTTGAAATTAATCTAAGAACAATTTTTGGGAGTTTGAAGTGTATTGACTTAAATCAAGAAAGTTCTACGCAGAGAGTTCAAATCAGTCTGAATGCACAACAACCTTTGGAGAAACGCTGCCATGAACCCTAGCAAGATGTTGTTGATAGAATAGCCAACCTGTGCAATCAACTGAAGTGCGTTCGAAAGCACTGACAGGTATTCTGGGACGCGAAAGATCGTTTCCAAGAGCTCTTGCCTGATAGAAATTTGATCTTCCGAAGAAATTTCGACATCAGCCGCCTCACCCTAAACCGAAAAGATAAGAAATTTTTTGAACATTCCAATTATTTTCACCCAATTCCGTTTTATGAAATTTTTAAGCTTGACGGCGGCGGAGAATCGCAGCTGCCCAGCCAAATCTGGTTTATTTATCAATTCCAGAAGATTTCTCGCAAACCCTAGTATGAAAAAAAGGTATGTGGTTAACATGAAAATGGTATCACCTGGAACCAATTCCATTTGTCGCAGCTGATCTTCTGCTGCTTTGCGAACAGAATTGTCTGGCTCAAGAGTTCGGGAAAGAATCTCTACCAGGTTCGACATTTCTAACTGAGAAAAAACACAAAATTTTTTCAAGATTAAGCTATTTTCTAGCGAATCAATGAAGCACTTTAAACGGGAAAAAAACGGTTAAAATATTTTTTTTACAATTTACAATCACGAACTGTACAAACTATCAAGAATAAAAATCGAATTAAGTATCGGATTTTATTGAGAAATAGCTGCGCTGGCGTTAACAGAGCCGGCTCCTCTAGAGAAAAAGTTGAATAAACGAAGAAACTTCGCAAAATGTGAAGTCACTTTTTTTTTGTGTTTGAAATGGCGCTCCAATGGAATTTGACACAGTTACGAAATTTTGCGGGGATTACTCGAGGTGAGAGCAATATCGTAACACGGTATGGTATGCTTTATTTTCAAAGTGCAAACTTTTAGAAACAGAAAGTCGCACAGAAGCTCTTAAAATAAACCTGAAACTTTCTTTTTGAAAAAGCTTCCCATTTTATCTTCAGACAGGCCAATGATTTAAAAGTTTTAATAAAAATGTTTTACAAAAACAAAAAAACAAGAAAAAAATGTATAATATTCAGTGTGTCATTTTGCGTCGAAGCTACATGAACTACGTGCGTCGTATCTGACGAGCAATCGAAGGAGAATTTTTATTACTCGTTTTAAGGTACCTTTTTTTCTTTCTCTCGCGTTCAAAGTATTTTCAACGGATTCGAATTTCATAGACAAATAAAGATTTTTTTGAAATGTTTTTTTCTTAATCGCTTCATTCAAGATCTTTTTTTGCACATTTTGAAGTCTTAAATTCTAGGTTTTCTGCAATATTTCATATATCCAAAAAAACGATCAATATTTCAGAAGTCTGGAACTAACCCAACGCTAAAAAGCTCAAAAAAAGAGACAGGCCGAATTGAAAAAAGGAAGCCAATGTTCCCGCATTTAAGGAACATTTTTGAGTCCTTAATGGCAGTCTTTTCAGATTCACGGTGTATCGAAAGGATATCTTATCCATTTGCCTATTGGTTAAGTTATGAATTGGGCGCACGAAAAATCACCGAATTTCAAAAAACGTGAAGGTAATTTCCGCCTTCTTTTAGTTATTCCGTATATATCTTTCAGATCCTTTCGCAGCAGGAGATTACTCGAGAGGTTCCGATAATCATAAAATGGGTGATTTTTGAGTCCGATCGGTAGGCTGCAGTGACGTTGGAACGCGGTAGAAAACCGAGAAAGAAAAGTGGAAACTTTAGTTTGATTTTCGCGAGAAACTATTCCCAAAGTTTTATCAGTCTGGCTCGGCGCTCTAAGGCGCTCTTGCAAGCTGTTGTTTGAAAGATGAAGAAAAAGTAGATTAAATCAGTTTCTCACAGATTCTTCAGTCGATTGGGCTCCTAGCATCGAAGAAGGTATGTAAAATTTTACTTCAATGAGGTCGTGCATGGGTTTGTAGATGAGCTGACAAACAGTAAATCAGCGAAACCTTCTCCTTCTGAGACAAGTAATTTTCTTTTTCGTTGTTTTTTTTCAAGCGGAGTATTTGTTGATTACAATTAAAGTGCGGGAAAAAAAGTTCAACTCGGCTACGACTTCAAATCGGACGTCACAGCGGAAATACAAGCCATACACGAGACGGAACGGGAGATTTCATTCGCGAAGGAGCAACAGACCTCATGCATCGACTCGAAACGAAAAGACTAGTAAGTCGATGTTTTCACAACCTTTTAATTGAAGAGCTTTAAGAGTTTGTCGTTCCGAAGTGTGCGGAATGCAAAGGAGGACACATGGGAACGTGCAGCCTGTTGCAGTTTGACAGAAAATGTGAGAGACTGCTTTCGAAGGCTTCTATCAGAACTTTTAGCTATTAAAATGTGTTCTAATTGTAACGAGGGACCGCACATCTACTCTCATTGCCTGAAGGAAAAATCCATCTTCTCGGGCTACGGACTTCAACTTTTCAGAAGTTTTGTTTACGGCACAGATGATCTTTATATCGAGGTAATTGAAATGAAACTTGAATTGCTGGGTTTTTCAACAAGAACGAAGATTTACGGTATTCCAAGTTTCTTGTCAATAAAAATCTGAGAATACGACGTTTTTGTTTCTCAGCCAGAAGTTTAGAAACACAATTTTGGATCTTATATTTATTAAATCCAACTGACGGAAAACTTTCGAAACAAAAGAAAAGGCTCCCTCTTAACTTCATTATTCAACCTATAAGAATTTGCAAAATAAAAAATTACTATACGATGTTTCAGACCTTTTTCGACAGTCAGAAGAAAGAAATCGATTACCCGGAATCATTTTTCCGCAAATAGTTTTAATTTTCAAATAGTTTTATTAGTTTTGATAATTTCTGTTTTATTATATAAGCCTTCCGTTTTTACTCATTTTTTCGCGTCTAGATTGTTCCGCATCTACTGGTTCCTCGTTGTTCTGCCAACTTTTTTAACATTACGCAGTTAGAATAATTTTTGAAGTTTGTAATATCGTTTTAATCATACCATGTATTGGTTTTTTTATAGTCTTGTTTTTCCTAATAAATTTTCTCGTAACTTGGGAATTATAGAAATTGAATTTCGTGTTTATTAAGCCTAGATAAGAAGTTGAAACATGACAATACATAAAAGACCCGCTGGAGTGGCGCTGCACAAGAGATAAAGCTTTCAAAAATAAAGGCTTTTTGAAAATCACGGAATGTCGCCGGTGCGAACGTAGTAGCGTAGTTGGTCTTCTGAATTGACGACGACGAGTCGACGTCGGACGACGTGATCTCCGCCAAGAGCTATTCTTTGCTGTTCCTCTGGAAAAATCCGAATGAAAAGATAGAATCTCTCAGAAATTAAATTTTTTCGAAATCGAAAGTTCATTCTCATGCAGATTTTGTTTTGTTAAAATTAGGTTACTCACTCATTTTCAATAACACAAAAGCTTTAAACTTGATAAGTTTATTAAAGCATTTTTTTATTTTAAGAATTTCGAAAAAAATTTTTTTAGAAATGTTCTTGAAACTTTTCTGAACAGTTACGAAAAAGAAACCAGAGGTATGATTTCGGTAGAAAAAAAAAACCTTGCTGGGGTCTTTAAAGGAACATAATCTCTATTTTTTCGTCCCTCAAAACTGAAAGCGAGTTTTCGCTTAAATTTTTTTCCAGAAATTAGTTTTGAGTTAACTCACGAAGAACAGTGTCGAAACGAGCAGGGCTAGAAGGTCTATTGGCGGCGAGAAGAGCCGGCGAAATGCCGATCTGGGAGGCGAGTTCAGGGTTGGCCTCAAGAGCGCGACGGATGTCCTCGAGGGAAACTCCTCGACGCGGTCTCTCGCTCGAGCATCCTTCGACGTCGGCGCACGTCGTCTGGAACTTCTTCCTTGAGCTCCAGAAGAGCTTGGACCCTTACCGTCGGACATGGCGCAAAAGGACAAACTCGCACGAGACAAGAGTACTGGATCTGGCCGGTTGTCTGGTAGCGGAAGGACTCAACCGAAACCTGTGTCACCTGTTTGTCAACCTTGGTCTATTCTGAGGCTTCACCTTGGCTCCGAAGCCGGACTGTGTCGGAGGACAGACGAGGCCGACGCCGTCCGCAGGACATCCATTGCGAATAATGAACAGGGGTTCGTGCTCCCATTCGTACTTTGGATCTATCGGTTCTACCTGACATCCACGGACCGATATGTACTCAGCTGAAGCAGCTCAAAAGGTTTTTGGAGGGAAGAAGCCAGGCTCACGAGGAATAGGGTAGTGTGGAGTGAAAGAAAGGGAAATTTTTGTGCCGACGACGACGGCTTCTACCGGCTGGCCGTTGTGGAAAATCTCAAAGTTGATGGGCGTCGGTGGTTTCGCTGCCACATTCACCCTAGGAATATCTTCTATAAAAGACTCAATGTTGCAGACTTACGTCGATATTCCTGGTGAAGCTCCAGTCATTGAGGGAGTTGATGAAGGCGCAATCTTCAAAAAACAATTTTAGTTAGTTCTTTTTCTGCTTGAACTGCTTTCTGTATTTGTTTCGTATCGATTCAGCTGAAACTTCTTTCAAAAAATGAATAATTAATTTTTCTTCGAAACCAGACAATCAAACTTTCGTCACAGTTGCCTATCGCCTGAATCTCTTGAAGCCTCACTTGTGTCTGAGCTTCTCTGAAAGATGGAGAAGCTGGCGGAGTTCGAGAAGTGCTCGATGAAGAAGGAGGACTAGTAGTCGAGGTGGTTGTTGGGGACGTCGTCGTGGTTGAAGAAGAAGACGTGGTCGTTGTGGCAGACGTCGTGGATGTCGTTGAGGTCGTTGATGTCGTGGGAGGCGGCGTTGGAGTTGTCACGGTGGTTGGTCGTTCAGTTGTAGTGGTCGTGGTTGACGTGGAGGTCGTCGACGGCAGATGTGTCGTTGTCGTCCTTGCAGTCGTCGTCGCTCTGAAAAAGCGATTTCCTTGAAAAAAAAAAGTATCAAAAAAAGTTTGAATCAAAGTTTAAATCTAATCTTCTTATATAACGTTCTATTAAGAAAAACATAATCTGTGGCGGTGAAACAAAAAAAAATTATGAATTTAAAAATAAAGTTGAACTAAAAACTTTGTGAACGAATTACAGATAGACTTCGATATATTCTGTTCCTCGAAACTTGAAAACCATGGTCGCACAAAAAAGGCTGCATCCGTAACGACTGCAAAAAATCTCAAAGCGTTCTCGACACAAAATAACTTGTGAACGGAAATATTGAAAACAATGGAGCAAGAGCTGAATGAGAAAGGAGTTCTACTGTGAAACCTTTTTCAACCGCAACGCTTCAAGCCATTCCACGTGCGACAACTGGAATTCAAGAAGGTCAAACAAAATGTACATCCTTCCGCATAACATTTTGTTTTAATTTTAAAGTTAACCTACTACGATAACTCAACACTACTGCATGCAATTTAACAAAGCATCAACTCATAATTTTCAAATTCAAGAAAAGGCAAACAAAAAATCAAAGACTTGCGTCGGAATGGTTGAAACCCTAGGCGCCGTGGTTGTTCTGAAGGTCGGGAACTTCTTGGCAGCGCTGAATCGAACTTCTTCTCGAGCCGTTATGATGGAAACGTGTCGCGAGGTGGAACTGCTGATAGTTGTGAAAGTGGTGGTTGGAGCTCGAGTTGTCGTGCTGACAACTGTCGTCGGAGCCTTCGTGGAAGTCGTTGGCACTGTCGTTACTGTGGTGGTCAGTGGTGACGTTGTGGAAGTTGGGGTGGACGACTGTTTCGGCTCTTCTTTGGTGGTGGTTGTGACAAGACGGGTGCTGCTGGTTGTTACTGGTAGAACTGTTGTCGTGCTTCTAGAGCTCGTCGGAGCCAGAGAACTGCTCGGAGACAGCGGCCGTGGCGACGTCAAAGGCAAGGGAAAAGTCTCTTTTCTGGCTGGTTCTGCACGCAGAGGTTGTCCTTTGGACAGCAGCTCGAATAACGCATGCGCTGAAGCTTCAAGCTCCTTGGTTCTGAAACTGTGCGAGTGAAAAGGTGGAACAGAAAAAAGTGAGGCTTTTCTAAAACATATTCAGAGATTCGCTGCACGTAACAGTGCATAATGAAAATCGGATACAGGACTTGCGCAAAAGATTTTTTTAATTTAAGATATTTTAAGAACTCAGAAACCTGAAAAACTAATTTTTTATTAAATTTGATAAACCGTGGTTTTTAGCTCATTAGTTTTAGCTCAAAGCTGATTTTAGCTCATTTTTTAAAAATTTAATTGATGTTCTTTTTTGAATTTTTTTTTTCTCCAAAAAATTTTTCCAAGAATAAACATTCAAATCAAAAGAAAAAAGGAAATATATATCTTTTTCGGTTAACCAGTTATGCAGAAAATCAAATGAGAACAAAAAAAAACCAAATCACGCATTTTTGCGACAATGTTGAATGCGCGAAAATCCTAGGTCCAAAAAAGTTTCTTTATTTGCTCGGTGCCTTGCAAAAGTGCACTTAAATGGTGAATCCTTTCTTATTGCTTGTTATTTGGTTTTCGAGTGCTCCGCGATTATTCAAAACATACTGAAGGCCTTCGAGAGACGGCTTCGGATCCTGTCGTGCGAAATTCCTTCCAGATCCGACGATGGGACAGCGCGCCTGGAACGTCAGATCGTCCGGCGTGATGAAGTAGAGCGGTTCTATCCCATCGGTCGACAAAACCACCTCGACAACCATTTCATCGCCCTAAGGAGCAATTGCAGCTTCATGAAGATTGGACGATAAAAAGAAACCTTGAAACGAATGGAATCACTACAGTTTTTGCTGAGCATCGGAGAAGGGAACCAATATTCAAAGTCGGTGGCTTCTTTAGGTTCAGTTCGGCAGGTGAAGAAGTCGTAAAGGCCGTACAAGGCGCCGGTATACGGGAACTTCGACTTTACCTGTAGGAAAAATTGAAACTTTTTCACTTCTAGAAGGCAACCTTGACCACAACTCCGTCTTCGCGACATTCGCGCTCAAACGAGAAAACGTCAGACACTGAAACCTCCGGACTTGAAAAGGTTCTCAAGAAGAACAGCCTACAGTTGTAGCAGTTGTTCTCATAGTAGTCTATGCGGTAGTTGGGGTTGTTGTTGAGGCGAATCGACTCTGGTTTGGTGAGCTGTGAATTGGCCGACATGTGACAGCCGCCATCCGTCCGATTGAATGAGACTGACCGACACTCGAACCGGAAAAGCTCCTTTTTATGCAGTTTAGCCGTAGAAATGCTTACTTTTTCTCATCGAGACAGTCCGATAGACACTCTTCCAAGTTGGCCTTCTTCATCACCCGCACTACCTGTTCATTTCTATTTCTCATTTTATTGAGTAGGAGTCTTACCTCTCGAGAGTCCATGTATCGATCTGACATGTAGGTGAATGCGTACTCGCCGCCGCACTTTCTCTTTGCTGTAAAGAGTGACATCAGACTGGAATACATGGAAATAGCGTACATGTGAGGCAATACTTCCAGTAGAAAGAGTAGCGCTCGTCGGCTTCGACGTAGCCGTCGACGTTCTGGAGCTGATGAGGCTGGAAGACGTCGCAGTGGTGCGAGAAGCCGTCAGGAGCGTGATGATGGTTGAGAGCCGCACATTCGAGTTGCTTTCCTGGAAACGATAACTGAAAACTGAAGGAAGCTGTTTCTCTACCAGGGTTGATGGGGTCTTCGCCGATGGAACACGTGCTTTCGCAGGCTTTGAGGGACAGTCGGGCATCAGCTACGGCTTTGAAGTTGAGACGGACTCGCGGCCAGCGGACGTAGAATGGGTAGCACGTCGGCTGTCCATATCCTGCAAAGGAATGTCGTGTTTGAAGTAAATTGTTTTATTCTTAACGCTTGACTTATTATTAACTTTCAAAATTTGAAACTTTGGTTTCCGAAGAAACCCTCTAATCAACATCTCACTCAAATTGAATAGTCACAATAATATATCTGAATCGCCTACGATTTTAATTTTATTGAAGCTTACACACAGGTTTTGTTCTCCACCCTTACATCAGATCACTTTTTTTTCTGGGCTTCGAAATCCGTTATAAACTTCTGAACTTTCAAAGAGTGCAGCCAAATAAGAGTTTTGCTGAATCAAGAAATTTTCTGTTAGTAAATGATATGAACAAACGGAAAGAAAAACTGGTTACTCTAGAAAAAAAGCAGGGACATCAGTGAGAACACCAAAACAAAAACGGAAACGAGGAAATTAGGTCGAGGTAGTTGCAGCCGACGAACCTTGGATGCTCGTCGCGGCGACAAGGACCAGCAGAAGCGACGATCGCCGCATTCAGCAGTGAGGCTGTGGAAGAGCTGCGCTTCCGGCTGGAAAAGGATAGGAAAAGCGACGATTTGTGCACAAGTGAGCCGCGCAGACGCCGGATAGAAGGACGGCCGAAAGGGAAATGGAAGGGTCGCCACGAAATTTGCGGGCGCGGTCCATCTGACCTCGATTTGCCACGGATACATCGGGCCGTGCACGCCTACTACGTCCGCGTGAGAGCTTACTTTTACTTGCTGGACTTGGTGTTCACTGCCGAGGTATCATCTCCAGATAGCCTTCACGTCATTTGTAATCTTGCTTCCCTTTTTTTCTTTTGAACTCTTCGCTTCGCTACTTTTGGCATGATCCGTTCTTTTTGATCCTCCATCAGCTGATCTTGAAAAACGGAAAAATATTAAAATTAGCGGGCAGTGTCTAGTCCTTCCTTACCGCTACACGGGATCTTCATTTCAACTTGTAGAATTTTTCCTTCTGCTGGACCCAGCGAATATTTTACCACTTTTTCAACCAAAGTTCATAGAAACTCAATGCATTTAAGATCTGAGTAATCCGATCGGATCCGGCTATCTCTATTAATTTAGAAAAATTTCTCCAAAAAAATCGGAAATAGAGATTAAATTTTTTTATGGATCAAAATGAAGATTAAATTGGAGTTCAAATGAAGAAGCTCTCATTCCACACCTTTTTCGCCATTTTTTTGCCGTATTTATCGCTATTTTTTTTCTCTGAAAGTTGTATTTTTTTCAAGTTTCTCTGAGTTTTCATTGGAATGAACTGGCTTTTATTTCTCGGCCGTCGGAGCCGCTGAAATCGTTGAACTGTGCCTGATCCTGTATTCATGAAAGGATAGGGTCATATTCGACGGAAGGATTCGAATCGAATCTAAAGTTTAAAAAAACTAGGAAATTTCGGTGTTCATCACACTTCAAACAAACACTAGCTAATTTCCTTCAAGTTTTTTTGGTCAAAGTTGCAATTTCGCCGGAAATTTGTCAAGTTTTCCGAAAAAAAAGACTTGAGAATCGTTAGACGCGGCCTGGATGACACAGGAAGCGTGACTCGGGAATCAGTGACACCACTTTTTTCCAACTCGCGACGACCTTGACCGAGTGACAGGCCGATCCAGCCGCAGATAACGTCGCGAATGACCCGGTCGTCGGTTTTTTTCCCGCAAATCTTTACTTATCCGTCTGATCGTTTACTTTCTTCTTCACTCGGAGCAATTACAAGTTTCCGAAAAATATCCTTTTTGAGATTAGGGAGCAGATTTATTTGAAGAATAAATAAATACTTTACAATGAGATCGTTTTGACATACTTTGGGCCATCGGTTGTCGGCGAAGGCGATGATCTGCAAAAAGAAGAATGAAAAATAACATAAAACTTGGAAAAAGAGGCAAAAGATTTACGGCGATTCAAGGAAACGCATTATGCGATTATTCTGCGAACTTAAACTTTTTTGCTTTCATTTTTTGAACAATTAATTTTTCTCATGATTTGAAACAGTCTGGATTTTTTTTTCCTTCTCTTCTTTATCACCATTGCGGCCATAAAATTGTGAGGAGCATGAAAAAGGGTAGCGTCACTGAGACGCAGAAAAACCCCGCTTCAAAATGTTTTTCCTGAGTTCGTTTGTGCATTGTTCTGACAGGGAAAAGCCCCACAGAAGTTTCTCGACGCGGTCGTCGCGACGAGTTGAGCGGCAGACTGTGAGGACGATGGAGACGGAAATCGCGACGAGGCCTCCGATGAACAGGGCCATCGCCGGCAAGTACGTCGTCGACTCGACGCAGATTTCTGTGAAATTCAAAAGGACCCCTCTTGAAAAAATATCTCACGAATAAGGTCACTTGAATGTTTCGAATTTTGAAAGTCCAGAAATTCTTTGAAAATCTATATTTCCTCATGGTCGAGACTTGCAACAACGTTCAGAATTGCTCCACCAAATTATTAGAAATTCCAAACTTCCTACTAAATGACATGTCTACTTTTTGGTTATCCATGGCTTAAACTATTGTATCAAGCTATTAAGCTACATGCAGAAAATGACAAAATCAAAAAATCATTTATTTATTTAATTTTTCTTAAAAAGTTATGAAGCTACTTATTGACGGTTTTTAGCTGTTGAAAATTTTGTTTTCAACGTTTTCAGATGGAAGAAAAAAATAAATGTTTTCTTTCGGGCTCTAAAAAGTCCTACAGAGGTCAGAAAAACACCGTTCGACTCAAAATTTCAAACTACAAAATCAAAAAAACTTTTAATTTGGGAAAAAACTTTAGGAAATGAAATTTCAGAGCTCGACTTCGTGCAAAAGTTTCGAAAGGGATTTTCATTTTCGGATTTTCCCATGCTTTTGATCGGACAGAATCTTGATCGCTATAAGTTTTCCGAAAAAAGTTATGAAGTTAAGAAAAAATTCAATAAAACGTACTTTTATTTGAAAGATTCACGATAAAGAAAGCATTCTAACAGAGTAAAACCAAAATTTACCACCTATTCTGAATTCTTCCCCATGAATCTAGCTCATTTCGAATTCCCAGATCTTGCTGGCTTTCAGGATTCAGTATACTCACGAGGAAAAAGAAGACCAGAGGGCGGCTGTCGGTCTCCCTTGACTACGAGTCTTCGATCGACGCGCACCGAACTCTGTTCGTTCTGCGACCTGGTGACTCTCTTGGCGAAGGAGTCGGTTCCCGAAGGAGGACACTCCAGCTGCAAATGGGTCTTCGGTTTTGATGGGCGGCCGGAAGAAAGAAGGGGACCTCCGGACACGGTCGGTCCGTACAGACGGAGAGGTGGCAGACGACGTCCACTTGCTCGCTGCCGTCGATTCTGAAGGCCGACAACGACGACTGCCAGCCTTTGGCCGTCAGTTGCATCGGCGACATGATCGAGGGCAACAGCGCGCATCTGTTGAAAACGTTCGAAAAATCTGTGTCAGAATTTATTAAAATTTCTACAATAAAATTTGAAAAAAGTAACAAAGTTTTAAAATATTAGGAAATTTCTAAAAATTAATCAAAAACTTCTTAAAAATAATTCAAAAAATGGGGCTGAAAATTCCTAAGTCAGGGATTCGAAAAACTTGTAACGGAAGGAAAAAACTTTCTAATCTGGGGAATGAGAAAGAACGATACTTCACCGCTTTCTCCGAAAAGTTTAAGAAAAGCGAACCCATCGGCGATCAAATGAACTGAGGCTGGAGTTCCGTTGCCGCCAACACGATTTGCCGTGCAATCGACGACTCTCAGTTGTTCAGCTTTAAAAAATGAAACAATTTCAGAATACTTTGAAAATTCGAGGAACAAAACCTGAAATATTCGACTTTACTGTGGCCACCAGCGGTTCTCCAATAAAAACGCTCTCGACAACTTTTCCATTTCTCGTTATTTCCAAGGAAATCTTCTCCTTGACGTGACTGGGATCTCTTAAAATCGCGATTGGCGAGGGTCCTCTGGAATGATCGGTTATCGAAAACATAATTTGTTAGAAAAAAACCCGACAACGATTCCTCTCTTGATTGTTTCTTCGTGGAGATTGTAGTCGCAGGAAACCTTTTAAGTCCGATTAATATTCGACAGGATCGTTTTTCCTTACCTGATAAAAAAGGTCGTCTTTCGTGGTCACATCCAGCGGAGTTACCCGATCGTTCGACATCACCACGATCGCTGATAGTTGATTTTCCTGTATGATAAAAGTGACTTGTCGGAAAAAATCTCACGGAAAGGTTAGTGGGCTTTTATAAAAATAGTATTGACACGATTTAAAAAAATAGAATGCAGAGAGGACAAACTAGCAGTGAACGAAAAAAAGATCTGCAAGTTGAAATTCCAATAAATCTCACCACTTCAACGGCATTGCACCACGCGTTGTGCTGTGGCCTGGGAATGAAAATCGCATAGTTTGAAGAGTTTTTGACGAAAACGCGACATTGGTCGAACCGTTCCGAAGCATAAATCACACCGGTGTATTTCTACAAAACTACAACTATAGCACAGTCACAGTATTCGATTTACAGTATCCGTGGGAAGTCGGAATGTGACGTTGACACCATTTTCGTGGCACTCGGCGGCGACGAGGAGGGACGTTGTCGGAACGAAGCCGACTCCTGCAGAAAGGGGCAGAACTCGCGGAACTTCGTCGCTGAGAACCGCCAGTTCCTGGTCCAGAGGCACGAGCGGGGACCTGATAGCTCGCCAATTACATTTAAAAAGTCCTTGTTTCCTACCCCGTCTCTCTTGAAGCTTCAGCAGCTCCTTTTGGAGTCGAGGAAGATGGCTCTTGCAAAACTAAAACTTCCATTCAAATAGATTGTTTCAAAATTTTTATGGCAAAAATAGATACCATTTTCTGCTATAAACTACGGTTCTATCCATAAATCAATCTCCTTCTTAACTGTCAGCTATAACTTATAATATTTGAAACTTGCTCTCTCGGTACATATATTTTCTCAAGGATCAAACTGTTTCTCGAAATTTAGATGGACTTTCCATGTTTCTTTTATTGCAAAGCCGTTTGAAATCTTCCAAAACAGTTGCAGAGGATGCATCCACAAAAAAACAGCGCAAAAGTAGTTTTCCAATTTTTTTTTTCCAAGTGCCTTAAGTAATTAAAAAAATGTTGCAACTATTTCAATCAATAAGGAAAAAGAAGGATTACAAAGCCGAACTAACCACGCTTCAGATCGACAAAGCAACTTTCTAAATTTCAATTGCAGATTTCTAAATTCGACTGGTTCATACTCTAGATAATAGAGTTTCATCATAGAATAAAAATTTTAAATTATCAGCTTCCAAGTAGTTTCAGCGGAGTCATGTTCAAAAGTCAGAAAGAAGAAGTACGGTATTCGAGTTTATGGCGCATCTTATTTGTTAAACCTTTTCTCTTTCCTCTGGAAGACTGTGGTTATTAGAACTTTTCGAAATTGATAACGAAGATGAGAATTCTCACTGTGAGTCGCACTCGGCGCCGGCTCCATGAAGGCGTCAGAAGAAAAGGCGAAGATGTCGTTCTCGGCGACTTGCGTAGTCGAACGAGGAGGTCTCGCAGTCGCCGTCGAAGGCTCGCCAATCAACGTCGGATGTGCAGAATGGCCTTCACAGTTTCTTATGGAAATGATTCAATTCTCTGGAACTCACGCTGTTGCTTCAAAGAATAAAGATCGAAATCGGGGCTCGGCTGCGTCATTTCTCTTCTTTGAAGAGGGTCTTCCGAAAGCTGGAAGTAAGAGGTTATTTTTGGGCTCTTTCTTGAAAAAGACCTCTGAAGAAGACAAGAAACATTCTTTGCGAGTTCTCGAATAGACGAACGACGAACAATGAAAAGAAGCCGATTCACATACTTTTCTGGAAGGTAAAGTGATTAAAACCCTAAGGAAGTTATCGGACACCCGCAGGTAGAAGCATCAGGGATTTCAATGTGCTGAGATTCCCTGAACTGTTGGCGGAAGGTCGTTTGAGCGCTGATGAGGTGGAAATCGACCTCGTTCTGGCTGTTTTCTGGAGTCGTCGGCCCCTGAGGCACATTGGCAGGCAAGCAAGAAACTTCATAGAAATCGAAGTTCTCGTCGTTTTCTGGAACGCAAATTAGGCTTTGGAGTACGAAGCGATTAACTGATTTCCCGGGTTCCGTCCTCTTTAGCTACGCCGAGCAAACTACAAACGCGCTCCACGACGTGGTAGTTGACGGATCGACAAGCCGCCAGTTGCAGACATTCCCGGAGACAAGCTCCCGCCGACTTTCCTGAGGATGAAAATCAAAAAAGACTTCTTTAACGTACAAGCCCACTTCTGAATTCTTTCAGAGGCTCAACATTGTCCATTCGTGACGTCACAAACTTCTCGAAGGCATAGGGTCTGTTACAAAAGCTTTCGACGTTGGCGGGCACACAGAACGGTTCATAAAGGTCCAAAGAAGCAGAAGGGACAGCAGCGTCCGAAGTTTCGTCAGAAATGAAGCACTCGTTAGAGATGGCATCAAACTACAAACAGTTCCTCATGATTGCAGACAGGTCCCACCTGAAGACTTCTACAGAAGAAATGCGAGGCTTGGATACACGCCTGCATGCAGTTTCTTATGCTCTTCACGCCCATTGAGACTCCAAAAGAAGGGACGTCAGAATGACGTGTCAGGAAGAACTCGACGCGTCCGCCTGGACATCGCGACGAAGCTGAACTGCTGTTATTAAGAAGAAGGTTATTCGGTTCCTGAAAGAAACAAGAGAGCTCTTTTCGCTGATGAATCTTTCATTTCAGACTGACGGTGGATGCAGTTGTTCTCATAGTAGTCGACGCCATTCGCCTTCGATGCCGGCGAGTCACTTTCACGCCTCGTTACTCCATGAATCGAACATTTTCTAAAAAACGATGTCGTGTGGATAGACGCGATTCCGCAAACTTGTTGACATGGTCCCATTGGAAGGCGACGCACTCCTCCATCAGACACGTCTCCATGCAGTTCTTTTCGGAGTCTGCCGGCCGGACCTCGGCCGTCGCATCCAGACGGTACCCCCTCCTCACGTCTAGCATGAACGCCGATTCTGCGCATCTGGCGGGACTTCTTCAAAATGCATACTTTCTTTCAACATGATTTTAAAGTGGGTAAAAGAGCAAAGGAATTCCTTGAAGATGATAAAATGCTTACTTGCTTCATCCTCTTTTTCCAAGTCCCGGTGAAACATTTAGATAGAGACTATTTTATATATTTTTAATCTGACCGGTTGAAATTATAACTATAAGAAAATGAATTCGAATTAAACTCACCTCAGACAAGTTTTTTCAAAGTAAAATGTAGGAGTGTCTTCCAAATGAAGAGATTCGTTGAACAGCATCTTCTAAAGAAGAAAAGTAACTGGAAGACGAAAAATAATTTTCTTCAATTTTTATCGAATTTCATCCATTTCTCAGTCCTCTTCTCACTTCAAAACGGACAAAACAAAATAACGAGAACGGTTTAGCCGTTTATGTGCCCGTCTGCAAATCCGTAGAAATCGCCGAAAATCGTCAGTTTTTTTTCGAGACATTCCAGACTTGAATCCTCAGACATTTTTTGGGAGCTCAATTCGAAAAAAATGTTGAAACGCAAGATTATTTGAAGCAGATGGGAAATTTTCGAAAAAGTTTTTAAGGAGTAGAAGAGATTCAAAGGAAATGACTGAAGAGGAGACTGAAAATATACTATCACGAAATTTCCCACTTTTCTCGAAAACTTCGAAGATTTACATACTTTTGAGCGAATATCAAAAACCTGTCAAAGACCACCTCAGAGAAAAACTGGCAGACAGGGCTTCTGCCAGCGCGGAAGTTGAAGCCGACGCAAGGAGAGGGAAGGTCGGTGGACGGGTCGTAGTTGTGTCGACAGTGGCTCGAACACGTCACCATGTCTACCTGAGAAATCATTTCCTGTCTCGAGCTGCTCCAGCTCCCGGCAGACCTTGGCCACAAAAGTCGACGACCCAGAGACTCTCGTCCCAATAGTCCGAACAAAGGTAGGCGTGAAAGTATCGAAACATTCGCCGTAAGGGGAAACGTCACCGATGCCTTCGGAGCTTACCAACACTGAAAGTTCAATCTCACCTTACAAACACAGAAAATTCACTTTTTATGTTACACAGAGTAAAAATTTTCGAAAAAATTGTCTGAGAAATGACTTTTTTTCTGTCTCTATTATGCTAAATAGAAAGCGTTTGGAGATCAATGACGCACAGTTCATCATTTCTTTTTGGTATAAAAGGAAGAAAAAAAAAGTGTTTCACTCATTTTTGTTTGTCAGTACTTTCACAGGCGAATCTAGAAGGTACCGCAATGTGTCCACAAAGATACCTCTCAAAATGGATCGTGAAGACCCCATAATGTGTCCATCGTGAGACCTCCGGCATACCTTTAAGCTATATCTGAGCCAACTCGGAGGTACTTCAGAGTTTCTCTCAAGCCCCTCTCATTTTGCTCAAAATCCTCAGAGGTTTACCCGAGGTACCCTCGTGAGACTTCAGAGCCTGCGATATATCTCAAAGGGTCTCGCGATACGCTTTCTCGATTCGCCTTTTTTATTTTCTAATTACTTTTTTTCGCATCTTTTAAAATGATAAAACGTTTTGAGATAAAGTAAAAAATTATTTTTGTAGGAAATTTAAACGATGATGAACTAACTGACCAAAGAAACGTAAGCTAATGATAGACTCAACTACAGTAAGATCTACCCCGAACAACTCAAAAATCAGACACAGTCCTAAATTTAGAAAATCAATCCAAATTTCATTTGGATAAATGAACGACGCGCGCAATTCCTACCGTAGGCGACGGAGAGAATAACGACGAGAAGCGGCATTTGGAACGTTTAGTGAATAAAAGACGCGGAGAGAATGGTCGGGACAGCGCCGCCGTATTATGACCAAATGGGCGCATCTTCCAGAGGCTCGGAAAAGAAGCCGACAAGTGGTCGCACTTCTCGCAAATCGCTTCGTCGATTCAATGAAATATTCTTCAGACAAACAAGAAGCCATTCCCTACAATTGAAATCTCAATTTATGCAATAGAATTGTTCGGAGAATCGGAAACATCTAGAGAAAGCAACCTTTGGGTGAGTACGAATGCAACTTCAGAAAGTTGAAGAAAGAATCAAACATTCTCAAACTAGAAAATAATTCAAACGAGTTTCAGGTGATTAATATTAAAATTCGATAATTATCAAGTCTCGTTTGATGACCTTCAAATAACAAAAAGATATCAATTTAAAATAAAAATTTCCAAAAAATATAACCAATCGACCCTTCATCACAATTGTCATCACAATATTCAATGAGAATCTTTGCTGAAAAAGCCTCGGGGATATTTAGATTCAAGATGTCTGTGAATGGAATTAGAATCGAAAGAATGTATTCAAACATTGTTATAGCTACCGTTTTTTTCTTCAGTTTTCCGCATAATTAAAACGAATCAATTTATTTCAAAGTGTTTTCATCATGCGAAATGATAACAATAAATATCAGTTAACAGCAGTAATCAACCGGAAAAATCAATGAGATAGTATGCAACTGGAAGAGATCATTGTTCGATTTGTTCGTCGTCAGAATCATCACGACGGCCGCCCATCATCCGCTGCAGGTTCGCCATTCCTTCCTCGCTCAGTTCGACGCCGTCCATCTGTAGAATTACACTTCATTTTCCCTCTAAATTTATTTTCTGGTATTTAAAATATCGACGTGTTACTGACAAGGCGAAGGATGATTAATAAATTGAATTTTTTGTGGAATTAGTAAGAGGCTCAGTCTTTTTTCAGGTTTCTATTTATTGAATACCATTTTCATCTCTAATCGAGTTGGTATCTGTCAAAATTAGGAAACAACAGAAAGGAAAAGGATAAAAAATTGCAAAAGAAAAAGTTCTCTTGCAAAATTTTTAAACGGTTTTCGTTTGAGCACTTTGAACAACTTTTAGGCAAAAAGAATTTTGCGCTTCTCAAAACTTTACAAGGAAAAAATATCAATATGAAAATGAAAAAAATGTTTAAAAGCTTTGCGGGAAATATCAGTTCATCGTTTTCTTCTTCAAATAAATATTAACCCTAATTTCGCAAATCAATTTATACAATCTTTTTCGGTGCATAATGAAAAAAGAACCGACATTTTCGGCCGTGTACCAGTGACCGTCAGATCCGTTGACTTGGAGATCATGTCCATTCGAAACTTCGTCACATTCCAAACCTTCATCGTCTAAGTGATGTAATTTAGAAATTTTATTAAAGAAAAGTGATACCTGACATATCGTCGTCCTCTTCGGGATTCAACTCTTGACCGACGCAAACTTCGTGATAAATTTGTGATACTGAAAAGAAGTCAGATGAACATTGAAGCAGGAATTTAGCAAGGGTGTTCAATTAGACGAAAAACTTTTTCATATCTATCCCGATCTTCTTTTTTTTGCCTTTAAAAACTTTTTCAACGTTTTTCTAATATTCAATTTTGTGAAAGATTATTTTTAAGCATTTATAAGTACTCTTTTATCCTTATGGATTTATTGTATGTAAATATTGCTTTAAAATGAGTTTTTAGGAATTAATTTCAAGTATACGGAAGCTTTGGTGCAACATCAATGTGTGAATTTGAGAATCCGTTGCTGTATTTCTTGAAAAGTTAAAATTTTCGAAATTCAATTTCGAGAAGAAAATTTAGCTTATTCGTTTATCTGAAATAAGTTTTTAAAAGGCAAAAAAAAGTGAAGCCACTGGTCAAACTTTTTGAAGTGAATTTAGGCTTGATGAGGAAAAAGGAAAGTCTCACATGATGACTTGTCGTCGGGAACAAAACGCACTTCGATGCTTCTGCCCGCCTCGCTGTCGTCGTCATCTTCATCTTCGTTCATTTCTTCGCTCTCGACTTGAAGCGCTGGAAATTATCTTGATTTTTGAGGTAAGCAAGGAGAAAGGGAGAATTCGACGACGTGTGCCGTACCTCTTCGTGCTGCTTCTTCCTCATTCGTCAGCAATAATGGCACACGTCGTCTTCTCCTTTCTAAAATACACTCATGGACTTAGTTCAACTATATTGCACTAGGAATGTGAACTCAAAGAAAAAAAGGCGAACCACTTTTGTTGCCGTCGACAACTATGTAGATGTGTTCTTCGGGAAAATTGGAACGATCCGTAGAAGTTGCGTGCAAAACTATAGAGGGGTAGGATAACTCGAATCCTTGAGCGGAATGGTCGCCGGATTGCGCTGAAGTCAGCGTCCACGTCACTGCTCTGAAAAAGGAATCGAATTTTGTTCCATCGAGAGAAAAAAAAACACACCTCTCTGAAATTATCAATGTTCCATTCCCAAGCGATTGCGATCCTATGTAAGCTTGAACCTGAAAAATGAAAAAAATTTAATAAAATGCAATTGAAGCTCACGTGAGGTTGTGTGAGGCGAACACCCTCTTCTGGTATGGAAACGTTTGTTAACGTTGTCATCCTGAATATGAGGCTGGAATCAGCATCAAATATACAGAGGTCAGTTTAAGTATTTCGCGGTTTTTCGAACCATAAAAGTACAAGTGAACTATTGAACCCGATAGTTTATGAAATCTATTGTCACTGGAGCTAAAGTATGTGAAAAGGTAAAGCCATTCGTAACGTGAGAAGAAAGAAGAGTACATAGAAAAGGAAATGAACAACGAAAGAAGTCTACACAAGTGAAAAAAAAAACAACAACAATGTTCCCAAGTGGACATTTAAGCAACGACCTCGACGAGTTCCGTCGGCAGGGGGGCTTTCGGGTGCCTGAAATGCAGACCTTCATTGTCGCAAGTCAATAGCAGATCTTACTTGCTCTCAAAATGTTGCTTGTAGGTTTTTGGATCCGGCATCATAGCGAAACAAACAACGCACTTGTGGTTCAAGGCCTGAAACTTCGACCAATAAGTTTTCAAATCGACTTGAAGACTAGAAACGTATGCTTTCAAGAATCAAAAAGATGGAAAAATTAGCCGAATTTTAAATTTGGAATAACCTTGAGAGCTGCAGTTTTCTGGTCGCAACCTTGAGCCTTCTTGGCTTGCTCGGCCTTCTTCTGAGCCTTTTGCTGCGACTGGATCTTCTGATGTCCGCGAGCCATTCCTGTGAGAATGAAGACGATTATTGCAGAATTAGGGACAATTATTACAGAATTAACAAAATTTGACAGATCGAATCAATATCCGCCTTTGAAAAATTTATTATCAGACATTTTAACCAATAACCATTCATCGCTTTCATATTTTGAGATTACTAGAAGTGAACTCCTTAGTCATAAATAGAAATGTCCCTGATTAACCAGTAAAAAAATTGTTTATTTAAAAATTAGGACTATCTAAAACAAACAAAAAACATACTGAAAAAGAAAATCGATGTCTATTCCTTTGCAATTGTTGAAAATGAATACCGGAAACGGAAAAAAAAATTTAACGTATATAGCTATAAGAACTCCGAAATTGTATGCTATAAGAACTCTGAAATTGATGATTGAAAAGAAAAAGTTTTCTTCTATCATTTGAACACAAAAAATTCAATTTTCAATATCCGAAACGTTTTGAACTTAAAACTTTCAAAATAATCAATTAGTCAAGAGCTTTGACGTCGAAAGTTAAGTTTGAAATAAGTATCAGAAAGTTTTTTTACAAAACTTTTCGAAAAAAAAAAATTAAAATTTGGGGGCCCCGCTATTGCCCATGGCGCACAAAAGTCCCGTCTTCTTGAGAGGTCTCTCTAGGGCCTTCGCCAGAGCGCCTTTTCTTATCCGACTTTGTTTGTTTGGCTTCGTTCTTTTTCGAAAAATTTTCACCATAGTCGATGGACCAACTATGGTATAGATATAACATGTGTGATTCGTTCAGTTATATGAAAAATCATATAAAAAGCTGTATTATCACAAGCATTCAGTAAAGTTTTCTGAAAAGGAACTCCCGCAACGTGTACACCATGACAAAGTTGAGAATAGGTATAAAATCCACTTTCAAAAAGTGCGAAGCTTTAGTAATAAATACCATACTTGAGGGAAAATTACAAAGAAGTCAACAGGTACTGTCAATGAACCGATTTTGACGCAAAAAAGGCAGCTATGGCATACGGATCTACAAGTACAAAATCGAGTATTATGAATAAAATGAACTAATGAGTAGAAATGAAATTGTTGCGGCACTGGGAGGAGCAGAAGAGGCTGTGGTTCTTGAGCATGAATTTTTTGCCGATAAGGTTCTCACGGCACTGTACACATCTGCAATTTACCGGTTGAAGCAGAAATATTTAGACATATTTTTTTCTTACTGAAAGCATTTTTCGACGGCGTGCCAGTGAACATCGTTGTAGTTGAGCCGCTTCTCGTCGGGTCCGATCTTCTGTTGGCACGTGTCGCAAGTCTGCAAGGCAAAGAGGTTTCGAATAGTTGCCCGAGTCTCAGGTACCTTGGCGAAGTAGGTGAGGTAGCATTCAAGGCAGTAAGGATTGTTCTCGCGTGTCATGTAGCGTGATCCGCCGAGTTTGAAGTCGCACTAAAACTTGAAAGATCTTCACTCTTATAAGTCTTGAACTAACCTTATAACATGCAAAATGATCGAAGTGCCACGACTTTTCCTCAGCAAACGTGTACTCGTTAGCGAAAATCAGCTGGAAACACCGATGAAGGGTTTTTAGAGAATACTGAGGAACCTCGTCGCAACCGGCACAACGCGGATAGAGTTGGTCGGCGTAGTGTCGTCCGCAGTAGTACTTGGATTGGTAGAAGAAGTAGATGTTGTCGACGAGAAGCTGTTGACAAGTAGCACATTTGAAGCAGCTCGGATGCCACGTATTCTGAATTGAGGACGTCTTTTTTTGTGTTGAAGACGTGGCTGACCTGCTCCGTCGCGTGGATGCACTCGACGCCGATGTCGCCCGCCGCCATTCCTTTTTGACACTCTTTGCACTCCTTGAATGATTTGTTTAGGATCCATGTATGGAATAATGAAGTCACCGTCGAAGCACCACCTTCTCCAAGTCGAAGCCTCTCGACCTGCGCCTCTATCGGCAACGATTCATTCGTTTCGGAATGTCCCACCTCGATCACTTTACCAACGCCGATAACCTGCGATAAACCTCTTTATTCATAGTATTTTTGGTTAAAGAGTTATAAAACGAAAAAAGTATTTTCTCACGTTGTTCCGGACGTTATCCACAAACTTCTGAAGAGTTTTTTTGTCTTTTTCTTCGACAAACCGAGCGTCTTCAACGTTGCAATCATACAAAGGCAGCTGAATACTTCACGAAATGGAAAAAAAGCATTGATATGGCAAGAACCTGGAACTGCAGTCGCGACTTTCGGTTTTGTTCACCAACTGAACCAATTATCGGTCGTTCCTCCAGCGGCAGAGCTTTCATGTACTTCTCTACCAACCGTTTGTCTGGAAGCGGCGCCCACGAATATTCCAAGTTTTCCTGAAAATTATGATATTGAAAAGACTAGACTCTTTTTTCTCAGCTTATATTTTGCTGCACATCTGACCACAGATCGATTCTTCACTTTATTCTCTCAATCACACCTGATTGCTCTCTTGTAATTCTTTTCACTATTTTTTTCAGTTTACTCGTTTCCTTTATCGTATCTATGTTAAAATTCCTCCATCCCACGTCATCCTCCTATTTTTGATCTTTTTTATGTTTTTCCTCCTTTTCGTCTTTTTTAATTTTCTTATTGAAAGCAGGGTCATCGCCTAGGTGTAGTTGCTTGAAAATTTAACCAATTTTCAAGTTAGTTCAATAAGAAAAGTTTTTTAAAACGATTCGTTTTAAATTCAATCAAAATTTCCAGCTCAGCTTATATCCAAATAGCGCAGAACATATCTGCGCCTAAATACTCTTGAAATGAAAATTGAAATCTACCTTTTCATTTTCTTGTTCGTTGGCCATTTTGAAGTTGTAGACAGCTGTCGGCGGCGGCTTGTTCTGAATGAAATTTCGAAAATATGACATTTCAAGATTTTAGAATTTGTTTGAATACCTCAGAAAAAAAAAATCCGGACTGATATTTGTGAAAATAAAACCACCAACTTCTTTTTTCGAGTTTGAAGTCTCACTGAACGGCGAAGATTTTCCTAACTTCAAGGCGTTTTCAAAATGTTCTTTAGCCCCAAATAATCGTCCTGGAACCATCCTTATGTTCAAAAACATCAGAATAATTTTAACCGATGACGATCTGAGCGTGGTCAAACTCGTTGGGCAGGACGACGTCATGTTCGTCCATTCGACAGCCGCAGTTTTTGCATATTTTCCTGAAGAAGCGAAAAATATTTTTGGAAGGAAATCTTTTGTCTTTATAAAGTTGGTTCCAGCTGCCTTATTGCTCTTTCTCCTCTAAGATTCATCCGAATCAAAAAAAAAAAAAATGGACAATCGGCCCTAAATATTTCAAGACGGCCATTCGTCTTATTGATGTGCCACGACAAGACACGACGACGTCCCCAGAGACCTCCAGAAGTGCAGGTCGAGACCTTCGCAGCTGCAGTCGACGGCGTTCCGACACTGCGACCCTTGTCCGATCTCATGCGCCAGCACGTGCTCAAACCTTTCTTTGAGGAGTCGTGTTTGCAAGAATATCAGAGAAAGATAATATTTTATCTAGGAAAACTGGGACACAAAATTCGAGGCGTCATAATAACCAAAGAGAGCAAGTTTAAAGAAATTTTACGTTCAATTTGAAGTTTTTTGAGTATGCTTTAGAAAAATTTTGCTTTGAAGTTGCCGCGGAGCTTTCGGAAAAAAAAGTGGTTGGTCAGAAAAAAATATAAGAAAACTTTTCCGGTTCAACTCATTTTTGGATAGAGTCAGCTTTAATAAATCGAGAAATCGAGCCAAAATGATGATTTTAGAAGCTTCCCGCAAACTTCCACGAAATGTTTCGAGTCTTGATTATGAGTCAGAAAGGAGCCTAGTCATGTTAGTCATTTTTCAATTTGACAAACAGGGAAACTCGAGCTTCCTGAGAGTGGGTCAACATAAATACGTCTACGCAAAAGAGCTCAATAAAAGCCTTGAAAATGAGGAAGAAAACCTGTTTTCCTAGACCGAGCTTGAAGATGGCTGGATTCGTGCCGAAGCAGGGCTTCTCGTCTACGGTGGGCGACGCGACTTCCGTCATTGGCACGTCGCCTTTGCCCCTTAAGTGACCGCTTCTTTCAGTCCTGAGTAGTGTTCTTGACTTGAAGGCTTCGGAAAGAAACAGAGTTTTTGCACTTGAACGGAGGAATTCGATTTCGCAGGGCGAGCTTAAAAAACTGCCATGGGAGAATTTTTCTCGGAACGAATCTTACATGAATTGAAAAAAAGAATGAAGGAACTGATTGATTGGGAGAAAAAGGAAAGTAGATTTTTTTTTGGTGCAGTACTAGCGGATTTAAAAAGAATGATTTCCAGTCGAATATTTTGATAGACAGAATCGAAGTCTATTTAGGGCATATTCTCACAGAAGAAGTTTTTAAAAAATCAGGTTAGGAATCGACTTGAAAATAAGGAACAAGAAAAGCCGCCCGCGGAAGAATCAACTTGTAAAGTCAACAAAAACGGCACGAGTGATAAGAAAGGTTAATAAATATGGAGCTTTGGAAATAGAGCCCTTCGTTTACATGAATCAAGTCGATGTTGGCGCAGAGGATTAGAACGTCCCTTGGTGCAGCGACGACAAAAAAAAACAAACATTTTCTGGGAGGGTTCAGTTCAAAAAAACCTTGTTAAGTCAAACTTCAGAAGTTACATGAAGCCTACCAACAACAAAAATAAACTGCAAAAAAAAAGAAGAAGAGAGAATGGGGAAATGTTTTTACTGTTTATTTTGGTCTAAGAAAACACCGGAATCGAAACAACGCTGTTTTTTGTTGGCTGAAACGAAAATTGAAATGTTTCACCATTCAAACAACCGGCCTTGAATCCAATGAGCCGCGAGTTCGATTTCAAATGCCAAACTTTCCTTTATTTTGCATTCTTAAGTAGCTAACTGGCCTTTTTGATTCATTCCTGCTCTTCAAAAAAACTTTCAAAACACAAAAAAATTATTAAAAGGAAGTTTTTAAAAAAATTTTTTTTTCTTCTGAATTTCTTATCAAACCAATAATTCAAAGAGATTTCTAACGACACTCTAGGCAATGCGACATCAAAGAAAAAGGATTTTAAAATTCTCCTTCTCAATATTCCCTGCGAATTAACCTTGAATCTGGATATTTTCTTTATTTCAACTTATATTTGTAAACGCGGTCCATCTGAATTATTATTTCCAGCTCAAAATTGAAAACCCTGTCAAAATAAACTTTTTGGAGACTGTCCGAGTTGAGAATGAGGGATGAGAGATAATAACAGATGAGAAACGCGCATTAATTATATTCTGGAATGTCCTAGAGAGAGCGGCGACTGAACGGAAGTATGTATATACACATGTATGGGGAGGGCGAGAGAATGGAGGAAGACCAGGAAAAGGGAGAGAGGGCCGGCGGCAGATCGATGTGCAGAAATGGCTGCGGAAACCTGCGAAATTGAAACTCGGCGAGCAGCCGGTTTGGACAGCTGTGGAGCCCCTGCTGAGTCACGGTCGACGCCTACAAACCGTGTGTTTGGCCTTGGGCCGCTGATAAGATCTCCGTTCGGTTAGGTATGCGGCCAACACCCTCGAACATCGTTTTAATCGCGTTTTCTTCGTCAACCCTTCCTTTTAGTTCCTGTCGTACACTTTGAAGGAGAACAGACTAAATGTGAGGTTCTGGCACTCCGTTGGCTTCTTTTAGGTGGAGTAAGAGATTGAAATGACACCATGCGGTAACTGCAAAGGTCTGCTATCTTCCATAAAAAACTCGCATCAATTTCGAAAGTTCAGATTAAAGAGGAATTTCCAGAAAAATCTTGTTTTGAAAAAAGGAGCTGAAATATGTCAAATTTAAAAGGTTTGCTTTTCATTCTCTTCCAACTTTCAGAGCATTTGGAAAAAAGAGCCAAAAGCGAGAATACCGTTCAAACTTTTCTTTTTTGACGACTCAAAAACGATTCATCAAATCTTTATTGTGCTGGGAAGGCAGTGTTGTGAGGGCTGATGATGATGATTTGTGGAATAAGTTTAATACCGGAACGAGGCGTTGTCCTGACCGCGTGCGAAGCGATTGAACTCGTCTCTTCGTTTCTTCTTCATCAGTGATTGGCCTACAAATTCCCATCATTTTCTAGCCACGAAAAACCATGCAAACTATTCGCCACGACTCGGAATTGTCTGATGTGTCTGGGTTCTCTTGTCGCCCACCCTTCTGCGATCTTTTTTTCATTTTTTTTATGAACAAGTCGATAAGGAAGCACGAGGCGAGACTATTCCGAGTTATGATGAATAGAGTAAAAGCTATGAAAAGCCTAGGGAACTCAATTTATAATTAAAAAGCCTGGAGCAAAGCTTCCGAACCGAAATCCTTTTCCTAAAAAGTGCCTAAAATAGTTCCGCTGAAAAGTTGACCAGTTACAACTTCCTAATACAAATCTCACCAATTACTCCGTAGAAGAAGGCGATGATGGCGAGGAGAACGACCCAAGAAGCGGCTCCGATGATGACGGAAAGGAAAACGACGCGTTGACTTGGCGTGAAGCAGACACCGCCGTCGTACCCTGTGTACTTGGGATCGTTCCAGCGGCATTTGTCGACCGTCCTGAACGGAAAAGAAAGTTTTCAGAAGACTCCTCAACGACGCTACGTGATTCCGGAGACGTCGCGCACGGCAATCGCTGCAAAAACGAGAGCAGTCGCCGCGGCACAAAGAGAGACCAGACCAAAAAAGTGGTAAAGATTTGCCTGTAAACTTGTGAGCTAACTTCAGAGGGAATGTCTTTGATAGAAGAGATACCATTATTTTGGCGAACTTGTAGGAGTTGTGATGGCTGTGTGAATGGAAAACATTACATGCCAAAATGAAGGCTCCAGATGCAAATGCGACGATATAGGAGACCTAGAAACTATCATTATAACTATTTCTTAGCATCTTTCTAATAACTAACTAATTGATGTGAGAACATTCTGGTCAGTTTATGACATGTTTGCTTCGAGAATAAAGAAAACTGAACTATCAAAGAATCTTGAAAGATTCCAAAAAAGCTGGATAGAAAGAATGGAAGAAAATAAGTGAAGCGAACATTTTCTCGAGAGTCTTTGGAATTCAGACCGAGGCCGCGGCCCCACATCATCCACATGGAGACCATACACAAGGCCAGGGCCGGATAGCGACAGAAAAGAAAAGCGACGCGTTGATAGGCCAGCGAGGAATTCTCGAACAGAGCCACTCGGTCGACGTCTCGAAGGCTGCAACTCTCTTTTTCAAACTTTATTTTGAAATAATAGAGATTTTGATATCATCAGTTAGCGATGTTCATTTGAAATCATGTTTGAACCTTTCTGCTCGGGCGGAAATTTCGTCCAGACGTCGTTGGTTTTCGGAAGCGCCGATGATGGCTGCGGTCATGGGATAGTCGCCGATGTTCAGATAGTCGGCCAAATTGTCCGATGACATCACTCTGCAACGGATTCGACGTCTTCTTTTCGACCTTCAGACCTCGGGATCTGGTCTGTCGTCGTGTCGACACGCCTTGTGGTCCCCAGGTCAGTACGGACTCGCAGTGTTGGTGGGGGAGGCTCATAACGATTGGTCCTGGAAAAGATTATCTCAGAAAAACATGCGACTCGAAAGACCTGGCTATGCCTGGGACGAAATAATTGGCCGAAATTTGGGAAAGTCGCCTCGTCGGCAAGTGATCGACGATGTAGGAAGGCGACAAAGGTCCTGCTTCCAATTGAGAGTAATGCTCTGAAATGAGTTCGAGTAGTTTAGTTTGCCCATGTAGACTAGAACTATTTCGCTTTAAATAAAGATGTTTTGAACTAATTTTCTCAGCATTTACGTACTTGAAAGAGAATAGAACTGAAAATAGAAAGATGAAAATTTACAAAGAGTTCTAATTATTTTGCGTCCAATTGTAATTGAGTTCAAGGATTTCATTCTTTTTCGATGTTCTAAATGACGAGATGCCATTACACGGATTGAGAATCTTTATCGACTTGGAAACTATTTGCACTGACCATTGAAAGGTCGGCCATAGCGGGTTCCTGAGATGTCCCCAGAGGGTCTGGCGATGGCGATTCTCGGCAGCCTCACCGTCGGCAAGGCCGAGGCAGAGCCATCGAGCATCTCAGTAGACCTTAAAAAGTTCTTATCGTTTGCCGTTAAATCTTATCGATACGGTTCTACAACGCCTTTCCGAATTTTTATTGTATACGAGGACGTGAATTTTTAAGCAGTGATGGCTTACTTGATCAAAAAGAAAGATCGATGAGAATATGAAATGTGAATTATGTTTAATACTTTTTTGCTTGCAAAACGGGAACCTGATAAGAGGAATTTTCTTACGCAGCCCGGTTCAATTGGGCGTTATGATGGTGAATAATGATTGAACAAACAAAGCAAATGAGTAAAAGGATCTGTAAAAAATTTCGATAGATTTTTCATCTTGCGACTCAATATCTTCCTTTCGAAACGAAAATTCGTCGGGAGCTTGTAGAAGCGTTCGACTGATACCTTAAAATCAAGGTGAAGTTCAAAAACCATCCCGTTTGGCTAACTTCCTACTCTTATATTTTTGAAGAAACCGAAGGAAAACTTCAATCTAACTGGAATTCTAGGTTCAAAACAATAGAAACCCTAGAAGAATGGGCTTTAGGTTGGAGTCAAAAAGCGGGCGTGCCCGTGTAGTACTATGGAGGGAAACGAGCCAAGACGAGAAACGAAGCCTTCGCACGCTGATAACGCATTCCAAGCCGGCGTTTCCATGTCCGTTATCTTTCCACGAACTTTTTGATTCTCAGATAATGAGAAAGGCTAAAAAAGTGGACGCCCTTCGTTATTCAGCGACTTTGGCTTTATTTTCTGTGATCGAAGAACTTCTGGCAATGCGCAAAGAAAAATAAAGTTTATAACTTGACTGATTAAGAACCGTGGATGTGACATAACATGCTGATTGAGAGACCTGAGTTGAAAACTGAAAAGTTGCTTGATCTACTTCAAAAGAGCTTCGATCAGGTAGTTTGCGCTTCTGGTGTTGAGAGGAGCCAAGGTCCTCATCTGATGACACGACGACGTCTTCAGTGGTGGTTCTACGATGGAAGCCGTCGTCTTCAGATCGGGAGCTTCATGGGAATTGCGGCAGTTGACTACTGGAAAACAGAATCGTTCAGAAGAGATTTATAATGACTCACATTCTTTTTGCATTCCGACTTGCAAACACTTCATCCAACGACACTGTTGACAGGTTATTTTCCGCGGAGCTGAGGTTGAAATTAGGAAAATTGGAGGAAGAACGGCTTACTGTTGAGTTGGCATTCGTTTCCTCCTCGACGACAGACGAACGTCTTGCCGCCGTTGACTGATCGACGGAAGAAGGCGGCACAAGCACGGCAAACCTGGAACGCAGAGCTTTCAGAAGTTTGAGAGAACTCTTCTGGCTGTACCACAAACAGAGCAACTTTTTTAAAAAGGTGTCAAAATTAATTTGAATCTTCATCTCTTCACCGATTTTTAATTTATATCCTAATTATTAACGATTGTGATACCGACAAAACTAGAAAAAAAAATTGGAAAACCGAATTTTTCATAAGTTGAAATATTTCTTTAAAAAATCGTCAGAGGTTAACATTTATTTTTTATAGTTAAGTCATTTTTTTCACGTTTTTGTATTTTTAAAGTTGCAAAATTACCGTGTGAGAGTTTGATCGAAATTTCTCTTTTTTCGAAAACTTTTTTTTTCATAAAACATTACCGCTAATGACATTCTTTCACGAAAAAAAGCCAAGAGATCCGATAAATGGAATGGAAAAGACGGACCTCGATGCCGAAATGTTGAGAGCCGTCGTAGTTGCGGTTGCAAACTCGGCAGTGGATGTTTCCTTCGTCGTACGACGACGGCGGAGACTGCGAAGTCTGCGGCTCACTTATCATTCCTGTAAGTTCTTCCCAACTTCAGAAAGCAAGGAAAAATTGCTTTTCCGTAAACTTTTATCAGTCAATGTCAAGATGTCCGAAAAAACAAAAGAAACCAGGAAAGCCCGGGGCGATCTCTTTTCTTTAAGTAGCCGGAACGAAGCGCCACCTACAGAAGCACGTGAAGAGAACACTGTGAGAGACGTAAAGCGAACAAAGATTGAAATGTGACAATGAGCGAAGTTTGTTGCAGAGATAATTTGACACAAGAGAATGCGAAGAGACGAATTCGGCGACGATCGGCGACGAAGATCTTCGGTGTTGCTTATGTTTATTTTCGTCGAGGAACTTTTCATTTCACAATGACCGAGTGGAGATGGTCTTCTTGGACAGTGAGCTTTTTAAAATAGGGTTTGACCGCTACTGGAGCCGTCAATGAAAGTCCCTAAAAAGACCTCCTTCCTTAGACCTTACGATCTGTCTCTGAATTTGCTTTCCGTCGGATTTCCGAATCATGAGAAGAAAAAAACTAAAAATAGATTTTTTTAAAAAAATGTAGCAAACGTTTGAAGATTTTTTTCTCATGATTTCCCAGCGTGTGGTTTTTAATTTCACAGAAAAGTTGGGCTTTGGGAAAAAAAAACAAAATATTTGTGAAAAACGATGACGTCACAACGTTCACATAAAAAATGGTGAATTTTCTGCATTAATTTCTCAGCTTTATTTTTAATTTTGGTTAGTTTGAGTTATAAGGAATGATTTGAAAACCTTCAAATTACAGGGTGCGCAATAAGTATTGAAACGCGTTTGAAACGTTATAACTTTCTCGAAAATCAACCAAACACCACCAAACTTGGAACAAATTTTATTCATACAATATAGAAACAAAATTCAAGAATAGTTTTCAAAACGTCCTCCTTTAGCATTGATAACGGCCTTCAGTCTCTTCGGATACGCATCGATCACGGCACGAAGGTAGTCGTCGTCGATTTCGTCCCATTTCTTGATGAGCGCGGTCTTCAGGGCTTTAATACTTGGGTAGTTCTTAGAAGAGACCTTCTCGGTCAGATATATCCCCACGGCATAGTCCATCGGGTTGAGGTCGGGCGAGGAAGCAGGCCAATCAGCAGCCGAGATGAACTCGGAAAATTGGCGCGACACCACTCTTAAGTCCCTTTGGCACGATGAGCGGGGACGCCGTCTTGCTGGAAGGTCCATGGTCGGTTTCCGTAGTGAGAATTGGCTCAGGGCAACACCCTCAACTTTAAAATCTACTCCCAGTAGTATACTTGGTTCACTTTGACTTCAGGATCCACAAAAATCAGCGGAGTTTTGCCGTCAGCGGTAATTCCGGCAAAAACCATCACGGAAGCCGGATGCGAAGTTTTATTCAGAATTTTTTCTTTTTCACAGGCACTCTGATAGTCAGTAGCGATGATCCAATGATTTTGGCCTCCTTGTTCGCCTCCACAGTGAAGATTTTCTTGTCGGTAAATAGCGTCGTCAGATGCGAGCCATCTTTCGTGCCAGCGAGCAGCTTTCGAGCCTTTTTCATCCGCAATGTCTTGTTTTTTTGACTGAGGAAGGCTCCTTTCTGCATACGGTAGGGAATCATCTTCAGCTTGTCCTTGACAAAAGTTCTCATCGATTCTCGACTCATTTTGTATTCTTTTGCCATCTTTCTCACGCTTCTTTCCGGAGTGCGTCTGATTTTCTCTCGAACGGCTTTGACTGCTTCTGGAGTCGTGACGGTGACTGGACGTCCACTTCTTTGCATGTCATCTGAAGTACCGAGACGCCGATAACGTTGTGCAGTTCGAAAAACGAGAACACGAGACACTTTCAGCTTTTTAATGATCTCTGAATTCGTCATTCTGCTTTTGACACAATCAATGATTGCGGTACGGTACGGAAATGGGGCCACCATTACCTGAAAACTGAAAAGTGTGAGCTGTAACTTCAAACACATGATAAGTGAGCATGAATAAACGAAATAAACAGAAAAGTTCAAAGGCCAGTCCATTGTGCAAAAAGCAGCGATCAAACAAAAAACGGTTTCAATATTTATTGCGCACCCTGTATAACTAAAAATAGAGCGTAAGATTTTGTATATAAAAAAAACCTTCGCGGCGATTATCTGCAATATAGCTTTTGTTATACGAATTATATGAGCCCTAAGCACTCATCTGAAAAAAGCTTGAACGGTAGTCATTCCACGAGAGAGCACAAAGTCACACGAAGTGGCGCGACCGAGACCACGGATCAGAAGACGTCACAACACCAGACATCGGGAAGAGGGTTCCGATTCTCAAGAAACAGGAACCTGTTGTTCTCTCAGTTTGTGTCGATATTGCACTCGATGGGTCCAAATTGTATCAAATAGTGATCGAATTGGTCACAACCGGTCAAGGTTTCATATTGTAGCGATGGCCAATACTGAAATACCGACTTCAAAGAATTTAGTAAAATACATACAAAAAAACCTCATTTTCACCGGTGGAATTGGGTGCCTTTGAATTTTCTTGTCAATTCTTTTTTGCCTTTTTCTTCACTTTCTCTATTCAAAACTATGAGTATGAAAAAAGAAAGATCAATGTGAAAACTTCTCTCTTGAGGGTAAAATTCGTGTGAGCAAATAAAACGCAAAAAAGTGAAAATTCATGGTTTCAAGATATACATGAAGAAAAAAGACGATAATGGAGGGAAAAAATAATCATGAAATGACAATTATCTGGCCGCCAATCACAAAGAGGCGGTGAGATCAAAACGAAAGCGGTCAATAGCCCAGAATGTGCCGAACAATCAAGCCAGTAACAGAATGGGTAGGTAATAATATTGGACGACAAAAAGATCCATTGTTATTATTTGATTACTATCTAGTTACTAGTATGCTGATACTGATTAAGAAAAACAGATTTGATTGGAACTAATCGACGCCGATAACTTCGACGTATCCACTGTAGAAAGCGTTGTAGAAATCGCTGTCCATGAGGCTGTCTTCCAGACTTTCGAACTTCAGGAACGAGGCGAACAATTTCTCCAACTCCTTCAAAGTGTTGCTTTTCACTGACAGTTATGAATCTTTGATAAATGGTTGTTTTTTAGTTTTTTTCACCATCAGCTTTCAACTTATTTCGAAAAAATGAGACAATAAAAGAAATCGTCACAAATTTCAAACGACTCATTTTCAGAACAACTGACCTGCTTGCGCTTCTTTTTCACTGACTTGGGGCAAATGGGTGCCTGGAGCATTTTCGTTGCAAGAAAATGGATCCAGAAGCAATTGGTCTTGGGATGGAATTCGACCCAATTATTCCTGCAGAACATTCTCTTCCCAGAACAAACAAAATGAAAAGTTCTACCCGTTCTCCTGCTTCATCATCCGGTAAATGTCGTATTGATAGTCCCCCTGGCCTTCGAAAATTTCCTCGTCGTTCTCCAAATTCCTATATACTCTCGCGCCACCCAAAGTCAGATTTGATAAATTTTCGAGAATGTTAATTGTGATTACTTTTTCTCATTCGGCTCAAAGTGAAGTCGATGATGTTGGTCTTGACTCCATGACTTTTAACAACAATATTATTCATGTTGTAGCGGTACCTGAAAACAAAGGAGTTCTAAACGCTCAGAAAGGAAAAATCGGACTCACATCAAGTCCTCATTGTACTCCTGCACGAGCACATTTCCGAGATGGAGGTCTCTATGCTCGAACTCCAGCTGTTTTTCGGCGACAGACAGCGCCAGACAGAGCTGGACCAGCACGGAGAACATTTGAGCCTCGTTTTTCAGCTCAAAAATGCATTATTAACCGGCTGACTTACGGTAATTTAGACTTCAAAAAAATTTCTATTCCATTTTCATATTTTCCTCAAAATCTTTTCCAGAATTCAAAATGCGTTAAGATACATCACAAAAAAACAGCCCAGCGCAATTTTTAAAAAAAAATTCTCTTAATTTTTGGTTGAAAAACTTTAATTTAATAATATACCTTTCCTCACAACTTTTCTCTATATTTTTATCAGCCAGCTCCTCTTTACAACTAATCGAAATCTGCACTTCCCAGAGTGATTTTAAGTCAAAGTTATTTCTTTTCTTTTTACCTGAGTTTTCTCCAAGTCCCGGCCGCCGTTGGCGTAGGCGAAGGTGATGAAGCGCTGCTCTGCCGTCGTGTATTCCGTCGGCCGGTCGTTCAAGGTGCCTTCTTTCTTGGCGAACGTATCCCACGCCTTGAGCAGCGCCGGTGGGTACACTCCTAAGCTCCTGCTTTCGAACCGGTTCGAGCCGACATTTCGAACCTTTTACCACGTTGATGGCAGTAAGGGTGATGAAGTTTGGCGTCGAATGGTCGGCCGATAAATCATTCAGTTTTGAGAGCTCTCGAGAAGCAATGACCTGAGAAAGCTCAATGTCGGAACATTTTTCCAAAGAGCTTCTAGATTAGTTACCCATGGAAGAATTCAAACATGAAAAAGAGTAATGAAAGGAAATTTGGCGAAAGATCCATTTTGATTTACGAAAAATGAATAGGATCACTTCCTAGCACCTTTTCAACTGTTTTAAGACAGTGTTACTAAAAGAAGGTAAAAAAAAAACACGAAAAAAATATTTCTTAAAGAAGAGGAAGTGACTGATTGAGAATTTCTTTCTAATACGAAGAAAGGTGTCGAAATTATCGGAGCATGTTCAGAAAAGGAGTCAAAAAACGCGAAAAAATGGTCCTGTACAAATCAATTTCAGCAGCAAGCCACACCTCGGGCAGAATGGTGTGAGCGTCTGGAAGGTATTCCCCATTGACACGTCCGTCAAAACCACGATTCTCAGAATCCTCCTCGATCGGAACGATCTGAAGTGACTTCCTTGACAGGATATTCTTCGTCTGACTGGCCTTCAACGCGATCGGCTCCTTGTTGAAGGTTGTGCCGAAGACTTCTCCATAGGTGCCTTCTCCGAGTTTCAGCGGCTTCTTGAAGACGTCCTTCGGGAGTTCGGACCATTTGAGGACCGTCTTCTGGCCGATGACGTGGAGAAGTCGCGCTATAGACGTTTCTGGCGCAGTCAACGACATATCGGCCAAGTAGAAAGGCTGAAAAAAGCGGCTTTACTATTCGTTTACCGTGTTCTTTAGTTACAAAGTAGCTATTTCCTAAAAGACCCAATTAGCCTCATTTTTCAACCCATAACATCGTGATATTCGCAATGTATTATAAATCCAAGTCTGACGCAACGGCCGACTACGTCAAGGTACATAGAAACGAACCAATCCTTCGTTCTCGTCGACAAGGATGCTCATCGCCGTCGCAGCTCTAGTTCCCATCTGGAAAAGGCCTGGAGATGATCACCATAGCCAAGGACGACTTACATCAGAGTTGACGCTCATCATCGAGGACTCCCTTTTCCTCCGAGGAATCACCAAATTCGTATCATTGATGGTGATTACAGTTTCATTGCCTTCAAAAGTAACATAAAAGTTATTTCACAGAAAACCAAGACTGACAGGCTCCTAGGGTGATCTCCTTGAACTGAGACCGATCCACGTCGACTTCTTTCCACTTTTCGCTGCGGAGGAAATCGTCCAAGGAAACGTCCTGCAGAAGACTTTCCAAAGTCGCATTCCGAGTTTTGCAGGTGGTTTCTGCGCAAAATATTCATATGGAAACTGGACTCGGAAGAGGAACCTGGCTCAAAGGAACAAACGCTTGGATAGGTTATTTTTTCTCCTTTAGTGGTTTCCTCGATGGACTTTGATTCTTTTTCAGTCTCCTTCTTGGAGCTGCTTTCTTCGTTTGAGCTTGGTAGCGTTGAAATATTCTCAATCGCTGTGAATACTTCTGGAACAAGTACATTTTTGTACGGTGAAATTATCAAAATCTATATTTGGTTTTGAGAAGCCATCGGAATTGAGGAAAGCAGATTTTTGTTCAAACACTGTAGTGGTTCAGTTCAACAAGAGTGAAAAGATTTCTTTTAAACTAAAAAAGATAAAAATCAGCTCAACTTTCACTCAAGCTTTTCGAATGAACGAAAACCTAAATCGTCGGAGCCAGTCCGTCGCCGTTTGGAAGTGGATCTCTTATTCCCTTGACCGACGTTTTCGGAATGAAATAAGTCGCTGATCGAGCTCTCAGCGCAACGAGAACGGCCCTGGGACTCCCGCGGGATTCCTCGATTCTTGTCGAAAACGGCCACCGGAGAATCGACGAAAGACGGCTTATCAATTGGAGATAGAATACTTTGATATGGCAGAAACTTGACCAAATCAATGAATATATTTGTTTTTTGTACAAACCTGGCTCGACAGTTTGCTTGTTTTTGGTGTGCTGGCGATAAAATTGTCATTTTCCCCGAAAACTTCCGAAAATGAGCAGGTTTCCATGAAGTTTGCTAGGAAAGTCTTCTTTTTCGGTGCAAAACTTGTGTTGTTTTCGACAGGAGCGAGTTGAGTGTCTTAAAATATTATCGACTATTTCTTGGTTAAAAATGAAGACAAAACCATTTTTTTCGGTAGCAGTCGTAACTTTATCGTCAATAGTGACCATGTCATTGGAAACTGTAAATAATTAATCGATTCATATAGCTCTTTTTTAAACCAAAACCTTCCGGTGGAAAAACTTTTGAAGAAAATTTCAAAGGGGAAAAAACTTCTGTTTCACCAACAATGCGAGATTTATTACTGCCTTCAAAAACCAAAAAACTTCTTGCTGGAGCCACCGACTCTGAAAATTCCCGACTCATGCTTAAAGTTATAGATATTCTGAGAACAGACAAACAAAAGTTCGCAAAATCATGAGAATTGATAACAAGACGATAGAAAAACCTCTATTTAGCCGTGCCAAAAAAATCGACTGCCTGAACTTCGACAATGGTGAGCTGGGTAATGCAGACTCTACTGTAACTAGAAATTTCAGTTTGAATGAAAAGTTTTCTAAATACCATTTTTCTGGGTCTTACGCTTGGACTTCTTCTTTTCCTTTTCAGGTGTTTGAACTTCGGGAATCCTTTCTACAGGTTGATTTGGATGAACTCGCTCGCCTCCTTCCCACAGTTGAACCCGAACATCGCCTTTCATTATGACGAGCGAAAAATCTTCCACTTCTTCAACCTCAAAACTATTTTATCAAGTACATATTTATAAAAATAATATTGTGGTAAACATTTCCAAAAAAATAAAATTGAGAATTTGAAAAAAGCCGATACCTCCTTATTTATGTTTTGAATTTCGCGCTGCTGTTTGATAACGTCTGGGACATCTTCTTCGTCTGAAGACTTGTCGCTTTCCTCGCCAGAGACTTCAAACGCGGAAGATTCGGACTCTTCGATGTTTCTGACTGGTTCAGCTTTTCGCCTACGCTTGTTTTTCTTTTCAGGAGCTCCAAAGTCGCTAATCTGATGAAGAGATTCCAGCCTAGAGTGGAACAGCTGAAAAAGTCTTTCCAAGAATTATCATTTTAGAAGACGTACAGGCTCCACTTGTTCCACTATGACGACTGCGCTTTGGACGGACGGGCCTGTCCGCATCGCTCTCATACGAGAGTAGGTCGTGTTTTTTGCTCGAACCATCTCTTTAAGAGAACCATTTTTTCCAATTTCCAAACAAACCAAAAAAAGCTTTACAAAACGACGGAACAGTTTTATTATCAAGATAAACTCAATAATTTCTGAGCCACATTATCAATAAAAACTTCTTTTCCGGACTTAATCCGCTTTTAAATTTTTTGAAAACCATCGAACGTTCGAGTAAAAATAAAAAAAAGGAACACGAGAACAAAAAAAATGTTCTATGATAGAAACCTGTTTGATTTGCGCTTTGATTTTACATGATCAGTTCATATAAAAAAAGAATTAAAACAAAAAAATATTTTTTTAAGTCTTGCGATTTTTAGTGAATTTGAATTGGCGCCCTTTGCGACGGGGCGAACTTTCCTGCGCGACATCACAGCTTTTTTGTATTCTTTTATACGAACAAAATTATTTCCATTTGAAAATGTTTCTACATATATGTAGCTCTAATGCGGCTGTTTAAATTCATAATAGTGTTCAATAGTTTTCAGGGAATTCTCATTCATATGAAGCCGCGTATCACTTGATGCTTTGCACTGCAAATCTGAACGTTCTATTTTTTTTTGCTTCCATGCTTTGCGCAGATCCGTGTGCAAAATAATATTTATATGTAGTTCTATGAATATTTATTGAATGAGATGAGATAAATGCTTTTCTTTTTCACAGACTCAAAAAACCCGACAAACAATTGTTACAACTCGTCAGTTTTTCCATGATTCAGCACAGAATCTTATATGAAGCCTGAATTCAGATATGAATGGATGTATAAATATTTAGAGAAAAAAATAAGGATTTCAAAATTTATTATTATTCCTTCATATCAAAAATAGGTAAAAGCTCATGATGATAAACCCGTTAGGATCATTTATTTCGGAAGACGAATGTCCGGATGTCAGACCAAAAGTTGGAGTCGTGGTAGAGATAAGTCATGCTCTTCTGTAGAGATCCTTGCAGGACCCCAGTATGGTACTCGAACATCCAGAGAACGAGGCCCCAGACAGTCGCTGCGAACCAAGGAAACACTGGGAAATCTGCAAAACGTTTTATTTTTACATCTCAAAGTGGTCATGTAGAATCAAGAAAACAGAAAAAAGTAAACTTTTCCAATCTTGAAAAACTCACCGGGCTGTGGAATAACTTGTTGGTCGGCGGCCAACTTCACGAGGCCTACGACGACTCGAGAAAGAAGGTACAAGTTTATCTTCAATTTTATTCAGTTTCTAAATTCTTTCTTTCATGTACCTGCATATTAACAGCATTGTTCTCGCCAAAAACCATATAGCCCATGAGGAAAGCCGCAGCAAACGAGTGCCATTCGCGTCTTCCACCTGAGCCAGATCGAAAGTTCTTTTTTCTTTAGTTCAAAAAACGACCTTCCATTTTTCCCAATAATCCCTGCAGAAATTTGTAGGAGAAAACGAATTTCGCCAAGTTTATTGCGTGTGTTTTTGTTAGGCGATAAATCGTTAGCAGCTTTTCAAAGAACCTGAACCAATTTAATTTCAACTTTCACAAATTTTCAGTTTTTTGTTGGACACATCAAAAATAAACTAACGTTCCCTCGCCGAACAGAAAAACCATAACCAGTGCATGAGGCGCACGGATACGAGCTCCATATCTAAAGAAAGGATGTAAATTGGTTTTATTCCTTTCAACGTACTCACACTAAGCCGTTGCGGAACCCTTTCAAAGCGGCCAGAAAAAACTTCTGATCTTTGAATTGATGGAGGAACATATTACCCAAATTCTCCCAGTTTTGTGCCAGCCATTGTATATTAGCAATCATCTAAAACTCGTTGGAAAACTATTGCGATAGCGTCTTTGAAAGGAAATTAATGAAGAATTTGAAACTGTGACGAAATTGAAATTCGTAATGGTCAAATCGTGATAAAATTAAACAATTTTCAAAAATATGTTTTATTATATTCACAACAAGAACTGATCAATAATTTAACAATGAAAATAACAAAAATTGAGCAATAAGGCGAGAGTGGGTCAGACGATTTGACTGATAAGAAATAGGTACAGGCTATGTTGTAGTCGAGCTACTTTTGGCAAGGGTTTCCAAGCATCTGATTAAAAAGAACGTGGGCGAGTTTCTAAATTAATAATAATTGCGACTGACGGGCCGCTCATCAGCCAATCTGTTCGAGCAAACTGACACGTTTTCGCGCGAGAATATCTGCAAAAACTCATCGTGATTAGCTTCGAACGAAGTTGCAGTCAAAAGTTGATTTTTTGTTTATTTGACTCCAAATTTTGGCGACCGTCTCTTTTCTGAAGATGATCCAACTATAGAAATAAATACCCTTTCGACGCGTCGGATCGGACGAGGCGGCATCCGTTCTGCGACGATGCTACCGGCTATTGTGTTCGACGGCGTCGTCCCTGCGTTCGACCTCTTCGACCCGTTTCGGTAAAAACAGAACTACAACGATTTCGTCAACCAAATCTTCGTCTTTTCCAAACTTACGCAAGCTAAGCACAGTAAGAATCCAACAAGCAGAGCGAAAACAAAGGCAGCGAAAAGGATTGCTGAATATTATGATGGTAACAGATGTGAAGGAGGAGAAAAGACCGTAGAAAACCACTCGAGCGGTGAGTTCAGAAGCAGTTTCCTGGGCGATATGGTGCGCTACTAGAGTGTGAGCTTCAGCTTTCAGATGGTGTCCTGCTAGTCGCAGAGCGAGTTTTCCGCTCGAAATCTGGAATCTTCTCACTCAGGACTTGCCAGCTCAAGAGCGAACCTGTTCTGAGACTTCTCGTGCAAATTTTTGGGCGTCGACATCTCGAATCGTAAAACGGACAGTGTTATCGTCTCTAATGATGAGATCCTCTATGGAACCTCGGGGGATTCCAAACCTTTCTGCTAGAATCGTTTCAAGTTCTCTGAAGCGAAGATTGATCCAGATGATAATTTCAACTTTTTTGCACCTCTCCGCATCTTTTCTTCTTGATCTTTCTATGCGCGCTCCAGTCAGAGAGAACCCCAAAAGGTAGGACTCAATAGGTGAGCTCGCTTCATGTTCGTTGTAGGGAGAAGATAAATCCAGTCCCACACCTCAAAACGCTTTTTTTTAAAGGCATCTCAGAAAAAATTCAGAGAATATTTTTTTTCCAAAAAAAAAATGCACAAAAGTCAGGGCAGATTAAAAAAAAAAGAAGATTCGAAATTTTAAAATCAAAACGTATGTTTCGTCATTGTTAGCTTACATTGATAGGAAATATTTATTATTCAAAAAACGTTTATCAAAACCTGAATTTTCAAAATTAATGTTCTGCAGAGATCCCTACTAATGAACTTCAAAAATGAGATGAACGAGTTTTAGGCTTCCATTTCGGCATTGTTTACCCGCAGCCTGTCACGTCTTGCTGTCACCCCAAGTTAGAGATCAAAAAAAGGGTAAACAGCTTGGCGGAAACAAAAACGTTTCCTTATCCTAATGACTAAACGCAAAAATAGGATGAAGCTTCCCTTTCTTCTTGGTTCTTTTCAGCAGTATAAAACTGAATCCTTTGGAAACCTGCACAGAAGTTGTCGCAATCGGCAGAAGTGGCGAAGTTGTTGAGGTTGCCCGCACAGCCGCCGTACTCGAAAATGGAGCAGGAATGATTGCGAGAAGAGTAGAAGAAGCGCGGGACGACGCCGTGGCAAGGACCTCGGTCCGGCTGCTGGTTGCAGACGTGTCCTGCAACGTGGAGTTCCTCGGGCGAAACTTCACTCCACTCACTTTTGGACACACAGCAAACTCCAGTCGTTTGACTCGCTCTCGTGGAACAGTAGTGGGTTGGAGGACAACTGAAACCGACGACAGTGAAAAGAATATGGGCGGAAAGAATTCAGAGTTAACGAAATTCATCTTTTTTTTTCTGAATTTTTGTCGATTTTCAAAATTTTCGCTTTCTTTTCTTGTTTTTATGAACATCTCCATTATGAAAGCTTCTGATTATGGTATAAGTATCAATGTTAACAAAGAAATGAGTCTCCGTTGATCATCGATAATTTTTCGACGGTAAGATTGAAAAATATTTGCATCAATCCTAAAGGTGGTTGTTGAAACCAATATCTCACAATCTACTTTATTATTCAAAATTAGTGACTTTGGCTAAGGGATAACTCCAAGAGAAAGCGCGACGAACCCATTGCTGAGCGCTGTGCAGGCGGTGGGAGTTCCATCGGAAGACGCGGCGAACGGATCGCCATGGGGACACAACTGCTCCTTCTTTCCGACACTCAAGATTGGCTCTGAAATGTTGCCATTCTATCTCGTGAGGGAGTTGATACAAGCCTCTGGCGGGACAGCAGACGCCGTGCATATTCTCGTCGTAGGCCGTGCAGTAATAGCCTGCCGGACAGATCGAGTTGTCCGTGCAGGAAAACTGTTGTCGCGTCCGAGACTCTACCAGAGGCCGCAGTCCTGAGTTGCACGGCGAACGCTCGCCTGCCACCAAAACTAGTTCAAGCCTGGAAGTCACGCTTACAGTTTGGAACGGGAAGACACCATCGAGAAGGGCAATCCGCACGTCGTAAAATACAAACCTAAAAAAATATACAACTAATGGCAATATTTACTTGTTTTTTTTTTCGTTCCTAGCGTTCGTTCAAAATTCACAAAATTCACCTCTGAATAAAACTAGAAGCACTGAGTTTTCTTTACCGTAATTTTTCGGTATTAAAGTTTGCCCAGGAGATCTGAGAATAAAAATATGATCCCAAATGTTGAAAAATGTGTTTTCGAGTAGCTATAAAAAATCATAACTATACGTATACTTCGAAAAATAATTGTGTAAGACTTTCTTTTGATACAGAGGTGAGCAGCTTACAAGGAGTCGTCACTTAAAATTTGAGAGGTATTGTCTTTTTTCCATAGTCCCTCCTGACATTTTCAAAGACCAGAAAATAAATCTGCGTAAAAATCAAATCTAGTTAGTGATCTCATTCCGATTTCCCAAAGTGAGGAAGAGAAAATTAACAACTTTGTAAGAATTTTCTTTTGTCGGTAACGAAAGTATCTACACAGGCCAAACATTGATACAGTAAGATTTGTCTACGCTCTCTTTTTCTCAAAATACTCTCGTGTAGGTGATTTTATTCGGATCGCTATGAGCACGCCGACGAGAGAAAAGAAACGCGGACAGGTCAGATTGCTCGAATAGCGAATACGTGTGAGAGCTGATTTTTTGAGTGAAGACCTCGCCGGTGACGCAGTCGACGTCTTCGCACGGCGATTTGCACAGACACTCGGCTCGAGGACAGCCATTTCTATCGAGGACCAACCCGTAGGGACACATGGATCCGGAGCATTTCGAGACGCACGTCGTTCTGGCTGCAACCCACAAGTCTTCGCTGAGGGGTGTGACCAACCATTGCAAGGGTTTCGCGATGAGCTTCTCGTGCCGAAGATTTCCTCGCCGTTCAGAGCGTTCACGCACCAGCACTTGCTCCCGTCACATTGCGTTGTGTTGTAATCTCCAGTTGAAACGTCGCAGAGAGGAGTGTATCCTCTAACAATCGCCCCGTTCTTTTTCAGAAGAACCAAAGCCGATTGCATTGTGGTACAGTCTAGAAAACTAAATCCGGGACGGATAAATGCAAGGTCTAACTTGTAGCCTTCATGACACTGATCGGAGTTGCTTCGATGACCGTCATCTTGTTTGGAAAAGGAAGGCTGTTTGTGATTGAAGGAGGCAAGGCTACGGTAGGCAACACAGTCGAAGGGATGGGAACTTCGACAGATGGCAAGGCAGGAAGCTTTTGCAGACAACAAATGCCGCTCTGAAAATGCATCACAATTCAAAATAGCTATCTGCCAATATTCTTTCTGCTGTACAGTTCTAAAACTTTACTGTTCTGCTTTTGTACGGAAAAGAAAGAGCGACGATGAAAAAAGGAAAGAAGACCTCGGCTCGGAGCGGAGAAGTGACACACTTGGCGCCTCTTCCGCAGCCTCCGTCCGCCGTGCATCCGACGGCGTTGCGGTAGGAGTCGCGTTGAGGTGTCGCGCAGAGAGATTCGATGCCTGAGACAGAACCAAGACCCATGAATCCAAAAACCGACTCACATTGAGGAACATCAGGACAAGGGTGCGTGGTGCAACGGACGGGCATCAGTACGCACTCCATGGCAACAGGACAATCGAACGTCTTGAAACTCCATTCGGTTTCTCTTCCTGATATAGTTCTTACACTACACAAGTTGGCACATTCGCAGGCGCCATTCATCGGACATCCGTTGGTGTCGAGTCTCACGCCGAAAGGACACTTTGAGGAGTCGCAGCGCGTGGAGCAAATCTTTGGGGCTGGAAAAATGAGAAGAGTCGGAGATAGGCCAGGAATATCAAACCAGAGCAGTCCGGAAGTGAGACGTGGTTGTAAATCCGAGTTCCTGGTATTTCTGTGCCATCGAGCGTGTTGACACACCAACACTGTCTGTAGCAATGGATAAATCAAACTTTTCGGTTAGGCGACGTACTTGGAGTTGATATCGCATTGGTGCTCTCTGAAAAGTCCGTCTGCGGAGCACTGTACTGGCGCAGGTAGATTCGAGTTTTCGGCGGCGAGTTTCTCGTTGAATGCCAAAAGACGATGAATGCAAGCCGTGGCAATCTTCAAGAAATTCTGAGGTTAGAAAAAAGAACGGAAACACTTCGGGAGGCGAGCAGACGTTCCCGCAGGTCGCACGGCAGCACTTCCAATAACCCGGACAGTCTGCGTCCATCACACATTGTTCGCCGCAGCCAGGATTTAGCAGCACCTTTTTGCAAGTTCCCAGTTTCTGGACAGCTGACAGGATGCCTAGATATCGAGGTTTTTCTTTCGGAATTCTTCCACAGACCGATAGGGTTGATTACAGTCACGCCAACCGGTGTCGATGTCGTTGCGACCAGAGAAATCTGGGGTCGCGGAGGCGTGGGCTGCGCAACGGATATCGACTTTATTGGCTAAACTCTTCTTGGAAACCAGGTATTCATTTTTTAAACCTTGATCTGCGAGAAAGGAAACTTCTTGGAAAACGTATGAACAACAGGTTTTTGAGGAAACCCTCGGACGGCGGGAGACTCTTCTAGAAGGAAAAAGAAGCTTTTTCGTCGGGAAGAACAGAAAACTTACGCGACTCGTACTGGCAACTGGTACCGCAGCCATTGAAACAACATGTCGATTTGGGACAATCATTTGGCTGACGACATCCCACCTCAACAACCGATGTGCCCATATAATCCTCACATTCATGGAACTTCATAATGTAAAAAAGAACCTATTTTACGGCATACTCACACCATTTTTTTCTTCGGCTTTTTTCACAAAAAAAATCATCGCGACTAAATGAATTTTTAACTTTACGGAAATTACTCTCTGAGTCATAGTTTGAGACCCAAAATCCACTTTTTGGTTGACTTTTTTTTTCTTACCACGCAAGGAGCAGCATCGACAGACGTGAGGGTCAACGGCAGGGCAGCACATTGAGTCAGTTGCAAATCTAAGAGAATTAGTGAGGAATTCCGAAAAAAAGACACACCATAAACTGGACAGCAGATAGACAGCCCCAAGTATCCAGAGTTCTTGCAGTGGAATCCGGCAGGACAAGGAGACTTCGAAGTGCACGTGGCCAACTCCTCGTCGTTTATCTTGAGAGGTTCGCCGGTTGAGCACATATTGGGAACACCTTTGAGATCTCCATTAAAGAGAATATTTAGAAGTTGGAAACATCGAGCGACTGGCTGGCAATCTTTTTCGAAGCACGCGACTGAGACCAGGCGACACAGAGTTCCGGCCGGACACGCGACGAATTCGCAGGGCTTGACGCAGTCGCACACGGAGCAGCCCTCGTTGTCGCTCTTCAACCTGAATCGGCAGCTATGGAATGTCTTCTCTCGGAGGCTCTACCCATAAGGACACTTCTTGGAACAGGTCCTCAGAGGACACGGACGCGGTTTCTGGCAGTCGGGCACTCGAGTCGATTTCGTTCCTGAAAGCTAATCAGTTTATTCAGTTTCAAGACCAAGGAAAGGCTACCCTGGAATTTCAAAGCCTCGCTCGTCGACACACCACATCAATCCGAAGTGAGTCTGAATCTCGTCGAACTCTCCTCCAGCTCCGCATTCCACAACAAATGTCTCCTCGTTAGTTTCTGCTATTTGTAGAGCGGACAGTCGTTGATGGACACCTAGAAAGAGAATTCTGAGGAGTATTCTCGGTAGGGCTCACAATTTGTCGTCTTGTGAGGATGGGAGCATCTTTTAACACAGCCGTCAAAGCAGCATTTCAGCAGTGAGGGGCAGTCTTCGTCTTTCTTGCACTCTTCAACTGTCGGTCTAAAAATGCGATTTCCAGCTATTTCATCCAAATTCGGTTCCGTCCATAAAAATCGAAATTGATTAATTGAAAATTTTAGCAAATTTCCCGTTATTTTCAAATTACTTCAAGAAAAAAACAATCTTTTAGTAGGTTTTTTTGAAACATGAGTCTTGTTCAGAGAAACTCTCTATTCACCAATTAATATTAATATTCAAACGATTCTGTTAGAGAAAGTGTTATACCGATGAAGGCAATGATTCCGCAGATGAGGAATCACGAGACACTCTCCGAGGTGCAGCTGAACTGGAGCAGCGTCGAAAGAAGCCGGCACGCAGCCAAGTCCGCAGCCGTTCCAGCAACACTTCGACGAGTTCTCGCAGTCATTGTCCGAGGAGCATTCACGGGTGCATTTTTCTCCCAGTGACAATTCGGCATTTGGACAAGATCCCGGATGAAGACGCGGCTCTGCAAATCAGAGATAAACCTTCGGAAGAAGCCTCGAACCTTCGCCCGAACAGCAAATCCTGAGTCAGCCGTGAGCATGGCGCAGTGAGTCGACATCAGTCCATTTGCACATTGTTTGCGATGCTTGCAGCGGAGAGGCGTCCGAGAAGTTATGTTAAGAAGGACATCGGAGTTTGGACAAGGGTTGATCACACATCTTGGCACCTGAATAAAAGCGGGAATTCGAAAGGAGAAGCCATTCTTCTACCGTTGGACACGGTTCCTTGATACAAGAAACTGAAGTAGGCACGCAAATCGAGTCGTCTGGACAGCTGATGTTCTGAAGAGGAGGACTGGGAGAATGGAATAAATGTGTGCTGACTTCGCAAGGATCCAGACAGTCGCAAGTCTCGCAGTCGTTCTCTTTCCTTCTACCGTACACACATTTCAGATCGGGACAAGACAGCTTCTTGCACGGCTCTGTTAAGCGCAGTATAGTTTTTCTGTTTTATACTAGAAAAATTATTTTTATCGCTCAAATCTTGATTTTTCGGAAAGTCCTATAACGCCAGGCTGATAAAAAACCTGACGTTATAGGCCTTTCCGCAAAGAGAGCGGAAATCAGAAGTTGAAAAGTGAAAAAATGTTAATATAAAGACATATTTATGCATTTTCAAGAACCCTGAAGAGTTGAGAACCCGGTCTCTGAAGATACCTGGACAGGTGGGAGTGACGTCATCACTGCTCTTGGTTCCCTCGATATAGTTGCCTTCATCGTCGACGCACCAGCAAAACTCGTTGTCACACTGAATCTCCTCGAAAGAACCGTCTGTATCTCAATTTCACTCGATGACGTCGTCATTTCAGTCACCTGGATGACATTTGATGACGTCGAGTTGACCGAGCTTCTGGAGATTTGTCTTGCGCATCATACATTTGCTGGTTTGCATCGGATAGGCGCACGTCTTCTTGCAGCCGTCGTCGCAGCATTTCTGCACGCCAGAGCAGTCCGAATCGATTTTTACACTGGTCCTGTCTGAAAAAAATTTGACGGTACGGATGATAAATGAACAAGAGAAATGAGCACGAAAGTTGAACTTTTTTTCTTAGAAAATTTCCCATTCGTGTTAGGTTTTATATTTCTTTCACCTGCAAAAAAATATTACCCTCAAGATTTTTTTCGAGCAAGTTTTTAAAAAAAGTTTTAGACTTGAAATTTGGCAGCACATTAGTTTTCAATCAATTCTTCAATAAGAAATTTCATCAGATCAAAAAAATAAATAAAAACGCGTTTCGTAATAAGAAAAATTTTGAAAAAAAGACAAGATGGAAAGTTTGAATACGGTGTTTTTTTCCAGTTCCTCTTCACTATTTTCAAAAAATCCCGTTATCCTGAAAATAGACTCACTCGTCGCGCTCACAAAGGACTCTCGACGAAGAAATACAGACTCCACTTTTTCTCAATGTCCTCAGTGAGCTCCGAAATCGGCGGCTGCTGCACATCTGAAGCCATTTTCTCGTGAGAAAGTCTGAACGTCGGACTACCTTGGCAGGAAGCTCCACAGCCATCGAAACAGCACTTCTGATGCATGTGGCAGTCGTCGTCAACGCGACAGTTGACTCTGAAGAACATTATTTTCTCCTCTTTTCAAGGGATCCACAAAACCTGCACATCTTGTCCGAGTTGAGAGAAATCGGAACGACGGCACAGCTGCCGAAGTTTCGCGATCTTCTTGGAATCGGACAGCAAACGCCTCCTGCAGGAGCTCCAATCTGAAGTTGTTTGAATCTCAAAAAGTAATGAATTGAACAACAGGTTTGTCCGAATCTCCAGTCAAATGAAAAAAGTCGAACTCACAATCTTTTTTGCATTCTAGAAAAAAAAACGTTTCGACCAAACAAGTACTGACCTGATGACACCAATGCGTCGCGGAAGGACAGTCGGACTCTTCATTGCAAGACTCAACCAGCCCTATGTTGGAGACATGAGGATCGCCGCTGGGACAAAAGTTTAGAAGACCTGGCAAGAGGAATTTCCGGACTCTTTTTGGTTTTAATGTACTCACATCTCGGCTGGAAAGGACAATTATCTCGTTGATAACAAAGCACTTTGCTCATCGTGCAGACGCTTCCTTGCGGACATTTCACCTAAAACGATATCCTTACCAAAGGTTTTATGATAAATAATAAAATTTCAGCTCGACGCCGCTCATTTAGAAAAGTCATTCAGCGTTTGGTTCGAAAAATGACTAATAATCGGCTAAAAATATTTGATGTAGCAAAAAATTGTACCTCATAACGTACAAACATCTTGTTTCCGCTAAACTGGTGAACTAGAAATAAAAAAAACTAAGAAAAAAAAGTTGGAATTTTTTGGTTTCTCATCCAAACTCCCGAGCACATGTTTCTAGTCATCCTTTCGTCCGCCTTTTTTTGAAAGGGTAGATCCCAACCTCTTCACAAGGATTGCGGCACCGACAGGTCGGACAATGGCTCTGGTCCTTTTCGAATCCGAAAGGGCAGTTCGTCGGACACACGAGTGGCTTACACGTACTCGGGGCTGAAACTGCTTCCTGTGGCGAAAATTCTGGCAAAAAGGTGAACCGCTGCAGTTGGGTTTTCCAGTCGAGACCCGCGAACCGCTCACTTCCTCGCCAGTGCCGATGTCCACGCAGAAACAGCCGTCGTAGTCGCACTGAAATCTCGATCCGTGTTTGAACGTGTTTCAGACTCGCCTGGAACTGCTCGAAGTTGCCAGCTCGATCGCACTTCTTCAAAAGTCTTAGCGCGTAAAGTTCAGCTGTCAAGGCGGCATGGAAACACGCTGAAAAAATTCGAAAATTTTCTTAATGTCGTGTCTTTTTCTGAGGTAATGGCCACATTGGAAGAATGGGGAAGTCAAACTGACGAGTGCTTCGTACGGGATATTGGCAAGAAGTGGAGCATCCGTTCCGGCAACATCTGCAAAATACAAAACCTTGTTCCATTAACTTCCGCGATATTAATTTAATAATGCTAACTAATTAGAGCAGATATTTATTAAATCCTTTTATTACAGGGAAAAAAAATTTCAATTTTTCCTTCTGGAAATCTTAATTTTCAAAACATTTTCCCCATCTTCGAAACCCTCTAGTTTGGGACTTGCTCAGGCAGAGCATAACTGTAGGTCGATCCAAGTCTTCCGACACCTTTTCATTCCGTGGCAGTCGCTGTCGGCCTGACATTGAGAGCTGCAGGTGCCGTTCTCGGCGACGGCGTCGGCGCAATCGGCCACCAGGGAGCTCAGATGGTTCTTGTTGTAGCGTTCGACGACGCCTGGCTGGTAGTGAGCCACCGCCGACGTCTTCAGAAGATTCGCTTTTTTCAGAGAGAAGAATTCAGGCGCCACGCAGGCGAGGGCACAGCCATCGAAGCAGCACTTCAGTTCTGAAATATTGCACGGTTAGAATTGGTACCAGCAACTTCAAAAAATTTAAAAAAAAATTAGTTGAAAACTGAACCTTGAGGACAGTCTTGGTCATTTTTACAAGAAGAAAAACACGTGGCGGCAACTTTTTTGACAGACTTGGAAGGACATCTTCCATCCTTCGTAGCATGCTCTCCACGGCAGCAGAATCCGAGTCCGTTATATCCGATCTGAAAAAAACTGTTCTTCAAAAATAAATTGAATTTGGAGACTTTGAAACATCCAAAGTCGGCCCCGCAGTCTTTGTTAGCCGAACACAGCGCCGTGATTCCATTGGGAAGGACTAGCGGCGATCCGGACTCGCAAGGGTTCAGCAGGCCTGAGAACAAAAGTTGGATTATTTCAAAACCAGTTGAGAAGTTGTCAGACGTGTCCAATCAAAAAGCAACTTCATAATGACTCTCGAAAAAACCCTTCCAGCTTTTTGAAAAAGAATGAAAACACATATTAGTTTTTTTTCACTTTTTTCCTTTCCTTTTTTTTGAAAACCAGATTTTTTTTTTACACAGTTTCAGCTTTTGACTAAAAACGTAATTTATCACTCTTGTTCTTTTTTTTCCTTGGAATAAATCATTTCATACAGCTTCAAAAAATTAATTGCTTGAAAATTATTTTCCTGAAAAAAATTCTATAGTCAAGCACATAAATTTACTTATTTTTCAATCTGGGCATCAACAGAAAAATGATCCATTTGATAGATGAAATAGATGAAATTTACATCGCGGGACAGGAAGACAAGGCGGATTGGCGCAGTCGGGCTCTATCAGCTGGCAAGTGTAAGATGGACTGTCGCATCTTGAAAAAAAGAAGATAACAGTCGAAACTACAGAGAAAAGAGTTGTTCAAAGAGTTTTCTGACTGACCGGACGCGAGCGCAGATGTCGACACACGCACAACTGACGTGGGGACAGCCGAAAACGTCCATCACGTGGCCGTGGGAGCACTCGTTCGAGCATTTTTGAGCGCACAGTCGATTTTCTGAGGCTCAAGGTTTACTCATGTATTTAATAAAACTGGCTCTTTCTTTCAAGGCTTCTTCAGAGCTTGGAATCTCCGGATTCGAAGTCAACCATCTTCTACATTAATAGCTCGTCTACACTATTCTGAATGAAAATCAGCAGAGAAAAAAATATGAACAGTTTAAAATTATTGTTTGCCTTTTTTTTCGAAAAACTCGAGTCTTCCACAGAAAGCTAAAAATTCTCAAATTGAAATTTTACTAGAGTTTTACATATTTTCTTGACACTCATTTTCAGAACAGCAACGAATTTGTCTACCCACCTGTACACATTTCTCTTTTTCTCTGAGCCTTTTCCACACGAGACCCGGCGATTTCAGCCCCGTAGTGGACGTCGACACACCAGCACCAGCGACTGTCGCACTGCACCGAAGAGAACTCAACAAAAATCGTCACTCAAAACAAGAGAAATGATGGAAAACCCTTCCGTTGGGCTCGCATGCTGGAACGAAGTCGTTGAGGAGTTTTGACGTTGGCAGTCGCATGACAGCGATCGCCAAATGGACACAAGCTGAATTCCAAGCTTCGGGTCTTACAAAAAGATCGAAGCTCACAGGTGGATTTGATGGGCGCTGCACAAGTGGCTCCGCACTCGTTGACGCAACATTTGTCGAAATTTGGGCAATCGAAATCATTCGAACACTTTGATTGTTCTTCAAAAAAATTGAAAAATGAAACATTTTTTTAAATGGAAGTCATTCATTATTTATCTTTAAACTTCCCCAAGCTGCCTCTGTTTTTTTTCTTCAGTCATTTGGTTTTTTTCCAAGATGACTTCAGAGCTGGACAGAGCAAAAAGAAGCTAATATACTTATGAAGAATCTTAGGGAAGTCAGAATCTTTTTGGTTTCAAAAAAATATTTGAACGGGGAATTTGGAAAAAAAAAGAAGTTTGTAATAAAACGTGTTCTTTTACTTCTAAGAGCAAGTTTTTTTTTGTTTTTTTTTTTCAAATTAATGTTTTTTTTCTAATTTTGAACAGAAAAACCTTTGCAGGCCCCATCTCCCGTTGGCGGCGGACAGGCTCCAATTTTCACTGTTCTTCCGACTGGCTCAATAGCAGTTGGACCTCAAAATTAACAGTTCCACCGGTCAGATTTTCGATAGAAACCAAAATGGGACGGATTTCCGCCTGAAACAGGCGTCATGGTGGCCAACTTGCTTCCCGCAAACTGAGTCACAGCGTTGAGAAGGCGGTGAAAAGAGCCTGAAGGGCATCATAAGATCCCTTATTAGAAAGAGAGGTCCTACCAATGACTGGCTGGATCGGCTTTTCTGCTTTTATTGCAAAACTTTGAGTCAGCGGGGTCACGCATTCTCTTCCGCAGCCATTGGAGCAGCATACTAGCCTTCCTGGAAAGGAATCAGTTATAATTCAACACTTTTTTCGCTAACTTATCGATTATCTTGATAATTTCAGATGTTTTTATAACCGTTTTAAGTCTAAAAAAAAATCATGGAGTCAACAGGAAGAGTTATGTCAAGTTCAGCATGCGTGGACAACTTTATACAATGGCAATCTGAACTTCGAACCCAAAAACCACAAAATTTTCTAAAGCTTTTTGAAGTCTGCGCCTTATTTTTTTTTTTCATCTCTTCGGGATTGCTCACCTTTGCAATCGTGGTCGCCTTCGCATCTGAGGGCGCAGACGCCGCCGGTGAGTCGTGGACATTCAGGGCGACTCGCTCCTGAAGCTGTTGGACTTTCTTTGCGACCGCAGATAATTGCCCCCGGGCACTGTTGCCGCACCAATTACCCGTGACCTGTTTTGGCTACGCGTGTACACACCGAGTACCGCTTGTTTTTTTATTACTACTTTTTTTCTTTATAAATCTTTGCAAAAAAACGAGATCTTCATGATACGAAATCGGTTTCGGAACTTGCTGCTGTTTGACTCACCAATCCGCGGGACACATTTCGGTCTGATTCCTATCGCTACACACATCTCTGTCGCTGAGCATAATGTGGTCTGAAAAACTATCAGACCATATAAATTTTTTTCTCAACTCCCAGACACATGCTAAAGCTTTATGATTTCGAAAGATTACTGATAAGGAAGTAAATTTTTTTCAAACTTTCTTATTTTCTAACATTGAAATATAAGTTTTCGAGGGTTTTAAAAAAATGAATAACGTATTTACGACTGGCTAAAAAAACTGTGAAGCTATCATGTTGAACATACCTGACAGGGGATCAATCGCACACGCACAAATGCACGTTTTGCCAGAATCTCGAAGGTACCCGTGAGGACAGAGAAGCTGGCACTGGGGTGGTCTGACTTGACAGACTGGTTCGAAGAAGTCAGCCTGGCCGCGCAGAACCGATGGCAGAAGTAAGGCTATTAGTGCCGCCGGCGACATGACAGCATGAAGAACGGTCGGAATTTCTTCGAAGAGGAAGTCCGCTTGGTAGGAAGAAATCGGCTCGATGACAGGTAAAGGTGCAGTCGAAGCGACGCTCCGCCTACTGCCGGACACTGTCCGCGGATGCGCCGTCGCACTGACTTTTTGTCGACAGTAGACAAACACGCGCGGTCAAGATCGCTTGAGTTGAAGCGGCCACTACAAATGCCATTGCCTTGTTGGTCTGATTCGGCGGATTTTCAGGCTTAGGGCACGAGCTACTGATGCAAAGAGACAGAAAGGAAACGAAATATTCAAATTTTGGGGCCGAACTTCCAACTACACAGACTTACACAATTTTTTTTTTGTTTCCCTACAGTATAGTCACACTCGTTGAAAATTTCCCTTTGGTAATCCTAAATTCATTGTGAAATATAAGAAACAGATAATCAGAATTCATGTAGTTCGAGTAAGCTTTTGAACGGGCTAACAACTTTTTCGCGCTAAAAAATAACACAGTATTCAACAGCATGCGTCTCTTCCGCAAAAAGCTCCGCAAACTCGCCAGTGACGCGCAATAAAGTCTTCATTTACGCTCGAAATTTATTTTTTTCTTTCAATATATTTCTCGATAAACTAAATCAATATTTTTTTATTATATCGATTATTTTAGGATGTATTGTATTATACTGATCATATTTTTTTCCAACAAAAAAATTACCGCCGATTTCTGTTTTCAGGGTTCCATGGGAAACCTCATAACTCGCTTCAAGCAAGATCCAGATGAAGTTGAAAGCGCTGGAAACCTGACTGATTATGAAATACAAAGTTCTATGAAGAAAAACAACAGAAAAAGGAAAAGCGGAAATTCTCAGTCGGACAACTCGAGTTCAAAAATAACGAAGCTGGACACAACCAGTTACGTTTACGATAAGCTATTCATGAAGGTTTGTAGATTTTTAAAATAAAAATTTCTCATTTTCCGATTGGATTCAGGGCGAAGGTTCTGACTTCTCAGTTATAGCTTTAGGAGAACGTTGGAAGTTACACAAACTGTATTTGAAGCAGTGTTCTTATTTTGAGGTTGAGTGAGAAAAGCAAAATTATATGCAGAATTTATTCTGTTTCAGGCACTATTGGATGGGGTCTGGAAAGATTCGGGTGATGAAGTTTTACACTTGGAAATCAATGATGAAAACGTTACGATAGAAGGTAGTTTCCTTGTTTCTTTCTTGTTTCTCGAAGAGCAATGTTAGGACTGAACGCCGTTTTTGGTTCTTTGTACAACAACGAGATCCTCCTTGATGTTGAGAACATTGGTGGGATTCTCGCAGCGGCTTTCCTTGTCGGATTGGTTTTTGAATAATATTCGCTTTTTCTAAAAAAGTGTATTTTAGGATAGCGTCATTGATCGATGTAGTGAAATGATGTCTGAAGGAATGACCATGCATAATGTAATCAATTTTTATCAGATTGCCGAGAGATACGCTTTATTGAAAGTTTGTATCAAATAATTTCCTATAAACATTCTTTTTCGCAGGTGCGGGAAAAGTTCTCTCAAGTATTTGGAAACAAGTTTCTGCCGTTTTATGAGATGTCCCAGGATACTGAGAGAAATGAAGTTAACTTTTTCTTCATTCCATATAGATATTCTTTTTTTACAGTGAAACATCATTGTGTGAACTCTTGAACTCGTCAGAACTATTAGTTATTGAAGGAGAAATGGATCTGTACGCAATGATTAGATCGGTAAGATCTTCAGACCTTTCCAAACTAAATTAATTAAAATTTAAGTGGATTTTCTTGGAAGAGCAAACCCCGCAAATTTCATACGAGTGCAAGGATTTACACTACACACAGCAAGAAAAGAAGTTTTTCTCCGAAAATAACGGCGACGCCCTTTTCCTCAAGTATCACAAGCTTTTCGCTGCTCTTCGAATCAACAATTGCCTCACCACCTCAGGTTATTCATTTTTATTTGCAAAAATTTTTTGAATATAAAAAATGCATCCCGACTTGAAGGCGGATAAGTGGACGGGACGTGTAACGTTTGCGTACGCCGTTCTTGGCACGAGTGCAATCCAAGCGCCATCGACTATTTAAAAAGCTCGGGCACCGCTCTTTTTGTACCTATCTTACTATTGTTTAATGCACAAATTAAAAAAATCGATAAATAATCAAAAAATGAATGAAAAGAGCGATAAACGAGCTTCCCAAATAGTCGCTGGCGGTCGAATTGAACTCATGCCAAAAACCGCGAACGCACACGCTACGCGTTGCGCCTCCTCGCCTTTCAGGTGGGGTAAAATTGACTATAAAACCTCGAAGTTTCTCTCAGCCTTTATTCATAGTATACTTTCAGGAGCCATTCGGACCTTCCAAGAAAATAAATTAGTGCCCCAAGAAATTCTCAATGATATAATTGTTGATCAATGGAATTGTCTGCTGAAGAATGAAGAAACGCCCACAGTGTGAGTCGGGAAACCAATTACGAAATGATCTGAAGCTTCAGATCTAACACGATGAGCGAAGAAGTGTTCAACAAGTCTTGTTTACGGTCTGGTCGCGCGATTCAAGAGTTTCCAGTAAGTTATTCCACCAAAAATCTCCAGCTTTCTCTCAGAAATCCTGGAGATGGACTGGGTTCAATTTTGGCACAGATGTGCTGCTCACGGCCAGTCGTTTGTGAGTGTCTCCAACACAGAAGTTCTTGTGAGGTATCACTATTTTCAGGGCTCTCACAGTAAAGAGAAATTGCGTGCACCAGATCTCGCCTTATTCGGCTAATATGCAAGGCGAAAAAGTTCTTCACTACCGGCAAGTTTCACTCTTCGAAGCAATCGATTCATTTTCTGTTATAGTTTGATCATAATGGATGCAGAGGGAAAGCGAATTCATGATGGGAAACGTATATCCGTGGCTCTACGTCCTGATCAGGTAACATTTTCTCTTAGAACTCAATATTGTCATGAAATAATGGTATCAAAAAGAGACCAGCGAAAACTCGAATGGCGACTTTTCCGATTTTTTCATATCGCTAGGAACTTTCCGACGGAGAAATTTCCGACTTTTTCCCTTATTTTTCGGCTTATAAACCATCTAGTAACTTCTTTTTCCTAGTTCTATCTGTTATAATTATGAATCAACTACCTACTTTTGCTATAAGAAGATTCAAAACGAAAGGTTTATCGAGAAAAAGTCGGAAACTTCTCCGTCGGAAAGTTCCCTCAGCGATATGAAAATCGGAAAAAGAGACGTTCAATTTTGAGTCTTTTTCATACCGCCAGAAAGATACTCGAGATGATAAAGAAAATTTTCAAATCCTCATTGCAGAAATTAATACTTTGCTATTTTGTTAGGCAATGCCCCTCTGTCTCCCATTTTATAATACATTTCTGTAGCAAGATCAATCACTCAGTAGTGTTAAATAGACTTCAGTAGTTCTGCGGCATGCGGGAATGAAGATCCCTCATCGACCTTGGCTTTCAATGCTACTCTCTTTATGATTTTGATCGGCCTCTGTGTTCAGACCATTGTACTTTCAAATATTCAAGCCTGACGTGGTGCTCCCAATCTTTGTACATTACTTCCAGTATTTGGCTTTGAACCTCCCTCCGCCTCCTACTTCACAGTACATTGAAAAGTATCTCGAAGGTACCAAGTAGACCCATAGTGTGTAAAAATTGTAGAGTGGTTCACTTGTTTTATCAATGCATTTACTACTGGCCACTCATAAAACCAGAAGATGACAAAGAGCTTGATCGTAAGCCCATTGCATCGCCAACCGTGAGAAATTAAAAAAAAAACAGTCTCAATTACTTTTTACAGTCAAACTCTTCGCTAGCAATCGACTCCGGAACCGCTTCATTAAAAACAGAAAATCTTAAAGGTCCAAAAATACCCTTCCGAACAGTACGATTAAAACAGCCCAGTAAGTATTTTTGTAATACTCATTCAAAAAGATTGATATAGAGAGAGAAACTCTGATGGAGAACCCTTTCGAAGACATCGCGACGCGAGCTCCGCCTAGAGACTACTTAGAGTTCCAGCGTCTGCGGAGCAAGCATCACATCAAAAAGAAGAAAAGACGTCATCGGAAGCGCACTCATGAGTTTCTGACGCGCGATGACATCGTCAAGCCGCGAAGGTTTTTTTTTTCACTTGAGATGGTCGTATCTCTAATTTAGCAACTTTGATCCGGAGGAGCCCACACTACCTCGCAAGAGGACGACTGACCTTGAGCGGAGCGAATTTCAAGTTGGAACGCGAGTTTTGAACCAGCTTCCAGGTATGAATATAACTTACACTATCAAATGAACCCGTTAAAAACTTCAGAAATCGAAGAAACAACAGTGGAAGAGCCGAAAGAAGAGATAAAAGTGAAAGTCAGCCGACTTCCAAACAATCCATTCAGAGACATCAATATAAGAGAGCCCACTGTTCTCGTTTTGCCCATACCCGAGTCCGAAAGCGAAGAAGAAAGACATTGAATGAGGTTTCCGATGTTATCAGCAATACTAATAAAATGGCAATATATCGATGGCTAATATATAAATAATTTCTCGGATACACTTCTATCAAAATTTGAAAAATGAAACAATCAGAATGGCACAAGAACAAAAATTAAATGAAAGAAAATGTGAGTTCTCACCGCTTGTAGAACTGGATGTGTATACCATTGATGGGCCTCATGATAATCTCGACCTTGTATCGCACCTGTTCAGCAGCGTCATTAAGCAAAAGATCAGCACCAACCTCATGTCGAGCCTCGACGGCGACGATGCGGAAACGTCGCAAAATGTGGGCCAGAATCACTTTTTCCTCGAGAATCGCGAATCGCTGGCCGATGCAGTTGCGACTGCCGGCGGAGAACGGAATGAACGAGTATGTGTGCCTCTTCGCCGCATTCTCCGGCAGAAACCTGCAGAATATGTGCTATCTTTATTTTCTAGCAACGCAAGACTGAGAAACGAATAGAACTAAAAAGAGGAGCTTTCTAAAAATCATCATTGGGAACTTCTTTTTAACCGTCAACTTCAGCTGAAATTCAACGAATTTTTTTGTGATCAGTTAGCAAATAAACTAAAAAAAGTTTCTCTCTTCGAATATTCACAGCAGCTAGTTTTTATCTCTGAAATTAATTGAGTCGAGAGGGAGTTAAAAAGACCTGAATAATAAAAAGTATAGAAGGAAAATAACCTGTCAGGATCGAAACGCTCCGGATCTGGCCATTGGGATGGGTCGCGGTGGACGAGGTGGTGGTTGATGAGGACGTGGACGCCCTTAGGAACAGTGACGCCGCCCAGCTGTTGGTCAGTCGCCAGCTCGCGCATGACGATCGGGACCGAGGGACACACTCTCAACGACTCCTGGCAACTGTCAGAACCGATGAGAGTAGAGTTTAGAACCTTCAGACAACATTCCATGTACTTCAAGCGCGGCAGGTGTTCGACGGTGACGTCATCGTCTTCTCCGAGAACCTCGTCCAGCTCGTCCTGCACAAAGTGTTTAATATTTGGACGGAATATACAAGTCCGAAAAAATGAAAATCGAGCTCGATTCAACTATCTTCGGCTTTCAATAGAAAGTCTGCCGAAAGGCTTTATTGGAAAACTGCTAACGATCCTCTTGCACGGAGTTATTCTGATATTTACCTCTCGTGAAGTTTTTTTTTTCTCGAAATCATAATAATTCCTCTTCTGAATTTGATAACGAACGTTATTAAATAGAAAAAAAGCAAATTAAAAGTTGCCTTATTTTATGAATCGATTATTTGGTATGAAAAAAAACTTTTATATCAAAAATAGTGGAGCCTAAGTGGCAAAACACGCAGAAAAAGGTTTCACTCAATAAGATCTTCAGCTTGAAAGTATTTTTTTCAAATTCAACCACTTAGCCGTTGAACTGTTTCCTTATCGAAAACGTACATGGATCTTCTGCTGAACTTCCGGATAAGTACCGATCAAATGGAGAGCCCACATGAGACCGGCGGAAGTCGTGTCGTGACCTTCGAACATGAAAGTGTCGACTTCGGCCTGGATGTCAGCTCTGTCCATTTGGCCGTTTCGGGCCATCTCCAGAAGCAGGTCCAAGAAGGCCAGACGACCCTCAAACTTCCAGCCGCTCTGCTCCAGCTCCCGGTGCCGATCATCGATAACCTGATTTTTTCGAGTTCAAGTTTCATTTCCCGGACTAGAAAATTAGAAGTAAGCCAGTGCTGGGTGGACTATGGAGTTGACTTCAGAGGAAATTAAAAATGCGTGATTAGTTCTTTCAAACAAAAATATCGAAATTTCTGGATGTTTAAAATATAGCCGAGAGCAATGAGAGAAGAAAACTTGAACTACGTTCTCCAAATAGATTCAACTTTGAATAAAAAAACTTTGAAGAAGCTTGATTGATCGGTCTCCGAAAACTGATCTACGAAACTTTCTGAGGTATGTTTTGAAGTTTCGATATTTTCGCTATTATAATTAGAGTCAAAAAGAGTCAAAATTTTTTCGGAAATTGCAAAAACAATGAAGAAAGATTGATGCAAACCTTTCTTGTGAAAGAATGAAGAATGTCCAAACATTTCTGATGCAATTTTCCGTTCCCGAACCTTAAAAGCTATGAATTAGATGGAATTATAAAGAGCCCAGCGTACAATTTATAGGTCAAATCGTTCCACAACAGCGGATTTTTGGTCCTCTCCTGTATCAGTTCGTTGATTGTATGGACAGCCCAGACGTATTCGTTGTTCTGAAAATTATTTCAAAATCAAAAGGAGACGAATTTTCTTCAGAAAGAAACCTTCTCCTCGAGTTGCGCGTTGACCGACTTGCCCATGGATGTTTCGCAAATGACATCGAGTGTACACAAAGTTATAAGAGACAGAACTTCCACTGGTTCCCTGTTTCATGATCATTTACAGAAAAAAAAGTTGATAGAAATTACCCATCAGAGTACTTTTCGAGCTTCTTTGTCAAAATTCTAGCTTGATCATTAAAGATAGGAACAAAGTCTTTGAGGATTTCGAGGTGGAAAGTCGGAGTCAACAGCTTTCTTCTTGGACGCCAGGCTTCTTTCTTACTAAAAAATATTATCATCAGAACGTCTGTCAATGTAATGACAGAATTTAGACTGCTCCCAGCACCTAGTGAGAAGTCCAGGACCGAGCCACGGCTCCAACAATTTGTAAGCGAATCCTTTGTCGAGATGCTTGTTCGAGGTGAGAATCACCTCCACGAGCTGAGGAGAGTAGAGCATGACTATTGGGATCGGGCCCAACCACAACACGCACATCCTCGGGTTCTCTGGAAAAAGATAGCACAGCCCATTGACCTGCAAATATACAATTTATTGAATAACTTCCATAGAAATCAACGAAAGCTTGCTAAGCTGTCTAAAGACAAAAAAGCGGGACGGATTATCAAAACACTTAAAACGGCGTTTCACCACGATAGTTCTCTAAATTGAGATTATGTTCCTTAAAACAGATCAGCAACCTTTTGGAAAAAGGCAACATTTAACCTGATCAATAAATCCTACAGGATCCGGTTTCGTTACCAACGCGTGTCCAATTATCGGGTAATTCCGCGTTTGACTTATTCTCTGAAAATTATTTTTTCGTTTTTAACTTTTTTTTCCACAAACCTTCAATGCTTTTCGCGTCTTCAAATGTCTAACTAAAAGATAAGTTAGAATAGTCGCTCCCAAAATTAGAATCGATGTTATCAAAAACCCCATTCCTCAATTCTTATAAAAACAGAATTGTTTAAAAATATGTTCGTTGAAATCACAATGACAGCAAAGCGACAAGTTTTGTTGAGATTCAATCGCGAAAACTTCTTCAAAACTCCTATTTTTCGAAGTTCATGGCCAGCTAGCTATATTCCGAAAAACTTTTTGTAAAAACAAAACGAAAAAAATAAATTCATGTTTTCGTTCTCAATTATTTCGAAGAACTCGAAATAATATCTGACCTCCAAAAATTTTTTTCTACTCTTTTTCAACTGTCTGACTATCGTTTCAACTGTCCCCGAATCATTTTTAATGCGACAACAAAAACTATTCAAGGAAAAATAATATGGAAATCCACTTTCAAGTTACTTCGAGAAAAATAATTCCTGAAGATGCGAAGAAGTCAGACAAAAAAGGAATCTTTCAAATTCTTTGCCTTTTGAAATTTTAAGATCTTTTGTTTGGGGAAAAAAGCTCGATATATTCTAATCTCCATTTTTAAATCCTATTTCTAATTTCAACTGATCCTTTTAAAGATTCATTTTAAAAAAAAAGAAAACGAGTTTGAACAAAAGTTTGCAAAAAAATTTCGAGGTGATCAAAAAAAATCTCCTCTTGTGCTGTTTAAACGCGCTCTAATGAACTTTTTATGCCGCGGCATGTCTTCAAAGTGATATAGGTCATTCCGCGCCAGCTTGTCACGATTTTAATTTTCCTCGGAGCTAGAGAACACCTTTCGGCGCTTGATGGTACAATTTTACCTCAAGTCCGCAAATCTCCGGAGCCGTTATCTCAGAGTACCGTAATCTCAAGGCCCATAATCTCCGAAACCACTTATCTCCGAAAACAAAAAACTTCAATTTTCTTTCTCTTTTTTGCATTTTATTTTCATTTTTTTCTTGGGTTGTGTTCAGAATACAATATCCGATTGAAACTGCGTAAGAAAGCCAAATATTTTCGTTTTTCAAACTTTTTTTATTTTCTCCGCTGAGTGAAAATAATTTTCAATTTTTCAAGTTGATATTTCTTTCTATTTTTTTTGTCCTTTAGCTTTTCTGATCACTTTTGCATGTGGACAGCAAAGAAAGAAAGAGTGAAACTCGAGCTTCGAAGTGGCTTAACTTTAAATTGTTCAGCTTCTCAACTTTAAATTGTTCAGCTTCTATACACACTCAGCTTCTGTGCTGGATTTCAAAAAAAGAAAATCAAAAAAAGATTGAATTATTACTTTTTTTAATTGTTATTGATGAAACCGACTGTTCGAGCTTTTTCTTGCATATAATTTTTTTGGCTTAGTTTGATATAAAGTTTGATGTTACAACTGTTTTTGTAGAATAAGAAAATTCCAAAGTTCGGAAACACTGAGTTTTATTAAAGGCGCACGCAAGGGGGCACACCGAGAGCATCGAAGCGAAGCGCCGAAAAGGCTACTGTAGCTCCAAATAAACTGGAAATCGTGACAAGCTGGCGCGGAATGACCTATACACGGTGTTCCGCGCAATGAAAAAAAATGCGAAATTTTTGCCGTGTTCAAAGTAATTTCCGCGAAATGCAAAATGGTCTCTGACCCTCCAAAATTTAGTTATCTTTCTCTTTCTCTGACGGCTATTTTGAATTTCGCGGAATCACTTTGAACACGGCATTTGGGTCCCAGCGGCATATTATCCGTGGCGCATTATTGCGCCCTTCTCATGGTTTCTGATGCAAAAATTGAATTTCTTCACTTTTTTCCTTGGTTTTTTACTTTTTTCTATTTCTTGCATCTATGTGATCCGCCTCTCTATGGGTACATCTTGTGGAGCTTTAAATTGCGCACTTTTCTAAACCGGTTTCAGATCTTTAACTTTTTTTCTCAAAAAAAGTTGAAGATTTTTTTCTAAAAAGTCCTAATTTTTTTCAAAAATTTTTGAAATCTGTTTCGCGACATGAAAAAGAGTCACTCTATTTCGGAAACTATAGTTTTTTTAATTTAATCAGTTAATAATAAAAAAAGTTATTATCTAGTTCCTTTGACGTAGTTTGAAACCGGTTTCGTGTAAATTAGAGCCAAATTGAATTTGCTGATGCAGTTTAATGATTTTGATATATGCATCATCTAAATTATATATTTTTTTCTAGTTTTTTTGATGGTTTTTTTCGGATTTAAACAAAAAAATTTCGCCATACGAGGTTTTTCGAAAAAAATTTCTGCTTTCTATCCATTATATGTTTTTTTCTGAAACTAGGTTTTCGAGGTATATAAAAATGTCATTTGCTCCTCGAAGTTTCCTCATTTCAATATTTTTTTCGTATTTATAAATGCTTATTCAATGGGAGCTGATTCACCTTCAGAATATTTTTTTGTTTTTTTATTTTGTAATCAGTAATTTAGAGTTTCCCTTTCGAAATCGTTCCTAAATGTTTTTTTAACGTAAGTGAATGTTTTTTTCACATCATATTCTTCGAAATGACAAATTTCGAACATTTCAGGAGCTATTATCCTGAAATCGCAAATTCTAAAAATTGAAAAAAACATTTTGAGTATGCGATAGTGCGTCTCGGTGTGCTTACACCCTAAACATCATAATTTACGAAAAGTCTTGACCTCTCTGAATTGGAGCGCCAAATGGGCGCCACAACTCTTTCACTGACATACACTATTTCGTCGTTTTCTCGCAGCTAGATAACGACGAAATAGTGTGTGTCAGAGAAAGAGTTGTGGCGCCCATTTGGCGCTCCACATCAGAGCTTGCGTAAAGAAAAAAACACCGTGGATATCGGGAATTTCAAAATAGCGGTCAGAGAGTGAAAAAGACAACTGATTTTTGAAGAGCCACAGAAATATTTGATTTTTTGCAAAAATTACTCTGAATACGGCCTCAACTTTTACTTTTCGCTCTTAGTGAATTTTTTTCTTGAAAAAGATAAAGGCCGCTTTACTATGAGGTTTCTTTTGTTGCCTAATAGTCTAAACCTGTAAAAATATACTAAAACTTTGAATTCAACTTTTTGTGGTCTACTAATTTTAGTTCTTTTTACCTTTTAGATTTTGATGCTTTTCGCGGCTTCCTAATTTTCCGGCTTTTTTCCTTATATGAGAAGCCTCTAGTTTTCATCTATTGAATTAACTTAGTATATATAGTGAGTGTTCCAAAAATGTATCTGACAACGCTGGGCTTATGAAAAGTCATTCAATTTCTCTAGATGTTTCGACAGGTTTCGCAGTTTCCTTTAAACGCGTTCTGTAAACTGTTTTCTGCTGAGAAATTTTCATTTCTACTGAAACAATAATTTAAAAGTTGAAAAAAAAAATAATTAAAAATCAGCTATTAACTGCATTTTTGATAGTATTTCCAGCCCAAAAAAAGTGTGAGTCCTTAAACGTAGTTCAATTTTTTTTTTTTGATTGTTGGTGAAGAAAATCTTAGTTTCCATCGGTTTCCTTGTTATTCAAAATCACTTACCAGGGAATGGTCTCAGCTCACAGTGGGACTTCTGAATGAGACCAATTTTACTAGATGTAGTTTTTCACGCTGATTCCAAATCTGCTTTCAAAAGTTGCCCAATACGTCTGTGAAAAAAGTTATGGACCCTCAAAAGTCGAAAATTTCAGTGTCTCCAATTGAGCTCATTTTTGGAGGGTATGTAGACCTTGTCCCTCTGGTCACGAAAAATCATTGAACTTTTTTCAAAAAAATTTCGCAGCCCAGATATGATCTTTCAAAGCCCCGCCGAACATAAGAGAATGCGCGCGCGGTGTGGTATTGCTAGCCGGCGACCGTCGAAGCAACGGCAGCGAGGAGCAGTGGAAAGGCGGCGGACTGGGGAGCACGAGGTCAGGTTCGGTCCCAGTCCTTTGCAAAATTTTTTTGCAATTTTTCCTTTTTTGGATAATTTCGTCTAACTGCTCCTTTCTTGAGTTTTGAAGCGTAGAAACATGAGAAAACTTCTTTTTGAACCTTTATAAACACCTGACTTATTTTTTTGTCAAAAAAATTTTATTCATGAAATTTTTTTCGTGATTTTCCATGTATGAGCATGAGTTGGAGTATGAAAAATTTTTCGAAAAAAATTTTTCTTGTTTTTCTTTTTTTATTTCAAAAGTTGACTGGTCCAAGTAATCATGACTACGCCGTCAAAACTCACAGAAAAAAATTTTCCAAAATTTTCCACTTCCAAAAAGATCTTTTTAGGTTGCAGTGATTTATACGCGATGATTGCCTTTTGTCGGAAAAAATTTCTTTCATTCTCATAGAGCCGTATGCGCGTTGAGGTCTGAAAAAACTATGAAAAATTTTTTTCTGTGAGTTTTGACAGCGTAGTCATGATTACTACCAACTTTTTAAAACAAAAAAAGAAAAACAAAAAAATTTTTTTCGAAAAATTTTCATACTCCAACCCATGCTCATACACATAGAAAAATCACGAAAAAAATTTCATGAATAAAAATTTTTTTGACAAAAAAATAAGTCCAGGTGTTTATAAAGGTTCAAAAAGAAGTTTTCTCATGTTTCTACGCTTCAAAACTCAAGAAAGGAGCAGTTAGACGATATTATCCAAAAAAAGGAAAAATTGCAAAAAAAAAGTTTGCAGAGGACTGGGACCGAACCTATGACCTCGTGCTCCCCAGTCCGCCGCCTTTCCACTGCTCCTCGCTGCCGTTGCTTCGACGGTCGCCGGCTAGCAATACCACACCGCGCGCGCATTCTCTTATGTTCGGCGGGGCTTTGAAAGATCATATCTGGGCTGCGAAATTTTTTTGAAAAAAGTTCAATGGTTTCTCGTGACCAGAGGGACAAGATCTACATACCCTCCAAAAATGAGCTCAATTGGAGACACTGAAATTTTCGACTTTTGAGGGTCCATAACTTTTTTCACAGACGTATTGGGCAACTTTTGAAAGCAGATTTGGAATCAGCGTGAAAAACTACATCTAGTAAAATTGGTCTCATTCAGAAGTCCCACTGTGAGCTGAGACCATTCCCTGGTTAATTACGTTTCATTCGTTGAGTAATCGTGCGATCTCTCTATTGTCTTTCAAGTCACAGGAAATTCACGTGAATTACACGTCGAGCGCAAGGTAGCTTTCGTTACGAGTTCTTCGTTACGAGAAATTATCAAAACATCTCTGGAATATTTTCTATTCAAAAATTCTCATCTTCATGCATTAAGTACCTTTTCATGTATTTTTCGCTTATACTTATCTGATTATTTCCTTCGTTCATCGTCTTCCGCCCAATCCTGGTTCTTAGAGATTGCGACGCCATATCTTGTTTCGCCATTTATCTCTTTCAGACAGTCTCACATATTTCGAAGTTTTCTTTTTTTACGACTGATCTCTCCTTTGAAAGACTTTTTCGTCTTCTCTAGTTCCTTCTTTAAAAATTGTGTAAGAACTTTGTACTCATTCTTTGTCGATTTCCAATCGGAGTGTCTAATGTCACTATCAATTTTGTTATCAGTCTGAATGTGTAACTTTGACCCAGAGTCTTTACCTCTTGTATGATGATAATTTATCCATTTCTTGTCCTCCTTTCAGCTTTACAATTATTGAAGAGTTGAGTTCATCTTATTTAATTTCTGACTGCTTCTTATTCTCCTCATTTTTTTACGAAGTTTTTCATTTTCAGCAGAATGATGAGCGTTGCTTATCCTACGAAAAATAGCGGCTTCTCCCATCGCGATCGCAGAAAAATCTCCAGGAAAGCGCCGAGGAGAGGACGCGTCGTTTTTTTGGCGCACCGCCGACGCTGTTTGCTTTGACGTCGACTCTACAGTATGCCAGGCTCGTGGATTTTTCAGAATGTATGATTAAGTTTCACTGTGTGGTTTTTAAATATATTTCATTAAGTCATTATTTTGATCTGATTAACCTGTACTAAAAACTTTTTTTATGTGAATTTTTATTCTGAAACTAAAATTTAAAAAAATGAAGCCTCATTTAAATGATTAATTTTTGTGTTTTATATACTTTCATTTTTTTGTCTTTTTTTTGCTGCAAACACATTTTTTTGAATATTCAAATATTAAATTATTTTTCGATTTACGCTCTTCAGGATGAGGCGATCGACGAATTGGCGGCATTTTTGGGCGTCGGAGAAGCTGTCGCCAACGTCACTCGATCAGCAATGAATGGAAACGCGCGATTTAGGTAGGAAAGGTTCACGGCGACTCAAAACATCGCGAAATTTCCAGAGATGCGCTATCTGCAAGGTTGCAAGTTATGAAGCCGAGCCTTGATCAGCTCGAATCGTACGCCAACAATACGAAACCAAAAAGTAATACTAGTTACTTTTTTTTAGTCTGAAACTTTTTGTTCTCCAGTTGACGCCTGGTATCAAAGAGCTTGTTTCAAAACTCCACTCCCGTGGCGTAGACGTTTATCTAGTTTCTGGTGGATTCCGGAAATTGATAGTTCCTGTCGCAAAACTTTTAGGTTGGCTGTCTTTTTCAGGATAATGCAGAAGTTTCTATAACTTTCAGGAGTTGATAGGGAAAGGATATTTGCAAACGAGATTTTATTTGACCAAAACAAAAACTATTGCGGTTTCGATACGACAGAACTAACAAGCGACTCGGGCAGTAAAGACGTAAGTTTTCTTTCTCAAATTTTTTTTCATGACATTTCAGGTTGGCAAGCCTGCAGTGATATCTCTACTGAAAGAGAAGTTTGGGTATTCGAAAGTTGTAATGGTCGGCGATGGAGCAACGGACATGGAAGCCTGTCCTCCGGCAGATGCTTTCATCGGCTTCGGTGGTAATCAGGTACCTGATTCAAACGGGAATTCTAGTTTCATTCCGACCCGTACAGGTGCGAGAAGCAGTTAAATCACGAGCGAGCTGGTTTGTAACAGACTTTGATGTTCTGCGAGCTGAACTTGATCTCAAAGATTGATGATAAGGTAGAACACGCACATTCGAAAATATTCTCATCAATTGAAAAAATTTCCAAAGTCTATTACGCTAAAAAAAGCTGGTTTAATCTAAAAAAATTGTTTTTTTGTGTTTTTTTATTTCGTTGAAAGTTTCTTGTGAAATCATTCTTGTATAATCTCTCAGTCAAAAAAATCTCTATCGATTTGTTATGTAATTTTTCCTGTCGTCAATCATATCTGCTCATTCACTTTTTTTCTTTCATCATTCATTCAATTCGGTCGATAATAAACAAATTATTGATCAAAAAGTGAAAAAAAGTGCAAATAAAAATAAGTTAAATTATTAGGACGCACGAATAGGTGGTGAAACAAGTATGACGGCGTCGCCACGAACAAACAGCATTGGAACTGTGCGTTTGGTCTGACGATAGACTTCCTCGTAAGACTCCTCGTCCACTTCCCTCGTCGTCACCACTTCCTCTACCTGTGTTCAAAGCCCCAATAAAATTCGTTTTCTTCAACTCAAGCTCACATTCGACAAGACCATATTCAAGTGTTGATCAAAGGCGTGCAGGCGACCACGAAGCTAAAAACGTATGAAATACATGTTATTCTTCAATTTTTTTAACTTAGTAAAAAGTAAAGTGAGGTATTTGAGAAATACCTCTGATGAAAAAAACTTTTGACTTATTCAGAAAAAAATCTTCAACGAACAAAAAAACCTCTCGGTCACTGCGCATTTTGACGTAGACGCGTTCTTCTAAACTAAGCCGCAACAAATCAAGCGGCTCCTCGACAGTTGCATTCAGAACCTGAAAAAGTTCGAGGATTACAAAATGGAAACTTTTTGGAGAACCCTTACCGGTGCTTCTTTCTTTTCTGTCGCCATTGCAAAAATTCTGAAAAATACGATTGAAGATGAACTAAATATTTCGAGAATATAAATATTTTGAAAACCGCTTTTTAAACGCATGAAAAAAATTTACAGCAAAAAAATTGTGAATAGTTTATTTCATAAAAATTATACAAGCGGAATGGTGAAGTGTTAGGGAGAAGTGAATGTGGTCATCTTTCCGCGAGACGTGTTGCTGCTATCAAGTTGAGCTTAGAATCGGGATCAACCAAGCCGATTGGACCGTATTCACAGTCGGCACATGTCAAATACTAAAAGTTCCGAACTGCAGAAAGTCTCGATTAAGAGGAAATCTCACCTTAATACCGTCTACAGAGTTCGTGAAATCGACGTTTTCAAAGTGAAACATGTCCACAACGCACCAAAAACCCTTGAACGGCTTCCTAAACCCAAAAAGTCGATCGATGATGAATATTTTAAAAAAAGAATCATCTCATTACAGTTTTGTTACAATAACTTTTCAAATTAAATACGATAAAAAGTAAAAAGATTCAAAGCGTCCGATATTGGATTTAAAAAATTTTTGATGAAAACTCATGCCTTGTTCACAGTGATTGCACGAAATGAAAAATAGCAGACAGAAAGTGAAAAAGACAACTAAATTTTGGAGAGTCAGACAATTCTGAATTTTGCGAAAAATCACTTTGAACACGGCATCTGTTAAAAGCTTAGTAGTGAAGTTTCACAAAGATTCCGTCAAGATATAACTTCGAAAAAATTTCATCGTTTTTTCAACATAAAAACTGACTTTCCTCTAAAATTTCGAAATTTTTTTCATCTGACAATTTACTTCGTTAAAAGAGATATAATTTTGGAACTTTAGTGTATATTTAATTTGAATATGTTTTTCAACCATTAAAAAAAAATGAACGTACGACTTGAGTAGCTATCCCTTTTTGCTGACGAGCCAGTGGAAGGTCGCGCGACTCTTCGAGCCATTCTTTCGCGGCTTTGGGGAGCATCACGACTGACGAGCATTGACTACAGACCAACGTTGATTCATTCGCTCTTGGAACTTTCTGCATCTCCTAAAAATAACCTCCATTTCAAGTTTTTTTGGAAATTTCCTAACAATATGGCCGCAAAAATTTATTTTTTTGGCAAAAAAATGTTTAGGACTTTCCGAACATTCTAACAAATGGCGGAAACAAAAAAACTACCTTCGGGGATTGCAAAGGTGTCGCTGCTGGCAAGGGACTTGAGGAGCTCATCTTTCTGCTTTATTTGTCTGAAAGTCAAATCTGTACAATTCTTTCAAAAAAACTCTCTGAAAACTAAAAAAAGAACCTGTATAACGACGCGATTTGCTCTCGCTGACGATTTTCGTTGACGTTAGTGTTTGGAATACTTCGAATGTGCTCCTTCAAGGCTTCGACGCCAGCTTCCACGTTTCTGAGACGAGTCGTCAGCTCCGAACCACTTCCTTTCTCGACACTGAAGAAAAATTTGATGAAAGTTTTGATCTTCATATAAATATAGTCAGATAGAACTTACGAGGTGACTAAATGAAGAACTTCCGTGTAAAGCTTGTCGATTTTTGCGCAACACTTTTCTTCACCGGATGCTCGATCCGATTTCTTGACCATCAGGTGTCAAAACAGGCTATAAATTTATAACTTCGGTAACATCACACATTTTGTGCTTTTTTCATAGTAAAATGTCCAAGATATAACGCAATGAAGCGCAAGCAAGCAAGTTCATAGGATATTTGTTGAAAAAATTTTAAGTTATCAAGATTATTCTCTTTTAACGACAAAGATAATTTTTAAACGACGATGCACGTTTATATGGAAGCGATTTAGAAGAAGATCTGGCCTTTAAAAAAATGCACGATAACTTCTTACTAGCTTGAACGAACGATTCAGAAAACAAAATTGATGCCTTGTTCAAAGTAACTTCGCGGAAATGGAATTTATCTCTGACTCTCCGAAATTCAGATACCTCTTCGCTCTTTTGGAATCCACGGATTTCCAAAAAATTATTTTATCATTTCTTGAGGACTAAAACCGTAAGCATTTTTTTCATATGAATTTGGAATGATAATCTGGATTCTTCTGAAGGTAAAGGTACTCACAGGATTTTTTATTCCATAAAAAGCACAATTTAAATAAAAGATATTCAGCTATTACAATAAGAAAATCACTTTCTAACCAGATAAAACGTGTTTTTTGAAACTTTCCAGTTGAAATCAATTGACAATTCCAATTGTTGTATTGCGTCCATCCCCAAGATGTTGACGTTCGCGAAGTGAGCTTTCGAAATGTGACATTCAATGTATCTTTCTGGATCCTGAACATTTTAACTTAATCATTAGTGAATATAAAATAAAAAGAAACCTGTATAGCAATGTTGTGAAGGTGGTGGCTGAATCCATGACCAACGAGTTTTTCGAGCGACTTTACAGTCAAACAGGTATAAGGCGAGCCGCAGTCCACAAGAAACCAGACATTGTAGATTTTTGAATTGCCTGCTTCTGTAATTTTTCATTGTTATAACGTATAGTATAATATTATAGGTTCAAGAAATAGTTCAATCATTATACTTACCAACGTTTTGACATACTAAAGGAGCCATCAAACGCAGGTTTCTCCCGTGGACTCGTCCCAAGACTGGGAAAGGCGTGGAAGAAAAGGATCCAATTGACAAATTTTCAATGTGGTTAGCAGCTCCAATCTGAGAAAATGGATATTAGATTAAAATATTAAAAATACACCCTACTTCATCCAATTCCTTTTCGTCGATGTCGGAAATCAGGACATCGAAGTCCTTGTAAGGAACGGCAAGCAATGAACCATCAGATGAAGTGCTCTAAAATGCTAAATTAATTTAGAAAAAAGGAAAACAGTTTTAAATAGAGCATAAAGCATAAAAACTCACCTCTTGCGAGCAGAGTGAGTTGAGATCATTGAACTTCGATGGCTTTTTTTCAGAATTTGTTCGAACAGACTGGAGCACTTTTGAAGTGGCTCGCACCAAAACACCAATCGAACGAGGGATTAACATCTGAAATGTCTGGAGTTATTTTACAGTTAGCATAAATTTAAGGCTAAAATGTGAAAGAAAATAAAAGGAAAGAAGGAGAGCATCCCGTGCCCTGCAACAAAAAGAAGGCTTGGACATGACTCTCTCCTTCCTCTGCGTCTCTGGTCACGCGTCTTTGCCTTCCACTCTAGCCCAACGCGTTTGCGTGTTGCGTCGCGTGTGTCTAGTTCAACTGGGGCAAATGTGTGATTGTGCTCGTGGCTATGGACCGAGGAAGTACAACAGAAGGTCAAACAGAAGAAAAGTGCATACCACGCCTTTCTCGCTGCGAAATCCGCGACAAATTGGCAGAAGTACCGCCGCGCCAAACACGAAGCGAAGATAACCGTGGCCCGAGCCAAAAACGAACACCTAGAGAAGATTTACGACGACCTGAACACCAAGGAAGGGGAGAAATCTATCTACCGATTGGTCAAACAGAGAGAAAGTGGCTCAAATGACTTGAAACTTTGCACAGATTTTAAATAACTACGCAGTAACTTTTCTCCGAAAGAAGAGCTCATTTGCTCAAGTAAGACCGGATTTGAGAGCCAAAAACCAAAAATCGTGAAAATGAAGATTTTTCTCTTGAGATTCGAAAAATCAAATCTTCGAAGAAACTTTGATTTGAAATCAGAAACTTTTTTTCCCGGTAAAACAAGTCTTCGGCTTTCCAAAAAATCTAATCAGCTCCCTACCAACCCGATAGTAAAAGCGTAGTTACTTTTTCTTTGGAAGGCCTTTGCGTTTTGACGCCTCGTCATTCAAATGGACTATACGCGGTCATTTTTGTTTGAGAACACCATGTTTCCTGTTGAAAAACTTCGAAACACCCTCAAAAATAGTTTAACACTTTTTTCTTCAGCTTTGTCACTATATCCTCTCTCCAGAACTCGCTTACTTCATTAGGTCTGATTCTGAAAGCTCGGATTCGAAAAGTTTTTCTGGACACTCGGGCTTTTTGTCTGATCATTCGCTTTTCAATCGTGAATTCGAGAATAAATGATGGCCAAGTTGCAGTCTCCTACTTCCTGAAGACTGCTAATTTTTTTCCAGAAGCATTATGTTCACACTTTCTGTCTGCTATTTTTCATTTCGTGCAATCACTGTGAACAAGGCATGAGTTTTCATCAAAAATTTTTTAAATCCAATATCGGACGCTTTGAATCTTTTTACTTTTTATCGTATTTAATTTGAAAAAGTTATTGTAACAAAACTGTAATGAGATGATTCTTTTTTTAAAAATATTCATCATCGATCGACTTTTTGGGTTTAGGAAGCCGTTCAAGGGTTTTGGTGCGTTGTGGACATGTTTCACTTTGAAAACGTCGGTTTCACGAACTCTGTAGACGGTATTAAGGTGAGATTTCCTCTTAATCGAGACTTTCTGCAGTTCGGAACTTTTAGTATTTGACATGTGCCGACTGTGAATACGGTCCAATCGGCTTGGTTGATCCCGATTCTAAGCTCAACTTGATAGCAGCAACACGTCTCCAAGAGAAAGCGCGACGAACCCATTGCTGAGCGCTGTGCAGGCGGTGGGAGTTCCATCGGAAGACGCGGCGAACGGATCGCCATGGGGACACAACTGCTCCTTCTTTCCGACACTCAAGATTGGCTCTGAAATGTTGCCATTCTATCTCGTGAGGGAGTTGATACAAGCCTCTGGCGGGACAGCAGACGCCGTGCATATTCTCGTCGTAGGCCGTGCAGTAATAGCCTGCCGGACAGATCGAGTTGTCCGTGCAGGAAAAACTGTTGTCGCGTCCGAGACTCTACCAGAGGCCGCAGTCCTGAGTTGCACGGCGAACGCTCGCCTGCCACCAAAACTAGTTCAAGCCTGGAAGTCACGCTTACAGTTTGGAACGGGAAGACACCATCGAGAAGGGCAATCCGCACGTCGTAAAAATACAAACCTAAAAAAATATACAACTAATGGCAATATTTACTTGTTTTTTTCGTTCCTAGCGTTCGTTCAAAAATTCACAAAATTCACCTCTGAATAAAAACTAGAAGCACTGAGTTTTTCTTTTACCGTAATTTTTTTCGGTATTAAAGTTTGCCCAGGAGATCTGAGAATAAAAATATGATCCCAAATGTTGAAAAATGTGTTTTCGAGTAGCTATAAAAAATCATAACTATACGTATACTTCGAAAAATAATTGTGTAAGACTTTCTTTTGATACAGAGGTGAGCAGCTTACAAGGAGTCGTCACTTAAAATTTGAGAGGTATTGTCTTTTTTCCATAGTCCCTCCTGACATTTTCAAAGACCAGAAAATAAATCTGCGTAAAAATCAAATCTAGTTAGTGATCTCATTCCGATTTCCCAAAGTGAGGAAGAGAAAAATTAACAACTTTGTAAGAATTTTCTTTTTGTCGGTAACGAAAGTATCTACACAGGCCAAACATTGATACAGTAAGATTTGTCTACGCTCTCTTTTTTTCTCAAAATACTCTCGTGTAGGTGATTTTTATTCGGATCGCTATGAGCACGCCGACGAGAGAAAAGAAACGCGGACAGGTCAGATTGCTCGAATAGCGAATACGTGTGAGAGCTGATTTTTTGAGTGAAGACCTCGCCGGTGACGCAGTCGACGTCTTCGCACGGCGATTTGCACAGACACTCGGCTCGAGGACAGCCATTTCTATCGAGGACCAACCCGTAGGGACACATGGATCCGGAGCATTTCGAGACGCACGTCGTTCTGGCTGCAACCCACAAGTCTTCGCTGAGGGGTGTGACCAACCATTGCAAGGGTTTCGCGATGAGCTTCTCGTGCCGAAGATTTCCTCGCCGTTCAGAGCGTTCACGCACCAGCACTTGCTCCCGTCACATTGCGTTGTGTTGTAATCTCCAGTTGAAACGTCGCAGAGAGGAGTGTATCCTCTAACAATCGCCCCGTTCTTTTTCAGAAGAACCAAAGCCGATTGCATTGTGGTACAGTCTAGAAAACTAAATCCGGGACGGATAAATGCAAGGTCTAACTTGTAGCCTTCATGACACTGATCGGAGTTGCTTCGATGACCGTCATCTTGTTTGGAAAAGGAAGGCTGTTTGTGATTGAAGGAGGCAAGGCTACGGTAGGCAACACAGTCGAAGGGATGGGAACTTCGACAGATGGCAAGGCAGGAAGCTTTTGCAGACAACAAATGCCGCTCTGAAAATGCATCACAATTCAAAATAGCTATCTGCCAATATTCTTTCTGCTGTACAGTTCTAAAACTTTACTGTTCTGCTTTTGTACGGAAAAGAAAGAGCGACGATGAAAAAAGGAAAGAAGACCTCGGCTCGGAGCGGAGAAGTGACACACTTGGCGCCTCTTCCGCAGCCTCCGTCCGCCGTGCATCCGACGGCGTTGCGGTAGGAGTCGCGTTGAGGTGTCGCGCAGAGAGATTCGATGCCTGAGACAGAACCAAGACCCATGAATCCAAAAACCGACTCACATTGAGGAACATCAGGACAAGGGGTGCGTGGTGCAACGGACGGGCATCAGTACGCACTCCATGGCAACAGGACAATCGAACGTCTTGAAACTCCATTCGGTTTCTCTTCCTGATATAGTTCTTACACTACACAAGTTGGCACATTCGCAGGCGCCATTCATCGGACATCCGTTGGTGTCGAGTCTCACGCCGAAAGGACACTTTGAGGAGTCGCAGCGCGTGGAGCAAATCTTTGGGGCTGGAAAAAAATGAGAAGAGTCGGAGATAGGCCAGGAATATCAAACCAGAGCAGTCCGGAAGTGAGACGTGGTTGTAAATCCGAGTTCCTGGTATTTCTGTGCCATCGAGCGTGTTGACACACCAACACTGTCTGTAGCAATGGATAAATCAAACTTTTTCGGTTAGGCGACGTACTTGGAGTTGATATCGCATTGGTGCTCTCTGAAAAAGTCCGTCTGCGGAGCACTGTACTGGCGCAGGTAGATTCGAGTTTTTCGGCGGCGAGTTTCTCGTTGAATGCCAAAAGACGATGAATGCAAGCCGTGGCAATCTTCAAGAAATTCTGAGGTTAGAAAAAAGAACGGAAACACTTCGGGAGGCGAGCAGACGTTCCCGCAGGTCGCACGGCAGCACTTCCAATAACCCGGACAGTCTGCGTCCATCACACATTGTTCGCCGCAGCCAGGATTTAGCAGCACCTTTTTGCAAGTTCCCAGTTTCTGGACAGCTGACAGGATGCCTAGATATCGAGGTTTTTCTTTCGGAATTCTTCCACAGACCGATAGGGTTGATTACAGTCACGCCAACCGGTGTCGATGTCGTTGCGACCAGAGAAATCTGGGGTCGCGGAGGCGTGGGCTGCGCAACGGATATCGACTTTATTGGCTAAACTCTTCTTGGAAACCAGGTATTCATTTTTTAAACCTTGATCTGCGAGAAAGGAAACTTCTTGGAAAACGTATGAACAACAGGTTTTTGAGGAAACCCTCGGACGGCGGGAGACTCTTCTAGAAGGAAAAAGAAGCTTTTTCGTCGGGAAGAACAGAAAACTTACGCGACTCGTACTGGCAACTGGTACCGCAGCCATTGAAACAACATGTCGATTTGGGACAATCATTTGGCTGACGACATCCCACCTCAACAACCGATGTGCCCATATAATCCTCACATTCATGGAACTTCATAATGTAAAAAAGAACCTATTTTACGGCATACTCACACCATTTTTTTCTTCGGCTTTTTTCACAAAAAAAATCATCGCGACTAAATGAATTTTTAACTTTACGGAAATTACTCTCTGAGTCATAGTTTGAGACCCAAAAATCCACTTTTTTTGGTTGACTTTTTTTCTTACCACGCAAGGAGCAGCATCGACAGACGTGAGGGTCAACGGCAGGGCAGCACATTGAGTCAGTTGCAAATCTAAGAGAATTAGTGAGGAATTCCGAAAAAAAGACACACCATAAACTGGACAGCAGATAGACAGCCCCAAGTATCCAGAGTTCTTGCAGTGGAATCCGGCAGGACAAGGAGACTTCGAAGTGCACGTGGCCAACTCCTCGTCGTTTATCTTGAGAGGTTCGCCGGTTGAGCACATATTGGGAACACCTTTGAGATCTCCATTAAAGAGAATATTTAGAAGTTGGAAACATCGAGCGACTGGCTGGCAATCTTTTTCGAAGCACGCGACTGAGACCAGGCGACACAGAGTTCCGGCCGGACACGCGACGAATTCGCAGGGCTTGACGCAGTCGCACACGGAGCAGCCCTCGTTGTCGCTCTTCAACCTGAATCGGCAGCTATGGAATGTCTTCTCTCGGAGGCTCTACCCATAAGGACACTTCTTGGAACAGGTCCTCAGAGGACACGGACGCGGTTTCTGGCAGTCGGGCACTCGAGTCGATTTCGTTCCTGAAAGCTAATCAGTTTATTCAGTTTCAAGACCAAGGAAAGGCTACCCGGAATTTCAAAGCCTCGCTCGTCGACACACCACATCAATCCGAAGTGAGTCTGAATCTCGTCGAACTCTCCTCCAGCTCCGCATTCCACAACAAATGTCTCCTCGTTAGTTTCTGCTATTTGTAGAGCGGACAGTCGTTGATGGACACCTAGAAAGAGAATTCTGAGGAGTATTCTCGGTAGGGCTCACAATTTGTCGTCTTGTGAGGATGGGAGCATCTTTTAACACAGCCGTCAAAGCAGCATTTCAGCAGTGAGGGGCAGTCTTCGTCTTTCTTGCACTCTTCAACTGTCGGTCTAAAATGCGATTTCCAGCTATTTCATCCAAATTCGGTTCCGTCCATAAAATCGAAATTGATTAATTGAAAATTTTAGCAAATTTCCCGTTATTTTCAAATTACTTCAAGAAAAACAATCTTTAGTAGGTTTTTGAAACATGAGTCTTGTTCAGAGAAACTCTCTATTCACCAATTAATATTAATATTCAAACGATTCTGTTAGAGAAAGTGTTATACCGATGAAGGCAATGATTCCGCAGATGAGGAATCACGAGACACTCTCCGAGGTGCAGCTGAACTGGAGCAGCGTCGAAAGAAGCCGGCACGCAGCCAAGTCCGCAGCCGTTCCAGCAACACTTCGACGAGTTCTCGCAGTCATTGTCCGAGGAGCATTCACGGGTGCATTTTTCTCCCAGTGACAATTCGGCATTTGGACAAGATCCCGGATGAAGACGCGGCTCTGCAAATCAGAGATAAACCTTCGGAAGAAGCCTCGAACCTTCGCCCGAACAGCAAAATCCTGAGTCAGCCGTGAGCATGGCGCAGTGAGTCGACATCAGTCCATTTGCACATTGTTTGCGATGCTTGCAGCGGAGAGGCGTCCGAGAAGTTATGTTAAGAAGGACATCGGAGTTTGGACAAGGGTTGATCACACATCTTGGCACCTGAATAAAAGCGGGAATTCGAAAGGAGAAGCCATTCTTCTACCGTTGGACACGGTTCCTTGATACAAGAAACTGAAGTAGGCACGCAAATCGAGTCGTCTGGACAGCTGATGTTCTGAAGAGGAGGACTGGGAGAATGGAATAAATGTGTGCTGACTTCGCAAGGATCCAGACAGTCGCAAGTCTCGCAGTCGTTCTCTTTCCTTCTACCGTACACACATTTCAGATCGGGACAAGACAGCTTCTTGCACGGCTCTGTTAAGCGCAGTATAGTTTTTCTGTTTTATACTAGAAAAATTATTTTTATCGCTCAAATCTTGATTTTTCGGAAAGTCCTATAACGCCAGGCTGATAAAAAAACCTGACGTTATAGGCCTTTCCACAAAGAAAACGGAAATCAGAAGTTGAAAAAGTGAAAAAAATGTTAATATAAAGACATATTTATGCATTTTCAAGAACCCTGAAGAGTTGAGAACCCGGTCTCTGAAGATACCTGGACAGGTGGGAGTGACGTCATCACTGCTCTTGGTTCCCTCGATATAGTTGCCTTCATCGTCGACGCACCAGCAAAACTCGTTGTCACACTGAATCTCCTCGAAAGAACCGTCTGTATCTCAATTTCACTCGATGACGTCGTCATTTCAGTCACCTGGATGACATTTGATGACGTCGAGTTGACCGAGCTTCTGGAGATTTGTCTTGCGCATCATACATTTGCTGGTTTGCATCGGATAGGCGCACGTCTTCTTGCAGCCGTCGTCGCAGCATTTCTGCACGCCAGAGCAGTCCGAATCGATTTTACACTGGTCCTGTCTGAAAAAAATTTGACGGTACGGATGATAAATGAACAAGAGAAATGAGCACGAAAGTTGAACTTTTTTCTTAGAAAATTTCCCATTCGTGTTAGGTTTTATATTTCTTTCACCTGCAAAAAATATTACCCTCAAGATTTTTCGAGCAAGTTTTAAAAAAAGTTTTAGACTTGAAATTTGGCAGCACATTAGTTTTTTTTTTCAATCAATTCTTCAATAAGAAATTTCATCAGATCAAAAAATAAATAAAACGCGTTTCGTAATAAGAAAATTTTGAAAAAGACAAGATGGAAAGTTTGAATACGGTGTTTTTCCAGTTCCTCTTCACTATTTTCAAAAAATCCCGTTATCCTGAAAATAGACTCACTCGTCGCGCTCACAAAGGACTCTCGACGAAGAAATACAGACTCCACTTTTCTCAATGTCCTCAGTGAGCTCCGAAATCGGCGGCTGCTGCACATCTGAAGCCATTTTCTCGTGAGAAAGTCTGAACGTCGGACTACCTTGGCAGGAAGCTCCACAGCCATCGAAACAGCACTTCTGATGCATGTGGCAGTCGTCGTCAACGCGACAGTTGACTCTGAAGAACATTATTTTCTCCTCTTTTCAAGGGATCCACAAAACCTGCACATCTTGTCCGAGTTGAGAGAAATCGGAACGACGGCACAGCTGCCGAAGTTTCGCGATCTTCTTGGAATCGGACAGCAAACGCCTCCTGCAGGAGCTCCAATCTGAAGTTGTTTGAATCTCAAAAAGTAATGAATTGAACAACAGGTTTGTCCGAATCTCCAGTCAAATGAAAAAAAGTCGAACTCACAATCTTTTTTTGCATTCTAGAAAAACGTTTCGACCAAACAAGTACTGACCTGATGACACCAATGCGTCGCGGAAGGACAGTCGGACTCTTCATTGCAAGACTCAACCAGCCCTATGTTGGAGACATGAGGGATCGCCGCTGGGACAAAAGTTTAGAAGACCTGGCAAGAGGAATTTCCGGACTCTTTTTTTGGTTTTAATGTACTCACATCTCGGCTGGAAAGGACAATTATCTCGTTGATAACAAAGCACTTTGCTCATCGTGCAGACGCTTCCTTGCGGACATTTCACCTAAAACGATATCCTTACCAAAGGTTTTATGATAAATAATAAAAATTTCAGCTCGACGCCGCTCATTTAGAAAAAAGTCATTCAGCGTTTGGTTCGAAAAAAATGACTAATAATCGGCTAAAAAAATATTTGATGTAGCAAAAAAATTGTACCTCATAACGTACAAACATCTTGTTTCCGCTAAACTGGTGAACTAGAAATAAAAAAAACTAAGAAAAAAAAGTTGGAATTTTTTGGTTTCTCATCCAAACTCCCGAGCACATGTTTCTAGTCATCCTTTCGTCCGCCTTTTTTTGAAAGGGTAGATCCCAACCTCTTCACAAGGATTGCGGCACCGACAGGTCGGACAATGGCTCTGGTCCTTTTCGAATCCGAAAGGGCAGTTCGTCGGACACACGAGTGGCTTACACGTACTCGGGGCTGAAACTGCTTCCTGTGGCGAAAAATTCTGGCAAAAAGGTGAACCGCTGCAGTTGGGTTTTTCCAGTCGAGACCCGCGAACCGCTCACTTCCTCGCCAGTGCCGATGTCCACGCAGAAACAGCCGTCGTAGTCGCACTGAAATCTCGATCCGTGTTTGAACGTGTTTCAGACTCGCCTGGAACTGCTCGAAGTTGCCAGCTCGATCGCACTTCTTCAAAAGTCTTAGCGCGTAAAGTTCAGCTGTCAAGGCGGCATGGAAACACGCTGAAAAAATTCGAAAATTTTCTTAATGTCGTGTCTTTTTCTGAGGTAATGGCCACATTGGAAGAATGGGGAAGTCAAACTGACGAGTGCTTCGTACGGGATATTGGCAAGAAGTGGAGCATCCGTTCCGGCAACATCTGCAAAATACAAAACCTTGTTCCATTAACTTCCGCGATATTAATTTAATAATGCTAACTAATTAGAGCAGATATTTATTAAATCCTTTTTATTACAGGGAAAAATTTCAATTTTTTTCCTTCTGGAAATCTTAATTTTCAAAAACATTTTCCCCATCTTCGAAACCCTCTAGTTTGGGACTTGCTCAGGCAGAGCATAACTGTAGGTCGATCCAAGTCTTCCGACACCTTTTCATTCCGTGGCAGTCGCTGTCGGCCTGACATTGAGAGCTGCAGGTGCCGTTCTCGGCGACGGCGTCGGCGCAATCGGCCACCAGGGAGCTCAGATGGTTCTTGTTGTAGCGTTCGACGACGCCTGGCTGGTAGTGAGCCACCGCCGACGTCTTCAGAAGATTCGCTTTTTTCAGAGAGAAGAATTCAGGCGCCACGCAGGCGAGGGCACAGCCATCGAAGCAGCACTTCAGTTCTGAAATATTGCACGGTTAGAATTGGTACCAGCAACTTCAAAAAATTTAAAAAAAAATTAGTTGAAAACTGAACCTTGAGGACAGTCTTGGTCATTTTTACAAGAAGAAAAACACGTGGCGGCAACTTTTTTGACAGACTTGGAAGGACATCTTCCATCCTTCGTAGCATGCTCTCCACGGCAGCAGAATCCGAGTCCGTTATATCCGATCTGAAAAAAACTGTTCTTCAAATAAATTGAATTTGGAGACTTTGAAACATCCAAAGTCGGCCCCGCAGTCTTTGTTAGCCGAACACAGCGCCGTGATTCCATTGGGAAGGACTAGCGGCGATCCGGACTCGCAAGGGTTCAGCAGGCCTGAGAACAAAAGTTGGATTATTTCAAAACCAGTTGAGAAGTTGTCAGACGTGTCCAATCAAAAAGCAACTTCATAATGACTCTCGAAAAAACCCTTCCAGCTTTTTGAAAAAGAATGAAAACACATATTAGTTTTTTTTCACTTTTTTCCTTTCCTTTTTTTTGAAAACCAGATTTTTTTTTTACACAGTTTCAGCTTTTTGACTAAAAAAACGTAATTTATCACTCTTGTTCTTTTTCCTTGGAATAAATCATTTCATACAGCTTCAAAAAAATTAATTGCTTGAAAAATTATTTTTCCTGAAAAAAATTCTATAGTCAAGCACATAAATTTACTTATTTTTTTCAATCTGGGCATCAACAGAAAAAAATGATCCATTTGATAGATGAAATAGATGAAATTTACATCGCGGGACAGGAAGACAAGGCGGATTGGCGCAGTCGGGCTCTATCAGCTGGCAAGTGTAAGATGGACTGTCGCATCTTGAAAAAAGAGAAGATAACAGTCGAAACTACAGAGAAAAAGAGTTGTTCAAAGAGTTTTTCTGACTGACCGGACGCGAGCGCAGATGTCGACACACGCACAACTGACGTGGGGACAGCCGAAAACGTCCATCACGTGGCCGTGGGAGCACTCGTTCGAGCATTTTTGAGCGCACAGTCGATTTTCTGAGGCTCAAGGTTTACTCATGTATTTAATAAAACTGGCTCTTTCTTTCAAGGCTTCTTCAGAGCTTGGAATCTCCGGATTCGAAGTCAACCATCTTCTACATTAATAGCTCGTCTACACTATTCTGAATGAAAAATCAGCAGAGAAAAAAATATGAACAGTTTAAAATTATTGTTTGCCTTTTTTTTCGAAAAACTCGAGTCTTCCACAGAAAGCTAAAAATTCTCAAATTGAAATTTTACTAGAGTTTTACATATTTTCTTGACACTCATTTTCAGAACAGCAACGAATTTGTCTACCCACCTGTACACATTTCTCTTTTTCTCTGAGCCTTTTCCACACGAGACCCGGCGATTTCAGCCCCGTAGTGGACGTCGACACACCAGCACCAGCGACTGTCGCACTGCACCGAAGAGAACTCAACAAAAATCGTCACTCAAAACAAGAGAAATGATGGAAAACCCTTCCGTTGGGCTCGCATGCTGGAACGAAGTCGTTGAGGAGTTTTGACGTTGGCAGTCGCATGACAGCGATCGCCAAATGGACACAAGCTGAATTCCAAGCTTCGGGTCTTACAAAAAGATCGAAGCTCACAGGTGGATTTGATGGGCGCTGCACAAGTGGCTCCGCACTCGTTGACGCAACATTTGTCGAAATTTGGGCAATCGAAATCATTCGAACACTTTGATTGTTCTTCAAAAATTGAAAATGAAACATTTTTAAATGGAAGTCATTCATTATTTATCTTTAAACTTCCCCAAGCTGCCTCTGTTTTTTCTTCAGTCATTTGGTTTTTTCCAAGATGACTTCAGAGCTGGACAGAGCAAAAAAAAAGAAGCTAATATACTTATGAAGAATCTTAGGGAAGTCAGAATCTTTTTTTGGTTTTCAAAAAAATATTTGAACGAGGGAATTTGGAAAAAGAAGTTTGTAATAAAACGTGTTCTTTTTACTTCTAAGAGCAAGTTTTTGTTTTTTCAAATTAATGTTTTTCTAATTTTGAACAGAAAAAAACCTTTGCAGGCCCCATCTCCCGTTGGCGGCGGACAGGGCTCCAATTTTTCACTGTTCTTCCGACTGGCTCAATAGCAGTTGGACCTCAAAATTAACAGTTCCACCGGTCAGATTTTTCGATAGAAACCAAAATGGGACGGATTTCCGCCTGAAACAGGCGTCATGGTGGCCAACTTGCTTCCCGCAAACTGAGTCACAGCGTTGAGAAGGCGGTGAAAAAGAGCCTGAAGGGCATCATAAGATCCCTTATTAGAAAGAGGTCCCTACCAATGACTGGCTGGATCGGCTTTTCTGCTTTTTATTGCAAAAACTTTGAGTCAGCGGGGTCACGCATTCTCTTCCGCAGCCATTGGAGCAGCATACTAGCCTTCCTGGAAAGGAATCAGTTATAATTCAACACTTTTTTTCGCTAACTTATCGATTATCTTGATAATTTCAGATGTTTTTTTATAACCGTTTTAAGTCTAAAAATCATGGAGTCAACAGGAAGAGTTATGTCAAGTTCAGCATGCGTGGACAACTTTATACAATGGCAATCTGAACTTCGAACCCAAAAAAACCACAAAAATTTTTCTAAAGCTTTTTTTGAAGTCTGCGCCTTATTTCATCTCTTCGGGATTGCTCACCTTTGCAATCGTGGTCGCCTTCGCATCTGAGGGGCGCAGACGCCGCCGGTGAGTCGTGGACATTCAGGGCGACTCGCTCCTGAAGCTGTTGGACTTTCTTTGCGACCGCAGATAATTGCCCCCGGGCACTGTTGCCGCACCAATTACCCGTGACCTGTTTTGGCTACGCGTGTACACACCGAGTACCGCTTGTTTTTATTACTACTTTTTTTCTTTATAAATCTTTGCAAAAACGAGATCTTCATGATACGAAATCGGTTTCGGAACTTGCTGCTGTTTGACTCACCAATCCGCGGGACACATTTCGGTCTGATTCCTATCGCTACACACATCTCTGTCGCTGAGCATAATGTGGTCTGAAAACTATCAGACCATATAAATTTTTCTCAACTCCCAGACACATGCTAAGCTTATGATTTCGAAAGATTACTGATAAGGAAGTAAATTTTTCAAACTTTCTTATTTTCTAACATTGAAATATAAGTTTTCGAGGGTTTTAAAAAATGAATAACGTATTTACGACTGGCTAAAAAAACTGTGAAGCTATCATGTTGAACATACCTGACAGGGATCAATCGCACACGCACAAATGCACGTTTTGCCAGAATCTCGAAGGTACCCGTGAGGACAGAGAAGCTGGCACTGGGGTGGTCTGACTTGACAGACTGGTTCGAAGAAGTCAGCCTGGCCGCGCAGAACCGATGGCAGAAGTAAGGCTATTAGTGCCGCCGGCGACATGACAGCATGAAGAACGGTCGGAATTTCTTCGAAGAGGAAGTCCGCTTGGTAGGAAGAAATCGGCTCGATGACAGGTAAAGGTGCAGTCGAAGCGACGCTCCGCCTACTGCCGGACACTGTCCGCGGATGCGCCGTCGCACTGACTTTTTGTCGACAGTAGACAAACACGCGCGGTCAAGATCGCTTGAGTTGAAGCGGCCACTACAAATGCCATTGCCTTGTTGGTCTGATTCGGCGGATTTTCAGGCTTAGGGCACGAGCTACTGATGCAAAGAGACAGAAAGGAAACGAAATATTCAAATTTTGGGGCCGAACTTCCAACTACACAGACTTACACAATTTTTTTTTTGTTTCCCTACAGTATAGTCACACTCGTTGAAAATTTCCCTTTGGTAATCCTAAATTCATTGTGAAATATAAGAAACAGATAATCAGAATTCATGTAGTTCGAGTAAGCTTTGAACGGGCTAACAACTTTTTTTCGCGCTAAAAAAAAATAACACAGTATTCAACAGCATGCGTCTCTTCCGCAAAAAGCTCCGCAAACTCGCCAGTGACGCGCAATAAAGTCTTCATTTACGCTCGAAATTTATTTTTCTTTCAATATATTTCTCGATAAACTAAATCAATATTTTTTTTATTATATCGATTATTTTAGGATGTATTGTATTATACTGATCATATTTTTTCCAACAAAAATTACCGCCGATTTCTGTTTTCAGGGTTCCATGGGAAACCTCATAACTCGCTTCAAGCAAGATCCAGATGAAGTTGAAAGCGCTGGAAACCTGACTGATTATGAAATACAAAGTTCTATGAAGAAAAACAACAGAAAAAGGAAAAGCGGAAATTCTCAGTCGGACAACTCGAGTTCAAAAATAACGAAGCTGGACACAACCAGTTACGTTTACGATAAGCTATTCATGAAGGTTTGTAGATTTTTTTAAAAATAAAAAAATTTCTCATTTTCCGATTGGATTCAGGGCGAAGGTTCTGACTTCTCAGTTATAGCTTTTAGGAGAACGTTGGAAGTTACACAAACTGTATTTGAAGCAGTGTTCTTATTTTTGAGGTTGAGTGAGAAAAAGCAAAAATTATATGCAGAATTTATTCTGTTTCAGGCACTATTGGATGGGGTCTGGAAAGATTCGGGTGATGAAGTTTTTACACTTGGAAATCAATGATGAAAAACGTTACGATAGAAGGTAGTTTCCTTTGTTTCTTTCTTGTTTCTCGAAGAGCAATGTTAGGACTGAACGCCGTTTTTTTGGTTCTTTTGTACAACAACGAGATCCTCCTTGATGTTGAGAACATTGGTGGGATTCTCGCAGCGGCTTTCCTTGTCGGATTGGTTTTTGAATAATATTCGCTTTTTCTAAAAAAGTGTATTTTAGGATAGCGTCATTGATCGATGTAGTGAAATGATGTCTGAAGGAATGACCATGCATAATGTAATCAATTTTTATCAGATTGCCGAGAGATACGCTTTATTGAAAGTTTGTATCAAATAATTTCCTATAAACATTCTTTTCGCAGGTGCGGGAAAGTTCTCTCAAGTATTTGGAAACAAGTTTCTGCCGTTTTATGAGATGTCCCAGGATACTGAGAGAAATGAAGTTAACTTTTTCTTCATTCCATATAGATATTCTTTTTACAGTGAAACATCATTGTGTGAACTCTTGAACTCGTCAGAACTATTAGTTATTGAAGGAGAAATGGATCTGTACGCAATGATTAGATCGGTAAGATCTTCAGACCTTTCCAAACTAAATTAATTAAAAATTTAAGTGGATTTTTCTTGGAAGAGCAAACCCCTGCAAATTTCATACGAGTGCAAGGATTTACACTACACACAGCAAGAAAAAGAAGTTTTTTTCTCCGAAAAATAACGGCGACGCCCTTTTCCTCAAGTATCACAAGCTTTTCGCTGCTCTTCGAATCAACAATTGCCTCACCACCTCAGGTTATTCATTTTTATTTGCAAAAATTTTTTGAATATAAAAAATGCATCCCGACTTGAAGGCGGATAAGTGGACGGGACGTGTAACGTTTGCGTACGCCGTTCTTGGCACGAGTGCAATCCAGCGCCATCGACTATTTAAAAAGCTCGGGCACCGCTCTTTTTGTACCTATCTTACTATTGTTTAATGCACAAATTAAAAAAATCGATAAATAATCAAAAAATGAATGAAAAGAGCGATAAACGAGCTTCCCAAATAGTCGCTGGCGGTCGAATTGAACTCATGCCAAAAACCGCGAACGCACACGCTACGCGTTGCGCCTCCTCGCCTTTCAGGTGGGGTAAAATTGACTATAAAACCTCGAAGTTTCTCTCAGCCTTTATTCATAGTATACTTTCAGGAGCCATTCGGACCTTCCAAGAAAATAAATTAGTGCCCCAAGAAATTCTCAATGATATAATTGTTGATCAATGGAATTGTCTGCTGAAGAATGAAGAAACGCCCACAGTGTGAGTCGGGAAACCAATTACGAAATGATCTGAAGCTTCAGATCTAACACGATGAGCGAAGAAGTGTTCAACAAGTCTTGTTTACGGTCTGGTCGCGCGATTCAAGAGTTTCCAGTAAGTTATTCCACCAAAAAAATCTCCAGCTTTCTCTCAGAAATCCTGGAGATGGACTGGGTTCAATTTTTGGCACAGATGTGCTGCTCACGGCCAGTCGTTTGTGAGTGTCTCCAACACAGAAGTTCTTGTGAGGTATCACTATTTTTCAGGGCTCTCACAGTAAAGAGAAATTGCGTGCACCAGATCTCGCCTTATTCGGCTAATATGCAAGGCGAAAAAGTTCTTCACTACCGGCAAGTTTCACTCTTCGAAGCAATCGATTCATTTTCTGTTATAGTTTGATCATAATGGATGCAGAGGGAAAGCGAATTCATGATGGGAAACGTATATCCGTGGCTCTACGTCCTGATCAGGTAACATTTTCTCTTAGAACTCAATATTGTCATGAAATAATGGTATCAAAAAGAGACCAGCGAAAACTCGAATGGCGACTTTTCCGATTTTTTCATATCGCTAGGGAACTTTCCGACGGAGAAATTTCCGACTTTTTTCCCTTATTTTTTTCGGCTTATAAACCATCTAGTAACTTCTTTTTCCTAGTTCTATCTGTTATAATTATGAATCAACTACCTACTTTATATAAGAAGATTCAAAACGAAAGGTTTATCGAGAAAAAAAGTCGGAAACTTCTCCGTCGGAAAGTTCCCCAGCGATATGAAAAAATCGGAAAAGTAGCCGTTCGAATTTTGGTCTTTTTTTCATACCGCCAGAAAAAAAAAGATACTCTCGAGAAAAATGATAAAGAAAATTTTCAAATCCCTCATTGCAGAAATTAATAATTTCTATTTTGTTAGGGCAATGCCCTCTGTTCCATTTTATATACTTTTTACAAGGATCACTCAGTAGTTAAATAGAAAAAAAACTTCAGTAGCTTTCGTAATAAGGGAATGAAGATCCTCATCGACCTGGCTTTCAATGCTACTCTCTGTGAGTTGATTTGATCATTCTTTGTGTTCAGACCATTGTACTTTCAACATTCAAGCCTGACGTGGCGCTCCCAATCTTTGTACACTTCCAGTATTTGGCTTTTGAACCTCCGCCTCCTACTTCACAGTACATTGAAAAGTATCTCGAAGGTACCAAGTAGACCTATAGTGTGTAAAAATTGTACAGAGTGTTCCATTGTTTTATCAATGCATTTATCATTTCGGCCACTCATAAAAACCTTTACCCGAGTCCTCAGATGATGTGTCAATTTCTCCATGTACTTGTTGTTGATATTTGTACAGTTCTATTAATAAATTATATTTGCTGCGACTTCGAGAGCGCATAGCAAGAATTACAACTGGTAGAGAGGTCTGAACGAACTTTCTTCTCTCATACATATTTCAAAGTGAATATTTGAAGTTTTCAAGTGTGTTATTCGTGAGAAGATCTGATCAGTGAACCCGCCTTTAATTTGAATTCATTAAATTTTTTTTTAGAGAAAGTTTTCTCTGGCTGAACAATTTCAAAAGGTAAAAAAACTAGTTTAGCGCATTTTCGGCTTTAATGATAAATGAAATTGGACTGTTTTCTGCCAAAAATTTCCTCGAACAGAAAGCGCCGATTCGTCCTGCGGAACAGGAAATCTTTGTAAGAACCCGTCTGCGTTCTCTCGCTCAATTCGATTGAATCCTTATCCTTGCCTTGCTTATCACATGTCTATCATCTTGGCATTTTTCATTTTTAACAAAAAAAAATTTTTGCTCGTTTTTTTGATACATAGAACATTTCTCCATTTCATGAGTTTCAATTCGAGTTAAATTTATTCATTTTTTTAATGAAGAGTCTGATAACTACCGTGACTCCAGTAGTTTTTGTCGGGCCTATTTTCTCCTCAACCTTTCCTCTTTTAGAGATAAATCAACGAAGACCATGACCAAAAAATGAAGGCTTGGGTGCTAGCTTTCGTCGCTTGGACGACAACCCAAGCACAGCCGCTTCTCTTTCCTCATGGATATTTCGACAGCGCCAAGATGCGCCCGCGAGATCTTATCTACCTGAATATGATGGCTCAGTCGAACCTCGAGTACGGAGGTGTCACCTTAGAAGTTCGTTTGAAAAAAACAAGTGATAGAATCATTATCTCAACTCAACGCTCAAAACTGCATCCAATTTGAGGAGCTGGATAAACTCGATGCAATCCGCAAAATCATTCCACGACCACAAACTCTGGGACGGACTCGCGAAGAAGATGACAAAGAGCTTGATCGTAAGCCCATTGCATCGCCAACCGTGAGAAATTAAAAAAAAAACAGTCTCAATTACTTTTTACAGTCAAACTCTTCGCTAGCAATCGACTCCGGAACCGCTTCATTAAAAACAGAAAATCTTAAAGGTCCAAAAATACCCTTCCGAACAGTACGATTAAAACAGCCCAGTAAGTATTTTTGTAATACTCATTCAAAAAGATTGATATAGAGAGAGAAACTCTGATGGAGAACCCTTTCGAAGACATCGCGACGCGAGCTCCGCCTAGAGACTACTTAGAGTTCCAGCGTCTGCGGAGCAAGCATCACATCAAAAAGAAGAAAAAGACGTCATCGGAAGCGCACTCATGAGTTTCTGACGCGCGATGACATCGTCAAGCCGCGAAGGTTTTTCACTTGAGATGGTCGTATCTCTAATTTAGCAACTTTGATCCGGAGGAGCCCACACTACCTCGCAAGAGGACGACTGACCTTGAGCGGAGCGAATTTCAAGTTGGAACGCGAGTTTTGAACCAGCTTCCAGGTATGAATATAACTTACACTATCAAATGAACCCGTTAAAAAAACTTCAGAAATCGAAGAAACAACAGTGGAAGAGCCGAAAGAAGAGATAAAAAGTGAAAGTCAGCCGACTTCCAAAACAATCCATTCAGAGACATCAATATAAGAGAGCCCACTGTTCTCGTTTTGCCCATACCCGAGTCCGAAAGCGAAGAAGAAAGACATTGAATGAGGTTTCCGATGTTATCAGCAATACTAATAAAAATGGCAATATATCGATGGCTAATATATAAATAATTTCTCGGATACACTTCTATCAAAAATTTGAAAAAAATGAAACAATCAGAATGGCACAAGAACAAAAAAATTAAATGAAAGAAAAATGTGAGTTCTCACCGCTTGTAGAACTGGATGTGTATACCATTGATGGGCCTCATGATAATCTCGACCTTGTATCGCACCTGTTCAGCAGCGTCATTAAGCAAAAAGATCAGCACCAACCTCATGTCGAGCCTCGACGGCGACGATGCGGAAACGTCGCAAAATGTGGGCCAGAATCACTTTTTCCTCGAGAATCGCGAATCGCTGGCCGATGCAGTTGCGACTGCCGGCGGAGAACGGAATGAACGAGTATGTGTGCCTCTTCGCCGCATTCTCCGGCAGAAACCTGCAGAATATGTGCTATCTTTATTTTCTAGCAACGCAAGACTGAGAAACGAATAGAACTAAAAGAGGAGCTTTCTAAAATCATCATTGGGAACTTCTTTTTAACCGTCAACTTCAGCTGAAATTCAACGAATTTTTGTGATCAGTTAGCAAATAAACTAAAAAGTTTCTCTCTTCGAATATTCACAGCAGCTAGTTTTTATCTCTGAAATTAATTGAGTCGAGAGGGAGTTAAAAAGACCTGAATAATAAAAAGTATAGAAGGAAAATAACCTGTCAGGATCGAAACGCTCCGGATCTGGCCATTGGGATGGGTCGCGGTGGACGAGGTGGTGGTTGATGAGGACGTGGACGCCCTTAGGAACAGTGACGCCGCCCAGCTGTTGGTCAGTCGCCAGCTCGCGCATGACGATCGGGACCGAGGGACACACTCTCAACGACTCCTGGCAACTGTCAGAACCGATGAGAGTAGAGTTTAGAACCTTCAGACAACATTCCATGTACTTCAAGCGCGGCAGGTGTTCGACGGTGACGTCATCGTCTTCTCCGAGAACCTCGTCCAGCTCGTCCTGCACAAAGTGTTTAATATTTGGACGGAATATACAAGTCCGAAAAAATGAAAATCGAGCTCGATTCAACTATCTTCGGCTTTCAATAGAAAGTCTGCCGAAAAGGCTTTATTGGAAAAACTGCTAACGATCCTCTTGCACGGAGTTATTCTGATATTTACCTCTCGTGAAGTTTTTTTCTCGAAATCATAATAATTCCTCTTCTGAATTTGATAACGAACGTTATTAAATAGAAAAAAAGCAAATTAAAAAGTTGCCTTATTTTATGAATCGATTATTTGGTATGAAAAAAACTTTTATATCAAAAAAATAGTGGAGCCTAAGTGGCAAAAACACGCAGAAAAAAAGGTTTCACTCAATAAGATCTTCAGCTTGAAAGTATTTTTTTCAAATTCAACCACTTAGCCGTTGAACTGTTTCCTTATCGAAAAACGTACATGGATCTTCTGCTGAACTTCCGGATAAGTACCGATCAAATGGAGAGCCCACATGAGACCGGCGGAAGTCGTGTCGTGACCTTCGAACATGAAAGTGTCGACTTCGGCCTGGATGTCAGCTCTGTCCATTTGGCCGTTTCGGGCCATCTCCAGAAGCAGGTCCAAGAAGGCCAGACGACCCTCAAACTTCCAGCCGCTCTGCTCCAGCTCCCGGTGCCGATCATCGATAACCTGATTTTTTCGAGTTCAAGTTTCATTTCCCGGACTAGAAAATTAGAAGTAAGCCAGTGCTGGGTGGACTATGGAGTTGACTTCAGAGGAAATTAAAAATGCGTGATTAGTTCTTTCAAACAAAAATATCGAAATTTCTGGATGTTTAAAAATATAGCCGAGAGCAATGAGAGAAGAAAAACTTGAACTACGTTCTCCAAATAGATTCAACTTTGAATAAAAACTTTGAAGAAGCTTGATTGATCGGTCTCCGAAAACTGATCTACGAAACTTTCTGAGGTATGTTTTTGAAGTTTCGATATTTTTCGCTATTATAATTAGAGTCAAAAAAAGAGTCAAAAATTTTTTTCGGAAATTGCAAAAAAACAATGAAGAAAGATTGATGCAAACCTTTCTTGTGAAAGAATGAAGAATGTCCAAACATTTCTGATGCAATTTTTCCGTTCCCGAACCTTAAAAAGCTATGAATTAGATGGAATTATAAAGAGCCCAGCGTACAATTTATAGGTCAAATCGTTCCACAACAGCGGATTTTTTTGGTCCTCTCCTGTATCAGTTCGTTGATTGTATGGACAGCCCAGACGTATTCGTTGTTCTGAAAATTATTTCAAAATCAAAAGGAGACGAATTTTCTTCAGAAAGAAACCTTCTCCTCGAGTTGCGCGTTGACCGACTTGCCCATGGATGTTTCGCAAATGACATCGAGTGTACACAAAGTTATAAGAGACAGAACTTCCACTGGTTCCCTGTTTCATGATCATTTACAGAAAAAGTTGATAGAAATTACCCATCAGAGTACTTTTTCGAGCTTCTTTGTCAAAAATTCTAGCTTGATCATTAAAGATAGGAACAAAGTCTTTGAGGATTTCGAGGTGGAAAGTCGGAGTCAACAGCTTTCTTCTTGGACGCCAGGCTTCTTTCTTACTAAAAAATATTATCATCAGAACGTCTGTCAATGTAATGACAGAATTTAGACTGCTCCCAGCACCTAGTGAGAAGTCCAGGACCGAGCCACGGCTCCAACAATTTGTAAGCGAATCCTTTGTCGAGATGCTTGTTCGAGGTGAGAATCACCTCCACGAGCTGAGGAGAGTAGAGCATGACTATTGGGATCGGGCCCAACCACAACACGCACATCCTCGGGTTCTCTGGAAAAAGATAGCACAGCCCATTGACCTGCAAATATACAATTTATTGAATAACTTCCATAGAAATCAACGAAAGCTTGCTAAGCTGTCTAAAGACAAAAAAGCGGGACGGATTATCAAAACACTTAAAACGGCGTTTCACCACGATAGTTCTCTAAATTGAGATTATGTTCCTTAAAACAGATCAGCAACCTTTTGGAAAAAGGCAACATTTAACCTGATCAATAAATCCTACAGGATCCGGTTTCGTTACCAACGCGTGTCCAATTATCGGGTAATTCCGCGTTTGACTTATTCTCTGAAAAATTATTTTTTTCGTTTTTTTAACTTTTTTTCCACAAACCTTCAATGCTTTTCGCGTCTTCAAATGTCTAACTAAAAGATAAGTTAGAATAGTCGCTCCCAAAAATTAGAATCGATGTTATCAAAAAAACCCCCATTCCTCAATTCTTATAAAAAAACAGAATTGTTTAAAAAAATATGTTCGTTGAAATCACAATGACAGCAAAGCGACAAGTTTTGTTGAGATTCAATCGCGAAAAACTTCTTCAAAAACTCCTATTTTTTTCGAAGTTCATGGCCAGCTAGCTATATTCCGAAAACTTTTTGTAAAACAAAACGAAAAATAAATTCATGTTTCGTTCTCAATTATTTCGAAGAACTCGAAATAATATCTGACCTCCAAAATTTTTTCTACTCTTTTCAACTGTCTGACTATCGTTTCAACTGTCCCCGAATCATTTTTAATGCGACAACAAAAACTATTCAAGGAAAAATAATATGGAAATCCACTTTCAAGTTACTTCGAGAAAAATAATTCCTGAAGATGCGAAGAAGTCAGACAAAAAAGGAATCTTTCAAATTCTTTGCCTTTTGAAATTTTAAGATCTTTTTGTTTGGGGAAAAAAAGCTCGATATATTCTAATCTCCATTTTTTTAAATCCTATTTCTAATTTCAACTGATCCTTTTTAAAGATTCATTTTAAAAAAAGAAAAACGAGTTTGAACAAAAAGTTTGCAAAAAAATTTCGAGGTGATCAAAAATCTCCTCTTGTGCTGTTTAAACGCGCTCTAATGAACTTTTTTTATGCCGCGGCATGTCTTCAAAGTGATATAGGTCATTCCGCGCCAGCTTGTCACGATTTTAATTTTCCTCGGAGCTAGAGAACACCTTTCGGCGCTTGATGGTACAATTTTACCTCAAGTCCGCAAATCTCCGGAGCCGTTATCTCAGAGTACCGTAATCTCAAGGCCCATAATCTCCGAAACCACTTATCTCCGAAAAACAAAAAAACTTCAATTTTTCTTTCTCTTTTTTTGCATTTTATTTTCATTTTTTTCTTGGGTTGTGTTCAGAATACAATATCCGATTGAAACTGCGTAAGAAAGCCAAATATTTTCGTTTTTCAAACTTTTTTTATTTTCTCCGCTGAGTGAAAATAATTTTCAATTTTTCAAGTTGATATTTCTTTCTATTTTTTTGTCCTTTAGCTTTTTCTGATCACTTTTTGCATGTGGACAGCAAAGAAAGAAAGAGTGAAACTCGAGCTTCGAAGTGGCTTAACTTTAAATTGTTCAGCTTCTCAACTTTAAATTGTTCAGCTTCTATACACACTCAGCTTCTGTGCTGGATTTCAAAAAAAAAAAAAAGAAAATCAAAAAGATTGAATTATTACTTTTTTTAATTGTTATTGATGAAACCGACTGTTCGAGCTTTTCTTGCATATAATTTTTGGCTTAGTTTGATATAAAGTTTGATGTTACAACTGTTTTTGTAGAATAAGAAAATTCCAAAGTTCGGAAACACTGAGTTTTATTAAAGGCGCACGCAAGGGGGCACACCGAGAGCATCGAAGCGAAGCGCCGAAAAGGCTACTGTAGCTCCAAATAAACTGGAAATCGTGACAAGCTGGCGCGGAATGACCTATACACGGTGTTCCGCGCAATGAAAAAAAATGCGAAATTTTTGCCGTGTTCAAAGTAATTTCCGCGAAATGCAAAATGGTCTCTGACCCTCCAAAATTTAGTTATCTTTCTCTTTCTCTGACGGCTATTTTGAATTTCGCGGAATCACTTTGAACACGGCATTTGGGTCCCAGCGGCATATTATCCGTGGCGCATTATTGCGCCCTTCTCATGGTTTCTGATGCAAAAAAATTGAATTTCTTCACTTTTTTTCCTTGGTTTTTTTACTTTTTTTCTATTTCTTGCATCTATGTGATCCGCCTCTCTATGGGTACATCTTGTGGAGCTTTAAATTGCGCACTTTTTCTAAACCGGTTTCAGATCTTTAACTTTTTTCTCAAAAAAGTTGAAGATTTTTCTAAAAGTCCTAATTTTTCAAAATTTTGAAATCTGTTTCGCGACATGAAAAAGAGTCACTCTATTTCGGAAACTATAGTTTTTTTAATTTAATCAGTTAATAATAAAAAAGTTATTATCTAGTTCCTTTGACGTAGTTTGAAACCGGTTTCGTGTAAATTAGAGCCAAATTGAATTTGCTGATGCAGTTTAATGATTTTTGATATATGCATCATCTAAATTATATTTTTTTTCTAGTTTTTTTGATGGTTTTTCGGATTTAAACAAAAAAATTTCGCCATACGAGGTTTTTTTCGAAAAAAATTTCTGCTTTCTATCCATTATATGTTTTTTTCTGAAACTAGGTTTTTCGAGGTATATAAAATGTTTTTTTTTCATTTGCTCCTCGAAGTTTCCTCATTTCAATATTTTTCGTATTTATAAATGCTTATTCAATGGGAGCTGATTCACCTTCAGAATATTTTTTGTTTTTATTTTGTAATCAGTAATTTAGAGTTTCCCCTTTCGAAATCGTTCCTAAATGTTTTTTAACGTAAGTGAATGTTTTTTTCACATCATATTCTTCGAAATGACAAATTTCGAACATTTCAGGAGCTATTATCCTGAAATCGCAAATTCTAAAATTGAAAAAAACATTTTGAGTATGCGATAGTGCGTCTCGGTGTGCTTACACCCTAAACATCATAATTTACGAAAAGTCTTGACCTCTCTGAATTGGAGCGCCAAATGGGCGCCACAACTCTTTCACTGACATACACTATTTCGTCGTTTTCTCGCAGCTAGATAACGACGAAATAGTGTGTCAGAAAGAAAAGATGGCGCCCATTGACATCAAACTTGCGTAAAGAAAAAAACACCGTGGATATCGGGAATTTCAAAAATAGCGGTCAGAGAGTGAAAAAGACAACTGATTTTTTTGAAGAGCCACAGAAATATTTGATTTTTTTGCAAAAAAATTACTCTGAATACGGCCTCAACTTTTTACTTTTTCGCTCTTAGTGAATTTTTTTCTTGAAAAAAAGATAAAGGCCGCTTTACTATGAGGTTTCTTTTTGTTGCCTAATAGTCTAAACCTGTAAAAATATACTAAAACTTTGAATTCAACTTTTTGTGGTCTACTAATTTTAGTTCTTTTTACCTTTTAGATTTTGATGCTTTTCGCGGCTTCCTAATTTTCCGGCTTTTTTCCTTATATGAGAAGCCTCTAGTTTTCATCTATTGAATTAACTTAGTATATATAGTGAGTGTTCCAAAAAATGTATCTGACAACGCTGGGCTTATGAAAAAGTCATTCAATTTCTCTAGATGTTTCGACAGGTTTCGCAGTTTCCTTTAAACGCGTTCTGTAAACTGTTTTCTGCTGAGAAATTTTCATTTCTACTGAAACAATAATTTAAAAGTTGAAAAAAAAAATAATTAAAAATCAGCTATTAACTGCATTTTGATAGTATTTCCAGCCCAAAAAAAGTGTGAGTCCTTAAACGTAGTTCAATTTTTTTTTTTTGATTGTTGGTGAAGAAAATCTTAGTTTCCATCGGTTTCCTTGTTATTCAAAATCACTTACCAGGGAATGGTCTCAGCTCACAGTGGGACTTCTGAATGAGACCAATTTTACTAGATGTAGTTTTTCACGCTGATTCCAAATCTGCTTTCAAAAGTTGCCCAATACGTCTGTGAAAAAAGTTATGGACCCTCAAAAGTCGAAAATTTCAGTGTCTCCAATTGAGCTCATTTTTGGAGGGTATGTAGACCTTGTCCCTCTGGTCACGAAAAATCATTGAACTTTTTTCAAAAAAATTTCGCAGCCCAGATATGATCTTTCAAAGCCCCGCCGAACATAAGAGAATGCGCGCGCGGTGTGGTATTGCTAGCCGGCGACCGTCGAAGCAACGGCAGCGAGGAGCAGTGGAAAGGCGGCGGACTGGGGAGCACGAGGTCAGGTTCGGTCCCAGTCCTTTGCAAAATTTTTTTGCAATTTTTCCTTTTTTGGATAATTTCGTCTAACTGCTCCTTTCTTGAGTTTTGAAGCGTAGAAACATGAGAAAACTTCTTTTTGAACCTTTATAAACACCTGGACTTATTTTTGTCAAAAATTTTATTCATGAAATTTTTCGTGATTTTCCATGTATGAGCATGAGTTGGAGTATGAAAATTTTCGAAAAAAATTTTCTTGTTTTTTTTTTCTTTTTTTTATTTCAAAAGTTGACTGGTCCAAGTAATCATGACTACGCCGTCAAAACTCACAGAAAAAAATTTTCCAAAATTTTCCACTTCCAAAAAGATCTTTTTAGGTTGCAGTGATTTATACGCGATGATTGCCTTTTGTCGGAAAAAATTTCTTTCATTCTCATAGAGCCGTATGCGCGTTGAGGTCTGAAAAAACTATGAAAAATTTTTTTCTGTGAGTTTTGACAGCGTAGTCATGATTACTACCAACTTTTAAAAACAAAAAAAGAAAAACAAAAAAATTTTTTTCGAAAAATTTTCATACTCCAACCCATGCTCATACACATAGAAAAATCACGAAAAAAATTTCATGAATAAAATTTTTTTGACAAAAAAATAAGTCCAGGTGTTTATAAAGGTTCAAAAAAAAGTTTTCTCATGTTTCTACGCTTCAAAACTCAAGAAAGGAGCAGTTAGACGATATTATCCAAAAAAAGGAAAAAAATTGCAAAAAAGTTTTGCAGAGGACTGGGGACCGAACCTATGACCTCGTGCTCCCCAGTCCGCCGCCTTTCCACTGCTCCTCGCTGCCGTTGCTTCGACGGTCGCCGGCTAGCAATACCACACCGCGCGCGCATTCTCTTATGTTCGGCGGGGCTTTGAAAGATCATATCTGGGCTGCGAAATTTTTTTGAAAAAAGTTCAATGGTTTCTCGTGACCAGAGGGACAAGATCTACATACCCTCCAAAAATGAGCTCAATTGGAGACACTGAAATTTTCGACTTTTGAGGGTCCATAACTTTTTTCACAGACGTATTGGGCAACTTTTGAAAGCAGATTTGGAATCAGCGTGAAAAACTACATCTAGTAAAATTGGTCTCATTCAGAAGTCCCACTGTGAGCTGAGACCATTCCCTGGTTAATTACGTTTCATTCGTTGAGTAATCGTGCGATCTCTCTATTGTCTTTCAAGTCACAGGAAATTCACGTGAATTACACGTCGAGCGCAAGGTAGCTTTCGTTACGAGTTCTTCGTTACGAGAAATTATCAAAACATCTCTGGAATATTTTCTATTCAAAAATTCTCATCTTCATGCATTAAGTACCTTTTCATGTATTTTTCGCTTATACTTATCTGATTATTTCCTTCGTTCATCGTCTTCCGCCCAATCCTGGTTCTTAGAGATTGCGACGCCATATCTTGTTTCGCCATTTATCTCTTTCAGACAGTCTCACATATTTCGAAGTTTTCTTTTTACGACTGATCTCTCCTTTGAAAGACTTTTCGTCTTCTCTAGTTCCTTCTTTAAAAATTGTGTAAGAACTTTGTACTCATTCTTTGTCGATTTCCAATCGGAGTGTCTAATGTCACTATCAATTTTGTTATCAGTCTGAATGTGTAACTTTGACCCAGAGTCTTTACCTCTTGTATGATGATAATTTATCCATTTCTTGTCCTCCTTTCAGCTTTACAATTATTGAAGAGTTGAGTTCATCTTATTTAATTTCTGACTGCTTCTTATTCTCCTCATTTTTACGAAGTTTTCATTTTCAGCAGAATGATGAGCGTTGCTTATCCTACGAAAATAGCGGCTTCTCCCATCGCGATCGCAGAAAATCTCCAGGAAAGCGCCGAGGAGAGGACGCGTCGTTTTTGGCGCACCGCCGACGCTGTTTGCTTTGACGTCGACTCTACAGTATGCCAGGCTCGTGGATTTTTCAGAATGTATGATTAAGTTTCACTGTGTGGTTTTTTTTTTAAATATATTTCATTAAGTCATTATTTTGATCTGATTAACCTGTACTAAAACTTTTTTTTTATGTGAATTTTATTCTGAAACTAAAATTTAAAAAAATGAAGCCTCATTTAAATGATTAATTTTGTGTTTTATATACTTTCATTTTTGTCTTTTTTTGCTGCAAACACATTTTTTTGAATATTCAAATATTAAATTATCGATTTACGCTCTTCAGGATGAGGCGATCGACGAATTGGCGGCATTTTTGGGCGTCGGAGAAGCTGTCGCCAACGTCACTCGATCAGCAATGAATGGAAACGCGCGATTTAGGTAGGAAAGGTTCACGGCGACTCAAAACATCGCGAAATTTCCAGAGATGCGCTATCTGCAAGGTTGCAAGTTATGAAGCCGAGCCTTGATCAGCTCGAATCGTACGCCAACAATACGAAACCAAAAGTAATACTAGTTACTTTTTTTAGTCTGAAACTTTTGTTCTCCAGTTGACGCCTGGTATCAAAGAGCTTGTTTCAAAACTCCACTCCCGTGGCGTAGACGTTTATCTAGTTTCTGGTGGATTCCGGAAATTGATAGTTCCTGTCGCAAAACTTTTAGGTTGGCTGTCTTTTTCAGGATAATGCAGAAGTTTCTATAACTTTCAGGAGTTGATAGGGAAAGGATATTTGCAAACGAGATTTTATTTGACCAAAACAAAAACTATTGCGGTTTCGATACGACAGAACTAACAAGCGACTCGGGCAGTAAAGACGTAAGTTTTCTTTCTCAAATTTTTTTTCATGACATTTCAGGTTGGCAAGCCTGCAGTGATATCTCTACTGAAAGAGAAGTTTGGGTATTCGAAAGTTGTAATGGTCGGCGATGGAGCAACGGACATGGAAGCCTGTCCTCCGGCAGATGCTTTCATCGGCTTCGGTGGTAATCAGGTACCTGATTCAAACGGGAATTCTAGTTTCATTCCGACCCGTACAGGTGCGAGAAGCAGTTAAATCACGAGCGAGCTGGTTTGTAACAGACTTTGATGTTCTGCGAGCTGAACTTGATCTCAAAGATTGATGATAAGGTAGAACACGCACATTCGAAAATATTCTCATCAATTGAAAAAATTTCCAAAGTCTATTACGCTAAAAAAGCTGGTTTAATCTAAAAATTGTTTTTTTTTTTGTGTTTTTATTTCGTTGAAAGTTTCTTGTGAAATCATTCTTGTATAATCTCTCAGTCAAAAAATCTCTATCGATTTGTTATGTAATTTTCCTGTCGTCAATCATATCTGCTCATTCACTTTTTTCTTTCATCATTCATTCAATTCGGTCGATAATAAACAAATTATTGATCAAAAGTGAAAAAGTGCAAATAAAATAAGTTAAATTATTAGGACGCACGAATAGGTGGTGAAACAAGTATGACGGCGTCGCCACGAACAAACAGCATTGGAACTGTGCGTTTGGTCTGACGATAGACTTCCTCGTAAGACTCCTCGTCCACTTCCCTCGTCGTCACCACTTCCTCTACCTGTGTTCAAAGCCCCAATAAAATTCGTTTTCTTCAACTCAAGCTCACATTCGACAAGACCATATTCAAGTGTTGATCAAAGGCGTGCAGGCGACCACGAAGCTAAAACGTATGAAATACATGTTATTCTTCAATTTTTAACTTAGTAAAAAGTAAAGTGAGGTATTTGAGAAATACCTCTGATGAAAAACTTTTGACTTATTCAGAAAAATCTTCAACGAACAAAAAAAACCTCTCGGTCACTGCGCATTTTGACGTAGACGCGTTCTTCTAAACTAAGCCGCAACAAATCAAGCGGCTCCTCGACAGTTGCATTCAGAACCTGAAAAGTTCGAGGATTACAAAATGGAAACTTTTTGGAGAACCCTTACCGGTGCTTCTTTCTTTTCTGTCGCCATTGCAAAATTCTGAAAATACGATTGAAGATGAACTAAATATTTCGAGAATATAAATATTTTGAAAACCGCTTTTTAAACGCATGAAAAAAAATTTACAGCAAAAATTGTGAATAGTTTATTTCATAAAAATTATACAAGCGGAATGGTGAAGTGTTAGGGAGAAGTGAATGTGGTCATCTTTCCGCGAGACGTGTTGCTGCTATCAAGTTGAGCTTAGAATCGGGATCAACCAAGCCGATTGGACCGTATTCACAGTCGGCACATGTCAAATACTAAAAGTTCCGAACTGCAGAAAGTCTCGATTAAGAGGAAATCTCACCTTAATACCGTCTACAGAGTTCGTGAAACCGACGTTTTCAAAGTGAAACATGTCCACAACGCACCAAAACCCTTGAACGGCTTCCTAAACCCAAAAGTCGATCGATGATGAATATTTTAAAAAAAGAATCATCTCATTACAGTTTTGTTACAATAACTTTTCAAATTAAATACGATAAAAGTAAAAGATTCAAAGCGTCCGATATTGGATTTAAAAAATTTTTGATGAAAACTCATGCCTTGTTCACAGTGATTGCACGAAATGAAAAATAGCAGACAGAAAGTGAAAAAGACAACTAAATTTTGGAGAGTCAGACAATTCTGAATTTTGCGAAAAATCACTTTGAACACGGCATCTGTTAAAAGCTTAGTAGTGAAGTTTCACAAAGATTCCGTCAAGATATAACTTCGAAAAAAATTTCATCGTTTTTTTCAACATAAAAAAACTGACTTTCCTCTAAAAATTTCGAAATTTTTTTCATCTGACAATTTACTTCGTTAAAAGAGATATAATTTTGGAACTTTAGTGTATATTTAATTTGAATATGTTTTTTTCAACCATTAAAAAATGAACGTACGACTTGAGTAGCTATCCCTTTTTGCTGACGAGCCAGTGGAAGGTCGCGCGACTCTTCGAGCCATTCTTTCGCGGCTTTGGGGAGCATCACGACTGACGAGCATTGACTACAGACCAACGTTGATTCATTCGCTCTTGGAACTTTCTGCATCTCCTAAAATAACCTCCATTTCAAGTTTTTGGAAATTTCCTAACAATATGGCCGCAAAATTTATTTTTTGGCAAAAAATGTTTAGGACTTTCCGAACATTCTAACAAATGGCGGAAACAAAAACTACCTTCGGGGATTGCAAAGGTGTCGCTGCTGGCAAGGGACTTGAGGAGCTCATCTTTCTGCTTTATTTGTCTGAAAGTCAAATCTGTACAATTCTTTCAAAAACTCTCTGAAAACTAAAAAGAACCTGTATAACGACGCGATTTGCTCTCGCTGACGATTTTCGTTGACGTTAGTGTTTGGAATACTTCGAATGTGCTCCTTCAAGGCTTCGACGCCAGCTTCCACGTTTCTGAGACGAGTCGTCAGCTCCGAACCACTTCCTTTCTCGACACTGAAGAAAAATTTGATGAAAGTTTTGATCTTCATATAAATATAGTCAGATAGAACTTACGAGGTGACTAAATGAAGAACTTCCGTGTAAAGCTTGTCGATTTTTGCGCAACACTTTTCTTCACCGGATGCTCGATCCGATTTCTTGACCATCAGGTGTCAAAACAGGCTATAAATTTATAACTTCGGTAACATCACACATTTTGTGCTTTTTTCATAGTAAAATGTCCAAGATATAACGCAATGAAGCGCAAGCAAGCAAGTTCATAGGATATTTGTTGAAAAAAATTTTTAAGTTATCAAGATTATTCTCTTTTAACGACAAAGATAATTTTTTTAAAACGACGATGCACGTTTATATGGAAGCGATTTAGAAGAAGATCTGGCCTTTAAAAAAATGCACGATAACTTCTTACTAGCTTGAACGAACGATTCAGAAAACAAAATTGATGCCTTGTTCAAAGTAACTTCGCGGAAATGGAATTTATCTCTGACTCTCCGAAATTCAGATACCTCTTCGCTCTCTGAATTTGACATTCCGCGGAACTAATTTGATGTGAGCGGAAAAAAGACAACGAACTAACGAAATAAAAAAAAACAAGCCAAGCGAAAAATTTGAAAATGTTTGAAGGCGGGGTCTATAGTCTACGCACTTGCAAACGGCGCATGTTTTTACAAAGCAGTTTAAAAAACTATTTTCGCGAGTTTCTTGCGAGATTTCGCATCGTTTTGAAAATCTTTCCGTCCGTTCGAGCTGAGTTCACGAATATATGCTTAAAATATCCTATGGAAATACATTTAATGAATATTTATATATATTTATTTCTGCGAAATGCGAGTAGCGTTTATTTAAAGTTTCTTTTGCTGCAGGTAAGCTATATGAGTTTTTTTCTTCCTTCGATCGAAGAAACCTATCATGGCTCTCTTTTTTCTTGCCTAATTTCTTCAAACTTCTCAATTTTTTTTTTGAAAAAGCACATGACAGAGTTTATGCCTATTCTAAATTACTGAAAAAAAGATTGCTCTAATTTTTTGATTTCTTATAAAAAGTCCTTTTTTCTTGTAAGATCCCTTTGTTTTATGATCTTCGTTCACTCAGGAGTTCTGAATATCGTGTTTTCAGATTCGCGTTCATGTCAACAAAAAGTTTTCAAATAATATTACAATCATTGAAATCCAAGATTCAGGATTGATAATGGCATCGATACGACCGATTGTCAGAAATTCTTGGAAGTATATGTCACCATTTCGCACTCGTCTGTTGAACTTCTCGATTTCCGCTCTTCCAATTTCGCAGGTATATTTTCTTGAATTTCTGTCTGAAAATTCGGAGTTTCCAGGAACAAGAAAACCCCTCATTTGATCATGTTTTTGAAGATCCCAAAGTAATAGTGCCGTCTTTTGATTTGAGTCGGCGGGTGGGAAACATTTTCAGTCAGACTCTCTACGGTATCGCTTTTGAAAGAAGTTTCACCGTCGAAGGACTTGTAAGGGGAGCAAATCAGGTTTTCAATGACGTTGTAAAGCCTGTAAAGACAACTTTGAAGGGCCTGAAAAATGTTTCAACTCTTTTTTTGGAACGAAAGTGGGATAAAATGGAGCAAATTATGGTCAAAGATCTTATCGAAGAATTAAAAATTTCAAGAGAACGGTATGAAATTTATGGAATTTTCTTCCAATTATTTTTTTTTCAGAATCAGCCCGGAATTAGAAAAGGCGCTCGACTTCAAAGAGGAGAACTTTCTGATCTCATTCGTCCACTCAACTTTTATTGCTGGAAGCAAAATGTTCAAATGTGAGTTCATTTCTTTTTTTTCGCAGAAGGTGTTTTTCTCAAAAGAAAAAACGTTCTAGTGAGCTCAAGCAAGAACATCAGCATGTACGCCACGATCGTGTCTTATGTGCGTTTATCTCCGGATGTTCCAGAAGACGCGTCAGTTTCCCAGCTTACTGGAGAGTACAAGGGAAAAGTTCTTATTTGCAATGTCACGTATGTTCTTTTTTTTCTGGAAAAAATCGAGGAATTTAATCATTTTTAGATATGGAAGAGTTTTGAATCCGATGGGTTTATGGAAAATCACTGGTATTAATTACTTCATCTAATCATTTTCTGTGAGTAATTTTCTCCATTTATATATGTTTTTTTGTTGATGATTTCTTCATTATTAATTCAACTATTTCTTTCATATATCTTTTTTCTTGATTCAGCTCTCTTTGGAAAAAAGTTATCTCTGATAAAGCTATTTTTATTAAGAACGGAAAAAAGTGATTTACTGTTAGAACTTCTTGTTTTGAAAGCAGATTGATATTTGAAGCTCTCAATCGCGGGCACGGCAAAAACACTGCGCCCCGATTGCGGTTTTCTCTTTTTCTTTGGGCACTCTCACTCTCTCCAAGTATTGGACACCACCATTTCAATTATTTATGCATGCTCGATAATTCAATATGAAGAGTTCACTTGCGTATTTTAAATTCCTGTTATTTTTCCTCTGATTAAAGTTATTTGGAAATTTTATAGGTGCGGTGTCAAATTTTATTTTATGGAGAGCGATGATGGCTTCGATTATTTATTTAAAATCGTCCTCATTGGGGACATGGGCGTTGGAAAAACGTGAGACGTTTCTCTTTATTATTACTCACAATCAGGGATTAAGATGTGTCGTACAGCGGTTTCGGAATGGTACTTTTGTCGACCGTCAAGGGACCACGATCGGCGTTGATTTCACAATGAAAACTTTGGTAGTCGGTCAGTGATTTTTGTTTTAAAATGGTTTTTCTAGGAAGAAAGTTGGCGGAGTGTTCGAATACTTTTTCATTTGCCATGAATTGCCTTTAAATTCCAAACCAACAACTAAATAGTTAGAGGAATTTTGTTCGAAGTTTATATCTCAAAGTTGAACGCTTCACATTATATAGTAATCCGTCAGTTAAAAATGTTCCGTTTTTAAGTTTCAAGCAATTTTTGATTCAGACGGCAAACGGGTAAAGTTGCAAATTTGGGACACCGGAGGCCAAGAGCGTTTCCGAACAATCACGCAGTCCTATTATCGTTCGGCCAACGGTATCGTCCTCTGCTACGACATCACCTGCAAACAGTCGTTTGGCAGTCTTCAGAGGTTTTTCACTTGATTTTTGAAATCAGCAATTGGTATTTCAAGATGGATCGACGACGTTTCCAAATTCGCAGCGCCTAATGTTGTGAAGCTTTTGATAGGTGAGGCCTCTTAACTGATTTATCAGATTGAAAATTTTCTAAACTTTTCTATATATATTTTGAGATGAACATTCATTATTCTAATATGAACATCCAGGTACGAAGTGTGATCTTCAAGAACAAAGAGCTGTTGAACCGGATGAAGCCGAGCTTTTGCAGAGAGCGAATGGTCCGTTTTTCATTATCGAAAAAAAAAATTTCATGTAAAATTGATTTCAGGCATGTTTGCGGTTCTTGAAACCAGTGCCAAAGGCAACGTGAACGTCGACAGCGCTTTCCTTGAGTTGGCCACAATCCTGAAACGACAGTACGACCAGGGACTTCAGTTCGATCAAAGGTATCCGATTTCGATGAACCATTTTCGCTTTCAAAAGGGATGAAATCATAAATGAAGTTGTTTTTCAGTTCGGGTGGGACGTTCCAACTCGGCGCCGGCGGTTCCACTGCGATCGGCAGTCCCTGGCAGCGTTGTTGCAATTTGTGATTTCTATTCCCATTCCCCTTTTCTCTCGGCACAATCAACTTCTTATCTTGGTACTAGCTTTAGCTCACTTATTTTTAATACCACAATTATGTCATTATTTTATATTTTTTTCATGTCGAACTTTGTCCGATTATGAGATTTTTTTAAATCGTACCGAGCTTCAGTTCATACATAACTATAAAAAATATCAAATTTTGGAAATATTTAGTAAGAGCGATATCAAGTATGAAACATCTTTGCTCGCCTGTTGTACAAATTTTATAAAGAATAAATTTGACACTGCTTCTTCTTGATGGACCTTTATTATAATGTTATCATCCAAAAAGCATACCTAAAAGTTTTATTCTAACAAATTTCACAGGAAATTCGCGGTTTAAGATGACGGACTTGCTACTGGACCCGGCGATCCGAACCTGGGTATTTCTGCCCATCGTCATAATTACTTTTTTCATTGGCGTCCTCCGGCACTACGTGTCCCTATTGCTCATGAACAAGAAGAAGGTTTCGAGATATCGAAAAGTCTTGGACTCAAAGAATAGGAGTTCAGGTTGAGTTGGACAACGTTGCCGATGGCCAGTACTTGCTTCGATCGCGGATGCTTCGAGAGAACGGCCGCTTCCTCCCACGCGCCTCTTTCAACGCTCGACGGCATTATCTCGTGTCTGAAGAGACTGGTGCGACCTTTCCTAACAGGGCGACTTCAATTCCACTTGCAGGATATCTTTCCAAGGCTATGCAACGTCCGGCGCGTGGTCCGAATCCCATGGATCCCACGCAGATGACGGAAATGCTCAAGGGAAACATGATGAACATGGTATGGTCATTTTTAAAATATATTCGTTCCGGTTAATCGATATTATAGTTATAAATTTCGGTTTTGAAAGTTAAAGGCTTTTTAAAACTGGACTGATAAAAAAACTCACCGAAACAAGGGATGATTATAATTTTCTGTGCGTATTTGAGTTTTATTCATAACTTTTGACTAAATATATAATGCAATTTTCACTCAACAATTTCTATCCTAAGAAAAATCGCAAAAATAGGTTTTTTTCAACAGTTTCTCCTTACATAACTTGCAATGTTAAAAAGATTTTTCTTGATATTCCGACGATTTTATGATTAAAAAGTCTGGTAAAAGTCGCCTTGTTGAATACTCAAATGTGTAAAAAATACTTTTGATTTAAAGAAAACCGAACTGGGAACAATTGGACTGATAATAAAATTCAGATCCCGATGATTGTGGTCGGAGGCTGGATCAATTGGACTTTTTCGGGTTTCGTCACCACTAGAGTTCCTTTCCCACTGACACTCAAGTTCAAGGCTATGCTTCAACGCGGAGTTGACTTGGTCTCGTTAGACTCAGCCTGGGTAAATCTCTCGAACATATTCAAACATAGCAGATATTTGAAGGTTTCTTCTGCATCGTGGTATTTCCTGTGTATGTTCGGCCTTCGCTCCATTTACACCCTTGTTTTGGGTACTGAAAACGCCGCCGACCAAAGTAAAGCGATGGAAGAACAAATGACTGGTTCGTGTTTAGTTTCCTTTGTCAGGATGTGAAAAAAAGAGAACTATGATTCCTAAGAATTTTTTATTCTGCATATTAGTTTCAAAAGTCGATTAATTGCTGAATCATAAAAAAGCAACGTAGTTTTCGATCTCACCCAATTTGATATGTGAACCAAAAATTTTCTGTTCTGCCTCTGTCTTTTTATGAAAGCTGGCATAATTTAAAGAACCGCATTCAAAGCGAAGTTAGAGCCGATTCACGGCTAGCTTGGGACACAAAAAGGCGTGGCCTGAGAAAGTCTTCGAAGAAAGTATTCCGTTTTTTATTTGATAAACTGTGATACTCATGTTCTTTCATTGAATATTCGTTGCAGGCGCCGCCATTTCTCCGCAAGCAGACCCTCGTGGAGCGTTCAAAGCCGAGTGGGAAGCTCTGCAAATGCATCAACACCAGTTTGTTCTGTGATAACTTCTTGCGTTCCCTTTTACTTGTCGATCCGCTCCTTATTCGGGTTTTTGAACATTTTTTTCTAATAATATCTATCTAAAGAGATTCTCATTAGGAAATGTCAGATATTGTAATTGTTGTGCACAACAAAGCAACAGAAGATTTTTCGAAATTTTACTTTAAAATACCTTTCTCGATTATCAAAGTTTATTGAATACAAAAATGTGTTTTATTTTGAGAGAAGGTCCTTTTTTCTGCTGGAAGCGCTATCAGAATATTTACATGTAGTTCTTCTCGCTTTTATTGATTTTTGCTTTATGCGAAGTCGAGCATCAGCTGGGCGATGACCTTCTTGAAGTCGTTCAGACATATTTGTTGTCCTTTGGTGTTTGCCTTTGAACACCGAAGAAGCAGTTCCTAGAATAAACTATCTTCATTTCATTACTTTTTTTTGGCCAACTCTAGTCAGAAGATTTATCAGGGCGGATAGAACTGCTAACGTTTCTTGATTGATGGCTAGTTTTCGCTTTCCTCGGCTCCCGATTGTTAGCAGCGACTTTACCGTAGTTGGCTTGAGGTGTGTTTGGTGGGAAGGCATTCTGAATTGAGAGGAAATCCTGAACTTTTCAAGATTTTCAAGTTCTCTAATTAAATACTCCATGATTCTGAAACATTGAAAAATTGGTCATCAAATTTAAAACCCGTTCATTAGCTGATAATAAAGTCACAGAAAACTTTGAAAAAAAAATTCATTGAATGTTGATTGTTTTCGAAAGATCATCAAGTGACGAAAGCATCAACGTCATTGTAGATTGGCAATTCGCAGCCACTGTTCCGAGTCGCTCGATTTCTTTTTTCAACAACTGAGATTGAATATTTCATACATAAATTGGTTTAAATGAATACCGTTATTCGTTTCTCGATGAAAATTATGGCTCTATCAATGGTCAGTTCTGCGAATAAGTCATCCGTCAGCTTGACTATCACTTTTTCACAATTGTCTCTGTAAAACAGGTCTTAAGGATATCCCCGAAGTTTTGGCTAACACTTGAGCGTTCACGAAAACTCGCTGACCAATGTCAACCCTCAACTCTGTGGATTTGAGATTCGCAGCCTGAAACTTTTTCCCATTCGAGGCTCAGTTTGATATGACACCTTGATCTTAGAACATGTGACGAGTAGGGAGTTGTATTGCTCACATTCTTCAGACAGCTTATTCCGTTCTTCTATGGCCTTGAGTAGGTCCGGCTGCACCGTCTCTCTGAAAACAATTTGTAGAGATTATTCAAGCTACTTTTCAAAAAAAAACCTGAGAAACTGCTCGTACTTCTGAATTTCCTGTGAAGTTTCTATCGCTACCATTCTGATATAAAATCTTCTGAAGAACAAAAAAGGTACAAATTCTATGTAAATCACCTGCTTACCAACAGTCAAAAGTTAACAGGAGAAAGCAGAATTAGATTGAAAATTTATTGATCATTTATTTACATTTACACGTGTTTCGGCAAGAGATAAATCATCATTCGACAATGAAGTCAGGGCGCAAGAATTTAGCGATGACCAATTGGAATGCGTCGATCACTTCTTCAATCACTTCACGTTCCTAAACACTCAATTAAAAAGATAGTATAGACGTTTTAATAATATCTTGAAGAAAAAAACTTACAACATTAAGTCGATACTTCATGTCTTCAACGTGGTGAGACCCGTTCATGAAAGGTGCCATAGAAATGAACATACACAGCTTTTCGCGAACCTGACAAGAAAAATCTCGATGCTCAAAAATTGAGGAACAGAAGGTCAAAAAGCAATTTCGTGTTCGTGCGAGAACACGAAGTAAGATACCTTGGCAAAGCTTTCGGTTTCGAGCATCTGGCCGCAAATGTCGGCGACTATCGGCTTCACTTCTTCTGCGATTTCGCTTTGAGTTATTTTTTGCTAAAATAGTTTGCTTTGAAGAAAATGAAGGCCAAGTTTTAACCTTGAGGTCTTCTGGACAATGTCGGCCGGAGCGTGGCAAAATTGCGTTCGAAAAAGGTGGCATAATGTAGCAGAACAAGTGGAGCTGTGGAAGAGTTTCATGAAGAAGTTTCCTCGTGAACTAACCTGCATGAGCATCTGATGCCTCAGGAGAGCGACCACAACTTTTGCTCGTACCTTTAAAAAATAAGAATAGGACATGATACTTTCAGAATGCCTGTTGCTCAGATAAGGGCAAGTTGGGGCGAATGAAAGAGCCAAGCGTCGCCGGAGGATTGAATTTGGTGAGGCCGGCGGCCAGGTGGAAAGAAGCTCCGAACTGCTGGCTGAACTTGTCGATCATCCTGAAACTCTGAGTACGTTCCAAGAAACGTTCTGATCCGACTTCTCCAGAGGCTGAGGACTTGTGGCCGAAGTGTAGACGTTCGTGTTGCAGAGGGGATAGATGAGCACGGCCCTTGTCCACAGAAGAAGATGACGGACTATCATAAACACCTGCCAAGTCATTTTTGTTTGAAGGTCTGTAGAAAGGCCTATTTCCGTTTTATTTTAGCTCAATCCAATTCTGAGTTCTGCGCCTTGAAACATCCTAGGAATATTTTTTTCTAATCCGTGAAACTTTTTTTTAAAGCATACTATAATCCACGAAACTCCTAAAAGGTAGAAATCGATTGTTGATTTTTTATAGATAATTAAAAAGTCGTCAGTTCAATTCTAAAACAATTTTATCCACTTTTTTCAAAAGACTCGAAAAATCAGAAGTTGATTGGAACCTCAAGAAGAGGAATGCCAGAAGCTGTGGACATGTCGAGAATCGATCGGTCAGGACTGCAGTGCTTCAAAAGCAGGGTAACAGAAGGATTGGCGTCCGGAGTAGGCCAAACGTCTTCGAGAAGCAGGATGCCGTGATAAGGCCTGACAAAACCTCTTTCTTCCCACTTTTCCCAGAGAAAGACCTTATGAGGCTGACGATCTTCTCAATGTCGGAACGGCCCTTCGGAACGACGTTCAGACTCGAGAGCGAATGCGACTGCGCACAGAATCCAAGCTCGATAAAGTCTCCAATGTACTTCTGAACTCTATTTTGAGGCTTGGGATCTCTGGAAAAAAACCTACATGGACATTTCCCGTGCGTTTGACCTCTTCGTAGACTTCTGTCAGGATCTTGGCCAATTCGCTTTTCTCTCGAATCTTTGAAAAATAATTGTTTTGAATGATCGATTTTTTTTTCTAACCAAACCCAGACTTTAATTTTTGAAAGAATTCGCAATTGAGAAATCTTTTAAAAATGCCTTTTCATGTATTCTCTAAATGATGAAAACACTAACAAATTGGTACGGTATACTGAAAAAAAAAACTTGACATATTCTTTTCTCAAAATTAGCTATAAATGAATGAATTTTTTCACTTTTCTATGATCCAGAGCTTTTTACGGTACCAAAATCATTTGCTCTACATTCAGGGAAAAGACGATATAATTATGGCAATGAAAGCTGAAACTACACCGTCTGAAATGTCTTCAAAATCCTTTTGAATGGAGTTTATCTGAAAAAGAAAACCTTTCTGAACGGATCTTCCCCGCGTCCCAGAAATTGTTCCTCGTCGTTCAAGATGACTTCCTGTAAACGGAAGACTTTCGAATTAGACAAATGAAGATCGAGTTCTTGCTCAGAAAAATATACGCTGAGGCGTCTTCAGAAAACCTGTTCAGTGATGAAGCCCTTGATGTGCTGGAGCATGTCGAAGGAGAGCGCGAGTTTATTGCTCAGCCTTTGGAAGGCCTCGACGACGTGCGACTCGACGTTGGCCGGCAAGGCGAACACGATGGAAAAGTGGGAGACGCCGCATTTGTGCTCCGAAGGACGGACCTGAGTCCTACTACTCTTTAAAAAAAAGGCCGAGATGGGCACCCTGCGAGGAAAAGCCGCGAAACGGACGTTGTCGATCTTCATCTCGAACGGCTGATTGCACGCCTTCAGGTGCACGTTCAGAATGTTGGCCAGTATTTCAGTAGAAAGTCTGAACTTCGAGGAGACTGAAATCTTCAGTCAAGATTTCGGTTCGTACCGAAACTCAGTCATCAAAATACTTTCGTTGTTTGCGCTTGGGATGAAATTGCTGAAAAGTCAAGATTTTTGCTCGGAGTCCGGGCGGATCTCACAATCGTTTCAGAACTGGTTTCGCTGATTTTTCTCTCGGCGGAGGGCCTTGGGAACTTGACGCCATCGGCAGCTCGGGTTTCTCCATTTCTGCCAACTTCATGTTCATTCGGTGAGCCCAGGTCGTAAATTTGAATGTAATACTAATATCAAACTTACTCCATCGCCGCAAGAAAAAAAAATACAACGTCACAATATTGAACACAATACGTTCCCCGCTCTACTTAAGCTATTCTCAAAAACCCAAAACTAATTTTGAAACATTTAATTCATAGTTAGAGCAACTAGATCACTCGAAATTTTTCTCGTTTTCTCGCATTATTTGGCAAAAAATTAGAAGCGGAAATGTCTCTTTCTTTAACGTATGAAATGTTATTTAAACAACTTAATGGTTTTATTCCAACTGAACCAATCGAAAAGGGAATACCAGGAGCATGGACGTTTCGGAAGGGGTGCATGAAACTGATTTTCTCCCCACCGTCGCCTTTCATGACGAAAAGGACGCATCTATCAAATGAAAGGAAATCAACGAATTTTTCCAAAATGAGGAAAACTCACTTCGGAACGTCTTTTTCGTCCAGAAGGCCCATTTGGAGTTTCCCAATTCTAAAAAAGACTTTTCACAACTTTGAGCCAGTCAGGAGAAATAGTTCGTGCTGAACTTTAACAGAAAAAAATCGAAATTGAAATGGAAAAAAAGCATTTGAAAAATTTATTAGTAAGATAAAGAATGAGATCGTGGAATAAGTAAGAAAAAAATATGAGCATACAAAAAAATTATATACATGAAAAAAATTATCGAATTGTTAATCGCGTTCATCCTCACTTTCTGAATCCGTCACATGACACCCTTTTTTTCAGGTTTATATGGTTTCTGCAAATAATTATATATAAAAATCTTTGAAAAAAAATTTTCCCACGAAAAACCTATCTCCCCTTGCTGATAAAACTGTATAATGGAAACTGACTTCTTCAAAAATCCCATCAAACGAGGTACAGTGAAGTCATGCCGCAGCTGATCAGAAATCTTGAGGAAATTGCCGACCAACTCGCCGTCGTGATAGAACTGAAGCGTCGGAACCCCACTGACAGCCTGAATTTGTGAACGTAGAAGAAAAAGTAGATGAACTTCGAAGAGAACTCACAAACTGCTTGCTCATTCCTAGAAGTGTGCTCGTTGTTCTGACAAATTTCACGCTGGGAAAGTCAACAGCCAAAATCTGCAAAAACAACTAAGTCCAAATAGTTGAAGTTTGGTGTACTGACCTTACACAGATATGTTATTTTATCGCAGTCTTCGTTGTCAGGCTCGTAGATCAAAACGCAAAGAAAATAATCGGTGCTACGTTCTACGGCGTCCAAATACTGCTCCTGAGGAGGAGAATTGTTCAAGAAAGTGAATTTTGAAAAATTGAACTTAAATTGTTCACGTCGTACTACCGAAAGTTATATTTGATGCAGCAGTTCTTCAAAAAAACAAATCAAAAAAAATTTCCAATCAAATCAAGAAGATTTTCAATGGAAAAGCTCCAAAAAGATCTTGATGATTTAATTTGACGATTTTGGAAGAAGATAAAAATTATTAACGGAAATATCTCGAGACAGAAAAAGGTACCTTAGAAATAATCTCGACGACCCGGTTAGCAGCCGCTTTTCTGAGTTCTTTGAGCCTTTGGGCCCGCAAAGCATCCAAAGATTCCTCTCCTTCTTCTTCTACTTCTTTTTGAGCCTGAAAGGTTTTGAATAAAATAGAAACCGATATGAAATCAAACTTTTTCACGCTCTTCTTTGCTACCCACAAACATTCCTTTCTGCGCTTGTTTCATAATGTTCCTGTTACGTTGCTCTGCAGCGCTGGAATTGATAAGTTCACGAAAACTTATCGAAATGTCAAATCTTTTGGAAAATGAACCGTTTAGTTTCCTCTCGGAACTCTCGAAAATCGCTGAGGACGCCTTTAGCTCCAGTGTTGACGCTGGGTCCAAATTTACGCATAACGTTAGCCTAAACCCATTAAAGATGAACTTGAATAACTTCTAAGGATGAGAAAACCTGGTGATCATCTTCATCCTTGACCACAGTGAAATCTGCTTCGTCTTCAGAACTGCTACAATATCCCGCCGCCTTTCCATCCAATAACTTTGACTCCAAAGACATCTCTCAAAAATTTCCAAAATAACAAACTTCTACAAAGGAAAGGTACTCCAAGAATATAAATAAACTCTGTACATACAGTGATTACAAATATATCAAGGATAACTTCAGATCCAATAAATTTATGGCGTGATCACAGATTCACTAATGAGAAAAACATTCACTGATAGAAGTCTCACGAAAAGCTATCCTCGTTAGAAAGACTGGATGAAATTTCGTAACGGAACCTGTTAAACTTCACGATTTGAAGAGCAAACAACCCGGAAAGAAACTTGCAATCAATATTTTGGAATATAATTTCTTCGGAATCGACTATAAACGCGTAAAAACAAACGACAACGAGACTAATTTTGAGCAAGGTAGGGCAACATGAAATGTGGTTTCTAACTTTCTAGCCTACATTCGAAATTCAATTAACAAAGGAGTCAAAAGTTGTGAATTTTTCTCGGATTTTGCCAGATTTCTGGCCTTTGAGCTTCTCCTCATTGTCGATGAACTTCCACCTGTCCCATGATATACTCCGCACGTGTCGCTGTTTCAGCAACACATCGGCTCCGACAGCCGCTAGAAATAAAATCGTTTTGATTTGAAAAACGAGAAGGCCTATTCTGAGGGTTTCCCATTGAAATTGAAATAATCTTGATAGTCTGAGTATATAAGTATTCTTCTCCAATTCTTTTCTTCCTATTGTTACAAATTTCTCAGAGAAATTAAACCGGAAAAGATATTCGATGCTTCCGAAACAAACATGGAAGCAATAAACTAACTAGTAAGAGAAAAAAAAAACAAATAACTTTTTTGTCTTTTTCATTGTGCAAAGTCGCTATCGTTCTCCAATAGATCGAAAATTTTCCAGGTTTCTTTTCAAGAAAAGATGATCAAGAAAAAATGTTCTAGAATGACTAAAAGCTCAAAAAGTTTTTTGGAAAGCAGATAACGCTAGAAAAAGCGAAAACTATTCACAAAATCTTACTTTTGCCGTTAAAGTTTTCGAAATCTTTGGCGATTTGCTCAGCGACGAAGGCCGACTGTTGTTGCGTGTCGACGATGACTCCGCGGGGTCCATGTGCACACCAACCAGTCGCATAAACCGGCGTCGGACCTTGGATGTTCACTCGACACTCGTCTTTCATATCTATCATACCCTGGAATCAAAAAACTAAGCTTCGAGAAAGGGTTTCCCAGTGAGAAGAGTAGGTTTTCTTCCTTCTTCACTCTGAAATCCTAAACTTTTCTGCGGTCAATTTTCATCAAATTTTCAATCGAAAAATGAACAAAAACATGCTTGGTAAAACTGATAGTAAAAAAAATTTTTTCGCAGGTTTTTAATACCTCAACTGTTCTTCTAGAACTGTTATGTTTGATATTATAAATTCTCAACGATTTGAGTTTCACCCAGTATCAAAAAATCAAATCACATGATGTCATATATAGGTGGGTCACCTTAGCGTTTTGCGGCACTCCATCCAGAATGAGTGTCTGATATCCAATACTGTAAATGAGAAGAGAGCAAGGAACGGTTTCAGTCTCATTTGTGTATTTGTTGAAAACCCTGAAAAGAAAAATAAGTGCGGAACTCTTATACCGAGACTCACTTAATTGCTTTTACACGACCACAACTGTCACTGAGCACTTCTTGAGGAACTCGATTAAACAGGAAATGACACTGTCTTGGTCCGTTAGGTTTTCCAGCAAACTTTAGCAAGAGCTGAAAAAAACCGAGAGATATTTCGGAAAACTGCGAATCGCTAACTTCAGTTAACCGTTTCTTTTTTCTTTCGAACTTCGGCAGTTCAGATCTGAGAGTTTCTTCGTCTTCTCTGCTCATATCTACAGCGCTGCTCCATTCTGCTAGTTTGAACTGCTCGCGGAGCTCTTTTATTGTGAATGAGACCTGAAAACTTCTTAAATTTCTCAAACTATTGAAGATAACTAACATCTCCAGGACCTCTTCGTCCTAAAACCTTAATATTTCGTATTTTTGACTCTTGCAAATGGGCTAACCGATCATCAGGAATGTCCGATGACCTTCAAGAAGAAAATGAGTTCAAAATGTGAAAAAAAAGAACAAACTTCAAACTTCCATCTGCCCCCATAGATATTATTCTGGCACAATCCAGTGCGACGTTTCCATTGCCAATAATCACAGCGGAGTCACCATCCAAACTCGGATTCTAAACAGATTTTCAAATCATGGATATCCAAAAAATGTCTAAAAAATTACATATTTATAGAGAAACCTCATATCGCACGTACCGCCACATTTGGAACACCATTGTACCAACCGACGAACTCAGAGCCGGACAAAACGTTCAAACTCTTTTCGCCTGAACTAAGATCTTACGTGAAACTGCCGAATATGAAACCTGGGATGGCGAGCGAGCGCGTTTTGTAGGATCCGTACGCCAACAAAACAGAATTGTAGTTATTCGTTAGCTCTTCGAAAGTAACGTCTTTCCCAATACTTAAAAAAAATTATATTGACCCATATTCTGCAGAAAAAACCCTACTTCACATTACAAAAAAGCCGTAAACGATCCTTATTGGAGTCAAACATATTATCGAAAAGGTTGATACAGTTTTTCACCTTGAATGCAAATTGAATATTAAGAGCTAAAAGGAAAAAAACCTCTTGATGGTCTGGCGCCACTCCGTACCTCACCAAACCGAAAGGTACGTGATAGTTTTCAAAAACGTCTACGGCGAAATTCGTCCTTCGCAGAAGAGCGTTACATGTGAACATTCCTTGAAAAGAATCAATTCAAAACTTTGAGAAATAATTGAAAATTATACGTAAAAAAAACGAACCTGCAGGTCCGCTGCCGACGATGGCTAGCCGAGGCCGTGTGAAACGTCGAAAAGAATTGATGGACAAATTTCGGATTCTTGAATAAACTGTTTTACAAAACATCTGAAAATAAAGTTTTAAAAGAGAGCGAACGAGCCACGAAGAAATTGAGTGTTACAAGGCACCTTTGAACAACCAAAGTGAATATCGTTCTAATACACCTTTATTACCCGAGAATAGGCACAAGTGGAATAAAAAAGTTGTCCTGGCTTACTAAGCCACATTAATTAAACGACAGCCCGGTACAAGTGGACATGAACTGCGGAAAGCGGTCTCGATCTGTCTCCCGCCTCAAATTCGTCGCTCATAGGAAAAAGATTGTCAGTCACCTATGAAAGAATGAAAAGGATAAGAAACATTTTTCTTGTAACTCACATGGATAGTAGAAGTTTGAACGTCAGATATCAGAGCTCCGGCAAAAAGTTTCTCGAGTTCAACCACAAAAACCAATACACTATTGATAGAAGCCCCCATTCCGTGAATGTAGACCTATTTTAAAAACCTTTATTTAAAAAGATTAAAAGGAACTTACATCGCTATACTTGTTATGTAAAAAGCTCTTCAACATTTCTCACCTGGGACTCGACATTAGTTTTTCTGTAAAAAAAAATTCATCACTAAGCTTCGAGTTTGAATTAATAATTATTTCATTCTTACTAGAAAGCGTGAAAACGGGCTTCACTACCTACGAATTGTCAGAGAGTAACTGAAAACTCGAATACAGTCGTTATCTACTATCTTTCTTGAAACACTAGGGCCGCTAACTATCAACAATAAAAAAACATCAGCGACCTGTCAATCACTAATGATTTGGCCTTTCAAAAAAATTTGTAAAATAAATGGTAACACTTTAGGACTTTTCATATTCAATACTGAAAAACTCCTTACCTGGTTATGAAGAAATGATTGGGGCCCGTGAAAGGCTTTGCTGGTTGTTGACGGTTAATTTCATAATGATTTTCATTAACTCTCCCGCCCTTCTGAGGGCTTTTGGAGAAATGCATTATACGAAAAGTACGACAAAGGCCATACAAAAGCAACTGGCTGCAACCCAAGGGCTAAGACGCTCGCCAATACGAGCACACTTCCAGAAAACTCCGAGAAGACTGAAATATGGAGTTTCTCTGTGCAAAAAGTTTGCAAAAATCGTACCCTTCCTTGTTCCTGTCTATTACTTTCGGAGCGAATGCACGAATGTAAGCGCAAGTACAGATAAGCAGTAGAATTACGGATATCAGGCTTTGAAAGTTGAAGATGGCCGACTGCAATTAATTAGAAAAAAATTAACTAAATTCTTCAAAAAAAGTAGAACAAGACTTGATTCAATTTTTTTCAATGATTCCATGAAAACTTTTTTTCAAATTTTAAAAAAAAAAAAATTCCTCGAAAAGGAGAAAAAAATGGAATCAAATTTAGATGAAGAAAAAAATAAACGTACCAGTTTTTGAACTTTAAACAGTCTCCGTAAGACCTGAAAAAAATTTTTTTCTTTGCGCGGAAACTAGAATAAAATTTGTTGTATTAATAAAAAAACTGAAATTAATTTTGCACCATATTCGAGATTAAATGAAAGATAAGAGAAATAAACAACTTGCGAAAAAATATAAAAATTAATGTTCAAAAATCTTCATTTAAAGGCGCACGCTCTCTTCAAAATTAGGACATTCAACGGACTTCGTCGTCTCACAGTAAGCCCCACTGAATCGTTCGGTTTTGTATTTCTTTTTTTTTCTTTTTTTTTCTTTATTTAAAGGCTCTAATTCTTCGCTTGTTTGAATTTTTGAAATGCATTGCTTAGAAATTATGCATAAAAAACGGGAAAATTTTTTTCTAAGTTTTAATCTTTATTTTACTCAAGATTTATTTTTTTGTCAAATTTTTTTAGTTAAATAGATAGTTAAATAATTGTCGGGAAATTCATTTTTTTGACGTGAATGTTAGACAGTTCAGATCTTTTTTATTAATTTCTTTTTTTGTCAAGTCTCGAAATTTTTTTAAGAAAAATTCGCTGGTATAATTTTTTTTGTTTACAGGTAAAATGCGTTACGTCTCCGCTTATCTTTTGGCCGTTCTCGGAGGCAACCAGAACCCTCAGGTGCTTTTGTCTATTTAATTTTTTCTTTGAAATGATTTGCAAACTGCGAAACTAGATTTTTAAGGCGAAAAAGATTGATTGGTCTCATATTAATATACTCTGAAGGCTTTTTTTTTTCACATCACTCTTAGTCAGTGCCATTCCAAACATTCTAGCAAGAAGTATGAAAAAGATAGCATTGTCCTTATTTAATTCCTGGACTTTCGTTCAAAGGAGGAGTCGCGGGTATTTTTTTTAGTCTGGATCCCCTTATCACCTTTCTCTTCAGTCTCAATCGCATAACGAGAATTCTAGAATTTTATTTCATAAAAAAATCTACTGAAAACAATTTATAGCGTCAGTTTCCAATTTTTTATGTAAAATTTCGAAAATTGAACTTTCTTTCCTTTTCGGTTTATATAAGATCTGCTAACATTTTTTTTCTTCTATTTCTTTGTCTTTTAATCATGAATCAAGTACCTAGTTCATACAGGAAGATTCAAAACGAAGATTTTATCGAATTTTCGCTGGTCTTCTTTTCATACCAACGACATTTTTTCTCTTTTCACGTTCAGCAAAATTTTCCGTGGCCTTCTATATGAAAATTCTCTATTAATGCTATCTGCATAAAATCGTGGTTTTGAAGTTGAGATTTACATGGTCCTTTGCCAATATAATTCTTTCCGCCGAAATTTTCGTGAATTAGATAAAAATTGAGCTTCTTCGCTTCAAAACCTTTTTTTTTCGCAGTTTTGTAGCGCAAAAGTTTGTTTTTACGGTAATTTTTTTTTTTCTGTTCTCGCATGCTGATCAGGTGTCTCAACGGGTGTACCCGTATTAAACCCGTGTTTCTGAGGTTATTTTAGTCTCAGTTGGGCTAAAACGGGGGAACAACGGGTGTAAGAAAAATATGTAACCCAGCTGTGCTAAAGCGGGGTCTCAGTTGGGCTAAAAATTGCCAAAAGTTCTATCAGCTGGGCTTTTACGGGTTTAATACGGGGGCACCCGCTGAGACCCCGTGTTAGCACGGCATGGTTACCCTGCTCAGCATTCGAGTTCTTCTCGAATGTTTCGCGCGGAACGCACTATATAGAGATCAAAAAGAAAGACCGGCGTCTATTCTTTCGAAAACCTGCCAACAAATGAAAAACAAAATCAATATATGTTCCCGATAACACTTCCCTGCTATACTGTTTCTCTCTTTTATAATTTGGGGTGCCTTGAAATTATTTAAATAGGTGAATTAGGTATAGCTCATTCCGCGTCAGCTTGTCTCGTTTGTTTTTCCACAAAAAAAAGCCGTATAGTAAACCAACTTCACTTCAAGATTTTTGTTCCTGGTTTTTTTTTTTTGGTTGTAGTTTCGCAGTTTTTTCGAGCAAAATTGCAGAAAAGCTCTATTGAGTTAGATTTTTCAGGTTGATGATTTGAAGAAGATCTTGAGCACTGTTGGTGTGGACACTGATGCTGAAACCGCAAAAATTGTCGTTTCTCGATTGCAAGGAAAGAGCATTGAACAGCTAATCGCCGAAGGTGCCTCAGGCTTGGTTTCGGTGCGTTATTTTCAAATTTTTGGGACTACAAAATTGACGCCTTATTCGTTTATAGTGGTTTCGTGATACGCAAAATTCAAATTCCGAGAGCCATTAGAAAATTGAATCCTAAAACGACTTATTGCGAAATGTGACTCTTACCTCTCATGCTGATGAGGGTGGCCCAGCCATGCTCACACGGGGTCGCAGCGGGTGCCCCTTATTAACCGTATAAGCAAAGTTTGTCGAACTTATCTCAATAAGCCTGCGTGGAGAAGCTGACTTTGAAAATTGAAGATTGAAATCAAGTTTCAATCTTCGGGAGATAAATTTGACAAGATAAAAATTAATTTTCAACCTCCGGAAGTTGGTACTGTCTCATACGTCGGCTGGATCCCACCCAGGGTGCGACATACTTCGGTACATTTTCAAATTTTTTTACGCGCTCAGAATGAGAGACGTTGACTCATGCATGAGATGAACATAACTGGCGACAGCCAAGTCTCCCCCTCACCTAATGCTTTTTTTCGAACACTTATAAATAAGAAAAAATCGCTTCTGCCAAACAATGGAACCTTGAAAAAAATGAGAAGTTGATAACTTTTTTTAATCTTATTTTTCGGATTTAGCACCATCGAGTTAGTCTAGTTTGATCCTTGAATGTCAACTAGGGGGATAAGCTACAGAAAGTGACTTGGCACCCGAGGTTGACGCGCCAGTCTTGAAGTACTGAGGAAGACTACTATCTGGAGCCTATTCAAATTACTCACTGGTTGACATTTGAAAGGTCGAACTAGACGAATTCGATATGCTGAATCCGAAAATGAACAGCGTTTTTTACGCGCGAATTTCAAATGTTGGCTAGAAATTTTTAAATTATTTCAGTATGTGGAGTTTTGCGCATAAAGTCCGCTCTCTCATTAAGGGTCCCAATTTTTAACGGCTCTTGAAAATTGAAATTTTTCAATTATGTGAGATCATTTTGTATAAAATTTTCTAGCTGAGTTTTAAGCATTTCGCTTTACAAGGGAAATCGATCTCTCAGTTTATTGTACACGGGCTCAAAACAGTGTACTTACATCAAGCCTTGTTCAAAGGATTCCGCGAAATACCTAATAGCGGTCAGAATGTGAAAAAGTCAACTAAATTTAGAGAATTTCGAATTTCGCGGAAATCATTTTGAACACGACATGATAAAGTTCAGACGCAGCCAAACAAGAATAGATATAGAATTTCAACATTTAAGAAATTATTATAAAAAATTTTTCTTGAAAAATGGTTTAAAAATATTTTTCTTGCTTTCATCGTTCTTGAAGGGGAAAAGCAATACTGAGTGGGGCCTGGGAAATTATCGTTTATTTAATTTTTGAAAGAAAAATTGATCTGTAGAAGCTTAGTTAAATATTTTCACACTTTTTTTTTGATCAAGCAAAAAGTGGCTATATTAATCCAATTCTGAGAAAATGTAAGGTATGCTTTTTTTATTTATTGCAATAACTTGAATTTATTGATAAGAAAGAGCGAATTTCGAAAGTTCTCATATTTTTTTGTTCCAGTCGAGTATTAGATCTCATAGTATCCGAAAGAAAATTTTTGAAAATTTTAGTATAAAAAAAAACAAGAAGTTTTAGAAATCAGGGAAGTCTGGTTTTTTTTTCCAATCGTTCTTTGTGATGTTCAGGCTTATCATTTTTGAGTCATTTCTGAATAGGCAGGCGTACGGAAGTGAAGATTTATTAATTATTAACAAACGTTTTTTCTTCAAATTTGAATCATCTTAAAAAATTTTTTATTTCAGATGATTCCATATTTTATCAGTTCAATCAGTTTATCTCTCAATGTTAAGAATATTTGAGAAGTTTTAGTTCTAAAAAAAACTGTAAATGCTACGAAGTTTCAAAGAAAAACCGTCTAAAGTTGAATCTATGATTCACGTCTGTTCAGCCTTCCGGTTTGGCATACGGTATTTCTAAGTTGTGCATACACCAATCGCGGTTTTTGGGCGATATCTTCGTTAATAACGAGTTTTTTGTGCGACAAAATTAACAAATTTGAAGAAAAACTTTAAAAAACGTTCAATGGTACAATAAAGTTTTTGCAAATGCTGGCAAGCCTTAAAAATGGCCTAATTTGAGAAATGCGTCTAGTAAGTAATGCCGTGTTCAAAGTAATTTCCGCGAAATGCAAAATACCCGTTAGAGAAAGGAAAAGATCACTAAATTTCGGAGAATCAGAGATCATTTTGCATTTCGCGAAGTCAAATTGAACACGGCATAATAAATAGAAAAAAATGATCGAAAATAGTCTAGTATGGCCGGCGGAGACGGAGTGCAAACCGGGCGGGTCCCTGTGGGTCTGAACTCGTGTTGATTTACCTTCAGAACATATAGCTTTCTGAAATATCAATTCGTATCTGTATCCACTTAATTGCCTTGATTGTAGGTCAGCGGAGGTGGTGGTGCCCCGGCTGCAGCTGCTCCTAGTGCCGGAGCTGCCGCTCCAGCTGCTGCCGCTGCGGAAAGCAAACCAGCAAAGAAAGAAGAGAAGGAAGAGTCTGATGACGACATGGGATTCGGCCTTTTCGACTAATTTTGTTTTAACTTTTTTTTTTTGAATAAATTGTTATCGTCTTTGCTTTTCATCGCAATAATTGGTACTGAACAACCAATATGTTGACTTCGGACCTTGAAGTTATTGTTAGATTATTGGCAATTTTTTGCTCAAAATATCTTATAGTGTGTTTAGCGCGAGACGGTCATATTTTGAAAGAAAAAATGAAACCTTTGATACAAAGTGTGGTCAAATTTGATCAAATTTTATATACGGTCTTTTTAGCAAAAAAAAAAATACTAGGCAGGATGGCGAGGAATGAACTTTACCCCAAACTGAATTTCTTGTGAGTAAAATAAAATGAGAAGTTTCGGTTAGAATGGAGACGAAATCGTCCTGTGTTTATGATGTATTGGACACTCGGTTCGGGCAGGTGAGATGAAATTTCTTTCATTGAATGAAGGCTTATTAGGTGCTTATTTCTGAGTTCGCGAAAACATCGAAGTTGGTTGCCGTGTACTTCTACGAGGGAGCGGACACAATAAGCATCCTACAAGAAACGTTTCCGAGTTTCTCATTTTCTGAAGGTCAAGTTTCTTGCTCTGACGCGGTAACGGCGATTGAAAGAGAAGTTTTATTTCAAGCGTTTGAGGTGATCAAAGCCATAAATTCCCTACACTGTGGTTTGAAAATTGACATCTACTACAAAACGGAAGGTGAATTCACGTTGAAAGTGTTGGAATATCTACGGACAATCCCAAGAGGTCACACACAATCTTACTCCCAGGTAGGAGGACATTCTGAAGAGAGAAACTATTCGATTTGACATCCTATTTCAAAATTTTTTTTTGTAGAAGCTACACAGGTGCAACTTTGTATTGAAAGTGTTTCCGCGAAATTCAAAGTAGTCGTCAAAGAAATAAACAGTTAATTAAGTTTCGGAGCGTCAGAGATAATTTGCATTTTACGGGAAACTTTTAACACGGCAATAGATGGTCGTTGAAAAAAGTCAAAAGCCATTTTAACCATTTTTGTATTAAATAAATATTTTCAAAATCGAGCGTGAAAAATACTTTTGTTAAACAGTCGTTTAGTTCGAAAAGCGACTGAAAAACTAATTTTGATTTGTTAATCTCTCCACGGTATAGATTGCGGCAGCGATTGGACATCCGACGGCGGCCCGAGCTGTGGCACGAGCTTGCGCCACAAACAACGTTGCCTACCTGATTCCTTGCCACCGCGTAATCGCCAGCAACGGCTCAGTTTCCGGTTATCGCTGGGGAATCGAAAAGAAAAAAAAAATTTTAAAGGCGGAAGGCGCGGAAATTTCTCATTGCGTCATGTAGTGTAAGATAAAATGTTCTCATTCTTTATTAATTCTAGACATAGAAACATTATTTGAAGAAAATCGCGACCAGTTCTTGATATCTCTAATTAAACAATACTACGCTTTCAATTGATTAAATACATGAACAACTACAAGACTAAGAGTTAAAATGCATACATATGATAAATTGAAATTTTTTCAAAATGACATCAACAGTTTATATTATTTTTTTCAAGCAAGTAAGAAAATGCTTATTCGACAAACAGAAAATTTGAACAAACTGTAAAACATACAACTTAGGTTAACTCACACGTTTCCTTCCAATGATTGAAAAGCCACAAAAAGGACATAATCTAAAGGTCGAGTTTCTCGGCGACCGCAGCAATTAGCGCCGCTCCACGGGCACTGCCTTCATCGGCAGGAACCAGCTCCCACTGAAAAAAATTAAAGATGAAGGTAAAACTTTTAAAAGTCGACTGAAAGACGTTCACACGTGAACCTATTAAAATGTGTAAATGAGGTGTATTTCATGAAATTATTTTCGGTGTTCAAGCAAACAGAATAAAAAACTACGAGTAAGGAAAGTACATCAGTGATAAGAGGAAATACAGTGGAACCTGAATTTGCGGAGGAGCCAGCTCAATGAGCTTCTGCTTGAGCATTTCGTGATAGGTCGGATGAAACTGGATAAGGGCGCCGCCGACGCCGATCTTCACAGTGTCCAACTCCAAGTGGTCGATCAACGCGCTGATAGCTAGAAAAATGCTTTTAAAATTACTCTTCGAATTTTTTTGAGGCTTCGAGAGATACAAGTTATTTTCCTTCCACAAAGACCATACAAAAAAATAACAATATGCAAGACTTCAAAATCAGTTAAAACTCTAAATTGTTGTTAATTGTTTTTCAACTAGTGTCAACGCTTTCACTTCTAAATTATTCATTTTCTAATCAAGAATGCTTAAGAAAAGCTTAAGAAGTAACCTTTCATCAAATAAGCTTCTACTTTTAAAAAAACCAGCAATGAAAACCTGCGGCAACGATGCTGGCGCTGCGACGCGACACGGCGTCACAAACTTCACGGATGATGACGTAGTCGCTGGAGCCATGCATCGGCACGTCGAGGTCGTCGCAAAGTCGCCGACACGTCTTGAAGCAGCCTTCCTCCTCTCTGAAACCGGCAGCCGGCGCTGAACAACAAGACGAGGTCACTCACGCCAGAATCTCGGAGATGTGCTTCGTCGGGAACGTGTCCACCTCTTCCAGTTTTTCGCAAGGCTGACCTTCGAAAAGTAGTCTGAAATAATCGAAGAATCAAATAACCGGCACGAGATATGAATGAAGAGTCAACAATTTTTTTTTTATAGTTTTGGAAGTGGATTATTTATTTCATTTTATTTTCATCTAAACCACAAGCGTCTAATGTGAGGTTTTAATAATAATATACTTTTTCATCGGCCAGAAAACGCATGGTTCGTAAAGCTTGTCGAAAAAAATTTGCGATCAAAAAAAACTTCATTTTTGACGTAAAAATTTCGTATTTCGTGTAGACGCCTAAAAAGTCCAACAAGATGTTTTTTTCTGCTCTCTCTTAACCAGTGGAAAACAAAAAAGAATAGAAATCATAGATTTTGACTAAAAAATTTTTCAATTCGATGGAGTGGCAATGAAAGTGATAATGAACCTGTCCAAAACGAGCTGCGACAGAATACGCCGAACGAGTTCTCCCAGGTAGAGCGCACCCGTAAGTTTGTCGATACTAAAAGGAAAAGTAAAAATAAGTTATTATAAAATAAAATATCACTGCTCAATAATCAATAGAGGAACATGCCGTTCGCCTCTATTGAACTCTGACCAGCCTTAGAAAAAGAAACAGAAAAAAAAAAAAAAACGAATATCTCACATTTGCTTTCCTTTGTGCACACTGGCAACATCGATTTCGCGATCGAATTGCGTGAGGACGTCGTCCAGCTCTCCCTGCAACAGAGAAAGCTTAAAATCGATACGATCGGATAACTTTGTAATGAAACAAGTAGTGCAATTCGTGTTTCAGCGAAAAAGGAAAAGAAAACCTTAGATCCGAACTCTTCCCATTCGGTGACGACGACCATCTTTTCGTGTTGGTAACCTAAGGCTTTCGCGTCGAACTTCGTGATGTTCGAAGTCTTTTCGAGGTAAGAAGAGTTGCATCTGAAAACTTACCTCGGGTAATAAAACATAAATATTCTGAATATTTGTTTATCGAAAAATATTGCTGAGAAATAAATTCATTCTTTCGTAAGATTCATGCCAACGTGCCAATGAACAGAAAAAAATCCTTTTGCGCCCTTCTTGAAAAAACTGTTTATTTCAATGGTAGTAATGTTTTTTAATGATCAAGAACTCAGAAACTAAAGTTCGAAGGAGCTTTGAAAAACAAAGAAACTTTTGAAACCACTATTTCTTTTATTTTATCAATCTCGGCTTATGGAAAAATCTTTAAAACCTGCCAACGAAGACTCAGTGAAAAAAGAAAGAAAAAAACCAAAATCTCACGAAACTTTTGAAAATTTTTCACACGCAATATAAAAATAATTGAATACTAACCCGTAACCAATAACGACGGCCACAGTACACTCGCTACCGTACTTGTAAGCGGCCGCAGCGAGTTGTCCTACTGTGTCGTTCATAACTGCCTTTATAGTTGCTTTCGTTGACTGAAGTACGAAAATGTTTTCATAGTACAAATAAAGGGGGAACTTCAGAGAAAAGTCTACCGAAATTTGAAAAAAAGCGTACCATATTCATTTCCAGAGCTTCTTCAAGCAGTTGAACGACGTCCTTTTTCAAACAGTCCTGAAAAGTATAAATCGGTTTAAGAAAAAACGAAAAAACTAAGAACCTTGATGTCAAATCCTTTCGTCCACCAAAGTAAACGAGCAGAGCGAATCGAGAGCAGCTCACAAGGATAAGAAAAAACAAATCCTAGAATAATCAGGTTAATTCGGATTCAATCATTTCCGCATTGAAAAAACTTTGAAGACCTACCGATTGGGATGTTGGCCTCGAGAAGATTGAACTCTTGGAGGAAACGTTGTAAACGGTTCACGATGAATGTAAAAAGCTGAAATAAGTGTGAATAAAAAAATAAACTAAACGGATTACCTGATCTCCAGTCCCTTTCATGACGTGGTTTGGAACAATGTAATTGTTGTTGACGGCTGATGGCTCAGTATCTGGTCCTTTTAGAGTCAGCAGCATGATACGCAAATTCTTCCCCGAAAGGTCAATCGCAACATACTTTCCAGTCTCTGCAAACATAACACAGCAAATTGAAAAGAATACTCGAAAACTGAACCTGATCCGTCTGGAAGAGCCGGGACATACGATGGAAGCATTGCCACAGAAGAACCATTTTGAGTCGCCAAACCCAATTTTATCTCCGCCTTTATTTTTTGCGTTATTTCCGACAGTTTGTCATTGTTAATAACAAACTGCTCGAGAATCTGAAAAAAATATGAACAACAAAAAAAGGACACACTTTTACCTGCTCAACCTCGGGTTCGAGGCGCTTCATTATTCTGAAAAGCAAACCGAATATTCAAAAATGCTTTTTTTCTCAAAACGATGCGAATGTTTATTTGAAGTTACGGAGTAGCGGAGAAGAAAATTCAATTGAGAGAAGGAAAATAATGTGTTTGTTTATCGAGCAAATTTAACGGTCGACAGATGGAAAATCGATAAGGCTTGTTTGATAATTCGACGCACTTAACCTCCGAAGACGATTACAAAACAACAGTGAATCAAATTAACGCAATTCTCACGCAAGTAAGTTGTTTTTGCCATTTTTGTGGCTGGAACGAGTTCAACATTTTTGCTCATGTTATTTTGCGTAAGGTGTGTGGAAAAGACACACTGGGGACGCTTACAGTAATCAATATTCCGCTCCTACACTTGAAAGCTTGATTGTTTCTCTCGCAAACCTAGAAGTGCATGCTCTCCTTCAAGAAAAATTCATTATGTGAAATAAAACCGTGGAAAATTTTTATTCGTCAGCATGATGAAAATACCCAAGTTGCTAATCTAGCATACGTTATGGGTGAAAACAAAACAAAAAAAAAAGAGAAAACTGCACAAAAAAAAGCCGTAAAGAATTGGTACAAAAATTCTTGGGAAGGACGCTCAGCAACGGTTAAGCTCGGCGCACCAGAGAGCGTCGACGACCTGTTGGTCGACAAACTTGGCGAGGTCAGCGATTTTTTTGTCGGCCAATTGGTAACACTCGTCGGAGTGGCGGCCTTTGGGCAGCGCTGCGCACGCGGAGTTTGCAAAAGCCGTGATGTCTGTCTGAAAAGTCGCACCTAAGTCTGAGACCTTTGGCTGCAGGTAGAAGGGATCGAAAATAAGTTGCTGCTTGTATAAGAGCTTTTGTCTCCCCAACTGCCCCTTCGAAGGAAAACCTTGCACGTTACCGCGTAGTTCTTGGCGTTTTCCAACAGTTTCTCGCAGAAAGAACACGTCAAGCGATTTTCGACCTGAAAATAGATGGTTTTTTTTGCTGTCATATCTCTGATTACAGTTTCGACAATTTGAGGCTTCGTTGGCCGGGTTTCCAGTGAATGGTCCGTCGATTCGACGGCTTTCGGGGTTGTTTTTTCTCGGTATCCGGATGTTGTGCGCGGAATGAGAACCTGGATCGAGTGATTACTTTTTTGAGATGTTCAACTGCCACCAATTTAAAGTTTTGAGCTGTCTGAATATTTCTCATAAAAAGAGAAAGCACCTTAAAACGAGAGTGTCACTAAAGAAAACAAAGAGACAGAAATGACACTGCTTCAAGCTGTAATAGGTTTCTTTTTTCTAATCTATTATTCAAAATCAACCTCGAGGACGTTTTTGTGACCGATACGGTCGCTCCGATCGAAGGCTTCCCCTCGTCGGTCTTCTGAGGCCTCGACGAGCTCATCTTCAGAAGCATCGATCTCCTCGGTAGGCCTTTCTTCTGGCTCGGCAGTCGTTCCCAGTGGCGGCAAAGGCCCTCCCACCTGAACCCTAATTTTTTCTTCTGCTGAGCACTCCAACTAACAGCAAACGGGTTTTTGTCGTCGCACAAGTTCATTCGTACGCAAATGTCTTTGGTAGAAAAGTCATAGTTCAAAGAGATGTAGATCTCCGGGAGAGAAGATTCGACGAAAACGAAACATTGCTCCTGAATTTCGCTGTGCGGTCAAGCCGAGAGCCTTGGCTCACCTTAAAGACGAGCGGCAGCACTCGGCATTTGTCATAGAGTTGGCTCCTGAGTTGGTTCTGGCTGAGTCCGACTCGGTGTTTGGTCACTGACAACAGCTGGGTGCACATGAAACAGCCCAGGTTCGTCGGCGTCGGCTTCACTGTCGTCGGTCTTAAAAAGTCTACACAATGTTTTTGTTTGAAGTTTCAGGGAAAATTTGGAAATTAATCATCATTTTTTTTTCATCTAAACTGTTGAGCCTGCAAAATAGTTTAAGTTTATTAAATTCCACATTTTTAAAAAGTGCGAACCTGATAAATCTTTGTTTTTTTTTTCCTTTCTTGATATGACCCCTGTGTATGGACGAAACAAACTTTGTGATTTTTTGTTTTATAAATATAAAAGTTGCTAGTTTCATATTTCATTTATTCTAGAACCAGAATTAAATTGTCTTCTTCAAAAGTCTTTTCTTAAGCGGCTTCAAATCTCACTTTTCGGCATGGGACTCCATTTCCTCGCTACCCCAAAAGTAGGCCTGTGTTTGAAGGGACATCATCAGAACTCCTGAAAAAGTTTCTGATGTAACAGAGCTCAGCGGACAACTAAGTTGGTGATAATGGATTTTTGCGAAAAACCCGCCAAAAGTAAAATATATTTTTGACAAGAGTCAATAAAACCAGCTGCTTTTCTTTCGTGCGTATCTTTTCTACATTCTCCGATTTTCTTTCTTTTCTAAAATCACAATAATTTGAGGAACTATCAAACAATTACGTAATTTGAGTCTTTCAAAAAAAAAAAAATCGGTCGCCTGAAGAAAAACGAGAACCGACCCAAAGAGATGATCATAACTCGAGTTTGTCGACGAGCAGAAGAGAGACGAGAAGCTGGCACAGAAGGAGCTGGTGGATCAGCTCGAAGGAGTCGCGCGCGAAAAGATAGCAAAAGGTGATACCATGTTTGCGGGCAAACACTCATCTGAAGGCGGAACGCCGCGTCGAGGTGAGAAATCGAGAGCCACTTCGGTCGACCCTTTGCGCAACCAGCTATAGTTCCACCAGCTACCGAATTTGGCGTCACAGCAGATCCGAGTAGTCTAGGGCAACGACCTCTAGGAGCATGTCACTTTTTTTTTTCGTTGGCAAAGCAACATAGTATCAAAAACTTATTCACAGTTTCGTATGAGTCTCAAAAACTGAGAGAACTTTTTTTTGAACTTTTGCAAAGCATGTAGTTAGAACCTTGACCATGCTTTTGTTTATTTGAGAAGTCGGAAGTGGAAACTGAACTTGAGAAAAAAAAACTCAAATCCCTGATATCAAACTTTGGATAGTGAAATCGGTAGGACACTGGAATCACTGTAGCCAGAGTTCTTTCCGCCCTCTTCTCATCTAAAATAAACTAAAAACGTCGATTGAGAAAGTATTATTGAAAAGAAAAAAACAGTTTGAAAGGAAGCACCGATGACCTAATCCTCTCTAAGAAGGTCTAATTTTCTGGCCTTCTCATGTAGATCCACACAAAAAGTGAGTGAAAAAAGGCGAATCCTAGCCTAATCGAGGCAAATCGCGGCGTTGCTGCAGCCAATTGCATATTAGCCCTGGGCATTTGCATAATTTGTGCAACTCTCGCTATTTTTCTCCTTTGGCAATCGGAAAAAAAGACCGCTCAACGCGAAGCGAACCGTTTCGGAAGGTCCTCTTTTCTTCATGACTTTTTTTTTGATTCCCACAGTTCTTCGCTTCTGATCATTCTGATTGAGAACTCGGTCCGAGTAACTGAAATATCTTATTTGATGCTGCTTTTTTTTATTTTTTCGTAATGAAGCAATTAATTTCAAGAGAAAGCGGGAAGGAGAGTAATTGGTTTTTTTTTTCGCATTATGACTCGAAGCGTGCTCCCTTCAAGTCATTTTCAGCGCCGTGGTTTGCAAAAAATATATTCCAGTGCTGCTTGGAAGCTGAACTGAGTTTGGCAGGCTATTTGAGGATGGAAAAAAGCTTCTCAACAACATTTCTCAAAGTTATACGGAACTTACGAAAACTAATTAAATAGATTCGAAAAAAATTGTCAAACTAAAAAAATTGAAAAAGTATCACAAAAAAATTTGAATAGATTGAGCTTGTAATGTGAAACAGTTAGTGGAAAATCTGACGCAATTTTACTGGAAAAGTTGGCCGTCTAGTCGTTTTTTTCCAGACCGCAAAAAAACGCAACCCACTCTCTCTCCACAATCGTTAATTGGGTTTTAGAGAATATTTTTCGTTTCATTGGGCGCAGAGAACGTGGCTCATTAGATTTTTTTTTTCCTTTCACATTTTTTCAAGTTAAAGACAGAATATGATAGGGCGCTAAGAAATCAAGAGGAATTTTCCACTTTTTGTTTTCACTTTTGACCAAGGTGTCCTTGTTAGTCCAGTTCTCCTTCCAGTAAACTTTTCAAAAGACCGGAAGTCCGGCTGAGCAGGGCGTTCTTGTGCTCAGAGCTGGAGTTTCTCGAGTCACCTTCTGGTAGCACCTTTTAAAATAAAAACATGAAGAGACGACTGAGTTTCTCGAAATTCATCCCGCATATCTTGGTTGCAGATCATACTTTATCGCCTCATTTGCGCGATTATAATTTTTGTAAGATTTTCACCCTCGACTCTTCTTCTGTGGGAAAATAACTCCTAGACCGATGAAAACTTGTTATTGAATGTATTTTCCAATTACGCTAGCGTCTGTTTGTTTTTCACGATTAGAAAATTTTATCTTGTCGCGATCTTCAATAGAATTTATCCGCAGGAAGTTTACTGACGCCGAAGGAACACTCATCACTTGAATGAAATACATGAGAAAATAAAGGCGTTCTTTGAGAAAGACAAAAAAAACTACTCTGAGTGATTTTATAACATTAAGTGATTTTCACGGAAATCTGCAACCGCTCAAAAAGCGCTGCCCTACACATGAAACATTGACTTTGCCGTCAATAAAAATAATATCCTAGTGCATTTTGGAGCTCAAACTTGATTATATTTAGTTGCAGTAAAATCACTTCGAAACGGCTTTTTAGGTTTTATCAACTTAAAATACCACGATAGCAATTACAAAATTTGAGATCAACTTTAATCAACCTCATGGTTAACGGTCTTTTGAGAGATAATTTTTTTTTAAACCTTTTCATTTTATTCCCAAAGACATATTTCATTTAAAAAAAAAATGCAAAAAAGGGAATAACGCGTCCATTGCCGCAGTCTGGTGTGTCATGACTTTTAACTCAGAAATATTAAACACTAGAAGAGTTCAACAAAGTGATTGCGTCTGATATGAAGAAACTTTCTAAAATTTTGGTTTTGTTACTCGAACCGTCTCAACCTTACATCTGTGGATTTTTGACATAACCTCTTATTTCCTAAATCCCACAGGACTTCCCCATTTGAACGGTGTAAATGAGCCTGCTGAGGTCGAGAAAGTTCCTGGAGGAAGCCGCGGCTAACATGAATCGGAAACGCCTCCGGAAAGTTCCCGAGAGGCGGCGTCCGGCGAAAAAATCGTGCCACTCATTCGATTAGTCCATTTGGCCACCTGCCGCTTTCTCCTTGTTCCTTCCAACACTATCCGAATGTCTCAAATCTGAAAAAAGTTGCACGGACCTAAAATTCAAATGGAAAGCCCTTTTTCTGAAAGTTAGCAAACTGAAGACTTTTCATTTTAATAAAATGCTTTTTTAACCAAGCTCAACCTCTAGAATGAACGCCATATGTTCTGAGAGCAGAAAAAGTTCTTCTCATTACTTTTTCACTTTTTGAGAACATTAAACGCTTGCGTTTCATGGCACAGAGATGTTCATCCGATCAAAGAAAAAAAACCTTAGCAAACACCAAAATAATTTTAAAAATGTTCTGCGTCTCATAATAAGCCAACGAAGCTAATGAGAGAAATGAATATTTTGAAAATTAGGAACGAAACTTGCAGTACAAAAAATTTTTTCGTACGTACATCACTCTTTTCTTTTCTTTTTTCCTTCTCCAATTTCCTCCCAATAAAAATTATGAAACTCAGAAAGTTCCAGCGACTTATTTCAGCGTCCTGGTAAAGCTACATTTATCTTCTTTTTTTTTTGAACTTTCGTTTGCGCTACTCATTTCGTAGAACCTTTCACAGCTCACAGAAAAACTTAGTTTTTTGTTGCTCAATTCAAATGTTCTCGAAAAATCTTTGAGTGAACCGCTAAAAAATGGCCAAAAAAGAACAACACCTCCTTCTAAAATGAATTAAGCCGGCGAGGAAAGTTAGTGTAATCGAAGCTTTTCCTCATGCGAAACCTTCTTTCCCCAGATAAGCCGATAGAAAAAAGGAGCGACCAGCTTGTGCCTTTTAAGGATCTCCAATTTCGAATGGACGCACTTTTGCGGGGTTGGCAAAAAATGGGCGGAGCCGAAGCTTGAATGGCAGGCCACGCCTTCATTCTTCCGACTTCGTTCGCTAACTTTTCTCATTTTTCATATCAGTCGTAATTCATCATTTGAATTCTATAAATGATAAGTAGGCAAGCTCTAAAATCTCGATGTGAACCCATTCTTTCTTCAAAACTGTTTATTTTTACCTCGACATGCAGTTTTGTTTCCAATAGGATTAGAGCATTCGTCAAGAGATCGTGTACACAAATAGGAAAGAATATGTATGCAAATCCTCCCGGCTTAACATTTCCCGATCGTTTCCTAACTCTTCACTCTTTTGGTTTTTTTATTCACCGCTTATTATTTATTCATTTTTTTACTAACCGATTTCGATTAGACAAAATTGTTCATAGCACGCAGTCCTAGGCGTTGCCAATTTTTTTATAAATAATTCCGCAGTAGTAGAGGGAGAAATGTTTGTTTTGGAACGTATAAAACTTTGCGTACTCCTTTCGCAACATTGCTTCGGCTTTTGCTTCTTAAAGCTCCCTTTCTGGATTTTCTGTAGGTGGCAACCTCGACCTCCTTATTTCTAATGGAAAACTTGCCTCTATCAGATATTTTCATATCAAATGACTCATATAAAAATCTTTCGTGTGTAGAAAACTCAGTCAGTATTTAATTTACTTCTTCAATATGATAGTCTTACTCCAACTAGTGATGAAAACAGTTAAAATTGAAAAAACAGGATATACCAAAAAAAAGTGGTTTTTTGTGGTTTTCGTGTCTTTACCGGTTTGCTGACCTTTTTGTTAGGTTATCGAGTTCAATTAGTTTGTGAACTGCAAGGCTTCATAGAAGCCTCACAGAACTAGTTTCTGCAACGTCAAAATTTTTCAAAAGCTTTTTCTATGACTTGGTTTTTATAGGTTTAAAAATACTATTTTTTGCTGTTTAGTAATTCTTTCGAGATATTCGTCCGAAAAACCTCTCTTTAAGATTTACTTAAGAGCATTGGTCCGTCTTCAGATGATCTAAATTCAAGCCGCTATTGGGTTATAAAATCCTACTTTTCCCAAAAAAAAAGAAATCGAAATGCGATTCAAGTTAGTATTTCAGCCAGGCGCATCTGCACAAACTGATTATTTTCCTCAAAAGCTCGGCTCCTGGGACGCCCGTGAGTCTTTTCGGCCAAAAAGAAGCGGCATCTTATGAAAACACAAGAGACTTCTATTGTTAGAGGCGGCGAATCCGCTGGAATTAGGAGTCGGAAAGACGTCGGTTTCCGTCGCCGGAAAACCAACAATCCCACGGTCCCCATCCTCTCACCACACTACTCGACCCTTATTTTTCCGTTATCTAAAGACGCAGTTTGACTTTGGGTTCGTTTCCTGATTTTGTTGGTTTGTCTGTTTTAAAAAGGTCGCCAATTTTTTTTCTTCTGAAAATTTAGCTTTTTTCAGATTTAAGACAAAAACTAGAAACTATTTAAAGAAAAAAATCTGCTTGAAATCACCCCAATCAGGATCTATAATATTTCTAGCAATTGATAAATTTATACATCGCTCTGAAACCAGCAGTTCGTCATCATGGATTTAATTCTATCTTACTGATTCTTTTTTTTTCGAATATAAAAATATGTGTAATATTTCAGCCTTTAGCATATTCATGTCTGAGGCAAAATCAGTCTCGCTTTGTCTAATAATATTCAAAAGGAGATTCAAAGTACAGCTAGATCAAGAAAAAAAACTCCCGTTATGGCGTGATGTTTTGAGAGTATATTCCGAGGATTGGAGACAAATCAAAGAATCTTCTTTCATAATAAATCCGTCTTCGAGCTTCATCTGACCTAAGGTCTCGTTGACACTTGCTTTCTCTAAAAATAAGTTCCGTTAATCCGACGTTTCACATGTTCATCGGCTTTCCATTTTTCGCACATTTTCTTTTCTTCACAAAATACACATTTTATCCGCTTTTTTGTTTTCAAAAGGTGAGAAGATTGAAAAAAAACTTTTCGTGCGTGTGAATCCTCAGATTGCCCAACTAAAACTTTTTCATTTTTTCTTTCAAGAGCGGCGATTTGGGCTAATGTCTGGAAAACAAGCTTGTTTGACGGCAGATTGCATAATAATTGGTTTTTCGACCAAAACGACGAGTTTTTTTTTCGTTCTCTAAAAAGTTTCACATCATTTTATCGAGCTTTCCCAGTGAAGTCTTCGATGCTGATTTCCGAATTAATTCTTGTGCATTGCGACTATCTCTACTTTTCGAGTTGAGAACTTTTTCTCTTCTACTTTGCTTCAAAAAAGGGAGCCGCAATTCATATACAAATTATATTGTTCTTATGTTTTATAACAATTTTTGTTCATATTATCTGTCTGGAGAAAAAGAATATAATAAAACCCATGGTTTTTTTCTCCGTTTTCCGCTTCTTTTGTGCATTATCGAATGAAGTCTCGACAATATTATGCATGTACTATACTTATAAGTTTTTTTTGAGCTCTAATTATTGCATTCAAAAGTCGAAAACGTAGCTAAAGGGCGCAATTACAATCCAGACCCGCGAATTTGAGTCTCGAAAATGGAGAAAAGTTGCCCTGAGCTGTCGTAGTAATCTTTTTGTCCAAAAAACTATCATCAAAAATTTCAGAACCAAAAAAGACTTCCCAAAAACGAGCAAACAACAAGATATGTTGCTTTTTCTTGGAAGTGAGATAAACCAAGTTTTGGAAGACACTCCAATGAAAAAAGGTTCTTTTTGAGCGCTTCTCTACTAGAACATTAATAATAATCTTGGACGTCTTTGTCGTCTTTTTCCTTCAATATTAAGCACTCGTGCCCGTCTGCGGAGCACTTATTGTTCATCCGCTCGTTCTGATCGGCTGGCCCTCGACCAAACTTCCGACTTTTTCCACCCACCTTTTTTTCAACCTCGCATCTAATGTCAATAGTCGTCGTTCCACGGCTTCTGGCTCTCCGGCTCCATTTTAGACTCTCGATTCTCTAAACTGTTTTATAAGATTTTTTTCGACTTATTGATATGTCTACTAGTCCTAAATTCATGTTTATTCATTTCATCAACAGTCTGAAGTCCAATGGGAAAAGTTTTGGAACGACATTTATTTGAAAAAAAAAAAGTCATCTTTTCAATTAGCATGATTCAGACTTGGATAGTCCAAACTGAAGCCTAGAGAAAATGTTTATTTTTACACAATATTCAAATAAGCAACTCTTAGTCACTCTAACACTGACCAGTAGTATCCTTTGGCCTAATACGTCACATTTTTGCGAAACGGGTGCTACTGCCGATCACCCCGGGTTTTTTACTGTTCCGGGTGATCCCCTGGACCTAAACAGGGGCTCGGCGCGTGAAATGGGCGTTTGCGTAGATTTGCTGGACTTGAACGGGGTCTATACGCGGCTAAAATTTACGTTTCGGGTGCTCGGCTGGGATTAAACGAGTAATCGGCGGTAGCAACTGCGGGTGCTATTGGCCAACATGAGAGCAGTAAAAAAAAATATTTTTTAATTATCCAATATTTTTCAGTTTTTGGATATTTCATAAACTGAAAAATGACTTTGATTTTAAAAAAAAAAGGTCTAATAAAATATCTGCACTTTTGGTGATTTCTTCTGTGATCTCACACTTTCCGAACAATTTTAAAGTTTATCGGGTTTTAGAGCTTCTTTGTGCCACTTCCTTATTCTAGTCGCTCCAATTGAAGTGAATAAGCTGAACAATTGAAAGTTTTTTGCAGGAAGGCGTACCAGCGTAAGACGTCGGATATGGTATGATCTTCCCGCAAAATCATCTTTATCCAATTCCGATTTTTGCGTTAGTCCTACTAGTCACGCCGTCAATCTTTGTCGTGGGGAAACCTCCACGTGCTGTTGTTAGTTTTTTTTTTTGAAAAAGAAATAATCATAATCATAAACAAAAAGAGTTTCCCTTAAAAAAAATCTCCTAAAAAACAAACCAAAAAATAAAACTGAAGCCGTTTGCAGGTCACAGTTCCTGGGCAAATTGTTCTTGGAGGACTTTTTCCTATCCACGAAGCCGGCCGAAATGCTACACATCAATGCGGAAAAATCAAAGTTCACATTTTAATCTTCAGCATAGTTTTCATATGCAACCGGCATCTAGAGCTGACCAAAGTTCTTACGAAGAATTACTTGTTTTAATGAAATAATAGTTACAATTAGTTCAGTTTTGGCCTTTTTGGCCCTCTAATTTGGCCTTAAGGAAATTTGTTTTATTCTGCACAAGCGAATCGAGAAGGTACCATAATGTGTCCACAAAGGTAGCTTGAAATAATCATAAGCAACTGAGTTTCGCTTTGTTCTCATTTTTTTTTCTCAATCTGATTTTTGATTTTCTAAAGAAGAGGAAAATGCAAAGAAATCGGTTGAAGGCCGACCAAGGGGTTCAACGAATGGTGGCCATGCTATTCGCTTTGGAGAACATCAATCGAGAGCGGAAGATTTTACCACAAGCAAGCCTTGGAGCTCAGATTCTTGACACCTGGTGCGTTATTATTTTTTTTCAATACGCGTATATCCCTCATTTCACGAAGACGAGTCTCGAAAAATGAGAGTAAAAAGTTCTCTTCTTTTCATTCGCTCCATCCCTTCAACCTAGTGCATGAGAAAGTCGGTACAGCTGAACTAAATTGAAATAAAAAAAAAGAAAAGAAAACGTAGGAGCAATAATTATACATGCAAATATTTTTCGATTATTGTTTCATCGAAAAATTTCTAGAAATTCTGCATGTAAAAATGAAAAAAAAACAGATCAAGCGCGCTCAGAAGATTTCTAATGAAAATTTTTGCGCGTTTCTGTGTGCGGTTACGTCAGTGTGTAACTTGTCGAAATAAAAAAACCGTGTTCGAAATAGTCGATATTCGAACAAGGTTTTCTTACTGATTCAGTTTTCAAATTTGAAGTTAATCATATCTGTCCTACTTTTCAAGAAAAAATTTCAGTTCTGTCGATAGCTATGCCTTGGAGCAATCTCTTGAGTTCATCAAATCGGTCATGTCAAACGGCGACGGAGTCCAGTGCTCGGTACTCTGAGTTGATTTTTTTTTTAATGCTTTCATATCTCTGAAAACTTTTTTCTTGCTTCGATGGGCTCTTAAATAATTACAAAATTACCAAATTGGAGGAAAAAGTTGCAGGATGGCTCGACAGCCACTTATAACAGGCAGCCGGTAGTAGCAGTCGTCGGCGCTGCGGGCAGCCAAGTGAGAATTCATTTTTTTAAATTAATTTTTTTATTTTATTTATATCATTTCAGTTTTTTTCAGGTTAGCGTGATGGTCGCCTCCATGTTACAGCTTTTCAAGGTCAGAAGTACTCTTTAAAAAACAAAACTAGTTTTTTTTTTCTGCAAGATTGCACATTGAAATCGGTCAGACACGAAGTTGGAGGCTAAAAAGAGAGCGAAACCAACTGGAAAATAACAACTTTGACTTGTTCGAATAGACTCTGCTGAGAACTTGCTCTCAGAGTTTGATCTATGGGAGTCTGAGCAAATTCAAAAAAGTTACAAGAAGAAAAAATCAAACTTTGGAAAACAATAAAAAGCGAAGAACGCTGTTAAAACTCAACTATATCGTCCTCAACATAATTCCGCGAAATTCAAAATAACCGTCCGAAAGCGAAAAACGACTGAAATTAAGAAAGTTAGTTTTGAAATTCGCGAGATTATTTCAACACCGCACTATGGTTTTTAGATTTATTCTTCTCTTACTTCTCAGACTCTTCTCCTAATTTCAGAGTGTTTTTTTCATTTTCAAATTTTTTTATCAGTATTCAATTGTTTCATGAATTGTGGAATAGCACCTTTTCCAGGCATCACACAGAGAGGTTTTTTTGAACCTGTGAACGGAAGAATTCAGTCTTTTTTAAAATTTTCCTTATCAGATACCACAAGTGAGCTACTCTTCGACTGGTGCTGAACTCAGCGAAAAACCACGATTCGCCTTTTTCTCTCGAGTTGTGCCGCCGGACAACCTTCAGGCGCAAGTCATGGCCCGAGTTGTGAGGAAAATTTCAAATTCCGTTCTGAATGTACAACATTTTGAGATACAAGCTCTGGAATGGACGTATGTGCACGCTATTGCCGACACCGGATCTTATGGTAACATAATAATTGATTTGAAAAATCTTTGGTCGATCAAAAATAAAATTTTAACATACTTTTCATGGAATTTCAATTTGATTTGTGTAGAAAAATGACAAAATTGCAGGAGAACGAGGAATGGACTCATTCCGGGCTGCGGCTGCGGAGAACGGCATTTGCATAGACGGCGACGTCCAGAAGATCAGCCGTCGCTGGACGGAGAAGAACTTCCGGTTCGGACTTCTGTTCAGACGACTTCTAGACTCTTCTCAGGGACCTGCTCCTGCGGATGCACCGGACGCGGAAAGCGCGAGGAGTCGTCATGTTTGTCGACGAAGACAATCTGAAGCGACTGCTCCACACGCTAGACCTTTTGGTTTTCGAAGGACATACGGAACTCGACCGCCACTTCTGGTAGGTCGACATGTCGACAGGAGTCCTTCTGAAAGTACACGACAAGAGCGCGTTTTGCCATTCTGACTTGGAATTTCATCATTAAAGAAAATTCAAATCAAAATGAAGAAGAGCTATTTGAAAAAAAAACCGCTCTCTTGTCGTAGCACCAAAAATATGCTTTACAATAAAAGAAAGGAGAAATCTTCTGCACACATTTTTGGTATGAAGCCTTCTTTCGAATATTATCTCGATCCAGCAGTCGAAATAACTCTTTGCACGAGTTTTGGTTTTAACTAATCAGAATTTCCCCTTTTTACACATTGATTTTTTTTTCGATTCTGTAGCAGTAAATAATCTGCCTGCAAAAACTATTTCGATATAGTCAAGAAAATTGCCTACTATGAAGCTTCCGTCTATTTTCAAGCTGTTTTCCTTTCATGATCATATTTTAAAGAAAAGTGTCGACATCTTCAGTTTGAAATTCGAGGTGCTTTGATTTTTTTCATTTGTAAGAGAAAAAAATTATTTTTTTTTAAATATATTTATATTACTGTAGTTCTCTAGAACTTTGAAGCTGTTTAAAGATTTTTTTGTTCAAAAAGTTCTTTACGTTGGAAATGTTCCAGGGGATTAAGCAAATACCAATTTTTTTGTTTAAAAACGAAAGAAAGATTTTCTAGCTTTGTATGTTGGAGATGTATTTTCTTTCGTGTAATAGTTAACGAGCAATTCAACCACCATATCAAATTCTGCGAATTCAGGTTCGTCGCCAGCGACTCCTGGGGCATAAAACAGTCGGTTGTCCGCGGGCTGGAGCACAGAACCTACGGCGCAATAACCATCGCTCCCATGGTTCGAATGGCATGTCTTAAATCTTGAGTCCTCTTTTTCAGATGCGAGAAGAAAAGGGCTACCTTGAGTTCTTTCGGAAGCTTTCGCCCAAAGGTTTCGTGTTTTTGGAAGAATTTTGGACGCATCTTGGCTGCTCCAAAGTTGAAGACATCGAGACTTTCGGCGAATGTTTCGATCGGAATTCCATATCTATCAAACAGGTCAAAAATATACGTTGTATAACTCATTTTCCTTCCAGGAGTCCTACGTTCCGTTCGTCGTCGATACGGTGAAAGTGGTCGCCAACGCGATCAGCAAGTACATTGAGGAGGATTGCGGCAGGATTCCTTTTCACAAATGTCATTTGTCAACGTCGGGATTTCGAGGAGAGCGTCTCCAGAAGTACTATCGCAATGTTTCTCTGTCTAGTGAGTCATTTTTCATAAGGGAGATTAATATTTAGTTACATGTATTTTTTTTTTCAAAAGAAAACTCTGTGAAGGAAGCTCAAATTTTTGTACGTTTTTTCAAGCTTCAACAACTTTAATGTTCATATAAAAAACGAAAATCTTCGATTCAGAGAACGAACCTCCTCTCATCGACGCCAACGGCGACGGAATCGGTCGTTATGACGTTTTCCAGTTGGATAATCAAGGAGCCTACCAAAAGGTTTTTTTAAATGCAGTTGGGAAAAAAAAACCCTTTTTTTAAAGTTAATGAGAATAATTGAGAAAAAATGTGTTCTAGGTTGGCAAATGGCGTTCCACGGATGATTTTCTGGCTGTCGAAGTTGAGAAAATCAGAAGAGCCTTCAAACTGGCTCCCAATGAGAAACCGGTCTCTGTTTGTTCCACCGACTGTCCAAGGGGTCACTATAGGTTGGAAGGAAAACTGTCTTCTGTCCTAATTTTTGGACTTTTCAGAGCCTACCAAGACCAGACCTGCTGCTGGGCCTGCATCCCTTGCGACACCTCGACGAGCATTCACAACGAAACGAGGTCTGTTCTTTCACATTCAACTGAACTAGACCATGGAAAAAGTTTTTAAAAAAGTTGTATTCAGGAATCTGAATCTTTTTGAATGATCTCGAGGAAAAGACAACAAACGTAAAAAAATTTTCATTGGAAACATTTTTTTACAAATAGAGAAGAAAAAAAAGTCGTAAAATTTTTGTTACAGACATTTTTCAATAGAACTGCATCAAACTTTTCCTCGCTTTAAAGCTTTTCTGACAGAAAAAATTTTCAGTCACATTTCCCTAGTTTTTACTATACTATTTAATATCATATCAAGAAAGAAAATGGTTCAGCTGTGAAGAGTGTCCAATCGGCCAGGTTCCGGATCGGACCCTTCACTACTGCGTGGAGATCCCACCGGTCTCGATGCGCTGGGACACGACGTGGTCGCTGGTTCCGGCTATCTTCGCCATGCTCGGCATCGCTGCAACTCTCTTCGTCTTGTCCGTCTTCCTGAAGTACTCCAACACCCCGGTGGTGAGTCCGAACTTAACGACGGCTCTGAATATTATTTGCAGATCATGGCGTCCGGCCGAGAATTGTGCTATTGTATGATGTCAGGCATTGGAATGTGCTACGTTCTCACCTTCTTCCTCGTCTCCCAGCCGACAGCTTCGACCTGTGCTTCTACTCGAGTACTTTCCGTGGTGGATCTAGAATGAGAGACGTTTCTTTCAGGTCTTGATGGGACTGTCGATGTCGGCCATTTACGCTGCCATCATCACTAAGACCAACAGACTAGCCAGAGTTTTTAGTCCTGATTCGGCACAAAGACCTCGCTTCATTACGCCTAAAGCACAGGTTCGCTGCTTTTCTGTGCCAAAAAGAAGCCACCGATGAACTTTTGATGAAGAATTTCATAACATACGTTTTTTCTTATTGTGGCTTCACGCACGAATCATGCAGGTGTTTCGAGATAGTTCCGATAATCTATTAAAAGAACCTAAGGATGGTACCACGGCTATTCCTTGAAAAATTATAGAAAAATGCGATAAACTTGCGGTGTACCACTCGGCAATACCGGTAGAGCTCCGATAGTGCTCAAGTATATACCGAAGGGATTATATATTTTATTTTCTCAGTCATTTTATTTTCTTCTCAAGTCGAATCAGTTATAAAAAAATGCGGGTTATCCAAAAAGTGCGTTTCGTCGAAAGCCGAAGGCTTTGAAAAACTATTAATTTAAATTAACTTTTCCGAGATTTTTAACCATGATTTAATAAGTTTTGCAAGATTTGGTTAAGGTCGGCATCTGCATGGCGATCGTGTCGGTGCAGCTCATCGGAACTGGAGTCTGGCTTCTTCTGGATCCTCCCGGCACGATGGTCGTGTTCCCGTCGCGAACCGAAGCGGTTCTCACCTGCAAGGTAGTGAAGGCCCTCAGCCAGGCCAATTGTTTCTCTGCAGGCAACGGCGTCGCATCTCCTCGTCTCCCTGCTCTACAACCTGCTTCTCATCGTCGCTTGCACAGTTTACGCCTTCAAAACGCGCAAAATCCCCGAAAACTTCAACGAGACGCGCCACATCGGCTTCACCATGTACAGCACGTGTATTCTCTGGCTTGCCTTCGGCCCCATCTACTTTGCCACACAAAACAACTTTCGGGTACGGATTCTTTGGACATTTTTTTCGGCGTTTGCCGTCGATATTTCTACGATTTCAAAGTTTTTTTTTTACAACGAAATGCGGTTTTAAAAAGTGTTCTATGCTTTTTTTAGAAGATTTTGAAATCGTCATCTTACTCAAGCCCTATATTTGACGAGACTTACGCCTCAAAAATGGTTTTTTTTGTTCTCTTTAAAAAAAGTTGTTTGAATTGTTCTCACGCCTGTTTAAGGCGGTCGGCCGTATTACGGTAGTCAGGATAGGTTTTTTTGGGAATGAAATGAAAAAAATTGTGTACTTTTTTTGACGTACCTTATCTTGTAACCTTGAGAAATATATCCTCAACAAGTTGCAAAAAAAGATTTAAAAAATTTAAAAAAAATCCGAAACTGACGGCGCAATATTGACCGGCCTCCGTAGCACCCTTAAACATGCGTGTTCTGAAAGAAATTTCTCGTGAGTGGAATGACTTAATTTGTAAGGTTTCGAGAAAAACTCGCATTTTTAAAGTAATAGTAACCATTGAAAAAAAAAACTTTTCAGATACAAATCACTTCCCTCTGTATGTGCATATCACTCTCGGGTACCGTAGCGCTCATTTGCTTCTTTGCTCCGAAGGTTCCCATTTTTCCCCGGAAAACTGAAAGAAAAGTCGCTTTCAGGTGTACATAGTATTGTTCCAGCCATACAAGAATGTAAGAACGCGCCAGTCTGCTGTCGGTCGCCTCGTCAACCAACAAATGCGATTCATGAGGTCTTTCTCCTTGAATTATATTGATCCTAGGCCGCGTCCTTACAGATTTTTTCGGATATTTGCGCAAATGAAAGGTCTCGAGTTTCTTTTTATGAAATAGCCCTTGGACCTTTAGCTTTCCAAGTTTATTTAAAAACTTGAATAGTTTAGTCTAATCAGCCGAGGCGATTTTCTCACAAAACGCTCATTTTTTTGATAAAACGGATATTTAATAATTTTGCACGACGAAAATACCTCGTTTACTTCTTTCCGCAACCTCTGAAATTATGTTTGAAGCTTTCCTTGTTTAAAAACGCCAGTTTTTGGCTCAGCACGACTTTGCACGTTTTTGTAGCCAATTCACGTACAACCCGGACGGATGCAACTCTTACCAACCCATTTCCTCCAATCAATCCTACAAACCCAGTTGTAAGTTTGCATTTTTTTTTTATTTGCTATTAGCATTTAATTTTATTTGGCATGTTGGTTCATTAACGAAAACCTTTAGCCAGACTCAAGCTTTTACCCATAATAAATGCAAGCCTGATTGAGCATAACTTGTAAATCTAACCTTCAATAAGCACAGTTGATGAACTTTATACTTTTATTTTGGAGAGATGTCCTCATTAGAACGAGCCATTCTTAGGGCTATAATAAGCAATAACATCATAGTTGATTGCGAGGTTTACAAGTTTCCAGGTCTTAATTCCGAAAATCTTTATCTTTTTTTTTATTTAGCGGAATGAAAAATAGAAAACTGAAAGCTCGCCGTGTCACCTAACTACGAGAGGTGAAAAAAATAATCACGAAATAATTAAGAGAAGAAACGAGTTAAATCATGCGCTTTAGCTGTGCATGTTTGAATGAATCTTTCAAAAGGGACAACTAAAGGGTCGGTTCTCAGTTTCAGCCGAGGAGAACTCGCACACGAGCAGTGCAGCAGTCTCGGCGCCTCCGAGCAGGGCAATACCTCCGGCCATCATTGAGCAACTCGCCTCCACACTACCTGAGCCTCTCGGTCAGTTCATCCACAATTCAGATTTTGATTATTCGTTTTGTACGCTACTGAAAAAGTTGTTTCTTCTTTTTTTAGTTTTTTGTTAAAACCCAGAAAAAAGATTGATCATGAAGCTTTTGAAACTCATAAAGCTAGTTCTTAGATTATCGGGACTTTTCTCAAATTTCTTTCAAGATCTGTCGAAGAATGAACCTAGGACGATCATAGCAATGAATATTCAAGGTTTATAAAACAACTTTTTTTTTAGTGAAAAAACATTCGCTGCAAGACCGGTCGCTGACCAACGGAATAGCCGTTGAAGAAATCAGACGTCGAAGACCGAGCAGCGTTCACGTCATGTCGGAGAAAGCCGCCCATGTGACGTCACGAGAGCCGACCGAAGACGTGCAGCAGGTGGATCTGATTCTGGAGGAAATCGCCTCCGACATGCACTCGACTTTCCTTTGAACCCGCGACCTTTTCACTTTTGAATTGTGCCTTTTTCTTCATCTATCAAAAAAGTCTATCAGCCAATCTTCATATTGATCCCGGTTACTAAATATCACATTTAACGTTTTCCCTTTTTTTTTCAACTTTGTTTTTAGGTTGACGGGTTTTCTTACATCATATTTCCGCTCAATTTGACTTTCCGATCTCATTTTCGACAGCGATGTCACAAAATCATATCTTACGGTGTGCTAGTATTGCTCCCATGATGAATATTGACAAATTTTATTAATTTTTCAATGAAAGATTATACCCGTAACACGAGAAAGAACGAGAAGAAGTTAGAAGAACAAACGTGCAGATAACAGAGACAGTGCAACGAGAAGTGGAGAAGCTTGGAAGGAATAGTTGTAGAAAATGCGGGTTGTAGTCCATTGCCATGGCGATGGAGTGCCTACCATTATCGGCACCGAGCAGCAACAGTTGGCTTAAAAACGTCCAATTTTAATTTTAAAAAAAGTTTGAAAGACGCACCGACGCACACAGCGTTTGCTGCGTACGGAGTACACTGGAAGTTGGTAGTGCAGCCGACGTTAAGTTTGAAGCCGCCGTTGGAACAAGTCGGGTAGAGATTACACGCTAAGTATGATTAATCAGCTTTTTTTTCATCCTTGACCAATTCAATTACGTGTTTTTTTTTCTAAATTTCCAGCGAAGAGAAGACTTACGAAATTCGGAGAAAAATCGGTAAGGGTCGGATCCACAAACGAAAGGAGCCTGACGCTTTGTTCGATTGTACTCAGCACATGTAGCAAGGTGGATGGAAAGCAACGAAACGAGTAGGGAAATGCCCAACCAGCTCCGTGACGGCATTCCAGAACGATTGGAAGAGCCATGTGCCGTTTTCTCTCATTTTTGGCAGCTGTTTGTTCAGATGTTCTCACTGTGTGATTCAACTATTTGTTCTATTAAATGCAATTCCACAATAGAAAATGGAAGTAAAAAAAAAGAAGTCCTTCTAAACCCTTCGCTTTTTTTATGAATCGCACTTCCTGAGGTGTCGTCGTTTGGCGAAATATGACGAGGTTTATGAAATCGAAGGGGAAAAAAGTCCGAAATATGAAGTCGCAATGAAATGAGATGTGTGCCAGGGTTGCACGGAACGAAGATGTTAAAATCGAAATCTGAACAGGCCATGCCCTTTCCTTCATCAATCAATATCAATATCAATATTTATTGGTTGTTTTAGTCAGATGGAATCTTCCTAATTTTCTCTTCTTTTATTCGTGCTTTTTCTTCGTTAAAACTTTTTTGTGTTCCTCATATAGTCTGTGTGCCACGACTTGAAATTTCCCCGAACGATATTCCGCTGTTCCGCTGCGTGCGTTCGCGAAGCGTCTTTCGAATCTAGGTCACGCTTTCAAATGATTGTTATTGCAGTGGTAGCACAGGAATGCTCGCCTTCTCTCACCCCGAATGCCGTGTAAGGCTTGAAACTAATCGTGTTTTGAAAACAAGTGCGAAAACCTCGAACTCAAACTTGACGCAAAACATTCAACCTCCTCCACCCGTAATCCTTCTTCCTTTTTTCAACTCGGAAAACGGTAAAGTGAAACGGATGTGCTCCGGACATTTCTGGGCGTTTATAGGGATTCCTTCAGAGTGCTGACGCTGCTAGAGTGGTCACTAGAAATTCCCAGAAACGTCCGGAGAACGTCCGTTTCGCGTTACCAATTTCCGGGAAATTTTTCTCTTCTGTGCAAAACTCTCACGCATGACAGTGCTATGACAGTGGTATATCGCGGCCGGTGGCCAGTCAGTGTTGCGCCGTCCGTTTCCAGGAAATTTTTTTGGTTTTTATGATTTTTTGCAATTTGTTAAGACCTATTTCTCGAGGTTACAAGATAAGTTACAAACAAGTTTTCATTTTATTCCCGAAAAACCTAGCTTGAAATAGAATGAAATCTAAACACGAGAGCGCTCGACTGACTTAGGGACGCGAGGTCAAAGCCAGATTTTTCCACTATTTCATTTTTACATATCCCTAATTAGGCCCAAAATTTCAGTGTTTTTTGAAAATTTCATCTATCCATGTGCTCTTTTCGAGTGGATTCGTCCATTCTTGAAGTCCAAATTCCATTCCAACAAGAACTTTCAATTTTTTTAAAAAACTTTCAAAAAACGAAAAATTTTGTGTTTTTGAATTAAAAGCGAAATTTCTCCTCATCATAAACATCAAATTATACTGTAAAGGCTATTTTTTTCATGATTTGGAAACTTTCGAAAAAGAAAAAAACTGAACCTGTGAGATTATTTTATTCATATATGTCTAATGAAATTACCAACAAAAAAACCGAAAGTTCAATTAAATCTTCTATTCTAAAGTAGAGAGCCAAATTTCTTCAATATTGGCAAAAAACTATCAATTTTCCTTATCATATTCACTATTTTGGCGATCATTTCGAGTCCCCCGAAACTACTTTGTACGAGACATGAAATTTTTTCGTTTTTTCTTTTATGCCGTGTTCAAAGTAATTTCCGCGAAATGCAAAATGATCTCTGACTCTCCAAAATTTAGTGATCTTTTCCTTTCTCTAACGGGTATTTTGCATTTCGCGGAAATTACTTTGAACACGGCATTAAAAGAAACGTTGTTGGGCGCCAAATTGGCACTGCGCCACGGCTGAGGACTCGACGTTGGGCACAGGAAAAAACCGCGACGCAGCCAACCGCGCCGCGTCCAGTGTTGTTCCCGCCTGCACGCTCTGCGATTCGCCGTTCCTCGGGCTTTTCGCTTTTGATTCCTCTTCGTCGCGCCTCAACATTACTTTCATTGATTTCGAAACATCGATCTGAAAGTTTTCTTGCGAAACTGCGTGTTTCTTAATAAATCATCCAAAGTCGGACTTCGAAAACCACGTTCCTTTGCTCGAAAACAATAATTTCTCGTATTATATCGATTTCAATTTATTTATTATAGTTGATGGCTGCGGTTATACAATCTGCGCCTCCCGTAGGAGAAACGAGTGACAGAGCCTTCATCAACGATGTAGATCAGTGGGTGGAACAGCTATACGAGTGCAAGCAGCTCTCTGAAAGCCAGGTCAAAACCCTTTGTGAAAAGGTAATAAGATCATTTTTCTTTTTTTTTTTTGAATAATAAAATTCTTTAGGCGAAGGAAATCCTTGAAAAGGAATCTAACGTCCAGGAGGTCAGGTGCCCCGTCACAGTGTGCGGTGATGTTCATGGACAGTTCCATGACCTGATGGAGCTTTTCAAGATGGGTGGAAAAAGCCCGGATACGAACTATTTATTCATGGGGGATTATGTCGATCGCGGGTACTATTCGGTTGAGACAGTGAGCTTGCTCGTTTGTCTGAAGGTAAGATTTGAAAAAAAAAATGAATACGCTTGTATATCTTCTTTTTTTTTAGGTCCGTTACAAGGACCGTGTGACTATTCTGCGCGGAAATCATGAGTCTAGGCAAATTACTCAGGTTTGTTGATTTTATATCTAACTCTTCAACTGTAGAACTCGCTAGTCAAGTTGTTCTCATCAAATTAGCTATAATATCTTGTTTATGAATCATCTGTATTCAGAAAGTCACCTTTTCTGAACACTGAACTTAATTTAGGCCTCACATAATCTTGCATATTTTCTTTCGAAAAAATTTTATTGTAATGAAAATCGCGATGTTCTTCTGCGAAATTATGGTTAATTTTTGTATATACCATGGATCGAATCATTTTTCAAAGTGAAGGAAGCTCATTGCCGACAGGTTTTCTGAAAGTCCTATGTTCAATATTTAAAATTTGATGACGAATATGATTATTTTGACCTGCTTTATTTATAGGTGTATGGGTTTTACGATGAATGCCTGCGAAAATATGGAAATTCAAACGTGTGGAAATATTTCACCGATTTGTTCGACTGTTTTCCGCTCACCGCTCTTGTCGATGGGCAAATTTTCTGTCTTCACGGTGGTCTTTCTCCTTCTATCGACACTCTTGACCACATTCGTGCGTTGGATCGCATTCAAGAGGTTCGAGTCTTTTCTGATGTTTCAGATTTATTCTCATTTTTGTTCTTTTACATTACCTCTACTGAACTTTTCTGTTGTAGGTCCCTCACGAAGGTCCAATGTGTGACTTACTGTGGTCGGATCCAGATGATCGCGGTGGCTGGGGAATTTCCCCACGAGGCGCCGGATACACTTTCGGACAAGACATTTCCGAAACCTTCAATCATACCAACGGGTTAACTCTTATTTCAAGGGCGCATCAGCTTGTTATGGAGGTAAGATATGAATATATTATAAAAATATATAAGTTGTTGGAAGTATCATATAAGTAGATGTTCGAGTTTTGAAAAAAATCATAATTAGGATTGATTAAAAAAAAAATAGACGGAAAAAAGTTAAAATCATTTTTTGTATTGATTTATTTTTTTGAAATCTCACCCTCTTTGAGGTTTTCGAAAATAGAGTGAATAATTTCCTATTTAGAGTTTTCAAACTAGGTTTTTGACTAATTTTTTGTTTCATATTAAACGAACTTTTTTTTCCAAGTCACTGCAGACCAAATTTCTAAGTAAATTCTTATAAAGTAGTTTTTGATGGAAAAGAAAATTTACTTACTTTTCTTGTGACTTTTTTTCAATATTAGACGAAAATTAATTCATTTAGAAATGAAGATAAATCATCTTCACGATAAGTTATTTGCTTAAAAATAAAAACCCGAATTCGAAGTTTTTAATTGCATTTTTTCAAAACTTGGTGAAGAAATGGTAAGTTCGTATAATTCAGGGCTACAACTGGTGCCACGACCGGAACGTTGTAACCGTGTTCTCTGCACCCAACTACTGCTACCGTTGCGGCAACCAGGCGGCGATGGTAGAACTTGACGACGATCTCAAGTACTCATTTCTGCAATTCGACCCAGCTCCTCGCCGCGGAGAGCCGCACGTCACCCGCCGAACTCCCGACTACTTCTTGTGAATCCGTCCTTTCGAAACCGAATCCCACTCTGAACTTTAAGTTTCAAAAAACTGGACGTTATCATGCAATTAGTAAATCCCTTAGTTTTAAGCTATCTGGATACTGTTTTCGAGCGAAGTACGGCTGTTTCTTACGTTTGACGGCGTGACGAATTTAGCATCTTTCCTTTTTCTTGTAAATTGTAACAAATTCTCAAATACTCTTTTTTTCTCCGTCTTTTCTCTTTACAATTCCACGCGTTCTTCTCCCCGTGTTCTGGATAATACTGTTTAGACATGTGCTACAAGTAGCTTTCGAAATGATTTCCTCATTTAGCTATTGATTTCTTATTCTTTTTTCTTGCTAATGAGCATTGCGTTTTTCCTATCATTGTACGTCGATGACGCGGTTTTTTTTTGAAAAATAAAAAAAGTTGTTTTCGCATTAACCACCCCAATCTTTATTTAAACTCTCGATTCATTTCGGTGTAAGAATACTGATGCTTCGATGTTGTTTTTTCTATTTATTGATAAATCTCGTTCAAAACATACTCGGAAATCGCAGTCAGTGTTACAATGTTGAAGCAAGTTTCATATCTTGGATAATTCATGTGAATAGAAGTAAAGGAAAGTCAGATGAGCGCGGCAGGAGGATCCTCGGCCGTTTGGCGCGACGCGGTCGCCGCCTCGACGCTCGGCAGCGGAAATCTTCGCGACGTTGTCCGGTTGCCCTGCGGCGAAGACAAGAACGAGTGGCTGGCCGTGAACAGTTGGTTTCTCCGACCAGAACCCAGAAAGGGAGTCACTTCCAGTAATGGACTTGATGAAGCAGGTGCGGATGCTGTACGGCGTCGTGTTCGGAGCCGAGGGCGGCTGCAACGAGAAGACGTGTCCGGTGATGTCGGCACGCGGCAAGGAGTACTTCTGGACCCAGGGCGACTTACTGTTCGTTGTGGCTCTTTTTCAGTCCTTGTATTAAAACTGAAAGGATTCCTCTTTTTAGCGAATATTTTGAATAATTACCTAAGCTACTAAAACAATTTGTCATTCTTGGAATAATTTCTGACTAGTACACATAATTGATTTAAAACTGAAATTTGTGAGGATCTTTGAATTATTCGAAAAATTCTAAAAATAATTTTGAGTTTATATATGTCATGAGCTTTTTCTTGTTTTCTAAGAATAGTTAGAATACGTTTTTATTGGATGACACCCGCAAAATGCGCGAGAAGCTTTGTATTTATAAGGCCGTTTTCAGTGATTTTGTGAAAATTAAAGTAGTAAAGGTACTATAAGTATTGCATCTTTCGTGGATAATTTAGTCAATTTCGTGTCCAAAGGGCTTTTGCGAAATCAAAAAGAGCCGTCAGAAAGTGAAAAAGATATCTATGTTTTGGAGAGTCGAAGGTATTTTTGCATTCCGCAGAAGTTACTTTTAACTTGTTCGATTTCTCGGAAACGTGCTTTATATTTTTCATTTGGCGCTGGGTCTTCCGAATCCTGATAATCCGGCCTGAATTCTGACAAAGGCTTTTCATGAGCTTATAAATTCGCATTAGTAAGAAGCTTCATGACGAGGTCTATGAGATTAAGGACTTTTGTTGAAAGAGAGCTGCAGATACTTTATCTATTTATTTTTTTTTCTCTATTCCGTGCTCGAAATATCACCTTAATCTCCACTTTCATTCCAGGTTGTCGACCCCCGCGCCTACGTACATCGATTACGCCTTGACGTGGTGCCAGCTTCAGTTGGAAGACGAAAACATTTTTCCTTCTCATATTGGTACGTTTTTTCATCCGATGTTTGATAGTTTAACTTTTTTTTTTCTAGTTGCAGATAAGTTCAATTCTTTTTTTTTCGCTTCATAACAAAAATAATTTTTTGACAAGAGGAAAAATTCTTTCAAAATTGATATTCCGTTCGAAAATTTTTGTGGATTATCTTACCTCATTATATTCGACTTCCTTTACCTTCGAGTTTCTAGTTCCATTGCTAATATTTTCTGTCAGTATTTTCCAGATGAGATATCTTTATATTTTTTCCATCCTAAAACTTCACGTTTGTACGTTTGAGAACCTGGAAAAGCTGAAATCTTTGAAAAAAATTCAGAAGTTTTTCATTCACCTGTAATTATCCTTTGAGAAATTTTCGCACTTACTGCATTATTTTTTCTTCCGAAAAAGGTTCTACGCTAAAATCCTTCTACTATTCTCAATCAATGGCCATAACTCATTTTTCTCGTGCTTTTCTTGTTTTTTTTTTCCATCTGACGTGAGTATGTTCTGAAAATGAACGATCTTCATTAAAGCCGAAATCTTGCAGGCAAAGGATTCCCGCCGCACTACGACCAAGTCTGCGAGACGATAATGCGAAGACTTTTCCGTGTCTACGCGCACGTCTACCACGCTCACACGAACGTCTTCCGCTCGTTGAAGGCCATCGCCCATCTGAACACCTCCTTCAAGCAGTTCATCCTGTTCGCCTCTCAGTTCCAGCTCATTCCTCGCGAGGAGCTCCAGCCGCTCATGCCGCTCATCGAGGAGCTCGTCGGTTCCCAGTTGGCCAGCTGATTATTTGAGGTTCTTCCTTCACCTTTCTCAATGGTTAGCCAAATCAATCAGTCTGGGCTTCAATCATTTTCAGAATTTATTATGAGAAACTTTATGTACAACTTCAACTTTAAGCAAAATCTTCAGTTTCTCGCCGAAACGCAAACTGGTTTTTTTCATGCTTCTTTAGGCATAATAAATACAACTTCAGATTTCTAATGTTGAGACTTTCATATTTTGAAAATGTTTCAAGCTTCCAATATTGTTTCGAAACTGTTGATCTGTTTTTTTCCACATAGTTCATTCAAATTTCTGAAGCTTTCATTTTAATTCATGTTTCCTCACCTTTTACGCACAAGCGGATGCCTCGAACAATTTTCGCATTCTTTCTGTGATATTTATATTATGGGTTCAACACTATTGCGGCCTTTCCTGATAAGAACATGTGTCAAACCTTAAATCGGAAATAAATATTATGAAAAAATGTGCATGTTCGAATAAGAAACAAAAAAGCTTTTTTTAAACTTTTGTGGATTCTGAAGAACTTTGGCAGATGAAGAGGTTGTCAGGGCGACGCCATGAGTCAGCCGGACAGTCGGATCTATCTTTTTTGTTTGTTTTCCGTACGTGTTTGCCGTTCTCTGTCCCATCGGTCCCTTAGGTGCCTTCTCTTTTTATGACTTATTGGTTTTCGAGTTCTAAAAACGTGTTTTAGTAAAATCTTCGCAAACTTTTTGAACTGAAACATGTCATTTTTTATTTAAATTACATTCTCAAAGGCTTCTTACCCGATACATCAATCGATCATATCTTTTTTTCTTCTATCTTTGCTTTTTATAAAAAAAAAATGCTGAATAATCTCCCAGATATACCTAATGACTAGAAAGAGACAAAAATGAGAAAGCGAGCCTCTTCTATAAGGGCGGCATACGTATAAGTATTGATTTTCTACCTGTTCCCTCCGTTTCCTTTTATGCATTCTTTTGCGGTCGTTAATAACATCCGATAAGCGTGTTTTGGGAGTTTTCCAAGGATTCCTACTTATCATTCGATGAAGAATGAAATACAGCTTTTTGACACGAAAAAAAAAAAAAATTCAATGAAAAGAAAATAAATTTCCTTAGAAGCTCATTGACAACAAAAAAAATTATATTGTGGAAAAAAAAATTCTGGATTTTCAGAAAAAAGCAAACTTCTAGAAACAGATTTAGAGTACGTTTTTCTTTCCCTCCAGGTTCGTTCACAAAATTTCTGTTCTGAAAAGAGACGATGACTCATACGTGTAACTGAAGAAAGGCGGATTTTCCGATTCATACTCAGGGTTTTGGATTCAATGGGGTTTTTAAGGAGTAAGGGCGAAACGAGAAGTTTATAGTGTGTAAATTCTTCGCTTTTAATGCTTTTAATCGGTTCTTCAAGAAATTTTGAAAAGATGTTGGTGAAAAAGAGTTTTAAGTTAGTGAGCGGTAAAAGTAAAAAGGAAGAATCAATCAGAATACAAAACATTTGAGTTCCGTAAAAGTCTTTGTTTCAAATGCTTCAAAAGTTTAGTTCGTGTTTGTTTCGTATAGCTAAAAGAGCTCTTCTCAAATTTTTCCTGTAAGATGGTTCAAAAAGATCTCTTTCAGTTTTTACATCAGATTCATCCCCTCTAAGATCTTCAGTTCTTTCTTTCAAAGTTTAAATCTTCATTCCTTGAAAACATTTTTGCAGTTTTCGAACAAGTCCTACAAATTGATAACCCGAGAGAAAACGCGAAGTGCACTTCTAAGGTACCTCCAAAAAGAAGAATCGCGGTCTAGCCTTTTTTTTGGATTTCGCGATTTCGCCTTTTACCTCCAACACTGAAACTTTTATGCATGAAATATTAGCTCTGTTTTATTGACTCATCCAACAAATTCCAAGATTTTAAAAACTAGGTCATTTATCTGATATAGCTGGCGAAGGATGTCAGTTAGGCTCGACTTGGAAGCTGTGCCGCTGATAGACCTCACAGCTCGTCCATCCGAAGGTCAGTGCAGAGTTTTAGGAGAAATTTCTTCAAATATTCCTTTTGCAATCAACTGCTTGTTCCAGAAAAAATACCCATAAAGTTTGAAAATGATACACTCAACCAGGATGTGGCGCGATCAGTTATACAACAGGTCTGGTTGCCGGAAAGCTTCCCAAAAAAGATTGCAGACGGCGAGAGACGGCAAAATGTCGGAAGCCTTCCACACGGCACTTTCCCAGCATCCAGAAGCCGTCAACGTCGCCGACCATCTGGACGGAGTTCGTTCCGACGCTTTTTTCGCTTCAATGAAGATGACTACAGATGACCGCAGTCCATTTTGCGGCCAAATACGGACACATCGACGTTCTGAAGGTTCTATTCCGATTCCACGGCGACGTCGCCGTGCAGAACTTCGAGGGCGACACTCCACTGCATCTTGTGGCCAAGTACTGCAGAAGAGGTCTTCTTTGCGACGATGACTTGATTCCAAGCAAGAGTTCAGGCTTGGATGGGAGGACCAATATCACATCTCAGATCATTCGTATGCTTGTCGGACAGCAGACGTGAGTTTAGAGTTCGAAAATGTTTTTTGTAACCTTTGAGTGTACTGAAAATAATATTATGGATTATTTGATAAGTTGTTACAAATATTGAGGTAAATCTTTTTTTTGTATAGGATGGAATGATGGAAACTAACTGTTTGAAATGTTTCTTGTATTTGAAAAACCATTTTGAAAGGGAGAATATAATTCCATCGTGAAAATTTTGTCTCTTCCCTTTCACGCTACGCTTTCCTATTGTGAAAAAGATTAAATTAATAAGAATATAATTTGGAAAAAAAGTTGGGTGAGGGATTTTTTTCATTTTTAGGAGACGAGAACGTCAAATCGATTTTTGCCAAATTACCAATTCATTTTCATTAATACAAATTATTACAGTTCGAAAATGCGAAACTCAGTACGTTTTCATTTTCTTCATTCCAGGTTTTTCAATACCAAAAAATTACAAAGGGATCTTTATCGCGACCCAAACAGCTTGGTCTTCAGAACAAATTCAAAGGACAAGTCCTACATCAACTGCAAGGACAAGTTCAAGCTCACCGCTTTGCACTACGCGGCGATGAAGTCGAACGTTCAGGCCGCAGTCACTCTGATCAGTCTCGGAGCAACCGTCACGGTCTGGCTCCTTCTCCCATTTCCCAGGAAGCGAAGAGCTTCAGGAGACCGATTCGAACGACGTCACGCCACTTCTGCTGGCTTGCGTCCACGGAACCAAGGAAGTCATCGAGAAACTCATCAACGCCGGGAGCGATCTCACCAAAAAAGACCAAAGACAGAACACAGTGGGTGTTGAGCTAGAGCGTGTTTTCGAGGTTCACATAGGTCTACCACATCGTTGCACTGCGAGGCGAGCCTGAGATTCTCAGAATGCTGCTTCAAAGAGGTTTTTCTCGGCATGTGAAGAGTAGACCTTGATCTACTCGGCCATTCTCAGCTGGCAAGGACGGCTGGTCTTCGCTCTTGCTGCGGAACAACGAGGGGAAGACGCCGTTGCGGATGGCTGTAGAGGGAAATCATCCACAGACCCTGAAGGAGATCCTTGAAATTGAGCAGAAAAACGGCACCGACTGGAAAACGTGCCCTCTTCCCAAGTTAATCATTCCAGATTAATTTTTTTCAGAAGAGAAAAAGGATTGTTGCATTTGGCAGCGGGGCGAGGATATCTGCAAGTAATTTCAGAGCTTGTCCAGGTACCTTTCCATTATTATGCAGAAAATCCCTATCTTCTAGGCTGGAGCGAGTAAGACGGAAGTCGACTCCAGGAGACAGATCCCATTGCACTTGGCTGCGAAAAGCAATCAGAAAGAAGTCGTCGAATATCTTTTGGAGGTGAACGTTAAAAAATTGAGTGAAGAAGAAAACTTAAAATCACTTCACGAAATCTTTTTGGAGACTCCAGTTTTCAGAAGGAAACGATAGATGCAGTCGACGACTTCGGAATGACGCCGCTTATGGTCGCCTGTGCCCACGACAGCATCGACGCTTTGAAAGTAACCTATTCGGAAGCGTTCAGGTCCAGAACTCAAGATCTGTAGATTCTGATTGAAAGCGGAGCCAACGTCTGGGTTTTCGACAACGACGACCGGACTTGTGTCTTCGTAGGTGCCAAGTACAACGCCCTAAAAACTGTTGATGTGAGTTTATTTTTGGAGGCTTTAAGATAAGAAAATTTTCAGTACATTTTAACTTACTTGAAACAACAAGCCGCAGCCAAAGTGGGCAATGAGCCAGCTGGGAAGTTTTTCAAAACTCTGAGGAGAGTAGACACTTCTGGAGAGGTGAAGGAAAAGAGGAAGGATAATCAAAAAGTAGTTTTGAGACGAGCATGGTGAACATGACGGACAGCGACCAGAGCACGCCGATGCACGTCGTCGCCTCCAACGGCTACATCGAGATGATGCGCGTTCGTTAGCTGTCGGCCTTGACCCGCTTCAAGTCGGTTGCAGCTGCTCTACGACCACGGCGCCATCATCTCCGCGGTGAACGAAGACGAAGAGACGCCGTTGCATCGAGCGGCCAGCGTCGGCGAAACGGGAGCTGGTCGGGACTCTTTGCTTTGAAAGAAGTGAAGAGAGTTTTCTAGTTCGGCAGCTGCTCGAATGGGACAGGCGTTTGATCCTTCTGAAGGACGACATGGGCAACAGTCCGCTGCATCTCGCTGCCAAGAGAGGTGTCGTCCTTTTTTTCTATGCCAAATCAAATTCATCGAACTATACTTGCCAGTGAAAGAAAACTTTGGGTTTAAAAATAATCTGACTTGAAACAGTTTTCCCCGTTCAAAAAGCACCAGCCGGTCTTTTCATACATTCATTTGAATATCTTCGAAAGCCTTAGTGTCCGATCTTAGTTTCAATCTTAGAAAATAAATTTTCAAAATTGCTCGTATTTGCAAAATGATCATTTAACATTGAGTGACTTCGAAACTCCTCAACTGCAAATGTGCTGAATTTCAAGCTGAGCCCTTGAAAAAAAAATGGAATAAATAAAAAATCAAGCTTTTTTTACTCAAGCCTTACCCGTAAACGATATTTTCGAGAAAAAAAGCTATTAATTTTTCTGTACTTGTTCTTGTTAACATATTGCAAGTATATACTATATAGCAACCACAAATTCATTGCTGACCCTCAAAAAATGAGGTAAAAAACGTTTTATGTTTTCTTTTTCGTTTCTGAAAACATATTTTGAGCTAGTTTCCAGAATGCCTTTTAGAAAATCTAACGCTGAAAATATTTTTAACCTGATGGTGAGAGCTCTGAGAGCTTTCCCAGTGTCCTCAAAGGCTGTTTCTGTTTTTTTTTCTCCAATTCCGATATTTTACAACTTTACAATTTTGCATTGCAAAACTCAACTAACCTTTTGTGGAATGGTTATTTTTTTGTCTCATTTTATCTAGAACCTTGACTTCCAAAGTTTCGTTCACTACGTCAGAAGTGGACTTCAGCTTTTTTGAAATGAGGATTTCTCTCTGAATTTTCGATATTTGGAGCCTCAGAGCGACACGAAACGTGGATACGTTTGTTGCATGAGCCTGTGGACATGAAGACTGTCTTGTATTCTTCGAAATGGAGACGTCAGCTGGCGGAGGGTCGACCGAAACAGGCCATCTGTCCCGTGGCAGCAGCTGCGTCCTTCGCTGTGAGCTCTTCTAAAATCCGGCCCTACCTACTTTGGAAACCGACACCAGTAATAGCACGCATCTGCATCTATTTTTGTCGCGGTGCCTGCTTCATTAAAGTATTACGGCGCCCTGTTAATCTCGTGCGGCTTCACCTGTCTAGTGATTAGAACTAATTACTAGGTTTTGATCTGTGGTCTTCCTTTGATACGACTCCAATAACTGAACCAGTCATAATTTTTTTTCACAGTATTGATCTTTGAGCTGAGAGTTTCAAAAAGCAGAGTAATTCTTGTGTACTTCCATGTACGAACGATGAAAATTCCCACAAACCAATTCATGCCGTTGATTAGATCACTGATTCAAAGTAAACAGTAGCGCGCTAACAGATTGAAAAATATCTATTTGTAGGCAAACACAATAAGAATTTTCAAAAAAAAAAAGAGATCTAAAAAGAAAATGATGTAAAAAACAATTGAAACTTTCACGGCTTGCTCAGAGGATTTTAGTATTTTTTTATTTCGCTGATTTCCAAGAGCTGTGTTACGATAAAGACTCATGAATTTGTGATAAAGTATGAATAGCGTTGTTTTCAGTTTTTCCCTATTTTTTCGATAGGTGTTTGAATGATTTTCAAATTTAGACGTCTTTTCTATTTTTTCTCCTGTTAGAAAGCTCAAAGTTCTTTCGAAAAAAAAAACTCGGAGAGGAAGCTTCTGACTCCGCTTCATTCTGTCTGACATTCTCGAGAGGAGACCTTCAGACGACGGCCGATGCCTATTTATGGACTAATTAATCAGGCGCGCAGAAGCTGTCGGCACAGAAAGCGCGTGCCTAATTAGCCAACGGTTCAAGTTGCAGCCGTCCCTTAATTAGCTAACAGTACTGAGGCCGAAGTTCACGACTTCCAGTCCTTTCAGGAGAAGAAACACGAAGGTGCGATTTCCAGGGACACGCGCCGCGCACCTGTCCACGCAGGTGTTACGTAGGAGCCAGGAGTAATTACCGGACAATTACTTGCGTAACCATCGCGGTTGGGGGCTTTTTTTTCCATCGTTGGCTTGTCGTCGGTGGCGGTATCCTGGTCGATCGAGTCAAGATAAAGCTCCTGTTTTTTGGAAGTCGTTTGTAGGTAACATGCTTTAATTGAAGCTTAATAATTGGGTGTAAATTTTGAAGAAAATAAGAATGAGAACACATCTCTTCCTTAGAGTAACTTTGCTGCGTGATAATTTTTTTTGTATTAAAAAAATTCTCTGATTCAGATCTCGAAGAATGAACGGCAAAACCAATTTCGACTCTTTTTTTTTCTTCTTTTTTTTTCTGACATCACCTTTTGATTTTGAAATGAAATCACTATCTGGCCCATTGGGAGATTTCTTCTTCGAATATCGCGAAAATTTTCTATAAACGCAATTCTTTCTCAAAGGATTGCCGGATCTAGATGAGTCTGTTTGATTTTGCCTCAGAGGAAAATATTTGATTTTCGAGAGGTATTTTGATCTGTTCATAATCCCTATAGCTGGCTGCTGGCAAAATCATAAAATACTTTAGAAAACTGGTGAGATTGGCAATTTCTACTCGATTTTTCCCCCTCGTGGTTTTATTTCGACACTTGTGTCAATGAGAAAGACGGCCATGCCAAAGTGGCTCAATTCCTAAAGGATAGGGATATTTCACGGCAGTCCGGCCATCCGTCTCCTGTTTGCCTCGCCGAAATTCATTAAAGACCAAGAACATTGTATGCCGAAGCTGCCGCATTTGCATGCAGCTGCCACGGTCCGCCCATTTTCGGAAAGGTCCCCGAAGGCCGAGGCTCCGGTCAGTCATCATTCTGTCAACGGCTCTGACCACTACTTTCTGCAATCCGTCTTCTTCTCTTCGCCTGAACTTCTGCTTCTGAGTTCTTTTTGAAAAATGAACATCTCCAGTTTTGAGTGGGTTGGGTCGTCTTTCTTTTCTCTGAGAAACTCATTTTTCCATTTTACTGAGCTGTAGGAATTTAGAACTTTTTTGGATTAAATATCCGACTTTTCCAATCTCTTTCTATCTTTTGGAAATATACTATCTCTCGGTCGTGTATGAGTGTCAGAAAACCGAAAATGCTTCATTAATTTTTTCAGTGCAATTGTAGTCAATAAAGAAAGTTTTTTTTCACTCTCTCCTCTTGAAAAACTTTCTGATTGGATTCTCTGATACTACTTCACAGCAGAAAAATATTATATATCAAAAAGGAGATGTGGCGCGAAAATCTGATTTTCCTAAAACTCTCGGCTCTTTATTCTTGCGCCGTCAAGGGGAAGAGGTCCTTCTGCGTGGAATGTTGCACATGTCGAAGTGAATTCCGTGATTTCTCGGCCTGTCGTCGCGCTGTCCCTAACTGGCTTCATCAAGTCGGTGGCGACGTCCAGAGATATCGATCTCTGCGCCGAGCTCTTCCGGCGGCGTCGTCTGCGTCTCTGAGTGCGACACGGCTCTTCTTCGAACGTGCCGCACGCAGTCACGTCGTCGTCACACAAGATTTCCACGCAGACCTTTTGATTTTTTTTATTTTGACTTTATTCGCTATAGTTATTGCTGCTTTTCATGGGAAGATTCTCAGGCTGAGACTTTCAAAGGCATAAGTTTTATCCCAGTGACCGGAACTTCTTCGCGAGAACAGGATGAGAATAATTTCCAAGCCGAGGTCATGCCGGACTTTTAAAGAGGCGGAATTGGCGAAAAGAGGCGAAAAAATCGGTGAAGCCACGAAACACCTGCACCCTAATCCACCACCTGCTCATCCCCTTGACCTACGAGGCCACGCCTCTTCCCATATTCGGCCGGCAGACCTGGCTCCTGCCGCGTCTTCATTCGACTTTCCTTCTCTTCCATTTTTTGAGGTTCTTATCCGTCATAGTAACGCTTCGCTTTCATCGGTGACTTTAGTACGCATAGCCACTAAGGCACGCGGTGAATGCCAAGCGGGTTGATCGGTTTTTTTTCTCAACTTTTTTCTTTTTCATTTTTTTTTCATCTTTCAAGTTGTTGATAGAAAACTGCGAAAAGCGGTTTCATTTTTCATGTTTATGGTTTAGCTTTCTGTCTTGAGTTTTTGAGTCCAAGGAGTAACATAGGTAGTTTTACATTTTCTCCTTATTCTTGATGTTAAACTTGCCTGATATTTCTTTATTTATTAACTTCTAGAGAATTCTATAGCTGTTTTGATAAAGAGCTCTTTCAAAACCGCAACATTAAAAAATAGCGTGTTTGAGAGCTGGTTACTTTTTCGGTAATTCAGTTTTTCGAAAATGAAAAAAAGACTTGCATGCAAATAGCCTTTAATTAAAGATAGTTAGAAAAAAGAGAAGAATTTACCTCTGAATCATCATAGAGTAATTAAGAAAAGGAAAAAAAAATTATTTTGGGTCGAAAACGAGAAGACAAAGGACATAATAGTCTTGACGACGCAATAACGGTTGACAAGGAAAAGGGACAGGAACACAAAAAATGTACATCTGAAAACGATCGGATAAAAGAAAGGGCTGAAAAGAAAAATGTTTTTTCCATAAGTAGTCAAAATATCAAGAAAAAAAGCAGCACATTGAAAGAAATTGAGTTTTTTTCTTCTCTTATCAACAATAGATTTCACGAAATTTCTAAATCTTGTATGAAAAAGCTCACTTTAATTCAAAAAAAAAACTTATACAACGAATGTTTTTTTCCGATCTGAAAAATCTTATCAAGCATTTCGCTCTTCTCAATTGATGATCGATCTTTCGTTGTTCGAGATAAGAAGTTTGTGAAAAAATTTAAAAAAAAAAACAAATCTGAAGAGAAACACCCCTCATTGTGTGCATCCGGGTAGGAAGTTAAGTCTGCAATTTTTCTATTCCAGTTTCTCAGACTTTTTGAGAAGTTCCGAAATGAATACCTAGAAAATGATACAAAGTTCTGAGTATGTATTTCACAACGTAGATCGAAGGTACAAGTCAAGAGTCACCGACGCATATAACATATCTTTTTGTAGGCACCCATAACAAAGCTATGCTCGGAATTTTTGAAATTGGTCAGATTTCTCCTCAATCAGTGTGAAAGTTTACATAAGAAGCCGAAAAACGCAAGAAATACTAATTTATAAATTTCCGTAAGAAGCCTTTCTGAAAGAGAATCAAAGGGTCTGGAAGGATTCGGTTAGATATATTTGAAGCGTAGAGAATACTTGAAAAGACTACAAAAATTGTATAGAAAACATCTGTAAAGAGAAAATGTAGGATCAGACGTGACGACGAAGTTGCTTCTGAAGGAAGGCGCCGACCGTGACGCCCGCAATTCGTACCAACAGACGCCTCTGGCCGTCGCTGTCGAAGCCGGCAAACTGGAGGTCGTTCAGAGACTCATCCTCAACCACGCCACCGTCGAGAGCGACAGCGAGATCAAGTTGGTTGAAAGCAGGATAAAACATTGAAAAGAGAGGAATTCGAAAAATATTGAAGCTCTTTTTATTCTGAAGCTGTATTCGAGAAAATGGGATTGCGTTTACATTTACCTGAAAATGGTAAATGGCTCAAACTAGCTCTTTGGAAGTCAAAATTAACGTTTGCGTTTACAAAACCTTTTATTAGAAACTTACACACATGGTTATTTTTCATATTAATTTCCGATAGTGACCCATTCTCCATTTCTTGGTAAACCGTTTACCATTTCCTGCATACGGATATAAGTATTTCAACGATAGCCAAATACAAAGTATTTCGATGGATTAGAGGTTTCTTCAAAACCTGATTTCAATGAAGTCAACGAACCAAACGTTATTGACCTACCTGTGAACGAAGTTTTCGACAGAACTGTTCTTCACCTAGCCGCGGAACGTGGATTCCACACAATCGTGCAGGAGTTGCTGCAGCATGGTAGGGCTCAGATCGACCGTAGAGACGAAAAAGGACGCACGGCTCTTGAAATTGCCATTCAGGAGGGTCATCGGTCCGTTTTTTCTGTTTTCCCTGTGAAGCTTCCTCTACAGAGATGTCGCGCGAGTCTTGGTCGACTCGAACGACTGGCCGTCGTTGTTCGTACCCAACGACTTGCTTCCGTTGGGTCGACACAAGGACGTTCGTCATACGCCGCTCCGTCGGCTCATCGACAAGTTCCCTGACATTGCAGCCATCGTGCTCGACAAATGTCTGGAGTGAGATTGCCGATCCCAAAGGATCAGAGGACATTTTCCTTCAGAATGTCTTCGCCCGACTCCCACGAGTACATGTTTGCCATCGCGTACAATTTCGAGCTGCTCGACGACACCTACATGATGCCGGACGATAAAGGCACAAGCCTCGTCGGCTACAAGAAGCCCTTCGACGACGAGTTTCGGCTGAAGAAGGAGGCGCGCGCCTACACCGACGACTACGACGTCGTCTACAAGAACCATCCGCTCAAAATGATGGCCAACGCCGAGAGGCTGTCCCTGCTCTCGCACCCTGTCTGCGTGGCGCTTCTGAAGCATAAGTGGAACGCTCTTGGTCGCTACGTCTACTATTTCGGTTGATAACTACAACAGAAATAAGAAGAGCCATTGAATTACAGCCCTGTCAATATACATTCTTTTCATCACATTCCTCACAATCTACGTCACTCACACGCCGGCTCCATACAACGTCCCTCATGACAGTTCGTTTTTGAAATTATACTCAGAAATTCAAATAAAAAAAATGCTCCATGGGACATTTTAATTTACAGATCAGTTAATTGATCTTACTGAACGGTTTTCGGAGGATTCAGCCTCGTGTCCAGATATAGTAAGTAGTGATCCCGCCAAATATAGAAAATTTGAACTGCTTTCAGCAAATAAATCAGCCTAACCCTGTTTTCAAAGTGACTGTGATTGTTCTAGCTGCTGCCCATATAATCAAAGAAGTTTGCAAAAAGGCTTTCGCGACCAGATTGAAATATGAGGGTTTAAGGTTTTTCAATTGTTTCAAAGACGAATTTCCTATGTGAACTGGGAGAACCTACTGGAATGCTTTATCTATTCGTCAGCCATTGTGACAGTCCTGGACTTTACCGAATGTTCAGCAAGTTCTGGCATCAAAATGGTAAGACTTCTTCTCCCTATAAATATGAACTTCTTCAAATTTGAAGCGATGGCAATGGCTTCTGGCTGCCGTGTGCACTTTCACCGCGTGGATGAACCTCCTTCTCATGATCCGAAAGCTTCCCAGGTGTTTCAGGCTTCTCGTCTTGAATAAAAAGAGTGGATCAACTAAAGATTCGGAATTTATGTCGTGATGTTCTTTGACATCGTCCGCACGTTCTCCCGCTTTTTCATCATTTTCTTGTTATTCATCGTCGCTTTCAGCACTTCTTTCTACGTGATCATGCAAAACAGGGTACGACGTTGCAGTTCCAATACATTTATTTATTCTGGTTTACAGCCAGAGTTCTCGACGATGGGCTCATCACTGCTTAAGACAACGGTAATGATGATTGGAGAATTTGAGTTCACGGCGATTTTCCACGGCGATGCGATGTCGCATTCCGAGAAACTTTTTGGCCACGCCGTCGCTTATCCGCTCTTCTTCTTCTTCTGCGTCATCATGACGATCCTTCTGATGAATTTGCTCGTCGGTCTCGCTGTAGATGACATCAAGTCCGTTCAGGAGAAGGCCGAGCTCAAGCGGCTAATCATGCAAGTGAGGAAAGAACAAAAAGACTTACAATAATACTTTGTCTTTACTTGTTGAGCTTTTCAAATAATTAAGTAATCTCAGGTAGACCTGGTTCTGCAAGTGGAGGCGAGCATGCCCTACATCCGGCGGATAGTTACGCGGTCACGTTACTCTTTTTTCCCCAACCAACACGGCCTGATGAAAAGGATCCGCAACCGGTTTGGCTTCGATTCTTCCAGCGAGATGCTCCTCAGCGAGGTCACTAGCTCAGAAACAGTTTGTCTTTGTCGTTACTTCATATCATAAGAGTTTGGCAGGAATTTGCGACGCTCATGAGAACGAGTCTGCTGCTGCAGAAGGCTCAGCTTCAGACGCTACAGGAAAACGTCGACGTCATGTACGAGAAGCAGGTGAAGCTGGAGTCGATGCTCAAAAGACTCGCCAAAGGACTCAACGTCGAGCTCGCCGAGGAGGAGGACGTTTCCTAGTCCGCAACTTGTCAAACTTCATCTTCTGGGTATAATACCGTGTCTTTACAATGTGATCAATCAGCTTTATCATGAAGTTTGGAAATCTCTATACGTACTGATTTCCAACGAATACAGATATTTTATTGACGAAAATTCAAAAATATCAATCAGACGATGTTTTGCTGCTTCTATGTTTTGAGAGTCCCAACTCTACCATTTTGTCCTGAAAATATTAATTTACAAAACTTCAAGAAAAAAAAATTACTTACGCGGATTTTATCCATAATTTGCGAGAGCTCCAGAGCATCATCGTCAGTCAAATTATCCATAATTTTTGAGAACTATAACAAATATGAAAATTGACGTTTCCTTGTGTTCCGAGAATTTTGTCTTCATTGGGTTTCATTTAAAAAAAATCTTTCAGTTTTTAGCGAAATTTCGATCCGATTAGTCTAATTAATTTCCATATCAAAAATTCGAGGATCGACTCAAAAAGCTACTCACAGCTTCGATTCGCTCTTCGCTTGTCATTCCGCGGTAGAACTTGCGGTCGGAGATCAGCGTTTGAATGCCGTAGAGTGAATCGTGCACCTCAAAAATCGTTATTCAAAGGTACGAAAGATGGGAAAGAACCGCCGGAGAAGCCGCATCAAACAGAGATTGAGCATAATCTTGCAGGTCGAGGAGGTCGTTGATCTTCGAATAGACCGCCGGCTGCAATTTTTGATTTTTTTGTATTCAGCTCATTCTTAGAACCTTGTAATCAGCGGGAAGAGTGTCTAATGTTGGCTTGAGAACTTTGTTGATTCTCTCTGACTTGGCGTTGTTATCCAGAGACGAATCGAAAAGAATTCCAACAACCTGTGAATTTATTAATTGTTGAAAAAATAGAGAAAGCTCTAGAGATCGCGTCTAAATTTCTTTATGTAACAAAAAGATTTTAGATTGCAATGAGAGATCAAAATAATATGATAAAAAGATAAAGAAGATCATCAAACTTCCATTCCGAAGTCGATTTGCTCGTCGGTCAGGTTTTGCAAAGCCTTGTCCATTTTATCCATTGAAGACAAAATATCTGAAAAAAGATGTTCCTCTGATTATCGGTACGGTTCAGACCTTGTCTTTGCGAGCTGGTCAGCTCAAGATGGTAGGCCGGACGCCCCAAGGCGATCGAAAAGCATCCGAGGAGAGTTAAAGTGATAAAAGTCCAGATAGAGGAAGCCATGCTCGAATCGAGTAGGACAGGTTATGCGTCGGTGAACCAACGAGTAGATTCCAACGTAGTGACGTGCGGGGATCGCATGATCCTTCGCTAATTGCTCTTTGAAAAGGTTGAAACTTCAACTTTTTGTTCCCGCCGCAACATTTTCAACAAACAAGGCATCAAGGAGATTACAAAAATCTGTTTTTTTAGGAGCCTGTCAAATCTTTCAAAAGTTGGATATGAAAAAAGAAAAATTCAGAAATTGAAAGAAAAAGTTTGCTGACTTAAAATTTTCTATTTGGAACGTTGATAGCAAGAAGAAAAAATAAAATGGAAAATCTACTGATTTTTGAAAAAAGGCACTTATTTTTCCAGAATCAAACAAAAGATGGACAAAGATTCATTTTGATCCCAACGTCGATTCAATGACAGAAAAGTCATTCGAGAGACGAGTAGTCGTAGACGATGTCAGTGGAGGCCATGTGAAGCGACTCGTTGCGTCGGTCCTCGGCGTCGTCGACGTCTTCTTCCTCGATAACTTGCACCGTCTGAGGAATCGCGAACCGAACTCTGTAGACGGCGTCGTCACGCAATATATTTCGAACGCTAAACGATGACAATCTATAAAAAAAAGAAATATTCAGAATCACGTCTTCGCGTTGAAAATCCTGTCATCGAGTTCGGTGTTGTCCATTTCGAGCTTGCTGTAAGCGACGTGACGCGCAATTTGCTGCGTAACTTTGCTCAACGTGGAATCTTTCCGAAGTCTAGAGCGTCTGTAGGAACAATTGGTTATCGGTTCTGATATAAGACGTCCTACGCTTGCAGAGAATTACTCATCAAGTGAAAAAGATGAGACCGGAAAGTTTTACTCAACACCAACATCAAAGGAAACGGAAGGCTGTAAGAGACTCCATACAGAGTCAGCTGCAACCGAATAGAGAGAGAGGCTGAGTGACTGGACCCACCCTGAGAGACTCGTCGACAGGCTGACGGTTGATGAAGGACAGCGTGGTGTAGACGTGGACGGAGGCGTGGGAAAGGATGAGGGCGACGAGGAGCGGCTGCAGATTGGCGAACAACGGGATGTGCTTGGCTGCGTAGGGACTTCCCAGTTTCGGGAGGATACATCGCTCCGAGACGATGAACGTCAACGTGCACAGCGAGCAGACCCTGCAACTCTCTTCTTGACGTCGAGTCAATGACGTTCGACACCAAAACTTGATTTGTTTGTAAGGCCTCCGCGCCGTAGCGCGACAGGTCCACAGTGTGACAAGTTCGACCCCCGCCTCGCCCCAACCAAATGGTTAAAGAAATGTTTGTAGTGGGAAACCACGACCTTAAAATCCCCAGCCGCCACACACAAGGAATCGAGCCAGGTCACTGTCATTGATATCAGGATAGGACCTCGGCTAATCGACTTGGGGCGTCGACGCCGCTCGAGCGGTACGAAAGCGTAGGAAGAAGAAGAAGAAGAAGAAAAAGATAAATCATCATTTGAAAACACAAATTATTATTTTTTTACAACTCGTTGAGGTTGACTTATTCGCGTGTATTGTTATTTCGCTGCCCAACCTTTGAGTAATTTTCGTGTGAAAATAAATTTTCCCTGCTTTTCTCAAAAACTGATAAAAATTGGATGAGAAGCGAATTCATGATCGCCAAAAGTTTAGTCCTAGAGATGTGAAATTTTAGATTTCGCGTTTAAAACAGCTTAAGCCTGCGACTTCTATATAGCGCATTTGAAAACGTATATTGAAAATGAAAGGTTCGTGCAGGTAGGGAGGGACTACAGGAAATCTATCCATGTCTTACGAAAATTTGCTTATTTGTAGGAAGTTGGAAACTTCTTGCTACTCCTGGTGAGATAAATCTTTCAGCTATCAATTGTTCTGTCTGTTCATCTTCCAACCTTGATAAAAAATCTACAGTTCCCACCAAAATATAAGAGATGGAAAAGAGCGGATAAACTCCATTTTGATGCGGTCTTGAGGGCCGTTTTCAGACAAACGTGCCCTGCCGATCGCGTAGAGTTGATCTCTGTAAAATATCTTCACTTGACGTTCTGTTATCTGAAACATGCCCGAAGACACATTGCTCATAGTCTATGACGTATTCAAAGCACAGCGAGACATTGGCGATTGTCCCGAAAGGCAGAATGTGGAATATTTTGCGCCAAGCCACCCAAGAAACAGAGTTCCAACGGCGGCATCTCTAAAACTCCTTCTTGAAGGAAAACTTGCGGTCGACTCACTCGGACGTAGTTGAGCATGAGGTGCAACCGAAAGGAGAAACAGAGACACAAAGAAGCGATGACGAAGTGGAAGAGAGCCAGGAGAACGGGCAGAAAGTTGGCGGCTATCCAGGTTCGACCTCTGAACTTTCCTCATAAATGAGCCTCCAAAACTGACCAACTGTTGATAATGGTTGGTGAAGACTTGGAGCGGAAAAGGTAGGATGAAAAATATAAACTGGGCGATTCCGATGATTCGAATATATGTGAAGCTGAAGAAAAGAGTGGCAGAAAGGAAAAAAAAGAACCTCGCCGTGCCGAGTTTGGCTCTTCCGGAGAACATGAAGTGCAGACAAATGTTAGAAAAGAGGCCTCCAAAAAGGAGCGATAAATGTGTGATGACGGTTTTTGTCTCAACCGGAGTCACCTCAAAAAATTTATTCGATCCAGAATTTCTTTTTGCAAAAAAAAATCAAGTTCTTTCAAGAATCCACAAACGTTTGTGGATTCTTGAAAGAACTTGAACTTAATTGATTTTCAATCAGAAGAGCCATATTCCTAATTGTAATTCATCACATTAAATTCATATACAGTATTATGAAAACTTAATCTGGATTTTCTCGCCATAACTTCATAAAAAAAACTAACCAAAATTTTTCAAGGGTCATAATATTTTTATAGTTTGGAATTGAAACTAATTGATGAAAAATTATTAAGGGTTTAGTTTCAAACATACGGGAAAAGTGCAGTAAAAATTGAATACATGGTGGATCTTCGAAAAGTTCTTGCCTAGGAAGAAGCTAGTTAAATATTCCAGAAACATTTCGAAGCGAGAATTAAGGTTGGAGTTCCTTTAAAAAGTTCAAGAATGAAGGAACAATCGCTCCTGCTTCAGCTCGACATCTGACTCACCTGGTAGAGTTCGGTGCACTTGGCGACGTGTCTTGCAGGGAGCCTCATGTCGAATGGCTCAGGACAGTCGCCGACCGTCGCACCCTTGGAGGATCGATCGAGAGCCAATTTCAGCTCAATCGCAGCCAATTCTCGACGTGTCTTTTGTTCTTCTATAGCTACATTTCGCCCTCTCTTCTCATTTCCCACAAAAAAGTTCCAAATGTTCATTCAAACTAAATTATTTAAGAAAAAAAGTTGTTACATCTAATTAGGAATGACTTGAAGGTTTCGTTCAAAGAAGCCTCCATGATGTTCGGATGAGAGGCGGAGGATTGAAGAGACCAGCTCCGAAGTGGACTGCTCCACCTTCAATTATTTCTTGGGTTTTCATTTAATGCATGAAGCTCGAACCGTGAGCAGAGCATTTTTGCCTCCCATGTCGGTCTGGACCCATCCAGGACAGAACGAAGTCACGAGGATGTGCAAGGGCTTCAGGTCGATGGAGCACGATTTGGCGAACGAGTTTAGCGCTGACTGAAAAAAAAAGAGCATTTCTTTTAATAATCACTGTTTTCTATAGCCTGTGTACCACGACTTGAAATTTCACGGAACGACATTCCGCTGTGCCGCCTTCGCGAACCTTGGTCGCGCTTTTAACTTTTTTTTTCTTTTATTATGGTACTCTACTTTCTTGTGCTCTCACAGCAATAACAATACATTGCAAATGTGACTAGGATTCGAAAGACGCTTCGCGAACACACGCGGCGGAACAGCGGAATGTCGTTCCGTGAAATTTCAAGTCGTGGTACACAGATACGTGGTTCGTGGTACATCAACTCATTTACCAGAACCTTCTGCACATCTCATCTTCAAAAACTAGAAGGCTCATGTGTATGTACTTTCAGTGTTTCAATCAAATTAAAATATTCGGGGCGCGCCGTAGCGCAACAGGTTGTGTGCCTGTCTACGGTCCACAGGGTCACAAGTTCGATCCCCGCCCCGACCCAACCAAGGGGTTTAAGAAATGGTGGTAGTGGGAAAACACGACTTCAAAAATCCCCAGCCGTCACACACAAGGACGGATATGTCACTCGAGCCAGTCCACTGATTATCAGGATAGGACCTCGGCTAATCGACTTGGGGCGCCGACGCCGCTCAAGCGGTACAAAGGCGTAGGAAGAAGAAGAAGAAGAAGAAGAATCAAATTAAAAATATTCAAAAAAATAATTTTCAACGAAATTCTATTCTATTTACTCTCCCGTGAGGTAAAAAAAGCAGTTCGATATAAAATCTTTTTCAAAAAAAAATGTTCAATTAGAAATATTGAAAAAAATGAATATTTATCGTTGAAGCATACTTACCTTGCTCATGCGATAAGCGACCAGCGGACCATTGAAAGTGCCGTCGATTTTCTGGATAGAGGCTGCCGTCGACGAGATATTGACGATGGCGGCACGATCAACGGAGAGCCGCTCGCCCTCTTCCAATTCTGCGGCTTTTCGGAGCAGCGGCAGCATTCTCTGAAATATTTTGTTGGTTGCAAGAATAAGCTGTCTACCTGAATGAAAACGGCGGGAGAGATTGAATTGGTCTCCAACTGCTTCCTTATTGTTTCACGGTCAGGCTCTTGCAAGACGTCGTAGTCGATCAAGACGCCGGCGTTGTTCACCAACACCGCCAAGCCTTTCTCTCCCAGCAAAGACTCTGCCTGGATAGCGAGAGTTTGGAAATGAAGAATGAAAGTTTTACCTTGGAGTAGAAGGCATTGATCGACGAGTCGTCATCTATTTCGAGTTGGAGCAGGTGCAGACGTTCATCCTTGATTGCAAGAAGCTCCTCAAGTTGTTGAGGGATATCTTCATGTTCTTTTTTTTCAAACCTCTGCCTTTTCAGGTTGACGACAAGTGGCGATGATCACTTCGATTTCTCGATTTTTAAGCAGCTGAGAGACGATTCCAAGACCGATGCCGCGGTTTGCTCCAGTAACAACGAAACTGCGAGGGGCCATTTTCCAGAAATGCTTTTATTGTTCAGCGTTTTTCGAGATAAAAAGGAGTAAAAACCCATTAAAGTGCGAAAATGCGTTCAAATTCAAATAGATAAGACCTTTTTGAATGCAGATTTCCATTCGAGAATACGAAAAAATAATTTCTTTGTATGTTTTTGTATTTTCAATGAAGCAGTAGAATATTCATTATTAAGAAAAAAAATTAATATTGTTTCTAATTTAATGAAATGAACGTAAAGTCGGAGAATCGTGTAGAACGGGAGAAAAAAAACATTTCAAGCGGATTTGTTTAATGGTAAAATTCACAATTTTTACATTTGCAAGTCAAATACATGCTCAGATCAAAAATGCTAATTTGGTATGTGCGGCTAACCTATATGAGAGAAGGTTGTCGCCGAAAATAATCGGAGGAGAGTTAGGACAGCAGAGAAACGGAAAAAAGAGAAAGAGAAAGAACATGCGATTGAAGAGAAAGTCTGAAGAGCGCAATTTTTCGTGGCGTAGTTAGGTATCCCAAATAAATAATGAAAGAGCGATTCAAAAATTAATAGTTTCACTGGAACGAAAAATTGTGAAAGAAATGAAATCGAATCAGTTAGAAAGGAATAGTTTTTAGAGTGCGGTCCAAATATCCGCCATTGTGCTCTTTCTGAAGCCGCAAAATGGTGGGCACCAAGTCACGCAGAGATTCTTCCAACTAAAATTCAAATCGTAATTAAGAAGTTCAAAATTTTTATACCGTTAAAAGAGCGCTATCTCCGCCCATGTCGGTCTGGACCCATCCAGGACAGATCGAGGCCACCAGAATATGATCATTAGCGAAGTCGTCGATCGACAACGTTTTTGAGAACTGATTCAGCGCCGCCTGAACACATTTTTCTAGGAATGGCTTTAGAATTACTGTATAAATTCAAAAAAGTCTCTCACATTCTAAGAATCTCACTTCATTTACATTTATCAATTTTTCGTTATCTAGAAAGCAGAAAACTTGTATTAGGCAACGTGAACTTTTCGAGACTTGAAAGGAGATCGAAACGTGATTTTAAAGGTTATTCGTTGCGGACTTCTGGTAGGAAACGCAATTCTCAACGCAAGCCTCTTTTTATTTATAGTCTGTTCAGATTTTGAATGTCAACCAGCTAACTCCACTCCTGCTGAGACGGTACCTTTTCGCGTCGATGTTTTTTTCGCGCGGGACTAATTTTGATCTTTTTTGATCTAAAAGATAGAAAAAGAAGTCAAAAATGCAGCCTTATTAAAGGGCCATCGTCATCTGTAGATAAAACATTGACGCGAAAGATATTGTAGCCTTGGGGGTGGAGTTAGCTGCTTGACATTCAAAATCTGAACAGACTATAAACTTGAATTTATTGTTTTTTCGATGTTCTTCCGGTCATTTTCTTATTTGTTCATGGCATTGCGTTTCGAGGAAATAAACATTAACATCAAGAACTGCATTGCGATCGCAACGAGTCACAATTTGCTTATTTCGCCTTCCATTCTGGGAAAAATCAGCCAATTTCAAGAAAAAAAAAATAGTGAAATCTTCAAAAAGAATTCTGACCTTGCTCATGCGGTAGATCAGCATACTATTGTCTTTGGGTCCACGTTCTTTGCTTCCTATAGATCCAGCTCCCGAAGAAATATTGACGATAGCGGATCGGTCGACGTTGACGTCATCGCCGCCATAAGCTTTAGCGGCTCTTCGCAAGAGAGGCAAAAAAGTCTGCGAGATGACGATGATGCCGAAGACGTTAGTGTCGAATTGGCGGACGATATCTTGCCTCTTCGGTGGCTCTTCGAAACTGTACTTGACGTTGATCCCCGCGTTGTTGATCAGCAGGTTGAGGCCTTTCTCTCCGACCACTTCGTCAACCTTAATTTGATGTTTTCTAATGAGTTGGAGTTGGACTAGCTCGAAAGAAAAGCAACTTAAGGGAGAAAACCTCTTTATAAGCGGCTTCGATGGATTGGTCGCAGGTGGCGTCGAGTTTGACAAGATGCAGACGACCGTCTTTGATAGCTTTCAACTCCTGAATATTCGTCTTTTTTTTCTGAAAATTGCCTACTGAAAACTTCGGCTTCGTCTGGATTTCTACAACCGGCGAATATAATTTCAATCTTCTCGTTCTTCAAAAGAGTCTTGACGAGACCGAGGCCGATGCCACGGTTGGCGCCAGTTACCAAGACACTTCGTGGAGCCATCTCTGACTTGAAAAAATAAATTTGAATAAGGCATGTGTAATACGCATTTTTGTAATCTTTTCAAAAAAAAAATTGAAAGCATTCAAATTCAGTAAATTAAATAGAAAACAAGAAGCTTCCGGTCAAATAGCGAGGAAATAGAGAAGAGAAGAGACAAAATGAAACTGGATTTTGGACTTTTTGGCCTTAGCAACGAGACAACACACGCACGTGTAGCTTATATAGGATAAGTCTCGGTTCAGTAAACAAATTTTGTTTTCTACGTCAGCGGCGGACAAAAAAATGATGACATCTCAACGAGGTCAACGAATACAAAGTTGAATTGTCATCAGTCCAACAGGAACAAACTTTAATACGAGGTACGAAAAAAAAATATTCTGAGAATGGGTTTGCGTTTTTTAATCATCATCATCCATGAATAATCACCTTAAAAATTGAATGATCATTTTAGAACAAGATTATTCACGTTCATCTCCCAGATCTTCGAGCTAGATAAAATGAAACCTTCTCGTTCGAGAAATCTTGGAAAAACAAAATCCCCTACATCTTCTCGTTATTTTGTGTGGTATAGAAGTCGAACTTCGGCAGAGGACTTTATTTCGTGGCACGTGCTAGCAGTGTACCATGCCAGAGATATGTTGTAATGAAAGTTGGGACGAACGCCGTCAAGCATTCGTCTTTCATTGCATATTTTCACCCTACACTATGGGATAAAATAATTACAGTACGAAAATTAAAAGAATATTCTGAGAATGGGTTTGCGTTTTGTATCATCAACGTATGCATACATGAATAATCATTTTAAACAAGAATGATCATTTTAGAACAAGATTCATTCATCTCTCAGATCTTCCGGCCAGATAAAATGAAACCTTCTCGTTCGAAAAACTCTTCGAAGATGCATAATAAATGAAATAAATATATTGAAGTCAGATCGTATCCTTTTATTCAACTAACAGTTGCGTAAAAAAAGATGGTTCACGTGATAAACTTGCTCAGGTTGGACTTTTTGCACTTTCTCTATAAACCTACTACAGAGTAACTGGAAAATGGTTATCAAACTGAAAATTAACGCTGAACACTTCGAATAATTGCACTGCACTCGAAAAAAAGGTGCTCAAAAACCTAACAAAAAATATTTGACTTCAAGTATATCAGAGATTCTGGTCTCATCCATTGGTCACCAGAAAAGTACTTTGTCATGTTCTATACAATTGCATTGGAACTTCATCAAATACTCTGAAAGCTGAAAAATGTATTCCAAACTCACAAATTTAGCGCTTCACAGAAACAACAAATAATTTTTGGGCGGGGTGATTATATTTCAATTTCAACATAAATGAACAGAAGTACATAAAAAAATCATTTTGGTTTATATGTTAATATATACATCCACTTCAGAACTAGTAGGGGATAGGTTGGAGATTGCGGTTGAAGTAGCCGCCAGAGTGTTCCTTCTGAAGCCGCAGGATGCTGGGCACCAGTTCTCGCATGGAATCTTCCAACTGAAAAAAAAATAAACTTTATTCCATGAACCTGAAATTTTCATACCGTAAGAACAGCGCCATCTCCGCCCATGTCGGTCTGAACCCATCCAGGGCAGAAAGACGCCACCAGAATGTGATCACCGGCTAAGTCGATCGACAACGTTCTTCCGAACTGATTCAGTGCCGACTGAAAAATTTATTAAAAAAAAATACACACCTTCAACAATTTCTTAACTGTAAAAATAAAAAATGAACTTTTTTTGAGAAAAGCGGCGCTGAATGAATGTTTGAAAAAAAAAATGGCGCTGAATGAATGTTTCACCACCCGCTCTTATGTTTCTAACTTCTTAATAGACTCAAAAAAAATGCTCATGAAAAGCACGATTCGAACTAAAATCCTTACCTTGCTCATGCGATAAGCCAACAGGCCAAATGGAGTTGATCCTCGATCGTTGTTTCCGATGGAACCACCTCCAGAAGAAATATTGACGATAGCGGATCGGTCGATGCTGACGTCATCGCCGCCATGAGCAACAGCGGCTCGTCGAAGAAGGGGTAGGAAAATCTGCGAGATGACGACGACGCCGAAGGTGTTGGTGTCGAACTGGCGGGCAAGTTCTTGTCTCTTCGGCGGCTCGTCGATCGGGTACTTGACCATGATTCCTGCGTTGTTAATCAGCAGGTTGAGGCCTTTTTCTCCGACCAACTTCTCGACCTGAATTTCCTTATTATGAAGCGAAATGAAGATCTGTTATATCAGTCAGCAGATCACCTTGCACTTATTCGTCTGATCCGACAAAATGCATAAGAAAAAAGAGAGAATCTATTGGGAAGAAAAAACCTCTTCAAAAGCGGATTCGATAGACTGGTCGCAAGTGGCATCGAGTTTGACAAGATGCAAACGACTGTCTTTGATCGCTTTCAGCTCCTGAATAATAGTTCATTTCAAAAAAAAAATCGAGAATCTGAAAACTTCGGCCTCTCCAGGTTTTCTACACGCTGCGACGATAATCTCAATTTTCTCGTTCTTCAAAAGAGTCGTGACCAGACCGAGGCCGATACCGCGGTTGGCGCCAGTCACCAGAACACTTCGGGGAGCCATCTTTTACTCGAAAGAAAAAAAAAAATCGAAACGAGAATAATTTCTTTTTACGACTGTAGTCTTTGCGACATAATTCAAAGTAAAATATTCAAACTCGGCAAAGTAAATAAAAAGAAAGCTTTCAGTCAATGAAACCGCGACTGCAAATGATAAAGGAAAATGGGATTTTGCATTTGACCTTAGCAACGAGACAAAATAACACGCACGTGCAGCCTGAGAAATTTCGGTTCAGTAAACAAATCGCTAGGTCCGGGGTAGACAAAAAATGATGACAATTCTACGAAGTTAGAGGAACCCGAGTTGAATTATCATCATCCTATAGTAGAAATATCATCAGTCTAGAAGGAATAAATTTTTATAACAAGATCCGAAAATTAAAAAAAATATTCTGAGAATATGTTTGCGTTTTGTATCATCATCATACATGAATGATCATCTTAAACATGAATGAATATTTTATAATGATTTATTCATCTCCCAGATCTTCCAGATAAAATGAAATCTTCCATTCGAGAAATTCTTCGAAGTTTCATGATAAATGAAAGAAATATATTGAAGTCTGATCGTATTCTTTTTATTTAACTCACAATTGCGTAATAAAAAAATGGTTCGCAGGATCAACTTTCTGACGTTGAGTTTTTTTCGGAAAAATTATTTTTAAAAAAACTTTAATAGCGTAATTAGAAAATGGATTTCAAATTGAAAATAAGCGCTGAGCAAGTCGAATAATTGCATTGCATTCGAAAAAGAGAAGTTCGAAAAATTAACGAAACATATTCAACTAAAAATTTATGAGAAAGATTCTGGTCTCATCCATTGGTCACCAGAAAAGTACTTTGTCATGTTCTATTCAATTGCATTGGAACTTCATCAAATACTCTGAAAGCTGAAAAATTTATTCCAAACTCACAAATTTGGCGCTTCACAGAAACAACAAATAATTTTTGGGCGGGGTGATCATATTTCAATTTCAACATAAATGAACAGAAGTACATAAAAAAATCATTTTGGTTTATATGTTAATATATACATCCACTTCAGAACTAGTAGGGGATAGGTTGGAGATTGCGGTTGAAGTAGCCGCCAGAGTGTTCCTTCTGAAGCCGCAGGATGCTGGGCACCAGTTCTCGCATGGAATCTTCCAACTGAAAAAAATATATTTATTCCATGAACCCAACAATCTCCAACCGTGAGTTCAGCTTTCTGTCCGCCCATGTCGGTCTGAACCCATCCAGGACAGAAAGACGCCACCAGAATGTGATCACCGGTCAAGTCGATCGACAACGTTTTTCCGAACTGATTCAGAGCCGACTAAAATATTAATTTTGAACAAAAACACAACTCTAAAAAAAGTATGCACACTTCGAATCAAAGTTATTACCTTACTCATGCGATAAGCCAACAGGCCCACTGGAGTTGATCCTCGATCGTTGTTTCCGATGGAACCAGCTCCCGAAGAAATATTGACGATAGCGGATCGGTCGACACTGACGTCATCGCCGCCAAGAGCAACAGCGGCTCGTCGAAGAAGGGGTAGGAAAATCTGAGAGATGACGACGACGCCGAAGGTGTTGGTGTCGAACTGGCGGGCAAGTTCTTGTCTTTTCGGCGGCTCGTCGATCGGATACTTCACGTAAATTCCAGCGTTGTTGATCAGCAGGTTGAGGCCTTTCTCTCCGACCAACTTCTCGACCTAGAGTACCGTACCTTGTGAAGCAAAATAGAAATCTGTTATTTCAGATCATCTCACAGTTATTCATTCTAATCGACAATTTGCATAAAAAAAAGAGAAACTACACTGGAAAAAAAAGAACCTCCTTGAAAGCTGCCTCGATGGATTTGTCACAAATGGCGTCGAGTTTGACAAGATGCAGACGATTGTCTTTGATCGCTTTCAGCTCCTATATAATAGTTCATTTCAAAAAAAAAATTGTGCATCCGAAAACTTCGGCTTCTCCAGGATTTCTACACGCTGCGATGATAATCTCAATCTTCTCGTTCTGCAGAAGAGTCGTGACCAGACCGAGGCCGATGCCGCGGTTGGCACCAGTTACCAGAACACTTCGTGGAGCCATCTCAAACCCTTTCCGTAGAATGATAATAGTCGAAAAATTCGACATTCGTGTACATCAATACAAAAGTCACAAAACCGCGACAGACAAATAGAAGCGTGAGAAAACTTGATTTTTGAACTTTATGGACTCGGCAACGCACATAATTCCGTGCTCGACGCGAATCCCCGAAACGTTTTGGAAGAAAAACATCAATTATATGAGATGACCCGAAACGTTTTCTTTTCTCTCAATATTGTAATGTATTTATAAAAAAAACGCGTTGGAATTGGAATAAATGGAAACGCAATGAGAAATCAGAATTAACACGGAAGTTTATACGCGGGAAATTGAGAAGAACCTCTGGAAGGTGCAAAGGAGTTTAGAAATAGCGAAAAATGGGAAAAGAGATAAGGAAAGAAGTTTTGTTGTGCGCACTATTTGATCTCTAAGAAACGCAGCTCACACACCAGCCGGTTCGATAAAGGTTCAGTAAACAATTTCCTCGCATCGCCATCGCCAGAAATGATGACAAAAGGCGTTCTTTGGTTAAAGTCTAAAAAACGCGCTATGCAGCGGGCGAAATATTGGTTTGTTGAACACGCAAGTCAAAAATATATTATTTTTCGCGTTTCCTTTGATTTCTAAATATTTTGAACGTTTCAATTAGTTTGCGAGAGTGAAAGAGCGTTCATTTGCTTTTAATGATCAAGTGGAACCCCATTTCTACTATATCAACAAAAACGACTTTTTCATAAGATACACGTTCTTTAATTGAACTATTTCGAAAAATTGAAAATAAGAACTGTCACTACGACTTGAAAATATTCGGACAATATTTCACCACGAAGAACAAAAAAAGGGGTTAAATCATGAAAGTTCATTTGAAAAATCAACAATAAAAATTTGAAAAGATATCGAACAGATGAAATTTAATTCAAAAGGTGAGATCAGAAGTAAGAGGCCATCCGACGCATCTGCACAATGTCGTCAATGATGTGATACCTTAAAAAAATTGGATTTTGCGTAAGGTTGTTATTTATTATGTAGAATTCTAGCTTTTTGAAATTATTACGTTGAGAAGCTCGGATCCTAATTGAACTTTAATCAATCGCAGCGCTATTTTTCGGCGTGTGTTGAACTTTTTTTGAAGATTAATTCAAATTTTTTTTAAAAAAATATGAATATAGATCTCTTTTTCAGGCAAAAAAATGATCAAGATAAGACCTGCTAGCGCCGAGTCGACGAGCCAAGTCTTGCTTGTCGGAATTGGAGAGGTGGAGATACTGTTCGATGACGTCACCATCGACGATGTTTCTGTGACTGGCGCCGTTGACGATCGGCTGTTGAGGCTTGGCCACGCGAGCTCCCTGAAGTCTCTTTGACTCTTTGCCCTTGTTGGTCAGTCACCTTTGGATGAAGTCCAGCTCCTTGTTCCGTTACCGTAGGAACGAACGTCTGCAGAAAGTGAAGACGCCTGAATCGAGGCCCGTTTGGTTTCTCGCTGTGAACGAGAGCTGACCGGAAAGATTTCTCGCTGATTGGCCGAATATAGCCGAAAGAGCCGTCAAGAGAGGAGAAAATGGTGGTTTGTTGCTGCATAAGAGCCTGCTGCTCTTCCACTGTTGTGGCAGGTGAAAGTGATGTTCGGCCTGCAAGTCTGCAGCTACAGTAGCCTTGTCCTACTGTATCGACCTTTGCACCGGAGGAAGGCGTTGATGTTGGTGCCGATGTTGATGGCGGCACGGACGACAAGGCGATCGCCGCCATTAGACTCGGTCTGTTCTGGGGCGTAGTTGAACATGAACACGTTGGCCGCTTCATCCGACATCACGAACCCGAGGCGACTAGAAAGACGAAATTTTGTTCCTTTTTTAAAAACATTTTTCAGCTTTTACCAGAGCTGTGCGCTGCGCCGAGGGTGATGACCGAATCGGCGCACAATCAATCGCGAAACTTTTTATCTCATTACATAATTTTTCTCACATAATTTTTCGAAATAACAAATTTTCGATCACTCACTCCCCGGATTACACACTCTGTGAAAGTTTTGAAGTTTCCGAAAATTAATCTCAAATCTCTTTGATTAACACCTAGTTCAGCGCAACTTGAAGCTCTGAAACACCAGAAGTTTCGAGAAAATATATCTCCCATACTGAAAAGTTTCACAAAACTTTTAGTACTTTTATCCAGTAGATTGAGGGATTTTTCGCACAGTTTACAGAAATTTCAATAAGCCTAGTGAAATGGCCTTCATTGTATGAGTCAGCAGTCCTTTTTCTTCTATTTGCATCTCCTTTCTCTCTTTTTTGAAAATGAGAATAGTCTAGTTTTATCGAATTCTGAGGTCTGACCTTCCATCGACTACGTATTGGGCGGTCATGGGCGGCTGTGCACATTTCCTGTCGTCTCTCGAGGCGACTGACAAAGCTTTGAACTCTTCCTGAACAAATGACTAGCATCGAGTGAAGAACTACGGAAAGAACCTGGAAACGGACGAGGGACATGCTGTCCTCGACGTCGCACGCCAGAACAATCGACCTGACCGATATCATCTGATGGACGTAGTAGTGCATGTCGAGGAAGGAAAGTCCGTGCAAATCTCCGTCTTTATACATCCAAATAAACACCTTGAAAACAATTTTTTTTGTTCCTGTTTTAAACGACGCAAACTTTTTGTCCCATTCCGCTGAGCAAGAGTCCATTCACGGCACACAACGATGTGACAGGCCCTTTTTGTTCCTTGTCGTAGAGAGTCTTGACACGGAAACATACAGTAAGACTCCTAGGAGAGGAACCTTGATCTTGCGGTTGGAAGTCGGCTGGCCGGGCTCAGGAACGACGTCGATGATTTCGCAAAGGATGATTCTTCCACGGACCAGCACTTCCTCACCGTAGTTGTTGACGGTACCGAGGGCCAGGAAAGTCTCCATTCCACTCATTGTAGACTCAGACCTAAAACTCAGATATGAAAAAAGCTAAAAAAAAACCTTTCCGGATGAGAAAGTTTGAAAAATGTATTGCGTTCATGGAAAAACTAATTACATTTAACTCAGAAAACATACTCGAAAAAGTTCAGTTCAACTTTTTCAGTTGTAAACCCTAATTCATATCGAATATTAAAAAAAGCCTAACAAGCTACGTAAAAAAAATGAAAAAAAAAACTTCCTAACGAAATCATGAATATAAATCACTCCCAATGGGAGAAGTTGTAACAATTTTGGGAAGATACTATCTTTCTCAATTAAAAAAAAAACTCCAGGTCTAAAATATTGCGCATCAGAATGCCATCAAAAAAAAAAGGAGAAGGAAGTCAAACTTCAACGCGACGTCTTCACACGCGGTGACGACTTCCATTTTTTCGAAGACGATCTCCGTGTTGGGGACGGCGGCCCAGTCCTGCGGCGAGTACAGCTGAAAAAAAAGATTCTGAGCCATCAGGAAGGATTTCCAGTACATTGAGTTTGTAGTCGGCGATGGAGGGCAAGACGAACTTGTCGTCTTTTTCGTGTGTTTCTTCCTGCTTGTCGTCGTTCATCACCACCCAGATTTTGTTGCTCGGCTTGGCGACTGACGTCACGACGGCGTAAACCTGCAAACTTTACATCTGAAAAAGTTGCGGGCTGAAGAAATAAAACTTCGCTGTTCATCAGATATCGGACGTGATGAACTGTCGCTCCAACCGGAACTTTCCTGCTTGGATAAGGCATGTCGTAGTCAAAATCCGGCTGAAATTATTACATGTATATACTTTTTTATCCGATGAATTTATTTTCATTGAATGCCTCTATATTATTTTGTTTTATGAAGAAATATTGCAAATATAACTTTCATGGTTTTCTTCCTCACGCCACAGATCTGTCTGTGAGCGAAATTCAAGAAGAGAAAAAAAACAAGTCAGTTTACCAATCTATATCTCTCCTTGAAAAAAATCTAATAATCTAATAAGCGAATAATAAAGATGAGGACGACATGGGATATAGAAGTAATGCATAATTAAAAAAAATTCTTTTTAAAGAGATTCATAAATCTGCTTTTGAATCGAAATCTCACCGATAATCGAGCGATCCGAAGTTCAGAGTCAGCTTCTGTTAAATAGACGAAACCATGCAAGACGTTCTCGTTGTTGAAAGGAGTGAAAGCCCTGGCAAAATAGAAGAAAAAGGTCAACAGTCTCTCCCATAGAAGCCAACTTGATAGTTCCATCAAGAGTAAATTCGTGGGTCTGGATCCCGCCCCAAGAGCTGTACAGAACCAAAGTAGGAACAGGTCCTATGATCATCACGCCATTATTCTGAGCAATTGAAATTGGATTGAAAAAAAGTGCGAAGATTAGTTTACCACAGATGAAAGCCTTTCGAAGGGATGGATGATAGAGTAAGGTCGCTCCGAAGAGTTGCCGATTTCAAGCTAAAAATATCTACTCAGACTGAAACCAGAACCAAGTCTCAAAAATAAAATAGAATTTGAACAAGAAAACTCTCTCAGCGATTCAAAATTATCAGTTGCTATTTCACTCAAAAACATACATCTGAAGATCATAGTTTCAAAAATATGAATTGAAATTGGATATTAGTGATCAAATCATATTCTCAGTAGTGTTCTAGAAAATGAAAGTCCATTTTCCGAAGTCCTCATATAAAATTTTCACATAACCTTTGCTCCCATAATAACTTTTTTCCTCACAAGGAAAGCCATTCCAGTATGAAATTACAAATTTTCTGAAAATTAGCTTCAAAAATCTCTGAAGGTCTAGATGATCCCTCGTAACGGATATTCTTATTAAATATATATGGATTAAAAAAAAAATGAAAACAATGATTTCAAGCCGAACTTTGTGTTAAAGAAAAACTTCGAAAATTTATATTTCAAGAACTAAATTCTGTTAATTAGCCGCTATAAGAATTAGATCCAGACCTGCAGAGCGTTAGAACAAAATTTTGGACAGTTGCAAAGTTCACTGTTGGATGACTTCCCTGTCAGAAGACTTACTGTCGCCCGCCGACCATCGGTCCCGATGTAAGGAGAAGAACGCAAAAAGACGGTGCTGTGGAGCCGGCGGAACGACACGCAGAGATGCTCTGAGAAGAGTTGGAGGGTCGGAGGAGCGGGCCAACGAACCAGGAATGGGGTTGTCGACGACAAACATCTCGTACATGACGACCTGCTCGTCGACGATCGCCATCAGAATCGCGTGTCCTTGATTGATTCCCATGCCTTAAAGAAGAAAGACCGAAGTGAGCGCGGATCCTGGAGTCCTCACCGACAATCTGCGCCTCCGTGACGCGTTCCTCGGGTCGCGATATTTCCGCTGTCATCTGTTCGGCATGGGCCGTCGCGGCGAGTGCGGCTGCAACCAACAAAATTTTAATAAACTATAATTTCGTTAATGAGTAGGAAAATGAATATGTTGCAAAGTTTCCATAAAGCCTCTATTTCAGCCTTTCTTTTCATGTGAACATTTCAGATGACCTGCAAAGTTTCTGCGATTACTAAATTGAAAAAAATCTTTCTTTCAGAGGTAAGAATATACAAGAGAGAATGAGAAATCTCTGAGAGCTAAATCTCGAAGAAACTTTTGCTCCTTTCAGAAGTCAAAAACCGACCCAAACAAAAAAATTATTTGTGCAATTTATATATAACCTTTGGAAAAGCGAGAAAAGTGTTTTTTTCAAAAATATTTTTTTGCAGTTCTCAAAAGTGTAATGAAATTCCTCTTTTTTGAAGCCCTATTGGACAAATGAAGGTCCTTAGAATTCTTGAATCTCGGTACAATCCAACTTCTGCTTCTTCCTAGGGCAAATCTTTCGTAGTCTAAAAAGAACCTTTTGCTCTCCGGTCCCTCTCTTCCTCCTCGACACTCGTATCGTTCAGCACTTCTGGCACACTGAAGAACTTCCTAATCTGAAATCCCTCGTCATATATTGAAATATCAAACGGAGAATCAACCTGATAAACAACGGTCATGTCGGGAAGTGAGTGAATGACGAGACGTCCATTTTCGTGCACAAGCACCAACCAAAATGTCACGTTTGCTGCAAATGGATTCTGATGAGATCATGGTCGAGGTGAATGTCGGACCGAAGCTTTTTGTAGGGTCGATGGCGTCGGATTGTTCGCCACCCCTGCTCGAGTAGACGACGTTGTGGCCGAGGCGCTTGCGTTTCCGGGAGGTGTCCTTCTGGTTGGTCGACGTCTTCGAACTCGTCGTCGGCTCTCCATAGAGCAGAAAGTCGTCGTCGTCGCCATACAGCGTCGTGTCTGCTTCCTGAAAGCTTTCAGAAGTGCAAACATCCTTTTTTGAGACTTTTTACTTTATTCTCTGGCTCCTCTTCAGCCTCAGCGACAGATTTCGAGGTGGAGCACATCATCAGACCTGTCGCGTCGCTGTAGATCGAGATGGAGGTGAGCGTCGTGTTGCGAGCACTCGAAAATGGAGTCGAAGACAGGTCGACTTCCTGTAAATGAAGATAACTTTTTCCCCGACTCTTTTTTCCTTTAATACCTTTAAATGAACATAAGGAGCTGTAACCAGCTGGTACAGGAGCAACTGGCCGTTCTGCGTCAGAACAGCAACGTAGGGATCGACGATTGAAGCCATCGTGACTGGGAAATTGGAGTCAATGTGAACCTGAGCATTATATTGAGTTCTCGGAAATATTTATCTAAAAAACTTCTTGTAGTTGTTGACCGTCAGCAACTAATGCGATACACATTGATGTCACCTGAAAAAATATTTTCGAAAGAAAAAGAAATTGAAAAAATAAATAAACCAAAATTCGTGATTATTGAACCAAAAAGCATATTCTCAAAGACAGTAAAAACGGTAGAAATTTGAAAAATTTGTCAGGCATGCTTATTCTCTCTTATGAAACTTTGATGTTTAGTAATTTCTAATAATGCATGAATTACCGACCTGAACGGCGAGACTTCCCTGAAGGAGTTCTCCGGCGGCGACCGTCGGTTCCCCGGAAACGAAGAGAGGTTCCTCGAGCTCCACCATCTCTTCGCCCAACTCGAGGACCAACGTCGACCTCAGCCGCGTCACGATCAAATACCTGTCATAATCCAATCTCCTTCCAAAAACACCCAAGTTCTCACTTGTGAGATTCGTCTTCTTTCCTGCCGACGGCCCACATTTGCTGAGCATTTTCTAAGCTGAAATAAGAAAGATTAGACATAGCGAGTCGAAGATCGAAAACTAGCTGCTGGTGATGATTTCTGGCCGAACCGACCGTTGCAAAAGACACAGAGAACCGTCTTTTCCGTGGCCACTTGCAGTTATCTGAACACATTTCTCGAAATGTTGCGATTTGGATCATACGATGTCGAAAATGGGATCGAGGCGACTTTTCTGGTTGAGAACGGGACTCAAATCGTGGCTCTGACCGAAGCACATAGACTTCACGGGACCTTCAAACAATCGTCCTTTTTATTGGTTTTCCGAAAAGTTTTATAACCAATATTTTTCAAGCGATCTAATTCCTTGAAAGCCAAAGTTTCGACAATCGCTTCGTCTTCGTCATTCTGTAGAGAAGAAGTAAAAAAAAAGAAAGAAATGAAGAGAAACTTGTTGATCTTCGATGGTACTTCCATAGAGTTCAAAATCATCTTCGTCTATCGCGATTTCGTCTTCGTTCCGGTCGAGCTTCGGTTTTTTTGCGTCCAGCTCATCTGAGGTTTAGAATTTTTAACTTGGAAAAATTAGTATATAAAATTTCCAACAATGATGATTTAGCTATGATCTGACCTTTCGCCTTTTTCACCAGGGTGTACTCGAGCAGTTGAGAATCTCCAAGCCTCGATCCAACGAACAAATGGCCAGGCGCACAAACGCAAAGAGTGTAAGGAATAGAACAATCTGAGAGCAAATTGCATTATGACATTCAACTTGAGCTTCTGAACTCCGTTTGAAAGAGAAAATGAAATGCTTACCAAAAACCTTGGTGAGCTCGAGAGACTTGACGGTGGTTCCGCCCGTGGAGATGAGCCGCAGAAGCAAAAGTTGGCCGTCTCTGGTTCCGATGGCGATTCTGCCATCCTCCATCCACGTCATGCAGGCACAGTCCAACGTCATCGCCATATCCTTCATGTCCTGCAGCGAAAAACGTGAAATTGGCCTTATTTTTTGTCAAGGCTCATCTGAGGACGGCTAACTCTTTGTATCCTAGTTTCAGACGCTCAGAAGGGTAGAAAAAAAATACTTTTAAAAATTAAAAAAAAGCAAGAAAGAAAAAAAAAGTGCACTCTTATTGAAAAAAATTTTGTGAACTGAATCAAACCATCTGATAATTATTGAAGGTTGAAAAAATACCCTAATGGGCATGGTTTTCACGCTTCCAGATAACTTGTTCCATTTTGAAAATAAGAAACTTTTCAATCGTTTTTTCTCGAACACCTCAAAGTTAATTCGGTAAAAACAGCTTTTCGAGAGAAATTTCAATAATCCAAGTTCTTGAAAACTACATTTGCATTAAGGTATATAAATGATATTTTTCTAGAAAACAAAAATGACAAATATAATTGCCTTGAGAGGAAACTTGGTGAAGTTGTCGTAGCAACTGTTGAGGGAGATTCCGCAGGGAGGAACGGCCTGATTCAAATAAATGAACTCGTTGGAACCGAAAAGAACAGCGCCGCCGAGAGGCTTCGGGACAGCGAGCAGCCTGGAAAACGCCTTCAAAACGATAAATCGGTCTGGAAAACGTTTGACAATCCATAGGAAGATTGGCGGTTTGCCAAACGACGGCGAATTGTCGGTCGTTGATGTTCACGGACACTCCCATCATGCACATTGTGTCAAACCGAATCGAAGCCCTAAAATAACTTGTAAGACAGATTCTCAACCGAAAAAAAAATGTTTTTATCAGAACTCTTCTTTATGAAAGTTTCTTGAAAATTTAAGAAATTTTTCCCACAAATACGTTTAAAAAACTACCTCGAACCTCAAAAAAAAGCAGCCAGGGTTATTGAGGCTTAAAAAAGGTGTAAAAATTTGAAAATGAGCAGATGACATGGCGCAAAAAAGCCCAGGAACTACTTTTCCATCTTTTAATCACACTCTCAGGAAACCTCAGAGCGCTCTTTCCGACTATGCGTATCAAAACCAAAATCCTCCAAGAAAAAAGAACCTTCCAGCGGTTGTTTGCAAAGGCTCGTACAGAAACAGAAGTGTTGGCTCGTAGTATCCGTCGAGAAAAACCATATCTATCACATTTTCCAGCCTTGAAAAATTTGAAAAAAAAAAATGAAAAAGAAAAAAAAGTTGAAAGGAACCTGGCATCTATTTGTTTGAGCGGAATGATATAACTAGAAATCCGTTTTGCGTTCTCGTGAAACGGCAAAATTGCGATATGCCGTCCATAAACAAGCATTGCCGCGCATCGGTTAGAAGGATCCACCTGAAAATGAGCTCAAAACATTTTTTCCAAGAGAGAGAGAGAGATAGAGAGCAGAGAGGTTTTTTAAAAAAAACTAACTGACCCGCACAATCGGATCTGGGAAGAAATGGGTAAACCCTTCGCGAAGGTACTCGCTTTCGAAAGCGTGCAGAGAAATAGTTTGAAGGTTTCTTTCCTTGCTGCTCACCGAAACAATCGAAAGCTTCGCATGGTCAAAGGCCATCAACATGACGTCTTGGTCAGCACACTCTTCAAAAAATCGTGAGTTTTAGCAAGCTCAGCGAGAACTCACGAGGAACTCGAGCAACAGCGAAAGACTGAACTTTGGACAAAAGTCGGCTGCTGAACATGCACTCCAGTTTTGTTTTCTGACGCCACTGATCTTCGTCGGCATCTGGTTCAACCAGCATGTACGGGTTGGTACGGAATAAGCGCACATACTTAGCTCCGATTGTAACAAGTTGATTTCCAGCCCCTTAAACAATATTTCTGAATAATAAGAAAACAACAAATGATAAATAGTCGTACAGTAAAAAAAAAACGTTACTGAAAAGATGAAATTAAGAACGGAAGATAAAACGAACCTTTGAGGAATTTTCCATATGCACTGAAGTTCACTGTCGTTGAATCGTCAGTTTCTCGAAAATACGCATACATCTCGTTGCTAATGTAACGAACTTATAATTGCATCTGTAGAAAAATTTGAATTTGAGTTTATTCATCGAGAAATAGAAAAAAAGAAATTTTTCAAATTAAAAAAATTAAATGTGCGATGGGGCGCGATCTCCTAAAAAAATTTTTTTACGCTAGAATCTACGCGGGAGTTCAAAATTCATTTTTTGCAATAGTGAGAGTAAGAAAAAAATTCTGAAGGAAAATTTGATGTGAATAAAATAAATAAAAATAAAATGTGAATATGACAAACTTACGACTAAAGAAGAGGATAATAAACTGTTTCAACAAGTTTTTCCTCAATTATACTTTAAAAAAACCAATAGATCCCTCAAGGATTTTCTCTGTCACACAGTGCTGGGTTTTTCGAATGACGTAATATTTTTTAAAAACAAAACATGAATATTTCAGGGCCTGTTTTAATTCGATTGTTTATTTTTGACGACTTGCTCCTTGGACTGTCAAATAGTTATGGACCAGAGGACAATATCTTATCTTACTTATCATGCTGGTGTACGCGAGGAACTCACCGCGTGCTGTCTACCTTTTTGTAATGTCTACACTCTTTGAGAAGGCTAAAACTATTTGAGAAGCCCTTTTTTAGTTTCGTAAGTTATGAGATATCCATCCAATGACTTTTCAGCGTCTCATGCGTTTGTTTTGGCTCATTTTGAGCACTCTCATTCCGAGTTCTATCGCTTTGAATGTCTTGTTCTACATTGCTGCGATTGGGAAAAGCCATTTGGACTTCACAGACTCGCTAATCGACACATTGGTTGAGAGAGGACACACGGTCGTCAGTTGACTTTTTCAAAACTTCGAAAAGTGTTTGGATTGTTAGGATCTTCTGATTGGACGTTTCAACTCTTTGGTTACATCGAACGGGAAAAGCAAGGCAGCACGAGTTTTCTCTTTTGGATTCAAAGGAGTGAGTCCTTGGGTAAAATCGACGCACTTGACTGATCCATTCGCGCCGTCTCCACAGCCAATCAACGATTACAAGTTCTTCCTCAACGTCAGCCACGGCCTTTGCGAAGGTGCCATCGCCTGAGAAACAATAGGTGTACAAGTATTGCAGTTGCTTTCTCGAAAGATGGCCCGACAGAGTTCATCTCTCAAAGGAAGTACGACATCGCCATCGGCTCTGACTACGACTTCTGCGGCTTCGCGTTGTTCCGAAAAGCGAATATTCCGTCAACGGCCTCCTTCACGTCAACCGCGATGCTACCGCTCCAAGCTATCAACCTCGGACTCCCCAGTACTGCTTCTTCAAACATGTGTGAGTTGGAAGTTGGTCGGGCTCCCATCAGAGAACTTCAGTTTTGATGTTTCCGGAGAACCTTGAAAACCTGGTGAGCCGGACTAGAAATCTGCTTCGCTGGGCGGCGGCAAACTACATCCATCACTGGGCGTTTGTCAACGATCATGTTGGTTTTTCTATAAAAACAAAAAGATCTTTCGGAGTAACGGCGATTCCAAATACTTTCAGACAAAACTTGCGCGAGCCGCGTATGGAGAGGACTTCGAAGACGGAGATCACCTGGCGAGAGATCTCGACGTCATGTTCATCAACGCCAACGAGATCCTGGAAAGACCAAGACCCATTTCTCACAAGGTCCAGTACATCGGCGGCGTCAATCTCCGACCTGCCCAACCCATTACCGAGGTTTTCTTTTTCGCAGTTTTCTTTTCAGCAAATCGAAATATTCCAGGAATATGAGAAGATCCTTTCCTTGAGACCTCGCGGAACTGTTCTATTCTGTTTCGGAACTCAGGTAAGTATTAAACTATTCAAATTTCCCAGATCTGAAGCAGGTGCCAGGCAGGGCTTTTCCCCGGCAAGTCAAAGAGAACCTGGTGAAGGCTTTCGCTCAGTTCCCGGAGTACACATTCATCTGGAAGTACGAGAAACAGCCAGGAGATGAAGTTCTTTTTGAGAATTCCCACAATCTTCACTTGGTTGATTGGCTTCCGCAGAATGACTTGCTCAGTTAGAACCGAAATCTTCTCCAACAGCCATTTCCGATTTCAGATGACAAGCGTGTAGTGGCGTTCATTTCACACATGGGTCTGAACTCTTTCCTGGAAGCTTCCTATGCTGGAGTTCCTATCCTGGCCATTCCTATGTTCGCTGATCAGCCTTACAACGCCATTTCAGGTGTGAAAGTGAGGAAATCGTCGCAAAAAAGTTTGCAGCAAAGTCCCGAGGAACGACCGTGGTCCTTGACAAGACCAAACTAACGACCAAGAAGATTGTCAAAGCCTTGAAAGCGGTGCTAGAAGACGAAAAGTGAGAAAAGCCGCAAAATACTCAGAAAAGAAAGAAGTTTGACAGGTACCGCGAAAATGCGAGAAAAGTTCGAAAAATGTTACTGGAAAAGCCAAATCAGCCGAAAGATGTTTTCATAAAATGGGTGGAATTCGCGGCAGCAAATCCTGGCCTTCACAAGGGGAGTTCTTTATTTGAAAATGATGAATTATGCCAGAATAAGGCTTACTCGATTTTTATATTTTTTGGAAGAATGAATGTGTTTCAGATGCTTAATCTGCCAGGACGGGACCTCGATCCAATCCGCTACTATTGCGTAGATGTTATATTTCTGTTCTTTTCCATTTCAGCGTTAACTGTTTTCGTTCTCTACAAAGTGACAAAAGCAGTCTTACGGGTTTCTATCCGATCGCCAGCAAAACAAAAGAAAAATTAGATTTTCCTGATAGTTTATTGTATATAAAGTATAACAACATTTGCGCAACGTGTAACAATAAAAACAACAGATTATCTTTCCCTCAAATGTTCAGTTTTCCCTGGAGAGTCTTCCGAACGACTTCAATGAAAATATCAATATGTTTCCGTTTCTCTGGCTCCTAAATTCGAAAAAAAAATAGGAGGGAAACAATAATTATAAGAAACCTGACCAGCCTCTGGTAGCCGAGAATGTCGCGAAACGTAGTTGCCCAATTCAAAGGCCGCAATTTCGAACATGAGTCCGTTTCGGTCTCTAGTAACCTGGAAAGCAGTTTTGAATAGCCTTCGAAACAAGAAACGGACAATCTGATCTCGGATAGCGGCGGCATAAGCACTGAGAAGCGCCGTGTACTGTACGTAGTGCTGCTCGTCGATTTCTCTCTCCGCCTCAACGCTCCGCGTCTTGATGATCTCGTAGACCGTTTTCTAAAGTCAGAAGCTCATTTCTTGCGAGACAGCGAAAAAACCATTGCCGCAGTGTCTACAGTAACCTGGCGAATGACGCTCCGACGCGGTGACCAGATACCATACCGGAGTTCTATACTGAAACCGCGAAGTCAAGGAAGTCCGCAGCTGGAAAAACTGGCCTATCACTCAGAGAGCCGTTCAGATAGGCACAAATAAGGATAACTTTAGTGAACTGAGCATCTCCCAAGGAATACTGTTCATACTTTTTGAGCAAGTCTTCATAGCTGAAAGTTGATTTAGATCACGAAAAGGAGAAAGACACAAACAACGGCATGAAGGCGTCGAGACCGGCCACCTTGGCATTCATCCTCAACGAAATGCGACCCTCTTTGGCGGCCTGAACGGGACATCAGAAGGAAATCGGAGTAAGGTTACCTTGAGGACGAAGTTGTCCAGAAGTCTCTCCACACAGGACATCGTCCGGCCGTCATCCAGCATCTCAGAGCCTGGAACTTGGATGAGAAACGACCTGACATCGGACAGACCTATCAAAAAGACCTCGGCGATTCTAACCAAAAACTCGCTGGGGTCGGCAAAGGCGAGAAAAGCAGACTTGCGTTCCTCGAAGAGCAGCAGAGTCCAGAAAAGTGCCAAGCGCACGATTTCGACGTCATCAGGCAGAACTTTTCTGAGGTCACCAGTGAAAGGACCTTCGAAGGAAGGCGTACCCGGCTCGTTTATCGACGGCGTCGACGACGGATCTTACGGGAACCAAGGTCCAGCAGCCGTCGAGGATCGGACTGACTCCCTTGGCGAACTCGATCCTTTTCACCCCGTCAACCAGCCTTCAAAAATGATTATGAGACAGAAAGTGATTCTGAAACATTACACTTCTTGCAAGTAGAGCGATTTGATGTCTTCGATAGACTGCCTTGCCGTTTCCAGTAACTCATCCTTCCCATCGCATCTGGGAATAACTGATATATAGTGAGAAAACTGTTGAGGATACCCATCGGGCCGGAATTTACAGCTGTCGAAAAGACGAATCGCGTTCTTTTCTTGTCGCGAAGCGACGTTTTTGCCGAACTTGGCGGCGATGTCCAGTTGAACAGCGTCCTTAACATTGAATAGCCTTTTGGAAAACATGTAGTATTTCACGAAATAAAGCCGAAATAAGAAAAAAATGGCCCACGGTAGCAAGTCTGTTGTACTTCTCTCGATCCTCCCTGTTTCCATACTCTTCTAGAACTTCGAGTTCGTTCAACATCTCTGTTACTTCCACTGGGGTTTTGATCTTTTCAACAAAAGCCGCAGATCTTTCTGAAGTTCAAACTGTCGATTCATAAATCGCTCGAAGTACCTCCGGAAGTAGAAGCGAAACCGCCAGGTTCAGCTTTCGAGTTTTTCTCAGCTTCTCTACGAGTTTTGAATTTTGAAACTAGAAATAGGTCTAATTTCTAAAAAGAATGAAAAAATTAATACCTTTCGGTTTTTCGTTAGTTTTCGTGTTTGTTTTACGCCTAGACTTCAAAAACTCAACTAACTTGGGATCTGTAAATGTGGTTCAAGATTTGAACATTTTCGGAGGAAAACTTGCCCAATCTCTCTTGAATCTCTCGCTTCAGGTCGTTAACTTTCTCAAAGTCCAGACTTGCAATGTATCTGAATACAGGCGAGACTGGAATGAAAGAAAGAAACTTCTACGGACTTATCATTGTCACCAGAAAAATCATCTGAAGTCGATTGGTCAGCCGTTTGATCATCTACTGCCTCGTCCAAATTCTCTTCTGAGAATAAAACTCTGCACTGTTGGAAAAAATACTCTAGGGACATACCAATTCTCCCATGAATACGGTCAAATTCTGCAGCGAAAAAACTTTTTCCTGGAGTTGCTTTTCGACTGGATTCGACGTCTTTACTGCAAATTGAATTGAAAATGAAAGAAACGAAGCGTGAAAGTAACCCATAATAGTGTGAGAGATCGAGAGGTTCGGGGAAGCCATCGTCTTTCGAGTAAGAAGACTTAGACAGGCCTTCCCTCAAGATGTCGTCGTGTTTCCCACCTTCCAACCATTCGCCGTTTCTTTCCTGAAACCCCAATTTCAGAATGGGTCTCTGAGGAAAATGAACTGGACCTGGACAGGAAACATGATCTGAGCCACAGATTCCTCGGCGATTTTGTCCAGGTCAATCGTGAAACGAGCTGCCCCATTGCTTGCAACTCCCGCTGGAGCAAATGAGATTTTTTTATGGACAACACATTCCAATTAGAAAAACTAACGTCCTTTTCTGACGGAACCTTTCTCCTTTTTCTTCATCCGATGTACTTGAACGTTTGGCTGAACATTGAAATGTTATTGCAAAGTCAAAAACAAATGGACTTTTTTGGCGCTCTCCCATTCTTCTTGCATACGCTGGAGATCGTCGTCCGATTCCTCGGCAGTCGGTCTTTTTATGAACATGTCTTGGTTCATCTGAGCTCTGATTGTTCATACAGTCCAACAAAAAACACAGATAAAATCATGGAATCGATATCGCTGTAGAAAATACGCTTGGAAATTAATTAAAGACGTTTTTATTGAAAAAAGGATCAACAAGAAGAAAAAACAAGAACAAATATGACTATGAGTTGCAAAATCTATTCAAATCACGGAAATGTACACTAGAAAGACTAAGTCATAGCAATGCAGATCATTCCGAAAGAGCGCAGCTCACGGCGGCCTTGTACCTTTTGTCGTTCACCGTCGACCGAAACTCGTCTGGAGTGACCCATTGAAAGTCGGCTACCTGAAAGACAACGATTATTTGATACTTATTTTGCATTTTGCCCGTAAAATTGTCTTACTATCGTATTCAATTGAAAAAAATAACATACGTGTTCATGGCTGACGGCGAAATCCGAGGTGTTCTGAGCTAGGCAAGCGTTATAAAAGAAGATCTTGGCTCCTTCCGAACCTGTTTTCTTCTGAATCGGCGCTGGATATCTGATGAAGAAATATTTTTCAAACTCTTAGAATTCATTTTCGAACTTTTGTGAATGTACAGCAATTGGAGCGTTTCCAGCTATGGTGAAATTCAAATCATTTTTCGAGACTTCTCCAATACAACGCTCCGCCGTCTGCAAATAAAGTTTGATAGCTTCCTTTTTTGTATTTCCCATTAATTTGGACAAATTATTTTTAAAAAAAATGTAGCCAAACGAATACACATCATTACCCTTGAATGTTCTGAAAAAAAAACCTGTAGGACACTTTTACGTACCGAACCTTTTACAAGAATGAGATTTTGATATTCTCTTCTTTAACAATTTATTATTTTTTCAAACAGAAATATCACCAAATCTGAAAAAAATTCTTTTCTTTTTCACCGACCTTTGATAATTTTCAATGACTTCGAGTGGACTTTCTCAAAAAACAGTGAGTTTTGTTTGTTGAAACTTCAAGGATATTTACCTAATGATTTAAAGAACGTTTTGGCGGAGTTTCAGAAAATCTCCAACTGCAAAGTGCAAAAAAAACCTTCTTTCTCCGATCGATTATCATATAGACGTGAACAACTTTGAATTATGAAAAATCTAACCTTTGTAATTTGGATAGAACTTTTTGATTTACCTGTCTCAGAGTTTCCCCTGATCTGTGCTGGATTTGCGGCAAAATCCAAGGAGACTTGTAGCCTTTTTGTCCAAATGTCTGTTTGACTATCAAGACGAGTTTCCTATAAAAATATAATAGTTAGCGCTCTGAACTAATTTGTTTTTTATTGATATTTAATTTGTGGAACTGCGGTCTTTTTAAAAATTTCGGAGAACAAGCCTGTCCATTTGCCGTTCCACACTTCGGAGGTCGCTGATCTGGGGAATTTGACTGAATTTGTACCTAGAATCAACTATCAAAAACTGAAGAGCTCGCAGAATCTGACTGGTTCTCGAATCTTTGGGCGGCTCTGGCCCACTCGTCCTCCCTGACGGCGTTGGTGAGGCCGATCTGCTCGTCGAGCTCCGATAGTTCTTTTCCTTCCCGTTCCAAGGCAGCTCTTCGCTCCAACATCCTGAACCAACTCATCAATGTGATACTAAACGTCGGAAAATACTTTTGATCGTTTTTACTCTTGAGCTCATAGTCGTTCAACAGACTTTTCTCTGCTTCTTCTTCAAGTTGGAGAGTTTGAAACCTAAAATTTATGAATACCCATGAAAATTAAAATTAAAAACCTTCGCTCAACTTCTTGCATTTGCGGCGCGACGATTGGCGCTCTGGAAAGAATAACGGAGGCCACGATGTCCCATTTGGACATTACCGCCATCGTAAGACGCGGCATGTTTTCTAAGACCTTTCAGAGCTTCAGAAGAAAATCGAGATGAACTTAGATAGCCAAGTAGATGAAACTTTGACAAAGAACGAGACAGTATGAATGAGAATATTTTATTTACATTATAGTATATTCCGTAAAAATGACTCTATTTACTGATAGAAATTTCATATCGTTTATTCTCCTTTGTAGACGGGCTGACGCTTCTCTGCAAACGCTTTCAGACCTTCGAGCCGGTCTTTCGTTGGGACAATCTGCCAAGAAAATTTTTGAAAAATCAGAGAAACCGATGGAACCTGAGCGTAGCATTGCTGCTCGACGGACAATCCACTCGTAATGTCGGTTTGAATTCCTAGGTTAATTGCAACTTTAGCCATGCGGACGGCGATCGGTCCCTGAGAAGTTGGATGAACTACAGTTTGGAACACTGATAACTACCCTCGGGATGATTTCCCTGGCGATTTGCAGAGATTTCTCGAAGGCGTCTTCGGCGACATGGTTGACGACTCCGAGTCGTTCGGCAGCGTCGCCGTCGAACATTCGCGCCGTGAAAATCAGTTCTTTGGCCTTGGCGGGACCGATGAGTCGTGCCAGACGCTGAGAGCCGCCGGCGCCAGGAAGCAGAGCCCATTTCGTCTCCACCAAACCCAATGTTGACTTCTTTGCTAAAAAAGAATTTTAGATGAAACCGTTTTTCATTCAACTGACTGGCAAAAGTCGCTTGAATATTTTCAAACAAAAAATCTCACAAGCAACGCGAATATCACAACAAAGAGCCATTTCGAGTCCTCCACCCAAAGCGAAGCCGTCAATGGCTGCTATCACTGGTTGTGGGAGTCTTTCCATCTGTAATTTATGAATGAAATAGTTACTTCGATTCAAATTTAGAATAAGAAGAGCAAAAGTACATCTGTGAATGAAGAACGGAGACTGTCCACAAATTTCGGAACTTCATCGGTCGACATTTCTTTTCGCTCCTTCAAATCCGCGCCTATTAAATTAAATTTTTTAAATTTAAACTTTTTTCAAGAGATTACCTGTACAAAAAGTTCCGGGAATGTCGCTTTTGAGAATCACCACTTTTGTTTCTTTGTCAAACTTTATATCATCCAAGATTTGGCGAAACTAAAGCACTTATGTGTTCTGAAAATCAAGATAAAAAAAACCTGAACCATGAAAACTTTTCCTAGTGAATTTTTGCGAGATGGGCGATTCATTCGAATCAAAGATATTCCTGAAAAAAAAGTTTCGTAATAAATGAATAGCATATGGAACCTTGATCCGCCCCTGTTAGACGTTCTAATCTCACTTCTGCGTTCATCAAAGAGCTGAAACATCGCGAAACCGGAAAACGCCTCGAAAGAAGTACAAATTTGGATGAAAGCATCTGAAATGAAAAAAGAAAATTTTAGCGAACTAATGTTTTAAGATTGCTATAAACGAAAATGATAATTTTCAAACGGTTTGTCAATTATTTGAAAAAAATTGAACAAAAAATTGCGTGTTGGAGTGAAACTCAGAGATTTAACGAATTGACATTTTAAAAATAAAATTAAATTGAACAGAGTATCTCTACTGGCCGCTTGATCTGTTTCTTCCATACTTTGAGCTCTCAGAAATGATTAAATTAAAAGCAAAACCTGAGTAGGTTTTTTTCAAAGCTATGTACATAACATATGTTTAATGCCGTGTTCAAAGTGATTCCGCGAAATTCAAAATAGCTGTCAGAGAAAGAGAAAGATAACTATAGTTAGTTATAACTAAATTTTGGAGGGTCAGATACCATTTTGCATTACGCGGAAATTACTTTGAACACGGCATAAATAAGTTTGAAACTTTTAAAGGTAAAAAATTTCCAAAGAATTTTCAAGTTTGTGAATATACTGTAGGAGGATAATACGTAAATGAACGCAATACATTAAAGCTTACGAAAGCAAATGTTTATTTATTTTTTTTTTTCACATCGATTTGTTTTTCTTTTGTTTTTTTTTCACTGTTTCTTTCGTTTCTTTCTTTCTGCGTTTTCTCCACATGTGCATGTATTCAGATTTAGTTCTGTTTTTCACCGCGGGTTTTTTTCTTGAACTTATATAAGATAACAGTAATTACTGTTTTCTCTTTTTCCAAAAAAATTTTTTTTTCTACACCTCAGTGAACGATTTTTTTTCTCAATATTTTTAGTTTTATCAAATTTTTTGTAATGTTTCCTGTTTTTAATTGGCTAATTATCGGATTGAACGCATGATTAGTTTCTTTCGCTTGAAAGTTAATTTCTCGCTCAGTACTTGTTCATGTCTTTCGAGCTGGAATTTTCATGATGTAGTTGATGACTCGGGATGATTGCGAAAGTTTGGCTAGCAGAACAAGTGGATCCACAATAGTATGTGCAGTTTTGACATCTATAGATCCGCCGACTATTCGAGACAGTACGGGTTCGCTAAATTTTCACAAAAAAAAAACTAATGATAGTTAAAAATTCAGGGAGTCTGGTGCTTAAGTGTCAAATACCAGTACACAGAGTGCACATAGAGCCTGGCGACACTTGTCTTTTCCGCTTTACTTTTGATGAAACTGGCAGTGCTTTGTGTGATCAAGTCACCGCTATTCCACCTCTCTTGGCGCCTGTTTATGATCATCTTCTTGCAGAGTATAGAACCGCTGTTCGAAATTCTTTACTCGCTCCTTAATAATATAAAAACTAATAATAATCGGTTGTAGCTCTCATTTTGCCTCTAGATCTTTATATTCTTACGGAGTTCTTATTCTTACTTTCATGTTAATTTATCGTTCTTCTCCTTTTTCTGATTTTGGAACTATTCTTGACACCTTTTGTGAAAGAAAAATTTTCCTCTTTTCATGGGTAATTGATTGATTTGCGCTAACACGCTTGTTTTTCTCGCCAAATTGATTCCTCACTGTTCTTCAATAATTTTCTGCATTCTTTTTCGATTTTTCGTAATCTTTCAAACATAGCTTATTTCACTGTCTCTGCCTCTAGATTTTGATCGCCTTCCAGCATCTTGTTATCTCTTGCTTTGAAAGAAGTTCTTCTAATTTTCATGAAGATTTTTCATTAGTTCTATGGGAGTTTCGTGGGTTCTGGAAGTGGATATTGCTGCGAAAGCAGCCGAAAGAATTCTGGAAGGTGGGGGATGTCACCACGTCGGAACATTCAGTGTTGATTGCACTCCGTACTCTCCTCAAGACAAGGTTGGGCCATCTTTTTTGAATCCGAAGAGAAAAGAAATTTCAGTCAATATCGATTGGCACAAACTATGTTCTACATCACTCACGATATCCTCAAAGCACGTTTTCTATGGGTTTTGCTTTCTTCTGAAAAATCAGTCATTGATAAATTCAAGCTCCAACGGACAGCTACAGAACTACACCGCGAGCGATTTGTGACCGTGGCTTTGATTTAATTTTGACAAAAATGTCCTCTGGGTTTTCGCCAGACCACCAAGGACGTTTTGAGGTGGTTTAAGAAACACAATTCAATTTTAGCAGAGCTTTTCAGGTGACTGGGAACGAATATAGAGCGAGAGACTTCTTGATAAGAGTGGGAGCCGTTGTGCAAGTCACAACTGTCAAAGGAGTTCTCGTCGAAGTTTATTCATCTGTCTTTAGGATATTTCTTACCTTGTTTTTCTTAGGTCGAATATGAGCCGCTAGACATTGCCTATCTTGCAATGCCAATGATAACTGAGTTCGTCAGCGGATTCTTCAAAACTTTTGTTGGTTTTCCAATTTGTTCATAGTTTGAAAAAGTTGTTTTGAAGATTCGAGAAAAACCAGATGTTTTGGACAAAAACGCACCTGAGCAATACACTCCGCTCGAGACGATGTGGCAGTATTTGTCCCATTTCCGGGCTCTACGCAAACGCGCCGCTCCTGGCACATCTTAATTAATTTTCACTTTCTAATTTTGTTATTTTCCTTCTTTCTGTGAATAATTCGGTTTTTTTTTTCACTTTGAAACCTTATGTATCATCTTTCACAGTAATCAAATGCAAAAAAACGGGTCTTTCATCTTTAAAACTTGAAAAATTTTTTTAATCATGAAAAACGAAATATTGTAATCAGTGAAATTTTTTTGATAATGAATTATTTGTTCAGTTTGTTTCTAGATTTTTTATGCATACGGTCTCTGATTTTATTCCCAGTTGTTGATTGTTTTTACTGTGGATCTCTTGATTTTATAAATATGTTTGAAATATATTTAGTGACACATTTTCCATTAGAAACGTTGATCCGCGAACTATATGTTTTATTCTGTTTTGAAATATGGAAATTTATTTTTAGTTTGCTTATATGGAATCCCACCAACGTCATTCGACGCTCCGTGTCGCTTGGGAGTATATAGACGACCTGAGAATCCTCTTCAATGCTCGTTTGAATCATCTCGAGGCATGGCAGGTTCTTACTTCTACTCTATTCGAATAATCTAACAGAATATCCAAGGTGGTTTGCTATTCTCTGTCTTTCTGCTTCTTCATCGCCTGGTTCCGCCGCATGACTCGATCCAGTGAACCGCTTTTTGTCCAGATCAAGTGCACAGAAATGTTTTTTCTTCTAAAATCGAACTAATTGAAGACTTTCGACGTACAAAGTTTTGCGGTCGCTGCCATGGGTGAAGCGGAAGATCGAGGCCGAGTTGGCACGAGCGATGAAGGACATCGAGGACGAGGTCCACCAGTGCGACCAGAACCGTGGCTTCTACAAGTTTTTGCCGGAACGATGTATGGGCGAGGAGGAGATCCTGGCCGAGGCGCGTCGCTACGCGATGATGGGCGAAAGAAGGTTCTTTTTAGGCTTTTGGTCGGCATCTGAAGAGAACAAATTCTTAGATATATGCAGCACTCAGATCCTCAAACTCGGAATGAAGATATGCAGCTCTGCGCAAAGGTTGACCTTTCTGAAGGAATTGATTTCGACGTTCTGTAGGTGTTCGACCTCTTCTCTCACTCGGATCCTCACCGTTCTGACGCCTTTCCCGGCGTCCGCAAGATGGAAGCAGAGATTCTGCGGATGACGTGCGCCATGTTTCACGGAGGCAAAGATTCTTGCGGAGTCGTCGCCGGCGGCGGAACAGAAGCTCTCCTTCTTGCTTGCTTAGGTTCGTATTTCACTGCTTCTGTACTCAACCGAGTATACTATAATGAAAAATAATTTCGATACTCGTAGTCAAGAAGAAGAGGCAAATATTGGAAAGATTCAGAGTACCCGGCGATAACTTTTATGAAGTTAAACTTTGACAAAAAAAAATGGCGTGAGATCATTCTTGAGTCTCTGGCTGCTCTAGAGCTGTTTCTATAAGTTCCAACATATTGAATAATTGAAGTGAAATCCTGGATTGGAAACGAATGAATAGTGGAAAAAGGGTTTCAGAAGTCTTAAAGCGATTTCTCAGTTGATGGAGCGAATATTGTTCAACTTTCTCTATTACTGTAGAATGATTGCAAGAAAGTAAATTCTGAACTTTTAGAGACTTACGAAAGACTAAATGTCCAGTAGTTTTTTGATCTGGTTTGATAAAGACTTTACAAAAGTTTTCCATGAGCACAGCTATGTTTTAGCGGACATTTGCAGCTTACCGCAACCGATGTCGTTCGATGAGCGATTATCGAGCGGAGATCGTCGCTCCATCGACGGCCCATCCCGCTTTGGACAAAGCCGCCGCCCTTTTTGACATGACCATCCGAAGGTCCTCTTTTCGAAATTTCTTACTTGCATTCAATTATCAATCAGTTATTCTGCGTAAAAATATCTCAAAGGAAGGACGCGAAGTTTGAATTTTTTCGGAACTTAAAATCTTTATATTACATAAAAAGCCAGGCGTTTGAACCTAAAAGGAAAGACAAGGTTGGGTTATACAAAATAGAATCTGAAAATGCTTGAATGATACTCCGAAAAAAAATTATTTTTCAAGTTTCTTTTTACAAAAATGGTGAATGTTCTATAAAAACGGCCGCTCTTTTGATCTTCTTTTTGTTCAGGATTCCCGTGCGCGAAGATGATGACCGGGCGGACCTCGGCGCCATGAAACGCGCTATCGGACCGCACACTTGCATGGTTGGTTTTTTTGTTCGGATTCTTCTTTTCCACGCGATCTTGTCTTCAGATAATTGCCAGCGCACCCAACCATATCACCGGATCTGTGGATCCGATCGAAAAACTGGCCAAGGTGAAGCCTTTCAAAGTATATTTGGTCATGAAACATGAAGGCAATGAGAAAGCTTTGTGGAAATGGTGATTTCGTTCCCGTTATTTGGGATTCAAAGTTTCAATATTTCTAGTTTTTTTTTGTTCTTGCAAGAAGAACCGGGGATATTCACGGCTGATAAGCCGAGAATGAAACGGGAATGTTAGCTTTGAAGTATGATGATTAATTTTTGCAGTTGGCCCAACGCTACCAGATTCCGCTGCACGTCGACTGCACCCTCGGCGGCTTCCTGCTGCCTTTCATGGAGTACGCGGATTATCCCGTTCCGGCCTTCGATTTCCGAATTCCTGGCGTCACCTCTATCTCCACCGACCTTCACCGTGTCCGTTTAACCTTTTTTTGAATCTTTGATCAGCATAATAATTCTGTCAGAACTGCGTTTTTGATCAAGTTTCACTTCTAGTATGGCCAATGTCCCGGAATCCTGTCGGTGTTGATGTACCGTGATCCGACGATGCTTCGTCATCAGTTCTTCACCAACTCGAACTGGCCTGGTGGTGCCTATGCGACGCCTACGATGGACGGCGCCAGAGACGGTGGCGCCGTCGCCACAACGTGGGCCACCATGCTGCGAAAGGTATTTTCATCACAGAGTTTTAAAAAAATAATTAAAATCCAATTTCTTTTGAATTAACAACAAATAGTGCGGAGATAAAATTTTCCATCCCTTCATGTTACTCATTTTCGCGTTTTCCTGAATGGTAAAATGAAAAAAAAATGAAAAAACTTTCTTTCAAACCAAAAGGTACATGATAAAAAATGTCTGAAGATCAAAACAGAACTTCTCGATTACAGAATGAATTTAGGGTCGTGATGGCTACGTGAATGCTTGTCAGAGAGTCGTCGAGGCCACTCGTTTGCTGGGAGATAAACTTTCCTCGACTGATGGTACGAATCCTTTTCCCTCTGGCTTCAGTCCTTGTCCTAGGAATCTCTCTCCGTGGATCTGCGGACTTGTGCGTCGTCGCTTTCACGACTTCCGAAGTGGATATCTACACCGTCGTCGACCAGATGGTCGCCAAGGTTCTACTGAAGTGCGAGAACCTCCTAGGGATCACTTCAGGGATGGCATGTCGATCCTCTCCTGTCCCCGATGGCGGCGCGTGTCGCCGTCACACTAGGAATGTGTGAAGAAGGCGTAATCGATGCTTTCATGGATGACGTCATCGACGCCATCGGATGCATCAAGTCTCCATTATTTCGTGCTTAAAGTCAACTGAGAATTTCAGAACTGGAGAAGCGAAGCCGGGCAACACGACTTCTCTCTACCATATGCTAGCTAAGGTTGAACTTTTTTTGGTGTGATCAGAAACTTTTCGAATTCGCTTGTTTTTCAACTTAGAGTTTTTTGTTGAAAAGCTGGTGACAAAAGGAGAACATTGACTCTTTCACGAATTTCTGCACAGATTTGAATAATTTTAAAAGAGAGAATATGATTTTCCTCCTCATATTTTTAATCAGAATGACTTTATTTCATGAACGGAAACAAGAGCGATGAAAACCACTGGAAAAAAATAAGATATATTACAAACATTTTCATAGTAAATGTTTCAGTTTTTTTTTTTTGACCTGTAATTGGCAAAAGTTTTCTAAAGGTGTTTGTTTTTTTTTTTACGAATTATAAACAGCTACGAAATCGCCAAAATAGTCATGACAAAACAATTTTTCTCTGTTTTGTGTTGCGCGAACTGATGAATCATGACAAAAAAACAAGTGAGGAAGAGGAAATTGCAGGTCTCGGACCGCAGTCTTATCGACGAGCTCTCCTTGTTGCGCCTCTACGCCCACTACAGCATTCCACCGACTTTCGAACGCCGCAATCTTCGGTTTGTCATCCTACGGAAGTCGCCCCAATCGAAATTACAGTGCGCTGTCCGTGGAGGGCCGGAAGATGAGCATGTTGGCCAACTCGGAAACCCAGAAAAAGCTCGAAGACCTGCGACGCCGTTACATCCACGAAAAGAGCTCTAAAGAACCCAAAGCCGAATTCTCTTGAGCTTCTTCTGTTTTTTTTTCTCCCGGGTTTCCATAGTTATTGATTCCGTGTAGATGAACCTCTGTATTCGGTGTTAGAATGTTCTCTACCAGCATTTATTCTTTCTATTCTGCTATCTTGTGTAAATATATGTATTTAGATTTTAATAATAAACTTAATTAGAAATTTTTTTCGCTATTTTTTTTTCTCATTCAGGTTCACTCCTGCTCGTTTATACTATTTCATTAATTTTTTTACATCGACAAGAAACAATTTTTTTCAGCCGAATATTATGTAAGATGTACCTGAACGAAAATACCAAACAAGCCGTCCTGTTGATCTTGCTGCTTGCTATCGGCTTGATATTCGTCCTTATATGCGCCATTGTCATCATCTACTTTCATAAAAGGTTCTTCATTTCACTTATCCAAAATGAAGAAATATCAAAATGAAATTTCCAGACGCCCCGTCTGGTCAGAAACGTCAGTTTTATCGATGGGAAACGAAGACAGCATGTGTTATAACGATGGTTTTGACTGTGTCGACGAAACCAGCGCGAGGTTACCGGGAATTTATTCGAAATTCTAGTTACCAGTACATTTTCAGCCGAATAGAAGAACGTCGTCGTGCACGCAAGCTTGCTCTACAAAATTACCCACCCAATGTCGACCTGAGTTTGAAAAAGTTCGTTTCTTCTCATATTAATTTGAAACAGTACCGAAAAGTTTATACTTTTTTTATACTCACGAAATATTTCTCTCAAAAATATTCATCAAACTCAAGCATTTTAAAAAAACTAAATAGTAAGTGTGAAACACTACCTTGTGAAGTTTTTTTCAGAATTATTTTGGGTTTTAAATATATATCTTGACTTTAAAATTTTGAAGTTTTGGTCGTTTCTGCATCGATTGTTATGAACGCTAAGTGAGATATATTTCTCTAAAAAATAAAGACTTATAAGAAAAAGCTCACTTCCTTTTATCTGGATATTTTCATGAAGTTAACATGTTTCGTTGAAAATATTCTCTGCTGGAAATTTTTAAAAACGTTTTGTTTTGTTGCTAGCTTCAAAAATGATTCCGCTGTTGAAGGCTGGATCCGGAGGTGGGGAAAGCTCTCGCCGTGGAGCAGCTCATGCAGGACAGCTACGTCTTCGACACGCGCATTCTGGCCAAACCGAGCGGCGACGTGGAGGTCGTCGCCGCCAAACGCGACTATTTGTGAATATCTCACCTTTTTTTTGCGTTGTTTCTAATTCTTGTAGATCTTTTGTAGAGACTTTTTTTAACCACCTTCACAAAATCATATCTTTATCATATAACCTATATAGTATTTGTGCCATCCTCAAAGATACATTCCTAGATATCTCAAAAAAGGGAACAAATTTTATCGGTGCTTCAACTCTTTTCTCGAGTTTATATTATTTAATCAGCTAAATCCGTTGTTTTTTCCTCATCCGGGTGACAGTCTTATCTATTAACAGTCTCATATGTCTGAGATTGCGGATCGCTTTTAAAATGAAAAACATTTCTCATGATAATTTTTTTATTAAAGGACAAGATATTTCTAAACAAGATGCACATTTGTTGACTAGTCAGTGTGAAAAAGTTGTTTGTTTGATGAGAATGATCACAATATGAGGGGAAGAGATCAAGTACACAGGAAGAGAATTTTCGAAGCCTTCGACATTCTGAGATTTTGTGTTAATTGAGCGGCTAGTACAAAACTTTTAAGTTTCATATTTTTGAGGAGAAGAGAGTAAGAATCGAAAACCTGAACAATTTTTCGCGTCGACGAGTTTATAAAACGAGGAAAAAAGAAGCGAGATATTTATTAGGGTTTCACTTCCCACATAACCAAAGGTACGTCGGCGCTGAGTCGCGGAATTGTGTACCTTTCTTTTCCCTGAATTCTGGGAATAGTAATACATGCATCGGTTTATAATCTACATTGAAGATTATATCTTACTGCTAATCAAAGCGGGCTTTTTCAAAAAATCTTCAACACTTAAAAACTTGAAATTTCCCATCAACGAGGGTTCTAAGAATTTCTATTTGAACTTTTTGTCCATATATCGGAAAATCAACAGAAAAAACAAGTTTGAAATGAAGCTAAACAAAATGGTGAGAATAAGGCATTGCTGCTCAAAATTCATTCTCTTTTTTCAAAATTCTCAAAAGCAATAAAAAGCGAGGATTTAGTTTCCTTCAATGTATCCTTCTGACAAATTGGAAGATCTTCAAAATGATGGATGAATGAGAAACGAAATGACTTTAAAATAAAACAGCAGAAATCTTTTACCTTGGAAAGGAGTCATACTAAAATTTTTATAAGAAACTATTACACTATAACTTTTTTTTTGTTGAGTACATTCAAACTTTCAGATTTTGATAGTCTTTCAAAATTAGTACTTTTTAAAAGCTAGATTGAAATTCTAGCTCTGAAAACCCACTAATACTAACACACCTTAGGACGAATATTCTCCACAAGGCGACAAAGGCGGCGTTTTTCTCCTTCACTCATCGTTTCCTGATAAAATTCGTTGGCGACGTCGCCGTCTTCATCAACGTATTGAGCACTAAAAGAATCTTCTAAATACAATTCGAAAATAAGAAAAAATTTAATACTCGAGTACGCTGTAATTTTTTAAACAAACCTAGGAGCTTCGTGGACCAGAAAAATGTCGGGAAGAACTCCTTTGGCTTTCATCAAAGAAGCATATTTGTTGAAAAAATCATCGGTCTTCGGCCTCTTGGCCAATGGGTTCGTCTGAAGAAAATGATGGCTAACGTATAAAAAATCTTTGAGCTTTCTGAAAAATTCTCTCTAACTCTATTCAGCTGATATATTATTGGCGTTACACCTCAACAACGGTAAAAAATAGAATATATTTTTATTATGATATGAAAATTCTTTGACATGACACACATGTTTAAGGCAGTGCTATGGCGGATACATTCCATATTGCGCCACCTTCAACTGCAAAATCTTTTTAAACTACCGTAATACGACCGGCCGCCATAAACAAGAAACTTAAACTTCTAATATAGTCTGTTCAGATTTTGAATGTCAAGTCGTCGCTCAAGCTCTGCTGCGATAAACCAATCAGAGAGCGAGCCACCCACAGAGCGTTTTCGAATGACGTCATTCTACTTGACATTCAAAATCTGAACAGACTATAACAAAAAATCTACGTAAGAAGAAAATACCCGGCGAATTTCAGTAGCTGTCGGTTCTTCTTTTCTTTTACTTCCGAATTGGCCCATTTTGTCTTCAAAAATGACGATGCTCCTCTCGAACGTAAGAAATATGCATTAATAAACCTTCTGAAAATGAATAATCGAAAGTTTTCTATCCAAAAGCATGACAACGACTAACGAATACGGAATGAAGTTCAAAGAAATTCAGAAAGGGAGTAGTTACAGCAAACTAGAAAAAGAAAACGTCAGTAGTAATAATTCCATTCGCTGTATACTGCAACGTAGTGAACATTAAAAGGTTAAAATGAAAGCTACCAAACAAGTCAGCCGATGTTTTTCACATTAACTTTCGTTCAAGTGTTCAAGAGTGTGCACTCATGATCACATTATTCGGATTACGGTAGGACGTCTGTCTGCGGACACAAGAAGATTTGAACCGCCGATGCGACCGTATACCAGGTTTTCATTTGCGATTGTCAACGAAAAAGATTTATTTTCGGAAATCCAAAGTCATTTAAGAAAGTTTTTCAACTAGAAAAGAATATCTATGAGAAGTTAGAATAGGAACCCGAAGTTGTCACATATGATAAAATAATCTATTTCATATATTAATTCAAGTCCAAGAAATATAATAATACCTGGATGGGAGATCGTTAGAATCATCTCACACTTACAATTTTCTAAAGAAATTTCCGTTGAGAAATCTTTGGTGAATAGAAGGAGCTTTTTTTTTCATCGGTTCAATTTCTTTTTTTTTTAGGTCAGGCTTCTTTCCAGGTCACCAATGATTTGTTATTATGTGAAGAGGTAAAACCAGAAACGTCTCAACATGCTAATATTCAGTTATAAGCAGTGGCTATCAAATCTTGTTGGCCAGTTGACCGCTCGAGCTCGACTTTTCAGCAAATGCCTTGGCAGGAGCCGTCCGTCTGGCAACAATTACGAAGCCAAGGGTTCCGACGAGCAGGAAACAAGCCAAGACACTCGCCCACAGCCTTAGACGCATGTACGGTGTCAGAAGCAAAGCCGCAACCGAAGCCGCACTCTGAAAAAAAACATTTTGGTTGGGAAATGTCAACAGTACTTTAAAAATGACTAGAACCTGGTAGAGTTTGCTGAGGGAGAAGACCTGCATGCGACATTCGGGAACTGCGACTTGGCAGATAACCGCCCTAGACATGGTAACGCAAAAGTCCGAAAGCCCAATCAGGAAGCCGATGATAAAGACCAAGTAGCGACTAAATGTCTATAGTTTTCGATATTAGTTCTGAAGGATTTGGACCTTGAAGTGAGAATTTCAAACTGCTGGGTTGCCGGACCAAGAGTCGCTCCGTCTGGTACCGACAGACAGGCGAGGGTCAAAATCACGGCATAAAGGAGGAAGTTGACACTGATCGTCATCAGAAGGCCGTGCTGTTTGGCCTTTTTGATCAAGGGACGCAGAAACAGTCCTCCTGAATGGTTAATTTCTGTATGAAATTCGTCCCTTTTTCAAACTTTCTCAGTGGGATAATCCGAATTCCGGAACTTTTACAGTGGAAAAAGACTCAAATAAAGACTCAGCCGTTAAAAAAACCGGCATCATATGAACTGCTAGTTATTACAGCTTCCATACCTTACAAGGATCTTTAATTCCGCTAGAGTTTGAAATTTGCTACAAATATGATAAAACTCTCTCGGAAAGTCTAAACCAAGATCCCCAAGGCAAATACCTGCACAGCTATTTTTTTTGAATGGGTTATTTCTCAAAGTTTATCGTTACAGGTTGAGCACTGTAGATCCTAAGAATCAAAAACTTGGGCAAGTGGAAGAATGACAGATCTTTATCCAAACACGAGAGTAAATTTTAGAAAATTTCGAAGTAATGCTAACAAAAATGATCTTCTTGCACTCTGTTTCATTCTCTGCAAGATTTTCTCGCGAATCTTTTTTTTTTGATGTCATGCAATCCCGATCAATCATAAAACAATCAATCTACCCGTCGTTTGTGATAACACAAAGAACAGACGAAGAAAAAAAAAAAGCCGACAGACATTGAAAGGCGGTAATCCATCAATTCTTGACAACGCTTTTGTTTTATGGGTTGTTCGATGTGTTCCTTTGTCCAGTAGTCTTGAGAACCCACCGATAGCTTCTGCGACACCCATGGATATCGAATAAATTCCAATGATGAACACGTCCGAACTGAAGGTTGATGTGAAAGTGAGTGTAGTGGGATAGACGGACATCAGAAACGACACCGACAAACCTTTAAAAAGTTATTGCGGATAGGAAAGAAACAAGTTCACCTTGGAAGAGAAAGAAAGGAAGAAGTAAGACCATATTGGGAGCTTTGAAAGCGACAAACATTTGTTCTGAAAGAAACTAAGATTTTTTAAGCTACAAAGAGAGTCAAACTCAGTTGACTGGAAAACGATGGGATAGGTGCCGAAGATTTGGAAGCGATCGAGTCGTACTGCTTGGTGGGGAGGAAGCAGAAGATCAAGACGGAGACGACGTTCAGAACGAACATGGTGCCGTAGATGCACTGGACCTGCAGTTGCGAGAAGGAAACTGCTGCGGAAGTCGCCGAAGTGGAAACGTCCGCCGGCAGCACCGAGAACAGCACTACCAGAGCGATTCCGCCGAAGAACATGCTAAAAAAAATGCGTTGGTTAATGATACAAAAAGTTGATAGGACACTTGAAAAATTTTAAAAACCCACTTTTTTGACATTACCATAATACGAAAAAAGTTACTGCCTTTGTGAATTTTAACCTAAGCCAGGAATAATAAACTTCTGAAAACCTGAAATGTCCGACGGCCGTTTCGATTCCCGTGTTCGACTCCAGAGTTCTTCTCGAAGAGTGCTCCGAAAGATAAGCGCCTTCTCCGTTGTTGAAAACTGAGAGGGAAGATAATCGGACAGAACGAAGATCAGGAAACAAACGTGAATATGCGAGACCCATCAACGCCTGAGTTGCGTAGAAATAGTAGGCGTTGAGGTGAAGGAAACCCAAGTAATAGACGGCGAAAAGAGCGCTGGCTATCGTCAGAATCCACTTGGACTGCACGTAGTGCTGCAGCGACGGCGTCACCAGACTCGACAGTGCGAAGGCCACGTAGTGAAAAGCCGTCCTGTGAAGCTGCTGTTCAAAACAGAAACAAAATCCCTTTTCTCTACAGCATTTGCGTATCAACTATAAATGTCTAAAAGTAAGGAAGGAAAAATTCATTCATTGTAAACTCTCGTAGACCCTATAGCGAAATCAGACTTGGTCATGAGCTTCTCAAAGTAAGGAGCCTTAAGTCTGAGAGGGAAAAACCTTCACGAAAAAATTATGGATAGTTCAATATCAAAAAACCTTTAAAAAAATATCTAGTAGGGTAAAAAAGGTTCCTTTTTCACAAAACTTGATTCTGACAAGGATAAGTTTAGAAGGTTTACAGTTATACGCATACGACAGAGAATCAAATCAATGCCTCACCCATAGTATCCCGCGTACTGCGAGATGACTTCAGGACTTTTTTCGTGCACCATGTGGATTACCGACTCGGAGATGAACGCCTGTGCCGAGTAGCCTGAAAGTGAGAAAGTCAGGATAGCCAAAAAACGAGAGGTACCGATGTAGAGAAAGAGCGTTCCGATGCCCAGCAGATACGTGCTCAGAAGCTCGTGGCGTCTTGGCGTCAGCTCCATCGCTCGTCTGTAACCATTCAATGTTTCAGCGAACGAAAAATATTATAAAAGTGTTATAAATCTTCAATGAATTTAATTTCGAAATAATTTATAAAATAAAGGAAAGTGGGGGAAAGTTTCGTGCGACCGTATAGGGATATAAAAATGGACAGCTCAGAGGTTGATCTTATGTAAAATAGCTTAATCATGAGATAACTGAACAAATATTTGAAGAATTTTAGGATGAGAAAACGAAGATTTCAGACTCGAGGTCTATTGAAAAGGAGGAAAAAACCTTGCGGGTGGTCTGAAGAGAGGTTTCACCCGAATTAACGGGACGAAAACTTTACCTTCACGTGAAACTTCATTGAAGACAGGGTACTGTAGGAAGGGGGCGGTTCCTCGAAGAAAAAAAAAGAAGAAAGACGATTAGAAACCCCCTTTTTTTTAGAAGAAGTTGATTTTTTTGCGAAACAAAATTAAACTTTTTCTTAAACCAAGATAGTTTCGTTTTTGAGTCTGAAACAAATATAATTTTGATTATTGAGCAGGTGGGACAAGCTAAATTTTCAGACCGCCCATCAGTTTCTTTTATTCAATTTTATGCTTAGGTAACTTTTCAATTATCAAGCAACATTAAGAATAAAGTGTTTCTGTTAGGGATGTGTGTTTGAAGTTTACAGCTTCTATTTTCCATTTATTTTTTTCTCAATAGAGAGTTTTCATGTTCGTATAGGTAGGATAAGACTTGAAAAAGGATGCGTACACTCAGAAGGAGATCAAAACTTTAAAGCAGTCATTTAATAATATTATTTATTTACAGGCAGAACAAATTTTTTTCCTGAGCTCAAAAACTCTATTTAAATTCAAACATTTTTCAAGCATTCTCCGCACTATCATCGGAAGTGCCTCATACTGTACGTTTGGAAATGTCTCCGTCCTGATGAAATCTTCTTCGCAACAATACCCAGACCAGTAACCTTTTTTGAACTCGCCAGACCTCTGAAAAAGAAACAAAAAGATGAGACATCGAAGGAAAGACAAACAGTCTGAGAAGGAAATGTCACTTCGAATCTTTCGACCCAAGACCTAAAAAACGGCTGGGGACGGCGTTCCCGTGGCTCCCGTCAACGTCTTCGCCACAAATTCGATGCAACAGATAACTTTTGTCGCAAAACGTTGCGTACTTTGCTTCTTGATTTGATGTCTGGAAAAAATTAAACTTCGCTTTTACCGTGTTCCTCTCTTTCGATCCCAAAAACTTTATGTCGGACGTTTAAAAAAAGTACTTTGGTATACTTCCTTTCTAAATGAATTTTCTTCCTTGGAATCCAAGCAATCAGAGACTTCGAAAGAAATATGAAGAAATTTACAAGAAAAATTGGAAAGAACTCTTATTCTTGAAGCGAGCTCGAACCACTTTCGTTTTCGAAGTGATTCTGCGAAGTGCGAAACGGCCGTCAGAGAAAAAATGTATCACTAAATTTTGGAGAGTCAGAGACTATTTTGCATTTCGCGGAAATTTCTTAAAACACGGAATAAGGTTTCGAAAGTAAAATCATCTTTTATGCAATAAAATCAAATGAAAAGTTTTCGCGTTATACTTGCTTGAATAACCGAGTTCACAATGTTTTTTTGTTAAATTTTAAAGTCCCTTGCAAACGTGTTCGAAATTTCAGAAAAGATTGTGAGACGCTAAAATTTTTTCGTGTTTTAGAATTTCGCATGAACTTTTGATAGACTATTTCCCCTAGGCACTGTAGAAACTTGTTTTTTTAACTAAAAAAATGAAATTAAATGGCTTTTTCTGAGCTATGAAAGTTTTTTTCAATAGACTGCAAAACCTTCGAAAGAAAAAAATCCGTCAAGTAGCACCTAATCGAAAAAAAAGCTTGAACAGTGTAAGAGAACTCACAGAAGATTTCAGAACAATGAAGACGTGCGATCTTCATCTGAATAACTTTCCTGTAAAGAACCACAAAGATTTTTTTTTCTAAAATTTCAAAATCAACGAGAATTGGGAGAAGAAGTCGAGGACTTTTGAACAAATTCTTTTTGCGCCTTTCCCTCACGAGTACTTTTTTGTGAAAAAACTTAACAAAGCACATTTAGGTAATTAATATTTATGTCGTTGAATTGTACATCTGCATTTTATAACTAGCAAAAAAAATTGGAAAAACAAGAAAAAACACGTAATTTTCAGCGAAGGAAAACAATCTTTTGCAAAATGAGGTGAGGATGAAAATAAATGAAGCAACACAGTGGTTCACCGGATCGGATCACAATTGCGACTAACTCTTTTCTGACAGAGTTCTTGCTAGGCAACAGTGAAAAGATGTTGAAAACTAAATTCAGAACAGAAATGTTTGGAGGTACAGCTCCCACCTACAGAGCATTGGCAGGTTTTCAGGAATTCAGAAGACGTCATAATACCGCGAAAAAATTACAGAGACTAGAATGTAGCATGGAAAAAAAACTGAACAATCGGAAAGAAATATGACAAAATAATTAGATTTTTGATAAAAATCTTAATGTAGTAAATATGTCTATGTACAGGAATCATGAACGAACATAGAAAAAATGAATAAAAATAAGAATGCGTAGTTTTGCAAATTCATAAACGTGATAAACGTAATTCAACAAATAAAAAAACCTACGATTACAAATAACAGCTGAGAAAAAATATTCGAAATGCCCGATTTGAAGAAATTTGAGGCGAAGCGGAGAATTGAAGAAAAAGGCCTAGAAGCCCTCGTCCCAGCCGGAAAACTCGTCCGGTGGAACATCCGTGTCTGGCGGATAGTTGTCGAAGTTGGTCACGTCGGCTGGATTCGATACCTGAAACAGAAATTTTGTCTATGAGGAAGGCAGATTTTCAAGAAACAGAGAACTCATTGAAATGAAAAAAATTAAATTAAATTAATTCCATTAATTCCTTTTTTTCATTTTTTTCTTTTTTTCGAAATATACTGTGCTTTCGCAATGAAGCTAGATCAAAAATTTTCTCACAGCTTATCGGGAAACAGTATTTTCAGACCTTTCTTAATAAAACGAAGAATGGTTTCACTAAAACCTACCTCAACTCATATTACTAAAGATCTAAGTAGCTTCGAAGTTCTTTTTTTCTGAGAGAAAAAGAAAGAATGAACCTTGGGCAAGATAGGAGCCTTCAGAGATCGGGAGCGGAGTCCTTCCCAGTCGAAGCCCATAAACCAGCGATGCTTGCGGATGTCGTTGACGCCGCCGCTGCCCGAGCCGAGACGTTCTCCCGGGTTGTCGCGGCACAACTTCTTCACCAGGCCCGTCGCCGTTTTTCCGATCCGTCTGAAAAATCTTTCCGATACCGTCTGAAAAATCGAAAAGTCTATCTGGCCCTAGAATCTTTCCGAGTGAAACTTCCGGTGCAAAAGTTCTGAAATTTTTAGTTCTTCAGATTTTTTGACAGCTTATGTTAGATCTGTTTTGAAATTATATTTCCCGGCTAAAAATTCGCATAATTTGTTGGAAATGAATCCATTTTATATTCGAATCAAGAACCAGCCAAGAATCAATCTAACGTTGGACTTTGATCATTTAGAAAGAAAGACTTTTCTTGCGAAAATGACCTGTTGGGGATCTCCAGAGCGTCGACTCCCTTCAGAATGAGCGTGTACGTCTTCATGGGGTCGCTGGCCTGGAACGGCGGTCGACCCAACATCAACTCACAGATGTAGATGCCTTAAATCACTGTTTTCTTTGAAAGTCCCCATGGAAAAGGAACCTAGGGCCCAGTAGTCGGCAGCCTGATCATGTCCTTTGTTGAGAATGATTTCGGGTGAGACATATCTGAAAAAAGATAACTCTTTATTAGCAAGGAAAAAGAAGAACTGACTCAGGAGTGCCGCAGAATGTCCAAGTTTTCCTTCCGCTGGCCAACTTTTTGGCGAAACCGAAGTCAACCTGGGAGACGAAAAGTTGAAGAATTCAACGCAGAAACTTACGAGTTTGAGGTATCCAGTGTTGGTGAGGAGACAGTTCTCCGGCTTCAGATCTCGGTAGACGATGTTCTTCCGATGCAGGTATTCGAGGCCTTCCAACACACACGCCACGTAGAACCGCGCCGTGTAGTCGTCAAAGTGTCCTGACGCGAATTTCCATTAAAAGAAAAAAAAATTTATTATTGGAGAACATGTCATTAACAAAAGCCTCAAGCGCCTAAATAGATTCGTTTAAAACGAAGAATCTAATCGTTTTTCTAAAAATAGGCGCCGTGAACTTCCGACATTTGGAGATTTGTCTGAGAAAAATAGGACACATGGGAGTTCTTTTATCTTTCCGAAGCTGAAAAAGTAGAAAAAAAAGTTTTTGAACCGAAATCTCTGATTCATTGCTTGCGAAAAAAAATTACTTTTTTTGTGATTCACCATCAAATTGAAATTCTGTGGCCGGCGTGTTTTTTATACCTGGGCGTTTCCCTTTTTTCTTCAAATTTCGTGATTCTTTTTTGAGTTTCTAATTCTCAACTATGAGTTATGCGAATTTCATATTTCTAAAATTTTTTGTGAAATAAAATTTGATATTTCACAGAATTGGTACTGTAATTCACTCAATCGACGTGACTTCTATTTTCTTCAAGAATGAGAAAAAAATCTGAACCTCGATCTCGCAAAGTTGTCCAGAGTTCTCCTCCAAGGCAAACTTCCAACAGCATGTAGACGTATTTAGTGTCTCGGAAGGTCTTGTAGAGCCTGAAGACGTGAGAGTTTTCTCAGAAGACGTCGCAGCCGGAATTACTTGACGATCCAGTCGGAGCTCGTCTCCATCATGATGTTCCTCTCGGCGAAGATGTGCTCCTGCTGCCGGGTGTCCACGATGTGCTTCTTCTTCAACGCCTTCAGAGCGAACGTCGTCGACTTGTCTCCGTTCACGCATACCTCAAAATTAATCCTTTCCTTTTGTTTCAGCCTCAAACATTTCAAAGTTAATGCAACAAGATTCCGGTTCAAACTTCATTTTCTAACCAGCTTTGGCCTTTGAAACCAGGGAGACGTAATAAACGTTCAAAAAAAAAGTTTCCAACTTCCAAGCTTTGGATTAGAAATGGAACATTTTTGGTTGAAAGTGGGAGATTTCAAAATTTCAAAGATTTCATTCAGAACAATATTGAATTTTGTTGGAACCGAAGACTTTTATTCTGTTCAAAGATGCACTTTGAGGTCTCTTAATACCAGGCCACAATAAATTTCCAAATTTTGAACCTTAAAGGCGTCAAAAATCTTTCTTTGTTATACTAAATTGAGAGCGCGCGAAATTTAAAACGTCATATTTCGACTGAATATCCGAAAAGTTTACAATATCTCAGAAAAAAAGTAAGAACAAAAACGCTTTTCTTGCGAGTACATGAAAAAACTAAATGGTTGATAAAAACTGCTGCGAACCAGTTCAACGCGACCGAAGCCTCCGACTCCCAAGGTCGCCAATCTTTTGATGTTCTTCAATCCGACGTTCGCGTATTCTTCTCGGAAGTCGTCCTGCAGAGAATCCTGGTTACTCATATTCAGAAAAGGCTTGCCTTGACAGGACTCGGCGGCTCTCGGATCACTGTCGCTAGTCGTTCCTTGTCTCCGTAGTCTCGCTTCAACGTTTCCAGCTCTCCGATCAGTTTCAGGAACGACTCCCTGAAAAAATATACAAGATCAGAAGGGGAAGGAAAACGCGAATGAGAATCTGAAAAGTGTACGAGCCTGTCGAGTGTGAGGACTTCGACACCAGGCGATTGGGCGACGATGTTGGCCGTTCTGACTTCTTCGCCAAGCAGGGCTCTTTCTCCGAAGAAGTCTCCCTGAACACATCAAATAGGCGAATTCAACAAAAATTATTTCTGTCTCGGTTTGAATTTTCACGTGAAATGCCTGGGGTTACCTGGTTGAGGACTCGAATCTCTCGCGGTTCTTTCTCGCCTTCGATTTGCTGCGTCACTTTGACCTGTCCTGAGTTGATCACAAAGAACGTATCGCCCTTGAAAGTCGGCTTGATTTCAGAGGAAGAAAAATATAAAAAACTTTTTCTCCCTGTCGAATAATGTAGTGGCCGGCTCCATAGTAGTCCTGGTCCATGACATCTGCCATTTTCGATATCCGATCTTCTGGCAAGTTTTCGAAGATGGCAACCTGAGAGAAATATCATAGTGAAGCTTATAGGGATAAAAAAATCCTGAAAGAATTTCCCACCCTCAGAACCATTGGATTCGAACGAAACTGTTAGTGTCTTTTCGGACACGTGACAATTCTTCAGACATCTCTCTTCGCTCACCGATTCGTCACAAAAGTCGGAAATATCAGTCAGACTGGCGCCTCCGACACGTTTTGGAATGGCTTTTCGTCGCCATCACGTCAGCGGAAGTACACAAATAGACTCAAACTAAGAGATCAGACCTCCACTTGAAGAACTGCAGATCTTTTCCAAAAACCAAAAAAGATGAGAAGGAAAACTCTCCCAAACTAAGGTGTAGATTTTTTTTTTTCCGACAGCAGGAATAGTTATTTTGGATGAAACATAGTCATAGTTAGAAGCAGTGAAAAATATCAATCTCAGAATCCGTACAAATTCAGGCGATGGCAGCAGAGAGAACCGAGTGTCTCCAAAGTTACTCCACATAGCAGAGATTCATTTTGGGCAAGAAAAAAGCTTTCCGAATGGGTCTGCTGATTCATCGACAGTTCAGAGGAGCGGTCTCGGACGCTTAATCGTTCCCAATTTCCCGTCGTCTTTTTCCAATGCAAACAGAATGTCCTGCACAGCTGATCTCCTTTGCCGGCGCACCTGTTCATTTGCGTAACAAGACCAGAGATGTTATCAGTTCTTCCCCGAATGTCTTTCTCGTCAATCATTTCCGGTGCAAACTTTTAAAAAAGAGGTTCTGAGGGAAGGACATTGTTACTGCTTCCAACAGTTCCCTTCTCGCTATACCTTGGTGAGGAAGTTCATAAGCTGAGCATGACGTTCCATTCCGAGCCGCTGAGTGATCATCTGGAAGACGCTCCGGTCGAGAACCCATAGTTGCACGTCGCTCAACGCCTGTACGGATGCCGTCCTAAAATGATATCGATTTATCAGCATTGTCAGAAGTTTTATTTGGTCTGTAGACATACATTTTGTGTTAGAAGAAAGGAAAAAAAAACATCCTTCAACCTCTGATTTGGAAAGAACTCTCGTTGTTTCTAATTGAGCGTTGCTGACAAAAAAGGTCTTCCGATAAGATTGAAAATTGTTGAGTCATTCAAACAATTTCTTTTTTGAAAGACTACTCCCGTTCGCGCGTTTTATGAACTCAACTAAAAATTTTCTGAATCTAAAAATTCATCTTGCTGAAGTTTGTTTACACTTCCCTTTCTTTTCCTGTTTTTAGGCGCTAAAACAAATGACCTTGTCGTACTTCAAAAAACCGATGACGAAGGAAAACTGACAAAGACTAAAAACCAAACTTTTGTTTCAGGCTACTTTGATATTTTCCAGTGTAGTTTCAAGAAGAACTCTAAAAATTAAGTGTCTCTTTCATGTTTGATTGCAGAAAAGTTCTGATTGATGACCTTTTCCATCGCAGTGACCGCAGCAATCAGCAAAACCGCTCGGAAAGAAAAAAAAAGGAGATAGGGCTGGACTGAACTAATTTTATCACGGGACCGAAAACCTACACCGAGGAACAAACAACTTTTCTGCCGACGCGTTTCCTTCTGCGCTTCTCCTTGCTTTCTTGACCCTCGGATCGCCAGCTGACCAGTCGACAGAACGAATCGAAGATCTTCGACACTGCCTGGCTATTCAGAGAGACGCACGCCATTTTTTTTTTTACAGAATATAACTGGTAGAGCAGGGGAAGTCAGTTTCAGAAGAAGTCTTCCATCAAAAACCTCGAAGTTGGTCTGATGTCGTGGACAAATGCAAACTTTGCAGCGAGAAAGACAGAAGCGGTCAGCACGTGATCAAAGAAGCGAGTAACTGGCAGCCGTAATGCAAAAAAAGGGACTGAAGACGAAATTTGGCCCTGAAGAGAGTCGAAGCGGCGCGAATTCAAACGCCCGTCGTTCGACCATTCTTCTTGCGGGTGAAACAGTTTCTTCTATCACCTTCCACACAATCTCCACAGTTGGAACAGCCAGAAAAGTCAGTGAAAAACGACAAAGAGGACCGCGCCTTCCAGTCGACGCTTCTCCCTTCCCATAATGAAGATTTAAGGTCGAAAACGAAGTGAAGTGAAAGATCCTGTACCTGGTGCAGTTGTAGAGAATCGCCAACTCTCCCATGACGGTTCCCGCTCGCATTTTGCCGAGGAGTTGACCTTCGCGCGAGACTTGAAGCTCTCCCTCTGAAAAATACATCTTTTGGACTATTTTAGACTGAAAACAAATTTTCTCTCTTCTTAATAAGATCATTAGAAAGACTTTTATATCTGTTGGAGATTCTTAGAACTTCTAGTTGAAGATCTTTCCTGGGCGGAAACCTAGTTAAGGGGTATTTATTTTCAAAGTGGGCCTGAAACTAACACCACGAAACTTTGAGATTTTCTATTCGAAAAACAGAAAACTTTTCGAATATAGCGAAGGTGAAAATCGCATTTTTGGCCTGTCAAAAAAGTTCGAGCAACATAATGAAAAAACTTAAAAATTTGAACTAAATATTCTTCGTTAGAAGCTCTTTTGCAAAAACGAAAAATTACAAATCAATTCAAGTTTTTTTAATTGAAAAGTAATTTTGTTCGTTCACACTCACACACTTTGGAGATTTCTTTCTGATATTCAATCTCTTTATATGATCTTCGAGCACCAAAGAATCTTTCGTGAAAATAATCCAACTAAAATATGAATTTTTCAGGTTGAAATAGGAACCTGCAACGACGAAGAGCCGATCTCCAGGCTCGCCTTCCTGGATGACCCACTGGCCCTCGCGGGCACGCATTTCGTACATGCACTCGACGAGCTCGATGATCTGCTCCTTGGCCAACTGCTTGAGAAAGTCGTTCTTGTGGACGGCGTCGCGGATCATCTGCTTCGACCTGCAGCCACGTCTCCTTGGATCTTCTGGGACAGGCCGAAGACCCACCCTGCGCTCTTGTTGAAGTGTTGCAGCGTGACAGGCTTCTCGAAGTTGGTCGGTTCTGCAGAAACGGCCAGCTTTTTGGCTCGCGTCGTCGTGTCCGTCGGCAAAGGCGCTTTCTGCTGAATTAAAAGTATTTCACGGATCTATGAAAAAGGTAAAAAAAAAGTACTGCAGCAAAGCTCAAAAATAACAGTTGAAATGTCAACGTGACACGAGAAAATTAAATGTTTTAAGGCTATTTACCTCAAGAGATGAGAAAAAAAACTTGACTGGAAATGCAAGAACAGTTTTTTCCCAAAATCAGTCTAAGCTATTGTCTGTTTTTCGAAGTAGTCGCTCGATAAAATAATGAAAGCGCTAACAAATTGATAAAGAAAAAGTTGGAGTTTCTTCAAAACACGTTTCTTTTTGTGGACTCTGCACCTCTACTCTTTTTGACAACCAAATATTTAGTTCTTCGTAAAACAACATATTGAGGTTGAGCAGCGAGTGCACTTCTCCAGTTTGATAGTACTCCAGGGGTTGATTTTTTGATTTTGATTCTTTGCTCAAAACGAACATTTGAAAGGTCGTTGCCGAGCTGATCAGTGCGGGGACTCGGTGAAGGAGGAGCCCCAGGACTCGCGGCAGACTGCGCCTTCTGCTCGAGGACGGACCGCAGCTTGTCGCATTCTCTCTGGAAATGACCGTGACTGAGGTCGGAGGAACGTCCAAACCTGCAGGGACATGACCTCGGTCTCGAGCTCGGCGATCCGCTTGATGTGCGTCTCGACGACGCTTTGCTGCTGTCGGAGCTGCGCATCTTTTCTCTGAATCGCCTCCTCCAACTGCGGGATCAGCTTCTGCAGCTCGTGGGCTTCGAACGTTCGAGAACCGACCTGCACCTGAAAAACTTCTCAATCAACTTGTGTAAAACTCATACACGATGAAATCCCAAAAAAAAACTTGACCTAAATGAGCGAAATTTTTTCATTCCTAAAATAGTTCTGGAAAACCCAAAACAACTAATAATTTTTTTTTTACTTTTTTCCAGGCACATCAACTGTAAAATAGAGCCGTATTTCTTTTCAGAAATTCCGCCTTCGGCTCCTAAATATTTTATGCGACATTCCTTTTCATTATGGAGATTTTCTTCGGGAAAACCTTTTACTCTAATTGATCCTAGTCCCAGAGGAAAAAAAAACACAAAAAGAAAACTGGTTCCCCTTGGAATCTAGTAAATTGACCGACGCTCGGGGTCGCGCCTAACTTTTTCTTGCAAAAAAGACAGTTATTTTGTGAAGAGCGTTTTTTTCTTTGAGAGTTAAATATTTATAGAGTCTCTTTTTTCATACTTATGTTCGATATGGATTCTAGAAGACTGCGGAAAAAGGTCGAACGCCAAAAATCAGCAAGTGAGACATCTCATATTTGAGTGGGCCAATTGCCAGAAAAACCTGAATTGGGAACATTTATGTTTTTTCCACGTCTACTGCCAAGAAGGCGCACCCATTTTTAAAAAAAAAATTTACCAGTGATTCTGATGATCCGTTCCTCATTAAAATGATTGAAATAGCTTTAGTTTGTCGAGAGTTAACAAAGCCATGGGTTTTTTTGTTTTCCGCAGTTTTCCCGGCCTTGCTCGTCCACGGAGCGTAACCAAAAAATAAAGAGGAGAAAATGCATTCGGAGCTCTCAAAAGACTGAGGTCATCCTTGAGCCAAGACGCAAATTCGAAACGACATTACCAGGGATTGTGGCGCCCTTCCTTAATTGGAAACGAATAAGTTGGAATACTCTTGCACGAGAAACGCGCCCATAAATTAAGGAATGCCGTCGCAACATTCATCAGCGCTGCCGTCTTCCACAAATGAAATCCCTAATTAAACGTGATTTTGGAGACTACAAAAAAAGGCTGGAAAAGTTTTGAACGAAAGCCCTGAGCAAGAAAGAAGAACTAGTGAAACCAATTCCGAATGAGGAAGAAGACCCACGTTGATCATTGTCACCCGAAATGCTCAAACAGCTGCAAAGGCCTCGTGGGAGCAAAAGCTGAGACGCATTCTCCGTTGATCCCGGTTGCAACCCACCAACTAACTCTCTGTCGGTAACCAAATGTAAAAAGACGCGGAAAATGAAATATTGGCGGCCGTGGAAAACAAACGGGCCGGCTGCTGGCGAAAACACCCGAATCACCGTGCGAAATTAGGCAATAATGATGAACGAAAACAGACGGCAAAGCCCGAAGCGTTCTCAGATTCCAAAACAGAACAAAAAAAAGCAGCTCCAAAGACATTTCTTCCATGAACGTCTACGAGTTTTGAGCAAAAAAAATCTTAGGAATTGATCCTAAAAAACTTGCAAATAAAAAAAACCCATACCAACACCCAAGAACATGGAGATTAGTCTTTCAAACTGATCATAAATCACTGAAAAATTTGAAGCCGTTAGAAAAAAGTTTATAAAAAAAATCTCTCAATGGTATATTTTGAAAACCATCAAAAACTCAAAACTGATAGAATTGTCCTCGAATGATTTTTTGATATTGATACCGACGTTTTGAGTACTCTTCGGAACCCTCTCTGATGCGCCTTCAAATTTTGTGACAGAGGTGGACAGATTATATGAGCAAAAAACCCGTTCCCCTACAACACCTCACAGTTCCAAAAATCATTGAAAGACGAAATTCCAATAAACTTGCCTGAGTCGCAGGCATGTTCATGTTGAAGAGAGAAAGACGCTCAGCGCAGCCGTAAACTGATAAGAAAGAAGGAAAACTCTTTGGAAAAAAGCGATCTCTGCGAAAAAGATTCAGTTTTAGTTTGATCAGGCGGCAATCAACTACGAGGCACTTCTTTTAGTCAGACTCTTGCAGTGGTGGATCAGTAGGTCAAATAGCCAAAGGCAGACTTGTCTTTAGGGGTTTATAGCTTCCTATTCAGAAATTTTTGACAAAAAAGAGATTATATTTATGAAGTGAAACAACTTTATAGTTTAAAATATTTCAACCAATGAAAATGCTTTGGATTTTTTTTGGCGGGAATGTGAACATTTCAAAGAAAGATCAGAAATCGACACACCTGTGCACGCGTCTTGTCACGTGGTCAAACAAAAATCTTCTCTATGCTTTTTTTTCGGTGGAAATATCCACTTATTGTTATTTTTTGTGAACAATAGGAATGTAGAAATGAAATTTAAAAGAAGTTGGTAAAAAATTGGCTCACGATCTCAAAAAAGGGCAGCTTTAAGCTTTACTAAGTGAACAAAAAAGACGGAGCTCCTTTGTGGAATTTCTAAGGAAACGTGAAAAACGCCATTGAATTTGAAGTTGAAAGGAGAGACTAGCTCTCGAAACGGCGAACGAACCATGAAGTCGTCGTTTTCCTCTTCGTCGCCACTACTGTGAACCATATCAACAGACAGAGATCTAGCCGCTGGAAAGTCGGATGCCCGAAAAAGTATTCTTGCCGTGGGCCTTCTTCGGCTCTTCTCGCCAGACGGAGCGCTGTTGGTTAGGTGAAAGGCTGCCCCGACGGACGGAGTGCGGCGTTTGGAAAAAAAAACCGAATGAGATAGAAACAACAACGGCAGGCGGAGGGGCGGCGACGACAGAGAGACGAAAGGACACGAGAAATATCGCGAATTCACTGACGGATGGACCGCCGACGCACCTCTCGGCCTTACTATCAACTCCGACCATTCTGGATTCAACCATCAGCCCTACCTTTCCAAACACTCAAATTTTCATCTGAATTCTCATACTTCTTCAATTAAAAAAAAAGTCTCAACGCTCTTAACTACATAGCGTGTTGAAAACACACACTATGACTTGAAAATCGCTGACTTTCACGAGCTCAAGAAATAAAATTTTATAGCTTTCCTGCCGCTAACTCAATAAAAACATTACAAAGACGCTAATAAGAACCTTCATTAAATATTGTGTGTCCCGAGTCAGCGAAGAACCAACTATATAACTTTTCTAACGATAAATCGTCAAAAATTCCTGAGTTTTCAAGGGATGATGTGCTGGAAAAATCTTGGATCTCCATGAGCTTAATCTGCGATCTTGGTTTTTCTGAGTGTAAAATGTTAAAATTATAAACGAAATACGGAGAGAAAAAGGTTGATCGAAATATTATTTCGATGATCATAGGTTTTACGGTACACATTTTTCCAAAATGAAATGCCCTCATTTCCAAATTTTCCCAGATTACCAACATCAATAAAGTTCATAGAAGCTGATTTCATAAAATTTGGAAAATTTTGTGGTTCAAGGTGTTCAGTAATTATAGTTGATTGGCTGCACATTTTCGCTTTCTGCGTTGCGAAACATACCGATCGACGAGCATTCATCGTGATCACAAGAACTCCCCGAGCATCAGATAACCACTTGTTTCATCCAAATCGATAGTGAAACGAGCACAAGAACTGATCTTTAACTTTCAATCAAAATCGTTAGACGAGAAAAAGAAGAGATAGAACGGCAGTAAATGGGAATTCACGTGACGGTCGTAACAGCCAAGGGCGACAAAATCAAGCCACTTTTCGCTTGATTTTTCGGTCGCTTCATGAGTGAAAGGCTGTCCAAACAATAAATTGTAAGGAAAGAAAAACTTTGAATACTCAAATTCGCATCAGTTTTGGCTTATAAAAGGAGAAAGAAACGATGACAAGACGTCAAAAGAGCTTTCTTGCCTGCATCAGTCGAAATATGAAAAATGCAGCTTTCTTTTGTTGCAAGCTTTTCCCTAAAGGCCAAAATTGCGTATTCCAAGTTCTTCGACACTTTTTTTTCCCGAAAAATGTGCCGTTTCATTTTCTAAAAAGGTTTGTTAGAAGCTGAACCAAAACTGATAATCTAATATTAGATTTTCAAAGTACAATGCAAAATTTTAATTTATCGTTATAAAATCCTGCATTGAAATTAAATAAATTACGGTTGCCTAAAATTCCTATTTTTTCCATGAGAATGTGTTTCATTGATCAACTATGGTCATTGATGTTTCGCTTTTCACCGAGATTTCGGCAGTGTCAAAACTTCGAACAAAAACAGATTCTAAGTCTTAGAAAAAAACAGAATTCTAAAAACTCGCTCAACTCCGCTTCCGCGCAGTTATAGAACTATTTTTTTATTTCTTCAAAAACTTCCAATACAAAGTCCCTTTTGCCTGTATCTTGTCAGAGACCAAAATCGCAGCGAAAACAATTTTGAAGTGAGCGAAAACAAGATATATTTTGTATCGTGTGAAAATCCGTTGCTCTGTTCTACATTCATTATAGGCCAAAATTACATTTTTGATTAAATTTTCCAGACAAAAGTCGAAGAAAAAAGAAAAGAGGAGGAAATACAAGCGTCGGCTGAAAATTAAGAAATCTGCCCTAGAAGCCAATACAAATCCTTCGCCCAAATTGCAATAAACTTTTGACTTATTGAAATCTTTTCTGAAACTTTCAAGATCAAAGAGAGCGTCCAGCTGAAAAAAAAACGCGAAAACATTGTCTTATTATCGAAAACCGTAAAAAAATGAGAAAGAGCAACCTCCGCCATTCTGAACACGCGTAGAACGTCGAACTTCCAGCACATCGGCAGCCGTCGAATCGCCTCGGAATGAGTGAAAAAAGGGAGAATGTAGGCAAAATTCACGCGGGTATAACTGAATCGGAAAAAAAAGCTAAGAAAGACTATGTTCTATTGTCGGAAGCGGAAAAAACAGCAGCCAAAATAAATCTGATTTTCCACGAAAGCCGGGTTGTTGCGTGTGAATTTTGATGGAGAGCTCAGAAAAAAAGAGAAAAAAGCCGTGAGAAAAAGAAATCGAGCGATCGCTCCGATCGCACCTCCCAGAACAAAACAAGGATGTTATGAATGACGTATTCACTGGCACGAAAAACTCGAAAGAGACTTCCCGGTACATTTTTTCTTCTTCTTTTTTTTTTTCAAACGGATCTTAACAAGAAGATCTGCGACATTGATTGATGGCAGCGTGTCGAGAAGTACGAACATTTTGAAACATCCAGCGAGTAAAAGTGAATTTGGGCTCTAAGAAAACACTGAGAAGCCTTTTTCTATTCTACATTTCGTCCGAAAAATTCTTTAACTATATGACCAGAGTTGGCTCAAAAGTCACTTCACCTGAGTGCCTAAAAATTATTTATTTTTTGATAAAACTTTCAAAAAATCTTACTTAACCTTGAATAATGCAATTCAACTCAAAGAAAAAAAAAATGCAAAGCCACGAAATCACTCTTTCCAACAGAAAGACCTCAGAGCAGGTGAAACAAAGGTTGAAAGATGTTGACTGGAACTGAGGAAAAAAGTAAAGTGTTTTGAAAAAGTATTAAACCAGGAACCCTATCAATAGCTGATAAAAGAGTGATTCGGCAGAAAATGCGATTAAAACTAAAAAAAAACCTCAGACTTTTGTCAAAAAAGTTTTTTGTTCTGGAAAGAGAGTTCTCACGAAACCCCGAGCCTTCAAGTTTCCCCTCCAAACAACTGGTGGGAAAAAATAAGGCGAAAACACTGAATGGTTGATTGCCAGTTTTTGAGATGATAAACACGACCAAGTGTTAGCCGACGGGAAATTCAATCCATTGTTTTTCTCAGGCAAATCAGAATACGAGTTTTTTGATTAATCTACTGATTCGCAATCAGCACGCTTAAAGTTCTGCCGAGGCGGTTTATGAAAGATGAGGACTAGCCTTCTGAATGTGAGAAATCGTTGAAAAACCAAAAATTCTCTCAAACTAAATAAATCTGAAAACGTTGCAAAAAATTGAAAAACTTGAAGGAATCCAAAATAAATGTCAACGCTCAAACTATCTTTAAACGCAAACGAAGGAACACCATGGTCTAAAATCCACTTTGGCGAAGTTCTGAGCTCAAACAATAGCAAAAAAAGTCGTTTACTGTTTCACAAGAGCAAACTTTTTTTACTTCAAGAAAAAAACTTCTTGAGTATTAGGATTACAATAAATAGTATTTTAATAGCTATTTGAGAGCAATTTCATGAATTAGATCACTTCGAGAAGTTTCGTTCTTTTCAAATTTTACGCAACTTTCAATCGAAGTAACTATTCACTACAGATGGATATCTATCGATAATTATAAGTCTAAACTTGGGTTTGGCGAAATAAAGTTTGACTCCAAAGAAAAAATTTCTGATTGGCTGGCGTCGCTCTGCACGATCAGCCAATAGACGACGTAGCCTCAGAGCAAATTTTTGCCTGTACAAAACCACTAAAGAAATGATAATATCACATCAAAACCACATCAATCAACCGTATTCTTCCGCTGCGTCGTATTTAGTGGTGCTAGGTTTTTTTTTAATATATTTAAAAACATATTCATCATAAAAGATCAACTGATAGAGATGGGAAAGATAGAAGACGTACCTGTGAGATGAGCTGGTCGGAAGGCTTGCGTAGTTTGGAAAAGAAGCCGCGGATTCCACCGCCGCCGCCTGCGGCACTGTTGCCACTCGACGGTCGACTCACGGAGCTCATGCTCGACGATCTGCCGCTGCTCACGCGTTTTCGAGTGGCGCGGACTCGGCTTCGCGATGTCGAATCGTGGCTCGTGGCGAACTCTGCAAAAACCGCCGTTCCAGTTCAGTTTCCAAGTACGCATCAGCGAAGATAAAGTGAACGCGAGGGCTGTAAAGCGAGAAACGGAAAAAAGAGGGAGGCTTTGGGTGACGTTGAAAGGAAACCACAAAGGAAAGTATAATCATAGTTTGAGCAACTAGACGGAAAAAAGAACGACATATGCTCTTTATAAAATTTTATTGTGAGGAAAGAAAAGAGCGAAAAATGGCGGTTAGACGAAAAAAGACGGAAAAGCGTCAAGATCGCCTCACGAGAAGCTTGTCTACTAGGTTCTCGTAGTGAGCCCAATCCACTGGCCGTAGCAGATGCTTGATGTCTGCAACAATAATTACTTTATTCTCAGAACAACATGATGATATTCCATGATTATGATAATTATTATCGTATAATTACATTGACATACTTCATAACGACTTTCATGTTTATTTTATATATATTTTCAATATAAAAAAACGAATATTTGATGATTATGATCACAATTAAAGTCTGAACATGCATAGAACTAAATGTCAAAACCTCTTTACACGGAGAAATTCACAAAAGTTCTCGAATACTTTCATTTTGCAAAAGGTCAAAATTTTCTTATCTCTCTCTCTTAAGCTGATATACTGTGTGCCTACAATTTTCCTGATTAGCAGACGAGGCGCTCCACACCAACAAACAAATATATTCAATTATCGCTTCAAAATCCTTCTACGGAATTCTTTCGCAAAGAAATTGCCTTATAGGTCATGATACAGGCATCATGTGTTAAGAAACATTTTTTAAAACTTCTGCACCAGAAAAAGTTTGGTGCTCATCTCTATCAATTCTGTTCGGGTACTCGAGTTTTTCGAAGTTTCCTCACAGACAGAGTAACTCTAGAAGGAAGAATTAGTAGAGGACGACTCACTGGAAAGAAGGGAAAGCCTCGCGGGGCCGAGGAGCTCGACGACCTTCTGAGTGAAGACGTTGAGACGGACGTCGCCCTGGGCGAGACCGCCGACCAGAACTCGGAGCTGCCAATTCTCCGACTGGTCCAGACAGGATGTTATCTGAAACCCTCAGGTTAAAATTCTAACATTCCTTCTCTTAAGGCGGTGTTTGAGACGCAGAAATTATTAATAACTTCCTGATTCTTATCAAAAATTTCGATAATTCTAGTCAAACAAGTTGAAATAATACTTTACGAAGGAATCAGATGGTTAAAATCATACCGTATCAGGTAAGTAACCAAAAAAATTCGAAAAAAATAAAAATCAATATATGAAAATATATAAAGGATCTTTTTTTTTCAAAATTTCAGACATATTTATACAAAAAAAGTTTGAAAAATAGTATAAAAAAATATTTGCTGATTCTTTTAGCGTGTTTTCAGAAAACTAAAACTTCAGTAGTGCAAGAAAGGTTGTTTGCAAGATTTTATCTCGCGTTTTCTTCACGCCTTTGCGACTATCTTGAAAATAAAAAAATACGACAGGAACTTCAAGGATAGCAGAAGAAGATGCGTACAATGATTCAAAACATCCTTTCTATACGGATATGAGAATGATAATGTTAAATGCCAAAGTTTGATAAGAGCCTCAATACTTAAGGTTGTGAATTCTATTTGAATGAACTGATTCATTAAAAAGCGTTGAATGCACCAGAGCAAAACAACAAAGAGAATAAAAATGGAGAGGAATAGAGTTTGCAATTTGATTGCGGGTCCCGCGAGGCTTGTAAGCACGCGAAACTTTTTTCGGGAAAAAATTCTTTTTTTTTTCTCGACAAGAAAAGCAAAAAAAAAAGAGGATGATATTACGGAAAGAAGGTTCGCATCCATATAATGAAAGCCCACTTTTTCATAAATTTGGTATGCAAGAGAAGAATTTGAAAATAAGTTGTTAAAACTAACTAATACTGCCGAACGCTTGAGAGAAGGCTCCGCAAATGGATGGGGCTCAATTAAAATTGAAAAATTTTGTTTTTCTCGACTTGGCCTCCACATGAGAATTCTTTAATGAAAATCTCAGTAGGTCGGCGAAAATTTATGTTTTTTTTTCACCAAAATAAGAGCTCTCCCTTAAAAATTATGTTTCATTAGAAGTTTTGGAGAAAAAAATCGAGACGTTTGAAAAGTTCCAATATTTTAAGATAAGAACGTTTCTAGAGCTTTTGTTCAAACAAAAGGCGGAAAATCCGAAAACCTACTTACTGGCAAAGGAAAAAGTAAACAAAAAATCTCCAGAGGCACGAGAGGCGAGAAAAGCGACGAGGAACGGCAAAATGCCCGTAATTAGAAGTTGCGGCAGCGTTTTCGCCACTGAGAAGAACGGGTCCGAAGCTTCAGGGTAGCCCTCGAGAGAAACAGAAAAAAGCCAAACGCTTAATTTGCATCTTCGTTTTATTTTTTGGCCACATACGTCGAAAATTTAGTTTTCTCCAAGCGAGCAAAAACTCGAATAAGCAGAAACCAGTGAGAAAACGTTGGCTTTTGCATGAAAGACAGTGAAACAAAGCAAAAAATTAGAAAGGGAAAACTGCGAAATTCATCGTTCCTTGATGCGTCATATCTTATCTATTCAACGTCTACTGGGAAGTTCAAAAAAAAAAGGAAAAGATGTTTTTGAAAGTTAACCTTCATGAGTTTCACATAAACGAGTTTTCATCATAAATCTTCAACTATATTCAAAAGCTCAGTAAACTGAATTTAAAAAAAAACTAATTATTTCGAAGCTAATACACAGGTGAAAAAATGAGTTAAAGAAAAAATATCCATTATATCACAGAAACATTTTTTAAAGCTTAATTTGAAAAAATGAGGAAAAAATCATTCCAAAAACGCGTTCCTCCCGGACTAACGCCAACATGACCTTTAAATATTTCTTTTTCCTGTATTCGCATCTTTTGAAAAACGTATAATTTTCTTCGATTACTAATGGCTTGATAAAGTGCCATACTCGTTTGTTTTTAATAGTGAGTTGGAGCAGAGCTTTCAGTTTTTGAGAGGATGTCGGCCGAAATAATGAAAGAAATTAGGAAAGACACTTCTTGAGAGTGCATGCGCATCTTGGGAAGAGGTCGTAGGGGACACGAGTAACGAGACACAAGCAATATATATGTGTATATGTATATGCGAAGACGCGAACGATCGATTGTGTCGCGGAAGGCGCGTCGTTCTCCATTTCAACGTCGCCGCAGGTATATCCAGGCGTCGCCAGCTTTTCCGTCTTATCATTCACCCACACAAATCAGCACACAGATCAAACAACCATTTTAAAGTACCCAAGTGTGTTCGAAAAGTATTCAAAATCATAAGGTTTGACTTTTTCGAAATGATAACATCTCGATAACTTTCCTTTCACTGAACTTATGAAATATTAGCTCTAAATAAAGAAGGAGAATAGCAGAAAAGACAAAAAAAAAGATTCAAAAACCAGCTGCTGAAAAAATCGAGAAAAAAACTCAAAACTTGGCTTTTTTTCCATTTTTTTAAAAAAATATTCTAGAACTTTAGAAAGTAAATTGAAGTGGTTGGCTTGATTTGATTTAAATTGCGAAAATGAGGAGTGAAGCTGGAAAGAAAAGAGAAGAAAAGAGTTGGGTTGAAGTTGAGAAGTTGCGTGAAGAAACGAGGAAAAGAGGGAGTGCCGATGAGTTCTTGGCCGAGTCGCACAAGGAAATGGCAGAGAAAAGAAACAAAGTTGGTTTTCTTTCTTTGCAGGTGTGTAGTCTATTCTCCGAGTTCCCACTGGAGTATTCGAAAACTCGTGTCAAACTTCAACTCATTCTAAAACTTTCGCCAATTGTTGGTGGCATCAGAAACTAGCTTAAACATTTTTGACTAATTTTCTCTTGACGTTTTGTTTCAGATTTTTTTTCCGCCTTGCTTTAGATTTTCTGTCATACAAAAAAGAAGAAAAGGAAATATTCCAACAACAGACGGGAAGAAAATTGAAAATGAAGCTGAAATTCAGTCAAAAGGTTGTGGCTGATGTAGAATTTCAGAAGACAAGGAAAGAATAGACGACGCAATTCCGCCTGTTAGCATCAATCTGCCCGCCGACGGATACGTCGCTCAGCCACAACAATCAAGAGAACCCGACGACTGATGGGACATATAGAGATCACAACCTCTGCGAAGAATATCCAAAGAAAAAGAAGGTTTGGAGGCTCGGTCGGAAAGAATAAAGAATGGAGTCTCGACGGTTGATGGATGCACCCCCGGAACACCCTCAAGGTCATTAAAAGGCCTGACGCTGATTGAGTGAGCGTATTTTCTTTCTGTGCTTTTTCCATTCGAAGCCCTCGAAAAATATGAGAAAACTCGTAATTCACACCTGCGGGAAATCGCATATAACAGAATAAAGTAATATTCGGAGCTTAGGCAAATACGCGAGTCAATAACAGCAATCAGAAAAAATTAGAGCAACGTTTCGCGGGAAATTGTTCGAATAGCAAGAAAGCACGCGAACGATGTCCATTCAAAAAATTACCAAGAAACAAATAACAGTTACATAAAAGCTGATGGGTTCCCATTCCGAATGATTGGTGTGAACAACCTTCGCTTCAGACCAGAATCCAGAATGTTTTCTCTATTCAAGTAAATTCAAAGAGGAACTGTGAGCGGAAAACGTTGCAGGAGCAAGATTTGAGAAGACAGCTGCTAAGTTCCAAAATCAAATCTTCTCTAAAAGGTCGCAAAGCCAGACTTTCCCTTTTTCTGCACTTCGAAGGGAAAAAAAGCTGAAGAGCATGTAAATTTTCCTTTTCGCTTATTCAGACGTCTTTCTGGTTCATTAAAACCATGATGCGCTAATAAGGGAAGCGTGTCAAAAAGCAAGGAAAGCGGAGAAGAGAAGTTTTTTGGGCAATTAATGGAGTTCCGAGAAGAAACGAGCCGATGAGATTGGCCACTGGAAACTCATCTTTCCTCAAGATGTCGATCTCGAAAAAGCAACCATGCTTGCAGAAACTTTCAAACTGACCAATCTTAAAATTTCATCGATACGACAGAAATTAGGCTTTGATATTGCATTAGAAAAGATGCGCAAGTAAATGATAAATATAAAAAACATCTAGATGCTTTGCTAAACAGAATCCATGTCGAAAGCAGGAAATAACTCAGTTGCAAGACAATAGCCAAGAAATATTCCCATTGGCTGTGATCAGAGCGTTCTCGATAACACCTCAGCAAAGCTTCATCGAAATCTCAAACCGGATATTTTCGCACTATCAGGTTTTCAGAAATTTTTTGAGCTTTTACATACCTTTTTTCGGCTTAATAGATGAGAATGGGAAACTCCAAGCTTTGAGAAACTTTTTTTTCTACCAAAACGTTCTCTGAGTGGAAGCCGTGAAAGTTTTGACCTGGAAAAAGTCCAAAGCTCCCACAGATCCAAGTTAACCGGCCCAACCCCTTCCACTTTAAATGCTCTTAAACTGATAAGTTTTGCAGGCTGGTGAACGAGAAAAAATTTCAGCTTATTTCTAAAAAAAATCCTCAAAACACAAAGTAGACTGACACCCCTAGATACGACTTGATTTCAAGAAATTAAAAAGAGAGTCAAAAAACCGATGCCTTAAGAACACCATGGCAGCAGAAAGAGACAACCTCTCTGGGAGACAAAAAAGGTCTCTACATCAAAGAAACCCCAAAATGCAAGTTCGAATAGGGAGTTTGCGTGGCCGGACAGCACCGATAGAAGGAAAAATGTGGAAACGAGCGGATTAACGTGGCGATCGGAGCGCCGGCGAGAGCGATGGCCAAAGCAAATTGCACATGGCGGCCAGCGGCGAAAATGTTGGCCCGATAAGTTTCAACGACGCAGAAAATGCGTGAAAATCCGTGCCAGTACCATCAGCACCAACCAACAAAACTTTATTTTTCTGTGGGCGGCTTTTTTTCGGGTGGGACAAAAACTCGGCTTGTTTTCGACCATATGCAAAACTTTTTTAGTCGACAAAAGAACAAAGGGAAGGCTCCTATAGATATAACGGAAAAAAAAAAATCTAAATCAATTTGAAAAAATTTGAAAAATCCATGAAAGAAATGTTGAAAAAAAAAGAATTATTATCATTTTTTGGAAATTTCGCATTTGAACATGAACTGTAAAAATTATGCTGAAAATAAGATGCCAGATAGGGAGCTTTTCAGAAAAACTCAAAAAAATGTGCGGTATTCGCTAGATCGTTGTTTTCTTATATGGAAATGACTCGTTTTTCAGCTCCTTGTTTCTAGATAACCAATTAACTACAAAAGAGAAAGAAATTTTTCTAATGAAGAATACAAATTTTTCAGCTCAAAAAAAATCCATTTTAAAATATTCATTCTCAGACACTTCTGTTCTCGGAATCTCCTTCAGAACCTTCTCTTGGAAAAAGCAAAGTATTCTGAAGTTGTCACCAAAAGTATTGGCAAAAAGGCCAGTATGTTTACGGGTGGATATATTTGGAATGAATGGATTCAACGCGCTGCTGAGTCGAAAAACACGTCTATGCCGAAAAATCGCCGCTTTTTCTGCCCTACTTCTGGCACGTGTCAAGTTTGCGGATAATCTTGGCTTTCAAGAATGCCGTGCGACGGATAAACGATACAAAAAGTCCCTGGAGGACACACAGACTGAGAAAAACGTTGATTGAAGCGGTTGGGTACCAGGAAAATTGAAGGACTACCGAAAACTAATAATTTTCCTTTAAACTAATCAATTGAAAGAGTATTTTTAAACTAGAAACCTCAGAAGGAAAGACGAGAGTCGTGTGTGACAGCGAAGACTGCGTTCCGATTCTTTGAACTGCAGATGAACTAAAACGACTTCTTTTTTTTTTCTTTTTTTTCCTCACAATCCGCCTACTTTTCCATCGAAGGCGATCCTTGCGCCGAGTATCCTGCTGAAAAAAATAACCTTTTTTTGAGAAACTGTATTTTCCAAAATGGAAAAATAGTCATTGAAAAAGCTTTGGTTCAGCCAAAAATTGATTATAATTGTTAATAATGAAGATCGAAGCTTCTCAGAAAATTTTCACAAACCTAACCCTTAATGGCGCAGAAAAAGTGTGCTTTAAAAACTTGCAGAGTGCCAATTTTGGAAACATTCAAAAAACCTCTTCCACTTTTTTTCAAATAAAAATTTTTTTCTCAATAATCTTTCATTTATTACGTCGAATGATCTGAATTAAACCAAGAGAAAAAAATTGAGCGGAAGATAGTCTGACGGCGACTCATCGACGCATCCAAATCACTACTGTCAATATCATTCCTTCGCGATCCGTCATGCCAAGGTCTTTTTCTCAAAACTTCCATCGGCTCTTATCTTGCCTTTGATTCAGAATCATTTTTGAAACTCTTAAAAAGTTTGAGGGTACATGATGGGTCCCCAAATGAAAAAGAACAAACAACAACGATAGAAGTTTTCATTTTATTTTTTTCTTTGAAAATATGAAAAACATCAGAAAAAAAAATGTTGCGCAATGTTTTTTTTTCACTACCACATCTGAACTATTTTCAAAGAATCAAAATGATTTTTAAAATTGATCAACTGTTTTTTTTTATTGCTAACAGTAATCCCCTATTATTTCAGAATTTTGGCGAATAAAAAGCGTCTGAAAACCTTCGTGAGGTTTTCATAGATGTCGAAAACTTCCCATTATTGCTGGCTAGGTGAACTTTAACCGTTTTTATAAATTATCTAAAATACAAGCTTTGAAAAATTGCTTACAATTAGACTACATAGATCGCAAAAATTTTTTTAAATAAGCAAAATGTGGGAAAATACCAAATGGAAATTGAGAAACCAGTCTTTGAAGGTGATTGAAATTGACAAGGGTACTTTACTCTGTTATTTTGGTGACAGTCATGTTTTGCACATGCGTCGGATCTGTTTTTTGAGCGCGCCATAGCTAGTTTTTTTTCAGGCATATTAACTGAGAAATGCTTGAGAAAGAAAATGTTCATTTTTGAGAAAGTTTAAAACAATTATTTTCGTAATTTAGAGAAGCCCGAACTTTCTCCTAACGTCTGAAAGAAGGAAATCTTATATGATGATTAACTTTCAATTTTCGTTAATTAGATGACGACCGAAAATATTTAATAAAAAAAGCAATGAAATTTGAAATAACGAAAGAATTTACAACCTCAAAGAGCTATCAGTCTCTCTCAAACAGGGGGAAACTATTCACACGCGTCCAAATAGTTTTCGCAATAAAGAAAGCAATAAAAAATTCATAAAAAGTGTCTTGACGCGCCGGGGAACAGATCTGACGCCAGAAGGCAAAAAGTGTACAAAACAAGACCATTTGCTGCAAAAATAGCCAGAGGCCGCAGTGAAAAAACACCTCTGCAACGCGCCCAAAGACCGCGATCAAACGCGTAAAAGTCTCAAATCGTCAACAAAATTCAAAACTCGCGGACTTTTGTTTTTCCAGAGTCCCTAGTCGTAAAATAAAGATTAAACAAATGATTGGGTTGCGTGAAACGATTCTGACAAATAATAAAGCACAAATCGACTTAGGACGCCTTTTTGCGACAAAAAAGTTATTCGCAAGTTATTTTTGTGGTTTTCAACGTTCTCTGCGCCTCTGCGTGCCATGCTCAGATTAAATTTCCACACAAACCCAAAAAAAAAGTCATAAAACTCGTCACAAATGGCAAAAAAATACATTTTCTTCTGCAGATTCAAGCGAGTACGAAAAAGTTAATTTCTCAAATGCACGCTTATTTTCTGTAGTAACTTGACTAGGATAAGAAGTGAAAGTATCAATAAGTACTCTAAAAGTCTTCACGCAGGTGGAACGATTTTTTTAATCAATAAAAACTGAGTGAAGGATCGGTGAAAAAACAGCAAAAAAAATTTGGGAGTCTGAAGAGGTAAAAAAGGAAGCAGAAGAACAGTTTGGAAAGGAAAACGAACCGACTCGTCGGTATGCGAGTCTGTCGATCTCGGCGTACCGCGTGAATGTCTCCGTGAGTGCATCCGACAGGTTCTGCGCATCTTTCTGCAATCAGAAAGTGGACAAAAGTGTAATACACGTCAAGGAAGGAAAATTCAACGGGAGGAAAACAAAACATCGGAACGCAGCTCAATCCTTCAAGGGCGGCCTACGAAATCAAGACGAAACTTTGTTTTGAAAGGAGCCGATTGTAATTCGTGTGTCTCTCAGTTTCCCGTTCTATTTTCCCGTCTACCTCGCTCGGGCTCAAAAAGACACTTGTTGCTGCTCATGAGCCGTTTGTCTGGCAATTTTGACTGTGATCATCGACTCCTCATGACGAATCAACAACTGGAAACATGCCAGAATCTGACAATAAATATTCTTCAAAGAACTGTTTACCATCTCGCGAGATGAATCAATTTCAATTCAAAAAGGGAACCAATAAAATATATATGAATGTAATAATTGTAGCAAAAAAAAACCTATTTGAAATAAGCCAATAAGTCAATTTTTTGTGATCTTGATGACTTTCTTTTAAAAAATCAATTTAAAAATGGATACTTTCATCTTTCATCAATCGAAGAAATGACCTGTGAAGGGAGAGAAAGGACGAGGAAATCCCTGAGTTGCGGCTTCTCAACGTATGGAGAAATGTTGAATGTGAAAAGCCACAAGCCATTCTCTTCCAGGGCCCCGGTCGAAACGATCAACGGTATTCCCACAGCGAAAACCATTTCGCCCTGCACATCCTACTTTTATCTTTTGTCCCTTCTTATTCGCATTTTTCAAATTAAAAATAAACTTTTCGAATTATTGAGTTAAATTGAAAAAGCTCAAAAAAACCGAAATCATTAAAAAAAGAATCTAGAGCTGGTCTCTTGAAACTTGGGAAACTTGAGAAAAAAAGAAACCGTCCGCGTAGTGTAGATCTCGACTTTACGCTGGTCAATGATCAGTGTATGGGACTTGAAGTCGATCGTTTTTCTATCCAAATAAGGTATTCGAGATTCTTTCTGGAAAATAAAAACTTATGAAAAATTGTTGAAGCTTAGAAAAGCGGAAAAACGAGCTTTCAAAACAGTTTTATTTTTTCTCGGAGCATGAGCCAATGTGCAAAAGAGAAAAACAGCAGCAGTCAAACTACGAAAACTTATCCGGAAAGCAAAATAATTTTCAACCCATGAGAAATTAGAAACGAGCTCTGATAACATCTATGATAGCTTTGATTATATAGCATAAAACGTATTAAACAATAATCCTGAAAAAGAACTTGGGTTCAATAGTTTCAGAACAAACTTGTGCCTCGTCCAGAAACCGGAGAAAGGCTGTACGGCTGCAGTGATCCAACCCGGCGAAGTTTTTGCCCACGATGACGTCGATATACTGGAAAGATGAACCTATTAAGCTAAAAGATAAACGAAGCCTGGAACCTTTCTTGAGAAAACGTAGCGTAAAACTGAAAAACTGAAACTAAACTTCCTAATTTTTTCGATGTTTTCGAACTATCAAGTTCAACCATTACCGTAAGGAAAATAGAGAAGCTAAGCGATTCCCTAAAAATAAAGTTTGAGATGATCTGAAAAATTACTCTACTCAACCAAAAAAGGGAAACTTACAGCAACACTGAAAATTTTGGGCATGGTCCTGACAGACATGTACGAATACGAGTAGCTCAGTTGTAATCTAAGAAATCGATTTAATAGAATACGACTGGAAAGAGCAAAAAAAAAAAACAACAACTAAAATCAGAAAAGCGAGGCAGACAGACTGCGCGAACAAATATTTGCCATCGTTCCCTACTAATACTAACGTCCTTCTTTCAGGTGTTTCTTTCCAGTATATAACTTACTTCGCTGATCGCTTTAATATACGCAAAATATAGGACAACTTACTTTTGCAGACTCTAAGAACTATATTTTTTCTTAGCAAAATTGCATGAATAAAAAGTGAGTTATGAGTTATCTTGTATATTTTTTTGACACACGAATTTGAAAAAAACTTCGGAAAAAAAGACTTATGAAAAAAATCATATTTTCCACTTCTCAGAGCGTTTTTCTTCTTTCAAAAATTTCATATCCTTCAAATATAATATATAATGTATGTCAATTTGTTTCAGAAGTTTTTTAGAAGAAAGGAAAGTGTCTGCAAATGAAGCAAAACAAATCAGACATTAAAAAAAATGACTTACAAGGCCCTGAATAAATATTAATAATGACTTAAAAACATGTGTATAATGATTTTAAAAAATCATAAAAGAAAAGTTGAAATTTTACAATTACAAATCAAAACACTAAGTCAAAGTAACTCTCTAAATCATTAATTCAAAGAATAACATTAAAAAAAAGAGCTTTTGTGCGTTAGATAAAACGTTAGCGGTTCATCGACTGACGACGCGAACACGCATACTTGTAGAATGAAAAAAATTGAGTTAATTATAATTATAATTAATTAAATTAGAGTTAGTTCTACCTTCAAAGTTCTCAAAGAATTCGCTTCGATTTTCCTTTTTTCAATTATTATCCAACTGAAATAAGAATTAGCCTTGGTCGAAATTTTTTGAGTCATTTTTCATGCAGGTCTCCGCATCAATGCATAGCATGCATGTGAAATTGAAGAAGTTAATTACCGTTTAAATCAGCTCATCACGTTTTTTTTCCGCTGAGTTCAGTCGTATAATTGGTTTAAAAAAATAGTCCAGCTACATTATCAACAACTTCTAACGTCACTTGACCGATAGTACGTGGTGATAAAAATTTTGTCGTTTTCCCTCTTGTTACCACATGATACGATCAATAGTGGATTGCGTTGTCTATAGCGTTGATTATTATTCATTTTTACATCAAAAAAGAGTTGTCATTTGTTTTAGCAAGAACAAGAAAAGGAAAAATACGTATGGAATGATTTAGCAAGATCATAAAAGAGATCAGCAAAAGACAAGAACCTTGACGTTGGGTCGATTATCAACATGAAACTTCAAAAAACGCTTTCCAGCTAGATAGAATGTAAGAAAATGTCTCGGAATGCCAGCCGAGGTGGACCCGAAGGCGTGAAAAGCTTTGCATTGATACTTTAATTGTTCAAAAACAGTTTATCTATACCTTATGCAATAAAAAATCTTCTCCTTCGTTAGAATCACATACTGAAAGCTTTTAACGCCATCCGGTTGTGGAGAAAATGATAATTGTTTAGATGATAAGTTTGTATCTGGGAACAAAAACAGCAGAATATATACAAACACAGTATCCAAGAGGAAAAAAGAGAGACAACTTCTTTCCAAATATCGCAAGGGGTGAAAAGGAATGCCAAAAAAATCACAGTGAAGCACACGACTTTACAATGATGGAAATGTAATAAGGATTAACAAGAAACGGGGCTGATAAGTTTTTAGCAGGTGAAATCGATCAACAAACTTGAAGACGACAATGAACGCAAGTGTAGATGGTACTTTACGAGGTGAGACGCAGATATATTTTCTTTTTGATAGCAAGCACCCGAGGACGTTCGAGACGAGCATGGCGTCGAAGGAAAAGAAGAAGAAAGGGGACTTGGGGGATGAATTGAGCATCGAACAGTTCCAAGACGATACCACCGGGCAACTTGTCGAGCAACTGTGGAAGAAAAGCGAAAAAGGTGATCCTTCCCCGAGAATGGCTCGGTCAGACGGGGAAGGCCGCAGTGGAAGAGGCCTGCGGGGGCTGCTGCTGACTGTTCACACGATTGCTCGTCGACGACAGCCGCAGCATCTGGAGCTGTCGAATCGCCGCTGCCGCGTTGTATGCCTGAAATGCATCCCTTCAAAAGTATCTAAGTAGGCAACTTAGCGAACAGATAATCTTTTTCGTTTTCAAGTATCTTGTCCTAGGAAAAGATTTGTTGGACGACCTAGGTCTATAAATCACCAAATTTTGAACTCGACTCCCAAATAACAAGTTCGCATAATTCCCTAATAAGTTATCTCATTCTGTGAACCATTATATAAAATTGGTAGTTCGCGGCGCCCATTTGAAACAACCAGCCTATGACTCTTGATAATTTCAAGCAGAAATTCGTGAAGAATCAAGGTGGAAACAGCGAAAAACCATTTCTTTTTCAAAGTTTTAAGAGGGCTAAAAATGAAAGAACGTCTTTAAAAGGTTCACCTTTTTCCAGTTGCGTTTGGCGAGACTTTTCTTCAAATGTACGGCGACAGTTCCATGGATATCGTGTGTATAAGCCGTGTTTCCACTGATCCTGGGAAATTGTACTGGAAATAAGACTCGAGGAATTGATTTACCAAGGATGGGCAAGGGCCTGTTGGCATGTGAACCGAGCCTCCGGATCACAGCACATAAGATGCGAAATGAAGTCCTTCGCTGAAAAACAGACGTGCTAAGCAACTTATGAGGATGCTTAAACTGACCTGAATCCGAAATTTGGTCCCAATACGGAGCATCGAACTCGTACTCGCCTTTTATGATTTGCGCGAAAAGGTTGGCGTCGCTTTCGTCGTAAAACGGAGGGTATCTGCAGAGTTTGTTTCTTAACCCAGGAAAATTGGAAATGAATTATCGTTTCAAAATCTCCGCGGCGCTTGAGTCCAAGAGGTTCGAAAAGTCTGCGCGTGAAAAATAAATAACTTTACTTATGTATTTCTTACGTTTCTTCATCCCATTTTTCCGTTTCTGAAAATTAATGGGTTTCAAGGCAAAAGATAGAAAAATATTTTCCTTCTTTTTCTTATTTCTGCAATATTTCAGGTTTAAAAAAAACAAATCATAAGACTCCTTGTGACCCACCCGCAGAGCAAGATGTAGGCGATGACGCCAATCGACCACACGTCTACGGCTTTTCCGTAGGGCTTCTGCTGAAGCACCTCGGGTGCGACGTACCTGAGGAAGAAAGGTATGAATGAACCAACTGGACAACTAACCCTGGAGTTCCGCAGGCGGTCGCCATCACCCCTGAATCTTCTGTTTTCGACAGTCCGAAATCTGAGATCATAATTTTCGAGTCCTGAAAAGATTCAATATTTTGTTTCAGATGACCCACTAAAACCTCATCCTGGTTGTAGTAGAGCAAATTTTCAGGTTTCAAGTCGCGGTGAACGACGCCGTTGTCATGCATAAAGGAGACTGCTTCCAGGACCTGAAGAAAAAAGTGAACAGGTTTGAAATTTTCCAATCGTTTATTCGGTTGTGAGTATAAAAAGTTTATAACTGGAGCAAGATTTAGTTCTTTTTTGAGTAGGGACACGCTTTCTCGTAGCTAAATTCGATTTTTGGGTGTTTTTGAAGTTAAATATCGGAGAAGAGTTTGTACTGGACTCAGTTCAAAGACTTTCGATAAGGTACCTGACGAATGAGATTGGAAGCGTCTTTTTCGGTGTAAGACCCTTTGGCGACAATCCGGTCGAAGAGCTCGCCCCCAGTCACGAGTTCCATCACCAGGTAGACGTACTGCTTCTCGTCGTACGTATCGTAGAGCTGCACGATGTTGAAATGTCTCAGCCTGTAAAGCTTTCCTTTGCAAATTTTGAATGATCTCCCACAGCTTTTCCTCCAGCAACAAAGTTCATTCAACTCTTTTTTTTTCAACATTCTTCGTCTAAAATAATTGTTTTTTTTTTCGTACCAGATTCAATTCCTCGATTTGAAAAAAACTCTCGTTTTTAACTTATAACACTTTTCTCCAATTGATTTGCTATGACGTTGTATTTCAATCGGAACTTCCCAAACTCTAACAACCATTTGGGATACTTGTCATTTTTTTTTTCAAAAATGCCTCATATTTCCAGCAAGACTATTTTCGGCTCAACTCTTGCACGTAAGTTCAACAGGAAGGGCAAAATGAGGCGAGGCACGTAATTTGTTGTCGTCACAGAAACCGATGACGTCACTAACCGTTAGGCGCGGCATTTCTAAGCTTCTGACGGAAAAGCTCATTTGATGTTTTCGTAAGATAAGGCGAGCTAAATGCGTCGAAAAAAACATTTTTTTAAGAATAATTGGATTTTTCACGTGCCGAAAACATTAGTAATCCTAATGGGATTTAGCCTATTTGAGCTCATAAAGTATTGAACCTTTTTTTTAAACTAGAAGCATGAAAAATGACTCAATAATTTTTTTATTTGAATGATTAATGGATAGAAGAAGCGTGACGTTTTGAAAATGACTCAATTTACCGCTAGCTTGTGGCAAAAGTAAACTACAAAAACGTCTGAGGGACATAGATGAGTGGGCAGAGATCTTTTTCAGACCCACCGTGAATCAGAAAAGACTATGAAATGAACTTTGAAAACATTTTCAAAAAGGCACCAAATGAATTATTGAGCACCAATTTTTGCTCCTTTTATTTCAATATAGCGTCTATTTTTTGAAATTTCTTTAGCATCAGCTTCCAGACGCCTTAATATCAGTCATTTTTCAAAATTTGCGAAACAAAACTGGAGATTATGAGTGAAAATAGATAGGAAAACTTTTCTATAGTGGTTGAAGGTATCTTTCGAATACCTCCCTGTGGAAAAAATATGAGTGACGACCGAAAAGTTCAATTTTCCTTTTTCTTCAAAATCGACCTACTTTGAACCTAAAAACACAAAATTCGAGTTATTTTCGGGAAATATACATTTCGATGAGCAGGATCTGCCATAGCGACTCGTGACTTTTCTCCACTCCCATGGAGTGAATGTTTGACTAAGAAAGAAAGGGTTGGCGGGTCGCAGCAGACTAATTGCCGCAGGCTTCCTCATTCCCCACGGCTCCTAAGAGGCATTGGCCGACAACACGGACCGCACATAATGTAATTTGAAACGCGACACTTCAGACGCCTATCGTCGTAGAAAACGCGCTTGGTAGTGCCCGTTGACTCGGAATCCAATGGAACATTGTCCAAAGACGTCGCACTTTGATGTTTGAGCTCGACGAGTTGAACATTAGTCAGAAGTTCTCGGCAAATATCTACTATTATGTCGTCAGCCTGGCATTTGAAGGTTATGAGTTCGCATACGCCCAAGCCACAATTGTGACGAGAAAAATATAATTATTTTACCTAGGTTTTTTTTTTCAAAAATTCTGAAGAAAATGTTAATAAATAGTAAAAACTGACTTGCGAAGGACTTTGATCTCGTTCTCGAGAGACTCCTCTTTTCCTTTAAGTGCCTTCTTGTCGATGCATTTGACGGCGACCATGTGTCCAGGCTCGCTTTTGCATTCCGCCAGAAACACCTGCAAGTTCTCATTTCCTTTCATCAAGTCAAGCGGAACGTCGAGAAAAGTTTCTCGTATCGGCTTCGAGAAAAAGAGGAGTACCTAGGTCAACTGCGGACCTAACATCTTCGTCTAAAAACTTTTAAGTTTCTTCTAAAAATATAGATGAAATTTAAGCGAAAATAGGTAGAAAATTGGCATGTCTATTCGGCTGTATTGTCTAACAAATCATTCAAAGAGACGAAAAAAAAACCAAAACAAAATTTTTGTTTTCATGACAATTCTAAGAAACCATTTATGTAGGTTTTCCGGCTTTTCCCAAATTTCCTCTCACGCTCGAAAGCGTTCACAGCGAAGCAAACAATTTTCGTAGAAGTTCAAAAGAATGTACACATAAAACCGTCTTCAAAAAAATTGGAAATTTTCTCAGCGCTTTTCGGAGAGCCGTTTTCATAAGTTTAAAACACTCCCAAAGCTGGAAGAAACCGTATTTTTTAAACTGAACTTTTTTTGTGTTTTGGACATCAAAATAAAACCTCATGTTTCGTTTGGAAAAATCCAACTTCTCAAAAGTCAAAAAGAAACATTAGGCTTGTAATTTGAAAATCATTCTCAGACGCTTCTAGAAAATTCGTCTTGTTCAGAGGAAGGCAGACGAAACTTGGCGTAGATTCGCCGGCCTCCGGAAAAGGCCAACGATCAAAAAACTCGCATGGCGAGCCCTCTTCTCCATAACAAAGTTTGAACGGATGGACAATTTAGGTGGAAAATTCTCCCGAGAATTCGGATGGACAAAATGTCTTGGCATTCAATCTCGCCTTCAATTTCGCTCGAGCTCTCAACCGCCTGCGATTAGCTGTTGATTATCCTGCACTCCTCCGGCAATAGTATGAGGTGCACAGGTGGTAGCGATACACTTTTCGGTGTTCTTTTGGAAAACAGCAAGCTCTTCAAACTATGATGTCAGAAAAAGCAAAAAGGTCAAAATCAAACCCTTTCTTACACACTATTTAACCGGTTAAATAGTGTGTAAGAAACGGTTTAACCTAAAAAAAAAACTACAATTAAAACTTTTGGCCGCTTATTATACTTCACGTAGTTTTCATGTTAGTGAATTTGTCTCGAAACCTATTATTAGAAAAAAAAAACGCCATAAATCTTTCCGAAATTCACATCGGAGACTGAAAGTTGTCCGGCGTGAAGAACGTCACTATGCGTCCAGAGTGCGTGCATTTTGTAGCGCGAAAAAAAAAATGGAAACTCTTTAGGAATTCAAAAGGGCATGATCGTCACAGCTTTCATCTAGAAAGAAGTCTAGAGAAATTTCCTAACTATAAAAAGAACGTGGCAGAGGTTAGTCTTGATTTCAATAAAACGTTGAAAATTATTATTATTTTTTAAAATTTTAAATTCGAAAACTGCTCAACGAAATTGAAATTCTTTCGAAAGTTTTTCTCTCTTTTGTGCTAAGCTTCCATTATTTCTTTTCTTCTAACATAGGCGAATCGAGAAAGGGTATCGCGATACCCTTAGAGGTATATCGCAGGCTCTGAAGTCTCACGATGGAACCTCTAGGATACCTCTGAGGATTTCGAGAAAAATGAGAGGGGCTTGAGAGAAACTCTGAAGTACCTCCGAGATGGCTCAGATATAGCTAAAAGGTATGCCGGAGGTCTCACGATGGACACATTATGGGGCCTTCACGAGCCATTTTGAGAGGTACCTTTGTGGACACATTATGGTACCTTCTCGATTCGTCTGTGAACTGAATTTTCAAGAAATTGACGGTATTTTCTAAAGACGTTCACGAAACAAACCGCACTTTTTTTCAAAATGCAGACAGTCTTTCCTGATGCGCCCGTCTGAAAGTTCGATAAAAAAATGTGAATGAAGTTAAAAAACTAATTTGATAAAAAAAAACTATTCGAAACTTTTTCAGGCTGCGCGCAACTATCCAAAACCAAAGACTCATGAGTTCAGTCGCTTGAAAAGCTAAAAATAAACGATAAAAAAGCAGCTTTTGGGTAGGGAAAGTGTCAAGTTCATTAGATATCGCACTTATCAGAGAAAAGAGGTCGAGGAGAGGCGGCAGACGGCCCGACGCCGCGCCAAATCCATAGCAACACGGCAGCACGTCCATTTATGTAGTTACAAGCTGCCGCGTGATTCCATCACCCAACACAATATGATCAGAAAGAAACCCTTTCTTCCTTTCTCCACTAGTCTTTACTAATGGAGGTTTCTCGAAAGAGTATGTGGATAGATTGATAAATATAAAAACTGCTTAAAAGGTAAATGGAGGTCAAAACGCAGTCATGGATTTGCAAAATTCATTAAAATGAATGTCTAAACAAGATCGTGGAAAAACAACAACGCTCAAAACGAAGAAATTGACGAAGGAAATATTGAAAAATACATACCGTTCGAAACTTGGAAAACAAATCCTTTGCAAAAAAATGTTTGAACTTATTAGACAGTGAAACAAAGTCTTTTTGCATTTATAGAAAACCTTTCAAGTCGAAAGTTTTTATACAGTGCCATTGAGACAAATCAATCGCCAGAAAAAAGGTATCTTGAAACTGAAAACAACAACATTTCTTCACTTCTAAGAAAAGATCCATTGAAGTGGGACACATCACAGAAGGAGCTTTTTGTAAGAAGGTTATTGGAACCAGGAATGAAAACAGAGAGTAGAAAAAAAAAATTGGAAGTACTATCATAAGCCTTCATAAGATTCATAAGATATACGAGGAATGATATTAGTCCCAAGGACGCCTGAGACAGCGTTGAAATTAGGAAGGATTACAAGGTTTTGTACGATTCAACTCGAAAAAGTTTTTAGTGCGAACTACGGTGTTAGGAAATAATCTAACATGGTTCAATTTTTGATATAAAAATCTTCATAAATATAAAAAATCCTCTTTGCCGCTTTACAGTAGTCTTCATGAGAAATTTCGAAAAAAAAAATGCTGCTCTTTTGACGGGGCCAGAAAAGGGTTCAAACTGAAGATAAAATGTTACAAATAGAAAGATGGGAAGTCACGTTTTGATTTGAAAGCCACAAAAAGTTGCAAAATACGGCTATTAACACAAGAAAATCGTTTTTTGTCTATTTTTGAGAGCAAGTTACTGGTTTCATTTTACAAGCAAAACGGCTTTAAAGACTTTAGAAAGGTAAAAAACAAAAATCAAAAAACCTTAGAGAAAGCACCGGTGCCGAGAACGTCGCGGAACTCGTAGCGGTCGCGGATGGAAGCCACGACGCCGTTGCCGCCTTCTCGGCGCTTGAACAACGGCATCTATGGCACCGCCGGCGTTTCGACTCTGCGGCCGTCTGCTCGCGCGGCTCTCCGCCCCCTGGAACCACTCTCTCACCGTTCGTTCGGCACTCACGGCACCTCCGCTCCAGACATGCTCTCTCGCTCGCCACGAGCTTCACCTTCTCAGCTGATGTTTCGTTCTGTTTTTTTTGGCCGTGGAACACGCATATCCGCAGGTTCTGTTTTGTGTGCGCAGATAATTACAGAGACCAGAATTATTTCACGTCGGATCCGAATAAAGAGATCTCAAAATAAAGAGATGAAAGGGGCAATTTTTGTTCAGAATTTCAAGCATTTTTCCATCTACTCATAACCCCATAATTACAGAGAGTCAGTTATTAATTTTAACAATCAGCAAAGCTTTCTATAATTCTCTATTTCTAAAAGTTCGCGATTAGCAAAACCAAAAACATTTTTTCGAACCCAGTCTTTTTTGACGCACGAATTTTATCTAACGATATCGATACTCAAGAACGATTGCAACTTCCCTTATATAAACTTGAATTATCTAGGGAAAGAATCCAACCTACTTCTGTTCTGCGCAAAAAACAGGCGGAGAAACTTTTTGAAAGCGTTAATTTAAAAAATTAAAAAAATTAAAAACGAAAAGTTATATTGTAAAAAGTAGGAATGCTCTGCAAAAATGCCATCATGATATCGGAGCACCTTCGCGAAAATGAAAATTATTCTAAGCCTCTATAGCCTATTCCGCGCCAGCTTGTCACGTTTTTTCTTCCGCCAAAAAGACCGTACATCAAATTAGATCAAATTTCTGCTTTTATAACGGCAAGAAACACAGGTCTTGAAGCGAAGTTGGACAAATTTGACCTGGCCTTTTGGTGGAAAGAAAAACGTGACAAGCTAGCGCGGAATGACCCATAACACATTTTAAAACTTTTTTCCCTCTCCGACGGCAATTCCTATTTCCCAGAAATCACTTCGAAAGCGTTATAAAAATTGAAAAAGCCAATGAAAAGATGGAAAAAGAAATTTTTGAAATGTTTTCTCTATAAAGCAACTTTTCTGAAAAGGGCAATTTACGCGGGAGTTCAAACATTTCTTCATAAGAAATTGGCATCAAAATTTCGGAAAAAAATTCCTTCGATCTAAAAATGAATTTTCAATACATCGAGTTAACTGTTTAAATTTTGAAGAGAATCTCGAAAAAAATTATTTATCTTTAGTTAATACTGTCTTTTTCGGTGTTTTAAAAAACTTCTTCCTCACCCAAATTTTTTCTTGCTACATGATTAGAGATTATAGAAAGGATGTACTTTGAAAGTAATCGATTGGCACGAAACATTTTTATTAGAAATTTTTGGCAAGGCTCTGAACAGAGGGACGCAAGTATCATACATACAAAGGGGCTGTGAGTCGTTGGAACGAACACAGGATCGCGATGGAGCGGAGATACGAATATAATTATGTGATGTGCTGTAACCCGAATCGGCTTTCGGCGCAAAGGCAGGACCGTCGCTTTTGGCGGTCCTATCTCCGAGTTCCGTCCTCGAAGAAGACGCCACCGTCCAGCGCGCAGTACTTGGGACAGATTCCTGCAGAAAGCGGCATGAGTGGAGAAGTATAAAGTTTTTTTAAAAATAGATTTTTATCTCAACAAATAGTAATGTTTTTGAGCTATTTCGAAATTCTGAGAAAAACCTGCCCTTTTTTCATGGCATAAAAGCGCACCTCGTTCTCCTTGAGGTCCTGGGAGTCCAGGAAGACCTGGATTACCAGGAGGACCAGCCGTTCCGACGTTTCCTGGTGGTCCTGGAGGTCCTGGAGGTCCTTTTTGGCCTGGCTGACCGTCGCGTCCTGGCGGTCCATCGTCTCCAGGAAGTCCAGTGGGTCCTGAAAAGAGAAAGATGGTTCCATCAAAAGCACATTCGCAACCTTGTTCTCCAGGGTTTCCAGAGTCTCCTGGAATGGATGGAGTCGACTGTGCTGGTCTTCCGGGTTCTCCTTTTTCTCCGTCGTTTCCTGGGCTTCCTGGCTCTCCTGGAGATCCATTTGGTCCGATCGGTCCAGGTGGTCCTGGCGCTCCTGGTCGTCCAGGGTTTCCAGGTCTGAACCGTTTCATCAAGCTCAAAACATGACTTTTCAATCTCCGTAAATTAAATTAAGATCGAACCTAAGAATCTAGTTATAAAAAGTTATATACCTCACTTAAGTTCTAGTTCAGTTTTATAACATTTTTTCAACGAATAATTTTCTTTCTCAAGACTCACAAGATAGATTAGGAAAGCTAGAAAAAAAAAAATCAAAATCATTATCGCCGATTCACGGCTAACTTGGGACGCCAAGGGGGCGTGACCTGTCTGCGCTCTCCACAAACCAGGCCTGTATCCTTATTTTTTATCGTGTCAGGACCTATTTTTTGATGGCTCAGGCCAGCCGTGAATCAGCTATACATGAAACTTCGGCAAGACAATGAAAAAATTTGATTTTTGTTGAAAACTGATTTTAAATATATCCGTCTTCCAAAGAGGAATACATTGATTTTAAAGATACTTCTTATTTTATAAATTTTTTACCAGTTAGAACTGAGATCGTTGAGTTTGACACCGAACTCTCAATCAACAATGAAAATTTGAGGAAAGAAAGAAATGAAATTTTCGAACCTGCCAGGAATTCCGGCTGGTCCGGCTTGCCCTTGAGGTCCTGGAGCTCCAGCAGGACATGGGTTACACGGCGGAATGTCGAGCTCCTCGCAGACGATCGGAGGTCTACCTGGAGTTCCTGGCCTTCCTGGAGCACCGGGAGTTCCGGGCTTTCCGTTCCGACCGGGGAGGCCAGGACGTCCTGGATGGCCTGGCTTGCAGCAGCCTGAGTAAAGTTTTATTAGGATCGATGAGAATCGAAGACAGTAACCTGCACAGCCGACGGACTGACGCTTGCCACGGATCGCCGTCGCATTCGATGCCAAAGCCGCCACAATCGGCTTTTTGTGCGTGATCTCCGACATGATGTCTCTTGCGGATGACTGAAACCAAGATTTGATTGAACCTTTGAGCTCATTTGAGACAACTCGGTAATAACTTGTATTTGATCCATTCAGGTGAAGGTTCAATATGCCTTCGAAGTGGACTGAAATAAAAAACTAATCTAATGAAATATATTTGAAGGCGAAACAAGTTGAACATTGATAGTTAGGTTCAAGTTTGGCCTTAAAAAAAGAGTTGAAATGAAAAAGTTTCGAGACTTTAGTGGCAAACGTTATAAAATTGACGGACTTCTTTCAGCCCATTCATCTATATGCGAATAGTATTTGGAAAACTTCTCAAAAATATCCAAAGTGCGCAAACTTTACAAATGAGTACATTTATATCGATTGTAGAAAATGATAGTCGATGATTCGATGCTAATGAACTTTCAAGTTTTTCAAAGTTTTTTTTTTCACGTTCCAAGTTTTCTTGAGCTTTTTATGAGTAATGAGAGAGACACGGATGAGTAATCAGAAGGAGAAGATCTGGTTGCTGCAGCAAATTCTTGGCGGCCGCGGCGCTGGAACCGCGCGCCCTGCAGCTTCTTCAGCCACCAAACGTGTTGCAACGGTGTAAAAGCTCTTGACATCCTCTTCTCGTCATAATTATACCGTTTCAAGCGTTTTCCTATACCGCTTTGAATTGGGAGAGCGAAGAAATAGGAGTTTTTTTTTTCGGGTTTTTCACGGTTGAAGATGCTGTCATAGAAGGGTGAAGAACGGAAAAATGTTATTTTTTTAAAAAACTATCAAAATGAGAGAGATTCTGCAGATCTTTAGTTTGAATCGAAAAAATCGAAAAACTGAACTAATAAAAAAAAAACAAATACTTAAGAAAAAATATATCATTATTTATTTTTTTCGTCAAAGCAACACTGTATATGGGTGATCTAATTAGCAATGTTATCAATAGCCGTTGTGCGACACTAATGAGAAAGAAAAACGCGCGAAAAAGATGTAATACGTAGAGTGAAAATTGACGGAAAAAATCAACCAAATCGCTGAATCAACTGAAAACTATACACAATTCAGAACAAACGGAGCCCTGGAAATCAGTTGAGGTGAACGTGAACCGAATGTAGTTTTTCGATAGTTTCATTTAACATAAATCTCTTAAGTTTTTTAGGATCATGCTACAGAAAAAAAACTAATACTAGAAACCCAAATATCGTTCACATATAAGATTGTTCAAAATTTTTTTTCATAGTTTTTTTCTTGACCTTCCGATGAAAGTGAATCAGATTTAAAAAAATACAAAAACCTGACGAAAAAAATTATGAAAATTAACGAAAAAAATCTACTAAGAACGGTCCTGTGAAAAAATCGCCGTTCTCGAATTTATTAACCCTTCGCAAATTTCTGGACTTGCGAAAAGCCCCGCAAAAACTTTCTACAGGCTTTTTTTGAGCCGCTTTTTACTGGCAAAACGGCTACACACCTTCTTATTCAATTTTTCAATTTTCGATTAGGCGAGTCATATATACAGAAGGAGCCAGAAGTATTGCAGGCCGTGAGAAAATAAATTATTTCAGAAAATGATACTGACATCGAGCAAGAAAACAATAGTTCGGGTTATTTTCTTCGATTGAAAAGTTCTAAACTATCGCGAACTATAGATAACACAGTCTGTTGAAAACCAGAAATGAGAGGAAAAGCTTAAAAACATTTCCTCAGTCTCCAAAAGGTCGGCATTGAATAAATAACTCCGATAAATTTTGATTTCGATGTTCTACGAGCAAACTTCAAAAATTAAGATTACAGTTAGCACCAAAACTTGAATTTACATACTGAAGTTGCACTCGCATGAAGTTTAAAATTAAAAAATAACTCTACTGCAAGAAATATATTTTAGACTCAAAATTCCAAAGTAGAAAGATTCTGGACGAACCTTGCAGAAGGACATGTCGCGTTTCGTCTGCTGGTGGATGGAGTCGACAAAATTGAAGACGACGGGCATCGAGACGCACACGCTGAGAATGGCGACGAAGCTGAACGTGACCGCGGAGTAGGCGACCGCCTTGTACGCCTTCTCCCGCGGATCTTCCAGCATACCTGCAATCTCCAGATTGGGAAACAATTTTTTTGAAATGCAGAACAATTCATGAGTTGAGAACAAGTATGAATCAATGAAATAACTTTGCACCCCTCAACTTTTTTTGAAAAGCTAGCGGAAAAAAAGAAGCTCGTTTGAATTTTTTTCGCTACTTGAGCCATTACTTGATTTGAAGCATTTTTTTGAGAAGAAAAAAAGCGGTAACACGGTTCCCTAAAGAAATAATATAGATTAAAAATCTGGAGTTATAGCGCTATTCGATAAAAAAATAAACCACAAAAACGTTAGTGTAATAGAGCGGAACATTTAATTAATGAAACTTTCTGATTGAATGAGGTGTTAGAAACGACTGAAACACATGAAGGTGAACAAGATTAAAAACTTTTCAGGGTCCAACTAAAAATTTGCAGCTTTGGAAAAAAAAGTTACGGAACTTCTTATGGAAAAACGTGATATAAAACAATATTGATGTCGAAAAACGATCTGAGCATCACAATCGATTCTGAGTGAAACTTTTCTTCGCAGATTATCAGAAAAAAACATACACACAATCGATTATTCAGAATTGCTAATCAGTAGCAAACAATGAAGCTGAATAGCTCAAACATGAAGCTCAGACCATAGATGAGCAGACAAAAAAATTATTAGTTCCGGAGAAAGAGATTAGTTAGAAACATATTTGAAATCAAAAACTTTTTGACGGTTAAAAAAATTTTATGAACAAAAATATTCTACATTTCTTCATGTAAATGAAATTTGTTTTCCTGAGAGATGGGATATCGAGGAAGATGTGGAAAAAAACTGGGTAGAAAAAGGGTTACCGTCTTCAAGAAGGGCCTGCCCTTCTCAATAGACTAAACTTCAATCATTCTGATCTACCAGGGGTTGATATCTGTTTCAAGATTTGATAAGATTCTCAGGTTTGTTTCCAAATTGAAAACTTGAAATGAAAGCGAAAAGCTTGAAACAAAAATAAGAAAAAAATCCAGCCAGCGTAAAATCAGAACGGAATAATGGCATATCAATCTTGGAAAAGATAAAAAGATAGGAATAATTGTATTCCGTCGGGTATATATGCTTGTGTTGCGACGGAGGCACGGAGGAGGTGGGCGGAGCCACGAGGATTGGACACCTTATATGGAAGACGCGCGGCCACGGACGCGGAACGCCGCGCACCCCGCCTTTCTTCTTGCGCAGCACTTCCAAGCCCACCGTTCGATCAGTCAGAGCAATCACTCGATTCGCCACGCCTTCCTTTCGCTTTACAGCTGTTGCAAAACATTTATCTGACGTCATCACAGCTGCTTTCTCGAAGTCAGAACTGTTGAGGTCGGAACTCTCTGAAAATCGGCCAAAACGCTCTCTTAAATAGATGAAGATTCCGCAAATTCACGCTTGATGGTGTATGAGAAAAAAGGCCTCAAGTCTGAGAATGTTTCATTTCAAACCTTTATTTTTAAAAAAAGTCTTAAAACTCGGATTTTGTGTACCAATTATGTTTCGCCTTTGCTCTCGATAAATCAAATTAAATTTTTTGTAGAATTTGCAAATAAAAACTGTATAAGCTTCCACGGTCAAGTAATTCTGACTTTTTTAAATTTATTCTTTAAAACTTTTTGAAAAGTGATTCAAAGTGAAGTGACTAAGAAAAGGGGGTGGAGGGCAGCCGACCAATTTTTTTTTATTGCAGTTTTGATTTTCTCTCTTTTCAGACGTTTGTATGAATACAAATAAAAACGAAAACTCATTTTCCTCTTGCTCTCGATTCTTATATTCGTTCAGATAAGAATGAAGCACGAATGTCTCTACGAGAAATGAAAAAACTGAATGTTTCGGACCTACGGCGTCAATCGAACTACAACTACGCGCTTTGTTGACTAATAGAGCACAAAATACTATATAACATTCTTCAGGTCTTGATCGTGATTTTGAAACTTCAGCCATTCTTTTTTCACGAACATCACAACTGATATTGCACTCATGGCAAGAGTTTCGGTGTTCCCCTGGCAATCGAAAGTCGTCCGTTTAGGCAGCGGAAAGCCTCCAATCAGCTTGTTCGGGGTAAACGACCACACAAACGGCATGGTTAAACGGAAAGCCCCGGCGGTGATCAATCATAAGCGCGGAATTCGTGTGAACGTTGGTCGCCGACGCCGCTTTCCCTCCTCAGACTTCACCTCCTCAGGCAAACCAGTCAACGTGTCCCTCATCAGACTATCGTCAAGTCTTTTCTCCAGAAAGAAACGCCGTGCCGCTTCAAGGAGGATGTGCCTTCGAGTCGCCGCCCACTTCTGCCGCAGCGAAATTGGCGCTTTTTTTCAAGTGCTTTCTACCTTCTCAATAACGCCAAGCCGAACAGAAATTTTTGTATCAATTGGCTTTTTTCCCCTTCATGAGGATGCTTCATACAAGGTTTTCAAGCGAACAAGTTTTCAGACACCATCTGAACTTCAAACTCAATCTTTGATTTGCGACTGAGTTTAGTAAAATTATTCGAATGATGTTCTGTGCTTAAGAGTATGAGTTTTGAAGGCTTGATTCGAATCTCCCTGCTTCTGGAGCAAGTGAAAAAAAAACTGTCTGACCTAAGTCGGCAGAAAAATCAGTCGAGACTGTCTGCGTCTTTTTTTCCAGGATCTTGTGTTCATGGACGACGAAGAAAATAAATCTCGACAAACTTTGTAGAACTGAAAGCATTCAATTATCCAGTAGCAGGATTTTTCCTGATATTTATGTCTATCGTTATCTATTTTCTTAGTCATATTTCCGCCTTGTGGACATTCGATGCATGGATTTTGATCCAAGAAAAACTCCGGAAGTTTCGATTCCAAATATTATGCAATAAAATTAAATTTTTTTTGTTCTTGTTCTCATTGGATATGACTAACAAGGGCTGTGTGCGCGGTGAACATCGAGTTAGGAATTGAGGCTTATATGGTAGATGGACCTAAGAGAGAGTGCTCCAAAACGAAAGAGAAAATCTGCTAAGCGCCATAGGGTACCGAGAAAAAGCTCGTCAAAGTTTTGCCGCCACGTATATCCCCGCGCTTGGAGCGCTGAGCCAGCAACTGGGAGCGTGGTGAAGTGGCAGTGTTCTTGAATGGCGCTGACGCTATGCTAGGTTCGATTCCTTTTGACGTCAAACTCTTTTTGCTCTTGTTTATTCAATTCTTCTGCAATCTATCATCAAACAAAAATAGCAAAAAAAGTTTAAATTGAAGGATTTGATTGAAATTTGGAAATGAAGAAACGAGAAAGCACAAAAAAAAAACTTTTTTTGCGTCAAATGATCGAAAGACTTGATATCATAATTGTTTTCAGAAATAAGTTCGTTTGGCTGAACCCCGCCCAAATACTTCGCACTCGATGCTCCGCCCACTTGCTCATGTTTCCATTCATCCAAAAAATGACGACTCGTTTTCTGTGCGACACAAAAACACACTAGTTCAAAAGCAAAAAAAAGTTATCTGGCTTTTTTTTGAAAATTTATTCCTTTTTTTTCAAACTCAAGTTGAATCATGACTTTTCGAACAGTTCTATAAATTATAGACTATAATTCACGTATAGCATAAAATTATTGTTAACTAACTTCAAAAACTGAGATTCCAAAACTCTCTCTGCATTATAATAAAATTCAAAAAAAGAAACGCGTTATGTTGCTCTCATCAATATAGTCACGCATAACTTTATTCGTATTTAAAGGTTATTTTTTTCTTCATCTTTTTCTTTTTTTCTCAAACTTTTTGGAAAAATCTATACGTAGACTTTTTTTGAAGAAAGAAGCTTGCCCTGAAAAATCTTGGGATGAACTTCCTGCGACGGAAGTTCTCCTTCACCGATGATGAGGGCGAAATGGACGACATGACGTCATCGACGTCTTCTGCAGCTCCGTCGTCTTTTTTTCGTTCCAGGCGATTGCTAACAAGGTCTCTAACACTATAAGGTTCGACTCCTCCAGATCCCTTGATAAAAGAAACTTGAGCCTTAATTAAAAATTCATGAACGTTCATATAGGAGCTTTAAAAACCTACCTTTAAGAGTGAAACTGTTTTTGCGGTTCGAAACTTGTTTTGCTGTCATGCATGTTGCGCATGCGCACTGGAAAAACTATATAAATTCTTTTTTTGAAGTATATGTCATGACGTTTATAAACTGAATAATAATAGTACTACTAGTAGCATATAAGATTTTTTTTCACTTTCGAAAATTCCGTTCAGAAAGCGACAAAGAAATTGCCGCAGCATAAATCATTTTGCGCGCGCACTGAAAATAAAAAGTTAAAATTCCCAAAATGCACCATCAAAAAATTTGCGCGTATTGTTGTGATATTGCGTCATCACTAAGAATAACTGCCGAGATAAACGCAAGACACTGGCGGTACATTGACGAGCTCGCAAACATCTCGCTTTTTTTCTCGCGCCGGTCTCGCATTTTTCTGGACGCGAGCTCGCATTTTTCTAGGCGCGAGCTCGCATTTCTCTCGCAATTTGTAAATTTCCGAAATGCGAGATAAATGCGAGATGGCGCCAAGAAAAATGCGAGGTCGCGCCGAGAGAAATGCGAGACGCGCCTAGAAAAAAAGCGAGATGTTTGCGAGTTCGTCAATGTACCGCCACCGACCTCGCGTTTATCTCGTCAGTTATTCTTAGTGATTCCGCAGCTGGGTGACTTTACGAAAATCTCTTATTTTTTTCCAATTTTTTTCTTTTTTTATTTAAATATTTGTCTTCTTTTTGATATTCAGTATAAAAATGGCCGAACAGAATTATTTCTAATCGAGCTGATAATATGCTTAAAGATCAATACCACATAAAGAGTTGCAATGCAAATAACGGTTTGAGGTTTCCTCAGTTAGGTTCTCAAGGAGTTTGTTTGCATGCCCTCAGTAGAGAAATCCAGTCGATTTGAGGCTTAATTTGCATGTGAAAAAGCTGTGTGCTCGTGTGAATTGGTACTCGAAGACCTTTTTTTGAATTGCTTTTCACCAAAAAAAAAAAAAATAATGAAGAATTCAAGGCTTTGGCTTTTTTCTTTCGGGGTGTGAGCGAATAGAACAAGAAAATTTTTTAAAGTTGAGTATACGGAATATTCCAGTGCTCCGACGTCTCCTTCAAGGAGTGGAGAGTCGCTGGCCGCCGCCCTGGAAAAGTCGCTGAGCAGCGACCGGAGCCGTCGTGAACCTTTGGCTGATGCTCACGTCCTGCTTGTCATCGACTCACATCATGTCGACTGGTTTGGCTTTCACTTTCCTATCTTTTTCCCATATCCAAGGTAATTTTTTTGTAGAGGATAAAAATTAATAAAGCAGATATTTAGGAAAAATTATTCGATTTACACAAAAATTTCGTTTAAAAAAACAGCAAATAAATAAATAAAGAGCATCGGCTCAATTCAATACTTCCTGCCTTTATTTCATGCAATGAATCAATTTTTTTCGGCGTTGAAAAACAGGAACATTGATAAAATGAAAGTCATATATATATACATGTTTTATTCCTTTTTTTAATACTGTAATTTTATAAAGCGTGTTCAGGAGCAAGTATTTTTCGGGCAAACGCAGAGTTACCAATTCGAGTCGAGCAGGTTTCTTCCGAACTGTCTGATTTGTAATTTTTCTGTTGTTAGGGAGATGTTGATGAGTTAGACGTGATGTGTACGGAGCACCACTGCGTCGTCGAGATCCATCAGCCCGGACGCGACGCCAGGTGAGGAGCTGCACCAGCTTACGAGATACCCAGCTCTCAGGACGTTCACTCCGTCTGCCCTGTTCGTCGGGGCTGGCGCTAACCGCACGCCACAACTGAAAACTTTGATCAGAGCGTTCATTGCCGCCCACGTTCCTTTCATAAACTCTCACACGTCCGCTATAGGTTTCCTCGACAAGAACAATTTGGTTTTTCTGAACTCGTTTAGAAAATCAATCATAATTCTTTCAGAAGAAGCAACTTAAAAAAATTACTCTCCCGGAAGGTGGTTCAATACCGATGCTTCCAATTATTCATTATCCTCATTTCCGAAAGTTTGTGAGTTCGGATCTAACCTAAAAATTTCAAAAAGAAGGTTTTTCAGCAACGGACGTCGGCCTTTCCCATTGTTGTATCGGTCAACGAAGGCTTCCAAGGCATCGGCAAGATCAAAGTAAGGCACCTAAAAAAGGTCGACATGTTAAAAGTCGTAGGTGAACAACCAAGAAGAGCTGTGCGACGTAGAAGGCATGTTGCAAATAATGGCGAGAGGCAATACAGAGGTACTCCGTCGCTGAGTTTTCACGTTAGAAGATTTCCTAGGTGGAAGTGCAGCCCTACATCGACGTCAAGAGTAGTATAGGAACGAGGGGTTATAATACCGTTTTCGACATTTCAGTCATTTCGACACATTTTCATTCTCTGCAGTCAGAGAATTACCTCATTTACAACAATTTTTTCGTAAAAAGTGTGAAATGAGTCAATTTTTGGAGCACTAAAAAGTGCTTATTTTCAATAATTTTTCTGCATTTTCAATCAATTTTTTGCTTGGATGTTGATTTTATTTTCTATTTCTCATTTTCATGCTTAAATGCTCGAAAATGTATCACTTCCTCACTTTTTACAAAAATTGATGGATGTCGATTTTTATTCAAAAAAAGTGGTATTAAGATATAGATAAAAAGATAATGCTCAATTTTACACTCATTTATCTCATTTTCCTACTTTTTTTACACAAGTGTCTTTATTTAGAAACGATTACCACAAAAGATACAAACAAGTCAAATAGGAATAAATAAAATGAAAACGATCAAATAGACGATAATATACATAATAGCGGGAAGAGTCTTTAATTAGAGACCGTGTCAGAACCGCGAAGCGAAGTTTCCGGCGTAATTACTTCAAAAAGATTATCCAGAATTTGGTCTACGCGCATTAACGTTGCAGCTTCATCCTCGTTTGCCTCTGGACCTATAAAACAAAACTAATCATTCATAATTAAATAATTAAAGTCATTAATCAAAATGGAAAATATAAAAACATTCTAAAAATATATTTAAAAAATACCGAGATGAGTGACGTCAGCGAGAACTGAAACAGCGTCGATCTGTCTTTGCAGTCTCAACACGATGGCGTCTTTCGAGGAACGCTAAACACAATGTTTAGATATTAAATGATTATGTATACATTTTCGTATATATTAGTAGATTATTATAATTTATTGTTAACGGAATAATAAAAAAAGAAACATACTTGGTGAACTTCGGGAGTAAGAATTGTTGGATCGCGGTGACCCCGAACTAAATACAAAAATCTTTTTGATGATTCCAGGAAAAAAATTTTAAATTTATCAAATAAGAACATTGTCTTTAAAGTTGTTATAAAAAGAAAAAGCAAAAAAAGCTTAGAGGTTTTGCATGCCTGATTGTCGCTGCAGCAAAACATTGATTTCCTCGACGTTTTGCAAAAGAGTGTTCCTGATGACCTCCCATGTGTCCATATCCATTGCACCGTATCTAAGATATATAATTAAATAATATAATAAAATGAAAATTAAAAAGTAATTAGAAATCATATTCTCACCTGTCATTGATATAAAGGCGGATATCATGCAACTTTCGTTGAAATCGGCGAGCTTGTCTCTAAAGTTAAATGTTCATATAATATATAGTATAAATAATAGAAGAAGAAAAATTAAAGTTTAACTTACGGAAACAAATTGCCGAACCATGTTAGAGAAACGATTAATCTGTAAACATATTCGATTAATTCGATAAATTCGAGGGAGAAAGTAAGAAAAGTTGTTGAGAAAATCAAAGTTAAGGAGAAATTAACAATGATAATCACGGATGGGGAATTACAAATCAACGCAAACTACAGAAGAAAAGAAAATCTCTTTTCTATTCACAAAAGTTAGAATGTGATGGAAGGATGCGATGTTCACGGCGTTCTTTTGACGACGCCCCTCCCACAATTTCCGTAATATTTGACGTCTTTGGTGCATACACAGAGCGACGCTAACTTGCATACTCATTAAATTCGAAAAATAATTTTTTTCCTCGAAAAAAATAGCGTTTTTTTCTCAAAAATTACAGACTTGAAAAAAATCGATCCTTTCACAATTCCTTTTCTAGTTGACAAAAAAACGTTTGGGTGAAAGTTTTTCTTATTTTCTGAACACTTTTATACCTTTCACCCTCAAAATTAGTTATAGTCCTTTTTTTCAGTGAAAAACGTGAAATTTTGTGCCGAAAAGGACTTATTGTGGTTATGTGTCTTTCCGCACTTATTAAAAATTTAAAAAAAGTTTTCTTCACAGATTTAGTTTAGTTCATCCACCTAGTGGTATTTTTTCTCCTCTGCAACATCGCCATACCATTCTGATGTTGCGAAAATGAAGAGATTGATCGATTCGAATAAAAAAATTTAATTTGACACTGAAAAATGTGTATGAAAGGCTTTTTTTTTTGCTTTAAAGGGGAAATTTTGTCAAAACCCAGCAGTTAAGATTGATGCCGTGTTCAAAGTAATTTCCGCGAAATGCAAAATGGTCTCTGACCCTCCAAAATTTAGTTATCTTTCTCTTTCTCTGACGGCTATTTTGAATTTCGCGGAATCACTTTGAACACGGCATGAAAATTGAAAAAAAAAGTTCCTTCGCATTTTGCTGTCGCAATAAAAAATAATTACCGTAAATCAGAACAAAACAGATAAAGATACAACTGAAATAAACATGAAAAATCACCTGAAGCACTTGAGCAACAAGAAATTCAAATGTTCGCGCGCAAGCTGTCTACCGTAACTCTAGCTCCTTTATTAAAGGCTTGTTTGAAACTGAAAGAATTCTTCTATCAATTTAATTTAGATATGTATAAAGATGCTGTATCTCTACCTGGTTTGAGTGAGCATATTCTGTATCAATCCCAAATTCAAGGATCTCCTTCGGATTCACCAGGAAATTCACAAGGATTCGAAGAATACCTAAGGAAAAACACCCCCTAAAAACGTCTTACACTTTGAGAATAGAAGAAGATACTTTAGAAAGAAGAATTTATAACTATTATAGACAAGATGAAGAAGCAAATAGATCTATATCCAATATTTAAGAAGTTGAAGACGTCGTTGACATTTTGAAAAGAGAGAATTATAAATTTTACTATTGTTGGATCAATTTTAAGGAAGATACTTGGTCACTAGATAGACTTGATTGTTCCAAGAGTCATACAAAAGAGAATTGTGTTGCAGCGCTCCTGGAGGTCTGGCTTCTCTCACAAACACCGAGTGCGACTGAAAAAGGTCTTGTTGAGTTTTAAATTCAAGTTCTTTTTTGTTGAAAAACGTTTTATGACTGTTGTTACGATGGTAGCTACCGACAATAATTCCTAAACAATTTTGGATTATTAAAAAAATTAAACTCATTGAAAAAAACAAAAAAATCTTTTTTTCATAGTTTTATAACTCAGCTTCATCATCCGTTTAACAGACTTCAATGGCAAAAGACAGGTAGCTGGGAAAAATTAAAAAGCCACTTTATAGTTTTGAGGTTTTAGTGACCACCATAGTAGTCGAATTAATGGCTGCGTTCACGGAACTTCGCTGTCCGATTCATCCAGAAAGAAGTCAGATGTTAGAGCATGACTCCTCTCAACAAAAGGCCCCTATAGTGGCTACCAAGACACAAAATAGTGGCTTCTGCACATTTGATTTTAGTGGCCACCTAAGTCAGAAAACTCTTAAGTGACCACTAAAGCTCTTCCCAAATTCACTTGAATGTTTTCTAAAAGTTTTCGGAAATAATCATTCATGGATTTTGTTAAAATTAAATAGTCTCAAAGTTGATTGAGCTCATTTTACATTCAGCAGAAGCATTATAATGGGTCACGCTGGCGCACCCTTTCGCCCTCTTTGTAAAAAAAAAACAAAAAAAGATGTCTTTTTCAGCAAAAAGTGACCAAGTTTTATCAATTTAAGCATGATTTCAAAGGTTTTTTCAATTTGGGTGAATTTCAAGACCAAAAGTCTAGCGCACCAACCACCCATAACAGGGTGTTTTACATTTTAAGCCATTTTCAGGCTTTTCTACGACTTTTCAACAATTTTGGTGCTCTAACAAACAAAAATCAACCATTAGAGCAAGTTTCCACACATTAAAGAATTCTGGTGACTTTGAGAAATGTAACAATACGAGTCACAAATTGCGCTAACAGGATTTAAACAAAGTAAATTTAGACTCGATCAGATTGACAAACAATATTTTTTCATGAAATACCCGTAATAATAACCTTTTCACTAAGCAAAATGTTTTTCGCATCCATCCTTGCTTTTGATCAACACATCCGATAGGCTTTCTCCTTAAGTCGTCTTGTACACATCATTCAATTTCATACGCTAAAATTTAGCTGATTAAAATGAATAAAAAGAATAAAATTTACCAAATCCTTCCTCATGTTTGAATTTTGCAAAAAGTAAGCCTACTTTTCCTGATTTCGCTTCCTATAAATATATAATTAAAAAAACTATTATATTGTTTTGATAATAACCTTATTCATTGCACTTGCGATTTCAACGAGATCCAACTTGAATAGATTTTCTTTTAGGTACATTGCCATTTGTTGATCGACGCTCAGTTCTTTGTCAATGATATCCATAAATCTAAAAATAATAATCCAAATAAAAAACCTTTTATTTTACCTCAAAACGAAATGCATCGAAAATTTCACTTCTTCTACGGTTAAATCGTTTTGCGTCCAGCCCTTGACATGAAATCTAAAAACATTTACAAAATTTCACAAATCAGTAATAATATATATCTTACTCGAAAGCAGTTTTCAGCCACCGGTATTTGTACAGATTGCCTCACGGTAAATCGACCCCAGACTTCTCAACGGGGCGCGCTTTCTTCCATCCCACTTTTTTCTTTTTCGTTTCTTCGTTGCAAATATGTTTTTGTTCTAGTTTTTTCTACTCTTTCTTTTGTTATTCATTTTCACCTTGTCGTATCGTACTTTCATAGAGCTAACCTAATGGTAAGATTCAATTTTTGAGATTTGTGAATCTTTAATTCTTGAAAAATATGCCTCAATTTAGATTTTTGCAAGTATGCTTTGTGTTTCAAAACATCAAATAGTCAGTGTCATGTGAAATAAAGAACGTGAAAAAACCATCAAATTTTTCTCAAAAAACTTTCGGAGTCAAGGTATGACCTTTCGAAGCGCAGTCGCACACAAGATAATGCGCGCGCGGTGTGGTATGTGATCTGGCGACTGCCGAAGCAACGGCAGCGAGGAGCAGTGGTAAAGCGGCGGACTGGTACTAGCGAGGTGCATTTTGAATGTGCCTTTGCAAGACCTGGGAATGACTGTATTTGCAAAGGAGGAATATACGTTCATCATGACCTCGAAACTGATGAGAACGAAAACGCTTGAAAAAAAAAATGTTATGCTTAGAATTCGAATTTCGTAATAATTTCACTGAACGAGTTAAAGATCCAAAAATCTCAAAAATTTCTTAGCTCTATGAAAGTACGATACGACAACGGGAAAATGAATAACAATATATTGCAAACTTGCATCCTCCTACCGTAGTCCGCTGTTAGAACTTTTACATCAGGGCACATTTTATCGCATGCCAATTTTTCTCTTCACGTCCACCCTTTTTAAAACGCCGAGCAATAGAAAGAGTAAAAAAAACTAGAACAGAAACATATTTGCGATGAAGAAACGAAAAAGGAACAAATGGGATGGAAGAAAGCGCGCCCCGTTGAGAAATCTGGGGTCGATTTACCGTGAGGCAATCTGTACAAATACCGGTGGCTGCAGTTTTCCAGCCCAGCATGATCTTTTCAGCCAAATCAGGATTGACTTTTTTCGTTATGAGACGGCAAAGCTTCGAGAAGATCCGGTAATTCCAAGGGTCATCGAGATGAGCAGGCACAATCTGGATATCAGATGTCGACTCCAGATTCTTGACATAACCCATCAGTGCAACTTTACAACCCTAAAAAAATTTTTTTAATAAAGATTAAAAAGTCTAAGCAAGAGGTGCTATATAAATTCATTAAATTACATTAAAAAAATAAAATTTAAAAAAATAAATACCTGAAAAAGATTTCTCGCAAGCCTGTGCACTATCATTCTCTGCTAAGTATCCAATAGCTTTTTTTCTTTTAGTAATTCGACTGTGTAGACGACTTTCGTATCAGACATCTAAAATTATATCGAGTTCTTTATGTGAATTACATGATTATCATAAAAAGGTTTATAACTTTGTTTATTAATCTGTTAAAAGCTTTTTAAAAAAATATGGCTTACCATTTTGAAGTCGTTTACAATTGGGAATCGATATTTGCACAATAAACGTAGCATCTTTCAAACGAAAGTCTCTGAAACATGGTAAATTAGAAAAAGAAATAAAAAAACAATTTTTTTGATAAATGGTAAATTTGTAAAATAATTATGTAAAAACGAGTTTTTAAGGTTTATTGTGAATATCTAGCAAAGAAGTCAACGCGAGCTACAGAAGAAAAAGAAGTCTCTTTTCTATTCATAAAAGTTAATTAAAGAATGCGATGTTGGCAACGTCCCGTGTTCCTCTGCGTCTCTGCTCAACGCGTCACTCTCATCACACTTCCACTCTAGCCCAACGCGTTTCTGGGATAAGTTTTAGGGGGCCATATAGGGGGTCGCGATTTTAGGGGACCCTATAGGGGGTCTGCAAGTGGCCTTATTAAGGGGAAATCCCTAGGGCCTCCTATAGGGGTCCTAAAACGCTCCCTAAAAGTTGCAAGACCCTCAAGGGGTCGCGAAGACCCCTTGGAAGAACGTGGTTTTTTTTTTAAATATCTTTCTCATTTCCTAAGTTTTGAGTTTTAGTTTAACTTTATAACTTGTATGAATATTTCATCAATTTCTGTGGTGCTTTAATTAAGGAAGTAATACGTTATTCACGAACGAGTTGTGAGTAGGATTTTTTCGTTATAGTTTCAAATTGTATTATAATGATTTGTGCGTTTTTTTGTGCTCCATAAAAGTTAACACGGTTTCGTTTATGTATGATTGGTCTATTGGATTGTGTGAAATCGTTAGAAATTCACCGGTAGATGATGTTTGTTGGAGGTTTTTGATGTAAATGCGTGTTTATATATTCTATTTGATTATTGCTCGTTAAAGAAGACTTAATTTTTTATTAACACGTGTAAGATGCCGCGGCGTCGCGAGTTTCCTGATTCACTTTTTAATAATCTCATTCACAGTTTCGTGCGGGTAGATCGACTTAAAAATTCTTCTCGTTGCGGTGGTGGTGGCATCATCATTCTCTTCAAAAAAGACTTGGGAATTGCTGAAGTGGATATCGCCTTGGACACTTTTTACCCTGAGCATCTTTGTGAGGTACTTGCTTTTCGATTTTGTTTTTTTCCTTTAAAAATCCCGATTTTTTTCTAATATATAGACCTCCTTCAACTTCAAAAAAATAGCACACTTAACCTTATAAAACACATTTCTAATTTTCTACTTCCTTCTAATAATCATTTGATTGGTGATATTAACCTCCCAAATATTGATTGGTCTACCTCGACTACCTCCTGTCCTTTATTTCTGCCTTTTCTGGATTTTTGTATTACTTCTAACCTTACCCAATTAGTTCATTCTCCAACCCGATGTACTTCTACTACAGCAAACATCTTAGATTTAATACTTACAACCAAACCTTCTTATTTTGCTAACCTATCGATTTCTGAACCTCTTGTGGGTTCTGACCATTTTTCCATTGAATTTTCCATCTCTATCCAATCAAAAGTTAATAATGTTTCAACTTCTCGTAAGCTTAACCTTCGTAAATGTGATTTCTCTAGGGTGAACTATATTATGTCCTCTTTCAATTGGGACCGTCAGTTCAGTTATTTTTCATCAGTAGAAAGCAAATTCTCTCATTTCTTGAAAATTTTTAACGAAACTGTTCGTGACTCTTGTTCTAGCTTCATTAATCCTCCTATCAAACGTCGCCCATTCAACCATGATAATCGTATTCGCCGCCTCAATATCAAGAGAGCAAATCTTATACGTGCAAACCTTTTTAACAATGTCACTCGTCTGCAATTCAATTCATTATATAAAAAAATCAAAGCTCGCGCTTCTTCCATTTACTCAGCCCGTGAAACTTATATTGCCAACAACTTCAACCACGTCCAAATTTCCAAATACATTTCCAAAAAACTAAAATGCCACTCTTCTATCCCTAATATTGCCTTCAATAACTCTCTTATCTCTGATAGTTCGTCTAAAGCTGATGTTTTCGCCCAAATCTTCAGTGATAACTTTTCTAAAGAAAGTTACAATCTGATCCCTATCTTTCCTTCTCGAAAACCCATCAATTGCTCGATTATTTTCACGCCCGATCTTGTTTATAAGACACTCTCAGTTTTACCCCCTAAATGTGGGTTTTTCCTGACCTAATCAATCAACTTGTTTTGAAAAGGTGTTCAACATCTATTTCAATTCCTTTGTCTATCCTCTTTAATGAATCTTATTACTCCGGTTCCATTCCCTCGTCTTGGAAATCCACTACAGTTATTCCTATTTTTAAACGTGGAAAAATATGTGACCCTTCTAACTATAGACCAATCTCCCTGACACATCCATTATCTCGCGTTTGTGAAAGAATTATCTGTAACATGATCCGTCATAGATTTTCTACATTATTTTCTGATTCGCAATTCGGCTTTTTAACAAACGATCCTGTAAACTCAACCTTCTATCTTGCCTTTCCTCGTGGCAAAATTCTATTGCATCTAAGAGGTTTGTAGATGTCATCTATTTTGATTTTGCTAAGGCATTCGATAAAGTTAACCATTCCTTGCTCCTTCTTAAGCTTCGAAGTTTTGGTCTTGATGAAACCGTTATTCGATGGTATGAAAACTTTCTGTCTGATCGTTGCTCTACTGTGCTCATTGATGGTTCTCGATCTACTTTTAATTATGCTAATACGTCTGGTGTCCTCCACGGTACTGTATCTGGGCCTTTGCTTTTCTTGATATTTATCAACGACATTGTTAACTTGATCGACCCTGAAACCTCCATCTCACTATTTGCGGATGACATTAAAATTTACGGTTCTAACCCTGAATCTCTCCAACATAGTATAAACTCTATTTTTTTGAATGGTCATCTACCTGGGGCTTGCCCTTGCCGCTAACAAAAACATTTGCTATTCACCTGGGCCCTCGCAATCCTAAAAACTATTTATTTGATTAATGGAGTTCCCATCCCTCATAAATCTGTTGTACGTGATCTTGGTGTACTAATCGATGAGAAACTCACTCTTGCTCCGCACATTAATAATATTGTATCTCTTGCAACGCTGAGATCCAAACAAATTCTGCATTTTTTTTGTACAAAATCTCCGGCTCTTCTGTTTCAAATTTTCAACACCTACGTCAGACCTTTATTGGAATATTGTTCTGAAGTTTTTAACCCACCTATTAACTCTGACCTTTGCTACAAGCTTGAATCCCCACTCAGAATTTTTTCCCGCAAAGTTTACATTAGGTCGAACCTATCTTTTGATTCCTAATCAGATCGTCTAGAGCAATTTCAACAAACCCCACTTTACATTAGAAGAGTTATTTCTGATCTCCTCACTCTCCAAAAAATTGTTTCTGGTCATGATCACTTTCCTCAATTCGAAAATTTTGCCCTCAGATCCAATTTAAGGCGAAATCCACTTCGGCTACGTTCTCAAGGTCAGTTTTCTAACAACTTTTTTTTCAAAACGATTCCTATTTGGAATAAACTTACATCCAAATATCAGTTCACACTTCCACCTAATTCTTTGAAAAAAATTATTGGTCGTTTTACCTCGCAACGAATTTTTTTACCTCTATTCCACCAAGACTTAACTGATACAATACAATACAATATTTATTGGTTGTTTTAGTCAGATGGAATCGACTAGGCGGTGAAAAAATTGCTCTTTTGAGCGGCACTAACACCGCCTTTGGCGAAAAAGAAGTCAAAACGTGTAGTCGATTGAATGGAAAGCATGGTCTTACGGTCCTTCGCCTCGTTCTTCCACAAGTTGATCCCTCAGTTTCGCGGGTACGGGCACGGCGGTGATGGTGGGGCTCGGGCACGGACTCCGTGTACACTCTCGGGTAGCCTCGGCCGACTGAGAGAGCTACCACTTCCAGTGAAGAAAATACACGGATCTCAATTTTTTGTTTTTTACTTCAACTTTTTTTTTTCCTTATTTAAATTGTAGATCGAAGTGAACTCGTTGGGGTTCACACTGATCTGTGAATAAATTATTATTATAAGAATAAGAAGGTGTGTAGCCGTATTGTCTGTAAAAAGCGGCTTGAAAAAAAAGCTTTTTTTTTCAATTCATTTTTTTCAAATTTCGATTAGGCGAGTCATATATACAGAAGGAGCCAGAAGTATTGCAGGCCGTGAGAAAATAAATTATTTCAGAAAATGATACTGACATCGAGCAAGAAAACAAAAGTTCGAGGTTATTTTCTTCGAATGAAAAGTTCTAAATCATCGCGAACTATTGATCACACTGTTGAAAACCGGAAATGAGAGGAAAAGCTTAAAAACATTTCATCAGTCTCCAAAAGGTCGACATTGAATAAATAACTCCGATAAATTTTGATTTCGATGTTCTAAGAGCAAACTTCAAAAATTAAGATTACAGTTAGCACCAAAACTTAAATTTACATACTGAAGTTGCACTCGCATGAAGTTTAAAATTAAAAAATAACTCTACTGCAAGAAATATATTTTAGACTCAAAATTCCAAAGTAGAAAGATTCTGGACGAACCTTGCAGAAGGACATGTCGCGTTTCGTCTGCTGGTGGATGGAGTCGACAAAATTGAAGACGACGGGCATCGAGACGCACACGCTGAGAATGGCGACGAAGCTGAACGTGACCGCGGAGTAGGCGACCGCCTTGTACGCCTTCTCCCGCGGATCTTCCAGCATACCTGCAATCTCCAGATTGGGAAACAATTTTTGAAATGCAGAACAATTCATGAGTTGAGAACAAGTATGAATCAATGAAATAACTTTGCACCCCTCAACTTTTTTGAAAAGCTAGCGGAAAAAGAAGCTCGTTTGAATTTTTTTTCGCTACTTGAGCCATTACTTGATTTGAAGCATTTTTGAGAAGAAAAAGCGGTAACACGGTTCCCTAAAGAAATAATATAGATTAAAATCTGGAGTTATAGCGCTATTCGATAAAAATAAACCACAAAACGTTAGTGTAATAGAGCGGAACATTTAATTAATGAAACTTTATGATTGAATGAGGTGTTAGAAACGACTGAAACACATGAAGGTGAACAAGATTAAAAACTTTTCAGGGTCCAACTAAAAATTTGCAGCTTTGGAAAAAAAAGTTACGGAACTTCTTATGGAAAAACGTGATATAAAACAATATTGATGTCGAAAAACGATCTGAGCATCACAATCGATTCTGAGTGAAACTTTTCTTCGCAGATTATCAGAAAAAAACATACACACAATCGATTATTCAGAATTGCTAATCAGTAGCAAACAATGAAGCTGAATAGCTCAAACATGAAGCTCAGACCATAGATGAGCAGACAAAAAATTATTAGTTCCGGAGAAAGAGATTAGTTAGAAACATATTTGAAATCAAAACTTTTGACGGTTAAAAAAATTTATGAACAAAATATTCTACATTTCTTCATGTAAATGAAATTTGTTTTCCTGAGAGATGGGATATCGAGGAAGATGTGGAAAAAACTGGGTAGAAAAGGGTTACCGTCTTCAAGAAGGGCCTGCCCTTCTCAATAGACTAAACTTCAATCATTCTGATCTACCAGGGGTTGATATCTGTTTCAAGATTTGATAAGATTCTCAGGTTTGTTTCCAAATTGAAAACTTGAAATGAAAGCTTTTTTCAGCTGTGCCCTTTCCATCTGAGGCTGGCTGTGCTTCTTGAAAAGAAAATATTTCATCGGAAACCTTTTTTTTACGACTAAACCTTTCTGAAAACTCACAAATACGTTTAGCAAAAGCCGAGCTGGCCGAGAGAGAACGCTTTTTGTTTTTGTTCTCTGCAAATGAGCTTCCGACTTTTTCGGGACCTCGAAGTTCTCGTGGGCGGAGTCATTTCGTACTTAGAGCCGACGATTCTCCGCTAAGGGTAACCCCTGAGGATGGAGTCTGCTCGTCTGCGTCTGAATTCCGCACGAAAATCGATGTTTTTGCCACGTTTTGCTTGGGAAAGACATCCAATTCGGGTGTTATTTACATCCCTTAAAGGCTCATGCATTTCAAATGCCTTTTATAGTCTTTTTTCATCTCTTCTCTCTGCTCAATTCCTTTTTCCGAAATTCTCAATCGCGCTTTTCTCTTTTGCATCGGAGATTTTTTTTCCTTCTCACATTACTTTACTCAAAAAGCAATTCAGTAAGTGAGATATTTCAAATGAAAACACTTATTATTTTTACTTTTCCTCAAGAATTATCAGATTTTCTGTGATTCCTTTCAAAGCTAAAAAAGCTGATCGAAAGACTTGATATCATAATTGTTTTCAGAAATAAGTTCGTTTGGCTGAACCCCGCCCAAATACTTCGCACTCGATGCTCCGCCCACTTGCTCATGTTTCCATTCATCCAAAAAATGACGACTCGTTTTCTGTGCGACACAAAAACACACTAGTTCAAAAAGCAAAAAAAGTTATCTGGCTTTTTTTTGAAAAATTTATTCCTTTTTCAAACTCAAGTTGAATCATGACTTTTCGAACAGTTCTATAAATTATAGACTATAATTCACGTATAGCATAAAAATTATTGTTAACTAACTTCAAAAACTGAGATTCCAAAACTCTCTCTGCATTATAATAAAATTCAAAAAGAAACGCGTTATGTTGCTCTCATCAATATAGTCACGCATAACTTTATTCGTATTTAAAGGTTATTTTTTTCTTCATCTTTTTTTTTCTTTTTTTCTCAAACTTTTTTTTTTGGAAAATCTATACGTAGACTTTTTTTGAAGAAAGAAGCTTGCCCTGAAAATCTTGGGATGAACTTCCTGCGACGGAAGTTCTCCTTCACCGATGATGAGGGCGAAATGGACGACATGACGTCATCGACGTCTTCTGCAGCTCCGTCGTCTTTTTCGTTCCAGGCGATTGCTAACAAGGTCTCTAACACTATAAGGTTCGACTTCTCCAGATCCCTTGATAAAAGAAACTTGAGCCTTAATTAAAATTCATGAACGTTCATATAGGAGCTTTAAAACCTACCTTTAAGAGTGAAACTGTTTTGCGGTTCGAAACTTGTTTTGCTGTCATGCATGTTGCGCATGCGCACTGGAAAAAAAACTATATAAATTCTTTTTGAAGTATATGTCATGACGTTTATAAACTGAATAATAATAGTACTACTAGTAGCATATAAGATTTTTTTTCACTTTCGAAAATTCCGTTCAGAAAGCGACAAAGAAATTGCCGCAGCATAAATCATTTTGCGCGCGCACTGAAAATAAAAAGTTAAAATTCCCAAAATGCACCATCAAAAAATTTGCGCGTATTGTTGTGATATTGCGTCATCACTAAGAATAACTGCCGAGATAAACGCAAGACACTGGCGGTACATTGACGAGCTCGCAAACATCTCGCTTTTTTTCTCGCGCCGGTCTCGCATTTTTCTGGACGCGAGCTCGCATTTTTCTAGGCGCGAGCTCGCATTTCTCTCGCAATTTGTAAATTTCCGAAATGCGAGATAAATGCGAGATGGCGCCAAGAAAAATGCGAGGTCGCGCCGAGAGAAATGCGAGAGCGCGCCTAGAAAAAAGCGAGATGTTTGCGAGTTCGTCAATGTACCGCCACCGACCTCGCGTTTATCTCGTCAGTTATTCTTAGTGATTCCGCAGCTGGGTGACTTTACGAAAAATCTCTTATTTTTTTCCAATTTTTTTCTTTTTTTATTTAAATATTTGTCTTCTTTTGATATTCAGTATAAAATGGCCGAACAGAATTATTTCTAATCGAGCTGATAATATGCTTAAAGATCAATACCACATAAAGAGTTGCAATGCAAATAACGGTTTGAGGTTTCCTCAGTTAGGTTCTCAAGGAGTTTGTTTGCATGCCCTCAGTAGAGAAATCCAGTCGATTTGAGGCTTAATTTGCATGTGAAAAAGCTGTGTGCTCGTGTGAATTGGTACTCGAAGACCTTTTTTTGAATTGCTTTTTCACCATAATGAAGAATTCAAGGCTTTGGCTTTTTTTCTTTCGGGGGTGTGAGCGAATAGAACAAGAAAAATTTTTTTAAAGTTGAGTATACGGAATATTCCAGTGCTCCGACGTCTCCTTCAAGGAGTGGAGAGTCGCTGGCCGCCGCCCTGGAAAAGTCGCTGAGCAGCGACCGGAGCCGTCGTGAACCTTTGGCTGATGCTCACGTCCTGCTTGTCATCGACTCACATCATGTCGACTGGTTTGGCTTTCACTTTCCTATCTTTTCCCATATCCAAGGTAATTTTTGTAGAGGATAAAAAAAAATTAATAAAGCAGATATTTAGGAAAATTATTCGATTTACACAAAATTTCGTTTAAAAAAAACAGCAAATAAATAAATAAAGAGCATCGGCTCAATTCAATACTTCCTGCCTTTATTTCATGCAATGAATCAATTTTTCGGCGTTGAAAACAGGAACATTGATAAAATGAAAGTCATATATATATACATGTTTTATTCCTTTTTAATACTGTAATTTTATAAAGCGTGTTCAGGAGCAAGTATTTTCGGGCAAACGCAGAGTTACCAATTCGAGTCGAGCAGGTTTCTTCCGAACTGTCTGATTTGTAATTTTTCTGTTGTTAGGGAGATGTTGATGAGTTAGACGTGATGTGTACGGAGCACCACTGCGTCGTCGAGATCCATCAGCCCGGACGCGACGCCAGGTGAGGAGCTGCACCAGCTTACGAGATACCCAGCTCTCAGGACGTTCACTCCGTCTGCCCTGTTCGTCGGGGCTGGCGCTAACCGCACGCCACAACTGAAAACTTTGATCAGAGCGTTCATTGCCGCCCACGTTCCTTTCATAAACTCTCACACGTCCGCTATAGGTTTCCTCGACAAGAACAATTTGGTTTTTCTGAACTCGTTTAGAAAATCAATCATAATTCTTTCAGAAGAAGCAACTTAAAAAAATTACTCTCCCGGAAGGTGGTTCAATACCGATGCTTCCAATTATTCATTATCCTCATTTCCGAAAGTTTGTGAGTTCGGATCTAACCTAAAAATTTCAAAAAGAAGGTTTTTCAGCAACGGACGTCGGCCTTTCCCATTGTTGTATCGGTCAACGAAGGCTTCCAAGGCATCGGCAAGATCAAAGTAAGGCACCTAAAAAAGGTCGACATGTTAAAAGTCGTAGGTGAACAACCAAGAAGAGCTGTGCGACGTAGAAGGCATGTTGCAAATAATGGCGAGAGGCAATACAGAGGTACTCCGTCGCTGAGTTTTCACGTTAGAAGATTTCCTAGGTGGAAGTGCAGCCCTACATCGACGTCAAGTACGACTTGCACGTACAAAAAATCGGCCACGAGTTCAAGACTTTTTTGAGACGAGGAATAAGCAAACACTGGAAGAGCAACGTCGGATCTTCGGTACTTGAGCAGATCCCGACGAGCGACAGGTGGAAGAATCGGAAATATTCGCAAAAGGTTGTGTTGTAGACACAAAAAGTACATAAAAGTTATAACGGACCATGTTGGACCGATGACCATTTGCTCAATTGACGTCCTCGTGTCCAAGGAGAACCGAGAGTTTGTACACGACGTCAATGACGTCATAGGTGTGGATTCGAACTCAACGAGAGGATAAAGTGATTTCTAGCGTACTTTGGGGAGTCAGCTGAAGACGACCGGCGAGCTGCAGCAGGTCTTCTGCGAATGCTGGTCACCCCTCTGAGGTCTTCCCACGAAAAAAACTCCAACGTCGTCTCTCCGACGAGCAATGGTCATGCGTCTCGAAGACACGTAGCCGTCGCTTCGCCGTCTTCTGGAGTTCCAGCTGTACCCCGAAAGTCCATCTGGCCAGAATGACGTTTTCTAGATCTAGTTTTTCAGGCCACAATCATCCGTGGAACGTCGACCGTCTTCAGAAACGGGACATCCGATGAGCATGACCAAGACGCGGAGCGGAGAACCTTCGGCCATGGTTCGTGAGCCCTCCAAAGAGTCCATTTCTTTCACCGACGACACCATGGGCCAACTCAAGCGGACTTTCGCTGGCTTTTTCGGGGAAACTGCTCCTTGAGAAACTGTCGTAACGCTTTTCTTGCTATTAAAATCGTTTTTGCCAAAATTAGACGAGTTGATTTCTAGTCACTTAATTAAATTTTTTTTTGCATTTCCGTATTGCAAGAATATACTCAACTTTTGATTTTTTAGGAAATTTAAGATTATTTCTTTTTGCTTATGCTCTTTGCTCATCGCCTAAATTTTATCCGGTTATTGTCCTTCTTGTCGCATTTGAAAAATATACAGTCTATGACAATTCATCAAGTTTTCTCTTCTTACAATCCTCGTTCTGAACATTTGATTCTTTTTTGATTATTTCAAAAATTTAACCATCTCTGTCAACAGTTTTTATAAAGGCCAAGTTGTAAAAAACTGCATTATAGTAATATGCCTAATCCTTCTGCCTTACTCTATTTTAGAGTTTGCAGTTGACTAGACGATATTTTGGAATCTTTTACCTAATTTGAGACTCAGTTTTCCTGATTTCAACAAACGCTATCACTGTCAAGCTTTTGCTTGACACGCACTTTTAGTATTCCACGTTATTCCTAGTTTTCTACTCTAGAACTCTGTTGAGAGTTTCTAGTAAAATCACTCAGAGACAATCTCTCTCTACAGTGATATGTTGAGGACTGGAATGCTATTCACAAAAAACCGTCTTTCTTTTTTGGTTTCTTTATACAAAAAATCTAAAGAAATATACAAGATTAAGATAAATAATATAAAAAAAAAATATACGTTGCGTGGCGGTAAGTGGCAGGAGTGTGTGTGGCACTTGTGCGGCCGTTTGTTGGGATCTCAAACTTGGGTAATTAAACCTTGATAAGATACGAATATAAAATGAGCGAACGGCAACAATAATGACCAAGGTTGGCCATGAAATGTACAAATAGCTAAAAGCTATAAAGACAAAAAGGCTATAACAATAAATAAAGCCTTGAACATATTTACGTAATGAACCTCCATCAAAGATTTAGGATTAGTTCAAGTGTTTACTGTAGGGGTTCGGCGCGAGTTTGAAACTTCAGCGATGGGGCGCACTTGGTGATGTTCTATTTCTTTTTCTTCACTTCTCCGCCGCAGAAGGAAGACGTGTCCTCACGTCGTTTAATGTGATGGCCACTTTGGGATGACAGGATGTTGGGCGCCGGCGATGTTGGCAGTTGTGGGCGTTGCGGAGCCGCAGGCGGTTGATTTCGAGGTTGGATGATGTCGATTTTCGGCACTTCGGGCAGGATGAGCTGGACGGTGTCAGCCCACAGTTTCCATTGTTGATGGCTCGCGTTGATGCCCTTATCGGTGATGGTGCACAGGAGCATGATGTTGAGCTGGTCCGAAGGAACTGGGGACGTTGGTGATACGACTTTCAGCTGGGTGTTTTCGAGTTTCTTCCAATGTTGAAAGGTTCCTAGGATGTTGGCGCTCTGTGTAGGTGTCCCATACGCGATTGTCGGAATGATTGTGATAGAAGCCGTTTGGCTTATTTCCACAACTCTATTGGTGATCTTTTGATCATATTTATTGTCCCATTCGGCTGACAGCGGAATAATGAGCATCAGTTTCTGATTACTCTGGTAATCAAAAGCTTCTAGTTGAGCGAGGAGGTCCGAAGAATGGATGAAGAAATGTGGCGTAGTTTTTTCCACATTTAACATAGTTTTCAGGGCGGTAGGCATCAGGACAACCGATTCTTCCACGCATTTTTTTCTTTTTGGTTTGCCGACGTTTTCGGCGTCTTCCAATAGATTTTCGAAAAAATACAGCGCGTTTCGATTTATTTCTTGTGGAGAATCTCCACTTTTCGGACAACGCAGAATATTTTGAACTCTTGTTCTCACTTCCTCGCAATTTTTTAGCTTTGCCAAACCCGTTCGTACATGTTTGTTGGGTGGGAAAGAAGTCACTTTTGACCATTGGAGGATTGTCGCCGTCGCCGCATCCGCTTTGTTCACTTCAGCAAAGTCTCTTTGAGCATATTGCAGAATACTTGAGTGATAGGTTGGACACTTGCAACCCAGTTCTTCACTGTCTCCGGATAGGACGTCGACGCATCTGCAATTTTGCAAAGTTAGAGAAGATATCGTGGCCAATATAGGTGTTGATTTCATTGAATTGCGATTTTTTTGTTTTCTTCCCCTTTTTGTTGAAATTTGAATCTCATCCTGGATTTCATTGGGAACTTTTTTCAGTTGATCAAATGGCAAATTCAGAGGATCAGCTTTACCAATTATGGGGACAACAGTCGCAGAGTTTTCTGAAGTCGAGGTTACTCTATAAGGACCCGCCCATGAAGAAGTCAACTTAGGATTTTTTGATTTTCCTTTCTCCGTGGGAATCCAAATTAGTACTCGATCTCCTGTAACTGGGTATTGCATTTTTTCCACTTTGTTTTTGTCATCAAAACGTTTTTTCATGGATTCAGCTTCTTTTTCGGCATTTTTTCGCGCTGCCTCATGAGCTTGAATGAGAGTTTCAGCCATTTCGTGTTTATACGTGGCGATTTCGGAGTGAATCCATTTTGGAGCCAATTTAGGATCAGTTTCCATTGGAATATAGGGATCTCGACCATATAACAAGAAGAATGGTGTCTCGCCAGTAGTTTCGTGTCGAGCAGAATTATATGCAAAGACCGCGGCTGGAAGCATTTCGTCCCAATTCAAAGGTATGTTTGTTGTTTTTCGAAGGATGGTTTGAATCGTGCGATTAAATCGCTCAACACATCCATTTTCCCTACTGTTATACCCTTTCGTAGTAATATGACTTGATCCAATAATTTTCAAAAGTGTAGTCAAAATTTCGTTACAAAACTCGTTACCTTGATCAGTAAGAATTTGTTTTGGAATTCTTCCTTCTCTCAAAACCCAATTTTCGGCAAAAGTTTTTGCCACAATTTCAGCAGATTTCCGCTCAATTGCATAGGCAGCTCCATATTTGGTAAACAAATCGATCACAGATAGTACATAGCGATTTCCTGATGCAGAAGGTCCCATATCCATCAAATCTAGGGCAACAATTTCCATTGGCTCCGTTGTTTTATACGGATTCAAAGGCGCAATGAGGTTTTTTGCATCATTACCAAGAAGACATTGTTTGCAAGCTCTGGACCATTTTGAAATGTCGTTCCACAGATTTGGCCAAAAATAATTCTTTTTTAGCGTATTAAATACACGAATTGGTGACCAATGACCTGCCAATGGTCCGGCATGCGCTTCGTCGAAAAGTGCTTTTCTTTTCTCTTTAGGTACAACTTTTTGAATTTCACCATCTTTTTGGGTGATAAACAAATTTCCATCAGCTTGGAAAAATTGATTGACTTGAAATTTCTTATTGAAATTTTCCAATTTTATTTCTCCTTGAGCGTTAGCTCTTAGCCGTAGAAGTAGTGTTTTCCAGCCTTCATCTTGTTCAAGCCAATCAAGCCACGATTTTTGATCATTTGGATTTTCAATTTCATTTGAAGCATTTTTGGATGTTTCAATAGCATTGAGGACTGTTGAATATTCTACTAACGGTTCTCCAGTTAGTTCTTCATTTGAAATTGAAGCTCCACCACGTGATAAAGCGTCCGCGACTTTATTTATTGATCCTTTCAAGTAAATAATTTCAATTTGAAACTCTTGAAGTTCAAGGGACCATCTCAGTACTCTTGGCGCTGCTTGTGCGGATTTCAATAATGAAACAAGCGGCTGGTGATCAGTATAGGCCTTCGTTTTTAGACCAAGAATAAAATGTCTGAATCTTCGCGTGGCAAAAACCAAAGCCAAAGCTTCCAAATCTGTTATATGATAGTTTTTCTCAGCTGATGTCAACGATTTCGAAGCAAATGACAGCGGATGTAGTTTTCCGTCTGACATTTTTTGCGCTAAAACCGCACCCAATCCTGAGTAACTGGCATCAGTGAAAATACAGAAAGGACTTGTTCCGTCTCTTGCTGCTTGAATATCCGGCTGACCGAGAACAGGAGAAGTTGAAAGAGCCTTTTTCAACTCTTCGAAAGCCTGTTGTTGAGGTTCGTTCCATTCCCATTTGGTTTTTTCTGAAGTCAATTTGAATAATGGGCAAGCTTTTTTCGCATATCCCATCACAAATTTTCGGTAGTATCCGCTCAAGCCCAAAAACGACTGTAATTGGACTCTATTTGTGGGTTGAGGAAAATCTCGAATTTTTTCGATTTTTTCTTCATCCACTTTGACTCCGTTTTCAGTTATCAAATGACCCAAATATCGCACTGATTTCTGCGCGATTGAGCATTTATTCGCCTTGAATTTCAATTTTGCTTTCCGAAACCTTTCGAAAATTTGTCTCAAAAGTTCAACATGTGCTTGTTCATCTTCTGATGCAACTAGGACATCATCAATGTACACATATGTTCCGTGACCAATCAAATCATCCAATACCTTTTCCATCAAAGCTTGAAAGGTAGCAGGACTGGTAGTGAGACCAAATGGCATCACTTTGAACTCGTAGAATTTGTCCAGAACCGCAAAAGCCGATTTTTCAGCAGTTTTTTCATCCAATTTGATTTGGTAATAACCGCTAATTAGATCAAGACTAGAAAAAACCTTTTTTCCGTTCAATGATTGTAAGGTAGCTTCGATATTCGGCAATGGAAAAGCATTTTGCTTGGTAATTGAATTCAATTTTCGGTAATCTACACAGAGTCTGATTTCGCCTGACTTTTTCTTGACCAATACCACTGGAGCACACCAAGGGGATTTGCTCTCCTGAATCACTTCTTTTTGAAGTAATTCGTCCAGTAGCTTTTGGACATTTTCTTTCAGACCCAGCGGCACTGGTCTTGGTTTTTGGCGGATTGGAGGATGATCAGCGGTATCGATTTGGTGTTGCACAAGATCAGTTTGTTGCAGCTCAGTTTCTGATACTGCAAAAACATCTTGATATTCTACGAGAAGGTTTTTGATTTCAAATGAGTCAATCTTCCCATTATTTTCAATTTGACAAAGAAGCTCTTGCGATTTATCTTTGTTTTCCTTCTCCATTTCGACATTCACTTGTGCTGCTTTCAGTGCTTCGTTTTCGACTTTTGAACTTTCAAAAGTATCCCATTTACCTATTAAGGCATTTCTTTTGATCGTGCACATTTCTTCTGATAGATTTCTAACAAGTACAGAACTTTCGTCTGACTTGTCTTCATAAATCGTATCAGCAACAAAAGCATGACAAGATTCCATGAACGTGTTTCCAGTAGGAGGCTTCGAAACCTTTAGCCATGCGGATTCATTAGCTTGAAGTCTCAAATTCTCTTGTGCAACGACTTTTGATTCGTCGCTTATCCAATTTAGGGAGATACCAAATGCTTCGAATGCGTTTGTTCCCAGTATGAGGATAGGTTTTTCACTGGTAACGACTTGAAAAACAGTAGTGGCTTCTTTTGTTCTTATTTTCAAAGTCAATCTGACTCGTTGAAGAACTTCAAGCATTTCGCCACTTGCCGTTTGAATTGCGAAATTATGTCCTCTTTGGGCATCTTCAATGGCATAAAGAACCTTTTCAGATTTTGCTTTTTGCAGTTGTTTCAACACTGGTTCAGAAATTACGGAGACCATTGCACCGCTGTCAATAAGAATTTCGTGTTGCCAATCACCAATCAAAGCCATTTCTACCATGTTTGGACCAATTTCATGGTGAGAATTATTTTCGTCAATTTTTTCAACTTCATTTGAGCTTTCAAGTGGTTTCACCTTCTTCTTCTGTTTGAGTTTTATTTTATTGACTGTTGGTTTTGATGGTTTTCCGTTCTTCTTCCAACACTGATCCACTTTGTGATTATTTAAACCACAATGAGAACACTTTTCCTTTTTTATCGGCTGATTTGCCGCTTTTGGAAGTTCCTGGGTCTCCTTGGAATGTGTTGGAAGAGGCTGATCTCTGAAATTGCGCCTGAAAAAGGATTGACTTTTGTTATCAAATCGAGGAGTCGGGTGAAATTTTTTCTCCATTTCAATTTTCAAAGCCAATTGTTTCACAATTTCATATTCTTGTTTTCTGCTCGCTTCTTGTCTTTTGACAACAAGTAACGAATGTTCAGGCCACTCTCTGAGAGCCTGTAGAAGTTTAGTTACTCTGAGCGCAGAAAGCATATCAGCCATCATTGGGTAAGCTTTGTCAGATATTTTTTCAATTTGCTGACAAAAGTTTTCCAATGACTGTTCTTTTCGTTTTTGGAGCATTTCCCATTCTAGTTGTGCCCGCTGTTGATCATTTGCTCGTTGTTCTTGCAACTGAATTTTTAACTCATCCGTAGCTTTTTCAAAATCGTTTGGATATTCTCGAAGAATCGCCTGGAAAAGACTTTGGGGATGTCCACGCAAAAATCGATCCCTTAGCAGTTCTGACAAGCATCGCTCGTCTTTGACAACATTTTCGTATTTTGACGTGAACTGACGAAGGAACGCATCAAAAGGTATTTTAGAATTGTCAAATATTTCAGGTTCAGGAAGGACCCAAGCTGCGAAGCTTCGCTGAAATTGTTCAGACTGGCTGGCTGACGATGATGACGATTTGATTGAATTGGTGGGAGATTTGCTACGATCTTGAAATCTCGGAGGTTGCGAATTTCCGCTAAGAATGGGAGAGTCTTTTTCTATGAAACTTTTCCGCTTATTTTTAACGAAACTTTCGTAGTTTTGTTGTTCATCGTAGACGCTTGGTTTGAAATTCGAATGATCGAGATAGTTTTCTGATTTTTCCTTATTATTTTCATTTTTTGGTGAATTTTCACGAAAATTTTCATTATAAGGATAATCATACTCACGCTGTTGACTTGTTGCACGGCAAGAGTACTGTTTGTATGATGGTGGATTCATTTTGCTTTCCTGAAAAAATAGTTTTTCCATTTTTTCTTCATACTCTTTTTGACCTTTGCTTTGCTTTTCCAGTTGGGTTTCCAAAGTTTTTATCTTCTCCTCCAATTCCGATCTCGTTTTCATTCCGACGTCTCTTTGGATTTCCAATGCTCTTCTTTTTTCGATTTGCTCATCCAATTTCTCTTTCATTTCAGTTATTTTTCCATAGAGTTTCCCCTCCTGTAATGTCGTTCCCGATTTAGCAGTTTCGACAAACATTTTCAATTTTTCAAGTGTAAAAATGTTGTTATCAAACAAAATTTCCAACATTTTTGCATGAACTGATGGGATTTTTTCCACGTTAGGCAAAGATTTAGATGAAGATAAATCAATCCAAGCTTGGAGAACTTTTTGCGCATGATTATGGCATGGGTTTGCAAGACAGTCCATTTGGCGAGAAGACAACTTCGAATTCAAATTTTCCGCAACATATTTTATCTCACTGGAGATAGCGGTGTGATCAACTAATAACTGTGTGAAAAGATCCCATTTCTCAGTATTTATTTGATCATTAGCAAGTTCAGGTTCAGGATTACTAACCTCTTTCTCAATATCGTCGTGGATTCGAGACAACGAATCAGCGATTTGGGCGTCCCCCGTTTCATTCAGAGCTGTCTCTTCTGCTAATTCCTTGAGTTTCCCCAAGGCTCTCTCCATTTTTGAAAATGGATAGTTTTTCCTTTCTGGAATTTTATTTATTTATTTGAAATAAATAAGAAAAACTGAAATATAATTCGAATTTTTTGAATAATTTTATTCAGATTCTGGCGGCTTCCACGTTTGTTGGATAGTCGTAGTAGAAAGATGATATCTTGGTAGAACGTCCTTCTGTTATGAAGAAACGACGATAGAATAGAAAATTTATCGTATAATCGTTCTTTTGAACAAATTATAGTAGTCGAAGTCGAAAACTTTTTAGATTTCGTTATCTTTAATTTTCTTTTTTACCAATATCACTCTTTGATTTTCGAATATATCACTTTGTTTCAGTTTATTATTGATCGTTTGATCAATGACGAAGAAACACAGTTTTGTGTTTTTCTACACTGGAATAAATTTCGAAATGCAGCAACTCTTCGTTTTAATTGACCTTTTGGCCAACTTTTTCTGGTCCCAAGTCAAATTTTATTTTTACTTCGGCCCCCAAGTAATATGCCTAATCCTTCTGCCTTACTCTATTTTAGAGTTTGCAGTTGACTAGACGATATTTTGGAATCTTTTACCTAATTTGAGACTCAGTTTTCCTGATTTCAACAAACGCTATCACTGTCAAGCTTTTGCTTGACACGCACTTTTAGTATTCCACGTTATTCCTAGTTTTCTACTCTAGAACTCTGTTGAGAGTTTCTAGTAAAATCACTCAGAGACAATCTCTCTCTACAGTGATATGTTGAGGACTGGAATGCTATTCACAAAAAAACCGTCTTTCTTTTTTTGGTTTCTTTATACAAAAAAATCTAAAGAAATATACAAGATTAAGATAAATAATATAAAAAAATATACGTTGCGTGGCGGTAAGTGGCAGGAGTGTGTGTGGCACTTGTGCGGCCGTTTGTTGGGATCTCAAACTTGGGTAATTAAACCTTGATAAGATACGAATATAAAATGAGCGAACGGCAACAATAATGACCAAGGTTGGCCATGAAATGTACAAATAGCTAAAAGCTATAAAGACAAAAAGGCTATAACAATAAATAAAGCCTTGAACATATTTACGTAATGAACCTCCATCAAAGATTTAGGATTAGTTCAAGTGTTTACTGTAGGGGTTCGGCGCGAGTTTGAAACTTCAGCGATGGGGCGCACTTGGTGATGTTCTATTTCTTTTTCTTCACTTGGCCACTAAAGCGGAAAATAGTGGCCACTATAGGGGTGGGTTTAGTGTCCTTTCCAAGTAGTCCTTGGCCTCTATAGTGGCCAAATTTTCCCAGTAAACACTTTTTTCCACAAATTTATACTTCAACCCCTCCTCCCGGTCTTATTGACTTCCGTTCTTGCCCATCTGTGGTTGTAACAATAAAGAAAGTGTCTTTTATTCCGAAATAGGCAATAATCTGCAGTTGGAGAGGAAGAAGTTATCTGGCTGCGAAGGCAATTAGATTCGACAAAATGACAGCCGACTCAATTACGCGCATCAGATATATGCGACGTTGGCCGGCGGCAGCCGCCTTTTCAACATCAAATCGCACCCTTTTCCTGCATTAATTGTGTCGCATCAGCGCCTCAATTAACGGGAAGCCTTCTCCTTCCTGAGGTGAGGGCCGTCGAGGGACTTGTAAGCTTCGGAAAAGGTGTCATCAGGTGGAAATCGGTCTCAACAGAGTTTTTTGTGGAATTTGTGAATGTTAAGGCAGCCGGCTGACTGCAGAAGGTTTATAAAACCAGGGATAATTTTATTCAAAAAAGGGACTAGCAATAAGTAATCAAAAATCACAGAAAAAATCCAATTTCACCGGTGAGTACAATGTTAGGATCACAATGAGACTATACAATCATTTACAGTAGGATACAGTATACTATTCTTTATTTTCCGCCTTCCACCGGTTTTCGAACTAGGAACTTCTCGATCGAAGACTTGGTCACCGTTTTCTTGGCCTTTTTATTCTTTAACATCTTCTTCGGTGACGTTGACGTCTTTTTGGGAATTATGACGTCATTGTACAGTAACCCCTTGTTGAGGCATTCGTCGACGTGTCGGTTCACAATGACGTCATCGTTTGGGAGTTGAAGGCTGCAGATTGGACATGGGACCTTTTCGGTGTTAGACGACGTCGGAAGGGCTTCAGAAGACGTGAAAAGGTCTCCAGAAGACGTTTGGGCAGGAGGAGACGTGAAAAGGTCATCAGAAGACGTGATAGCAGGAGGAGACGTGAACAGGTCTCCAGAAGGCGAGGGATCAGTAGGAAACGCAAAAATGATTCCAGAAGGCTTGAGAGCAGGAGGCGAGGAAAAAAGGTCTTCAGAAGACGTGTCAGCTTCGGGAACCGAGAACAGGACTTTAGGAGACGTAGGGGCTTCGGAACACTTTGTAGGAGCTGTAGAAGGCATTAACATCGCTCTAGAAGATGTCACAGGCGCTTCAGAAGACGTCAAGGTTCCAACGGACGACATCGAAGCTGCAGAAGACGTCGGCTTGATGTACATAAAGGGCGGCCTGTACGTAGCTCTAGGAGACGACTTTGCGGCTTTGGAAGGTGACGAAATCTTCCCAGAAGACGTTGGACTAGCTTTAGAAGGCGTCAAAATCGCTCTTGAAGACGTCGAACGAGCTCCGAAAGTCATCGGACTTTTAGAAGACGTCGGGAGGTCGCCGGAAGATTTCATTTTGTAGAACGCGAATGGGGCTGTTGAAGAGGTCATCGGCGCAATATAATGCGTTGTCGGCACTACGCAGGACGTCGTTGGATTTTCAGAAGACGTCGTCAGGATTCTGAAGTCATCCGACTCGGCAAGCTCACGGCGTTTTCGCTTGGCTTCGTTCCAAAACTCGACGACCTGGAAAAATGATTTTAAAACTCTAAATGGAGCTTTGAGAGGTTCTCGAAATATAAGCCATTCTGAAAACCTTAAAAACGTGTATCTTTCTGTTAGCACTCAAATGCGCTCCATGGACAAGTAGTAACCGGAATTTAAAAAAGAGTATTTTTTTTTGAACAGAGTTTGTGTGGGATAAAAGCAATTTTCGAAGCCAAAGAAGTCACACAAGGCTATTTTCGAAACGCAAGTGTGCTCCACCGCATTTTCAAAAATCTCACCGATTTCTGTGTTTTTTTGGCGACTTCTTGGTTCTCCTCATCCAGAAACGTCAATTGTGACAATCTGACGCCGATCAACCGGATTTCTTGTCCCAGCTCCTTGGCCAGGAGCTCCATCGAAAAACCGTAGATATCTGGAGAAAACTTTGGGATTTCTTGGAACTTTTTTTTTTCGAAAAAAACCTTCCAAAGAAGTGATAAGCTTCCCAGGCGTCAGGGACCTCGTAAGAACGTCGAAAGAAGCCAATTTCAGCTTTAAAGTTATCGTTTTTCCGCCTGGAATTGGGGATTTTCGGACTTTTCTGGGGGTTAGGAGACCTCTGATTCCATTTTTTCCGAGGTCGATGAATAAATATTCGCAGATTTGACGGTGCTCATCCTTGAGCAAATTCTCGTCGGATGTTCCTCCGAATGTTCTGGAATGGAACTTTCTTTCAGAAACAAGGTTAGAAGCTTTTAGAAGAAGCTGGAAAGTCTCAACTCAAGATCTCACTAGGGAACGTTTTTACCCCCCTTTATAGTTCAATCAGGAGGTCCGAAAGTCAACTTCAGCAAAGTTTCATGAAAAATTTCACCCGGGGGCGGGGAGGGGGAATTTCCATAAGCGAACCATTTTTAAAGCATTCTGTAGGTCCGAAAGTCAACTTCAGCAAAGTCTCATGAAAATTCACCCACGGGGGATTTCCTTAGCCGAACCATTTTTAAAGCATTCTGTAGGTCCGAAAGTCAACTTCAGCAAAGTCTCATGAAAAATTCACCCACGGGGGATTTCCTTAGCCGAACCCTTTGTTCTTCAACCTGGAGGTCCTAAGGTAGACTTCAGCAAATTTTCATCAAAAAAATACACCCGGGGGGTAAAAAAATGAACAAATATTTCGTAACGCTACACAACCAGACAAACACAGGGACATCGCCGAAAGACAAACACGGCTTTTTTTTTGGTCTTTCCAAACTCGCGGAGGGTCGGGCGCACCGCCCTAAGCGAGTATATATACAGGGAATTTCTCGGGGGATCCCCGAGGGTGGTGCGACGGCGTCAAACCGGCCGAAGGATTCCATTATGCTCTGTTGTAACCGCACTTTAAAGACAATAATTTAACTTGTGAGCAGGCGCTCAGCTTAACATTCTTTCGCAATATTGATATCTTGTCGTCGCCCACCCTTTTGCTGATTTTTGAGAAAAAAAATGAGAAATTCTATCAAATTTCGAGTTGATGCTTTGTTAAACCATGTGGTTCTTTGATACGTAGCGATGTTAAATTCTTCTCTCTGATTTTTTTGGGGGATTTTTTTGAGAAAAAAATCAATTAAAACAAGGAATTATATCAAATTTCGAGTTGATGCTCAGTTAAATCATGTAGGATTTTGATACGCAGCGAAGCAAAGTTTTTTTCTCTTTGACCTTTAAGGATTTTTCAAAGAGAAATTTAAATAAAATGAGAATTTTTTCAAATTTTGAGTTGCTGCTCAGCCAAATCATATACAGAAAAATTGATTTAAATCAAAAATTTCATGAGTTTTCTAAAACTACGTATCAACTATTTCGCTGGGCATCAACTAAACTTCTGAAACTTCTAAAAAAACTTTTTAGAATTTTTACCATTTTCAAATTTGCAGTTAGTTTATTTAAAAAAACTATGATTTCATTCGAAATTTGAGAATTTTCTAAGAAAAATTGACGTTGAAAGAAAAAAATAGTTATGATTAGTTTTTTTCAAAAAAAGAATTGAACCAAACCTTTCAACGGAGACGCTTTTCCTCTTGGGATCTCCAGAAGAAGGGCGACCTCTCAGGCCAAGGGCGGTGCGCAGAAATGATTCCTATCAAGAAAAATATGGAAAGGAATAATAAAAAAAGCTTGAAAATAACTCTAAATACGAAGAAATCTAGTCACAATTTGTGAAAAATCCAAGTTTTTCCTTCATAAAATCGATAAAAAAAGCTCTAAAAATTGTTCTAAAAAAACCAAGAAATCCAGCTAAAATATGTAAAACTTAACTTTTTTTCTTCATAAAAATCAATAAAAAAAGCTTGAAAACTACTAAAAAAATACGAAAAAAATACAGTCAAAAAAATTTTGAACATGCAAGTTTTTTTGTTAATAAAACCAATGAGAAGCTCAAAAAAACGACTCTAAAAATCCTAAGAAATCCACCCAAAAATTCTTAAAATAACACTTTTTTTGCTTTATAAAATAACTAGAAGCTCAAAAAAATTGTTCTAAAAATACCAAAAAAATCCAGCCAAAAAAATTGTAAGACTCAACTTTTTTTCTTCATAAAATCGATAAAAAAAGCTCAAAAAGTTGCTCTAAAAATACCAAGAAATCAAGCCAAAATTTATGAAAATTAATTTATTTTCCTTCATAAAATCAATAAAAAGCTCTAAAATTGCTCTAAAATACAAAGGAATCCACCCAAAAAAATGATTAAAACTACACTTTTTTGCTTTATAAAATTAACTAGAAGCTCAAAAATGCTCAAAAATCTCGAAAAATCCAGCTTAAATTTGTAAAAATCAACTTTTTTTCCTTCATAAAATCGATAAAAAAAGCTCTAAAAATTGCTCAAAAAAATCTCGAAAAATTCAGCCAAAAATTTGTGAATCTTGAAAAATTTTTTTCTTCAAAAAAATCAATAATAAGCTCAAAAACTACCCTAATATCCCAAGAATCCCACACAAAAACTAAAAATCTAATCTTTCTCCGTTCAAACCCTCAAAAAAGTTCACGAAAACCTGAGAAAGCAAGGAGAAAACGAGCGGAAAAATGGCCCGTTTTTCCAACATATCGCCGACTGTCGAAATCCCACAAGCCTGTAGGTGAGCCTCACTTACTCGTCCTATTCCCGAGACCTTAATTAATTGATTTTCCCAAGTTTTAGTGAATTTTGAACCTTTCTTATGGGTAAATCTTTGAGAAAATGCAAGATTTCTTGGCGATCATTGGGAAGTTCGAATTGACCGTTGGGCTTGTTGAAATCCGAGCAGATTTTGGCTAATCGGAAGGTCGAGGCGATCCCTGGGAGTTTGGGACTTTTTTAACACTCGGGAAAAGTAGGAATGGTGGATAACGGCTGCTAAAAGGGAGAGGCTCAAAAAAGGCCGCAGAAAGGCAGCAAAAAGGCAGCGAACGGCAGCAAAAAGGCAGCGAAAGGCAGCAAAGAGACTCCCTTTAACGAGCCTTCCATTTTTCTGGGATTTTAAAGGCTCGAGAAATGGTGGAGAAAGGGAGAGGCAGCAAAAATGGTGCATAAGGGCTGAGAAAATGGAGCAAAAAGGCAGCAAAAAGAGAGCCTTCATCACCCTAAAAGGAACATTTCTATGGTCCTTTATGGACCCTCGGAGGGTCCTTCCGACTTTGCCTATGATAACGGCTGCTAAAAGGGAGAGGCTCAAAAAAGGCAGCAAAAAGTCTCTTTATCGAGCTTTTTTCTGGTATTTTCGAGGCTCAAGAAATGGTGGAAAAAGGCAGCAAAAACGGTGCGAAAGGGCCAAGAAAATGGCCCAAAAAGGGAGCAAAAAAGAGCCTTTGTCACCCTTAAAGGAACATTTCTATGGAGCCATTTTTAACCCTTTATGGAGCCTTTTTCCACCCTTTGTGGAGCCTTTTTCCACCCTTTATGGAGCCATTTTTAACCCTTTATGAAGACTTTTTCCACCGCTTATGGGGCCATTTTCCACCATTTCCGGAGCCTTTTTCTGGCTTTACCTATGAAGTTCCATCAAATACTGGAATCCTTTTAAAAATGGATAGAAAGTCAAGTTATTTCTCACATTTTCTTATGAATTTTTAACATTGGGAACCTTAAATTTTTCAGGGTTCAATCTTTCAGAAATAAAAAGCTTGAAAATATGCAAAGCAGCGAAAGAACTGAACAAAAAACAAAATTCATAGGCAAAGTCAAAAGGGTCCATAATGGGCTGAAAAAGGCTCCATAAAGGGTGGAAAAAGGTTCCTTTTCTGCTGCCTACCTTTTCCTACCATTTCTTGAGCCTTTAAAGCCCAAGAAAAAAAAATGGAAGGCTCTATAAAGGGGCCCTTTTTGCTACCTTTCTTCGGCCTTTTTTGAGCCATTATCCACCCTTCCGATTTTGCCCGAGTTGGAACAAAATCACAAAATATTCCTAACTCAAAACTTAATCATTTCATTACACTTTGATCTTCAAAACGAAAAATCAAAAAAAAAAATTTACATTTTCCTATTTTGAACGAGTTTCTGAAGTTCACATACAGGTAATGACTTTTTCTGAATTTCTCAAAAAAATCGAAATTTTTCAAACGAACCAGCACTACAAGTGAGGCCCGTGGCTTGCTCCACCCGAAATCGCATTTCTCGGACGATCTTTAATATTTTTCAATGACTTTTTTTATTGTCCATCAACAAAATAGTGAAAACTGACCATTTACAGAATTTTGAAGTGAAAGAAAATTACAAAAATATATTTTCAACGTCAAAATCTGCTCACCTCGGCCCTTCCGACGCCAAATTCCACCAAGTCTTCATAAATTATCCGCTCTTTTTGGCATTTCGCACATTTTTCAGTGATTTTCGAACCTTCTAGGGATTCTGTGATTTCTTCCGGCTTTATTATCGGAAGACGACAGATACAGTCGCCTCCGAACCGTTTCCTCGAGATTTTCCCTGGAAAGTTTCATTTTTTTTGATGGTTATACCCAATTTCATAAAATAAATTCCATGAGAATATTAGACCAACTGTATAAAAAAGACGAAATGACCAAAAATATATGATTTGAAACGTATATAAGCTGGTTTTTAGACAGCTCTGGAATACGTGAAATGACGGAAAAACTTAAAAAACGTGTTTTTTTTTTGGTGTTGTTTTTCAGTTATTTCATTCGTGAAAGATTTAAAAAATTTTTATTTTCAGAAGCATGAAATCAATTTCATAGCCTCTTAAGAACAACTTTATTCGCTTTGATGAGAGAAGCTTCGTTTAAAAATTCACGAAAATTTTTCAAAATTTACAGAAAAAAATTGATGAAAAAAACTAAAAATCTTTACCGTTTTTTGGGAACTTTTTCTTTTAATAAAAAAATTTTCAGTGAAATCTACTGGATACCATTAGAAGAAAAACTTTTTGGGCCCCTATGAAAGACACAATAAAACGGAGTGTCATGAATAGAAATACACGGTATACAACGTATTTCGACAAAATTTCAAGCTTTTTGAGGCGGATGAATCTTGGCTTTTTGAAAAAAATATCGAGATAATGTTGAAAATAACCGAAAAATATGAAAAATAGGTGTTTAACGGGCTTTCGTGGGTAAAAATGACAGGAAAAATTTCATTTGAAATTTCTTTTCTTTTGATTATTTCTCTCACTACAGCAGGGTTGATGTTGAAAATACAGAGAAAATAAAAAATTTATATAATTTGAATCGTAATTTGACGAAATTTCCTATCAAAAAGTGTGCTTTTTTTGAAGTGTTATAAAGGCTTTTAAGAATTTTAAATGCCTTCTAAATGATTTGAAATTGTTTTTAAGACATTCACAACCAACTCGGTTCCCTTCTTTCCTCCACAAATTCGGTAATATCGATATACGCTTCATCCAACGACCCCATACTCATATCCGGGTCGTATTCGGCAAAAATTTGGGAGAATTCCTGAATTTTCTCGCACAATTCATCAATTTTTCTCATTATTTTACCCTGCTAACTTTCGAATATTTCTTATAATTTCCAGGCACCAGTTCGAGTTCGGGGCAAAGTTTCTTGGCTATGAAGCCCGGCATGGCGGCGCGGACCCCAAATTTTCGAGCCAGATAGTTGGAAGTGCTCTGAAAACGTATTTTTCTAGATTTAAAATGCAATTTCCAGACTTTTCAACATGGAAGTCAGCACTAACCAGCATCGAAGTGCTCCCAACGGCCATCGGGATCGTCCTGAGCCTCGGGTCGTCCCGCATTTCAACCGCGGCAAAGTATGCGTCCATATCCACACATACATAATGCCTCGTCAAATCTCTTTCCGATTCCAAATCCTCCATCATTTCGTCCATCTATTTTTTTTTCTAAAAATCCCTCGAAAAATGAATACTTACACTCTTTTGTGCACTGGCCCTCTCAGCAGCCGTGGCGCTCTCCAATCGGCTTTTTATCTCTTTTATCCTTTCTTCGAGCTTTTGCTGCTTTTTCTGTGAGAAATTCGAGTAAGAAGCCGAAGTGTTTTCCGTTATTATTTTGGTTATTTTATCCTTGTCCAGACCGGACATCCCGGCCTTGTTGTCGCTGAAGGTCAGCATACCTGGAAAACCTTCATATGTAATTGAAATTAACGCAAAACGCTGAAAAAACGACAGTAAAAATTGCGAAACTCGAATTTCGCGCGGAGAACGACACTCCAAACAACGGTTTTGTGCAATCCGACGTCGCAGTGTAGTGCTCGACCAATTCGGCAGATTTACGGAAATTTTTGCTTTATCCTAATTTTCCCATTTTCTAGCTTCTTTTTACTCTTTCTCGTTTTGTCTTAGGTGATTTCATTGCAATTGTGATTTATACCGTTATATTGGGTGTTTTTCAATTGTTTATTCATCATATGTCGTTGAAAAGAATTGGAAAAAGTATGATGTAATCCGCATTTCAAATTTAATTTTTCTAGCACTTCCCGCCATGTTTGCAATAAATCGAACTTGTTTTGTGATTAGCCGATCAACGCCAACTGTTGCGGCGCAGTTGGGCGTTTTATCTTCCACAAATGCGTCAACTTCCAAACAAAATGTGGCAAAAGGTGTGTTTTTCTAGAGGAATGAAATTACATTTCTGTTGGAAATTTTCAGCACAATCGAGGATTATTCACACTAGTATACCGGCTTTGAAAGAAGATTACTACAAAACTTTGGGTGTTGGAAAAGACGCGGACTCGAAATCCATCAAGAAAGCTTATTTTCAGGTTTTCAAAAAAAGTGTTTATTTGAAGTAAAGTGAAAGTTTCCAGCTTGCTAAAAAGTACCATCCGGACGTGAATAAAACGAAAGAAGCTCAGGAAAAGTTTCAAGAGATTTCTGAAGCTTATGAGGTTTGTGAAACGATTTTTTTGCGGGAAAAAAGTTAAACTTTAGGTTTTGAGTGATGATACTAAAAGACAACAGTATGACGCTTATGGGACAGCTGGGACCGAATGCTGCAGGTTTTTTTAATTTATAAAAAAATGAAAGAGACATAAATTGCGTTTAAGGAGGACCTGGAGGCGGCGCCGGAGGTTTCAACTTCCATGGAAATGTCGATGTTAATGAGATTTTCCGGAGAGCTTTTGGCGGCGGTGGACCGGTTTGTTGATTATTTTGAAAGTAGGGTCAAACTTTTAAAAAGTATTAAAAACTTTGAAAACTGAATCTAAAAATATGAGGGAGGTTTCAATTGGGACAATTTCGCCGACAGTTCCTATGGCCATGCGGCCGCCCAGGAAATGATCATGGATATTTCTTTTGAAGACGCCGTCAGAGGTTTTTTCGAAGCTGATTTCATGGATAACCATGGAAAAAGAGTTTCAGGAGCCACGAAAAATGTCTACGTAAATGTTGTTGAAGATTGCATGACGTGCCATGGAACTCAAGTTCAGCCGGGATATAAAAAGGTTTCAAAATTTATTTTGAATGATACTAGACCACAGTTAGAAAGAAAATCGATACAATTCTTCTTTAAATATTTTTTTACCCAATTTTCTGTTCATTTTTGTGTTTAAATTTGCGAAGCCTTTCAAAAGGAAGGGTTATTTTTTTTTCCTCAAAAGTTCTGAGAAGATTTTTTTAGATGATATTTCGTCCTTTTGGTGTTTTATCAGTTCAACATAGTTATTTTTATACAGGCTGATCTATTTCGATTCGAATTTTTTTCGTGCGTCAAATTCTCTTTTTACCTTAATTTTCCCTTGTTCTCAGTTCCTTCTTTTCAATTCCTTCATTTTTCGTTCGTATTTAAAGTTGCTCTTTTAGTTTTTCAACGGACTATTTTATCTAATTTGAAGTTTCTCATCGAATCCTTGACATTTTCCAGACAACTTGCCCATATTGCAACGGTACGGGAGCCGTTAGTCAACGACTCCAAGGAGGATTTTTCTATTCGGCCTCTTGTCAAAGGTGTCGGGGGACTGGTCATTATAACAAGGTAGGAAAATTCTCTGTTTAGTGGCCACTTCAGTAGTTTTCCATCCAATATTCTCCCAGTAAATAATTTTAAAACAAACAGGTTACCAGTTATGTTGATCCATTGACCCCTAAAGTGGCCACTAAAATTTTTTAGTGGTCTAGTAGTAGCACTTAGACCTCTATAGTGGCCACTAAATTCAACCCCTTAAGTGGCCACTAATTTGACTACTATAGTGGCCACTAAAAAAATTTTACCAGTGTCAGAAAAATTTAGTCAAAAAGTTTATACTTTCAATTTTTTTACAGAACCCTTGCCAGGAATGCGAAGGACAAGGCCAAACAGTTCAAAGACGACAAGTTTCTTTCAATGTCCCAGCTGGAACGAACAACGGCGACAGCTTGAAGTTCCAAGTTGGAAAGGTGTGTAAGCTAAAATGAAATAGAAAGATGAGCAGAAAAAAAAATTGGTTTTTCTTGGATTTTTTGATATATTTTTGAACTGCGCCTTTCGCTGGTGAAAAAAATTATTTATTCTTTAAAATTATCAAAAAAATATATCCAAAAATGCGTACTCGAAAAAGTGAAAAATAATTTGAGAAGGTTCAATAGTTTTTTTATTATTTTTGAGCCATTTTTAAGAATTTTTTTCTGATATTCAGAACCATTTTTTTAGCTGCTCGGAGATGTTGTTATATAGTAAAGGTGCGGATTTATTGAGACTCAAAGAAGATTTTTAGAATCAAGTGTACGTCCGGTTCAATGTCGCTCCGTCGCTAAAGTTCCGAAGAGAGAAGGACGATATTCACTGCGACGTCGAGATTTCCCTGGCCCAGGCGGTCCTCGGAGGAACTGTCAAAGTGCCCGGAATCAATGAGGACACTTATATCCAAATCCCTGCCGGCACTTCTAGCCACACTAAAATGAGGTGTGTCTAGTCTGCAACTGGCTCCGCCCCGTGGCTACAGTACCTTTCGCGTCGAAATATTATCGCGCGCGACGATGATCCTTTAATAACGCCAAATTTTTCGATATTTATTCGGAAATCTGGAAACAACGTAAGAAATGTATGGGGTGACGCGTTTCGCACGCGACGCGGCTTTGGCGGGAAACTTTGATTCAAACGCGAGCCAATTTTTATGTTCAAAATAAAAGTATAATATCAGGCTGTCCAATAATTTTTGTCCGAAAACTTTCAAAATTTTATAATTTTTCTTAGAAGTGTTATAATATCAGGCAAGTGTAAGAACCTTCTAGAAGGTTCTCCAGAGTCTCACGTTAGGGGTATATAAGGCGCAGTCGTCGCGTCCAGCTACCAGTACAAGCTAAAATGGACCAAGGTCGAATTCGTATGATCGTGTACTACGAGCTGCTGCTGGACAATGGCACGGGCAACGCGACCGCCAACATCTGCAGAGCGTGCAAGGAGGACGCAGTGTCCCAACAGACAGCCAGGCGTTGGTTCAATCGTTTCGAGAGCGGCGACACGAGCCGACTTGCTCCTGCTGAAGATCATGCTCTGCTGCTGGTGGGCCGCCAAGAACTGCTGTACTTCGAGCTGCTCCCGCAAGGCAGGACGGTCACCGCCTCCATCTACACCGATCAGCTCAAGAAATTAGCCGCCGCCATCCGAGAAAAGCGTCCCCGACGAGCCTCGGTCCACCTTCTGCACAACAGCGCGCGCCCCCACATGGGGAAGGAGACCCAGCAGAAGTTAGCGACGCTCGGCTGGGAGACGGTTGTCTATCCGCCGTATTCCTCGGAACTCGCTCCCTCCGATTACCACTTGCTCCGCCCGCTCAAGCACCGGTTGGCCGGAAGAAAATTCATTAACTACGACAACCTCAAATCCGACTTCGCGGACTTGATTGAGTCGCAGCCCCCGGAGTTCCGAGCGAAGGGCATCGGCGACCTGCCCAATCGATGTGCCACTGTCGTGAATACCTGTGGTGATTATATTGTTGATTAGACTAGTTTTTCAGTAAAGTTAAAACAAAAATTAACAGGGTGAAATTTTCGGACAAGAATTATTGGACAACCTGGTACTAGAAAACTTATCCTTCTCTACAATTTTTCTATGAACTCATAACTCGGCTCACAATGTTTAAAATTGGGTAGTAAGGGTTTTAAAGCTTTTCAGTGAATCCTTTTTAATTAAGCAACATTTGGTACTCTCAAGAACCATTATGAATCTACCAATATACTGATTTTTCGCCCCTTGTAAACTGGAAACTTTAAAAATTCATTTCTAGACTCAAAATGCTCAAAATCAGGTGAAGTAAAGAGTTTTAAGCTTCTCAGAGGGTCCTTTTTCGTATAAAACCAGCTGGTACCCTCAAGGACAATTAGTGTTTTTGAACGGGTTCCATCAAGAAAAACGCCATCCTAAAATGGGTCCCGACACGATGAGAAAAGAGACAGTGTCTGGTTGGTGGAGAGCGCAGACAGGCCACCCCTCCAAGCGCCCTAAGCTGGCCGTGAATAGGATAAAATCAAATTCTAGAAAATATATTTTTTGAATCAGTACTTTTTAATGAGGAATCATTACTATCAAAAAATTAAAAAGAGAACTCTGATTTTTTTGAAATTTTGGAAAGTTTCACTCATAACTTGGGCCCCTACTCTATGCTCTCTATGAACCAGGCACTTTCTTTTTATTATCGTGTCAGGACCTTTTTCTTGATAGCTTCAGCCAGCTGGAATCAGTTCTACGTTTGAACTTATTAATGCTGCTTTTTAGTAGTTTTGAAAAAGTTTCCTGAAAGTTTGAAAAGTCGGAGAAAGTTTCAAACTTAAACTTGGATAGATTCTATAAAAATTAAGCCTTTTTTCAGAGGATTTACACTTTTTCTTCAGATTAACGGGTAAAGGCGTGAAACGGTTGCACGCCCACGGCCATGGTGATCAGTATATTCATATCAGGATCGGAGTCCCAACGTGGGTTTTTATCGATTTTTCGAGAAAAGAAAGATGGAAAGAGATTTTTTTAATTGGTTTTTTTATTAAAAGAATATTTGAAACGTTGATCTCTTCGGACTTGTTGCACATTTTTCTTTTCCAGGCACATCAAAAAAGATCAAAAAGAGCTTATGTTGGCCTGGGCCGCCCTGGAAAAGCCCAAAAGCGGTACCATCAAAGGACTGGAAGCCTCGACGACGGAAAAACCGAAAAGTTTGCATTTTCTCCCATTTCGAATCAAAAATAATACTTCTTGGACTCTTGTGTGTCTAAAATATTGAGTTTTATACCATAACAAAAAAAAAATTAATTTTAGGCGCACCAGAGTCCAAGGCGAGTGCTGAGAAAGCGGAAACCGTTGAAAATGGCCAAGAAAAAGAGGATCCCGGCATTTTTTCCAAGCTCAAAAAAGCTGTTTTTGGCAATTAGGTGACTTTTCAGACCTTTCATTTTTTAAAAGAATTATTTTTTCATTTCTTTTTCAGAAAAACTCGAAAGTCCGCCGGAGGTGAAAAAAAATAAAGAGGCCGAGAAGAAAGAGGAGCCGCCGATGAACCAAAATGATAATGAAAAGAAACAAGCGTCTTCTTAGGGATTTTCTAGAAATTTCAGTTGTTATGGGCCTGTTTGGAAGATTTTTAAGTTTTTAAATCGAAAAAGGCGTCCTTTTCGTGTTTGGTCCGCAGACACACACTCTGCGGTTCCCAAAAAAATACAGTAAGTTTTGAAAAAAATTTTTTTGCAAAAAAAGCCGCTTTTGATAAGTTTTTTTGTCTCAAAATCTCTGAAAAATAAAACGTTTCGAAAAATTTTTTTGTTTGCAAAAAAGTTTTCTTTGAAGGCTTTTAGGCTTCAGAAATCACTCATAATTCCGAAATTTTACTGTTTTTTTCATTTAGTTGTTTATAAAGTTATTCAATGATCTTATTACTTAGTTTTATTTTTATTTTGGAGAAGTTATATATTCTTTTTCAGTCTATAGATACTTTTTTTATTCAAATTTTTGAACCTTTATCTTGCGAATACCAAGAAAAATCAAAATGTTTGAGTTTTCTAATGTAATTTTTTTCAAAGTTTTTCATATTTTTTTCAGAAAAAGTTTTAATCTTTCAAACAGGTCCACTTTTTTTCATAGTTTTTTTCTTTGTTAATTTATCCTTTATCGTGTTTTTTTGTTTTCGTCTTTTTTGAAAGAATAGAACGGGCTTTTCTCCATTAGATTATAGATTTTTCTTGATTGTTTTCGTGTTATTGCCAATATCGAGTTCTACTGCTCATTTTAGTTGTTTTTTTTTTTTTCAAATGTTAGTTGAACATTAGATTTTTATGTCAAATGAAGTTTCTATCAAATAGAAGGCTTGAGGGTTACGTGAAAAGTCTTTATTAATTTCGTTTCTTTTTGTCGGTTTCAGAGATTTTTTCAGCCTATCACTTCATTTATTTATTCACTAGTCAGACATCAGAGTAATCAAAAAGGCTCTGCTGAATCATGGTAAATCTGAAAAGCTTCTTGTTTTTTCGCCAACGTGCTCGTGGTCGTCCAACAGATCTTTTCTTCTCCCATGGACGCCAATCTACGATCTTCTCCGTCCACGTTTCTCCTCCCGTCACGATTTTCTTTGCGAAGAACCATTTTCTTCTTGTTGCAGCCATTAGAGCATCACGCAAGCTGTCGCTAGCATGTTCATCTCTGTTTTCTTGAGGGTCCAGATTTCTGATCCGTATAAGAGCGCAGGTTCTATACCAGCTTGGTATATTTTGACCTTGTTCTTGAGAGGTGTTGTTTTCTTCGTCAAATATATAGAAAACTTGGGGAAAACTGCCCATGCAGATTGGATTCCGCGAAGTAGTTTCGTTTTGAAACCTTCCGCGAAATGAAGATGAGTTTCGAGATATATGAACTCATTTATTTTCAATAAAAATTAATTGATCAAAAAAGCCTGAGTTGTTTTTCAGGGGGAAAAAAAAAGAGAAACTGTGTTCTCGCATGCTGAGCAAGTGTTTCAGCGGGTGTACCCGTATTAAACCCGTGTTTCTGAGGTTATTTTAGTCTCAGTTGGGCTAAAACGGGGGAACAACGGGTGTAAGAAAAATATGTGACCCAGCTGGGCTAAAAATTGCCAAAAGTCTATCAGCTGGGCTTATACGGGTTTAATACGGGGGCACCCGCTGAGACCCCGTGTTTGCGCGGCTGGGTTACCCTGCTCAGCATTCGAGTTAGTTCAAATTTCGCTTTTTGTGCGTCGCTTTTTGTGCGATGTGTGCACTGCGTACAAAACATTTTATTTTCCACCGCCTCGGTGGGCGTGGCGTCGATTTGGTGTCGCCGTGAGACCACGGCGTTCTGCGTAGTGGAAGAAAATGTAATGCCGCGTTTAAATTAATAAAACTACACGCGGAGAAATTGTTTTTCCTGTTTACAGCCACGAGCCGAAATTATGCGCGCCGATATTCGTTGGCAACATTCCAACACAGTTTTTCTTTTTTTCTTTTTCTTCTTTTTTTAACGTAATTTTTTTCTTTTCAATTTTAAACCCGTTCAAAGCTATTGATTTTTAGAAATAGTACGAATGAAAAACCTTTAGTTAATTTTTTTCGACTGTTTGAACTTGAAAAAAAGTTCAATTTTTCTCAAATTTCGTATGTATCGTGTTTATTATTTTTTTTCCAACGGATGTATCAGAGTGTTTGAAGTTGCAGGTCTCTAAACTATGGCGGGTATTGGATTACCGAAAGTGTTAAATTTGAAAAAAAGGTTAATTTTTTTATTCAAAAAAACTTTTTTTCGCAATTATGTTTTAAAAATTTTTTTGATTATTTTCACAAAAATATTCAGACTCGTTAGGGAGGAAGGGGCGGCTCGTGTGAAGGTAGCGCGTAATTTTCGACGCCACGGGCAATAAGAAATTTGTGAGTTTTTTCCTATAGATCTCTTAATAACTAGTTCATTTAATTCAGAAAAAAAGTATTGAATTTTTTTTCAGCTCATTCGAACAAGACGTTGTGGTCAGCCGGATAAATTTGCAATTTATCATGTCTCGATTGTGTCAAATTCACAGCTTTTAACTTCTCCTTTATTTCAATGATTTTGTTTTGTTTTTATTACGCATTTATTTCCTCCATCTTTTTATTTGAATAAAGATGATGAGCATCAATTTCTTGAGGAATAAATGTAAAAAAACAAGCTGCTTAGTTAATCAAATTCAAAACTTAATAACAGAAACGGTTTTTGTTGTCAAATTTTTTTCTGAAATGCAGAAGAAAAACAATGAATTTTTTTTATTAGAAAAAAAGTTCCATAAAGAGAGATCCAAGTTTCACGTGTAGTCTTTCGGCGTGTCCTTCGTAAACCGATCGTCTAGGCCTGAAAGAAGAAAAAAATTTTTTTCAAAAAAAGAAAGGCTGATTGAACCTTGGTATTAATTTTTTTCGTGTAAAACTGAACAGACAAGACATTGAAAAATGAAAGAAAAATAATATCGAAGAACAAGAAAAACTCACGAATTTATGCTTGACTGTAGAGACGAACATTTTGCGTTACCTTCACACGAGCCGCCCGTCTCCCTGACGAATCTGAATTTTTTTTGTGAACAAAATCAAAAAAATTGTAAAAAAAGAAATTAGAAAAATTTTTTTTTGAATAAAAGTTAACCTTATTCAAAGATAAAACTCGGTAATCGAAGACCCGCCATAGTTTAGAGACCTGCAACTTCAAACACTCTGATACATCCGTTGGAAAAAAAATAAACACGATAAATACGAAATTTGAGAAAAATTGAACTTATTTCAAGTTCAAACAGTTGAAAAATTAACTAAAGGTTTTCATTCGTACTATTTCCGATATTAATAGCCATGAACGGATTGAAAATTAAAAAAGAAAAGAAAAAAATTATGTAAAAAAGAAGAAAATAAAAAAAAAAGAAGAAAAAAAAGTGTTGGAATGTTGCCAACGAATATCGGCGCGCATAATTTCGGCTCGTGGCTGTAAACAGGAAAAACAATTTCTCCGCGTGTAGTTTTATTACTTTAAACGCGGCATAAAATTTTTGAAAATGTGGAGCGGCTTGGAAGGGTTGCTCCACCTAGATTTACGGTAGACAGCTTGCGCGCGAACATTTGAACTTTCTTGTTGCTCAAGTGCTTCAGGTGATTTTTTTCATGTTTATTTCAGTTGTATCTTTATCTGTTTGGTTCTGATTTACGGTAATTATTTTTTTCATTGCGACAGCAAAATGCGAAGGAATTTTTTTGTTTTTTTAATTGTCAATATTAACTGCTCGGTTTTTGACAAAAATTTCCCCTTTAAGCAAAAAAATCCTTTCAGCAACATTTGCTGTGTCAAATTAAATTTTTTTATTTGAATCAATCAATCTCTTAATTTTCGCAACATCAAAATGGTATGGCGATGATGCAGGGGAGAAAAATACCACTAGGTGGATGAAATAAAAGCAAACCTGTAAAGAAAAACTTTTTTTAATTTTTTTTAGTGAGTGGGGAAAAAAACACATAGAACCACAATAAGTCATTTTCGGCACAAAATTCCACGTTTTTTACTGAAAAAAAGGACTTTAACTAATTTTGAGGGTGAAAAGGAAAAAAAGTGTTAAAAAAATAAGAAAAACTTTCACCCAAATGTTTTTTTCGTTAACTAGAAAAGGAATTGTGAAAGGATCAATTTTTTCACGTCTATAGTTTTGAATAAACGCTATTTTTTGAAGAAAAAAATTATTTTTGAATTTAATAAGTATGCGAGTTAGCGTCGTTCTGTGTATGCACAAAAGACATCAAATATTACGGAAATTGTGGGAGGGGCGTCGTCGAAAGAACGCCGTGAGACTATAGTATGTTCAGATTTTGAATGTCAAGTCGTCGCCCAAGCTCCGCCCATAATGGTGCGATAGACCAATCACAGAGCGAGCCATCCACAGAGCATTTTCGAATGACGTCATTCTACTTGACATTCAAAATCTGAACGGACTATAATAAAAAAAATAGAAAAAAATTAATGCGTATGATTTTTTCTCAGCCTCAAATCGCCGTCAGTGAATGAAGTGCGTAGTTTTCGAGCGCGAGTTAAAAATTATAACTGAGCATATAATTTTGAAAATTGTTCCATTCACGTTATCTTTCTGTTTTCTTCCCTCTACTTCACCATTTCAGATAAATGTCTCTCAAACCAACGTGGACCCTGGCCATTTTATTGAAAAGCTCGCTGATCAGTTGATCAGAAACGATGGGGATCTCTTTGCGGAATCGAAGTATGTTTCATTTATTTCTAGAAAATCAGTTAATCGCACTATTGAAGAATAAGTCTTTGTTTCCAGATATTTCTCGCAAGCAAATATTGTTCTTGATCGCGTTTTTGATTCACGGATCTTCAGCGCAAGGTTTTTTTTGTTCTCACTGTTGTTTTCTGAAATTTATTTCACTTTCTCAATCATTACAAGCAGTTATTTTTTTTTATCAGTAAAATTTTACATAGGCAATAAAGTGGAAACGTCGATTCGTCTTTCTTTGCACCTAAGTATGTTCTTATCTATCTGAGTCTTCTTATATTGTTTCAAAAAGAAGAAATCAAAATTTAGTGAAGCAGGTCTAGGGTAAAAAAAATAAAAAAATTTAGGCTAGGCGACCCGGGCTTTTGGTTTTTGTCGGAAAAAATCTTGTAATAAAAAAAAAAAAAAAACCTGACTTTTTTTGAAAAAATTTTGATACTCGACATCACTATGGAAGTGCTCAAGATCTTTATTCGTAGTGCTCAATGTTGTGAGCAAAGCCAGAGTGAGCTTGTAATAGATAGATCAGGACTGAGGATAATTGGTAAAGATTTCTCAAGAGACAGCTGTTAGAATAGCCAGATAGGAACACGGCGTTACAGCCAGAAAAAAAAGTGACAAGCTGGCGCGGAACAGATTTTTGAAGTTATTTTCAATTTTTCAGACAAATGTTGCACGTTACCAAACTTGAGCTATTCGACTGGAAATGCCTCTCCTCACGAATGTTCTCATTTAAATTGTACAGAAGCATTTATCTACGTAGAGGATAGCTACGGCCCTTCAAATCTTTTGTTTAATGCGGTCAAGATCAGCACTCTGACATTAATTAGAAACAAGGGCAAGGCTGACATGATTCAATTGGAAGAAATTGTACATAAATCCCCAGGTACGTCTTGTTCTGAAAGCAAAGGTTTACTAAGACATGTATGTAAAGTACATATGGCATAGCGCTCAGTTTTAAATATTTGCAAAATAGACGTCTTGAACTAATATTTAAACTTGTTTTTCCGAAGCCATCCTCGTGTTTGAAGGACCAGCTGTCACTCTAAAGCAAGCCGATTTGGAAGACGATTGCTTCGAAAATTTGAAAAAAATCACTGTGGATGATCCATATTTTTATTGCGACGGAAAGAATAAATTGATCGACATAGAAGGGGATTACAACAAAACTATGATAGGTCGGCTGGAAAAAGTTGCGAATGAGGTATATATTATTTTTTTGAAAGTTGGGTTTTTTATTTATTCAACGATCTAAGATTTACTTTCTCACTTTTTTCTGCGTTTACAAGGTGATTTAATTGTTTTCCAGACCCTGGCCGTTTGTAATCAGCCCAGACCCGTAACTTTGGCCGCAGTCAGTTCTACGGTCAAAAGTCCGGTTGTCCAGTCAGCCACGGTCATTAGTCCTGTCGTAATCACATTAAACCCTCCTCCTCCAATATGCCCAGAAAGAAAACTTCCTGCTGTCGAAAAAGCTTCGAATAATGGTTGATTTTTCATATTTTCAAGTCGTAGTTGAGCGAAGCCTTTTTTCCCATTTAGATTCAAGCTTGAAAAAGAAACGGGCGTGATTAAAACTTCATTTTTCATTTCACAAGTGTTGAAGCAAAATTTTCTGGGGATTTCAAAAAAAAAACCGATGACGGACATAGGAGAGATTTCAAAGAAGACTTACGGTTGATTGCATCAAAATGTCACATATTCCAAGATTTCAACGCGTCTTGTCAGAAGATGAATTGTCTGTTGAGATTTTGAGTGTAAAGTTGAATGACGTCAATCAGAAAGGCTCTGTGGGTGGCTCGCTTTCTGAATGGCTTGTCGCGCCATTAGGGGCGGGGCTTCAGCGACCACTTGACATTCAAAATCTGAATAGATTAAAAGGGTTCCATTTTTTTTTTCTTTAGTTACCAATGATTATTCAACTTTCCCGAAAAGAATACGTATTTCAGTAAAGCCTTTTCTGCTTGTTGAGTCCAGATAATCAAGTTAAACTGCGCGAAAATATAGAAAATGTTTTGTGGCCGTTTTCGGATCGATTATTCTTTGGTTATTTTCATTTTCAGACCTTCTTCTATATATTTATTGTCTATCGACGGAAATACTCTTCATAATCGCCACATGTCTGACAATTCTCACTTTTAAACTTTACAAGAAACTTTGTGCTCAAGAGAGTCGCCGTCTTCTGTCAGGTGACTTTTTTTTGAGTTGGTTCCTGGAACGAATCTTTTGAATCTTTTCCCTTTTTGTTAGAAAAGTAAAGTTTATCAAAAGTTTATTATTTTAAAACGACCAGAATATCTTTTATTTTCATGCGATGTTCAAACGAAAAGCACTTTATAATTGCTATTAAGATACCAGTCTCATGGATAATCGCTTTTTTTCTGGAATTTTCGGTTTAGCTCATCGAAAAAAATAGCGCCCCGATTTTTTCCTAAATCGTATACGAAAAAAATTTTTCGTCGAAGAAGCAGAACCTTTCCTCCGCAGCTTTCAAAACCCCCCAGCCGAAATCTGTTCAATAACGACCAGAAACAATTTAGAATTAATTCTAAAATTAATTTTAGAAGCGCTTTCCAAGTTTCAAGATACCGAAGAAGCTGATCAGAAAAACGAAACAGCGGTGACTTCTGCGCCAGAAGTTCAAATGGAGAGAAAGATTGCCGGAGCAGAAAGTTCGAAGTTGAACAAGGAACGAAATGCCGAAGAGATCTGAAGGAACTGAATTTTCGCTTGTCCCGAACCATTCCTGCGACGTTTTCTCCATTTTTTCGTGTTTTTTCAAAGCATGCATGCATAAATGATGAAGCAGTTTTCATGAACAAGTGAATTTCTAGTAATTTTCAAACAAATTTTAAAAAAGGAAAAAGTTTTCTAACTTTGAATCAGAAAGCGCTTTTCTGGCCGGCCGCCTCTACACTGTTTATTTTTGCTTTTTACAAAACGAGCTTTTCTTTCAGCTCTATTGACTCTTGGAGAATAATACGAACACTTTCGAAAATCGGCCAAGAAAATGCAACATGTTGTTTTTTTCGGGAACTTCTGATAGAACTTTTGGTAAAAGCAAAAACTATGCAGGTTATTTCATAATCCGTTTTTTTTTCAAAAAATTTCATTTTTTTTCCAACTTCATTGTAAGAAAAACTTTTTCATCGTTTGCGTGATTTTCTAGCCATTTCTATATAAAACTTGCCGATCAGTTGGTTAGGAGGCATGAAGCGTTCACGGAATGGAGGTATATTTATATAATTTTTTTCGATCTGCTGAAACGAATCAACGAGACATAAATTATGCATAATATATAATGAAAGATTCAAAAAGTGTCAGTTTCCTCTCAAAAGTTGCTGCAGAACAACTCGAATTCATAAACTAGAATATTTCAGGTAATTCTCGTGCATCACTTTTATTTTTTTGCTCGTGTTTTTTTGGCTTTTGGTTCTTCAGCTCCAGGTCAATTTCTAATTTTTTTCATGTTCGTGAATTATAAATGATTTATGAAACTCTCTCTCTTTGAATCTTGTGTTGAATACGAATCTTTAAAATTCATAACTGGAAGGCCTCTTTTTGATGAAAAAAATTTTAAAGAAATTTCAAATTATTATATAAAGCCTGGCTCAACAATGAAGGTCATTTAACCTTGCGGTTGGGAACTTCCTGAAAACTGGCTAGAAGACTCCTTGATGTATTAAAAGAAGATCCTGAAAGTGGCAAGCTGCACAACTACCTAGTTTCCGAGAAAAAGGGTCTGTAGCCCGAAATAAGCCAGTTTTTGATGGGTTATAGTCTGTGTGCCACGACTTGAAATTTCACGGAACGACATTCCGCTGTTCCGCTGCGTGCGTTCGTGAAGCGTCTTTCGAATCTAGGTCACGCTTTCAATTGATTGTTATTGCTGTGGGAGCACATGAAAGTAGAGTACCTTAATAAAAGAAAAAAATTAAAAGCGCGACCAAGGTTCGCAAAGGCGCGCAGCGGCACAGCGGAATGTCGTTCCGTGAAATTTCAAGTCGTGGCACACAGACTATATGAGGGTTTTGTTTGACTTTGAAGCGTCTTTTCTCGAAAAGTAGGAATTTGTACAGCTTCCAGAATCTTCTTCTGGTACATCAAGGAGTGTTCTAGCCAGTTTTCAGGAAAACCCCGACCGCAAAGTAAAATGACCTCCTTGTAAGCCCGCAGGAGCTTCTTCGCAAAAAAAAAGTGAGGCCTAGGGCCTGACGCACAATCCTGCTTGGCAGACTCTTACAAAACTTGCAGATGTATGTTGCTATCGTATGATGATGATTTACACAATTGATGAGGCGTTTCCTCCCGAATGCGCAAGGCTTAGATGCACTCGGGAACCCATTCATGCTTACGATGCGGGAAAGGACAAATTTATCTCAAAATTTTTACTAAGGGCTAAGAAGATTAATAATCTCTTCATAACTGGAAACTCGACAGTATTCGACATTGATAATGTGGAAGAAGTTGTATACATGGGGCCGGGTTAGTTTTCATTTCTTTTCAGAAAAAAAAAGTTTAGGGATTTTTGGGCCTCTCAGGAATTTTGTTTCAGTAACTCTCCTTTCTTTCCGTAAAGTTTCCTTGAAAACAAAGTCTTAGTTTTTTTTTTCTTAGGAAGATGGAGAAACTGTGATTTTTTTTTCCCAGACCTAGAAGTTTGGAAAAGGAGTTAAAAATGTTTGAGTACTATAGTCGATGTGCCACAAGTTGAAATTTCATGAAACGACACTCCGCTGTTTCGATTTTGTGCGGTAGCGCGCATCTGGCGAATTTATGACAACTTAGTAACTCCAGATTGGTCCCTATAGGGGCCACTGAAGCTTGAAAAAGTTGCCCCTATAGGGGACATGTTAGTCGATAACTGTTATGAACTCTAGGCGAAGAAGCATTCCCATGGAAGAAAGTAAACAAATAAGCCTTTTTTGAATTAATCAGAAAGATCCCTATAGGGGCCTCTTAAGCTTTAGGGGGTCAGACCCTAAACCCCTATAGCCTATATAGGCTATAGGGACCACTTTTACGACACCAACATGAGTTGTTTTCTCTCAAACCCCTAGAGTCTGGAATTCCTAAGGAGTACAAGTTTTCGTTTCCCGAAAAGTACTGTATGTGTAAGACCGTTTTTAGCGTGGGTGATTTGCGTTTTTGCCCATTTTGAGTATTCCCATCCCCTCGTTTTTTTTTCCAGATATTTCATAAAAAATAGAAAATTCAAAATTAAATAGAAAATTCGCCCTTGTCGTATAGATTCACGGCTAGCTTGCGGCCTGTCTGTGCTTTCTAACAACCAGGTACTGTATTTTTCTCATCGTGTCAAGACCCATTGTGCGATGGCTCAAGCTACCCGTGAATCAGCTATTGCACCAAAAATTGAGAGCTTTTCGGGGAATTTGCTCTCTTTTTTTCCCCAGGAACTATCTTCATTTTTCAGGGCCAGTCATCACTTTGAAACACGCTAATCTGGGAGAATATTCTTTCGAAAGATTGAAAAGTATAACGGTCAAGGATCCATCAATTTATTGTGACAAAAAAAATGAACTCGTCCACATAGAAGGTAATCTTAACGCAGATGTCAGGAGACGTCTCGAGAAGGTTGTGAACCAGGTTATTCTATTATTTTCAAATTTAACGTTTCATGATGAGTTCGATAGGGTTGTTACTTATTGCTGGTGCTACGAGGAGAGTGTTTTTCAAGTTGCGAAATTTTATAGTCTGTTCAGATTTTCAATCTCAAGCAGCAAACTCCGCCCCCCAATAACGCTCTGTGAATGACTCGCTCTCTGATTGGTTCTACGCATAAGGGGCGGAGTTTGAGCGATGAGTTGATGTACCAAAACCTGAACAGACTATAGAAAAAACCGCATTCAGGTGTGTGAGGAAAGGGCAAACACACGGCGTTTTGTTAGTGGAAGAAAATGGGAAACCAAAAACACAGTGGGCGGAGCCAAAATATCCGCCGTTCCCACGTGACGTCATGATCCCGGCTCTAAAAGCGTAAATAACAGGGCTTATTAAGGGCACAGGCCGCCGTATTGCCAGAGTTCTTTGAGACGAAGCGAAAATTTCTCTACATAAACGCAATTTTCTGCGCGAAATCGGCGCAGTGCATGCACACGACACATGACACTTTACGGAGTAAAAGTGCGCGTGGCGTCGTCGAAAAAACGCCGTGAACACTCAAAGCGCACACCTCCGAATCATTTCCATACTTTATTTTCTGACCAGGCAAAGCTCTCTCGTTTTCTTATAGAATTTTTTTTCCCCGAGACGGTCAACTTTTAGAAAAAAAAAAAGATAAAAACGGCTTTTTCCTTTACTAAACGGCGAAAAAGAGCGAGGAAACAATGATCTTGGAGCAAACAAGATCGAACTTGTATCAGTTTAGTATACGATCTTTTTGGAAGAAAATAAGAACGTGACCAGCTGCCGCACCTTATTCGTATAGTTCCTATTTTCAGACGTTGGCCTTTTGCAATGTGCCAACAGCTGTGCTCGTGCCCGTGCCTGTGCTCGTCAATTTTTCGGTTGAAAGTTCAGCTGACTCTTGCCCGGAAGATGATGAATATCCTGCTGAGAAATCATCGTCAACCGAGAAGCTCTCGTCGAGTGGTTGGTTCTCAATACACAGGCGAATCGGGAGGGTATCGTAATGTGTCCACAACTCGAAATGGATTGGGAAGACCCCATAATATGTTCATCGTGAAACCTCCTTCAGCTCTATCGGAGCTACTTGAGATCCCATGTCTATCTCATTCTCCTCAAACCTCTCGGAGGTATAGTCCTGGTACCATCGATAGACTTCAGACCCATGCGATATAGGGAGTATCGCGATACCCTCTCTCGATTCGCCTATAAATTATTTATTCAAAAACTAAAATTGTTTAGATTTTGCCCTATACGCTTCCACCGCCGCAACGGGAGTCCTCCTTTTCATCTGCACAACTCTGACTTCCCTCAGTGTTCGATTCTACAGCAAGCTGCGTGAGAAGGATATGTACCCAGTTTCCTCGGGTGACTTTACAGAATTGAACTTCGGAAACTTTCCCTTTGAAACAAAAATACTTTTTGGATTTTTATAACTCGAAACGATTTTCATCGCAGTGTTTCGTCTAATATTGCACGAGATTAGTCTTTGAAACTTTGAAACTTTTATTCATTCAGTCTTCGGAGTAGGTTCTCTGCTGAATCATGGAATAATTGAAGAGTTGTTTGTCGGTTCGCGATACTGTCGTTGATCAAGAACGGCGTGTAGAGCCTCTCCCCTTTCTTGTGATAGTAGTAGACGATTTGCGAGCGTTTCCCACGATCACTGCTTCTCCATGTAGGAACAGTACGGCGTCCAGCTTGTCCAAGGCTGACGGGCGTCGGATTAAGTTAAGATTAAACAGAGATTAGTCTAGTTCATTTTAAAAATTACAGGACAATAAATTAGACTAAAACGTTGGGAAGTTTATGAAAGCTAGAAAGTCTTGGGAAGGTCTTTGCAAGGTTTTCAGAAGGTAGTTGGAAGATAAAAATGGAAAATGTCTGGCAGAAGCCTGCTATATTGCTTTTGAAAGGCTTCCTTCCTAAGTAGAAATGGTTAAAAAAGCCTTCCTAGGAACCGAAAGCAGAAGCTTTCCGAATTTCACCTGAGATGGTTTCCCATCTGTCTCCCTCACTGCACCTGAAAAAACGACCCTTATCAAAAATAACCGAAAGCTTTCAGAAGCTCTTCCTCTCAAGATTCAAAGCACGGAAGAGACACCGCAGACTGATGCGATAATATCGTTCAACTCTGCGGAAAAGACGTCCGAGAAGGCGCCAGACGTAGAAACTGAGCGGAAGATTGCCGGAGAGGAAGCCTCGGAGGAGGACGAAGCTCGATTTTACGAGGAAATCGGAAATAATTCTGCCTGAAGCATCGACTTTCTGCGTGTTCATGGAGATTGAGCCGTTCCTACGATTTATATTTTACGTATTTTCTTTTAGCGTGTACGCATAAACGATGGAACTATTTCTGTTTGTGTTTCTTTGAATAGGCCATAAGATAGCATTTATCACTTTCAGAGTTGACAAGGAACTTTCTTTCACTAGTTTTCAGAAGAACCATAGATCCTTGGCGCGGTGTAGCCTGCGTACAAAGTTTGGTATTGGACCAGAAAAATTAGTACTCTCACGATAAATTTTCAACTTTGAAAACATATAGTCTGTTCAGATTTTAAATGTCAAGTGCAATGACGTCATTCAAAAACACTCTGTGGATGGCTCGCTCTCTGATTGGTTTATTGCACCATTATGGGCGGAGCTTGAACAGACTATATCCTCGGACCGGGCGAGTTTTCTTGAGATAAATCCAAATTAGTATTGTTTCAAGACTTTCAGAAAATTTTGCGCTGTAGCTCATAACATGCTGATAGGAATGAGCTTTCTGAAAGAGCTGAACTTAAATTTTCTAATAAAGAGCGGAAAAAAAAATTAATTGACCATTTCTTTCTGACTACGGAGCATTCAAACTCATCATGAATACTTGTTTTCTTTTATTTCAAACCAAATCCGTTAAGACCAGCTGCAACTCGCTGTTACTCTGAAGCAAGTCGGCTTTTGATCTGAAGAGAATGAATAAATTTTGTTTTACCTTTTGTGCAAGTTTATTGAAAGGGAAAACATTGAGCCTAAGCCATAAAACTGATGGAAAAATTAGGAAAAGAGCGGTTTTATCCCTGAACACATTGTCAAGGATTTCTACGGAGGAATCAAATAAGCTTGTTTTAAACATTTTTTGAACGAGGAAGTCTTTGCACTGAATTATAGTCTGTTCGGATTTCAAATGTCAATTTCTCGCTCAAGCTCCGCCCCCTAATGGCGCGACAAACCAATCAGAGAGCGAGCCATCCACAGAGCCTTCTATGAAATGATGATAACTTTTTCCTCCATTCGTTCACATTTTCAAGTACCAAAAACGTAGTTTTATGCGAAGCTTCGCGCCTGAAATCTGGATATGAATATATTTTCCAACCCACTTGGAAATCACCATCACTGCTTGAAATGTTTCATCAGATAAATGATTTTATCACTTGCGTGGTTCCCTAGCCATTTCATTACAAAGCTTTCCGCTCAATTGGTGGGAGGAGATGAAGCTCTCGTGGATAACAGGCATTTTCGTTTTTTTAAATTGATATAGATTAAAAAGAATTTCAGATAATTTTCTCAAATCCCTCTTATTTTTTTAATTGCGTTTTTTTGACGTCATTTTGTCCAGCAGAAGGTTTGCAGTTTTTTTCTTCTTTTTTTGGGGTTTTTTTCATTTTTTTGGGTTTTTCCCTCTTTTTTTTCTTTGAGTTTCGATTCAATGAGGAGAGATGTACCAACTTTTTCTCACATTTTCTAAAAATAGACGACTTCTGAAGTTAAGTTCAACTGTTTCGGGCTTCAACAGTTGGATGTACCCGTGAAAGTTGTCACATCTCAACTCACGAAGGGAATTAGAATAAAACGAAAAAACCAAAAAAATGTAAAACTGGAAAAAAAAAAAAAACCCAAAAAATAAACAAAAAAATTAGAGTGGATTTTACACTCTCAAAGTTGTTTGATAAATTTTTGATAAACTCTGTTTTTCCAGCATACAAAATGAAGCCATTGTATTTTTTTCCGAGAAAGTTAGAAATTTTCGAAAAATTTGGTCAACTCCGAGTTGGCTCTCTTCGGCGAGCAACGATTGATTGCGTCCTCCAAAGCTAGAAAAATGCCCTTATTTTTTTCTGATTAAGAAAGTGTTAGCCCTTCGATTTATGAAATTAAGTTCTACTACATTGGATTTTTTTGATGTTTCAACCGCCCAGAAACCGACGATTTTTTTGAAAAAAATTTTGTTTTTTTCAAATAAAAAGTTCTGCAAAAAAACTTATTTTTTTCACTAAAAAAACTTCAAAATAACGTTCTCTGTTTCAAAAAAAGATAAAAAGTCGACAAAAGTTTAATTTTTTTCAAGACCCACCGTAACCCAGTGAGGGGGCGTAGTCTCGCAGTGATTAGCCTAAAAGGTTACACATTTTTCCAAATAACTGTAAAATTAATTTCGACCCTCAGGACGGAACTTGAAATTTGTCTACCTACGCTTCACTGCAGTTCATCGACTTTTTCAGAGAGTGTGTGTTAAATGAGTACTGCGTTTTGCCCTGGAGACTTGAATAGTTATTTTCAGAAAAGTGCTGCAAATATCCGATTCTCGGATATTCATCTGGAGCAGTTGTTCCATCTGAATGCGCTAAAGGTGTCGAATGTACAGAAGCGCCGATCTACGTCGACTCTGCCGATGATGTTCCGAACGATTTCTTTGTATTCTTGATGGATGCTAAGAACATCAGTACACTCAAAATAATTGGAAGCCGGCGTTTTGAAGTTACCGGCACAATTAGAATTGCTCATAAGGGGTCTGGTTCGTTTTTTTATTTATTAGAAAAGTGTCCCTTTTTCGTGTATAAGAATTGTGAGCTTATTTTACAGATGCTTTCTTTTATTTTTGGAAAGACATGAATTTTTTTTTCAGGGCCGGCGGTCACTCTGAAAAACGCCGATTTGGACGAAAGGTCTTTCAAAAATTTGAAAACTATAACGGTGGATGACCCGTATGTTTATTGCGACGGAAAGAATAAATTGATCGACATCGAAGGAGATTACAAAGGAAATGTTACACTTCGCCTGGAAAAAGTTGCGAATGAGGTAGCTTTTTAAAGTTTTTTTCCACGAGGTGGAAGTTGAAAAAAAAATAGTCAATAGTGATTCACAGTGTGAATTTCACACTATTTGAAAGCTTTTTGACCTCACAACTTGAGAGCGAAATCCTTTTGAAAAGAATAGTTTCTCGGAAGCTGGCAACGCGAAACGGACGTGTCGGGGTAGTGGCTACTTTAGTAGCCTCAGCGCTTTTAAGTGATCCTGGAATCGCTCAGAAACGTTCGGAGCACGTCCGTTTCGCGTTAACAATGTCCGAGTTTTAGTGAATTTTTTTTTCTAATGCTTTAACGCACGAACAACTGGAAAAATCTCGGATATTGCACAAGATTCTAACGCAGAAATCTTTCAGTTCAGCGGAATATTCCGTTGTTCAAAGCTTCAGCTTCATGCTTTTTTTTTCTTGTTTTCCGTGCATATTCACTGTGATTTGATAAGTTTTCAGACATTGGCCGTATGTAATAAACCGAGACCGGTAACTGAAGCCGCAGTCAGTTCTACTGTCGGAAATCCGATTACACAGTCCGCCACACTCATCAGTCCCATCGAGGTCCCATTGAACCCTCCTTCTTTGGTTTGCCAGGAGAACAATGACAATGCTGCGAAAAAGTCTTCTAATAATGGTATTTTTTCTGGATTACCGTAACTGAGATCTTCTTCAGGCGTGTTTCTATATGTTGCTTGCGTCGTAATCGCATTCCTCACCATCATCTGCATCTGCTTGATCATCCTCAGCGCCAAATTGTACAAGAAACGGCCTAAGAGAGGGACTCGTCTCGCTTCTTTTGGTGATACCCATTTGGAAACGAAATTGCGAAAGAAACACTAACCTTCTTCCAACAATTTCCTAAGCTGAATATTAGGAAACTGGAAATTCTTTTGTTTTTGTGATATTTCAGTCAATAAGAGTTGAATGTTATTTCTATAAATCTCATGAATATCTTCTTTTTTCCGATAAAAAATTTCATTAACGGATATTAATCTTTTTCGTACGCTCATGCTGGTATGTGGCATTATGGTGATGGTACTAATTGAATTGGAGAATTTTTTTCAACGTCTTCCGCTTTTTACATAACGTACTTTACCATTAACCATTCAGATTTTCAGAAGTTCCTGCCTATCCCAAAAAAACACTGAAGAGACGGCACCAAATGACACAAAAAAATATCCCAATTCTGTCGAGAAAATGTCGGAGAAGGCACCCGAAGAAGAGAGGAAGTCTGGCGGAGCATGATTGGCAGAGATGAACGGAATTCTTCGTTTCTGGAGTTTTCCGTTTTCCGCGTTTTCCGATATGCTTTGATTTTTTTTTTCAGAGTCCAAGCATTCCTTTTCTTTTAAAAAAAAATTATTTTGCTAATTGTCGAATGACGCCGTTTTGAAAGAACAAAGCAGTATACCTGTTCGGATTTCAAATGTCAAGTTCTCGCTCAAGCTCCGCCTCCTAATGGCGCGACAAACCAATCAGAGAGTGAGCCATCCACAAAGCCTTCTATGAAATGATTATAATTTTTTCCTCCATTCGATCACATTTTCAAATATCAAAAACGGAGTTTTATGCGAAGCTTCGCGCCTGAAATCTGGATATGAATTTATTTTCCATTCCACTTGGAAATCACCATCACTGCTTGAAATGTTTCATCAGATAAATGATTATATCACTTGCGTGGTTTCCTAGCCATTTCTTTACAAAGCTTTCCGCTCAATTGGTGGGAGGAGATGAAGCTCTCGTGGATAACAGGTATTTTCGTTTTTTTAATTGATATAGACTAAAAAGAATTTCAGATAATTTTCTCAAATCCCTCTTATTTTTTTAATTGCGTTTTTTTGACGTCATTTTGTCCAGCAGAAGGTTTGCAGTTTTTTTCTTTTTTTGGGGTTTTTTTCATGGGTTTACCCTCTTTTTTTCTCTGAGTTTCGACTCAATGAGATAAATTTTGATAAACTCTGTTTTTCTAGCAAAAAATACAAAATGAAGCCATTGTATTTTTTTTCCGAGAAAGTTAGAAATTTTCGAAAATTTGGTCAACTCCGAGTTGGTTCTCTTCGGCGAGCAAACGATTGATTGCGTCCTCCAAAGCTATAAAGTGCCCTTATTTTTTTCTGACTAAGAAAGTGTTAGCGCTTCGATTTATGAAATTAAGTTCTACTACATTGGATTATTTGATGTTTCAACCGCCCAGAAAAACGACGATTTTTTTGAAAAAAATTTTGTTTTTCAAATAAAAAGTTCTGCAAAAAAATTTATTTTTTTCACTAAAAAAACTTCAAAAATAACGTTCTCTGTGTTTAAAAAGTTTGAAGTCGACCCAGGAAAAAAAGTTGAATTTTTTTCAAGACTTACCGTAACCCAGTGATGGGCGGAGCCTAACATTAGCTATATAGTATAGCCTAAAAGCTTAAACATTATGCCAAGTAGCTGTGACAATAATTTCGTTCCTTGATACGGAACTTGAAACTCGTGTACCTACGCTTCACGGCAGTTCATCGACTTTTTAAAGAAAGTGTGTTAAATGAATACTGTGTTCCTGGAGACGTGAATAGTTATTTTCAGAAGAATGCTGCAAATATCCGATGCTTGGATATTTATCTGGAGAAGCTCTTCCACTTGGATGCCTTGAAATCTACTGTACAAAAGCACCGATCTATGTCGATTCTAACAATTTGACATCGGGAAAGATCGATTATTTCTTGCGGATTGCTAGAAATATCAGTACCCTCACGATAATTGGAAATGAGCATTTTTATGTTTCTTCCCTGATAAGAATTGTTCATAAGGGGCCTGGTTCGTTTTTTTATTTATTCATAAGCAAAGTCGGAAGGACCCTTCACGGGCCCTTTGAGCGTCCGTTACGGATCCGTCTGTTTCCATTAATTGTTCCTAAACGGGTGGCAAAGGTTTCCTTTTTACTGCCTTTTTGCGTCCTTTCATCGGCCTTCATCCACCCTTTTTGGACCCTTTTGAGAAATAAAATTTTTTTAAATTATGAGTAATCTTTACAAGTGACTGTGTATGAACCAAAATAAGCTACAGTATAAAAATCGAAAATCATCAATAACAGAGACTTTTAGAACCTTTTTGCATCCTCACTCTTTCTTCACTCTTATTGCGGCTTCTCCCTTTTTTCGCCCTTTTATCACCCTTTTCAGCCCACTAAGAACGAAAGGCTCAATAAAGGCTGTAAAAAAAAAAACCCGTTTTCCGCACTTCCGACTTTTGCAGTGTTGGGAAAATTTCCATTTTTTGTTTCCATGGTTGTATACATACATGGGTAAAACCGAAAAGTTCCTTGGAGGATCTTCAAAGGATCCTGGGAGGGAGGTAAAAAGGTTCCTAAAAAAGCTCCTAGAATGATTTTAAAAAGCTTCTCATAGCCTCAGGATCCTTATTGAATCCTCCCGAATCTTTTTAGTTGCTTTCCAGCATCTTTTTCGGGAAAAGATGTGAAAAAGATGCAAAATGAAATAAAATGAGATAAAAAAGATCTGCTGGGGACCCTTCCAAGGTCTTTTTTTTGAGAAAGCTTTTGAGGAGCTTTTCATTTTTGTCCGAGTAATAGGAAACTCTTTTAGAGACGCTTTTTTATTTTTAGAAAACACTGTTCGATTTTTTTTTTTCAGGGCCGGCAGTCACTCTGAAACACGCCGATTTGGACATAGATTCATTCAAAAATTTGAAAAAAATTACGGTGGATGACCCGTATGTCTATTGCGACGGAAAGAATAAATTGATCGACATCGAAGGAGATTACAACAAAAACTATGATAGGTCGGCTGGAAAGAGTTGCGAGTGAGGTAGCTTTTTTTAAAGATTTTTTTCCACGAGTTTTAAAAAGTTGTTAAAAAAATAGTTAATGATGATGGCATGCTGGAAAAGTCGGTCGGTTCGGTCGGTCGGTTTGGAAAACCAGACCACGCCCAATTTTGCTTCATGGAAAACGAATTTCAGACTTTTTTTCTCTTTTTTTCTTTTTTTCTATATTTTTTTCCTTCCTTTTTTTATCAGTTTTTTTAGGATGTGGGGCACATGCTCCTCACTTCAAAAATAAGCTGTTCCTTATTTATCATTGTTTCCCTAGGTAATGTTTTACCTTTTTGTTAGAAGTAATTTTTTCTTGCCTTTTTGTGTGTATTTCACACATTATCTCATTTTCCGATTACTTATGATTTTTGATTTCGCTCATTTGGTCATATCAAGTTATTTTGGAGCCAAAAATAATACGAATTCTCAAAAATTGAGTCAGTTTATGATTTTGAATGGAGTAACCACCGTATTTTGCTCACGAGTACGGTACAGTTCAATGAAAATAAGCGAAAACCTTCTCACCATGGAATGGTCTCCGGTCGCAGTGGGACCCCTGAATGAGACCAAGTTTTCTAGATGTAGTTTTTCACGCTGAGCTCAAATCTGGTCTCAAAAACTGCCGAGGAGATCTGTGAAAAAAGTTATGGACCCTCAAAAGTCGAAAATTTCATCGTCTCTGATCGAGCTCATTTTTGTAGGGTATGTAGACCCCGTCTCACTGATAAGAGAAAACGGAATACTTTTTCACAAAAAAATTTTTTTGAGCCTAGATATGATTTTTTTCAAAGCTGCGCAATGTTGAGGCCCTTGCGCGCGCGAGGGTGTGTATGGTTTCGCCGAGGCTGGATTCCATCGGCAGCAAGGAGCAGCGGGGTAGGCGGCGGAATAGTAAGTGTAGGGTCATAGGTTCGGCTCCCTCCCTGCGTGATCTTTTTTTTTGCATTTTCAGAAATTTTCGCGTAAGTACTCCTTTTTTGAGTTCCGGAAAGCCGAACCATGAAAATACTTCGTTTTGATCATTTTCAAGCACCTGGAAATCTTTTTGGCAAAAATTTTTTTCAACTCATTTTTCACATTTTTCCATGTGTATGAGCAAAGGGTGGAGAGTGAAAATTTTCTGAAAATTTTTTTTTCTTTTTTGAACAACTTTTTATCGCTGTGTAGTTCAAACCTTATCAATTTTTTTCTATGTCATTCTTTTTTTCCGCGCTTTTTTTCAATTTTCAATATCTGATTTTATCCCTCACAGAATTACTTCAAAAAAAGGTTTTATTCAAAAATTTCAGGCAGAAAAAAATATCAAAAAAATTTCCATGACAAGACAAAGTCATGGGAAAAATCTAACACCAATGGTATTCTTTGACGTAGTGAATGAAACAATATTCAAAAAGACAATAAGGGCATCGGATGAAAGCCATGGAGACGCCTTTTTCGTTCAAGAGAAGCCAGTCACACGTGTCACTGCATTTCGAATAGATGATCTCATCTTCATTTTTAACCTTTTTTTATTCCAATTTATTTAACCGGATTTCGATTTTTCCTTTTTTTATTTTATCGTTTTTTTGTTGAATGTGACGTTTGATCCCACATGGTATAAAAAAATTGAACTTAAAAAAATTTCTATATATTAATTTCAAAAAAATTTAGGAATGCTTATCAATCCGGCAACGATCATCCAAGAATTGTCAATTTTCTTCGGAGTTGCACCTCCTGGATATTCTCTTTCAAGGGAAGAAATGAAAATGATAGGAATGATGAAGACACTGCTGATGGAAGGCAAAGAGGGACCTCTCGCTATGGATGAAAAGGAAGAGCCGGTCTACAACCCCGTGGACGCAGTAAACGACGACTCCGAATGGACAGACAGTGATCAGCCAATTGAAACCGTAACTAATGCGTTTGGAGAATACCCTTTTTCAACACAGACAGCTACATCAGAACAGGTAGGTGATAAAGATATATACGTATTTTATGTTCTCTTTGCTCTCTTTTTATTGAAAATTTTTTTGACCGAAAGTAGAAAAAAATATTTTCAGGTATCGGCAGCCGTAGCCCATTTGAGAGGATCAGTCAAAGGCACAAGGTCATTGTCCAGTATGTCCCACAGTTTCAGGTTCATAAAGTCGGAATACGATATGCGTCTACTTCGAAAATACGAATTGAACAGTATGACCTTAAATTTCGCTCAAAAAAAAAAACAACTTACTTTGTAGTGACTGCGAAAAAACGATCCGTTGGACTGGAAAAATTGAAAGAGGTTTTGGGAGAAATAGTAAAGCAAAAGTTCATAGAAGGTAATTAGAGTCTTTGGAAAAATAAAACTATTAGTGGGTCCATTTAAAGGGATCAGCTTGCATGATCTAGACATCAAACGTCTTGCCTTGATCGTGAACAAGCAGAACGGATTCGTGGAGAACTTCACAGCTTCTCCATCTTTCATCACTCGTTTCAAAGCTTCGATTGGAATGTCAAGCCGGCGAATTACAACGTTTGTCTCTACAAAAACAATCAAGGACATGGCAAAAATCACTGAAGCTGCCAAGAACTTTGTAAAACAAGTTCGACAAGAAGTAAGCCTTTTTTACTGTTTCAATCTCATAAAAATTTCACCATCCAGATGCTGACTTCACCGCACAAAACATTTGTGAATGCGGATCAGTCGGGGTTTAACAAAGAAATGACATGTCCGAGATCATTGGCGCTCAAAGGGGACAAGACGGTTGTTCGTTTGGTTCAATCTGTGGCGGAAACCACTCACTCGTACACTGTGCTACCTCTGCACTATGCCGATGGGAGATTGGGGAGAAAACTTTTTGTGCAGATGGCAGAGCCTAATGGTTCTTTTCCTGCCAAAGGGATTTTTCAAACCAAAAACCTTCATGTCGTCGCAGCTCGTTCTCACATGATGAGCAAGTCGACGATGTTCGAGTGGCTGCAAGAGTGCGTGCTTCCAGAAAGCGCTCCTGAATTGATGATGCTCCTTGACTCATGGTCTGGCTTTCGCGACAAAGCTTCGATTGAAGCCATGGCTAGTACCGGCAAGACGATAGAAGTTATGACAATACCTGCTGGATCTACATCAATGTGCCAACCTTTGGATCTCTTTTTTTTCCGGCAGTTCAAGGTGTTGTCAAGAAATTCCATCATTTCGTCTTGGTGAACGATGTCGATTTCTCGTTGCAAGGGAGGGACAACATCCTCAAAGTCGTTTCTCTCGTGTACCGTATTTTTTCCCACCCAAATTACCAGGGATTCTTGAAACACGCGTGGGTGATTGGAGGATTCATTGACAGACAGATCACAAAGTTTGTCACGCCTGCGGAGGAAATATTCGTCAAAGATGCGGACAGCTCATGTGTCGTACCAGGATGCTCGGAGCCCATGGCTTTCATCCGATGCCCTTATTTTCTTTTTTTGAATATTATTTCATTCACTACGTCAAAGAATACCATTGGTGTTAGCTTTTCCCATGACTTTGTCTTTTTCATGGAAATTTTTTTGATATTTTTTTCTGCCTGAAATTTTTGAATAAAACCTTTTTTTGAAGTAATTCTGTGAGGGATAAAAATCAGATATTGATTGAAAAAAAGCGCGGAAAAAAAGAATGACATAGAAAAAAATTGATAAGGTTTGAACTACACAGCGATAAAAAGTTGTTCAAAAAAAGAAAAATTTTCAGAAAATTTTTCACTCTCCACCCTTTGCTCATACACATGGAAAAAAATGTGAAAAAAATGAGTTGAAAAAAATTTTTGCCAAAAAGATTTCCAGGTGCTTGAAAAATGATCAAAACGAAGTATTTTTCATGGTTCGGCTTTCCGGAACTCAAAAAAAGGAGTACTTACGCGAAAAATTTCTGAAAATGCAAAAAGATCACGCAGGGAGGGAGCCGAACCTATGACCCTACACTTACTATTCCGCCGCCTACCCCGCTGCTCCTTGCTGCCGATGGAATCCAGCCTCGGCGAAACCATACACACCCTCGCGCGCGCAAGGGCCTCAACATTGCGCAGCTTTGAAAAATCATATCTAGGCTCAAAAATTTTTTTGTGAAAAAGTATTCCGTTTTCTCTTATCAGTGAGACGGGGTCTACATACCCTACAAAAATGAGCTCGATCAGAGACGATGAAATTTTCGACTTTTGAGGGTCCATAACTTTTTTCACAGATCTCCTCGGCAGTTTTTGAGACCAGATTTGAGCTCAGCGTGAAAAACTACATCTAGAAAACTTGGTCTCATTCAGGGGTCCCACTGCGACCGGAGACCATTCCCTGGTCAGTAAAACTAAAAAAAAAGGAAAAAAAATTCAGAAAAGAAAAAAAAAGTTTCTCAGACATGGGTAACGCGAAACAGACGTGCTCCGGACGTTACTGGGCGATTCTAGGGATCCCTTAAGAGTTCTGAGGCTACTAAATTGGTCACTAGAAATGCCCCGACACGTCCGATTCGCGTCTCGTTCGCGTTACCAAGGTCCGAGTTGAAATTCTAAGAGTTCCATGGAGCAAAATTTCGGCGTGGGTGGCCTAGTTTTTCAAGCTGACCGACCGACCGAACCGACCGACTTTTCCAGCATCAGTCAGATAGTATTAGATACTTGAGGAAAAAAACCTTTCGAAAAGAATAGTTTCTAGGAAATTGGTAACGCGAAGCGAACGTGCTGCGGACGTTTCTGTGCATTTCTGGTGACCACTTTAGTAACTTCAGCACACTTAGGTGATCCCTAGTAGAGTTCCTCAAAACCAAACGTTTGAAAAAATGAAAGTTTGAAAACATGAAAAAGTTTGTTTTCAACATTTCAACAAAAATTTCATTTTCAAACATTGATCGAAAACGGCCACATTCAAATCTTTCAAATTATGATCAAACGTTTTCCGACCGAAAACAAACATTTGTTATTTTGACCACACTTTTTTCAACCGATAAACGAACGTTTGGTTTTTCGATCAAACTTTTTCCGACCCAAAACAAACGTTTGTTTTGACCAAAACTTGGAATTCAAATTTTAATTAGAGCTCCCCGCCTGTTTAAGGCAGTGCTACGACGGCCGGTGGCCGGTCAATATTGCGCCGTCAGTTTCGGAGCCAGAAAATTTTTTAATTTTGTTTTCCTTTTTTGCAATTTGTTAAAGACCTATTTCTCGAGGTTACAGGATAAGTTACGTCACAAAAAGTACACAATTTTTCATTTTATTACCCAAAAACTTAGCTTGATTACCGTAATAAGACCGGCCGCCTTGATCATGCGTGGCTCGGATAAGTTTTGTTGAAAATTTATTTGGACGGTCAGCGGCCCCCTTCTCTTTCTCGTTTTCATCAATGATATTGAAAATTTTATTGATCCTCAATCCTCGATCTCTATCTTTGCTGATGACCTCAAGGTTTATAGCTCTTGCCCTGATTCGCTTCAAAGAAGCATAAATGGTATTTTCCAATGGTCAGAACTTTGGTCTCTTCCACTTGCTGTTGAAAAGACTTTTTCTCTTCACTTTGGCTCTAACAATCCTCAAACGGTCTATTTTCTTGATCAATTTCAAATCCCACAAAGATCAATTGTTCGTGATCTAGGCCTTCAAATTGATGAGAAGCTCTCCTTCAAAGACCATATTTCCCGTATCTCTGCCTTTGCTACATTACGGTCTAATCAAATACTAAATACCTTTAAGTTTTCTTCCCCCCTGCACTACCTCAGAATGTTTCAAACCTACGTGACGCCTATTCTCGAATATTGTAGTGAAATCTTTTCTCCCTCTATCTCGTCCGAGGAATGCTTCAAACTCGAGTCTTCTCTACGCCAATTCAGTAGAAAAAGTTTTTTTATAAGATGCAATGTTCGCTTCAGTTCTTATTCTGATCGTCTCAGCCAATTTGGCTTTTAAACCTCTCTTTTGTACGTCGTTGTATTAACGACATTATTTCTCTTCATAAAATAATTTGCGGCTCTGACCATTTTCTCAATCGCAATGACTTCTTCACTATTTCTCCTTTACAGAGGAATCCACTTCGACTTCGCACTTCCGGTCAGTTCTCTAAAAGATCCAAAAACTATTCCATTATGGAATAAACTTACCTCTAGAATAAATATTCTGAACTATTTTATTTATTATTTTCTAACATTATGCAGTGAATAAACCTATTATTATTATTAAACGTTCGATTTCGAAATTTCAATCAAAGGTCGGTTTCAATAAAAGTTTGAAAAAATGTTTGGTTGAACGTTCGTCCAAATGTTTGGTTTTGAGAACTCTAATCCCTAGCTATATATAGCTAGCTAGCTAGATTCGCCCAGAAACGTCCGGAGCACGTCCGTTTCGCGGTAAAAATGTCCGAGTTTAGTGAATTTATTTTTATTGATTCAACGCATGAACAACTAGATCAATCTGGGATATTTCATAGGATTCTAACACAGAAATTTATCGGAATATTCCGTTGTTCAAAGCTTCCGCCTCATGTTTTTTTTTCTTACTTTTCGTGCATATTCACTGTGATTTGATAAGTTTTCAGACATTGGCCGTATGTAATAAACCGAGACCGGTAACTGAAGCCGCAGTCAGTTCTACTGTCGGAAATCCGATTACACAGTCCGCCACACTCATCAGTCCCATCGAGGTCCCATTGAACCCTCCTTCTTTGGTTTGCCAGGAGAACAATGACAATGCTGCGAAAAAGTCTTCTAATAATGGTATTTTTTCTGGATTACCGTAACTGAGATCTTCTTCAGGCGTGTTTCTATATGTTGCTTGCGTCGTAATCGCATTCCTCACCATCATCTGCATCTGCTTGATCATCCTCAGCGCCAAATTGTACAAGAAACGGCCTAAGAGAGGGACTCGTCTCGCTTCTTTTGGTGATACCCATTTGGAAACGAAATTGCGAAAGAAACACTAACCTTCTTCCAACAATTTCCTAAGCTGAATATTAGGAAACTGGAAATTCTTTTGTTTTGTGATATTTCAGTCAATAAGAGTTGAATGTTATTTCTATAAATCTCATGAATATCTTCTTTTTTTCCGATAAAAAAATTTCATTAACGGATATTAATCTTTTTCGTACGCTCATGCTGGTACGTGGCATTATGGTGATGGTACTAATTGAATTGGAGAATTTTTCAACGTCTTCCGCTTTTTACATAACGTACTTTACCAAAAAAAAAATTAACCATTCAGATTTTCAGAAGTTCCTGCCTATCCCAAAAACACTGAAGAGACGGCACCAAATGACACAAAAAAATATCCCAATTCTGTCGAGAAAATGTCGGAGAAGGCACCCGAAGAAGAGAGGAAGTCTGGCGGAGCATGATTGGCAGAGATGAACGGAATTCTTCGTTTCTGGAGTTCCGCATTCCGTAAAATAAAAATTTTCCGTTTTCCGCGTTTTCCGATATCCTTTGATTTTTTTTTCAGAGTCCAAGCATTCCTTTTCTTTTTAAAAAAAAATATTTTGCTAATTGTCGAATGATGCCGTTTTGAGAGAACAAAGCAGTATAGTATGTTCAGACTTTTAATGTCAAGTGCAATGACGTCATTCAAAAACACTCTGTGGATGGCTCGCTCTCTGAATGGTTTGTCGCACCATTAGGGGCGGAGCTTGAGCCGCGACTTGACATTCAAATCTGAACAGACTATACTTTAGGAATCCCTAGTACTTCCGCGTTCCACAAAAGAAATTTTCATTCCGCATTCTACAGTTCAAAAATTCAGTTCCGCACGTCTCTGCTGCTTGGACAGAATTTTCGTAAACGTTCCAATTTTTCGTAAATTTCAAACCATGTTCAAATTGATTCCGCAATGTTCGAAATATCCGTCAGAGAGTGAAAATTTTCAGAGACTTTCAAGTTTCAGAGAATTAGTTATTATAATTATACATTTGGTGGAACTGTTTCTGAAATTACTTTTTGAAAGTTATTGACAACAAAAAAATCTGGAAAAACATTGTAAAAAAACTTTCTTTCAACTCAATTGGAAATTTCTACAATAAACCACCGATTTTCAATCATTTTTTTCTCATCTGCTTCCAAGAAAAAGATTATATCACTTGCGTGGTTCCCCTAGTCATTTCTTTATGAATTTGATCGTCGATTGATCACGAGCTATGAAGTCTTTGCGGATCAGAAGTTTGCTTGATTTTTTATTGAAAATTTTCTTCTCCTTGTTCTTTAAAGGCATAGGGGCAGTAAAAAATGACGTTTCAGGTGAAAGCAGTATCTTATATAGTTTTTCATCGCGAATCGAATGGTGTACTCAAAAAAAATACAGTGACAACTTTAGAAGAAAAACGCGATTTTACTTTCCCGCCTTTAATTTTGAAAAAAGCTTTGGATCGGTATGCAGACAACTGTTTACAGTAGCCGTGCACGCGATGTTGCGGACGTCTCATTAGACTCGCATTTTGTCAGAAAGAACCGGGTATCTGCTTCAAATTAAGGGTTTCTTCTCTGAAAAATCGATTAAGAAAACAAAAAACACACATTGATAATAAAGTAAACACAAAATATCGCAATCCAAATCGAAACCTGTGTAAAATCATCATTTTTTACCAAAGAAGCATTTTTGCGATTAAAGTTTGCAAATTATACATGAATAGAAAGCTTTTGTGACGGAAAGTACTTTGGTGACAACAGAAAAAATTGAAAATTGAAAGAAACGAAGAAAAAACCGAAAATTTGGAAGTTGGCGAAGCCTGTTGTCCATATAGCAACTTTACTGCAAAGCGCCCTTTTTGCGGAAACTTAAACTTTCCTCTCTCCGGCTTTGAATTATTTTTTCTTTAAAACTAAGAAGGTCTGTACGTTTCCAAGTTCACCGTTCGATCCGTAATGAAAAACTCTACAAAGTACTGCTTTCACCTGAAAACCCATTTTTACTGCCACTATGCCTTTAATACATTACCATCTATGACAATGAACTATTTTTGGATTTCAGACAATTCTCGTGGGTCTTTATTTTTGATCGCTTTCTTGGTTTCTGGCTGTTCGACTTCAGGTTTGTCTCTTTTTTTTTGTGTTTTTATGCTTTCTCAATCAGAAACTTCAACTGATCACTTATGTTACAGTAGGAATACTATCTCTCTCCGTTCTATTGTATTCATGTGTGAACGATGCTCTCGGCGTGTAATTGCTCCGGCAGACACGCCTGTATCTCACTTGGTTCCCCTGCACGCGTCTTGGCCACACGCGTTTGAGGCTCACGAATAAAGACTTCATGACAGTCTGCCTTCAACACGTCTACAAGTTACACGGAAGAGCCGGTGACCCTTCCGGTGTAACACTTATTCAAAAAAGATAGTCGTGGATATGTAATATTAGGTTGGTGCGTAATTCTTGATGGTTTTTTTCTTTTCTTCTATTTTCTCTATTTCTTCAAACAAAACGCCGAACATCATTTGATGTATTCTCCATCTGCATTGACCACTTGCTGCCATCGTCCAGGCAGACGCCTGATCCTGTCCTTCTAGAAGAGCGCTGACCGCGAGAAGAAATGTAAGGTCAACTCCGATTTGACATCGCTCTCTGTTCCAATTTTCTTCTCGCCCTGGTGATGCGGCAGATGGGAGAAAAGGTAGTAATCGGAGAAAGCGATGTCAGGACTGTACGGTGGCAGCACCATAAGAAGTCAGCCATAGTTGTGCAGCTCAGTCTTGGTGACTCTTGACGTAGGAGGTCTGGCGTTGCCATGTAGCGACGCGATCTTTGGCTTGCTGCTCTCTAGTGGATAGGAGCTGAACCTAGAGGTTCTGCAGTTTATAAGAGTACTTGTCACTGGTGACAGTGTCACTAGCCGTTAGTAGCTCCTACTCTTCCTTGCCGACTTGGGAGCAGAAACAGCAGACTACCTTGTTTTCTGAGATGAAAGCTCGGTTAAGAGTCGTGGTTTGCTGCTCCTTCTTATGCAATCAGTGTTTCTTGATGTTCAATGAGAAGTAGATGGTCCACTTATTATCTCAAAAAAAGATAATGAACAGAAGTCGTCTCGTTTTGAAAATACAGAATGAACAAAGTTTGCATTTGACTTGTGCTTTTTCCCAAAAATCGCTCAATTTGGACGTTTCGCATCGGTCGAGTTTTGAGGACTTTTAAGTAGTTTCCTATTCTGAATACTGTGATAGTGGCTACTACCAGTGTCTCTCTTTGATTATACGAAGAATTATAGCTCTGCGCCTCCGTTGGGGAGAGCAGGGCATCGAAATGCAACGCGACCTGCTGGAGGACTTTCGACGTGAAAATTCCGACGTTGCCGAAATTTTTGTGATAGCTAATCATTGTATGGAAAGAGCCAAGACCCCCGAAAATTACCTACAGAAAATTGCGATGGACTGCGACTGCTGGTATTTCAGAACGAGGACATGAAAAACTTCAGAGCAAATGTGGATTTGGCCTGGTTTGCACAATTCAACTTTTATCACTGATAACTGCTATAGATCTACTCTGTTTTTTCGTGAATGAAAAAAGAACAAGTATAACATAATCTGTAGCAATTTCAGCTTCCTGAAGAAAACTGAAGCAGAACTAGGTCTTTTTGAAAAAAATTATCAAGAATTACGCACCAACCTAATATAAAAGTCAATTGATTTTTCAAAATGCACTTCTGAAATCAAATATTTTAAATGGTTCGAAGTTTGATTTCTAGGTGCTATAATGTGTTTAGTCTTTTAGGTGCCACAAAAAGATTCAAGTTCGCAGCGAACACTTGAAAATTGACAGTCATTTTCCGCTCTTTCAGATCAATGTTGCACGCGTCCAATGTCGGCAGCTCCGGAGGGAGACGCGATTCCGCCCGAATGCACAAGACTAAGGTGTACGGAAGCGCCCATATACTCTTTTAATGCGCGAGGCGACAACGCTCTCTCCAAGTTTTTAGTCAGAGCTAAGAAAATCAGTGTTCTCACGGTACTTGGAAACGCTCCAGCATTTGACCTTGATGATCTGGAAGAGATTGTTCACAAGGGGCCGGGTACGTTTCGGTGAAGTTGAGAAAACTTTGAGAATGAATTATAAATTGTAGGACTCAAAGGAGTTTCAGGAAACTTTTGCGTTGCTGCCTCAATTTTATTTTTTTTTTGGGCTTTGAGAAATTTCTGAAAAAGAAAAGTGTTAGCTTACTTTGTTATAGTCTGTTCAGATTTTGAATGTCAAGCAACTAACTCCACCCCCAAGGCTACAATATCTCTCGCGTCAATGTTTTATATCTAAATGACGATGGCCCTTTAATAAGGCTGCATTTTTGACTTCTTTTTCTATCTTTTAGACCAAAAAAGATCGAAATTAGTCCCGCGCGATAAAACATCGACGCGAAAAGGTACCGTCTCAGCAGGGGCGGAGTTAGCTGGTTGACATTCAAAATCTGAACAGACTATAGTTATAATCAATTGTTTTTGTTTTCAAGAGACATATACATCTTGCTTAACTTTAATGTTTTTTGGCAAGTTTGTGTTTATAGGGCCGGCAGTCATCTTGAAGCAAGCCGTATTGGGCGAAGATTCCTTCCAAGTTTTGAAAAGAATTGCGGTTGATGATCCGTTCAGTTATTGTGGCGATAAGAATAAGTTAATCGTCATAGAAGGGGATCTTGACCCGATTGTGAAAAACTCGACTAGAAAAAGTTGTGAACAAGGTGATCTTATAAAAAATTTTTTTATATAATTTTATCAACTTTTCCTGGCAGTCTTTTTCAGACGTTGGCCGTTTGTAACCCCCCAGTTGCTGAATCCAATTCTACGGTCGGAAGTCCTCTGAAACCTTCTTCTTTGGTTTGCCAGGAAAATAAAAATGCTTCTGCTGAGGATGGCTCTAATGATGGTTGGTCTTCTGAAAATTTCAAACTATTTGAGCTCATTTTAGACCATCTTGTTTATATCGCTTGCGTCGCAATCGGAGTTCTGGTTGTCATTTGCATTTGTTTGATCATTCTCAGTGTCAAGTTGCATAAGAAACGTTTCAAGAAAGTGCATCGCCTAGCTTCCTTAGGTGATTCTTAGAAAACCAAAGTTTTACCCAAAGTTTTCCTTGTTTCGAATTTTTCATTTTTGTGTTTTTTTTTTCGTTTACGTAACTGGGATGGTGTTCCAAAAAAAAAAATCTAAAAAATTACAAGCCGACAGTTGAGACGAAAAAGCTATATGATATATAGTCTGTTCAAACCGCCCGTGTGGATACAGTACTTTCCGTTTTGATGTATATCGCTCTAATTAATCCTTGTGGAAAACCATTTTTGCTGCCTCTCTCTTTTTCCACCATTTTTTGAGCCGTCAGAAAAATAGCAGGCTCGTTAAAGGGACTCTTTTTGCTACCTTTCTGCGCCTTTTTACGAGCTTCTTCCTTTCAGCGGCCATTATCCACCATTTTGACTTTGCCCGGGCTATTTTTTTTTCTCCATCCAGTCTTCTCGGGCAAAACTGAGAAGCTCCCCAAAAGCTTTTCTTGAAAAAAATAAACCTTGAAAGGGTCCCCGCCGGATATTTTTCAAATCATTTCATTTCTTTTTTGCATTTTCTTCACATCCTTTAACAAAAAGGATGCTGGGAAAAAGATTCGAGTGGATTCAAAAAGGATCCTCTGAGGCTATGAAAAAGGAGCTGAAAAGCTTTTTTAGATCATTTTAGGAGCTTTTAAAGCAGCCTTTTTACATCCCTCTCAGGATTTTCCAAAAAATCATTTTCCCTTTATTGCATACGGCCTCAGAACAAACTATATTTGTCTTGTTATTTGGATTTTTAAGCTTGGATTTTTTTTAATGGTAATCTGTTGCCATACAGTTTCATGAGTCTTCAATTTCTAATTTTTAACGACATTTTTGAAATAGTATTTATTCCTTTAATGAATAGTTTTTTTTCTCTAGAAGCGTCTTCCAATGTTCAAAATAACGAAGAAACGGCGCAAACTGACGGCACACCGGGAACATCTTTCAAATCGGCCGAGAAAATATCCGAAAAAGCGCCCGAGGCACAACCGGAGAGGAAACCTGCGGGAGTAGAAGATTCGGACTTGAAAGAAAAGCGATTTTCGGGAAAGAGTAGCTCTGCCTGAAGCATTGATTCCTCGCATCTGGATGAAATATGAACCGTTTTTGTGATTTATCTCTGATTTTTCGATTAAGCTTCTAATGCTTTGGTTTCTTTGAATAAATCCATTTCTCTGCGTTGTTTTTTTGTAAAGAGATAAATTTTCTTCCAGTTTTTGAAGTCGGAGAGTTGTTATTTTACGTTTTTCAACACTTTTTCAAAGAAAAAAAAAGTCTTACTTTTTTGCTTTGGTTTTTTAGGCAACTTCATTCGACGCGTCATAGTTGAACGAAATTGGTGAAGGAAAATGTGAAACTGTCAAAAATGTTTCCAGTCTGAATTTTCGCAGAGTTCCAGCTTCCGGTATAGCCCATCCCGTGCCGACGATGAAACTGTGAAAATATCAAGGTTCGGTTTTTTAAGGATTTTTGTAATTAATAAAATTTAAACTGAATATAGCTGATTCACGACTGGCTTGAGCCATCGAGAAAAAGGGTCCTGCCACGAAAAGAGACGAGACAGTGCCCTGGTTGGTGGAGAGTGCAGACAGGCCACGCCTTTTTGCGTCCCAAGCTAGCCGTGAATCGTCTATAACTTTTAAATGATTTTGAGTAGATCGATTGAAGTTCAACCAAGAGGACCCCAGAAGAAATTAAAAAGCTAACTAATCCCTTGCATTTTTCTACGAAGCATTAAATTTTAAGCTTTTTCAAGAGAGTAGAAAAGCTTCATCCTTTGAGGGTAGTATCAATAAAGTTTAAAAAAATCATTTTCCGCATTTTCTGGAAGTGTAGAAGTTATCAAACCATATGTGGGCTAGGAGCCTTTTCCACCTTCCCCTCTCCAATTTTTTTATATACCGTTCCTAGAGATTCCCTAGAGCGTAAAGTCAGTAAAACTCTATAAATAGGTTTTTTTTTTCACTAGCTTGAGTCATCGAAAAAAAAAGGAAAAAAGGGTCCTGACACGATAAACACGAGATAGCGCCTGGCTCGTGAAGAACGCAGACAGGACACGCCCCTTAACGTCCCAAGCTGGCCGCGGATCAGCTATACTTATTGTAAGATATAATTGTTGCACAATGTTTTTGGGAATTCTATAAATAACCTCACCAAAGTTTCTTTAGACCTTGACAAATTAATATAATTAAATGACGAGAAAAGTTGAGGTCATTTTTTTATCATAACTGAGAGCGACTGGATAACTACTTTAAAGTGTGCGTTTGCTTTTCTTCGATATTATTAGGGTGGTTACTATAGCTGATTGACGACTGGCTTGAGTAATCGAAAAAAGGGTCCCGACACGATAAAAGAAGAGACAGTGTCTGGTCGGTGAAGAGCGCAGAAAGGCCAAGCCCCCTTGCGTCTCAAGTTAGACGGGAATCGGCTATATAGTCTGTTCATATTTTGAATGTCAAGCAGCAAACTCCCCCGTGTGCCACGAGTTGAAATTTCACGGAACGACATTCCGCTGTGCCGCTGCACGCCTTCGGGAACCTTGGTCGCCCTTTTCATTTTTTTTTCTTTTATCAAGGTACTCTACTTTCATGTGCTCCCTTAGCAATAATAATAAATTGAAAGCGTGACCTAGATTCGAAAGAAGCTTCGCGAACGCACGCAGCGGAACGGTGGAATGTCGTTCGGTGAAATTTCAACTCGTGGCACACCGACTATATAAAAAGAGAAGGTTTTTTTTTCAGAGATGACTAAAAATTGATAGTGAAAGAGAAATATTGTTCTGGACATGGAAAAATACATAAAAATCCGAAAATGAAATTACCATGAAAATGGCCAAGTCGCGACAGATCTCGATTTAGTCTATTCAGATTTTTTCGTCGCTTAACATCGATTCGACGCCTTCTTTCAAACGAGATGCGTCTGGTCCTGCTAATTATGACCATTATAAAGGCATTTTCTGCTGATCAGAATGGTTATTTTTCTATTTTTTTTTCTTGATAACTTGGAGAATATAGCTTGGATACCACGGCTTGGAATTTTACCAAACGACATTCCGCTGTTTCGCTGCGCGTCTTTGGGAGCCTTGTCGCGCTTTTAATTTTTTTTGTCTTTTATTAAGGTTTTCTACTTTCATTTGTTACCACAGCAATAACAATCAATTGAAAGCGTGACCTAGATTCGAAAGACGCTTTGCGAACGCACGCAGCGGAACAGCGGAATGTCGTTCCGTGAAATTTCAAGTCGTGGCACACACTATACAATATTTTTGTTTCGGAGCCACTCAAAGTCCTATGTAAATTTTTCAAGACCTTGTGTACTTAGTTGGACCACAAAAAGAACTCAGAAAACTCAATCTAACACTTTTGTACAATACCTTTTTACCGTTCATTGATTTTCTAAGAGAATATGTGATAATTTTTTTGTTTTTCTGAGATTTTTCTGAATTTTTTGCCACTTTTATGAAAAAATTGCGTTGAGATTAAACAAATTGGACTCTAAAGTACAGGAGGTAACTTTTTGAAAAGTGAAATACATTTCAAGTCAAAGGCATAGGGGCAGTAAAAAATGGGGTTTCAGGTGAAAGCAGTATCTTATATAGTTTTTCTTTGCGAATCGAATGATGTACTCAAAAAAATTAAATATGTGACCACTTTAGAAGAAAAAAACGCGATTTTTACTTTTCCCGCCTTTAATTTTTGAAAAAAAGCTTTGGATCGGTATGCAGACAACTGTTTACAGTAGCCGTGCACGCGATGTTGCGGACGTCTCATTAGACTCGCATTTTTGTGTGAAATAACCGGGTATCTGCTTCAAATTAAGGGTTTCTTCTCTGAAAAAAATCGATTAATAAAAACAGAAAAACACACATTGATCATAAAGAAAGCACAAATAATCGCTATCCCAATCGAAACCTGTGTAAAATCATCATTTTTCACCAAAAAAGCATTTTTGCGATTAAAGTTTGAAAATTATACATGAATAGAAAGCTTCTGTGACGAAAAGAACTTTGGTGACAACAGAAAAAATTGAAATTTGAAAGAAACGAAGAAAAAACCGAAAATTTGGAGGTTGGCGAAGCCTGTTGTCCATATAGCAACTTTACTGCAAAGTGCCCTTTTCGCGGGAACTCAAGCTTTCCTCTCCCCGACTTTGAATTATTTTTTCTCCAAAGTAGGAACTTCTGTACGTTTCCAAGTTCACCGTTCGATTCGCAATGAAAAACTCTACAAATTACTGATTTGAACTGAAACAACGTTTTTTTACTGCCCCTATGCCTTTAAAGTTATCATGATGACCAGATACTTCACGGCGTTCTGCGTAGTGGAAGAAAATGTAAAAATTTTGAAAATGCGGAGCGGCTTTGAAAGGTTGCTCCACCTAGAGTTACGGTAGACAGCTTGCGCGCGAACATTTGAATTTCTTGTTGCTCAAGTGCTTCAGGTGATTTTTCATGTTTATTTCAGTTGTATCTTTATCTGTTTTGTTCTGATTTACGGTAATTATTTTTTATTGCGACAGCAAAATGCGAAGGAACTTTTTTTTTCAATTTTTCAATATTAACTGCTCGGTTTTTGACAAAATTTCCCTTTTAAAAAAAAAAGCCTTTCCGCAACATTTTCTGTGTCAAATTAAATTTTTTTATTTGAATCAATCAATCTCTTCATTTTCGCAACATCAGAATGGTATGGCGATGTTGCAGAGGAGAAAAATTACCACTAGGTGGATGAACTAAACTAAATCTGTAAAGAAAAACTTTTTTTAAAAATTTTTTTAATAAGTGGGGAAAGACACATAGAACCACAATAAGTCATTTTCGGCACAAAATTTCACGTTTTTCACTGAAAAAAAGGACTATAACTAATTTTGAGGGTGAAAGGTATAAAATTGTTCAGAAAATAAGAAAAACTTTCACCCAAATGTTTTTTGTCAACTAGAAAAGGAATTGTGAAAGGATCGATTTTTTTCACGCCTGTAGTTTTGAAAAAACGCTATTTTTCGAGGAAAAAAATTATTTTCGAATTTAATGAGTATGCGAGTTAGCGTCGTTCTGTGTATGCACCAAAGACGTCAAATATTACGGAAATTGTGGGAGGGGCGTCGTCAAAAGAACGCCGTGACTTACGTCACTTCACCAATTCCGTTTCAGTCCCTGAAGACCTTGAATTTTCTGATGTTTGCTGCAAGGGTCCCATGGTAGCATTAAACAATACAGAAGCGATCCCACATGAATGCAGATTACCACTTCTCATATGTACCAAAGCACCGATATACGCGGAAGATGCTCGATACGATGGGGCTGTTAAGTATTTGTTGTATAATCTGAGAAACAGCAGTACCATAACCATTATTAAAAGCGAGATGTCCGTCAATCATCTGATAGAAGTCACACACGGAGGACCGGGTGCGTTTTATTTCATTCTGAAAAAAAGGAGAGCTTCTCATATTATATCTTGATTTACCTCTATTCCTCAGCTTAGTTCAGCTTTCCAAATATAGCTGACTGACGGCTGACTTGAGTTATCGAAAAAAGGGTCCTAGCACGATAAAAAAAGAGAATTTTTCGATTTTTTTTAATTTCACAGTTTAAATATAGCCAATGTTTCCCGACTTGAGAGGCGAGGGAGGCGGGACGCGTAGCGTGTGCGTACGCGGTTCTTGGCACGAGTTCAATTCAAGTGCTACAGTCTGTGTGCCACGACTTGAAATTTCACGGAACGACATTCCGCTGTTCCGCTGCGTGCGTTCGCGAAGCGTCTTTCGAATCTAGGTCACGCTTTCAATTGATCGTTATTGCTGTGGGAGCACATGAAAGTAGAGTACCTCAATAAAAAATTAAATGCGCGACCAAGGTTCGCAAAGACGCGCAGCGGCACAGCGGAATGTCGTTTGGTGAAATTCCAAGACGTGGTACACAGGCTATACCGACTATTCAAAAAGCTCAGTCACCGCTCTTTTTTATATGTTCCACTACTTTTTAATGAACACATGAAAAAGGAAAAAAAAAGAAATGAAATGAAATGAAAAGATCTATAAAGGAGCTCTCCAAATTGTCGCTGGCTGTTGAATTGGACTCGTGCCAAGAACCGCGTACGCGCACGCTACGCCTCCTTCGCTTTTCATGTCGGAAAACATTGACTATACACTTTTTTTCTGCTTTTTTTGTTCATTATGTTATCGATTGTAGGAGCGGCAATCACTTTGAAGAATGCCAAGTTAGGCGAAGATTCATTCGAAAATTTGAAAAAAATAACGGTGGATGATCCATATATTTATTGCGACGGAAAGAATAAATTGATCGACATAGAAGGAGATTACAACAAAATTGTCATAGATCGGCTGGAAAAAGTTGCGAATGAGGTACCTTTTTTTTGTTAAAAAATTCCCTTTCTACTATTTTGGATTTCTCACAACTTTTTAGTAGATATATTGTTTTTCAGACCCTGGCCGTATGTGATAAGCCGAGACCCGTAACTGGAGCCGTTACGATAATTAGTCCAGTAGAGCCTGCCGCAGTGGTTTGTCAAAAAGAAAAAGATCCGTTGGTTGCCGAGAAATGCCCAAATTGCGGTGGAATTTTCAAATATTCATTCTGAAGAAATGCGTATCTTTAGACGTTGCTCTGTATTTGGCTGGCGTTGCAATTTTATTCCTCAGTCTTATTTGCATCTCTCTTTCTTTCGTCTGCGTCAAAATGTACCGGAAACTTCGCTCTAGGGATAATCGTCTCGTTTCTGCAGGTGATTTTTTGAAATTTCCGTAAAGTTAAGTGTGTTGTGTGCATGCACCGCGGCGTTTTCGCACATGCCATTTCAAAGTAATTTTCGCAAAATTCGAAATCATATCTGAATTTCCGGAGTTCAGTAATATTTTTCCCTCGCTGGTGGCTATTTTGAATTACTTTCAACACGGCATTTGAAAAAAAAATGAAAAGAAAAATCGCGTTTTTTTTTGGAAAATAGCTTCGTCTCATGACCCATTTATGCGCCTTTAATATTTCCTCTTTTTCCCATGACGTCACATGGAAACGGCGGAGGTTTTGACCACTTTTTTTCACGAATTTTCTGAAATGAAATAGAAGATTTTTTAAAAGCCTGGCCTGGCTTGGCCCAAGCCCGCGCAGCCTTTTTTTTAAATGAGAACGTTCTAGACATAGTTCCAAAGTTTTTGATCTTCTATTGAAGGAACGCAATCAAGGATATTTGATATAGAAGCCGCTCCACGGCGTTCCCAAACGCGGTAGAGAGACGTCAAAAAAATGTTGGCGCGAAATTTGAAATCTCAAGTATGAAGCCAAATGTGTTCTTCTGTAATACTCAGTTCAATTTGCAACGATAGGTAGCTGTGACGTCCAGTCCTTTTATCCGAAGCGCGCACTTACTTTTTTTGTAAATTCAGAAGCTTTGACGCCTCGCTCACCTTCCCCTCGGGCACCAAATGCGGAAGAACCGACGCTTGAATCTCCAATCGACCGTAGGACGGCCGGAGCAGAGGAAGACTCGTTGGATCGAATCGTCGACGAGTTCAGGAACATTTCTGAAACGACCGAGATGGATTCGACCCGAGTTTCTCCTTCTTCGGAATGTCTCAGCCCGTCTCGTCTTGGCTCGAGTTCTTATGGTGATTATTGATCACTTGGAAATGGGAAAAAAAATTGGAAAATAAGTGGCTGCAAATTTTGCGGTTCAGAATGTCTTGGAAATTGGCCGGACCACTTCTTGACTTACCAGATCCAAGGCAAAATCGGAAAAGGCTCCATAGAAATTTTCATTTTCGGGTGAAAAAGGCTTCTTTTTTGCTCCCTTCTTCCACCATTTCTTGAGCCTTTGGAGTCCCAGAAAAAGCGGAGGCTCGAAGAAGGGACACTTTTTGCGACCTTTTTGCGACCTTTTCGCGGCCTTTTTGCGGCCTTTTTGCGACCTTTTTGCGGTCTTTTTCGAGCCTCTCTCTTCTAGCGACCATTATCCACCATTCCTACTTTGACCGATGAAGGTCCTGAAAGTCTCAACCTGAAAAAATTCCTAGTTTTCGAAAAGGGCACCTCAAACTCAAAGAATACCCTCAAAATCCTGTAACATAGGCTATTTTCGGACCTTATTTCTCAGAAAATAGGAAGTTTTGCAGGTTCAGATTGTCAGAACTCTTTTTTGGTACAGTCGATGTGCCACGACTTGAAATTTCATGGAACGACAGTCCGATGTTCTTGTGGTTCTAGTGCGCGCTGTCGCGAAGCGCCTTGCATTTGCGAATTCCGGTCGCGCTTTCCTTTTTTTCTTTTTATTTGATATTTTCACTTTTTTGAGAATGTTTTAATTGTTTTTTACGTGCCAAAAACGGAACTATTATTGCTTTTGCACAGAAAAATAGTCAAAATTTCAAATGGAAAGCGCGACCGAAATTCGCAAAGGCAAGGCGCTTTCACGGCCACAAGGACACGCAGCGGAGTGTCGTTGCATGAAATTTCAAGTCGTGGCACATCGACTATACGTCAAGGACAGTTCTGGCCAGTTATCGGGAAATTCCAAACCGCAAAAAAAGACCTTCCTGGTGAAAATTTTCCACTGACTTTCAAAAAATGGTATCACGAAAATTTCTGCAAGCCTTTTTTTTCAGTGAAAACCGTCACGCGAGAAAATCTTCCTGATCAGGAACGAATCGAAAGAGAAAATGAGATTTGTGAATTTTCCAAGGAAAAAACGTGGATTCCCGAATCGTTCCGCTTCCAGTCGACTTCTCTAGGTAATCTTCTTCCATACCCTCTCCACAAAAACCGGGATTACTGTAAAGCGTCTCAAGACCTTTTACTCGAACACCGAATCTTTGAATTTTTTTAACGTCTCCAAAAACAATTTTTCAGGCGAGACTTTCTCGTTGCTCAAGAAACTTTGCAGTCGGCTCAACGAGTTGTACAAGACACGTCAGGAAGGTAATTTGAAAGCGGAAGAGGTCCCTCAAGCGATAATTGAAGGGTTGGAAGAGAAACCGACAAACGAAATCCCGTCTTTCCAAATCGATTGCGACGAGAATGGGACCGTCCGGGTCGTTTTCGACTTTAATTGTCAGGATTTTAGGATTTTATTTGTCTCTTATCAATAAAGTTATTAAAGGCGCAGAGGTTGGTTGAAATCAAAATCTTTTCGAGACTCCACCTCTGCGCCTTCTCTTCTTGACTTGCATCAATTTTAAATTATCTACTTTTCAGTGAAGAAAAAAGATTCTCCGCACGATCTCTAAGCCTATTTTGCCACGTCTTCTTCTTACTGTCTTTTTTTTTTGTGTGTATCAACATTTTCTCATTTTTTCTGGCATGAAGTTTCGAACGCATAGTTTTTTGTCAACTTTTATTTGAACAACTGAATTTTTTTTCTGTTGCCTAAAAAAAGCCTAAAAAATTTAAGTGCACGGACTTTTCAAAAACTTTCACTGAAGAAAGTGATGTTAAGCTGCAGGGTTGGCCCGCGGCGGGGCTCGAGCTTGTGACCCTTTGGACCGTAGGTCCCCCCTATAGGGACCACTCTGAAGCCTCTAAGTTTCAGCTCGCCGTAGCGCAACAGGTTGTGTGCCTGTCTACGGTCCACAGGGTCACAAGTTCGATCCCCGCCCCGACCCAACCAAGGGGTTTAAGAAATGTTGGTAGTGGGAGACCACGACTTCAAAATCCCCAGCCGTCACACACAAGGACGGATATGTCACTGGAGCCAGTCCACTGATTATCATCAGGATAGGGCCTCGGCTAATCGACATGGGGCGCCGACGCCGCTCAAGCGGTACAAGAGCGTAAGAAGAAGAAGAAGAAGAGAGTGGTCCCTATAGGGGCAACCTAAGGGGCCCTTGAAGGTGAAGCATGTTTCTAAGCAGAATGAGATTTTTTTCAGCGATTTCTAGATTTTTATGTCACTTCAGGTATTACAATAATCAAGAAGGGTCTTAAAGTCATAAAACTTTATTTTTATCCGTTCAATCTTTTATTTTTGCTTCAGGCTTCATTCCGTGTATTTTCTTCACTCGAAGTGGTAGCTCTCTCAGTCGGCCGAGGCTACCCTAGAGTGTACACGGAGTCCGTGCTCGAGCCCCACCATCACCGCCGTGCCCGTACCCGCGAAACTGAGGGATCTACTTGTGGAAGAACGCGGCGAAGGGCCGTAAGACCATGCTTTCAATTCAATCGACTACACGTTTTGACTTTTTTTTCGCCAAAGGCGGTGTTAGTGCCGCACAAAAGAGCAATTTTTTCACCGCCTAGTCGGTACTATCTGACTAAAACAACCAATAAATATTGTATTGTATTGTATAGGTTCATCGTATTCTTTTTCAAAAGCTGTAGAAAAATTTTTTTTCCAGAAGCCCGGAGTTCAGTTTCAGTTCTAGGAATCTAGAACCATTTTTTTCAGTTTTATCGTTTTTCCTCTCTGAGTTCTGATATTTTCTAAGTTTAAAAAATCTTCTTTCTTTAGGATCTGTACAGCGGAGGATCTGTTTCTTTTTACCCCATTTTCGAAGTTTCATGGTCGTTTTTTTGTCCTCCTACTCTAAAAATAGGAAAAAAATGGAAGTTTCACGGATCAATTTCCCAGGAAAAACGTTTCATTTCTTCAATTTGTCAAAAAAATTCCGTTGAAATGAATTTCGAGCCACGCGTTTTTTTCTTAAAAAGATATAAATTTTATAAAAATTTCAAAAAATTTTTCTCTGGGTGGAATTTTTAGCTTCAAGGTCACTCAAAAAAATCATAATTCGGCTGAATTTTTTTCTAAACCGGAATTTAGTTTTTCCGGAGTCATTTTAATGATTATTTTCTCAGCAATATGAGATACTGGTTTTCCTGTTCTAGAAGTGTTATATTTTTAATTCAACTGATTAATTAAATTTTTCTGTTCTACAAAAAAAAGGTTCCTGAACTGAAAAAAAACAGTTAAAAATTGTTTATTTTTGACTTTTGTTCTGCTTCCGATTTCTTGAAATAAGTGTTCAAAACTTCAAAAAATAAAATCGTGAAGTTTGTTTTGTGACGTGAAACTTCTGGTACGTGAAAATTACCAAAATGACCTCAAATTATGAAAAAAGTAGACGCTGACGTAGGCCCGGAATAACAGTATTTAAGAGAATTTCTGAGCCAGTCCAGCAATTTTATATGAGCCGTCGGTCGTCAGGGAGCAGCTTGCAGACCGCCAGCGTCGTTCGGTGTGAGTTTGATGGCCTGCAGAGCCCCGGGAGGCTTCTGGCCCCTCGAGTGAACACTTAAGGGGCGCTGGCGCCACTTGGGTGATCGCTTGATGGCTGGAGGATCCCTGGGTCCATCCGCCGCGACTTTCGCGTGTCTGCGTCTCTCTGTTCCCTCACCGGCGAGGTTAGAGAAATATGAAAATAGCACGTCAACATGAGACGTCGAATCTCTGCGCCCTCCTCGTCTCTCGACGCCCCTCTCATGTTTACGTGCTGTTTCCACTTTTCTCTGACCTCGCCGGTGAGGGAACAGAGAGACGCAGACACGCGAAAGGACTATACGAATAATGCTTCTTGCTATGCTTCTTCCGATTTAATTTCGTTATTTTCAGGTCAGCGACTCGAAGACTGTTGCTCAGGCTCCTGTCCAAGGCCCATCTTTCCGCTTTCAAAGTGAGCGACCCAATGCTTTTCTCACTAAAATCTCTTTTTCCAGACTTGATGAAGTTCCTGTTTGTGAAAGAAAAAGAAGAAATGGAAAAAGCGAAGGAGAAGTCTAAGAAGACCAACAAAAACGACAAACTCTCCGTTTTTCTTCTAATTGCCTTCGCGGCTTTTCTACAAGATAGTTGCCTCTGTTGCACCATCCTTTAATAAAAATTTATGAAAAGCACATGATCACTTTGTTTGCGTTTTTGGGACTTCGGGAAAAAAGCTTGGCTTACTGTAGACGTTGACTGCATACACGGAGCTCGCGATTTACGCTCGAAACACTGCTTGACGGCTAACTTGGCGATTTCGTTGAGTAACTTTTCTGGTCCGGTCGTGGTTTAATGTTTTGGAATCTAGAAAATGATTGAGAAGCGGATTTTTTTTTTCAAAACATTCGCTTTAGTTTTTGGTAATTCATGTATTCACAGACAAAAGAAGAATATTGTGTACAAGAATTTAGATGAGAAATAGCAGATAAAAAAATAGATAAAAGGCAATTGAAACCATCACCCCCATTCTGAGCCAGTGAAGAAAGAAAGCCTCTGAGCCAGTGATAAAAAAATTGTGGTTAATAAAAGTGAGAATGAAATAGATAAATAACACAATGATTTTTCTTTGAATAGAATAAATAGACGTATAAGTTACCTTGAGGTGAAAACTGTAAAAGGCACGGAAAGGAAGATCAAAGAAGTCTACTGGGAAGGTTAAAGATGTTTCGTTTTCTTTTTGGGCCGTTTTAAAATCTTACCGTTTTTTCGTCCAATAAGACTGAAATGACTATTTGAACGAACCAAATTTTTTTCGTTTCGAATAACAAGATCAAAGCTTGACAGTAGTAATTCAACGTCTTTCAATGGCTTGTCCGAATGACCTTCAATTATTTTACTTCTAAAAACACCAAAAAAATCATGTAATCATTCAAATAAATGAAAAAATTTACGTCAAAAATTTTCCTATTTTTTCAAAGTTGTTGAAAGTTCTATATGAGCTACTGTGTGATAAGTTATACAATAATTTTAAAAACCAAAAGCTTTTCATTCAATCTTTTGATCTTTCTCAAAAATCTTGGAATCATTTCTTCCCGTCACTTCCTGGATTCTCCTAGTAAAACACGAAAAACCAAAAGTGGCACCAAAATTCAACCAAATCAAAAATAAACATCTTCCAAATGACAGTGACGTTCATTTTCTGATTAAAGGAAGAAAAAAACACCTGAAAATATCGTCTTTGATGCCTCCACTGTATTTCGCTTACGCAAGCTCCGCCCCACTGTGATCTTCTAATCGGAACAACATTTTCTCAGACGGAGAAAAACCGGTTCCGCCGGCTAACACAAACAAAAACAAACGATTTCAAAAACAGTACTTGTAAAACTTCGTTCAGTATAAAAGGTTGGGAGGAATCCGGGAAAGTAAGAAGATTTTCTTTTAAAGTCTTCAAAAACTAAAAAACCCAAAAATGATTCGCGCTATTATTCTCGTCGCTTTGATCCTGGCCGCCATCGTTACTGCCGAACTTGGAAGCCACCATGAAGGGTTCGTTGAATTTTTTTGTGATGTAAAGTGAATGGAAAATGAAAAAAGTTAGGCTTTAAACGACAAAATTGAAGTTGCATAATAACGACCGTAGAGTGAAATGTGTCGTCTTCAAGCCACTACGGAGTGAGAAGATAAAGTAACCCGAAAAAAATAAAAAAACTATTTTTTTTACAAAAAAATCTTTGGAAAATTCAAATTTCTGGAAATTTTACCACGTCGAATCAAATGTGTTTTCTGCGAGCACCAATCTACGTACTACAAAGCTACCGCAACCCAAAATGAAAAAAGTTTTTTTTACTAAAATCTTCGAAAAATTCAAATTTCTGGAATTTTTATCATAATGATCGTCAAATTGAATGTGTTTTCTGCAAGTACCAATCTACGTACTAAAAAGCTACCGTAACCCGAAATGAGAAAAAGGACATTTTTCGGCTTGAAGCACTGAAAAAAACTTTAATTTCTGGAACTTTTACCAAAATGACCGTCAAATTAAATGTGTTTTCTGCAAGCACCAATCTACGTACTAAAGAGCTACCGTAACCCAAAATTAGGAAAATTTTCGACTTACCAGGGAATGGTCTCAGCTCACAGTGGGACTTCTGTTCATTTTTGGGGGAAACAAGACCTATATTCCCCCCAAAAATGAACTCAATCTGAGACTATGAAATTTTCATCTACATCTAGGAAAAGTGGTCTCATTCAGAAGTCCCACTGTGAGCTGAGACCATTCCCTGGTTAGAGCTTTCTAAAATTTCAAATTCATCATTTTGATCGTCAAACTTGATGTGTTTTCTGCAAGGACCGCTGTAAGAACTCAAAAAGCTACAACAATAACCGAAAATAATACTTTTCATTAGACTTTATTTATCACCATTGCAATTTGCAGAAACGGACGCGAGCCCCGACAACTCGGCTACGGTCCCTACGGTGGATTCTACGGTCACCATCACCATCACCACCACCATTTCTTCCCCCACTTCCATCATCATCACGGATTCCATCACTACGGACCTTTCGGCCGCTAAGCTCAAGGCCTTTTTCTGAACAGACGTGTACAATTTTGTATAATTTATGAATAAATCCGATTTTCATGCATTTTCAATTGTTTCCTTACAGTTTTTGTGTGGAATCACATAAAAGGTCAAGAAAAGAAGTCATGAAAAAAACAAAAATTATTCCTAAATTTCTACTTTTATCCAATTCATCCATGGAACTTGAACCAATAGGAAGCAATTTTCAAGGTTTGATATTTCAAAAAAACATAAAAATACACTTGATTGATAATTTAACGACGAAAAAAACAAATAAAAAAATGAGCCAAATTCCACAGGACCGCACAGGAAATGGCTCTAAGCGTCGCGGTCGCGCTGCGGCTTGAAAATGAACTAAAGCTAGCAGATTTTTCCACTTCTTTTTCCGATGTCCTACAGTAACCGAACCGCAGCCGCGCAACGCCGAGTCATTCCAAATGCGGCCATAGAGTTTCAGTTCAAGGCGGATAATGGATAATTGAAGACTTTTGAAAAATAAGAAGCTCTTGAGAAAAAAAATTTTCCAGGCTGAAAAATCTGATATTCAAGTTCGGAGACACGAAGAAAATCACGACCTTCTATTCTCAAAATGAAAAAAATTTTTAAAAAAAGTTTTTTTATTTCGATTACAAAAAAATGTTCCAGGGAATGTTCATCAATTCTGAAAAACTTGTTGATTTTTAACATATGTGGCTGAACTTGTACTTGAAATCGAGAAAAATCATTTCACTTAAAGAAAAAAAGTTTCAATATTTTTTTATTTTTTTCGACCAAAAAAATTTTTCCAGTTAGACCATTAAACCTGAACCTTAAATTCAGCTGATTTTGAAGAATTCCCAGCGGAAATTATTCTTAAAGCAATTACCAAAGGTAAAAAAATATCTCTCCTTTTGAAAGTCGTAATATTATAGATTATAACCTTCAAATGCACTTTTAAAAAAATTATTATAAATCGAAAAAGTTTATCAATCAAACTAGAAAATTCTTCTAATATTTTGCTTCCTAAAACTTTTCACATTTTCAGTTCAAAAAATTGAAGAAAATTCTAAAACATACTTTTCAATACAACCTTGTTCAAACTCTCAACTGACAAAAAATATCACGTAACGATTCAAAAAAAGACGATGGGATCAATAACATTCTCAGACATCAATCCAGTGATCTTCTGATTATTTACCGATTTGAATCGCAAGAAAAACAAAAAAAGTTCGAAATCAGCCATCTTTGACGGTTAGAACCGGTTTCTACCGTAGAACACAAACAAGTGCGAAAATCTAGTGTTACCAACAAAAACAGAATCTCAAGGTATAAAAGGTTGGACGAGGTGCCGAGAAATCAGAAGATTTCACTTCTTCGATTATCAAAAATGATTCGGGCTATTCTCCTCGCCGTGATGGTACTGATCGCCTGGGTTTCTGCGGGCGGTGACAGCTATGCCTCGTGAGTTTTCTACTACCTTTTTTTCGTAAAAAAATCATTCCTTTTTAAAAACTATCTTTCTTCAAAGAGAAAAAAACGAAATAGTGAAATTCTTGTTTTTTTCTGGAAAAATAGGTTAAATCAGTCCAAAACCGTTAAGAATACTAAAAAAAACATTATTTTTCAAAAAATGAAACAAAAAATGGTTTATATTCCAAAGAATACGAAACAAAAAAACATAAACGTAGTTTATTTTAGAATTTCTAAAAAAAGGGAGAAAAAAAGAAAGAAAAAGTCGTAAAATGAAGTGTAATATCTGCAAGCACCGAAGATTGCGTATCATTGAGCTACCGTAACCCAAGCTCATTAAAAATGTGTTTTTCTCGGTTTTTTTTCAATAATTCGTTGAATTTCAGTGCCGGAAATGGCGGCCAACGTGATAAGCGGCTCACACCTGACCAGTGAGTTTTGAAATTAACAATTTTTTTGTGTTCAAAGTGCCAAAATGACTAAAAAACGATTTTTGTCAAATATACCGTCAAAGGTTTTCAAAAAATATTTATTCTAGAGTGGGAAAAATCCCTTATGCTGCCTTTTAGTGCTTCAGTATCCTTCCTGTACCTTTTTGAGACCTTATAAATCTAGTAAAATGGAACTTGTCATCATTTTCGGACTTTTCCGCGATATTTCTTTTTTTTTTCTTGGAAAATAGTAAAACAATTAATTTGCAGCAACGCTCCTCGCGTCGAGCGCGACTGGCACGGCGGCTACCACGGTGGTCACCACGGAGGCGGTGGCTACCATGGCGGATTCCATGGCGGATACCACGGAGGCTATCACGGAGGCTACCACGGAGGCCACCACGGCTGGCACTAAATTGGACGTCCTTCCCGGAACAGAACTCCGTGTAAAATCTTGTATATTTTGTTCATAAATTTTTCCCAGCAACTTTGTACCAAACTATTCTTCAAAATGAAGCGAAAAAAGCAAAAAAAAGATCAAAACCGGCATTTTGAAGTGAAAATATACTGTTAGTGATTATCTGGAAGATGACAAAAGATCCGCCTTAACGGAGTTAGATTCTGATTGAAAAATATCCGAGCTCCAATCTCCGAAGAAGAAAAAAAAAAATCAAGTTTATCAAGTTGAGTTCAGAAGTCTATTTCTCAAACAATTTTCCAAAATTGACGGAAATTCACGATAAGGAATAGACCGGCAATACTAAACCGGAGGTCCTTGTGAATTTCGGTCCTAAATTGCCGTGTACCGAACTATTCTTCAAAATGAAAAATAAACAATCTTTACCGGGAAAATAACATGTTTATTATAGCTGACTTACGGCTGGCTTGAGCCATCAAAAATGGGTCCTGACACGATAATAAATGAGACAGTGCCTGGTTGGTGAAGAGCGCAGACAAGCCACGCCCTAAGCGTTATCCATAAATCGGCTATATGAGCTCGTTCTGCATTGAGAATTGTCTTTGATTACAAATATAATTCAGTAGAAATCATTGAAAAAAAAAAGTTATCTACTCAAGCTCTTTCAAGGCGGAAATCGGAAAATCTTGCCAAAAAAAATAGACAGAACTTTGTGTGAAATCTTATAAATTTAGTAATAAATGCTTTTTCCTCGACCTTATAATTAACGGTGGTGATGTCCGTCCCTCCTCGCTGGTGCCACTGGATATTTCCACTTGTGGGTAAACCAATCGCGGACACCTCTAATAGCCCTAGCGAGGCGTTTAGAGTTACTTCATATGCTACTACACGACCTCCAATGCCCCAGTCCTCCGCCCGGCGGTTAAGCTCCTCTACGACATCGGGGGAAGCCTCTACCGACGAATGGCGATCCAATCTCGGAGTAACAGGATGTCACAAGAACGGAACATCAACCGTCATGGACGCCACTGGATGACCGTCGCCAGAGACCGGGATGCATGGAGGACGTGTGGTTCGCGCTGACTAGGGGAAGACCATTCTTCTATTGAGAAGGAAGATCATCAGCGAAGACGAACCATCAAAGTATCAAAGTGAAGTAAGTTATAATTAACCACAAAAGGAAGATAAAAAGATAAAGAAAGCCAATAAAGCTTGAAAAAGTGTTCTCGGGGCTTGAGTTAGTGGCCTCTATAGGGGACATTTTATTCGATAATTTTCATGAACTCCATAAGAAAAAGTATTTTTATCCCTGCGTTTTTGTTAGTGGAAGAAAATGCGAAACTAAAAACACGATGGGCGGAGCCAAAATATCCGCCGTTCCCACGTGACGTCATGGGAACGGCAGAGTTTCCGGCTCTAAATAACAGGGCACATTAAAGGTGCAAGCCACCGTATTGCCAGAAATCTTTAAGACGAATCGAGATTTCTCTAGATGAACGCAATTTTCTGCCCGAAAGCGGTGCAGTGCATGCACACGACACACGACATTTTACGGAGAAAAAGTGGGCGTGACGTCGTTGAAAAAACGCCGTGCTATGCGAAAAAATTAAAAAATAACCTTTTTTGAATAGAATTGAACGACCCCTGTAGGGAGCACTTAAGCTTTAGGGGCTAGTGGGTCAGTTCCTATACCCCTATAGGGACCACCTTGTTTTTACCCCTATAAGGAGCACTTCAGCCTTTAAAGGCGCTGTTTTCCCCCTAACCCCTATAGGGATTACTCAAAAAAATGCTAAGAATATCAATTATACTAAATTCAAATAAATACCAAAGAAATAGTTACTTCTCTAGATTTATCATGAAAACCTTCAAAAATAAGACTTTCTGGGTTCTGAAAAAAAACTACTCTTATCAAAATAATTGAACAACACCTTGGGACACCATTTCACTGATCTGCTTCCTTATTTACCCTTAATGAAACAAAAAAAGTTCGAAATTAGCCATCTTTGACGGTTAGAACCGGTTTTCGTAATAGAACAGAAGAACGAAAACAAGTACGGAAAACCGCTAAAACTCTAAAAATAAACAGAATCTCGAGGTATAAAAGGATGGAAGAGGTACCGAGGAATCAGAAGATTTTCTTTCTTCGATTCCAAAAAATGTTCCGCGCAATTTTCCTCGCTGTGATGGTTCTCATCGCTTTCGTTTCTGCCGGCGGCGACAGCTACGCCTCGTAAGTTCCTTCTCATTAGAAATTGAAACAAATCGTTCATTTCGAAGAATTCAAGCGATAAAAGATGAAAAAATCTTGTAAATTCTAACGAAATCATTTGAAAAAAGAACTACAACGAATTTATTGAAAAATGGTCGTAAAATTCATTTTTTTTTTTCTCCTTTTTATGAGACTCTATACATTATAACTCAATAAAAACTTTCAAACTTGTCAATTTTTCAAAGAGTATATGGGAAATTTGAGAAGTTATAGCGATTCCTAAGGCAAAAAAGTTAAATAAATCCCTTTCGTCTTCAAAAAACCCGACCAGATTCGATTCTTCTATGTGAAAAATTAGCAAGAAAATCATAAACCTTTGAAAATAATTTCCCTGTAAGAGCATTGTTTTCTACCTTCGAAGAATCAAACTCTTCCTGAAATTCATGGAAAAAATAGTTTCAAAATACTAATTTTCTCACTTTTCAGTGGCGGTCACCGTGAGAAGCGACTTTCTCCAGATCATGAGTGAGTTTATTTTTTTCGGAATTTATAAAAAAATTCCTAAACTTTTTATGTGGAATTTATTTGAAATTTACACAAAATGACAAATACACGATCTGACGAAGAACAAGTATAGCCGATTCACGAGTGGCTTGATCCATCGAAAAAAGGGTCCTGACAAGATAATGCACGAGAGATCGTCTGGCTCGTGGAGAGCACAGACAAGACACGCCCCTTAGCGTCTCAAGCTGGCCGTAAATCAGCTATATAGTCCTCTTCAACTTTTCATAACATTTGTTTTTCCTATGAGTCACAGTAAACCTTTTTCCTTCGAAGTTCGAGACCTGTCCCTATGCATGCGCCTTTAATTGAGGCCTCCTTCCCTGTTAAATTTTGAGGCTTTTTTTTCCATTCAAATTGGGAGGGTACATTTTTCTGTTGAAATTCGAAGCCTTCTTTACTTCCTTAAATTGAATTCGCATGCACCAGGGCGGGCCAAGCGCTTCGAATGAACTTGTACTGTAGTTCGGAAAAAAGGTCCAGCTGGCGCGGAAAGGGCTAGCCCGTTCCGGCTTGCCATGATTTTCATTTTCCTCTGATCTACAGATCCCTTCCATGAGGCTTCGATGCTTGTCTTTTTGCATGCGCCTTTAATTTTGGCGCTGGCGGAGAATGGGCTATATTGGTTCAGCATTTTCGAACCATCAGGACTAGGATAGAAAATTGCGACTAGATATACCCAAAGAAGTCGGATTACTAAGAGCCATTCAAAGTAAGTCCTCCACCTCATCCCCAATATTTTCAGACGCGCTCCCCGCGGCTACCACGACGGTCACCACGGAGGATACCATGGCGGAGACCACGGAGGCCATCACGGAGGCTTCCATGGAGGCTACCACGGCGGACACCACTAAACCCGATTCCAATCCCAAAAAAAAGAGGCCGAATATTCGCTAAAAATCCCAGTCATGCACATGAAATTCTACGTTTTTTGTGTACTATTCATCATTCTAAATCGTAAGAGAAAAAGGAAGAACTATTATTGATTCCTTATTTCGTTGTAAGTCGTGTAGAACTGTAAATTTTGTTCATAAATCCATTTTGCTCAATTTGAATCACAGAAAGAGTTAAAAGACACTATTTTGCTTCACTCAAAGGAGACAAAATCAAAATTAAAGCGAAATTTCAACTTTCTTGTCTTCAAAATTGGTTTTTGCCGAAACTTGCAAATTATTTATGATGTCCCAAGATGAAATAAAAACAAGGAAGTCCAATAGTCTTTCCAGAAACCAATCCAAGGATCTTCTGATTATTTACTGATAAAAATCACTACAAAACAAGGAACAGTTCAATTCAAAAAAGGCGTTTTTAACGATTCAAAGAGTTATTTTGCTTGAGAAAAAACAGCAAATACAAAAAACTTTTTCAATAACCTTTCATGATTAATTTTGGGGTGAAAAATTGGAAAAAAAAACTTTTTTAGAAATTTGAGTAAAAGAAGAGGGAGGTGGGGCGCGTTTTTTGAGGAGTGGTGCACCATTTGAGTTTTAGAGCGGTCCCTCTAGAGGTTTGGAGGAAAAAGCGACTTTAGGGGTCGAAAAAGTGGTCCCTATAGGGGTAAAGTCAAGGTGGTCCCTATAGGAGTTTAGAGCCTGACCCCTTATCCCCTGAAGCTTAAGAGGTCCCTATAGGGGCGTTCAATTTTATTCAAAAAAGGTTGAATTTTTAGTTTTTCGCATAGAGCTTGTAAAAGTTATTGACTAGCATGGCCCCTATAGGGACCACTTTTGCAAGCTTTAGTGGCCCCCATAGGGTTTGGTAAAGTGGTCCCTAGAGGGGTCCTGCAAGGGTCCCTAAGTTTGACCCTATAGGGTTCCCTCTGGAAATCGTAAGAAGTCCTTAGAGAAACTCGGATTTTTTTAGTGGTCACTCAAGGGTTTTGACTTTCTAGAGATCGCTCTATTGCTTGACTTAGTGGCCACTTGAGTGACTAAAAATTAGTGGCCTCTTTAGAAGTCCAAGTGGTACTAATAGGCCACTTAAGACTACTATAGTGACCACTAGGACGCAAAACAGTGACTCCTATAGAGGTGGTTTTAGTGGCCACTTTAGTGTCCTATTCAAGTAGTCCTTGGGGAGCCTCTATAGTGGCCACTAACAGTTTTCCCAGAATCTTAGGTGTGAGAAAAAAAAAGTACCTTCATTCCAGATGATTTCCATCCCAAAATTCTCCCATAAGACGAACTTTTACTTCCCACTAAACCTGAAAAACGTCAAAATTTCAAGGAAAGCATAAAAAACAGGCATTTTCACCAATTCAATCTTTTTTTCTTCGTGAAATAAAAAGATAGAACTTTATTCTCATAACATATTCTGTTAAAAAATCTTGAAAACTCATAAATTTGGTTAGACAAAAAAAGGAACAACAGGAAAAAAAGTGATTTTTTTTACAAAGGGATATGAAGACACCGTGTCCTGCTTGTCGCCAACTTTTCAGAGGCTTCCGGAGAAAAATTTCAGAAAAGAACCAGGCTTTTTAGAAAAATTATAGAAATGAGAAAGAAAGAAAGGACAATATTTAGTTGATTAAAAAAAAGGTACAGAAACCCCTAAATTCGCGAAAGCAGGACACCAATGGATCAGAAAAGGAAAGAGAAAAGACTCAACTAAAAATATTTACCGGCGGTTATAAAATTTGAATTGTAATGAAAGTTTGAAAAATTTCATTCCTTATATCAAAGGATCAAGTTCAAGGTTAACCTAAAAATGAGAAAAATGAATAAAAAAAGGCCTAAACAAATTCGTATCACACAGGATTTTAAAGGCGCATATTATAGCGCAGAAAACTTTTTAGCGTTGAGATTATTTTTCAAACTTTTCTATGCTCCTTTAAACACTTCAAGGAAATATGTGATAAAATCTACTTTCAAAAGAAAAAATCTGATTTAAAGGCGCATAGGATGACTCAAAAAACTTTATCGCGTAATACTAATTTTTTCAAAATTCCCTTTGCTCCTTCAAACACTCCAAGTAAATATTTGATAAAACCTGTTTTCAAAAGAAAAAAAAATGCCTTAAAAGCGCATACCATAGCTCAAAAAAATTTTTTCGCGTTGAAATTATTTTTCGAACTCTCTCTATGCTCATTTGAACACTTCAAGGAGCTTTTCTAATAAACTTTGAAACTTTGAAACTTTTATTCAGTCTTCAGAGAAGGTTTCTCTGCTGAATCATGGAATCATTGAAGAGCTGTTTGTCGGTTCGCGAAACTGTTGTTGATCAAGCGTAGACGGCGCGTAGAGCCTCTCGTCTCTCTTTTGATAGTAGTAGACGACTTTCGAGCGCTCCGGCGATCACTGCTTCTCCATGTAGGAACAGTACGGCGCCCAGCTTGTCCAGGGCTGGCGGGCGTCGGATTATATCTCAGGCGAGAGCGGAAATGAAGAGCGACCCCTCGGAAGGTAGAAATGAGATAATTTCTAATAAACTATACAATAAAAAAAAATCTTCTAAAGGCGCACAGCGTGGCTCAAAAAAATTTATCGCCTCACAACTTACTTTCAAACTCTTCTATGCTCCTTTAAAGGCGCATTGCGAGACTAAGAAAAGTTTACCGCCCGAGAATTGATTTTCGCCTCTCCTATGCTCCTTCAAACACTTCAAGGAAATTTTTCGTTGGAATGTGCTTTTCAAAGTAAAAATCTGCTTTAAAGGCTCAAAACCATAGCTCAAAAAATTTTCGCCATTTTCAAAACCATTTTCACAGTAATTCTATGCTCCTTCAAACAATCCAAGAAGCCTTTCTGGTAAAAAAATATATATAACCGCCAGTTCATAATCCACCCAAAGTTCGGACCAATATGTTATCAAAGGATCGCCTTTAATAAGGGAGAGTGAAGGGAGACACAAAGAACGGAAAGAGTTATTGGTGATTGGATATGCTGAATCGCGAATGGCAGAATCGGCAGCTGTGAAGGTCCATTGAAGACGATGACGTCGACATTGTGCCCGGGTCGACGTTCTGGTCAATATACCTGTCAAAATAAGGATTTTGAAAGAATAAAACAACGAAAATCGTCTAATTAACCAAATCTTATCAAAAGAATTGCTTTTCTTAAAGGCGAAAAACGCGCCCTTTGACGTGAATAAATTCTATAAAACTTTTGAATGAAGCGTCATTTTCTACATACATTCAAGGCAATCAACAGATGAAATACGTTTCAAAACTGTCACAAAAACTTGACGCTACTCATTCGACTCAATCTAAGCCTCCTCGAAGTCTTCAAAATATCTATAGCCCGTCCGCCGCGACTTGGCAGTTTTCACGTGTCTGCGTCTCTCTGTTCCCTCAACGGCGAGGTTAGAAACATGAAAATAGCACGTAAACATGAGAGGGTCGTCGAGAGACGAGGAGGGCGCAGAGAAGTCCCGCCCTTTCAAAACGGACTATATTCCCATTCGTAACTTGGTAACGCAAGCCAGACTTTCGTGAGCATTTTAGTGATCCCTTTAGGGACGTCATCACTCTTAAGTGACCCCTAGGGTTGCTCAGAAACATCCGGGGTGCATAACCGAGGCATGAGAAAATCCTCGAACCATGCAGCCGATCGAATAAAATGGCGCCTACGATCCAGAATAGCGGACCCCGGAACCGAGCGGGACAAACGCTGAAGCAGAAGAAGAAGAGAAAATCCTCGGACACTGGTTACGCGTCGAGGCATTTCTAGTTATCCCTTTAGGGCCTTCAGCACTCTTAAGTGACCCCTAGAGTTGATCAGAAAAATCCGGGGTGACCGAGGTTTGAGAAAATCCTCGGACTCTGGAAACGCGATTCGGACGTGTCGAGGCATTTCTAGTGATCCCTTTAGGGCCTTCAGCACTCTTAAGTGACCCCTAGGGTTGCTCAGAAACTTCCGGGGTGACCGAGGTTTGAGAAAATCCTCGGACACTGGTAATGCGAATCGGACGTGATGGGGCATTACTAGTGATCCCTTTAGGGGCGTCAGCACTTTTAAGTGATCCCTATAGTTGCTCAGCCGAGATTTGAGCAACTTCCAAGTTATCCATGGAGCGCAAAAAGGCCTCTCGCTGTATTTTTTATTTAGTTTTAACATTAAATAACGATTTAGGGGTTCTAAACTTTCTCTGAAGCTAAAAAATAATCATCACAGTTATCCTTACCCTTTCTATAACAAAACCACCGTTTTTCCCGATTTTCCTGGAGAAAGCAGCTCTGGAACCCACCTAATAAGACGAATATCATTGGGAATGAACGGGATGATGTGTTTCGAAATGTAGAGATTCTCGATGATGAACGCCTCTTTCGACATGTTCCGCGCACGTTTTTGCATCAGATTCGCGTACAATTCCGAGACCAGGACCACCTTCAAATGGCCCAATTTTTCGAAGAAATTAGCGTTGGAGCGCACTTTTCCGCCAACAACGGCCAGAGCAGACCGGGCGTCCTGGATTTTTCGGCCAAAGTAGTGAATCTTTCTGATGTACTGCACACCGACCAAGTCGATACACATCGTAGTTATTGCCAATCCTAAAAATTGATTTTTCGGTAATTTTTTGGACAGAAATTGAAAAAAATCGTAGAAAAAAAATTGATTTTTCCTGATTTTTTTTGGACAGAAAACTGATGGGAATGGTTAAAAAATTGATTTTTTAGAAATTACAGTACAGAAAACTGATAAAAACAGTCTAAAAAAATTTATTTTTTTCTTGGTTTTTAGGACAAAAAAATCGAAGAAAACTGTTGAAAAAAATTGACTTTTTCTAATTTTTTTCGTAGAGCCAAATGATGGAAACAGTTTAAAAAGGATTAAAAAACTCGAAAAACCCAGAAAAAAATTTTCTTTCTATGCAAAAAGTATTAAAAATATTTTTTTGGCTTCCAAAAATTCCTTTTTCTCAAATTTTTTTCTGAAGAAATATTAACTACAAGCCTCATGAATTTTTTAAAAAAACGAACCTAAAAATAATATACAAGAGAATAAAAATACATATACTCGTCACGACGGGGCATTAGGTCACCGAACCCGACCTGAAAGTTGAGAAAAAATTATTGAAAAAACGGGATTTTTCTGGGAAAATCTTTAAAGCCCACTATAGAGGCTCCCCAGGGACTACTTGAAGAGGATACTAAAGTGGCCACTCAACCAACCTCTATAGTGGCCAATATTTTCTGTTTTAGTGGCCACTATAGAGGTTCTCTATTTAATAGCCTCTTCAGTAGTTTTTCATCCAGTATTCCTTCCAGTAACTCTGATAACTCCAAAAAAACATATTGGACCAGTTTTGGGCCAGTTATGTTGATCCATTGAACCCTTAAGTGGGCACTAAAATGTTTAGTGGTCTAGTAGTAGCACTAAGAACCCTATAGTGGCCAATACTTTTTAACCCCTAAAGAAGCCACTAATTTGACTACTATAATGGCCACTAAAACGTCAAAAGAATATAGTGGCCACTAAAAATTTTCCCAGTAGTTAGACCTCTATAGTGATCACTAACTTTTAACCCCTAAAATGGCCACTAATTTGACTACTATAGGGACCACTAAAACTTCGAAACCCTATAGTGGCGACTTAAAATTCTCCCAGTAGTAGTACCACTTGACCTCTATAGTGGCCACTAATTTTCAACCCCTAAAGTGGCCACTAATTTGACTACTACAGTGGCCACTAACACGTCAAAACTCTATAGTGACCACTAAATTTTTCCCAGTAAATCAAAGTCATGAAAAACAGCCGCAAAAACTTTTTTCACAGACCTCTTTGACAACTTTTGAGGACAGTTTTGGAATCAGCGTGAAAAACTACATTTCTTAATTCAGAAGTCCGTGAGGCCAAAATGAAAACTGACAGTAGTCATGGTGATGAAAGACCAGTAGAAAGAGGTGAAGAAAGACCACGGCTCGAGTTTGGACATCAAGACGCCGCCCAGCGCCGTGTACGCTATCAATATCGCTAATACCAGTAGGGCCGGGATTCTGGAAGCATTCCATTCAGATTATCTTCCTATAAACCTTGGGAAATCTCCGAAAAATCTCAAGAAACTCTGGAGATCTTTACAAAGTAACCATAGATCTCGAAAAATTTCGCAAAAAAGTTTTTGGAGGTGTTCTCAGACCTTATAAACATCGTTTTGAATTCTGCTTTCTTCAATTTCTAAGAAATCCTCGAAGGTGTTCTCAAACTCAACATCTTCCTGATTAATTCTAAAGATTTCTCTTAAATTTATAGAGCCTATGAATCATTCAGAAAACACTCCCAACTACTGTTACCGTTGCTCCTCGATAATATGCATGTCGTGGCCGATTCCATGACTCTGGCAGTGTTCGCAGACGTGTTCCCGTCGATCTTTCCGACCTCGGTCCAGGATCAGATGTTTCAGTTTCAGATAGTTGCCGTACAACCACACCAAGTGCTCCGACAAGAACTTGCCTGAACATTTATGAATGACTGAGGAACTTCGGAGGGGTCCCTACAGGGAGTCTGAAAGTTTAAACCCCATATGGATCGTCAAATTTCTCTTATAGAAGCCCCTAGAACAAAAAAAATTCTATGGGCACCCCCAAAAATCTTTCAGGAAAGGTTTTGAGAAGAATCGGGTCGTGGCGCAATAGGTTGTGTGCTTGTCTATGGTCCTCAGGGTCACAAGTTCGATCCCCACAAGACCCAGCCAAGTGACATCATAGATTTAATGTTTCCATTTTAAGAGGACTGTTAGACCTTTAAAAAGTATTTTTAAATCAAGTAGACTCTTGGGAGCCTTCAAAATTTTCCTGTCCTTATATGGTTATGGTTATTGATTTATTACCTCAAAAGTGAGAATTTAATAGGCTCACCAAGATCAGCAATGGTCACCAAGGTGAGGGGGATACCAAACAAGGAGAACATGATGCAGACGATCCGGCCGAGATTCGTCACAGGAACCGGGTTACCGTAACCTGAAAAAAATTTTAGTTCGAGCCTCTAGTTTTTGTTTTATCTGTAATTTTTCCGATCAATGACTTTTCTCTTGTGAATAAACTAATTATTATAAGAAACTGAAAAAAATTAAAAATCACTCTCTCTTCAAGGCGATTTTATGAAGGGAAGCTGTTACATTCTGAGAAAAAGCCATCGAAAAAAATCAATCAACTTTCAGATTTTTTTCAATTTTTTTGGGTTGAAACATTTGACTCGAAGGAATATGTGAAAGTAAAAAAATTTAGACTGTAATCTTTGAAAAATTCCTATATTATACAATAATTGACTTGAAGGGAGATCTCAAAGCAAAAGAAATAAATTAAATACTTTGTTTTTGAGTTAAAAACTACCTTTTTTTCCATTTTTCCCTTACACCAATGTCCGAAAAAGCCCAAAAACTAAACGTATCTTTTTAAACAAAATTCAAGATTCAAGTGACCACCATAGACCTCTAACACCACTTAAGTGATCTCTTAATAGTTTTCCCCGTCGATCAACAATTTCCCAACCTATCGTGGTGACAACCGTGACGGCGAAGAAAATCGACGTCGAAAAAGACCAAATTTCTGTCGTTGTGTTCTTTTTGACCTAAAAAATAAATCTTTAGGGTCTTCATCAAGTTCCTACAAACCTCGTTGCTAGTGAGAAAATATTTCTCGAAGGCGACAAAAAGTTGGTCGGACATGTCGT